CCTAGAATTAGCGATGGTGAAGTTAAGTTTAGTGTAATGGGTGACTGCTCTCTTAACGATATTTTCCTTGGGAGATAGAATTACTATTGTGAAGCTAAGCTTGTGGTAATTGGTATCGATTAATTTGGTGACTGCTCTCTTGACGGTATTTTCCAGCTTGTAATGGGTACCATCACCAAACATTTCACAGGACAGTGCCTGCCATAACGAATGTACGATTGCAGCAGTTAGGTGGGTGAAGTGGACAGTAGTACGAATAGGACCGTCGAACTTGATGCACGAGTGATTCCAATAACGAAGTCTATAGAGTACTTGTGGTATACATTTTTGAAGAAGGATAGGAACTGCTGTGAAACTTCATTCCTGCATTTGAAGAAGAAGTGCTCATGTGGGTTGCAGAGTTCAGTGAAGGTGTCACCACAGAACTCACAGACGTGACCAGTGCGCTTGTGGTTGATGGGGAAGGTGTGAGACAACCAGACATTTAACAAAGAGATGACACAGGACGAGAGAATAGATTCTATCTCATACTTAACTACAGTTTCCATAGCAGTGTATCTGTCCAGTCCCCAAGGTGTGGGTGGAAGCTTAGAGGAATTACCAGTAGGGATGTTAAATGAAAGTATCGCATGATCTGAGAGAGCGTTGGGAGCAACCTTGAAGGAGTTGTTTAATAGACTGCTTTTAGCATAAGCTCTATCAATACGTCTAGCGATTCCGGTAATTGGCGAACGGTACGTGGGAATGTCGACAGTCTGACCTAGATCGACCAGATCGTGCTCATCACTAAGAGAGTCAAGAACCACTGAAATTTTTTTTTTTTTTTTTTTTTTTAAGAAGTAAAAAATGATTTATTAAGTAATATATTGGGGATGGTGTGAACCATCGAATTTTTCTTTTTTTTTTTTTTTTTTTTTTTTTTACAGTTTTTACTTTTTCATAATTCTGCAATTGATTGCTATTTTGATTGTTATTATAATTATTTTAGTTATTGATATTAATAGATTGTTAAGCTGATGAGAATACTGATGATTGAATTGGTTAATTTGAAAATGAAGAAATGAAGAAGAGGAAATAATAGTTGGCTGACATTTGATTGGTTATTGGTTATTTAAGTTTGGATTGTAAGTTACTGATACTGTTATTTATAATTAATTTCATTACTGATAAGTGCTGTATATATTCATTAATGATAGATTCATTAGATAGTAGGTTGTTATCGTGGAGAGGAGTACCGCCAAAATAGGATTTACAATAGAATTTCCAGATTTGATGAAAGACAAGTGAAACGAGAGTAGTGATGTTGTCCTTTCTTCTAACCAACTGATACGCGTCTTCCATAGTCCAATCGAATCGTTGACCACCTGAAAGCTGTAAGGAGTCAAGAATGGTGTTAAGGTTGAATCTGTGCATAACTGCTCGACAATTAAAGAATGTATGGAAATATGGGTCAGAGCAGTATGTGAAGCACAGTTCACATTCTTTGTTTTTGTTGTAAGCTAATCCAGGAAGTGAACGAGAGAAGAACCGGAAGACAGTGTTTCGTCCACGCTGGTGTTTGATGAGCGAAATATAGGTGAAGATACAGTCGTAAGATGTGTAGTCGAATTTGGTTGGTGGTAGCGATAGTTGGAACTGACCATCAGTTAGTGGTGGAATGCCATGTTTGACGAACAATAGGTGGTCGTAGATTTGCTTTAGAGTGGGTGGTAGACCATCAATCAGAATTGGTTTAGCAGATTTGATCTTGTTGTCCAGATGTTTGAGATGAACTGCCAATTGGTGCCACAGAGTGTAGCATAGATTGAGATATGGCGAGGTGATAGATCTGCAATAGATTTGAGATAGCCAACTGGTATAATAACAAACTTTGGAAGGATCAGAGGATGAAAGTAGGAATCTGTTGAATATCCACACGTGTTGGGCATCGTTACGAAGTTGGATGTCCCATAGCGAGATGCCACCACGTAACCATGGTTGTACAGCTCTGGTCTTTTTCATTGTGTTTTTATATTTCTTGGAGTCGATGAACAAATATGTTAGCCCAATCATCTGGGGCTTACCGCATGCGTATCATTTGCTTTTTAAACTGTCGACACCTGCAGGATTCGAACCTGCGCCCCCGAAGGGAATTGATTTCTAGTCAATCGCCGTAACCACTTGGCTAAGGTGTCATTTTTATGATGTTAGGCAATATTTTGATTGGACCCCATTTGGGAATTTATTTTACTCAAAAAACAACATATCATTATAACTATTTCGCTATGGTGTCATTTGAATTCTGGTGGTCTAATTCTGGAATAGATCTGAGAGTTTAAACTTCTTTATAATTATAATCATTCTTCAGTAAAGAGGATTTCTTTATCTAGATTTTAACTTTTTTATTTAGATTTTTTTAATATCTTTATTTAATTTTTAACATAAATTGGTCAGTTCAACTCTTTGATTTCTTATATTATTTTTTATTTTTATTCTATAAATGATTAAAAGATGGATAAAACTATATTCACACTAGTCTTTCATAATCGTGTTTTAAATAAGTTAATATTTGACAATGTCATAGCAATCAACGCTATTTTTCACCTGAATAAACAAGAAGATGAAAGAATAACCTACAAGTGGAATCAAGTCATCAAAGAACCACTTGTGTTGGCAGGCAACAACTATCCAGAGTTACTCAAACAGTGTTTGCAAGACTATAGAGGAAGTAAAAGAGTCAAGCTCGATGTCTGTCAACTCTTTGATAATACAATCTTTGGTGGTTGTTCCATTGCAACAATTGAGTTTCTGTTGGATCATTTCAAGATCAGTAGTGCCAAAACCAGTGAAGACTTTATGGTAAAGCTCAAGAAAAACGTATTACTTAGATTGCTAATTCGTGCCACCCATTTCGGAAGACTCGACATCATCGGATATCTATTCCGCAAATTCCAAACATTCAAATGGAACTACCAAATGGCAATGTATTTCACAGCGCAGTCAGAGACCAGTGTCGCTGTTCGGTTGGAAATGATGGAACTATTTGTTAGCGCTGCCAAAATAGCTAAGTATGCACCACACGTAAGCCTTGGTAACCATAATAATGTATTTAATTCTGCTGCCTACGAAGGTGATATTACAATGTTGGAATGGCTTACTACTAATCGTTCGGAGGATCTAGAAAAGAGCGATATGTTTATCAGTGCTATTGTCAATGGACATCTCCATCTCCTGGAGTACCTACTCAAGGAGCATGCCGCTCTCCTCAAGAGAGACCAAGAGAATCTCATAGAGTGTGCAGCTTCACTTGGAAGATTCGATATGGTGAAGATTCTTCATGCTCAAGGTTGTGTATGCAACGAGGATGTCCTGGGTTCAGCGGCTGGTAGCGGCAACCTTGAGATGCTAAAATGGCTCATTCAAAACACCACTGCATCACTCCCTGACAACGTAGTTTTTACAGCGGCTGGACATGGTAAATTGGAAGTGATCCAATGGTTATTAGCAAACACAAGTGCATCGTACACTACAGATGTTTTAATAAACTCTATAACCGCTGGTCAATTGGAAACTACTGCGTGGTTACTTAAGAATCGTCCTGAAAGACCACCAACTGATATTATAGATACTGTATCATCTGAAGGTTTCTTGGACACCATCAAGTATCTACATGAGAATATTCCTTGTACAAGCGAAAATGCCATAGATTTAGCTGCAAAAGCGGGTCACCTTGACACCATCATTTGGTTGCACGAAAATAGATCTGAAAATTGCACAACGAAAGCGATGGACTCTGCATCGGAAAACAACTATCTCGAAACCGTAAAGTGGCTACACGAGAATCGCTCTGAAGGATGCTCCACCAGAGCAGTTGACCGTGCCGCAAAGGGTGGACATTTCGAGATTGTTAAATTCCTCCTCGAAAATAGAACAGAACAATGTACACAAAAGGCTTTAAACTCTGCTATTGCCCATGGTGATATAGATATCATTGAATGTATCACCGCAAATGTCAGTCATTTGGAAATGCCAAAGTTCAATGAAACAATTGAATCACTTGACAAACTACTATCGTGCAATCATTATGAAACAGTTCAATGGGTGTTGGATAACATAGAATTCCCTATGGAACCACTAATTGAATATAGAGAAAAAACAACATGTCTCTATCCAAACTCGACTGAATCACTCCAAGTATTAAATGAACACATCTTGAAAAAGGAAAATAAATAAATAATAATTTTTTTTTTTTTTAATATATTTTATAATTTTTTTTTTTAAAGTTTTTTATTTATATATATTTTATACTACTAATATACTATATATTTGTTTAGAAGGCAAATACAGCGAGGGTCAACAAAGCAACGAGACCAACAGTGAGGGTCGAGGCACTTGATGAATCTTCACCAGTAGTGGAAGAAGTAGTAGTGTTTCCAGCGGTGGTGGATGGAGTTCCAGTGGTACCAGTGGTGGTTGGAGTTCCGGTGGTAGAGTTTCCAGTGGTTGATGGTCCGGTGGTTGAAGTTCCGGTGGTTGAAGTTCCGGTAGTTGAAGTTCCAGTGGTTGAAGTAGAGTCTCCGGTAGCGTTTCCAGTGGTGGTTGGAGTTGGTGCTTGATAGGCCAATTGAGCACGGGTGATGGCAGAGTTGTTTGCATTGTAAACTTCAACGTACAAAGTTGATGGGAGATTTGGTTTGAGCATACTGTCGAGTGAAGCGTTAATGGTGGTCCAGAGATCTTGGTTGTCAACCTTGGTAACGATGACAGAGCTGTCAATGGAGAAGCTGGTTTCAGTGACGGTGGCAGTTGAAATGTTCAATGGCAAAGTGAAAAGTTGGTGATCAGGGTTGGTACCAGCTGGGGCTGGACCCAAAGCAGTGACATTGGCTACAGTTTCATTGTTGGTGGCATTCAATCCATTTAAGACAATATTGTATGTGAGTGTGTATTGGTCGACACCTGTAATGATGGAGGAATTAATTGAACCAGTGATGTTGTTTTCGGATCCCTCGAAAACATTCTTCCAATCGAAAGTTCCGTAGAAATTTGGGCCTAAATAATAATTTGGAATGAAAAGAAGAAATGAAATGTTAATATATAGATATGAGATAACATAAAAAATATTAAAATTTTAATATTTACTTTGAGCCAAAGCGGATGAAACAAAGATTAAAGCAATTAAAGCGAAAGCGAATTTCATTGTTTGATTACTTTATATATTATTATTAGTTATACAACAAGAAAAAAGGGAGTATCTATTAATTATTTATTAGATAGATAGGTTATTATTGTTTTGGAAATGAAATGAAATGAACTTAGCTGCCGAAAGTTGTTGAATTTAAATGTATCTGTGCTCTTATCTAGAATTCTAAATGAGGTATTCTATTGTTACTGGATAGGGGGTAGCAATTGCAATTGATTAGCGAGTTCAAAGTATTTTGCTTTTTATGATAATAGAATCCACTCCCACCACCACCATCTAACATACACCCAACAAATATTTATTAATCCTGCCCAGCCAACCAAACTAATTTTAATATTTCACAATAAAAATATTATTTTATCGTCATGATTATAAAAAAAAAAAAAAAAATAGATAGAACTAATAGTTTGTGTTGTCAACTTTGAGCGCGGTTTGAAGATGACATCCCTGTGTGTGGTGGAGTTAGAACACTAGTGTTTTTGTGTCAGTGTGGTTAATTCGTTTTGTCAGTTCATTAAAATGGTTCTCTCTTGCTCAATTAATATTTTTGTAGTTCTAACAGGGATGTAATCATTGGATGCCCGTATTATTAATTCACTTGTTTTAGGCAAAATAAAAAAAACAATAAAAATAAATTCAATGGATTCAAACCCCCCTCTCACTATGGTGATAATTTCAAAAGAATTAATTATCTTTTCAACAAAAAAAAACTTAATTAATTTTTGTTCGACGGTTATTTTGCAAATCCTATTTTTTTACCCCGGTCATATTAATATAAAAAAAATTGTCAAATTATGTCCAAAATTAATTGAAAAAGATTTTTGTTTTTTTGATGTTTCAGTTTTTGGGTTGATTTCTTGGGGGTCACTGTATTTTTGGCACAATTTTTTTCTGCAAAGATTTTTGTCGCAAGTACTGATGATTTTCAACTCCCCATATTTTTGGTGCCCATTTTTTTGGAAATATTTCAAACATCTAAATCCATTCAGAGTTTGGCCTGTAATATATTTGGTTGTTATTTGAAAATTAATTAAGAACATATCTAATCCAAGTAGAATCTATTCTGGGCTACATAAGTCTTTAGTAAATTATTCACAACATGATTTTATTTTAATTATTAAAAACAGAGGAATGAATGAGAAAAAATTTTTTTGTTGTTTTTTTTTTGTTTACTGTTTTTTTAAACGGGCTAAAAGAAAAGATTGCCATACTTTTTTGCTACTCTTTGAGAATTGCATCACCAAACATCATTATAGTTGATCTTAATGAGGATCTTCAGTATCATAATGAGGGACCTTTATTTCATTCTTAAACAATGATATTAGCATCCAAACGAAGATAAAAAGCCGACACCTTTTTTTTTTTTTTATAAAAAAGGTAAATACATTGTAAACATCATCATTTTACAACCCATTAAAATAATGTCAGAAAAAATCTTTTTATTTTTTGGGTACATTTGAGTGATGTGTTTGATGGGTTTATCTTGCTTTTTTGATATAACAGGAACTGAAATCAAGCATTATTATAAATATTAACTATTTAAAAGTAAAAAAATAAATATTAAAGATGATTTAATTTATTTTAAGATAAAAATAAAATGATGCAAATATACATAAAATAAATTGCTTACTTTATTTTTATCCAAATCGGTCATTAAATTAAAATTATTATAAAACAATCCACTAAAATTAGTTAACATCCACACATTACAACTTATAGAACGCTCATATGAAAAAAAATATCATATTCATACTTTGAAGTTTTTAATATCAATAAAAATCTTACTGATCATTTAGTTGACATGTGCCCAATTTATCAAATCCAAATAATAAACAAAAATCACATCCAATCTCTTTGGTTTACCAAAGAACCAAACTACAACACCAAGTTGTGTTTTGACAATTAGTTTGATGCATCCTTTATAATCTATTTAAAATATTTAAAATACATTTCTTGAAAAATGAAAATCATTATTAATATTATGTTGTTTTTAAAATAACTTATAGATATTTTTAAGAAAGTGGATGAATAATAGTAATAAGATTAAATAATAAAAATTTTTTTTAATCAAAATCAAATTAATTTTAAAACATTTAGTTCCTTAAAAACCTAAGTTTTCATTACTTTTTACAAATAATAATATTAAAAAACAAATAAAATTTTATTAGGTTTAACTATTTTTTTTTTGAGTTATAATATTGGTGGATATTTGTTTGTTATTTTTTGTTTTTGATTTATTTAAATTTATTTTATAATATATTTTGGAGGTTGGTTATGTATGTATGTATCTTTTTGGTTTTTCAAGAAAATAGATAAAATTTTTTTTGTTATTTTTTTTTTGTTGTTTTGAAATTTGTTTTGAAAGCTTATTGACGTGAGCTCAAAGCAGAACCAATTTGGTTGGAAAGGTTCTTTCTCTTCTCGAGTTCGGATGAACCGGTGGCACTACGCAACTCGTTGACAACTTGCTTTGTCTTACCAAAGTAGATGGTTTCGAGGGTGAGACGCAATTTCGATTCCATCTCTTCGACCATCTTACCGATGTTGGTGATGTGAGTGTCGACGTCGTTGACTGGGGCTTCCTTCTCCTCCTGTCTGGTCAAACTACCTGACAAGTTGACGTTTCCGGTGTTGTCGTTTTCGGTCTCGATCGAAAGCATAATGGTGGAGGTCAATTTGTAACGAGCGTTCTTCTTCATGTCCTTGACTTCAACGACGTGAATAGAGTCCCAAGTACCTCTCATTGGTTGTCCCTTCTTTGATTGATCTTGAGTCTTCTTAATCAAAACTACTGCAGCAAATCCACCATCGAGATCCCAACAATAAACTGATGAAACACCACCTTCGAAATATCTGTTACATGGCAAACAACACTATCAGTCAATATATAAAAACCTCTTTATTATCATAACATAATAATGAACATACAGATATATATGTTCAATACAAAATACTTACAATTCACGATAGATATCAAATACTTCATTGGCTTGAACTTCAATCTCTCTCAACTTTGGTGATGGAAGAGCACCATCTCCAATGGGTGGATCGTATTTGTTTGACCATGGTGATCTATGTTATAAGTTAATGTTTATTAATAAATGGTTAATATGAATGAGTTTGATTTATGAATGTTGAATGACTGAAATATATTGTTTGTTTGTTGTTGTTGTTGTTTGTTGTTGTTTTTTTATTTTATTTACCTATAAGAATCACCATCTCTATTATAATCGCAAAGAAGATAATCACGCTTTGAAACTGGGTCGAAAGCGATCTTCAATGGTTGATCGACTGAGGACAACAAGTCTTCAGTTAAGTCTGGAACTAAATCGAGCAAACCTGCCAAATTATCTTCGATTTGAGCAGGTGGCAATCTTCTCATTAAATCTAATGCTGAATCTAACTTTGACATTATTTATTTATTATTATTATAAAAACTAACTAATTTAAATACAAAAAAAAAATATATTAAAAGGTGAATCAAAAAAAACTATTACTTTTTTGACTTTTATAAAAAAAAAGAGATATTTATATTATACAAATTGTTAATAAACAAGACAGTAGATAATTTTATCTATATAAAGTACACACAACACTCAGAGTGAAAAAAATTATATTTTGTTGAACAAAGCCAAAAGAACATTTTATTTTTTTTTTAATTTTGTTTTTTTTTTTATTAGATTTTTTTTTTTTTTTTTTCTGTTTTGAAAAACCCAATTTTGAGTCTGTTGGGTCTGCACGTTCACTATGAAATGCTGATAACGTTATATACTTAAGTGTTAATAACAAACACACAATTTTAATTAATAGAATATGTGTGTTTATTGATTATTTATAAAAATAAAACAAAACAAAATAAAATATAATAAAATCACCAATTGATTTTAAATAAAAAAATGTAGAGAATTAATTTGTTATTCGATTTTCATTATTTATTTTAGTTAAATGTTAGTTTATTATTTTAATTGGTAAAAATTGAGAAATCAGGATTAATGACTCTTTCTTTTCTTTTTTGATTTCTCATCTTCACTACTGCTGCTACTTTCATCGCTACTTTCATCCTTTGATCTCTTTTTCTTTTTGTCTTCTTTTTTGGTGTTGTTTGTTTCTTCTTTTTCTTTTTGTCGTCGGATGATGACTCTGACTCTGATGATTCTGATTCCGATGATTCTTCTTTCTTTGATTTCTTCTTTGATTCCTCTTTCTTGTTATTACTATTCTTCTTTTGCTTTTTACTCTTTTCGTCTGATTCTGATTCTGACTCTGATGACTCTGATGATTCTGATTCCGACTCTGACTCTGAATCGGATTTAACTTTCTTTTCCTTCTTGCTATCTTTCTTCTCCGCTTTTGTAGATGATGGTTCTTCGACGCTGACTGCAGTAGTCTCCTCCTCTTCATCATTAAACTTTACTATATCGGAGCTATTATTGTTTACATTCTTTTGTTGTTGTTGTTGATTCTTATTTAGTTTCTTTGGTGTCTCTACTTTAATCTCTTCATGTCCAGTAATATATGTATCGGAATCTGTCATCTGTCCATTGATTGTTATATAATTCTTATCGGTCAAAACACTGCAAATTGTAAAGATATAAAGTTATTAATGAATATATAAACTACCTATTAAGTGTTTATTGATCTCATTTAAACTACTTACTCTTTAACTCTAAATAAAATCTTTGTGCCAAGTGAAATTAAATTGGCACTGTTATTCTTGTCTACAAAAGTGTTTGAACTATGATCATAGTGTAAATCCTTTGGCAAATCAGCCTTTATAATCGATGCAGAGATAACTCCAAATACCAACAATGACAAATGAGTTGATGATACTCTCTTTACAATTCCGTCTATATAAATATATATTAGTGTTAGTATTAACTAACTATTATATTCTAATTGTAAAGTTGTCATTTGTCATATATATATATATATACATACGAATTAATTGGCCTTTAGATGGACGGAATACCATTAGACTGACGATGATTGGTACATTCAAGAATGGACTGTCATAGAAATTGGAAACCTCTTTGTCAACCAATTTCAAATTAAAGTATGATATAATGGTTGCTTTGAGATGTTTATTGTATCTGAATATCAATCTGTCGAGTGCTGACTTGGCACCACTGATGATATTGCCAATGTTGATTGGTGCCAACATCAACTTTAATCTGACTGTCACTATTTGAAATGGTGATGTTTGTGATTCTTCCATTTTCATCTATTACTACTACTGCTACTACTACTTTATTTGATATATATATATGTATATTTATAATTTAATATAAACACTAATATTATTATCACACAATCAAAAACAATGAAAAATAAAAAAAGAAACGATAAAAAAAGCAAGCAATAGTAATAAGAATTACAAAAAAAAACACACAGATTCGTTTCGTTTTTAATCAAAATCATTTTTTTTTCAACACCATTTTTTTTTTTTAAAAAAAATAAAATAAAAATAAATATATTAAAAATACAAAAAACGAATAATTGAAATTTATGCGAAGAACTAATAATATATGATTATTTTAATTTAGTATTATTTATTAAAGGTTTTCTATTTTAAAAGGGGTGAATTTGTTGTGAATGTTGGTTTGTTTGTTTGTTTGTTTGTTTGATTTGTGATTGTCATGATTATTATTACTTTTTAAAAAATACAAAATTGCTATTTTATTAGATAACTCATTTGTACTGTTGTTATTATTATTGTTGTTTTAAATATATTATATATATTATTGATTAGTGAGTAAATAAATTTATAGGATCTTTTGTTTTGGTGCTTCGTATCTGTCTGGGACTTGCAAGTCGAGAATGCAGCAGAGACCCATGAAGAAAATGACCAACAAAATGAAAACTACAAGGTAGGCCTCAATGATTGGACCTGGGAAATAATTAAAGTAGTCACTAGTTCCGTTTCCAGTAGAGTTATCGGTGGTGTTGCTGGCGTTTGGTGTATCTTGGAACATCGAGAAGTGGTAGACTGGCTCTTGGAAGTCTTGGAATTGCATTGGGAATTCGAGTGGTGTGGCATTCTCACCAGTGAAGAAAGATACTGATTCTACACCCTTCAAAACGTTGTTAACAGCATTGACACATTCATCTAAACAAAACAAAAAAAATGTGAAAGTAATAAAAAAAAAAAAAAAAAGAGTTATTTTTTGTTAGTTAATCATTACTCTTTTTTTTTGGATTATTTGATCAAGTTTGTACATACTTTGATTCTTGGTTGGCAAAACGACGACAAGGATGTCAACTTTCTTGTTGGAAATCATATTCTTGATGGATTGGATTTGTTTCAAGGTGATGTGCTCGGTCACCTTCGACGGTGAATTCAGAGTCGGAGGCAACAACCAATGAACCTTCGATTGAGTTGCTGATTGACTTGAGAACAGATGAAACGAATGAACCAGAGGTGGTGGTGTATGGGATAAAGATAGATGAAGCAGCACCCTCGATACTGTCCTTCATTGATTGCAAGTCGCTTTGTGGCTTCTCGTTGTAGCTATCGAAAATAGTTGAGAGTTCATCTGTACGGAGCTATTTTAATTTGAATAATAAATAATAAATGAATAAATATTTGTTAGTATATAAATAAGTTAACATTATTATTGTAATATAAATAAAGTTTGTTGATAACATGTTATGTGTCAAATGAAAAAGTCAATCTTTGGAGTATTTCTTGTTTTTGATTCTTTCACTTAATATTCCAAATAAATAAAGAAATCTATTCTTTCAATCTTCAATCTGTCTATTTAATCAATCTAAATCCTCAATCTAAATCTATATCTATTTATCTAAATGAAATGATCTGTCTTTTTTATATATTACTAAACTGTTTAATCTAGATATGCTGTATTGTTGTTGTTGTTGTTTGATTATATCATGATACCGTATTGACTTGTTAATCAATTATTACAACTCTAAATGTGTATCGATCTGTATGTTTTGTATCAACTCCTGTGACTTATATTATTTAGTTGTTGTGATATTATGATTCCATACTTGTTGTTGAACGAAAATAGTGATGATCTCTGGCTTGGAAGCAGAGATGACATCTGATTCTGAACCCTTAATGAGTGATACCAATAATTCCTTGAATTGATCAGCACTGTATGATTCTAAAATTTCATTCTTTATGAAAACTCTATAATTTACAACAGGTATTAGTTAACATGTATATTATATTGACTTGCATTTTTATAAATCTAAAGATCGATCTTCATATCGGTCTATCTCCACTCTCTTTCAACTTTCAACTTTCAACTTTCAAACTTCTTATCTTATATTTTCGCTGTGACAATCAACATAAACTCTCTTTATCTTTTTCTTTTCCTATACTATAGATCTTTTTGTTTTTTTTTTTTTTTTTTTTTTTTTTTTGCTTTTAAACCTTACTTGTTCGAAGACCAACCAATGATTGGAATATTTAAAGAGGCGATAGTAATACCGAATAAGACGGTAGCGATCAAAAATAATGTAGCAACAACCTTCATTATTATCTATCTATCTATATATAAATATATATTATATAATTTAAATAATAATAATATTAAAAAAAATCTAACAATATTAATAAATTACTACTGTTAATTGACAATTCTAATGACTTTGTTAGTTTTTTTCGAAACAAACAGAAAAACAAAATACTGAGTGGGAAGAAAAACAAAAATAAATTTTAAAAAACTTTGATAAAATAAAAAAAACAACAAAAAAAAAAAAAAACAAACTATCTATCTAATTCAAAAAGGAACCAGGGTTCAAAAAGAATCCACCACACCTGGGTGTGGAAAGAATTTTCTTTTTCATTTTTTATGCATGAGCTACGTGAAAAGCGAAAATGTGTAATACTTATTGTTGTTATTAAATTCACACGAAATAGGATACCTCCTCTGAATGCCGTTTTTCGATCAATAATAGATTAACTAATAAATAAAGATAAACAAAATTGATAGATCAATATAAAATCAACCAGGACTGCTGACTAGCTTGAGTTTAATTTAAAAAAAATAATAAAAAAATAAAAAATAAAAATAGGCAATATTGATTTGTTATTATATATTAGATATATTTATTTGTTACTATTTTAATTAACTATTATATTAATTAATATTAATTGATTATTAAAAATATATATTACAATATTTTGTGAAATGTTAATGACCTTTTTTTCTTTTTTTTTTTCTTTTTTGATTCTAAACTAAATAAATAATTGATGATATGGTTTAGAACCAAGTTTTGTTGAACACACAGGACACTGCTTTTTTCTTTTGAGAGCAGCATTGATGCAGGGACTACAATAGACATGTCCACATGTCGTCGACACTGGTTGTTCTATTTTCTCATAACAGATTGGACAAGTAACACGTTGCCTCTTTGATTTTGGTTTTCTTGTTTCTGGTTTGTCTTGATTATCATTGTTGGCGGTATTATTATTATTATTATTATTATTGGTGGTGTTGGGTGTAGAGCTGTTATTGTTGTCGGTGGTGGTAGTAGTTGTGGTTTTAACGTAGTCGTCGTCACTATCGTCGTCCTCTGAATCAGTCTCGTTGAGAATTGCTTTGTATTCATTGGAGTTGAGGAATGATGCTTGATTGTTGGAGCGAAGCTGTGGCTGTTGAATTGGAGCGAACGGACGATTGTGGAACATGCGATTGTTGTGGCCATTGTATATCACATCATCTACTATATGTCCACCACCGTTATTTCCATTCTGATTGAACACGATAATGATGTTTCTGTCTTGTCCGTTCTGAGGCTGATGTTGATGCTGGTGATGTTGTCTCATAAATGGATTCATATGATATGTTTGAATAGGTGGTGGTGGAACGACCACTACACTGTCATCCGTTAGATCTACAACATCGCTACTCGTTATAAAGTTGTTAATATACAGATATATATATATAATTAATGATCTCTCTAGATAGAGAGAAGCCACCTTACTTACCTGTTTGTTGTATTAGTATTTGTATTTGTGTTGTTAGTTGATGATGTATTGGCGTTGTTTGTTGTTGTTGGATTAGTTGGGGTTGGAAGTATTGAAATAGAATCATCATCATCTGTTATATCTATTTGAATACTACTACTACTATTGCTGTTGTTGTTGTTGTTGGCAGCAGTTGGGATAGGAGCTGCGGTGCCGGTGGCATTTAAGTTGGGGTTGATTTGACCATTCCTAATTAGGCTAAAAGTTTGATTGGGAAACGTAGTGGTGGCAGATAAACGTATGTATCTATCACCCACTGCCAATAATCTTACATTGTTGTCTCTTAATTCGTTGTGGTCATCATCGTCATCGTCATCGTCATCATCATCATCATCATCTTCCTCTTCATGATCAATGTCATACTCATTGTCAGCAGAATCATCAGAATCATCCATATTATCATTTATTTCATCTTCCAAGTCTATTATATCAGTTTGTGAAGATATTGTATGAATTTCTACCGGTTGTTGTTGTTCTTGTTCCATCGGTTCTTGCCTCACCTGTTGTTCGGGAATCGGTTGTTGTACCTCTGTCATTTGTTGTACCTCTGTCATTTCTTGTTTTAGTTGAATTGTATTGTCATTGTTTTCATTTGTAGTAGTTGTTGTTATTGTTGTCAGATTAATATTATTATTATCATTATTATCATTATTAATATTAGCATTGTTATTTGAATTTATAGATTCATCAGATATTACAGGTGGTATTATATTGTTGTTGTTGTTTGGCTCAATGAAACTATTGGAGATATCATTATCTGACAGCTGACCTCTTTCATCTCTATGTCTTTCTTCATATTCCATTGAACCATTGATACTATTTACACTTTCGTTATTATCATCCATTTTTTTATATATTTATCTATTTTAAAAATAGTTATATGAAATTTATATTTATTTCTATATATATTTCTGTATAGTATATAACTATTATTTATTTTATAATAATTAAACGAAATCACTTTATAAAGTTTTTTTTGAATGAAAAAGAATTAATTAAAATTTTTATATTTTTGAGTTTTTAATTTTCACAGTTTCTCGAGTTGTGGGAAAGAAAAACAATGATGTGACAAAATTGGTATTCAATTGCATAAAAAAAAAAAAAAAAAAAAAAAAGATAAATCTTGAAAGATGAAATCATTTATTTGGTTTGACTGTTGGTTATTCTTTTAAGAATCTCTATAGTAAGCTAAGGCAGAAGTCATCTTTAACTTCATATTTTTGTATTATTAAAATTTTTTTTTTATATATAACTTTAAACAGAGTTCTAAACTGATTTCCACAAACCAACTCAATTATAAGCTACTTTGGTGTTAGCACTGCATATAAATGAGGTTTTCCTATCTGGAAATTCATTGCGTAATGTGCAAACTTTTTAGTGATGGAATTTTTAAATTTTAGGAAATGCTCTTTTCAATATGAGTAAGTTAATGGTTGCAGCAGCAAAGGCAAAAGCAGTAAGCTCCAGTGATGCTTTTGTTATCAAGGATAAGTTCATTGAGAACTCAAGAAGATTAAAGGTGCAATCCCAGCTGGAAAACCTGAGCTTGTAGCTAAATGGGAGGAAACAACAACGTTTAAAATGGTATCTGGATTGTTTGTTATGGTTAATGCTGGTATCATCTATAAAGGATTCTATAGCTATGACAAGCTTACCGATACAGAAAAGATCTCACTCTGGATAACCTCTACACAAACTAGTGTCGATGGCATTACTTCGATTGTCGATGCAATTAAATCTGGTTATAAAGCATACAAATCGATCGGCGCGAAAATTGCAGACCTAATTAAGCCGAATGTAGTCTCACCAATAGCGCAGGCCGTAGCAACCACAAATGTCGCCAAGTTTGCAACCCTTATTAAAATGACCAAGTACTTGAAGATCGTCACTGGTGTTTTGCTTGTAGCTAGTATGTTGGTCTCAGGATACGAGTTGGTGACAGCAATTTCAAACAAACAGTGGGGAGAGGCTGCCCTTTCCTTAACCGAGCTTTCTCTGACGTTTGCCCTTTTTGTTTTAACATTCTTTGTCAGCACTTCTTGGTCTGGTCCAGCATGTTTGGTCTTGACTTTTGTTCTCATCGATATCGTAATTGCAGTAGCCAAGATGTTTTAGGACACAATCACACATTTGATTATTTGTTGATATTGTTGTAATGATTTGATTATCTCCAAGTTTCAATTTCTTGATGAGTTGATCACTGTTGAATATTGTGGATATAGTTGCTGTGTCGCCTGGTTCATAGGTTCATTCGTTCTATTTCCATGTGATAGACTTGCTCTGGTGAATCGCAAATTGTCAATCGTTTACTACTCAATGTTGAACAACTTAATAAAAAAATATATATGGAAAGGATTAAATAATTTAATAGTTTTGTTTTGTTTTTTATTTTATTTTCATTTTAAACTTTTAAAAGTTTGTGTTTAGTTTTGTTTGGCTTTACCTTGGTTGGCAACGGCTTGTTGGGCAGCGGCCAAAGCATTTGGATCGGCCAAATAGTAGTGTTTGATTGGCTTGAGATTCTCATCGAGTTCGTAGACCAATGGAATACCGGTTGGAATCTCGATTCCGACAATGTCTGACTCTGATACCTTGTCCAAGTACATGATGAGTGCACGGATACTGTTACCGTGGGCAGTGATGATTACCTTCTTGCCTTGCTTGATCGATGGTGCGACAGTCTCTGTCCAGAACGGGAGGAAACGTGCAACGGTGTCCTTGAGACACTCGGTCAGTGGGAGAAGCGCTGGGTCTACGTCCTTGTAGAGTGGATCGAGTGCTGGCGAACGTGGGTCGTCCGACTTGAGAGCGGGTGGTGGGACGTCGTAGGAACGACGCCAAACGAGAACTTGTGGTTCTCCGTATTTAGAGGCAGTCTCGCTCTTGTTGAGACCTTGGAGATCACCGTACATACGCTCGTTGAGACGCCAAGACTTTACGACTGGGATGTCGCTCTCACCGAGAACATCGAGCACAATATCGAGGGTACGGTTGGCACGCTTCAAAACCGAAGTGTATGCAAGATCGAAAGTGAAACCCTCATGCTTCAAGGTTTCACCACCCTTCTTAGCTTCTTCGACACCCTTGGCAGAGAGATCTACATCAGTCCATCCAGTGAAACGATTCTCTTGATTCCATACTGATTCACCGTGACGTAATAAAACAATTTTATATACCATCTTTTTTTTATTATTAACAAAATATAAATAAATAAATGAAAAAAAAATATCAACTATTTTTTAAATTAAACTAAATGATCAAAAAAAAAATTTATTGAACAAACAAATTAAACATTTTTTTTTGATTTTTTTTTTTTTTTCCTAGATCCGTCATTCGGAATTAAAGTTGTTTATCTGTTATTAACAGATAGTAGTATAATATTAGATATCGAATAAATATTATGAATTGAAACAAACAAATAAACAATATAAATTAAAACAAAAAAAAAAACTTTTTGGATTTGTTTGCGAATGTTTGATCTATGATAAAGTCATTATTATTATTCGTACAATAGGTTAATAAACTTTTGATTTGAACAAATTTGATAGTAATAAATGTTGTAGTTATCATAAAAAAAGACGACGATGAAATCACTGTTTTTTTCATACCCAAAAAAATGCTGTTGTCATGAAAAAAACGAAAATCTTTTGTTAATTAAATTTGCTCAATAAGGTTGTTACATTGCAATATTTATATAGATAATCATGTTATCAATAAAATATCAATGTTATAGAAATATAGTTAGAGGTGTACTTTTATCAAATAGATCGACAACTATACCAACTTTATCTGCTGTATCATCAAATTTTAGTTTATCAAAAACAGAAACCACAATAACTTTATCATCATCGATTCAATCACAATCATACTCTACAACCAATATTAAACAACATTCACAACACAGACAACAACAACAACAACAACAAAATAATTATCAAAAAAATAAAGTAAAATCAACAACAGTATCACCATTATCATCATCATCATCATCAACAACAACAACAACCACAAATACAAATACTTTACAAGATGATATAAATATAATTAAAATAAATTTAAAGAATGATCCACATGGATCTGGATATAAATCGTAAGTAGTAGTAGTAATCTCTCAAATTGATTATTAGTATCACTAGTTTATTAACCAATGTTTGTTGCTACACACTACTTTTTTTAGACTTCAACAGTTTATAGATCAATCAATTTACAGAGGACAAACCAAACTTCCAAGGATATTGAATGAATTCCGATTGGTTTTAGAAAATAATCGACTGTTTGATCAAAAGTTTACCGATTTAATGGCGAGAGCATACTGTGAGTTTGGAAAACCAGAGTGGGCTATCGGATTGCTCAAGAACAACCATCGTGGTATGGAAACTGGTATTTCCACGTGTGAAGTCATTGTTTCGACACTGACAAAGATGGTGAGACAACCGGGTTGCTCCGAGGAGATCCGTCATGCACTGAGCAGTTTTCTCAATAGCTCCATGTCAAAGATTCTGACGAAACACACCTATAATACACTGGCGATCGAGGCGTATCTCGCGTTGGATCAAGAGAAATTGGCACTCGAGGCATTCTCGCGTATCGACCACTCTTCGCTCACCAACTTTTACACACCGTTCCTCTCGATCCTCAACTTTTACATTGCAAAGGGACAGCATTTCGATTCGATAGCGTTCTTCTTTGAGCATATCGCCAACTTTGTCAGTTTTCTCGACACTCGTTTCTTCATGCAGTATCTCACCAACTTTCACAAGGCAGGTCTGAATGAGCAGTACATCTTGGATCAGCTGTCGGAGCGTAATCTCTGGCTGCACAAAGATCAGGTGCCGCTCACAAACAATCTCATCGTTTTCTATCTGGCGACCAATCGTTTGATCGAAGCACGAAAGATCTACACTCGGTACATGGCGCTTGGCAATCCACCGAGTTCGTTTGCCACCTTTCACTTTTTGAAGGATGCCATCATCCGAAAGGATGTCGACTATGCACTCTCGTGGCTACAGGAAATCAAGGACAATCAATTCGTACCAAACTTTGCACCCATCCAAAAGTTGGCAGAGCTCATGGCAGAGTTGAACCACGAACAGGGCCTAGAGGATCTTGCCGTCTACGTGGGCAATGTCGAAGCCAAGCGTGGACTGGGCACGCGTCTCATCGTCTACAATGAACAATCGAGCAATGCGTTGTTGCAGAAATTCACAAAGATGATCGAGAAGAACAGCGCCAACAAATCGCTGTTGACCAACCACATGATAAGACACTACCTTCAGATCGATCAGTATGAGCGCGCACTCTACTGGTACGCCAAGCGAGTCGTCGAGTACCAAATTGCAGCCAATCACCATACCGTTTACAATTTTATCATCTACCATCGAAGAAACAATCATATCAATCTAATTGAGTATTGGGAGCGTATTCGTACCGGCAATGGAATAGATCGATCCGTTGAAACAAAGATTGTCGAAGAGTATGAAACATTCTCGTTCTTTAAGGATCTAGAGATATTGGAACAATGGGATGTATCGAATACCGATGCACTACTGATGTCTGCCGATTTCATACCGTCGAAATCCAAACAACTGGCGTATACCAAGCTGCCAAGACGTAGCGAACGTCCACTCGACCGAAAAATCAGACAACTCATTGATTCTCAATCCTACTCGGAGCTATTCGACACACTGGTCACCTACTTTAAACAGAACAAATCAATAGTCGACAAGATTCCAGTTGGTACATTGCTGATCGATGCTTTGGTGTCGTTGAGTTCGCAGAGTCATCATATTCTCACACCACTCACTTTCAATCCAGAGATACCACCCGAGCTCAAAGCAATCATGTTCAATCCGCTATACTTTTCGCTACAGCTGCGAGATGGACTGGATGGTCTCGACGGACTGAAACACTATCAATCGCACCAATATATATTTTCAGCAAACTTTTGGAACAATATTATCATTGGATTGTTACGGTCGTCCAACAGCCAAGTGGCAATCGATTTGGTCAACCGAATGCTCAAGTTTATGAACTCGTCGCGAATCTATCTCTTAAAATCGATGACTGAGCGCTACTGTGAACTGTATCTACAGTCGCCAGAGTTGTTCACCGACGAACAGGTCAGAGATATCATCTACGATTTCGGATCGTCAATCGATCGTCCATCGCTTGGATTGAGTAACTTTTGTCTGGACTATCTGCTCAAGAAGAAGAATTTCTCGACCGCTCTCCAGATGTGGCGTGGCATCAGCGAGCGAAATATCCTGACCATTAAATCGGGAATCGTGTTGGCACTGGAGCGCAATCAGATGCCGACAATCGACCACCTCACCAACATGGAAGTATGGGAGACACTCCTCCCAGGAATTACAAAGTGTACACCGCTCTCGTTCTACGGTGCTTTGGCAATGCACATCGCCGCCAACGGTACACCCGGAGACAAAGTGACAGAGGTTGCTTTGACAAAGGTTATTGACATGCTACTCTCTTCGACTTCGAACGAAATGCCATATGTACTGAGCAACGTCACCAATGCATTGGCATCGGGCTATCCAGAGCAAGTCGTACGTGTTATCCAACCTCTGAAACACATCGATGCGAAAATCTACGAAAAACTCAAAGAGCTTGAGAAAACAAACGAACAGATTTCATTGCAACTAAAGAATATCAGCGTTTCTCATGTGAAAAATGTTGGTATCAACGAAAAAGCAATGAAAATCATCAATGGATTATTCGATGAATACAATAACGTTTCAAAAAAACAAAAAGAAAAGAAAGATAATCTAAACTAATCAAATAAATTTTGTTTTTTTTTTTTTTTGATAAATATCTCTGAAATATTAAAAAAAAGGAAACGATTTGTTTCTCAAAAATTAAATAATATAATATTTATTAAACTTGCAATCATTATAATGATAAATAAACATGTCAAACAGTGATAATTCCGATAATAAATTAGTTAATCTACCTCATATTCTTTTGAGTAAGATCGTAAAAGAGTTGGGAGAGAATATAGATATAATTAGTTTCAGTTTAGTTTGCAAGAAATGGTTCAAAGATAGAGATAGTTATATTGTTTTCAATTTCAATCATATACTTGCATCGAATAGTCTCGATGATCTAAAAAGCTTTCATTGGAATTCCTATAGAAAGCAAATAGAATACTCAAAATCAATCAAACCCAATTGTAAACTATGCTTTTGTACCAACGATGAACTAACAATCTATGATCCAAAGTATGTTAATTTCGATTATGTTTTAGACTATGGTAAGCAAAGAGGAAAAGATAAACAACTTTAGAATGACTTTTAATAATAATATTGTTGCAAATGTAAAATATAGAACTTTATTATGTTGAAAATCAACCATTGGTAATACCAAGCAATGTTGATGATATAACATTCTCCAACAGCTTCAATCATAGCTTAGATTTGATTAGTGATGCTTTGGCTCTCTCCAACAACAATGTTAAATCTCTTCATTTCGGAGCTCAATTCAATCAACCGTTGACACCTGGCAGTTTACCACCGACCATCACATCGCTAAGTTTATCTGAGCATTTCAATCAGCCACTAGATATCGATAGTTTACCATCGTCTCTAACTAGTCTTGTATTCGGTCCTCACTTTAACCAGGAGCTGCGACCTGGTGTGCTACCTCAGTCTCTGCGGTATCTAGAGTTGGGAGAAACGTTTAATCAACCATTCGGACATGGATCACTACCACCAAATCTCGTGGAAATTGTATTCTACAACGATGTTCAATCACCGATTCTCGACGCTCAGGTGATACCCCAATCGTTGCGCGCCATCGAAAACATTCCACCCAGCTGGATGGAGCAACTCGATCTTATGCCTCAGCTAAACAGAATCAGTATAAAGAAATTGCCGGCTCTCATATTTCCAGCTGGTTCAATTCCACCAAACATCACTAAACTCGACTTTGGATTCAATGCTAGCTTCATTTTGCACGATGGTGTACTTCCACCAATGCTAAAATCATTGAAACTAGGTCGATGTAGCTACCGATTGGAACATCTGTTCCCCAAACAACAAAATTCTGATGGTGGTGGTTTAGAACTCGATGTTTTATATCTTGGGTCGTCTTATTCTCATCCGATACGGGCAGGCACACTACCAAAAGTAAAGAGGCTGATCCTCCCAGAAAACTATAACTTTGAACTTGAGAAAGGTTCGATTCCTGAAGGTGTGGAGTTACTGGATCTAGTGTTCCTCTTCAATCAGGATATTCAGCCAGGTACCATTCCAAACAGTTGCAAAGAACTTCGTCTCAGTGGAGTCTACGACCGAAAGCTAATGGTAGGATCAATTCCCAACAGTGTGGAAACTTTGGATTTGAGATACTATGATCAAACCATTGAACAACCCACACTGGTTATTCCACCCTCTGTTAAAACAATCTGGTGCCACTGCAATTTCCTCATGAACAATCCTGTTTTTACACTCCCAACAACCATAACAAACATTCATGTATCAACAATGCTAAAGGATTATCACTTTAGAAGATTCGATTCAACTCATTTTCTAGTTATTTGTGGTTCTACCAATCTTGAAGGTGGTATTATTGAGTCAACAAAAATTAATGATAATTTTTTGACCGCACAAGAATAGGTTGTTTTTAGGGTCACAAAGAATGTGTTGCGACTAGCTACTGAACAAAAAGATTTATAAAATTTGTTTTTATTTATTAGTTTGGTGTTTCACCTTGAATTTGATAAATGAAATAGGTTAAATAAACATTACAAATTCACAATAAGATTTATTTATTGTTGTATTGTGAAAAGATATTTTGCAAATTGACAAAATTTTTTTTTGACAAAAAAAAAAAAAAACTATGTTGGATATTTCTATGATTGACAATTTTGATGATTAATAAATTACTGATTAATAAAAGGATGTCTTTTATAAATACTCAAGAAACTATAAGTAACGATTTACATTTTATTATATTAGATTATTATATTAGATTATTATTTTAGAAAGTTAAATTTATTTACATGCAATCGAAGAAAAGTTAAATTTTGAAAAATAAACAATTTTTCAATTTTCTTTTTTTTTCAGATTTAAAATGAACCATAAGTGTCAGAGTTTCTAAAAACTAAATTTGTTAAAAACAGGTTTTTGTTTTTAATTTGATAAGTTCTCCTTACTGCAATTAAATTAAAATTCAACTGTTACTGAAAACCCGGGGAGCTGTCCATTAATTTATTTTTTTATTATACCCCATTTATCCCCGCTACCGGAGCGTATATAAAAAACCGATGTCCTTAGTTACTTTTTTTTTAGAGTAAAAATCCCAAAAAGCATCTCTGATCTCATCAAGAGAAGTGGTGACGACTCCGTCAGATCTTTTGATTGATTCGATCAGTGAGTTCTTTGATCTTTTTTTTAGAGTGTTGGTGAGTACTGCCGATGGGCATTCCCTGTGGATAGATAAATCATTCACGAGAATGCTGTGAAAGAGCTTTTCTTCGGCGACTAGATCGTTGATCTTGTTCAGTGCATCTTTATGCTTCTGAGATGCCGGATCGCATGTGTTGAGAGTATGATTTAAAGATTTCTTGAGAGAGAGGCGCTCTCTAGATCTCGCGCTTTGTCTCTTCTTTAAGAATATCAATACCTGCAATTTGTTGACTGATCATGAGTCAACAAATCTTTTTTTGCAAAAAAAAAAAAAAAAAAAAAAAAAAAAATTTTTTTTGGTATAATAACAAACTTTGGAAGGATCAGAGGATGAAAGTAGGAATCTGTTGAATATCCACACGTGTTGCGCATCATTACGAAGTTGTAAGGTTAATATCAATACCTGCAATTTGTTGACTGATCATGAGTCAACAAATCTTTTTTTGCAAAAAAAAAAAAAAGTATCCCATTTCATTAGAATTAACATCAATAAACCTGGTGGCTCTAGTTCTTTTAAAAAAGACAAAAGACAATCATACATTTTACTGATGCCATCATTCGATCTATCTTCAATGTCCGTCATTTGTATTCACAATCTTTATTTTTGAAAAAAAAAAAAAATTTTTATAAACTTAATTTTGCAAATTTCTATCTACTTTTTTTTTGTTTTAAAATTGTTTTTGTTTATTTTCATTTTATCCAATAATATTTGGTTTGAATATACAAATGTAGTGTTTTAGTTATAAATATTAGAGGTTATATTTGAGGAATGTGATCACTATGTAGTTTTACATTAATAGTGGTGTATAAATATAAAGTGGTTGGGTGTGTGTTTGGTGACGATCGCGAATTGCTATTCCGATGGATTAACAAGACCAGTATACTAAACAAAAACAAAAGAAGAGACTGCTCTGCTTTTCTTTTTCTTTTTACCAAATGTCATCCCTTCTATTACTAATATTGATTATCATTTAGAATATATGACTACATGTTGTGCCGCTACTTTTCTGCTTGGTGTCTGTCCGTTGTCACCTTGGTCATCGTCGAAATGCAGAGTGTAAAACGATGTCTTGTTCTTGACCTTTTGTGAGCTGACTACAACCGCAGGATAGAAAGTGGTGGTATCGGGAAACATTGCCAGTACTTTAGTGTTGGCGGCAAACGTTGGCGGCAGTGAGTTGGCCGATGGCAACTGGATGATATCTTTGATGCTGACGTGGAACTTTTTCGATTCGTCTTCGTCCTCGTCGATGACTTCGTATTTCTGTGTCTTTGAATTGTATGATCCAACCTTGGCGAGAATCCAGTTGTTTGATTTCTCTTTGGCGGCGACCTGAGTTCCTGGTGGGATCTGTGCCGACGATTCTCCGGCGGCGGTGGCGGCGGCGGAGGTGTTGGTGTTCTTGTCGGCTTTGGGAGTGCTAGTTGATTCCACAGTCTTGGCTGGTGTGCTGACGGTGGGTGATTCACTGGATGACTCATTCTTTGGCGATTCCGAAGGCTGCTTAATACGCTTGGTCTTGTTGCTGGCGGAAGGTGTAGAAACCACCTCCTTTGACTTTCGTTTCAGCGAGCTGCTGTTGCGCTTATCGAATTTGTCAGTGTCATCATCATCGGACGACGACGAATTGGAAGACTGATTACCATTTGTATTGTTTGAATTTCCATTGTTGTTGGCTATGGCTTTCATCATTGCAGAGGACCTCTCATTTTTATTAATTTTATCTACATATTTATTTAATGTCCTAATATATATTTTAATAATAAAATTGGTGGTAATGAGAAAAAATAAAATAAAAATTAAATATTAATATTTTGAGCGTTGATTTTTTAAAAATAAATAAAATGAAAGTGAAAAAAAAAAAAACACAAAAATCACTCAAAAAAAATAGACCAATAGTGTGGGTGTGGTAGGTAAGAGTTCCCAACAGATCTTAAAGAGATTGTGTGGGTGAGTGGTGTGTTTGCTAATAGAGTGGTGGGTGCGATAAAGAGAATGTAAACTTATACATATATAAATAAAAGTGTATTGAATTGATTGTTAACTTGTCTTTAATAAATTAATGAGGTGAGGTTGTCAAATTTAAACTTTCAAATATATAATTATATATATATATAAATATAATCCAACTCTATATGATGATCGTAATTTATACTATGAAGAGTCGTTGTGTTCTTTAATGAGATGAGCTGAGTAAACTTACTTTTCGATTCCTTCAATATATGCTTTGTACTCTTGATATGCTTTGGATGCTTTTAAATACATTTCATTTCCGATATCGATTGGAAACAATACTAAATTATTAAAAGTGATTGGATGATTAATGACATGTCACGTGATATTATGATGATATTTGTGAGTAATGGTAGTGGCGGGTATTAACTTACGTTCTTCATCTTCTTCAAATATAGAATTTGAGTTGGGTGACAATCCGTTCTCTTTCAAGAGTATCAATCTCTTGTTGTAGATCTCGGTCTCGTCGACGATCTTCTTGATCTTTCGGAGCATTACGACTAATTGTACTTCGGACATTTTGTGAGTGTTGGTTTGGTTTGGTTTGGTTTGGTTGAGAATATATACAGATATAAGGTGGTTTTGGTATATTATATTCAAGTGTGTTTCAGAGTGTGATTGTTGTGATCTAAATGATTAAAATATTGAGATAATCTGTTATGTTTGCACTATAGTCGAGAAATACAACAACAACTATGTGGAGGTGAAAGATGTGACAAACAGTGATGGTATGTAATCATAAGTATAATGAAATTAGTTGCTAAACTATTGATAGAAATTCTAAACACTATAAATTCAAACTCTAAACTCGACAACAACGTTGAATCTAGATTCGAATGAATAATAATAGGAATAGGTAGAGTAATAAGAATTTTAAACTAAAACTATAAACTAAAACTAAACTAAAACTAAACCAACAAGTAGAACTAAATAGCCTATAGAATTAATAAGTGTAGAATAGTAGAAAAGTAAAGTAATAGAATATATAAATAAAATATAGAGATAGATAGATTAGATTGTTAACTAACTAACTGACTGACTAACTAATAAATAAAAATAAAAACAAAATTGTTTATTTTTAATTAATAATATATTTGTATAGGTAAGGTGGAAATTGGTATACCGAATAATTCTTTTTAAAATAAAGAGAGTGTTTGTTTTGTTTTTTTTTTTTTTTTAATTAATCATATTTTATTTTTATTTTTTTTCATTTTTTTTTTTATTTGATCCATGTTGTGATTTCATTTCCAAAAAAAATTTCATTTTCATTTTCATTTTTTTCAGCAGATAAAATTGGAAAACAGATAAATTTAGACTATTAGTTATTAGTTTTCACACAAATATGATTTAGACAAAAATTTAATCAAACTTGGAATTTATGAATGATGATTTTTTATTTTCTATATAATTTATTTTTAGATATGACATTAGATTTTATAATTTTTTATGTGTCCTGGGAAAACAATTAAAATATATAAAAAATATCGATATATTCAACAAAAATAAATTAAAATATATCTATATTTTTCTTGACAAAGATAATTGGAAATTTTTTTTTTTTTTTTTTTTTTGCAGATCAAAACAATTAGCATATATTTATTTATTTTATTATTAATTTATTATTATTTTTTGTTTTGTTAGACAATATATCGCAATCGAATGAAATATCTTTTTTTTTTTTTTGCTCTATTCGAAGATGTAGATCATATGATCCTTCAGTACTGATAGGAAATACAAGGATATTTCGAAAATCATGTTTTTTTGCTATGTAGTGAATGTGTATGCGGTAATAATAAAAAAATATAAATTGGATTCTGTGTGTTTTTTTTTGCAACTGTGATAATAATAAATTTGGTGTGTTGTTATTTCAACATTGCAATAGAGCTGTTGTTGTATTTTAAAAATAATCATTAAGAGAATCATGACCATTAGTATGGTATTATGCACACCATCAAATCAAATACTCTATTGTATATTTATTTACCCTTCTTACTTTTAAAATAATTGACTTTCAATTTAAGTATTTTCATTTTCAATTGACTTCATATTCACCTACTTTAATTAAAATAAATAAATAAAATAATAAAATAACATATTTCTAATTAGAAATTTAATTTATACACTTTTTCAAAGTTTCGCAAACAAACAAACAAATATTATTTATTTCATTTCAAACAAACAAAATGTTACTTCATGATGAAACTATTGGATTTTTTTGTTTTTTTGGAATGGTAATTTTATTATACTTCATTGGATCATCATTATGTTCATCAGGATCCTATCAACCACCAGATATAATGGAGTCCAATAGTTTAGCACAAACCAAAGATGCAGAGTTAATTGATTTTTGTAAATCAACTTTTGTATGTTAGTTAAAATATTTATTAAATTCATATATTGATTTATTATTATTAACAAATATTTTAATTAAAACAAAAGAGTTTATTTAAAAAAAAGAATTATTTTCCTCAAAAGATAAAGGAAGATTTTGGTACGAGTCAAAAGATGGCGGTTTATGTTTATATGAGATCATATGATCTATTCGAAGAGTTTCAAAAGTTGTTGGCCAAGCAGATGGGTGATGTCGATGTGAGAAATGGACTACCATCAGCACCGATTCGTTCATTCACACAATCGATGGAGCATGCTTCAATGTCAAAGGAAGGTATCATCTTGTACACAGTCGATGCCTCCACAATGGGATCGAATGTGGTCGATGCAGCATCGGACGACCAAGATGATTTCACAAGATTGGTACTCGAGTATCCAAACTATCATGTGATTCATACGCTTCTCACATCGCCAGGCACCCAAGCAAGTGAATACATCAATTCACCGATGCTCGATTGGATTACCGAGAACAACATCACATCGTTGGTATTCGAGTGTACCTCCTACACTACGGATCTATCATCACAAGAGTCGTTTGTCAGACTTCAATCATTAATAGGTGGTGATCTAAACAAAAGGGGTTAAAATGAAAATAAAATAAAATTGCAAATATTAGATAAAAAATAAAAAAGCCAATAAAATTATAATTGAATATTTAATTATTGGAGTAAAAGGGTTTGTTGTTTTTTTTTTATTCCACATGTTGTTGCAGTGGTAATAATAAACCAATAACAATATTAATAATTATAAAGATATGTTAAAATTGAACAAAATGTGGTGAAAAGAAATATTTTTAACTTAAATGTACAAACCATAGTTTATTTTTTTTTGATTGTTTTTATTATTCTAATATATATTTGTTATATATAAGGATTGGTTGATTATCTTCTTACAATTAAATGTTTGGTTGTCAAAAAAGAGAAATAAATATATAATTAACTTTTTAAATATAAATTAAATGGAATCAACAAACGCAGAAGAGTCTAAAAAAGATGAAAAAATTGATAAAATTATATCAATAGTTCCAGCAATCATAGGATTGTTATTGTTGATTTTCATTTTTTATGTGGTTTGGCAGCATTGTATCAGAAGAAGAAGAATCAATATATTGGATTCCGATTTAGAGGTCGGAAAGAAATATGTAAAAGATGATTTGGATACGTTGTCAGAGAGTGGCTATGAAAAGAAAAAATCTTATCAACCAATACAATTCTACTTTGGAGTACCGATTTCCATATACATCGCCAGAGATACCGAAGCATTCTTCCCAGAGTTTAGAGAGATCATTGCACAGGTATTTCCAGATGCATCGGTGATCTGCGCAGAACCACCGCTCTCTCACGCTCTCAATGAAATCGGTGTCATTCTCTATCCGGTGTTTGTATCGGGTGCCAGAGTCAATGCGTCGGATTACGAGTATGAACTCACTCAGTTGGAATCAAAGTATGGCAACCGCTATGAAATCATTTTCACGTGTTTGACGTACGGCGCCAACTCAAACATCAAAGGTCTGCACCGAGTGATACACGACCGCTTCAAAGCAATCAGTCTTGCATATTCCAGTAGTAGAGATCTTTGTTTTACAAATACCAATGAGAATTCGCTGAACCTACTCAAAGAAACATTTGAGAATGAAATTTCAAGATACAATTGTAGACAAAACATAAATATATAACAATAATAATAAAATTTTAGTTTATCTTTAGTTTCGATTTCTTCTTGTTTAACAATGCTAACGCTAAAAGGATCAGTAAATTTATACATAGACATACAACTATCATTCCAATGGATCTTGATGAATAGCTGTCCTTTGTATATGAACAATTGGCAATAAATATATCACTTGATAATTTCTTTATATTTTCTAAATATCTATTGTTGCAGAGTTGTCGAGAAAGAGAAAGAACAAGTGGTTAGTAGAGTAGTTAAGTTTATAATTTTTGATCCATATATATATGGTTATTTGATATATTAATAAACTTACATATATGACATTCTTTCAGTTTGAATCGCTATTTGGAGTGCTAAAGAATATTGGAATTTCTCGAGATAGTTTGCAGACATCTTCCATTGTTCACGTATCATTTGGAATTCGTTGGTGATGCTTGAGAATTGGAATTTAACGAGTGATACGTAGTTGGATGCACTGGTTTTGTGGTTGAGGAGGATGTTCGATGCCTCGTTGGTGAGTGCAATCGATCTCTCCAGTGATGAGATGATGTAGTTTCGTTGGACCGCATCGATTTGGAACTCGGTAAAGTAGGAGAATGGGAATGCGTAGGTGTTGGAGTTGGGTGAGTCACCGACACTCCATTGCCACTGCTGAGTTGCCGCCATCGATGCCTCGCTGTAGCTATAGTGGTTGGGTACGAGACCGCCCAGACTCAGCGCAGTCGCCGACAAGATGGCGGACATTGGATTGCCGAGGTTGATAGTGGTTGGCTTGCCATTACAAGAGAAGGTAGTGTTGTGAAGAACATTGGTCTGAACGGCCAACACCATATTGGTTAGGGTCTTGGCTTGCTTGTTCTTATCGATAAACACAGGATGTTCAGATCCAAGTGAAAATATAAAGATTGGAATATGTTTGGATTGATTTATGTTGGTGAGATCGTTGGGGTCGTCGTCGTGGTTGTCCGGATTCAATCTAGTCAATTGATACTTGATCTCCTTACTATCGATATAGTAGTTTAGCTTTGTAACAAACTTGCCATCCTCTGTAATGGTTGGAGTCAAAATAGTCTTTAAAGAAGTATGATATGCCAAAGCCAATGATGGATCTTCTGCCATTGATAACCTTTTATATTGTTTTTAGTAATAAGTAAATAGCTGAAACCAAATAGTAATAATATAATACATACATTTTAATATTAAAAGTAAACTCTTGATTTGGTGTCTTTAACTTTTCAATCTCATATTTAAACAAGTCGAAATTAAACATTGTAAAGTGTCTTGGATTATATTTCTAAACCAAATAGTATATATTAAAATATAAATGTTAGTTTATTCAATTGATAAAAGTAGAGGTTATTCGTATTTATACTTACATTATGATCTGTAATAAAAACAATATGGAAATTAACTCTATTATAAAACTTGATTTTAAATAAAGGTAATGGTTGTGCAATTAAATGTCTCAAACTATCTGATAGAACCGATCCCATGTGTGCTTTAAAGTTATTCATTTCTAAATCTTCGACACTCTCCATCTTATTTTTGAAATATATATATAAATGTGTTAATAATTATAATAATATAGCTTGCAATATTGTTTTAATAAATTATACAAAAACATACCAAATTACCAAGTAATAAATCCATTGAATCTAAAGGTGAATTAAAATCAACATTACCCTTATTACTTATAATATTATTTATCGATTGTTGATCTTTGATTAAAGCTTCAATATTTTCGATTGATTTCTTTAAATCTATTTCAATTTTTTTTGGTTTGTTAGTTATCAGTTTATCATTATTGATTTATATCATCATCATTATTATTATTATTAACATACATAAACAATTATCATTGTTTGCAGAATGTGGACTATCTACATCTTGACAGGAATTTTCAAATACGGTTTGTACGATTGTCAATTCCGATTGTAGTGATTCAATGAGTTCTTTTGCATCGTCAAAGGTGGCACGCAGTGAATCGACACGCTGTTCATGTGTACCGTATGGCACTCTTGGCAGTGTCAGGTTGCTCTTCAGTCCGTTGCCACCGATGGTAGGTCCCCACTCGAACGGACCAGCGGTGAGATCGATGAATGCGAATCTCTTGTGTGATATCCAGCTATCGACCAAGCAATTCTCTGTTATCGGATTGTCGTAGGCCGTCTGGATGTAGAATTTCTCGTACCACGTACCCTGGTTGTAGAGATGCTGCGCGTATTCCACTGCCGACAGTTGCTTGTCGTCGTGGTTGGCGAGTCGCGGTGCCGCGCATATCCAACGATCTTCATTTCCCTCGGGCGATCCGTAGAAGCAGCTATCGATCTGCGGTCCAAAGCTACCGGTGGCAGCAGTGTTGTTTCTATACTTGCTAAACTCCATCAGCATTTTCTTTGCCCACTCCGACGACTGCCTCGACATATCCTTGAACTTGACATTCTCATTGATATGACGCACCGATTCGCCAGGTTCCACATTGTCTTTGGTCGGCTGGAACATAGAGACAAACTTGTAATCGGAATCGATATCCCATTCACTATTGAATTTCAGCTTGGCATTCTTGTAGAGTGAATCCAATTCGCTATTCGACATACCTGTTCTATAACCATATCTAGCTTGAATATAATCATTGTCTGAATCATCATCATCATCATCATCTTCTTCTTCATCGTCATCATCTTCATCTTTCTTATCATTGTCAGTTGTTGTTGTTGTTGTTGTTGTTGTTGTTGTTGAATCCTCAATACTAGATTGTTTACTTCTTGATGATTTTGGTGATGTTGCTTTATTGTAATCTATCAACGGATTGTTTGGATTCAAAATATAGATTGTATAACTCTTTCTGTCCAGGTCTAAATGGTCGGATAACGATGAAAGTAACGAAGAAATCAGATATGGGTTGGTATAGAATCGTGATTCCGTTTCATTCTTTTTAGTTGTACAGTTTTCATCATAGTAACTACTATCCTCATTTCTCAGATTCCAATAGATAGCATCTTCAACCAATGTATTCACCAATGAATCTACTTTTGAAACTTGAATATCAAATCTAATAGTTTGATTCGTTGATCAATTGTTAACAATTAATTGATGATTGTTTGACTTATATATATATTTTAAGTAGCAATACTTACGTATATTCAATATGAGTTGGTGGTGTTTCATTGATGTCAGATGTAACTATATCTTCACCTAGCGGTACTATTACATTTGGTAATGAATGTTCGATGTGTTGGAACCAATCGATGAGATGCTCTTCACTCAGTCGGAAAGCATGATTACCATCACCAGAGAATCCTACAAATATGAAATTCACTGGTATTCTCAAGTGTAGAGATTTCGTTAGGTGTAGTGATAGGAACTTTCCAATCGATCCACTATCCAACCATTGTTGTAAACTACTTGATTTTAAATCAACTTCTAATTATTATTATTATTATTAATTAAATAATAATGGTCAATAATAATTGATTATTTAATATATATATAATCAAACATATATATTTTATATATTATCAATAATTACCATTTTTATTATTATAATCATCATATGGATAGTATTCTATATCTTTATGATCCAACAGATCAGCTAGTTCTTCATAGTTGTTTGTATGCTGATTCTTCTTTGTTGGTGAATTTCCAAGTACTTCTTGAATCTGAAGATTAGCTATCAAAATAATAATAACAATGATAACAATAGGTAGATTCTTATTAAGCATTGTTGTTTATGATTGATACCAAAAACTTCATAATATATAAATATGAAAATTTCAAATTGTAAGTTCAATCAACAATTAAAAATAAACCAATTTTAGAATTTATTTTTTTATTTTTTTATTTTTTAAATAATGTTTGGTTAATCTAAGGTTTATCTTAAAAAAAAAGAAATAATTATTATTTGAAAAATAATAATAACCAAAGTAAGTAGATACAAATGGAAACATTATTTAAAGACCATGTTTAAAAGAAAGTAATCAATTTTTAAATAACAATTTAATTCTAGAAATGTAGTCAAATGTAATTACTTTGATAAAGTGGGTTATAAAAATATATGAGTTTATATTTGTATCTCCGGTTTATAATTATTCCTCCGCTTTTAATGATTTGTAAAAAACAAAAGTCATGATCAAAAAAAAAAAAAAGTATTTTTAAAAGAAAAACTGATTTTCATTTAACAACTTTTATATAAATATATACACTATTGAGTGAATAGATTAGTTTTTATTCATTATTTAAATATTATAGAATTTATTTATTAAGAAAGAGAAAAAAGAAAAAGTTTTAAAAAAGAATTAAAAGAAAAAAAAAAAACATATTGAAAATTATGAATAATAGTGAAGATATTACAAGTGTAGTTAATCAAGTAACACAGGCATTGGAAGCACTTCACAATCCTCATTCAAATGTACAGATTTTCAATCAATCGCAAGAGTTTCTCGAGGAAGTGAAACGTCGTCCCAATGCCTATAGCTATGCATTGGTCATTCTTACACATCCAAATGAAATCGTCAGACATTTCGGACTGCACATCATTGAGAATCTCGTCAAGAATCAATGGGTAAATGCTTCTGAAAATGATAAGCAATCCGTAAAGAATGAAATATTAGGTTTTATATCAAAAGGTAAAGATTCAATCAACTATAAATATTCAATCAACAACTGATCAGTTGCTAACTATTCATCTATTAACAACAACAACAATAACAACAATACAACTACTTCTTTTTGTTTGTCAACAGTTCAAGTAAATGAACAGAAATTTATAAAAGAGAAAATGGTAACTGTTATCGTGGAGATTGTTAAACGTGATTGGCCACAACGATGGGCCAACCTGCTAGATTCACTCGTTCAGATTTCATCGTTGGGCGAGACACAAGCCGAAGTCGTTCTATTGACAATGGGACAGCTACCACATGAAATTATCTTTGACTCGACATCAAACAATATGATTGCTCTATCGGAGCAGAGAAAGAAGGATTTGATGGCCGGTATCAATCAGGCGATCACCTCGTTGTTTGCCTATTTCTACTCGATGTTGGAGGCACGCTACAAACGCTACCTGGAAAACGCCAACGACAAAGTCAACGTGAATCTAGTGTCCACGCTACTCTCGACGTTGCTATCCTACATCGAATGGGTACCTATAGAATTGATTCTCCAGCATAAGCTGGACTTTATATTCTGTCAGCTGCTCAGGGAGGTGCCGTTCCGTGTCAAGGCGACGGAGGCACTCTTGCTGTTCTTGTCGCGTCGTGGTCGTCCCGAGGAGCGCGCCAACTTTTTGAATATGTTTAATATGCTCGATCGTGTCACCGATGCAATGGCGGTGGCAACTGCCAACCATGAAGTGGACTACGCATTCCACAAGCGTGTCGCGCAGACTCTGACCATCCTCGGAACGAACCACCTCGACCAGACCACCAAGGAATGCAAACTTCCACCCAACTACCATGTCTATCTGCAGTTGATGATGCAGATGGTTTCGCATCCCTCGATTCTGCTCACCAGTTTGGCGCTCCCTTTCTGGACGAGCTTCCTCAAGTCACAGGACACTCTCGACCAAATGCAGTACTTGGAGCCGCTGTTGGTCGAACTTCTCAAGGTGTCACTCACCAAGATTCTCAAGGTTGGCGACCCCAAGCTCGGCAATGAAACAGCGCACTCAAAGTATTCCGCCATCGATTTTGGAACGACCAACGAATGGTCACAGTTTTACTCGACGGTTCGCAACCGATTCATGGAGATTGTCAAGCAGATTACAACGATCCGACCAGTATTGGCATTTAACTTTGCCGTCAGCAAGCTACATGAAGTCATTCCGAACCTACAATCTGCAACCTCTCCCATCACTCACGAACAAACACTTCTCCTCGAATCGATCTCATTCTTTTTAGAGTTGGTACTTATCAATTTACCGACCAACTTTTTCGACAAGTCATCTCCCTATCAACAATGTATTCAAGATTCCGAATCACTCTTAAAACTTTTATTAGAGACTAAATTTTCAGTAAGCATAGAAATAGCTATTTCAAACAACAAATAATTATATTAACATATATGTTTTATTTTTAGGATCCAAACTCTACATCATTCCAAATGGATTGTATAAAACCATTTATTTCATATTATAATAGTCATCCAATGTCAATTCAATATTTGTTGACAAAGATAGTTCCAATGATTCCATTCCATTCACAGGGCGAGAAAGAAGGTGGTCGTCTTTCAAATAATACTTTACATTGTCGTCGTAGAATTATCTCTTGTCTTTCGAATTTGGCATCGAGCATGCCAGACAAGCTGCTTCCATTCTTACCACAGCTGTATGCATCGATTCAACAGTTGTTCTCAACCAACGCCGTCAATGAAACCGAGCGTGTCATGCTCTATTTGCTATTGATTGTACTGAACAATCATGTCACCAACTTCCAACAGAGTTCAGAGTTTCTCAGGGAGATCATCACTCCGGTCATCCAGATCTGGACAGCACCCGACTTGACCGCTGCATTCCAAACACCAGAACAACTGATTTCGTACTTGGGACTCGACCAAAATTCACACCCAAGCGAAGAGATCATCGCCAGACGCAAGAAACTGCAGTACTCTGTATCGGCACTGCAAACCATGTGGAAGAAATCAGCACTTCCACCAACCACCAACGAAGACAATGGTTTCATTCCATTCATTGCCAATGGAATTAGCTATCCCTCGAAATGGCCAATCTCCAACTTTGCCAAAGAGGTCATGCCCAATGTCGTCGCCCTAGCAAGATCAATGCATGCACTCTGGAATCCAGCCATAATGTCCAAGGTCGCCTCTGATTACACTCCTATTTTCAAATTGGACGAAGCTATCACCGCTCCACTATTGGGTCAAGAATATCATAAAGTAAACAATAGTGAATCAGAGAATATTAAATTTGTTAGAAATTTATTAGATACATTAAGAGATTCGTGGTAACTATAGATAATATTTTTTTTTCAATTATCATTTCACACAAGATTATTAATTTTGTTGTTTTTTTTATTTCTATAGTTATGAAATGTTTGGATATGGATTTACACATTCAGATGAATTATTCTCAATAGCAACATTACCAAAGATTTTGATTGACTCTATATTCTCATCATTGGAATTCTGTGAGAATCGTCACTTGAAATTGATTGTCAGACATGTTCTTATGTTCCTAGTTAAACATTGTCCAACTAAACTTCAACCACAATTCTTTGACACCTTAATTCCCTCTTTACTCTCCATTCTATTCAATCGTATAAAATCAGGTTGGGAGGCAATCAATATTCGTTCTCAAAAGTAAGTTATCAACATACAACAGCAACAATAGCTTACAAATATTAACAATATATTTTATTTTTAATTCTATTTAAAGGGAGAATAAATCAGATGATTCAGAACAAAATGAAATTATTGGCGATAAGATATTAAGAGATTTGACATTGGAGTATACATTCTGGGTGAAAGAATTCCATGGTCATCCAGTTGCATTAAAGAATGTGGAGATTGTAACTCCGCTCGTCTATGGTTTGAGTGCATGTCTCATGAGTAATGATCATGCCGTCATTGCAAAGTCTACACCGATCTGTGTGCAACTGGTTGAGTTACTCTCTGAGGACGCTCGATTCCACAACCTCATTGGTAACGATATGTTTAGAGTCACAATCAACGTTATGGTTCAATCAAAGATTCCCGATTTCAACAATGATTTCGTATCGATTATTCGTGCTATTTACGTCAAGCTCGGCAAGCGTTGTGCTTTCCCCAACCAGATACTAGCAACACTTCCAAACGTCGATCAATCAGTGCTCACAAAGTTGGACAATGAAATATCCAAGGCCAAGAGTGACAAACAACAAAGAACCATCATAAAGAAACTCCTCGAAGAAGTAGTCATTGTCAATCAATCGAAACTCAAAAAACAATCGATTCTGGATCTTCCAGAAAAATTGTTTGTCAACAAAATGTCAGCGACCCCAGATGAATCAAACTTTTTCGATAAACACAATACCGATTCAACTAGTAACCTATTTGATTCATATGATTCATAAAAAAAAACATAGATTTTACAATATATAATAAAAATCAAAGATCTTTGATGGTATGAAATATATATTATATTCAATGAAAGACAGAATGCTTGGAATAAAAATAATACAAATCTTTTCAAATATTTATTTAATATAAAACCAAAATAACTATTTGTTTTTTTCTGTATGGAAATCAGTCTATCATTGTACCACAACAATCTATTCTATAATTAAAATTATTTTTATCTTTAATCTACATATTAAAAAAGAAGTTGGTTAAAAAAAGTGATGTTGAGCGATGAACAAGTTGTTTGATTGAACTTACTGTTGAAAGAGAGAATAAAAAAGATTTACCAATAATCGATTTTAATATATGATTTCTTTGGTCTGCAGACTCTAGTTTCTCAAATTCGCTCTCCTCTATGCCAATAATAAACTATACATTTTAATAAAAAAATTAATGATATGTGTATATCAATAAATTATTAAAATAAATATTTACTCTGTTTATGAGTGGAGTGGATGGTGTTGCAACTATAATATGATCATCATTTGTTGTCGATATCTTGTATGAAAGATGATACAACTTCTCCATTTCATTTGGACTTACAGTTGATACACAATGATTACATTCAAATATATTTTTGTTACCATTTGGGTTGTTATTATTATTATTATTTGTGTTACTTAATGTAAGTAACCTTTTACATGATTTATCTATAAATAGATCTATAGTTAGTATATTTTTATTTGTTTCTATGTATTATTTATATATTTACGAAATGCAAACAATGGTAATTTATCATATAAAACTAAATCTCTTATAGTAATTCTAACTATTGTATTATGATATTGTGATTGTTGAGATAGACTATCAATGGTTTTGTATAGGAATTTTGAATTGATTACACCAACCAATGAACTGACTATATATTTTGTAAAAAGAAAATTATTAGTATTTTAAAATATTTTTTGTAATATATGTATTATTATATTAACATACCAGGTTGAATAATTGTATGTTCATGATCAATATTAATGAATAGTTTAAGTTTTTGATCTTCCTCTATGTTAGCACCACTTCCACAGGCACCAACACTGCTACTGTATAGGTTGCTAAAGAAACACTGCTGACCAATTCGAATCAAACTTGATATTCTTTGTATGTTCCTACCGGTTAGAATCAATGTCATATTGGTATTCGACGAATCACTAATAATAATAGGTAGCTTTAAAGTTTCATTATCCGATAGTTTCTAAATATAAATAAAATATTTATGTTAATATATATCAATTGAAATGATCTATTTTTATTTAAGAAATACTTACTATTTTACCAATTGATATCACTCTTGCAAGTAATGATATACGTTTCATTCCAAATAGAATCTCATTTAAATTGATTTGATTCATATAATAATACATATCTATTTCATTATTATTATTATTGCTGACATTATTAATATTTGTTATTGTATTAATTGTATCAAAGTATTCATTTACATATGTTGTTGGTTCACTTGTAGATTTAGCTGTGGATGAAGGTATGATAAAGAAGATAGTAGAGTTGGTAACTTCAAATACATGTATGAATGGACGATGATTGTTGTTGTTGTTGTCATTTTCATTATCATTATTATTGTTGTTGTTAATGATGTTCGTAGATGATGATGATAGCCTTTTACTGTAGATGAGTAAACCTTTAATTACAAGTGTTTCATTTGGTTGTAGTAGATTGATAGTCTTACAGTGTTGATCCCAGAATACGAGTTGTACTGTGGCGTTTGAGCACCTATCATGTAAATAGATCGATTGCTTCATATTGAATTCGAAATGAATGTCATGAGGTATCAGATTATACCATTTCATTTCATTGGTTACTTTCACCGGTGATTGGTCTATCGATAATATATCCAACATTATGAATCCATCTTCATTACAACAGTGATTATTATATGGAATAGGAGCATCATCATCTTGAATTCTAATACGAAAATGATTGAACATCATATCTTGTAATGTTCTATAGTGAGGATGTTTACTAATGATATCGATCCAATCTAACTCTGTTTCATCCAATATAAATACAATGATTTCAGTTGGAAGTATTATTCTATTATTCATAGGATCATTGATTGCTTTAACATCCAATTGTTGTTGTTGTTGTTGATTATATTGATATAAATTATAATTTACAAGAATATTTGTCATTCTAACAGTTCTATTCTTTTGTTTTGTTTTATAAAATAGATAGATAGATAGATAGATATATTAATAAGAAATGTAGATATAAAAAATGGTGTTTAACATACTTGTTTGATAATTGAATGATTTAATGATGAGAAGTAACGATCATTTAACAAACTATTGAATTTAGTATGTAAGAAATGATTGATGTTTGATTTAGAATCACCAATCTTTAATTGGGAGTATGAGAATCTATTATTAGGTTTTGTTGTTTTTGTTGTTGTTGTTGTAGAAGTGGTTGTTGTTAAAGGTGTTGAAACAACATCAAAGTCAAATATAAACTCATTTAACTCGTCAATGTCCATTTTATCTATAATATTATTATTGTTGTTCTTTAAATTATTATTGCTATTATTATTATTATTATTATTGATATCGATTATCTTTGATTCTATTATCATATCATATGGTATATCATCTTTTTTAAAATAACTAGCAATCGAGTAGTTACTAGTAGTATTTTGTTGTTGTTGTTTACTATTTGTATTTGATTGATTCTTATTTAGATCACTAGTATATGTTTCCCACTTTAACATTAAATTGTTATTAATAATAGTAGTAAGAAATAATAATGAAATAATGTAGTATACTTTACATTCTTTTGTAATTCAGATTTAACAATAGAGTAGGTGATACCATCGGGGTGTTGTTGTAAGAGGTGAATAAGATTGATGGCTATCCAACTCCAATTAGGTTTACTGATAACAAATCTACAGTCATTGCTATTGTTATTGTTATTGTTGTTGTTGTTGTTTTTATTGTTGTTGTTGTTGATGTTTGCATTGTTTGTTATCTCTACCTTTTTCTGAATGATAGACTGTAACTCAATTGTTTTCTCTCGAAATTGCATCACAACTCCAGTGTTAATATCATCAACATGTTATATAACTGTTTGGTTGGCGAATCAAAAAAACTTTTTAGATTTTGCAAAATTGCATAATTAAAACAATGCAATTAGTTGAATGAACATAGTATTTCTTTATCATATAAAATTGTATATTTATATTATTTATTTTTAGATTATTATTTTTTTATTTAAAATAATAAATCGGTTGGTCTTTTAGATAAATAAGCGGCAATTGATGGAATTGCTTCAAAAGTTGATTTAAAATTGCTGAGGGCTGGATAGTTGTCAACGACCTCTTTATAATCCTTGGCATAGAGATTCTCCAGTGTATAGTAGGCATTGGCATCGGCAGCAGTCAATTTAGTACCAACAAAGTGTTTTCCACCATTCTCAACTAAAATCTTCTCCCATGCCGAGAGGAAACGTGGCAGTGTCTCTTCTTTATACTTTTTCTTCTTCTCATCGGTGTCATTTGAAAAGATTGGTGATGAAATATCGATGGCTGCCTGTGAGATAGAGAGTACTTTAGTTCTATCGATCAGATTGTCACCTGCCAAATTGTATTTGCTAGCAATGTAGTGTTCGATGGCAAGTGATTGGGCAACTTCGAAATCACCATCAATGAAATATGGCAATTGCTTGTAGGTTGCTTGTTGTTTGATACCATCCAAAGCCAAAGGAAGTGCGTGTCTAACATCATTGAATTCAACACCTGCCAAACTCAATAAAAGTCTGCTTGCTTCAGCTCTTCCACGACCATTGAACTGCAAATCAAATTCATTCTTAAGTTAGTACTAATTTAAACCGCTGTATGTGCATATTATTATAAAATACATACATAATGTAAAGTTGGGATTTGATTTGGTGTCATTTTTTAAGGAATTAAAATAGTTTATATAATTTGAATAAAAGTTATTATTTCTAACTTGTTATTATTATTTGATTTATATGATATTGTATTTTGATCAAATCATTCATTTCTATTTATATTTAAGCTATTCTTATTCTAAATTAAATTTCACATTCCCTTATTCTAAATTTATTTTAATTCACAAAAAACATAAATATTCTCGAACTAACCCTAAACATATGTAATTTTTTTTGAAATTTCGAACATTTTTGTGGTGTTTGAGAACGTTGCTTCAGAAGTTATATTTTTTGATTGTTTATACCAACATTCTTAATATAAAAAAGCTTCTAAGAATAGATTGTAAATTTGCAAATCAAAAATAAAATAAAAATTGAAATTAACAAAAAAGCTTCTTAGAATGCGATAATAAATTATCATAATGTTTATTTGTACATGTTGATGATTAACAAGATTTGGTAGTACCGGTGGTCAATGAAGATTCAGAAGAGGAAAGTGAAATTATTCTAGCTTCGATTCGGAGTGACATTTGATATAGCTTGTCTTCGTGAGTACGTTTGTCAGATGGCACTCTAGGGAACTCTCTCAAGAACTGCAGTATCTGTGGTTTCGGTGTAATCGTATACGGTTGTTGTTGATACTGTTTGATTTGTGTGATTACCTGATAAACAAGTTCTCTCTTTTTGAAATTAATTAATTCCTTATTGAAATTGGGATTACCTTCTTCTATCTACATATTATTATGATTATTTTTAATATTGTATTAAACCTGTGTTAGTACTAAACACTGAATGTTATTATTATAAATATTATTTTATATAACTTACAAATACAAGATCAGTTAAATGAATACCTAGATAGGGTATAAGTGGAGGACATCTATTTTGTATTGATTCACGATAGGTCTTATGAGAGTATTTCGTGTCGATCAGTTTACTTAGTTGTTCAAGGTTTTTTTGATACTTTGTTGGAATACGGTCTCTGGTCTTTTGAAGACGGTAGATGCTAGAGGAATACATTCCCGCGAGACAAGCGAGGAGAGAGTTGAAGTTTGACAGTTTGTATAGACACTTTGAGAGTTTAATCATCTTTACCATTAGCTTTACGCGCTTTGACTGTTCGAATTCGTTGAGGATCGCAGTCGAGACGAATGAGCTGATGCTGTTGAAGCGATCGATCATTGTCATTACGTTGGGTGTGCGATGTTGTAGCTCTGGTCTTGTCCAGGCTTTGTCAAACAATTCGAATTCATCGATCGATGCGAACGTATCGAAATCGAGGAGTGTCATCTGCTTGGCAACGTCCATCTCATTCAGCGCCAATATGAATTCGGTACTGTATTTCTTCCAGAAGATCTTGGCGGTTGGTACTCGTTCGAATGGTGGAAGTTCCAGTCTCTTCTTGGTTGTTCGCACACTATTGAATTGCTTCATGATGATGTCTGAGATCTGACCGTGTCCTGTGGCACGTGCATTGTAGAGGAACAGCGTGATCGTCTTGACAAGCTCGATAGAAAAGTCAGCTGGTCGCTGGCCAACCCACATCTTTAGAACGTTCAAGACACGCAATTGGATCGGTCGTTGTATCTTGTTTCTAAAGTGACTGTGTGCATGTATACCGAAATTCGGTACGTAGTATCGCTGTATTAGCTTCTCCAGTAGAACCTCGGGTTTTGTGAACGATCTAAAAGTACAGATAAAGGTTTTAGCAAACTTTAGCTCTTGACTGAGTTCATTGGTGAGCTTAATGATAAGTTGGTTGAGTGTTGCGCATTTGATTGGCTTGGAGTGACCGACTCGTACCGGTGAATCATCGTAGACAACATTACAAATCTCATCGTTTCTCTCCAACCAAATAGATCTATCGACTTGTTCAGGTGTCTTGTTTGGAAAGCTTGCCAAGAATTGGGTGATAGAGTATTGAATTGCCTTTTCCATATCTTCGGCATTCGGAGCAAAACCAGGATTGGCAATCGATCCAAACTCTTCATCATTTTGTTCCATCTTTTTCTTGTTTGGATCTGAGAGTATCTCCAACATATCTATGGTATTCAATAATTCATCGGTAGAATTTGTTGAAATGATTTGACTATGATTAATATTATTGTTGTTATTATTATTATTATTAATACTGATATTATTTTGGTTATTATTTTTCAAGTTTGAACTACTATTAGATCGTAGAGAGTAGGAAGATAGTGTTTCATTCAATTGTGGAAGTAACTGGAATGCTGCATAACTTAGGTGTTGACTACGTTTGCGTAGAGTGTATTGAAGTTTAGAGGATGACAATGAAGTCGGTAGAATTGGCGAGTCGGCTGACACTGCATGATGGAGATTGTAGCTTGATACTGATCTTGGTGTTGCAATGGTGGGGTACATTATTGATGGCGAGGAACATGTTGAATGTCCACCTATTCCACTGCCGATTGCATAGGGATAGCTTGTCATTACACACCTCAGAACACCGAGAATATTCTTGATAAACTCTTGAATGTGATCTTTCAGTTGTTGAACACAAACATTACTAGTTGTCAATGTGTTTTGTGAGACGATCAACTTGTTCAGATTGCCAACGAAATCCATGAGCTGGTTGATTACCATTGTGCGTGGAGGTGAACAAACTACGATTTGTTGTTGGATGAAATTGTTACATTCGGTTGCCATGGTGACAATGGGAGATGCTCGGTCGAGTGTTGCATGGTAAGTCAAGAGAGTCGACTCCAAACTAGCATGATCGGTACTATTGTCAAGTGAGTTTAACAATCGCTTGGCACAACCAAAGATATCTCTGCACTGATCAACCAATTCCATATAGACAGATCCACTCTCTTGCATCAGATAGCTAGATGATGAACTCGAAAGACAACTCATATTCTCGAGAACCAATGGTTCAATATCACAAGAAGATGTCATCTCCAGATTTGATTTCAACATCAACGGAGAGTGTATTTCATCATCCGAACATCCTGATTTCCAATAGAACAATCTAATAAATTCTCTAAATTGTAGAAATATTTCAACATGATTCCATAAAAATTCTATAAAGTAATAAAATAATTAGTATTTAGTAAGAAATAACTTAAAAATAATAAACACTTACCTTTTGAAATATTATCACACGATAATCTTATATTTGATAAAAACATAATGAAATGTTTAACTTCATTCTCGAAATGTTCAGTAAATTGATTTGAATTGAAAAGATTTAATTTATCTCTAACGAAAATACATTCATTCTCTAAAAGCTTGAGAGTATCTTCAAAATCCTATTATTTTAAAAATTAAAAGTTAAATAAGTTAATAACAAATAATATTTAAATATCTAATTAATTATTTGATATTTACTTCAATCATATTTTTTAATTTTCTATCTTCAGATCTTAGATTTCTAATTGAAATTGGGAATCTAGTGTTGAGTGGTATTGAAAGAGAGTACATTGGTGTATTATAACAGTAGAGTGTATTAAACTTTGTATCGATAGTATCCAATATACTCAGTAATGAATCAGAGATTGGTTCATCATATTCAATGTCAACCAAGTTTTCATTTTCACCCAAAATCGAATCTAGTGTTTTCTCTGCCAGATTTATAATAAAGATATTATTTCCAATATTATTACCAAATTCTATACTTTTATTTAAACTATTTCTACTATTGCATTTTTCATTATTTACATCTATATTTTCATTTTCATCCTCTTCAGTGATAGAATTTAACTTATTATTATTAATATTGTTACTGCTACTGGTACTAATATTATTACTATTATTATTATTTAAAAATATATAAATATTACAACTCGAATCTAAAATATGTCTATAATAAACTTTATCATTTCTTTTTACATTTAATTTCCAACTCTTTAAAAAAAAAAAAAAGTTAAGAAAAAATGTAAATAGAAATAATAAAATGTTGATATTAAATTACCTTTTTTGAAAATTGTATTGATTCCAAATTATTTTCAACTGAAATATCGATATCTTGGAAAATCCATTCCAAATGATTGAAATCATAAATTTGTAAAAGTGTCATTTTTTGTTTTTTAAGTTTTATAGTTCTAAATATTATTTTTCTATTGTTATTATTATTATTAAATCCACTTTTTTACTACTAAGTATTATAGGTTGTAAGTTAAAATTTTACTATGAATATACATCTAGATACAAAGAGAAAAACAATGTGGAGTTGGACTTTGGTGAAAAAAAAAAGCTAAACGGAAATATCAATAACAATCAATTTTTAACAAATGAAAAAATTGGAAAAAAGTATACTTTAAAGAAAAAAGTTTTAAAATTATTTCTATTGATATCAAATTTTAAATTTAAAACAATAGATAATTTAAATATTATTATTGTTGTTGTTGATAATAAAAAAATATAGATTATATGGAGTGTATAATAGAATGTTTGGTTTTGGTTTTGGTTTTGGTTTTGCAAGAGTGCAAGTAAAGGTAAAAAAAAAAAGAAAGAAGGAGTCGTCGATTTAGTTTTTGAACTGATATGAATACTACTATTAATATTATTATTGTTATTGTTATTATTAGAGTGTATATAATATATATATTTGTGATGGTGTGTGTGTTGTGTGATGGTGGTGGTGTGTTTACTATTTATTTATTATTTATCTATATAATAATTAAAAAACCAAAACAAAATAAACAAATCAATTGAATTGTGAATTGATTTGAATTTAATTTATTTGATTTGATTTGATTTGAATTTATGAAATTGCAAAATATTTGATATGATGTAATATTATATGATGGGTTGATGTTGTCGGCACTATTTTCTATTTTCTTATTTGTTTGTTTTTGATTATTTATTTGATATTGTCTTTTTATCTTTTTTTTTTTTCAGTTTTTGATTAAAAATGGTAATGGTCGATAGGATTGGATTAATTTTTGTCTTTGGTTATATTTTATACAGTATAATTTGGTGTGTGGTTGTGTTTAATTATTTCTATCAAATTAGGATATAATTAGATCTGATATGAATTATTGATAACTATATCCACCAAAACCAAATGTCTGTTTGGACAATTGTTTGATAAATGATAAATAAAAATAAACACTTCTATAATATAAGGTCATATATAAATATATATATATTTAATAATAGAACTAGTAAAAAAAAACAGTGTGTATATTTAATATATAAAAATAGATAATACCAATAATAATAAAAAAGTAGTAGATCAAGTTTTTTTATTAAAAATATACTATAGTGAAATTAATTTAAGATTTAACTAACTAACTAACTAACTATTTAATTACGCTGATCTATTCTTTCAATTCTACTATAACCAACTATTATTATTATTATTTTATTTTTATTATTATTATTATTATTATTTTATTTTTATTTATTTATTGTGTAAATAAATATAGAATTTGTTAGTTCGTGGTGTGTGTTGAGTGCACTCTTTAAATATTTGATGTTATTGTGCCAAAGATGAGAGTGTGGTGTGAGTTCGAACATAAGTTTGCTGTGGTGTCATACAATATATGTTCAATAACAAATTTTTTAAATGGTTTTACGCATATAATTTAAACAAAATCAAAAGATAACAATTGAATTAGTAGTGGTTGTGGTATAAGAAAAAATTTGCAAAACTAAAATAAAAGGTATGAATGTTAGTGTGTGTATGTGATTGAGATTTATAGAAGTGATGGTTGTTTAGAGTGTCAGCCTGAAGACAAATTGTATAAATATTTTTGGTTTTCTTATAATCGTTTGAATTTTGGGATATGTGAGCGAGTTGAATTTTAGTGGTCTTTTAAAACAAACTAGTTTTAGCATTGTACTACCTCACACATACACACTGCCACCAACAACTCACTGAGCAGTCAGCTCCACCTCAACTTCTCCTCACTTAACACTCACTCATTTAAACAGTAACACAACTATTTGAAGTTGGTGCATGAACAAGTGGTATTGACAGAAATATTAAGCACCTATGATTGAATGTTAAGATCAACTGTTAACCATCTCCATATACACACACACACCTAATCACTCTTCTAACAGTGGTGGTATTATATAATACGCAAAATGTTTGGTAAACACTAACCTAAATAATGTGAACGGTGGTCGGTCAATAGTAGTTTAAAATCCAGGGATCTATTCTTTATACGAATACAATTCAATTCATTTCTTGTCCAAATAAGGCTACTTGTAAGTATTAACAGTTTAAAAAATTGTTTTTAAAAATACTATTTGTTTAGTTGGTGGAAGAAGATACGATCCTACCTAGCTTGATTATATAATGGTGATATGATTTAAAAAGTTGGGGTATGATGTTAAGTAAACCATAAGCTGAACAATAGAATTCTCACTATTGATTTGCTTTCCAAAGTTCATTTTGTATACTTTAGCAAAGCCATGCTTCCCCACTTAGAAATCTAATTTATTGCTTTTTGGAACGACGAGAAACTTCATTGATGGTAACTGTTTATATTAATTAAAATTAAAAATAAATGTGTGATGTTGATTTTGGTTTGACTTGTGTGTTTAGTTTATTTATTGATTGTTTGTTTGTTTGGGTGCATGTTCCTAATTATTGAATAGTGATTAAAGAGTTTTGAGATTGGGTGAGCTGAGAAAATTAATTAACTTTAAGTGTTTACAACTTTACAACTCAAGTTACTATTGATGTTTAAAATTTAAACAAATGAAATATAATTGTCAAACAAAAACAAAACAATTTCTTTTTTTTTTTTTTAAGATTAATTAGTGAAAACAAAAAAAAATAAATAAAGAAAAGAAAGAATTCTATTGATATTTATCTATTCCACTTCCTATCGAATCTTTTTAATAGTAATTGAAATCCGCTTTGCATGTCAACCAAATCAATAAAACTTTGTTTCCTAAAACTAAAAAAAAGCAAATAGATTTTATTTTTTCCTAATTTTTATAATGATATTATTATTATTATTATTATTATTATTATATATATTTGAATATTCAATGAATACATTTTTGTAGAACTATGTATTTTTTTTGGGTTACACACAAAATACAATAATTAATTGGTCAGTATTGAAAAACCAAAAAAATCCAATTTTTGATTAGTTTTTTAATTTTTTTTTTTTCAAAATATTTTTTTTGGTCATAATTGTTGTTAGCAATCAATCAATCAAATCAATACATCGGGGTTATTACAAATAGAATTTCAAATATTTTAATAATCAATGTTTAGTTTACTTGTAGACCTATTGGAAAATCACAATTAATCAATATTCAAATATTTAATCAAAGTTTTTATTGTTAACAATGGAAAGTACAAACGTTAACAATACTAACAACAGCAACAGCAATAATAGTAATAGTAATAGTACAACCAATCAACCACAAACTTTATCAAACTCTTCTAATAGTGTATCAAATAATAATAATAATAATAATAACAGTGTAAATAATAATAATAATAATGAAGGTATGTTATGTTTTTTGATTGATTATATTTTCAATCTTTTTATTTTTATTGTTTTTTTTTTTACATATGATTAATTAATATGATGATCATACCACCACTGCTACTATAATATTGTTTAGCTTCAACAGCATCATCGACAGCAACAGTTGCAGCAGATGTAGGTGTATCTAATGCATCGGTGAAAGCATCGCTCAATGGTATCAATCATCAACATCAGAAACCACTGCCACCCGTGGTTTACAAATCGGTCGATGTCAATGGTGCCTGGATTAGCAATAAGCTGAAAGAACGTGAACCAGAGTTCACCAAGAAGGAGAATATGGTGATATTTCTTGGAACTTGGAATGTCAATGGCAAGAAGCCGGCAGAGTCACTCGACCAGTGGCTGTGTCCAGGTGCCGGCGTCGAGGGTGGCGGACTCTCTGCTTCGGCCGGTGCCGCTCTCTCGCCAGACATCTACGCGATCGGTTTCCAAGAACTGGATCTCACCGCCGAAGCATTGCTACTGGGTGATACCACGCGAGCATTGCCATGGGAGCAGGCAATCGCCGCATCACTCGCCACCCAGGGTGAATATGTAAAGCTACTGTCGAGACAACTTGTTGGTATCCTGCTGTTTGTATACGTCAGGAAGGAGCACCGTCCACACATCACACACGTACTCTCGGACATTGCAGCCGTTGGAATCATGGGTATGATGGGAAACAAGGGTGGTGTTGCCGTACGATTCCAATTCTACAACACATCGATCTGCATTATCAACTCTCATCTCAACGCACACATGGAAAACATACTTCGTCGTAACCAAGATATGAAAGATATCGCACGTACATTGAAATTCGCTGCGGAAGATGGATCAACATTTTTAAATATATTCGATCATGAGTAAGGAATCAACCATGCTAAACAAACACTGATCGATAGACAGATAGATAGATAGATAACTTATATATATATTAACATATCTATTTTATTTTGAATAGTCAACTATTTTGGATTGGTGATTTAAATTATAGAATACCATTACCGGATCAAGAGGTTAGAGATAAGATTATACAGAAAGATTTTTATTCATTGTTTTTAGCGGATCAGTTATATTTACAGATGAAGAGTGGCGCTGCTTTCGAAGGATTTCAAGAGCCACCCATCAGTTTTGCACCCACCTACAAGTACGATCCTGGAACCAACGATTATGATTCCAGTGAGAAAAAGCGTACTCCAGCTTGGTGCGATCGTATTCTTTGGAAGACTCACAAGAAGGCGGAGAACGTCGGAATCCTCTCGTATCGTCGTCACGAGCTGTTGTCGTCGGACCATCGTCCAGTGTCGGCTTCGTTCATTATAAAGGTGCGTGTTGTCATTCCCGACGCCAAGAGTCGTATCTACCAGGAGATCGTAAAGGAACTCGACAAGAAGGAGAATGACTCGATGCCCGATGCCACCATAAACACCAACCAAGTCGATTTCGAATCCGTCAGATTCATGGTGCCTGTCACACGACAGTTGGTACTGGAGAACGTCGGACAGGTGATTGCACGATTCAAATTCATTCCGAAGCTCGACGAGCGCATACTCTGTAAGCCGTGGCTAAAGATTGCACCGATAGCAGGCATGATGATTCCAAAGGAGCGTGTCACCATCGACCTGACAGTGTGTGTCGACAGCACCACTTCGGCACCGCTCAACATTGCCGGCGATCCCATGGACGACATCTTGATTCTGCATCTCGAGAATGGCAAGGACTATTTCATCTCGGTGTCTGGCAAGTTCCAACAAACGTTTATGGGTAACTCACTGGATAATCTGGTTCGCTTCTCTGGTCCCATAGCGAGTGGCGTACCTATCAATGCAGAGCAGAAGCGTCTTTCCATACCGAAGGAACTGTGGCACATGATCGACTATATCTATACGACTGGAATGCGCGAGGAGTCGCTCTTCCTCGAGTCTGGTGTGGCGCGTGAGATGGAGTTGGTCGTGGAGGCGTTGGATAAACAATTGCCGATTCCATCGCAGGTCGGAATCCACTCGGTTGCCGAGTGTCTCATTCGTTTCCTCGAGTACCTGGTCGAACCGGTCATTCCATTCGCCATGTACCAACAGGCATTGGATGCATCGTCGACAGCGCTCTCCTGCAAGACACTCATATCACATCTACCGTCGATCAACTACAATGTATTTTTCTATTTGGTATCGTTCTTGGTGGAAGTACTGAAACATCCCGAAAACAAACTGACAGCCGACCAATTGGCAATCATATTCTCCACTGTACTATTAAGACCAAGTCCATCATCACCGTTAGCTCAACAAACATCAGACGCAATCACTGTCAAAAAGAAAGCTGACTTTATCAAACATTTCTTAGTATCTAAAGATTTATAAAAATAATAATTATTATCAAAAAAAAATCAAAAATATATTTCAAAAAACTAAAAAAACCTAAAAAAAAGTGTCAACATATATAATCGATCAATGAAAACTAATTAAAGTGTCACTAACTAAAAAAGGAATTGTAATAAAAAAAAAACAACGTCATTAATGATCCGATTTTGGTTCACCACTTTCTGAAAATTTTGATGATTTAATTTAAAAAACACTCCGGAATAAGTGCTTTAAAAAAAATTCAAGAACCCTGTAATGAAAGTTCAAGAATAGATTCTTGAACATAACAACAAATATTTATAATCAAATCAGTAATAACAAAATTATTAATCATTTCAAAATAACTTATTTATTACATTAATTTTACACTTTATTCTATAAAACTAAATTTAACAAATATTTATAATCAAATCAGTAATAACAAAATTATTAATCATTTCAAAATAACTTATTTATTACATTTTTTTTATTAATATATATATATATATTAAAACAACAATAACAATGAAAGGAGCAGTATTATATAGTCTTGGAACACCAAAGTATGCTGATATCGATGAACCAGTACCACAAAACGATCAACAAGTTGTAGTAAAGGTATTGGCATCGACCGTTAAGCAATTAGATATCAGTAGATCCAACGGTAGACACTATTTGCCATACAAAGATTTCCCATGTACTGTTGGTGTCGATGGTGTTGCACAGTTGGACGATGGTACTCTCATCTATTGTTGGGGTATCACCGGTATGATCGCAGAGAAAGCGTTGGTCACCAAAGGAAAGTGGGTTGTCTTGGATAAGGATACCGATCCATTGGCTGCCGCTGCTCTGCCAAATGCAGTTCTCGGTGCCGGTATGGCATTGAAGATTCGTGGTCAAATCAAAGAGGGGGACACCGTGCTAATCAATGGTGCCACCGGATTCACAGGCAAGGCAGCCGTTCAATTGGCAAAGATCTACGGTGCCAAGCGAGTAATCGCCACCGGACGTAACCAAGCTTCGTTGGACGAGTTGAAAAACAACTTGGGTGCTGACGAGATTATCTCTCTGGCACAGACAGACGAAGCTATCATTTCACAGGTCAAGAAGCTACATGCTGAATCACCGATCAGCGTTGTCATCGATTACATTTGGGGCAAGCCAGCCGAGTTGGTATTGACCGGGCTGATCGGAACTGGACACGACTACCAACAGGTTCGTTATGTATCGGTCGGTGAGATGGCAGGACCAACCGTCAATGTAAAGTCATCACTTCTCAGATCGACAGCAATCGAAATTCTTGGATCCGGTCTTGGTTCATTCCCAGCCGGTGCCATCGAAAAGTTCAACGTTGAAAATCTCAACTCATTATTACAAACAGTCAAGAGCGGTCAACTTAAACTTCATCTCAAAGTGGTTGATTTGAAAGATATCGAATCAAATTGGGGTGGACAGCCAGATGAAGGTAGAATTGTAGTAAAAATCCAATAAAATAAAAATAAAACATAAATAAAATAAAATAAAAAATAGTTTTTGTAAAACTATTAATTAAACTTTTTAAATTAAATTGTACATATTATATTTTTATTTATTAAAATAAAATAAAATAATTAAATTGAGAATTGATTAAAATATAAATATTATTAGATTATTTATATTGTATTGAATCATATATATATAATATATATAGTTATATATGTTAACTTTATAATATTCTTATAAGCAAAAAACATATATTTTTCTAAATGAGGGATTTGTGTTTTGTTGATTTATCGATTTGATAAAAGTATTACTATTACTATTATTATTGTTGATGTTGTTGTTTTTGTTATTATTATTGACCGTGATATTTTTACATGCTTGTATAACGAGATGATATAATTGAAACTGCAGTTGCTGCCAAAGATAAGGCAGATGAAATAAGACAACAAAACCAACCTTCGATTGGTCCCCATGAAATGTTTCCTTCGTTTAGTGATCCAACTAGTCTGTCTCGCTGTTCTTCTGGTTGACAGAGTAAACCAAAGTTATCGTGCTCCCAGCAGTCTTGGTCAATGGCGCGCGGCAGTCCAAGAAATGTAAATACCGAAAGCAATGTAAATATCAGCATGCCAATCGGAAGGAATCTAACGATATTGTTGATAGGTACACATGGAGGTATCTTTTTCAGATATCCACCCAGCGAAAATCCAATCAATGTAATGTTGACCACTGTGAAAACCCAAGCAACTATTGTAAATGCAAACGACAATTGAAATATCCTCTTTGCGTTTGGCATTTGTTGATCACTGTTCCATTCAATCCGTATCGTTGCATTCGACTTTGTTATATTCTGTATTGAATCATATTTATATTGTATATAACTAACTAAATGATCTGGTCCTCTAATACTAGTTTTATACCATGATGCTTTTGTTTGTTTAAAAAAGAAGAAGGAGAATTAAAAAATAAAATAAAAATAAAAAAAAAAGAGAAGAGAAGAGAAGAAAATAAAGAATAAGAAGTTTTGTTAAAAATAGAGAAAAAAAAAATGAGATAAGATCAAATTTTGGTAAAAGACAAAAAAAAAAAATTGATTAATTTTGAATATTAATATCGAATGTTGGAATATCTAAGGTCATTTTTTTGTAGATCATTTGAATGTATGTGTTGAAATAGAAGGATTGATTTGATCAATGTTGGTTATTAATTTGACATACATGAAAATGAAACAATCAATAATACAAACATAAGAACAAGAATGAGAAGTACAATTAAATTAGGTTTATGTAGTCCCATTCTTTTTTCTTTTCATTTGAAATATTGTTGTGTATTTTTTTTAAAAAAAAATAAAAAATTGTAATAATCTAGATAAATTATACAATTTCTTTTTTTATCTTATTTTTTGAACTGCTATTTATTTCTATTACTTTTTATACTATTATGAGAAAAAAAAAGGATAAAAAGATAAGATTTTAAAAAAAGAATAATTATAAATAAATAAATAAATATATATGTATGATTTAAATTTATATTTTAATAAAATTGTGTTGAAAATCTTTATCTGTTTTGTTTTTTTTTTTTTTTTTAACTGTAACTGAAGATGTTTGAAATAAGTATAAGATTTTAATGTGTGAGTATGTAAAAATATATAGTATTTATTATAAGTAGTTTTAAATCTCTATACAATTATTTATTTATTTATCCGGATTATTTATGATTTTCACAGCTTTGTTTTGAAAAGAAAAAAAAAAAAGAGAAAGTAAAATATTAAAAAAAAACAAAATAAATATACAATTAATATGTCTGTTTGTCTCTTTCTCTTAATCTCTAATATATTTTGTTGTTTTTGTATGCTTCTGCTGTTTGCTAGCTCTCATAACATTTTTGTATGGCTGTTGAACCTTTTCTCATTTTAATACCTCTTATTGATACACATCATTTTTGATTTCATCATTTTGAGAATAGTTTTTGTTTTTTTTTGTTTTGTTTTTTTTTTAATGAAAGAGGTAGTTGAATTACAGTAATAACATTCAGTATGCAAGTGGAATTGATTATTTATTTTTTTTTGTGGTTGAAAAATTAAAAAGTCTGAAAGTTTTAAAGGAATAATTTCTCTGACAGAATTTTTGGTACCAAAAATTAATTAAAAATAAAATAAAAAAAAAGGTTGAAAAACGGTGATCTTCGCACCATCGATCCTAACCCTCCACAAAAATTTAAATCATTTTTTAGCAATAAATTCAGATTCAAGATTATTTAGTCAATAAAATATTTAATATTATTTTTTTTTGCACAACATTAAAAAATTTAAGCACTCTTACCAAAAGATATAAGCTGTTTTACAAAAATAATCATTACCCAATAGTTTAAATGGCGAGAATTTGCAAGTCATGATTTCTTGTCATTCTGTTCATGACATTGGAGATATCAAAAAGCATAGTTCTCATCCACACTCTACAAGCTAGTTCTAAACCAGAGTAATAAATTAAAAAAATTGTAGCACTTTCATAGAAAGTAGTTTAACTTGTAAAGATTCTGATCAACAATAACCTGGTTATCCATTCATATCATCAATTTTTTTGATAAAATATTCTCTTATCTTGAATACTTAAATGGATTTATTGCTAGTGGGTTTTAAAAAAAAAAAAATTAAAAATACCTCTTCTCCAACATCAAAGGGACTTTAGCTCAGTTGGAAGAGCGATTGGCTACGAACCAATAGGTCGCAGGTTCAAGCCCTGCATGTCTCAAATTTTTTGACACCTGCACTTACCGCAGGCGGTAAGGAAACTCACAAAATTAAAATGCGTTGTCCGGGAATCGAACCCGGGTCTCCTGCTTGGAAGGCAAGAATTCTGCCACTAGACCAACAACGCTTTTTTGATGAAGTTCACAAAATATTTATCGATAGTATTTTTATTAATAAACAATAAAGTATTCATTTCATTTCTTTAATTATATAAAAATCTCTACAGAATGAATCGACAACTGAATAAAAGCATAAACGACAATATCTAATTAGACGTTACAGACCACCCAGATCTCTTATTATCATTCAAATAGAAGTGGCTACATGTTACACCACTCCGAATGTTTTTGTCCTCGAACACTTAGGGGATTAGTATTGTCAGAAGATTGATCCATCTTACAACAATAAAACCGGAGTTACATGTGATTTGTTGAATGTCTCGACTTGTACCTGCTATTGTGCTGGACAAATAAAAATAAACATAAAGGTAGAATATACTAATTAAATTAATGTTGCACCAAATCAGCTTGCGAGTGACCTAGAATTGGTAATTAAAAACATTATCATATATGCGACGATTACTAATGAAAATAATATTGATCATAATGACGGTTGTAACTTATAAAGAATTTATTTAAACTTCTTCGATTTTGACAAAAAGAATGAATTTTAAAGTAAAAAAAAAAAACAATCAGCCCTGGTTAACAAAATTCAAGAATTCAGTTTAATTAATTTGTTTTTTTTATTTTTTTTAATCCAATCCATATTAAAAAATATATTAAATATTTGAATTAATCTTGCTCTGTTTAATTGATTTTATTTTTAGAAATATATAAAATTAAAGATAACATTCATAATAATCAAAAAGAATAAAATTAAAAATAATAAGCAACAACAATGAGTGATAATAAAAGTGTTAGTAGTGCATCAAGTAATAGTTCAAAAAAGTCATCGTCAAAGTCAAAAGGTCACCAACGTAACATATCGGTTGACAAGGAAAAGCAAACATCACAAGAGAATGAAAAGCTACACAAGAAATTCAATTTGGATCCTGCAGAGGTTGTAGTAACAACGATGAAGTGTTCACATAAAGGTCGCTCTGGAAAGCTCTACGTAACTGAATCACATCTCTGTTTCGTCTCCAAGATCGTCATCAAGATGTCAGAGAAAAAAAAGATTGTTGCTTTCAGCGACGTTTTGGATATCGAGCACGACAAGAACAAACAGATCGTGAAGCTTGTAAAGCGCAATGGCAAAGCGATGCCACTACACTTTAAAGAGTCAGAGTCGGCGTTCCTTCTCATCGAGGGTCAATGGGAAGCCAGTGGCAACCAATCGAATTCGAGACTTAGCTTCAGCATCGACAGTAACAACAGCAACAATCTAACGGCCAGTGGCAATCACTTTACTGCGGCGCACGTCAAGCATTTCAACCTACCAGAAACTGAAACACTCATCAAAGAATACAGATGTGCTCAAAAGGGTGCATTCAATCATTTCGGAAAGCTATATCTCTCACAAAGTTATATTTGTTTTTATTCAGCACTAACATCTGGTCATCAAAAAGTAAGTAATTAATATATAATTATTATCAAAAATACTTGCTTTTCATTTATTAACTTCTTTTTATTTATTAAAATCTTTATTAATTTCCAGACAAGAATTAAATTAAGAGATGTAATTCAAATTTCTATGCCTGAAAAGAGTAAGAATTCAATTCAAATCGATACAAAGACAGAAAAAGTAAGTTACTATTGTTATAATTATTGATCAATATGTTTATTAATAATGATTTAAATTACTTTAGTATGTTTATACAAAATTCAATGATAAAAGAGAGTCAGTTTATGAATTACTTTCAAAACAATATGAAATAGCAAAGGTTGCACCGGCTTCACAGAGTAATACTCCACAGCAGTCGAGATCACGTTCAAACTCTATCGATCAATCTTTGGGCGCTGCACCAAAAGGTCACTTTAGAAAGGTTTCATCAAATTCATCGTTGGATACAAACAACAGTAGCGGTGTAACTATTACTCCGATCGGTGCAGGTGCAGGAGAGAGCAGTGAAATCAAGCCAAACTCTAGAAGAAACTCAATACAAATCACCACTACCACCCCAACAAACACAACTACAACGACACCAAGTGTTTCACCTCAACAAAAGAGTAGCGCTACCAATACAACACCATCCTCGCAGACAAAGATTGCTCAAAGATTAGATAAAATCGAAAATGTCAGCCCAGCACCACCACCTTCTTTACAGACCCGAAATAACCCGGTTAAAAATCAGAGAAACAGATGTTGTTTTTCACTTTTTTAGTGTAATCTGAAAAATCAATCAATCAATCAAAACAACAAAAATGTAAATATATAATAAAACAAAATTTAATAACAATCATTTTTTTATTTTTTTCATATTTGGTTAAAAATGTGTGGTTGTGGGGGTTTGTATAACCTTTAGTATTATTGATTATAAGGTGACGTTAAAATAATATTATGAATTCATGGTAACATTTTTTATCTCTACGAAAAAATTTAAATTAAACACATTTATTTATATTCAATAAAAAAAAAAAAAAAAAAAAAAGATATTATTTATTTTGTACATTAAATTATTTGTAAATAACACTAATAATAAAAAGATAGATAAAGTAGAATAATAAAAATAAAGATGATAAATAATGATAAAGATGAATATTTAAGTAGTTTTCATAATAAATTAAAACATAGTGGAGGTTACGACGATGATAAATCAATGAATTTAAATTTACCAACAAAGAATATCGGTATAATAGGAATAACAGGAAATAGTATTACCAATATGAGTGGGGGTTCCAGTCAACAAAGAAATTCACCTTTCATAAACTCTATAAATAAGAATATATCAAGTAATAATAATAGTACTTTTGAAAAGAATAACAATAATAATCTTTCAATTTCAGATACCGATTCGATAGACTCGAATATATCTATTTCTGAACTTAAACAAGATACAGATAATATTCATTACAATCCAAAACTTTCACTAAGAGATTATATTGAGTTGTTGTTGATTTTTGGAGATGATAGTACTCAACTATATCATATCCAAAGAGTTCTGGGGAAAAGGATTGGAAAAATTGATTTATATCCTAATAGTCCTATTCAATTTGGTTTTAGACCTTCAAGTGTATTTATTATTATTAAAAAGAAGATTATTCTATTTTTGTGTAAAACAATATTAATATTTTTTTAAAAAAATTCTAGAATTTATTAATAATTTCATTAATGTATCTTCAATTTACAAAGGCAATTGCTATTTTCTTTCTATATAATTGTCTTGGATTAGGAATAATGTTATTCTTGGGCTATTGGTCATTCTATTTAAGAGACACTAATATACCTCATTGGATCAAAGGAATTGAAAGTGGATTCTCATCTGCTGGTGTTGGATTTTTAATTTTATCAATTTTTGATATGTTAAAATCACATAATGGATTACCTCTTGTTTTTAAATCTTTTTATACAAAATCAATATTTCTTTTTGGTAAATATTTAATGACTTATAAGGTTTTTATAAATTTTATTAACTTTTTTTTTTTTAGTTTGCTCATTATCTTTATATTATAATAATTGGTTATTATTATTAGCATTGGTTTTGATTGGCTCCTTATTTATTATTTCAATTCATTTTCTTTTGATAAAAGTTACACCTCGTCTAAAGTATTTCAATATTCATCATAATGTAGATGTTGTAGATTCAAAGGATTGTATAAACAATGAGTATAATAACTATACTTCAATCAAAAATGGATGTGGTGTATCTAAATCACAATCAGCCATCTGCTTTTTAATATATATATTGTTCCTCTTTACCATTCAAATATGTGGTATTGTTTATCCGAATTCATTGGTTGCTCAGTTAGCCAAAACATTCTTCATTATTGGATCGGTGATGATAGGAGGCGGTGGATATTTTGTATTGCCTTTGACTCTTTCATCAATAAGAGAATTCATTAGAATCGAGGAGTTCTTCAAAGGTTATACAATAGTTCAAGTGTTACCCGGTTCCATTATGAACTTCTCAGCATTCTTGGGTTCTTCCACATTCAATATAGAAGTAGGATTACTCCTCTGGGTATGTCTGATGTTACCGAGTGTCTTATTGAATATTTCATTCTTTGGTTATTGGGACAAGATACAATCATCTTTATTTTTTACATCAGTTTTGGTAAGCTATACAAACTGATTTAAAAATCATTAATATTATTACCACAATAATTTAAAAATTTAACATTTATTTCTATAGGATTGTGTAAAAACAGCGACCATTGCATTAAGTTTAGTGTCAGTTGTTTCACTATGGGTCGAAGGAATATATACATATGAATTCTCGATAATCAGTATACTGGTTATTGGCATGGTTGGTTTATTCGACTTGAAGGCACCAGTTGTAATTACAATAGCAGCAGTCACCGGGTTCTTGGTACAAACTCATTTCTACTCTGTATAATTTAAAACATTGTTTTTATTTAACGATCATCATCTAAAGATGCTTCTAAATCAACTGAAATAAAAAAAGTTAGTTTACTGGTGTGTATTATTAAATAAATATTTAGTTGTTTAATATTACCAAATGTATAGGTTTTTGAAAAATGTTGTTTTGAAGGTGAGTTTGGAGAGATTTGTATTGGTGTGTTGTTAAAGGATTTCGTTGATTTTACAGGTGTTGGTGTATCCACTGCATGTACTTCCAACTTTGCCTTTTCAATTGAATCTAAATATTTGGATTGTAGTGCTGCTGTATGTTCAAGATGTTTCGGTGTCATCACCAATGGTTGCAATGAAGAGGTAGATTGACTTGGTGTTAATGTAGAAGTAGATTGACTTGGTGTCAGTGAAGCTAGAGTCTTTGATTTCTTGTGACTCTTCTTTGGTGTTGTTGTTGGTGCAGTACCAGGTATTGGTATGTATGGTCCATACTTTCCAACAGGATCATCTCTAACACCAGGTACTGTAGCAGCTGTGTTTTTCTATTTAAAAGTTAAAATAGTTAATACAAATTGAATTCATCAATATCTTTCATTTTTATGATTAAATATATATACTTCAGAGGTTAATAAAACTTTCAATTCAGGTATTGTGAAAGCTTTTTGATAGAGAATATAAGAATCTTCAGGACATTGACACGGGCCTAACAATGCAAATGCTATATGTTTGCAATACTCATTTCCTTTTTGATAATCCATACATGTACAAATTGGTATTTGTGCAATCTATTAAAATTATATTAGAAATCATTTAATTATAAAGTATAATCATAAATATACTTACTGTAACTGTATAATTTTCAGTTGTTCCTTTAACAGTAAATCTTTTGTATGGCTCACTGTAATTGGTTGGCTCTCTTGCCAAAACTGCAATCTTTTCAGTTTTCGCTCTGAATATCTTTTGTGTTTGGTGCTACACAAAAATAGAAAGAAAAGAAAAATTAGTTCATTAGTTAGTTATTCAAATTTCATTTAAATATGTTGTATCGTTGAATGACCTTACTTGAAGTGGTTTTTGCATAAATTTCTTTTTTCTTGCACCGTTGTGCTCATCTTTTTGGTCGTTTGTCGGCACAAAAGTGACACTCTCAAATACATTTTCCTGTTGCTCCAATGAATCTAAAAATAGCAATGATCCAGGCTCGCTTAGTGGTTCAGTGTGAGATCGTTTCTTTGGTGTTTTATCTGGTGTAAGTGGATAGGAAGATGTTGATGTAGATGATTGTGATGATGTTGGCGGTGCAGTTGTAGGTGTAGGTGCAGGTGCAGTATAACTAAAAGATTGAGTGGTTGTTGCTGGGTTAGTTTGTGTCGACTGCGATGTCTCTGATAGATTTGAAGTGGTGGTGGTGGAATGCAATTGCTCTTCTGCCTCTTTCTTTCGCCTATTCTGCTCTTTCTTTTCTTTCTGTCGTCTGCCAACACACTTTTTACATTTATGCTTCTGCTCTGGGTAGAATTCAGAAGCGGGTAATCTGTAATCATACTTTAATTCGTTGAAATGATCTTCATCATAGCAATCTCTATAGTTCTCTGGCAGAGGTTCTCTTTCGGTGTATGGTGGAGGTGGTGTCGTTAGCAGTGGATGCTCAAATTTTACAGCGGCAGTAGTAGCAGCAGCAGAAGCGGCACCTTTAGAAGTTGAATTGTGATTGGTTGCAATCGTAGTTGCTATACTATCGTTGGATGATAAGTCTGAAGAGGAAGTGGAAGTGGAAATAGATGTTGTAGAGGTTGTTGTAGATGCAGATTTCTTTGTTCTTGGTCCGGTGGGAGGTGGAGGAAGTGCTGGCTCCATTGGTTTAGGCGGTGAGTCAAGGAAATCATCTGGATCGAAATCCACCTTTGTAATGCTGCCATTGCTACTGCTACCACCACCACCACCACTACTACTGATACTAATACTGCTGCTACCACCAGTAGATGAATTTAAATTCATCGAACTAATACCAGATATATTACTGAAATTACTATTATTTCTTTGACTGCCATAGTTTGTTGTTGTAGTTGTAGTGGTAGTGGTTGTAGTTGTGGGTACACTAGAAGATAGTCCTAAAGATGAAGATCTTTGATGAATTGATGATGATGTATTATTATTATTTGAATAACCTAAAACAGGAACACTAAAACTTCTATTATTATTATTGCTATTGTTATTATTATTGTTATTATTGTTATTATTGTTATTGCTGTTATTGTTATCATTTTTTGGTTTAAATAAATTATGAGTTGTCAATAGATCATTTAAATGTCTGTTGTTCTGATGATTTACCAGCATGGTATCATCGGGAAAATGTAGTGTGATGAGTAGTTCTCTCTGTACATCTAGATTGAGAACCAAGTAGTTTCTAATGGTGGGGAAGATATCACCAACCAGATCTAAATGTGCAAGACTCGAGAGATATTCATATTGTTTTGTTATTTGCTCCAACAAACATTTAACATTTTCATTGAATACCGTCATCTTTTCATAGTACAATCTAATAGCAAACTAAGCTAGCTTTGAAATAATTTAATGTTTATTTATATAATATATATATTATAATAAATCTAATACAAAAAAATGTAAAAACAATATAAATTTAGATCTGTTTGTGTTGTCTGTTTTTTTTTTAAAAAATAAATTAATATATCCGTTGGTTTTGCATTTAATGAGGGAGGGAGTTGTTTAGAATGCATATTTTTTTTTTCAAATTTTTATTTTAAATTAAAGTTTTTAGTATTCAAATCTATTGGTAAACTGCAATTAGGAATTGCTGAAACTTTGTGATGGATGTGTCATAAGGTTTTCTTGTACAAATAAATAAATCTCTACTATCTATTTAAATTCCATAACTTTTTATTTAATAAATTATTTAAACAAAAAAAACAATTATGTTGTAACAATGTGTGTAACAGTAAAAAGGAGTCTTCATATCTAGCAATCTTGGAGAAAGTTCTGTTTTGAAACCATTTTGTTTGATGATATTGATGAAAACAAGTTGGAGATTGATTCTAATTTAATTTATATATATATATATATATATATTGAAATTAAATTAATTAATCATACAATTTGGCAATAACAGGCAAAAATAAATACATACTGTATTAAATGATTCTATTTTAAATGACAGTTGTAGCATTTATAGTATTTTAAAGTTTTGTTATTAAAAAATAAAAATATTTAAATAGCATTGGGTGATTGTAACTCAAAGACTAAGTTTACGTATGTGATTTCTAATGCATTCACAATAAGAAAGGAAGTCAAAAATAGAGAGAAATAAGTTTATTATCTTGTTAGTAGATTTTTTACGTTTAGATCAGTAAATTTACTCGTTTGTCATCTGAAAAATCATAGTGTATCAGCAAACCTAACTGCGATAATCTATCTTAATTTCTGGGAACTGACATGTTCTATTTTGGAATAATTTTGATCTTTTTTTTGTTTTTTACTCATTCCCTTAGTTTTTACTTTTTGCGATCATTATTATTATTGTTATTATTTTTATAGATTTAAAGTTAATGAGATTAAATTCGAATGATAGAGAACAGTGTGAGGTAGAATAGTTAAAATGAAATGTAAAGAAGAAGAAATATTGACTTGCAGTTGTATGTTTATTTGTTATATTAGTTTGGATTATAAGTTGTTGATACTTTTATTTATAATTAACTTTCTGACTGACAGGTGTATCTTGTATTCATTTATTGATATAATCGTTTTATATTAGAGAGAGTTCCACCAAAGTACCTATACTTACAAAAGAACTTCTAGATTGGATTAAAGCGACCAGTGCATTCGAAGTGAGTAGTATGCTGTCTTTTCTTCTGACAAACTAGTACAATCGAATCTACCTGATATATGGTTGTAAGCATTCAGGAATGGAGTTGAGATACAATCTGTACGTGGAAGCACAGAACAGCTCGATGAATTCTTTGTTTTTGTTGCAGGAACCGGAAGATGGTGTCTCCACGATGCACAGTGCTTTATACGCGACCATAGATGAAGATGTTGTAATCAGATGTGTAGTAGCATTTGGTTGGTGGAAATTATAGTTGGAATTGACATCATCAGTCAAAGGTGTAGTGACGCGATCGAATGATTCATACATGTATCTCCAACCATGACATCGATATCAGCGCACTATTAAAGAATCTGACTGTGACAACGGTGATCTATTGAATTTACATACCTTAACATACATGTTAGATATCGTTCCTATGCTGGATATCTCAGTGTGAGGTGCCACTGCACGACAATGGTCGACTTTCTTACTGTGTTTTTGTATTTCTTGGTCGATGAATGTGCTTTTTTTAAACAGAAAATATAATAAACTAGAGTATGGTAACATTTTGACTCAACACACAACACAAAGCACAACACACAACCAATGATAATATAAGTATAAGCTATGTAAAACATATAAATAGGTCATTAAGTATGGTGATTTTCAAAAAAAAACAAGTAACCAACCGCATGCGGAACCACCATTGATCGATCTCAGGGAAAAATTATCCGCCCAATGGGGGGCTCGAACCCCCGACCACAAGGTTAAAAGCCTTGCGCTCTACCGACTGAGCTAACTGGGCGATTTTGGTGAGGAAAAGAAACCAAAATAAAATTTTATTACAAGTTCAAAATTAAAATTCAAAATTTTGATTGAAACTTTACCAAATTCAAAAATAATTCTATCACCTTATAAAACTAAAGAATTTTGTAGACCTAGGTACTTTCCAGCTAAAATTTTGTAACAAATGTGAAAGTATTATTTGATTTTACCAAATTTCTGCATTAACTTCAAATAAATAAATAAAAAAATGAAACACTATACTTAAATATAATTATATATATATGATAGATTCAATTATGATTAATGCTATTATTATTTGCAGAGCAGCAAATCTAATTGATTAAATGCATCAAAAATAAAAATCGTATGCTAAAAGTCGAATGAATAATCTGGACATGAAACCAAATCATTTTGAAACGAAAAAAAAGAGTCTAATATTAAAACAACCAGGTCTAATGAAACGAAAGAACATATAAAAAAAATTGAATGGAAAAAAAAAAAAAAGATCAGAGTTGAGTTAGTTCACACCCCACAATTTTGACAAAAAAAAATATCAATTTTTAATTTAAAAAAAATTAAAACAAAAAGGAAGTGTGTTAATAATCATATCTTCATGATGTGTGAAATGAAAAAAATTAGAAAAAAAATAAAAATAAAATTACTCACACAATAGAGCAATAAAAGCCAAACAACCATACAGTTCCTTTGTTGGGTATCTTATTTTAACTATTTATCTATCTTTTTTTATAGTTATATATATTTATTTTTATATTTAATCTTTTTGTTTTTGTTTTATATATATTTCTTTTTTCTTTTTTGTTTTGTTTTTTGTTTTTCTGTGTGTTTTGTTTTTGTTTTAAATATTACAGCTGTTATTTAGAAAAAAAATAAAAAAAAAATAAAAATATTTCATAGATATCAGATATTTTTGTTGGTGAACATAAAAAAAAAAAACAATAATAAATAAATAAATAAATAAAATAACATAATATTAGAATAATAATAATAATAAGAATAAGATAGAGATTACATTATTTAGATTTTACAATAACTAACTACCAAATACTACAAAAAAAAAAAAGAGTAAATTTTAATTAAAAAGTTTTTTTTTTTATTTAAAAAATAAGTAACATTTCAATTCTAACATGTGTTTACTTTTTTTAGATACTTTTTTTTATTTTTCAGTTATTTTTTAAATCATATCAAATCGTTTTTTATAATAATTAAACAAATACATTGGTAATTATGCAATCTATTCAACAACCACAACAGAATATTGGATTCAAGGTATTTGTAGGTCATATCCCCCTCTCTTTCAAAGAGGAGGAACTCTCTGGAATCTTTGAAAAGTTTGGAAATATTTTGAATATTTCTATCATTAAAGACAAGCGTACCAATGTTCCAAAAGGTAATAAAACAAAGATAAGTGAGAGATAGTACGAGGATTAGGATATGGGAATGGATAGTTGGATAATAACATTTGGATCCAAGCATTTGTCTTGTACACAGCAGAATAGAAATAGATTGAAAATAGATTAGTACAGAGACAACAACAACAACAAGTGAATAAGTGATTAATAATTGTTATCAAATGTAAATTTAAATAGGATGCGCATTCATTAGTTTCTCAACAAAGGAAGAAGCAGATCTCGCCATCAACACTGTCAACTCAAGCAATCAATTCCTTGGAGATGTAACCAAGCCACTCCAAGTCAAATACTCTGACAATGAAATTGAAAAGATGGAGAGAAAGCTTTTCATCGGAATGTTGGGTTCCGCCGATGAAGATACTGTTACCAGTGTCTTTGGCAAGTACGGTGCAATCGAAGAGTTAACTATCGTCCGTGAGAAGGAAGGACGTCCAAAGGGATACGGTTTCATCAAATTCTCTGCAAGAGAAGAAGCCGAGGATGCCATCAGAGAATTAGATGGAAAACACACTTTTGCTGTAACTATCATAATTAAATTAGACAAAACAAAACAAATCAAAACAAAGCTAATTGTTCATTTTACAACTTGTTATTTAATCATAGGGTTCATCCATCCCACTCATTGTCAAGTTTGCTGACACCGAAAGACAAAAGCGTAAGAAGCAATTGATGAACACACAAACTCAACCACAAAATACATGGGGTGGTGGAGGAAACAACTTTTATCAACAACCAAATGTATGTACAAAACAAATTATAATGCAAAAACAAGCAATTACTAATTCTTATTGATATCTTTATATATATATATATATTGTTTTTTTTTTAATTTCAGCAACAACAATTCCCAATGTATTATGATAACATGAATATGCACCAACACCAAGTTAACAACAATCCATTCCAACGTTATCAACCAAGATGTATGTTTCTTTCAGATGATGGTGTTGCAACAACAACAACAACAATCAATGTTTAGTAGTTGTATTAATATATTAATTTTCAATTTTTAGCCACCAATGTTTATCAAATGAATCAACAATACAACGAATGTAAATAGATGACAACATATGATATACCAACCAACCAACGAATTGAATACTAATCTTTTATAATCTCTTTTTTTTATATATAGTTCAACAAGAATCAAGTGATTTGTTTATTTACTATTTGCCACAAAACTATGGAGATTTGGAACTCAAGATGTTGTTCCAAACCTACGGAAATGTTATCAGTGCTAAAGTCTTTATTGATAAAGCTACTAATCAATCTAAATGCTTTGGTAATTATTATTAATATTATTGAATCACAATTATCATGTTTATAAACTCATATCAATCATTATCTTTTTTCTATTTAGGTTTTGTTACTTATGACAACCCACAATCAGCTCTCAATGCTATCAATGATTTGAATGGTTTTGCAATTGAAGGAAAGAAGCTTAAGGTCAACTTCAAGAAAGAGAGAAACTAAAAACCCAACTCAATCATCTGTATTATTATTATCCTCATCCCCAAGCCTATTAAAAAAAAAAAAAAAAAACCAAACTAAAAATCATTCACCAAATAGGTTCACTTCACCACCAACTCTTCTTCTTCATTTTTCTGTTTCTTTTTTAAACAACAATCCTTGATCCGTCATATTTTTGTATAATATAGTAGTATCAACAGGAATTATAGAATCTCAACAATCCACCACCACCATCACCACCTAATAATAATAATAATACCCCAAAAAACATCCACATCCAACAAATCAAATCTTCCTCCCTTCAGTGCCCATCATTCATCCAACTCATCGCACCACCCTTCATCCAATATTTAATCAAAGCATATTGCTATGATATTAATCCACTTCGCCAAACCAAAAAAAAATAAAATAAAATAAACGATTATAAAAAAAAAAAAACAAAAAATTTTCTAAAAACTAAAATAATAATAATTAATCAGAACATCTAACTACACCAAAATAATATTAATATTGGTTTTAATATCAAAATAATAATTGATATTTTCTTAGTTTGCAAGAAAATGATGAAACTACAAAGTACAAACGATAAGTACAACCAACCAAAAGGGATAATCTAAATTTAGTTACTTCAACAATCAAAAACCGTTATAACGAACTAAACCATCTCCTCAATTTATATGTTTTTAAAGAAGATACCTTTTAAAAAAAAAAAGATATATTAAAAATTTAATTTGAGTTTAAACAATTTTAAAATGATCAGACGACGTTGCAACTATATATTGGACTTTATTTGAAATAAATGTGGAGTCGAAAAATAGGATTTAGATGTTTTATAAAAACTATATCTTTTTAATTGAAAATCAAAAGCAAAGGTTTATATTTTTCTTTTACAAAAAATAATTAATCTAAATAGTTTTTAAACATATTGGACCAACCATTTTTTTTTTTTTTAAAGTGTGGTGAATTTTCATTGTTTTTTTTTTAAAAAAAAAATCCAAAAAATTTGAAGTGATACTTTTTTAAATTAAGAGATTTAATCTCTTGGAACCGATTTTATCAGAATAAGATAAATCGAATATGAAATTAAGTTCTGTTCTAAAGGTAAGTGGACTCCACCCAGACCATACAAGAGGTAAGGACAATCTTTAGGAATATTATTTTTGAACCCTGTATTACACCATTTCCATATACCGGACTGTTTCAAAAAATTCTGAAATTATAATACACTTTATTATTTCATTATTTTAAAATAATTCTTAATTTTTAGTCCAACTAAATTTGTAACTGTCAAAGTTACACAAATATAACAAAAAAATAATAATAATAATTTTTTAAATTACAATTTAATAATCTATACCAAATATAAATATCGATAGCAAAAGTCAATTTCATACATATTGATCAAATAGTTTAAATTATTATAAACAAAATCATAATATAGATAAAAGAGATTTTTAAATCTCTATTTTTTTTTTTAAAAAAAAAATTATTATTTCCTTATCATATTTATTATATTTCATGTATGTATAAATCTTCATTTTTTTTTCGTCTAAACATCATCTTTGGATTCACTCTGTGATTAAACAATATAACATTCAGAATTGAAAATGAAAATTGTCAGAAAATACTATTTGATTTCAAGATTTACTCAAAAACCCACTTTCTTTAAAAATAATTTATTATAAACGCGACTGGTCAATTGAATTTATTAAAGTTGGCAGTCAATGTTCAACAATCGAAAGTAGAGGATTTTTGATTTAAAATCAAATTTAAAAATTGTTTAAATGATGTTTACAACTGTTAACTGTTTCATATAATACATTCTAATTATCAGAATATATTAACTGTTTTTTTTTTTTAATTTCAATTTTGTAACATTATTTTTGTAATATTTATTTATTTTCTAGAAATCTAATAGAAAATAATGGTCTTTAAAGATTCCAAATACACAAAAGGTTTAAAGTCATCCTTTTTAGTGTATTTGTTGGTTCTGTTGTTTTTATCCCCCATTCCAGTAAAATCTCAATCGTCACCATGTAAAGGTCCGGATTCAGATCCAAGCCTTCAAAAATGGAGTAGTAGATCGACATGGGGAGGCAATCTTCCAGGTAATGGTGATTTTGTACAAATAAAAACCGGCATGAAAGTATTGTTGGATATCATCACACCCAACCTAACCCAAGTGTGGATCCAATCGGGTGCCCAACTTGTATTTTCCTCTGCAAATCCTGTCGAACTAATTACTGGTGGTATTCTAATCGAAGGAAGAATGGATATTGGTGATGATCGATGTAGATTCAATGGTTCTGCAACCATTACTCTAATTGGATCAGATAGTAAGTATAATTTAATTAATTTTATAACAGTTTTAAAAATAGAAGATTTTTTTTTCTCTAACATTGTTTTTTATAATTACAATTATTTTAATATCTCAAGATGAAGGATATTCTGAAGCAAAATATGATATGTTAAAAAAATATATTGGTGTTTTGCCAGGTGGTAGATTAGAGTTACATGGTATTATGAGTTATCCAATTCCAAGTTGGCTATTTTTAACAAAGACAATTAAGCCTGGAGATAGATTGTTGAACTTGAATGCCGATGCCTCTAAATGGCCAGTTGGATCGAAAATTGCTATTGGTGCAACCGATTTCGATTACACTCAATCCGAAGAGAATGAGATTATGGCGTGCGCAAACTGCTCCTCCAATCAAATTCTGCTGAAGCAACCGGTGCAGTGGTATCACTATGGTGAGATTACCTATGGAATCGACGAACGTGCTGAAGTCGGTTTGCTCTCGAAAACTATAAAGATTCAAGGTAGAATGTCCGACACCTGCAATGGAGGCTCCCTCTGTCAGTTCTTTAATTTCGATACTCTGGGCGGTCACATCAAGGTCATTCAAAACTTTAGCTCCGTTCACATCCAAGGTGTTGAACTCTACAAGATGGGTCAAACCTACAATCTTGGATACTATCCAATTCATTTCCATATGTGTGGTGACGTTGATACTGGTGTCTATGCTTCTTGGCCAACCTTTGTCAAAGACAATTCCATTCATCATACACTCTCACGTTGTCTTACCATTCATGGAACCAGTGGTCTTATCGCAGTCAACAACTTTGCATTCGACCACATTGGACATTGCTATTTCTTTGAGGATGGCTCTGAACAAAGAAACTACCTAGACTCCAACGTTGGTCTGCTTACGAGAACTGGATACCTACTTCCATCCGATAGAGATTGCGATCTATGTTTATACCTAACACCAAAAGATTTCAATGGAAATCCAACTTCTTGCAGTGAATGTAAAGCAACCGCAACTTTCTGGGTAACCAATCCAAACAATGTTTTGAGAAACAACATTGCTGGTGGTAGTGCTTTTGTATGTATACAATTAATTGTTTTTCAAATTGTTATCTCTAACTAACTAGCAATTTAAATTGACTCTCTAAATTAACAATAGGTTGGTTTTTGGTATCTATTCCCTCCACATCCATCTGGATTATCACAACCATTATATCCATATATATCACCATCCTATACAACCATTGGAACATTCTACAATAACAAAGCTCACTCCAATGCAGACACTGGAATGAATGTAGATCAAAGTCATCAAGTGGTTCAACCAAGTGCCGCCAATCCAAATCAATATATGAGTATGACATACGCTCGTTATAAACCTCGTGTAAACCCATTGGATCAAGACTCTGCCATTGCACCAGCATACTTTTATCGATTTGTATCCTACAAGAACAAATGGAGAGGACTATGGGCTCGTGGTGGTGAACTGTTCTTCATTGACTGTCAGTTTGCCGATAACGCTATCAGTGCTACTCTGGCACAGGAAGGTGTGATGCCTGCGGATCCCGGTAGCTCTCAGAATATGATAGGCAGTTTGTTCGTCGCAGAGTCTGGCAATCTCGGAATGAGTTACAACGGAATCAACATGTACAAAGGTAGAACCATCGCTGCTTGGCAAGAGTTCACCCAACGTGGAATCGAGCTATACGACGGTCCTATCAACTGCGCTTGGTCAACGTTTATCAATTTCAACTCGGACGGTGTCAGAAACATGTCTGCCATCGGATGGGTACTCTACGACGACTGGTATTTCAACCCAAAGAACAAATTCCAAGGGCTTACTTTCCAGAATACCAACACACGAGTTCTCACGCTCATTGCCGATAACGACGGTTCCAAGAATGAAGTGTTCCTGGACATTGATGGATCGGTCACCGGAACGGCTGGAGCAGCTGTCATACATAACAATCCATACTTTTACTCACCACGATGCATTCCCAATCAGTCGTGGAACATGAGTGTTTGCTACGAGAAGATGGCATCTTTGTACATCTACAATATGAATATCGCTGCAACTCGATTCCCGAATGGCGTGGCTGGAGTAACGATGATTCGTGACCAATACAGCTTCTACCGACACACTCTAGCGGGTGTTCCCAACTCCAACCCAACCAATGTGTTTATGCCACTGGTCATGATAGGCCGTACGTACACCATGCATTTCTCGCACCCATCGCCACCTCAGCTGCGTCTACAGATGACCAATTTCGATCAGGGCGATACCATTGTCGTCGGAGTATGCTATCCAACGTGGGGAGTAAACTTTGTCGTCCAGCGAAACTTGGTCTACGGTTGGCATACCGTTGTCACCAACATGACACAAGGAAACTCTATCGCCGATGTCAACAACGATGTCCAAGGAAATACATGGTACTACGACCAGAGAACCGGTTTACTATTCCTCAGATTCACACAGCTGAATGCACGACCCTGGACACAGTATTGTCCACTCGAGGGTTGTGAATCTCTAAATATTGTCGCTTCCGGATCCGGTATGGGAACGAACACCGGTGACTGCTCGGGTGCCGCCTACGGAACTGGAACCTACGCCAAGATGGAGTACGCAACACGTGGTGGTTGCAATGGATCACCAGAGCTAGAATATGACTCATGTGGTATATGTGGTGGAAATGGTTCACTATGTGCTAAAGGTACCAATGACATCAATGCTTCCACTAAACTAATAATTTCAACTCCACTACTTTCTTTAATTTTCATTTTAACTCTATGTATATTATTATAATCAAATTACATTTTAAATAAACTAAACCAAACTAAATATAATCTAAATCATATCAATAAATATGATAAGAATCATTGATAAACATTAATATAACTGAAAAAACAAATTTAAAAAATAAGAAAAATAAAAATAAAAAAAATTTAAATCACAAACAAAATTGAAAAACGAACGAATCATAAATTCTTACTTTAATTATTTTATTTTTTTGTTTTTCTTTTAAATTAAGAATAGCTAGTTAAATAAGAAGAATGGTTGGAAAAACTAATAAGAAAAGTAGTGGTGGTTCAACAGTGGCAGCTAAAAAGAAGAATGATGCTCCTACCAAAACAAGGTCAAAACCAACAACATTGTCAGATGAGATCACACAATTAGTAAGCGATAATGCACCAAAGTCATTCGATCCAGAAAGTGCAGAGTTTGGTGATGTTAGTTTATATAAACCAACCGATGAAGATTTCGGTGATATCATGGATGATAAGTAACTATCAATTCAAAAATTGTAATAACATTATTTAATATATCCTAACTGTAACTATTCTCTATTATTAGCAATCAAAATGTTAGAATCAGAGGTGAGATACCATCAGCTTTTACAACTGGAAAATACGCTGGAAAGAAATCATCTAGAAAAGAAAACGATCTTGAAGAAGATGAAGACGAAGAAGAAGATTTTGATGATGATGTTGATAATCAAGATGATATCGACGATGCATTTGAATTTGAAGATAGAGTTGTACGTATTTCCATTCACCTTTGTTAATTAGACCTTACTTTATCAATTCTCATTCTCCTTAAATTCATTTATTCATTCTCTCGATATTTATAGTTATCATCAAATACAATTGATGAAGCAGATATTCTTATGAAACAATTGGAACAAGAAGGTGATGAACAAGATGACGATGAAGATACCGAACAGTATGTAGAGATAACATAACATTTAATACAAGGAGAAAAGATACTAATGAATTTAAATGCTTTATAGACCAAAATTAGTTAGTAAGAATTCAGCTATTTCAGCATTGGAGGAATTAGAGAAAGCAAAGAATACAAAGAATCAAACCGATCTGTTCGATGAGTTCCTGACAACTAGAATTCATTTACAAAAGACTATCGGTATTGCCAATAGACTTCCAAAACCAGTCGATCACAAACTGCTGCTTCAGGACGAGGAGATTAAGCTCAAGTTTGAAGAGGCTGTCGGAGAGGCCAAGTCGTTGCTGGGCGACTTGTTCTCGCTGCAGAGTGAACTTGTATCGAGAAACTCTGAGATACAGCAACACAAACAACAGTCAAACAAACGTCTCAGAGAATCTGATACTCTCGGTGATATTTGGACACACATAGAGGAGCAGAACACTCGTCTTTTCAAGTTTGCCGGTGAGTCGATCGAGAAGTGGAACAACCGTGTCAACCTCACAGTGAACACTGGCAGCGGCGGTTCGAAATCATCAAAGAATCTCAAATCGATCAATCAATCCATAATGACACAAGTCAACAATACATTGAACGATATCGAAAGACTACATAAACGTACACGTCTAAAGAGATCACAATATACAATTTTTGGTCAACAACAACAACAACAACAAAATAATAATAATAATAGTAATGATAAAAAGATTGAAGAATATGACGATGAAATATTTGATGATACAGATTTCTATCAAGTTTTATTAAAAGAGATTGAAAAGACAAGTACAAATGAACAAGAGATTGGTTCGCAATACTGGAAGGAGATGCAAGCATTGAAGAAGAAGAACAAGAAGCGTCCAACCAACAACAAAGCATCCAAGGGAAGACAACTCCGTTACGAAACCTTTACAAAACTCGAAAACTTTATGCCACCCGTACCCGCACCACTACCACCTTGGAACCTCGACGATCTTTTTTCAAATCTTTTTGGTGGTATCGGTGTTGGTGATGCCATCACCACTGGTGGTCCATCATCCAACTAGTAACTTTTAAAAATAGAAAAGTAGAAAATCAAAAAAATAAAAATACTTTTAAAAAAAAAATAAAAAAAAAATATAATAAATATTGTATTTATATAATTAAATCAATTCCCGTTTGTAATTAATTAACAATATTATTATTATGATATAAAATATGAGATACTGGTGGCGAGTTGGTTTCTGAGTAAGGCGGGCTTTTATTTTCGGCAAGAACAATGACATTATCTAAAAAAATTCATTTTTATTTTTGTGATTTTTTGTATTTTTTTTTTTTTGAAAAATTTTTTTCAATTTTTTTTTTTTTTCAATTCTCTCACTGTGTGTCAATACTAAGGCTCACATAAAACAAACGAAAGTTCTTAACCAGCACTATCGAGTTCAAAAGGTAAACATCATATAATAGTATAATAATAATAATAATTATAAGTTTGTCTGTCTTGTTGTTCTATATTTAATTTAATTGAAGTTTAAATATGCATTTCATATTTTAAAATAGTAGAGATTTTTTTTTTTTTTTTTTTTTTTTTTATCTATACATGTACCATCAACAAATACATATAATGTTTATAGATATAGATAGATGGATCAGTAAATTATTGCAATAAATGTTTAGATTTAGATAGACGATGAAGAGTTATTATAATTACATGATAATTTTTTAAAGAAACGACGATTAATAATAATAATTTGTTCTTGTTGTTGGATGATTACAAAATATAACAATTCCATCAATATTCCTAAATTCCTACATTATTAACTAAACGAAACATCAAATTTGGTTTGGTCGAGCCAATCAAACAACAACAATAATAATTGTCTATCTATTCCCTTAGTTTATCTATTGATTTTTTTTTGTTTTATTTTTATTTTTATTTTTTTGACCTAAATATCACACTAAACATCACAACAACAAACAACAACATCCTCATAAATAAACACACACATATATACAAAACAACTCCTAAAAACAAAGATGGAGGTTGAGAAGAGGTCGTTTTTCTACTTTTTTCTCACTATCCTTGTGTGTATGTGTTCACATTAAAAAAAATAAAAAAAAAATAAAAAAAAATTTTTTAGTCGTCGTTCGATAAAAATAAAATTTAAATAATTTAAATACAAAAAAAAAAAAAACTAATAAGTTCTCAAATACTCACATACATTTTATTTCGAAAACAAAAAAAAACAGAATCAAAACAATGTCTTCCCAAACGTAAGTTTTATTTACCTATATAAGTATAAATATAACTATCATTACTACAAAAATAAAATAATAAACAATAGTACAAAAGAAGCAAAGTAAAAATAATCTACAATAGAAAAATAATAATAGCGGTAGTAGTAATAGGGGTAGTAGGAGTCGTAAATCATCAATCAGTTTAATATATAGCAATTACAGGGCTTTTAGCATGTTAGATTAAATTAGCTTAGATTTTATCAATCAGCGACATTACTTTCAAATCTAGTCAACGGTACTTTTTATTTCGGAATCAAATGATTTTATTAAAGTACTTTGTATAGGAGTTGATAGTTGAAGATTGATCAATCAAATAATAGCCTTTAAAAAAGCTATTCTTTTTGGTTCTAAAAATAAGGAAAAAAAAAAAAAGTAATTTATTTTTTTTTTTTTTCTATCCTTTTTTTTTTTAAAAGCAATAATAATAATAATAATAATCTACAATTATAATTACAGGAGTAATAGTATTTTATTTTTTTCTTGTAGTAAAATAGTTACAGATTTAATTTTTTATCAAAATAAATAATATAAAAAATTAAAAATATTAATAAAAAATTCAAATTATAGTGATAACAAATTCAAAGATGACCAACTCATGAAAGATGAGTTCGAAAGTACCTACGACAAGGTCATCGATTCATTCGACGCTATGGACCTCCCAAAGGATCTTCTTAGAGGAGTTTACTCATATGGTTTCGAAAAGCCATCTGCCATCCAACAAAGAGCTATTATGCCATTGGCTAAAGGTCTCGATATTATTGCCCAAGCTCAATCTGGTACTGGTAAGACTGCCACCTTCACCATTGGTATTCTTTCACAAATCAATATCAATCTCATGAAGTGTCAAGCACTCATCATTGCTCCAACTCGTGAGCTTGCCCAACAAATCCAAAAGGTCGTAACCTCACTCGGTGAGTACCTCAAGATCAAGTGTTACGCCTGTATTGGTGGAACTCGTGTCAGTGACGACGTCCAAAACTTACAAAACGGTGTTCACATCGTTGTCGGTACCCCGGGTCGTGTCTACGAGATGTTGAGCCGTGGTGTCATCACCCGTGAGTCTGTCAAGATCTTTGTCTTGGACGAAGCCGACGAGATGTTGTCTCGTGGTTTCAAGGACCAAATCTACGAAATCTTCCGTTTGTTGCCATTGGACATCCAAGTCGGTCTCTTCTCTGCCACCATGACTGAGGAAACCTTGAGCATCACCCACAAATTCATGAAGGAACCAGTCAAGATCTTGGTCAAGAAGGACGAGCTCACCCTCGAGGGTATTCGTCAATTCTACGTCAACGTCGGTCCAGCCGAACAAGGTAAATTCGACGTCTTGACTGATCTCTACGAAACACTCTCCATCACTCAATCCGTTATCTTCTGTAACACCCGTAGAAAGGTCGACTGGTTGACCACCAAGATGACCGAGCAACAATTCACCGTCTCATCGACTCACGGTGACCAAAAGGATCGTGATGGTATCCTCCAATCTTTCCGTTCCGGTACCACCCGTGTCTTGATCACCACCGATCTTTTGGCTCGTGGTATTGACGTCCAACAAGTATCTTTGGTTATCAACTTCGATTTGCCACTCAACCTCGAAAACTATATTCACAGAATCGGTCGTTCCGGTCGTTTCGGTCGTAAGGGTGTTGCCATCAACTTTATCACTCAAAACGAACAAGAAAAGATCCAAGATCTCTGCTCACATTACAACACCTTTATCCAAGAAATGCCAAACAACATTTCAGACTTCTTATAAGCGAGTTAATTTTTTTGATTGTTTGGTCTAATTTATAAATAAATATATAATTTATGCTATTTTTAATTAAGTTAATTATTTTATTTAATAATAATAATAATAATAATAATAATAATAATAATAATAATAATAATAATAATAATAATAATAAAATATTATTTTTTTGTTTTCAACAAAACAAGAGACTTTGTTCATTATTAAGCAAATCTCATTATCAATTGTCAATATTCTTTATTAATTCTCATAACATCGAACGGTTTCAAGCTATTTGTGTTCTTAAACGGAAAGAAAATTTGTTTTTTTAAAAAGTGTTTTTGAAAAAACGAAAGAGACCGTTTTTTGCATAATTTATTTATTTATTTATTACTATCATTATCATTGTAATATATATATATATATATTTAAATATGGGTATTCAATCATTAAATAAAGATATAGAAAAGTTATTTAGTAATAGACATCAAGTTAGGGGTCATCCTAAAATATATTATCCTTCAATATATATTGATGTAAATAATCAGTTACATGGTGTAAAATGTACAACAAAGAATGGTATGATCTCATTTGATTCCTATTCTCACTATAAACCAAATTATTGAATTATTAAATTATAAAACAGAATATTTTGGTAAAGTGTTCCGCAAGTTTAAAATGATGTCTAGATTGTTTAAAACGAGTGAATATTTCTTGGCAATGGATGGACCTGCACCCAGAGCAAAGTTACTCGAACAAAGAAGAAGAAGATTACTGGTAAATTTACATACATAGTAAAAAAGATAGCATGCTAGTGTTACATAACTAACTTGAAACATTTGATTGCTTTAGAGTTCATTAAAGAAACTGAGAGATCAACATTATGAAGATAGTAAAAATGGTTCTGCCAGAGGTGTAGATGAAAGCGATGAGGAAGAGGATGATGATGATGATCAGTTGGATGAACAAGATGATGAGGAAGAGGATGATGATGATGATGATGAAATGAATCAAGATGATGATGATGATAATATTGATGTTAAAGAAAAAGATAAAGATGAAGAGGAAGATGAAGTAGAAGGTGAAGTTATTTTATGGAATAAAGATAAGGATGTAGAGAGTAAAGCAAAGACGACAACGACAACAACAACGACAACAACTACAACAAAATCAAATTCTCAACAACCAATACAATCAATTGATGAAGATCAAAATGCACCATTCAAGTTGGATTCTACAATGCTGACACCAGGCTCACCATTTATGTTTGAAATTAAAAACAGGTTGAGAGATGAAGCTAGTATGATATTTTTTGAGAACATTGCAACCAAGACAGTATACATAATGCCTAGCGACTCAAAGGCAGAAGGAGAATGGAAGATTTTTCATCATATCAATCAACTCAATCATGATCAAAGACCACTGGTTGTTGTGTCTTGTGACTCTGACATTCTTCTCTACTCACTACTATCACCCAAGAGCATCAATATCGCTTCACCTTTTAACGTTAGAATGTTATCAAACATAAACATATTGAAAGAATCAATTGCATCACAGGCACCATCACGTAACAAAGGTAAATTAGTTTAGTTATCATTATTGCTACTTTTATAATCATTAATGTATTAACATTATTATTATTATCATTTGTTTTTTTTTAATCTATTATTTTAGATGATGTTGTATCTGATTTCGTATTTCTATCATTGTTTAATGGAAGTGATTATCTCCCAAAGATTGGTACGTTCAAGTTAAAGACCGCTTGGAAAGAGTATGTAAATGATCAATCGAAGGAACCATTGTTCAAAAGACAAGACAATACGATCAATTGGGAGTTCTTCTATCGTATTTTCAAGGTTGTCAATAGAAATAGTACACCGATCGTCAGCAAGAAGCCAAGAGTGATCGGTGTTGTCGAAGCACTCAATGTTTGTTTGCAAATGCTATCTGGTTGCTTGAAGAAACAATATAAGATGGAATGCACAACCACTCAGTTGACCGATTCAGAGGTGAAAGTAGAGATATCGATTTGTGGACAGAATCTACAGGCTGTAGGAACCTCGGCAAAGACATTGAAGGAAACACTACTCAAACCCTACTTGAGTTTGGATCATCCTCTTTGGAAAGACAATTGGCTCTTGATGCCAGAGGAGTATCGTACGATGATCAAAGAGAAACTCGCGAGAAAACCACAGCAGGTCAAAGACTTGGTCGATAACAAACTAAAATTGAAGCGTTATCTCGAGGGAATCGTCTGGCATCACAACTATCTCACAACCAAAGTTGAGAGTTACTCATTCTACTATCCATTCGAGTCTGCGCCACATGTCGATCCAAGTGTCGGTCCTATCCAGTTGGATGTCAATTTCCTCGAGCAAGATGAACCACTTACACCACTCGAATTTTGTATTGCACTTTCAAATTATAGAGTAAGAAAAATCTATTAAATAGTCATAGTAATTTTGTTTGTTTATTAATTAATAATTATCTTTTATCTATATAAAGACAAAGGCAACAGTACCAAGTGTCTTTCATTCAATTTATAGTGATCTAAAACATTTCAATAAGCGGAATGAAGACCTATGGAAAGAAGAGAATTCCTTAGTTGAGCTGAAACAACATATTAAAACGATTGTCGATAAAAACAGTGATAAACTATCAGTGTTTCATCTTTCACAACTACAGTTCCAACCGTCCATCGCTGTTCATAGAGAAGATCATTCCATTTCAAAGAGTGATATTGATTTCTTCTCTGAGGCCAAGTATGTTAATTTTTAATTATCAAGTTTTTGTTCAATTATATATCTAACTTTATTTTCATTAGAAATCCAACACTCTATGGTGCCAACAAGAGACATCATTCAGCTAATTCAAATCAACCAGTCAAGAAGATGAAGCATTATAACAGTCCCAATAATCATAGTAGAAATAGTAACAATCCGAGATATCATCAAAGACCCAATAACAACAGCTCTCACCCGAAAAACTCAAACAATCAAGCTGTAGCTAATATTATTAATAACGCTGCTATGTTTAATATGTTGAGAAACAACAACAACAACAACAACAACAACAACAACAACAACAACAACAACAACAACAACAACAACAATAATAATGCTAATAATCAACAGCCAAATCCATTTCCTAATCAAATGAATAACCAAATGAATAACCAAATGAATCCAATTCCTATGAACTACCAAATGAACCAAAATTATCCTAATCAAATGAACAACCAAATACCGAATCCAAATAACTATCAAATGAATCAGAATATTAATAACAATATTAATAATAACAATAACAACATAAATAATAATAATAATAATAATAATAATAATAATAATAGAAACCAATTCAATAATAACAATAGAAACTATCACAATAGAAATAGAAATAGATTTGACAACAACAGAACCAATGTTCAAAAGAGTAATAATCCAAATAACACACCGATGAATTAATTAATGATTACATTGTATTTAATAAAATGCGTTTCGCGCCATTTCATTAATAGTTAAATAAAATTGTTGGTCTGGAAAAAAAAGTCTTTTTTTTTTTTCTATAAAAATAAATTAGTTTTTTATTCATTTCCAATTTAATTTGACAATGATGACAGTACTATTATCACCACTTCCACGAGTAAATGCTTCCATTGAAACACGTTTGGCAATGTCATATGGATCCCAATCCAATTGTTTCGATACGTAGTAATCCTCTATCAGCTTGTTGATGTAGTCTACCAACTCTTGATTGCTAAACACATCCCAAATACCATCGGTTGCCAAAACAAAGTATTGATCAATCTCTTGTGGCGCTGGGGTTGTCATTTGATTGACATTGCCTGCACCCAGTGACGATGAGAGTGGATTGTAATTCATTTTTCTCAGTGAGCTCGATCTGTTGCTGAAACTACTGATGCTATTGAATTGTTGACTGTAACGTTTGCTCGCTGGTTGTTGGTGTATTTTGATATTGTTTAGTATAAGAGGTGGTGGAACCACTTGTGAATCTTGTGGACTGTCGCTCATAGAGTTATTGATGGACATTGGTGTGTCTTCATCGGTTGGCATCAAACCGAATCCCTGTGGTGAGGAAGTGCGATTCTTGCCGAATAGCAACGACGATTGAGTTCTCTTTGGACTTCCACGGAATGGCGAAGAGTTACGAGAGGATAGTGGTGAGGAGAACATTCTAGAGGGCGAGCAACCTTGAGATCCGCCACGATTGCTACGACTGTAGCACTTTGTTACACCCTTGAGTGGAATGACTACAAACTCTGGATCGGGAATGACCCATTTCTTCAAAGGAATATCACCAATTCCTCTGGAAACACTGAGAATACCGGCCACTCTCCATATTCTTTCGTTGTAATCCCAATCTATTTTGCCACCAGAAGTGGTGATACGTTGTTTCTCTTTGGGATTGCCTGGTTTGTGGTCGAATGACAAGGCAACTGCTTTGCCACTTCTACAGAGAACACCTCTAGAGTCACCGGCATTGGCGACTACCAGTAGAGGTGGAGCATTGGGTGGGGTAGACAACAGCGCAACAAGACTCGTGGTTCCAGATTCGTTCTTTGATCGATACTTCTTACTGTAGCGACTATCGAGTGTCATGAATGTATTGTATAGCGCAGTCTGTAGTAGATCACTACGATTTTGAGTCTCGTTTTGTTGTTCGTTTCGACTGAGACTACTTGATTTCTTCCAGTGTGGACTCTCATACATGCCTGGCGACTTTGCAGAGCCAGTGTTCTTACTCGAGTAACAAGTTTTATTCTCTTTAATAAATTTATTGGTTATCTGAGTGATTCGTTTCTTGACAAAGTTGGCACATTTGTCACCACCATGCCCATCGAACACGCCAAACAATGAAATCGAGGGATTGTTATCCAATTCTGTTTTAATCTTGTGTCTATCTTCCATGTATCTTCTGGTACCCTGAAATGTGGAGGTACCGTAAATCACTTCGAGATCGCTAATAAGAACATCAGGAACTGTACCATCGTCACTGAATACCGGACTGTTCATACAAGAGAGGTTCGAAGGTGATGGTGGATGTTGATTATCGCTTCGTCCATCGTCGAGCATATCATCAGGATAACCATAGTCAATCGGTGCCATTGGTGTCATATATAGAATGGGTGAAGGTGTAAATGTAGGCACCATTTGTTGTTGATTTGGTTGTTGTTGGTATGGACTATTGTTGGTTCCACTACTATTCAAGGAAGTAGAGGAAACCGAAGGTGATTGTTGTTCTTTTCCATTTATACTATTTAAATACCCACTACTATTTACCGAATAGATTTGATTCACTTGTTGTGTGTTTCTAAAATAATTTATAATATTCATTGCCACACCAAAACCAAAAAAGTAAAAACAATTCTAAAAATAAATAAATAAATAAATAAATAAAAATAAATAAGTTTGATTATTACTTATTAAAAAGATAATTATAATATAATAATTTAAATATATATAAATAATAAATGGATAATTATTTAAATATTTATCGGTGATGGGTAGGTAAAGTGATGTAGTTATATATAATATAAATAATTATTTGATGCTTAAATCCTTTGGAAATGAATTAGATTGGAAAAGAATTATTAAAAAAAATGTTAGAAAAGTTTTTGTTCTTTAGGGATTTTAACATAAATATAGAAAGGATTGAAAAAACAAAGGAAATCAAATTGAATTAAAAAATCAAAGTAACAATTGTATGAATATGGATTGTTGCTGTTGTTTGTTAACCAATGATTTGGGTGATGAAGAGGATTAGGAGTTAAAGCTGAGAGAAAAAGTTAAAATTTAGATTGATCTCTATTGGAATCAATAATTCTAACAAGTTATTAGGGCACTGGATGACTGTATACATGAATGGTGGTGTTGGTTAGATTGTTTGTTTTCATGTTTGTTATCAATTTGAACGATTATGATTTAAATAGCAATATCAAAGCGATACCAGAGTGTAAAGTTATTAAATTAATTTATTAAACAACAAAATAATTATTTGTTAAAAATTCTGATGATTAATTTTGGTTATTTTTGATTTTAATTTTATTAGTGTGGGGTGTAAAGATAGTTTGTTTGATTATTTATTTGTTTGTTTTTAATAGACACTCTATCTAACTATCAATCCAATAGGATTAAAAAAGTAATTTTTCCTTAATAACTATTAAGGTTAATCTAGATAGGATTTTTAATTTTGTGTGTACTATTTGTTAGGTGGTAATAGTTAGATAAATTGAAAAGATTAATCAAAAAAATTAAAGAGACAATTGATTTTTTTAAACTTGCAACAACCAAAATTAAAAAATTAATAATACATTAGAAAAATACATTAAAAATCCATGATTTTGTAAGGTTGATTAGTTTTTTTGTTTGATTTTTTTCATAGACCTTTTTAAAACAAAATAATCAAAAGAGGTCGAATTAAAGAGGTCGAGTTATTAAAGTGTCAATGAAATATAGAGATTTGCATACCTTTCTTTTTTAATAAAACTATAAATATTTGTTTTTTTTTAACTACATTAAAAACAAAAACATCTAAAATAATGATTGGAAATTTTTTATTCTATAATAACTATAAAAAAATATTTGTAGTATCGAATCTTTAAAGGAAATGGTAGTATTTATTTGGAACTACACTACTATAATGTTTCTATCTTTTCTATCCTTTATCTATCTATTATATATTTATAAATATAAAATGATGTATAGTCAGAAAATTGTAAGAAGTTTGATAATTATCATTTTTGGTGAAGTTGTTTTTTTATTTTAATTAATTGTATGGAAATTTATAATTGGTTTTTGAGAGGGTGACAGTGTGAGTGATATGTGGTGTGTGAATGATTAATCAATCAAAACCACTTCATTTTATTATATATATTCAAAAAAAAAAATAGAACAATCTACCTATCAAACACTGTCACACAAACTCACACACACACATACACACACCAATAATCTATTCAATTCAATCCCTTTAGGAAACACACAGAAATCATTCAAAAACATTGACACCAAAAACAACACCACAAACCCTCTCTGACATCAAAAATAAATAAAAACAAAATTGATTAGTATCTTGTTGGTATGTCAACCATTGATATTTTTTGTGTTATTCTTTTATTATATATATAATAAAAAATTGTACTACACCCCTTGCATAGAGTAAATAAAACTTGAGTTTCCTATTAAAAAAAAAAAACAATTTTTGTCATTAAAAAAAATAAATAAAAAAAATCATTTAATAAAAAAGGTGAATTCGAAATCGACCTTTTCATGTTCTCATACATATAAATATATCATTTTTGTTTATATTAAAAAACTATTATCAAAAAGACCAACCAACAACCGCAACATTGAAATTTAAAATGTTTAATGTTACATTATAATTTTTTGTATTTAAATAGTTAGTTTAGTTATAAGTACGACGAAAAAAAAACAAACAAAATCATCAACACATCTTACATTTACTTTTATTTTTATTTTTAACAATACATTTATACACAAACAATAATATGAAGAATGGACGATGGATATTTAGTTGGATATATCCACTTCATTCGATATCTGAATCAAAAGACAACAGCAAAGGTTAGATTATTATTCGAAGTGTTTTGCTTGATTATCATTTCTATCTTCCTTGCAACCCTATTGATGATGCACAGACAGTATGTTGGAAAGGTATGCATACCTACTTTTTTAATTTTTGAGAGAGAGTAGTAATAAAAATGAATGTGGTTTGCTGCAGCAAGTTCTATTGATCATTGACCACTTTTATCTCGTCAATCAAAATACATAACACATAGGCAGATTGTATAGTTGAAGAGTTTGCAAATAACTTTCCGAAACACAGATTCGACGTATTGACCATCGATGTCAAAGAGGCAAAAGAAAGAGAAAACTATAAATATTTACCTGATAATCAACCGCTTCAATTTAAAGATAAAGAGAAGGATAAAGATAAAGAAATAGATATATCAACTACTTCAGCAACAGTTTCATCATCACCTACAACCAACAACAACAACAATAATAATAATAATAATGAAATACAAAATAGATTTCTATATGAAACACATCAGAGATATGAATTTTCATTTAAAAAAGAATTTCTAATGCTACCCAAAGATATAAGGGATATGTATAATGTATCGACACACCACATCGATTTGTTTACGAATTTAACATGTTTTGGTGGACAGTATCACAAGATGCTCTTGCGAGTGTTGGGTTACGACGTAGTCATGATCAACAATATGGTGAACGGATTCAAAGGCGGCTACCTCAAGTCTGAGGACAACACTTTTTTCGATTTGTCCAACTACCGATCACCTGAAAAAGATTTTTCTTTTGGTAAGTTGTTAAAGATAATCGAACCAAGAGATCGATCTAACCAAAACAAACTACTGCTACTATTCTAGAATTTATATTTTATTTAGTTCAGTGTATTATAAAAGTTAATTTTGTATTCTTTTCCAACATCATCATATTCGGAGTTGGACTGAGGATTTGCGAGTTTTTTATCACAAGAGTGTTTGATCCTACTATTGGCTTACATATATTTATGATTCACAATTGGATTATAGGTTTCATCTTTGTAATTGTAAGTATAATCAATGAATTCACAATAAAGATCTATATTCGTCTAACTAAACCAAATCCACATCAATTAATTAACTGGTTATTATCACAGTTACAAATAGGAGGAATCTATATGTTTTCATTTTTCGTTCAAACTGAATATCTAATATTTTTAACATGTTCTTTGATTGCATCCTATTTCTCTTCAATGGGGTAAGTTAAGTTGTTGTAGTTGGTAGCTGTATTAATAATTGTTTTATTAATGATATTTATATTTTGATTATAATTAGTTTACATTCTCAAGAAAGTATAAGATATTATCCATTTTTATTCCTTTCAACTTTATATTTATTAGCGTATTATATCATTATATTTCCATCTGGATTCCATCCTATTGCTTTTTGTGTATCATATACAACCACCGAATATCTTTTAGTTCTTTGTCTTTTCAACTTTGAAATACCAGCTGTTCTAACAAATCGAATTAATAACTATAGATATTTCCAACAGCCAGCGCAACAACAACAACAGCAACAGCAACAAGATCAAGAACAACAACAACAGCAACAGCAACAAGAACAACAACAACAACAAGAACAACAAGCTCAAGAAATACAAGAACAACAACAGCAAATTCCAAATTTGATACAATAATAAAATAATTATTTGTAAATATTACATATTAAATAATATTATTTATTGTTTTTTTTTTGTTTCTTTTTTTCTTTTCTTTATTATTATGCAATTGGTTGATATTGGAACTTTTCTTCTGGATTTCTGTAGAATCTTCTATATAGATAAACACCAAGCAATCCAAGTCCAACAACACCCATGGTTGTTCCAAAAATGATTCCACCGACATCTGCGTTTGTTAGTCGTGGTTTCTTTGGTTCGTACGATGAACTACCGTAGCATAGTGCCTCACCAATTGTCAAACAATCACTGCCACAGAGAATCTGTGGTGCTGTCTGGTTGATAGGTGATTGCATTGTGATCTGACTGGTCAGACAATAGATGTATGAATTGTTTGGTCTAAAATAGCTATCAAAGAATTTCAAATTCCTAGTGTCCTGTACGTAGATGCTGTAGGGCTGGCCGTTGTCAGTGTCGACAGCAATCGGTTGGTTGTCAAGGAATTGACACCACTCAAAAGTCGATGCCAATATACTGTCGGAATAGAGAATACCACCTTGATTATCGCTGAATGTCGAGTTGGTGATGTAGCTTATCACTTGATCCTGTAGACGTATCACCTCTGGATACTCGCCGGAACCTTGATTAGCGGTGAACAGCGAGTTGAACGCTCGCACCTCGCCATTCTCTCCGATGAGCATGATTTGACTTCCACAGCAATTCTCACTGAACACCGTGTCCGACATGTGTAGATATCCATTCTCAGAGTAGAGTGTTGCGTTTGTAAATCGATTGCCAGTGAAGTTGGTATAGGCGACACCCAGTACTTCGTCAGAGGTGTGGATAATCGATCCCTGTAGTACTTGGTTGTTGCTAATGTTACATCGTTGTAACACGGTGGAGCTGTTCATTGCATAGATGATTCCATTGCCTTGGACTGCCTGGTTGTAAGTCAGCTGGCAGTCGTAAAACGATGTGATCACCTGCTGTTCAGAGTAGATGATGGCGCCATGAGTTCTAGCAGTGTTATTGATCAGTATTGAATTGGTGACCGATAGTTGTGGACTGCTGTTCTGTTGGAAGTAGAATACACCTCCATATTGATTGGCATTGTTTGATGCAATATAGCTGTTGTTGATACTGATATAGACGGTTCCCTCGCTTCCAAGCGTACGAATGACGGCACCATCGTCAGCAGCGCCATTCACTATATTCAGATTATTGATGGAAACCAGTGTCTGTACTGATTGTGATTGTTGAGAATTACTATTTATATCCAAGAATCTTGATTGTGATTGTAAATCGATTGTAGTTTCAATATTTGTATTTGTCGAATTGGTTGTACTATTATTATTATTATTATTGTTATTGTTATCATAAGTTGTAAATGTTATGTTTATATTGCTTAGAGAAAGATTGGTATTATTGATACCTGTGTAGACACCACTGTTCAGTATGATGACTACGTTGGTTGCGTCGGTGATGACACTCGATTGGTAGTAATAGGAGTTCAATGCATCGTTCATCGTTTGACAACCCGACGTCATATTGGCTCCACATAGCACCTCTGTGAAATTACTAGTTTGATTAACATAGATTGTAAATGTAGTAGTTGAATAGTCTCCTAATCTTTTTGAGAGTATCGATGATGATGATGATGATGATGATGATAATAATGAGGACGACGCTTCATTGATTCTACATGTACTACCACTTATTAAGATAAAAAATATTATTGCACAATAAAAATAATATTTTATAATATACATTCTATTAAAACAATTCGATGATTCTTCAAGAGTTGTTTGTTAACTCTCAAAGATATATAAATACATGTAAAATAAAAATGGAATAAAACAAAAAAAAATAAATGAATAGTCGAATTTACAATGCAATGAAATCAAAGAACCACACCAATTCTTTTATTTTTAAATATTTTTATAAAATTATTACAATTGATATTTTAGATATTTGGTGATGATGTCAATGGTTGTGATTACTTGGAAAATAAAAAGATTGTTTAAAAGTTTGAAACAATGTTTATTAACTCTTATCTTTATTTCTTTTGCAACACATAAACTATTGTACTTGAAAACTTGATTATAAATCTTGTTGATGATGATGATAACTACTTCTGTAAGTAAGTATACAAGATAGCTGAAAATAAAAGAAAAAATAGTTAATTATATATAATTCTTTTTGACATGCCAAAAATAAAAGATAAAAAAATAGATAATTTTTATAATTATTGATAGTTGTTTTGAACAAACTTTATTTTAATAAATTTGTTATGTTTTGATACTTCTTTTAATTGATGAATTTGTTGTGTTGTTATGTCTTTGATTTTTAGGTATTGAATGGTTGTGTTACTATGTGCAATGGCGTCAAAGAACGATTCAGTAAGAAAAAGACCGGATATCGTTAGACTAACCAAAGTGTTGTTGTTAGAGAGTGCTATACTTAGTTGATTTGACATACTCTCTATGGTTTCCGGTTGTTGTAATAGATGTACTTTGCAGACATTCGTTAGCGATAGACGTCTAAGTGTTTTATTGTTGGCGAGTAGCTGACAGAATTGCTCCCAGTGTTCAAGACGGTTTCTACCATAGAGCTCCGAGAATGACTGAGTTGAAAGACAGCTACACCATTGAAATAGCTCACCAACATGCTGACCATGATACTGATGACTCATTTCGTAGATACCGAAAGCAACCTTTGATTTGAATGAAACAATACAACTCTTACTATCAACTATTAAACTTAGATACTTTGTATCTATATAATCATTAACTATCTTTATATGTCGAAGTCTACTTGATTCCAAGAGTGATAGCTGTAATAGATTCTTGTAGGAGATATGCGAGATCTCAGAGTCACGACCTATATAGCTGAATGAAAATGAATTGGTTCTCCACTGCCTAACGTATTGGTTGTAGTATTTCTCTGGATTATCGTATGCTATCATTTGATGTATACCTTCAACGTTGAGATGTACAAACTCCAATGTAGTCTCATCGATATCCGACATATCCAACATATCTTTATATAGATAGAATGGTGATTGCTCTACGTACAACTCAATCTTGAGATGTGGGAATCGATCGAGAATATCGTTAACTAAATAAGGACACTCTGTCTTTATAGTTAAGCGTTGTAGGCTTGTGAATTTGTATAACCAATTCAATAGATATTGATGTTGATTATATTGATTATCATTATCTTGATAGTTATCAATACTATGATTATTTACGAAATTAGAATTATAATATAAATGATTGATATTGCTATACTGATATATTGAATGATTACTCGATAGTCTATTACTAGAGGATCTAATTTGATTCTTGATCATTGAATTTACATTATTCAATATTTTAATATCATAGGTTGGATTAACCGTACTAAATATCTGATCCTCTGATAATATATCGGATTCATCAAAGTATCTCCAATCGATATCAATGCCAATGTAATATCTCGTACAATATTCAGTTGCGATCAACTTGAACCATTGTTTACAAACTAAACTGCAACAACTCAATTGAGCATTGTTATCATTAGATAGGAGATCTTTGAAATTATTATCCAATATATTATTTCTTTTATTATTTCTTTTAATCTTTTTATCACTACTATTATTATTATTAATAATATATTCTTTTAATGTAAATATATTATTATTATTATTAAATAGTTTTGATAATATATTTCTTTGAATTATAAATGGTAACATGTTTTAAAAGTTTATCTTTTTTTTTTGGTATAGAGATAGATAATAGAATAAAAACTAAAGTACTATCTATTTGCAAAGTCAAATATATAATTTAAACTAATAATAATGATGTGATCACGATATTCAAAACAAGTGATTCCAAGTTTAAACTGTTATTTACATTATTAATAATTTTTGAAATTAAAATCTTGGATGATTCTAATTTATTTCGTTTTTATTTGGCATATGATCAAAAGCATTGTCATTTTTATTTAAATTAATTTGTTTTAAATATGTTTGGATTATTAGGTAGTAGTAGTAGTAGCAGTATATCAAACAAAAGATATTTCCTCAACACATTTGTAGATCGTTTTTATTTTATTAGATGTTATAATAATCAACCAACATCATCTACAACAGCATCAACATCATCAGTATCTACATCTACACCGACATCGACATCGACATCTAAATCTAGATATAGACCTCCTAAAAATGGTCAATATAAGTTAAAGTCAAATAGAAGAGATATTTTAAATTCAAAGTATGTAAATTGATGTGTGTGTGTTTGTTTTTGCAAATGAATAAAATTAAATTAACATAATTAAATTCATTATCATTATGATTATATAGATCTACAAATAACAATAGCAATAATAATAACAATGCAAAGGAAGATATACAAAAACAACTTCAACATATACAATTCATTCAGCAACTACAACTTGGACAAACAAATAATAGTCAGAGTCAAGATAAAAAGAATGATCCAATCGTACAATTGGCAGAAGATACAATAACAACGAGATTGTATCAAGAGGATACACTCAAGTTGATATCAAACTATTCATTGACACATTCACCACTGTTAGATTTCTTTGTATCACAATTGAAACTACAATATCAAGATGATCTGAATGAGATAAAGAAACAACAACAACCATCACAGCAACAACAATCAGAACAACAAACAGAACAGCAACAGCAACAACAACAACAACAACCAATTACATTAACTTTTTCAAATAGAAGAGAGAATCTTTATAAAATTCTAGAGATAATAATGACACAGTTGAAACCGGCGGCAAAGAAAGAGTTACTGCTTCGTCTACCGAATAACTATAGATTGGAACTGTTGTCTCGTTGGATTCTCTCGATTCCTCGTGAGAATAGAACGACTTCTCTCTCGAATTTGATACGTTTGTTTGCGCGTGGCGGTAACAACAGTGATATTAGAATGATTGGTCAGCTACTTGCACATCTCTGTTGTATTAAACACTCACCAAACGTAGTGGATATCCTTATGAACCAAGCGAATGCCAATGCGATCCTACACGACGCCATCGTCTACTGTTTACACACCGATTTCTATCATCTCGCACTCAAGTTCTACAGCTATTTCACGACGCTCGAGATGGCACCAAACAAATCGACGTTGATCGCATTCAACCTCTACCACCAGAATCACCATGTCAACTCGGCTGCCGACAGCCACTGGCGTTCGCTCCACCAGCTGAGCGCCATCGACGACATCACCCAAATCCAAGCGACTCGCGACTACTCCAAGCAGGCACAGCACATCGCATCACTCCAGCCATTCCTAAACAACGGCGATCAACTCTACAGCGAAACCCGGGCACACTTTAAGAGCTATCCTCAACAGAGCTCGTTGGATCTCGCCATCCAGAGTAAGGATGCACCGAAAATCGCTAAACTACTCGAGGGATTCTCACAGCGTAACAATATTCCGTTTGGCGTTTCACTGTTTGCCGCTGTTCATGCAGTGGCCGGTGACTCGTTCCACAGCAAATCGGTATTCAAACTGCTAGAGAGTGATGTCAATGGTGTGTTGCGTGCCGTCCTCTTCCATCCAATCTACTATATGCGTCAGATTAAATACTCTGATCTCAACAAGGTGATTGCACAGCTAAAGTTGGAGAACAAGTTTAGCTATATCTACTCCACACCCGTCATTGAATCATTCATCAACCTATTCTTTGAGACTGGCAAAGAGAATCCACATCTACTGAATCTTGGCTACCAATTGTTCCGTGCGTCACAAAAGGTGCAAATTAGCTTCTCTCGAAACACACTCAAAGCATTCCAGAATCATCTGCTCGTTGTCCAAGAAAAGTCGGGCCAAAAGATACCGTCCGATGTTTTCGCACTGATTTTCGGTGGTACCGAAAGCTCCACTAAACAACTGCTGGATTTGGAGCATCAACTCCAAGAGAATCCAAGTCGTCCTATCACCAGCGACGATCTCAAGCTCTATCAAGTCACACCAAAGAAGAACGACCATTTCATTGAACTGGGAATACAGTTGTTCATCCAGCATCATTCGTCGGTCAATGGCACGGAGAGCATCCGTGAGTATGTCCTCTCCGATGAGATCTACAAGCAACTCCTCACCGGCTCATCGTTTATTCTCAAGAAAGTATTCTATCTCAAAAAGCTGTTTGGTTATCTCACTGGTCTGGGACGATCCGATATCATCAGAGATTATATCACCGCTGGAAATGGACTGGCAACGATCGTTAGTAAATCGATCGATGTCGACCTCCTCTACTACATCTTGATATCGTACACCACTGCAAAGGAGAGAGTCGAATTTTTGAAACAAACTACATTCCAATCGATAGTTGGCCGTCATCATTTGGATCTGGAGACTTTACTTCGATCGGATTCAACAGAGTTTTTCGAGGAACCCGCTCTCCTAAACATTTTGGATATGGTGAGCCAACACAACATCGCACAACTGGATAAATCTGCAAAATCACTCAACAAAAGAGATTCTCAGATTTCATTAACACCAGAGAGTATCATGTTTATTGAAAACTATTTCCAAGTTCCAAAAAAAGAATTCAAAAAAAGATTATCTCTTGAAAAGAAATAAACTATATTATTAATCTGCAAAAAGAAAAACAATAGTTTTTATTATTTATTAGTTTGGTACATCTGATGTTTTTCAATATATTGATTTAAAACTTGAATCGATTCAATAGAATTTTTATAGATATCAACAGCTCTCTTCAAGTATTGTTTTGCCAGATCGATTGGAATTGATCGTTGATTGAGTAGCAATTCCAGACAATCATGGTAGTTATTTACCAATAGATCGTAGATGTTGAAGTGTTCGAGTGGGATCGATTGAATGTTGATCTCTGTTCGGTTTTCCAGGAGCCATCGAAGAGTTTTAAACTCACCTCTATCCATTGCCAATAGAAATGCTTCGTTTGTGCATCCTTCTGTTCGATTTTTATGTAGAAACTCCAAGATATCAAGGCAGCCAATGACACAAGCATTATCCATTGCTTTAGAGCTGAAACTTTCACTTCTATTCCCATGGAGAAACTTTACAATTTCAAGTCTACCGTAGCTACAAGAATAATCCATAGAGTTGGTAGAACATGAAAGAGTTGTATTCTCATGTAGATATTTGATGAATTTGAAATGACCTCGCGACACCACGATATCCAAAAGATTATCTGGAATTTGAACCTGTGCATTCTTTAGTAAAAATTGAAACATATCGAAATAATTTCCTTTGGCAACGTTCACTATTGTTTCACTATCGATGTGTCGTTCAGTTGTTGTATTTTCGAGCAACCACTTAACTACACTCAAATGGTTGTTAGCAACTGCCAGTTTTACAATAAATGGTATGTTTAGATGTACTACATCAGATGAATTATGATACAACCATACCAAGGTTTGTAGATCTTCTATGGTGACAGCGCTTTGGATCGCCCGAAGAGAAGCAACGCCAATCTTATTCTCCTGTAACCACTTGATCAACTTTAGATTTCCACTCAGTGCTGCATCATCAACGATATTATCTGGAACTGAAAACTTCTCTTCGTACAACAACTTTAGGACATCCAAATGACCGTTGACAGCTGCGGTTTTCACGAGCACTTTGTCCTCTTTATCCAACAGCTCTTTATGCTCTCTTAGGATATATTCAACGACAGGAAGATGACCAGCTTCAATTGCTGGTATTAACATTTCGCTTTTCTCGAAATCTTCAGAACGATTAACCAACAACCACTGTATCATGTCGAGTCGTCCAACTGAAGCAGCGGAATCAAATACACTGCAATATGAGAAGTCACTGTCGTTGTTATGTTGCTCGTGTAACTTCTTCAGTCGCTTCAGTATCTCCCAGTTGCCAGAGTATGGAGCATCCACCATAGCACCATAGAAATCCCATCGATAAGTTGGAAATGTGCGGAGCAGACACTCAATGATATCCAATCGATTGCAACGAGATGCATTGATGAGTATAGAGTTGAGAAGTTGCTCTTTCAACGTGGAAACTCTATCTAATGATATCTGAGCGGTGGTAAATCGGTAGTATTGCAACAGGTATTCAAACATCTCGAGACTACCGGCATGCACTGCATTTCTGAAGATCTGGAATGCACCAAAATTCATTTGTAAACTCTCTTTTAACAAATGTAGATAGTTGTTACCTGCTTGAACGTGTGGCAATTGAATTACTTGACTCCATTTGTAAACATTTCCTTCTCCTCTCAATCTATTAATCGATTTAACATTGTCAAATATCAATTTATTTATAACAACATTTTTAAATAGACTAGAAAATAGTTTGTTATCCATTTTAGTTGTTTATTTTATCTATATATATAGATAATTATAGAATCAATTATAAAAAAGGTTGATTGACATGACTTAATATAGATAATTGTCGAATCGAAAAAGAAATAAAAAAAAAACAAATCGATTCGACAATTATCTATATTAAGTCATGTCAATCAACTTTTTTAGTGCAACTTTTTTTTATTTTGTGTTGGCTACTTTCTTGAAGTTCAATCTAAAATATAAATTAAACTTTTTTAAAAAAAAAAACTTTAAAATAAATTAAATTAAATGATTAATGTGATCACTTTTATTAATACAGTATCATATTATTATTTTGTAATATTTATTGTATATTTGTATTTTATTTAAAGAATAAACAAAAAGAATGACTGCTGGAAATAAGATTATGATTCAGCACAATAACAAGGGTTATACAAAAGATGATATCATAAAGCTATTGGCAATGGAAGAGTACTCATTTTCACCATCAAAGTATCAATTTGACAATGACAATCATCTATTCTTTCTTACAAACACTCAAAGTCAATCAATGTTGAGTATTCACTATATCAACATTGAAAACAATCAAAAACTATCTGGTAACATCATCTATAGATTTATAATAATATTTTAACTAACTAACTAACTAAATTATTATTATTATTATTATTGGTATTCAAAGATATTAAACCACTATTTGCATATAGAGAATCAAATAAAGAGATGTCAATCGAAGAGGAATTGATGAGAGAAAGACAGAGAATCATTGGTAATGGTATCACCTCCTATGACTTTAATGAGAATACCAAACATTTTTTGGCTGCAATGAGTAATGATTTGTATATTGTCGATATCGGTGGTAGTGCTGGAGTTCATTCACCGGCGCTTGAGAAGCTAAATTGTGGTTCGTTCGACCCGAAACTCTCACACGATGCCAAACTGGTCGCATTCATTGAGGAAGGTGATATCTGGGTGACTCATCTAGCAAGTGGACAACGTCATCGTCTTACACATACCCGTAAAATATCAGAGTTTGTCTCTGCCGGTGAATCGAAATTCGTGTACAGTGAAGAGTTCTCCAGATACACTGGATATTGGTGGTCACCAACCTCTGCTGCACCCAACCAATATCAAATATTCTACTTTGAGGAAGATGAGCGTCATGTCCGTGATTTCTATATCTCACAACATGGATACACTGGAACTACCACTCATTACAAATATCCATTGGCAGGTGACGAAAATACCAAAGTTCGTCTATGTCTATTAACTCTTACCTTTAATGAATCTGTAAGTATAATTGTTGTTATTTTTGTAAATAGTAGTTGATTTATACTAATATTATTATTATTATTATTATTACATGTTAAAGAATGAATTGGAATGTAAACAAAATTATTTGTTTGATTTGAAAAGTAAGTTTGAATGGCTGGAATATTATGTTCGTGGTGGATGGTCAAAGGATGGAAAGAGTGTTTGGGTTCAGTTGATGGATAGATTGCAACAACGTTTGGATTTGGTGATGATTCCGCTGTCTCAATTCAGCGAAACACCTTCGGATTTGCCAGTGTTGTTGAGTGACCGTTCCAATCTGTGGGTGAATGTCGTCGACCACATCACATTCCTCGATGGCAACAATCTGATTTGGTCGAATGAATCCTCTGGATTCCGTCATCTCTATCTCGTCAGCTGGGAGTCGAACTACACCAACGTAAAGACACGTCAACTAACTGAGGGCAGCTGGGTTGTCGGCGAGAAACTCTGGATCGACCAATCGCGTCTTCTCATCTACTTTGAGGCGAGTGCAGACTCGCCGCTTGAGAACCATCTCTATGTCTGCTCGTATGCTGCCAACTCGAAACCCTGTGATATCAGACGTCTCACCAACCAGGGACATCATCACACATCGATCCAGCTATCACCAAACTTTACTCGCTTCGTCAGCAACTACTCGTCGGTCAAAGACGCCCCACTCAGTCAAGTCTATCAGCTCGAGTTTAGAGGCGACGACCACTTCCCATGTCCAACTCTGATCACAACCATCAACGTTGAGAAATCGATTGCTCTCAAACCGAGAACACCGACTCTCTTTAGCTTTGTCAATTCCAAGGGTCGTAAGATCTATGGATGCTACTATTTGCCTGCTGACTACAACCCCGCCACGCTCTATCCAAGCGTCTGCTGTGTCTATGGCGGTCCACACGTCCAGATAGTCAATAACTCATACAGTCTGGCCAGACAGTTCCTCTCAGAGTTTGGTTTCATCTCTATCTACATCGATGGAACCGGATCGACCAATCGTGGACTGGAGTTTGAAGGTCATCTACGTGAACGTATGGGTACAATTGAGATTCAGGATCAAGTCGAGGGCATTGAGTATCTCGCTAGAAATCAAATCTCACTCGACTTGGAAAGAGTCGCCATTCAAGGATGGAGCTACGGTGGTTATCTTGCACTGATGGGTATTGCTCAACGTCCAGACTTTTTCAAGGTTGCAATCTCTGGTGCACCTGTCACTCTCTGGGAGACCTACAACACTGGATACACCGAACGTTACATGAATACACCAAAGAACAATCCTGAGGGTTACAAATTAGGTAACGTACTTAGTTATCTAAATAATTTCCCAGATCAGTAAGTTATAATCAATTAATTATATATCAACTATCAAACTTTGATAATCAACAATTAACCAACACACTATATATTTTTAGATTGGATAGATTGGTTTTAATTCATGGTATACAAGATGAAAATGTACATTTTGCTAATACTTTGCTATTGGTTGAGGAGTTACAAACTAATGGTAAACCATATATACTAAAAATGCTCTGTAAAGAGAGACATGGTATTAGAGATATCAACAATAGAGTATCAATAGAAGCATTTAGAATCAATCATTTATTAAAAAATTTATAAAAGAAGAAAGTGGATAATATTGTATCCGCCATTTTTGAATATAATTTATAAATAAAGTAAATATTGGTCACTTTGAGATTCGTTCAATCCTTTTGAAACACTAGTGCATTTTTATTATTAGGTCTCGTCTTAATCATTGCAACACTCCTCTAAAATATTTCTTTTGAAAAGTTAATATTAATTTAAACATTGTCATAATCATCGAATATAAATATAAATATTATGAAACACATCCCACATGCAAATATAATTATAATGGGGATCGACTAACTCATATAGTTGTCAACCACACCTGTATTGATCAATAATAATCTTGGCACTATAGAAAAAAGATCACAACCACAACGGTAGTGACACACAATTATTATTGCATGAAGTTGCGAATATTGTGTCTGTGTGTGAATTTTTTTTTTTTTTTTTTTTTTTTTTTTATATAGACATCCTGGTTGCACTTTTGTGGCAGTTTTTTTCAACAACAAAATTTATAAAACAGAATTAAAAAAAACGAATTACTTTTGCAAAAGGTAAGATCACTCAGACTATTTTATTTTGAGTCTGTTGTTTGATTCCCCTTTAATTTTTTTGGGTAAAAAAACCCAAACAAAGTATGATGCATACCCCACTTTCAAATAATAATCAAAAAATACATTTAAATAATAAAGACAAATTGTGGCTATTCTTAAAACACTCTGGCACATTAATAAATAATTAAAATTAAATAAAAACTATTTTTTTTTCTTTTCTTTTGAACCAAAACAAAAACAATACAAAACTTAAACTACTAATCTTTGATTACCATTATTCATTATTTCCTCCTCCCTTCTTCCTCCCCTTCCTCCTCCCTTCCTCTTCTTCTTTGTATACAATTATAATTAAGAATTACGCTTCTTCGTAAACCAAAATACAATCATATTTTAAATTATTATTATTAATCTGAACTCAAAAACAAAAAAGATAAAATGAAATTCACATTAATTGCTTTGATTGCATTTGTTTGTTTGATTGCTTGTTCATCTGCCGTTGATCCATGTGTTACCGATCCAACCGTTGCTACATGCAAAAACTATACTTATGATGCTACCGCTGATATCACTACTCTCTGCACCAATAACAATGGTTCTGCAGTGATGTGCTCTATTGTCAATACCTGTTTAGCCGCCAAGCTCAGCACCGGTGTCTGTGCACCATTCTCTGTTTTGGCCGACGGTTGCACTGGTGACTTCAAATCTGCCGACGCCTGTACCAACTACAACTCGTTGTGCGGTGCCAACTCTGTCGTCGACCAATGCAAGACTCAAGCTGCCATCCCAAGTTTGCCATCGACCGACACCGTCAACAAGGAGATCGTTTCGATCTGCACTGAGATGCCAAAGATGAAAGACTGTGTCACCTGTCCATACAACACCTCTGTCAGCGGAACCCCAATGGACTGCGATGCTTTCAAGGCGTACAGTGCACTCTGCATCGACATGCCAATGATGAGCCAATGTTCATCGTTCAGTAACTACTGCAAGGAAGGACAACCAATCCCAGCTTCGTCGATCGCCACCACCTACTGTCCAGCCGCTGCCGGAACCACCACCACCGCCGGAACCACTACCACCGCTGGAACCACCACCGATACCACTGGTACCACCACCACTGGATCAGCTTCATCCCTCACCGCATCATTTGCCCTCTTCTTATTATCAGGTCTCGTCTTGATCATGCAATAAACAATATTTTTTTTTTAAAATTCATTTAAATTTATGAAATTGTTTAGAAACAACAACTAATTCTTTGATCATCAAAATTTTGAAATTGAACTCATGAAGAGTTTGATTATTATAAAAAAACACCACAAGAAATATCAAGTTATAATATTAAATTTTGTTTGATCAAAATCGATTTGGTCAAATCAAAACCAAAGATGTGGTTGATGGACCTTTTTCAAAGTGATGTAACTTTTAATCATCCACAACTTGAAAATCTATTTTGAACTTTTTTTGTCTCACCATTTCTTTCCTTATTCAATTCCAATTTTACCATATTTGAGGTTTTGTGGTTGACCACCACAAACCAACGTGTTCCCAAAATATTATATGGTGAATGAACAATCCATAGCCTTGACACTTCGTTTTTTTTTGTTTTTTGATGAAAAGATAAAAACGCTGAAAAACTACTGAATTCATATTTTTTCAATTAAAATTTTACAAAAAAAAAAAACAATCAGAATAATCTTTAAAAAAAAAAAAATGGTGGTCCTTTTAATTTAATTTGTTTATAATCATTCTTTTTTTTATAAATAAATATTAGTTATAATAATAGTAGTAGTAGTAGTTGTATATTAATTATACTATCAATGAAATGATCAACACCGAACAAGTTAATGTAACTGTAGCAGCTGATCAACAACAAGAACAACAAGAAATGGAACAATCACAATCACAACCAATCAATGATGATCATACTCAAAACAATCAAAATCAAAACGATAACAATAACAATAGCAAAAGTAATATATCGGTTGACGATGCCAATAATAATAATAATAGATTCGATGTGATCATTGTAGGTGCAGGTGTGGCAGGATCCATTCTTGCCAGAACTCTCGGTGTTTCTGGACGTCGTGTGCTCTGTGTCGAACGTGACCTGAGTGAACCCGACCGTATTGTCGGTGAGTTGATGCAGCCAGGTGGTGTGCGTGCACTCCAGGCTCTGGGCATGGGCGAGTGCTTCGACGGCATCGACGCAACACCCGCCTACGGTTACGGTATCTTCAAGGGCACTGACGGCGTTCGTCTTTCATATCCGCGTGAATCAAACAACAGTCCCGCCAAGGTTGCCAACGGTTTCAGCTTTCACCACGGCCGATTCGTACAGAAACTACGTAATATGGCATCGATGGTCGCAGCTGTCAACCTGGTACAGGGCACTGTCAAATCACTCATCGAAGACGATTCGTCAAACACCATTGTCGGTATCAAATATACAACTCAACTGCTCGGTGGTGATGCACTCACCGACAACGACAAACCACAGCTAATAGAGCGTGAAGCATTCGCTCCACTTACGATCGTAGTGGATGGTTGTTTCTCGAATCTGCGTAAATCACTTACCAATCAAACTCCACTTTGTGTATCAACTTTCGTTGGGTAAGTGTGTTGTTAGTTAAACTTTGGTATACCACTAGCATCATTGTTTTTTACTTTACTAATCTGTTGACAATATTGAATCAATCATAGTTTAATTATTAGAGATTGTAATTTACCTTTCCCAGATCATGGTCATGTATTTTTGGTTGATCCATCACCCATTTTGATGTATAGAATCGGATCGAATGAGATTAGAGTGTTGGTCGATGTTCCAGGATCGACTTGTCCACCCAACTCGCAGCTGCGTGTCATGTTTGAGAAGCAGACTGCTCCTCAACTCCCGGAGTCTCTCAGGGAACCATTTTTACAGTCATTGCGCAATGAACAGCTTAAAAAGATGCCAAATTCAAGGTTGCATCCCGATATGATTGACAAGAAGGGTGTCATAGTGCTCGGTGACGCATGGAATATGAGACATCCGCTTACCGGTGCCGGTATGACCGTTGCCATTGCCGATGTTCGCACACTGACCTGTCTGTTGGCACCACTGAGCACAGAGGATCTTGGCAACTCACAAAAGATGGACGCAGTCATGAAGGAGTTCCAACGACAACGTACACCACTCGCTTCCACCCTCAATGTTCTGGCCGGTGCACTCTACAAGGTGTTCTCGGCGGACAACGAGCACCTCAGAAAGGCATGTCTCGGATATCTGAGTCTCGGTGGTGAGTTCTCTGCTGGACCGGTAGCATTGCTCTCTGGTCTCCGTCCGAAACCAAGCGTGCTGGCAATGCACTTCTTTGCCGTTGCATTCTACGGTATCTTCAAAACACTCTGGCCATTCCCAACACCAGGCAGAATAGTTACCGCCTACCGTATTTTATGCGCAGCCTCTGACATTGTAGTACCGCTATTACATCGTGAACGTACACTTAGAGGACTTACATTCTTATGCAGATTCTTAAGATTAACAAAACAATGAGAGTGTGTGAGAGAGAATCAATTATATTAATAAAATATGTTTTTCTCTTCCTTTTGAAAAAAAAAAACAAAAAAAAAAAAAATAACTAATCAAAGATAATATATCTTAATCTATAGATATTAATCAAATTTTATTCAATGAAGTACTTCAAAGGTTTCATTTTTTCAAGAAAATTGCAACGATCCATTCAACTTCATTTAAATAAATTCACCGATTTTTTTTTAAATCATATTTTCTCATATTTATTTTTGTTATGAGTTTTTGACCACTCCCTCAAAACTTTACATATTTGTTTATATTAATTCTTCATACATTCATTCACATTATATAAATTAACAAATTGTTGTTAACTTTTCTACATTGTATTTATTTATTTATTAAAACGATAAATATATAATATATACTCTTTATTTATTCATTTAAATTATTTTTAGTTTTAATTACTATATTTGTTACATTATCAATTAAAAGTCAAAAGAGATGAAGATTTTAGCTTTAGTTTTATCTAGAAGAGGTGGAACTATAATCGATCATGTATGGGATTTAAATTCATTTGGTTTCTTACAACGTGGAACGTATGTTCTATCTCTATCACATTAAAGATAAATTTAGAGTAATTTTACTGATATCATATCACACTCACTCTACTCTATATCTATTAGAATTAAAGAGGTGTTATTGGCATCAAGTAAAATTTTTATAGATAGATTCAATGTAAATTCAAAGTGTAGTGTACCACATGAAGGTTATATGGCATACGTAGATTGTAGAGAAGATTTTGGGTATGTTAATGATATTGTGATTATTAAACATAACCACATTGATAGTATATATATTAATTTCTTAATCTATTATTTAGAGGTGTTGTATATACAGATCAAGAATATCCAGAGAGAGTAGCAGCAAGATGTCTTTCCGAGATGATGCGTGAGTACCTAAATTTCACCAAGGGTATCATCGGTGGTCAATTCCCACAACTTCAGAATATATTGACGAAATATGCCAATCCTGCAGGTATTGATAGAGTTGGTGAAGTACAAAATCAAGTAAATGAAGTCACTATGGTTATGGTATGTCGTTGATCATCTTTATATAATCACAATCTCACAAAACAAAACAACAAATAAATCTAACAAAATCTCCATCTCTATTAGCACAAAAATATAGAAGCAGCATTACAGAACAATGCTAAAATGGAAGATTTACTACAGCAATCCAACGAACTAAGTGCAAAAAGCAAAGTATTTCTAAAACAAGCGAAAAAAGCAAACAGAAGATGTTGTACAATACAAGTAAAAAAAAAAAATAACATGAGAAATAAAAAACAGGAAATTAAATTAAAATTAAATGGAATGTTCTGCAGCTAGAAAATAGAAAGATTATTACATACATACTATTTGGAAGATATATAAAAAGATTATATTTATTTTATTTTATTTTTTAAAAGATTTGTTATTCACTTTCTTAAAATCAAATTGGTAAAAAAGGTTAGGGATTTATGATGGATGTTTGTCTTTGTGAAATTTGATAATCCAAAAATAAACTTTATGATTTCCTATTTTTCAGCTACAATCAATGAATGAAAGAATATATTTGATGGTATTTCTAATTGACGATTGGATACTTCTACCTTGTTGGTATTGCAGTTGTAGTATCCAAGCTTGTGTGGTTGTCTATAGGATATCGCTATGATAATCTGGTTGGTGTACTTATCGTAGGCAAGTGCTCGAATTGCCTCGGAGTGCTGTGGTAGTGCGGTGAGACTGTTATCACTGATATTGAGAACACAGAAATTACGATCTCCAATCGAATTGAAATAGATCTTATCGTCTCCATCGTAGACTAAACTAAGCTTGGCACTTTCGTAGATCGCCAAAGTTGAACCAATTTCGACTGAAACATTTTGGTAGCCCAACGATGACTTTGAGAGATCGAGTTTGTGGATTTTCTTATTGTTGAAGATTATCAGTGAATTGTACTTGGCAGAGTAAATCAAATGCGTATAGATCAGACCCGATTTCTCCTTTAAATTTCCAACCACCTTGAATTCACCGGTTACAACATCTAATCGTTCAATGGTTAAATCGGCTTCGGTTCCACTGATAACTTTGTGGCCAGTGTGGTAACTACTGTCAAGATCATCGTAGGAATCTCTTATGAACTCTTCGTACTTTCCACGATCGGAATTGGTTATGTAGATATGACGTTGACCATCGGAATCACAAGCCAAATTAGAACCAACAACTTTTCCTAGGTTGTGGATAGTAGAAGACTTTGTATTGATATTATACACCTCAAATGTAGATTTTTCCATTATATCACCGCCTAGCGTATAGAACTTGTTATTCAAAAGGATAGGAGCAGAGCTATAGGCTTTGGAGCGACTGAAAAATGCCCATTCCATATTGATCTTGTTCACCTCCAGGTCTATAACTGCTATTGATCTTGGATTGCCTGCACCGGAACCGACAATCTTATTTGCTTGTACACAATAGAGTTTAGTAAGTGGTTTAGCGGCGATTCTATCGGGAGCTAAAACCTCTGATAAAATGGAAGTAGATGAAGAATGTGGAGAAATAAAGTTATCGGATTTTAACTTTACCGACTCTTTTAATAAGTTGGAGAATTGGCTAATGTAATCGGATGATACATCTACTGTGGTTTCACAATTTACATCGTAGGCTTTACTGAATGGTGGTGAGCTTGGATCGATTGACTCGACAATGGCGAGCATTTGTTCGATGGTGAGAGATATCGATGGTTTGTATCCTTTGATGGCAGTGGCAACGAGAAGCTCCTCCAACATAGCGGAATTTCTAATATCCAAAACAAACTTGGATATTTCAATATTCTGTTGTAACGATTTCGATAGAGTGTGGATGTCACCGATGGACACTTTAGCTGTTTCTGAATTGACTTCGTTGGTGGTGGCAGACAGTGAAACTTGATTCAGTTGCTCCAAGTAGGAGTATTGGACTTTGGCGTAGTCTTCGAGGAGATTCTTTTGTCTTTTGATATTGGTTTCGTATTTGAACTTGTAGTTATTGATCAACTTGGTGAGTTCATCGAAAATCAACAGTGATTTCGATTCATTCTCAGTGACATGAGCATGTTGCTCAGCGAACCACTTTAGATTATCGAATACCGCTAGCTTCTTTGTTGTGGTATCGATAGATTCTTTTCTCTCTTGTAAATGTGTTTTTATAGAGATTGTGGTGTGTTGTTGATGAGTACTACACATACACTCTGAACAAACCAAAGTATTACATTTTTTACAAAATAAAATAAATGGTTCATCAGTATGAACTGTACAATTAATTTGTGATAATTTCATTATATATATGTATATAATATTAAAAATTTATTAGGTTGTTAAGTGAAAAGCTTCATCCTTTTATCAATAAAGAATTAAAATAATATGTGAATCATAATGATTTTTATTTGATTCTTTTTGTAGAATCTAATAAATCGTTCACTTGATCATGATATTATTGATTTGATATTAAAATGTTTTACAATGTTTTGTGTAACCTATTCAACAACTACAAACTCCGAGAGATATTTCCCAAAATATGTAAAAAAATCAAAATATCATCTTTAAATATCAAAAAAAAAAAAAAGTTTTAAAAGATGTTGTAGATAAATAAATATATAATATAAACATTTATTGGGATCAATTAAGCAGCAACAACCTCAGCTGACTCATTGTTTGATAGTGAAACTGTTTCTTCAATGTTTGTTTCTTCGTCTTCCATGGTGATTGGAATATCAACGTGCTCTTCAGAGACTGGAGTTGGTTCCTCAACTACTGGAGTTGGCTCTTCAACAACTGTAGTTGGTTCTTCTAATGGTGGCTCTGGAATTGATTCCTCAACTGCTGGAGTTGGCTCTTCAACAACTGGAGTTGGTTCTGGGGTTGGTTCTTCAACAACAACTGGTGCTGGTGTTGGCTCCTCAACAACTGGTGCTGGAGTTGGTTCCTCAACAACTGGGGCTGGTGTAACAACTGGTGTTGGTTTTGGTGCTGGTGTAACAACTGGTTTTGAAACTGGTGCTGGTGTTGAAGCTGGTGCTGGTGTTGGAACTAATTTCTCTTGTGATTTAGATCCGGATCTATTGATTGTAAAGTTTCGTTTGCCTTCTGGATTTGCTGGCTTTGTGAAATCTTTGAGACCTTGGAAGTTACCATATACATATTTTGGTGGTTGAGTAGCTGGTTTGTTGAGGGTAGAAGTAGTTGTTGTTGTTGTAGATGGCTTATCCGGTGATACTGGTGAAGATGAGACAGTTGGCTTGGCAAATGATTTTGGTGCCGATGTAGTGGTTGCAACTGGCTTTGGTGCTGGTGTCGATGCAACGACTGGCTTTGGTGCTGGTGTTGATGCAACGACCGGTTTTGGTGTTGGTGTTGATGCAACGACTGGTTTTGGTGCTGGTGTAGCTGCAACAACTGGTTTTGGTGTGGGTGTAGCTGTAACTGGTGCTGGAGCTGGTGTTGATGCAACAACTGGCTTTGGTGCTGGAGTTGGAGCTGGAGTGACTGGCTCTGGTTGTTGAGCAGCCGATGAGTTTACAGGTGGTGGAGGTGGTGTTACAACTGTAACAGTTGGTGTACCCTTCTTTAAATCATGTTGATGTTGTGGTTTGAGTTGACCGAATCCCTCAGAATAATTACTTTTTTATATTAATTAGTATTTGAAATTTGTAAATATATATTATATTGATTTATTTTTACATACCCTTTAGTAAAGAACAATTTCTTGAAACATGGTTTACAGTATGATTTTGATTGCATGGAAGCAAAACTTCCAAGCTTTAAGACATTGTTACAAACTGCACATCTGAAACAGGCTTTGTGAAAGATACGCTCATCGGCAGCCAATCTTTCAGTACTATAAACAGTCTTTGAACAAACAGTGCATTTCTCTGAGGATCCAAATGACTTTTTAATTGTAATTGGTTTTCCAGTGGTTGGTGGTTTATTTAAAGTGGTGGAAACAGTTGACATTTTAGTTAGTTTTTATTCTTTGAGTGAAAAGAAATAAGATTTTGAAAAGATAGAGAATATTGTTGTTGTTAACAATAGTAATTCTAAACAATAATGATTTTGATTTTATGATTATAATTATTGGATTAGTTTGTTTGTTTTGTTTGTTTTGTTTTTGTTTTTATTTTATTGCAAAGGACGTCCAATCAAATTCAACTCAGTTCATTTCACATTCAAACCAAACCAATATTTTCATTATAATCAGGTTGTAATATTAAAATTTGTGTGGTTGTGTGTGTGTGATAATTGCAATATAAACGATTGTTTTTTTAATGTAAATAAAACAGTGTGGTTGTGATATTATGCGTGATTTCAAATCAATTTGTGGTGGGTTTACTTTATCGATGAAAATCAAATAAAATAAACGGAAACAGTGCAGAGATTAGAGTTGTAGTTGGGGTTGGTATAATTTTAGCGAATTTACTTTGTGATAATATAACTTCACCTTGTTTAACAAATATGATTATAATAAGATATACGAGCGCAATAGATAGAGTTGATAGAATTATACAATTCGTTTAAATATATATTTTTATGAGAACACATACTTTTGTAGCCATCTTTTCTTTATTGTTTTGCTATTAATATAATTAATATTGTAAAGATAAAAATAATATTGAGATTTGTTGATGTTGGTTAATTTCACTCACTACAGAATGATATTTGTTTTAAATATAAAAATACAATTAAATAAATAAATAAATAAATAAATATAATTTTACTGATTAAGTATTGTACAAAAAAACTATTATGTTTATTTTAAAAGTTAGAATGATAATTATATTGGATATTTTTGAAAATAATTAATTATAAATCCAAAAAAAACCTCTTTGGATTGGTTCAAATGGTTTCAGAAAAGTGAGTGCAATTTAATATGGACTCACATATTATTATGAGAAGTTTTGCTTTTTTTGAGCAAACCCAACCAACCCAATGGGTATTATGACTCTAAGAAAATTTGTTGTGAAAAATGAAAAAAAAAAAAACAAAAACTTTTTGTTATTGGGCATCTGACTTCGATTCAGATTATATTCACTGTAATACACTTATTTTGATTGTCAGATTTATATGGTGACATCGAAAACATCTTTTATAAATATTTCCATTGAAACCTAAATATCTTGTTAGAATTTATTGATAGCTATTTAACAATAAGCAATCTTTTCAAATTGGTCAGTGACTTTTTTTTATGTTATTGCGACCAAGTCTAATAAAGTATAAACACTACAGGACCATTTTATGTTTAAATTGAAATAGATTTATATGTATAATAAACTTAAATTAAATTTGAAAAAAAATGATTAAATAAAGTATATAATTTGATTGTTAAATGATTGTTCTATCTTCGAAATATTAGATTAGAATACTCATCTGTTTTACCATTTTAAATTAAATAAAAAATTTATCCCTCCAAATTTTAAAAATTTGTCCGTTGACGAAAATTTAGATTTGGCGCCATTTAAAATTTTCTCTTTATTGATTGATTTTAATTTTTTGTTTGTAGTTGATTGTTATTATTATTATTACTATTAAATATTTCTATCTTACACTATAACAAAAGAGATTATATTATTATAGATAGGCGAAATGGTAAAGAAAGCAGCAACAAAGAAACAAGTTAAGGCAATTGTGCCTGCTTCACCAGAGAAGGATCAAGAAATGGAGGAAAATAATGTTACACTACAAGAGAATAATCAAAATCATATCAATCAGTTGTCAGAGCGTTTCGAAAAGATTGCTACCACTGCCAACAATAATACAAATATAAACTACTCCTCCATCCTTTCGAATATCATCAACAATACAAACAATGCAATCAATACACAACCAAAAGACAGTGAATATAAGAAGAAGGTAGATTTCATAAAAATAATATATTGTGATAATTTATATTAATTCTAGCTCTACTTTTATTTTAGTATATTGAATTAAAGGATAAATTTACACTCTTTAAAAAGATGAAGCATACCGATACAGAGAATTTGTTTGAAGACTTTAAGATTGCTGCTGAAAAGCGTGACTCTGGTAAGTGTTATAAATAGTTTTATATTTAATTAGTTATCATTCTTATTAAATGTATTTTTTATTTTATTTTCTTAATTTAAAGACTCAAAGAAATATATATCACAATTGAAGTTCCAGGTGGAAGTTCTCCAACAAAAAAATAAATTATTGAATGAAGCACTCAATAATAAATATGGATGTGACTATGACAATCTCCAGAAACAATTGAACGACCGTAGAGATCTAGAAGAGAAGTTCAAACTCGAACAAATTAAACAAGTTCTTAATGATAAGATCAAAGGTATTTATATTTATATTGAATGGGAAATCCAACAAATATTAATATTGTTTTTTTGTTTTTCGAAATCAAAATAGAGGATGATAAGGTAATTTCACAGTTGAATGAAGAAAAGAATTCATTAATCAGTCAAATGGCAGAGATGAAGGAGGAGTTTGAGAGAAAGATGCAATCGGCCAATCAACAATTCGAGTCGTTGATTGAGAAGCACACCAATGAGCGATACGAGAGCCAGAGAGCAGTCGACTCTATGAGCAGTGAAGTCAACGATCGTTTGGCCGAATCACGTAGAATGATTGCTCAACTCCAGGGTGAGAACGAAGCACTCACCACTCGTCTCAATGAGATGGTCCAAGAGAATAAGGACCGTTCCAATCTCTTCCAGGACGGTAAGCAGAAGCTCATCGACGAGTGGATGTTGGCCGACAAGCAAAAGGCCGAGGACTTTGAGTCGCGTATCATCGAGGTCAAGAACTACTACGAGCAACAAATGAAGAAATTGAAGCAGGCCAACGAAGACAACATCATAAAGATTCACGACGAGTTTGTACAGTCTGAGACCAAGCTAAAGAAGTTGAACGACCAGCTGCTCGACCAAAAGAACGTAGAGATCTCTGTCATTGAGAAGCAACTCACAGAGGAGATCGAACAACTCGAAGATAAACGTTTGAAGGAGCATCAAGACTCATTGAAATCACAAAGATCATTGGCACAGGAACTTCAAGAATTGAAATCAAAATTGGATACCATTGACAGTCAGAGTATGTTATTATATTATACTAAACAATATTGTTCTGTAGTTTACTTATTTTTTAATTATTAATTAATAGATAAATTAAAGCAAAACTATTTACAACTTTATCATAAACTTACTTCAATTAAATTGAATCAAGTAAGTGATAGTAAATATGAAATGTTGGCTCAATCTCAAAAGAATACTCTAAGAAGTAAGTAGTGCTTAAGCAACTGAACATTATATTGAAATAATTTATTAATATTATTAATATTATTTTAGAAATACAAGGAGAGATTGTAATTACAGACAGTGAACTTTCATACACACCAATTTCAATTGATAATTGTTCTTCGGTGGCAGAGTGTGTTGAGAATCCAGTCGATATCCCACTAGAAGACTCTAGTATTTTCGTTATGAAGTTAATTGAAACTATCTATGCTTAAGTGTAAAGTGATACGTCAATAACAACCTTCAACTAAAATTCATTTAAATCTATATATCATTAAATAAATTGTTAATAATATTATTGTAATTAGAAAGATAATTTATAAAGATGATATTTATTTATTAACAAAAAGTTAATTTTTTTAAAATTGTTTATTGAATATTATTGGTTGAAGACAGATGCTAGATTAATAACAATTAGTTATTGGAGTATTTATACATTGTCCGTTGGATGGATTACAGCTATCAAAGGTGCATCTGTTGTTATCGAAACAATTAATTGGTTTGTGGGAACAAGTCATCGTTCCAGAATCACAAAAATCGTAGGTACATGGATTTCCATCGCTACAGTTGGTGTAGGCAACACCGCAAGAACCAGTGGCAGGGTTACATGGGAATTTGATACAGAATGTTTCATCTCCACAGAATTTAGGTGTATATTGGCACTCACCAGTGACGGTATTCAATGTATCGATGGTACAGAGGTTACCATCATTACAGCTATTTAAAGGATGGTGAATGCATCCAATAGTTGGATCACATTGATCGACTGTATTTGGATTGTTATCATTACAGTCGATAGGTGTGTGAATGCAATCACCATTGGAAGGATTACATGAATCGATGGTACATACATTGTTGTCAGTACAGGTGTTTGGAGTGTAGGTACAGCCGGCTTTGACATTGCATGAATCGATTGTACATGGATTGTTGTCATTGCAAGTAACTGGTTGATGTTGGCATCCACCCAAAGTTGAACTACACGAGTCGGAAGTACATGGATTGGCATCGTCACAAACAGTGGTGTGATAGCAACACTTTCCATTCTCTACAAAATTGGTCTCGCATGGATCTGAGTTTGGACAGCTCAATGGATTGGAAGTGTTATCACAGGAGTATGGTACGTTGAGGCAACCGATATTGGGAATACACAAATCATGGGTGTTGGCATTGGCATCGTTACAATTCTTTGGAGTGGTAGTACATCCAAGTGAAGGGTGGCATCCATCAATCAAGCATTTATTGTTGGAATTACAAACTACTTGGGTGTGTGAGCAACCAACACCAATAGGACAGTAATCAGTATAGCATTTGTCATTGCTCATACAATATGGAATTGTACATTGTTCTAGTGCACTAATGGAATTTATAATTGAAATGGAATATAATAAAAATAGTAATATTTGATATCTATTCATTTTAAATGAATTTCTTCGTTTGTTTATTTGTTGATAATGAAGTAAAGAAAATAATTTAATAATGATTCGTAAAGAAAGTTTAATTTATTTATAGTTTTCATTCTACAGATAGAAAATCATTAACGGATTGAAATTGATTTGTTCAAATGAGGGATCAGTAAATGAGGGATGAAACAAGGCTATTTACAAAAAATCATTCACAGATCAGACCAATTAAAATCACCGTAAATAAGAAAAACGAAAATAGTAAAAAGCAAACTTACTTTTTATATCCTTTTCAATCAATCTCATTTTTGGGATTGAAATCACCCCAATAATATAAATCTATTTAGTTTTGTTTTTGATTGACAATCAAGTTAAATAAATTTCTTTTGCATTATTAATTTCAATAATAATAATAACTTTTTTGTTAATCGTACGTAAGTTATTATTTTGTTTAAAAATGATTTGGTTTAAAAAAAGAACTGATCTGATTGGAGGATTAATTGATTTGTTCATTTGTTTTAATTTTCAATTTTATTGAGTATATACAAGATTTAATTTTTTAAATAATTTCAAGTTACAATAATAAAAATGAAAAAAATATTTCTAAATAGAACAATTATTAATTGTGATCTTTTTATATGTTTTGTTATTTTATTTGAAACTTCAAAAACAAAGAAGAAGTTTGGTAAGGTCGATGATGGAAAAGGTGCATAATCATAAATAATTAAAAAAAAAATGAAAAAAAAAAAATCAACAAACTTTTGGTAAAATTATTATGAAATGATATTTATGTTCACACCCACACACCTTTATTGATATATTATTCTTTAAAATTCATTGATTATTATCATATATTATTATATAATATCTATCATAATAGTTTAAATTAGCTAATAATAATAATAATCATATATATTTGTAATTAATTGATGGTCGATATTGATAGTTTAGTAGTACATGTTTATTCATAGGCTGAGGTAAAACATCAATAGGTAATAGCAATGCAAAGATTTCTATCATCAATAGGTGAAGTGTTAGCACCTACCTATCATTCCGATTTAGATGATCTCAAGAACCATTGGAGATCAATAAAAACTTTCTATATCGATAAAAATTGTAAGATCATTCATCATCCTACTTTACTTTAAGAGTAGATCTGAATTGTTGTTTATTAACATACAAAATTTATATAACAAAAAACAACAACAACAACACAACACACAATAATTAAATAGATGATATTGAGAGTTTCCATGAATTACAGTTACCTGGTCATATTATATCGATGGTATCACTTTTGATAGAGGAAAATAAATCTGGTGATGCCGGTCCATGTTTGGAATTCTTTTTAAAGAATAGAATATTGGAAACTCTTTGTTTATTAGGTGAAAGAGATGTATGATATCTAATTACGTATATATAATGTGTACAAAAAAAACAAATTAATAATGTGATAATCTATTATTACTTTAGACTCCAACAGGTGTTAGAAAATTGGTATTACAAACTACTACTATTTTACTAAGTGATTTGTCATTGCCATTGCTACCACATATGAGTGTGCACAAGCCAATATGTAGGTTGATAAGAGCGATCATTACAACTAGAGAACAACAGCAGCATCAGCTATTCAGGAAACAACAGCAGCAACAACAGAATATACACTTGACAAACGAGCTGAATAGATTAGTACCTGGACTGGCATCGCTTCAGCAACAACAACAGCAATCGAATGACGACAGTGAGTTTGTCAACCTTCTCGAGGTACTAACGAAACAACTAAAGATGTATCCAACACTACTTGGATTCTTCCAGGATGTGGAGTATCCGTATGGTGCGCATTTCATTGTTTATCAAGGACTGCTCCATCATCTCTGGACGGTGGGATCGGTTGGCGAGCGTGCCAGAAAAGCTCTGGTTCAGTGTCTAGAGTTGATGCCTGCGACCAGCATCACCACGGAACTACTCCAAGCGAATCATGCACGTGACAAGTTTAAAGAGGGATTGATCGATTCTCTTGAGCAACTACAGCAACAGCAGCAGAGTGTCAACTCCAATGGTATCAATCCAAAGACTAGCCACAACACATCACCTACACTCTCACCGATTTCACCAACACCTCTATCGCCATTGAAACAATCACAGGATGACAAGATTGACTTTATTGCCGCCGATCCACTGGCACTTTTGAATCACATCAATTTCATTAACATACAAATGACAGAGTTACTCAAGATATACAAACTGTTACCACCCACAATAGCCTCGATTAACTATTGTAAATCAGGTCCACCCATTGCACCCGAAAACCTATCAATACTAGAGAACTACAAGACAAGAGTATCTTTTTGTTGTTCATTATCAACTGTTAAACATAATGTTTGTATTAACTACCTATCTATTAATATTTATAAATATATTCTAACTTTTTTTTTTTTTTTTTTTTTTACTTTAATATATTAGGATATTGGTGAATATATAACTAAACTTTGGGAGGATCTATTTATTACAGATACACTGGGACCAGCATTATTACATACAGATGATGTTCATTGTGCCACAGCAATGTTGTATCTACGTGAAATCCTATCATTACTTCATGGTCCAATCGCACAGAAAATAATTACATTCCTTGTTGGTGATCTAATTAAACCGACAGACTATAGAAAACAACTATTGTCATCATCCGATAACAATAATAATAATAATAACAGCAGCATTACAGATGACGATATAGATGACAATATTATTAGATCTACTTTAATTAAGAGAATATCACATCCAAATTATATTGTATGTATCACATTTGGAATTAATAATGATAAAATTGGTTATTACAAATCTATTAACATTGTTATTACTTTTTTTAGGTATCGTTATCATGTTTAAGATTATTTTCAACATTGATAGGTTTACATAATTTCGTAGTCATTTATAATTTGATATTGGTGAATTTACCACCTCCATCACCTGAGAACACCAGATTCTCCTATCAAAACTTTGCAACATTACAGCAGGCACAAAAGTCAATCACCAACTATCTGACTTTGTTTGGAAATCGATATACCAACATCCCATCGCACGGAACTGAAACTGGATTAACAGATATCTTTCAAAACAAGACATCTTCACAGACAAACGGCTACTCTGCCTATCTGGTCGATGCCAGATATCAGGTATCACTCTACAGTTCGGCATGTGCTCAGTGGCCACCCAATTTCCTCTTTATAACAAAGGAGGTATATAACAATACAGTAGCAATCACTTTAAATTCATTTAAACCAACAACACCATCAAATAACACCAACCAACTACAAAAGTCAAATAGTGATAATGTAAATTTATCTTCACCACCAACAACAACATCATCATCAAACTCAATATCATCACCCTTATCACTATCTTCATCATCCTCTTCTCCAGTACCAGCAGTAGCTAGCACTCAACAACAAAACAATGATTTCAATAACAGCAACAACAATAATAATAACAATAGTAATACTCAACAACAGCAACATCAAATTGGGCCATTCTTAGAAGAAATATTCAAACTAGTTAGAAATATGGTCAATCTACCAATCGATCTAAACTTTATAATTACTGGAATTCTATCGAAACTCTGTTACTATCCATGTCCTCAACTCTATCCTTATTTAGTTCATTGTCCGCTTAGCACCATGTCACCGATCATTTCATCACAACAACTACAACAGCAAGAGGATGAAACTTCAAGCTCTCTCTCACAACTATCATTATACTCTATTTTGTTAAATGTAAGCTCTTTCATCAATAACATTTATGATCATATTAAACTAATATTTCAAATATTTCTAGTTGTCTGAACAAATTGAAGAGAAATCACAATCGTTTAATTCATTCAATGAGATACTGGACCAATTCAGAATATTTATGACAGACATTACCAACATTAATGATGATAACAAATTCCCACCAAATTCAATTCTCTCAACACTGAACCAAAAAAATATTGATTTTCTCAATTCTGTTATTATTATTGAAGAATTTTGTAAAGAATTAGCTTCCATTATTCAAGCAAGAGTCGTATTCTCCAATAACTATTAATCTAAATAAAAAATTGATTTGTTTTTTTTTTTCAGAGAGGAAGTGATAAAACTACTTGTATACATTTGTATATTTTATTTTAAACCCGTCTACTTTTAGATTTTCTGTTCACACATTGGACTTGAGGCATCTTCTAATTTCGCGCAAATGATGAAAGGTAAACTGTGAAATAGAGTTGTTAAAATAAGATTTTGAGTTCACAGAAGCTTACAGGTTCACAGATAATTAAAAAACAAAACAAAAAAGTATCAACTGTTTATATTTTTAATGTAATTTGAGCAAACACTATAAATCTTTTTAAAGAGATCATTAAAGGGTTTGAGCAACTGTTAAATTTGAATTTAAAAAAAATAATAATACAAAAAAAAAATTATATTTTGTGATATATTTTACAAAGTTTGTTTATTTATATATTCATCTTGAAAGTATTAATTTTCAAGTTTGCTAGATAATATTATTAATATCATTGATTTGTTTTTTTGATGGGTTGTTGATATTAATTTACTACTTTTTGGTCGTCATATTGTTTATTCGTCGAATGATTCAACGTTTCCGGTTTGTGGACCACCGATTAAACCTGCAGCAGTGTTGAAAAGATTGATTGGGGAGGAACCGTCGGTGAGCAAGACGGACTTGAGACCCAAACCTTGGAGCAATTTGGCTTGCATCTCTGGACCAGCTTGGGCGATGGATTTGATGGTGTCGGTACCAAGAGCAGTGACTTGGTTGGAGAATTTGGAGACTTCGATATCGGCCAATTGTTGAGCCTTGGAGACTTCCAATTCGTTCAAAAGCTTGGTGTGTTCGATTTCGACTTCGTGCTTGGCAACTTCCTCTTCGAGCTCAGCACAGGCTTCGATTTCTTGAGCTTGACACTCCAACTTGGTCTTCTTGACCTCAGATTCGGTGGCAATCAAAGCGGCTTCAGCACGAGCACGAGCCTCGGCAATAGCTTGACCAGTGGATTCAACGGATGCTGACTCGGCTTGCAACTTAACCAAGTTGGCACGAGACTTCTCAGCCTCAGCTTCGTCGAGAATCTTTTGACGATCTAATTCACCACGAGCCATTTGCTCCAAACGTTCAGCTTCTTGACGAGCAGTGGCTTCTTGTGACTTGGTGGTAATTTCGATAGCCAATTGGACAGACTTTTGCAAGGAGTCCAAAGTACGTTGGTCGACTGGCTCGACAGATTGAACGTCAATGTTTGTGATGACCAAACCGTTGGTTTCAAAGACCAAACGGTTGTTTGGCTTACCTTCCTCATCCTTACCAAAGACGGCAGTTTGGATGATATCTGAAGAGTGCTTGTGGAAGTTGTCGAAAGTGGAGGAGGCGACGGCAGCTCTTACCAATGAACCGGTGGCCTTACACAAATCACCAGTGAAATCAGCAGTGGCAAACAACTTGGATGGGTTGGCGCTGTCGATTTGGAACTCCCAGTTGTAGGACAACTTCAATGAGAGACGAGCATGGTCGGCGGTTTCGACGGTGATCAAGTCAGTCATGAAATCTGGACCCAAGAAGAGGGCGAGTGAACGAATGTGATTTGGACGCTTTGGAATCTTACCAGACAATGAAAGAACGGTGAATTCTTCGTCTGGGGCCAACATGACTAACTCTGGACCAAAGACAACACGGGCTTCCTTCTTACGGTAATCGTAGATTTGAACGGCAGCCTTGTGTGGAACACGGTAGGTGACAACCTTGGTGGAGTCACGGTCGACTTCGTTGTGCTCCTCGTTGACGTCACGTGTGGCAGACTTTGAGAGGAGTTCCTCAACGATTGGGGTCAATGGCTTGGCCCATCTCTCCTCGTTAGGGAGCAACATGTATGAGGAACCGATGACAGAACGAACCTTACCGGTCTTGGTGTCACGAACGTAGATACCCTCGTTGACGTCGAGTGGAATACGCTTACGACGCTCGACAATATCGACTTGAATTGGTGGGATGTAGTCACATGGACCGTAGATCATCCACAAATCACCTGGCTTACGGTTGACGACCTCCTTTCCGGTCTTGTCTTGGAAGGATTCGGTGGAAGAGAGCAACAAAGCCTCATCTTCTGACAAGACGTTGACGTTTTGAATTCCCTTGACCAATGATTCACCTGGCAACAAGAAGAAAGTACGTTCACCCTTACGGAGATCTTGGTGACCGAGCAAGTTCTTTCCGGTGGCTGGGTCGACTGGAGAATCGACGATACAGTATTGACGGTTGGTCAAGGTGATGGCCTTGACGTCACGGAGGACCTTCTCGTTGACATCTGGGATATAAGTGTCACAGTCCTTCAAGGTGATGATCCATTCCTCACCGGCCTTTCTCAACTTTCCAAAGATATCCTTGAATGAACGCAAGGCGACCAAGTGGTAACCGATACGGTCGGTCAAAACGAGGGCTTGGACGAAACCGACGATCTCTTCATTTACACCTGGTAAGTAGGCACCAGAATCACGGATCAACCATTCTTCGTTGACTTGACGGAGAACACCCTTACGATCCTTGGTGGTAAGACGAGCCTTCAACTTCAAGGCTTGATTCTCCTTGATGATGATAGCCTTGACACCCTCCAAAACTTGTACTTCAACACGTGGGTAGTAGGTACCTGGACCTTCGAACAACCATTCGTCACCAGCGACACGAACAACTTCCTTCTTATCGACAATATCAACAAAGTCACGAAGACATCTCAAACGCAAAGCATTGTTGGCTTGAACAACGTTGAGTGGGACTGGTGCGGCAGCCAAGATTTCACCTGGGTATAATGGGAATGGATCTTGGGCGAAACGGATCTCTTGATCACCGTGACGCAACTTTGGTTGTTGGAATTGGTCAATCACCAATTTACCATCCTTATCTTTAATAATTGGATTCTCTACAATGCAATAGTTTCTTGGTGGGATCAAAATCATTGGCAATGGGGTAGCAGTCAATACTTTTTCATGATCCAATCTAGTGAATGTTTGTGGACCAACTTCAACACGAGTTACATTTGTATTATTATCCAATACCTATTATTAATAGTAAAAAAAAAAAAGAAGAAAAAAGATAAAAAAATAATAAAAGATTAATAATTTTTTTTTTATACAACTTTAACTTTATCATATTAATTAATTATTACTTACATGAATGTATTGGTGTGGCTTGATTCTAATGACTGTAGATGGAGTGGCCATTTTATATATATGTTATTTAAAAGAAAAGTAAAGAAAATAGATATAAGATTACAAACAGAGATTTAGATGTTGAGAGGAAAAAGTAGTTGTTTAAAAAAATTTAATATATTATTATTATTTGTGTTAAGAAATAATAATTGTATATATTAATTGGAATAGAATAGATATAAACAATAAGTTGTTGATTGATAGATGATTTAATAAGTTGTTGATGATGGAGTTTCAACTGAGCTTTTAAATTTAAATAAAGATTGACATTAGCTTTTGTTTGACAAAAATTCCAAATAAATTTTGATATTTAAAAATTTCAACATTCTTGGAATTTTCTCCTTTGATATTTTTGAATTAAAAAACTCACTAAAAACAGGGGCACAATGAGCTTTTTTTCTCACAAAGACCAACTTCAACCCTTTCAAACTTTTTTTTATTAATTTTTTTTGAAAATTATTGAATTTTGTTTTTTTATTATTATCATTTTTTTTTAATATCTTAACTTTTTTTGATTTTTTTTTTAATTTTTTTATAATATTAATGATTTGGATCAAATTAATCATTTTTCTTGTTATTGTTTAATTTAATATATTTGATTTTTTGTAAAATTGTTATTGATCTAAGTAATTACTTTGAGAATAGACAAAAATAAATAAATAAAAACAATTTTAATATTTCACACACAAAGATTATTAGTTATAAAGTTTATCATCTTTTTCATTTTTTTCTTATTTTCATTGAGGTGTGTTCATAATCAACAAAATTTACAAAGTTTATTTTTATTTATTAGTTTAATGTTTAGGTTAGGTAATTACTTTGATAAACAAAATTTAGATCAAATAAAACAATTTTTTCATTTACATATATATTTAATAAATAAAGATTTATCATCTATTGTGTTATTTTTGGGCTTTGAATCCGATTCGAAAAATATCGACTTTTTTTTTTGACAAATTTGTCAACAAAAAAAAAAAATCAACGATTGACAAATTCATGATTGAAAATTTGCAAGGTAATAAACAAATATTATATGATTGACAATTACACGATTGACAAATTGATTACTTTCTCAAAGGATGTCTTCTATAAATACTTGATAACCTAAGCATTGGTAATTATCACAGACAAATAAATAAATATTTAGCTTTGTTATTTTCGAAAATCATATTAATTTAATTTACACTCTATTAAAATGTTTGATTATAATATTAATGACACAATGATTTCATACGATGTTCAAAGAGCTCCAAGTAAGTTTTTGCATGATATCAATATTTGATATAAAGTTTATCTAACACCCAATTGTTTGAAAAACATAGAATTGTCATCAAAAAGTTATTCAAATGGACTCAAAAGAATAAGATTAATGAAAATCTTGACTGAAAAAGCTTTGAATTGTGAATGAAAATCTATAAAACACTTTCAGAATGTTCTGATTCAGTCAACTCATCATAAATCAAGAGTAGAGACACTGAAATATCAACTCTAGAGTTAGTCAGAAAAACGACTCTACCTGAGTAGACTTTTAGTCACTATGACCGCCGTCGAAATCTAAATCTATTTGGTTGGGTTTTCACTTAACTACTTCATTGTTATAAAAAAACAACAACCTTTATTATTATTAATAAATAAAATAAAGATAGAATATATTTGCAAAATTAAACAAAAGAAGTACTATTTTTTATTTATTTGATCATGAGCCTAGTCAAAATATCATTTTTTCTTTTTTTTCAAAGAGTGATCAGAATACCAAGACAATAATATAAATTTAAGCATGCTCAGAATTGTCTTTTGAAAAATTTTTTAATTATTATTTTTCAATTTTGAAAAAAAAAAATCAAAAAAAAAAAAATCAAAGTCCACTTGCAGTTTACATTCAGATTGTTAATACTACCAACACAATATAATAATATTACATAGATAGTATTGACAATTATATATAAATAATATTCATTGTTGTACAAAATTATTTATTGTAGTTTAATATTTTGTAATACCTTCTATATATATATAACAATACATCAAGATATCTATTTATATTTTAGCACACAATCAACACAAAAAAGAACTTTGTTGTATTTTACATTTTTTTTTAAGAGTATATAAATATATAAAATTCAAAGATTTAGATTGACAAAATCTAATTAGTTAAATATTTAAAAGATTTGTAGAATATAGATAGATAGATAAAGAACAGGTTACAAAAGGTTGACATTTTCTTTCTTTTTCAAAAATATAATAATCAGATATTAAAAAAATAAATTATTAAAAAAAAAAAAAAAAGAAATGTCAAAAAAAACCAACAACAAAGAACACAGGTCATTGAAAATATTGTAAATTCATTGCTGTTCTCAGCCAATGACTCTGATGAGAGTGTACGTAACAGTGTGATTGCATCGATCTATGAAATCGGATTTCGTCAGCCAAACACTGTTTTGGCATTGGCTTGCGAATACCTCAATAAGAATCAAAAGATCGATCTGGGCCATCGTGTCACCATCTTGAAGTCGGTTCACCAGATTCTGGGTGAGCGTCGCGATGACATTACAGAGGCACTCTCACTGCAACTGATCGCAATGTCGATCTCAGAGATGACACGTGACAAGGACGTCGTGCCCGACTGGCAGCAAGCGGCCTCCTCACTGATGGTGTCACTCGGTCTGCGCTTCCCAACACAGATTATGGATGAGCTAGTCAAACGTTTCGAAACCGGTATGATTCCACACTATTTCATCATGAAAACACTCGGTGACTTTATCGCGTCGAATCCACTTCCAACGGTTCCACGTATCCGTGACGTATTGTCGCGTGTGCTTCCAGTGCTTGCATCGATCAAGCTCGACAACATCAAATGGGTATTCGCTGCTGCACTCGGCAACTTCTCAGAGGCGATCGTCGCATACGTCTCGAACATCACCGACCCCAATCTTCACCTCTACAGCTTCAGCTCAGAGTTCTACCCGGCAATGGAGCTGATTTTCAGCAAATGGCTCAGTAGCAATCATGAAAAAGTACGTCTTGTAACCATCCAAGCGGTTGGATCGATCTGTGGTATCTTGGCGGTCGAGCAACTCGACGCACAAGTCACTCGTTTGATTGGTGGAATTCTACCAATGTTCAAGAAGGAGAAGGATTTGCTTCCAGTGTGTTCGGCACTCTCCAATATCCTCGAGCAATGCATCAAACACAATCTTCGTCTCCAACTGGAACCACAACTTCCAGCGATCTTCCAGACTTTGCATCCATTGGTTTGTGTGACACCCGACTTTAATAATCCATCGTCGTTCAAGACATTCAATGAAGTACTTCGTTGCTTTGAGATTATCGGACGTGGATTCTCCGATCCACTCGTTCACTTCTTATCGCAGCGTTTGGAGATCAAGGACAGTCGTTCGCGTGGTGGATCACTCTCGATCTTGCGTCACATTATCACACGTTTGGACAATGAGCTTGGCGAGGAGAAAAAGTGTTTGATCCTCTCGGCGGTCAAGCCACTCGTTCAAACAGAGACATCGTTGTTTGTCAAGAAACACTTGGCACAGGCAGTTATTGCCATGGCATCACATCGTTACATTCATTTGCAAGGTGGAGAGTGTCTCATTGAGTTTATTATTCGTGGATCGAGCTACTCAACCGACGTCGAGATTGGCAAGCCTGCACCGGCAACACAGGAGAAGAAGAAGGTCGACCCACTAGAGACCGTTACAGAGGTTGAATTTAGAAAGATTTGTGACGATATCCTACATTTGATTACTACAACCATTCCCGATATGGACTTGGTACTGTGGCCATATCTCTTTGAGTCGGTGACACCAGTCGATTTGACTGGCGCGGCAGCAGTGGTTGCGCGTTGTCTCGGTCATATCGCGTGGAATAAGCGTGAGACCGAAGCAGAGGACTATTACATCGATTTCGACAAGGAAGTTAATCTTCCAAAACCAACACAGATCATAGCACGTTATTTTGTACTCTTGACAACTCCACACCGTCGTGGTGAGCTCGGTAGCAGAATCCTGGAGGCGATGCGTGCCATCGGTCCCATTCTACATCCATCGATTTGCGACATGTGGGATGTAACACTACCGAAACTCGCTAATTTCCTCACTGACCAACCCGATCTCGAACAATTCAATCGTAACCAATGGGAGGAATTGGTTCTCCGTTTGCTCTCAGAGACAATCAAGAATGCCGCTGACGACGAGTGGACTGTCGCTCTCGGTAGTGCTCTGGCCGACCAAATCGATCACTACAAACGTGATCCAATCCTGAAGCGTTCGCTCTACAAACAACTCGGTCTTATCATGCAGAAATGCTCACACAAGGAATTCGTAAAGTCAAAGATCGAAGTGATGTTTAACTCTGTCGACTACACCAACCCACTTGAAAACGAAGGTTGTGCAATTGGTCTTGGTTATTGTGCTGCATCTCATTTCGATATCCTATTAGAGAAAATCGGTTTCTTCATAAAGAGTAAGAGGAGTTTATTTGGTTTTTAACAGATTGTAGAAGGAGAAACAACTATATAGTTCTAACATTATTCATTGTGTTTGTATTTATTTTATTTAGATTCTATGGCAAAGAAAGGTGGATTCTTTAAAAAGTCTGGACCAAAAGGTATAAAGAATTGTGTGTTGTTGAGTTTGGCATATGCAGCTACCTATGCTCAACCATCGTTGTTGTCGTCGCGTGTCGAAGTACACATGTTGAATCCAATCAAACCTTCGATTACGCTCTTGAAGAAGCCACCCAAGAAGATCTCGGCAATCAAGATGATCGATTTCATTGGTAAGGCGTTGCACGCCGACAAGATTCCAAACTATATTTTCAAGCAGCGTGATGAGATGTTCAAGTTGCTTCTCAGCTATATGAGTACACCACCACCCTCTGTCAACCTACAGGTCAAGATCGACGGTGTCAACGCTTGTTCCACTCTGATCAACTTGCAGCCAATGGTTCCATTGGAACTCGAGACACAGGTGATCAACTTGCTCCTTCAGTTCTACGCCACCCAACCAAACGGACAGACACCATCCGACGAAACCGAAGTCAACCAAATGATAACGGCAATCAACAACCTCTTCTCAACCATCCTTTTCAATCAACCAACCATCGCTTGTTTGAATCGTTTGATTCAGTATCTCGACCCATTGTCACGTTCAAAGGAATCACATCTTCGTGAGAAAGCAATGTTTTGTATCTTATATCTCGTCAAAAAGTACATTGAATACTCAACTGAATCCGAGGAGCTACCAACCGATAAGAAGTTTGAAAACATTGGTGCATCAATGGCCATCATAACACCAAGATGTACTGATCCAGAGTCAATCATTCGTAAATACGCTGTTGAATCAATTCAATTAATGTTATGTAAGTATACCAGAAAATAATAATATTATTATTATTTATTAACATAGATGTTTGTTTATAAAAAAAACGATATATAGATATCGATTATATGTTAAAGAATGCTACACATGAAGTTCGTAGAGTTAAACCAATCGATATTATTCATCCATTGACACAGATTAAAGAGAGTATTACAACTACTGATGTCAACGAACAATTTACATTGGTATTTGAAATCTCTGGTATCATTTCAAAGATGATTGTTTTAGAGGAGATTCCAAAGTTCTTGGAGTGCTCATTGAAGGGTCTACAAGATCTTCAAACATTCAGTACCAATGGTTCATGTATTATGATTAACGGTCTCATTAAATCTCGTGGTGGTGAATTGATTGACTACGTACCAACACTTGTTAAAGGTTTACTTGGTTCCATGGAAGGTATCACCTCTGACACAACCATGAACGGTACACTCGTATCACTTCGTTCACTTGCAAATCATCATCTCATTGAAGTACTTACTGTATTACTTGATTTCCCAATGCCACATACAATGTAAATATATATATATATCTATCTAGTTAGTTAGATTTATTTATTAACAAACCATTTCAAATTTAATTTTAGTCATGTTATTAAATCTTTACAAATCATTGCAAAGGATAAGAATTTAGTTGTACCAACAATCACTCATTTGATGGATCTTTTGAATAATAAACCGGTCTATGAAGATAAACCAGATCCAAAGGATAAGAAAAAGACAATTCCACAACCATATTTGGTTGCGTTGGCTGCCACTTGTTCGATTGGTGAGATTCTTCAGGTTGAGGACTTTGCAGATGTTGCAGGTGCCTACTACTGCCAGTTGTTCTCCACGTTGGCATTGCGTGCCGGTACCACCAATAACTCGCTGCCAGCAACTATCGACCCACCAGCATCCAACCCAAAGGCCAAAGGAACTCAGATCATTCCTTCGCAACAGTTGGTTGCTTCATTCCGTCAATTCTTCAAGTGCACCAAGGAAGATGAGATTCTCGAGGCCATCGAGGCCAAGGGAAGCATGACCGGACTCGAAACACCAACCTACCACGTCGCCATCCAGGAGATCACAGCACAATTCGCCATAGCACATCCCGATCTCATCAAGGGTGTCTTTGAATACCTGATCCCCTATCAACGTGCCAATCATATTCCTCAACGTATCATCACTATCGCTGTCTTCTCAGAGTTGATCAACCACACCAAAGACAAAGAGCTACTCCAGCGTCTCATCAACACATTGTTGAATGCATTGGTAGAGCCAGCCGTCAAGTTGATCTCACTCAAGGGTCTATCGAACATTGTCAGTGCCGGCGAGGAGCAGACCAACCGTTATGCACCAACCGTTATCGATGCAATTTCATCGTCGATCGACGACGCCGACGAAGTCATGGCAATGGAATCGATGTTGGGTCTCTCAAAGATCTTCACACTCGTCAATGAATCTCGTGTCGCCCCGATTCTCGTCAACATTTGCAATCGTATCAAACCGGCATTCGAGAAACCAAACAATGAAATCCGTGCAGCATCGTTCACCCTCTTTGGTAGTCTCTGGAGATTCGGTTCGGGAATGGCTGCAGATCCATTCTATGAACAGATTCACTACAATCTACCGGCAATTGTAATGCATCTCAACGATGAGAGTCCATTGGTTCGTGATGCCTGTAAAGTTACTTTGCGTCACCTCTCTAAACTCCTCAGAACCGAAGAAGCCAAGATATTTTTCCACAGAAGAAACTTTGATGTCGATGGTTCACTTGATTATGATGAGTTCTTGGATGAATTCTCAAAGTTATTGGTAATTATTAATATATTTTCATATAATTGTTGTTTTAAAGCAATTGAAACTAATTGGTTGGTTGGTTTGTTTATTTATTTATTATTTCTGCAGATTGCTTTGTATATTGATAGAATCAATTACTTTATTATGACAACACTTGAATACTATAAGAGTAATTGGACAGTACTCAGAGGAAATGCAGCAACACTAACTGGATTCATTTTGGGTAATCTCTCTGAAGATAAGAGAATCACTACAACCATTAATCCAACAATTATTACCAAATCACTCATCTCTTTGCTTTCTGAAAAATCACCATTGGTAAGGAAGAAGGCTGCTGATTCATTGTCACTCCTACACACATATTAAAAAAAAAAAACAAAACCAATTGAAATATTTAAAATAAAAACTTTATCTGTTAAAAAAAATATTGATATAACTTTGATTGATTCTATATAAAGAAAGTGTAGAATACGTAAACTCTCTGTAATATATAAATTTGTAGAAAATTATAAAAAAAATCTAGATTTTTATTAAATTTTATGTTTTTTATTCTTAAATCCAACAACAACATTTCATAATCAACATTTCATTTTTTGATTATTGTAGTTATTAATAGTTAGTAATAATGGAAGATCAAATTAATAGAAGGTTATCAGTATTATCTGATCATTTACAAACAAATCAAGTCAGTTCAAACACTGAAAGTAATGATGTTGATTCTCTAGATTACTACAGTATTACACAGCTACTTAGCAATGATCAACTGGACATTAGAAACAAAGCTAAACAATTTGCAGAACAACATATACAACCTATTGTAAGTACCTTTTTATTAGTTTGTTTGAACCATATTAATATAGTATTACGAAATAGGTAAATGAATACTATGAAAAAGCAGAGTTTCCAATGCATTTACTACCTAAACTCAAAGAATTGAATTGGGCTGGTTCAAATATTAAAGGTTATTCTTGTCCTGTATGCTTATGTTTAAATTTGAAACCATTTATTTTTGAAAACCTTAATTAATTACTAATTAAATATTAAATAATTAAAACATTATAATCAATTAAGGGTATTGATGCAGTTTCATGTGGATTGATTGCTTTCGAATTTGCAAAGAAGAGTGCGGATATCGCTACTTTCTTTGGTATTTTACAGACTATATCGATGTTGCCAATATACTATTGTGGTAGTGAGAAACAGAAGCAATATTACTTACCAAAGATGGCATCGATGGAAAAGATTGGTGCATTCGGTCTAACAGAACCCAATGCTGGTAGTGATGCCGCCGGTCTCTTCTGTGAAGCCAAACAGAACTCGGATGGAACCTGGACTTTGAACGGTGAGAAGCGTTGGATTGGAAATGCTCCATTTGCAGACGTTGTTATCATTTGGGCAAGAAACACAGACACCAAACTAATCAATGGTTTCGTCATTGAAAAGAATACTCCTGGAATGACTGTTGAGACCATAAATAATAAGATTGCATTGAGAATGGTACAAAAGTAAGTAAAATATTTCATTAAAAAAATTAGAAACAAATAGCTAATTATACTTTATTTATATTATTATAAAATACAGTGGACATATCTATTTAAAGAATTGTATATTATCAGATGAAAATAGATTACCTTTAGCCAAAGACTTTGGAAGTGGACCTGGCAAATCGTTGTTCCTTACCAGAATCGTTGCTAGCTGGATAGCTTTGGGTATCGCTTGCTCTGCCTATGAAAGTTGTATTAAATATGTAAAAGAGAGAAAGCAATTCGGACAATCGCTGGCAAAGTATCAATTGGTTCAAGAGCGCTTGGTAAAGATGCTCGGTATCATTCAATCGATGTCACTTATGACTCTAAGAATATCACATCTTTTCGATCAAAATAAGCTTACCTACGGACAAGTTGGATTGTTAAAAGCACACAACACATCACACGGTCGTCAAGTAGTCTCAATGGCCAGAGAATTGCTCGGTGGCAATGGAATAGTCACCGACTTTGGTGTTGCCAGAAGTTTTGTAGATATGGAGGCTGTACATACATTTGAAGGAACCTACGATATCAATACATTGATCACCGGTAGAGAAATAACTGGATTTCCAGCTTTCAAAACTGGAAAATAATAATAAAATCATAGAAAAATATCATATCATTTATCCAGAAAAAGAAAAATAACAAATACTAATTTATTATTTTTTTTATTTATTTATTTAATCATCTTCATCTTCATCGCTATTCTCTCTATCTTCCTCTTCGTCGTTTGCAATGTTACTATTTAAAGTTACCATTGAAATTTGACTGGTTCTCATTGATCCAGACACTGATAGTTGAATGGAGCTGTTGGCTACAGTATTTTGCTGAGTGACTCCATCGGTGGTTGTGTTGAGATTCGAGTTATTGGTGGTGATTGAGCTGACACTGAAGAATGAAGGTGCCCATTTCTTAATGAGTTCGACAAATCTGTTCTTAAAGACGGGTGACAGTAACCATATCTTTTTGGTACGCTTGGTGAATCCATAGAAAAAAAGAATTTCAATACCAAAGATACGTAGGAAGAAGAGGAATGTTATTTGACTCTTGTATGGAACTGTAATGGCATGAGATGCACACGCTGGATCACCTTTGGTAGAAACAAGACACTTCACATAGTCTGCCATGTTATTATAGTAACGATCCATATTATCTTGAACATAGAAATGGTAAATGAAACAATACATAAACTGAGAGAATATAAACAATACTATGATAAATGGTTTTATATTCATTCTCAGAATTCTCATTTTACTACTTCTGCCATTGATTTTTGAGACTGCTGTTACAATCTATCAGTAGAAAATAAATAATAAAAGCAAGTTCAAATTAATATTAATAAAATGTATTTACACCTGTTAATTCTTAATGATCATTAATTACCTTATAGATTTCAAAACAGATTAAAAAGATAAATGAAATACCGACAAACAGACAGACACACAAAGGAATCCAAAATACACCATTCTGCCAAGCATCATCCATTACCCAACAACCTAATCCACCAACAGCATAACCATATTGTTTACCGAAAATAGGTACAATTGCCAAAACGATTGCAATTACATTGATAGTACTAATATAATATCTAACATAAGATTTAACATTTTGAACTTGAAGAATAGAAATTATTTTAGTAAAATTTTTGTTAATTATTATTGTTTCTTTTTACCTACCTTTTCTGATGACTAACCATAAATCAAATGCCATTGATGCCCACCAAAGCATTGCAGATACAACACCATATTGAAAAATAAAACCGGCAGCAGCACAACTACTGTCAGATTGACGAGCAAATCTTCCTGGGTCTGGACAAATAGAATCCCATCCACCTGCAATAAATATCAAATCTGACAAAGTCATCAAGAACACTGAGAATGAAAGAAATATAATTCCAAATGCATGCCTATCAAATTTTCTATTCAATCCAACATAAGTTATTAAATTCATTGAAATGCAGAAAAATGATATCTAAAAGAAAAAAGTTGGTAAGAACTACTATAATTAAAAGTATTAATTTTAAAATTAGCAGACATACAGGTGAAACAATACTAATCATTAATCTCATGTTACTCCATTGACTATGTGTAAAGAATGGCGCTGGACATGGCATCAGACAATCGATTCCCTCCAAAAGATAGTATCCCTTATCGAGATCTGATTGTCGGTCTTTAGTAACATGATGAATCAAAGGATCGGGACATGTTCCATTGATAGGTGCTAATGTTCCATTCTGTGCGGTCGAGGAGGAATTCAAGCATTGCACTTGAACATTGGCCGGTCCACCGTATGAACTGAGATCATATTGATTGTAGTTGGGTGGATAGTTATAGATATTCTGGGAGTTTACTAGATCACAATTTATCTCATCTAAATTAAGACCAGCTGGTATACACAAGTCAGAGACATGCTTACAGTTGGCCTGGCAAACACCAACACCTAGATTTATAACTTTGTTATTGGGCAAGCCTTGAGGTTTACACTCTGGAAAGACAGCATTACAAAAAAACTTTCGATTGTTGCTGTCATCAGCCAAACATTGTGAAGTGGCAGCATTATAATAGCTCTGAATCAAATCGATTTGAGAAACCATAACACTTTGTGATCTACTGGTTGAAACATATATAGAACCTATTTTCTATTAGATAAATGGAATGTATACATTGATGTGAATAAAAGATACTTACTTGGATTTTTAATTAATCCAGTACAAAAAGAGTGTCCAACCCAAGGCTCACAGGTAGCATTAGGGTCAAGTGTATAAAAAAATTGTTGTGAGTTTGTAGATGTAGTCAAAAGTGACAACACCAACAAAAGTGAAAGTTTAATAAATAAGTTTAGATGACTACAATACATTTTTTTTGTTTCTTTTTTTTTTTTTTTATCTGATTGAGTAAGTTTTGTTGTTATTCAACAATGAAAAGAATATTACTTTTCTCTTAATCAATCCGAATCTTTTATTTAAATTTAAAAATATACAAATAAATAAATAAATAAATTTTATATATATATAGTGATAATTATTATTATTAATAATTAGAATTGAATTTGTACAAATGATGTTGATTAAGTTGTAGGATATTGTTAAAAAAAAAAAAAAGAAAGGGTCTGATGAGTAGGATCATTCACAATCAAAAAATCCTAATGACTTTAGTAGGTAGGAGCAAAGAATGCTATTGCCTATTGACGATCATCGTGTGCAAATGATATCAATATTGTAGCAGGTGATAGTGATATCAAATGATTGCAGTAACCGCTAACCTACCAACTTTATGTATGATGTTGATGTGTTATTGCTTAATAATTGCCTGATTAAATACTTTAATAACAACAATTTCCATTTTGGCTCTATATAATGTTGTGTCAGCTCATTGATTTTTTGCAAAGCAAGGATCCTTCAATGCAAAGGTTGGTTGCAATACCCACACTAAATTATTATTAGTTCCGTATTCAACAAACAATTCAAATTAATCTAAATTTACAACGAAAATATCGATAGCTGCCTGGTGAAAACTGGACCACAGACACACCTACATCAATGTCCAACAGGTTGTTGAAAAAACAAAAAAAAAGACAAACAACACCACACCTCCAATTGCAAACAACCTTTAAAACTTTTAATTTCGCCTTTAGGAACGGAAAAGTTTTTACAAAAAAACAAAAACAACAAGAAAATCTGAATCTACATCGGATTTTGATGATGAGGTGTTACAAATTTTTAAAGGTTATCGGGTTGATAATTTAAACTTAAATTTTATATTTAAATTATTTGAATGTAATGAAAAGAATATTAATCTCGGACTATCAAAGCTAATACTATTTATGTTGAAATTTTTAAATAAAATAAAATAAAATACATTTTAATTTTAAAACAAAGATTACGTTGATCAATGGGATTGTATTCAATTCTTTGATTGAGTGATTGAATGTTCCCATTTTGTTGTATGGATACGATTTATTTAGATCAATCGGATTTTGTATTGTTGTATAAACCAACAGATAAAATTAAATTTTTATGTTGCTTGTTTTAATTGATGACAATAACTGTGTGTGATCAACAACATATTCTATATTAACATTCATATGAATGTTAATATTAACTTCAAGAAATGAAGATGATGATCAAAATGGAATATATATATTGGTATGGTATGTTTATTCCATATTTGTCTTATGTTCAAAAATAAAATCATATATATGGTGATTCTGAAATTGGTTTGTGTGTTTATGTCTGTCTAAGTGTGTGAGTGTGTTTTCGTGTTTTTACGACGGTGTTTTAGTGGTTTAGTGTTAAGGTGGTGTTATATATACGCGTGTTGATGTCCTGAAGTGGTGTGTTGTTTATTGGGTTGTCTTTAAACTCATTCCTCTCTCTCTCTACCTTCTGTCCTCTCCATTTATTTGATGAAATTTATATGTATTAATTATATTTGATTAGTTATAATTTGATTTATTACTATTTTAATGCAATATTGTTTAATTCTATAATTATATATAAATAGATTGTATCAACATAACATATCAGTAGCATGACTATACTGATAGACATTAACAATCACACATTCACACACACACTTTAACTATGCATTATAAATCTTTGATAAATCAACAATTAATAAATAATCAATCAATGTGTTGTGGTGAGTTTTTATTAAGTTGTTGGTTGGTAAAGGGTGCTTTTGTTGTTGATATGATTGGTGGTGCATAAAAATTGATAAAACAACAATGTTTAACTTGTTCTTTTTGGTTGATGATATTTATATTTATGAAAAAGAAAATAGAATACTATATCTTATCTTTCTTTATCTACTAATAATAATACTAATATTTATTTATTTAATATTATCATTTTATCATTTTATCATTTTAAATGAAAATTTTAAAATTTTCATTCATTTCAACAACTCATTCACTAAAAAAAGAAGAAAGAAAATCATTTTATTTATTGAAACAGAAACAAGAATTACAGAGAATTGCTTCAACCCTTCTATAATATAATATAATTACATAATTATAATCACATTACAAAACTAAAGTAAGTTCTAGAATTAATTTTAAAGTATAATCTATCTACAATAACAAATGGTGGTCAATATCTTTACTTTATAATTTGTCGGAAAATCATAAACTGTTTCATTTATTAAATTAATGATTCTATCTATCGACTCGACTGTGATTGGTAGGAATGATTAGAATCTAGATTGCACATTAAATTGTTTTCTTTTTATTTTTTAGATTTTTGTTATGACCTGTGTGCATGGTTGCCCCTCCAACAAACAACATTACAAAACCAAAAAAAAAAAAACACAAAAATTGATAAAAAAAAAAAAGGAAAAATAATTTACAATTTAAATTGAAAAACAAAAAAACCATTAGCTAATAAAAATAACTATTATCATAATCAATTAAAGAAAAACACACTCCACACTATTTTCAAATCTTATAATAATATATAGTTCATTAATTTAGTTACTTTTAGAAATAGTACAACAACGAAAACGAACATCACCATCCACATCGACATCATCATCAAATTAAGATCTTAATTAATTTGCATCGTCGTGTTTGTTGATAATTATTACCTCATCGTCTCGTTGTAATCTTTATCGTTTTCATTACCTTATTAATAAATATTTTTAAAAAAGGATATATTACCCGATTATATTAATGAAACAGTTTTTCTTATAATAATCATACATTTGCATATCATATTATATTTAAATATAAATCATCAATCATAAGAAATCACCATATTAATATATCATACTTTGTATAATTATATAGTCAATCAAAATAAACATAAATCATAAATCAATCATTATTAATTTTATTGTTTTAATAAATAGTTCTTTTTAAATAGCATAGATAGATAGATAGATAATTTAGATATAAATAGTAATAATAATAACAATAATAATATAATAAAAAAAAAGTAAAAGTTAAAAATAATTAGTTTAGTTTAGTTTGGTTTGGTTTAGTTAGTAAGCTACTAAATAGTTAGATAGATAGATAGATTAGATCGATAGATAGATTGTTGTGACAGTAAATTGATAGGGGATGAGAGATCAGTCATCTATGATGGCTATTAAGAAACCAATCAATGTCAAGCAACTCTCTGATAAGCTAGGAGTGACGATCTCACCGGAGGATCCTGGCACTATATTTCAGAGACAGGAACGATTGGGACGTGGATCGTTTGGTCAGGTGTTTAAAGCGATCAATATCAACGACGGCACTGTAGTGGCCATCAAAATCATATCGCTCGACGACCAAGAAGCAATCAAAGACGTCCGAAAGGAGATATCGATACTGTCAGAGTGCAACGACACCAACATCGTCCAGTACTATGGCAGTTACTTTAAGGATCACCAACTCTGGATTGTCATGGAGTATTGTGGTGGTGGTTCTGTTGCCGACCTCGTTCAGGTCGTCGAGGTGCTGAGTGAAGACGAAATCTCACTCATCTGTCGTGAAGCACTCAAAGGACTACAATACCTACACAACTGTAAAAAGATACATCGTGATATCAAAGGTGGAAATATATTATTAAATGATAAAGGTGAAGTTAAATTAGGTAAGTTATAAATGATATGAAATGTATTATTATTATTAGATTAGAATACTAAACATTTTCAAATTGTGTGATTATAGCTGATTTCGGTGTTAGTGCACAATTGTTTAGTACATTCTCAAAGAGAAATACATTTGTTGGCACACCCTATTGGATGGCACCAGAGGTTATACAGGAGAATAAGTATGATGGAAAAGCCGATGTTTGGTCACTGGGTATCACTGCTCTCGAGATGGCAGAGACTATTCCACCCAATGCAAATGTACATCCAATGCGTGTTATTTTCATGATTCCCAGAGAGGATCCACCCACCCTACAGAATAGAGAAAAGTGGAGTCCAAAGTTTCATGATTTCCTTTCGAAATGTTTAACTAAAGATCCAATGCAAAGACCTACTTCTGAAGAGTTATTAAAGGTATGATTAATAATCATTGCTTGTTACAATATTGTCTTGATCAACAACAACAACAATTTTACTAACAAAATAATAATGATGATGATGATGATTATTTAGCACGAATTTGTTCAAACCAATAAATCTATAAGTATATTGGGAGATTTAATAGAGAAACGTAGACATATATTGAATTCAGCAGAGTTTTACGATGATGAAGAGGAGGAGGATGCTGGATACGTTGAGAAGAATAGCGATGATGAAGAGAACTACTCAACTGTGGTTACAAAGGAAGACACTGCAAACTACTCGACTGTGGTCACCAAGGATGAGAATTACAATAATGCCAATAACAATCATACTGGTAAAGAGAATAATAATAGTAGTGGTAGTAACAGTAGCAGCAGCAGCAACAACAACTATTCAACTGTAATTAGTAAAGACGATAATGGAAACTACTCTACCGTTGTAACCAAGGACGAAAACTATAGTAACTACTCCACTGTTATATCAAAGGATGATAGCTATTCGACCGTGGTAACCAAAGACGACAATGGTAACTACTCCACTGTAATATCAAAGGATGATATCTACTCGACTGTAGTCACCAAAGACGATGCCGGCTTCTCAACTGTTGTCAGTAAAGATGATCTGTACAACAATAACAGCCATAGCAGTGGTGGTGGTGCGAGTAACGGTAATATTAAAAAGGAATCTAATGGTAACGGCAACGGTGTAAGCTCACCGAGTGTTGTTAAAAAGTTAATCAATCAAAATAACAATAATAACAATAACAATATTAATGTTGTTAAACAACAACAACATCAACAACAACAACAACAACAAAATGGTAATGGATCGACATCATCTGTAGATGTATCGTTATCTCAACAGAAACCAATATCACTGAAACCACCTCTTACCAACGGCAGCAGTAGTAAGGCATCACCTTTGAAATCAAATAATAGTATAACCAATAGCAATAGTAACAGTAGAGACCAGCTATTAAAGACTAGCAACAACAACAACAATATCAATATAACACCCAAACAACCTTTAACACCAGTCTCTAAACACAATTTACAAAACAAACCATTGTCACCAATCACCAGAAAACCATCGACACCTGTATCACAACAAAAATCAAAATCAAAAGAACCAAAAGAAACATTGTCAGAGAGTGTATGTTAATATAATATTATCGCAATTAATTTAGTATATCAACTAACAACAAATATATCCGTGATTATTTTTAATAGCTACATGCAATCTATCGAAGTGATTGTACAATCCAAATACCATTTTTAACTTTGAATAGTTTGTCTACAGATTTCCTTTTGAACAATGAACCAAAACATAATGATTATAGTGGAACATTAAGTGATCTATGTCCTGATTCTGTAAGTATTAGTTTATTTATATTTTTATTATTTGATAAAGTTTATAGCATTTTAATTAATATATTGTTTATTTTTTTAAATTATTAATAGTTGTTAGAATCTAGTAGATTGGCATTCAATATATCAGTAGGAAATTTAATTAAATCACTTACCTATCATAAGGATAGACAAGAGAATGTTTTATTTACTCCAAAGGAATCGTTACAAAACACAAAAGTAGTTGGTGATTTAAGTTCAACTGTAAAGACTATTTATAGATTGTAGACAATAATCAATGTAAGTCAACTCGTATTTTATATTATATATATATAAGCAAGATTCCATTTCAACAAGTTGGATTGAATAAATCAAATAAATCTTTTCAACCTACAACAACAACAACAATAATTATAATAACAATCATAGTTAGTTAATGATTCAATCAACATCATTGAGTGTTCTTTCTTTAAGACCAGTTAACTATCATCGACCATGTTTAAAACATTGTATACTCAATTTCCAATTCCATAATAAAACAATACCAAATATATATTATTATTTTTGAGTATATATATATATATATATATTTATAGTCTTAGATTTATACATGTTTCTTTATTTATATTATAAAACAAAACAAAATAAGTTTAGATTTATAAATTTAAATGGTTATTATTATAGTTATTTAGTTGGTGTTTCTTCATTTGGTCTTGGATATTTACGTGGTCTACCAACTTTTCTCTTTTCAATTACAGTAACATCTTGTTTATCGGGTGAATTCATAGTTGAATCTTCTTCAACTACTTCTGTCTTTTCATTGTTTGTTTCTTTTTTGTTTGGTGTTTCTTTTGAGTTGTTTTGTTGTTTGTTATTTGGGGTGACCGCTGTCTCTTTCTGTGGTGTGACGGCTGGTGTGGTGGTACCTGTTGCTGCTGCCGCTGCTGCTGCTGCTGCCGCTCTTCTTGTAGTGGTAGTTGTAGTGATTGGTGGAGTCGGTGTCATTGCAGGTGACTTTGAAGGTGCTGTTGCCGGTATTGGTGGTTGACTCTTTGGCGCCGAATTCACAGATGTCGCAACACTCTTTGGTATTTCACGCTTTCTCTTATTATTGTTGTTGTTATTTGATTTCTTTGATTTATCTTCATCACTATCGAAATCATCGTCATCCTCCGACTCGTTATCATATTCCTCTGAATCCTCCTCTGAATCCGATTCACTACCGTCTTGGTGTACTCTCTTAACCCTGTAGACTCTAGGTGGTCTACCTCTTCTTTTCTTTGCTGGCGGTGTTGGCTTGGTTGATCCATCTTCTTCACCGCTATCGTCACCACTCTCACCATCCTCATCGATATCGTCGTCTTCTTCTTTTCCGGATTCACCTTCGTCCTCGCCATCTTCTCTCTCTTCATCGACATCGTCTTCCTCGTCATCGTCGTCGTCGTCATCCTCTTCGTCATCGTCATCGTCATCGTATTTCTTCTTTCTTGGCGATGGTTTCTTTGAAGGTGGTGAGTGTTGACTTTGACCGTCTTCTCTTGAGCCAGAGGAGATGGCAGCAAGCGCAGGAATAGACATTTTCAATGATTCATGCATGATTGGACTAGCTTTAATGTGTGCAATCATTGCTTGTTGCTCGTCATAGAGTCGTTGTTGCTCGAGATACTCTTTCTTTGGACGACCAGGTCCACGTCTGGCGGGTGGAGGTGCTTGCAGTGGCATCGAAAGCAACTCTTGATTCCAAGGCAAGCCATTGACAGTTGGCGATGTCGTTGCATTACTGCTTTTTAGGTTGGGTGTGGTGAAAGGAGATCGCTCCTTACTGTTGGGTGTCGACGGATACGATGAATTGGCCGACGATGCACCGGACATCGATAGCAAATCCTTTGCCGAACTCTGACTCTGCAGTTGAGGTTTGTCTCTTTTCGACGACGACAATTTATCTTTTAAATTTAGAGATTGCGATGAAAACAAGTCATCTGGTGGTATTTCGAATGGTGTTGTATCATTCTTTTGTCTTTCATATTCTTTTTGATAACTATTGAAATCTAAACTATTGATATAATTATGGAGTCTGATTTTCATTTTTGAAAAAATATAAAAATTTATTAAAAAAAATAGCTCAACAAATAATAATATGACTATTATTCTATATATATCTTTTACTATTTATTTTATAATATAAAATTATTCGATCTATTAATATTATTCTATTTTCTTTTGTTATCTATTTATTTATCTCTCTTATTTTTTTTTTCTTTAATGCAATTTTGGTTTCTCAAAAAAAACTTTTTTTTTTTTTTTTTTTTTTTTTTGTATTTTTAAAAAATAGATCAATCTTTTATTATATTTTTTATTGTATTAAAACAATATTGGGATTGGACATAATTATTTATTTAAAAAATTATAACAATGAGAGAGAATCATTATTAAATTCTTTACTATGATAAAAAATTTTAAAAATAAATGTAAATAATATTTTTTTTAGTTAATAAACAATTTAGAAATAAAAATTAATTTAAGTTATAAAAATATCTCAAAGAATTAATTAACCTGAATTATTTAAAGTCTGTATTATTTTTGGACCAAAACAAACAAATAGCACTGAAAAAAAAACAATACTCCACAACATTTCTAGAAAATCGGGAATGCTGTGTTTTTTTTTTTTAATTTAATAATTAAAAAGACTGACATTGCAATAACCAAAAGTAGAACACGACTCAAACAAACCAATTTTACTCTTTAATCATCTTGTATAAATACTAAATATATAATACAAAATAATAATCATTTTTCAAGTAAAGTAAAGTTATTAATTCAACTGTCGGAATTTAATATCAAAAAAATTAATCTTTTAAAAAAAAAAAAACCGTTAGACCAGTTAGTTAATTAAAATATTAATTAAAATCAAAACATTAGATTCACCTCTTTATATATATACATCAAATTTTAATAGTAATAATAACATAGTAATACAGAATGTTTGAAGGTTTCAATGAATCAACCTCAGAGTTTGGAAGTTTCTTAGAGAAGAGTCTGACAAAGTCTGTCAATAATGTCGTGCTTAAACTAAGAACTGCTGTTTCAAAAGACAAAAATAGATTCGTCAATGATGAATTCAATCTAGATCTATCGTATATTACAAATAGAATCATAGGTAACTTTTAATTTAATCGGCATCAAGCTAATGTTTGTAATACTAAACAATTAATACAATTGAATAATAGCAATGGGATATCCATCGTCAGATGTTATCGAATCCAATTTCAGAAACTCAAGAGCAGATGTCAAAAGATTCTTGGATAAATATCATCCCGATAAATACTTGATTCTCAATCTTACAGAACATCCATACGATCCAGCTTACTTCTCTAACCGAGTTCACCATCTTGGTTGGCTAGATCATCACTCACCAAGTCTAAGTCTTCTTCTGTACTCCGTACAAATCATTCATCAATGGTTAACTCAAGATCCACAAAACATCGTTGCAATTCATTGTGCTGTAAGTGTAACACAACAACAACAACAACATACATACCCCAACCGATATTAAACTAACACTATCTATCATATCAATAAAAGGCTGGAAGAGGTAGAACTGGTACTTTAATTTGTGCATACTTAGTATCGACTATTATGTATGAAGGAAAGTTGGACGAAGTATTGCGATTGTTTGCTCAGCAACGTTCCTCAACTGGCGAGGGTGTAACCGTTCCCAGCCAGGTGAGATACGTCGACTATGTCAACCAGTTGTCGACTATGAAGGTGGATATCTCGCTGGCACAGAAACCAAAGGTACTTTCGATTCGCTCGCTTATAATGAAGCCAATTCCCAGACAATCCGGTTGGAAGCCAGTCGTCGATATCTACAATGTCAATCTGCCATTGCAACCGGTGTTGTTGTTCACCAACAGAGACAGCAACGTGCAAAACATCAAGTCCTACAATGGCAGCGATGCCGCTGCCATGGTCAACACGCGTGACATCATTGTGAGTGGTGACATTCTCATCAAGGTGTACGACCTGAACGAGATCATCTCGACACTACTCGATAAGCCAACCTTTAGATTCGCATTCCACACCTCGTTTATCAACAACTTTTGTTTGGACTTGAACAAAGATCAACTCGACGACTCCAATGCCAATCTCAAGAACAACCAATATCCCAATGATTTTTCGATTCGTTTAATGTTTGGTGAAGTAGAGCCACAGCAACCACAAGTACAATCATATCAACAACAACAACCATATCAACCACAACAACAACAACAACAACAACAACAACAACAACAACCACAAGCACAACAACAACCTCAATCAAATGAAAAGTGCAAAGGTGATGATGATTATGATATCTAATCAATTTTTCAACTATATATAATATAATTGTACTATTAAATTAATATCTATATTTAAACTTTGAAACCTTTATTTATCTTTTTTTTTTCTTTAAAATTAATAAAAACTTTTTTTTATATTTTTTTCTTAAAAATTTTTAATTAAAAAGTTTAATAAAATCAAAAAAAAATTTTAATCAAAAATAATCATAGTTCAATTTTTGTATCATATCTATCTAACTATTTATCATTTATATATATCATTAATATAGTTTATAAAGAGAATTGAAAATGTCATCATTCCCAGAGATTCAAAAATATATCGATGAAAGAGATTTCTTGAATGTTTTATCATGGTGTCAAGAAAGAGAATTAAAAGTATGATTAATATATAAACAATTGATTGTGATTAGGATTCATCTAATTATACTAACCAACAATAAAAAAACAATGATAACAGTCTCTTGATAAACCAGATAGTTTTAAGAAATATTGGGGTGTTTATTTGATTGCTTATTTGATTCAAAATGATATGTATGTGGTTACTTTACTTCTTGCCTCTTTCTCTCTCTCTCTATTTTAAAGATTCAATAACTAATATTAATATCAACTATCAACTATCAAACACAGTGTAAATGCTAGATTTTTATGGCACAGAATACCATCAGAAGTTAAAGGTGCTGATCAACATTTGAAGAGTATTTGGTCACTTTTGAAACATCTGTCACAATTGAACTATCCACACATCTATAAATCACTTTCATTAAACTATGGTTCTGAACTCACACCACTCATCACTATACTTAAAGGTATTCTATCGATCGATGAATCTGATCATCCACCAACAAAACAAATGACTAACCAATCACATTTTATTTTTCTTAGAAACATTCCAAAATCGTACATTCGAATTGATCTCAAATTCATTCACCAATATCTCTATTAAAGATTGTAGCTCCTATTTAGGTATTTCACCAGAGGATACTCTCACCTGTATGTATGCTGATAATAATAATAATATGTTTATGTAAGTTGAAACAAAGATCTAACTTTTTACATCATAAACAAATAACAGTTACACAAGCACAAGGATGGACAAAAGATACAAGCTCTGAATCATTGAAGCCAGTTCCAACCAAAGCAAAGGAACACCAAGTTAAATCAGCAAATCATCAAATCAACTCATTGACCAACTTTGTACTCTTCTTGGAGAAGTAGATCAAGAAAGAACTAACAACTCAATACAAACAATATGATAACGACGACAATAATAATAATAATTTACACAACTTTTGAAAAACAAAACAACAATTCTTATTCAAAATAACATTAAATAGGTGACATTGTATAACTACAACTTTAAACAGATCTCTTTTAAGCTTATTTGTATTGATATTGAGGTGTGAACTTCCAAATTGTAAAAATTTGAATATTTAATTTTTTCACCATCAACGGTTGTAAAAACAAACAATTGTTTTTAATTTTATTTCGATTTTCAATATTTATTTTTTAATTATTTTTTATTTTTTCTCAAAAATATAAATACTCAACAGGTCACCCACGCACGTTCTCTCTCCTTTTTTCAATTCATTTCACCAAAAATCCAACTACCATTAACATATACTATAACTATAGTTTTTGTTATCTCTACCTATTATTCGACCAGTTGTTAGTTAATTATTTAACCTAACAAACTATAATATATTCAATTTATATACACTATTTATTTCTTTTATATATTTTCTATTATTTTCTCTATTCTATTTTTAGAGAACATAATTTTTAAATATATATAACTAATAAATTAACAAAGACATCTGTCTTTCTTTTTTTTACTTTTTTATTTTTTAATTTTTTTTTAATCAAAGATACTTGTTAACAAATAATTAAAGATCTTTTATTTATTTTTTTTCTTTTGAGTAAACAACTTGTTATTATTGTTGTGTTATTGTTTGTAAATATAAAATCTTATTATTATCTATATTAAGTTGTTAAATAATAGTAAAACATATTTTATCTATATCTATATTTTTTGTTACTGCTTGATTTAAAATTGAAAACTACTTCTATTTATTATTTAGAGGTCGACTACACACATTTATATTAAATCTTTTAATTAAATTCTCACCTTTTATCATACACTTCTCTTTCTTTCATTTCAATCTTTCTAAATAATTATATAAAAACATGAGTTCAAATCTTGCTGCTTCCACATCTTCTGGACCATCAACTCAAGTTGATCTATCAAAACACCCTTCTGGTATTGTACCTGTATTACAGTAAGAGATCGATTCCAATACACTATACTATTCATACATTATAAAATAAATAATATAAAATAATAAAAAAAAAACTATAATATACAATCATATAATAAAAAAAAAAAAATAATAACAATATATATATTGTAAAAATATAACAATATATATATATGTGTAGTAAAATTAAGATCAAATTAATTATTGTTCTGTTATGAGAGAATTTTATTATATTTACAATTAATTTTCTTTTTTTTATTTATTTATTTACTTTTTTTATTTTTGTTTGTAGGAATATTGTGTCAACCGTTAATATGGGTACTCAGTTGGATCTAAAGACTATTGCTTTGGGTGCTAGAAATGCAGAGTACAATCCAAAGCGTTTTGCAGCGGTTATCATGCGTATCAGAGAACCAAAGACCACTGCCCTCATTTTCAAGAGTGGAAAGATGGTCTGCACCGGTGCCAAGTCAGAGGAAGCTTCCAAGCTTGCCGCAAGAAAATACGCTAGAATCATTCAAAAGCTAGATTTCCCAGCACAGTTTACCGACTTTAAGATTCAAAACATCGTTGGTTCCTGTGATGTTAAATTCCCAATTAAATTAGAAATGTTAAATAATACTCACAATTCTTTTACAAATGTAATTATCACACTCTCTATTTCCATATATTTTTAATCTAAATAATAATATAACTAACAAAAAACTATTTATTTTTTATTTTTCTATTTTATCTTTTAATAATTCTCATTACTCTCTTGTTATTTATTAAACTAAAATAATATTCTATTAAAATGCACACCAAATAATAATCATCCATTTCTTTAAAAATAATAATAATCACAAAAATCATAACACCACCACAGTATGAGCCAGAAATTTTCCCAGGTTTAATTTACAAAATGATTCAACCCAAAGTAGTACTTTTGATTTTCGTATCGGGCAAGATTGTATTGACTGGTGCAAAGGTAACTATCATAATTACAACTTACAAGAAAACAGAAACAGAAAAATAGAATATTAATATTATTATTTTAGGTCAGAGAAGAAATCTATGAAGCATTTGAAAATATTTATCCAGTGCTTACCACATACAAAAAACAAGTGACTGCTCCCCCTGCCGAAAAAGAAAAGAAAGGAAGCAACAGCACCGTTAGCACTCCTGCTATCAATTAAACTCACTACGTCACTCAACAATAACATCAAACATCTAGAATATACAACACTCAACCAACATTACATATATGTACAAGCTGAATATTATTTTTTTTATTTTTATTTTTATTATAATCAGCTACAACTCGATTTTACCAAAGGAACAACATTAGAAATAGGTTCTGACTGTGTAATTTATATAATCCTTGGATACTTTTTTTTTAATATAATCTTTTTTTTTTTTTTACTTTTATTTTTTATTTATATCTTATAATAAATATAAGATCTGCAATCATAAAAGGATCTTATTGACGATCACTACTATTCAACAATCCACTCCATCCATCCAACTACATCTACATCTACTCGTTCCACTCCATCAAACAAATATGTTACAAAATAACAAGATAGAAAAAAACTAAAAAAAACAAATAAAAATGTAAAAAAACATGATAAAATTTAAAACTGAACAAGTTCTTCTTATTTTTTTTTTTTGTTTGATTGTTTTATTTACAAATAAAATAATACCTATATCTATCCTTCGTTGTTAATTATTATTATTATTATTATATTATTATTTGTTAAGTTGTTCATCTCTCATTTTCTTTTCATATAAAATCTTTTTCTTTTGGTTGATCCATTCTCTCTTTAATTCCATTAATCTCTCTGGTGTTGTGCTGTGTTTACATGTAAATTAAACAAATGATATTAGTATTGATCGATAACGTTCGTCTTTCATCATTGTTTTTATCTTTAATAATAACTTACTGTGCCTGTAGACAATCTTTCATCTTTTGTTGAGCTTCCTTACATTCCCAAATGACAGAAAGGAATTTATCTTCTGTACATTTTGCAAACTCCTTTACAGAGTCTTCGCAATCTATTAATGTTTGATCCTTCAACTTCTTTCTCAGGAAAGAGTCGATTGCAATTGGTACTACGACCTCTGAATCTGGTATACTAAGATATGCTTTATCTGCACCATCGTCAATTGTTGATTTTGAATTACCAATAGCCATTGATTGATTCTTAATATAATATATTTATAATTAACAACAATTGGTAGTATTTAAATTATTATTATTATTAATTTCGTATGATTAATCAATCAGTCATTCAACGACTTTATTGAATGCAAAATTTGTTGAGACTCTTGTAAATTACGAACTACGATGAAATTTTTGAAAAATAAATAATAAAATTCAATTTAATTTTTTTTTTGGCACGAGAATCGACTGTACCTGAGGTGTGGTGCAAGCTGCCTGACTACCACCACTGTGAAGAAACTTATCTGATACCTCGTACTCACCCTTTTCCGGATTCCTCCCTATAATGTATGTATAGAGTGTGAAACTGTCTTTGTATAGATCAATCGACTGATATATTTGTTATCTTCTCCCTACACTTCATCACACACATAGCAAATATGGCCGATAAATCAGCTGTTGTCGTTCGTACCAGAAAGGTTATGTCAAACCGTCTTTTGAGCAGAAAACAATTCGTATGTATAAGCGATACAGAGAAGAAGAAGATTAAAGATTAGTGTTAACACAAAAACAACATATTATTATGTATAGGTTGTTGATGTTGTTCACCCAGGTAAAGCCAACGTCTCAAAGAACGACTTGATCACTGCTGTTGCTAAGATCCACAAGGTCGCTGATGCCAAGACCATCTACGTCTTTGGTATGAAGACTGACTTCGGTGGTGGTAAATCCACTGGTTTTGGTTTGATCTACGATAACTTGGAACTCGCCAAGAAGTACGAACCAAAGTACCGTCTTGCCAGAGTAAGTTTCAATACAGAACAAAAGATTTTAGTTATTGTTTCCATACTAATCATTATCTCCTTACTACCTACTATTAATAAACTATAGGTTGGACTTTACACCAGACCACAAACCTCCAGAAAGCAAAGAAAGGAGAAGAAGAACAGATTAAAGAAGGGAAAGACCTCCAAGAAATAAACAACTTAATTCTGTTCATCGTTCATATTAATGGCAATATTGATTCAATATCGATTAGCGTCATCATTTGGATAGCTGTGGATTCCTTTACAATAAAAACACATTCATTAGTTTAAAAAAATGTTTGTGTTTATTATATTTTTAAACCAAAATCTATGACCCTTGATTTAGATTTCAAGCGTAATGAGAAAATTATCAATTGAGAAAAGTATACTCTAATCGTGTTTTTGTTTTGTTACCCAATTTTATAATCTTTTGACTCAACAAAGTTAATATCTTTAGTTTGATGATCTTTAGTCTTTGTTATAAAATTAACATCATGTTAAATTCAACATTCGTTGTTTATTGAATTGTTAATTTAACTCAAGACAAAGTATTATTTAAATGACATGACATACTTTTGTTATAGCAATTAATTGTATGAGTTTGATCACTTTAAAGTTCAAGAAAGAGACATTTCATCTGAAAATACTTAACTTGACAGTTTTGATTGTAGTGATAATGGTGGAGTTTCCAAATCCATTGAGTTTGACCTGGTTAAACATTAAATCTCCTTCGGATTGATATACATTTTGAGCAGATATCAACTTTCGGACTATTAGGGGTTATAAAAGTGGTATTTTACAGTATTGCTTTTAAAAACCTTGAATAACCAAGACTTTAAAAATATCACCTTTTTTAAAAATAATTGAATCGAAAAACAATTTAACACCACAAATTTTGACCAGGGTCTAAAAAAAAAGTGGTCTAATATGATTGTTAATTTAATTTTCTATTAATATATATTTTTTTATAAATACAGCTACATGTGTGTTATTAAAATCAATCTGCAATAAAACTAAACTAAATAGATCAAATCAATCAAAATAAATATTAAATACATATTTTATTTTGAATATCTTATTTAATAATAAACAATTTGATACATTAAAAAGTTATTGTATTATCATATTTCTTTTTTTGTATTAGTTCTCTTTTTTTATGTTTTATAGTTAATATTAATATTTATTTCTTGTATAAGCACAAATACATATTTTTTTTAAAAAAAAAAAAAGGAGAGCTTTATCACACGAGATATTAAAGCAGATCTCTTTTAAACGAAAATCACAATCATGGTAGAAAAAAATAAAATATCTGTTTTCAAACAGTTTATTTCAGTACTATGGTTAAAGGCATCACTATCTGTAAGTTTGTTTGATCGGAGATGATTTACTAGCTCCTATGACGGAATGTCATCTTAATATTAATTCTGACTCGCATCATTTTAATTTTTGTTTTTAGAAAAGAGATAAGAAATTCTTATTTATTGGTTTAGTCTTACCTGTATGTATTTATTACAAAGATAGTTAGTTAGTTTATATTATAAACATTCGATATATATATATATATATTAACATATTAAAATCTTATTTTTATTCTAGGCAATTTCAATTGCATTATCTATTATATTTAATTATCTTATTAATATAAATCCATCATTAACAACCAATGTCTTTTCACCTTTTACGTATGATATCGATCGATATATATATATTTAATGATACTTTATAAACTATTCTAACATGAAATATTAATATAATTATATAGTAATTTGAGTTTAACACTCATACCAAGTGGTAATGGTACAGAGAGTTCTATAGTAAAGACAATGAAAGAACAATTTGATGTTGAATTTCAAGAGTTTGATAGTCAACAAGAGATGTATAGTCTCATATTGAATGATTCATTGATGTATCAAATCGGTGGATATTCATTCAATGAAACTGTACAATCGGATGGCAATATTTCATTGACACAAAACATCTATTTCAACAGTTCATACTTTATTCCATCATTGACTCAGAATTTCTATATTTCAGTTTGTATGTATCTATACTATAGTTATCGAATATGCTTATATTAATATTTGTTTTATTGGTTGTTATTGTTATTGTTGTTGTTGTTTAGATAAATTATTGACAGGATTAGATCTTAAGATCTATGAAACACAAAATTCATTGGATACTGGTAACGTTGAAAAGTTGTTTCCTATGATTGGACCAATCATACTTCAATACGGTTATGTATTCTTGATTCCTTATTTCGCAATCTTGATTGTAATCGATCGTGAAAAGGGAATTAAGAATCATCTCTATCTCAATTCACTGCAACGTAAAGCGTATTGGGGTGGTTATTTGTTGGCTGACTTTTGTATGTTCTTGGTACCATGTATTCTCGGTTGGGCTGCACTCGCCATTGCACACATACCAGGATTCTACAACAATGCAGGATCGTTCTTCCTATTCTTTTGTTTCGGTTTAAGTTCTATTCCATTCGGTTACATCTTACAGTTTCTCTTTGCCAAAGAGGAGACTGCCAACAGTAAGTAGTTAATATATTATTAAACAATCCTAATAACAGCATACTGATAACAACATTTATTTCGATTAATTACAAATTTATAAATATAGAATGGTTATATCCTATATCATCGTTGTTTGCTATTTTACCATCTGTTATTCTCACGTTTGCTATTCAGGGTGAGACACCACTTGCCGTTCAATTGATTCTCTCTTTCTTGCCATCTTATTCACTCTACAATGGTCTTTCACAAATCGTTAGAAACCAAGGAAAGATTGGTTTAACTATCTTAATTCAATGTTTATCCGGTATACTTTACTTGTTTATTATCTAGTATGTATTGCTTGTTATATTAATTTAATGGTCATTTGTTTGTTTTATTAACATTTGTTTTTTTTTTTTAATTATTAATAAAAACAAAACAGTTTAATTGAAAAGATTGGTAGTAGACCAAGACATGCAGAGATCAAAGATATTGAGATGAGATCTGAGAAATCGGGTGATGACGATGTCATTGCAGAGAGAGATCTCATCGCTTCAAATAGACACAACAGATTGATCACTGTTGACGGTGTCTTCAAGCAATTCACTGAAGATATGCCAGATGACAAATCAGGTGTCAAAAAGAGAAAGATCAAATACGCAGTAGATGGTGTTTGGTTTGGTGTTGACAATGGTGAATGTTTTGGTTTATTAGGTCATAATGGGTAATGTTAAACTAATTATTATTAATGTTTAAAAAGAGTTTAAAAACTAACTATAAATAATAATATATAGTGCTGGTAAAACAACATTGCTAAATATCATGACTGGTATTCTTAATCCTGATTCAGGTGATGGAACTATCAATGGATATAGTATTCTCCATGATAAGGAGAATGCTTTCGAGTCGGTTGGATCGTGCCCACAATTCGATATTCTATTCGATAACCTAACTGTTGAGGAACACCTCAAGTTCTACTGTTGGATCAAGTGTCTCCCATCGGGCCAAGTGAAACCACAGATCGAATACTTCATCGACAAGTTTGAAATCGAACAACATCGTGAGAAGAAATCGAAAGAGTTGTCTGGTGGTACCAAGCGAAAGTTGAGTGTTGCCTGCAGTTTGATCGGTGCTCCCAGAGTGGTGTTCCTCGACGAGGCATCCAGTGGATTGGATCCAGTCTCCAAGCGAACTCTCTGGGCACTGATCAACGAGCTCAAAGTAGGAAAAGCTATCATCTTGACAACTCACTCCATGGATGAAGCCGACTTCCTCTGCGATCGTATTGCCATCATGAGTAACGGTAAGCTCAAGTGTCTCGGTACACCAATGCATCTCAAACACAAATATGGTTCTGGATACTCTTTGGATATTCAACCAATCGATGTATCAAACTCACATGGAATTCATCAGTAAGTAATTAGTTATTAATAATAATATTAATAGCAAGTATCGAAACAAATAATCTAATTGAATATTCATTCATTCACTATTATTATTCCAGATTTGTTAGAACTATATTCCCAGATGCTGTTCATGTTGAAAAGTTGGGTGGAATTATCACATATGATGTTCCAATCCACAAGGTATCGTTGTCCAAGTTGTTCCGAGAGTTTGAGCAAAACAAACACAAGTTGGGTATCCTAGATTTCTCGGTATCACAGACATCACTCGAAAAAGTATTCCTCAAGTTTGCATTAGAGCAATCTGCATCCGACGACAATGACAACACAATTGTCGTTAACAAAAATAGACTCGGTTGTTTTTAAAAATACTATACTCCCATTATAATGATAATCATTAATATATAATTATTAATTATCTATTCAAATAATAGTATCTAAAAAAAAAACATTTCCCCTTTATCTCTATTAATAATAATAATATTATATTTACAACCAATAAAACATATTTTATTCAAAAAACATTCAAAAATTCTATGATACATCTATCTTGATGATTCACCTGACTTTTAAGTAAGTTAGTTGTAACCTATTCGAAATAATATTTTTAATTGAGATTTTTTTTAAAAGTTTTTTTTTTTTTTTTTGCATCTTAATTAATTAGTTAGTTTTTTTTTTTCTTATTACTTTATATTTATATACTATTACTATATTGTATTATAATGGATATTGTATATAATATCTTAATTGGATATATTATATTTGCAGTGATTGTAATATACTCTTTATCGTTTGGTAACTCAAACTTTCATAGAGATGGTATAGTTGGAAAGATCAATCGATTCTTAACTACAGGTCTTCCAAACTTTTGTTCGTATGTACTATACATATCTTAATAAGATTCAGATTAAATCTATATAGCCTATGCAATTACCTAATCGTTTTCATCATTATAGATCTATATTATCATTTATATGTCCGAGATTTTTAAAGAGATACTCTGAAAGATTTATAGATTACTTTCTTTATAAACCAAATCGAATATTACAGGTATATTTATGTAATTTAATTTAGTTATAGAAATAGATATAGATAAAGATGTGATAGTAGTAGTAGTTTCATTTAACTTATCAAATTAATAACGATTATAATAGATTGCATATTTGATATTGGTAGTTGGTGGTTCATATTTGTTTATGAAAGATACATATCCTTATCTAAATGGATACATTGCACCTACCTATCATAAAATTGGTTCTGTAATTGCAATTGTTATAACACTAACCAGTTTCGTTGTATCGTCTGTTTCTGATCCTGGTTACATCACCCATGAGAATCATAGTGGTTTTCAATCAAAGTTTAAATACGATAGAATATTATATGTAAAGAAATCATGTGAAACATGTGAATTTGTAAAGTTTGTATTATCTTCTCTTTATTCATTGATTTTGACAATTGCGCTAACAACTATTTTTTATTTTTTTTTTCTTTTACTCGATAGACCATCAAGATCTAAACATTGTAGAGTTTGTGATAAATGTGTAGCTAGATTCGATCATCATTGTCCATGGAGTATGTATTACAAGTCAACAACATAATAATAATAATCAACAATAACTAACTAACCTTTATCCAACACTTATATGACAGTCAACAATTGTGTTGGTGAGAAAAACCTTAGATACTTTTTGATTTTCGTTGGAAATACATCGGCATTGTGCTTCTATGGTTTCTATTTATGTACATGTGCACTCTTTACCATCATCGATGATAGAAATCTACTTAAGCTTGGATACAATCAAAATGGAAAATGGACTCCATTACCAACCTCTTTAATTATTCGTGTAACTATCATTATCATTATTACTACCTATTACTAGAAACCGATTACTTATTCAAAACATTAAATAGTATTTATTTGCAGAATCTAAAACAGTATTTCCATTGGGTATCTTTTGTTTGGTGATATCATTGTTTTTATGTTACTTTTGGTGTTATCATTTGTTCTTGGTTGCAACCAACAGAACTACCAATGAGACATTCAAGTGGGACGACATTAAAGATCAGATCAGACTGAATAGAATCAATGAGAAGAAGCGATTGGCAAAGAAAGCCAGCAAGAAGAATGCAAAGAAAGTTGGAGGAGAGAATAGTAGCAACAACGAAGAAAACAACAATGTAAATTTGGACGACCACCACTTTGATGACGATGATGAACTCTTTGAGAATGATTTCATTTCAAACGATACCGACAAACAAAAGGAACTCGAAAAGGAACAGCAACGACTTAGCAGTAGCAAAGCAAACAACAAACGAAAATCGAAAAAGAAGAATCACAGTCATCACGACGACAACGACGAGCGTGTTACCATACCACTGCCACTCACCATCAAGGAATTGAAGAATCCATTCGATCAATCACTGATGTCCAATTTCAAAGAAGTTTTCTTCCCTTAAATGCTCTGTGTGTGTGACACAAATCCTAATGCAACAATAAAAAAAAAACAAATTGCAAACTATTTTTTTTTGTTTTGTGCCAAAATTTAAAAAAAGTTCTACTTTTTTTTTTTTTCAAATTTGAATTTGAATTTTTTTTTTTTCAAATTTTGGTGGGGTTTGTTTTTTGAACATCAGAATCTAACGGACAATTTTTCACATTTTGATGAGAATTTGAAACGCGCGAAGATTTTAAAAATTAATCAAATTTTATAAAGTTTTACAAATTTTTGAAACAAATAATAATAATCTAAATTAAATAAATTTATTAACTCTTAAATTACAAATAGAGTATAAAACAGAAAATAATCAACACTTTTTAAACAATCAGATAAAAAACAAATAATATCTTTTTGGATTTGGCTCTCTTTTTGACTGTTTGCGCAGACTATTTTTTTATTTTTTTTTTGAATTTTTAAAAAAAGTTATTTTTTATGTTTTTAGTTTTTGAATTGGTGTTGTTCATTTGTTTGTTTGTTTCCAATTTCATAACAGTTAAATAAATCAGTCAATCAATACACCGGTACACCATCACAATTTAATAACAATAGAATATTCAAATCATTAATAAACTTTTAATATAATAGATTAATCATCATCATCATCATAATTACTTACATACTTATATACTAATATATTTATAATATAATCTTAAACTATATATATATCTAATATATTATTATCAAAATCAAGTATTTATATAGTTATTTAGTTAAATTATAATTTTATGATCATATCAAATTAAAAAAAAAAAAAAAAAAACTTTTAATCAACTACCCTCTCTTTTACTCTTTGTCATTATTTCATTATTTCATAATCGATTAATGTTTGCTGCCTAGAATCTATATCTATATTAGTGTTTTATTTTCTATTTATTTGCTATTATCAAACTATTTATATTTAGATTAATGTTTATTGTTTTGTAACGATGGTCTTTCCTACAACCTCACTCTCTGCTGCACCCACTACCTCTTATCAATCATCTACTACTACCAATAGCACCACCACACCTCTCTATCAATCAACACAACATCAATTACATCAACAATATAGTTACTATAACAATCATAATCATAACCATTTAGATAATCAAGAGAACTATCCACCAGCTAATAGTAATATTAATAACGGTCTTGCTGCAAGTTCATCATCTGTCAAGATGCAATCTACTTCATCTTTGCAACACCAATCATCATTGATCACTAAATCAATGGTGATCAGACCGTCGGAACAGCAACAACAACAACAACACCACCACCAATCATCTTCCTCATCTTCATCTTCCTCTGCTGCACAACAGCAAGAACAACCAATCATTGTCAAAGAGGTAATTAACAGTGGCGGTCAAACTCATATTAAGGAGTATAAGCAAGGTGAATTCTTGGGTAAAGTAAGTATCATTGATCTACACAAATCATCATTATCACATATTCTTTAGTAAAAGCACATCATATTCATCAACACAATCACTAATCATCATTGTTTATCGAATGTATAGGGTGGTTTCGCTAAATGCTACTTGATGACCGATTTAGAAACAAATAAAATTTATGCCGCCAAAATCGTACCAAAATCAACACTCCAAAAACCAAGAGCCAGATCAAAGGTATTTATAAATATTTAACTATTAGTAATACTATTATAGTATAATGATCATCTGATATTAACAAATTTTCAAACTATTTTTTGTTTTGATTAACAGTTAAAAACAGAGATTAGAATTCATAGTTCTTTGAATCATGAAAATATCGTAAAGTTTGAACATTGTTTTGAGAATGAAGAGAATGTCTATATTTTGTTGGGTCTATGTAATCAAAAGGTATAGTTCAAAAAAAAAAACAATATATATATTATAATCAGATAATTTATAGATTACTTACTATAAATATTTTATTTTCTTTTCTTTATTTTTTTTTTTGTTATCTTTCCTTTTTTTTTTTATCTCTTAAGACTGTAATGGATTTACACAAGAGAAGAAAGTTCTTGTTGGAAGCAGAGGTTAAGTACTATGTTTATCAAGTAATCCAAGCGGTTCTCTATCTACACCAAAACAAGATCATTCATCGTGATTTAAAGTTGGGTAATCTTTTCATTCATAACATGAAGATCAAGTTGGGTGATTTTGGTTTGTCCACAAGAGTTGAACGTGAAGGTGAAAGAAAAAAGTATTATTGATCAAAATTGACTTTATATATATATATTTAAATTAACATACTAATTACAAATTATTATTTTTCTATTCTTTTTTTTTATCTTTTTTTTATTTAGAACTATTTGTGGTACACCAAATTATATTGCACCAGAGGTACTCGATAACTCCAATGGTCACAGTTATGAGGTTGATGTTTGGTCGATCGGTATCATTCTCTACACTCTTCTAATTGGAAAGCCTCCTTTTGAAACACCAGACGTAAGAAATACCTATCAAAGAATCAGACAGAACCAATATACTTTTCCAGAGGAGCCTACCATCTCCGATTATGCCAAGAAATTAATTATATCAATTTTAAATCCAATTCCAGGTAACTATTAACTTTTTTTTTTTTTTTTAATATTGTTTGTTCGATTATTAATATAATATTTTTATTTATAAAGAAAAAAGACCAAACTTGCATCAAATTCTCGAGAATGAATTCTTTACTCTTTCCACCATTCCTAAATATCTGCCACAGACTGCCTTGACAATGATTCCAATGATTAGAATGCAACCATTGTCCGAGAATACTAACATCGTCAACCAACAACAACAATCACTAACCACATCGCCACACAAATCAAAAACATTCACAACCACTTCAACCACCTCCACTATTGCAGCATACTCCTCGTCAGCCAACAACATAGTCACACTTTCGCCAAACTCACAACAAAAGCTTTCAGATGTAGACAAAGACGATTTCCATTACAGAAAATTAAGAAGACTCGAAAAGATGAAAGAAAATGGTAATTATCAAAATTCTTCCAATGACTCGTCAATTGATTAGTTTCATTAATTGAATGATTTATTTCTCTATCTCTTTCTTTTTTTTTTTTTTTTTTTTTTTGATTCTCTATTTAGATTTAAAAACTAAACTATTAAAACAAAAACTAATAACATTACCAGAGTGCCAAGATTATCAAATGGATGGAGCCAACAACAATGAACAACAACACCAACAACAGAGCCAACAACAACAACATCAACAACAAATATGTAATAATGTAAAGGATTTGGAAGTTGGAATTGCCAATAACCATATTTCTGAACCTTCGACAAAGGGTAAGCATTTGCATACAAACTAAACCTTAAATTATAATAACACTAACTTTTTTTTTTTTTTTTTAAAGCAATGAACGGACTACCATCAAATCTAGTATTCATCGAACAATTTGCTGACTTTTCAAACAAGTATGGTCTTGGTTATGCTTTATCCAATGGATCAATTGGTGCCTACTTTAATGATTCAACCAAAGTTATCAGTTTCCTTGGAACTGGGTAGGTTATAGTAATTAACTAAACATTACACATATCTATTGTTATTAACATGACTCTTTAACTATATAGTATTGCACATTATATGGAACACGCAAAAGGAACTGAAGGAGACGGCAGAAGAATTTTAAATATAGATGAGAGTCACCCACATGACACTCAAAAGAAGGTTACTTTGATCAAATACTTTGCAAATCATCTTAACCAACCTGTAAAAATCAAACAACTAATCAACAACAACAACAATAATAACAACTATGCTCCACAGCAAAATGATTTAAATAATCCAGTCTATGTTAAGAAATGGATTAAGACAAGTAAAGGTATTGCGTTCCGCCTTAGCGATAAGACAATTCAAGTTAATTTCTTTGACAAATCAATAATAATATTCACAAAGCATCATATGGTTACATACATTGCTAGTGACGAAACAACAGTAAAGACCGATCGTTTATCAAACTTTTTGGAATCGATGGACTCAAAGATCGTTGGTAAAGTCAAATACACTAAGGATATAATAACCAACCTTTATCATAAGAAACCAACTGAAATGTAACCTTTATTATTTAATAATATTAAAAATCAATCTAAAAATACAATTAAAACAATATAAATAAATTATAATAATTAAGATTGTCATTCAACTTTATTTATAAACATGTGTTACTATTTAATGTAATCAAATAAAACTAGATTATTTTTAAAAAAACCATATTTAGTAAGGAAAAAAAAAGTCTTCAATAAACATAAGGGAAATAGTGGACTTTAATTTTGTTGTTTATTACCCCTCTAGATTATTTATATTTGTAATTCATGATAGTTTTAATTTGAAAAGATTTATCTGTTAGAACATTGTCAAGGTTAGTTTTCTAATATTGTTAGTTTATTTATTAACTTTTCAACTATCTTGAAATATTGAGTGAGAAGTTGTAAAAGTTCCAATCAAAACTTCATTAGAGATCTTACTGATTGCCTTCCAACTTCAAGTTAAACCAACTATGCATGTTCTTCACTTTGATAGAAGTTATATTATTATTTATAATGAAATAAAAAAAAAAAACAAAATAATAATTTTAAATACAAAATAAAACCAACTGGATTAAATCAACAGCTGATTTTTTATCATTAAATATTTTATTATAATTTACAACAAGATTATTATTAAATTGTTTAGAAGCACTTTCTGTGGACGATGGATGGACCAGATTCGTCGTATTCTTCCTTGGAGATCCACATTTGTTGGAAAGTGGAGAGGGAGGCCAAGATGGAACCACCAATCCAGACAGAGTATTTACGTTCTGGTGGGGCGATGATCTTGATCTTCATGGTGGATGGGGCCAAAGCGGTCAATTCCTTTTGCATACGGTCAGCAATACCTGGGAACATAGTGGTACCACCAGAGAGGACGACGTTACCGTACAAGTCCTTACGGATATCAACATCACACTTCATGATGGAGTTGTAGGTGGTTTCGTGGATACCAGCAGATTCCATACCCAAGAAGGATGGTTGGAAGAGGGCCTCTGGGCAACGGAAACGTTCGTTACCGATGGTAATGACTTGACCGTCTGGCAATTCGTATGATTTCTCGAGGGCTGAGGATGAGGCAGCAGTTTGCATTTCGTTTTCGAAGTCAAGGGCAACGTAGGCGAGCTTTTCCTTGATGTCACGGACGATTTCACGTTCGGCGGTGGTGGTGAATGAATAACCACGTTCAGTCAAGATCTTCATCATGTAGTCAGTGAGATCACGACCAGCAAGATCGAGACGGAGGATAGCGTGTGGGAGGGCATAACCTTCGTAGATTGGAACAGTGTGAGAGACACCATCACCAGAGTCCATAACGATACCGGTGGTACGACCAGAGGCATAGAGGGAAAGGACGGCTTGGATAGCAACGTACATGGCTGGGGTGTTGAAGGTCTCGAACATAATTTGAGTCATCTTCTCACGATTGGCCTTTGGGTTGAGTGGGGCCTCAGTCAAGAGAACTGGGTGTTCCTCTGGGGCAACACGGAGTTCGTTGTAGAAAGTGTGATGCCAGATCTTCTCCATATCATCCCAGTTGGTGACGATACCGTGCTCAATTGGGTATTTGAGGGTCAAGATACCTCTCTTTGATTGAGCTTCATCTCCGACGTAGGAGTCCTTTTGACCCATACCGACCATGACACCAGTGTGTCTTGGACGACCGACAATCGATGGGAATACAGCACGTGGGGCATCATCTCCAGCGAAACCAGCCTTACACATACCAGAACCCTATTAAATATAATGGAAAGAATAACATTAATATTTGAGTTATATCGAAATGCTTGAGTAAATATATATATGAGACATACGTTATCAATTACCAAAGCAGTTACGTCTTCACCTTCCATTTTATTTATTTATTAGTTTATTAGTTAATTTGTTATTCAACAATATGATGAATGATTGCTAGCAGTTCACTATTTATGCTTTTTTAAAATTAATCAACCCACATAAAAAATGAAAAATCTTTATTTTTTTCATATAAAAAAAGATGAATTTTCAATACTGGGTTTGTTTTTAGGTTTTTTTGGAATGAATCAATGGGATTTTTGGGGAGACATGACTTTTAAAATTTTTGGGTAAAAATCATTGAAAATAATTTTGATTGTAAAAAAAGTTTATTTGAAAAAAACACAAAATCGGTTTTTGATGAATAAATAAAATTATGTTAAAAATTTATTAGATCTTTAATTCCATGGCTCTTTATTTGATAACTCTAAATTCATTTCTGTCAAACTAAATTTGTTTCTGTAGGTACTATAAGGGCTTGTTGATTCTTGATTTGTGTCATTGGAAGATGGACTAGCTCCTGGTGGCGTCAGATGGTTGAGTGATGTTTTTAGTTTATTTATATTGTTTTCATTGTTTTGCTCTGTGGTCAGACCTTTTAACATGTTACTCCAGACCAGAGGATCATCACCGGCTCTTGGATAGGTAAAGCCAAGAATGTTTCTATTTGCTTTACCTTTATAGGTTGAAACGGTACCACCAGAATTTCTGTTTGTGTAAACTACTGCTCTTTCTCTATCTTTTTCAAAATATGTTGTATCAAAATCATCTTCAAGCTAGAAATATTAAAAAACAAATAAATAGATACGAGTTAGTAAAGAATTGATTTGAAAAATAGTTATATCAACTTACGAGAGGCACAAATGGAGGTTCATTTTCATGAAGCATTCCCCATGATACACCACTAAAGAATGGATGGCTCTTGATATTCTCTACACCTCTTTCACCGGTGCCCAATCTTGTGTTGCCATCAGTTATTAAACCAGTGATAAGACTCCACAAGTCGTCAGAGATGTTTGGAGGACGTTGAAGATTCGACTTCCATTTCAGTACGGTTTCCATAACTTCCTCTGGTGAATCTCCGTCGAATGGAGGTACACCACATATGAATTCGTAAAACATACATCCCAGTGACCACCAATCTACTTCGTCACCATACCCAGTGGTCGCTTGGAGGACCTCCGGTGCCATGTAGAATGGACTACCGACAACGCTGTATGCCAATCTTGCTTGCAGACTGATATCTTTGAATGAACCGAATCCCGAAAAGTCTGTCACCGATGTGCTGAGACTATTACTTGAGAACTTCATTGGTGTGTGCTCGAGGACCGCTGGATTTGGACCTGGAGTGCCTTTGGCAGACTTTACATAACGGGTAAACATCTTGGAGAGACCGAAATCGGCCAGCTTGATATGACCAGTCTTGTCGATAAGGAAATTCTCTGGTTTGAGATCACGGTGACAGTAACCAAGAGTATGACAAGAGTCGACTGCTTCCACCATCTCTGCCATGTAGAACTTGGCATTCTCTTCATCGAGACATCCGATTGCACTGAGGAGCGATCTTAGGTCACCACCGGCAACATACTCCATTGCAAGATACAGATACTGATCGTCTTGGAAAGAGTAGACCAACGATACGATATATCGGTGATTCTTGCCCTGTGCGAGAATATCTCTTTCATTCTTGATGTGTGATATTTTGTTCTTGGACCAAATCAAATCTTTGGACATACGCTTGAGTGCGACGACTTCGCCAGTGTCTTGCTTTTTGGCGAGATAAACCTGACCGAATCCACCTTCACCAATCTTTTCAATCAAAGTGAAATCATTGATGGTTACGTGTCTCGATGAGAGTGAAATGGGTGTGATTGGTGTTGCAGGTGTAATCTGTATGCTGCTACTGCCGTTCAAACGAAGTGATGCCAAATTCTGTGTTATAGGAGTCGACATCACATTGGCGTCAGAGGTCAACAACGATTCTGAAATTGGATCTAATCTGTTTGATCCATTTGAAATGATTGGTATGGGTGGCGTGGATGGAGGTGGTATATTTTTACAGGATGATGATGGTGATGAAGTTGGTGTGATTGAAGGTGATCTTGAACGAGGTGAGTAGAGTACTCCTCGAGAATTTGACCGACTTCTTGATGGTGAAAAATTGCTATTACTATTGTTTTGATTGTTGTTATTATTGTTGTTATTTGATGATTCTACTAATTGTTCTACTCCTGGTAACAGAGAAGAAGGTGAAAGTGGTACTAATGAATTCTCATTGCGTGCTTTGAAATCGTTGTTGTAACTATTGCTACTGTTGATACTACTGCAGCTACTGAAAGAATCATTTTGATTCTGTCCACGAAGAAAAGATGATGGTGAAAGTGGAGGTGACGAACGTGCCTTTTCATTGCGTATCATTCGCCTCTGTGTCATCTTTGGTGATGACTCCATCTGATGGTCTTCTGATAGATTAGGGGTGGACGGAGAGGAAGAATCGAATGACGAGTCTTGACTATTTAAAAATGAAGAGTGTGAGGTTGATCTGGTGAATCCAATGAGTCTGGATTTGTTGTTGGAATTCAATTGAAAAGAAGTTGAGTGTTGAAGTGGATGGTGCTGTTGGTTGTGATGGTTGATAGCTTGTTGTAACGGCGATGTATTGGTGCTGTGTGAGTGTTGGTGAAAGAAAAGTGGAGTTGAGGGTACGGGTGGCGATGATTTTGTTGGCGAGGTTCTCAGTGATTTCTGAGTGGTCTGAAGAAACTTTGGTGAGTTGTACAGCTCTTGCTCAGTTTCAGAGAGACACATCATATCTGTTGCCATTGTCTGATTGTCTTTCTGATTCAGATGATGATAGTGTAGGAAGTGATGGTTGGGATCATCAGCATCGCCAGTTGTGTCCATAGTGGGTGGACTGCCACATCCGGTGAAGTCTTGTACCTCCAGTACACTCTCTAGAGTCTGTGTCATGGAGAGTGGTGATCTGGGTACTCCATTGCTGTTCTGACCATTGATAGAGTCAGAAGACCCTTTTAGAGACAACATTGATTGATCTCAAATGTTGATTATTAATTAATTCTTTTTGTTTTTTTTTGTTTTTTGATGATTTGCTGTTTACTTGATTGATTATTAATTATTTAGATTGCCAAAAAAGATTACTTTATAGAAATATGACTGTATGAAATTTGCTAAAGATTAAATATTCTATAAATAGTTTGATAAGATAAGATAAGATACAAATGATTGATATTAATTAGTTAGTTTGATTGTTTCTAATAAATAAATAAATAAATAATAAATATGGTGATAATATACAGGTATAATTTTGATTTAAAATGTGAATATGATTAAATAAATATTTGAATTTACAATAAATATTTTTATTTTTTTTAAAAAGTAAAAAGGTAATTTAATATTAAATATTTAATGTTATTTATGATTTGATGTTGTGAGTGGTATTGGTGATGATGTGTATAAAATGATGATTCAATTGTTAAATGTATTGAAGTTGAAAGCAATATCGGTTGATCGATTAACACAATTAAATTTTTTTAAGAAAATAAAAATAAAAATAAAATAAAAATAAAAAAAAGCAAGAGGTGCCAAAGACAAACGACATACAAAGATATTAAAAAAAAATTTTTAAAAGTGTTGTGTGTGGGTGTTTTGTTTGTTTGTTGTTTGTTTGTCGGTGTGGTAAGATTATTTAGTTTTGAGATTATATTAGAGGTGTTTAGGTGAATGATAATGAGAAAGGTAAGACAAAGATGAATGATGTGTTATTGTTGTTTCTATTTTTATATATTTATAACAAATAAACCTGGTTTGACAAAGTCTGTTATTGTAGAACACCCACACCTTTTCAAAAACAAACAACAAAGAAGAAAATAACGAGAATAAAGAATAGATAGGTAAATAATTTGTTCGATATTGTATCATTCACAGAGGATGTCGGGTGATTCTTGCCTTCTTTAGACATGAGAGAATGAATGAGTGAACTGTATAGATAAGTGTTAGGCAGTTGGTCATTGTTTGTTGATGATGATGTTATTATTTGGTAAATACTCGATTCTAAATCCTGTTACTAAGTCAATATGTTTCAAATGATACAAAAATGATCTATTTTTAAATGCTAAAAAAGTGTTATATGTAAAAAATATGTATATGGTATGAAACAACAAAAAAAAAAAAACAATGATATTATCTATAAATGATGTAATTGAACAACTATGTACATACCTGTCCAATACTTTAGAGATGATCGCAATATTTTAATTCCAAGTATTATGTTCTATTTATAGAGTTCAAACTAAATAGACTTTGTTTGTTTTTTTTTTTTGTAATCTTTCAAAGATAGTAATGTTATATATTGTGTGTTGTCTGAAATTATGTCATAATAAAGATAGACTACTTTTGTAAAATGTAATGTTACAATATTGTTATAATAATTGAAAGTCCTATGGTAATAAGAAATATGAAATATGAAAATGAAAGCAAAAAAATTTTTAATTTAATTAATTTGAACAAAAAAAAAAAAATTGTCCAATTTCAATTGGTGTCAGTTACATTAGTTAAAGGTGTTTTTGCGAAAGAAAAAAAAAAAAATTCAAATTCACGAGGGAAAAATGATATACATACTTTTTTTTTTTAAAAATTAAATTAATAAAATACTAAATTTATATAAATGAACAAATAAATTATAATAGAATTATCTTGTTTAATTAAATTTTTAATTAATATATTATATTTGAGGAAGTTAGAGAAAAAAGAAAATGAGAAGTAGAGGTGTTAGTTTTCGTAGAGACCAACTGCCTATCGGGTAAAAAATAATATGGTTTTTTTTTGGTTTTTAAGTTTTTTTACCAAATTTTAATCAGTCAATGGGATACCAGAACTTTTTTTTCTTTGAACATTTGTTTTAAAAAAACAACAACTGATACTTATTTTTTTTTTTTGTTTGAATCAATAGGGTAAAAAAAAAATTAACCTTTTTAAGAAAAACAAGAAAAAAAATAAAGCTGATTAAATTTATCATAATGTGATAAACATTTAATTTGATTGATTTTTTTTTTTGGAAATAAGATTTATTTGATTTTTAATAAATAGGATAAAAATAATATATTATATTCAATTCGAGGAGATTAATTAATTAATTCTCTTGTGTTCTGGTTTGTGTCTGAATTCGTAATCAACATGTACAAATGCTCTCTCAACCTCTGGAAGAGACTCGAGCTTGATTTGGAGAGATTCTCCGATGTCGTGAGTTCTGATCAGTGGCATGTTCTCTGGCAAAACAATGTCGACTTCGACAAAGAGGTTGTTACCGACGTGGAATGCACGACATGTGTCGACCTTGAGAATCTCTGGGCTGTGCGAGACGGCGATGTAGGTAAGACGCTGGAGGAACTCTGGTGAAGCAGACTTTCCGACGAGCAACTCGATCTGTTCGTAGGCCTCCGATGTCCAGGAACGCAAAATGATGAGGGCGACAATCAAAGCACCGACTGGGTCGAGCCACCACTTGACGTAGGTACCGAGAATAGCCATACCAATTCCGAATGAATTGACGGTGATATCGTTACGATGGTCGGTAGCGAGAATCATTGCCGACGACGAGTGTGTCAATACACGACAGTAGAGATACATGACGATCTTGCAGACGATGGAGAGTCCAACGAAAGCAATTGGGATGATACCGAGTGAGAGTTCCTTGTCGTTCTGCTTGATGAGCGAGGTCGAACCTTCGATAATCAAATTGATAGAGACGGTCGACATGAGTGCAGCGAAAATAATGATACCGACCGGCTCCATACGAGATTTTCCGGTTGGGTATTCAAAGTAGTTACGCTTCTTACGGGCACGTGCAGTCATGAAGAGAATGAAACCACTGAGCAAATCCATGAATGCATCGATCGAGGTGGAAACGAGCGAGAGTGAACCTGTGATGATTGCCGCTGTGATTTGCAATGTGAACAAAACGATATTTACGAGTAAACTACCGTTGATGGCAACCTTTACCTTGAAGTCATTCTCGTCGTCTTCATCGCTATCGCCACCCTCTTTGAGAGGTGCCAAGAATTGGTCGATCAACTCATTCTGCTTGATATAGAAACCACGTTCACGCTTGTTCTTGAGACCCTTGATCTCGTCTTCGTGCTTCTTTGTCTGAGTGAGAAGGTTACGTAGATCCTCTGTTTGTTTGGCGTGACGACGATACACCAACTCAGAGTCTGCATTGTAGTACTCTGGCGAGGTGGCAGTATCTATTCCTGTGCTGCTCGAGTCTAGTTGGTAAGCATTTTGGTCAATTATCAATCTACTCTCTTCGGATGGTGCAACCGATGACATTTCATTGTCATAGTTTTCCTCATCCAACTTGTTATATTGAAACATTGTATTATTACAATATAATAGTATATTTATAATAAATATTTATTTCAATAGTATATGAGTGTGTGTATGTGAGTTTGTTTTAAAGAAATAAATATAAATAAAAATGACCAACAACCAACTATTATCGTATAAATATTGTTATTACAAATAACATATAACAAATAAATGAAAAAGCTGGAAATATAATAAATTCAAATTTCCAAAAACCATTTATAAATTCTATGTCCTTGTACGTTTTTTGCAAAAAAAAAATAAAAAATAAATCAAAATTAAAATTTTTTAAAAAAAAACACAAGGAATAATTGGACGGATTTGTATCATTTGATTGTGCGATGGTAAATCGCACCAGGTTTTAAGTTCAAAATAATATCTTTTTTAATTTTTGACACATAATTGATATTATTAAATTAATATAAATAATTAAAATTAAACAGATAATTAATTTAATACGATCAAAGAAAAAAAAAAAAAAAAACTTTGCATATTTGTTTTAAAAAGGTTTTATTTAATGTATACAAAATTTTTTTATCGCATAATACACAGTGAAGTTAAAATGACATTCTCTAAAAGCCATTTGTTTTATCTTGAGTTGTTGTAGTTATTGTTGTTAGGTTGTTGCTTTTGATTAATTGTTGTTTGATATTAATCAATTGGTTGATAAGGACAACATCGTTGTTTTTGCCAAGTTAACTTCAATTTGGGGGAAAAAAATAATATTATATATTATTAGAGATAGATAGAAGTAAGAGAAGAAGAGGAGAAGAAGAAGATAATAATAAAAAGAAAATAGTCGGATGATGATAAATCATTGTTGTCGAGTTGGTTGACTCTTAAACTTTCGACATTTAAAAAGTCATTGTACAAATCTACCCTTGTTGTTGTTGTTGTTTGTTGAACCACTTTACACTAGTTGTTGAGATGATGCTGATGCTGATTACTGATGATTCTTTTGAAATCAAATTATTGTTTGCACTCGATTATATTATTATTATATTAACAGTTGTTATTATAGCTATTGTTGTTAGATGTTTTTTTTTTGTTTTTGTTTTTGAATATATATATAAATATATGTGTGTAATTATAATTGACTTTTAAAAGTAATATTGGAGTTCGATAAGAGGTTGAGTGTAGAGTGGTAGTGTGCATTATTGAGAGTAGATAGTTTGATAATTAAGAATATTTAAAAAAACTAAACAAAGTTTACTCGTCCTAATAGAATAGGTGTGTGAGGTGTAGATGGTAGTTGTTGTTGTTTAAGAAAAACTTGGTTGTGCAGTGTTCATGAATTTGTTTTGTTGACCCAGCAAAAGATTGTTGTTGGTGTTCAGTGACATTAGGCTGTTCATGTTTAAATTGGGTGTGGAATGTGACAATGGGTTCAAATTAAAGTTGGTTGGTTGTGTTGATTGCAATGAGAAGATGTTGTTGGCGGATTGCATGTTGAATCCAAGACTGTCGAGTGTATCACAGAAATCCGAGGCGGAACCTGGATTGCGTGGAGAGATGATCGGTGAGGAGATGATTTCCTCTTCGTCTTCACGCTTCATCGAACGACATTGATCCAAGAGTGATTGATGTTGGTCACGGTATTGTTGGTTGGCCAAGTTGATGGCGAGGTTGTGCATCAAGAGTTGCATGGTCTCACGGTCGATCTGTGAGAGCTCGTTGAGTGTGTCGGTGTATGAAGAGTTGTTCGAGTCAAACAATGCAGAGAGGAAGTTGTATATCTTTGGGTAGTTTGGTGTGATGTTGATGTTACCGCTGCTACTGCTCATGCTGTTGGCAGTGCTACCCGCGTTGCGGTTGGCATTCTGCGCGGCAGACATGGCCGATTGGATATATTGTTGTGCTTGGTTGAGTTGTTCGAGTTGTTGACGGTGTGAATCCATACTGTTCAATGGCATGGCTCCACCAGAGGAGTTGTCCATCGATGGCATCAATCCACGGTAGCTCATCCAATTGACAAACGATGCTGAATTCAAGAATGGGTTGTTAGAGAGTGAGTCGGTCAGCATACCCAGCGATGGGTCGTTTCTGGCCTTCTGTGGATATGGTTGAACGGACTTTCTCTTTGGACGTGGTGGTGGAATGTTCTCACCAGTGTTATTCTTTGTGACTTTGATGAAATATTTCTGTGCATGACTACGGATTTGAATTACAGTCTTGGTTCCTACGAAACCTTCAATCTTTTTCCAATCTCTACCGAATCTATAAAAAGAAGAAATCAAAAGAGAGTAGAGAGAGAGGGAGAGAAAAAAGTTTAGTAAAAATGTAATTTGATTTTTTTTTTTTTTTTTTTTTTTTCAGACTTACAATGTGAGTGCCTCTAGGAATTTGGCATGTTCCTCTTCAGTCCAATTTTCTCTTTGTTTGGTAATTGTATATGGTTTACGTGACTTTGGATTCATTGCTTGCTGTTGTAAGAGTTGTGTTGGATTAAGTGGTTGATTTGGTACCATTTGATTAAATGACATTTTTGATATTTTGTTAGGAGGTTTTTTGAAATTGAAATTTGTTTTTCAAAAAAAAAATAATAATAAAAAATTAAAAATTAAAATTTTAAAAATTATGATATTAATTAAAAATTGATGAAGGAAAGGTGGTATTGTGGTTTGATTTGATTAATATTAAATCAAATATGCACTTTGGTTGTTTGTTTGTTGGTTGGCGATGTTAAAAGGAGATTCTTTAAATAAATAATTATTTATGAAATAAAATAGAAATTTGTTTAAACTTAATGATAGAAAAGAAGAAAAAAAAAAAGTTTGATTGTTTTTGGGGTAAAAGGGTACCAGAAAGAGGTTGTTGTGTCGTTAAATCAGATGCCTAATGAAAAGAAAAAAAGAAAAGGGTCAGTAAGGGTTGTTAATTTATCACAAAACAAAAAAACAAAAAAAAAAAGTAAGATGGGTGCGGAAGAATTTTCTTGAAAACCCCTATGCAAACAAACACAAAATGGTAATCATAAATTTAAAAAAGTTATGGGGTACGGTAATCTGGGAACAACAATTTAATAAAAATAAAAAAAATATGTTTGCTAAAAAATGTAGATGTAATGATTATTTGTTATTACTTTTTTTTTTTTTTTTGTATAAACAATAAATAGCTTTAAACATAAAGATGATTTGGTTTGAACATGATTAAATTAATACCTTTTAAGAAAAGTACTGTTTTGTTGCAGTTGTTAAAAGGCAGTGTTTTAGCTTTGCATTAATAATTGTATTTTAATTAATTATTATATATTTAAGGTTGTTGTAATAGATTGCTTTGCTTGAGCAAATAATATTTATTATTTTTTGAAAATATCTTTAATAAAATATGATTGTATGGGTTATGATTTGATTGATTGTTTTGATTGATTGTTGTTTTAAAATAAATTTAATAAAATTATTAAAAATCAAAAGTTAAAAGAGTGTGGGTTAAGATTTGTTAAAAATAGTATTTAAAATCAACAACAGTAACTTCACTTTATCATTTGAAATAGTGATCACCTAATAATGATGTTGTTGATTAATTTAAAGGATTGTGATTTGTTGGGAAGTGTGAATAATAACAAGTCAGGCCTTTTTAACAACTGTTTTAAAAGTCATCTTAAACATATATTGGAATTATAGTGGTGTTATAAGTTGGTGTTGACCCATGAAAATAATCAAAAGTGAAGGAGATCAATTATTAAACACAAAAAAAGTAATTTATAAGTATTTGATGGTGGCGCTTCAAAAAAGAAACAACGGTGGGCAATAAATAAAAATAGTTTAAAATTAATTTATTCATGTGATTTAATTTAAATTAAATGAATGATTGGGTTTGTTTTAAAATTGTTAGATGTGAGGTTTGTTTAATTATTAATCAACAAAAAATAATTAATAAATAAATAAATAAAAAATACTTTTGTAAAAGAAATATTATATATTTTATATAAATAAATATTTAAAAGATATTAACAGATAATATTTGTATTTGAAAAAAAAAGATAATAGTGATAAATAAAGAGATAATAACCTACAATAAATAAGATTTGTAGAGGTGGGAAATTTGGATTGATGATGTAGCAAATGATAGGAGTTTTCTTTTAAAGAAAAGATATTGATGATGTGTCGAAAAGATATTTCGAAAAGTAAAAAAAAAAAAAAGAAAAAAAAACAAAAATAAATTTTTTGGTTTTATTTTTGGGTTGGGGCAGGACCTACATCATGATGGGCTTTGTGCTAAAGGAAGGGCATCTTGTGAAATATATTGTAAAATTACAGCTCTTCAATTTTAAAGTGTTTATATGAAATTTTTTTGTGATTTTGGGTAGAGATGGTGTGAATGTGTGTTGAATTAGATATTTGATGACGTGCAACAAACAAAAAAAACAAACATAGGATGTTAATACATCATTCTAATGGGTGAATTAGAACTAGATATTTGATGACGTGCAACAAAAAAAAAACATAGAATAGGTATTGTTCAATAGGAACACAAAAAGGGGGTCATATGCAGATTTATAGAGACAGACCAGGACCGTGCTACGGCTATTTTGTGCCAATTGTGGAAGTAATATAGATGACAAAACAAAATCTAATTACCAAAAACACAACACAATAAAATCTAAAGTTGTAAAGACATTGTGATAGCATTTCCTATCCCTAATAGGATGGCAATGAGGATATGATATACTACTCACCTGAAATTGTACAGTTTTGATATTATTGTTTAGGATAATATTTAAATTATAGTGTGATACTATTAATGATAATCTTAATAGTAGTGTTGTTTTTCGGTGGTGGAGAGAAAACCGACCGGGTATATGATAATGTTATAGTAGTAGTAAATTTTAGAGTATGATGTGTGAAGAAGATATTGATGATGTATTAGATAAAAGTATCTAAGATAATAAAGTAAATGGTGGAAAAAAAAAATCAGCTGTTTGTGTCTTTCGTGAGGCGATGGTTTATGAATCAAAACAAAATTAAAAAAAAACAAAAAAAAAACAAAATTAAATTTAATTATGTTGAATGAAAATTGATTTTTTTTTTTTTTGGTTGTTTTTGTTATTTTTTTGATTTTTCAGTTGATTGAATTCAACTGGTTTTTTAGCTAGACTATATGGGGGAGGCTCCACACATTTGGAAGAAATTCTTAAGATTTTGGTGTTTTGATGGTTTTTGAAAATGACGAATACACACACCACTTTTCATTTTGATGGATTGTGTGTTTGATTTCAGTTCATTAAAAAAATTTGATGGATCATACTACTCTTTCTTGAGGGTTTGCAGGTGTAAACTTTTGTTTTTTAAAAAACAAAGATATTTATGGCTTTCTAACGGTTTTATTGAGATGTTCCTGTTTTTTATAATACTACCTTACAATATAGAACGAGAACTTGTTATTGTTTTTCTTAACCCATTCAACAGTGGAAAGCCTCCATCTTCAAAAAAATCAATCCAAATTTTTTATAAAAAAAGGTCCATCTTTTGTTCGGATTTGAAAAATCACTCATATTAATTGAACTGCAAAACACACTAAATTCCTCCACTTCTGAACTGTTTTGATCACCCCATTAATCAAAACCTACACTGTAGACCTTATTTTTCTCCAGATGACTTGCATGATGATGTGTACTTTTGATTTTTTTTTTTAGTCACAAATTTTTTTTTGTTTTTTGTATAAAGAATTTTTACAAAAAATATCTTTTTCAATTTTGATCATGTTTTTTTTTTTTTTTTCATTTACACCACTCCCCCCAAACAAAAAATAAAAAATCTATCACATGACAATGATGGTGACCATATGCATGATGACGTAAAAAACAAAACCTTATTTTAAAGGATGATTTGTGCAAACTCCTTATTTAAGATTGGGTATATTTTTTCATACGGACTTGTTCTTTGTGATTCGAAAACAAAAACAAACACATCATCACATCTTAATAAAAACACATGATGATTTTTTTTTCTTTTGTTTATTTCAGCGATTTATTATTTTAAAGAAAAAAAAATTGTTTTAAAAAGCAAAAAAAATTTTATCATAAGTATCTTGAAAATTTCTTGATATTTAATAAAATTTATAGTGATGGAGCAAATCAATGCTCCCATACAATTCATAATTATTAGCAATTGCCCATTAATCAACCATAGTTTAAACAAATTTAGATTTTGATGACGTTTTTTTTTTTTTTTTTCTTTGATGATGTAGGCAAGTGCAAATTTCATCTAGTGTAAACAATAATACATCATCATAGCTTTTAAATTAATTAATATTTGCCAAATAGAGCGCAAATGGAACATAGAATTGGTTCCATCGTACCCAATCTCAACCAAAAAGTGGAGCCTGTGGAGACTTAAAATAATTAGGTGATCAAATTGATCTGAAATTTTTAATGTGAAAATATTTAAAAGTGAGACTCTTACTAAAAAGGAGTGATTGTAATGGAATGTTCCTACAACTTTTCATCATCAATCTTCCCACTTTTATTTTGAAATAGATACTTTCTTTGCAAACATCTTTGCAATAATGAATAAAATTTATAATTGCGACTTGTGTGATGATGTAAGCAGACGAGTCTTTCTTTTAGTTATAAAAGGTGATGTCACCTCAATTCGATAGTTCTAGTTAATAGGCAGATGAAATAGTTAAAAGATTTTTCAAAAGAAAATAAAAATAAAAACTATTTATATTTTATAACTTGTGAATGACATTAAACAAAAAAAAGAAAACAAACTTAATAATATTATATTATTTAAAAATATTATATTTTTTTTTTTTTTTTATTTAAATAAGCAATAATAAATATTATTATTTGTTTAAATAAAATAAAAAAACCTTATAAAATGTATCGGAATTGAATTCATTCATCCGATAACAAATGATAGATATTATTCAAAAAAATATATTATCTTTTGGTTGCTTTATGTCGCTATTATGCGATATCAATAAAATAAATGGGGTTTTTTTCGATTAGTTTTGAATTTTTTTTTTTTTTTAACAATTGATATTTTATTTTATTTTATTTTTTCTTATATCTTTATTCTCTATATATATATTTGTAAAATTAGATAGATATATTATAGTTTATATAGATTTTTAGGAAATGAGTAAATCAGTAGTGGCTACCACTGGTGATGGTGGCAACAACAGCGGTGCGTCAAGTCCACCATTGTCAAACAAAAAGACACCGAAGCGATACTTGCACAACTATGGAAGATACTCTAGTATCTATCAACACCCTTTAGCACTGTGGGCAGAGAAGTGGTGGCGTCGTGCCATTTCAATCACAATGATCGCACTGGTGTTTGTGGTGCTCACTGCATTGTTCCCCGTGTTGGCAGTGGCCGCACTCATCGCCGATATTGTACTCTATAAGAAGCGTAACGGTTTCAACTACGTTCGTGTTTTAGCATTTTTCGAGACCTACCTGGTGATCGAGTTCATTGCGATCATCTCTTGTCTTATCATCTACATTCTCTACATGATTAGCTTGGTGGTTGCCGGTGGCGATCGTGATCGTTCGCGTTGGGACCGCTGGAACTTCTGGTACCAATCGTGGTGGGGTGGTGTCATGCTCTTTGGTTGGAGCATGCGTGCCATGGGACTTTCGGTTCAGATCGAAATCAAGGGTGGTGAAGAAGACTTTATTGCGCCATGGAGCGACGCCAACATTCGTGAGCGTGTCGCCAAAGCCATCGGTATCAATCCAAAGATTATGTTTTTGAGACATGCTAGTTTTGCCGATACTCTAGTTCCACAGTAAGATTATTCTAAAGTTACAAAAGGAAATCAACAAAATAGCAACCTCTAACAATTTCATTCAAATTCTTTTCATTTATTATAGAGGTATATTATCACACTTTTTCCATCTTAGATACATTGTCAAGCAAGAGTTGCTCTGGGATCCAGGCTTAGATATTTCAGGTTCGAGAACACCAAACTTTTTCCTCTTCAGAGATGCCGGTGCCGAAGGTATGGATATTGAAATGGAAGCAATCAAGAATTTAGTTAGAGATTTCAAACCAAAGGTAATAATTGTAGAAGCAAGTTGTATCGATTTATATGTTTATTAACAAAGCTTGGATCTATATTGTTATTATCAGGGTAATGAAGTTACTTGTATTTGGCCAGAGGGAACTAGATTCTCAAAGTCAAAGAGAGAGAAAGTATTGGAAAGCTTGAAAAAGAAGGACGATCCAAAGTATGAGTTTGCTTCAAAACTCAAGCACACTCTTTTACCAAGAGTTGGTGGTGCTCTTGCTCTTTTAGAATCAAATACATGTGGTGATGTTGTATGTATCAATGATCTCTTTAATAAAAAGATATATAGTGTTTGCTCAAATTTACTAATTTATTTTATTTTATTTTAAACCCGTCGACGTTTAGATTTTCTGTTCACACATTGGACTTGAGGCATCGTCTAATTTCGCGCAAATGATGAAGGGTAAACTGTGTAACAGAGTTGTTAAAATAAGATTTGTAAGAATTAAGTATGAGGATATTCCAAAGACCAGACAAGAGAGAATCGATTGGATCCTCAAGAACTGGGTCGATATCGATACTTGGGTAGAGCAACAACAACAACTCGAAAAATCCGAATCGAAAAAGAAATTCAACTAAATTAATTAATTTATATTATATTATATTAAATAATAAAGCAACAAAGAGTTTTTGGGTTGTGGACCGTCATCCAACCAAATCCATCTGTTTCTGAATTCATATGTTGCATTGATTTTTGTTTGAGTCGCTTTTTTTTTTTTTTCTTTTTCTCCGCAATCATTTCATAGTATTTGATATTTTTATTATTTATTTTATTTTATTTTTAGAAAAATCATTAAACTTTTATTAATTTGAATACCCGCTTGTAAAAGACTAATAAAGATGTTGTTTAGGTTTACAAGCTTGGTTTTGCTGTCTGGAGGTAGGTGTGATCTATTCTACAAAATTAAAGTTGATTGAATTTTGTTTTTATTGATCAATTTTAGTTAAAAAAAAATAAAATATCAAAACTCTAACAAGGACTAATGATGAGTATCAAAAAATAAAAAAAGAAAAAAAATTAACAAACATCTTTAATCTCGATTGCAAAAAAAAACAAAAAATCTTCTCGATGAAAAAACAATTTGTTTAGGTTTTCTCTGAGCTAACAACGTAGTGGAGGCATGTTGTAAAATTGAAAAACACTCACTTCATCGATGTCAGATCTCGATTGTTTTTTGTTTTTATGGGAGTGCCCATCAAGATCTCAGATCTGAATTACAATGAGATTAGTTTCACACAGTGGTAGTAAAAAGTTTTTTTGTTTGTGTGTTATGTGGTGGGAACATTACAGACTTTGTTTTGATTGTAATGATCAAAAAGAAGTCCATTCATTCTTTATTATCGACAATCAACATCTAAACAAAAAATATATATATAATTTCTTTAAAGAAATATTTTTAATACATATATATATAATATCTTATACAAATAATAACAATAATAATAAATTATTTTTACTTTAATTATTTATTATTATTATTAAATAATATCAAGATTACCATTATTTTTTTTTTCTATCTTGATATATAAATATTCATAATAACTTCACAATAATATAAATTATATATATTTTATTTCATTATAAATTTTAGACTTTTTTATTATAAATAATAATGTTAAGTTCAGAAGAACATCGTGAGGCATGCCGTGTCTATATGCAAAAGTATAGAAGCAAGCCAGAGAATAGGGAAAAGATAAGACAACAAAATGCTGAATATAGAAAGAGAAAGAAGTTAGAGTCAATCAGACAAGTCTCAGAGATTGGCAACTTGGAGCAAAATTTGGATTCCTATCAATCGAGAATTTCGATGCTCGAGAAAGACTTGAAAGAAGCTCTATTCAAAGTCGCCATTCTAGAGCAAGACACTCGAATTCCTCAGAGTTATATCCACCAGTTGACCTCGCTCAAATCGCAACTCGACCACAAACAACACCAGATCGATGTCATAATCTCTGCCAGTGCCTCATCGATTCAAACCGCCCAAAACTCCATAGCCACAGCCTACCAAGGTCTCATTTCCACCATTCACCAAGTAACCTCGCCAACCAACTCACCACCAGCATCACCAGTAGCCATGACTCCATCCAACTCACCAGTAGTACAATCCGTTAACAACAATCAACAACAACCAACAATTCCACCATTAGATTTTAAATTAAAAAACAAAACCATCGATCTGTTCAGTAATGAGCAACCATATTTTGGTTCAGGTCAACCATCACCATCATCACCACCATCATCCCCAAGTTTACATTTTCTCACCTCGCCATCGTCTTCATCCTCTAATTTTGCTTCAATCCCAGCCTTGGCAAACAGCACTGGAAGTTTTGGTTTAGTACCAGACACCAACACTGCCAGCTCCCCAACACCATCTACAACTTTCAAAGCACAAAGTCCAGAGTCCAAATCCGCAAGTTCAACACCACAATTATCTTCTGTTTCCGGTGCACCAGCAACCTCCCCCAATCATGTGGCCAATCATCCACTTTCACTGCTCTGTGATGTCCTTCAAAATGAAACCTACACCAATCAACAACAACAACAACAACAATCACAAATTATTCAATCACGTCCAATCCACAACAACTCATCATCCGATTTCTCAAAAACCGCCATCAATTTCGTTTTAAATAGTGGGGCATCATCGACCAAATCATTTTAATCAACAATTTGTTTTATTTTAATTTTTTTTTTCCCCTAGATATTATACCAGTTTTTAAATTTTCCTCAACTTTTCACTCAGCAATCGCCCATTACCAACTAACACCAAAAATCGTCAAATCTACAATCTCATCACAAAAACCAAAAAAACATCCGATCGTGAGGAAGATTCCATGTCACAGACCTCACACTATAGTAAATAGTAACATTATATAAATCAACTCTGTAATTAAGTATTAATAATAATATTGACTAGACTACAAAATATCATTGTAATTCTTATCATTATTAAATATTATTATTATTTCAATTATAAAACTTATCATTTTAAACTGCCATTGAAATCAGTTTATGATAATTATTGTATCAATTAGTAATAGCTCTGAGAGTTGTTTCTAAACCAACCAAAACAAACCAATCTTTGAAAACACAAATATATCCATCATATATTTTGTTGATTTTCCAATTACATTTAATAAATAATTAAATTTTTCTTGTCGAAAAAAAAAATATTTCTTTTTAAGGTTTTTTATTATTATTAAATTACTTTCATATTTATAATTAAATTTCAAATCTTTTTATTATATCGATTTTGATCTTTACCAAATGGATAACACTTAATCTATAGTTTTAAGATAAAAAAAAATTAACTTTGAAAAAAAAAAAAAATTTGAAAAAAAAAAAAAAAAATCATACAAGGAAATTTAAAAAAAATTAAAATTATTATTAGTTCAATATCTTTGTATCATCATATTAACAAAATAACTAATCATATCGAGATTATAATTGATTATTAATAAACATATTAGTTTTCAATCTTAAAAAGATAAAAAAGTTATTAAAGTAATAATAAATAATATTAGTAGTATAGCAGTATTTTAAAAAGAGTAGTTTGGTTGTTTTGTCAAAGTAAAACAAAATAGAACAACAAGTGTAATAAGGATGCCAATTCAAAATGTTGTTGAATTTCCACAACGAAAGAAAGAAGCCAACTCTGATATTTCTTTGAAATCACCAGAGTCGACTAACACCACTGCTTCTAACGGCAGTGGTGCGCACCACCAGGAGAAGACCGATCCAAACTTTGTCGATCCATCTACACTCTCGGCGGAGGAGCGTCTCAAAAAGTCAGACGAATACAAGGCAAAGGCCAACAAGCTGTTTGGTGACCAAAAGTTTGATCTTGCGGTCGACGAGTATTCAAAGGCCATCGAATACCATCCAACTGCCATTCTCTATTCGAATCGTTCGTTCAGCTACTTCAAGAAGGAGTTGTTCGTATCGGCACTCGACGATGCCAAGAAAGCAACCGAGTTGGACCCAATGTACGTGAAGGGTTACTACAGATTGGGATCTGCCAACATGGCATTGGGTCACTACCAAGACGCCAAGATCAACTTTCAAACCGTCGTAAAGAAATTCCCGAATGACAACGAGGGTCGTCAAAAGTTAAAGACCGTGAGTGCACTCATCCAAAGAAAGGCATTCGAAGATGCAATTCAATTCAGTGCAGAGAGTGCATTCAAGAACTTGGATTACGAATCAATGGGTAAGTTTTTGTTTTTTGTTTTTAATTAATCAGTTGTAAATAACATCATCATTATTAAGTAAAGTTATACTAACATTTGTTCTATATTTATATTTATAGCTGTAGATGAATCATATAAAGGACCACATTTCATTGGTGAAGATATTACATTGGAATTTGTAAAAGATATGATCGAATATATGAAGTCACAAAAGAGTATTCACAAAAAGTATGTTTATAATTACAAGCCTACACCATCTTGATTGCTAACTATTGTTTCAATTTATTTTTACTAGATATATTCTTAAAATACTAAAGAAATCATTTGATCTTTTCACTAAACTTCCATCTTTGGTCGACATTGATCATGAAACTACACAAAACATCACTGTTTGTGGTGATACTCATGGTCAATTCTATGATTTATTACACATTTTCGAGTTAAATGGATTACCATCAAAGGTTTGTCATTACTTAAATATGTTTAGTTGTATATAGCTAGTACTCTATTATTAATTTATCTATATATTTGTTTTCGATAGGAAAAACCATATCTTTTCAATGGTGATTTTGTTGATAGAGGTAGTTTCAGTTTGGAGGTTATTGTTACACTTTTAGCATTCAAGTTGTTATATCCAGATCATATGCACTTGACTCGTGGTAATCATGAATCGATTGAGATGAATCGTTTCTACGGATTCCACGGTGAGGTCGTAGCGAAATACTCTGAGATGGTATACGACCTCTTTGCTGAGCTCTTCTCATGGTTCCCATTGGCATTTGTTCTCGACAACTCCTATTTGGTTGTACATGGTGGCCTCTTTGATAGAGATGGTGTAACACTAGACGATATCAGAAAGATTAACAGAGCATCGCCAGACTCGAACGACAATGCTTTGCTCCAATGCTTGCTCTGGTCCGACCCACAACAAAATCCAGGTATCTTACCAAGTTCGAGAGGTGTCGGTGTTTATTTCGGTCCAGATGTCACAAGAAAATTCTTAAAAGAGAATAATCTTTGTATGTACAACAAAAAAAAAAAAAATATCTAATTTACTCGCTACTATTCTTCTACAGCTGATATCTAACAAACTAATTAATTGTTCATATAAACAGGTGGTGTTATTAGATCTCATGAGGTCAAGGAAAATGGTTATCAAATCGATGATGAAGGATCGATCATCACTATCTTCTCTGCTCCAAACTATTGTGATCAATCAGGTAATCTCGGTGCTTATATCAACTTCGGTAAAGACACTCTTAAGTTTACAACCTTTTCAGAAGTGGTAAGTATTTTTATTTTATTATTATTATTATCTATTTTTTTTTTAAAACCATCAATTAATTAATTATTGATATCTTTATAATATAGCCGCACCCAGATATTGGACCAATGTATTATGCTAAACAATAAAAGGAATATAATATACATGAATAAACAAATATCCATATCAACTAATCAGTGAAACAAACTTACTTGAATCATGTTACTGACTATGACAACTCCAAAATTTTAAAAATCATTTCTTTTTTGGAATTATGTATTGGTATTAATGAAATTCATTTTTTTAATCATGTTTATAAAGAGTTCCTCACGGGTACTATTTGTTACCTCGGGGTAGCTTCCAGGAAGTATTTTGATCCATTCTTAATTACCTTAGTCTAAATAGTATTTCAGTATAAAAATACATTAAAATTTATAGTTAGAGTATGAAGATAATTGTAAATATGAATCGATTTACTTTAAGTTTGGAATTGTGTGCTTTTTTATTGTTGGTGCATTCACGAATCGTTTTTTTTTTTATTGCACTTTTCTTTGATCTCCCAAAATATTTTGATATTAATAATCATAATAACTTCATATGAGTTGTTGCCCACACTTCAGTGTTGTTATTTCTTTAATAGTAATAGCTATTATTTGTTTTAACACTTTAAAGCTGATTATGATTGTTTGTTTTTTTTTTTTTTATAAAAACAAATTAATGGGGTGTTGTGAAGTTAGTGTCTTTAACCACAATCAATGAACAATATTAAAAAATGCTAGATAACATGACCCATACCCTTCTTTTCTTTTCTTTTTCTTTTTTTATTTTTGTTTTTGATCATCATTATGAACAACATCATTCATTTGTTTTTGTTTCTTTTTCTAACAAATAAAAAAACCAATTATATTATAATTTCATTATTATGCTTATTCGAATTGAATGAAAATTCATGTGTGATCTATATGAAAATGAATACTATTTTCATTTTTAATTAATCAAAAATTTAAGAGTTCCAAATCTAATTATTATTTTTATATTTCATCATTGATAAGAAAAGAGTTTATCATTTTCTAGTTGAAAGAGGAGATATTATAAATTAAATTCTTTTTAATTGAAAAAAATCGATTTCAATAGTTTATGGTTTATTCGAGATTCTTTTAATCCTATGGATTTGTGTTTTCTTTATTTTTTCCAGTATGTAAGATTTTCAAAAAATTCAATATTTTTTATCTTTTAAAAAACTATAGAAAAAACAACAATCCATTATCTAAATATTAAAAATAATTAGGATACGAATGGTTTATACAATCCCAATAAAAATAATTTTGAAAAAAAATGATAACTCTTTTATCTAGAAAAGTAGTTTTCTTTTTTATCACTTCAAAAGTAGCTCAAATAGGATATTTATTTACCTAAATTATATAGAACAAAAATTGCCATATAATTTCAAATATCTATTAAATGAAATCTGATATTTTTTCAATTAATAACAATTATCTTATAATGTAAAAATACACAGATTATTTTGACAGTATTATATCATATCTACAAACTCATTCATATTTACATTCAAATTGGTTTGTTTTGTTTTTTTTTTTTTTTAAAGATAAATCCATAACCAAAACAAATGTTCACATTTTTTTTTTCACTAACTTCCACCCACCCACAATGTACACTGTGAAACTGATTTGCTCTACAGTTTGTGTTGGTGTGATAGGTGTGTAGTTTTAGTTTTATCAACACACACATTCACACATATGATTTCATATATCTGTATTGAAATCCCTTCCTTACCAAATTCACATCTACTCTCCTCACTTAAAAGAAATGAAAAAAAAAAAAACAAAAATAATAAATAAAATTAAAATCAAATATAAATATAAACCATCACTTCACTTCAACACACTGATATCATATATCTGCTACAACTTCTATAGTTTCCAAACCCTTATTTCATATGATCACCCTTCTATTTGGAATGCACATTAAAATCTAGGATCATTTATTTCATGATCAAGAGGATAGTTTCTGATATAAATTCACTTTATTATTATTGTGAAAAAAATAATTATTATTAACCAAAATGATAATATTATAAAATAAAAAATAAAACCCCACCCAATACCAATATAAATAGTAACCTCTTTATAACTACTACACTCATATTGTTAATAATGTATTTATTGTCTGTTGCTTCCACTACTACTTGATTTTGTGTTTGTACAAACAAACAATTTATATTCAAATCCAATAATATCTAGAATAATACCTCTGATTAATGTTGGAGATTTAGAATCAGTTGCATTTCATAGTTTGTACTTTTAATTTAACTGGAGCAATAGTATTGTTTCATTTGGTTCAAAAGTTGATAGTTCCTTTAGCCACCACCTCCCACTCTTTTAAAAAAAAAAAACCTCATATTCTTAAGAGCAATATTTTTTTTAAGCAGCACATTGGTTGTTTGCTGAATCTTATATATATATTTATATCATCATCAAAACAGATTATTTTAAAACCAAATTTAAAATTATATGGATTCTTTTTCTTTTTTTTAATATTTCCAAGACAAACAATAATCTCCTTCTATCTACTTAAATGTTAGTTTGAATTCATTCATAGTAAGTAAAAAAATAAAAACAAAAGAATTTAAAATCACCACAATTGTGTCCAAAGAACCGATAAATTTAAATTTTTAAATAGATATCGGATTACACTTTTTAACATTCCATTTCATAAAGGTATGAATTGGAAAATTGTAAAACCATTTATATCTATATATGTTCAAATAAAAACTATTTTTAATACTTTATACTCGGCATCGATTACTTTAAAATATCTTTGGACTTTTTTCTTCAAATAAAATTAAATCACCCAATAAAATATAAACTAGAAAAATATCAGATTGGTCTTTTGAAACTTTATCAAAAGCTCCGACGATGCATCACTTTTACTAAAAATTTTTTTTTAATTTTTTTTATTTTTGTAGATCATTCGGTCCCGTTGTTGATCCTTTAAAATATCAAAAACCTTAAAAAAACAACACCTCAAATAATCAGACCCCAACCACACTAAATTTTAAAAAACGAAAGAGTTCAAAAATATCCAAACCAAATTTAAAAAGAAACAACAAGCAAACAACTGTCATCTCAAGGTGTCTTGCAAATACTTTCGATTTATTATCTCAAATTGTATTTTTTTTTTTGTTTGTATTTTTTTCTATTTTTTTTTTTAAAATATAGATATTTTTATTTTGTAGTGCAAGTGGACCTAATATTTATATTTTTAGTGTTTGATTTATTGTAAATATTAATCACACAGTCTACAATCTAACAATTGACATTCACGATAAATTTTATCTCAAGTACCCCACACAAACCAAACAAATATAATCATCATTTATTAATTTCCATATTTGTTGTTGGCATCATATTGTTTTAATATTTATATAGAATTAGATAATTTCATCATATGAACTCACACGCAACCAGTAACATACAAACTGGAGCTGAAATGATGTATCGCCCACCCAACAATTCATTTATGAATAATTCAATGCCTCTGACCAATTCATCGCCATCAATAATGCAAACGCCACCTCAACCCAATTCATACTTTTTTTCTCCGCCAGATCTCAATCAACAATTCGTTTCTAATCTTCAAAGTCATATGTACTCCACGCAATCCATTCCCACTGGATTTTCAAATTCCTTAATATATGACAATAGTCAACCAAATTTTATGAGCCCCTCGGATACATATTCTGTTGAAAACTACTTTGGCAATATCAACAATGTTCAAACCCAAAACAACAATAATAGCAATAATAACCATGGGGCGATGGACAGTTTTTCGAGTCCTGCACCTCCACAGCAGAGCCCTGTCCAACAAGTTCCACAACAACATCAACCAGCACCACAACAACAACAAGCGCCAACATTCCAACATACAATGACACCTCCTGTATCTTTCTCCAATAATACTAATCTATATTCTTCTATTAAAACCATGACAACACCACCATCACAACACTCTAGTACAAGCATTTCAATACAACCACAGTTTATACCACCCTCTCTATATAATAGTTATCACTCCCAGTCATCTCCAAATCTAAGTACATTCCATCAAAAATTACCAAGCAATCATATAAATAGTCAACAAAATAATATTAGTCAACAATCAAATCAATCACACAACATACAACAATCACAACAATCAAATAACTCCAGTGCTCCAGGTAATAAAATAAATACGATAACAATTAATAAATCATCAAGTACGTTAAATCTCCAAGGCAATTCAGTTGGTAACAGTATAAGTTCCAATCAAGTCAATTTTAATTTTCCACAATTACACACGTCAACCGCCCAAACTCCACCTTCACCAATTTCATCACCATCACCTCACTGTTCATCAAATTCATCTACACCGATTTCTCTCTCTACCGCATCACTAACTAGTTCCACTCCCCCATCTAAAGAGGAAGACAATCAAAACGAAGGAGAAGTAACGCTTAAAGAAAAAGAAGATGTCGCCCGAACAGCTTATAAGACTTGGTTCGTTCTGAAGCCAGGCAACAAAGAAGTAAAGGATAGGTGGTGGGCATTATATTATAATAAAGTATTACCAAAATATCATCTACGAGATAACCATTTAGTAAGTAATCAAAAATAATCAAATCAAAAGAAAATACTAAACCATAATATATAAATAGGGAAGGAAAATCAATCAATGGATAGAAGAAGATATGAGAGAACTTGAGAAGCAAGGTTTAGTTCCGGCAAAAATGAATGATGATCCAGTTGGCGGTGAAGGTGGCGATACCAAAAAGAGAAAACCAAATTCAACTAAAGAAGGTTCACTACCAGCGTATATAAATGTTTTATTGATAAATCCTTCTGTATGTATTTTTTATAATTTAAAATAATATTATTATTTATTTTAACTTTTTTTTTTTTTTTTTTAAACATTTAAAGGAGGAAAAAAACAATTTAACCGGATATTGTGGGGGGAATTCAATAAATTGGAATGAAACCGACTTGGAGACTCTAGTGGGATTGTTTAAAGATAATAGACAAAGAATAATGGATAATGTTAATTCAGGCAAGAAGAAATCATTGCCATCACCATCATCACCATCAACACCATCGTTTACAAACACATCAGCGCAATCTAAAAAAGCAGCTCAACATAAGGATAAAGTAATATTTATTTTAATTATTATAGTTTAAAAACATTTTTTTAATTATTTTTTAATGTTTTTATTTTAGAAATTAAAAGCCAAAACAAACGAAACACCTCAACCACAAATACAGCCTCTAGTCAGATTAGAGATCAATTGTGACTGGATATTTGCAGAGGTCTATATGACGAACGATTCATATTTGATCAAAGCAGATCTGCCTGGGATTGAACCTAAAGATTTTAATATAGAGACTGATGATGTTTGTAAATATGTTATATCTGGGGAAAAAAAGAAAGATTCATCATTATCCGAAGTCTCAGTTTTATCTGGTAAAAGGAAATATGGTAGTTTTCAGATTGAAGCTATCCTACCACTTAATGCAGATGTAGGAAAGACAGAACATTTTTTTTGTAATGGAGTACTCTCTATCAAGTGTCCCATACGAACATAAAATTAATGAATCATGTATATTTTACCAATAATATTATAAATAGAATTAAAGTACACTCTAAAGAAGATTTAATTAAATAAAGTACACTCTTTCTTTACTGACGATCATTCATAATATTTACACAATCTTGTAAAAAAGAGTTTGAATGAATCATTTTTTAAAAAAATAATCGCTAATGGAGTTGAGATTTTCAACTATACTATCAACTACTTAATGGTTTTTTATACATATAGTATATTTTTTATTTTAATTCAAATTTACTTACAAACTTTCTATATACATATAGTTTAAAGTTTAATATACATACACTAATATTAATTAATATTCATTATTATTATTGTTTATATATTTATAAACTTAGTGTTTATTTGTAATATTAAAAATAGAGTGTATGATTAATAATTAGTGTATTTTTATTAAACTTTAAACTATATATATATATATATATAGAAAGTTTGTAAGTAAATTTGAAATAAAAAATACAAAAATTATAACCAATTTATTTGTAAATTTTTTTATTTTTATGTTTTACTATTTTTCTCCATCTATTGCGATTGTATATAGATGGAAACAAAAGTAACTCTTGACTAATAGATGTTTGATTTTGAAGTGCGTAGCTGTCTATAAATTATAAATTAAATCAATTTCATAGCACTCAACTCAATACAATATCATCAAACATTAAATAAATCAAAAAAATATATAATCAAAAAAATTAAAAATTATGAAATTTAGTTCATTTATTTAATAAATATCTGTTCAACAACTTTGTAAAATAAACAAAGTATCTTTAATAGAAGAATTTATTTGCATAATAATCTTAAAGTTTGAATTTAATAAACGTCAACTTATTTGATACACTCAAAAATAACAATATATTAAATATTGTCTTAATTTGCAAAAAAACAAAAACCATCAGAAGAAACCCACACTTGACATTGTCATTCAATTCCAATAAATCGTGAATCATATCAATGAAATTTTGATTCACCTTAAAATAAAGAATCAAAATAATCTATTTAGATCTATTTTGTTGATACATTTTATCAATTTGTAATATTAATTTTATTTATATTAAATTTAGTTATTCTTAAATTCATTTATTTATTTACTATTTGATTATATCTTTAATTAATATTAACAACTGGTTACTTTGTATTTTTATTCTATTTTCCAATATTACAATCAAGCTATTCCAAGTGATCCATTTCAATTGGTTCGTCCTTTTTTTTTTCTTTCCATGGTCTGAAATAACTTGTTGTCATTGATTGTGATCCATCGCCTCTCTTATCAAGCGTGACGACATGTCTCGATCAGTGAACCCACTGATGAGAGCTTAGTTATTCGAGTTTTTTGGTTGAAAGACTGCTACAAGATTGAGGTGACCACTGTTGTTGGAATTGCAGTTTGGAATTATAATAGATCGTTTATATATTTTACAGTTTCATATATTTGATGTTGCTGGAGTAGTGGTAGTGGAGTGACATTTGCTACTTCTGCTGCTGGTCAAGTAAAAATGCAAGATATTTACCTAACTTTCTTATTTATTATTAGTATTTTATCAAATAAGAATATTAATATCTCCCCAAAACAATAATTATATCTTTAATAAATAACATTCCAGATAAATAACTAAGAGTATTGGAATTCATGCTGAATCTGATATGATTGGTTGATAGTAGTTTGAAACTCAGAAAAGACAAAGTTGAAGTGCTAGAGAATTGTGGAGTTGTTAAGAACTATGATACTGAATAGATTCAAGTCAATCTTTATAATTATACCACCAGCTCATAAAATAATACAGGTACTGCTAAAAGTGATATCGATAAATCAAATAATCCACAACCACATTGTGTTACTTCTAGAATATCATCTAACCGATAAACCAAATACATTATTATTGGTTGTGAATTATTACATTTATCGATTTCACTTTTAGATATTCAATAGATTCACAAATTAATAGAATCTATAAAACTCCCAAATGGCGTGCTTTCTAAAATTTTACCATCATCAAACAATAGACACCTTAGCCAAGTGGTTACGGCGTTTGACTCGAAATCAAATCCCTTCGGGGGCGCAGGTTCGAATCCTGCAGGTGTCGAATAATTTTAAAACAAATCACCCATAAAGCGCGCATTTGTGTAACCAATAATAACTAATTCTGATCTGTTCGTCGATTCCTCTGCAATAACGTGCCCAAGACTCTTTGGCCAAGTTGGTCCATTAGTAAGCCTTAGAGGACTTGGGTCGTGGGATCGATCCCGGGTTTTTACAAAAATTTTCCCGACTTGAAAGGAGCGCGCCACGTACTAATCTAGTATTCAATACTATCTTGGACCCCATGAAGTTGACACCGACAGTAACTAGCAGGCTTATCACAGGTGAACACCGAGTGGTTTACACACGTACCCGCTTAGAATTCTAAGTGGCTTAATTACTCCGTCTGCCAAACCAAATCAATCAATGGGAACATCATCCTCACTCAAAATGATGGCTATCTCAGCCGGCCAGTGGCTGAACTGCTCAAACAATAAATAAACACGAACTGTAGGGTAATATCAAGCTCTACACCTTGACTATCAGTAATGGTAGTACAAGGATAATTTAAAAAAAAAAAAAAAAAAAAAAACAATAACGCGCAAATTTAAATCTGATTGGAATATAAATCCTTCCAATACCTGATAATGAGTCAACAAATCTTTTTTTGCAAAAAAAAAAAAAAAAATTATTATCTGTTCCACAAACATCACACACAGGTAGATGAATCTTCTTACATTCTTACAAAAAGGTTGAAAATTCCAGGATTCCTCTTTGGCCAAGTTGGTCCATTAGTAAGCCTTAGAGGATTCGAAATTAAAGTGTGATAACCCACACACTCTAAATGACATAGATTTTATAAAACTTTTATATTACATCTTTTGTTTGATGTAAGATAGACTTGAAGAGTTTGGAGAAGTGGCAGAACAAAAATACCCTTGTCAAGTTGGTGGATTTAGGGTAGAATATCTTCTTCTTCTACAAGTTAAAAGAAATAAGATTAAGTTATTAACCTATACAATAACCAATAAAGATAGCTAGATCAAAATTAAAATATTTTAATTATCGTTCGAGATTTTTTTAAATTACAATTGTGACTTGTATCGATTGACAGTTGGTACAGTTAACATATAGCAGTTTCACAGTTATTTGGTTGCAACCAAATAAAGAATAGACAATACACTTGAAATAATATATTTTAATATGGATAACAATGATATCTTTAATTATCTTAATTATCTATTGGACATAAATTGAAGTAATATATTTTTATATTCAAATTCAAATATCAAAATATTTTTATGACTAAAAAGAAAACGATCATTTAGATTTACTTATTCAAGTTTCTAACATAAAATTGATTAAAATAAGTCAAACAAATTTAAATAAACATATTCAAATTTCAAACATATATTTGAATAAGCTTACATTAGTAGATAGATTGACTATTAATAAACTATAGTCTGATCAACTATTTTTATTAAATGTATTTCAGAAGTCTCTTGTGGTTATTTTGATACTTTAGTTAATAGTTTTTCACCTTAAATACATAGAATCTAATATGAATCTTTCAGTTCAACCAAATATAATCTTAATCCTTAAAAAACAAAAAATAAACCAACTATTATGTAACAAGATGGATTTATCTATAACAAGTATGTATATAATACAATCAGAGAGAACACTAGAGAGTTCAGATTAATATTATCTTTCTTAACAAAGATGAATTCTGGATTGCAGCATCAATCTAGTTGTATTACCCATCTTTGTAATTATTTGAGGTTTGACCAATCATTCTTGATATCAAGAAAAGAAAAATACTAGTTTTCAGCTCAATCAAAAATAAAAACAAAACATCAGGTTTATTCAATTCTTTTTTATAAAAAACTAAGTGTAGGATAAAGAATACAATTCTTCCAAGTTTCTCTTTAATGAGGTAACTATAGTTAAATCAATATTTTGTTTATACTTCACAAATTTTTTTACTTCACTAAATCTACAACTACTTGATTTTTTCTGTAGTTATATAAAAAATAAAACTCGATATTTTTTTACCTTTTAAAAACAAAGTATTTTATTGATAATCACACCCTCTTCAATCCTACAATCCAGCTGACAGTTTGAGTAGGTACCAAATATTCCTTTGTAAAAATTATTCATTCTGTAGCAGATCGACTTTATAATATTAATAATATAAAAGAAAGGTTAATCTTTGTGATGAACGTTGGATAGATTGGTAAATTTACCTAGATATTTAAAGCAATCAGTTTTTTTGTTATTTTTTTTAAAAACAATAAAGTTTATTTAAGTGGTAAAGTTTGAAGCAGTTAAACTTTTAACCTTTTTTGGAAACAATTGTTTCTATTCACTTCAAGGGTACGAGTTCTGATAAATCTAGTCCATGATTATTAATTTCCTGTGCACACGACAATGAACATTAGACTTGTCATAACTACAAATCATCAAAAGTAATCTTTGTGCTCCCCTCTTGAGTTTAAAATAGAATCCAATAACCAAGATAGCCTATCTTAGATATCTAGATCAAATTAATTTTTTTTCTACAGAGTTGTAACAATTTTACCCCACAACCAAAGAGAATATAAAAAAATAAAAACTTTAATAATCAATAAGATTTTAATAATCATAAGCCTTAACAATCAACTGTAAGTTCAATTAAATAAAGATACACTTGTTTATATTCAGACCTGACAATAAAGTATTCATTCATTAAATAAGTTGCTTATCTGTTTATCTTTACAAAAAATGATTATTTATTCGCTTAACTTTTGTTCTTTCTTTGACCTATCGCTTTTTGATTGTTTCTTTTGGTTTCTTTTGTTACTATTTACAACTTATTGTAGTTGTTTTGGTGTTAATAAGCTATATGTAGATCATTGCAATGAGTTTAGTTACCTTTTTCTGAAGCTTGTTGTTGCATCTTTGTTTCTTTATCTTTATTTACAAAAACAGTTAACTCTTTATTGGTCAACTCTTGTATCGAAAGTATTTCTTTGATCATCGAATGAAAAGGTCCACCTATAACCTCTTCTTGATATTCTTGTTTTATATAATCATCTTTTATATCTGAACCTTTTGATGTAAATGTAATACATTCGCTTTCACAATATATATTTGCAGTGATCATAGTTGCTATGCTTTAAATAAATAAGTTATTTAAATAAAAAAAAACTGTGAATAATCAAAAAAAAAAAAAATCATTATTTATTTGATTTTTTTTGTGTGCAAAAAATTAATATGTTATTTTATTGATCTTTTTTTTGAGAAGTGTTGAATTTCAAGGATTCTAAATTTGATTTGAAAAGCTTTGCTTTACTAGAGACATTGTCATCGGTGATCTCTGTGCTAAAGGCTTGTAGGATTTCGTAGATTGGTGTGATGTGTTGAGAACCAAGACCACTACCACCCAAAACTTCGATGGATTTCAAAGAGTTGGTGAGTTGAACCAAGTGTTGGTCAATATCGGCTTCGACTTCTGCTGGTGCCGATTGAAGCGGGAATCCAAGAGAGTTGATCGATGCGATCGAGGTGCTGATTTGATCTTCGAGTGATCTGATTAATCCAGCGAAAATCATGTTGGACTCCATCGACATTAGACGCTCAGTATCGGTAAAGAACTTCTTGATAATGAGGAAGAACTCTTGGTTCAACATTGTATGTGGATTCTTTACTGCGTAGGTCATGATTGAAACTTTCTCTTCGTCTTTAATTTGAATCGGATTCTTTGATACCATATTGCTCAGTACTTGATAGGCGCTCTCGAGACCGATGGTCAACATTTCCTTGATGATCTTGAATGTCAGGTTGATACCCTTTTGTTGAACAGCTGGATTTGGATGATTCAATGAGCATAGATTGATTGTATCCAACAACAATTTGTAGAATGACTCTGGAGTCAATAGTTGTTGTTGTAGTTGGTTCTGTTGCTGTTGTTGATTGTTGTTATTATTATTATTATTGTTGTTGTTGTTGTTGTTGTTCAATGATTCGGTATCAAAGTTTGGACCGTTTCTCTTATTGAACATATCGTACAATACCAAAATGATACCCTCTGGATATTCACAGGAGATCTGATTGAAAACCTTGCTAATGTGATTGTGGTAGAGGGTACCCGATTCAGCAGCATTAAAGAGTGCCGATACAACCAATTTAAATGGTGGATAATTGCTGTCCCAAATATTCAATTGAGTTGGTGACTGTGGTTGATCTCCAGCGATCTCACCATTGTTGAGATTGGGTGATGATTCCTTACGCAACAATGCAAGTACTTTGCTGATGAACTCGATCAACTTTACACCGGCTGGGTTTTGAGATTTCGTTCTCAATTGCTTGCAAAGTATCTCAATTGGAACCCAACGCTCATTGATATTGTTGTTGTTTTGGAAATTCTGGAAGAGCATAGCAGCATCCTTCTTCTTGTTGACCAACAAGTTGAGAATGGTGACACAGTTGGCCAGGCACAGATGGAAGTTAGGGAAGCTAATGCAGTGGTGCAATATTCTCGAGATGTGTTGTGGGAACTTTTGTGCAATGAGCTCTGTCAACTGGAAGAGAATGTTGGCAACATCTGTGTAATCGATACACTCCAAGTACAAAAAGGAGAGTGCCCATGTGTAGTTGTTATGAGTGGCAACAAAGTTGAGGAATTCCAAACTCTGTTGTGACATATACAAGATGACCTGGTAGAAATAGGGCAATGATTTTTGGTTGAACATTCTGAATTCTTCCTTTGGCGAAATACTGATAAAGTAATCCATAATCTTGTTGTGAATTGGATCTTCGAGGAGTAGTTTAATATTCTCTGGACAATCCTTGAGCATGGCAGCAAAGAATCTGATGATCTCTTGTCTGCTTCTCTCGATGGCCACATTCGAGGTAATGAGAATTTGCAGCATCTTGACGAGTGGTGCGAAATACTGAGCAAATGCTTTCTTCTCTTCATTGCTTACGATACAGAGGGTGAGTAATCTAAAGTAGAATTCGACTCTACCACCACGAATATCCTTTTCGGCTTTGACAATGCTCTTGACCTCCTTGGCATGAGAAAGTAGGTAGAGGAAGAGACTGTGGATCTTGTTGTGATCGAGTTGAGCTTGACCCGAGAGATTAAAGAGTGAAATTGCCAAGTTGAATGCATCGGAGCGAACCTCTATCGACTCTGAGACAACAGTCCACTTGATCAACCACTCGTCGAGATTCTTCTCGAACCAATCGCCAATGACTTGACTGCTCGTGGCTTGATCAATTATATACTTGATGTGTGGGATATATGCACGTTGTTTGTTACAATCGAGTAGATTAATATAGGCTCTAAGGGCCAAATCGGCACGCTCTGCGTAGTAGTGATCCTCCATGGTGATCAATGGTAACAAGGCATCGAGTGGTGCTTTACCCTCGATATTTTGAATGTGTTGGATCATGATCTTGCTGAGCTCGATATCACCGAAACAAATGTGTTGAAGAATCTCAGTGGAGGAACGTGGATTGATATTCTCGCGAATAGTCTTCATAATAAAGTGAGGATGTGTAATCATGTACAGGTCATCCTCACTCATGTCCAACGGTTCCTTTTCATTGTGTGATGGAAGTACGTGTCCTGTGAGTTTCGAGTAACGAGTGTGTGAGGCAAGTGTCAAGATGGCAACGGTTTCCAACATGGATTGGTGCTGTGGTGAATTATACTTGTCACCCATCTTTGTCTTCTTTTGTGGTGGATGAGTCTTTGACAATGGCGACTCCTCACCCATGTAGAAATCGATAAGACGTGACAATACATTTCTAGAGAGTAGGTAACGCTTCTCTTCGGTTCCCAACACACTAAAGTCACGAATCAATGTGAAGTACTGTTGGAAGTGTCTCCAGAACAATGGCGCCTCTTTAATGAAATCGAGATAGGTATCCATGAATCTTACGATGAATGACTTGGAACGACCACCGATAATGGTGTAGTTTTCTTGGTCAATCATTTGTGTGATTGCCTTTTGTTTGCCAGTTGATTGTTGTGAAGATTGGCCATCACCACCGCCACCACCACCATTATCGTTGTCGTCAATCTCAATGATTTCCATTGGTGATTCCACCGATGGATCCTTTTCAATCTCAAAGTAATATTGACGATCGATTGGAATGAGAGTTTGGATCACTTGAAGAAGTAATTTGGCAAGCGACTCTCTTGGATCATTGGTGAGACAAACCAACATATTCTGACGAATCCATGTTGAGTCGTAGGTCATCGAATCGAGGAACCATTGGCAGGCTTCTATGTGAGTGGAGAACAATGAACAGATATAGGTGATGAAATCACCAAGTGTCTTTCTCTCTCTCGAGTGCGAGAGTGTTTCAATGACAAATCTAGTTCCCAACTCAATGGTCATCATTACCTGATCAAAGTGGTCATCTTCATCGGTCATACGATTACTGTTGATGGGGTCCAAGTGTAGGAATTGCCAGATGAAATGGAAGTAGTTTGGATCAAAGATATTCTTGTCGTGAAGGAATTTCATGTTCTTACGCCAGACACTATTGAATATCTCAGAGGGTACCAACTTGGATGCCTCGTTCTGAGCGATGTTTTGATACTCTGGTTTGGGAACGGCCTCTGGATTGGTACGTTCGTAGAAGAGCATATAAGCATTGTTGTAACGTGGAGTGGTGCGGACGTTGGTCTTTCCTTGATCCATAGAGATGTGATCGTAACCACCGAAACATGCCTTTGAGATGTCTTCAGGATTGAAAATCTCTGTCGAGTGATCGTTGAATTGAATCCAACGACGTGGTTGACCGGGAATCAATGGTTGACGCTCCTTGATGTACGAGTGATAATGTCCAGACTCTGCAGAACCTGTGTGTACAAGAATACCGCTGAGTTCATACTGGTAGTAAGAAGCGGGATGTGTTGGGATGTCTGGGATTGGCAATCCTTTGGCTTTGGCATTCTCAATGGCTTCCTTACGCTCAAGACACTCCTTGGTGTATGGTGCCATGTCCAAACTCATTGGGAATTTGAGTTGATCATTGAGCTTGGTTCTACGCATGAGATCCAAATCAAATTCGAAACGCTTGTTGTGGATGATCAGTGTGTTTGGCAGCTTCTTTACACATCTTCTCATGAGACACTTGACTTTTTGTGAACATTGACTACAGAAGTACTTGTTGTCACCGTCGAGTGTCTCTGACTCGACAAACAGCTGAAGCGAGTCGAGGATATCACGCTTGTTCTTTACCTCAAGACTGATGGTGTAGAATGGCTCTTCTCTCTCAGAGACATGTGGACACTCCTGAGAGATGAATTGATTCACACTGGCACCACCAAAGAACTCAGACAGCAATTTCTCTTCTTTGGTGCCCTTGAGTTGGTTTTCCAGACGATCGAACAACATGTTGAAGAACTCATCAACATCCATCTGTACGTAGGTATTGAGTGGCTGTCCTTCGTATTTGTAGGCCATACAGAAATCCTTTGGATCGTGAGATTTCTTCTCACTCTCTTGGAGGTTGGCAAAGATAATCTTGAGTTGATAGAGCAAGCTGTCTGGTGTTGGGTTGGCTTCTTGTGCCTGGATGATACTGTATCTGAATGCTGGAATCATAAAGAGTTGTTGCATCAACGAGTTGATGTAGCAAGTGGCACCCAAATTCTTGAGACCAACGTATCCACAAGTGGACTTCTCGTTACCGGCTGGCAAGTAGTTCCAGAGTGTTCTTCTTTCCTCTGGTTTGTTTTGCTCCAAGAGTAGCGAGACCAACATACGATAGTTTTCTTCGCAGTTATTGGCCAACTCCAAGAGCAATGCGAAACAGGCGTCACGTGACTCTCTGTTTTTGCACTTTGGTGGACAGAGAGGACCGTGGTTCTCTGCTGTGGCAATGTCAAACAAACAGTTGTGGAAGAGATCGGTGATAAGATCCTCTTTGTAACCGGCCTCCAACTTGAAATCGAGTGAGTAGGTGACAAGTGTACGAACCAAACCAAACAGACCAATAAGTACATAGTCTGGCTGGTAGTAGTTGGAAGATTCGACAACTGGATGTGTCTTGATCATTATTACCAGTTGTTGGAGGAGCTCGCCAAAGTTGTTGACAGATCCACCTGCAACACCATTGCAACTGTCACGAACAAGATATCCCAGCAGTTGGAAGAATTGATTGCAACTGAAAGAGTATCGATCGGATCCTACAATGACAGAGAGAAGTGAGAGACATTGGTGTAAAAAGAATTCATGAGCTTTAGTACTGAATTGGCAGATACTCAAGATGCGGTTGAACACGGAATCACGGATGGTGTAGTCACTGCTGTCGAGAATCAAGAGGGACAACCACTTGTTGAAATCCTTTCTGTTGAAAAGCTGGTCCATCTGAGCGGGTTGGACAACCAATGATTGAATGAGAAGAAAGATACTCTGGATGACATCTCCATCGTCGGTGAGGTGCTGGATCATCATATCTTCCCCTTGAACAGTTGGCGCGGTTTGATTCCAAGCGAGATCCATCAAGCGATTCAAAAAGGTGGCAGCTGAAAAGTTGGAAACTTTGGCAGTGGAGATAAAGGCGAGGTTGATGGTTGTGGTGTTTGAGAAATCGACAACCAACAGCACAATGATCTTCAATAGGAGCGAGAGACATCTCTTTCTCTTGGCACCCTTGCTTTCGTGTTGGAGATCCACTTGCATGAGGATTTTGACCAACTGGGTTAGACCGCCAGTGGCAATGAAACGGTTACGCCACTCATAGTTGTTGTCTTCAAGCTGTACAAAGTTCTCAATGATCAAGAGCGAATAGAGTAACTTGAATACGGAGGAGTGGTCGAGTAGGTGCTCCCAGTTGGGTGAGTTCTTTTGGTCGGCTGGAATGTTGGACAACAAGTCAAAGATCTGACGATTCACTGGGAGGAGAATGAGAACTTCCCATACGGTTGGGGCAATCTCCTCGATCGACAACAACGAGAAGAGTAGACCGAATTTACTCTGGTCGAAATTGATGGTGATTGGCTGCACGTCGTCTTGGATTCGAGGTTCGGCCAACTCGTTGAAGAGAATGGTGTCGTGATTGGCCACGCGATAGTCTTCGAGTGTCTCGTAGTCGAATTGCAACACCTTGGTATTGTGAACCAAATAGAGAGCACCGGGATGGATGTTGATTTGCTTACCCAATCTTGCCTTGATTTGGCCAATAGTCTCGTTGCTTCTGATCTGCATTTGCAAACGACTCTTTTGATTGTTAAAGTGGACGGTGATGGTCGGCGAGAAATTCTTTTTGAAAGAGTCTTTGATTCTCGAACCGAAACCCTCGAGGTAGGTTTGTATCAAAGCCAATGTTCTATTAACAAGAATTCGATCAGTGTTATTCAACACACCAGTATCAGTTGGAATATTCGAGAGATTTGAAATACATGTAGTAAGGAATTCATCGCCTTTATCCTTATCTTGTGTTGTCATCTGTGTTTCATAAAAAAAATAATTAATAAATTGATTCTTTAAAACAACTTTAATAAAATTAAGAAGAAAACTTACAAATTTATACAAATCAATAATGAATGAAATGACTTCTTTGCCAACTTCTTCATTTTCATCTTCAAGAACGATTCTCCAAAGATTCTCTACACCTATATAATTTTTACTAATAATAATAATAATAATAATGAAAAAAATATGAATTAGAAATAAATAATGATGGTGAATATTGTTTATGATAAAAATATACATACGGTCCTCTGTCACGATTAACAGCTCTCATACAATTGATATATAATGTAGCACCAGATAATTCCAAATTGTTAAATGGAATCTCATTGTATTTCTCCAAAAAGTATAAATGATTTTGTTCCTAAAAATAATTTAAAAATATTAGTAATCAAACTTTTCATATAAATATTCTATTAATAATTACTTGGAAACAGAGTGATCTTTCAATCCATCTAAAGAATAAATCTCTATCTTTGGTAGAGATTGAATCTACAACGTAGACATGCCAGAGAACATCGATGTTTCCGTTGGTCGGTAGTATATCGGATTTCTCCCAGATGAAGCTAATGAAGCTTAGGAACTCGTTCATTTGCTCAGAGTGCGAATGACGACCGTAGAGGATGGTGTCACCAAGCTCGTCGACTATCATCATTCCCTCGTTGTTGATAGCTACTTTGCATTGCTCTTTGTAGTATTCGAGGTGAGCAAAGAACTTGTCAATCAGTCCCATCTCTCGGTTGATGTGATCGATGATGGCAGCCGATCCTTCGTGGCTGTTCATTGGTTGATTCTTTTTCTGTCGTTCGGTGAAAATCGTGATAATATATTGAATCAAACGCAGTGAGAACAGCACGGATCGATGGTTCTCGATGTTCTCCAAGCACTTGTTGAGATATTCGTGACGTTGATGTTGGTGAAAGTACAGTGCATCTTGGAGGTGAACCAAAGCCTGGTGAGTCAACTCTGGTGAAATAGCTGAAACAACCATCTCACCTGTTGTTGGACTACTAGAACCACCACTGTTGTTGTTGTTGTTGCTATTATTGTCGTTGTCAATGTTTACCAACAACTCTTTCTTTTGTTGTTGTTGTGGTGGTGGTTGGTCTTGTTGTTGTTGTTGGTCATTGTTGTTGTTGTTATCATCTTGATTGTCGATATTTATATTATTATCTTGAAGGAGTGACCAAAAGATTTCCAGACCACGAACAGCTGTAGTTTCACGAGAATCGTCGATACCAATGTTGCCACCAACATTATTGCCATTGTTGTTTCCACCCATGAACTGGAAACGGTTCTGAGTGAGACAGGCAATCAGCTGCAAGGTCTGAGTGGTGTAGTGTTCGAGAGGGATCTCCTTGATCTTATTAAAGAGATACTCTATATCTGAGGTGGGGAGCAACGGTGCAATATTTCCAATAGTGTCATAGATTACATTTTCAATCGTTTCATGTTTACCCTCGGCAGCACTCCACATAAGATCGAGGTACTTACGCTGGAACGCCTTCTTCTCTGCCAAAAATTTTAAAATATCTGTACATTTTTGAAGTAATTGAATATGCATAGTCTCACCAAACAAAAGTTCTACAATTTTGTTTTCTCTGATCCACTCCACAACTCTCCTAATAAAAATAAAAAAAATAATAAGTATTTTGTGTAACTGTACTATTAAAACAATAATAATAATAACTTACTCTGGAGAACAATAGGGATATTGTCTGGTATAAGCATGATAAGATTCAAACTTGGTGAAACGGATTATATCATTTAAACCTGCATTTCTCTTCTCGAGAGATACAGACTTGAAACACTTGAGAGCAATATCCATACTGTAGAGTTGGATCATCATTGTAAATGGATTCTCTGTGATGTTTGATACAATACTGTTGAGATATTTCAAACAAAAATCCAAATCTTTCTTGCTTTCATTCTTGAACTCCTCGTCTGGTGTCGACAAAATTCTATTAACCACAAGCTTTATAAACTCCTCTACCTCTGCATCTGGTTCATCAATTGTATTCTTTTTTGTAAACTATAAAATTATAAATATATTAATATATATAGATATTTGAATTTCTTTATCTGCCTCTTACCTTTTTCAAAGTACCAAGTAATCTCTTTAAATTATCGAAAGATCCCTTATGATTTTTAATCTTTTCCTTCAAGAGCAAAACACCTTCATGTTGACCAAAATAGACTGCAAGTTGATTGGATATCTAATAGCGTAGTTTCAAGCTAATTAATATGGATTGAAATATACGAAAATTGATGAATTTAATTTGATGGATAATACAAACCTTGTTTGGGAGTTCAACATATTCTTGATTATATCTATATTCATTGTTCCTTTGGAATGGTTTTGGTGAGAAAATATTCATTAAAACCTTAAGATACTCATTGGGATTATCGTCTTTGGCAATCTTCTTTAAGGAAATAGCTATACAAATCTGAAAGAAAGTCCGGACTTTGACTGCCAGTTCAGAGGATTGTGTCCTACAAAAATAAAAATAAAAGAGAGAAATTTTTTTGAATTTTTTTTTTGAATTTTTTTTTTTTGATTAATAAATTTGATTAAAATTTTAATTTAAATTTATGTTTGTTTTTTTTTTTTTTTTTGAAGGCTTTGATCTTCACTATTGATGATATGATGATGATGATGATAGATGTAATACATATGATAATGTTGATATGTGTGCTTTCTCTCACTTTCTCTCTCTATCTCCTCTCCTCTCAGCTCTACACTTCTCACTCTTTTGATGTGTGTGTTATTTTTTTTAAAATCAACTTACAATTTCCACCATAGGGCTTCAACCAACTCTGGTAACTTCTCGATACTCTTGAACTCTTCGAGTGGTGTCAAATCGGGTGCTGGTTCACCAACTACAGGTTTAGTTGATCCATTCTTAATCAGATAGTCAAGAGCCTCCAATAATTCTCTAAGTTCGACGGCTATTCATTGTAATTTAAGAAAGTATTAATACTTTGATGTTCGAATGATTCTCTTTATATGTATACCTACAGCTTTTAATCAAATCTGTAAAATATCGTATATCGTTGATCATAATTTAAATCTTTACTATATAAATAGAATGAAAGAGAGAAGGAATGAATAATAAAAGAAAGTAAAGAATATTGTGTATTAATAATTAAGGTTGTTTTTGTTTATAAAATGATTATAATTACTTGTTGTTTTTTTATTATTATATTATTATTTTTAATTTTAATTTTCTACAGTGTAAAATATATATATAATAGTTTTTGGTTGTTTGAATGATGATTGAACTTCTTAAACAAAAAAATCTATTTGACAACTACACTGCTGCTGCGACTAATATTATATATATAATTTTAATTTAATTTAATATTTGGTTATTAATTTAAATTAAGCTATACCTTTGAGGGTTGGTTTAAATAGATTAATTAAAAAAAAAAAAATTTAAAAAAAAAAAAAAGGTGAGTTGATTTGATTTTTAGGTTGGGTTGAAGATGTATTTTAAAAGTGGAGCAAGCAAAATTAAGAGAGTGAGAAGTGAAGAAAAGTCTACTGATTTAAATAATTAGAAAAAGGAAAAGAGAGTGATAAGAACCTGTTAGTTTACAAACAAACAAAAAAAAGAGAAAAGAGGTGGCAAGTTGTGTGTAAAGTGTGAGTGTTTAGTTGAGAATGAATGAATGAGTTGAAGTTATAAAGTTGTTTTGAATTTAAAAGTTAAAGTTAGTGTTAGTGTTTGTTTTGGTTTTGTATTGTTTTGTTGTGAAACAAACTAAACAAACAATGTTATAGAATGTTATGGAATATTAACTAAGAATGTATAAATTGAGATGATTGTTATTGCTTTGTTTACACACACCATCCAAAATAAAATAAAAACAAAAAAAAAAAAATTGTTTGAACACAATAAAAAAACAAGAATTAATTTGAAAAAAAAAAAATTGAACAAAAATCTTTTTATTAAACTTTAAATTTCAAACAACATTGAGGAGTATTTTTTTTTTTCTTAGTACCCAACAGTAAATTCTGAATATTAATTAACCAAAACAAATATTTGTTTTTTTTTTTTTAATTAATTTTAAAATTCTTTGAAAAACATCACTTTTATTTTATATCTTCCTAAGATATAATTGTATTTTTTAAAAAAGTTATTGATTTAAGATCATATCAGTGATTTTCTTTGTCGATTTACTTTTCTTCCTTCAAAAAAATACTTCAATTTCCCAGGTTTTGAAAAAATTAAAAAACAAGGTTTTAATTCCACACTTGCAAATATATAAATTGAAAAAAATGTGATAAATAAATTTAATTGTTTTTTTATTTATTTATTACCAAAAAAAAATACTAACACTAACCTAACTGTAGTGTATTTTTTAATCTAATAAGTTTTCTCGTTAACTTGACTATAATTTTTTTTATAGTATTTTATTTTATTTTATTTTATTTTTGCAATTTATAAATGTTCGGAAATAAAAACAATGATATAAATGGTAATAATATTAATAATGATAACAATAATGTAAATATCAATAGTAGTAATAATAATAATAATAATAATAATAATAATAATAATAATAATAGTAATAGCAATAATAACAATATGAATATTAATAGTAATAGTGCAAACAATAAAAACAGTAAAAGCAAAAACAACAATAGTATATTAAATAGATATCTTTTTACCAAGAATAATAGCAGTGCTAGTAATAGAATGAATAGAAATAGTCCAATTATTAATTTTAGAGGTGATGGTGGTAGAACTAAAAGAGGAAGTGGTTTTGTTAGTGTAGAGATGAATGATGCTGTAAATTTTACGAGAACAACAGACGATTATGATGATTTTGATGACTATGATGATGATGAACAACAACCACTTGAATATTTACAGAACAGTGATGGTAGTATTACAAAAGCAGCTGCACCAACCGAGGAGAGATCTTCGTTGGGCGAGGTAATTGCATCACTCCTACTGTGGTGCTATTCGGAGCGTGATACAAAGTGTGCACCCGTTGGTAACTTCCTATCGAGTGTATTCGATCACTATCACCTAACAAACTACCAAATCAATCAACTATTTGAATCACATCCACTCTGTAACTATAGATCACACTATGACATTGCCATTGACAGCAGCAGCAACAATAACAACAACATCATCAGTAGTCTAAGTAAAATCAATGAAATCAATGAAAATGGTAGTATTATCAATAGTAACATTAGCATCAGTCATATTGGTAGTAAGATAGATGATCCTACAGCAAACTACACTGAAATCTATAATAATACATTCTTGAAAAGATTAAGTTCAAATGAATCTACCGCCAAGATATTATCGGAAATTAAATTGTAAGTGTTGTGTTGTTGTATTGCTACAAATCAATATAGTACTTACTCTCAATTTTCGTTTAATTAGATATTCTTATAATTTGGAAAGAGAGATTAGAGAATATCTGAATAGTGACTTTGAGGATGACTTTGAAACATTCATTGTAGATAAAGGTCAACAGTTTCAAATGCAGCTCTCAAAGTTTGTAAATAATATATATCTAGACTGGAGGAAAGAGGATAGAAACAGAATCATTGAGTCTGTTGAATCAATCATTTTAATAAGATTATTTGACTTGTATGTATTTATTTTTTAGAAAGATTATCTAGTTTGTAACTAATTGATTGATGAAAACAATAAACAATAATAATAGAATCTGTCCAATTAATAAAGAAAAAGACAATGAAATTAAATATGCTATCAATTTCCTTAAAGTAAAACCAAAGGATTTCCTGGAGTTGGATCCAGTGCATTTGAAGAACATCAAATGGGAGTCTGCCATCGTTGAACTCTCACACATCAATCTCTATCAAACGCCGAGAGACAAGATCATGTGTCTTCTCAGATTCTCTCGTATCATCTCACAGGGACTTAAAGAATCTGGAAAGTCATTCGGTGCCGACGAGTTTATCAATTGTTTAGTCTATGTAGTCATTCAAACAAATCCTGCCTATCTCTATTCCAATATCAAGTAAGTATCAAATCAATACCCAATATATAACTATTAAACTTCATGAAGTTTTCCTAACAATCACAATTATTATTATTACTATTAGATATATTGAAATATTTAGATCTCAAGATTTACTATTGTCGGAGGCAGCATATTATTTCGTAACATTGTCATCTGCTATGACATTTATTACAAACAAATTCCATGAGATGTTATCACAATCTCAGATCAATAGTTTGAGTGTTAGTAGCAGTGGTGTTGTTTCACCAAGAGATGAAGATGGCAGTATGGTTGGTGAGACTTTGGTTAGAACCAACAGTACTATATCATTCAAGTTGGATAACTATCCGTCTTTGACAAAATCAATAGAATCGATTGAATCCTTGATGAATGACTCAACTGTTAGAGAATCCAACGGTGAAGGTAGTGATAATGGGGGAGATCAACAATCGGCTATCTACAATAACATTGAAGATGAACCCATTCACAAAGAGATTCAAGAGAAAGGCATGGAAATACTTTCAACCGTTGTAAACTTGGCTATTTCTAATGGTTATGATTCTAGGATTCGTTCGGGTCTGATGCGTTTCGCAACCAAGTTGAATCCTGTGGAAGGTGAGCTAGTGTTGATCGTCATGGAGGGTGTCATCGGTAAGACGCTTGTCGACTCTGTGTCCAACAACAAGTCTAGCACCATCAAGAATCTCTTTGAGCGAACCACTTCCAACTATCGTGGATTCAAGATTGGAATTGCTGCTCTCACTGGTGGAACGTTGTTGGCCATAGGAGGACTGGTTGCCGCCCCTGTGATTGGTGCCGCACTCCACTTGATTGGTGCAACAGCGGTACTCTCTGCTTTGTCGGCAGCGGGAATAAGTGGATCCGCTCTGACATCACTGTTGTTTGGTGCAGCCGGTGCCACCATCACTGCCGAGCACGTCAAGAAACATACTTCGGGCATTGAGGAACTCACCATCAAAAAGGTAAACGAGACATTCGGATTGCATGTGGTAATCGGTGCATTAGGATGGATTGAGAATCCAGCTGATTCCGGTAAGGAGGACATGACACTATGGGAACAGAGTCTGACATCCGGTGTCAACTGTCTCGGCGAAGTCTACACCGTTGCATGGGAGACAAAGCTACTCAATCAACTCTATGAATCTCTAAAGAACTACAAGAAACAGGTAGAGGATAACAGTACATTTGCCAAGTTCACTTCGAGAATGCTACACGATGCTATCTTGCCGAGTGCCACTATCTTGGAAGCGGCATCACTTATAAAGACATGCTGGGGAACGGTGAAGGAGAGTGCACAAAAGGCAGGCCAAGTTTTGGCAGATGAAATACTGTCATCCGCTCGTTTTGGAAAGCGACCAATAACACTGGTGGGTGTCTCCATGGGCAGTAGTTTGATATACTTTTGTTTGTTGGAGCTGATTGCCAAGAAGGCATACGGTATGATTGAGAATGTAGTATTTATCGGTGCTCCTGTGCCCAGTAATCTCACGACTTGGGTCAAGATTAGAAAGATCGTATCAGGCAGACTAGTGAATTGCTACTCACCAGACGACATACTATTGCAATACTGCTACGAATCCAACAGTATGCCAGATGAAAGAAACTATCTATCAGCTGGATTCGCACCGATTCGTATCAACAAAGAAGAAGTACATTCATTCAGCTCTGTATTTGGTGAAGGTGTATTTTCAAGACAAGATCATCAATTAGATAAACTTTCAAGTAACAACAATAATAATGATAATGTAGAGATGATAGAATCAGATAAATCAACAGTAGCGACAACTACTACAACCTCTACAATAACCAATAGCCCCAACAACATCACAGAATCATTGATTAATAGTAAAGTAATCAATGAACAACCAGAGGAATATATTAAATCGGGTATAAAGAATTCAAGAGAGATCCTAATGTCATCAAGAGTATCACCAAAACAAAAACACCAAGAATATTCAAACAAGAGTATGTTTTATACATAACCACATACATGGTTTCTTAAAGAACGATGATTTACTTACAAAATTATTATTTTTATTTTAATTATTACCGTAGAAACACAATATTATGTAAATATGATTGAGAATGTAGATGTTAGAGCAACTATAACATCACATTTAGATTACCAAAAAGAGAGTGTCCTTAAAAAGATTTTCTCTCATGTAAATATTAATTACTCTGCAGAATGTAATCCATTCCTTGTAGTAAAAGAAATATAGCATTATAACAACAACAACTAAATAATAGCGCTATACTTTCAATATATATAACCAATGATATTTATCACAAATCAATACAACTTTATCAAATAAAAATGAATATATATGTATACTTTGTAAATAAACATTTATTTAAAAAAAAAAAAGAAGACAAGTGTTTCTTCTAGTTGTTGAAATAAATAAAAAAGATCTAGCTAGTTATATGATTTAAAAGAAAATGTATATTTATTGTAATTTCCTGTTGTTGGTTTAATTATTTGATTGATTCGATTTGTTTGTTTGTTTAAAGTCAGAGAGAAGATTATTAATCATTCATAATCATAAAGGATCAAAGGTCCTCCAACAAAGGAGGTCCTTTGGAACGATTTCATCTTTTGTATCATCATGAACAAACAAAACAAATCTGTGAGAGATAGAAACAAATAATAAAGTACTACTTGTTTAATTAATAATAAACTATTAATCAAGAAAGTATTTACAAATTATAACTATAAATTTCACAGTGAGCTTTTATTGTTATTATAAATCAAACTTTTTTTTTTCAAGTAACTTTTAAAAAAAAAAAAAAAAAAGTTGTGAATATTAAAAAAATTAAATAAAGATTCTAATTATTAAAGATGTTTTTTTTTTTTTTTTTTTGAATCAATGTAAAGAGTTATTGAACTAATTAAATCTAAGATATTAAAGTGTGTATAATTATGGATAAACTGTTGATCTATTTAATTGAATACCCTTCAAAACTCACAAATTCTTAGGAATTTCAATTTTTTTTATTTATTTTTTAAAATAAATATTTTGTTTTTTTTTTTTATCAATTTTGTTTGATTGAGAAGTTTTTTCAATTAACACAAAAATAATCCATCGTAACGTACTTTATTTTTTATATTAATCACACAGTACTATTTTTGAATATATTTATTTATATATTTATTTCACTGTTTTATTACATTATTTATATTTGATTTTATAATAGTAATAATAAAAGAAAAAGAAAAGTAATAATGCCTTCTGGAAACGGTGCTCGTGCTCAACAAAAGAGAGAGAGAAATCTCAAGAAAGCCGCTGGTGAATCAAAGGGAAAGAGTCAATTGAAAACAAATGAAGCTGCCAAGAGCATCATGTGCAACGTTTGCAGAGCTTCATTCTTGTGTACCACCAAAGAACCAGAGTTAAGACAACACGCCGAGAATAAACATGCTGGAAGAGCTTTCGCTGATTGTTTCCAACTTGGTGCTTAAACTCCATCTACTATCGCGGCGCATACTCGATTCGAATGCATTTTTTTTAAAATATTTTTAAAATCATCAAAACACAAGAAGGTAACATTGGAGTAATAATAGAAGGGAAGAGAAGAGAGAAAGAGAGAGAGTAGATAGAAGGTAGAGTGAGGATAGCAGAGTGAAGAGAGCAGAGAGAGTCATTTAAAATAAAATGAAAAAGAAGTTGAATCTAAACTAACAAATATTCTTAATGTAGAAATATAATTTTTTTAACACAATTGAAGAGCTAAAAGTTAACTTTTATTGAACTGTAAATCTTTAAATCCAACAAAATAATAAATAGAAAGTTATCAATCACGATTCATACCAACACAGTGAGAATAGATTCTAAATGTCTGAAGAGTTACTTGAATTGAGGAATATATACAACTTTTAATTATTTTATTTAGAAAATATAAGGGATACCTTGTAGTTTGTTTGTGTATTGAATTTTGCTATTTTTTGTCAAGATTGATTCAATACGAATCTAGAGTTTTCCTTATCTTCAAAATCAATTTTCTTAGAGTGTTGTAACTGTTCATATATGTTTTGTGATCACTTTTGAATTGTTGATTTAATATTAAAATGTTTGATAAATCTCTTATTCTGTTTATATGATCACGCAAGTCACATGTGACATTCAAGACAATAAAAAAAATTGTTTTCTTAAATAGGTAGACTAATGTTTCGAATCATATTAACGATCGCACATCTGGTAGTAATATTCAAGATGTTAAAGAAATCTATATAAACATAAAAGATAAAAATCTTTGAATATCATAGTAGCTACATTAAATTTTATTGAAATTGAGCTTAGTCGAATATTTATCAATAAGTAAAGTTATATTATTATACAATTTTTATTAATTAGAATTAAAGAAAGTTGATATTTCTTTTAAAATCTTCCCATTCTATAATCCATGAAAGCTTGTTTAATTTCTTCTTCAGAGTTCATTACACTATTAATTTCAATTGTAAAAGGTTATGTTAATAAATTGTTGTTGATATGATATTATTTGATTTATAATTTGTGTTATAATACATACAAAGGACCATGTTGAACCACTCTTTCTTTGATTGGCTTGCCGGCCACCAAAAGGAAACGACAACCACCGTCAGAGGTGACCTCAATTTGAGTTTTACCACCACTTGCATCTAAAATTGCGATTTGACCTTTTTCCACTTTCTTCATATTTCCTTTTGGACCAAAGAAACCACTTCCTTCAAATACATAGGCGAATGATGTGTGTTCAGTTGGAATCTCTTCGACAAATGATTGTGCTGAAGCGATGGTAACATCGAGGTAAAGTGGGTCTGTAACGATGCCATCTACAGGACCTCTGGTTTGTTTATAGTTACCAGCAATTACTTTGATTTGATTTCCATTGACCTCTTTGACAACTGGGATCTTGGATGGTGGAATATCTTGATATCTTGGTTCTATCATTTTATCTTTTGCAGGTAACTTTTGGTAATTTATTAATATTACAAATTGTTATTTTATATAATAATATCCTTTACTTACGTTAACCCACAACTGATAACCAAAAACTAATCCTTTATCTTGCTTTGGCATCTCAGAGTGTACTATACCACGACCGGCAGTCATCCACTGTACACTTCCAGGTGTAAGAAGTCCACGATTACCCTTATTATCTTTATGTTCGAATGAACCTTCAATCATATATGTAACTGTTTCGAATCCACGATGAGGGTCTATAGAAATGAAATATTAATAAATAAAATGAAAATAGGAATGAATTTATTAAAACTTACGCTCAGGAAAACCAGCCATATAATCATTTGGATTATCATTCCTAAATTCATCCAACATTAAGAATGGATCGCTAGAATATTAATTTTTAATTGTTAATATATTTAATATGGCTATCTATAAATATACTTACAGTGATGCAATAGAACCACCAATGATTCTCTTTAACTTCACACCTGCACCGTCAGATGTTGCAATACCATTTGCTATCTTTGAAACAATTCTTGAAGTCATTTTTTTATCAAGTATGAAAATAATTATTTGAATGTGTATGTACTTTTATTACTAATATAAAGTGTATGTATATTTTAAAATTAACGAATGAATTACATTATCCTAAATTTGAGTTTAAATAATTATTCAAAATGGTTACAAAATAAAAAAAGTTTTAATTTAGATTTGAAAAAATTTGGGTTTCATTCTTGAATCTTTTGTTAAAGCTCGAGAATGATTTTCAAGAATTTTTTTTGCATGTTTAAATTGAATCCGGAATGCTGCTATTGTTTTTGCAAAACATTTTTATTTTAAATTTTATTTATTTATTTAATTAAGTAATATAAATGTAGAGGTCATAATAAATAGAGCAACTATAAACCATGATATCTTATCTTGTGTTGTTGTTGTTCCGTCGGTGGTTGTACCCTCATCTGTTGTTGATAGTGTCGTTGGCGAACTTGTAGCACTCGAAGTTGTAAGTGAAGGTGAACTGGTTGTATTGCTCGTTGTTTCTGGTGTCGATGTTGCTGTAGATGTTGATGTTGATGTTGATGTTCCTGTGGATGTAGATGTAGATGTAGATGTAGATGTTGCTGTTGTGCTAGATGTTGTTGGTTCTGTCGGTTTATCTGTTGTTGTATCTATATTTACAAATAAATAAATAATTCAAATATGTAAGTATGTGCATTCATTATATATTTATAAATATCATAGATATAGTAAATCATTATGATAGTAAATTCAATCGAAAATAAATGAAATTTAATATGTGTTAACCAAAATATACCTATTGGAGTAGAGGAAGTACTGACTTCAGGAACAGATGTTTCTTTTGGTGATGTTGTTGTTGGTTGATTAGTGGCTGGTGGAATTGGGGCAGAAGGTGTAGAAGGTGATGGTGATGGTTGTGAGGGCGATGGTGAAGGTGAAGGCTGTGAAGGTGATGGTGAAGGTGATGGTTGTGAGGGCGATGGTGAAGGTGATGGTTCTGAAGGTGATGGTGAAGGTGATGGTTGTGAAGGTGAAGGTGATGGTGTATTACCTGTTGTCGTTGGTGGCATAGATCCTAATATTAAATGATTAATTATTAATTTTATCAATAGTTATTTTTTAATATAAACATACCTTTACTAAACATTGATAATAAACCAACAAAACCTGCGTTATAATCGGTTGCAACTTCATTTGTTATATAATTGGTACGGTCGTCTGTGTATGCTCCATTCTCATCGGGACCTCCTACTAGAGCACCAGTTAGTATGTGTTTGTTGTTGACTGGGTTGTTGATGTCGTTTGTTGTGGAACCGTGTGCTGCACGATGATGAGGATTGATTGGCATCTTTGGTCCCATACCGACAACGAACGACTGACCATTGGGATTGTCACCCAAAATATAACCGAGTTGTGATTTGGCAAAGTTTACATATTTATCACCACCATATACACTGGCTACGAATGCAGCGCTAGCAGCATACCTACACGGTCCCCATTTGTCATAGAAAGCCAGTCCATTCGTTCCAGTGTACTTAATACTGCCACCAGGTAACCAACTATTGAGATTGTCTTCCATTCCACTCTTGTAGATATCCTTAGAGGTTAGCTGGTAGAGCAGTAGCGAGCAACCCGGTGCTTTGTTATCCCAACTCAAAGGTGGATTTCCCCAATAGTTCAATCCATAGTTGGCGTAGTACTGTTCTGCAGTGGCCAGGTAGGAAGCAGATCCAGTTGCTTTATACATCCAAATCGAACCCCAAACAATTTCATCCTTGTAGTTGCTTGAATGGTAGAAGCTGTCTGCCTCTGGAATGCTATCTGAGTACTTTCCTTGGTAGTTCATTCCAAAGCTGTAGAGTTTGGCTGCATGACTCAGACAGCTCGATGAATAGCTTGAATCTATTCCTTTCCAGATAATTGAGGCAGAGGCCAATGCGGAGGCAGCCTCCATAACAACGTCGGTTCCAGGTTTGTTGGTATTCAAAGTGAAGACTGGACGCGCCATGTTGATCATTTCAGGTGGTCCCCAGAATGAGTGATCCGTATTTCCATCTGCCACTTGAGCAACGAATGTATTGTCAGAGGTATGACATGCCATAATGAAGTCTGTACCCCATTTAATGGTATCTAGGTAGAGTTGAGTTTGTCCACAGGATTGGATGTTAGCTTGTGCTTCTAAGAAACCAAGTGATAGCATTGTCATTGAAAATGACATAGGAAATAGAAATTTAACACCATCTCCAGCATCAAAATAACCTTTGGACAGATCACCATCTCCATCTGCATTTTTACCACCACTAGAGTCACCCAGCACTGAGTTGCCACGCCATGGAATATCGCTATCCGGTAATCTTCCAGCTCTATTCGCTTTGTAAAACATCAAAGATTGTTTCAAATATTCACAATAATCTTGTCCATTTACAGAAACTAATGATATGATTAATAACAATAGTATTGATACTATAATTTTAATTGTTTTCATAATTAATTTATATTTATTTGTATTATTATTATTTTATTTTTAACAAAGTATTTCTTTATTCAATAATAAAAAAAATTGTAAGAGGAAAAAAACTTTACAAAAAACCTATTTCTCAATAAATCTCTTAAGATTTCTTAGAGATACGAAATTGTAGGTTCTTTCTTGAAAGAGCCAACCCGGCCAACACTTCAGTAACAATTTCATCTCTAAGAATGAAAAAATAATTAAAAACTATTTTTTAAAAAATTATTTAGTTTTCCTCAGATCTTGTGGACTTTAAATTATTTTTTTCAGATCTGGAATTTTATTTTTTTTTAAAAAAAACAAAGCACAAAAAAAAAAATTAAATCTTATTAAAAAATATTATTTTAATAATAAGAGAAATCAATAAATTTTATAAAACTATTCTATTATTATAATATAATAAAATGAAAAGAAAAAAATATTTGAAAAATAAAATTTTTAAAAATTTATATAATTAATGAATTTTCTCTGTGGTAAACAAAAAATACAGAAAAAAAATATTTCATTGTTGATTTTATTTTTATGTGGATTGCAATGTCTTTTTTTTTTATGACAATGATGGGGTGATATATTTAATTTTTAATAGAGATAAAAAATATGTAAAGTTTATCATCTTTTCTCTTCACTTGCAATGAAATTCAATTTAGATAGTGAACATGAATCATTCTGACTTTTGGTGGTGTGAAACGACTTGAAATATCTAATCATTTTATGAATTATTTATCATTTTACAATCTATGTATTTATAAATTTAAATAATAAAAAAAAAGATAGTTTCTTATAAATATTAATTTAAAATAGTATATAAAAATTTATTTATTTTTTGTAATTTTATTTAAAAATTTTAAAATTTGTATTTTTATTAAAACAAAATATTATTTAATCTATAATAAGAATAATAAAAAATGAATCAATCAAGTGATAATTATTATTATCAATCAAACTCTCATAGTCCAACACAATCGATTCCACCATTTGCACTTTCTTCAAAGATCTTTGAGGATTATAATAATGTTGGAATTCATTATGAATCCAACTCTAAACAAATCGATCCCGATGCACAATCATTTTTCAATGAGCATATGGAAAAGATTTTGGACTCCGAATTAAAAGATTCTCAGAATTTACAAATTGTATCAGAGGATCTACCTTTTTCAAGTAAATATTATTCATCTCAACAAAACCATCAAATTGTTCCAGTTGTTCATTCTGTTCCAACTCCTACTATTTTAACTTCAAGATCCAACTCTCCAATAATTATTCCTTCTCAGAATATTCAACAAATGAATCCAAATTCTCAATATCATCAAAATACACCAAATCAATCACAATCAGATCAACAACAATTAAACTATTCTGAAAATAATATATGTTATTATCAATATATGAATGATCAAGAAAAGATGTCAGTATCAAATCATTATTGTAAAGTAAGTTAATACATATATTTAAAAATAATAAAATACAAATTTTAATAAATTTTTTTTTTTTAAAGATTCTTCAACTATCTACTCAATTATTTAATATGACCAAGATTGTTTACTCAAATCCATATATTACAGATGAGGAAATGGATTTGCTAATGGGATATAGTGCTGGTGCACAATTTGAAATTAATTCACTAAAGTCGATTATTGAAAAAAAGAAATATTCAAATTATACTCAACAAAACTATCATTATTCTCAATCTCCCAATGGTGCAACCATTTCCAATCCCCATGATTATAACTATCAGATGAATGACCATCCTTGCTCTGAAACTATTAAAGATGGTGCCAGTGTTCATACCACTCCAAAAACTAAAACCAAATCGAAAAGTAGTCCCTCTAGTTCCAACCCTAGAAACTCTCCAACCTATATAAACTTAACTGAGAACTTGATCAAAGCACAAAATAAAAAGACCAAGAAATCCAGTTCACAAAACAGAGTCTGTGTGAATTGCAAAACCACCGATACACCGGAGTGGAGACGTGGACCCCAAGGTGCCAAAACTCTATGTAATGCCTGTGGTATCCGATACCGATTATCCAAACAAAAGACGAACGACCCTCAAATTCCCACCTCTGAAGATGAACAAACAAAGTCAACGATGTCTCAAATACCCAATCTTGTCTGCGGTGTAAATTTGTACAACAACCAAGTTCCAAACAACAATAACAACAATGTACCCAATATGTTATTGGGTAGCAGTCAAGAATTTAGTATTCCAATGGTCAAGTGTGAACAATATTGTATGACATCGGATGACCATACATTCTTGTATTCTGATTAAACAACCTATAAAATTTATTATTCCCAAAAGTAATTAACCTCCATACCAAAAAGATGAATTAATAAAATAATGAAAATATATAACTTTTGTTATTGTTATTATGACACTTATATATTTATTAATATCTTTTTTTTTTTTTTTTTGATTTGATTGATTTTATATAAAATCCAATTTGGAAATATATTTTAGAGATATTATTATTCCTTTTTTTAAGCTCTGTTTTCCAAATCTTTAACCTTGTATACACGAACCAACCAATGGAGTGAAGTGAAAGCTTCTTCGAGATAGGTAAGTTGGAAGTTCTTGTAACCGATCTCAACGTTTCTGACACGATCGTAACCGGATGGTTTACCATAGTCAGTGTTGATCTCAGAGAAACGGTAGTAGCAAAGCTTGTACATCAATGTGTTGAGCATCTTTGGTGAGGCACCCTTGTCGATACGGTAGTGTCCGTTGGCAAGATAGTCAGCCTCCTTGATCGATGGGTCGGTGGAACCACCGATACGGACCATCCAGAGGAACTTGTTGATATCGTCGGAGGAGTAACCAGTTAAACCACCAAAGATAACCAAAACATAGTCTACGTCGAGCTCCTTCATGAGTTTGTAGGCGTCTTCTTCGGAAGATGCGAATGCCTTACCGACCTGGGCAATGTGTGAGTTGTTCCAGGTGTTGTTGTCGACCAGTACAGTACGATTGGCCATCGCAGACAACTGATAACCATAATCCCACCATGACATGATACGTGCATCATCTGGGGTGTTTTGACCGATCCAACGATAGGCCTCACGGAAATCGTCGAAAATAATACGGGAACCGTCGTTTTGCTTGGCAGAGAGAACGATCGATGGTGAAGAGTAGGCCTCAGAGGTGACCCAGGTACAGTGGAATGCGTAGAGAACGAGGAGAACAGTGATGACACCGATCATGACATAGCTGGATTCCTTGGAGTTGTCGTTGGCATTGGCATTTCCAGTGGGGGTTGGCTCCTTGAGTTTACGAGTGTAGGTTTGGAGGGTCGATGAGATGGCGACGGCAGCCAAGACACAGGCAACCGGTGCCAAAACGAGCATCAAACGAACCATAACACCAGAGAAGTAGATCGAGGTGATACCGTAGAGGATCAAGAAGATGTTGGCGTCGGTCAACTTGGAGAAACAGAAGTAGAGACCGGCTGGGAACAAGAATACCAAGATGTGGAGATCGAAGAAGTACGATGCCCAGGTGGTTGGCTGATGCTCAGATACAGAGGCAATAATTGGGATGTTGTCACGAGCGTAGGTTGGATCCAAAAGTGAGTAGAAACGACCGGTCCATGGTGAAATGTAACCAGTGATGGTACCGATGACAAAGACACCAAAGGCAACAGAGAAGACAGTCATGATGGTCAAACGTTGGAGACGGGCAAATGCCTCAGTGGAAAGATGTGACTTGACCCAGTTGAGACCAGAGAACAATTGCAACAATCCGAAAACACCAATGGCAGCCATATGTTCAGACGATTGAACTGGTTGGAATCCAATGAAATTGATTTGCATCGAAAGAATAGTACCAATGACAAACAATGTTGAATAGGCAACATACAAACGATGTGAGTATCTTCCAGTCAACAACAATGCCAAAACATGTAATGGAATCAAATTAATAATGAATACATAACCACCCCATGCACTTGCCCTATATTATTTAAAAATTAATCATGATTAGTATTAGTGCCAGCAAAAAAAAAAATAGAGAATAAACTGTGATAATAGAGAGAGATAGTTACATGTAGAAGTAGGCGAGTGAACAAATGGCAGCCCAGAACAAACTACCGGTGTTGACGGATTTAACCCAACAGTAATAGGTGAAGATCAATGCGAAAATAGCAATACCTTCATTATCGAATGAACCAGCGACGGAACGAGAGATGTAACCTGGAACGATGGCAATCATGGCGGCGGCGACCAAACCAGTTTCGGTGTCCTTAATCTCCTTGGCAAACTTGTAGGTAACCATGGCGGTGTTCGAGGCGAACCATGGGGAGAGCAAAACACAAACGTTTCTAATGTTGACAGTGAGATTGAGTGAGTTCAAAACCCAGTGAACAGCAGCGGCAGTTGCCATCAAACCTGGATAGATGGTACCACCAACGATACGACCCAATGGATACCATGATCTCTCATCGAACCAATTTAAAAAGTTATAGAATCCTTCTGCTACCAAATATTTGGTTGAACGGAAATTGAAATATCTATTAAATTATCCAAGTTGTGTGTAATTTGTTAGTTAACTCTCCAATTCTACACTATTATCAAACTATGGTTGCCAACTATAATACTTACGGATCAAACTCATGAATTACAGATTCATAACGTAATACAGAGAATAAACGTGTTGAAAAAGCTGTTTATAATATCATAATAATAATAATTTACAAATAAGAGAGAATATTATTAATAATCTGTTTCATACAATGTATGTATTTGGATTCGAATTTTATCGATCATTCCACATAGACTAAATGAAAATGGGTGAATGACTGATTCAATCGGGTTGGAGTTGAAATTGATTTCTAAAATTTACCTAAAACATAGATTAATGATAAGATCAAGATCTTCAATAAGAACTCTTGATTTTGCTTTGATGCTGCAGAAGCACCAAATCCTGTTACCGATTTGGTATTGACAGTTGTGGTTGCCATTATCTATAAAAGTTTTTTTTTCTGTTACTACTAATTAATAACAAATATAAAAACCAATATTATTTAATTTGATGATGATGGTGATCCTCAATATAATTTAACAGCAAGGGGTTTCAAGGTCACTCTATAAATGAACTTTGAACATAAAAAAAAATTTACAAAAAAAATTTTTTAAAAAAAAAAATTAAGGATTTAATTTTTAAAAAAAGTACCTTGATGAACAAAAAAAAAAAAAGTGTCAACAAAACATTGACTCACACCATCACACAATCCACAATGACTCATCTTTTTTTGAACTTCCAAAATTTACAATAATAAAAAACCCACAACACCTCATTAAATAAATCTCAACATTTTAATTTCATTAAAAACGATACAAATAAATAAAAAAAACTGTAACATTATAATATTCACTATTTTTTTTAAGAATCAAACATATTTCTTTCAAAAAAAAAAAAAAAAAAAAAAAAGTTAATAATTTAAAAAGTAAAAGTAGTAGTGGTGGAGTAGCAGACCGATTTTTACCTTTGTATAATATATATACTATTTATAATAAAAAACATTAATAAAGAAACAGAACAGTAATAATAATAATGGCACAACCATTCGAAGATTGGTATAAAAGTATACCTATAGTTACGAGAATATATATGAGTGCATGTGTTGTTACATCTGTATTTGTATATCTAGATGTTATAAATCCACTGCAACTCTACCTTAATTTCCCAATCATATTCAACAAGTATGAAGTTTGGAGATTATTGACAACCTTTTTATTCTTTGATGAGATTGGTTTAAATTTCTTGTTTCATATGTATTTTTTGTAAGTGTTATAATTAGAAATCGATCGATCGATGATTGATTCACAGATGATAATGTGATGATGTGATGATGATGATGATTAACTCTTGATCACTTTATAACAATAGAGTAAGACACAGTAAGATGTTAGAGGAAGGTTCATTTAGAGGTAGAGCTGGTGATTATTTATTTATGTGGATTTTTGGTGCTGTTTTCTTGTTGGTATGTTAAAGAAAAAAAGAAGAATCACACAATAGTTAAGATATAGTTAGCAACTAACATTCATTTTCATTTCCATTTTAATAATAGATTATGAATGCATTCTTATTTTATACAAAAATATATACAAAGATATTATTTTTAGCACCATCATTAGCTTTTATGATTGTTTATATATGGAGTCGTAGAAATCCCAATATGCATATCAGTTTCCTTGGTTTGTTTACATTCAGTGCACCCTATTTACCTTGGGTTATTTTGGGTGTCAGCTATCTGATGGATCATAGTCTGGCATTTGACATCATGGGTATTGTTGTCGGTCATGTATATTACTACCTCGAGGATGTCTATCCACAGATTAGCAATCGTCGTATATTGAAAACACCTTCATTCATGTAAGTTAGTTAAACATTGTTAGCTTTTTTTTTTTTTTTTTTCAATTATTATTAATAATAATAATATTTATTTTTTTAAATAAAATAATAATAGTAAACAACTGTTTGATAATCCAAATCAAAGATATGAAGATATGGCACAGCAAGTTAGAGGAAGAAGACCTGCAGAACAACAACAACAACAACAGCAACAACAACAAGAAGAGGTGATAAATGATCCTGTTCATTAAAGAGTTTTTTTTATAATCAAAAAGAAATAAATTGTTAATAGGTCGCCAACACCACTTCGCTCGTAAACACAACTAAATTCCACCTTACAAAACAAAAAAAAAAAAAAAAAATAAAGGAAATGAATTTTCTGAATCATTTTTTAAATTTTTTACAACTTTTTAATTTTTATATTAATATGATTGATATACAAAAGAATAGAAAGTGTGTATTAACTAGAATCATAGTATTAATAAAAATGTCAAAAAAGCCTCTAGAGAAACAGCCACTGATATCAAAGTATAATAAGCATGTACGTGATATCATCATTATATACATTCTCACTTTTATGATTATATTGGGTTCTGCATCTTGTGCAATGACTATATTTCTCAATCTATTACCAAGTGTATGTACAGAGCAAGTAGATTTAAATCTATATTATTACTATATATTCTATATCAATAAACATATATATATTGACAGAGGTTGTATTGATCGATCGTTTTTTTAAAAGATCGCAACAGGTAAAGAGTTTCTACCGACAAAGTGTACGGTTATCAATCATTATGTGGTGGAACAGAAACACGTCGATGCAGATACATGTTTAGTTTTGAATCACAAGATATGGTGGTATCCTCTGCTGGGACAGAATGCATTCTATCATAACGTCGTCGAGAATGGCAATTACACAAACGACTCTGGCTCGAATGTTATTCCTCTTTTAGAGCTATTGTTATCAGACACGAGTGGCAGTATAGATAATAGCAGTAGTAGTTACTCTGGTACCTATAGCGGTTTTATGAGTGGAAGCTACAGCTACAGCAGCGAGAGTAGCGCTAGCAGCAGCAGCAGTGAAGGTCATCCCGACAGCAGCAGTAGCACAGTCTCTAATATCACAGGAATCAATTGTTTTCAAGGATTGTTTGAAGTTACCTACTCAATAGGTAATCAGACTACAATGTCAACCAATATCAGTGGTACTTGGAATAGTGAGAGAGAATGGGTTAAAGGTTATCTAAATGCATTCCCTGTATGTTGTTATTATTGTTTTTTTTTTAATCAATTCAATTCTATTCAATATACATACTTATTATTATTTTATTATTATTTATTAATTTTTAGATTTCAGATCATTCAAAGTGTTTCTATCAAGATGGAACGGAATTGAATGCCAATTGGTTTAGTGCACCCAAGTTTACAATCTCATCAGTTGTTTTAATATCGATTTCATTTTTATTCATTGTTGTTTCATTTGCGCTCGATGTTCATTTCATTAGGAAACACAGACTCTACGTACAAAAGAAAAAGATGATAGAACAACAACAAATTCAACAGCAATCACATCACTCCTCATACAATGTTATATCAAGTCCTATTATTGTTTAACCAGTTTTTTATTTATCTATTTTTATAATTATTATTATTATTTATTTAATTCATTATCTTATTCTATCTTTTGTTTTTAAAGTAATAGAATATGTTATATAATTGTATACACTCACACAACACACATCAGCTTATCTTATTTCTAACTTTAGAAAAATCAAAATCATCATCATCACACAATTAATCTTAAGTACAGAATTTTCGTTGTGTTGGAATGTGTGTTTAAACGATATTTTTGATGTGGTGGTGTGGTTTTATTGTGCAAGTTCAAGAAAAGTTGAAATGTATACATTTTCGTATTGGAAATGAACAGATAATGAATGTAGCAATCAATAATTCAGATATTATTATTATTATCACCATCGAATAATATTAATATTTATTTCATCATTTGTAATCTTTGTTTTGTTTTTTTTATTTATTAAAAGAAAAAAATGAAATTAACATTGTTTATAGTAATTATATCAACTATTACCATATGTTTATCATTGTCATGGTCAACCAATGCAAAAGAAAATATTTATCTGACATGCGGCGAATGCCTCGATACGATGCCACGTTTGGTCACTCTGTCACTTCCCAGACTTTTAAATAGTAAATTAAATTTTAATAATTTGGTGAGTGTCTGTGGTAGGTCTAAAGACAATGATTTTTACAGGGGATACTCTGCGACACTAAACAAGCCAATGCTTTTCATTGTAAGTTATAATTAAATTACATATCTTGATAATTAAATAAAATTCTAAACCTTTTTATTTTATTTTTTGTTAAACTTCCAGTGCGATCTATTTTTGGAGAGAGCCAACGATATCCAACATTTGGCAGACACAAATACATCAAATATTCATATTTGCAAAAATTTGAGATATTGTTAATAAATAAAAGTGTTGTTCTATGGTTTATAATTTATTGACCTGTACCATTAAATGATATTTATATTATTTCGATCATTATTTTTTCAGAAGTAATAAATTTTAAAAAGCGCGCGCAATTTTCAAATTATCCTTTCATCTATTCTTATCTAAATGAATATAACATTGTATCAATCAACTAATTTGGGATTGTTCCAAAGTACATCGTTAGTCGATGGCACTTTATATATACATAAAGTACAGTCTGGTGGTGGAAGTTCAAATGATGGTCGTAATCAAGTGAATCATCAACAACAACAACAACAGGTACAACAATACTCGAAGCTTGAGAATCAGTTGACTGTAGATCTAGAGGAAGAGTGGTTAGAGAGACAAGAGAACATCTTGCTCAACGATATCAATGCCAGAGTATCAAATACTTCGATACTTGGTGATCGTCCAAAGAAGTATATCATCGGTGTAATTAGTAACTCTGGCAATGGTAACAACAGCACCAAAGGAAAAGGCAAGAGAGCTCAACGTGATAGAAATCAATTTGCTACATCTTCAATTCGTAATGATGTTCATGAAGAGGAAGAGGAAGATGTTGAAGAGGAGGAAGAAGAACAAATAGATGAAGAAAGTATAACGGATCAAGAAGAAGAACAAGATGAAGAACAACCACAACAAGATAGAAGTGCAGAAGATCTAAGTATTGTATCAGATATGAATGAGTCGATAAATAATAATAATACAACAACATCGCCAGCAACAACAAATAATAATAGTAATAGATTCGAAACATTCTCCTATAGAAATCTATTGAGATTGGCTAGTAATGTTGAAGAGAGTATATCAGATATAGACGTTGAAACTACCGAATCATTGTCATCTCTAAACAACTCATCCATACACTCACAACAATCATCATTGATAACCAATCTCAATAATACAAGTAATTTGCAACAAAATAATAGTGAAAATCAAGAGGATATGGATATGTCTTGTATTAGTATGAATCAAAGCATAATGAATCAAAGTTTGAACCAATCAAGTCTAAACGATCAGTCGGCAATCAGTATGAACCAATCAGCAATCAGTATGAATCAATCGGCAATAAGTATGAATCAATCGGCTATTAGCATGAACCAGTCAGTGACTAACGATGAAGATTACGATGAACATTCGACATCATCTTCATTGCTGATCGACGATTTGGTAACAAACGAATTCTATATACAACAACAACAACAAATACTCTTACAAATAGCCGCACAAAACAATAGTCAACTTGTCAACGACAACGACCATCAAAACGATAGCTTCAATGGTGCTATTAATGAAAGTACAACAACAACAACTGATCACGATAGTAATTCAATGGATATTTCAATGTAAATCTAGTTAATATAAATATATAAAATGTTGTAGTATATAGTATAATTATAATTCATTTGCCAGTAGTTTATTTGTTATTATTGTTTTTTATTTATCTTTTGAAAAATTAAACAGATAGATTAGCCATTTGGGCAACTGGAACTGATGCATTTACTTCAACGTACTTACGTGGTGGATTTGGTCTGATTCTGTTGCATTCCATGTATTCCATGAATTGTCTTGGGATCTCACGAAGAGTCTCCTCGGCCAACATGTAGAATGGCTTGTCTCTGAAACTCTCATGAGATACGAATTGAACGATATCTCTCTTGGCAATCATACCAGCACCATTCGAAAGAGGTCCACCATCACCATCGAGTCTTTCCATACTTGAGAAATTAGCGCTTCCAACACCAATACTAAAAAAAAAAACAAATGATAATAATTCAATTGTCAAATCAATAACTATTTAAAACTACACAGCTATGACTTTGATTAAAAATAATAATAGTACTTACATAACAATTGATAATGGTTTTTCAGTTGCTTTGATTATTGCTTCGATGGTTTGTTCCATATCCATGATTTCACCGTCGGTAATGATCATCAAGATCGAATATTTCTGATTGCTCTGTGAGGTGTTGGAGAGTTCCGATGCTCTCTTGATTAGAGGTGCGAAACAGGTTGGACCTGAGAGTGAAACAACGGTGATGTTACGGTAGTAGACATCGAGAACACCTGCTACACCACGAACATTTGGATCCAACTCTTTGCCAGAGGATGGGTCGAGATTCATTGAGAAACAATGGTTGGTAACTGGCGATCCTGGGAGGTCACCACCGAATCCAAACACTGGAATCATTCCATCGAAATCGTATGGTGCCAAAACACTGCCGATCGAACTGATTGCGTTGGCATAGGCATTTGGAATGGTTGGATGCTTGTAGTGCAAACTCTTGACATTGTCTGGTGAGAGATTCGAAGCGGTACAATCGATACCGGCAATCAATGAAATCTCACAACCGCCCATCAAATAGTCCATAAACTCTGGTGCTCTATTCAAACGAGCTTCATAGATCTCGACGGTACCAGAGTTGTGGTACGACGATTTCTTCTCCTTTTTATTTTGGTTGATCAACTCCAACTTTAATGGCATACTCAAAATTGCCTCTGCAGTGGTATGGAATGATCCAATGAAATCGTGCTTTCCAATAGAATCGTAATCAAAGAATGCGAATAAAAGGTCTCTCTTTACATCACCACCAGTCAATTCATCCATACTAATTTCTGTTAAATCGAAAACTGGATTCAATGTCTAATTTGTTTGTTTTGTTTCGTTAATATTAACAAATTAAACTTTTAGGAGGATTGATAAACATACGTTGTATTTAACTTGACTTTGGTAGACTTGAACAAATCCGGATGGAGTGCTCTTGGAGACGATAAAGTATGGGTCACTCTTTCCAAAGAGATCCTTCTTGTCAAACTTGTCACCACTCATACGGAATGCCAAACTCATCTTTGTGTTGGTTCTAATGAGCTCTGCGCTTACGGTCAAATTACCAGCATGGTGACCATGCTTTGAGAGAAGGGTAAGCTTTGCGGTACTTCCTGGGGCAGAGACAATCGAAGCCATAGAATACTCTACAGATCCAATAAAATCATCACTATCATTCCAATCTTCATTATCGATATCGACTACAACGAACTTTAATCTTTGATTTCTTTCAAAGTAATAATCTAGAATCAAAAAAAAAAAAAAAAAAACAATAATATTATTAATCTATCTTATCTTAAAGATAAATGGTCATCAACTTTATAAACACTTACCAGAGAAGACAGGTGTTTTGAAAACTGGATTCAAACTGTTATTAATCTTTTCAGTTTTTCCAAGTGGCACCATCTTTTCAGAATCAAACTATATTAAATATTGTATTTTAATTTAAAAAATTTGTAAATAATATTAAACTTTTAAATAATATAGATAGAGTAACATACTGATGAAAATACATAGACCTTGGGGTCAGACTTGGAGAGTACATCTTTATTTGTAAGATTAGTACATGAAATTCTGAGCTCAACCTTTGAAGTTGGTGGATGTGGCTGTTGTGCAATCATTTCTCTGTCAACGTTTAAAGATAAATTCGTATCTTCCTTTTATATTATTACAAATGATAAATGTTATACAATTTAATAATACTTATAATATTACAATTTAAAAAAAATGAAATATTTTATTGTTTGACCATTCTAAAAAGATCTGTGCCCCAAAACAATTTTCAAAAAAAAAACCAAAAAAAAAACCAAAAATAATCAAAAAATTCGATCATGTCCAGATCAACTGGTACTCACACTCACAGATAGATTTAATTTTATCCTTACACAAAAAACAACATTAAATTTAAATTTTTTATGAAATTGGTAATTAAACAGATCTGTTTAATTATCATTTTTATGTCCAACCTACAAGTTTTGTTGTCTTTTGTCTCTGCAGTTGTAAAGACAAGAAAATTAAATTGTTCACAAATAAATTGATCATATGATCTATTTAAAAAAATATAGTTGAATTTTGAAAATAATTTTTTTAAATAAAAAAAAAATTAAATTAAAACAAATAACAATAATGTGTTTGTATTAAGAAATTTTTTTTACATTGGGATTTTTTTCAATTTTAAAATAATATTTACCCGATAATAAAAATTTTAATGAGGGTTTTTTCGGACCTTTTTTCATTATCAAAATTTGTAGTACCAAAAAATCAACTTCTACAGCAACAACAATTCATTAAGTTGCGACAACAATCAAATAATCATAACGATAACAATAATAATAGTAGTAGTAATAGATATAACATGAAATACTCAATTATTGTTATTCTATCACTATTGATTCTATCGATATCATTAGTAGTTCAATCATCAAAGATACAATATGGATGTAGGTTTTGGTTACAGTGATTTTAGAGAAAATAAAATGAAATAAAATAAAATTAATCATCTGATCATCATTTTTTACTTTTCTTTTACTATTTTTTTACTATTTTTTTTTTTAATATAAATTAGATAAACAATTAAATACTAGTTTACCTATCAAATTTAATATTATTGGACCATTTCCTATTGGTGAAAGAGAGGAGTGTTACGATACTTTAGAAGCTTACGGTGGAATTTGGAATATTCCAATTGGCGATGACACATTGTATCCATCGGAGCTTGGAAACGATGGTAAAGTAGGATGGACACAATACACAGCATCAACACCGGGTTCAGTGTCGATCGATTGGAGTTCTTCGATCTCCTGGCAATTCTTACAGTCGGTATGGGGATGGAATATATGGCTGTGGTACGGTTATGCCGTCGGTGAGCTGGAAGTCGCCCAGAAAGGATCGTACATTCTCCAATGCACTGGAACACGTGCCATTTTCATTAGATACCCAGACTCTGACTTGATCTTGGAGTTCAATGGTGACTACTATTCCTATGGCACCGGTGCACAGTCACTCATTCTTCCGGCTGGAGTATACCAATTCGTCGTGAGAATGGACAGTTCGGTGCGTTTGAATCAATCGCCACTAGGATCGTTCTCCTGTTCTTTCACACAAGCAACTTCACTGCTTGAACCGATCGGAGCAGACACTCTGCTACCGGACATTGTGAACGGTCAACTCAGTTCACCATATGCATCGATTACCGTCCTAAATACTTCACCAGGCATTCTACGTGCACTCAGTGCCAACGTAAGAATCTCAGGTGTGTCATCGACAACCAGCTTAGCTGTCAACTACAACCTCAACATTGCACCAAATCAAAAACTGGCAATTCCTCTCAATATTTCATTTGGTGACTTGGTAAGTTTGTCGCAATGTCCATTGCCAGCCGATATCGACATTATGGTGAATGGACAAATCGTTGTAACTGTCAGCTCAACCTTTAATTGTACACAATATCCAAATCCATACACTTTTACTTTCTTGGACTATGATAACACCGTTCAGTATGCTGTTACCAATCCTCCAATCGACTGTCAAGGACAACCATGTGGTGTAATGCTTGCTACCCATGGTGCCGGTGTCGAGGCAAACTCTCAATTCTGGATGGACGCTATTCCACGTCAGCAAAACCTCTATATCCTCTATCCAACAGGTCGTCGCTCATGGGGATACGACTGGGAGTCGGCATCGCGTATCAACGTATTCAACGCACTCCAATACCTAGCAACAAACCTTCCAGGTATTCCATCGAATATCAAATCGGAATATCCAATTGACGCTACCAAAGTGTTGTTTGTTGGTCATAGCATGGGTGGACATGGATGTTGGTCTCTGTTATCACATTTCGGTGATTTGGCAATGGGTGGTGCATGTGCTGCCGGTTTTGTTAAACTTCAATTCTATGTTTTCATGAATACCAAACCAGGATACTCTTATGTTGATCCAATTCTTCAAGGATTGTTGATGGCATCGATTGCAGAGAATGATAACGATATGTATACTACTAATTTGGCTGGTTTGCCGTTGATGGCACGTTATGGACAGAACGATACCAATGTGAATCCATGGCATTCGCGTCGTATGGCTCGTATGACTGCCGAAGCCAACGGAAATGCATCGTCAGTTATCATTAGCGAGGTTCCAAACGAAGGACATTGGTTCGATGGAATTCTCGGTGATTCATACATGCAGCAATTCTATCAGTCGATCATCAGTGGTGGACTTTCACATCCACCCATTCCCAAGACATTCACTGTCACCACGAACAATCCTGCATCATCGGGACAGCGTGCCAACATTGAAATTCTTCAACTGACAACACCATTCCGTGTTGGTAGAATTCAAATCACTCAGGTTCCTCAGCCAAATGGCGACCTCTACTGGGTCATCTCAACTCAAAACGTAAGAAGATTCGGAATAGCACCGACACCAGTTCGACAGGTGATGCCAACACACGTGAAAATCGACGGACAACTCTTCTCAGTTGCCTATTTGCCAAACTATCATTTCACAGCACCCGATAAATATGGAATCTACTGGAATGTATCGGACGATACCACCTGGCAGCAGTTGGAGCGTTCTGCTTCCACCTACGGACCGATGAGACAAATTTTCGAGAAGCCGTTCTCGATTGTCACCGGATCCAACGTCAGCGTTGAAACTACCGAGGTTTTCGAATGGGCAGCTTCGTACATCTCCAATTTCTGGCAAACATACGGTCGTGGTTCGCCTCAGATTGTTAGCGACGCCGAGTTTGTGCCGACCGCCGACTGCGCCACTTCCAACTACATCCTGTTGGGTTCGCCCTATGAAAATGCTGTCACCAACAAATATCAACCACTGATTCCAGTGACATACAGCGAGTTTGGATTCTCAATTGGACCGACCAACTATGAAGATCCAACAATGGGTGTGGCTACACTAGCTCCCAACCAATGTGGAACCGGTCTGATATTAGTTGTTTCCGGTAACTCTGTAGAGGGATTCCTCAAAGCTGTGAAAGCAATCCCACAAAGATCGGGTGTTGTCGTTCCAGATTATATGGTTGTCGGAAACGAATGGGGATTCAAAGGTGCCGGTGGAATTGTAGCTACCGGTTTCTGGAGTAACAATTGGCAATTCAATACCGACTCTGCATATCAAGCATTAAATTATAACTCTGCGTGGTTATAAAAATAAATATTAAATAATAAATTCTAATTTTCTTTTTGATAAAATATACATGATGAATTTTTTTTTAATTTTTTTTTGCTTTCTCGTCTCTGAGAACTGACCAATCAAATTTAGAACTAATCAATTCCTTACAACAGCAACAACAACTTCAATCAAAACTAATCATATGATTTCAAAACAAATCAAAATGCACCTGGTTGGGGTATATAAAAAATTTCAAGATTTAAGAAAAAAGACTTTGATTCAGATTTTGGACCTGATAGCAGATGATGATCTCTATTATCAGAATTAATCCAACTAAAAAATAGATTTAAATGTAAACGTGAAAAAAAAAAAAAAAAAGCAAACCTTTGACCCCCACCCACAATTATTTGGATATGCAAAAATTTTGATTACAAAAATAGGTGCTCATTTGATATACAAAAAATTTCATTTTGAAACAATGTTTTTGGTTTTTTTTTTTTTTTTTTTGATCAAAGGAAAAATTGGATTGGTTTATTTTTGCGAAAAACAAAACAATTTTTCTAAAACTGATAAATGGGGTAATAATCAATGAGAATGAATGAGTGCTTGCCAAACCTTTAACTACCGTTTTTTTTTATAATGGCAGAATTAAACCAATGAGAGACAGTGAGCGCTCCATGGCAAAAGTGTTTATTGGCACAAATGTCTTGCGAAATGATTAATTCGATTGAAATATTGAAAAACCAAATCAAACCAACGACTGAAGCTTTGATTTCTATTGATAAACAATAATTAATAATAAATAAATATAAATTGAATTAAAAAATAATTAAAATAATTAAAATAAAAAGTAAACCTCCACTATTCCTTTTTTATTGAATAACTTTAAAACTATACTACTATAATCATAAAGATAGACAGAAAAAAGGAACAGCACCATTCATCTTAAAAATTGTGCATCAAACAACCATTATTAATAACAACAAGCACCACACACTCATTCAACTCACACCTTATTCACACTTTGGGCTTTTACTCATTGTCAGTGAGCATTTCTTACCACCAATAATAGAGCAGAAGTAAATCAAAGTAAAAGAGCAGAGTGAATTTTTTTTGTTTTTAAGCTAAAAAAAAAAAGGAGAGATAGTATCTCTGTCATTTTTCATAAGCATCAATAAAGAACATTTTCATCATCAAACACATAGCACTCACACACACAAACATTCAAACTACAACAAATACATCAAGCAAGAGAATATAGCTATAATAGTTAACAATTTGCAAATCTCAGTTTTCAATAACTAGCAACAAACAAAACAATACAATCTAAATATATAATAATTTAACAGTAACCAACAACAATCAAAAATTTTTTTTTTAAACAATAAAACATACCCACACCCTCGTTCAATTACAAGAGTCGATCTCACACCAACACAAACACCCCCACTAAATAACACATCTTACATTTAACAATAAATAGAGTGCACTGAGATTTCAAATAGGAAATAACAATCATATAATAATCACACAACAACAACAACAGCAACATTCAGAATTAACACTAATAAATTAAATAAAATCAACAAAACAAAACAATTATTAGTTTTAACCAACAACAAACAAACACAATCAATCAATCAAAATCAATCACTAATTAATAATCAAAATAATACATATCAGTCAGTTATATATATAACAAAACAATAACATATAAAACAAAACAAATTGTTTTTTTTTTCTTCTTCTTCTTTTTTTACACAACATTAGCTTTAATTGTATAAATCATTTAATATCAACCATTCAACTAAATATTATCACCTAAAAACCAAACAACAACAGCAACAACATCAAAACTATCTATTTATTATTTAAACATAAACATTTTCTTTAAAAGATGACATCAAGTGAAGATATCGATAAGCATGTATTAAGAAAGTATGAAGTTTCACAAAAGTTGGGTAAAGGTGTAAGTTGACAATAAATATCATAGAATCCACAGTTGAAAACCTAGGTCTAATAATAATAATAATAATACAGGCATATGGTATTGTTTGGAAAGCAATCGATAAAAAGACGAAAGAAACAGTTGCATTGAAAAAGATCTTTGATGCTTTTCAAAATGCAACCGATGCACAGAGAACTTTCAGAGAGATTATGTTCCTCCAAGAGCTACACGGACATGAAAATATTATAAAATTACTCAATGTTTTAAAAGCTGATAATGATAGAGATATATACTTGATTTTTGAATATATGGGTAAATATATCTTTTTTTTCTTTTTTCTTTTTTTCTTTTTTTTTAGAAACAAATTTAATGTTACCATATAGTTGTTTGTTCTAACTGATTTATAATATTTTCTTACTTTAGAGACTGATTTACATGCAGTGATCAGAGCAAGTATTCTAGAAGATATTCACAAACAATATACAATCTATCAAATCTTAAAGGCAATGAAGTTTATGCACTCTGGAAATGTATTGCATCGTGATATTAAGCCAAGTAATTTGCTACTGAATTCAGAGTGTTTGGTAAAGGTTGCCGACTTTGGATTGGCTCGTTCCATTGCCTCGCTTGAGAATGTTACAGAAGCCAATCCAGTGCTGACAGAGTATGTCGCCACACGTTGGTATCGTGCACCAGAGATCTTGCTCGGTTCCACAAAGTACACAAAGGGTGTCGACATGTGGTCGATCGGCTGCATCTTGGGTGAGTTGCTCGGCAGCAAAGCCATGTTCCCCGGTAACTCCACCATGAACCAACTCGATCTGATCATCGAGGTAACCGGACGTCCAACCGCCGAAGACATAGAAGCAGTGCGTTCGCCATTCGCCGCGACAATGCTCGAGTCACTGCCTCCATCGAATCCACGCTCCTTCCAAGAGATGTATCCACACGCATCGCCAGACGCACTCGACCTCCTGCGACGACTCCTCCAATTCAACCCAGACAAGCGTATCACCGCCGAAGAGGCATTGGAACATCCGTTTGTCGCGCAGTTCCACAACACCGCCGACGAACCATCGGTCGAGCGTATCATCAAGATCCCAATCGACGACTCACAGAAATTCCCAATCTCAGAGTATCGTAACAAACTGTACAACGACATCATCAAGAAGAAGAAAGAAACAAGACGTCGTCACCACTCACAGAAACCAATAGATACAGATCAAACTATGACTCCTGCACCCGGAGCAGATCAATTTACAGCACAACCAGTATAAATTAACAACAATAATAATATATCTAGTTTAACAAATAATTAATCAAAATTTATAAATATATATATATAGTCGTAGTAAACAAAGTAATAATAATGTATCAACAATCCACAAAAACCTCAGCCATAATCTAAAACAACAATATTAATCCAGAAAGCCAAACAACACAATTTTTCCCAATCAATACCATACCATACAACTCTATATAATTAATCCATGTTGTTTTATGTAGAAATTTATCAAATCAACCAAAAATAGTAGAATTAAAATCTGTATCATTAAAATATATTTTATTTAAACAAAAACAAAAAAAAAAAAACAAAAGAAGTTCATTGTTTTCAAGTATTTTTTAATTAATGGATGAGTTTTGGGTCAACTTCAAAATTAAATAGATTGCATTGATTGTTTATTACCAAATTTGTCAAATAAATAAAGGATGACAAAAAAACAACAGACACATCATCACCAACAACAACAACAACAACAATCGAATGGAATATTCGATATAATAGATAGGAATATATGGGTATTTGTATTTTTGATGATTATCTTTAGATGTATAAATTCATTGTTGATCAATACATTCTTTGATCCCGATGAATACTGGCAGAGTCTAGAGGTGGCACATCAAACTGTTTTTGGATATGGTTATCTTACTTGGGAGTGGTCTGCAAAGATCAGAAGTTTCTTACATCCAATGCTATTTGCTATCGTCTATAAATTGTTGTTACTCTTCAAACTAGATACACCCTACGCTGTTGTATGTATTACATACATTGATTCATTGATTAACTTTTCATTTCATTTCGAAATACTCACTCATAATTCAACTATAATAACAACAACAATAATAATAATAATCTAGATTATAGTACCAAAATTGTTACAAGGTATAGTTGCAGCTGTCGGTGATATCTATCTTTATAAACTAAGTAAAGCAATCTTTGGAAAAGAATGTGCAAAATGGACTGTAAATATATATATATCATATATTAATATTAGGTGTGAATATTTACTAAACTTTTATTTACTTAGCTTATTATCAACCTTATTAATTGGTATACATTTGTATGTATTGTTAGAACCTATTCGAATTCAATTGAAACTGTTTTGTTTGTAATATCACTTTACTATTGGCCATTACCTGGTAAAACTCAGTAGGTTAACCTAAATATTTATGATTAGTATATAAAGGCGATCTAATCTAATCATTATTATTATTATTCAAGACCAAGTGAAGCCAACTACAAGATATTCAATAATGTTCAAATATCAGTGATATTGACATCGTTTGCTTTCATCATTAGACCTACCACTGCCATTATGTGGTTGTATTTGGTACCTTTGTATCTCTATAGTAATATCAGATCGTTGAAACAACTGTTATTGTTTGTGTTTAGAGATGTGTTGTTGGTGGCAGTCTGTGTCTTGACGATATCGATCTACGTTGACTATCTATTCTATCATGAGATTACACTGGTACCGTTCAACTTTCTCTACTTCAATGTGATAAAGAACATCTCTGCGCTCTATGGCACACATCCAATATGGTGGTATTTCGTCGCTGGATTCCCAACGATTGCCTCTGCAGTGCTTCCGTTGTTTGCATACGGTGTCTATCGTCTGTGGTCACTCCAACAGAAAGACGTACCTAATCGGCTGCATCTCGCCTACTGCGCAATGTCAACGATTGCTCTCTACAGTCTGCTGGCACACAAAGAGTTTAGATTCATCTTCCCGATACTGCCTCTCGCTGTGATGTATGCCGGTCTTGCCGTTGCATCACTCAAAGTGAAGTACCCACAGAGCAATCTCTACAAGATCGTCATTGGTTCGTTCATCGTAATCAACATCCCACTGATCGTATTCTTCTCGAACATCCACCAAAAGTCACCGATCGACGTGATACACTATATCAACTCTGAAGTGTCGCCACTCCACCAGTCACCCAACGCCAACGCATCGATACACTTCCTCACATCGTGTCATGCCACACCCTATCAATCATATATTCACAATCCATATTTAGAATTGAAAATATTAGAATGTCCACCACCGTATGTAATATTATAATTATTACTTAGATCTAACGCTAACCTAACCTAACCTAAACTAATTGTTGTTTTGATACCAAAACAGTCTCGATTCCAACAAAAATAGAGTATTCACAGAAAAAGACTTATTCTTTTATAATCCACAGATGTACTTGTTGAAAACGTATGCGGTTGACGGTGATCTAACACTTGAACAGTATCAGTCACAAAATTCATTCATCATAGAACCACACAAACTGAAACTACCCAACTATTTCGTTGTTAGAGATGACGTTTTAAATGATTTCACTCAAAGCTGGCTTGGTCATCATTATCAACAGGTATGTGTTTCTATCTTATATTTATTCGATTATTTTTCTTTTTTGAAATTAGATTGACTCCTTCGAAACACAATAACAACAACAACAAAAGATTGAAAGATCTATCTAGATAGGCAGATGTGCAATTCATTTCATTTTAAATTAATCATTCTACGCCCATCACTCACACTATCTCTTAATTTTAAACAAACACTTTCTAAAAACCAAAAATATTCACACACATAATTCATTCACTCATCAATATATTTATTGCGTTTCTATCCAGTCAAATACAACATTTTTGTGCGTCATCAATCAAGGTTATTACCACTGTGTGCTTCATCCAACAACTATTGTTAGCAAGCAGTAGTAATAGTAGAAATTTTTATATATCCTCCATCAATTCATCAGATATTAACCACAGCCACTATTGTTTATCCTCTTGCATCATCCATATTTTCTATTGCTGTTGGCTATATTAACCATACTGCCCAATTGGTCTTTTTTTCCAAAAAAAAAAAAAAAAAAACTTCACACATTTCTCAACAACAGCTCATCATGGTTATTCACAAACAGTCACAGCAAAAAAAAACAAAAACACCCTCTTCCATTACAAACCACGTGAAAACCAAAAAAAAAGCACTCACGGTTTTATCTTTAACTTCCCAATCGAGTCTTGCAGTCCACCTAAATTCTTTGTAGAAAAAGCCCATTTTTTTTTGATTACCATTTAATTTACTAAAAAAAAAAAAAAAACAACAAACGAATCAAATCAATTATATTTATTTAAAAAATTTAATATCCATTTTGTATTTCTTTCAATTACTTTTTTAAACAATCAACAAAGAAGAAAAGTCAATCTAATCTACACACAACTCTATCATAACTAACAATAATCTAATCCTCTCTCTTTTTTTTTTTGACTTATCCAAATACATTTCTCTCCATTTAACATTCAATATTTCTGGTATGTATCTATTCAAAAAAAAAATTTCCTGTTGTTTGTTTGTGATGATTGTGTTACACTGCGAATTTTAACACTTCAATAATGCTCCACTGACAATTGTATTTTATCATTATCATTTAATTTTAAAATCAAAAAAAAAACAAATATATAACTATCAACGATAATGTAACTCAATGTCAATATCACTATAACATCCTACTGCTACTACTTCTTTTTATTTATGATATATAATACTACCACCAACAACTTTGAAATGGATTGAAATTGGTTCATTCTATTCATTTCTATTCTATTTTATTTACAACACACTCAACTATCATGGAACACCCCAACAAACACACCACCAACCTAATAACAACAACAACAACAACCAAATAAACACAAATAATTTGAATAATGAATAGATGCAAACATTTGGTTCAGCACTTGATGTGACGAGTTGTAGTTTATTTAAGCTTATATAAATAAATCATTCAAAAATTAATTTAATAATTTTAATAAAAATAAAAAAAACAATATTTTGTCAAATTCTATTTTTTTCATTATTTTTTAATTTTTTCAACATTTAAAAAAAAATTGATACTCTTGGTTTTTTGTTTTTTTTTTACCAAAACAAAATAAAAACAAAAAAATATATTATTATTTTCATTATTTGTTCTGACCGACAACACACTTATATATATATTACAATACATATAATTAATTAATTATTTTATTTATTTATTTAAAAATAAATATTATTATTTCATTTATTTAATTTTTTACAATTGTTATCTCTACCCGAGTAGAATCTATTCATCATTTTTAGAATCTATTATTATTTAATTGTTTCTTTTTTTTCTTAATATCTAATATTTATTATTTTTTATTAAAAAATAAAATAAAATTAAATATTAATATATTTATTTTTAGATTTAGTATTAACAGCAGTAATAATTGTGTATATAAATATTTACTAAGCATTAATAATAATAATAATAATACAATTGTTGTCTTTAACAACAGATTTAATATCAATCATCACATAAATATCATCAATCACAATCCTAGGATTAATTAGTAGTAATCAACCACCAGAATAATAATAAAAAATGTTAAAGCTAACAAAGAGAAGTCATTTTGATGCATTCACTCCGGAAACACCCCCAACCTCATGCACACCTTTTGTCTTTTCACAAAGCAATATACCAAATAATCCATTCCAACAACAAGCTCAGCAACAGTATCAACTTCAACAACAACAACAACAACTACAACAAGCTCAACAGCAAGCCCAACAACAATACCAGCAGCAACAAGCCCAACAACAACAACAACAACAAATCCAACAACACCAACTTGATACCGCTCCATTAAAGAGATCAAGATTAAACAATGCCCAGGTCAATGTCACCAGATCATCAGATTACTCTTATTTCAACAATATTCAGTCACCAATTTCGAATATAGTATCAAATTTGGATAAATATAAGCCTACCATTAAGAAACAACCAGCTCAACCAATCGTTTTTAATTCAGATGCAAAATCACATATCAACAACATCAACAACAACAACAAAAATATTTTAAATAGTAACAACAATAATAATGAAAACAGTAACAATAATAATAATAACGATAAAAAACTTTTTTCTTTGGAGGAGGTCAGAGAGATTTTAAAGAAAGCATTGGAAGAACACGAAGCCAAACTACGTAGAGAATACGAGGATATAGTACAACAGAAGCTCTTAGAACAATTCCACAGTTTTTCACAATACAACGAGAGTTATATTTCCAGACAAATTAGAGAAAGCGAATTCAGCTATATGTCTTGAGAAATATATCATATTTATAATAGTAATAATAATAGTAACACAGTCCACACATATATCACTCCAACCATACCACCAGCAAGAAAAAAGGGATATATCAGTAGAACAAGATATCGCCTTTTAAAAAACAACCAAAACCAACAACACCTTTAAACTCACATCTTTCAGGTAATCAAAAGATTGTGATTTCAATGTTAGATTGGTTTTAAACAAATGTACAGTTTGATTGCTTTTTAGTGATCCACCCATTCTAAAACAAACTCAGCTCGCACCAACCAAGTTGTCCGAAGATGGTCATCATGACACTTACAATCCCATCGATCATATTATTATTAATATAATAAAAACATATATAATCAAATTTCATATATATATTATTTTTTCCTAAAACAAAAAACATTCTTTTATTATTATTTTTTGCATCATTCTGATCTGATGATTGTTGATTTCTTAGGTGGTCATGATTGACTCTGTTGCTAATGCCACACCACAACTTTCACGTAGAATTTCTGACGAGTGTATTTTTAATTTTTTTTTTTTTTTTTTGAATTTAATTTTTTTTTTTTTTTCATTTAAAGTTTAAATGATTTTTGCTTTTTTTTTTAAATTCATTCCAAAGAGATATATTTATTTAATTAATTTCTTTCATTTTATTTGCTTATTTATATCATAAAAAAACGATGGATACACCCAATAATATTAGCTATGAACAATACTTACAGTCGGCTGTTAAGATTGCAAGAGAAGTAGGACCAAAGATTTTGGAGAACTACAGCAACCGTGATAAAAAAGTCGAATATAAAGGTGCTGTCGATTTAGTCACTGAAACTGATAAAAGTATGTTGTTCTTTTAAATACCCACTACTGCTGTTCAAAATACTTAGCTTTTTTTTCACTTCTAGATACTGAAGAAGCCATCATCAAGGCATTGACAACAGAGTACCCACATACAAAGATTCTAGGTGAAGAATCTACAAAGGATGGTATTTACAATTGGGGTAACGAGCCAACTTGGATCATTGATCCAATCGATGGTACAACTAATTTTGTTCATAGGTAAGTTGTTAATTAATTATTTTTTTTTTTGAAAAGTAATCAAATCAATATATTTATACATTATCTTTTATTCTAAAAGATTCCCATTGTTTTGTGTAGCAATTGCTTTATCTATTAATAAGGAAATCGTTGTAGGAATGATCTACAGTCCAGTGTTGAATGAAATGTTTACTGCCACCAAAGGAGGTGGTTCTTATTTGAATGGTGTAAAATTGGATGTTACAAATGTTGATAATTTGCAACAAGCTGTCATTGCAACCAATGTCGGTTACGATAGATCTGAATATGGAGTAGAGTTTATGTTAAGGTAATATTATATTATTTAATTTCAATTAATTTCTAACTATATCAATCAAGTTAACTAACATTTATCGTCAATTTCAAAACCAAAAGTAATATTAAGAATATTTTATCACAAAATGTACAATCAATAAGAATGTCTGGTACTGCAGCATGGGAAATGGCAAGTGTTGCCTGTGGAAGATTAGATTGTTTCTACGAGTGGGGTATTCATCCATGGGATATTGCTGCTTCATCGATTTTGATCACTGAGGCTGGTGGTGTTGTTTTAGATCCATCGGGTGGACCAGTTCAAATGGAGGGTAGAAGAGTTTTATGCGGAAATCCAAAGATTTGCGATCTTGTTTCAAAGTGTCTTGGTGTAAGAAAGCCACTATAAATAAACAAATAAATATAATAAAAAAAACCCCTTTATAATATTACAAAAAAAATAAATAACAGTTTTTACTTTTCTTGGTTTCTTTTGAAGAGGTTTGAATAAAAAATAAAAAAACATATCAATACAAATGACAAATAAAACAACAAGTTAATATATAAATAAAATCAATTGGTTTGTAAATCTTCATTTCAAAAATATATATTTTTTTACCAAAAAATATGATTTAGGAATTTGTAGCCGGAATTTTATTCTTACCTCATTTAATGCCTTTTTCGAACAATTTTTGAAGTAAATGAGCTTCACCCCCACACCAGTAAATGATTTTATTAATTTTTTAATTAAATTTTAAACATTGGAATGGTAGATGATTTTCAATCATGTGGTTTGTAAAATATCACAAAGAAACTTTTTTATTTAATAATAAGGAAATTTACCATTTAATTTATATATTTCCTTTTTATTTTTCAATTTTTAGTTTAACATTTATTTATTTATAATATTTTTATATAAAGTTTTAATAAATAATAATGTTAAAAATAAATAAATTAATTTCAAATAATATTTGTAGATTTAAAAACAATAATAGTAACAATGGATTGGTAGGAGGTTTAAATAGATTCTATTCAAAATCGTCTGATTCAGACAACTATCACATGACACCAGAGGATCTGATTGTAAATCAAGTCAAGAATAGTGCCTCTCCAATGGTCAAAGTCTGTGGATCCGATGTCGATGGTATTCTACGTGGAAAGTACCTCCAGAAGGAGAAGTTCACCTCTTCCGTAAAAAAAGGTTTCGGATTCTGCAGTGTCATTTTTGGCTGGGACTCGAATGATGTCACCTACGACAATGTTAAATTCACTGGAAACCACACTGGTTATCCTGACATCACTGCCAAAGTAGATTTGTCTTCCTATCGTCAAGTCCCATGGGAGAACAACATTCCATTCTTTTTAATCGACTTTTACAAGAACAGCGGAGAGCCTCTCCCCATATGTCCAAGAAACTTGCTCAAAAAGGTAATTGCCGATTGTCGTGCTGAACAGCTTGAGCCAATGATGGGTATGGAATTCGAGTGGTACAACTATGCAGAGACCAACAAGAGCATCCAACAAAAGAACTTCACCAAGCCAACCCCGCTGACACCAGGAATGTTTGGATACAGTATGATTCGTATCTCTGAGAACTCTCGTTACATGGAGGATCTGGCCAATTTGAAGCACTACGGTATTCCATTGGAGGGTCTCCACACAGAGACTGGACCAGGTGTCTATGAAGTGGCCATCCAGTTCTCCGAGGCATTGGAAGCAGCTGACCGTGCCATTCTCTTCAAGTTGTCGGCGAAGGAAATCGCAGCCAAACTCGGAATCATGGCAAGTTTCATGGCGAAACCATCGGTTGATTTGCCAGGTTGCAGTGGACATATGCATCAAAACTTTGCGACTCTCGACAAATCAGTGAATCTCTTTATCGATAAGGACAATCCCGATGAGATGAGTCCAATGTTTAAGAGCTTCATTGCCGGTCAGTTGGAGTTGCTACCAGAGTTCTTGCCATTCTTTGCACCGACAATCAACAGCTACAAGCGTCTGGTCGATGGATACTGGGCACCAACCACCCCAACCTGGTCCTATGACAATCGTACCGTCGCCATTAGAGTTATCAAGGGCGGAAAGGCAATGCGTTCAGAGTTCAGAGTGACCGGATCCGATGTCAATCCATACATTGCTATTGCAGCATCGTTCGCAGCAGGTCTCTACGGTGTCAAGAACAAGTTGGAACTCAAGTCAAAGCCAGTCATAGGAAACAGTTACGATCTCTACAAACAAGGATTGGTCACTCGTCTACCAAGAACCCTAAGTGAATCGACCGAACTCCTTGCCAAATCAAAGATTGCCAAGGAGATATTAGGTGAGGAATTCGTAGATCACTTTGTAAATACTAGACGTTGGGAATACCGTCAATTCAATCATCAAGTTCACCGTTGGGAACATGAAAGATATTTTGAAATCATATAATATCATAGTTATAGCTTATTATATTCAATCAAACAGAATAACAATTAAATAGAAAAAAAAATGATACAATTATAAAAATAATAATAATAATAATAATGTTGTAATTATACTCTTTCAATAAATATGTATAAATAGATTAAGAAAAGTTATAGTTTTGTGTATAAATATTATTTACAATATCCAAAGGTATATATATTACCAATGGTTTCTTTATTTAATTACTTTCTCCAAGAGAATTTTAGATATCTATATTTATTGCTTTAGTGTTTCTATTTTTTTTTTAATTGTCTAAAATAAAATAATGTCAGAATTATTAGTAATTCAATAGAGAATATAATAATCGATCTATTTAGATACATACAATATAATTCAAGTCCATCACCATCATGAATTTCGTCTATATTAAAAAAAAAAACAAAAAGTTAATAAATGATTTTCAATAGAATGGACATGATTAGTTTAACTCACAATCTTCAAGTGTAATATGATCTTTATATACGTTGTACCACTTTTGTAATCTAATCTTATCTGGTCTAATACCTATTTGAGCAGCAATGACTTTCTTTAAATCACCAATTGTATCATCAGGACTAAATAGTTTCTAATTAGGAGTTGTTTTCTACTATAATCTTATAATAATAATAATGAGATACTTACTTTACTTTAACTCTAACCTTTTGACCTAAACGATCATTACATACAACTTCTATCATTTTTCTATATAACCTATAAATGATAGTTTTAACGATTATTGAAATTATTTGAATGATTCAAAATTTTGTTTATCTTTCTATTTTTTTTTTGTTTTTTTTAATTATTTTTTTTTGTATTTTTTTTTGTTATTAGTTTCTATGTTGTTGATTATAATGATGATCTCTATTTCTGTTATAGTTATTATGATTATTATCTCTATTTCTGTTGTTATATTGGTTGTTGTTATTATTGGTTGGGATGAATTGAAATACCACTGATGGAACAGTTGTTGTATTTTGATATCTAGTATCACTATCACCATATAGTTCAATTTCCTTCTTGGTGCTTGATATGTATAAAAGATTATTGTCGTTACTGAAATTGTTGAATTTGGCTATTGTTGTTAATGATCCATTATTTCTATTATTGTTTTGATGTTCATCTTGGTAATCGGCATCGTCAGAATCATCATCGGATCTATTATATTGATCATCAGAGTTGATTGATTCATTGTGACGTTGATCATCGAACGAATCTAAATCACTCTTTGATTGAGTATCATCTGAATATATTTGTTGTTGTTGTTGTTGTTGTTTTTGGTTATCAATATCACTCATTCTCTTTCTTTTTTTACTTCTATGAAATGTTGACAGAATAATAATAATAATGATGATGTTGAATGTTGTTTTAAATAAAAATTAATTAATATAAATTAAAAAACGAAAAAAAAAAGTTTTGATATCAGTTTTTAAAAAAAATATCTCTGACTTTATATATTAAAGAATTAAAAAACGAAATATAATACAGATATGTCAAACAATAAAAATAGAGATACAATTATAATTGGATCAAGAAAGTCACAGTTGGCAATGGTTCAAACAGAATCTGTGATGAAATCACTACAAGAGCTTCATCCAAATCTAAAGTTTGAAATCAAGACAATGGATACCGTTGGTGACCGTGTTTTGAATGTTGCTCTCTCAAAGATTGGTGATAAAGGTCTATTTACAAAGGAATTGGAAGATCTAATGCTATCTGGTCATATCGACATTGCTGTACATTCATTAAAAGATTTACCAACAAAGTAAGATCACTTTTGTTCGCAACTACTACTATAAATTACTATCTTACTTACTTCCTTATATATCTACTATTACAATCGTTAGATTCCCAGAAGGATTATCATTAGGTGCAATTACAAAGAGAGAGAATTGTTTTGATGCTTTCATTGCTCATCCAAAGTATGGTAAGGATGCAAGGTTATCATCGATGCCCGAAGGAGCAGTGATTGGAAGTTCGTCACTGCGCAGAGTAAGTCAGTTAAAGAGAGCATATCCACAGTTACAATTTAAGGATATCAGAGGAAATTTAAATACAAGATTCAACAAGTTGGAGACATCCGGTGAATATGACGGTATGATTCTGGCAGTTGCTGGACTTGAGCGATTGGGTTGGACCGACAGAATCACTGAGGTTCTTCAACCAGAGGTATCATTGTATGCAGTTGGACAAGGTGCATTGGGTATTGAATGTCGTTCCGATGACGAGTTTGTACAATCATTGTTGGCACCACTCAATCACTATGAAACCGCGCAATGTTGTGCAGCAGAGCGTGCAATGCTCAGAGAGTTGGAGGGTGGATGTCATGTCCCAATCGGTGTAAACACAACACTCGAACAAAATAATAGTATATTGTCGATCGAAGGTGTAGTTTTAAGTTTAGATGGTACAAAATCAATTCGTTTATCACATAGAGGTGAAATAGATCAACCGGAAATCGTTGGAAAACAATTGGCTTTAATGTTGAAAGAAAAAGGTGCAACTGAAATTCTAGCAGAGTTGGCTGCTACAGTCCAAAATTCATAATATAGTTTTTAAAAAGATAATAAATAATACTTTTCCTGCTTGTTATTATAAATAATATATAATTGTTGTTGTTATAATTTTTATTTTATTTATTTGGCCAATGGTAATCTATCATATGAAAGAATGGTTGATAACCATCTCTCAGCTTCTTCTATTGGGATACCCTTTCTGGTTGCATAGCTTTCGACTTGATCTTTGGAAATCTTACCGACAGAGAAATATTTGGAGTTTTCATTTCCGAAATAGATACCACAAACAGCGGCACCTGGAAGCATAGCCATGTGATCTGTCAATTCGATTCCGGTGGTCTCTTGGACGTTCATGACCTTCCAGATGGTCTTCATTTCGGTGTGATCCGGTTGCACTGGATAACCTGGTGCAGGTCTGATACCACGGTATTTAACCTTGAAGAGATCCTCAGCGGTGAGTTGTTCGTTCTTTTCGTATCCCCAGTGTTCCTTTCTGACGTCTTCGTGGACGTGCTCGGCAAGTGCCTCTGCCAAACGATCGGCCAAAGCCTTTGCCATAATCGATGAGTAGTCGTCGTTCTCTTGTTTGTAACGCTCTACCATCTCTTCCAAACCGAAACCAGAGGAAAGAGCAAACAAACCAATGTAATCGTTGACACCAGAGTCGTGTGGAGCAACAAAATCACCCATCGAGATATATGGTTCATCGACTTCCTTTTCCGATTGTTGACGCAAACCATAGAGTGTGGCCAGAGGTGTAGTACGACTTTCATCAGTGTAGAGAATGACATCTTCATTTTGACTGGCTGCTGGGTAGAAACCAATAACACCACGAGCATTCAACAACTTCTTTTCAATGATTTCCTTCAACATTGCTTGTGCGTCGTCAAACAACTTTTGAGCTTCAGCTCCTACGGTTGCGTCATTAAAGATTCTTGGATAACCACGATTTGGGTATTTACCACGGAGTTGCCAAGTGGCAAAGAATGGATTCCAATCAATCTTGGCGAGAAGTTTCTCCAATGGATAGTCTTTAATGATTTTCTGACCAAGGAAAGATGGAACGGTTGGGGTTGTCAATGATTTCCACTCTGTCTTTGGCTTGAGTGCTCTTGCTTTCTCCAGAGTCATATACTTACGATCCTTCAATGAGGCATAATGCTTCTCACGCAACTCTTGGTATTGAGTGGCGACATCGTCTGCAAAGTTCTCTTTGTTGTTGACGTCCAACAAGCTGGAAACGACAGTGACCGAACGAGATGCATCGAGAACATGCACGGTTGGTTGTGAGTAATGTGGAGCAATCTTGACGGCAGTGTGAATCTGTGATGTTGTAGCACCACCAATCAACAATGGTACCTTGAATTTCATACGTTCCATCTCAGAGGCAACGTAGATCATCTCGTCAAGCGATGGGGTGATAAGACCTGACAAACCAACGATATCGGCTTTGTGTTCGATGGCAGCAGCCAAGATCTTTTCACATGGACACATTACACCAAGATCGATAACCTTGTAGTTATTACAACCAAGTACTACACCTACGATATTCTTACCGATATCATGCACGTCTCCCTTTACGGTTGCCAACACACAGACACCGGCATTCTCTGCTTCCTCAACGACAGCGTCGGCATTGAGTGCTCTCTTGGCAGCTTTCTCCTCCTCCATGAATGGAATCAAATAAGCAACGGCCTTTTTCATGACACGTGCACTCTTGATTACCTGTGGCAAGAACATCTTACCGGCACCGAAAAGATCACCGACAACATTCATACCGGACATCAATGGACCTTCAATAACAGAGAGTGAAGAAGGCAAAGTGTTTCTGGCCTCCTCTGTGTCTTCAGTAATGAAATTAGTGATACCCTTGACAAGGGCGTGTGTAATTCTCGAGGAAACATCCTTGGTTCTCCATTCTTCAACCTCGGTAGTTGCTTTTTCAGTTTTAGCATTCTTTTGAGCATGCTCCAATAGTCTTTCGGTGGCATCGTTTGTTCTGTTGAGAATGGCATCCTCTACCATTGTGAGTAGATCCTTCTCGATATCGTCGTAGATTGGAAGTTGACCAGCGTTGACAATACCCATATCCATACCGGCTTTGATTGCGTGGAACAAGAAAGCAGAGTGCATAGCCTCACGCAATGGTTCATTACCACGGAAAGAGAAAGAAAGATTGGAAACACCACCACTGACTTTGGTCAATGGCATCAAACGCTTGATCTCACGAGTCGCCTCAATAAACTCGACACCATAGTTGTTGTGTTCTTCGAGACCAGTTGCAATGGTCAAGATATTTGGATCGAAAATGATATCCTGTGGTTTGAAACCGACTCTCTCCACCAAAATCTTGTAGGAACGATAACAGATACGCACTTTCTCTTCTTTGGAAGTGGCTTGTCCTTGTTCATCGAACGCCATGACCACAACGGAAGCACCATATTGCTTACAGATTCTCGCTTGCTCCATGAAGAGTTCCTCTCCGACCTTGAGAGAGATTGAATTTACAATACATTTACCCTGTACACACTTGAGACCTGCTTCAACGACAGCGAAATTCGATGAATCCAACATGATTGGAACCTTGGAAATCTCGGGCTCCGAACCGATAAAGAAGAGGAACTTTTGTATGGCAGCAACGGCATCGATCATACCTTCGTCCATATTGATATCGATGATTTGTGCACCAGCTTCAACCTGTTGTCTGGCAACAGAGATAGCTTCTTCGTATTTGTTTGCCTTGATCAAGTTGGCGAAACGACGCGAACCCGAAACATTACAACGCTCACCGACATTGACAAAGTTTAGTGTTGGAGTGAATGCAAGTGGTTCGAGACCAGACAAAGTGGTGTATGGTGGCAACGATGGAATCTGACGTGGTTGAACACCTTTAGTTACACGTGCAAACTCACGAATATGATCCGGTGAGGTACCACAACAACCACCGACAATATTGAGCAGACCAGACTCTGCAAACTCTTGAATCTGTACGGCCATCATCTCTGGTGTTTCGTCGTATCCACCAAAAGTGTTGGGAAGACCGGCGTTTGGATAGCAGAGAACGAAACACTCTGCACACTTTGAGATGTTCTGAAGGAATGGACGCATTTCATTGGCACCGAGCGCACAATTCAAACCAAACACCATTGGGTCGGCATGTGCAGTCGATGTGTAGAATGCCTCACCGGTTTGACCGGACAATGTACGTCCAGACTTGTCGACAATAGTACCAGAGACAAACACTGGGATTCTTGGGTGATTCTTAAAGAAGTTTTCAATGGCAAACAGAGCTGCCTTACAATTGAGAGAATCGAAAACTGTTTCGACCAACAGTATATCGATACCTCCCTCGACCAACGCTTCCACCTGCTCAAAGTAACCATCGACCAACTCATCGAACAACACATTTCTAGCTTCTGGACGTTCTACCGATGGCGAGATAGAAGCGGTCTTGTTGGTGGGACCGACTGCACCAGCAACAAAACGAGGTTTCGATGGATCGGCAGCCATCACCTCTTGAGCTGCTTCCTTTGCGATACGAGCGGCTTCTCTATTGATTCTCTTTACCAAATGTTCCATCTTGTAATCTGCCTGTGAAAATATATTACCATTGAATGTGTTTGTTTCGATAATATCTGCACCTGCTTCCAAGTATTTCTAAAGTTATCAAGATAGATAGATATTGTTAATTAGTTTTGATTTTACTATTGTTTTGTTTTATATATAAATTGTTATTTTACCTTATGAATTTCCTTTATAATATGAGGTTGAGTAAGTACAAGTAAATCATTGTTACCACCCAACTCGTGAGGGAAATCGACAAACTCTTGTCCACGATAGTCGGCATCTTTAAGTTTGAACTTTTGGATCTCTGTACCCATAGCACCATCGAGAATCATAATTCTCTCTTTGAGAATTGATCTCAACTGTTCGAATATCTCTACAATTATATATATATATATATATTAAATATTATTAATAAGCATTTGATTAATATATAACAAACAAACAAACTACAAATGATGATATTTACCTGGTTCCTCTTTGTTATATATCATTTTTGCAACTCTATCTATCTATTTCTATATCTTATTTATTATATTATAGTTCTTTATTATTATATTTATTGTTTTATAAATTTTTAGGTATATATTTATACCACTACTAAAAACTAAACAAATGGGTTGTAAAAATAAAAGTAAATAAATGACAATTGTTTTTAATAGAATTATTAATTGGAACAGATTCAAAAAAATAAATAATTAAAAAATAATAAATAAATAGTTATAAAAGTATAGTCCAGCGAGATTAGTTGTAGTCTATTACCAGTGGGTGGTGAGAGCTATTTTTTTTTAGGAAACCAACACCATTTTATTTTCACAAACATTGATCGTTTTTTCAAAAAAAAAAAAAAAAAAAAAAAAAAAAATTTTGATAAGATTATTTTTGTTTAAAACAATATCAAAAAAAAAAATTTTTTTTTCAAGAGTAATCGTGATCTTAATCTTGTTTTTTTATTTACAAATGGTATATATCAAACCAATCATAAATAACTTTATTGTTTGTATTGATACTCTTGGTCACTAGATCAACAACAATGTAAGAAAGTGTTGCAAGTTATTATATTATACAAGAGCACTTCAGATGTTGAAAGAGTACAATGATCATCAACAATATCAAGACGCTGCTTTCAACGAAACCAAAGAATCAGTACAGTTTGAGTGCCTCCAAGAAATGTGTGTTTTAAATGCATTAGCTCTTCTGAGGTAATTAAATTTATAATATTAAAAATATACTGCAATTATCTAATTTACTGGAATCGTTTTTATATATAGAGAACCAATAATGATCATTCATTTATTATAAGAAGTACTTTGGCCAAACGTATTGTAAATATAAGTTGCAGATACTTGGCCTACCCTCGATATATCAAGTGATACCACTACTTACGAGATGGTGGGATCCAGCTACAGTACAATCATCAGCTTCAAATCATTCATCATCAGCAGCAACAACATAATTAACAACAAACAACGATGACACCATTCAGTATAGCTATTCCAAGCATCAACAATGACACAGGACAAAAGACATATCACTTATGTAGTAAGCACCTGCCACACAAATAGTCGATCACCATTCCGAACAACAACTAATATATCAACTGCAAGAACAACTCTATTTTCTCAAACAAAAATAAAAAATAACAATAATATAAATTATTGATAGAAAGAAAGATTAACGACATAAAGTGATTAAATAAAATTAAATAAAGTTGAATGTTGAGATTATAAAATACTCATAGCGCAAATCACTAATGATATTAATATTAACGAATTTATTTTTATTTAGTGAATTTATATTAACATTTGCTGGTTTGTCGAGTTTCAAATATAACAATCTAAATCAATATCGATCATCATCAACAACCACATTATGAATTCTATTTGGATTAAATCAATTCTGATATTGCAATTAATAAACAGATATATCCCAAGTTTTAACAGACATACAATACTTATAAACGTGTTTAATTAAAATGTGATGATTTAACTTATGACATAAAGGACATACCTTTCCTTCTGCTTTAAAGTTTTCCTCTATTAAACTACGTCTTTTTCGTTAAGGTTTTATCAATTTATTTTTCCATCTTATATTTATCTGAGCTTGAATCGTGCAATATTGCACTTCCCAACTCAAAAACAACACAGTCTTTTTTTTTTATTATTTATTTGAAACTACCATTCTTATATTTTTAATAACAGAACCATCATATAGTAATATCACCAGAGTTGCCACCACTATCCATATTTATTTTTTAGAAGTTTTTGTAAATATTAAGAATTTATATATAACTATTATTGTTTTGTTTTTTGTTTCTAATGATAGAAGAAAGCTCATCAACTATTAAATACTTAATTAATGATATAAATAGAATTTGCCAATTTACATAAAATTAAACTCTTGTTAATTTAATTTAAAGTAAACAAAAGGAGGATATTAAAATTTCAAAACGACCAGTGGTTTTGTAAATTGTCAAAAACATCGAATCTTATTAAAATATTAGAGATAGATTAATTAAAGATAAAAAATTGTCAATTTACAAAAAATTAAACTCTTGTTCATTTGTTTAAAAGTTGTTTGTAACAAAGGGGTAAAAATATATTGCACCGTGGTTGGTTTTACAAAGAAAGAATTTAAATTGGGGTGACTTATTAAAAATTTTTCCTGCAGATTGCCCACAACAGAACTCAACCGTGGTCATTTAAAAAGATGTGTATTGAATTAAAGTATTATAACAATTTAACTCACTTCAGGTTATGCATAGAGAAAGCGATTGAAGAATAAAGAGGTTGATATTTTAAGACTCTTTAGTACGCCAAAACAGTTGCTCAATCGATTGCTATGAATTCATTATTTATTTATTATATTAAATATATACCTTTAGTAGATATTGATTAAATTAAATTACAAAATTGTTAATTATTAATTTGATCTTTCTTGCTTTTTATATTTGAAACCACCTTTTTGAGAATCAGCTTGGATGACGAGTGTATATTTTGAATCGAGTACTCTTATTTGATTCTTGGTCCTTATTTGGTTGAAATAGTGCGAAAATATTGAGATAAGTGTCAAAAGAGGTAAATTCAGACAATCATTGAAGGAATGATATTCGATCGACAGACAGAGATGGTAGTCAATGACAGAGTTTGTAGGCAATGACAGAGATTATGAGCAATGACATAGGGTGGGTGGACGAACATATATTGTAGGCAATGACAGAGATTGTAGGCAATGACATAGGGTGGGTGGACGAACATATATTGTAGGCAATGGCAGAGATGGTAGGCAATTACAGAGATTGTATGGCAGAGGAGGTAGGCAAGTACAGAGATTGTGAGCAATGACAGAGATTGTATGGCAGAGATGGTAGGCAATGATATAGATTGTGAGCAATGACAGAGATTGTGGGCAATAACAGAGGGTGAGTGGACGGACAGAGATGGTGAGCAATGATAAGATTGTGAGCAATGACAGAGATTGGATGGACGGACAGAGGAGACTGGCATAAATACGAGATGGGACAGGCATAGAAACGAGAAGCGACTGGCATTGAAACGAGAGACCAACGGCATAGAAACGAGAAGGAAACCGGCATAGAAACGAGAGGAAACCGGCATAGTGACGAGAGGAAACCAGCATAACGACGAGAGGAAACCAGCATAACGACGAGAGGAAAACAGCATAACGACGAGAGGAAAACGGCATAGTGACGAGAGGAAACAGCATATTGACGAGAGGAAACCAGCATATTGACGAGAGGAAACCGGCATAGTGATGAGAGGAAACCAGCATAGTGATGAGAGTAAACCAGCATAACGACGAGAAAACCGGCATAGTAACGAGAGGAAACCAGCATAGCAACGAGAGGAAACCGGCATAGAATCGAGAGGAAACCAGCATAACGACGAGAGGAAACCGGCATAGAAACGAGAGGAAACCAGCATAACGACGAGAGAAAATCGGCATAGTGACGAGAGGAAACCAGCATAGTGACGAGAGCAAATCGGCATAGTGATGAGAGGAAATCGGCATAGTGACGAGAGGAAATCGGCATAGTGACGAGAGGAAACCAGCATAACGAAGAGAGGAAATCGGCATAACGACGAGAGGAAACCGGCATAGTGATGAGAGGAAACCAGCATAGTGATGAGAGGAAACCAGCATAACGACGAGAAAACCGGCATAGTAACGAGAGGAAACCAGCATAACAACGAGAGGAAACCGGCATAGAAACGAGAGGAAACCAGCATAACGACGAGAGGAAACCGGCATAGAAACGAGAGGAAACCAGCATAACGACGAGAGAAAATCGGCATAGTGACGAGAGGAAACCAGCATAGTGACGAGAGCAAATCGGCATAGTGATGAGAGGAAATCGGCATAGTGACGAGAGGAAATCGGCATAGTGACGAGAGGAAACCAGCATAACGAAGAGAGGAAACCGGCATAACGACGAGAGGAAACCAGCATAACTACGAGAGGAAACCGGCAAGTGACGAGTGGCAAACGGCATAGAAACGAGAGAGAACCGGCATAGTGACGAGAGGAGACCGGCATAACGACGAGAGGAAACCAGCATAACGACGAGAGGAAACCGGTATAGCGAAGAGAGGAAACCAGAATAACGACTAGAGGAAACCGGCATAACTACGAGAGGAAACCGGAATAGCAACGAGGCATTCTTATAGTAAGGAGGCAACAGGCATGGTAAAGCGGACTTGGAAAAGAAGAAAGTGATAAAAGGAGATAAACAAAGAGTTAGTAAAACAAAGATATAAATAAGTTAAAGTTATAATTAATAGTTATTACTTACAAAATTATTTGTATTTGAAAAATAATGAAAAATGACATTGTGAATGAAATTATAGGTTTAAATAGTTTTAAATTTGATCCTCGTTTACTTACAGTTTGAACTCAAAAATGGCGGCAACCGTTAAGCGCCAATTAAAAGTATGAATTAATATTCAAATTTGAAATATAAATATTAAAATTAATTAAATAATTCATTTTATTATAATATAATATTTAAAAATAAAAAAAACAGGCGATCATTACCAATGAAGAAACAACAAGCATAATTTTCAATTTTATTAATTTATTGAATTTGCAACACCCCACTTTTATTTGACAAATTCATCTTTTTTTTTTTGCTGGTGTTTCAAAAAAAAAATGTTGGTTTTTTTAAATGACTAATTAAAAATTTAATTTTTGAAAGATATGATTAATAATAAAAGATACAATAAGTAATTCTATATGTTATAAAAATCTCTTTCATTTATTATTATTCATATTATTGATCATGAATTTATAAAAAGAATAGATACTAGATTCTTTTTAAAATATCTAAAATCATTATTTTCATTAATTTATATTATATTAAATTTAAATCTTTTTATAGGTTGAATGGTTTCACTTCACAGTTATAATTAAATTAAATCAGTTGTTTCAGAATTAAGTTCTTAATTACTCAGAGATCAAATAAAATTATTAAAGATTTTATATAAACATTTAGACAAAACTGAACCACAACAACAAATAATTCATCAACACTTCATTACCAGAAATATTTAATAAAGTTGAGGTTGATGATGTTGTTGGATTAGTGGTAGTAGAATGACTTTTGCTACTTCTGCTCCTGGTCAAGTAATTTAACATTTATGAGTGTTTGGATTCAACAAAATTACTATTTCAATAAAAATTTAAACTACCTTTATAATTTTATCTTTTGATTTTATTTTATCGATTTGTGAAATTGATGGTAAGGAGTAGATGAGCAGATGGAAATTGAGAGTGGTGTGTTCATCGGTAACCATGTTATGGAGTTGAAGGGAATTGAATTGTAGAGTTGATCGAAACTAAGATATGTAGTTGAAGTAAGTATCAATAGTATCTGAGTTGTGGAGTTAACGGAAACTATGGCTTCGGGCAACTAAGTATGGCAATTGAGTCAACTGAGTCAACTGAGTCATCAACTCAGTCCAGTTACTCAGCTCGGTAACTAACTCAGTCCGGTATCTAAATGGAATCATCTGAGTCTGGTAACTAACTAAGTCCGGTAACTCATAATTCAGTAGGTAACTAAGTCAACTAAGTCATCAACTGAGTCCGGTAACTGAGTCAGGTAACTGAGACCGGTAGCTAACTAAGTGAGGTAACTGAGTCAGGTAACTCAGTCAGGTAACTCAGTCAGGTAACTGAGACCGGTAACTAACTAAGTGAGGTAACTTAGTCTGGTAACTCAGTCTGGTAACTGAGTCAGGTAACTCAGTCAGGTAACTCAGTCAGGTAACTCAGTCAGGTATCTCAGACCGGTAACTCAGTCTGGTAACTGAGTCCGGTAACTAATTCAATCGTTCGGTAACTGAGTCCGGTAACTAGTTCAATCTGGTAACTGAGTCAGGTAACTGAGTCCGGTAATTAACTCAATCTGGTAACTGAGTCAGGTAACTCAGTCCAGTAACTCAGTCAGGTAACTGAGTCCGGTAATTAACTCAATCTGGTAACTCAGTCAGGTCACTCAGTCCGGTAACTAACTCAATCTGGTAACTGAGTCAGGTAACTGAGTCCGATAATTAACTCAATCTGGTAACTGAGTCAGGTAACTGAGTCCGGTAACTAACTCAAACTGGTAACTCAGTCAGGTAACTCAGTCAGGTAACTCAGTCTGGTAACTCAGTCCGGTAACTAACTCAATCTGGTAACTCAGTCAGGTAACTCAGTCTAGTAACTCAGTCAGGTAACTGAGTCCGGTAGCTAACTCAATCTGGTAACTCAGTCAGGTAACTCAGTCAGGTAACTCAGTCAGGTAACTGAGTCCGGTAACTAACTCAATCTGGTAACTCAGTCAGGTAACTCAGTCAGGTAACTCAGTCAGGTAACTCAGTCCGGTAACTGAGTCCGGTAAATGAGTCAGGTAACTGAGTCCGGTAACTAACTCAATCTGGTAACTCAGTCCGGCAACTCAGTCCGGTAACTCAGTCCGGTAACTAACTCAATCTGGGAACTCAGTCCGGTAACTCAGTCCAGCAACTAAGTGCAATCAACTCTGTTAATAAAAGAAATAATTAAAAAGAATTTGAAAGATATCAACTTTTTATTTAAAATTTGATTGATTGATATTGTTGTTTTAAGTTTTAATTTATGAGTGTGTATTATGTTATCAACAAGGAAATAAGTATTATTATTAATAAAAGTAGAAGTAGGTGAAGAAAACAATGTTGTTATTATTATTATTATTAACTACATGTTTTATATATTGGTTGATTGATTGATTGACAATGTTAACTAATTTTATGTTAATCTTCTCATTTATTTCTTTGGAGCGGTTGCAGTAGCTTCCTTCTCTTCATCCTTCTCCTTTTCGACTTCATCTACCAACTATTCGACTTCGGATTCCTTGAAGAATTTAATTGGTTCATTTCATTTATTGATAGCAATTTCAATATTCTTATTTCCTGATTCTACAACCTATTTATTTGTTAATATTACAATAGTATTAATAGTAATAATAGTTAGTCATTGTTGTTTACTATATTTATAGTAATAAATGAATAATATATTATTACCTCAAGCAATGCTCTAACAGCCAATTTAATTGAAGCAGTATCACTCTCATCTGTAAAGTTCTTCTCTAAAAATTCACTGACAGTCTTTGAGTTACGTCCGATGGCGGCTGCCTGTTCCTTCAATGAACCGGGTGGATCTGTTTGAAAAAGTTTTGGTGTACCGTCTGAATCGAAACCGACAATCAATGTAGAAATACCGAATGGTGGTGTTAGACCACTTTGTGTATCTCTATAACAATTGTTTAAAATTCATTAAATTAGTATCAATATTTGACTCGATCGCTATAATCTTTTTGTTTTGTTCAAAGTATATTTACTTGTTGAATTCCAGCGATATATTTAGAGATATTCTAGTACATCATTCAATGATAATCTATATGATTGACACTCAACAAGAGCCTATAATAAAATCAATAAATAGAATAAATAATATAAATAAAAAAATGTATAAATGTGTTAATGTTAATTAATAAGTTACTAATAAAGTAGTTATAAATAATAATGATAATGATGATTATTATTATTATGTTTCATAAATGATATAAACTTACTTTATTATATCGAAATAGTGTTAATTAAAAATATATATAAATATGAATAAATAGATCGATTGTTGCTTGAATTACTTTAATTAAATAATTAATTATGTGTGGTGTTTGACTTGGGTGAAAAAAAAAAAAGGGAAAAAAAAAAAAAAAGTGAAAAAAAAATTTTGAGTTGTGCTGCGGTGTGGTGAGTGTGTGAGTATAAGTGTGGGTGATCCAAGATCAATGTTAACATCGATCGATCGAAAGCTGCAAAGATTAAAATTTAGACTCTCTCAGCCTCATGGATCGATAAGAAAATATTTTTTAATTTTAAACATATTTTACTATATAAAAAAAAAAAAATTTTTTTAAATCTTATCGATCCATGAGTTTCCGGTGCCAACCACGTGGAGGTGGAGTCTACTGGCACCTAGAGACCCCGATGGATTTATTGCCACAAACCATCGGCAGCATCTTTAATTGTTGTTGTTCCTAATCGACAGCAGAGTTAGAAGCCGAAGCAAATAAAACAACTTCGAAGAGGCAACAAAGAAAGTGATAGCTGTGGCGTTGCCTTCTGTACAGAGAATGTCGCCTCCATCTGCTCTGTGTCGCCACACCCGAAGATGCGACAGACTAGCAGCGTATGTATCACCTGCTTTCAGACTATATGAAGCCGTAACATGTGTTGGAGGTTTCCCTACCATCGACCCAGTGCCATGCATCCTGTAGATCAACACAGAGGTTACCATGTGCAAGACCACCTGCAAGCAAGTGCGCTCATCCTAACTTCGTCCGTCCACAGACAACCGCTCACAACAATCTCCCCAACTGGCGGGTCGGGTGTACAGGTCGCCAGGTTTCTCTAATAACTAGGCTCTCATCAGTGGGTTCACTGATCGAGACATGCCGTCACGCTTGATAAGAGAGGCAAGGATCACAAGCAATGACACCCAGTTATCCCAGACCCTGGAAAGAAAAAAAAAAAGGACGAACCCATTGAAATGGATCACTTGGAATAGCTTGATTGTAATATTGGAATATAGAATAAAAAAAAACAATGTAGTCAGTTGTTAGTATTAATTAATGATAGAAACAAATAATAAATAAATAAATAAAGAACGAATACAAGAATAATTAAAATTAAATATAAATAAAATGAATATATTTATAAAATTAATTTATAATTATATTTATTTATTTATATTTAATTTCAATTATAATTGTATTCGTTTATAAATTATTTAATAGACCTACAAAAAAAACCTAGAGCTTCGTTAACCTGAATTTCACTTTACATATAGTATACAAATATGATATTAATAAATAAACAACATTGAAAATAAATAATAAAAAATAAATTAATAATAATATATTACCTTTTCAACGATCCTTCGGCCGTGCCCACCCTGCCGCCCATGCAACGACCAGTACCACCACCATATAGCCAAGACCATGACCAAAGAAACCAGACTCTTTTAAAATTGATCTACTTTTTAACATATAATACAAATATAATATTAATAAATAAACAACATTGTAATATAAATAAATAAATAAATAATAACATATTACCTGTACAACGATCCTTCGATCGTGCCCACCCTGCCACCCATGCAACGACCAGTACCACCACCATATAGCCAAGACCATGACCAAAGAAATCAGACTCTTTTAAAATTGATCTACTTTTTTACATATAATACAAATATAATATTAATATATAAACAACATTGTAAATAAATAAATAAATATAAATAAATAAATTAATAATAACATATTACCTTTTCAACGATCCTTCGATCGTGCCCACCCTGCCACCCATGCAACTACCAGTACCACCACCATATAGCCAAGACCATGACCAAAGAAACCAAACTCCTCTAACATTGATCTACTTTTTTAAATATAATATACAAATATGATATTAATATATAAACAACATTGTAAATAAATAAATAATAAAAAATAATAATAAATAAATAAATAATATATTACCTTTACAACTATCCTTCTAAGGTGCCCACCCATGCATCGACAAGTACCAGCACCAGAACCACCAAACACAGAACCTAGAATCCAGACATCTCTACAATTGATTACCTTGCCCACCCATCCTCCCAAAGTTCCAGAGACGACTAGCAATTACCATTCCAATAATACAGACCACTCCATCCAGTTATTATTATTATTATTATTATTTATTTACTTTTTATTGCTCGGTATTCTAAATTGATAAGTATTATTATTTGGTATTGGTTTGTTTTTGATATTGTTAATAATGTTTAAAATGTAATTGGCAGTGTTGTCAATGTTGGTGTTGATTTTGATGATTTTGTTGTTGTTGTTCTTCTTCCAACTAGTTGGTCTTCTAAATTGGAAGGTGTTTTGGTTTGGTGTTGATCTGTTATTGAATTTTATTTTATAGTTTTGAATGTAATATTTAATGTTATGAATGTTATCAATGTTGTTTACATAGTTGTTATTAATATTGTATTCTATTTTATTTTGATTTATTGGAATTCTAAATTGATATGTATTTTGATTTCCTATTGATTTAGTGCTATTGTTGTTGTTGTTATTATATTTTATATTATCGTTATCGTAGTTATTGTTGTTATTGTTGTTTATATATTCTTTTTTATTATTTATAGTTGGTTTTTTAAATTGATATGTATTGTTCATTTGCTTTTGTCCAACTGTTTGTGGTGGCTGTTGTTGAGTCTGTTGTTGTTCTAATTGCTGTTGATGTTGTTGCTGAAGCTCAACTTGTTGCTGTTGCTGTTGCTGTTGCTGTTGCTGTTGCTGTTGCTGTTGCTGCTGCTGTTGCTGTTGCTGTTGCTGTTGTTGAGTTTCAAATTGCTGTTGCTGTTGTTGTTGCTGAGCTTGTGTTTGTTCAAATTGCTGCTCTTGCTGAGTCTTTTGTTGTTCTAATTGCTGTTGCTGTTGCTGTTGCTGTTGCTGTTGCTGTTGCTGTTGTTGAGTTTCAAATTGCTGTTGCTGTTGCTGTTGTTGTTGTTGTTGTTTCTTTTGTTCTCTCGCAATTCTTGAACGTTCTTTTGAAAAGTAGATAAGGAACAGCTGTCGATCCGACTCATCTTTAATCTCCAGTTTCTTTTTGTTGAAAATTGTTACCAAATCGAGTGATAAACTGGTAATTGGAAAGCTTCTGATGACTTCCTCAAGTGACTTATAATGAACTATCTCTTGTTGTGGTTGTTGTGGTTCCTGTTGCTGCTGTTGATCTTTGGATTCCTTCATGACTCTTGTGAATTCATGGATAAAATAATAAAAAAAACTCATTCGATCTTCCTCATCTTCGAGCTCAGCTTTCTTTTTGAAATAAATACCAACTAATTCCCATGAATAGCTGGTAATTGGAAAATTATTAATTTGGTATTTAAGTTGTTGTGACATTATTAGTTTAATTTGTGAAAGTAATGAAATATATTTATGAGTTGTATATGTTGATTATGATTTAAAAACGATTTAAAAGCTACTATCTAAATTTATAATATCTATATATGTATATAAGTAATTTAATAATACTAATTTATTTGGAAATTTTTCACCCAATATATTTTTTAAAAAATTTTTTTTTTTCTCAATACAATATTGTTTTTGATTGTATAGGGACATAGATATGATACTGATATTATTTCTTTTGTTTATTCAAAAAGTTTCACTAATCACTAGTAGTGATTGAACACTTTCAATTGCGTAAGTGGCAAAACAACAATTTTATGACAATAATTGAAAACTATCAATAATAAAATGAAAAAGTAAATAAAATAAAGATAAGTTCTTTAAATAAAATTAAAATTAATTTATTTCTTATTTTTAAAAGAAGAAAGTAAATGAGAAATCAACTATCTCTTTATTATTATCAACGATCACTAACTAAAACTATATTTGATAGAAATTTGAAAGATAAATGTTAGTTAGATAAATATTTTTCTTGAAAATATTGTGATATTAATAAAACTTACTTATAAATAACAAATTAATATGAATATTGCATATAATGAAAAGCAAAATTTCGATATTAATAGTATTTACTAATTATATTAATAGAATATAAAAATAATCAATAATAATAAGAAACCGCCAAATTTTGAAAATATTTAACGTCATTTTATCCGATACTCTCTCTATTATACACCATTATATTTAAATATATAGAGATGTCTTAATTTAAATTTAAAATTTTTAAAAGTTTAGTTGATGTTTTTTTGCAAAAAAAATAAAAAAACACAATCTTCCAAACCCACTTCACATTATTCAATTCCAATAAATCGTGAACCAAATCAATTAAATTGTGACACTTTTAAAATAAATAATTAAAATTAATTTATTTAGATCCTATTGTAGTGATATACTTTTTTTTATTTTTAAATATCAACTTGTAGTAAATATTGAATCTTTATAAAATATATAATAATCTTTCTTTCAATCTATCTTCAATTATACAACTTATCAAAAAGATTAACTTACCACAAAACACCTATTCATTTATTCATCAAATCTATTTGATTTATTCAATAGTTATCATTGAGAATATCTTTAAAATATTAATATTTCTTCAATTATTTTAATTAAAAAAAAAAAAAAACAACATATTTTTACTTTTGCAACAAAAAAAAGATGAATTTGTCAAATAAAAGTGGGGTGTTGCAAATTCAATAAATTAATAAAATTGAAAATTATGCTTGTTGTTTCTTCATTGGTAATGATCGCCTGTTTTTTTTATTTTTAAATATTATATTATAATAAAATGAATTATTTAATTAATTTTAATATTTATATTTCAAATTTGAATATTAATTCATACTTTTAATTGGCGCTTAACGGTTGCCGCCATTTTTGAGTTCAAACTGTAAGTTAACGAATCAAATTTAAAACTATATAAACCTATAATTTCATTCACAATATCATTTTTCATTATTTTTCATATACAAATAATTTTGTAAGTAATAACTATTAATTATAACTTTAACTTATTTATATCTTTGTTTTACTAACTCTTTATTTTATCTATTTTTATCTCTTTCTTCTTTATCTCTTCTGTCTCTCTCTCTTTGCCTACCATCTCTCTCCGTCCATACAACCTCTGCCTGTATGCCTACCATCTATGTCATTGCCTACGATCTCTGTCCGTCCACCCAACCTCTATCATTGCTCACCATCTCTGTCCGTCCATCCTCTGTCATTGCTCACCATCTCTGTCGGTCCACCTAATCTCTATCTTTGCTCACCGTCTCTGTTCGTCTACCCAACCTCTATCATTGCTCACCATCTATGTCATTGCCTACAACCTCTGTCCGTCCACCCAACCTCTTTCATTGCTCACCATCTCTGTCCTTCCACCTAACCTATGTCATTGCCTACAATCTCTGTCATTTTTCACCATCTCTGTCCGTCCACCCTCTGTCATTGCCTACAATCTCTGTCATTCCTCACAATATCATTGCCTACCACCTTTGTCATTACCTACCACATCTGTCATTTCCTCTGTCATTCCTCACAATCTCTGTCCGTCCATCTCCATCCAATCTCTATCATTGCCTACAATCTATGTTCGTCCACCCACCCTGTGTCATTGCCTACAATCTCTGTCATTGACTACAATCTCTGTCATTGACTACAATCTCTGTCATTGCCTACAACCTCTGTCTGTCCACCCAACCTCTATATTGCTCACTATCTCTGTCATTACTTACCATCTTTGTCGTCCACCCAATCTCTATCATTGCTCACCATCTATGTCATTGCCTACAAACTCTGTCCGTCCACCTAATCTCTATCATTGATCACCATTACCTACCATATAAGTCATTGCCCACAACCTCTTGTCTATCCATTCCTGTATTTGCCAGTGTTAAAATAGCAGATATCAGTTTTTTTAAATTGTTCTTTAAATTTACTAAATAAAAATAAATTCTTTTTTATTTAAATCGAATATTTTATAATCTCAACATTTAACTTTATTGTTGTTTTTTATTTTTATTTGAGAAATAGAGTTGCTGATGATGATGATAAATGATTTGAAGCTGATGATTGTACTGTAGCTGGATCCACGATCTAGTAAGTAGTGGTAGAACCTGAATAGAGATCATAAGTAAATCATCTGAAAGATCAGATTGAAAATAAACCGATAAATGTGATCTGAACTAGTATATTGATGCATCTCAACTTTCTTATATTGTACAATACGTTGGGCCAAGTACTTCTAATAATAAATGAATGAAAAGTATTAATAATATTCTATTAATTAAAATAAATTAAATTTTAAACTTTCTCTTAATCTGAAGCTAACTAAGTTTAGTTGGTATCGAAAATAGTAACTTTAGATAAGTTACATTATCTTTCTAGTCAAATTGTAGAGTGTCTACGATTGAGCATACAAGAAGTTCTGTGAAATAAAACAATAGTGGTGTTGGTAGTGATGGTCGTCGACCGTTTGTATTCAATGATTTCAGGTACAAAATAAAGGTTTAAGATACTATCGGAGTGAAACTACATTTCAGATGTCGAAAGTATAATGAACATCAACAATATTAAGACTTCTTTCAAAGAAACTAAGGAATCCATACAGTTGGAGTACCTCCAAGAAGTGTGTGTGTTCTAAATGCATTAGCTCTTCTGAGGTATGTAAAGCTATAATTCTAAAAATACACTTCAATTATCTAATCCACAACTATAAATCATCATTTATATTTGTTTTGTTTCATTGTTATAAAACAAATTATAATAAAATATCTACCATCTATATGAACAAGATAAATCGATATAAACTTTATCTTATAAAAAAGAATAGTCATCGTTTGATGATTGTGAAAATATCAAATATCTATAAAATAATAATATTATAGTGATACAATAATTTAGATTTTCAAGAAATTATGGATAGTGCTCTTAACTATTCTCTTATCTTTCAATTTCAATATATATAAATTGAATACATAATCATTTTATTTCATTTTTTCTATCTAATTAATTTTTTAATTTTTTGTTACATTGTTTATTTATTATTTGCAACACCCATTTGAATAGTTTTTCTTTTAATTCTTTTTGGAATATCCTTCACAAATTAATTAATATTAATGAACCATCATCTTCACTCAGACGATAGGTATATTTATTGAGAATAGACTGTTTCACTTTATTTGAATATTAAGTAATATTTTAAATTTGAACTTTTAAATTGGTTGTTATCTTTTTCCGCCATTTTTGAATTTACGATATTATAGTTAACGAATCAATTTAATACTCTATAAAAACTATGATTTAATTTCTTTTTTCTTTTTTTTTTTTTTTAGTCTACAAATATTTAATTTTTAAGATAATATATATTTATATTTTATTAGTTAGTTATTTATTTTTGATATTCTTACTAACACTCTTTCTCTCTCTTTTATTTTCTATATTATAAAAGAACAACCCTTACAAACAACAAACAATGTCAACCAAATCAAAATCATTTAAATCAACTAGCACCACCAAGAAGTCCAGCACCTCAAAGAAATCTTTTAACCCAACCTATAAGGTTATGATCACTAAGGCTATTGAACATTACAAGGATAGAACTGGATCTTCGATCATTGCTATCAAGAAGTACATCGAGGATCACTACAATGTCAATCAGACTGCGTTTCACACAAATTTGAGGTTGGCATTGAACCGTCTTGTGGAGAACAATTCTCTCGTCAAAGTCAAGGTAAGCTACAAACTCCCGCCGAAGTCTGACACTGCTAAGAAGTCAACCACTGCTGCCGCTGTTTCTACTCCAGTCAAGAAGTCAACTACTACCGCAAGCAAGAAGGTCGACCCAAAGAAGAAGGCATCATCCACTATCGCCAAATTTGTTTAACATAATCATTTTCTGATATTCTATGCTATAAATCATTTGTTTATCATTTATTAATAAAGAAATAATTCATTATCTTCATCCATATCAATTCTTTGATTTATCTATTCATTTTAAATTTATATTTTTTCAATATCTATTTATCCTTTTACTTTAACAAATATTATTTTTATTGATTTTGTTTTTTTGTTTCATTGATTATAATTTCATTTAACCTTTCTATTATCGTATATATTGAAATCTATTTATTATATTCTATATCACTTCCCTTTTCCAATAGAGCAGTACTGTTCCATAAAATAAGTTGAGAAGTAATAGATTAGAATAGATCTAACAGTAGCTGAGTTTTGATGAAGTATAAAGTGGGGTCACAAGTTGGAAGGATTTAGATTCCAATCAGATTTGAATTTACACGACATTCCAGAGCAATCAACAGTGACTCCTTGGGAGAAAGAATTAGCTATTGTGAAGTTAAACTTGAGGAAATTGGCATCGATCAATTTTACATGTATTAGGTGACTTCTCTTTGATTTTTTTTTTTGTTTTTCAAAAAAAGATTTGTTGATTCCTGATCAGTAAACAAATTGCAGGTATTGATATTAACCTGCTAGTTCGTGTTTTATATTAAATATATACATTCTCACACAGGCCATGAGAAATAGCCAATAAAATATTATTATTATTATTATTGTTTATAGTTATTATTAATTAATTAGTTGAGTAGTATTAGGATAGAATAGATCTAACAGTAGTAGAGTGTTGATGAACAACAGTATAAAGTGGTGGCACGTAGTTGGAAGGATTTAGATTCCAATCAGATTTAAATTTACTCGTTATTGCAGAGCAATCAACAGTGACTCGTTGGGAGATAGAATTAGCTATTGTGAAGCTAAGCTTGTGGTAATTGGCATCGATTAATTTGGTGTAATGGGTGACTGCTCTCTTGTCGGTATTTTCCAGCTTGTAATGGGTACCATCACCAAACATTTTACAGGATAGAGCCTGCCAAAACGAATGTACGATAGCAGCAGTAAGGGTGGGTGAAGTGGACAGTAGTACGAATAGGACCTTCGAACTTGAGTGCTTCCAATTACGAAGTCTATAGCTACAGTACTTGCGGTATACATGTTTGATAAAGGAACTGCTGTGAAACCACATTCCTGTATTTAAAGAAGTGATCATGTGGGTTGCAGAGTTCAGTGAAGGTCACCACAGAACTAACAGACATGACCATTGTGCTTGTGTTTTAAGGGGAGGAGTGAGAGTACAGCTGGAATATGCTGTTACGTAGCATAGGCGCTTTGCAGGAACTGAGATTGGACCAATCTGGACGGTTAGTTGACTTTCAGTACAGTGGACACGGGGTACTTGGTTGAATTGTACTGTTCGCATGCGGTGTGCACAAGTTTAATAGAGCTACTCCTTGTGGGGATCGAACCCACGACCCTGACCGTGTAAAGGTCATGTGATAACCACTACACCAAAAGAGCAACGTGATGATACAAGACGTTTTTTATTTTTTATAAGGTATCAGCAAAGGATTCTCCCTCCCGGACACCTTCACCACCATAGCCAAGATCAAAGACCAAAAAGGGCGAGAAACTCTCTTCAAACTCTTCGCTAGATGTCTACCGCTCTCTAAGATCGACCTCACCTTCTGTATACACTGCTTACCATTCGTATTCACAGGTCTCCCACCGATCAAGATCACCGAGCACCACCTCTTCAAATGCAAAATACTCAACACCTACAAACCCATCATAAAACGGATCATACACATATTTACCGGGGAAACTCTCGACTGGGAGTTCGACATCCTCAAGATGACAAGCAAAAACGAGCTACATCAAAACGTAATTGCTATCGTACTGCACCAGGTCTGGATTCTTCACTGCAAACTCGCGCACAACTCCCTCATCACACCCACCACCTTCTACCACGCAACAACCAACAACATTAACAAACTAGCTAAACTAGAATACCACAAACTAATCAGAAAATCAAAACAAGACTTCGGTCGAAACAACTCAAACATTCAAAAATATCAATCAAAATGGCTGAAGAAGCTAGACGACTTCAAACTCATCTGGAACCACCAAACCTGGAACTTCCCAACGCCATCTCACCTCATCAGCAAATAAACAAATAAAAATAAAATCCGTTTGAGTATTCTTCAAGATATGAGAATACTTTAAAAAAAAAAAAAAATTTTTATAAGGTTTCCTTTCTCCAATCTTAAGGAATCACCTGTGGATTTTTATTTGAGTATTTAGGTATTAAGTGATTCACTCTCCTGAGAGGTGATTTGTTTTTTCGAGTTTTTTTTACGAATTGCTTATCCTGAGATGGTTTGGGTTGGCTAATTGCTTAGCCTGTGATGGTTATTGATAATCTCAAATACACTTAATACGCTTTAATAACTTTTTACTTAATCTATATATATATCTTTATTTATTTATTGCTCCAGAAAACTAATGTTGTTTTCGTGCAGTTTTTCTAATTTATATTTTGTTGCATTATTGAATATTTCATGTTTTTATAAAGTTATCGATTGTTGGTTTGTTGATTTACTTGTGATGTAGTTATGATATCAACGTTGATTGTGATAGTTGACCTCATCACACACTAATCCAAAAGAGCAACGTGATGAAACCAATATTTTTACTCATACTAAGTCACTCATTGGAATCTGGATGAGAAGATCATCTAAGACCATAAAGAAATTAAAATTCAAACAATCTAAATATATTTTATTTAATCGATAACGGTTGTTAATGTTGCTGATGATTTTCTATATTCCAATTGTTTCTTTATATAAAATAAAAGATATCTGTTTTGTACAAGAGTAATTTAATAAAAATTAGCTATATAACATTATTAAAATTTCAATTTCAAACATACCCTTTACTTTGAATTACTTTTTGTATTGATGAAAAAGTAATCATTGAATCATCACATTTAAACCATCGATCGTTGTGTTTTACAAAACAAGTATAGTGACCTCCATCCATCTTTCCAGTGTGATTAACAACTGCAAACAATTCATAAATAAAACTTTCATCATTTGGTAATTTACTATCTTGATTCTCTTCATTTTGATTATTATTTTGATTTTCATTTCTAAAAAATAACAAATTTATAAATGTTAAATTATAAACGATAATTAACTGTTAAAAACTACTTACTTTTTATGAGTCGAAGAAGTATACGGACTCATATCAATAACAGGTGGAAATTCAATAAAAGTATCAATTTTATGTGTTCTTCTATGGGTTTTCGATTGTTCAAAACGTTTCAAGTGGAAACAAATCACCACTGGCAATGTATTGAATGTAAGTTGTTTGGTAGATTCTTGCTTACTGTTACACTGTCTACAAAAGTATTTCTCATCCAATTTCTCTGGTTGTGTAAATCTTTCTAGACATGCTTCCAGTGAATTATGATTGTTGCTGCTGTTATTGTTGTTGTTGTTGTTGTTACTATCATGTTCATTATGATGACTACCATGATGATGTGATGACTTTGGAATGTCCAGACTGATATCTGTGAACGGATCGGTTGTCGACGATGTAAACTGACAGGTGGTACACTTTACCTCTGAACGAAGCAGTCCACCAAACGTACAGTGAACGATACAATTACAATCTTTACCGTGAGTACCACCGATATGCTGATGAATACCATTGAGTGAGGAAATGAGGAATTCGTGTGCATCCTGCTGTTCGTACGATGCCAAGTAGTTCGAGTAGTTCCAGCAACTGTAAAGGAAGTGGTGAGGAGTATATGGATTCTTTAATCCCGTGAATACCTGTGTGAATAATATATCCATTTCACAGCCAAGACAGATAGTACTACCATTACCATTATTGCTACTGCTACTGCCACTGTTACTACAATTTCCATTTCCACTTCCATTTGTACTGGTTGGTGTGGATACCGATGATGAAGATTCACTGTCACTACTATTATCATTACTACTATTACCTCCACTACTTCTATTCATCTCTTTCTCACGTCGTTTCTCACATTTACTATTACTATGCATATCACTCAAGAAATAGTTTCTAAGTATAGGATTATGTATAAATGATTGAAGTATTACATTCATAAAACATCTATATATATATATATATACATATAGAAAAATAAGTTAAAACTTTAACATAACTAAAACATAATAATATATATGACAACATACGTATTACCAAGATTATTTAATCCACGTAGACCCAACATTGTAGAGTTATTTATATTCGAATTATTTTGAATGATTGCAGTGTCTTCAGGTGTTGGTTTCCAACTATGATATTTTGCTCTATTATTTATTGGATCTGATATTGATAGAAAGATTTGATCATTTTTTTAGTAAAACTATAATAATTGATTGATAAACTTGATAAACTTGATAATTTACTTGCTAATTCCTGTATTGTAATGGTTTGTGATTGAATGAGACTATCTAATATCTCAGTGTATTGATCATCGTATATGTAATCTGAACAATGATGACAGTAGATCTGATAGAGACTGGAATCGATCGCTAAACAATGATTGGCTTCATTGAAGTGTTTGATGATATGCTGGTGTTTCCAACAGCCTGCATAGACACACTGAAGACAGCAGTGTATTCTACCATTGAATGATCCACACTCACGACAGCTCGGCAGTGGCAATCTACTGGTTTCAATCATACCACTCTTACAAACCATTAAATACCGCACGATTACATTCATCGTATTGACAAAGTCAACATCTTCCGACAATTTAAATTCTTGAAAATGTTTACATTCATTTCTTTTTCTTTTTGAATTACTACTGTTACTATCATTGCTACTACTATCTATATCTGATTCACATTTTGGACATATACTATTATTATTATTGTTTGTAATAATATTACTATTTGTTGTCATCTGGATATCCTATATAAAAAAAAAAAAACCAATCAGATCCAATTTTAATTAAATTAAAATAACGAAATTGAATGATTTTTATTTTATTTTTTTTTTAATAATATTTTTGGATATCATACTTATTGAATCTTTGCACTGCAATCAATCAATTTAACAATACAATAAATTATATTAATTTTTTTTGGGGGATGATTATAAACGTTTTATTAATTGTCTTGATGTTTTATATGCAAATATTATTAGTTTATTGAAGTAATCTACGTAATACGTATGGTAGAATACCACCGTTTCTGTAATATTCAATTTCGATTGGTGTGTCGAAACGCAAGGTGGTTTCAAACTTGATACCGCTACTGGTGGTTACAACGATGGTTTGACCAGTCTTGATCTCCGCTGGGATTTCAATGTTGAATTGTTCGGTACCCTTCAATCCGAGTTTGTCGGCGTTCTGTCCCTCCTTGAATTGCAATGGCACGATACCCATACCGACCAAATTGCTTCTGTGAATACGCTCGAACGACACTGCAATGACGCATTTGATTCCCTGCAAGTATGGACCCTTGGCAGCCCAGTCACGCGACGATCCACTTCCATAGTCGGCACCGGCCAACACGACAAGTGGCGAACCGGCAGCGATATACTTTTGGGCGGCCTCTGAGATGTAGAGAACTTCACCCGATGGAATGTGTGTGGTTTGTGGACCGACCGATGGAGCGAGCTTATTGACCAAACGTGTGTTGGCAAAGGTTCCACGCACCATCACTTCGTCGTTACCACGACGTGCACCGTAGGTGTTGAAATCGGCTGGATCGACACCGTGTGCTCTGAGGTAATCGGCAGCTGGCGACTTACGATTGATGTTTCCGGCTGGCGAGATGTGGTCGGTGGTGATTGAGTCACCCAGATTTAAGAGACAATAGGCGTTGGCGATCGATTCACGCTTTGGAACGGTGAGCTCCATCGATTGGAAGAATGGAGGATTGTGAATGTAGGTCGATTTGTCGTCCCATGGATAGAGGGTGGTTTGTGGAACTTGCATTTCATTCCAACGTGGATTACCACCGGTTACGTTCGAGTAGAAACGTTTGTACATCTCTGGTTGGATCGAACTGGCAATGGTTTGTTGGATCAATGCAGAGGATGGCCAGATCTCACGGAGGAACACTGGTTTTCCGGTGGTGGAGCTGGTTCCGATCGGTTGCTTGTCAAAGTCGATATCGACGGTTCCTGCCAAGGCGTAGGCAACGACGAGTGGTGGCGATGCCAAGTAGTTGGCACGCAACAATGGGTGAATACGACCTTCGAAATTACGATTTCCAGAGAGGACACCGGCGGCGACCAAATCCTCCTTGGTGATGGCTTCGGCGAGTGGCTCGGCCAAGTCACCGCTGTTACCAATGCAAGTCATACAACCGTAACCGGTCAAGTTGAAACCGAGTTGGTCAAGGAATGGTTGGACACCGGATTTGACGAGGTAGTCAGTGACGACACCACTTCCTGGCGACAAACTGGTTTTGATGTATGGTGCGACAGAGAGACCGGCTTCGACCGCTGCTTTAGCAAGCAAACCAGCACCCAACATAACCGATGGATTAGAGGTATTGGTGCAACTGGTGATGGCGGCAATCGAGACGGCACCGTGTGTAATAGTGTACTCCTTTCCCTTGAAGTTGAGAGTTGCCTTCTTGGCGATTTGCTCTGGAGTGAGACCGTAACCCTTGAAACCGACCGGTGACTTTAAGCAAGATGCGAAATCCTCTTGGAGCTTGGAGACAGAGACACGATCGTGTGGACGCTTTGGACCGGAAATACTTGGCACGACGGTGCTGAGATCGAGCTCGATGGTGGAACTGTAGATTGGGTGTTGCTCCGATTGGTAGTTGCAGAGGAGGTGTTGCGAGCTGAGATATTGCTCGATGTAGGTGAGTTGCTCCTCGCTACGACCAGTGTTGGAGAGATAGGCGATGGTGTTCTTGTCGGCTGGGAAATAACCCATGGTGGCACCGTACTCTGGCGCCATGTTGGAGATGGTGGCACGATCGGCGACCGACAACGAAGCGACACCGCTACCGTAGAACTCTACAAACTTACCGACTACACCCTTGGCTCTCAACTCTTTGGTGACAGTCAGCACCAAGTCGGTGGCGGTGACAAGATCTGGCAGGGATCCGGTCAGTTTGTAACCGATGACCTCTGGGAGCACCATGGACATTGGTTGACCCAACATCACAGCCTCAGCTTCGATACCACCGACACCCCAACCGCAGACACCAAGTCCATTCACCATGGTGGTGTGCGAGTCGGTACCGACAACAGAGTCTGGGTAGAGGACGTTACCCTCACCCTTGCAAACCTCTCTGGCGAGATACTCCAAGTTTACTTGATGTACAATTCCGTAACCTGGTGGAGCAATCAAAAGATTCTTGAATGCCTGTTGTCCCCACTTTAAGAACTTGAAACGCTCAATGTTTCTGTGGAATTCCATCTTTTGATTCTCTTCCAACGCCTCTGGTGTTCTGGAGACATCGACCTGCACTGAATGGTCAATAACCAAATCAACTGGAACCAATGGATTAATCTTATTTGGATCTCCACCAAGTCTCTTCATTGCATCTCTCATTGCTGCAAGATCAACAACTGCTGGTACACCACTATAATATATATTATTATTTTTGAAATTACAAAGTGTTAGTAATAAAAAAAAATAAGAGTAAAGGTGATATATATATACATACGTGAAATCTTGTAATAAAACTCTTGCTGGTTTGAATGGAATCTCAACATTGTTTGCAGTTGTCTTCCAATTCAATATATTTTCAACATCCTTCTCGTGGACTTGGAAGTTATCACAGTTTCTGATTGCAGATTCCAATAAGATACGAACAGAATATGGTAATTGTGCTATTTGGTATTATTGATCGTTAATTAACATATGTTTGTGATAATATATATAAATAGATACTTCTTATACATACCAACTCTTTCATCATTCAACTTTTGCAAGTTATAAAAAGAATATCCACTTGGAAGTGTATCTTTAATTTTATCAAATGGATTACTCATTCTCTATCTTTTCTTTTCTCTTTTTATTGTTGTGATTAAAAAAAAAAACTAATATATATATTAAAACAAAAAAAAATAAATAAAAATATAAAATATTATATAATATACAAGAGGAGATGAATTAATTATCTTGTGTTAAAAAAATGAAAATAAATTTGATGTTGAATGTGTGTGTGTGTTAATAATATCAATTATAATTGTTCATTTTTTTTCTTTTTTTCTTTTTTTAAATTAAATAATTCAAATTGATAATTATTTTTGCAAATTAACAATATATATTACTTTTTTAAGCTAAATTTGATCATCATTGATACAGAGGGCGTGGTACATCATTTTTTTTATTTTTTTGCATTGATTTTTTTTGATTTTTTTTTAAAGGTTTTCTAGAATATGATCCCCCATGGGATAAACCATCTACTATCTACCAAAAATCACTAAAACCGATTTTTTTTCATTAAATTTTAATGATTTTGAAATTTCCATTTGCAATACACGACAACTATTTAATAAGGTAATCAATGTCCACATGAATTTACAAATAATATTTTATTGAAATAACATAACATGCATTGCTTTGTACTTTAAAATATTATTATAACTTTTCATTCAATAAGAATGTAAGAATCGCTTGGACTTCATTGTCTCTTACTAGAGAAGGTGCATGTCCTGTTTCAAATTCAATACCTACTACTCTCTCATCGGATTTCAACATCTTCTCATAGATATCTTTTGGTAATACATCAGAACTTTTACCTATTAATATAATAATTATGATAATCTAGTTAATACCAAATCTAATAATAAACATTTAAAAAAAATAAAATAAAAAAGATAAATTACCTCTAATAATAAGAATGGATTTCTTTATATTTTTAATGGTATTATCCCAAACCGACCAGATATCGAAATCTTTCTCTGCCATTTTCTCAAAGTTTTTAAGTATCAATGGATCGTAGTGAAATTTGAAAGTACCGTATGCCTGATCCTCGATAAAACATTCGTACGCTAGATTCTCCCATTGGTCTCTGGTCAGATCAGAGCCAAATCCTTTGTATATAGTTTGAAAGTAATCGACTGCATCGCTTCTCGTTTCGAAAACCTTGTCTCTGCTGGCCAGTAGACTAGTGCTGATTCTGGTGATAGATTCTACCGGTACATACGGTCCAACATCATTCAATATTAGTCGATCGAATGTCAATGACGATGATGGTGATCCCAGTGCGAAAATACCAATGAGTCCACCCATTGAAGTACCGATAAAGTCAACCGTACAGTTCGACCTTCTGGTTGCTTTGATCAGCTCGATTGCATCACTCACATAGGTGTGGTAGGCATAGTCATCGGAGTTCTCAAGACGTTGCGATTTTCCTCGGCCTGCGACATCCGGACATATAACAATGGCCTCGGGAATGTCGTTTACCAACCGTGTAGCCAATACATCGAAATCACGACCTGTACCCATCAGCCTATGGAAACAATAGATCATTCTAACCGGTTTGCCAGGTGATCTCTCTTTATTCGACCATTCTATATAGTAGATCGAATGTTTATACAACTTTGATGGTACATCCAACTTTATTCTATTTTTTAATTAAAAAGGAAATAATAAAAAATAAAAAATAGTAATAAATCTAATTAGATAACAATGTAAACCACGACACAAGATAACAATCAATTTTAATTACTTTTTCTCCTCTATAACTATATTACTGTGATTAATTTTATTCATATTTCTTATTATTTTTAAGGTATAAATAATAACATAAAACTAAAATAAAACTTAAACAATAAAATTACTTAAACCAAAGATAGAGCTAGTAAATATCTTTCAATTCTGAAAAAAATCTAATTTAATTTGATATTCATTTTTTTTTATACATTCGTAAAATCACATTAATATCATAAAAAAAATGAAATAAAAATGGAAACAATTCATATTGAAGTTTATATAAATATTGGTATTTCATTTGACGTAATTTTATCACAGAAAATAAATAAACAAATATATAATAATAATGTGTAACCGAAAAAATGATGAAAATAAAAAACTGTTAAAAATCTATCACTAATTTTTGAAATTCAATTCATTGTTAATAAAAAAAAAAAATAAAATAATAAATAAAATTAAATTTGAAAATTTGAAAATTTTATCGAATAAAAAGGAAAAACTATAATTAATTTTTTATTATTAAATTTTACTATTCTATCTCTTAGTTATAGTTATCTATTTCTTTTCTTTCTTTCTCTCTTTCCTCTTTTCTATTCTTTCTTTTGTTTTATTTATCTGTAAATATTTATTTATTTATTATTAGTTTTTTTTTTTTCTTATATATATTTATAAGTTAAGTTAGTTAGTTAGTTGTAGTGTAGCGTAGTAAAAAGAAGATAATTAAGTTAAATAACAATAGAAAAAACAACAAAAAAAAAATCAATATTTTTCACTTTGGTGCAAATAGTCAATCAATCAGCCAATCATTTATAAGCATAAATAAATAAGATTTTCACTCATCTTATCATATCTAAATAATTGAATTTTTTTCAGTTTTTTTTTTTTCAAAAGTTTCATTTAAGATCGATCAGTCGCAAGTTTTTACATCGATAGTCAAACAAGCGCCAACCCGAAATTTCAGTTAAATTTAAAAATAATATAAATAAATAATAGAACCACCTTGAGAAAATGGGAAAAAGAAAATCAGCCAAGCCACCCCCCAAAAAGAAGATTATGACTAAACTTCCAAAATATTTTGATTGTCCATTTTGTGATCACACTCAAAGTGTTGAATGTACCTTGTATGTATAGAAAAAGATTGGTTGATAGTTGTTGGAGATTATAGTTGGATTGGTGGATAAAGATTGAATGAATAACAATAGATGAGTGAAACTAACTAACAATTAACTCTCTTTTCTATTCTTTATTTTTCAGAAAAAGAGAAACACAAGTTGGTACTGCAAAATGTAGATCCTGTCAATCATCATACAGCACAAAAATCAATGGTAAATATAAATATTATTATGAAATTTGAAGATCTTCAAATTTCCTTATTTTCAAGGTGGAAATGAAATATCTGAATTTGCACTAATTTTTTATTATTATTTGATTAATTTAGAACTAAGCGACCCAATAGATATTTACACTGATTGGATCGATGCCTGTGAAATGATAAACAAACCATCGTAAAAGTCAAACGACTTTTTCTGCTTTTTTTAAATATATCAAACTTTTTTTTTTTAGTTTTTTAATAAATTTTTTTTTTTTTTTTTTTATAAATAAAATCAAATTTTTTTACCCCAATAACCAAAAACAAGGCTTTTCTTCATGCGTATATCTTTTCATTTCATTTCATTTATCAGGTTATAATTCGACGTCGAAGAGAAATGCGACTTGCTTTGCAGTTTTAATAAATAAAAATACTCAGTGAATCAAATTTTCATAATTGTGATGTTTAGGATTTCAACAAAAAGTGTCCTGATTCATTAATTTAATGAACAGTGTGGGGTTTTATTAATTTTTTGAAAGATATTCAATCCAAGGTCTGAAAATGAGAATTCACCACGAATTCCAGTTATGGATTGTAAAAAATGTCCTTTTTGATGACCATCAAACGCATTGATTATTTGTAATGATGTAATCAAACAACATAAAATCACCCTTTCAAACTCCACAACAGCAAAGGCGAGATTGAGGGTATTTTTATAGTAAAAAATAAAACAACTCATTCTTGAATGAAACCTTTGATTGGTTACAATTGATGAAGGGGTACTATTGGAGTCATTTTTAAAACAAATGATCATAACATCTCTGCATCATGGTATCTCCTCCGTCAGAGAAAACAAAACAAACTCATGAGAAGATGGTCTCTGAAATCGGTCTTCTTGAAAGTTCGTTGTTTTGTCTGTGTTTTAAAAGAAGAGAAGTGCGGGAAGGCATCGAAAATTAAGACCCACTTCCATCTTTTATTTAATAATATTTTTCTTTTAACAATTGTTTTATATATTCTACACGTTTTATTCAAATAAAGTTATAACTATATTTTTATTTAATAATAGACTTTTATTTTATTAATTAATTTTAAGATTATGTATAAATATTCATTAGTTTAGCATCTATTTTTATATTTAATAGTATTAAAAAGTATGTATATATTAAATAATAAATTACAATAATTAATCTATTTGTAGTTCACTTAATAATATCTTATTTGATATCCTATTGTGAAGAGATATCATTCATTTCTTTTCTTCACAATTTAACTATTTAATCATCAAAAAAGGTTAAATTCATTGGATTTGTGCTGATTCACTCATAATTTGAGAAAAACAAATAATCAAATTTTACGTTCACCCTTTAAAAGTTGAAACAACACAAAAAAAAAGAAAGTTGGACTACTCTTTTATATATTGGGTGTGAATTCGTGTGTTAAATTGTGTTCAATTGTTATTTTCAATAAAAAAACTAATAAATAAATTACATTAATTTTAAACAAAATAGACAGATAGAATTAAATTGAATGAGTGAATGACAAAACAATTAAAAAATAAAACCTTTTAAAATTCACCACAAACACACACCACATCTATAATTATTCCAAATCCAGTCATTTACCAAATATTAAAGAAGTAATAAGAATCAATCACAGATACATATAATATCTATATATATGTATGTTATTTACTATATCTTTTTTTTTTGTTTAAATTTGGTTGGCTGTTTGGTTTGTTTGGATGTATGAATTATTTTTTATAGACAAAATTGTAGACTAGTCTTTTTTTTAATTAGTTGTATTGATTAAACAAATAAAATAAAATAACAAACCAAACAATACAAGTCAATAGAGTAGAATTGAAATAAAATATAATTTTTTAATAGCTTCCTTCCTTCTTTCCTTCCTTACTTAATTCCACCTCTTTTTAAACTATTTTCTGTTTTATAAAATCTAAATATTTATTAATAATTTAATTTATTTATATTATTTTAGATAGATTAAATTAATATTTTTTAATAGTATCAGTAGTTACAAGTTACATACTTTTAAGATATTTATATAATTTAAAGATAATTTTTTTATTTTCTTGATTTTATTTTGTTTTTTTTTTACAAAAAAATATATAATCATTGTAAAAGTGTAGAGAGAAAATCGATTCTCTCTGATTCTTCCATTTGCTTTACTTTTTTTAAAGTATTCAACTTTATAGATATATTTTAAATAATAATTAAGCGAAAATGTTATTATTGGAAACTTATAGAGATAACATCCTGAGGATGTTGGCGTTTGCATTGATAGGCACCCTAATGTTTACATTTTATTTAAATAATTCATCGAACAATAATAGTCAATTAACATCCCACGGTGCATTCCGTGATGGAGTCAATAAAATTGTACAAACCGAAATTTCTCCTGCAACCATTTTACTTGTACCACATTCTCATTGTGATGCAGGTTGGTTACAAACTTTTGAAGTAATTATATAACATCCAAAACATTAAACCATCTATTTATTAATATAATTTATTTATTTTGTTTTATTTTATTTCCAATTAGGAATATTATGATAATAAAGTTTATAGTATATTGGATTCAGTTATTTCTGAACTTAAAAAAGATCATTCAAAACGATTTATTTGGTCTGAAATGTATGTTTTTCAATTTAGTTGGAAATTACTTTAGCAAAAAAAAGTGGAAAATCCTGACATTTCTCCATTAACTTTCAATTTTTTTTTTCAGTTCATTTTTTAGAAAATGGTGGGACAATCAAAAACAACAAATAAAAGATAGTGTACATGATTTAGTAGAGTCTGGTAGATTTGAGTTTATAGGTGGTGGTTGGGTGCAGAACGATGAAGCAGTTTCAAACATTGACGATGTTATGGATCAGATTACCGAGGGTCACATCTGGATAGCCAAACATTTCAATAGAACCGTTGAGTATGGCTGGCAGATCGATCCTTTCGGACATTCGTCATTGACTCCAACACTGTTCGCTCAGCTCGGCTTCAAAGCGATGATTGGCAATAGAATCACAGACAAGGCGAAAGAGGTGATGCGTGATGTTAGACAGTTGGATTTCATTTGGGAGGGTTCTGCGCTGCTCGCCGACAAGAGCAGAATGTTTGTGCATCTGCTGAACTATCACTATGGTTATCCGTCGCAGGAGATCTACAACACCGAAGAACCATACGCCAAATTCCTAAACAACGTTGAGACCTATGCCAAGGCGGTGCACGATCTCATCGCTCGCTACCGTGACGCAACACTTTCAAACATCGTAATGATTCCATGGGGAGACGACTTCACCTATGCCGATGCCGAAGATGAATTCAAGCGTGCCGATACACTCATCGATTTGCTCAATGACGACAAAGAAAAGAGAAACATCAAGGAGATTAGATACGCTACATTGTCAGAGTATTTCGAGTTGCTATTCAAGGATATTAAGGAACGTTCTCTGCCGTTACCGCTATTTAAAAATGACTTTTTTCCATACGTCACAAAGAATGAAGAGCCGTGGACAGGTTTCTATTCCAGTCATACATTGCTAAAGAAAGAGATTAGAGAAACATCGACAATGGTTCGTTCCGCTGATATTTTCTATAGTTTAGCCGTTGCAAAATCATCGTCAAAGTCGAGTCATCTCAAGGGTATAAATGGTTTGGCGCCTGGATTGGAGGAAGCGCGTCATAACCTGGCGATTACTCAACACCACGATTCAGTGACTGGCACAGCTCGTAGCTATGTAATGAACGACTACTATGTGAAGCTGCAGAAAGCAAGAGAATCAGTAGAGTCTGTTCTGGTCAACTCGATCGAGTATTTGAGAGTTGTCAATACCACTGTTGCCTCGGACAACAACGACGGTGTTCTGGAGATAAAGAACGTTCTCGATATCAATTGGATGAGTAGCGATACAAAGAAAGGCGGATCCTACGCATTGGTACTGACAAACACACTCGCTTGGAACAGAACCGGTCATACTTCGATTCGAGTCAAGGGCAGTCGTGATAAGGTCGGTCGCATCAGAGTGGTCGAAGCCGACACTCTCAGTGTCAAACAAACACAAACTATTCCAGTGAATTTGCAGTTGGAATGTAAGAACAACGTAGACGAGTATAACATTTATTTCATATCTTCGGTGCCGCCAGTGGGATCGTCGACTTATTATCTACTTTTGGAGTCAACCGAGAACAAAGATACATGGTCAACGATCTCTGAAAACTATTTCTTTGACACCAACTACAAGCTGGAAAATCAATTTTTGACAATCAACTTTAATTCACATGGTTTTATCAATAGTATCACCAGACAACTGACCGCCGCCGCCACCACCACAGTCCAACTCAATGAAACGATGCAACAATACACCACAATGAAGAGTGGTGCCTATCTATTTATTCCCGACGACAAATCCAATGATTTCAGTGGCAATTCCGACAAGAAAAAGTATTACTACATAACTGGTCCACTTCTGAGTCAGGTGCTTGTCTATTCATACGGAGGTGACGTCTGCAGTCCAAAGACCATCGTACTACACAGAGTGTACAGGTCCGACAGCTCACAACCATGCAGTCTAGAGAAACTAGTGGAAGTCGGTTACTCTGTGCCGGGTGAAGGCAACCGTGAAACCGTATTCAACTATCAAACCAGCATCAAGAGTGGAAAGAAATTCTACACAGACAATGGTTTGGAATCACGTACCAGATCACATTTCAACGACAATTATATTAATTTCCAATATTTCCCTGTTTTAAGTTCTGCACATATTAAAGATGATTCTTTACAATTTACAGTAAGTACTTACTATTTTATTTTTAAAAATATTTGATAAAAAAAACAACAACAAAACTTGATACTTATTATTATTTCTTTTAAATATATATATATAGATTTTCACAGAGAGAAGTCATGGAGTTACTTCTCCAACCGAAGGTGGTTTGGAAATAATGGTACATCGTACTTTGATGCAAGATGATTGGAAAGGTTTATCATTTGCCAACAAAGACTTTGCAAGAATCGATGGAAAGTTCTATTTGAACCTTGATACCATTGAGACTGCAACACAGAATTCCAAACAACAATCACTTCAAATATTACAACCACCAATGTAAATATTAACAATTATTTATTATTATAATATTGAATATGTATAGCATACTAACATTATCTACTTTAATAACTTAGTCAACTATATCAAAAATTTGTACATATCGACGAATACAAGTTAAAGTATAAACAGACATTGTCATTCTTTAATAGTTCACTACCATCGAATCTCCATTTATATTCGTTGAAGTTCTATAATCAATACGATAGCAAAGGAAAACCATTGATCTATATGAGAATAGGTGATATTCAAGTAAGATCTGACACTACCCCACAACTCGTTGACTATGACTCGCTATTCAGTAGCGATCTAACTGTATCAAACATGAACAGGTTGGGACTAAACTTCTTACCTTATAAAAGTAAATATAAATGATTTAAATCTAAATTTAAAATGTCATTAACTAACCAATACTTTTTTTTTTATAAATAGAACCATATGCATCAGAGTTTAAGAGTACAAAGAAAAGCTTTGTAATGAAAACAGGAACTTTGTATTTCTGTGAACAGGGTGCAAGTGAACATCAACCGGATCTCACAGATGATTTACAAGATTTGGATCAGGATTCAAGTGATAATCATAGTTATAGTCTTTCACCTTTGGAAATCAAATCCTATGGAATGACGTTGAGCTTTGGCTCGTTGGTTATCAGACCAGCATCTATCAATGGAAATCTTACTCTTGACAACCTCAATAGCAATGGCAGCAGCATTATCACTACCAACACAACGGATGATAAGATTGTACTTCAGTTGAATAGCGGTGAGATCGATGACCAGCTAACACAAGAACTGAATCTACCGTTCCCTTTTATGTTGGTAGGAAATCCACATGCAGCAAGAACCGGTTTGAACAAAGAAGAATTGAAATATCCATATGACTTTTCAGTATACAAGATAGATTTGGCATACAATAACGATAGTGGTAGAATATCTTCACCAAATTATGGTCTGATAGTTGGTGTTTCATTCTTTGCTTTCTGTGGAGCTGTAGGTTTGGTTTTACTTGTTGTCACTCTTGTCCGAAGAAGAATGAGAAGAAATGTTGAACCTGAACAATTACCCAAGTATATGAATGATGATGATGTTACATCAATGGCACAAAAAGACTTTGATACTCCCACCATTGCAACTACTGAAACTACAGAAACAAAGGGCAAAGATCCAAGTGGTGATATAACAATAGTCTAAAACTTTTTAAATAAATATATAGATAATATATTATTATAGATCATTTAGTTAGAGATTGTTAATTATTTTTTGTCTTGATTTTAATCTTTAGATATGTATCTATTTATTCTCGCCTTATAATGTCTACACATTATATTGCAATGAATAATATTTTATTTACAAAATAATTTCTAGAAATATAATTATACTTCTAAACTTTATTTTTTGTTTCTTTTGAGGAGTTTGATTAGATTTATTAATTTGAATCCAATACATAAAAAAGGTTTTGAGGAGTTGATTTTTCAGTGCACTGACCTTCTCTCTTCATATGGAAAACATAATCACCATCAAACAAGATATTTCTATTGATAATTCTGAATTCGTAATGGTTATTTCCACAATTTTCAAATTTATGTGGAGTGTTTCCTTTATAGTGCTGACCTAGATTATCTACATAGTTTATTTTTTCCTCCAAATCATCCGATCTAACATCGAGTGTATATTTAAATAATGTATGTGATGCTGGGAAGATCATTGCAAATCTCATAGTTTCTCCTTTACTGACATCCACTTTCACTCTTAAATAGTTGCTATCTTCATTATCGTAGGCGTAAAGCATCCATCTATCCTCTTCGTACTTCCACAATTCAACAGATTGAGATACATTTATAAAAATAACTAAAACTAAAATATAATAGATCTTCATTGTACTAAAAAATTAAAATTGTTTTGTTTATATATTGATAAAATATAAAGAAAATAATAATAATATAGTAATATAGATAGTATTAATAGTTTAAAATAACATAATAAATTGTTTTTAATATACTATTTTATTTAACATTCCAAATTTAGAACGATCCTCGTTGGGATATACATCAACAATATAGTTAACCTAAAATTTTAATTTGTTACCTATCACAATATAGATTTATAACTCTATTATAATAAAAATCGATAAGATATTAGATTATCACAATATTGATCATATGATCATCCAACTTGAAGATAACCTTGGTGTTTAATTATTATTTGTTTGTAATTGTTATGCATGATTTTGATGATACCCAATGAAAGGAATTGCAAAAAAGTGATAATCAAAAAACAATTACAATTATCCTTTTTTGTTAAAATGTAACAAAACCATCATTAATGATGAATATGTGATTTGTGTGTGTATATGATGATGGTTTAAATAAATTGAAGTTGACAACAAATTTATTAATAGTTTTTATAAAAAATATTTTAAATGAACATAATATAATATCAATCTTGATTGCTACTCGTTCACCTAGAATATATAACTAGTTATTGTGTGCAATATCTCGTTTGATATTGTTTGTTGATTGAGCGAACAATGTTATTTTTTTTGTTTATTTATTTAACATTTTAGTTTTTGAGTTTAATAAAGCTTTGTAGACTCTTTCGCATGTATCTTTCCAACATAATACTAAAATCTTTCATAACAAATGCACATATTACAACAGAGAAGAAATCACCAACTCTGCGTAGTCGACTCGAAAGATTGTTATTTCCTAAACTCTCACAGCAATTCATCCATGACTCTAGGAATTGACTCTCCTCAAAAACTGTATTTAATAATCCAACATAATCTATTCCTTCCCTAAATATATCAAGATATTATTAAAAAAAAAGTTTTTAAAAAGAAAGTTGTGTTAATATATAAAAAAAAAAACAAAACTCTCTTTTGATGAGAATAATAATTTGACTTACAATTTTGAAGATGGTGCTAATCTTACTGCACCTTTTGCAAGCGATGTACCGAGTTTCTTAACTTTACCAGCCCATCCTTTCTCTTCTTTCTTTTCAATTTTAATTTCGGGGATAAACGATAAATGGAAATGCAGTCCATTCTGGAGTATATCGAGTTGTGCGCAAAATACATCCATCTCTTTGGAGATGGCATCGATGTTCTTTCTATCAAATGGCAATGCATTGTCGTCGCGAGCATAAACCTTTAATTTTGATAGTGATTCTTGTAATTCCATTAAACTTTGAATTTTAATTGTAATTGCTAACATTTTACATCCTGTTTGTTGCCTTTATTTTATTTTATTTTTTGTTATAAATAATAAATAAATTAATATACAAAACAAACATTCTATATAGGTAAAGTGCAATTGTTGTTATTATTATTATTACTTACCAAACTGATTTTGGAATATATAATTTTGGTGTTAAATAGGCACCGGTAGTAATCGTCTTTGAGAGTACTCTCATCAACCAGAATGGTTTGTACGATGCGAAAGCGGGCACCGGATCGGTTGGCACGCCCGACAATGTCTCCTCGACAAACACAATGTTCTCTTTGGTCGGTGAACTGACAGCTGCTCCATTTTGTTGATTTCTAAAATCGATCGAGTATTTGAAATGTTTTAATAAATTGAACATAATAGGTTGAACATGTATAATGTTGATGAATTATTGTTGTTATTTATAGTTACACAACAACAACAACAACAACAAAAATAACAACAAACAGGTCTAACTAATCTAATCACTTACAATAAAGATTCCAAGACATCGGCACGTGCTTGATATTGCTTTGACTTTTCCAACATTGCTTGATAGTGCTCGTCGTTCAGAGTTGAAAGATCGTCGGGTGAATTCAAAAGATTCGATGCTTCTCGATAGTTACTGATGGCAACTGTGTAGTCACCGCGATTGTCTGCATTGACACCGATACGCGCCAATGCCAATGCTTGACGAACTGAATTTAAGATGGCTTGATCAGACATCTTGATTTACTATATATATATATATAAATAACAAACTAAACGAATAAAATAAAATGATTATTTATAAAAAATAATAATACTAAAACAACAAGAGTAGAGGTTTATATAAATAAAAGAATGAAATACAAATAAAAAAAAAGAAATAATAATAATAATATTTAATTATTATTACTAAAGTCGACTTTTGTTGAACTAAATTACAATTTAAATAAATATGTATGTTATGTTTAATGAATAATAAACAAATATAATAATAATAATGAAAAAATATAAATCTATTTAAAAAAAAACAATAAACTATATCTCTCTCTCTATATCTATCTAATCTGATTTGTAGTTATTAGTCAATATATTTCGGGGATAATTAGTTAATTGATTGATTGATGATGATTATAATGATGATGATGATGATGTTGTTGTTGTTGATGGTTATGTGTGTTTTGATTTGTTATTTATTGATTGTATATAATAATGAGATTTTGTTTTTTATAAAGTTTAACCTTAAAATATATAAATAATGTTTGTATTTTTGAAGGTAAACCAATAATTGAATCAAAAACAAATCTAATATATTAAATAATACTACAATAAAACAACAATCTAAATGATGATTTTAAAAAATACTACTATTATTACACTTTATATAAATGATGATTAAATATAATTATCTTTATGGTTCGTTACTAATACACACAGACAGACACCACAACAACCACCAGCTGTACACTACTTTACTTTATAAACAAAACAAATCAAAAATTACCCTCCAAAAATAATTTATTTGATTCTATATATGTGTGTGTGATGAGTTGTGTTGAGTGTGTTTAACAATATTATTTTGTTTTGATCTATAAGTATATCTTATTTCTATTACTATTAAATAAAAAAACAACAATTATTATTATCTCTATATAAATATCAAATAGACACCAAGTTTATTTCAGTAAAAACAAAGTCTTTATCTCTTTGCTAAAAATTTGTTGTTGTTGTTGGTTGTTGTGTTTTAATGTGTTAGAACTAGTGTTAATAGATAAAAAAGGGTGGAACAATATAATCTAAAATTTTGTTTCCTGCAAGAGTTTTTTTTTTTTTTTGATTTTTTTCAATTAAATTGTGCTTTTTCGAAAACCATTTTTTTTATTTATAAACAAAAACAATGGGTGTAGCACAACGAAACCATTAATAAATTTATTTATTTATAGTAATAGTAACATCTTTTTTTTTTTCAATTAAACATATTAATAGACAAATATTTTAAATGAATCATTCAATTAAATTATTCTTATTATGTTATTAAAATTACTTAATAGAGGATATTGAATTTAGTGAAGAGGGAGATGAAGATGTAGTTTTTGTTAGAATGCCGAATGAAGGTTTCACAAGTTTAAGTTCACGACAATGCTTATTGCATTTATGAGTATCAAAGAACTTGATCATTCCAGGTTTGCCCAAGTTGGTTGCACCGAATCTTCTTACATTTATACAATGGATTGCTGGATCAGTCAACAAGTAACCTTTATCAATTTTGACACCTTGGATATCGACAACCATTGCTTTACCTTTGGATGCTTGATATGTCCAATGAGAGAATGTCTGAATGATTTCGTTCATTCCATCTTCATCTTTTCTTAACCATCCATGATTACTGTTGAACTTTTGGTATTCACCTTCGATTAATTTTTCGACTGAATAAAACTGAGGTTGATCATTATTTTTATCAACTAATACTTTGGCGAATGTAAAGTTGATATCTTGTTTACTTCTGAGGTGATTGAAATCAAATGCAAATTTAGCAGCAACAGTTTGACATTCCATTTCTTCCAAATATCTTTTCATTGAGTTGTAGCTGCTACCTTTGTATTTTGACTGTTTTACCACTTTACGGTTGCCATCCTTGTCGACTGCGTGGTAAGCCAAACGATTTCCTCCTTGTGAGAATGGATATGGTGCCATTTTGATCTCGAATTCTTCACTAAATGAACTAGCTTCATATTTTTCATCCAGGCAAGCATCTAAAGAGTTTGGAATCTTGAATTGAATTCTTTGCATTGGGATTAGTGGAAGTGTTGGAAAATATGGAACTTCTTTAACAATGATGTAATCTTTAGGTATTCTAGGTTCCTTATCAACAAGTTGACTTGTTAAAGTGGATCTTGATGATGAAATTGATGATTCAACTGATTTCAACAAGTGAGTGCTGAGTGTTGATATATCTTTGGAATCGAATGTATTGATTGTTTTCATATTTTTAGATAGTATTGCCAATCGTTTGTTGAAGATATCAATCATCTTGCTTGTGGCAGGCTTTATAATGTGACCAAAGAAATAATTGATATCGAGAGAAATGATATCTTTCATCAACGAATCAAGTGTAATACCATTCGGATCTCCATCTGGATAGTTGTCTGGTTTATCGTGGTACTCTTCTCCATGACATGGTGCGTCAGCCAAATGAATGACAATTCTAGTGCTATCCTTTCTCCAACCCATCAGTTTTATAAGGTTCATTCCACCAAACATATCCTCTGCACAGTCATCTCCTCCTTCGTCTTTGATAGAGGCAACAAAGGTTACAAAATCAAGAGTACTGTTGGTGAAATCTAATATAGAGTAAGGTTTCTCCACATCGAAATCAGTGTATCGAATGAAACCAAACTTCAGGTCAAGATTTTTGTAGTTGGCTTTCAGTTCTACTTGTAGTTTAACCAAGTCATTTTTCACCTGATAGATATATTCACCCATGGATCCAGTACAATCCAAAAGAAAAAGAAGATCGACACGTTCACTTGCACGAATTGCTTTGAATGTCATTTTAATTTCTTCCATCCTGTTTGCTATGAGTTGTTTTTTTGTTTGAGATGAAGTTAGGGATGTTGAAGATTCACCACCAAAGGCCATTCTTAGTGCACTCTCATCTGATTGCTCCACAGTAATCTCCTCACTTGATTGTGGATCATTTCCTTCTAGCATTGTGAATGAATTCGTGCGAGAATTCAAATTACAAACTTTAAAACTTTTAGTCTTTGAAAACATTTTATTATTTTACTAAAAAACAAAAAAACAAAAAATAATAAAATCAAATATAAATATTTACTATGGTTTTGTGTAACATAAAATAAATATGGTTATTGTCAGTTCATTTGCGGATTAATGAAATTAAAATTTTAAATAATTAAAGTTTTCACGGACACACAAATATAAAATTTAATGTTAAAAGAAGTTAACTCACACCCAGTGTCAACAAATCTTTTTGATCAAGATCATCGCATTCTAAAAACCACATAAAAATAATCAACCAAACGTTTTTGCAACAATGTTCATATCTCAAAGATTAAAAATTCTATATTTAACCTTTTAATGTTTGAAAAGAGTTTATACATATTCAGCTGAATATTCATTATTTTTATTATCAAGTTTTTCAGTATTCAAAAAGGGGATATATAGTTGGGTTTGAAGGGTGAATGAGATAAATTTTTGATATTTACTGTTTTTATGTTTGTTAATCAAAAAAAAAAAAAAGCAACCCAACGATACTATATAACAAAAATGTTAAAAAAGAACAACTACACACTATCATTATGAAAAATGTTGATCAATATTTTATTTATAAAAACAGTAGAGGTGAAATATAATTAAATTAAATGTGCTCATTAAAACTGTATGTAAAAGTCTTCTTATTTATTTTGATAATTAAATAATCAATACTTAATAGGTGATATTGTGTTTGGTGATAAAGGGGAAGATGGAGATTGTGAGGAGATGAGAAAGTAGTTTTTGTTGGAGTATCGAATGAAGGTTTCATAAGTTTAAGTTCACGACAATGCTTATTGCATTTATGAGTATCAAAGAATTTGATAATTCCAGGTTTACCCAAGTTGGTTGCACCGAATCTTCTGATATTGGTTATACAATGGAGGGCTGGGTCAGTCAACAAATAACCTTTATCAATTTTGACACCTTGGATATCGACAACCATTGCTTTACCTTTGGATACCTGGTATGTCCAATGAGAAAATGTCTGAATGATTTCATGCATTCCATTGTCTTCCTTAAACCAACCATGATTACTGTTGAACTTTTGATAATCACCTTCAATGAACTTTTCGACTGAATAAAACTGAGGTGGTTCGCTATTCTTATCCATCAATACTTTGGTAAATGTAAAATTGATGTATTGTCTGCCTATGGCTTGATTGAAATCAAATGCAAATTTAGCAGCAACAGTTTGACATTCCATTTCTTCCAAATATCTCTTCATTAAATTATAACTCACTCCTCTGAACTTTGACTGTTTTACCACCTTACGATTGCCATCTTTATCGACAGCATGGTATGCCAAACGATTTCCTCCTTGTGAGAATGGATATGGTGCCATTTTGATCTCGATATCTTCTCTAAATGAACTAGCTTCATAGTTTTCACTCACACATGCATCTAAAGAGTTAGGGATTTTGAATTGGATTCTTGACATTGGAATAAGTGGAAGTCTTGAGAAATCTGGAACTTCTTTAATAATTGTGTACACTTTAGGTATTCTTGGTTCCTTTCCAATAAGTTGACTTGTCAAAGTGGATCTTGATGATGAAATTGATGATTCAACTGATTTCAACAAGTGAGTGCTGAGTGTTGATATATCTTTGGAATCGAATGTATTGATTGATTTCATGTTTTCTGATAGTGTTACCAATCGTTGATTGAAGATATCAATCATCTTGCTTGTGGTAGGCTTTACAATGTGACCAAAGAAATAATTGATATCGAGAGAAATGATATCATTCATCAACGTATCCAAAGTGATGCCATTCGGATCTCCATCTGGATAGTTGTCTGGTTTATCGTGGTAATCATATCCATGACATGGTGCGTCAGCCAAATGAATAACAATTCTGGTACTATTATTCCTCCAACTCAACTGCTTTATGAGGTTCATTCCGCCGAACATATCCTCTGGAAAGTCATCTGATTAGGTATTATTAATTTAGTAGTAAAATTAGATATTTCCAAATTAAACATCTATCAACATATTAATCATTAAATACCTCCTCCTTCTTCTTTGATCGAAGCTACAAATTTCACAAATTCTAAAGTTTTGTTGGTGAAATCCAATTTATAGTATCGATCCGCCTTATCGAAATCAGTGTATCCAATGAAACCGAACAACATATCTAGTTTCTTATAGTTGTCTTTCAACTCTTCTCGCAGTTCAACCAAGTCATCCTTTACTTTGTCGATATATTCACCCATGGATACAGTACAATCCAAAAGAAAAAGTAAATCTACACGTTCACTTGCACGAATTGCTTTGAATGTCATCTTAATTTCTTCCATCTTCTTTTCCACCAGTTCTTTTTCTGTTAGAGATGATGTTGATGTTTCGCTTCCATGGATGACTCTTGCAGCACTTTCATCCGATTGCTCCGGAATAAACTCCCTACTTTGTCCACGTGACCTGTATGACAACAACGATGAGAATGAATTGGTAAGAGAATCTACTTCTGTAACTTTAAAACTGTTGGTTCTCGAAATCATATTTTACTAAAAAAATAAATGCATATAAAAAGAAATAAAAATATTAATATAAAACTAAAATAATAAATTAAATGCAATGTCCAAGTAACTCAAAGAGCCACAACAAAACAAAACTTGCTCTCACTTTCGCCTGCGGATTAATTTTAAAAAAAATGTAGATTTATGAAATTTTAGTAAAAAAAAACAAAAAAAAAAAATTTTAGTGGCGGAAATAAAAGTTTAATCTTGCCAAATCGAAATCTCCCCAAATCACATCTTTTTTTTTTTTTAATAATTATGATGAGTTCAGAAAATCAAATATCAAAATGATTGTTCTCTGTTGGCTTGAAAATAATTTATTTATTATTTCTGAAAATCACCACTATTGTAATTCTAAAAATATCAAACCTCAAATGATCAACTAAGGTCAAGAAGTCATCCTTTAAACATTTTTTTGGTTTATTTTTTTTATACAAAAGAAAGGAATAAATGATTTTAAATTAAACTATAAAAAAAAATTTATTTACATATTATGCTATTCTATATAAATTTATACATATCAAGTTATTACTTAATAGGGGATATTGTGTTTGGTGATTTAGTGGTTGAATGAGAAGTAGTTTTTGTTGGAATATCGAACGAAGGTTTCACAAGTTTAAGTTCACGACAATGCTTATTGCATTCATGAGTATCAAAGAATTTGATCATTCCAGGTTTACCCAAGTTGGTTGCACCGAATCTTCTTACATATGTACAATGGATTGCTGGATCAGTCAACAAGTAACCTTTATCAATTTTGACACCTTGGATATCGACAACCATTGCTTTACCTTTGGATACCTGGTAAGACCAATGAGAAAATGTCTGAATGATTTCGTTCATTCCATCTTCATCTTTTCTTAACCATCCATGATTACTGTTGAACTTTTGATAATCACCTTCAATGAGCTTCTCGACTGAATAAAAAATGAGGTGGTTTGCTATTGTTATCAATCAATACTTTGGCAAATGTAAAATTGATATCTTGTTTACCTCTGAGGTGATTGAAATCAAATGCAAATTTAGCAGCAACAGTTTGACATTCTATTTCTTCAAAATATCGTTTCATTGAATTGTGCGTCTCACCTTTGAATTTTGATTGTTTTACCACCTTACGATTGCCATCTTTATCGACAGCATGGTATGCCAAACGATTTCCTCCTTGAGAAAATGGTTGTGGTGCCATTTTGATCTCGATACCTTCTGTAAATGGACTATACTTATAATTTTCACCCAGGCAAGCATCTAAAGAGTTTGGAATCTTCAAATGAATTATTTCCATTTGGATTAGTGGAAGTGTTGGAAAATATGGAACTTCTTTAACAATGATGTATTCTTTGGGTATTCTCGGTTCCTTATCAACAAGTTGACTTGTTAAAGTGGATCTTGATGATGAAATTGATGATTCAACTGATTTCAACAAGTGAGTGCTGAGTGTTGATATATCTTTGGAATCGAATGTATTGATTGTTCTCATATTTTTAGATAGTAATGCCAATCGTTTGTTGAAGATATCAATCATTTTGCTTGTGGCAGACTTTACAATGTGACCAAAGAAATAATTGATATCGAGAGAAATGATATCTTTCATCAACGAATCAAGTGTAATACCATTCAGATCTCCATCTGGATAGTTGTCTGGGATATCATGATATTCCTCTCCGTGACATGGTGCATCAGCTAAATGAATGACAATTCTGGTACTATTCCTTCTCCAACTCAACTGCTTTATGAGGTTCATCCCACCGAATACATCCTCTGGACCATCCTCTGATAGGTAATATTAAATTTACAGTAAAGTTAGATAAATCCAAATTAAAAATCTTTTATGTTTAAAGATCGATCAACATACCTCCGCCTTCGTCTTTGATAGAAGAAACAAAATTCACAAATTCTAGTGTTTTGTTGGTGAAATCTAATATAGAGTAAGGTTTCTTCACATCGAAATCGGTGTATCGAATGAAACCAAACATCATGTCTAGACTCTTGTAGTTGACTTTCAACTCTTCTCGCAGTTCAACCAAGTCATTCTTTACTTGATTGATATATTCGCCCATAGATCCGGTACAATCCAAAAGAAAAAGCAAATCTATACGCTGACTTGCACGAATTGCTTTGAATGTCATGTTAATTTCTTCCATCTTCTTTTCTATGAGTTGTTTTTTTGTTAGAGATGAAGTTAGGGATGATGTTGAAGATTCACCACCAAAGGCCATTCTAAGTGCACTCTCATCTGATTGCTCTGGGATATTCTCATCGCTTGATTGTGGACCTGGTGAGAATGAATTCGTAAGTGAATTCAAATTACAAACTTGAAAACCTTTGGTTCTTGGAAGCATTTTAAATAAAGATTGAAATCGTAAATAATATATATTATTATAAGTTGAAGTATAAATGAAAATAATATAATGATCAAAATGTCTAAACCTTTTCCAAATTTATTCTTGTGTAATTTCATTTTATGCCTCCTCCCAAAAATGAACAAATTTTTGCAAAAATAAAATGACATCAAAAAAAAAAATGAGTTAAAAATAGGTTTTTTTTTTGGGAGCGAAACAAAAATATCTAAATCCTAAAGGTCATTTTAAAACCATATTCCAAAGATAACCCAATTCAATCAAAATGAATTCTATTTTTAACAGATTTTTTCTAAAAAAAGAAAATTCATTTGCTTTTTGACAAACATAATTTTTTATTGTGGAACGTTTTTAGATCGATAAATTGATCAAATTTAGTTCTTAGTTAGATCTAAATATAGTTGGTGAATGGTATTTGGCCTATCTTGCATATGACGATGCGCTTAAAGAGTAAGATTTATATGGTGTTGTAGTGGTTGTGGTTGTTGTTGTTCCTTTCGATGAAGAGGATGATGAGGATGAGGATGAAGATCTAAACGGCATGATATCAGGCTTGGGGAGTCCGAGACTCTGACAATGAATGTTGCATTTGTGAGTTTCAAAGAATTTGATCATTCCAGGTTTACCCAGGTTGGTTGTTGGCAACAAATCCAACAAACTCACTTGTTGATCTTGTGAACTTAAAAACCGATGTTCTATTAGCACCCATATCGAAATCAGTGTATCTGATGAATCCAAACATCATATCGAGATTGACATGTTTACTCTTCAATATTTCATGAAGTTTAACAATGTCTTCTTTGACCTGATTGATATACGGCTCCATCGATCCAGTGCAATCCAACAAGAACAAAAGATCTACACACTCACTTGCACGAATGGCTGGAAAGTCAACTTGATCTCCTCCAATCTCTTGGAAGCTCTCTCCTCTTTGGATGGTCTCACCGCACTTCCATGGCGTCAGGGACACGTGCCGATCCAAACACCATTCTCATGGCACTCTCATCGGATTGCGTTGGCACGTGATGTGATCCTCCCGAGGAGGATTTAGGTTTTGGTGCAGTTGGTTTCTTGAAAGAGGTAGGCACTGAACCTGAAGAGACTCTTGGCACGGTATTTAGCAGAGTATCCATATCGGAAACATTGATTTTAGCTGGACCTTTACCTGCTCCTCCACCGCCCGCGGTACCACCACCACTAGTGCCACTTCTCGATCCTCCATCACTTTTTTTCGAACTAGAACTAGCCGACAAAACATATTTACTCTCCATTTTTTCAATCAGGAAAAGTTAAACTTGCTTTTACTGCAAAAACAATAATAAAAATAAAAATAAAATCAAATATTTTGTGATTGTGGTTACAAAACCAATGAACTTAAATGATTAAGTTGAAATTTTGATCAACACTAGAGATATATATGAAATTTCTGTGATAAAAAAATTCTTGAGTGACATTAAAATAGATTTTATTTTTAGATAGTTTTTATCAATTTAAATTATTTATTTCTTTTTTAATAAAAAAATTTCTTAATTTTAAGAAAAGAAAAAATGTAATACTATCAATTAGTACTACTTTATGATAAATGGCTGTAGATTTGTGCATTTGTGATAATTGTTTTACAAAACAAGTTATGGAATTGAGTTAGCAGTAAGAATCTCCTAAGTTTCTGTTCAGAATAGAACTCTAAATATCTTAGACGTTAACACTAAATGAGTCCCCTACATTGAATAGTAGATGCCCGACTTTAATAACCATACCTTCAATCTAGATAAATCATAAAGCCTGTACTATAGTCGGTTTCACTTGGTAGATATTAACTAGAATGATGGTGATGTAGAAATAATGCTCTGAAAACAATATTTTAGGTCAAGAAGAGATGTACAAATAAAAATCTATAAGAATTTATTTATTAAATAAGAACCATTAATTTATACAGTAAATTGTTTAAGTAAATCAAACATTCTGTTATTTGCTAATTCTGGAATGGTAATAAAGTATTGATTAATAAAGTGTTTCTGATTATAGTCAAAATCATTCTTCACAATCCAAACAAAAATATCTTTAGTAAAGTGACAAGAGTTTTGGAATTGGGTTCTGAGACCGGATTCAGCCCATTTGCTAGCGGGTTTTGAACCAATAGTAACCTGGAAAGCAGACAGAGTCTTTGAGGAAGGATTCCAGAAGAACCAATCAGCCACCTTGTAGTTAGACGCACGAGGAATGATAAGTGAGGGCTTAGACCAATCGATTTGTGATAAATCATTTTGAGCCACGATATATTGGACTATGTCCCATGCAAAGACGACTTGTGAACAAAGGGTAAATTCATAGCAGGTAACACCTTTTCTGTCATCTGTTCCTGTCACCAGTGAGGGCTGTACTTGTAAGAGGTTGTGTTCCAACAATGTATCAAAAAGATATTTCTCTAGGATTCTTCCAACAGCATCTTTGGTCAATGAGATCTTCTTGGAAAAGACAGATTGATAAAACTCTTGTACAACGAGATGGGTGGGTGTCATATAACGCATAATTAGAATATCTCTGGCCAATGGGAAAAGAGGCAATATGAGGTCTTCCTGACTTTTGTACAATAGTTGTTGGTTGAGAAATATTGATTCGTTTGTTACAGGTACATTGTGTTGAATAAATACAATTGCTCTTCTATAATCTTTGTGAAGAATGTCGGTTGTAAGGAACTCTTTAGAAAAGTAATTGTCTTGTTGAGTGATCAGTGATTTTCGCCACGACTTATACGATGTGAGAACATTATTGAAAGTGGAGCCTTGTGTTAGTTCTTGTACTTGAGATTGTGATTGTGATTGTGATTGTGATTGTGATTGTTGATTCTGTTGTTTCTTTTGTTCGTCTAATATATATTTGAGTTCAATTCTAATATTTAGATTGATTAGTAATCTACTCTAATTTTTGGATTGAACTAAACTTACGGAATAAAATTGGTGAGATCTTTGATGGTCTGTATATCACTACTTGTGAGGTTGCCGAGATCTTGTTTGTGAATTTCTACCCATTCCTTGAATTCATTGTCACAGAAACCATCAAAAAAGTAAAACACAGGCCATTCATTGTCTATCTTTTTTACTTCCACCTTATTTCATTACATATTTTGTCATTTTTTGCGATTTCTTTAAATATATTTTGTTTTGCATTGTGAATCAGTTTAGATTTTATTGTCATATGAGAATTCTATGGTACCATAGAATTTTTCTTCACTCCAAGTTTTTATTATTATAAAAAAAGATGATGAAAAATTTTTTAAAGACTATAATGGTCAGTGCAAATCTTCAATATATTCATTGAAATTAAAGTTTTTTGATTTTAATTTAAAAAAATTAATTTTAATAAAAAGAGGTAAAATTAAAAAAAAAATGATTTTAATTAAATAGTTCAATATTTTAGCATAATAATTATATTAAATGCAATGATATAATGAGTAATAATCAACAGTTAACTATCTATCATGATAATCTACAAGTAATATTGTATGTATTCAAATTAATAATAATAATATTCATGACATTATTTATTTATTATATTATTTTTTAACAAATCTTTAAAAATCTATAGACATGATGAAGATCTAAACAAGATCGTATTGTGGGATTCTCATAATAGAAGTATTGTTGTGAGAGACCTACCGAAATCATCACCTACCGACAGTCCAAGGCAACAACATCAGCAGCTGCTTTCACTAACAAGCAATAACAATAACAATATTAACAACAATAACAGTATAGCGAGTACAAGTAATAGCAATATTAGTACATCGGTGACACAACATGTTGGTGCATGTCCATACTGTCATAGACCATTCGACCACAACAATTCCATTGGTAATCATTCTGCACTGCCATCTGCAGGTGTTGGAAGTGGCGGTGGTGGTGGTGGCGGCGGTGTGACAATGGGTGGCGTTGGTAGTGTTGGTGTCGGTGGAATCGGTAGTACAACGGGTGACAGCTACATGTCAAGAGATTACTTCTTGTTGCTCGAGTCATCGTCGTCGGATATACCGTCGTCCATTCCATCCAAGAGCAACGATCCGTTCTCCGCAGAGTTTCTCAACTCTGGCTACTACAGGAAATTCTTTAAGGAAACGAAAAAGATTGGTGCCGGTGGTTTTGGTGCTGTCTACCACTGTCGACATCTCATCAATACAGTGGATCTCGGTGAGTTTGCCGTCAAGAAGGTGCCGGTCGGTGAGAATCTACCGTGGTTATACCGGGTGCTGCAAGAGGTCAAAGCATTGGAGACTCTACAGAAGCACAAAAACATCATCAACTACAAGCACTCATGGTTGGAATACGATCAACCTGCTAACTTTGGACCAAAAGTACCATGTCTATTCATTCTAATGGAGTATGCCAACAGTGGTAATCTTCAAGATTACATGTCAGAGAAGCAGATCATACCAGAGAATGAAATATGGAGTTGTAAGTTAATAGAACAGATGTTCGATTAAGTTAAACAAACTACATATACTAACATAAATATTTAGTCTTCATTGATCTTTGTCATGGTATTGGATATCTACATCATTCAGAGATTATACATCGCGATTTGAAACCACAGAACATTTTGCTACATCAATATTATGATCCTGTTTGTGATAATCTAGTGTATGTATATAGTATTACTTTTATTTAGGTGATAACATAACAATAATATATAGTAAAAACAAAGTTAATATTAATCTATTATTTTTGTTTTTTTTTAGTACACATTTAATGATTAGTGATTTCGGAACGTGTGATACTGTGTCTGGTTTCAAGGAAAGATTAAAGAGAACAGGTAATACTGGTACAGTAGAGTATGTTGCACCTGAATTGTTTGAAAAGAGTGCAACCGGTGAATTCTTATCGACTGGCACTGACAAGTGTGATATCTGGTCACTTGGTATATTGCTTTATGAAATGGCTTATGGTAAGCTACCCTATAAACACAGTGGTAATCCATTCATCGACGACGATCCAGAGAGAGATGTTGATCTATTAGTGAATGAAATCGGTTCATTCTGTGACTCGAAATTTCATATACCTTCAAATCCACCTGTAAGTAAAACATAACAAAATCAAAATTAAAACAAAACTAAAACAAACAAACAAACTAACCAACTAACTAACAAACTATTATGATTATATATATATATATACAGAGATCTAAAGAACTTAAAGAAACAATATTAGCATTGTTAAGAAGAAATCCACATGATAGACCATCTATCAATCAGATACTATTGACACCTTTTGTACAAATGAAAACTAAACATATGTCTATAAATCCAATTGTAAGTAACATTTATATAGATTGAAAAGTAGTTGGTTCTTATATATAATATTTTTGTTTAATCATTTAGAATATTATAAAAGAATCACCATCTATTAGAAAAGCTACTATTAGAAAGAGAAATCTAAAGAAATCTAAAGAGATTCTGGTTGAACAACTCGACTCCTATGACACCGACGAAGATCTTTTAAACAATACAACTACGACCATATCGACTACAACTTCACATTTGTCAACGAGTATAGTTCCACCGTTTCGTCATCATCATCATCATCATCATCCATTACAAACCAATACGATTGAGGATATATCGACACCGACTTCTTCACCGACACTACCAAACAAATCGACTTCATCATCATCAACAACAACAACCACATCGACAACAATGAATGAATCATCGTCTTCATCAAACACATCACTGGTTCTAATGAAAAAGAATGTTACTACGCTTATTAATGACACCGCACAGCAGACTGCACTTTCTCTCTCCAATGCCATTGCAAATCATTCACCTCGACAACTCCAACTTCCATCGTCGCCACCACCAAACAATCACTCACACAAGCCAGCGCTCTCTGACAAGATGTCACTTCACTACATGACTCATCTCTTGATACTACTGTTCCAAGTATGGATTTGTATAGATCAATGTTTACCAATTGGAATACCAAAAGAAAGTCTTTTCTATCCTATGATATTACTATCATCAATCGTTTTGATTATCCCTAAAAAGTAAGTTACCTATTTATAAAAACATAATTTAACAAATAACTAATTAAATTAACTTATATATATATATAGACGTAAAATAGAATTAGGAATACTATATACATTTAGATTCCTATTGTTTGTAATTGCAAGTTGTTTTTTGGACAGAGGTTGTCAAGTGATAAACAAAAATAATGAAAACACCAACACCGAATCATCATCAACAACAAACATAATATATTCAGTTATAATCTATGCTGTTAGTTTAATATCAATATTTAATTAAAAAAAAAAGATTAATAAAATAAATGTAAATATAAATAAATAAATCAATTATTATACGCTCATCAATTATCTTTTTTGATTTTTAATTAAAAAAGGTTTTATTTATATATTATATATTATTGTTGTTTTATTGAGTTTATTCTTTAGTTTAGTAATGAATTTAATCTTCACCAAAGAACAATTTGATCAAATCGGCAACAGTTGAAACTTTATCACCATTCTTTGCAAACAATGATGTTACTAAAGCGAAACCAATGATATTTCTAAAGATTGATAAAATGTGTTGTCTTGATTCTCTTTGTGCGAATTGTGACTTTATGAACTCTAATGGTGATCCTGCTTGCATCTCATCACCAGCATATGGTGTATCTTCGTCTAAATGATCTTCGTCTATAACATTAAAAAGTAAAATTAAGTTAGTTTGAAATTGTTTTTAATCATGATCACATTATTATTATCATCGTCCAATCCATAATCATCATAGTGGTAAATGTAATGAATACAATAAAATTAGCAGAGGTACTATAATTCAACCATTAATTAACTTGTCGAAATCCATCTTAATATCACTGACTTTACAATTGTGATAGTTATTATGATTTCACATATGTATGTGAAAGTCAAGAGATATATTTCGTTTTTTCTATCCTGTCCTGTCTATATCATATATCTATCTCTATCTCTGATCCTTTTCAACGAATTTTTTTTTAGTTGTCATTTCCTTTCCTGCTTTTATTTTTACCACTACTCTGACTGTATGAGATATACTAGGTTCTACTATCCTATTAGTTTTGATATTGAAACATACAATTCATTGTTGTTTAGATATAAATAATATAAATATAATAAGTGTTCAATAAATTAACTAAATGCTCTTTTAATCGACTATTTTTTTTTTTTTTTTTTTCATTTTTTTTTTTTTCTACAAGTCGTTGCATAATTTTTTGATCACTGTTTGTTTAATTCAGTAACAGATCGATCATTTATTAATAATATAATAATTGATGACAATTTCAATCAACAATAGAATTACATTTCCTCCTCTTCCACTTTAATAGTTATTTTTTTAGGAGTATCTAATTCCTAAGCTGGCCCATCACGAACTCCGGGAGTAGTCCATATAATTACGACTTTCAAAAACCTATAAATTATAATATACAGTGTGTTTAAATCATTAGCGCTTAATTGATAGGTGATTGAAATTCGTCATTCAATCGACTTTTTTCCAGAGTTAGTGATGGCTCAGCTTAGGAATTGGATACTCTGCATTCTCAACAACTCAATTTCTTCATTACTCATACAGAGTACTTTGCATTCTATTTACAGCATCAGAAAATCAACAACAACACACATTTAAACAAAAAATAGAAAATAAAGAAGCAAAATAATTATTTAGATTTATTCAAATTCTTCATTGTGTAACAATATAATGAATACCACCATTTTTTTTTATTTATTCTTTGACCATGGTTTATCTATCACACTACTTTGGAACATTCCAAAAAAAAAAAACTAATAATAATAATAATAACAATATATCCACCTATATATTACTGATCACAAATATTTAAATATTTAAGAACGAATCAACAAGATTTATGATTGCGAACTATCAATGATGTTCGTTGTTCCAATTAAACCATATATGGTTATATTATTGTAAGCGACATAAATATATATTTAGGGAAATATTTAGATTTATTCACCCTCCCCATTATCACAATCTCATAGTACATTTAATTATCAACCGTTATTTTATTTGTATTAACAATGATCAAGATATATATATTGTTTTTTTTTTCTTTGTTTTTTATTTATAATTTTTATTCTTAAAGGGTTGGTTGGGGTGCTATGTGACAATCATTGTTACAACAAACATCATAAACTGAACAGAAACATCATATATAATAATCTCGATCATGTGATGGTGGTTAAATTACTGATATTTAAAGACAAATGGATACATCAGATTCTGAGTTTAACTATTCATCAAATGGTAAAATTAAGTTTTAATAAGTTACTATTTATTTTTATTATAGTTTATTGTATCACTCTAAAAGAATCGTTTTTGGTCTATGGAGAAACTACTACTTCATCTTCCGAAGAATCTTTAAGTCAACAATGTAAAGATGATATTATCCAACTATCACAATTTAGCTATAGTAGCTATATGGATTCTGTTCAAAGTAAATATTATTTAATTAATTAATTATTAAAACTTATTTATTAAGTGGAAAAATATTAATTATTATTTCTTTTATTGCTTTTACTTTAATAAAATATTAATAAAGTGTGGATAAATATGGGACGTGCACCAAATGAACTGGGTAATATCGATGAGTGTTTAATGCTGCCTACCAACGTATCGCACTATTGTGTTTATGAAACTAGTATTTCTTTTTCACTAGATGGAATCAATACTACACTTCCATACGCACTTGGATTGTGTCTCCCGAGAAGTTGCAATACCACTCAGGATATTCAATCGGCATTGAATACATTCATGTTGACTGCATCCGTAATAGCACCACCAGGTGTCAGAACAACTACACATTGCTATGCCTACGGATCATCCAGAAACAATGAAAAGTGGACAGCCGGTCCTATAATAGTGCTTTGTGTCTGTGTACTCATTGCAATCATGGTGTTGGTTGGAACTGCACTGGAACTCTATAGAAATGAAAAATACAGAGCATTGGGCGAATCTACATCTAAAGAATCTAAACCACCATTACAACAACAACCAAAGGATAATAGTTATTGTGCAAAGATATTCCTATCATTCTCATTGGTGAGAAACTACCGGTCATTTATGAACGTATCAGAGTACAGAAAGTTTGGTGCTCTCGATGGTATTCGTTCGATTGGCGCCATCTGGATTGTTATTGCTCACACTTTCAGCTCGATGCTATACAGCGGCGTAGATAATTCCTCCTATATTTTCAAGAGGGAAACAAAGAAATTCTCATTCCAAGCTATTGTGGCCGGTGAGTTTGCAGTGGACGTATTCTTCATGATGAGTGGATTCCTCGTTGCCCATACCCTACTGAATCGACTGAACGCAAATCCAAAGAACTCCAGATCACCATTGTTCTGGCTCATGGTTTTGGTTCATCGATTACTCAGAATATCGCCAATCTACTACTTTTTAATCTTTGTTTACTGGCAACTGCTACCACTCCTCGGAAGCGGTCCGCTCTGGTACAAGCTGAGTGAAACCTACATAAATGCCAATGGACATTACTTCTGGACCAACCTACTCTACATCAACAATCTGTATCCTGTTACAATGGGCAAAGAATTCTTCCTGTGGGGCTGGTATCTTGCCAACGATATGCAATTCTTCTTGGTGGCGCCACTAGTCATCTTGGCATTCCGCGCTCGAAAACTCTATGGCTATTCGATGGTTGGCGTATTGCTGGCAATCTGCTTCATTACGAACATTTATTTCTCTCAAAAATATGATATCACCGTCAATTTCTTTGTCAACAATATCTCGGCCAACTTTGAAAGCGACATCTATCAGAAACCATGGACAAGAGTCGGACCGTATGCTGTCGGCCTCGGTGTTGCGTTCATCTACTCGCACCAAGCAACCAAGCGTCTGTATGAGAAGCGTTCATTCCGCTTGCTCGCCTATGCTCTGGCGCTTGGAATCACGATGTTCCTCAGCTACATACCGTACGACTACTACAAAGACCGCGAACACGGTATAGTCTGGTCGCAACCTGCACACTCGCTCTTCAATGCATTCTCACACTCGGTGTACACCGCCGGCTTGGCATTGTTCTTGGTGGCAACGTTCTATGGCTATGGCGGTTACATGGCATCGTTCCTTCGATTGGAGATCTTCCGATACATCTCTAAACTTACCTATGGTATCTACCTACTCAATCCAATCGTTATCGGATTATACGAACTCACCAGAACTCATTTTCCGCACTACTCATACAGCGAGTTTGCATATCTCTGTACTGCGAACATTGCATTCACAATCGCATTTTCATTTATCATTCATCTCACCGTAGAGAAACCTTTTATGAACCTTGAACGATTATTATTCGAAAACAAAAACAACAACAACAACAAAACAACAGAGTCAGAAAAACAACGATCATCAGAACAACAACAACAACAAACTTTAGAACAACAAAAAATAGAAACTAATGTATAATAAGTTGTTGATTTTAATAATTAACTATTTTATTAAAATGAATCTAAATATGTATATAAAATTTTTGTTAATATTAACTCTTTTAAATAAATAAATGATCATTTAATCTAATTATAGATTTTTTCTAAAAAAAATAGTCAGGAAAAAATAAATAATCAATTAAAAATTTGAATTTAACAAATATATGTTTGTGAGATTTTAAAAAAATGGAGGTAAAACGGTATTTTTGAATCAAAAATTAGCTGTTAAAAAATATTCAAACTATCAACCCTCCAATTTTCAAATTTTTTAACTGTAAAATCTCAAAAAACAAATGAAAAATAATCAGCACGGATTTTTGGATTGAAAAAACAGTGTCCCGCCAAAATTAATATGAGAAAAATTGGTGGTGAATTAATTTTTTTGTTGGATTTTCAATTTTTTTTTCAATTTTTTTTTTGTTATAAAATGGTCACTGAAATCGCAGTTTATTTTCATTTCACTACAAACATCAATAATTAAAAAGCATTTCAACAACTAATAATTGTTTCAGTGTTCACAACAGTAAATTTAATTATTACAATCTAAAACAACACCAGTTTTTTCAATCAACAACAACAAATCTCTTTCTTTAGTTTTTTTTTTAAATTTAAATCAACTACCAACCAAATCAATCAAAATGGCCCCACCAAAGAAAACCGCTGCCGCCGCCCCAACTCCAGCTGGAGAGAAAGCTCCAAAGGTACCAAAGGCTGCCAAGACTCCAGCCGCCGAAGGTGAGAAGAAAAAGAAGAAGAAGAAGGCCGACTACACCTCCTTCTCTATCTACATCCACAAGCTCTTGAAGCAAATCGTTCCAACCAACCCTCCATCAGGTGATGCTCACAAGAAGATCACCATCTCATCCAAGGCCATGAATGTCATGAACTCCTTTGTCCACGATATCTTTGAGCGAATCGCAACTGAAGCCGGTATCTTGGCCCGTAAGAAGAAGAGATCCACTCTCCACTCCAGAGATATCCAAGTCGCTGTTCGTATCACTTTGACTGGTGAGCTCGCCAAGCATGCCATCGTCCAAGGTATGACTGCCGTACACAAGTACAATCCAAACTCTGAAGCTCCAAAGAACTAAATTCCCTCTCTGTAATGGTTTCAATACTACTTTACAATTCTCTGGTTGTTTTATCAAAAGGTGTTTATTAACACCATCCTACTTCAAAGATTAAACTTTATCTTAACAATCTTCTTTTATTTAAACTCTTGACCAAATATTACTAACAAGTTCTTGTTTATCAATAGCACAAATGTGTTTGTGATTTTATTCCATTTTTAAAAAAAATTAAAATCTTTTTAAATAAAATTACCTTTTTTGTTTTTTATAAACAACCTAACTAAACATTCATATTTGTTCTTATTTTTGTTGTTATGTTATTATATATTTAAATATGTTTAAAAGATTTATTGGTTTAAATAGATACTATTCAACTTTATCAGGTGGTAATAAAAAGATCGTTATAACAACAAATGAAGCGCCAGCTGCAATTGGTCCGTACAGTCAAGCGATAAAGGCAAATGGTCAGATATTTGTTAGTGGATGTCTCGGATTAGATCCAAAGGTAACTATTGTTATAATAGGTGAAGTGTTTCAATGTTTTAACAGTTAATTCATTCAGACTATGCAATTCACATCAGAAACAGATGTAGAGATACAAACACAAGTTGCACTACAAAATATGTCAAAGATACTCGATGCTGCTGGTTCATCAATGTCCAAAGTTGTAAAAACTACAATCCTACTAAAAGATATCAATGATTTTGCAAAAGTAAATCAAGTATACTCAAAATGTAAGTAATTGGATAATTATTCAACCAAAATTATAAATAATAATAATTGTACAAATAATTAGATTTCAGTGTTGACCCTCCTGCAAGATCAACTTTTGCAGTTCGTGATTTACCAAAGAATGTAAGTAAACAAAAATCATTAAACTAATTATTCTTTTCCATTGTCTTTATTTATCAATCAAATAAAATTAAAATGATTTATTTTTTTATTTTAATATTAATTAAACAAAAAAACAGGGTTTGGTAGAAATAGAAGCAATTGCATTAGAATAAGAAAAAATACATAAAAATCAGTATTTTAAAGATACCAGTCATGTATGACATGCACCATCATCATCATTATAATTATCTTTGAAGTGCACAACACACATTAATATCTTGAAAAACCAAAAAAAAAAAAAACCTTCTTTAAAACACACAATTGTTGTTTAATTTTTTGGTGTAGATTAAATAAAATCAGTTTACTAAACTCGAAAGATCTAATGATTGTTTTTTTGAAAATTTTTTCCAATTTAAAAATCTTTTTACTGGTTTAATTTTTTTTTTTCGAAAAAGTAGCAAAAAAAGCAATCAAAAAACAACAAAAAAAAATCGTGTATTTGTAAATTTTTATTGTTTAAAAATAAATCAAAGAACAAAACAGAAGAAATAGACAATCAGACAAACAATTTTGATTTATAAGATCGATTTAAAATACATTGTGTGCATTTATTAGATTTAGTAGTAGACAGGACACAATCAACGACAGATAGTAATTCAATCAATGTAAGAATCAATCTTTGATTTAGAGCAACAGCAATGGAGAAATTACAGTTACAACCACTTTCACTTCATGATTGTAGTTGTGAAAAATATATAAAATCAATTTGTTAGATAATATTTTTTATATTTTCACACACAATTTAAAGAACAGACATTATTGTGTACAGTGACAAGATTATTGGCGCCTTTGGAAATAAAAAAGTAGCTGACACAACAGATTTATCATTATAAGATTATTGTTATCATTATTTTTAATATTAGCATTGACATTTCCAAATATAGCTATTCTACAGTGGAGCGATCGATATTTCATTAAAATTCGATTTGTGACAGCATCACAAGCAACAACAACATTGGATTTATTAATGAAACGATAAACAAAAGTATTGGTCTTCAATTAAACATAGTTTTCTTTTCAATTTATTTTATTTATTTTGTTTTGTTAAGTTCATAAATTAGCCATTGATTGACCAATCATTTCATTAATAACAACAGCATCATCAACATTAATAAACATTCAAACACTGTCACTAAAAATCAAATATTTATAAATTATTGATTCAACTAGAAGAGCATCATCATCACTCACTCATCTACCACGAAAGTTTAGTGGTAGTGGTAATTGATTGTGTGTTGTTTTATTGATCACTCACACACTCACACACACTAAAATTACATTACCACCTCCACATTATTAACAAATGATATCTCATCAACTCTACTTGGTACCACGAGCGAGCACTATACTCTCACTGTTAATTTCATATCAAAACTATCATCATCATCACATTCTCCACTAAAGTTCAAACCACATACTTTGCTTATTCTATATTTTATCATCAACAATAATAATAAAGAGTTAATGAAACAAAACAAAACAAACAACATTCATGATTCTACTATTTTTGATAACAGTCCAATCCAATTTGATCCAACCCAATAATATATAATATAAATATTATAATTAGTATTTTAAAATATTTGTTTTTATCAAAAAATAAAATAAAAACAACAAACAAAAAGGATTAGAAATAAGCAAACATCATCATCTTCATCCACCATCATCATCCATTTCACAACCAAATAACAGTAGTAGTGCAGTAGTAGCAGTAGTATTAGTGTAGAACTAAAACATTGTATTTTATATAAAATTATGATGAATATTATTTTGATATTGACAAGATAGAATATAGACAGATAGATAGGTAAAGACAGGTTCGATAGTATAGGTAAATCGAATGAAATGTTTGACCAGATTAGAAAAAACTATATCACAGTACATTTTATTTGTTTGACCAAGCAAATACACCACACAACACATAATAGATATATTTGATTTGATAAATCAATTCTATTACACTTTTCCCTTTTATATCTGTTAGTAGCATTTAAAATCAAAAAGAAATCATAAAAAATAACAATATTCATCAAATTTATCGTGTATTACACAAAAATATTATTAAAAATATCAATAGTTGTATAGAATGATTGTTTTTTTGTTTAATTAATAAATTAAATAAAAAAAATAGATTAATAGTTAGATGGATAAAAGATATAAACATAGATAGAGATACGATTTTTAAAGTATCACTCACCAATCAAAATATTTATTACCCCACTCACTCACCAACTAAAACACACATTCACACATAATCAAACAAAACCAAATAAAATAATCTTATTTTTTAATATAAGATGTGATGAATTGGGATCAAAAGATCTATTATAAAGAATAAGAATTGGAATAAGAATATCAAAACAAATAAAACACCTAACCAACTATTTAGTTATATCATTATCATCACTGGGAAATACAAGTCATAACAGAACAAAACAAAACAAAAGTCAGCATTTTTGTTGTTTTTATGAGTAACACCCAACAACTTATGATTTCTATATGTATTTTAATCAATCAATATTGGGATATCAAGTGATTGCTAACCTTGATATCTTTTAACCATAATTTATTTGTACCATATAATAATCGATATCTATCACATTATAATGTATTTAAATTAATTTAAATACATTAATTTATTAATAAATTAATACCAAAGAATCATCATCATCATCATCAATTAATAATAATAGTAATAGGAATAATAATATTAATCAAAATAATAATAACAGGAAATAGAAATTATAATAATGATAATAGTTTATTATTAAATGATCATCAACAATAACAATACCAACAAACAATACATAGAAAATTGTAATATTATAAAACAAAATTAACAAAACAACTAACATGCTTTAAATATTATTTATTCTTTTTTTAAAATATATTATCAATTTAAAACGATAGTGTATTAGTCAGTCAATTTGATCGATCTATTTATTTATTTTTGGCAATCAACAACAATAACAAACAATAACCCCAGAAGTACAGTGATCATTGTAAAATATCAATAGCTACGATTCTCCACTTCATTTCCATCCATCCTTCTTCTTCCCTTACCTTCACATAAAGAGAATATAATATCTCCTTTTTTTTACCTTTCCAACTTCCAACTTCCAACTGCCAACTTTCAACTTCTAATATTAATAATAATAATAGTTTTAGGTTTTTCAAGCTTAGTTTGGTTAAAGATTGATTTGCAAATTGAAAAACAAAAAACAACAACATGTCAGATTCACCACCAAATTCAAGTAAACCTACATCACCAACACAAGTGATATCGCCACTCTCACTGTCACAGGAGATCAATTTTGAAGCGCAACATCAAGCACATCAGAAGCAGCATCAAGAGACTAGAAATGGTTTGTCGAATCTATTGTTACGTGTGCCAAGTCCACCACTGACACCTGGCATCATCAGTAGCAGCAACACAAATAGTAGTGCAAATATCAACACCTCCACAACCATAAACAGTGGTGCAAGTGCTGCCGAGCTTGATAATCAACAACAAACTATAAACGACAAACTAAAGTTATCATCTTCAACACCACCAACAACAACCTCTACTACAAATACAAAATCTTTAACATCTTCTTTAAATTCATTAGATATCAATAATAGTAGTAGTAATCATAATAATAATAATAATAATAGTAATACACCATTTTGTTCGACATTTGAATTGTTAGATAATATTACAAATCAAACATATATTTCAACAACTTCAAAATCAAGTTTATCTTTAAATGTAAATAATAATAGTAATAGTAATAATAATAGTAATAGTAGTAGTAGTAGTAGTAATGGTAGTAGTAGTTTAAATATACATTATGATAATATTAGAAGACCTTCAACTATAACATCTATAAAGAAATCTGTACAACAACAACAACAACAGCAACAGCAAAATGGTGTTGAAACATCGTCAATCGATACAATGGATCTGTTGGATCAAATCGTTAATCAATCTCTGAATACCTCACCTTATTCTATCTCTGCCAATATCACACCGGAGATCACTTCCATCTCTTCACCGATCGAATCATCTTCTGCCACACCCATCACCATCATCTCACCGACACTAACCAGCGATAGATCAACACCACCTCCAATGACACCCGATCGTCTTAAATCATCATCTTCAACAACTACAACAACTGCAGCAGCAGCAAATTCAACATTGAATGTCAATCATAATCATAACAATGGTAATAAAGGTAAATCATTTATATTCAGTGAATCACCTAGAAATAGTTCACCAACGATGCCTTCGAGATCATCGATGGCAATATCAGGAGGATCACCACTGTTGGCATCGAAACCCGTTGTTGTCAAGCAGAATCAACAGACCACTCAGGACATATGGAAGTCTACACTGTCTTCCGCCGGCAAGGAAGAGATGATCAAAGTCTGTTTCGACGAGATTCCAGGCAAGAAACTGGTACAGCGATTCTCAATCGATCTGACACCCACTGAGATCAAGACGAAACTACTCGAGGAGGTCGGACCCGAGTTTATCCCGTTGATCGATCAATTCGAGTTGAAGGTGCTCTCTATCAACGCTACATTCACCAATGAATCGCTGCCACTACGTCGTCAGCTTGTCATGCAAGCCTGTAACATCACGCGACTCTTTCCAAAGCTGCAGCTGACGCTCAAGAACCAAGAGGAACGCAAACTCACAGATTCAGAGGTGGTCGATATCAAGTCACACATCGAGACGGAACTGGAGATATTCAACCTGATAGGAAAGAATCACACTCGATTCCTCGACGCCAGCAACAAGGAGGTCGCCAACTTCCGACGCGAGATGGCACACTACCGATTGGTGTCGCCGCCACCCTCCAACGACTTGACACAGTATATCTATGTGTTGTCCGAGCCGATGCCTCTGATCGTGCCACCAAAGATAACGATCGTCGTAATGATCATCCCGGGAACCGTTAAGATCAGCAAGAAGATCGATTGCGAGCCGAATCAATCGGTCACCGAAACATTGCTCCAAGTCTTCAAAAAGTATTCGATGGTCGACAAAGTGCACACAAAAGATCGCACACATCTTGATTTCGTACTGAAGGTCACTGGATTCCGTGAGTACATACTCTCGGTCTCGCAAATGGGTGAACGAACGGTATCGAGTCATGGATACAAACCCTCGGGAAAAGATGGCGACTTTGTTTTGCTCGACTACGATTACATCCGACAGTGTATAAGTAAACAACAGATTATAGAGCTGACATTCACAGACAATGCAATCTTGAAACAGCAGGCAGAGAACAATGTTTCGTTCATCGATAAACTACTGGATACAACGGACTTTGACAGTGACGATGAAGATGAGCAGCAGCAACAGCAACAACAAGACGAACAACTCACACCAAACAACACTAATACACCGCCATCTCCACCGACTCTATCGCCAACATCATCCACTCTTCAACTGCTGCCATCTGTATCGACGCTGGGTATTCAACATCAGTTGGCGTCGGCAATGGGCGGTAGACGTCTACCGATTACCAAGGTGAATCGTCTGTTTAGAGTGAAGGTGGTTGGCATTCGTAATATCAATATTCAGAGGAATGAAGATGCAAAAGCAAAGTTTGTCGATAGACAACCACATGGATTCATTATGGTGGAATTGTATCACGGTGGCCAATTGATCTCGAATCCAGTGTTCACACCGAATGTCCCCCTGACCAACTTTGACACTTTCAACTTCCCCGATTGGGAGCGTGACGTTTGGATTCCCTTTAACATTTCCATTCGTTCGCTGCCACGCGCAACTCGTGCTTGTTTCACTTTTTATGTTTCCACCGAAGGTGTTCCCGATATTTCCGATGGCTCCAAATCGATTCCACTCGGTTGGGCCAACTGTCAGTTGATCGACCACAAAGGATGTCTTCGTACTGGACCAGTCGCTTTTCGTCTGTGGGACGACGGTAGAGCCAATCCCATTGGAACATGCATCGACAATCTCTCAGCGAAAACACCTACTGTCCTCTTGGTGGAATTCGAGACATTTGTTAAACCCGTCATTTTCGTGCCACACTACACCGACGGTCAACCGTCGATAAACTCACCCTCGAGAAAGATGGACGTTGCCGATGCCCGTAAATTGAATAGCTTAATGCAATCCGATCCACTTGTAACACTGACACCTGAAGATAAAAAGCTGATCTATCAATCGAGACACATCTATACCTCGGTTCCAAAGTCACTGTCCAAGTTCTTGATGTCTGTCAATTGGGTGGAAGTCGACCAAACACTTGAAGCCTATCGATTGTTGAATGAATGGGCATCACTCAAACCAGTTCAAGCGCTCGAGTTACTCGATGCCAAGTTTTCAGATAGCAATGTTCGATCGTATGCCATTAGAGCACTGAACAAGTTTACCGACGCCGAGTTCTCTGACTATTTGTTGCAGCTCGTTCAGGTACTCAAGTACGAGCCATACCACCGATCGGATCTCACAGGCATTCTGCTACAGCGTGCACTTTCCAATCGTTCGAGAATCGGTCATCCATTCTTTTGGTTCTTAAAGGCCGAGTTGGATACTCCAGAGATTGAAGAGCGTTATGGTTTGCTATTGGAAGGTTATCTTCGTAGTTGTGGATCGTATCGTCAAGAACTCACCAAACAAGACAGTGTCATCAATCAACTTCTCATCGTTGCCAACAGTGTCAAAGCAGCACATTCCAGCGCAGACAAAAAGAAGGCACTCACTGATGGATTATCCAAGTTGAAACTACCAGACAGATTCCAACTTCCACTCGATCCAAGATGGGAAGCAAAAGGTTTAATTGTTGAAAAATGTAGATATATGGATAGTAAGAAAGTATGTATTAGTAATAATAATAATAATAAGTATAAGTAGTTAAACAACATTTATTAATAACACCTTTTATCTTAATTAGTTACCACTTTGGTTAGTCTTTGAAAATGCTGAACCATATGCAAAACCATTGACTGTTATTTTCAAGGTTGGTGATGATCTTAGACAGGATATCTTGACATTGCAAGTCATTAGAATTATGGATAAGATATGGAAGAGTGCAGGACTGGATCTTAGACTGCAGCCATACAAGTGTGTTGCCACTGGAGACGGTGTAGGTATGCTCGAAGTCGTTTTGAATGCTAATACCATTGCCAATATCAACAAGGATGCTGGTGGAACTGGTGCTATTCTCGAGGAAAAGACACTGGTCAATTGGCTCAGAGAATGCAATCCAACCGAAGCTGAATACAACAAAGCCGTCGAGACATTCATTCTATCGTGTGCCGGTTATGTAGTTGCCACCTACGTTCTTGGTATTGGAGATAGACATGCCGATAATATTATGATGACAAGAGCTGGTCATTTATTCCGTAAGTAACATATTCACTAGTTCAAAATCAACTCACACACATTTATTAATACTCTATTATTTTTAAAACATTAGATATTGATTTTGGTCATTTCCTTGGAAATTATAAAAAGAAATATGGATTCAAGAGAGAAAGAGCACCATTTATTTTTACACCACAGTATATGGCGATTGTAGGTGGCAAGGATAGTGATAACTTTAATTTCTTTGTACAAACTTGTTGCCTTGCCTATAATACATTGAGAAAGCACACCGATTTATTTATTAACCTTTTCCAACTTGTAAGTTTGATTCAAAGGTTGAAATTATTTACTTCATTTGTACTAACTTTTTTTATTATAGATGTTAAGTACTGGTATTCCTGAGCTTCAACATGAAGATGATATCGACTATCTCAGAAATGCATTGGCCCCAGACTCGTCAGACACAGTCGCAGCCAAAGAGTTTACCAATAATATTCATGTAGCCCTTAACACAAAGACTGTTTTATTGAACGATATTTTCCACAATTGGGCACATTAAAACAATAATAAAAAATTTGAACCAATATTTATTTGTTGGATTTAGAAACAATTATTATTATTCATTTTTTTAAGATGACATAAAGAAATCTAGTAAATCATTTTTTCTGAAATATTTAGTAAAAAAAAGATTATTTTATTGTAATTTATATAGTTATTTGTTGTAATACATCATTTTCTCAATGGGTTGGATGGAACCATCGAATTCTTAATGTCAGATTTACTTGTGTCAATCAAGAGCCTGACCGTTTTCACCTAATCAAAAACAATAGGATTCTCTTATCTCTTGGATAAAAATAACAATTAACTTTATATTTCAAATAATAATCTATTCATTTATAATGTAGAATGTTTTAAATATCTCGAATAAAGTGAATTAATATTATAATAATTTGTATTTTAGGTCGATGAAATCATAGGAGCTAATTTATTTGAACAACAAATTTTTTTTAATTTTTAATATTAATAGTGTTTTTTTGATCCACTTTTTTTCATTCTTCAGTATACATTCAACAATGAACAGATTATTCAATAATGTTGGTAGACAACTATTTAGTAAACTGAATTCTATCAACAACACTAGTATATATCAAAATAGTTTTAGACAAATAACATTCTCTACTTCAGGCTCAGCCATAAACACATTCTCTACATCATCAAATACAAATGAATCGATAGCAGCCAAGATAAATCTATCACAATCGACACTCTATGAAAAGCTTGATGATAAGAATAAACAATTGCTAGATGGCATCACCAATGAATCACGTGTATATCTCTCGAGATTGATTACACTTATTGAGTCATCGAGAGAGGATCACCAAGCACAAGCCAGACTGATCATATCGATTCTGCTACAGCGATCTCGTGAATTTGAGTTGAAGCATGACTATCAACCGAAATCATTTCGTATCGGTGTGTCTGGTCCTCCAGGTGCCGGTAAGAGTACATTCATCGAGGCATTCGGAACCTATCTGACGAATACACTCAACAAGAAGGTGGCGGTGCTCGCTATCGATCCGTCATCGGTGCGTACCGGTGGTAGTGTTCTCGGTGACAAAACAAGAATGGTGGAGCTCTCGAAAGATCCAAAGGCATATGTACGTCCGTCTTCCACTCGTGGTACCCTAGGTGGTATCACAAAATCCACATCCGATACCATTGTACTCTGTGAAGCCGCTGGTTATGAAATCATCATCGTTGAGACGGTCGGTGTCGGTCAGTCAGAGGTGGCCGTCGAGGAGATGGTAGACATCTTTATGCTGTTGGTGCCACCCGCCAACGGTGATGAGCTTCAGGGTCTGAAGAAAGGTATCGTCGAACTCTCTGATATAGTAGTGGTCAACAAAGCAGACGGTGAACTATTGCCACGTGCTCGCTTCACCGTTGCCGAATACATGAGCGCATTCAAGATGCAGAGACCAAAGACAGAGTTTTGGAAACCAAAAGTATTGTCATGTTCATCACTTACCAAAGATAATATAGATCAAGTTTGGAAGACAATGAATGAGTTTAAAGATACAATGACTGTAAGTTGCAAATATATATAAAAACAAAATAACAAAATTAGTTCATTCTAACCAAGTTACTCTCTTTTTTTTTTTTAAAAAGAAATCTGGTGAATTAAGATATAAGAGATCGGAACAGAAACAAACATGGATGTGGAGATATATCGAAGAGGAACTCATGAACAGATTGCACAACAACAAAAATGTAGCAGATTTGATTCCAGTGATAGAAGCACAGGTTAAAGATGGTAATATTTCACCAAGTTTGGCATCGAGTACCATCATCGAAAAATTCCTCAAATCTTAATGCAACAGGATCAGTAAAATATAATAAAGAAAGAATTGAATTGTAAATATCTTTCACCTATTATTATTATTATGAGATTTATATATTTATTTATTGAATCTTAATATCTTGAGATATAAATCTTTTCTTTGGTACCAGGAGCAGTAGTTGCTCTTGCAAACTTTAAAATAAATGTTTCTATACTCTTTTCATTTGCTGGTAAAATTGGTCTAATTTTAAATAAAACAATTAATATAATTGGTAATAATGTATGTAACTATACAAATTTATATTTTAAAACATCATACTTTATATATGGTAACATATCTGGTAATGTCCATTTTGGATTTTGTTTGAACATCAGTGTCATTCTATCCTTTGGTACTATTGTTAGTTCTTCTTGGTTGAAATAGGTTGCAAAAGGTTTACTGCTCTTTGTGGTGGTAATCGCAATTCCGCTCAATTGCTCAAACTTTGGTGTGAATCCAATAGGTAGTACATCGATCCAACTTTCCATAAACTTTGACATCTCCATTGATTTATTCTCGCACTTTAATGTTATTAATTGATAAACCGTTTGTTGTTAATTAATAAACGAAGGAAATAGATTGAGTGATAATTTTGATTAACATACCAATATTTGTTTACCTCTAAATATACATATTAAATCACTATTTAATTTATAATAACCATCCTCCTGACACTTTGAAGCATAGATTTTGAATATATAATCCAAAAGTGATTTCGATTTAACTTCTATCTTTGAAACACACTCATCGATGGGAATCGATTGATAGGACCATCCATTAATAGTAATCTCTGTAAGTATCAGATCAACTATTCTAGCATGATATCTATCTGATAGTAATGATGCTTTATCTATAATAATAACAACTAATTAGTTAGTTATCTTTTTTAATAATTCTTATTATTAATATTTTTACCATTCTCTATATAATATACATTTAAAACACTATCCATATATTGTTTTAATTGTTGGTTACTTGCTTGAACGAGTGACTCTAGTTCAGAGAGATGATAACCGACAGAGTTGATGTCGTAGGTGTCAGAGTCGATCGCTCTCTTCAATAGAATCGACTTTAACGCTGCTAGTCTTGGTGGAATCTCTATCATTTCGTAGTGAAGTTGCTGCAGTGAGAGAATGGCATAGTCTCTTGTCAGCATCATAGAGTTTGATGTGTGTGCGCTCTTCATGATATATGTCTTATCCGATGTACACAATATAGCTTCATCTCCTTTATCGACACCCTTGATATACAACCTTCCATTCAAATTTAAATCTTGTAATATTTCATTGTTTATCTCTAACAATTTAAAATTGTCATTAGGATATTGATCACCAAATGTTACTGTTATTATTTCTTTATTATCACTCATCATCTTCTCTCTCTATCTCTCTTCTTATCTATTTATTTATATATATTAAAGAAAAAAATAGAATGTTATTTCTTAAAAAAACCATAACGTCCCGCCAAAATTTAAATAAATATTAAATTTCTTTTTAATACATTTCTTCACAAGATTAATTTTAATATATGTAGATAAACATATTATTAATAAAATAATATTCAAATAATAAAAGTTTATTTTAGATAACCAACTTAATCCTATCATTGAATTAAATTCTAATCAATGTTATTAATATGTTTAAGTTCAACTTAGTGTACCACCAATTTGGAAGTTTATTTCATTGCGAATATTATTTATAAATTTTCATATTAATATCTTCGTAAGGGTTATATATTTATTTTTACAGCCTAGACAATATTGTGGTATATCATAAAGTTAATATATATATATAGCAAAGCAAACATGGATAAATATCATTTATATTAATTTTTATAACATTCACATATAATAATCTTAAAAATGAAAATAAACTGTAGTATTTTAATATTTGTTTGCTTCGCAATTACCCTTGGCCACTGTTTGGAGGAAAGCAACGTTCAATGCTTCTATCATGAATTACACTTATACCCAATTGACGATTTCCACAATGTAGCTGCCATCAAAGGTAAAGCATGTGTATTCCATCACCAAACACAGGTTCAATTCAATTTTGCAAGAAAAGACATTATATTCAATAATATTGAAGATAACTATCTAGGTGATGACGTTGGACTTAATCAATTGGTGGTTGTAACCCAACAACGTAATGTCACCTATCCAAATGTATCTGCATTGGTAGAGCGTCCTGATGATGGAATGTACATCATTACTATCTCAAAGAATTGATCAACTTTTGCCATTTCTAATAAACATTTATGTTTACAAAAAAAAAAAAAACAAAAATAGATTATTAATTGTTTTTAAAATTATCCAGTATCTTTAAAAAGCTTAATTTAGAGTGTAAAAAAAAACTCTAAGGAATTCTTTTTTATGTTGATTGTTGTTATTGTTATTTTTTTTGGAATGGATTATGAATTTCGGTCGGTAGGTAATAAATATAATAATAGTACTTTTAATGTCGGTCGGCAGTGAATCTCCTCCTTCTAAGATAGGAGATCAAGAATATAATTTACAAAAATATCTTGACGAGTGAACCATTCGTAATGTTTGACATCGTCAATCTCGATTAAACTTAAACGTGAGTTGGTGGCAAGTGTTTGCAATCCAAATGTATCATTAATATATATCAATTGATCGGTCATTGGTACAACATTTAAATGTTCATCGTAGAATCCGAAAATCGATGATTGCCATGGAATTACAGTACCGTCTATATTAAATTATAGTAGTTTAGTATGTAAGTATGTGGTGAATTTGGTAATTAGCATTTCGAAATGAACAACACATTACCATCTTGTGATCCAAAAGCATGGAATGCACCGATATTTAAGAAATTCTCTTTGTAGGTTGGGATGTGTTCATCCAACTGTTGATTGATGGCAGGCAACCATGTGTTGTCCCTGAAATACTTTGGTTGATTTTTGGCATCGTTCCACCAACCAGCAACACTAAAGTGTGTTTGCATATTCTTGGTGTATAGCATTTCTGTAATCTCCCAATTCGTCAAATCCTTAAACCAACGATTAATAAAACTATCAAATCCATAACTATTTCAATGATAAATAGGTAACTAAATTAATAAAAGAAAGGTGATAGATCATTTTAAAATCAATCTTACACTCCCATATGTACTCCAGCTAATGAAATAAAATTATCTACTTCCAATCCAAACATTTCTACGACGGATCTAAGAACAAGAGCACCTTGTGCATGTCCAATCAAGTGATATCCACCATCGAAACTAGCGTTATTGCTAACCAAACTATTGATTGCTTGATAAACTTGATATACTTGCATTGCCATTCCCTGAGTTGAATCAACACTAAAAATAATAACAACAATAATAAAACTATTTTAAAATTCTGTCCAACCAACAAGTTAATTGATTAATTAGTGTTAAAATAAATAATTACTTTAGAGGAACTACAATTTGACCAGGATGGTTTTGATGTATCCATTTTATATCTTATAAAATATCGATATTAAAGATAGAGTTGAAAATGAATGTCAGTATTTTCTGAGATAAGAATAGATTGATTCGTGATGAATCAAATAATAATAATATCTGCTTGATACTAACAATTATTCCACTCTTTAACACCACCACTGTTTGTTAGTGTTATACCATGTAATAAGAGTACTGGCTTGTATGCATTGCAAAGTGTGGTAGCCAGCAGTAACAAACTACTAATTACTATAATTTTATTCATTTTATTATTGATTAACTTTATAAATATACAAATATTCAAATTAATTAATATACAGATATATTTATAAATATATTTTAAGAGGTTATCAGATATCAGTAAAACTGTTGCTCTGGTGCCCCTTTCTTAGGGTATCTCACATCAGTAACCACGAAAAAAAATTTTAAAAAATATATTTTACAAGTTTTTTGGTTCATTGTGTGAGAGGTTCCCAAATAAAATTTTTAAGCAAAAGTAAATTTCGAAAGAATTTTTTCTTGTAACACCACTGATGCCGAATTTGATTAATTCTTTTTTGGTTAAAGGGGTGATCATTTCAACTAACTCCGAAAATATTGTTGAAATTTCTGATTTCTATTATCTATCTGTATAATATAAAGGTTATTTTTATACATTTTATTGATTCTTTTTCTTGCTATTTTTTTTTTATAAAAATAAAAAAAGAGAATTGCATGTTGTTGTTGAAGTTCAGAGTTTATCTGAAAATGTTTTGTTTACCGACATGGTTAAACAAACTAGTTGAAAACAAATGAAAATAAAAAAAATAATCGTACGTAAAAGCTCATGAATTGTTGTTGAGCAAACATATATATTTATATTATATTAAACATAATAGATTTCACCAATGATTTGATTCATTCTATTCATAAATCTTTCTTTGTAGAAATCGGGTGGTGCTGCAGAGATACCTTTACCATCTTTGCGAGTAAAGTAAATCTTTAAAAATCTTTCTTGTTTCTTGCTAAAATCATATAGTTGAAGAATATCGATAATTCCAATATAATATATTTCTTTGTTATCCGATGATATCAATCTACCATAGTCTATAATAGTAATTAAATAATATATCATTAGTGTTTTTGTTGTTATTATTATATTGATTTTAAAAGTTACTACTACTTACTGGGTGGTGGTGTTTTAACTATATAGTTATTCGATGAGTGTAATGTTGATGACGATGAAGATAGTGATGATGGTGATGGTGTAGATGATGATTGGGAAGGTGATTGATCTGGTGATTGTGCATTTGTAATTTGTTGTTCTTGTTGTTGCTGTTGATCATCAGTGTTCTCATGTACACCAATGAGTAAACTGTAATCCATGATATTTAAAGACTGTAGGAACTCAGCGTCTCTCTGCAGTTGATGAATAATAAACTCTTTGTGATGATGTGGTAATCTTAGACTCTGTCTGACATTGATAAAATCTAGATCCAAACCTAATGATTTCTTGTCGTAGTCGTGCTTTCCACCTCTATTTATACATGATCCCTTAATATCGTAACGTTCTCTAATCTTTTGTGTCGTACAGCTAAATACATTTGACATTACTGCTAAATAAACATAATGACGATTCTTTATAAAATTTATAATTATGTTAATAAACAAAGTCTTTTAAATTATATAATATTATTGTGAGAGTATACATACTGGCATAACAACTTTATAAGAACCATAAAACTTTAAGAGATACGATGAACGATTTGATTTAAAATACTAATAGGTTACAGTAAAAGTAAGTAAATAGATATTAGTAAATAATGATTTAATAACAACATATATAATAACTTCTTACATCATAAAACTTTATCATCTTCTTTCTTAATAATCTACTCTCCTCTGCGGTGATTGTCTTTATCAAATATTGATTGTCTGGTGTAAAACACATGAAACTACCACTCTTACCCTCTGAGAACTTCTGATTAGTTAAGATATCAAAGAATGTTGTTGCATTAAATGATTTCTATAGAATGTTGAAGAAAGAAAAAAAGATTAATAAAAATGATCATTGATTGTTAAGTTACAATTGTTCATAATTTACCAAATAATCATCTGGAGATAAACCTTGTAGTTGTCTAATTGCAGCGAATATCTTTGGAGTATAATCTTTGAATTCATGCTTCTTGGTGGTGGTGTTTTGAAGATTGAGTTCCTCGCGGAACAAATCCTTCTCTGTGTAGATTCTCTCTTCGACGCTAACGAGATCGGAGTGATTGATAGCTTCAGAATCGATTGGGTTGTCGTGAACCGACAGCGATATTCCCTTGAGACAACAAGTGAGAATGTAGTTACGCAGGGAAGTCGCCAGCTGTGTTGGATCTTGTGCTTCGTCACCGAGCGATCGGAGCAGCGGGATGTTCTCTTCGTCGGCAATCTTGATACACGGCAAAGCCTTTTTGAGATTCGAAGTGAATCCCTTGAAGAACTGCGGATTCGTTAGCCAAACCATGGCATTCATAAATCCCTGGATGGAAACACCGATCGCGTCGAAATACATCAGCCAACTGTCGTCCAGCTGATTGTTGTTGTTGTTATTGCCCTGTGTCCACTGTGAGGTACGATGAATCAACGGTCCCAACCAACAGAGAATGAACACACACGTGTAGCAACTCATACGAATCAACATTCCACGACGGACTTGGTCGGAGAGCGTCGAGGTCGATCCAGAGTACACGTATGCAGTGATGAGCGAACCAACGGACATGGCGAAATACGCCATCAGTGGAATGAAGAATGTCAGACGCATCAACGACTTGTTCTTCAACCAACAGGTTCCGTCACCGGATTTCACAATGGCCGACTGGTCGAAACAAAAGATGATGATGGTGGAGACCGAACTCAGTCCCCACACCCAGATGTGATAGAGCTTCGAGTAGGGTGCTGTGTTTCTAAAGGGGTTGGCAGAGGTCAGAATCAAGTTGAGCGAGATCATGCCGGACCAGCCAATCGATGCCAGTCCAAAAAACTGTTGGAAACCGGCCTGCAGGTAGCACATCGCTTTGATATCCTGCAGGTCATATGAATTTGGCAGCACCGACGTTATCATGTATTTCAAACTGAATATCAGATCGCAAATCGATAGGAAGAAGACCAGCTGTGTCGGATGCTTTCTCAGTTCTTTATACATAAGAAAAGTAATGATAACAAACAACGCACCAACGAATGACATCGCTGCAAAAGATCCTGAAATTCTATATAATAACTATATTTTACATTGTTTTAAAATTAAATTAACCAGATCTGATCTTAACTGATAATCATCTAAGCATCTATTTATGTTGATTGATTATTGATACTTACAGTCATTTTTTTTTTTTTTTTGCTTTTTTTTGATTTTCCTGATTTTCACTGATTCTCACTGATATAGATCTTTGATTGGTGATAGATAGATAGTATAATGATAACTATTATTATATTATTATTTTTGATTGATCTCTTGTTTTACTGTTGTTTGTTATTACAATGATTGATTGATCATCCACTGATCAATGAATGGTCGAACACACACAATTTATTATTTTGAAACTTCTATTGTTATTATTGATAAAAGAAAAGTAAAGAGTTTTCTTACTTTATCTGATAAATAATATGGTTTGGTTATATGTATCTATTTATTTAAGTGTACCAGTGAATTACTGTTACCACTACGCTGAAAAGATAATTTATGATACTTTGAGAAAGTTTGGTTTTTTTTTTTTTTTTTGACCTGATATTAATAGGATTGGATTGTTTGTGGTAAAAAACAAAAAAAAAAAAAAACAAATTTTGGTATTATTTTTGATAAAGTGGTTGTGGGTGAATGCTTGTTTTGTACTGTGATTGATGATCGAAATGAAAGCAAAGGGTTTGTTTTGATTGTTGATGAAATTATTTTTGACAAAAAAAAACAAAAACAAAATGACCTTATATCAATATTTTTATATATGATATTAGGTAAGTGTAGGTGGTCGGTCGCTCACTTAATTGACGATTTGATTTGTTTAAGTAGAAAAGAAATACTAAAAAAATGGATCTTTTTGTTATAAAAGAAATATTTTTAGATAAATGTATATATTTTAGATAAATATATATTTATGATATGTTTAGAAATAAGGATTAATTGAAATGAAAAGAAAGATGGTTCGTTTGTTTGTGACTAAAACAAAAAGAAAAGATCAATGAAATTGATCAAATAAATAGGATTGGTGTTGTTATTGGGCTGTTGACCTGAAAAACAAAACTAACAACTATGAGAATAATAGAGGATTCTCAAAGATTGACGTATTTGCATTTGTTTATGAAAAAGCAAAAAAAAAAAAAAAAAACAACAAGTTTCTTGATTTTAAATTTTTCTTGTTGATGATGTGTTGGACTCAAGACCTTCTTACATCATCATCAAGATTTTTTTTTTGTTGATTTTTTTTTTCAAATAAACACTTCACTTTAAGATTAGTTTCCTCTATGATGTATTGTCACATTGCAGCCTTGATTTTCGACAAAAAAAAAAACTGTTCACAAAAATGAAAACATTTTTTTCGGTACTTTAAAATTTTTTTTTTTAAATTCAAATCAACAATGGAATGGAAGATAGACTTTCGATGATGGAACAAAGGGCTTTTTAGCAAAAAAAAACAAAATCTTTAGACTCAAGATATGCTATTATTAAAAATTATTGTTTTTTATGAGTTTGTGTTTAGAAATAGATATTTTTATTAATATTAATATGATATGGTGTTGTTGATTTTTCCGAATTTACAAAGATGGTTAAATTTAGTTTAAATGTTTTTTTTGCTTTTTTTATTCAACAATTGATCCAAACACTTCTATATACCTTGAACCCATATGATTCTTATTACGTTTCAGTGCTTGGTCATAGTCGTACTGTGATGATAGTGACACATATGCCAATCCGGACGGTCTTCCCCTTTGGTAGATTATCTTGATGTTGGTGACACCCAGTCCATCGAAAAAGTCAGCGATCGAATCTTCAGTTGCAGAATAAGGCAGACCACGAAGTTTAACAGTGAATTCAGAGTAATCATGATCTCCCTTATGATTTCCACCGCCACTGCTACCATAGTCCCTGTTTTTACCCCTACGACGTTCCCTACTATCCCTTCCACCACCACCACCAGAGTTTCCTGAACTGTTATGATGACTACTATTACTACTATTGTTAGAATTTCCGTGATCGTAAGATCGAATACCGTGTCTACTATTACTACCACCACCTCCTACACCACCATCACCACCACCACGACTATACGGATGAAAATCTTTATCCCTATCCCTGCTAGTTCGATTTCCACCACCGCCTACACCGCTGCCGCTGCTATTACTTCCAGAGTTACTGGCATCTATAAAGCCGCTGTAGCTCTGGCTATTGAATGGCAATTGCATAGGATTGCTTTGAAGCTGCGATTGCAGTTGTATCTGTGTTGGTAGATGCTGCAGCATCGCCGATGACTGTTGGTTAAACATCATATTGGATGGATTCATCTGTGGTGTTATATTTGGTGATGTTTGTCCCATCATCAAACCTCCTGGCGATAGTATCGAATCTATATATCCATTATTGGACATAGCATTGCTATTCAATGGAAAACTATTACTGTTATTAAAGTTTGATATAAATCCACCACTACCTAAAGTATTACTGTTACCCATCAATACTCCCATACCAGAACCCAATCCACTCGTATTGGAAAAGTTACCACCTCCACCCAAATAGCTATTATTATTATTATTTCCAGCACCACTACCGCTAGCACTATTAATAAAGTTCGTATTGAATCCTCCCATTCCAGAACTCATTAAAGAACCGCCACTCATACCAATCATTGTTGGTGAATGATTTTGGTAATTGAATGAAGATGATGATGATGAAGTTGATGATATATTTGACATACCTCCCATACCGTTACCGCTACCAATACCTAAATTCATATTCATCATCATTTGTTGATTATTGTTACTATTAATATTATTATTAAATCCAAAGTTATTATTAATATTATTCCTTGACATTAATTGTTGTTGAAATTGATTATTATTATTATTCATATTGTTATTTAAAATATTATTATTATTTAAAGGTGGTGATAATATTTGATTATGTTGTTGAAGGGGTGATTGTGATTGTGATTGTGATTGCTTATTAGTTTGTTGTTGTTGTTGTTGTTTTTTCTCGAAATTTACATGTTGATCATGTGGAAATAGTTCTATGTAACGTGAGGATATTGCTTTGTGTTGAAGATGCTTCAATGCAGAACTAGCGGTCTCAAAGGTGACAAACTCTACGAATCCTTCACCAGTGACACGTCCATTGTAATCCTTTTCAATGAGTATATTGTTTCCACTGATTGCATAGCCACTAAAGAAAGAGATGACATCTGCCGGTGTCACATTATAGGGAAGTCCACGCAATCTCACTATCTTTGTAGCGAGTACATGGTGGTGTTGACCACCGTCACGACGCAGCGCAGCGATAGCAGCAGCTCTCGGCTTTGGAAGTACCTCTATGTATCGATGACGCATCATCTTTCTGTGATAGTCGTTTGCCTTTCGCGCAGCATCTTCATCGACAAACTCGATATACGCTTCGCCTGACTGCTTGCCATGACTGTTCATAAGTATCGTTATGCCATTCGGCATGATAGGTACCGGCTTGAAAAAGTCACGTATCTGACCTTCATTCGTACTCCACGGCATTCCACGTATCAAAACAAAAGTTTCACCTTTACTTCTAAATTCATCATCTGATTCCTCATCATTTCCATTCAAAGATCTTTGTTTTGGTTGTTGTTGCAATTGTTGTTGTTGTTGTTGTTGTTGAGAATACACTGCATTGGCATCGGCAATAGGCATAAAACTATAGCCTTGTCCAATTAGTTTAGTGATGATCTGTGTTGCCAATGTTACTTCTTGACTATCACCTCCATTATATGAAATCTGTATATCCAAAGCTACAAAAGTAATCAAATAAAAACGTTTAGTTATATTAGTTATCTATTTGTAATTACGATTACAAATCAATCAATCAATTAACATACTTCTAGCAGCAGATTCCAAAGTACAAAGTTGATCATTGAGTAGTGACAGCTCCGATTCTAAATCGATGTACGTATGGAAATATGGTTGCAATTCAATCGATTGACTCAAAGACTGTGTGCGAAGACTCTCTATATAACTAGACCGACTAAACACAATACAAAATCTCTTTTTATCGGCAACAAACTTTTGTTGTAAATATTGATTCAACTAAAAAAAAAAAAGTTATAAACATGTTTGAGTTTATTATCTATAATTATTAATACATACAATATTTAAAGTAAATTGTAATTCATTGTTTACAATACTTAAATCATCAATGTTATTATTATCAATGTAATTGTTTCTATTTACAGGTAACAATAGATCTGATAGTCTCGAGCTTTTTGAGACAAACAAGAAATTCTGATCGATTGCAAATCGCTGTGAAATATCAAACTCTACCCAATTAAATGATCTTATACTCTCATTCAACGTCTTTATTCCCAATATTATATAGTAATCAAAATTATTATTGTTCATCATTATCAATCAAATTCTCTCTCTCTCTTTCTCCATATAAATAAATAATTATTATTGTGTTGTGTATGTATTTATCAAAATATAAAATGAAATGTTAAAAAAAAAAAAACAAAAAAAAAAAATGATGACCGCTATTAACATTTTCCTTTTTTTAAAAAAATAATTCCAAAAAAAAAGATTTTTGCAAATATTAAAATAACTTTGACTTTTAGGAAACACTTGAGATATATTATAATATCTTTTTTTTTTTATATAAATTTCATCCTCTTTTTCTTTACTTTATTCTTATCGTTTTCTATTTTCTCTTGTATCTCTAATCTTCTTTTCAGCTCTTCACTCTCTTTGAATGAATCATGATGATATTGAATATTTAAGTGATTTCTGTTAATGTTTTCATCATTATGCTTATTACCAATATCTGAATATTCATTATTATTACTATTATTATTATTATTATTATTATCATCATTATTATTATCATCATTATCTGTAAAACTGTCAAAGTTTTCAAAAGAACTTGTCATATAGTTTATATGATTTAAACTGTTGTTATCATCATTATTATCTTCATTCCAATTTGATAGTGATAATGACGATGTTATATTTACACTACTATTACTATTATTATTATTATTATTGATTTTAACTGTTTTTGCAGTTGTTAATGCAGCTATATTACTTGTATTACTTGTATGTCCCAATGAAAATGGAATAGCTGATATTGTTTTGTTATTTTTTGGATCTCTTATATTACTATATTGCTTTTTAGGTGTCTATAGAAGAAATGATATTGTTAGATAATAGATAATAGATGATTTCTTTAAATGTATTATTAATACGTACTTCATCATAGTATAATTGTAAAGTATTATTATTATCATTTACATCTGTATTAATATTATTGTAATCGATTGATAAAATAGTTGTATTTAAACTTTGATTATTATTTTTGTTACTAGTTATTTCACTACTATTATTATTATTATTGTTACTATGATTGTTATTGATGTTGTTGCTATTATCATTTGAAGTTGGTAGAGGTAATGAGTTCAATGTTGACAGATAATCTTGATAAGCAGAGAATATCTTTAATGTTTTATCACCAGATAAATCGAAAACTTTACTTTGAAATTTAGCTTGATCCTTTAAGTTAAAGTTAGTTAAGTAGTAATGATTAATTAATAGATAGTTATCTACATACAAATGAATCATTATTATCATTATTATTAATAGAATTGTTGTTAAATCTTATAGAATTGGTTTGTTGTTTTGATTTTGATTTCAAGAGGATACCATTGTTATTGTTATTAGGACTATTAAGAGTTCCACTGACTTGCGTAAGTGTAGATAGTGAATGTGATTGCGATACTGGTTGATCATGCTTCTTTATCTGATTTTGATGAATGGGTTGTTGTTGTTGTTGTTGTGGTTGTAGTTGTAGTTGTTGTTTTTGTACAAGTTTCTTATTGAGCAGAGTCAGTTCTGACTGTTGATCTTGATGAGTATATAACAATGGTAGTATAAAGTTGTCTTTGATGAACAATGAATGTATCTTTCTTGATTCGACACTTAGAATAGTGTCTTTCTCCAGTGGTTCACAATCAAAAATCCATTTAAATGTATAGAATGAAATCTTGGTTGTCAGAGTCAACCTAATATTGAAATGCTAAATAATAAAATTTAATAAATAAATAAATAACAACAATAGTATTTAAAAGTAATAAATATATTACATTATCAATTTTAATTGAATATGAAGTTTCATCTTTCTTTTCAAACATTCTTTCAGATAGTAACTCCATTACTTTTTCTGTTTTAGTATCTAAATGTGGGTTATATCTCTATTGAGATACAATAACAATATTTATTAATATTATAATAATATTCTAAATGATCAATCTATTTTTGTTTGTTTATTACCAATTTCTCTTTAAGTATTTGAGATTGATTTGAATGTTTATACCAAACCATAACCAAATCAGTGATGATCAAACAATAGTGATCGGCACTATCGAATTTTGATTTAATGTAATATTGCTCATTGTCTATATTAAACGATTTCCAAGGTTTATCTTTTAATAAACCACTAATATATGTTATATTAATATTCATTAAGCATTCTTTTCATGCTATGAGAGCATACTAAGTATTTAAATTAAAGTTTGAATGAGAGAAAAAATGAAAAAAAAAGGCGCAATTTAATAGACACCCATACAATCAAAGATTTTTCTTAGAAAGTTGGGTTTATGTTGGATGATGGTATTATGTAATAGGATAGATAATATTTGTTTATTTATAAGTAATGTTTACTGATTTAATCTTTAAACCTTTGTTAATGACACCGACTTGACGCTTGACTTGTGCAAATGAATGTGGTGATATTTCAGAGTCAGTGAGATTGGTGTGCATTAAACTGGAGTTGGGGAAATTGGTTTGGAGTAAACAACAATTGGTGAGATTGGAGTTCGATATTTTCGTATATTTAAAGAGTGTTCCTGTGAGATTCGATCGTGAAAAGTTGACATTGGTCAGTTTGCAGTGTGCAAAGATATTGGATCCGCAATTCGATTGCGATAGATTGACATTGGTAACGAAGCTATCGATATAGTGTGTCTTTTCATGCTTGGTATTGGTCATAACCGAGCTAGTGAGTTTGCAATTGGTAAAGGTGGTATTGCTGAAGCTGGTGCCTACAAAGCTGCATTTGTTAAAGTTACAATTGATAAAATGACAATTGCTGATGTTAATTCCGTCAAACTTGACATCGTTGAATGTTGCACTACGGTAGATCTCCATTTGTATTGGTGTCTTGATCGATTTGTGTGAGAATGTCTCTTTGTCTCTAACTGTCTTAAAGTTCTGGTAGTTGTGTTGGAATTCAGGTGGAATCGAATTCTTGGTTTGCAGTGGAACCTTTCCATTGGGATTGGCTGTTGATGTGACAGTGACACCCGATGGTATTGGTTGTGGTTGTGGTTGAGGTGGATAGCTGTAGAGATAGCTCGATGGTTGTGGTGGAGGTGGTTGTTGCATTGGATATTGATAGGGTGCGTTCTGATAGATTGGTTGACCAAACATGTAGGTCGATGGTCGTGGTGGTTGGTTATAGTAACCTGCACCTCCATTTGGCTGTGGAGGATATTGCAATGGTTGTGGTGTTTGTTGTGGGTAGAACATCGAATGGTAGTCAGTTGCTGATGATTGGGGTGGTGGTGGTGGTGGTTGCATTGAATCACTTGCTAATTTAGGTGCTAAATGTGAGTAGGGAGTACCGGGTTGTAAATCTTGTGATGGTGGTGCTGATGGTTGATGTGGTGGTTGTTGTTGGGATAATAATGTTGTCATTGGTGCATTTAAAGCAGATGGTGTGGGGTTAGATGAATATGTATTTGAATTTAAATTTGTTGAAGAATTATATTGTACAGCTGGATAGTTATTACTATTGTTAATATTATTAGAGGTATTAGGGGGTGGGGTACCCGATATTGTTCCAAACATTTTTCTTGTAAAATCAAAAAATGATGTATTCCTGGTTTGTGGATTGAAATTGCTATCGTTATTGTAGTTGTAGTTATTATTATTGATATTGCTATTGCTATTGTTGATATTGTTATTGATATTGCTATTGATATTGTTATTGCTATTGCTATTGATATTGTTATTGCTATTGCTATTGCTATTGTTATTGATATTGTTGTTGTTTGTGGGTGTATCTTCAACTTTTGGTACAAATCCTGGTGGTAAAACTGTATGTATAATAAGATAATAGTATTATGTTATATTAGTAAATATATATAGATTGTAAAGGTATGATTATGATTAATATTAGATTCTATAGATACCGATTGAACACGATTCAACGTGACTGATTATTTCCTTTCTGGTGGTTGATTTCTTGCATACTTTGCAAGTGACTTTTAATTCACCGAGTGGTCTGAATAAGAATTTGAGTGTGGCGGGTGAGAGTGTAACTGTATCCCATTGTGGAACTGCCATTCTACAGAATGGACATTTGTCAAGTTTCCCGACACATTGTCTGCAGAATAGTTGTGTACATTGATTCAGTGATTGATGTTCGACCGGATCGATCAACGGACAATAACAAATAGGACATTCAATTGCTTCATTATCTGTTTCACCATCATAACTAAATGGCTATAGTATTGTAAAATTAACAACAATATAATAGTTAATTAATAATCGATATGATGCAAATATAGATATATATATCCTTACCAATTCACTATCTTCATCCATTTCTAATTGTAATTTATTTATTTCTTCTTTTATTGCTTTTATTTAATATTTAATTCTAAATAATATATATAATAATATATATTCAAGATAATAAAAATAATTAATAATAAGCAAAAAGATGAATTTTGCACATTTAACTTTTTCAAAATTGTTTTTTTTGGCTGTGGGTAACCGAAATTCGATCAGATTGTAACCTTCTATTTTAATCAGATTGTAAGAATCATAATCATTCTTTTATTTTTTTAATTAAACTATTATTTTTTTTTTTTGGGAGAGAATAACTTTTGAACAACACTTCATTGCAGTTCTAACAACTTTTGAATTGTTTATTTTTCTGATTTTTCAGGAATTATATAAAGTATTTGCAATAATAATAATTATAGTCTGTGTTGGTATAAATCAGAGTTAAATAAACAACAATGATGTACAATAGAATATTGAATTTAGAGAGTCAAAAATCTAAACGTTTCAGATATAAATGTTAATATTAGAATTAAAAAAAAAATAAAGTATTTTTTTTTATTTTAACAACTTTAATGAGTTAACTTTATATTCATTAAATGTGTGGAATCTTGGAAGTGGTTTCAATGATGGGTGAGGAGGAGATTGATAGTTTTGGAATTGACCAGAGAAATTGAAGAGTAATAACCATAGTGAATCATAATCTTTTTCCAAAAGTATCTTCCAAATGTCGACTGTGGTTGATTGGAAAGATTCAGGTTGTGTGGATGACAAGTATGGAAGAGTCAGTCTGGCCACCTCAATCAACTGTTGTTGATTCAATTTCAGTGTTTGGATGATGACCAAAAGTGAATCGAGAATAATACTCTGAATCTTGAACGAAGGTGTAAACTTCATAGATTTAGCTGCCATCAAATCTTTAGTCTCTGTAATTGGTGTAATCAAAGGTTGTTGTTGCTTTGTTGACTTTGCTGTTGTTGAACTACCCGATAGTTGTTGATTCTGTTGCTGTTGTTGATTATCAGATACAATATTAAATGATATCTTTGATGACTCTCTTTGTTGTTCACTACCACCGTCCAACAATGATATTGCTGTTGTTGTTGATGTTGTCGTTGTTGACTCTCTCTGTTGTTGTTTTAGTTCACGTTGAATTATCTTTTTGAGAATAGGGAATAGATCTGTCCAGAATCTCTGTGCGATGAAATCCTTTGAGAGTTTGGTGATGCTCTGTATGAGTTCCAATGCACGTTTGCTTGTGGCGCGATCATCCGTTTGTTCGATACGCTTGATGATAGACGGCCAAATACTGTGAATCAGCGGGAACAACGCCACCTTTGGTTTCTTATCATTGGCAGTGACAGGATTGACACGTGGTGTTTTCTTTAAATCATCACCTGATAGCGACATATCATCTCCATCTGTTTCCACTTCTTCTTCCTGCTCATCTTCATCACCACCATAGTTTCTATTACCGGTGGAAACAATCAGTAGTCCCATATCCATAATGTCAAGTGTTGCCATCTTGATAGCTCTGCTTCTGGAACCCAAAAAATGCTTACATTTGTGGATGATGTCACTCAGTAGCTGTCTCTGAGTCTCTGTAGTTGTTTTGAATTCATCTTTTCCAACAGCAGCTTTCCTACTGTTCCGCTGTTTCTGTAGCTTGGCAATAATAGCTTCTTTCTCCTTTAGTGTTGTAGCACCACCCCAATAGTTATGCTCTTGTTCATTCAATTGTTTCTGTTGATGATGATTCATAAAGAATGACTTTATATCACTGATTGATGATGAATTAGATTCTTTCATATTATCATCTAAATCCATCATCTTCTCTTCTTCTCCATCTCTTTGTTGTTGTCTTTGTTGTTCTAAAAGTTGTTGTTGATTTTGATTATATTCAATCTCCAATTTCGAATTGTTATATAATACTCTAATGATATTATACAATATCTTTATGAAAATGATTATACTCTCGCTATTCTCTGTCGATACATCCAATGAGAATAGAATAATCTCCACCGTATCCTTGAGGAACGGAAGAAATCCCATACCAGTGATATTTAAAATACCTTCGAATACATTAGGTGTATTAGGATATGAATGTAGATATTTCATATTACTCTCTAAATAATAATTAGTTAAATATTAAAGTTTGTTAGTTTTATATTTTTTGCTTTTGTTTTATAATGTTTAGTTTTTTTACGAACCTATTTTATCTAATAAATAATCAGAATTCTTATATACGATATCTTCTAGTGAATCATAGTTGAACAGAGATGTAATGTTATTCAATGCCAATCGGCAAGATCTCATAAGAATTCCAGTTGTGTCGTGAGAAGCAACACCAAACTTCTCCATCAAATGATATAGTACTTTACTAATAAACAATGTTTGATGTTTCTCTAAATAGATAGATAGATAGATAGATTGTTTGTTAATAGCTAATTCTTTTATATATATCTGTTATTTATAATAGATACTTACTATTCTTTAAAAGTGGTGCCATTGATCCTATACCTTCGATTATCAAAGATTGTAATATTGTATTATCTAAATATTGTTCAAAATACTTATTATTATTATTATTACTGTTATTATTGTTATTGATATTAATTGTATTATAATCATCTGATGGATTGGATATTGGTAGATTCATTAATTCTGGCTCCAAATATTCATCTAATAAATACATGATTGTTGAGAAATCAATTGGTAATTGTTGTTGTTGTTGTTGTTGTTGTTGTGTTGAACCAATCATTAATTGATTCATTACGAGTATGATCTCCTTTCTCAATGGTGATCTAGATAGAGTTGAGTTCGAGAGTAATACATCGATCCAATTGGTGAGTGCAATCGACTTGGCAACCTCTCTTATTATCTCAAATATCCAATGTTCCAACTGTTCTGTTTGTATATGAATATATGGACGTACTAGCTTATTACTAACTTCCATTAAACGTTTATTACTACTACTATTATTACTATTTCTATTAAATGGATTGTCGCTAACTACTTTCAATGTTTCTTCTAATGACTTTGATGCTTTACTTATCAAGCTATTGCTATCATCTTCATCTTTCTCACCACTCGAAGGTAACTTCATCTCCAACAACTGCAATAAAACAGTTGATATCAACTCCATTCTAACATTTAAAAAGCTATCTAAACTATTGGTATCGATCGTTTTAATATAGGATAACACCAACTTGGCAATCGCTTCCTTCTTCTCCTCCTCTAGAATCTTATGCTCCTCGGTTCCACATATCAATCTTGGCATTGCTTGAACTAGATGATTGAAATTCTCTAATAGCAAAGATTGTATATCCATTCCATTCTGTTGTTTTAGAATGGACAATCTGTTTCTAGCAATGGTCGATACTTCTTCATAGTCATCTAGCGAGTACCATACCAATGTCTCCAAGAGAATCGGTAGAGTGGAGTGTAGTGATGGCACCATAATCAAACGTTCTGCACATTCGACCAGTGCAACCTTCATACTCCACTTTAGCGGAGTAGACATGAAACCACCATAGTTGAATCGTTGTTGTTTCTGCTTATTACTATGCATAAACTGCTGTTCCAACTCTTGTCTCTGACTATCAATATCCACATTCCTCAGCTTTGAATAGCTATTTGAATGTGGAAATATTACACTTATAAATTTAAATATATTCTTTTCCGATTGTGATAATTCCATTGACATTCTTGTTGTTGTTGCTGCTGGTGGTGTTTTTGTTGTTGTTGTTGTTGTTGTTATCTTATAATCATCTGTTAACATATCATTAATATCAAAATTACTATTACTATTGTTGTTGTTATTGGTAGTAAAAGCAGATACAATTAAATTTGTAAATAACTTTAGTGATTGTATTTTTATGTTGGTTCCAAGTTTGTAGTCAGAGATGATAAGCTTGAATAGAGTTGTGGAGGTGGCGGGTAGGATGCTTTCAACGATCGGTTGTTGTTTGTTGTTGGTGAGCAGTGGATTCAAGATGACTTCCAGTGTGTGAGTGACTGTCAATTTGCTGTTTCTAGAGATCGACTTGGCAACTAATAGATCCAGTAGCGTAGATATAGAGAATGCCAAAGTAATAAAGATTTCACCTTTACTATCGATGGCAGTCTCCATCGATTTACAAACAGGTGTCCACCATTGATAAACAGATCTAATACAATCCAGCAATTCAATTAAATATTCTTCCGATAAATTATATTGTATTTCTGATTTTTGTTGTTGTTGTTGCTGTTCATTTTCAAGATTATTATTCTTTCTAACTATTGAATTAAATATTATATTACATAATAATTGAATTATCTCTACGAATTGTCTTGTTTGTGGTAAATATAAAGGTTGTTGTTGTTGATTATCCAAGTTGTAATTCGATAGTTTTGTTGTAATTAAATTGAGCAGTTGCAAAGATTGACATTGTATGTTATCTCTTGAGATGATGATTCTTATCGTTTGATTATTTACTTTGTTTGGTGATAATAACAATACAATTGGTATATACAAATAATCTAATAGTAGTGAAAGTGGTTTTGGTTCTGTTTGATCTATCTTCTCATAGAGTGATTGAAGAAGATTAGTTATCTCTGTTGTAATTGTTGTTTGTTCATTATTATTATTATTATTATTATTGGTTGTATTTATAGATTGTCTTGTTAATAGAGTTACAAGAGAATCACACAATGGTTTAAATTTTGAGAAAACAAGACTAAACAATGTACGATCATTACTTGATAACTCCATAATCACTATATATTAATATTATATCTTAATCTGTTTTAATTTAATTTTGCAGATCTTAAAATTAACCCAAAATGCAATTGTTTTTTTAACTCAGTTAACATCATCCATTTTTTTTGTTTACTTACATTCATTCACTAAATTTAGAAGTTCATTGTTCTAGAATAATATTACAATAAAATGAGTGAAGAAACAATTGAATCTTTACAGCAAAGGGCTATGCAAAATAGCAATGTAAGTAAACTATCTATCTACTGTATCATTATTAAAGTATTTTACTGACATTGTTGTTTATCGATTGCTTTATTTTTAGCCTGAACAACAACAGAGAGCAGAACAACAAAGAAGAGAGAATGAAGAAAAAAGAAAACATATATTAGCACAGATTTTGACACCTGCTGCAAGAGAGAGATGTATGAATGATAGATAAGGATAGATATAGATATTTAGAAATGTTAAACCTTTATAAACTATTTGCTAATTTTTATTATTATAATTAATAGTATCAAGAATAGCAATGGTAAAAGCAGATAAAGCACGTCAAGTTGAGGATATGATTATTAATGCTGCTCAAACAGGTCGTTTACAAGAGAAAGTCGATGAACCAAAGTTGATATCTTTATTAGAGCAAATCAGTGAAAAAGCAACTAAAACAAATATAATTGTAAGTGTTTTTATTATAATACCCTTTTATTTCATTAACTTATTCTTTCTATTATTATAATCAATCATAGATGAAGAGAAGAACTATCGATGATGACGATTAGATTTAATTATAAATATAAAAAACAAAAACAGAATAAAAAAAACAAACTTAAAAATATTTAATTAAAACAATATTGTTTAGTTATTGTTATTGTTATTTTATTATTGTTGTTGTTGTTTTTTGTTACATAATTATTCGAGATAATTAGAGTAATCTGTTGATAGTTGGTAGAATTGAAGCATCTACGGTTTGGTCGTTGGTCGGAATGACGCTGTTGTCAAAGAGGAACCACTTTTCTGTGAGAGTAACCGATTGCTTTGGTTCGAGGAGTGTTAGCGGGCCAACTGTTTCCAGCTCGAGAATGTCAGGTGATAAATAACACTCTACGTTGGCACCTAGATCGACGTTGAGATCTTTGGTTTCTCTATCGATCAACTTGACAAACAAGGTATCGGAATTCACTGCACATGTCCAGCCGTTGTTGACACGTGCGCCAATCTTGTTGGTAGTGGTAGCCGTCGGTTGCTGTTCGACGACGATATAGCGATTTCCGAGTTTAAGACGACTGTCTGTAAGTTTTGTGTAGTTCCACAGCGAAACGGAAGTTCGCGGTTGCAGTCCACTCGGCTCGTCGTGCGACAGTGGAATGACGGCGGTGGTGTGTGGCGCCATCACAGTGATTGCCCATGGCGCCAACTCATATGGCCAGCGTCCGATATTCTCAATGGTGTGCTCGACTTGCAGTGATGGCACGGCTTGTCCGCCGTTCGTTGGAATGTGATCGAGTGCTCGGATCTCAATGGTTTTCTTCAGGCTGTTTTCCAGCTCGTCTGGCGACACGAACTTCACGCTACGTCGGTCAGCAGCAATCTCAATGGCGACACTGAAATTATCTGGGAAGTAGGTTCTTGGCGATTGCTCGGGTGCGCTCCACAGCCTGTGTCCTCCATAGAGTTTCCATTCGGTGCCACCAACTTGACCGGCATCTGCTTGTGCCACACCCATCAATTCCTGTGACAAATGCTGATTGTTTACTTTTCTCAACGAAATAATTCTGGGACCGACATCAGTGGTAACTATACACTGTAAATTTTGATATTGAATTCTATAGCAATTCTTCCAGCCTAAATATCCTACCTTTTCAACAAACATATTTACACTTAAATTTAATTTAAAATTAATATTAAACTTAAACCTTTTTCAAAATAAAAAAATGATTGTGGTGGTTCATTTCGGAATCAAGCAAATCAAAAACTAAGTTCCGAAAAAATGAAAAAGTTGAAGTTCGGAATATATTTATTTTTATTTAAACTATTTATATATCTTTAATAAAAATATAATGTATTTTTTGTTATATGATTCGATGTTTGTCCTATTCTTGAATTATAAATTGAATTTGAATAATTTATATTTGATTGATTATTTGAACCTCCGGAAATGTTTGATATACTATTTAAAATATCAGAGTTGGAGTTTGAAAATAAGGATATTAATGAGTCTAAAGAAAAAAAAAGAATAGTTAGAATAAATTTAAATATTTATAGATTCTATTTTAAAAGTTTTACTTACTTAAGATTGTCATTTTAAGGTAATAAGTATTTAGTTTAGATTTAAAGTTAAATTATTTAGTATAGAAGTTTTAGTTTTAAAAGTATTTATTAATATTTTAATGATTTAGACAATTGATATTTATATAGTAGTAGGTTAGCGTTCGCCAAAGTAAATCTGAAATTTAAAAAATATGGTTGTTCAAACTGTACCATTCAATCTACAAAAGTTTACTTAAAACAAATACAACATCATCATAAAATTAAACTGTCATTTTATTTTTTAATAAGTTATATAATTCTTTAAAGATATACTAGGCACATCACACCCACAAGTGACGATTTCAACTACTAAAATCTAGATAGATATTGACTCCCCTACATATACTTATTAAGAGTATGATGGCATGAATACATATTTATAGTGGATGTTAAAATCAATGAAAACATTAAAAATTATCCATGGATGATCATTGATGTATCATTTAAATTTTAATACTTTATGGTTTTAGATCGTTCTTGTTATTGTCGTTATGCTGTTTGAGATTTTTTTTATTTGTTCATTTTAAAAGTGATCAACATATGTTGAAGTTGACGTTTGAGAAAACGACTAATTTAGATCATTGTAAATTTAAAAAAAAAAACACAGTATACACTCTTCTATTATGGTTATATAACAATTTTTAAATAATGATGATAAGTGGATAACCTATTTATTAGTTGAAAGTTCAATATTGAGCCAACCCCAAAAACAAACCACATAAACACAAAACAATCTATTCTTATAACCCACAAAATTATATATATCAACAAAAACTAATTTAATTACACCAAAAAAATAAACAAATTAAGATTAAGATAATTGATTGACAACTTCATACAAGATTGTCTGAGATTAAAGATAGATTAACCTTTATGAATGGTATGATACTTCTTGTTAAAAAATATATGTGGTTTATTCTCCCACAGCTGTCACATTAATTTTTTTTTTAATGGGGTTTAACTTTTTTAACAGTTAAAAAAATTGTTTTTGTATTTTTTAATATTATCCTTTATAAGAGTAGGATATGATTCATTGACCACCCTAAAAAGAAAGTGATTCATTCAAGTTATTTTATCTTGACATTTAATTTTAATCAATGGTTCCAAAACAATTATGATATTTTTTTTTTTAATTTTGTTATTTTTAATTATTCATTTAATTTAATATATGAAAAAAAAAACTAATAAAAATTTTGAAAAAAGGAAATCTTAAGATTACATTTGTAGATCAACCCTTTCCAATATTACAATAATCTTGTAGTTTAGTTACTTTACTTTCCAAATAAATATAATCCAAATGACAACATCTTAGGATTTCCTCCAAAATTTTTTTTTTTTCTATTTAATTTAATATTTAAAGTTGTACCCGTTGAAAGGTAAGGGTCAAATTAATCAAAGTAATAAGACTCTTCGTAGGCAGGGCATATTTAATTCATCTTATATTGATTCTGAAAACACCTCAATCATTGAATGAAAAACGTGCAAAAAAATAGTATCAATAGTGAACTCAAATTGTGAAAAATGCAATCATATCTGTTTTATTGATATCTAGATCATGATCATATTATGGTTGGTGTACCTTTTTTGTAACAAAAAAAAAAAAAAAAAAAAAAAACGGGTCCTTTTGCCAAAAATATTTTTTTCGTTATTTCAGTTCTGAAAATTTATTTTAATTTTCTTTACAGTAAATAATATTTAAAGATTGAATTAAATTTAATTTAGATGCTTCTGAATCATCTTTGAAGCGAGATGAAACGAATCCATCTGGACGTACTAGAAGCATACCACTTGTTGTGATACCAAAGTCGATGGACCAATCGATACCGGAATCGTCAAAGTCTTTTTGTGCAACAACAACTTTCAGTGGAGTGGATGATCGATCTCTTAGTAGTTCATCGGCCACAAATTGCCATCTACTCTCACCTCCAACAATTAACAATGATTTCCTATAGTCTATTAGATCCAAAGTTGAGATTATCTTTGTTTCCTCTCTTTGTTCTTCGCCATCATTCTCCACTTGTTCTTCATTGTTTTGATTCGATAGTTTTCTAATGAGTTTATGTGGAACTCTTGTACCGGGTCGTCCAACAAGATCACGAGTTTGTTCATCGACTTGATCAAATCCATTCTGTTGATTGTTGAATGATTTCGAGCGGTATCCATAGCCAAGGATGAGATATGGAAATACCTTGAGAATCATGGTTGGCACTGTTGTGATACCATTCTGAATCAAACCACGAGAATCGTTGAAACTACCGGCGAGTGATGCTAGTTTGGCAGCAATTGGGTGTCTCTCATCTTGATATGTTGCCAACAACGATGGTTCAGCTTCTCCTCGTAAGATGGCTGCCAACTTCCAAGCCAAGTTATGTGCCTCGGCAATGCCAGAGTTTGCACCAAAGCCACCCCAAGGCGGCATATTCTTGGCAGAGTCACCCACTAGTATAATACGATCGACAACCAATTGTTTTGCAACTCTTACTCTAGACCACCATGGTTGCGATCCTTTCAATTCAATTTGATCCAAGTTTAGATTGAATTTTTTGGCAACAGTGACATCGAAATCACCAATTGCATACTTGATACACTGAATACATCGTTCACGTGGGTAGTCAGCAATGGTTTCACCCTCGGCCATCGCTACGTGAAGCACCCAAAGATCGCTATTGTTAATCGATGCGAAGAGACCTCTGACCTTCTCGTTCTCCACCAACACCATACTGAATTCTCTGCCAACCACCAACTTTGAGAGATCACATCTAAAGAAGATATTCAATTGCTGAGACAACACACCAACTCCATCCATTTCGATTTTCAACGCAGTTCTTGTCGGACTGTTTGCACCATCGCATGCCAACATGTATTTACTTTTAATCTCAAACGTTTTACCATTGACATCTCTTGATTTCAATGTTGCAGTTACACCATTGCTATCTTGTATGAAATCCACACACTCTGTATTGAAATGAATCTTCAATTCTGAGGAATCCGATTGTTTCGCTCTGGTGAGTGCATGCTGAAGTAGAATTGGTTCAGCCAAATCTTGAGTACATCTTTGTAGTCCGAAAGGACTGCCTTGTTTGTAATATCGAATAACATGACGCACCAGTTTCATCAGTGAGAAAGCAATCGCTCCCATGATCAGTGAAAAATAGATTCCAGGCAGTAGTTTAAAGAGTAGGAAGAACATCACGATGAGAATCAGTCCGAAACCGAAAGATCTTAGCTTTAGAGTATGAGAACTCATAACCTCGAGCAGAGTCCTACCGGAATAGATTCCTTTCGACAAACCGATTGCACTGCCCGCCTCGGCAATCTCCTTGTCCACACCGAGCTCGTGCCAAATCTCCATGGTTCTCGCATTGAAGCCACGCGAACGAGGATGAACATTAGTCGATTGATGTTTCTCCACCAATATACAATCGATACCTTGTCTTTGTAATAGTAGTGCCGATGTAAGACCAACAATTCCACCACCAACAATCAACACCGATGTTGTAGTAGTCGATTCCAACTCCCCATCTTTTTCTTTGACAATAGTCATTATTTTTACGCCAGTTGAATATATATTTTAGAGAAAAGATTTCAACTTAATTTTCGATATTTTTTAATAATAAAAAATGGAAACGAATGTTTTGATATTAAAAATAAATAAATAGTAATACAAATAAAAATTAACTTTAGTAAAATTTTTGTTTTGCAAATAACTATTTTAGTTTGTTTATTTATAGAAAGGAAAAAATCGAATTTATGCCTGCAAACTAATTAAAACGTGTATTCATAACCCATTAATTAATTGATTCATTGATTTCCTTTACCAATGTAACCGTGTGAGTAGTAAATTTGTTTTGTTGTTTTTACAAAATGATTATTATTATTATAAATATAAATAATTTGCATGACTCATTTATTCATAGACAATTGAAAAAACAAAAAAGGTCTAAAATTCAAAAACGTTTGATATTTAAATTAATGTTTGATTGCAAAAGATCGATCTTTGTTGATTGTTAACCCCAGAAATTTTATCATGTTTCTTATTTTTCTGAACAAAATTTATTTTTTTTTGCAAAATTTTTAAAAAATATAAATAAAATTTCTTTTCTTTGTTCATCAATCCCACCAAACAAAGAACCAACTTAAATCAATACTTTAATTTTTCATTTTTATTTTAATTTTAAACTTGTTAGTCAGTTTGATAAGATATAACTTGAAGTAGCTCTATCTTATCTTTATATATATATATATATCTATTTTTTGTTTCATTTATCTTTTAAAATAAATAAAAGTAAAAAAGTAATAAAGACAATTTGCATTTTAAATGGACACAACTGAAGATATTAGTGATTTAGTATGTATTTAAATTCTAATTATATATTAATTATTGAAATGATTAATTAACTATTATATTGTTGTTAATTATAAAATACTATAGCCATTTAGTTATGATGATGAAACAGATAATGAAGCAATTGAATGTCCTATTTGTTATTGTCCGTTGATCGATCCGGTCGAACATCAATCACTGAATCAATGTACACAACTATTCTGCAGACAATGTGTCGGGAAACTTGACAAATGTCCATTCTGTAGAATGGCAGTTCCACAATGGGATACAGTTACACTCTCACCTGCCACACTCAAATTCTTATTCAGACCACTCGGTGAATTAAAAGTCACTTGCAAAGTATGCAAGAAATCAACCACCAGAAAGGAAATAATCAGTCATGTTGAATCATGTTCAATCGGTATCTATCTATAGAATCTAATATTAATCATAATCATACCTTTACGATCTATATATAATATTTACTAATATAACATAATACTATTATCTTATCTATAACTATAACACAGTTTTACCAAAAGGATTTGTACCAAAAGTTGAAGATACACCCACAAACAACAACAATTCTTCATCTAAGAATTTACCATCGATTATCAATCCACTTTTTGATTTAACAAGAAGAATGTTTGGAAGTGCTAGTCCAACAAACGCCAATAATGCTACAACTTCTAATAATAGCAATAGCTCAAATTCTGTTTCGACAAACTCAAATAACAGTAATAGTAATATGAATAATAACTCTAATTTCAATAATAATAATAATAACAATAATAACAACAACAACAATAATAATAATAATAATAATAATAATAATATATAATAATAATAATAATAATAATAGTAATAATTATCCAGCTGTACAATATAATATTTCGACAAATGCATCAAATTTAAATATACCACCATCTTCTACTATTCAAATGTCTAGTTCACCAATTTCAGGACCACCATCTATTATAAATACACCATCGATGACGATAACATCAACATCAACACTATCACAACAACCATCAGCACCACAATTGCAAGATTTACAATATCAATCACAAATCAACAGTCCCTACTCACATTTGGCACCTAAACCAACAGGCGGTCCATTGCCACCACCATCATCAAAAGATTACCCATCGATGTTCTACCCACAGCAATCACAACTACCACCACAACAAACAACACAACCATTACAATATATGCCACAGCCAAATGGTGCAGGCTACTATCACTACCCACCACGACCATCGACCTACATGTTTGGTCAACCAATCTATCAGAACTCACCCTATCAATACCCAATGCAACAACCACTTCCACCACAACCATCGAGTTACTTCTACAACTATCCATTGGCATCCTCACAACAACAACCACAACCAATGATGTCATCGACCATTGGCTCACCTATCACCATCACGACAACAGCCAATCCCAATGGAAAGGTTCCACTGCAAACCAAGAATTCGATTCCACCCGAATTCCAACATATGTACTTTAACACTATGGCACCGAGAGACAAAGAGACATTCTCACACAAATCATTCCGGACTCCACTGCAACTGGAGATCTACCGAAGTGTAACATTCAACGAGGTCAGATTTGACGGAATCAACATAAACAGTTGTCAGTTTATCGATTGTACCTTTACCAACTGCTATTTCATTGGTACCTGCTTCACCAATACCACCTTTACCAATTGCAAGCTCAGTAGTAGTGATATGAACGGCTCTGCTCATGTAAAGACACACTATATCGACAGCTTCATAACCAATATCAACTTTTTCCAATCGAATTGCGGATCCAATATCTTTGCACACTGCAAACTGACCAATGTCAACTTTTCACGATCGAATCTCACAGGAACACTCTTTAAATATACGAAAATATCGAATTCCAATCTCACCAATTGTTGTTTACTCCAAACCAATTTCCCCAACTCAAGATTACTACACACCAATCTCACTGACTCTGAAATATCATCACATTCATTTGCACAAGTCAAACGTCAAGTTGGTACCATCAACAAAGGTTTAAAGATTAAATAAATACCTTTTTTTTGCTTTAAATAAATAACTATTATCTATCCAATTACTATTCTATTAATATCTTTATAATTTGGATTTTGAAACTAGTTTAAGAAATAATTTATTTAGATGTAAGTAATAAACAATTACTAATTCATTTAAATTTAATGTTTGATTCGGGAAAAAAAAGGATTTATTATTATTTATAATTTTGAATATTTTAATTGACTCCACCTTCGTATAATGGATTGTTACCAGAATTTGGAGAGTGTTCGTACAATGGGTTACTAGAGACGGAACCGTCAGAGAATGGTGAGTCACCGAAGAAGGCATCAGTTGGTGGAGCACGTGCCTTGAGGACTCTCCAGACACCGAGGGCAATGATGGCAGCGGCAACAGCAGCGGCAGCAATAGCGGCGGAAATAACAACAGTCTTGTTACCACCTCCATTACCTGGTGCAGTTACAATGATGACTGAGGTCTTGGTGTCGCTCAATTGATCAACGCTATTGTAGATGTTAAGAGTACGGATGTATCCGAGATCGTTAACGTATACTACTAATGTGTAGTTACCAGACTTGGTGAAGGAGGCTGTCAACGAGCTCAAATAGTAGTTGAGGAGATTGTTGGTGCTCAAACAAGTGATGGAAGTGTTGGTAAGAGTTGAACAGGAATCGGCACTGGCGTATTGCATGTAGATCGATCCGGTGGTGGCGAGTTCACCAGTGGCAGAGTCAGTGAGGTTGACAGTTATTGTGATGTTGTTGGTGTTACCGAACGATTCGAAATCGTAGACAGAGACATTGTTAAAGGCGAATGAGAGTTTGTTGCTGGCGTATTGGACGGTTTGGTTGAGTGTTACAACGGGTGGAACATTCTTAGGGAAAACATCGACTGAGATGGTCTTGCTGCTTGACAAGTCCTTCTCGTCGTAGGCATAGACCAAGAGAGTAGCGAATTTCTTACCGGATCTACCGAGTGGGGTTTGATACAAGACACTCCAGAGACCGTTGGAGGAACGGCTGACTTGTTGATTGGTACCAGAGATGAGAGCACCCTTGACACCATCGACATATTGGAAGAATTGACCTCTGTTGAGTGGAGTGGTGACATTGCTGGTGAGAGTAGCCCATGGCAAATCTTCAGAGGTGACATTCCAGGTGAGAACGGTTGAACCGTTGGTCAATACTTGGGCGATACCATTTTGGATTGGGGTAACAAGTGCGTCTTCCTTGGTGTAGGTCAATGGGATGACAACTGGAGCAACGAATACTTGGAGAACGGTAATGTAGACAGTGTAAACCTTGGAGGTGAAGTTTTGAGCCAATACAAATTGGAAGCTATCCAAATCTTGACCAAAGACACCTGGTGGTGGGTAGTAGGTGAATTTGTATGGTGAGGCACCTCCACGTTGCAAACCACTCTTGGTGATGTTGATATTAGAGGTTTCGTTGAAGTGGTATACCAATTCACCCTTACGAGTGTAGGAGAGAATTTGAATCATGGAACCAACGACGTTGGACTCTGTGAACATGAGTGGGAGTGAAACGTTCTCATAGGTGGTGAAGTTAAGTGGACCATTGTATGTTGGGAAGATAACTTGATCGACATAGAAGTTGAGTGGGTATGAGATTGAAACTTGTCCACGGTGAGATAAGACTTGGTAGTAAACAGTCTCGACTGGACGACCGTAGATACCAGCGTTTGGTGCGTATGTGACAGATGGGTTGGTGACATTGGTGGTAGTTGAGGTGATGTTGTTACCGTTGGAGTCAATGAAGACACCATAGAGTGGGAGTGAGAGGAATTGGAAGAAAACGGTCTCACCTTCACAAACGGATCCACCAAGAGTGAATGCAACTGGAGCGTCTTGGAGGGTGACAACGTCTTGAGTTGCACCGACTGGAGTGGAATAGGAGTAGTCGAACAAGATATTACCGGTGGTGTTACCACACTTGATGTTGGTACATGAGGTGATTTGGTAGGTGTCGGCATAACCAAACTTGATGTCATTTGACAAGAAGGTGAGGGTGTTCTCCAATTGATCGATTGGGAGTGGGAATGGAACGGCTACAATCTTTTGTCCCTTGTAGTAGAAGAATCCCTTGGTTGGGAGGACAGTAAGAGTGACATTGTAGAAATCGACTTCGTTGATGTTGGTAACAGTCAAGTTGAATGGAATTGAGGATGGTTGAGTGAGACAATCACCGGTGGCGACAATAGTTGGTGGATTGAAATCAATGATTGGTGGGTAATCGACCTTGTTGATGGTGACTGCAACTGGGACAATGTTGGAGGTGATACCATTGTCATCGACAACGTAGTATTGGAAGCTGTCAGTACCAAAGATGTTTGGTGATGGTACATAGATGAACTTGGTTGGAGTAGCCAAAGAGGTATGGTTGACAATGCTACCACGTTGTGGTGGAGTTGAGATGACGACAGTGAGGGCGCCATTGTATGCTGGCATATTTGGATGTGAAGCGGTGAAAGTGTATTCATCGGATTGTCCGTTTTGGTCGGTAACAATTGGACCAACTGGGTTGGCAACTGGTTGATAACTTACAACACTACCAGAGACAACAATGTTGAGAGTCTTGCTGTCAGTTTTACCAGTGGAATCGGTAACCAAGAGAGTGATGCTAACACCAGAGTATTGTTGGTTAGATGCCTTGTAGGTAAAGAATGAGCTGGAGGTGTGAGTGGCAGCAACATTGAAGCTACCGAGGGCTTGGTTGACAGTGTTGATGGTGACATTGTTTTGATCGTAGAAAGTACCGAACGATGGAGTGACAGAGGTAACGGTAACAGTCAATACTTCATTGAAGTCGAGATCGGAAACGGTGAATGGAATTGACTTGTTGACATCTGGGGTGATGGTGATGGTGTCGGACAATTGAAGAGTTGGAGCAACTCCAACACGGTTGACAATCAAAGTAAGTGGACATTGTACACTCATTCCGAATTGATTTACAATAGTGTAGGCCAATGGAACGTTGGCATTATCAGTGGTGGCCAATGGAGAGAATGTAACTGCAGCTGGGACAACGAGTTGGTCAGTGGTTTGGATTTGTTGACCGTTGTACAAGAGTGAACCAACAGTTGACAAACCTGGGAAGGCAGTGATTTGGGCAGTGACAGTTCCTGGGGCTGAATCTTGATCGGCACCAGTAAGAGTGAATGGATAGTTTGTCAATTGGTCAGTGGTGATGGTTACTGGTTGACAGGTTGGTGGTGGATGGATAGTGGTGAAGTTGAAAGTGACAGGGGCAGTCTGAGTGAAACATAATTGTGGGCTGTAGTTGTCACAGACCTTGATAGAGTACGAGGAGACGAAATCGTGGTTGATGGCAACTGGGATAGTGTAGATAAGGTCGAATGTGGTAATGACAGTACCTGCGGTAACAGCAACACCAGATGCAGCAAGAGAGAAAGCACCTGGAGTTGGGACAGTCAAAACGGTTACAGTGAGAGCATCACCGGCATCAACATCTGATGGGACAACTGTGAAGGTTTGAGTTGGGGTTTGACCACCGGTTTGACCGTAGAGAGCCAAACTTGGGAGAGTGATAGTTGGGGCATGGTTGACGTGGTTAACATTCAAGGTAACTACAACTTGGTTGGATGAAGCACTGAGAGAATCTTCTAGGGCATAGGTGAATTGATCTTGTCCGTAGAATCCAGTGTTTGGTTTGTAGATGACATTGAGTGGAGCGTTGTTAAAGTTGTTCAAAGCTGAACCGTCTGGGTTGGTCAAAACACCGGATTGTGGGGAATTGATAATGATGACACTGAGGGTGTTATCGTATCTTGGTTGATCTGGATCGGAACCGTTGAGAACCATGGTGGCAGAGACATCGTCTTCATTCAATACTTGAGTTGGGATTGCGTTGGCAATTGGTGGATGGTTGACACGTGGACCAGTGACGGCAATGGTGACAGTCTTGGTATCGGTACCACCAAAGTAATCGGCAACTTGGATGGTGAAGGCAATGTTGTTCTCGTTGGCGTTGATAGCAGCATAGTAGATATTGGCAGATGCTGAGTAGACACCGGTGAGAGTGTAGGTACCGAATTGGTATGGAGCAGAGTTGATTGGACTGTTGTTATTGTCATAGAATTTACCACTGGCTGGACTGATGCTGGTGATATTGACCTTAAGAATATCTTCATAACTGGAAATGGTGAATGGAATAGTCTTGGTGGTCAATGGAGTCATGGTTTGCGAGGTGACAATGCTGATGGTTGGTGGCAAGTAGAGACGGGCAACTGTGATTGTCAAAGTACAGATCTTGGAAAGAGTGGCTGGATTAGTGACAATGAATGAAGTGGAGTATGGACCGTTGACAGCTGAGTTCTTTGGAACAAAAGTGAAGTTCGATGGGCTTGGATAGTTGGTAGAAGCAACAGCTGGTTGACCGTTGTACATAATGGTACCGATGCTAGCGAGTTGAGCAATGGTCGAGGACAATTGGAGGTTGAGGCTCAAACCGTTGAACTCTGTTCCAGAGAGGGTGAAGTTGATGCTGTTGAACTGATCGGCAGTAAAGGCAACGTTGGAACAGGTTGGTGCGATATTTTGCATGTTGACGTTGATGGTCAAAGTACCGGTGGTTTGGAGACAACCGTCGGAAACGGTGAAAGTGATTTGCTCACTACCGTATTTGTAGAGCGATGGATTAAAAGTGAAATCTTTTGATGTAGGAGTAAGGGGTGAAATATCAGTCAATGCGGTGACTGGATTACCCTTGTACAACAAAGTACCAAGAGTTGGGAGCTTGGCGAAATTTACAGAGAGAACGTTGAAATCAACGTCGCTGGCCGAGACTGCAAAGGTTGTAGTTGGTGCAGTTCCAACACCTGTATTCTCATTTACGGTGATCGAGAACGATGAGGTCACTGGAGCATGGTTATATTGGATATTGATGATTTGGTGACCGAAACCTGGAGAACGGAGAGTTACAGTTGGATTGTTGTCGGTGATTGGTGCGACTGGGAATTTGAGGACGGTGGTGAAGTTGGCGAATGTTGCAGTATTGCTGGTCAACACTGGAGCAGCATTGACAACTGAACTGGTGTCACTGGCAACAAAGATGTTCATGCTGCTACCGAGTGTGCTAACCAAGTTTGGAAGTTGAGCGAACCAGTTGGAGGAAGCGGACCAATCCAAGTTGGCACCGAGCTTGGCTGGAGACAACCAATTGTAGGTTGAGGAACTACCATAGGCAAAGACACCGAGCAATACATTGTAGTTGGTCAAAGCAGCTTGGAGTTGATTCAAAGCAGCAGTTGATGGTGCAATGTTGTTATCGGTAATCAAGATGACTGACTTGATGGAGTTGGCACTTGACCAGGTCATGTATGGAATTCCTTGGGTGACTGCAGTGTATGGGAGATCTTGCAATGGTGCAGCAGTGGTGAAAGCCAATGAGTTGATGGTTGCCATAATATCAGTTCCAGTCTTCAAGTAGGACTTGAGGGTGAATGGACTGGCGGAAGCGACAGAGTCAGAGAAGGTACCAACACCATACTTGATAACTGGTCTTACACCTACCAAATTGGTGACCAAAGTTGGGAAGGAGGTTTTGAGACTGGCAAAAGTGGTTGCTGGAATCGAGGATGCTGAGGTTAAATCGAATACAAAGTAGATATCCAAAGCCAAGTTATTTGGTTGATTTATGTATGAGGGGAAGTTGACGGATGACAAGGAACCGGCAGAGAGGAAAACTTGTGAACCGGCTGGTTGCAAAATTTGTGAAGCCAAAGCAATTTGTTGAGAAATGATAGTGGATGGGTTAGACAAACTACAACGTTGGATAATGTTTTGGTTACAGGATGGACCAGTCCAACCTTGGTTGCAAGTACAGATACCAGTACCGGTAGTACCTTCCGATGGAACACCATTGACACATGGGGGAGTTACAATACAGTTTGGACCGTAACGACCTGGAGCACATTGATCACACTTTGGACCTGTCCATCCTGGGTCACATTGGCAGACACCGCCCACTGGTTGACCGTTTCCACATTGTGGCATGGTAACTTGCAAATAGAAGTATTGGGAACCACCGGACATGACGACACCTTGATTGTCCTTGGTGGACAAATTGATAATGTAGGTACCTACTGCAGAGGTATCTGGAAGCCATTGAAGAGTGACATTGGTGTAGGAACCACTGACGACTGGAGATTGACGGACAACACCAGTTGGCAAATCACCAATAGAAATTTCACAAGTTCTTCCGGACATTGGAGTATAGGCAGCCAAAACAATGTTGGAAAGAATTCTAGCACTGATTTGGAGAGTGGTACCGATGGTTGGAGTTGGGACAATAAAAGATGGTGGAGTGGCAATGATTGGTGTGTTGGTAACGTTGACAAGGAAATCAACTGGAATGTACGATGTAGTTCCAGCACCAGAGTAAGACTTGGTAACAAGGACTTGAGCACTGAAAACACCAGTCTGAGTTGGATTGAAAGTTACAATACCATTGGAAGAAATGGAGAGACCATTTGGTTGGCTACCTGCCATGACACTAGATGATGCAAGTGAGTAGGAAAGAGTAGTTTTACTTGGGTCGTTGGCTGGAATTGGGAAAATCTTTGAAGATGGATCTTGCAAATTGAGTGGAATAACTGGTAGAAGTGATGAAGTTGGTGAAACTTGTCCAGTGACACCATTCTTGAGTGGCATAATAACTTGGAGATTCCATGCACCTTTATAATTTAATAAAGATAATATTAATATTTTTAATTAATAAAAAAATAAAAACAAATAAACTATTAAAGATTACTTACCATCAGCATTGTTTACCAATGTTGACAATCTGTTTTGTCCATAGTAGTAACCCTTGATCCAGAAAATACCGCTGGTTGCAGAGAAACCTTGAATCATAGTTGCTGTAATCCAATCAGAGTTGAGATCAATATTGTTGACAACCCATTTGATGTTGTATTGGTCAGTGTCTGTTTCATCCCAGCAGAAAATGAAACAAGCTCTGTATGTATAATCGAAACTGAAAACACCGTAGGTGATGGTATCACCAACCTTGGGGTAGATGCTATTCTCTGGGAAGTAGGAATATCTGAAAGCTGCCTTCAATGTGAAGGTCCAAGCTCTATCATTTGATGTTGACTGAACCCAAGATAATGTACCATATCTAAAATGGGTTGCTATTATTTTAGGAAAAAATATATTCATATATGTTAATAATTTTTATTTAATTTTTATTTTTATTTTATTTTATTTTCTAAAATAAACCAATCAATATCTATTTTTAAATTTTTCCTTTTTGCGAACAAATTTTTTATTTGAAAAATTATTTTTGTCGCAAGATAATATCTTGGAAATTATTTTATAATTATTATATTATTTATAATTATTACATACCTGAAACATGTGAAATTAAAGTTACAAATAGTAAAAGTGTACAAACTGTGGTGAGCGATCTGCCCTCCATTTTTTTTTAATTGTTTTTTTAAAGAGGAAAAATGGATTTCTCTCTATAAATATTTATAGTTTAGTACAAAATGTCGGATATTATTATTGTAAAAAGGTGAATTGATTTTTTTATTTAAGTTTGTGAGTTGTTGGTAATATAATAAATAAATAATTAAAATAAATAAAATATTACACCTATAAAAAATTATTATATATATATTTATCTGATATATATATAACAAATAATTATAATTATTGTACAATTAAAAAAATAACAGGTTTTGTTTCAAAATGCGAAATGATAAATAAGTCCTTGGTTAGGAGTATGATTAGAAACCAAATCACTGTTTCTAATTTGATCAAATCAGAAACACGCTGATTTAAAATTAAAAATAATTGTAAAAAAAAAAAAGATTTTGAATGAAAGAACAACATTTTTTTCAAGGTTTTAGTAATCTAGATTTTTTTCATTTTTTTTTTTTAGAGAAAAATAGGCTAAAAAAAATTGATCCGACCAAATAACCACCAACAATAAAAACATGATTAGTGCGTTTTGACAATCGAAAAAACTGATAATATGTTTTTTTTTTTGTTTCGAAAAATTCCTAAACAGCAACCTCCCACTCTCTCACAGATCTACCTTTTTAATCGGTCTAAAAATTCAATCAAACTAATTTGATTTTGAAATCTCAATCGGAAGTAATGGGGTTGAAGAAAAAATCTAACTTTATGGGGGTGAAACGATGCGACAATTGTTTCAAATGCAATTGCGGTGGCCAATCACCTACCAAGTTACAGAGTCATTAATCTTTTCAAAATTGAATCACTCTTCTATTTTAGAAGAATTAACTTGTCAATATTCCTTTTTTTGATTTGTTTTTTTCATTTTGATGTAAAAAATAAACTTCAAGGTTCGCCCTCATTCACTACAAAACACCATAATATTCTAAAATGGAATTGTTGTAGGAACTGATGGTGGTGGTTGTTGTTATGTTTTTTTCTGTTTTTGATATTGTTCATTTCTTTTCACTTCATCTCCCAAAGTTTGCCCCATTACTACTGCTATCATAGCAGTGGCTGTCTCTATTTTTTTTTCTCACTCCCGATGGAACTCCGCCAACGCCTGAAGCTCTGTACCCCAACAAAAAAAAAAACTATCTCTCTTCATTCCTTTTAGAATCTAGAGTTAAATTTTAATTAAATATCTTTATAGTTTACATAAAATTTATACATGTAGTGTTACATCAGAGAAAGCAAAAATACACTGAATTCAACAGCAATGCATTTTGTGGATTTCGGAATTTGCAGCATGTGTATATCCGATTTGAACAACACGACACCAAACAAAACAATAGATAGAAATGAGATAATAAATCGATCTTTGAAAATTAAATCATTTCAGACAATTTATCAATTTAAAATTAAACACTTCATGAATTACCATTATTAGTAAATAAATAAAATCCAAATCTAATTAATTATTATTAATAAGAAATATATAAATTAAAATATCTACTCCACCAAGTACCCAAGTATTCAAATAGGAAGTCGATATGATTTATTTTTCCGGATGGTAAACCTGGTTAGAACCCACAGTTTTTTTTTTTTTGATACTTGTCCTTGCCCTTGGAAAAAAATAAAAATTCAGTTTATTTGAACTCATTTTATGCATTCTATTTAGAGAGCTGGTCCAACCATGCAAAAAAAATATCAATCGTACGTTGGAATCTGATAGGAACAATGATACTAAATAGGTTTTGGGTGGACCCAAAAACAAGATGGAATGACATTTACAACTGCTAATAGAAGAAGATCTTTTTAAGTGAGTTAAAAATTAATATGGTTTGTTTTTATGAGATTCAATTATTGAATGAGAAAATCAATCACAACATTCATAACATGGAAAATCAATCAATCAATTACAAATTGTTTGTTAAACTTATTATATATATTATTATATTAAAATTTATTTGATTTTTAAACTCTTTGAGTTGATTTTGAATCGAACCATCTTCTCAAGTACCAAATTTGACCAACACCCATACTAACCAATACAAGAACTTGGATGATTGTCCATCTAACAACTCTGGCATTTGTATTTTCAGAGGCTGATTTTATTGATTATTATTATTATTATTACAATGATTAAAGTTAGTAAATATATGTTATATATGATTGTTTAATCTCTTTAAATAATAATAACTTACTATCTCTGTTAGTTTGTTCTCTAAATCTCATTCTCTTTTGTTCCATGACGATCGATTGTAATACACGTTCAATCTTTTGTACAGATTGTTCCATTGGAGACAAAGCGTCACCCTTTACAAAAGAGTTATCAGCATCTTCGAATGACCAAGTGAATGTAACAACCTTGGCGGTGAATCTTGACATTTCATTGTTGAAACATAATTTATAAGCACCACTGGTTGCTGCTGTGAATGATTGTCTTCCTTTCATTGTTGTATCAAAGTGCAAACGTGAGAAAATAGTGTTTCCTTGTGGATCGTAAATCTATTTTTAAATTAACAAACAATTAGAAATTTATATTAATTATTAAACATTCTATCTATCTAACTATTTAACTATTTAACTATTAATGTAATCTTTAAATGTCCATCTAATCTCTAATATACTTTAATGTATATATTCCTAACATCAAAACTAATCACACCTCTTTTTTTTTTACTTTTCATCTTTACATTGTTTTTTATATGATTATTTCTTTCTCATTGAGTGATTTCATTACATACTCTAACATCAATATCTAAAAGACCACCTCTGATAACTTGGTAGAGGATGATCGATGTCTTTCCGTTCTCGACATACTCATAGAAACATTCTTGTGTCTTTGGTTCGATTTGCATAGTCAAGGCATTGACATTGACCACTGCCAAACAAAGTACGACAGCCAATAATAATGTTTGTCTAATCATCTCTTTTAAACTTTATTTATTTTTAATATAATATAATATATAAATAAATATTTAAATTAACTAACTAAATTAAATAAGCTATTTTTTTTAAAGAAAAAAAAAGATAGTGATGATCATCAAAAAAAAAAAAATTTTAACATTTTTTTTTTTCAAATTTATTGTGAAGGTGGTGGTCTATTGAGAGTCTTTTTTTATTGTTCGCATGACTCATCAAATTTAAACGTTACCCATCCACCCACTTTTGATATAATTATAAAAAATAATATAGATATTAATTTATTTGTTTATATTTATTTTTACATAACATTTCAAAGTAATGAATCTGATTTGTAGTTGATATCAAAGTCTTTGATTGAAATCGAAACATTATATTGTCTTGGTGCTCTCCAAATGGAGAGATGAGGTATACATAAAACTTCGTCATGCTCGTTGACCACAACAGGAATCAATGTTCTCGCCAACGTCGGTATCTTTAATGCTTTGATATCGTTTCCAATGAATCTTTCATCCTTTTTCGGATTATAATATCTGATTGAATGTAATCTAAGTGATTGAATTTTTTGTGTTATTGTTTTACTATTATTATTATTATTATCATCATCATTATTATTATTATATTTGTTATAATCTTTCTTTGTATTATTATTACTAATACTATTACTACTATTACTATTACTATTGTTGTTGTTATCAATAATGTTGTTATCTAATGTAGATTTTCTAAAATTAATACTTTTTGTTACTATCGATAGTTTTGAGAATTTCAGTGAATGATGTCCGAATTGAATTGGTTGACCGTCTCGGAGGTGTCGTTGTTGTTCGATGACGATGCGCTTCGCTTGTTTGGCAGAGGAGTGTGACTCTGGGTGTATGTATATATGATTCTGTTGGGTGTAGAATATGATTTGGTTGAGTGTGCGCGTTTGGCCCGAAACCACCGACCTGTAGAGTGAAGCGTAATCCTGGTGTCTGAACTTCTCATAGTCTCCATTGATAATCATCGATAGCTGGTAGAGCAATCTACATCCAATCGGTGCACTCAACTTTTTAATTCTATCTACATCGACTCTAAACATCGGCAGCTCCAAAGAAAAGCTGCTATTATACAACTCTCTGACACTCGCCATCACCTGCTCCTCAATACTATATCTAAACTCTCTAAATATCGATAAAACATTATTGAAATCTTTGAGTTGTACAATACTGGGAGATGAGTTGTTACTGCTATTGTTATTGGAATGATCATGTTGTTGTCCACTATTACCACTACTGCTACATAGTAACTTTGACAAAGCAAGTCGAATTCTGTTGCGTTCGAATGTCGTTAGGTTGTTAGCCTGATCGTGTGTGTATCGCAAGTTGTATGCATTGCACAGTCCAAACAGTTCGTCTTTACCGATGTTAAGGAGTGGACGGTAGATGCTTGCGTTGGCGAGTGGTAGCGTTGGCTGCATTCCTGCGAGACCTTCGACACCGCTACCAAACTGCAGTCGAAATATGAATGTTTCAATCTGATCGTTGTTGTTCGACCCAACAAAGATGGCATTGCTCTCGAATCGCGATGCCGCCTGACAGAGTATTTCGTAACGACGACGTCGCAGTGCTTGCATCAACGAGTTTGTGGGTGGTCCGTCACCTACCCAATCGATCTTCACAACGATATGTTGAATATCGGCATCGATCTTTCTGATATTCTCTGCTATCGCTACGATATCTTCAGATGGCGGTACCAATCCATGATCTATAGTGACTGCAACCAATGAAATTCCATGTCTATTACACCATCCTTTTAATAAAAAACATAATGCCATACTATAAACAACATCGTTACGATAAAAATAGCAATAATTCATTAGATAAGAAAGATTACAAATGCTTAAGGGTAGTGTTAATATTGTATTGTATTTACCTGTCGGCACCACCAGATACAGCGGCAATAATGAACTTATTCTTTTGTAAATCAATGTTTAGATCATTCATATTCTTAACAAACTTGTAGAGAAGTATCTCTTTCTCTTTGTCAGTTAGTGTTTTCAATGATCTTCTCTTTGTGTACTCTATCAAATCTTGATTGTTCATCTGAATGATTCTATCTTTTAGATTATTATCACTATCAATAGTGATATCATCATCGATATTTATAACATTTTTATTAATATTATTCTCAACTAACTCATTATATAATATATTTGTATTATTATCTATATTGTTACTACTATTATTACTATTATTATTTACTTGACTATATGATCTTGTATTTGATATATATTTATCATTGTTAAAACTAAAAACATTATTATTATTATTAATATTACTATAATTATATGAACTATCTTTTAATCCTCTAAAATAGGTAGATGTTGATGATGAAATAAATCTATTTGATTTAAATTGTATTGATTTAATCATTATTAACACTCATCCATCATCTTGAATGATCAATCATCCATCGATAAATTTAATCAAGTTTTTCAGTACAAATATTTAAACCAAAAAAAAAGATATTTTTTTTTAATTCTTAAGAAATAGTATGCTATTTAATATAATAAGAGAGATATATATATTTATTTCATTTTTCTCTCTTATTTATAAACAAAACAAATAAATTATATTTTAGAATGTTTTTTTATTTATTTATTATAGAATGTTTTTTTATCTGTGACTGGCAAGAGTAAAGATACCAGAACAAAGAGCCAAGAAACAAGCTACCAAAGTAGCGAACCAACCTCCACCTGGCATCCTATATTTAGTTAAATTTGAAAAAAAAAACAAGGTAAAAAAATAGAAGGAATTAGAATTTGTAATAATTAATTTTTGAAATTAATAATAATATTTACCATTTGGTATCGTCATCACTACCGTAGATCTTATCACACCAACGATCTTGACAGATGTTGATACCATTGGAATCATCATCGAAAGCCTTTGGCAAACCAAAGATGGTGAAGAAAGAGATAAACAATGTTACAATCGAGGCAATGGAGCAACCAATGCAAAGTAATTTCCAAACGCAGCTACGGCAAAGCTTTGGTGAGAGGAAAATGACCAATTGTAACAAAGCAGTACCCAATGCCAAAGCGGCACCAATTGTCAAGAATGAAAGACAGGTATTCATAATCTTGGCAACCTCACTTAATTTATTAAGAGTAATAATTGGTAAACAAGATCCATTCTCTGTATATTTAATTGTTGTTTTCTTTATTAAAAAAATAAGATGAAAAAAAATAATAAGAAATGAACAATGTTAAAATTTATAATTTATTTTTTGGCAATAACAATTTATTTTCTAATTGTTGTTTCTGTACTTACGGAATCTGAATCACCAGTGTCTTCACAGACATAGTTTTGCCATTTGAAAGTAGCTTTATTCTGATCGTCACCAAATACATGGTCAACTCTGATATCATACCAAGGCAATGCAAAACCAACTATACAGGCTGCCAAAACAGTGAGAGACAAGAAAATTCCAATCTTTAATTTCATGGTTTTAAATATATGTGTTTGTTTAGTATACAATTAAAAAATACAAGATAAATAATAAGTTATTTTTTGGTGTTAATTATTAATGATTTGATTATGAAAGTTACTACTTATTTAAAGTAATTGATTCGGACCACTCACCCACTGATCAGATTTCAAAGGTGATACAAAAATTAAAAAAAATTATAATTTAATGCAAAAGTGTTATAATTCCTTTGAAAAAATATATTTTTGCATTAAACTTGGTAAAAAAGCAAACCATTTTTATCTTAAAACAAGTCTGATTAACACATTAATATGAATCAATGATTTGAAAAAACTTTTAGATTTTTATCAAAATTGATGGAAAAAGGGCTAGACCACTCCACCCTATTACAGGACTTTTTAGATTAATTAATTTTTGTTGAGTGTCTTATTTTTTTTTTCACACAATTGGCACTTTGTTTTTGTTTGAAAAAAAATTCTTTTAGTTTTTTTTCAAAATCAAATTGGTTCTTATAAAAAGATAAACTAAAAGGAGTGCTCTGTTTGTTTTTTGATTGAGTTTTTAGAGAATCATTTGCCGTATTTGGAAACGATGGTGACATCCAACTAAACATTAACTTAACTGAGAGCATTAAGATAAAAATAATCCAAGTGCTTGACACAAATAAATGATTTGTGTGTTTGTTCAACTTGCATCTCTACAAGACAACCAACAACAATGTTAAATGTAACTTTTCTCGTACCAATACCTGTCAACATTATCCCTTAACATTTTTACATCTCATCACGATCTCAAATTTTGACAAGACGTCAAACATCACACACCGTTTTATTTTTAATTAATTAATTAAAAAAATTTAAATTTGGTTATAAATATAGAAAAGATGAAGGATTATTATGAAAGATGAAAGATTATTTATCTTTGAATATCTTTTTGACATGATTCATTTCAACCAACTCATGTCTTCTTCATTTTTTATTTGAAATTAAATACTCGAATCGAAACCCATCCCATTTTGTAATTTGTTTATTATTTCAAATTTTTAATTTAATAATAATAAATAAAAATATATTCAAAATTATAAATTAAAGTTATTATTTCTTTGATAACTTAACTTATAATTAATAAAAAGTTCTTGTGATTAAGAACTATGAGATATGCTTGTTTTGGATTATTTTCAGAAGTTCGAAATTTTTCGTTTTTCTCATGGTGTTGAAAAAAAAAAATAGGTGTAAAAAAAAAAAAGTGATCGATTGTGTGTTTTTTTTTTTTAAATATTATATATGATCAATAATTACAGCTTACTCTGATATCATATCATAGGAATAGTAGTAGTTCATTATTAATACAGGGTATTTCAGAGAATGTATGGATATTTATTTAAAGTAGGAAGAGTAGTTGCTACAAGATCAGCTATTACAAGTAGCAGCAGCAGTGGTTTCACTTCAAAGAACCGTCTGTTGAGATGCAATCAATTGTTCTCTTCGAAAGCAATGTCGATGAACGGTGTCTCAAAACACTTCTTCACTACATTGACACCAGAGTCACCATTGAAGTTACAAATCGATCAGGAACTCGCACTCAAAGACGAGTTTGATGAAGATCCACTCGACACCGTCGACGATAACCTCGGTGAAATCAGTAACGAAGATGGCGATATGACACCACTTCAAATGGCCAACGAAGAGTTTCAAGCAGCCATCGAGCAGAGCACTCCAGACAAACCAGAGGATGACGATGAAGAGCAAACCGAATGGTTATTAAAAGACAATGCTTCAATCAAGTAAGAGAAAAGAATTAGAAGAAGAAGAAGAACAACAACAACAACAATGAATTGGAAAAAAGATATATTAATTAACATCGGTTATAACATTATAGTGATAAATTAGAAGAACTTACAAAGAAAATATCAGAATATTATACACCAAAGAAAGAGATCATCTCTATCGATATTCATAAGCCACAAATCACAACTGTAACTAGCAAATGCAATAACCTCATTAGACAAGCAGAGACTTTCTTGGCAAACAGACAGTTTGACAGAGCAGAGCCATTACTCTTGGGTGCACAAAGTTACTTTTTAAAGAACAAACAACTAATACAAGCAAACAAAGAGAAAGATGCAATCACATCCGATCAATTACAAGGTTACATCTCTGCATATCTAGCTAATATCTATCAAAGTAAAGTAAGTTTATTTTAGATATTACATTTATTAACTTTTACTTGTGAAAACAAAATCATTAGCAATAATATTAATATTAATTTGTTTGTTTAACAATTATATAGAATCATTATGATACTGCTAAGCAATATTATGAAGAATGTTTACCATTATTAGAAAAGGTAACTAATATATAGTTAAAGATAAAGTTTTAACTTTTAAAATGTGTTTGCTAACTAATGCTATTATTATTATTGTTTAGTCAAATGATATCAACTTTTATGGTAGTGCTTTATTAAACTATTCAGAATTCTTATCAAATACAGATCATCAAGAAGATTGTGTTAAGGCATGTCAAAAGGCAATTGAAATCTTTGAATCGTATGTATTTATTATTTATAAGAGTAGTAGGATATATATTAAAACAAATATTAATAATATATACGTATATATATTTATAGAACAAACAAAGAATCAACAGATGAAAGATTATATTTGGCATTGTTTAATATGTCTAGTTATCTCTCGTTCCAACGTAAATTCGAAGAGGCACTTCCACTCTGTAAGAGAGCATTTGACAAACTCTCGGTGTCACTCGGTAGAAACAACCAGGTCGTTCACACAGTAGCTGCCAATCTCTCAAAGTTGTATCAAGAGTTAAAGATGAATAAGGAACAGTTTGAATTGGATAAGTTGTTTGCCGACGATCCAGAGGGTAGAGTCGAGTTTGAGACTTCGGCCGACGACCTCTCACACATCGACATGCAACAATTGAAACAGAGCTGGTTGAAGCAAGGTCACCAGAGACAAGTCGACTTGGACGGTTTCCACAAATCGAGTGCAACCTCAAAGAAAGAGTTTTCATCATTCTTGAGACAATTGGAACAAAAGGGTATCAACTGTGGTCCAGAGTCACTCGAGCTACTCACCAACGAATTGGAATCCGTAGAATACGCTCCAGACCAATTGGAATCATGGAAACCAATGACCTATCAATACGGTGTCAATACTAAATAAAATAGCTAAATAAATAAATAAACAATAAAGTAACAACAATCAAAAAACATATATAAATCAAAACAACAACAATAAAACGTAATAATCATTTTTTAAAAAAAAGAATTAATCAATCATAAAACAAAACTATATATATATAAATATATAATAGTTTTTCTCAATTGATCTATAACCTTTTGATATATATTTTATTTATTTATTTATTTTAACTTTTTTGATTTTTGTAATTCAGCTTTCTTTTTAATGTTTGCTGCCATTTGTTGGAAACTATTATGCTCTGTTTTAACTTTCTTTTCGACTTGTTTCTCTTCTAGTACTGCTTTTTGTTTGTTGTTGGCATTGTTTGGTTTGTTGTTGTTATTATTATTTTGATCACGATCTGCTCTTCTTCTCTTCTTCTCCTCTAGAATACCCTTGACGGCGTTGGTAAGTTTGAATTTGGGATCGGTTGGATCCATTGCGAAATCGGCTTGATTGTAGAGTCGTTCGAATCTACTGTCTTTGGTATCGATCTTGAATGAATCACCACCCTCTGGTTCATTCTTCTTTTTGTTGTTCTTCTTCTTGTTGGTAGAGGTATTCTCTTTGACTTGACGCTCCAACATCTTCTTGTTGTAACCCTTGTCCTTGTCCTCGTCCATCATCAACAACTCTAGCTCTGCCTTTGATTTGAGTTCTTGCTCGGTTGGTTTCTTATTCTTTCTACCCTTCTTTGATTCTTCCTCTCTCTTTTTCTCTTCCTCTTGTGCTTTCAATCTCTTTGCCTTCATCTTTTCATTCTGTTTGGTTTGTCTCTTCTCCAAGTAATCTGACCATGTTGTTCCAGATTCACGTTTCTACAGAACCAAAAAAAAAGGTAAAACATAAAATAATAATTAATTTGTTTGTTTGTTTGTTTGTTTTAGTTTGTTACATATTGTAATAATGTTACTTTACCTCTTTCTCCTTTAATAGATTTTGTCCAACTTTATGTAAATCTGTTTTGATTGTAATTTCTTGAGCGGTTTCATCGTCGTCTGAATCTTTGTCCATCATTTGTTTGGTCCATTCTTCATCCTGTGGATCTATTTGGTTGTCTTGTTCGCTATCACTTTCACCACTTTCATCGTCACTGTCACCACCACTCTCATCATCACTATCATCTTGACCACCTTCACTTCCACTAGATTCGACTTCACCATCTGAGAATTCAACTTTGAGACCATCATCTTCCTCATCATCACTTTCCAAACCAGATTTAAAAGTAACCTTTAAACCTTCGGATTTCTCAGAGTCTTGATTGTCGTTGTCATCATCATCATCGTTACCGAGCAACAATGATCTATATTGATTTCTAAGTTTCGCTTTCTCATTCTTGTTTCTCTCTTGGTCACTCTCGTCTTCCTCCGATGACTCTGGATCGGCCAAGTAGATCTTGATTTCATCTTCGTCGTAGTCACCGCTATTGAAGTTCTTGGTGAGTGCTTTCTTTCTGTTCTTATCGACGTCCCAAGTAAAGTCGACACTGGTTCCCTTGAGAACGGTAGTGGTAAAGTTGAGATTGGGCGGAGCGTCCGGTGCCTCTGTACAGCTATCTCTTGGTGGATTGGTGAATTCTTGCTCGTCTGGCACGAATCTCAAATCCATAGAGTTGGCAGTGTCTTCAATATCCAAACCATCACATTCCTCATATACTTTCGAAGCAGATTCAGCACTATCAAATACAGCAACACCATAGTAATATCTAATCAACACACACAAGCGTTAGTAAATAAAGATTACAGAGATGAGATGATGATGATTCAACGTTCAAGAGTGATATATATACATACTTTAATTTATCTAATTCATATTTTCTAAGACTTGTTAAATTGAATCCACGACCATCGAGTGCTTCAGCGTCTTCTTTGGTATCATATTGAATGTCGGTTTCATCTAGATTCACCTTGGTTGAATCTCTAAAGATATCCTTTGATGGTCCCAATCTCTTTTCCTAAAATGTTATAACCGTAGTAGTTTGTTTATAAGTATGATAGGTGTGTGGTGGTGGTGATTCGAAGGGTCGATAGTGAATGTAAACTTACAATTTCCATTTGTTTTAAACCGAAATCCGATGGATAGATGGTAATCGACAAGAGTGCACCATCCTTTGGTACAAAAGAGTTCAATACAATGAATAGATCTTTCGATTGCATATTCTCCCAATCACAATTTAAAATAGCTAATCTCTTTGTTGCATCTCCTCTTGGAATATCCTATAATCACATCATGCACGATCGTCATTAATCATTAATATCAAGATTCTGTCTGTAATATTAATAATAGTTTAAAACTTACCTCTTCTTGAGCTATTTCATCTTCATCTACTTGATCCAATACATCATCATAGTTATCTTCATCACTACTCTCTGTATCTTCATTGTATTCGAATCCACCATATGTAATCTCCTTAACCTCTGTATTACCATCATCATCTACCTCTTCTTCCTCTATCTCTGAATCATCTTCACTGTCTTTTTCTTCTTCTTCTTCTTCCTCTTCAACTTGTTTCTTTTTGTTTGATTGTTTTGTGGAAACTGCAACCTCTTTCTTTTGAACTGTTTGTTGTTTTTTCGATTTTGGTGCAACTTGTTCTACTACTTCTTCATCCTCATCCTCCTCATCATCATCTTTCTCTCCATCTTCTTGGAACTTGTTCCATTTCTCTGGAATTGCAAATCTAGAATCGTTAGTTGCAGTCTTGTTATTCTGTTGTTGTTGCTTTGTTGATTTCGGTGCATTCTTAAATTGTTCTTTATTGAATTTTTGTTGGTTCTTGTCGTATTTTAGATTCTTTCTACCGAATTGATCAACAGGAGCTAATAATTATTCATTATAAATATATAGATATTTTTAAATATAAGTTTATGTTGTTAATAAACAATTATAAATTGTTGTTATACATACCTTCATCATCGAATCTACCAGACTTTATGACATCGGAGAATCTACTGTCCAACTCGATTGCACTGTCTTTCTTTTTGATCAACTTGAACTTTGGATCGTTTTGAGCACGTTTGAATCTATTGTCCTTTATCACATCATTCTGTTGAACAAATGCTTTTCCATTGGGCTTGATTTTATTATTATTATTCTTTTTGTTGTTGTTGTTGGAAGACATTTTTGATTAATGAATAAGAAACAAAAATTAAAATCTTTCGTTCGTTTTTTTTTTGTAATTAATTTGATATAACATTCTTTTTTAGAGAATATTTTGCAGACTAATTATTTGAAGATATCAATATTTAAGATTGGTATTCGATAATATGAGATACCACTACGCCAACCGGACTTTGATGAATTTTTGAATTTTTTTGAACAAAAAACATTCAAAATATTATTTTGACCTTTAAAATTCATCAAAGGCCGGTTGGCGCAGTGGTAGCGCATAAGTCTCCAAAAAAGAGTTAGCTTCAGGTCAAGGGTTCGAATCCCTTACTGGTCATTTTAAAAAATCAATAGTGCGCATGCGGTAAAGTTCTCCTATATTTGTAAAAGGTTCATCTTTTGTAAAGTAGTAATACCTGAGGTATTATACCTCTTAGGATAGTACTCTTTATCAAAAGGTTGATTGAGAGATATGTAGAAAAGGTCTTGATTCGATATTAATAAATGAGATGTAACCCTACAAAATATCATTGTATTTAACATACCAAAAAAAGCAAAAAAAATGAAAAATTTAATTAAATTTTATTTATTTCGATTTTTCATTGGTCAACTCACTTTCAACCTCGATATATTAGGAATGTAAATGCAAATGATATTTTAGAGGGATTTCCTCTTCTTCATTTTCAATTTAACCAAATCAATCATCAGTATTCTCATCAACTTAATAAATCTATAAAATGTCAAAAATTATAATAAATCAAAATAGCAAATCAATTTGCAGAATTTTTTTTTTTTTTTTTTAATATATTTATAAAGTAACAACAATCAAAAAACCATATATAAATCAAAACAACAACAATAAAAATGTAATAATCATTTTTAAAAAAAAGAATTAATTCTTTTGCAGAATTATGGAAAAGTTTTTTAACTTAAATTTTTAATTTAATTTCAAAAGTGTGGTCTCAAGAAAGTTGTGTTTTTTTTGATCATTATTTTTGTATACAGTTTATTTAATAATAATAAATAGGAGGAAAGAAAATAGAATGGCTTTAGAGTGTTCAGAACATAACAAATCACATGAGTTTATTTGTTATCAATGTAACAGCTTGTTGTGTTCGAGATGTATAAAAAATCATTCTAAAGATCATCCTGATCATGATCAATGGGAACATATCGATGATATCAAACAATCATTTAATAAAGACGAGAATAATAGTTCATTCATCAATTTACAACTTAAATCGATATGGGAATCATTAAAATCATCAACATCAAGATATCAATCATTATCAGCAACAGAGAATGAAATCAAACAATACTTTGAACAACTACATCAATATCTAATCATTGAAGAGCAAAAACTAAAGAGAGATATAATTAATGATAAAGATACAATCATAAATCAAATCGATAATAATATTAATCATTTGAAATATATTGTAAATATTATTAAAATAAATAACAGTAAAGATAATAATAGAAATGATAGTAATAGTAATGATAATCAGTCAACAGTTATAGAGGATACAACAACACAATATTCAACAACGACAACAATAATGAAATCTATTACATCAAGTTCATCATTACAATCATTCATCTTGGATAATAATCAAACATTGTTCAATGATAATCATGATCCATTCAATATTGATGAACTTAAAAATCAACATAATAACGATTCATCATTATTATTGGATATCATATACAAATACAACAATAAATTCAATAAAACTGATAATAATAATAATAATACATCATCAATACAATCATCATTATATGAATTATCAATCAAACAACCTGATTTTAATCAGTTGGATTCAATAATTAAACAATCAATCAAACTTGATAAAATTGAACCATCAGAGAACAATGAAATAAATACAACAACAACAACAAACAACGATCATAATAAACAATCATATATTTTCACAACACATCGCTCTCAAGGAGTAACACTTATCAACACAACAAACAACAATTCAATCGAGCAAATCAAACTTGATTTTGATATTTGGTGTACATACCAATCGATTGTTTCAATTGGTGAATATATCTATATATTCGGTGGTTATACCAATCCAAACAAATGGATGAAGTTCTCAATTAAATCGAAATCAATTGAACATATTGGTAATATCGAAGGAATATATGCTGATTATAATATATCAGTTTGTTACGATGGTAAAGATCATATCTATTTGGTTAATGGATACAACATTAAGAATAGAATTGATCGATTCAACATCAAGACAATGCAATTCGAAAGATATCATCGATTACCTGATGAATACGGTCAACAGGTATCAACAATGATCTTCAAAGGTTCATTGTATTCAGTAACATACAACGGAAATAAGATGATTCAATTCGATTTGACCAATAGAACAATAGAAAATCATCAAATTGACATTACAGCATACTCAGCATGTCATGATAACAATGGAAATTTCTTTATATGCGATGTTATTAACAAGAGATTCATCAAATACAATGTTGAGACAAAACAAACAGTCAATCTCAAATTTACTCCCACCGAACATCCAAAAGGATATGCTTATTTGATGTATCATCGAGAATCATCAACATCAAGTTTTATCTATTCATTTGCTGGTGCATCATTTGGAAACTTCAAATATTCAATTGAAGACAACCAATCTGAACCGATCCTTGAAGATGATAAATTCGAAAGATGTTGGTGTGCAGCTACATCCATAAAATATTGAATTGGTTCTATTTGATTCGGAATCATCATATGAAAGTTGATAAGAAAACGACCAAAAAAAAATACACTTTATTATTATTTCAAATATTTTAATAAATAATTTAAATTCTAGTTTTAATTCAAAGAGGTACAAACAAAGAGTTATTCCTATATATTCAGATTTATCTCTAACAATATCCACCAAAATTAAAAATTATTTTTTAAAAAAAAAAAGTTCAATTTTAAATATTTTTTAAAAAACATAGATCCTTACAAACATAAGAATTATAGACATTTATTAATCTTGAAAATAGAAATTATATATTCAAAATATATTAAAATAATATACAAATATCTATATAATAATAAAAATATATAAAAATAGTAGTAATAACAAACAAACTAACATATAAATTAAATAATCAAACAATAATATTTATTGACTGAAAAAAATTAAAATTAATAATAAAAAAATTCAGATTTATTTATTTTAGTTATTTATTAGACAATGGATGTTAAGAATCTATTGTCATCGTTTATCTCTGTTGCTTTTGCATCAAAGAACCAAGATCAAGAGAGCAATACCTTTAGATTTATATTTGTCTAATTTGATTTACCTATTAGAAACAGAAACTTAATTTGTTTTGTTTGCAATGTTAATGTATAATTGGTTGAATAGTTTAACACGGGATGCTCCCGCATGCTTTAGATGTTCGAGTTCACCTTTCAATGGTCCAACTATAGATGGCAGATGATTGGCGACAGCAGGTCTTTATTCAATCGATCGAGCCAAACCATAACATTCTTGTATCGCTCTTATGAATCGGGAATGAAACCTTCACGAATATAGACTGCCCAAGAATACTTTGCGATATTGGCAATCGACTATTGATTGGCAGCAATCCATTGCTTACCTTCGAGTTGCATCCCAATATAAAACTTAATAAATCAATGTTTACTTCTTTAAAAAAAAAAAAAAAAAAAATCTGTGTAGTCCAAGCCTCTTTGGACTCAACACACACACACTCAACTAAACAAGTATCCGAATGATATAGTGACAACCTTATCCTCTCAACTACGTCGACTATAAAAGCAACTATGAAACTATCTTTAGCTGTCTCACCGTTCACCGCTGTACTTATTTTTTTTTTTTTTGAGTCAAGTGTAAATTTGGCGAGTGTTACCATACACTTATTCCTTTATTTTTTTTTTATTTTTTTTCTAAAGGTTTTTTCTAAAAAACCTAAGTTTGGTAACACTTTAACTCAATACAACAAATCATATATAACTGCTAGGTTGCTAATATATACAACTTTAACAGACAATCACAAACTGTTGTTTAAAACTCATATAAGTACTAGAATTAATAATATTTTTTAGATATACATGTTTTTTTTATTAACATTTTTATTTTTACAACAATTTCACTTAATACAAAAGAATCAAAAAAATATTTGTTTAAACTCTGTTCTTTAATTTATTATTATTATTTTTATAAATCAAAAGAATATATGTATAGTGGATATCAAAAAATTGTTCAATAATCACTATGCATCCAAAGTACCAAGTTAACTTTACAAGATATTTTAATTCTGAAGCACCGTAAGTTATCATGGAAATTAAAATTAATGTTTAAACTCTAAATAAATTAATTTTTATGAATAATTAGTTCTCTAACTTGTAAAGTTAACTACCTTTTATACCTTAGCACTACATTATTTATCTAAATATTTAGAATCTTTATAAATTGTATAATTTCTTTATATCTTTAAATTATTTATTATATTAATTGTAGAGTAAATCTAATATTGTTGATAGAGTTGTTTTGTCTCGTGCCTGTAAAGTGTAGATGTCTAAGTGATTTGTTTCCAAAGAGTTGTTAAATTTAAATAACTGTCCCAATTAGTGAATTCTGGAATACATTTTATTTATTCCTATCTTTTTCATTCTAATTCATAAAAAAAATCACATCCCTATTTGATTAGATAAAATATTTTAAAATACCAACCAATTAATTTAAATTTTCTATTATATTCATTTCTAATAATAATTTTACTTGAACTATTAATGGGGTTATATTTTTTTAGAACATTATTTTAAAAATATAAATAATTATAATTATAATTATAATTTGAAAATTTTTATATAATAAAAACAAAAACAAAATTGTTTATCCATTCAATTTTTCAAAATGTATAAAACTATAGTATTAATATTGGCATTATACTTTATAATTGCAAACTGCGAAGTGGAATTCGTTAGATGTAATGTAAGATGCAGAGAACTTAATCCTTTAGATTGTACAAACAAAGGTTTGATTTTTGAAAAGGCTAATCCTACACTTGGTACCTGTTGTGACAGATGTGTAAAGAAACCAAATTTAACAATCAGACCTGCAAAATGTGCTAGTGTGCTATGCCCAGATTGTGTTGGTGATATTCCACCTGGAGAATGCTGTCCAAAGTGTGGAACTGGTCCATCATCTCTTCAGTAAACATTTTTTTATTTATTTATCTCAAGTTATGAATCTATATCCGAAATGGAGAAGGATCTCTCTTTAGTTTGTAGTCTTCATAGAAATAATACAAAAATAAAAAATAAATAAATATAAAATTTTATTGGTCTAGAAATAGATAGTTAAGGTAATAAATCATTTTGATTACATTTAATTTTAAATTTCTATCAATTTTATTATATGATTCAAGAAAAGAATATATATAAAACTATAGTATTAATATTAGTCTAATTCTTCATAATAGTAAACTGTGAAGAGGAAGCTTTTGCATGTAGTTGTGTGAGATTCTCGATCTTGAAGACTCTATATACAAAGGCTTTACTTTTCTTATATACAAATTAACAAAAAAAAAACTAAATAAAACTTGAATTCCCTTTTATATTGATTATTGTTTGCAACATACAAAATTTATCTTTTCATTCATACATAAAACCATTATTATTATGTCTGTCAAGTTTATAAAAAATAAATTAAAAAAATAAATTAAAAAAATAAAAATTTTGAACATCAAAAAAGTTTTTAATCAATTTTTGTTTTCTTTAATTCATACAACACACAAGTTCATCACTTTTTTTACCAATCTTTAAATTAAATTATTTAAATTTTATTATAACTTCTTCTTCTTCATTTTTTAATAATATATATATAAATAAAATAAATATAAAATGTCATCTGCAAAATACGATAGAGCTATTACAGTTTTCTCACCAGATGGTCATCTTTTTCAAGTAGAGTACGCTATGGAGGCAGTTAGAAAGGGTACTGTCGCCGTTGGTGTACGTGGTAAGGATGTCATCATCTTGGGTGTAGAGAAAAAGTCAACTGCTAAACTTCAAGATGCTAGATCCATCAGAAAGATTGTAAAGATCGACGATCACATCTGTCTTACTTTTGCTGGTTTGACTGCTGATTCTCGTGTATTAATTAATAAGGTAAGTTTAATATCATTTATGAAACATAATAATAATAATCATCATCATCATCATCATCATCATTATCATCATTATTTATAACTACTTACTTTATTAGTAACTTATTAATTAACATTAACATTTATACATTTTTATATATTTATTATCTACTATTTATGATTTTATTATAGGCTCTTGTTGAGTGTCAATCATATAGATTATCATTGGATGATGTACCATCTGTAGAATATATCTCTAAATATATCGCTGGAATTCAACAAGTAAATATCTTTGAACAAAACAAAAAGATTATCTATCGATCGAGTCAAATGTTGATACTAATTTAATGAATTTTAAACAATTGTTATAGAGATATACACAAAGTGGTGGTGTTAGACCATTCGGTATTTCTACATTGATTGTCGGTTTCGATTCAGACGGTACACCAAAACTTTTCCAAACAGATCCATCCGGTTCATTTTCATCGTGGAAGGCAGCCGCCATCGGACGTAACTCAAAGACTGTCAGTGAATTTTTAGAGAAGAACTTTACAGATGAGAGTGATACTGCTTCAATTAAATTGGCTGTTAGAGCATTGCTTGAGGTAATAATATATTTTATTCATTTATTACTATAAATATAGTAAACAACTATAACTAACTATCTATCTATTATTATTAATACTATTATGATGTTCACAAATAAATAGGTTGTAGAATCAGGAAATAAGAATATTGAAATTGCTATCATTAAAAGAAATGAACCAATTAAATTGTTAAAGGGAATCCGAAGTCGAACAGTTGGTAGATGAAGTCGAAAAGGAGAAGGATGAAGAGAAGGAAGCTGCTGCAACTGCTCCAAAGAAATAAATGAGAAGATTAACATAAAATTAGTTAACATTGTCAATCAATCAATCAACCAACCAATATATAACAAACATGGCTAATAATAATAATAACAACATTGTCTTCTTCACCTACTTCTACTTTTATTAATAATAATACTACTTATTCCCTTGTTGATACATAATACACACCCACACTCATAAATTAAAACTTAAAACAAAACAAAAATAATAAAAAAGAGAATAGAAATTGTATAGTTTATAAGATTCTATTCTTAAACATTAAAAAACAAAAAAAAAAAGTTAATATCTATTTATATTTATTTTAATATTATTCAATTAAATTAATGATCTTTTATTAAATGTCGATTAATTATTGTTTTGGTGGACCTCTTGGTTTATTACCAAATGAAGGTGGTTGTATAATATGGTTGGGCATGTTAGGTGATTGTTGTTGTTGCATGTATGGGTTTTGATTTGGTGGTAATTGATTCATTTGTTGATATTGATTTGGTTGTTGTTGTTGTTGTTGGTATTGGTTCATTTGATGTTGCTGTGGTGGCATCTGTTGGAATTGGTTAGGTGGGAAAGGTTGACCTCCAAGTGGCGGACTATTTTGCTTTTGTTGGAATTGATTTGGTGGTTGACCGTGTTGTTGTCTTTGTTGATGATATTGATTGGGTTGTTGTTGTTGTTGATATGGATTTTGTGAATTCATTTGAGGATTCATTTGTGGTGGCTGTTGTTGCTGATATTGATTTGGTGGTGGTGGAGATTGATTATTATTATCACGTTGTTGATGGTGTTGATGTTGATATGGATTTTGATTAAATTGAGGTGATTGTTTAAAGTTGTTGTTGTTGGGTGGCGGTTGGAAATGTGGGGGTGGTTGGAAGTGTGCTGGAAGTTTATTGGATGGTGGCGCCGCTTGGCCAATCAAAGTCGGTGAGGAAGTATGTGGTTCCTGCTTGAATAGCGGCTGTTGTGGAGCCTCGACGACCACTTGCGCAGCTGGCACCGACTCAAATGCAAACGACGAAGCCAATCCACCGAGACCTGGAAGCGACGACGCTCCACCTCCGATTCCCGGTATCATAAACTCACGAGTGTCCACTTCATCCTCGTTCTCAATATCGTTGTTGGCGTGTGGATTGTTATATTTATCCTTCATGGTGTCACCAGGACGGTTGCGGCACCAGAACTTGGTGGTGTAGTCGTTGGATCCACTCGCCAGAATATGGCCAATCGGATGCCAGGAAAGCGACCAGACACTGCCCTCGTGAGCACCGTGTATCTCGCCTTGCGGCTGGTCTTGTCCGACGATCCAGTAGAGGATCGAACCGTCAAAGCCACCGGACACCAGCAGATCCTCGTGGAACGGATGCCAAGCGACCGAAGTCACCTCCTTACCGTGACCCTTGAACGTTTGTATCTCACGCATCGTTCTAATATCATAGAGCTTCAGCAGCTGATCTCTACTGGCGCTAGCGAGCCAGTTTCCATTCTTATTCCACTCGACCTGTACAATCGTATTCTTGTGGCCGTGCAGCGTCGAGATGTTCTCGCCTGAGCGGGCATCCCAAATCTTGATGAGATTATCCTTGGAACCCGATGCCAATATCGATTTTGTGGGATGCCAACTGACACACTTTACATCCCAACCGTGTCCCGTCAGGATACGCTCCTCTTTGCAACGCGCGAAATCCCACATCTTGATGGTGACGTCGTCGGAGCACGACGCAAACTTCAAGTCGGTCGGCGAGAAAGAGATATCACGAATCGATTCTTTGTGCGCTTGAAATACCTTTACGTTATTCATATTTGATTGCCAATACTTGATTTGACCAGTGTCGTCACCGGAGACCATCCAATTCTCATTGTGTGACCAAGTGATTGCACGAACCGCTTTGTCATGTGCTTGCAATATAGTTTCAAAATTAAAAGTCAAACCATTCCACAATGTAAACTCTCCACTCGATGATCCTGTAACCAATCTTCTACCTTCGGGTGTCCACTTTCATAATCATAAGGTTAATAGAATGTTAAAGCAATATAAAATAAGTTTATGATATACTTACAGATACACAATTGATAGGATATTTAACTTTATTTGTTGATGTATGAATGAAACGTGTACAAACACTTGTTATCGGATTTGAATCTAATGCAATTGGTGGTAGAATCTAAAAATAACGATAATTATCGATTAGTAAAATTACTAGAACCAAGAAAAGATTGTAATCAATAATAACATACTTCTTTAATATATATTGGGTCTGGTTGTACACCAAAATGATCTCTATAGTCACGTTGATAGATTCTAGCGAGTTGATACTTGATTAGAGTAGAATTGAAATCTACAGTCTTTCTTACTACAGCTTTTCTCATACGTTTACCATCGTATACCATTTTCGATGCTTGATAGTTGTTGTGTCTGTGATGATGATGTTGTTGCTGACCTCCGTGATGATGTCTTTCTCCACCACCGCCACCACCACCTCCTCCTCCTCCGCCATGGTGTCTCTCACCACCACCTCCACCTCCTCCACCACCTTGATAATGTGACATCTATTAAACTAGTTTAATAACTATAAAATGATTCAAAACAACTTTCTATTCTCAAATAAATAATAAATGTTTTTATTTTTATTTTGTTTTGTTTGATTTTTATTTATTTAGATACAAAGAAGATATTGATAAAAGATAAAGCAAAGTTGTCTTAAACAATCACTAACTTTTGATATCTTATTTAATTAAGAAATAATTTGAATTTCAAAAATTAATAATATTAACCACGTATTCTATCATTATGTTTATTCAACACACACACCCTTTTAAAAAAATTTTCATATTTTTACTTTTTTTTATTTTATTATTTGTTTTAATAATTAGTAGTACTATTATTATATATATATTTTTTATATTGTTTACTTACAAGTAGTAGTAGTAGAAGATCATATTGAACAAATAGATTGTTTTTTTTTTTTTTTAAAAATATATTGTAGTTAGTTAGTTGTTAATATTGTAAATTTAATATAAAGATAAAAAGATAAAAGATAAAGTTTTAGAAAAGAAGATAGAGATATAGATAATAAGACAAACTAAATTTAATCACCGAGAGAATAAATATATTTATAAGAAAAGAGTTGTATAAAAATGAGTTATAATAATCATGATGATGGTAATCCATTCTATACGGATGTACCCACCACTTCACCAACTCAAACAAATAATAATAATATCAATAATAATACCAACAACAATACAAATAACAATGTTAACAATCAATATAACAACCAACCACAAGCAATCTTTACAAACACCAATGTAAACTTTGATGATTACAGCAGTGCTCCAAAACAAAGTACTCAATATCAACCTGATCTACAATTTCAGAGTAAGTTATAAATAACTACCAATAGCTATGAAAAATCAGAATGAATATATATCATATATTTGATTATTAACAAAATCAACTGAACTTATTATAATATATATAGGCTTCGAACATGCAACAATAGATGTAAATTCAAAATCAAATAACAATAGTAATAATAATAATAATAGAATCGGTGGAGGTGGTATCAATGTACCTGAAGGTAATCTATCTATCTATCTATTTTTATGAACAAAACAAAACAAACTTTAGAATGTCGTCATCATATGATGATCGAATGAAACTAATCCAAATGAATATTGTAATTTAATTTTTGATAGCTGACTTCTCAGAGACTGTCAACCTCAATAGCGAAGGACAAGCAGATCAAAAGAAATATAGCTTTTATCAACCACAATACTACAGATTCCTATTCAATGTTGACACAACCGAAGTTGCTCATCGTTTACTAAGATCAATGATACCAATCAAGTTTTCATTCTTTGACTTAATTAGAGAGAATCCAGATATGTAAGATTTAGTTAAATGATCATTGCTTTATACAACTTCAACTCTAATTCAATTTTAATAACTCTTTCTCACCTCTTTCTTTCTTGTTTAGTTATGGACCATTCTGGGTAACAACTACATTAGTATTTATTATTGCTGCCACTGCAAATTTAAATTCCTATTTCCACTCTGATCATAAATGTTTGTATTTTAATTAGAGATAAATATATATATAATTAAGAAACAAACTCAACTAATATTTTTATTGTTATTATTATTATAGTATGGGAAGCAAATTTCAAAACAGTTGTATATAGTGCAATTGCAATCTATGGATATGCTTTGGTTATTCCATTGGTACTTTGGGGTATTTTCAAGTGGATGAAACTTGGACTACGTATTTTGGATATGCTTTGTATCTATGGATACGCACTGTTTATCTTTATTCCAGCATCGATTATCTGTTTGATTCCTGTGGGTCTCGTTCAGTGGATCGTCGTCGGTGTATGCACATTGGTCTCTGGTGCATTCCTCGTTACCAACGTATTTGCACCGCTCAAGGGTGACTACACCAAGAGAGGTCTCATCATCTGTGGTGGAATTGCCGCACTTCACTTGGGTCTTGCACTACTCTTGAAACTCTACTTCTTTGCCAACAACACCGACGGTCAATTCGTCGTAACTCCAACTCCATCACCAACTCCAACTCTAACACCAACAACAACCACCACTGGCAGTTCCACTGGTAACTCCACAACCACTGCCTAAACAAGACAAGACAAAACATATTCAAAATCAAATCAAAATCAAAATCAAAACAAACACTTAAGATTTATAATATTTTTATCTATCAAATTTGTTATTCCAATCTCTCCTTATTAATTAATAATCCTTTCCTTTCAAAAACAAAACAAAATGAAATAAAACACAATTAACTTTATTATTATTATTATTTAAAAGATTTGATTGTTGTTGTTATTGTTGCTTGTTGTTTGAGGTTGTTTGTTATTTCTTGCAAAGTGTTTGAAATGATTGTTCAAAATCTGATTGTATCAAGTTCTCACCTATGAATACAAGTTTGTTCTTTGGTAGCTCGGTGCCCCATTTGATTCCAGAAGGCAGTGTTTCAAATGTTTCGTATACACCTTGAAGAATGTACTTCTCTTGTTCACCTTTGACTGCAACCAAACCTTTCATTCTAAAGATTCTATCTTTGTAGTCTTCCCATACCAGTGAACCTATCCATCTATTCAACTCGATCAAATCTATTGAACCTTCACTCTCCAAACAAATAGTATTGACACGACTTGAATGATTATGTTGTTTATCACTACAACTAGATCCATCTGTATGATCGTGATCATGATTACATTCTCCATGCTCATTATTACCTTTGCTATTATTGTTTTGTACATCTAAATAAGATTTGATTACTTCTAGATTTGGTGTATATGACTTTATATTCAATACTGAATCGAGTGACACTACTGATCTGGTGGTCTGTATGATCTTGCAGAATGGATTGATCTCTTTGATTCGTTTGTTGATCTCGGCAAGTTGCTTGTCATCCACCAAATCAACTTTGTTCAATAGAATCACATCACCAAATGCAATCTGCCGTTCCGCTTCACTTGAATATCTCATCTTGTCGTTGGGCATCGGATTGTCATGCTCGTCGATCTGTCTAAGAATATTCTTACAATCCACCACAGTAATGATACTATCCAAATAGACAGGCGATCCAAGTTCATCATCAACCCAAAGCGAAGAACTAATCTGTCCAGGATCACCCTATTACCAATTCAAAAAAAAAAAAAAAAAATAAATAAACCAATTTACTATGTTAATAATAAATAGTTAATCTAACTATCTATAGAATAAATAATCATTATTAATTACCATTCCAGTTGATTCAATTAAAATATAATCAAATTTATCTTTTCTCTTTAAAAGATCCTCTACAGACTTCAAAAAGTCATCCTTAACAGTGCAACAAATGCAACCATTTGGAAACTCTAACCACTCTGATACCTTACTACCATCTTCACCTCTAATCATTGCAGTTTCTATACCAATACCAGATCCATACTCATTTTGTATAACCGCTATTTTCTTTTCATTCTGTTCATTCAAAATATAATTTAAAAATGTTGTCTAAAAGATAACCGGTTATAGATAGATAGATAATCATCTCTAATTAGTAAACAAAACTAAATTGATAACACTAGCCATGTATAACATACTTTTCCAGCACCTAAAAATCCGGAAATTAAAGTAACCGGTACTTTTATATCATTATTATTCGTTGTCATTTATTTGTATTTTATCTTTTTATTTAAAATAATAATTAAAATAATAATAATATTAAAGATGCAGATGAGATTATTATTAAATTACAATTAATGAAATTCAATTTAAAAAAAAAAAAGACGAGGAAAAAAAATAATTAAATTAAAATCAATTTAAAATAAACAAGTAATAATGACTTCAAAATTTGTTGATTCTTTTTGTTTTTTTTTTTCTTCTTTTTTTGTTATATAATAAAAAAGTTTTTAGTTTAATTTAATTATTTTAGTTTTGAGCGGCAGTTTCAAAGTTGTCGACGAGGGTTGGGACATCATCATCAGCCTTGTTGTCTCCTCTTACTTGGAATTGCTCGGCGATTTTCTTTAAGTTTTCGATGTTGTCAGCTCCGAGGTGACTGATGATACCTGGAAGGAGCTCTTGGAGGGCTATTATTTATATTGTGAGAAGTAAATAAAAAAGAAAGAGAAAAAGAAGTAACAATTTGTAAGACTTTTTGTTGTTTTTATGAATGTTTTTTTTTGTTTTTTTTACTTACTCTTGTTTTGAGCGGTACCAGAGACGACAAATGTCTTTTGGGCGGTTTGGACATGTGGGTTATCGAAGTGGATGATAGTACCGTCAGTCTTGAAGAGGTTGACTTCTTCAATACCTTGGATTGGTCTGACACCGAGGGATTGGAGCTTAGCTTGGAGTTGTCTGTTGTCAACACCACCAGCCTTGTTGTGGACTACTTGCTTCTTTCTACGGACTGAACCTGGACCACCAGTACGTACTTTCTCGGCCAATTTGTTCAACTTCTCAATGTTAACGTCCATTGCTATTATTAATAAATTTTAATGAATTTTGAATATTAATACAAAAATTATATACAACTTTTTATTCGATTTTTAATTATTATTATTATGATATTATTTCACAATTGTTATTGTACAAAAAAACAAAAAAAAAACTATAGTTTTAAAAAAATAATAATAGCAAAACTATAAAAAAAAGATTTTTATCGATAAAATTGCTGTTTTGAGTTGGTTTAGTTTATGCGTAACAAAACAAATATGTGTGTAATAGATAATATGTGAATTTTTTTTTAAAAATAAAAATAAAAAAACAAAAACTAAATCTAGTAACAAATGGTGAATTGAAAGGTTGGTGTGTCTACTGTTATTATTCTACGACTTTTACTAAAAACAAATGCTTCAAAATTATTGATTGATATATAGGTTCGTTTCGTTTTCGATTAAAATCGAAAGTAAAGCAATGCGCTATAAAAAATCTTAAATCTGAATTGTTTTCATCTTAAGTTCAATAATAATAATTCCTATTACTTGTATGCAATTGCATTGAATTTTATTGCTATTGTATTATTGTTATTATTATTGTTGTTATTCTAATTTTATTCTTTTCTAAAACTTATTTTATTATCATTTTATTATTAATCTAAAATTCTAGAATTCTATTATTTTTATTTACTCGTATCTCTACACTGGAAAACAATAAATAATAAATAAAAACAATCTAAATTAAGATGATAATTGACTATTCATAACACATTGAAATTGATCACATTATTATTCTTTGAATTTTGAAGTAATGATAATCAGCTACCTACTTGTATATGTCTGTCTATCAAAAAAAAAAAAAAAAAAAAAAGAAGGAAAGATTAATGTTAGTGAACTATGTCAAAAAACTATGGTAAAAAAACTTAAAAAAAAATTAAAAAAAATCAAAACAAAACTTTGGTACGAAATAAATAAAAAAAATTGCCCATTTTTTTTACGAACTACGTTACTTTATTATTTTTATTTGTAAATCGGGCAATGCATTATGCACAACAAAAATAAATAATAGTAATATCAATCTGGGATTATCTCCATTATCTGATAACCACTATCGAACTGAACTTGTTATCTTAATAACTACAAAAAAAATAAATAAATGAAAATATTAAATATAAAAAAGAATCAAAATAATTCTAGAATAAAAGATATTATTGAATTATATATAAATATATATATATAAATATGTATTTATATTCATTAACATTTAACATTTGATATTAAAGTGTGGTTATATTTTTTGTTTGCAAATTAACTATCTATTAATTAATAGTTAATTGTTGAGAAAAAAATAAATAAATAAAAGAAATTTTAAATTGTAATATTTTTGCAAACAAGTTGAAAACAACTATTAAGCTGTACCTCAGCATTATTTAGCCTATGATATTGACCAAAGTTTGAAATTTCTTTTTGGGATTTTGAAATCATAAAAGTTTTTTTTTTTTTTTTGTAAAAATCGGTGTTTTGAAGTGTTCTATCTAATTCCACACGCTTTGTTATTTAAAATCATTATTTTTTTTCATTCATTTCTTTAGTTTAGTTTAGTTTAGTTTAGTTTAGTTTAGTTTGTTATTATTAGTTGATTAAATTAAAAAAATATAGAAAAAAAAGAGACATGTCTAAACAATTACAAAGATTGATTAGAGTTTCATCGGTTGGCTCTGGTAGTGGTAGTATGATCAGATCTTCGCTATCATTGGTTAGCAGATCATTATCATCATCATCAACTAACAATGTCATGTCTTATGGAAATCAACAACAACAACAACAACAACAACGTATTTCACTCAACAAACTAAATGGTAACAACTTGCAATATTCGGTTCGTCAATACTCCAGTGCTGCACCAATTCAATTCAAATTGGCAGATATCGGTGAAGGTATTGCAGAGTGTGAGATCATCAATTGGCACTTCAAAGTCGGTGATTCCATCAAGGAGTTCGATCACCTCTGTGATGTCCAATCTGACAAAGCTACTGTAGAGGTATGTTTAGTTTGTTTTAATGATCAACAAACAATCAATCTCCGATTCTTTAACAATTGAATATTAATTGTAATGTTAATATATATATATTTTTAGATTACAAGTAGATACGATGGTGTCATTTCAAAGTTATATTATAAAGTAGGAGATATGGCAAAGGTAGGATCACCATTGGTCGATATCATTCCAGAGGGAGGTGCCGCTGCTCCAGTTGCCTCTGCTCCAGTTGCAGCTGCAGCACCAACACCATCAGCATCAGCATCAACTACTACATCATCATCATCATCATCAGATCACGAACATAATATTATTACAGTCGGTGGAAATCCATTGAAAGTATTGGCAACTCCATCGGTTCGTCACTTGGCCAAGTTGAACAGTGTCAAATTGAGTCAGGTCAGAGGTAACGGTAAGGATGGTCGTGTTTTGAAGGAGGATCTCTTGAATTTCCTCAATGGAAATCAAACTGCTGTTGTTGCTGCCGCTCCAGCTGCTGCCACTACTCCAGCACCAACACCAGCTGCTACTGCTTCATCACAAAAAGACAGAGAAACACGTATTCCAATCACTGGTATCAAGAAGGTTATGGTCAAGACCATGAATGCCGCTGCACTCGTACCACACTTTGGTTATTGCGACGAATATCTAATGGATGGATTGATGCTTCTAAGACAACAATTGAAGCCAATGGCCGAGTCACGTGGAATCAAATTAAGTTATCTTCCATTCTTGATCAAGGCAACTTCGCTTGCCCTCTTGAAATATCCAACATTGAACTCAAGCATGTCACCAAATGAAACAGAAATCATTGTCAAGGTAATATTGTTATATATTATAATCACATAGTAATATTATCAAAGAATATAATAGTTTTTTCTAACTAAACACAAACACAAACAAAAACTCAATTCAACTACCCTCCTCTATTCTAGAATTACCATAATATCGGTGTTGCAATGGATACACCACAAGGTTTGTTGGTACCAAATATTAAGGGAGTTGAGAGCAAGTCGATTTTCGAGATCGCTCAAGAGTTGAATAGATTACAAAAGGTTGGATTGGCAGGACAGCTTACACCAAACGATATGTCAGGCGGTACTTTCTCACTTTCAAACATCGGTACTATCGGAGGTACCTATGCATCGCCAGTTCTTCTCTTGCCAGAGGTTGCAATCGGTGCCATCGGTAAGATTCAAAAGCTACCAAGATTCGATAAAAACAATAATGTATATCCAGTTCATTTGATGCAAATCAGTTGGTCCGCAGATCACCGTGTAATCGATGGTGCAACCATGGCTAATTTTTCCAATCTCTTGAAATCCTACATTGAAACACCAAACACAATGTTATTGGATACTAAATAATCAACTTATTATTATTATTACATCTTAAGACAACAACAACAACAACAACAACAACTATTACAAAAAAAGAAATAACAAAACAACAAAGCAACAATATGTTAAATACAAAAAAAGATAATTAACAACCAACTTAACTTGTAATATATATACAATCGATGTATTCTTTTACAAGATTATACTATTTATTAAAAAAAAAAGTAATAATAATAATAATTATAATAATAATGATGATGATTTAGGGAAATTTCCCTAAATCAATCAAATATTAATAAAGATTAAAAATAATAATAATAATAATAAAGTCTTGAATTATTTCTTGTTTTTGTTATTGTTGATTCACACAACTAGGATCTTAAGAAAGTTTCTCGACTATTTTATTAGGTTATATGAATCTGTAAATGGAACGAGTGGATCTCTAAGTGATACATCTATACCTTTGGGAGTGTGTACTGTTATTTTCATTGGTTGTAAAGAGGTTGACAGTGGTTTGATTGCAATCCATCCAAGCCCAGAAATGACAATATCGGAATGAGTATGTTTAAAGTCGATCTTCTCCGGTGTAATAGTGAATCGCTTGACCTGTGTCAGTTTGATTGATTCGTCATTGTCGAAGCGATCTTGGTCCTCTGTCAGCGGCGGTGAAAGTAGCTTGCCGCGTTGTCGCTCAAAGAGAGCGTCTGCCTTCTCGGTCTTACAGATATGCACTGGCAGATGATTCGATACGTAAACGGTGAAAGTTGCCAAGCCACCTTGATAATCGATTCGAGCGAGACCACCAAGGAATATCGATTTGCCTTTTATCATATGAGAGATCGAGGGTTTGATACGCTTGCCCGGAATCACCATCTTCAGCTCATTCGGACGTAGCAACTTGGTGATTTGATAGGGATTATCGACACCCGGTGTATCAAACAACGTGGAATTACTCCATAGCGGTACAGAGATAATATTCAGAGTTGTTCCAGGGAATATCGATGTAGTTGCACGTTCCAATGCACTTGGTTTAGCTTGGTTGTTGTTGTTGTTACTGCTGCCACTATTTCCTTGTTCATTTTCATTGAATATCACTTTCTCTCTGTATTCATCGACCAACGCATTGAGGAATGTAGATTTTCCAACGTTTGAACATCCAACTACAAAGACATCACGTCCACGACGCAACTTTTCGAGTTCCACAATGAATTTGGCGATACCGTCACGACTGGCACTGGAGAGGAGCGTTACATGCGAGACTACCATTCCTCGGAGTTTGCACTCACGACGCAACCAGTCTTCTATACGATTACGATGAATATCCGCAGGTAGAACATCCATCTTGTTTCCAACTAGAATAACCGGGTTGTTTCCTATGATTTTTCTAAAGTTCTCTACAAAAGTTCCATGGAAATCCATGATATCTACAACTTTAACCACCACACAATTCATGTCCTTGATAGGCGATAGCTTATGTCTGAACTCCTCCACAGGAATCTTAATTGGAACTACCTTTCCATAGTGTTTCAACATATGACATCGCTGACATGTTTCCTTTTCATTCATATTCTTCTTTGAACCATTCTTTACACTGAAATTTTCAAACTTTTAACATAAACAAACATATTTGTCAACCGGTTAGTTTGATTGTAATATATTACATTGCAATACAATATTATTATTATTTGATTTTTTACATACATTTCTCTTTGCTTCTTCTTCAATTGTTAATTTTCTGTATTTTTCATATTCTTCATCGTAGTAATCGTCCTCTGATGTGTCAGAGGTTGTTGTATCTGACGGTTTCTTGTTTTTATTTAGTAGATATCGGATTGCAACGGATTTGGGTATGTAGCCAAGTTGATTGGGATGATCGCACTGCAGAGAACATCCACAACCAGTACACCTACTACTTGATAGCATTGAACGATTCATATCGAGTAGTGTCAAATGTTCTTTATCCGTCAATTCATTGTCAACCTGTAATGATTCGTCAATCTCTAATTGCTTCAAAATCAATTCTTTTTGTTTTCTCTTTTTCTCTTTATTCTTTTCTATTGATGTAAGTTTCTTTGTTGTTTCTGTCGATGTCGTTGTTGTTGTTGCTATTGTCGAGTCATTCTCACTCGATATAGAGCAATAGTAATTTCTATTTATATTGATATTATTATTTCCAGAGTAATTCAAAGAATGATTTGAAGGTAAAGTTAAACTATTATTATTATTATATACATTGGGTTTCAAGGAGAAGATTGATCGATATATATGATGATGTATACCTTTACTACCACCACCACCACTATTTATTAATAATTTTATACTATTGATCATATTAATATTCTTGTAGATTTATTATCATATGATATTGCAATGATGTCAATCAAATTAACGATTCGTTTAATTTATCGTTTTTTTTTATTTTCATTAAATTTTTTTTTTTTTTAATCTTTTTGATCATTTTTAATATTAAATCAATCATTAACCAATAAAATAGCAACCAAACCACTCTTTTGTTAACAAATTATATATATATTTGTGGCGCTAGTTAAAATAAATGTAATCTGGTTGGTCTACAAATAAATAAATATATTTTTTTTTTAAAAAAAAAAAAAACAAAACAATTGTAATAAATATTAAATTAACAATTGTATATCATATCAATAGAGATTAATATAATTAAATATATAAGTTTTGGTTTGGTACCACCTATGACTTTTTATTTTATAATAAAAGCGACAATAACAAAAACACTAATGGGTAGAACCCACATCATCAAAATCAAACATCAACATCAACAATACATTTAATATCTCGTATATGTATTGTGTTGAAGATATTCAATAAATGTAAATAATTATCAAACAAGACTAAATTTAGTTAACAATAAAAACTCAAAAATTGATTGGAACATTATGATAAGGTAGATCTAATGCTCCATACTCATCAACATAAAAATAATTAACATAAAACTTTATATAAACCACCCAAAAATAATATACAATTAATAATGAGTTTTTAATAATATTGGTTTTGTTTTGTTTGTTTTGTTTGTGTGTGTGCTTATATATATTTGTTGTATGTGTGTTGCAATAGCGATAACAACAATATACACCATCAATCATATGATTGATCACGAAAATGAATTATTAATTTAAAATTGAATAATAACACTATCTATCTATCTATCTCTTCCTACAAGTAAGTGATCACTGGTGTGTGTGTGTATGATTTCTCTAACAATGAGTTAAAATGATAGTGAACACCACCACCACCGATAGAGTGTATATTTAAATTAAATATACACTCTATTAGATCTTCACAATTCATCTTTGTTGAGTTGACTGAACCCTATTATTTTGATTTTGATTGTCTAAAACAACAACAGTAGCAGCAACAACAATAACAACTATAGATTGAAGAATTTGATATCAAATTACAAGTGCTATTGACTGATTACTGTCTCTTTTTCTTATTTAATTTTAACTTAGTTTTTTTGTTTCCATTTTCTTCTCCCCAATTATTAACAATTGTTTTATCTACCCAAACTTTTCCACAAATATATATTTATATATTATCTATTATTACCATTACAATACAAATATTTAACTATTCATATACTACTATGAAATATTAAGATATATTTATTTTAGTCTTTATATCTATTTTTAAAAATAATAGCAACATCCGATGGATTTCACAATTGTCGATGAAGTAACAGGTGTACTTCTATATCTGTCTTTGATTGGGGCAGGACTTACAATAATAACATATCTAATATTTCCACAAATTAGAACCTACCCAATTAAATTAATTATATATTTATGTTTATCTTTATTCTTAGGAAATGTATTTCTTTTTATTTCATACAATTACTACGATACAGTAATGTGCATACCAAGTGCAATCTTGGTACACTATTTATTTATATCTCAATTTTTATGGACTTTTTGTGTTTCCTTAAATTTCTATCAAGTAAATATCTATCTAGATCATCATAAATATTTTCAGATATTTAATTAATATATTAAATATTAATATTTAATCTTTTTTTTTTTTTTATCAAATCTAGATGATAGTAAGGAAAAATAGAGGATTGGAGTCATATGAAAAATATTATCATTTAATTTCCTGGGGAATACCATTAATTATAGTAGTAGTCTTGGCTAGTACAAATAATTATGTACAATATGATGGATAGTAAGTATAAAACAAATAAATAAATTAAATTAAAAAGATAGTATGGAATAAATATTAATATTTAATTAGTTGTTATATGGCACCGGATTTACCAATTTTCTATGGATTCTTTGTGCCAGGAATGATTATTCTCATTAGTAATTGTATTATATTCTTTCTCGTGGCAAGAGAGATCAGTGACACTCTCAAAAAGTCACCGAATGAATATAGAAAGAATCGAATGAGAGAGTTTCGTGTTTACTTTTCGATATTTGCGACTTTGGGAGTGTTTTGGATATTTTCATTCTTGGGTATCTTCGTTGATGAGACTAGTACGATCTCTGTGATATTTCAAACTATAGTAGCTGTTACAGCACCGACACAAGGCCTCTTGATTTTCATCACCTATTGTATCAATCGACGTGTGTTCTACAGCTACGTCAAACTATTCTCTCGCATTTTCCCGGCACTCGACAATTTCGTGGAGAATATGACCACCTGTAAACCAACGACATCCACAACCGAAAAGTCAAAGTCGTCCGACGAAGAACTAGGTTCCATTGCAATGTCTGCACTTCGTGAAAGTTCCTATCGAGTCAATAATCTTGGAAGATCAACTGACAATCCAAATATCAACAACTATAACAATTATAACGATAACGTCTATGATGAATCTGAAGATTCTGAACAACATCAACAAAAAACACCCACGACATCAACATCAACAACAACAATAACTATTTTACAACAACCAATATTCGAATCTGAATTGGGTGATAATAATAATGATGATAGTAATCAATTGTTTTGTATAGATATTAATAACAATAGTAACTATAACGATAACAATAACGATAGCGACAATAATAGTAATAATTAAACAACAAGTTGAACGACAACTAAATATTTAATTATTTAAAGTAATATATATTAATAGTGGGTGGAACTTAACTATCTTATTTGATCGATTTCATATTATTAATAAACTCTTTGTACAAACTTTTTAAAAAATTTTTTTTTTTTTTTTTTTGATCAAAAATTCTTTCGTGTTTTTTAATTGATCAGATTCATCAGATAATTTATCATATCAGTTTTTTGTTTTGTAGTTTATAGAATATATACTTTTTATTTAGATTAGATTACTTAATAAACAATGTCGATGATGAATAATGTTATCAATTCGATGTTCACTAGAGCATCAAATAACCCACATAGCGCTAACATCCTGAAGCGTGCACAAAGAGCATTATACGGTGGAAGAACCATTCAATATGGTAATTCTATAAGTTTTTCACATAAAAAGTATGTACTTTCAACAAGACCAGTCATTAAGGAAAGAATAGTTAGTTAGTTAGTTAGTTAGTCAGTCAATTAGTTAGTTAGTTATTAATGAAATATGATGATTACTCTTTAAAACGATAATATAGGACTCGTAGAACATGGAAACCAAATGTACAATCAAAGACATACCATAGCGATATTTTAAATCAAGACATCAAAGTTGATGTTACTACCTACACAATGAGATGTATCGATAAAGCCGGTAACTTTGACAACTACATAATCAACACAAAAGATAAAGATTTAGATTCAAAGCTTGGTTCAGATTTGAAAGTACTGTTGAAATCAACTTTGAGAGAAAAAGCAGAGTTAATTTTGAAAGAAGAAGAAGATTTACTACAATCAACATCAACAGCAACTCAATAAATAAATAAATAAATAAATTAAAAGTATATTAAAATAGTAATAATAATAATAAATAGATGTTAAAATATATTATATATACAAGTAACATACAAAGATAGAAAGATATCAATTATTATCTATCTTTTTTTGTATGATTATTTTTTTATTTTAATTTATATTATATTATTATTATTATTTATACAGACTTGTAGAGAATAATGTACCGATGGTAGATGGTTTATTATTCTTAAATAAAGATGGATCCAATCTTGACTTCTTCCGCAGTATTTCTTTTCTTTTCTCTTCTTTATCTTTAAGTGTTGTTGTTGTAGTTGTAGTTGTTGTTGTTTTTGGTGTGTGTGAAGATGATGTAGAACTTGTTGAAGTAGATGATGTTTTTGTTTTTGTTGGTAAAATGGATGAAGACATAATATCTTCTCTTTTCATTGTACGAAGTTGTTCTGCTTTTAACTTTGTCGATGCCAAGAAGCTTGTTTTCGATGCCTCCTCTATGTCTTGTTTTGAAATTGGTAGGAGATCGATGGTGATACCTCTACTCTCTTGTTCTTTCTTTGCTGCGAGATCCTCTTTCTTTTGTTCACGAAACGATTTCCTCATCATCGACGACAGTTCATAGTCATGCTCTGACCGACTCTTTGCCTGATTGTATAGACGCGTCAGTGTAGATTCCATCTTTCGGCCGACCTCACGATCGGCATTGACATACTCCAACCGATAGATCGGATCATTCTCCATCTTGCTCTCGACATCGCCTTCCCTAACCTTGATAGGTATCGCCGATTCATCATGTTCCCACGATTCATCTTTTCTTCTCAAACCAGATACCATCTTAAATTCCGTATTCTATAGAACGAAACAAACAAATAAACAAACAAAATTATTAGTATCTTTGTTATATATATGAATAAAATGTGATGTTATGTTGTGTTATGTACATACTTCAGGATCAGTTTGTATCTCGAAATAGTTATCACATAAATGACATTTCATTTTGAATGACCATATCTTTGAAGAGAGGTACTTTCCAGCTTGTTTCTTCTCTGCGTTGTATCGTACACCCTTACCAATATGATTGTTACACTTTAAACACCAAACATTGTATGGCATTTCGAATCTAACCGTTAGAATACCTTGATCGATCTTCCTTGCTCTCTTACCATATGGATGTGATCCAACAAACTTATTAATCGATCCATGTTTCGGATCCCAATCTGAAGGATAGTACTTATTTGTTGCTTGACTCATTTATTGTATTTATCAAACAAAAATAAATATATCTATAATATTAACTAGAAACTATACAAATATTAATATCTATTCTATTTATTTTTAAAAATAAAATTGAATAAACAAAAAAATGAAAATAAAAAAAAAATACAAAAATGAGAACACACCCGTTGAGTGTACATTCAAATTAATATATATTATAATGCAACAAAACACTATGTTCTTTGAAAGTTCTACAATATATTAGTATTCATTGATCAAAGATATTTAATTATTTATTTTAAAATTCAATTAAAAAAAAAACTATCGATTTAAATGATCACCAGTTTTGTAAATTTTTTTTTAATTTTATTATTATTATTCTTTTTTTTTGATAATAATAGATATTCTTATTAAAGTGAATATTTACGATAGATGAACATTAATTATTGATATTTAGATTAATCAAAAATCAAAGGAATAAATAATTCTTATTTTATTATTATTATTACAACAAACACTTTTTCACTATTTTTGTGCTTTTAAAATGATCCTATAGGTTTCTAAAGCAATGTATGTTTAGTTTAAATTTTATTGTTTATTTTCAATATATGATATATACATTCTACAGTTTGTTATTTAAAGTAAAGTAAAAAGCAAATCAAACATTCGAAGCATGTGGTTTAAAAGAGGAATTATGTTGTTACAATGAGCTTGGTATTACTGGCATTACACCAGATATCTGGGTTATTGTTACCAAATTAGGAATTCCAATTTGTAATCGCAGTGAAGAATCCTGGAGCCTCTATAATGGAGAGCGAAAAGCTTCATGGCCAAATATATGACTACATGATTAGACTAAAAAACCTGTACGGACCAGAGAATGTTTGGTATTGTTTCCACCTACGCTGAATGGAGAGTACTGGCTCCATGGTAGCAGTGGATATGCATCGGCTTCCTCTATCGACATGAGACACTACTTTGAGAATCAAATTGAAGAACCTTCCATCGATAATACTCAAACACCTTCCACAGCTACATTACAACAAACGCCATCCGAAAAAGTTATTCATGGAAACCATTTAAAGTTTCAAACAAAGGTAAGCAAACTTACTTTCAAATTAAAATTTTCAGAAATCAGTTATTAATACCACTAAAATTTATAAACCATAGACATAATATATACTTAAAAAAGAAAGAAAATGAAAAAAAAAATAAATAAATCTTATTATAAATAATTGATGGTCATCTCATCTTTTACTGATTAAAAAGATGGCTGGTTTGTATTTTATTTTTTTTTTTTTTTTCATTGAAGTTCGAAATAGATATGTGTCACCAAATTATTTAATTAATAGATAAACATCTAATGTTTTACAATTGCTATTTAAAGAGAACTTACGTACATTCAATACAATACCAATACCAATACCAATACAAATACAAATACAAATAAAAATATAAATATATATATAAATACAAATACAAATATATAATTAAATGATAGAAACTAAATATTTAATAGATAAAGGTGACAAGCTAGTATTACCAGAATGTGTTGTTCCTCATCTATATGAACTACATTTGACACCGAATTTTAATGATTTTACATTCAGTGGTTTTGTCGATATCTCTATCAGAGTGCTGCAACCTACCAAAACAATCATACTTCATTCGATCGATTTGGTGTTACAGAGTGCTGACATTGTTTCTGAACAATCTGCCGTTTCAATAGAATACTATACACCAGAACAGGTAGCCATAATCAACTTCAAAGATGAATTGCAACCATCTGATTCCAACAACAAGGTTCTTTCAATCAGGTTCACTGGTATCTTGAATGACAAGCTAAACGGATTCTACAGATCATCCTACCAAGCTGATGGAGAACAACGTTACATTGCAACCACCCAGTTCGCAGCAACAGATGCACGTCGTTCATTCCCATGCTTTGATGAACCTGCACTCAAAGCTATCTTCAGAATCAATCTGACAGTTCAATCCAATCATATTGCTCTTTCAAACATGCAAGAGAAATCAATCACTGAACACTCTGAAAATTCAACTAAAACTTATTTGTATGTTAGTTAATTAGTTATTTTATTATTTTATTATTATAGCCAAAGATAACTAACTTAATGATATTTAATATTATTAGGTTTGAAGATACACCAGTGATGTCTACTTATTTGGTTGCATTCTGTGTTGGTGAATTCGACTATGTTGAATCGAAAACTAAACAAGGAATCAGAGTAAGAGTTTATCAAGTTCCAGGAAAGAAGAAAGATGGAGAGACTGGTGATTTCGCACTTCAGATTGCAGTTGATTCACTTTCATACTTTATCGAGTATTTCGACATTCCTTATCCACTGACCAAGTGTGATCATGTCGGTATTCCTGATTTTGCATTTGGTGCCATGGAGAACTGGGGATTGATCACTTATCGTGAGTCGACTATTTTGGCATTAAAGAACACACCTGTCCGTAGAAAACAACGTATTGCCAATGTCATTGGCCATGAGGTGGCACACCAATGGTTTGGCAATCTTGTTTCACCAGCATGGTGGTCACAACTCTGGTTGAATGAAGGTTTCGCAACATTCATGGGAAACAAAGTCACCGACCCATCTCTTCCCACAATGGAACGTTTGGATCGATTATATCAATAACGAAGCGATGGAGTTGGATTGCTTGGCAAACTCTCATCCCGTTGAAGTTAAAGTTCATTCTTCCTCAGAGATCTTTGAGATATTCGATACCATATCGTACGAGAAAGGTTCATTGATTATTCGTATGTTGGAGAATCGTTTTGGTGAACAATTCAGACTTGGATTATCACAATATCTCAAGAAACATTCCTATGGCAATACTACGACTGAGGATCTATGGCAATCTATTTCAGAGGTCACAGGAAACCAATGTCAACGATTACATGAACAACTTCACCAAGAAATCTGGCTATCCGCTATTGAAATTCAAAAGAAATGCAACTCTTCAAGCCGGTGAAACCTTGTTTGAAGTATCGCAACGTCAATTCAGACTCTCTGGTGAAGAGCAACCAGATGATCCAATTTGGAATTGTTTCGTACAAATCGAAACAAACAATGGATCATTTAACTTTTTGTTGGATCAAAAAGTAAAGACATTCTGTATTCCTGAATTCCAATGGATGAAACCAAACTTTGGACAATCTGGATACTTCAGAATTGAATATGATAGTGAAATGATCAAGTCATTGATTCCATCAATCAAATCACTTTCATTACCAGCAACCGATCGTCTTGGTATTCTATCTGATACATTTGAGATGTGTAGAGCTGGAATCGCACCAATTTCAATGTTTATGGATTTGGTATCTGGTTTTATCAATGAAACAGAATCTGCGATTTGGGATTCGATCGTTTCAAAATTGGGTCAACTCTATGATCTATCACTTGGCAGTAATTACTTTGAGAAATTCAAGACATTCCTATTGCAACTCTACAAACCAATCGCAACAAAAGTTGGATTCCTACCACCAAAAGATTCATCAGAGGAATCATCTGGACAAGCTCTCTTACGTGAGAGAATCCATATCACACTTGGTCAACTCGGTGATCTCCACGTTATGATTCAAAGTCGTACCTATTTCAATGAGTTTAGAGATGCTCTGAACAAACTTCAATCAGATATCAAACATTATGTATTACAAACTACAGTACTGCATGGAAATGAGGTTGACCAACAATGTGTCATTGAAGAATATCGCAAATCCAATGTTTCCGCTGACAAAAATTTGTATCTCCGTTCATTGTCAAGCACAACTAAACCCGATTTGATCAAGAAAGCACTTGACTTCTCATTGTCATCCGATGTCAGATCTCAAGATACCTATATTGGTTGGGCAGCCATTCCAACAAGTGCACAACCACTTGTGTGGGATTACTTTGTATCGAATTTCGATTCAATCAAAAAGGTATTTGGTGAATCAAGACTCATCATTCGATTGATCAGCAGTTCACTCCCGAAAAGAGCGAATGCAACACAAATTCAATTCTATCAAAAGTTCTTTTCAGAACATATCATCCCTGTTGCTGATCGTTCCACCAAGCAATCTCTCGAAGATATGGAAAACAATGAGAGATTCTTCAACTCTTTCAACAATGTATTGGGTAATTGGTTAAACTCAAATGAGAAATAATGAGAAAAAATTAAACAATTTATAATTTTATAAGTATAATGATTGAAATACTATTTTTTTTGAAAATCGTTAAAATTGAACTTTTTTTTTTAAAAAAATAATTTTTAATTTTGGTGGATATTATTAGAGATAAATCTGAATAAATAGGAATAACTCCTTGTTTGTACCTCTTTGAATTAAATAGAATTTAAATTATTTATTAAAATATTTGAAATAAAGTGTATGTTTTTTGGTCGTTCTCTTATCAACTTTCGAATGATGATTCCGAATCAAATAGAACCAATTTAATATTTTATGGATGTAACTGCCCACCAATATCTTTCGAATTTATCATCTTCAAGGATCGGTTCAGATTGGTTGTCTTCAATTGAATATTTGAAGTTTCCATATGATGCACCACCAAATGAATAGATAAAACTTGATGTTGATGATTCTCGATGATACATCAAATAAGCATATCCATTTGGATTTTTGGTGGGAGTAAATTTGAGATTGAATGTTTGTTTTGTCTCAACATTGTATTTGATGAATCGTCGGTTATTTATATCGCATATAAAGAAATTTCCATTGTTATCATGACATGCTGAGTATGGTACAATGTCAATTTGATGATTTTCTATTGTTCTATTGGTCAAATCAAATTGAATCATCTTATTTCCGTTGTATGGTACTGAATACAATGAACCTTTGAAGATCATTGTTGATACCTGGTGACCGTATTCATCAGGTAATCGATGATATCTTTCGAATTGCATTGTCTTGATGTTGAATCGATCAATTCTATTCTTAATTCTGGCACCATTAACCAAATAGATATGATCTTTACCATCGTAACAAACTGATATAAAATAATCACCATATATTCCTTCGATATTACCAATATGTTCAATTGATTTCGATTTAATTGAGAACTTCATCCAATTGTTTTGATTGATATAACCACCGAATATATAGATATATTCATCAATTGAAACAATCGATTGGTGTGTTTGCCTAGAATCATAATCAAGTTTGATTTCCTCGATTGAATTGTTGTTTGTTGTGTTGATAAGTGTTGCTCCTCGAGGGTGATGTGTTGTGAAAATATATGATTGTTTATTATGATCGTTGTTTGTTGTTGTTGTATTTATTTCATTGTTCTTTGATGGTTCAATTTTATCAAGTTTGATTGATTGTTTAATTATTGAATCCAACTGATTAAAATCAGGTTGTTTGATTGATAATTCATATAATGATGATTGTATTGATGATGTATTATTATTATTATCAGTTTTATTGAATTTATTGTTGTATTTGTATATGATATCCAATAATAATGATGAATCGTTATTATGTTGATTTTTAAGTTCATCAATATTGAATGGATCATGATTATCATTGAACAATGTCTGATTATTATCCAAGATGAATGATTGTAATGATGAACTTGATGTAATAGATTTCATTATTGTTGTCGTTGTTGAATATTGTGTTGTTGTATCTTCTATCACTGTTGACTGATTATCATTATTATTACTATCATTTCTATTATTATCTTTACTAGAAACATTTGAAATATATTGTAAATATTTCAAATGATTAATATTATTATCGATTTGATTTATAATTGTATCTTTATCATTAATTATATCTCTCTTTAGTTTTTGCTCTTCAATGATTAGATATTGATGTAGTTGTTCAAAGTATTGTTTGATTTCATTCTCTGTTGCTGATAATGATTGATATCTTGATGTTGATGATTTTAATGATTCCCATATCGATTTAAGTTGTAAATTGATGAATGAAGTATTATTCTCGTCTTTATTAAATGATTGTTTGATATCATCGATATGTTCCCACTGATCATGATCAGGATGATCTTTAGAATGATTTTTTACACATCTCGAACACAACAAGCTGTTACATTGATAACAAATAAACTTATGTGATTTGTTATGTTCTGAACACTCTAAAGCCATTCTATTTTCCTTCCTCCTATTTATTTATTATTAAATAAACTGTACTATAACAAAAATAATGATCAAAAAAAACACAACTTTCATTGAGATCACACTTTTGAAATTAAATTAAAAATTTAAGTTTTTATATCTGTTTTTTTGAAATTAAAGTAAAAATTTAAGTCAAGTGCATGAAAAAAATTAAAAGAAATCTTCACACACTTTTTTTTTTTTTGATAACGTTACATTTTTGAAAAAATGGATGAAAATAAAATTTTACAACTAATTAAATTTTTACTTTAATTTCAAAAAAACAGATATACCACTTAGTAGTTGTAGTAATTGTGATGATGGTATTGTTGTTGTTGGTGTGAATAATGAATTAGAGTTGTATTTGGTGGTTGGTGGTTCAACCATATGTTGTAATCCTTGGGATTCTAATACTTGTAATAAATGTGCTATTTGCTCATCTTTCTTTTGTATTTCTTCTAGGTGTACCAAATTTTGAACACTTATTTCAGTTAGCATTTGAATGTACAATTTACTACACCTAAGCAAGTGATTTGTCTCTTTGAGAGCTTCCATCTTCCGATTACACAAAAAACAATAAGGAAGAGATTTAATCGTCTTTCTTTGAGTAATTGCTTTAATTTCTCATTATCTCAATTGGTGAATATATCTATATATTCGGAGGGAATAGCAGTCCAAACAAATGGATAAAGTTCTCAATTAAATCGAAATCAATTGAACATATTGGTAATATCGAAGATATTGATGGTGATTGTCGTATATCTACTTCTTACGATGGTCAAGATCATATCTATTTGGTTAATGGTATCAGATTTAAGAATAGAATTGATCGATTCAACATCAAGACAATACAATTCGAAAGATATCATAAATTACCTGATGAATACGGTCACCAACTATAAAGAACAAAATTTATCAATAAAGAAGAAATGGAATTCAATTATGATTGAACAACTTTCACCCGAAATAATTAAAAAAACATTACGATATAAGTGTTTCATTTAATTTGATTGTGTTCAATAATTTTAATTGTATTTCATTTTAAAACTAATTTATTATATATATATTCATTATAAATATAAATACATATATATATATAATTAAATGATAGAAACTAAATATTTAATAGATAAAGGTGACAAGCTAGTATTACCAGAATGTGTAGTTCCTCATCTATATGATCTACATTTGACACCGAATTTTAATGACTTTACATTCAGTGGTTTTGTCGATATCTCTATCAGAGTGCTGCAACCTACCAAAACAATCGTAATTCATTCGATCGATCTGGTGTTACAAAGTGCTGGCATTGTTTCTGAACAATCTGCCGTTTCAATAGAATACTATACACCAGAACAGGTAGCCATTATCAACTTCAAAGATGAATTGCAACCATCTGATTCCAACAACAAGGTTCTTTCAATCAGGTTCACTGGTATCTTGAATGACAAGCTTAAAGGATTCTACAGATCATCATACAAAGTTGATGGAGAACAACGTTACATTGCAACCACTCAATTTGAAGCAACAGATGCACGTCGTTCATTCCCATGCTTTGATGAACCTGCACTCAAAGCTATCTTCAGAATCAACCTGACAGTTCAATCCAATCATATAGCACTTTCAAACATGCAAGAGAAATCAATCACTGAACACTCTGAAAATTCAACTAAAACTTATATGTAAGTTATTTATAGAGCTTAAGATCGATTTGATACTAATTACTATGACACTTTTTAGATTTGAAGATACACCAGTGATGTCTACTTATTTGGTTGCATTCTGTGTTGGTGAATTCGACTATGTTGAATCGAAAACGAAACAAGGAATCAGAGTAAGAGTTTATCAAGTTCCAGGAAAGAAGAAAGATGGAGAGACTGGTGATTTCGCACTTCAGATTGCAGTTGATTCACTCTCTTACTTTATCGAGTATTTCGACATTCCTTATCCACTGACCAAGTGTGATCATGTCGGTATTCCTGATTTTGCATTTGGTGCCATGGAGAACTGGGGATTGATCACCTATCGTGAATCTACAATTCTGTCGTCAAAGAACACACCTGTTCGTAGAAAGAAACGTATCGCTTACGTAATCGGCCATGAGGTGGCACACCAATGGTTTGGCAATCTTGTTTCACCAGCATGGTGGTCACAACTCTGGTTGAATGAAGGTTTCGCAACATTCATGGGAAACAAAGTCACCGACCATCTCTTCCCACAATGGAACGTTTGGATCGATTATATCAATAACGAAGCGATGGAGTTGGATTGCTTGGCAAACTCTCATCCCGTTGAAGTTAAAGTTCATTCTTCCTCACAAATCTTTGAAATATTTGATGGTATTTCCTATCAAAAAGGTTCATTGATTATTCGTATGTTGGAGAATCGTTTCGGTGAACAATTCAGACTTGGATTATCACAATATCTCAAGAAACATTCCTTTGGTAACACCACTACAGAAGATCTTTGGCAATCTATTTCCCAAGCCACAGGAACCAATGTCAACGATTACATGAATAACTTCACCAAGAAATCAGGTTTTCCTGTTTTAAACTTCAAAAGAATGGAATCATCCAAAGCTGGAGAAAAAATCTTTGAGGTATCGCAACGTCAATTCAGACTCTCAGGTGAAGAGCAACCAGATGATCCAATTTGGAATTGTTTCGTACAAATCGAAACGAACAATGGATCATTTAACTTTTTGTTGGATCAAAAAGTAAAGACATTCTGTATTCCTGAATTCCAATGGATGAAACCAAATTTTGGACAATCTGGATACTTCAGAATTGAATATGACAGTGAGATGATCAAGTCATTGATTCCATCAATCAAATCACTTTCATTACCAGCAACCGATCGTCTTGGTATTCTATCTGATACATTTGGGATGTGCAGAGCTGGAATCGCACCAATTTCAATGTTTATGGATTTGGTATCTGGTTTTATCAATGAAACAGAATCTGCGATTTGGGATTCGATAGTTTCAAAGTTGGGTCAACTCTATGATCTATCACTTGGCAGTAGCTACTCTGAGAAATTCAAAGCATTCCTATTGAAACTCTACAAACCAATCGCAACAAAAGTTGGATTCCTACCACCAAAGGATTCATTGGAGGAATCATCTGGACAAGCTCTCTTACGTGAGAGAATCCATATCACACTTGGTCAACTCGGTGATAACCACGTTGTAATTCAATGCCGCACTTATTTCAATGAGTTTAGAGATAATCTGAACAAACTTCAATCAGATATCAAACCTTATGTATTACCAACTACGATTCGACATGGAAATGAGGTTGACCAACAATGTGTCATTGAAGAATATCGCAAATCCAATGTGTCTGCAGACAGAAATCTATATCTCCGCTCTTTATCAAGCACAACTAAACCTGATATGGTCAAGAAAGCACTTGATTTCTCATTGTCATCCGATGTCAGATCTCAAGATACCTATATTGGATGGATTGCCATTCCAACAAGTGCACAACCACTTGTATGGGATTACTTTGTATCGAATTTCGATTCAATCAAAAAGGTATTTGGTGAATCAAGACTCATCATTCGATTGATCAGCAGTTCACTCCCGAAAAGAGCGAATGCAACACAAATTCAATTCTATCAAAAGTTCTTTTCAGAACATATCATTCCTGTTGCTGATCGTTCCACCAAGCAATCTCTCGAAGATATGGAAAACAATGAGAGATTCTTCAACTCTTTCAACAATGTATTGGGTAATTGGTTAAACTCAAATGAGAAATAATAAAATAAAACAAGTTATAATTTATATGTATAATGATTGAAATAATAATTATTTATAAATTTCAAAAACAAAAGTATATTCACAAGAGCAAACTTGTGGGAAGCTTTACCAAACTTTTTTAAAAATTTTTTGTCCTTTTTTTTATTTACATTTTTAATTTTTTTTGATATATAATTTGCTTCTATTTTCAAGATTAATAATGTCTATAATTCTTATGTTTGTAAGTATCTATTTTTTTTGAAAATCGATAAAATTGAACTTTTTTTTTTTAAAACATAATTTTTAATTTTTTTGAATTAAAACTAGAATTTAAATTATTTATTAAAATGTTTGAAATAATAATAAAGTGTATTTTTTTTCGGTCGTTCTCTTATCAACTTTCTAATGATGATTCCGAATCAAATAGAACCAATTTAATATTTTATGGATGTAGCTGCACACCAATATCTTTCGAATTTATCATCTTCAAGGATCGGTTCAGATTGGTCGTCTTCAATTGAATACTTAAAGTTTCCAAATGTTTTACCAGCAAATGAATAGATAAAACTTGATGTTGATGATTCTCGATGATACATCAAATAAGCATATCCATATTGATTTTTGGGAGTAAATTTGAGATTGACTGTTTGTTTTGTCTCAACATTGTATTTGATGAATCTCTTGTTAATACAATTGCATATGAAGAAATTTCCATTGTTATCATGACATGCTGTGAATGCAGAAATGTCAATTTGATGATTTTCTATTGTTCTATTGGTCAAATCGAATTGAATCATCTTATTTCCGTCGCATGTTACTGAATACAATGAACCTTTGAAGATCATTGTTGATGCTTGTTGACCGTATTCATCAGGTAATCGATGATATCTTTCGAATTGCATTGTCTTGATGTTGAATCGATCAATTCTATTCTTAATTTTGTTACCATTAACCAAATAGATATGATCTTGACCATCGTAACAAACTGATATATGATAATCACCATCTATTCCTTCGATATTACCAATATGTTCAATTGATTTCGATTTAATTGAGAACTTCATCCATTTGTTTGGATTGTTAAAACCACCGAATATATAGATATATTCACCAATTGAAACAATCGATTGGATTGTATGACTAACATCATAATCAAAATTGATTTGCTCGATTGAATTGTTGTTTGTTGTGTTGATAAGTGTTGCTCCTCTTAAGTGATGTGTTGTGAAAATATATGATTGTTTATTATGATCGTTGTTTGTTGTTGTTGTATTTATTTCATTGTTCTCTGATGGTTCAATTTTATCAAGTTTGATTGATTGTTTAATTATTGAATCCAACTGATTAAGATCAGGTTGTTTGATTGATAATTCATATAATGATGATTGTATTGATGATGTATTATTATTATTATTATCAGTTTTATTGAATTTATTGTTGTATTTATAAATTATATCCAATAATAATGATGAATCATTATTATGTTGATTTTTAAGTTCATCAATATTGAATGGATCATGATTATCATTGAACAATGTCTGATTATTATCCAAGATGAATGATTGTAATGATGAACTTGATGTAATAGATTTCATTATTGTTGTCGTTGTTGAATATTGTGTTGTTGTATCCTCTATCACTGTTGACTGATTATCATTACTATTACTATCATTTCTATTATTATCTTTACTGTTATTTATTTTAATAATATTTACAATATATTTCAAATGATTAATATTATTATCGATTTGATTTATGATTGTATCTTTATCATTAATTATATCTCTCTTTAGTTTTTGCTCTTCAATGATTAGATATTGATGTAGTTGTTCAAAGTATTGTTTGATTTCATTCTCTGTTGCTGATAATGATTGATATCTTGATGTTGATGATTTTAATGATTCCCATATCGATTTAAGTTGTAAATTGATGAATGAAGTATTATTCTCATCTTTATTAAATGATTGTTTGATATCATCGATATGTTCCCATTGATCATGATCAAGATGATCTTTAGAATGATTTTTTACACATCTCGAACACAACAAGCTGTTACATTGATAACAAATAAACTTATGTGATTTGTTATGTTCTGAACACTCTAAAGCCATTCTATTTTCTTTCTTCCTATTTATTTATTATTAAATAAACTGTACTATAACAAAAATAATGATCAAAAAAACACAACTTTCATTGAGACCACACTTTTGAAATTATAATATTTTACAACAAGTTTTTAAATTTTGGCTTTTTTGAATTATTTTTTCGTTTTGTTGTTTTGTGTATCTTTTTATTTTAAGATTTTGATTCCATTGTTACCATGACATGTTGTGAATGCAAAAATGTCAATTTGTTGATATCCTATCGTTCTATTGGTCAAATCAAATTGAATTAACTATCCATTGCGTGGTAATGAATATAATGAACCTTTGAAGATCATTTTTGATGCCTGTTGACCGTATTCATCAGGTAATTTATCATCTTTCGAATTGTATTGTCTTGATGTTGAATCGATCAATTCTATTCCTTATTTGGCTACCATTAACCAAATAGATATGATCTTGACCATCGTAAGAAGCAGATATACGACATCAATACCTTCGATATTACCAATATGTTCAATTGATTTCGATTTAATTGAGAACTTCTTCCATTTGTTTGGAATGTTATTCCCTCCGAATATATAGATATATTCACCAATTGATATAATGAGAAATTAAAGCAATTACTTAAAGAAAGGAAGATTAAATCTCTTCCTTATTGTTTTTTGTGAAATCGGAAGATGGAAGCTCTCAAAGAGACAAATCACTTGCTTAGGTGTAGTAAATTGTACATTCAAATGCTAACTGAAATAAAAATTCAAAATTTGGTACACATATTCAATGTATTGGGTAATTGGTTAAACTCGAAATGTTAAGAAGATTGTAATAATAAGTTTGTTATTAAATAAATAATCAATTTTATTTCTATATTATTTGATTATTTATTTCTTGAAAGGTAATAAATGATCGTTTTCAAGTTTATATTCCTTTGTTTCGAGATAGGCAATCAAATTCTCTCTGTTGTCGAAAGAGAGTTGTTTCTCTAAAAAGTTAAAGTGTATTGATGGTTTGTACGTTTTGACCATTGCTGCAAGTGCATAATCTCTGACTCTGGCTGTGAGTAGTTTCTCAAGGAAGTATTTTTGATGATTGTAAGAGTTGCAATACAATCGGTGAAATTGGTAGTAGTTTCCATTGGCCACCGCACAAGCCACTTTGAACGAGTGATTGACAATCTCATTCTCGAGCACACCGGCATCGATCGTCGACAACAACGTTCCTAGATCCTCTTGGTTAAACAATAGAGTAAACAAAATATCATATGAAATGAATTCAAATTTGAATTTACTTGTTAAACTAGGTTGTTGCTGTGAATATAGTTCTTTGATTTGAGTAATACATTGACCAAACTCTTGGAAATCATTCTAAAAAAATAAATAAATAAATAATAGTATCTAATTAATATGAGTTATAATAATATAAATTGATTTAAACATACATTTTCAAGAGAGATAATAGCATTACTTTCATATACTTCTAAACAGAATTGATTTCTAATATGTTGTACAACTAGATCTTGACGAATCGATTTCAATTGATCTAAAGTATAGTCATAGTTTTTAGTTGTCTTGTATTTTCTTATTAACATTGGTAACCAAGTCTCAAGAATTGATTGTGGTCTAACTTTCGATGGATCTGCTCTCTTTTTTTTAACCAAAATAAAAAAAGTTATAATTAAAATAATTATAAATTATTATTAATTTAAATTATACATACAGTTGTTAATCTTAAATATTTCTTTTCGTATTCTTTACAGGTACCAACAATTGGTTCATTATCATTATTGGGAGTATTGTTATTGTTATTATTATTTTCTTTCTTTGATGGCGAAGGTGAAGGTGACGGTTGTTGATGTTGTTGATGTTGTTGATGTTGTCTGTTCTTAGGTGAGTTGTTATTCGATAGGTGATCAAATATTAATCTTTGTGGTGTGTTATGTTGCTGATGTTGATGTTGATAGTTTGGTCTATTTGAATGTGGTGATGAAGTGATTGGTGAAGTATATGGACTGAGCTCTTGAATCGGTCTGTGTCTCAGAGGTGGTGGAGTTGATAGATCTCTAGAATTATCGAGCTTTACAACTCTGGTAACAGGTGAGTGAAGTACACTTTCTTCTTTCTCTTTCTTCAATCTATCCTTTAGTTTCTCTTGCTGTAAATATCTCTCCCTCTCTTTTATTTTCGATCCACTATCTTTAAACATTCCAACTACTTTCTTCTGTTCCTCTACTTTTACTTCTTCCTCTTCTTCTTCTCCTTCACCCTCTTCTTCCTCCTCGTCATATTCCTCTTCTTCATCGTACTCCTCTTCATCATATTCCTCTTCTTCATCATACTCTTCATCTTCATCATCATACTCCTCTCCTTCTTCATCATATTCCTCCTCCTCTTGTTCTTCTTCTTCCTCTTCTTCTTCATCCTGATCTCTTGCATTGATAATGATTCTAGTACCACTACCAAGACTAACTACTTTTCTTGCGGATTGACTGGGTGATTGTTTTGCTGGTGACTGTCTTGTTGGTGATTGTCTTGTTGGTGACTGTCTTGCCGGTGATTGTCTTCCTGGTGACTGTCTTGCTGGTGATTGTCTATGATTTGGAGATGATACAGATCTTCTTTGAGGCGATTGTATTGGTGAATGTTGATTTCTACTATTATTGTCCTCATTAATTAGATCTCTTAGATTTCCTTTGAACAATGGCTCAGAACCATCTTTATTGTCATTATTTCTTCTACTATTACTATTATTACTTGGAGATGATACAGATCTTCTTTGAGGTGATTGCTTTGATAGACTACTATTATGATCCTCATTGATCAAATCTCTAAGATTACCTTTGAATGTTGGATTATTTCCTGATCGATTGTCAACATCACCATCATCAATATAATCATTCTCATCATAATCATTACTAATACTATCACTGTCTCTATCATATCTATGTCTTTGATTATGTGGTGCACCTCTATTATTTGGTGAGTTTCTATATGGTGATTGATGCCTGCTACCACTATTATTACTATTATTATTATTATCTTCATTTATTAGTTCTCTAAGATTACCCTTGAATCCAGGAGTAGAATCATCATAATCCTCTTGATTATCAACATGTTGATTCCTTCCCCCTCCTCTTTGATTTGGTGAATTATATCTATATTGTTGTTGTTGTTGTTGTCTACCATGTTTTGGAGATTGACTTTCTCTTTCAGCTTCTCTGTTGATCAAATCTCTTAGATCACCTTGATATTTAGGAGATGATACCGCCGGTTGATTATGTTGATCGAAATCTCTATTATCCCTACTACTATAATCTCTGCCATCTCTATCTCTTTCTCTACTATCTCTATTATTATGTTGATCTTTATATTCTCTATCTCTAGTATCTCTATTATCTCTATTATCTCTGTTATCTCTATAGTCTCTATTATCTCTACCTCTCTGGTTTGGTGAGAATGATTCATTTCTATTTGGTGAATTGAATCTTCTATCTCTACTATTTCTATTGTTATTATTGTTATCTCTATGTTTATTATGATGTTGTCTACTCGATGGAGACCTACCATCTGAATTATTATAATCATCATTACTATTATTGTTATTGTTAAAAGTTGGAGAATGTTGAGGTCTATCTAGATCTTCATATCTTTGTTGTCCGCCACCACCTCCTCTTTTATTAATAGGTGATTGTATTCTATTTTCAACATTGTTATTATTATTATTACTTTTGTTGTTATTACTACCACCACCAAATATATTATTTATCTTTGTACTATTGTATTCATTTAGATATCTAGAGTATTCATCTTGTTGTTGTTCGTTTGTTGAACTACTACTAGTTGAAGGCGGAGGAGTTGTTGGTACTGCAGCAGTAGCTTGTGGAGAAACAGTGATATTCTTGAAACGCTCTTCCAATTGATCGGCAAGAGCAACCTCTTCGTCCTCCTCTGTTATTTCACCCCATGATTTTGATCCAAGATCAATTGATGATGAATTGAACATTCTTTTAATTTAATTTATTTTAATTTTACAAGCTAAAACTACAAAGAGTATTTTTATATACACAAAGACTAAAATAGTAGTACAAAAAGTTTTTCTCTCTCTTTTTTTCTTTCTCTCTTTATTTAATACTGATGATTAATTAAATGTGGTTTATTAATGTATGTGTGGGGTGTTAGTTTGCAGGAATGTGTCGTGTCGATAATGGTTTAAAATAGGATTGCAAAAATAAAAAAAAAGATAATAATTAATTTATAAAAAACCTCTTTTTTTTTTTTTTTTTTTTTTTGATGTTGTGTGTTTTTATTATTTGTTGGGTTGTGTGTGTTTTTTGTTTTAATTATATGTGTTTGTGTGTGGGTGATTTGATTTTCTCATTGATATGTTCATAACATCTATATCTTCATCATTTCATATGATTGCAAACACTTCACAATCAATGATCATTCTAATATTCTAATACAAAAAAAAAAAACAAAATGAAATATCATTATTGTATTTGATGTTACTCTCATTATTTATTGTTATGTTTGGGTGTTCTAATGAAGAGCAATATTACCATCTTTTTTTTGCGTATAAAAATCATTAACAATATTATTATTATTAAAATATAATTTATTAATTTGTTATCTATACCAATAATACAACAAACAATAAATTATATTGATTAATGCAAAAACATTTCTTTCTTTTTAGTAAAAAATAAATAACTTGGAATAATAAATAATAATAATTAAAAATCTTTTTCCTATTGTAATAACAATTAAAAAATAAAAATTTATTTTAAAAATGAAAATATTGGCATTGTTAATTTGTTTAATAGTTATTTTAAAGTGTTGTGAAGGTGGATTCATTGGACCATCGGGTGAAATTGGTAGATCCAGTCTTACAAATAGAAAAACTCAGGTGGTAACATCTGCTGTGAGAAGTGCAGCAAACCAAGTGCAATCACAAACCGGCCAACCACCATTTGCAAAGTTCCAAAGTGTTATCTATGCAACCCAACTCTACAATGACATCTTTTATTTCATTAAAGTACAAGTTTCCGATGATGCCAATGGCTATGCTCATATTAGAGCCCGTTTACCATTAATTACTTTCTTTAATGTAAGTTTATAATTAAACAAAACTGTTTGCTATATAGCTATATTAATATTTCCTTAACAAAAAATCTTTTAGTTCAATTCAACTAGAAACGCTGTTTTGGAAGCATTGGAAACTGGACATACCTTACAAGATCCCATTAAATATATGGATCCATCCTTGAATTTGGTTGGTGGTGTTATCAACATTCAAAACGGTGTTCTATCGGACAGCAATGGTAGACAGATCAATTTGAATAATCCAAACATCATCATGCAGGCATCAAAGAACGGTGGTCTCAGAACTAAACCCGAATCAAAACGTACCCAAACAGTTCCTCCCTCCAAATACTCTCTTCATGGAACTGAAACATTCGATTATTAAATGAAAAACAACAACAATAATTAATAATCAACAACATTTCCAAAACATATCCATTTTTTTTCAACTATAAACTAACTAGTTAGAAATATCAAAAATAAATAAATAAAAGAATTAATTAAATAACAAAACTAACTGGCAAACTCTCCTACTTTTATAAATGAATAAATAATACCACCATATATTAAATTTAGTAGTAGTTTTGTTTTGTTTTGTTTTTTTTTTTTTTGGTTTTTCTTTATGTTTGTAATTTTGTCCAACCAGTAATCCTTGTTAGGTATTGCTTGAATCTCTTGTTGTAGGTGGTTGGATCGACTGCAGACATTGAATCCTTGGTGTCGTAGAGTGTTGCTTTGTAGGTGTGTTCTATTTGCTTTTTGATGTTGTATGTCGTCAGCATGTCGATGATGGCAATATAATAAACTCTGTCATAGTGTTCACCGTCGGGCGTTCTCGATATCATACCACCATTTTCACGCTTGAAAATCGATAGTCTCTCATTCTCCACGTCGGTATCAACTTTTTTGCCATGCAAATAAGATATACCCAATAATAAACTATAATCCATTGAGAATACTTTTTCCAAAAACTAAATAATTAAAATGTCATATTAATTAGTTAAACTAATTATAAATCCATATTAATTATTATTTACTTACACTACAATCAATTTCAATTTGTTTAAAAAATAATATTTTCATTTCATCAGAGATGAAAATTCTAGTACAGAAATCCAAGTCCATCAATACGGATTTGCCTGTTTCCGCTTTTCTGTTGAGTGTGCTACCTTTGAGATCATAGGTTTCATCGATGTGTCTATTCTCAAAGATATTCTCCATCACCACAAAGTAGGTGTTCTTCATCTTTGATGGCGATATATGATGTAATCCAAAATATTTAACCAACAATGAATCTTTATATTGTGAAAGATGCTAAGATTAAAAGATCGGTGGTTAGAAATAAATGTGTAATAAAATGGATTATCGTTGTTGTTGTTGGTTTGGCGTTATTTACCTCATAATAATTTTGTAAAATGGAACGAAGATGATCGTATTCAGAGGTTGTGATTGTTTTGATGAGATATTTCTTATCGCTTGTGAAATAGAATAGCGAATTGCTTCTGCCTGGCGTTGGAATTTCAGTGAGAGTGTCACGTGTCAGTGAGATCATGTAGTCGGCTGGATTCACATTGGAGAGTTCACGTATCTTTCTAAATACTTTGGGTGCGTAATCTACAAATTTATAAGAAAGTGACTGTCCTGCGGATTTCGAGTTGCCGCCGGAGGAATTAGAAGAGGAGGAAGAGGAAGTAGTATAGGTCTGCTGTTCATACGCCGAAAAGTCATCGTCGACCAGCGACGAGATGTGAGCTGCCGACGTCTTGCCAAGACTGAATAGCAGCGCGTTCGAGATAGCGTGTACCAACTCGTAGCTCGGGTGATCCTCGGTGACGATTTGCACCTCTTTTGGCGTGGCCACTGCAGCAGCTGTAGCGGCCAGGTTGTCAATGACCTCTTGGATGGCGCCAATCCACTCGTAGGAATCCCGTTCGATATCGGATCCGCTCACGCACGAATACAGGTAGAACGACTTGCGCGTGGCATGCGAAATCTTGAAGCAAAACGATTTCTTTGTCTCGGTGTCGGCCAGCGAGATGGCACACTCTGTCAGCGGAATCTGGTTGAGCAACGGCTGTCCTTTCTCCTTGTAGTACTCCAGCGAGATATCGGTCAGAATGAAATATCGTTGTAACCAATTCTTCCTCAGATGACCTTGCTTATTAAGATAACCTTCTTTTATTATCTTTGAACTCGGTGTCGTATGATATAAAATCTCACCATCATCTTCATCTTTTTCTTTTTCTTTTTCCTTTTCTTTTTCTTTTGCAAGTGTAATTGAATCTTGTTCATTTTTAGTTGAAGTATTTGCAGGTGGTGTATTATTATTGTTGTTGTTGTTGTTTGTCAAACTTCCAATTTTAAATTTGCTTAACCACCAAAACTAAAAAAATAATTAAAAATCATAAAAAAATATTAATATTTATTTTTAGTTTATTAAAACAAACATTCTTTTTCTTTACACTTACACTTCCATTATTACTATTACTATTACTATTTGAGTTACTTTCATTATCTTTACTACTATTATCTTTATTACTGTTATCTTTATTACTATTATCTTTGTTACTGTTATCTTTGATATTGTTACTGTCTTCTGTATTATTACTGTTACTATTTATTGATATGGTTGCAGGAGATGGTGAATTGTTTATATTCTTATCTCTTGGTGTCAATGATATCAAAGGTGAAGTATTATTATCTTTGTTGCTATCTACATTACCATTGGAATTCTGTTGAGAGTTTGTACCACTACAACTCTGTTGCAGTTGATCCAACGATACATTCTGTGGCTTTGAACTCCTCCATACTTGTCCATTTAGATTACCACTACTTTTATTTTCTTTATTTATCTTATTACTATTGCTATTTTGTTGTTGTTCTTGTTGTTCATTCAACTGTAATGAATCCAATGATTTTTCTATTTTCTCTTCATTACTATTATTATTATTGTTAGATGTCAGATTGATTGTATTATTGTCTTCACTTAATTGTACATCCATATTGATTGAAACAACAACAACAATTGGTTAAATATAATTACAAAAAATAAATAAATAAACAAAAATGAGATTCTCTAATTATTGATAATTATATTAACAATGTTGTTTATAATAAAAAAAGAAAATACAGAACTTTTCTTTTAAAATTGAAAAAAAAAAATAGAAAATTAATTTTAGTTTTTTTTAGATTTTTAGATTTTTTTTAATTTTGGTTGTAAAAACAAAGATCTATTTCTTTTTTCTTGTTATTATTAGTTTTTTTTCTTAACAATAATGTTATAAGATTGGTTAAAAAAAAAAAAATTAAAAAATGATAAACTTAACTGGTGTGAATTGTTGATTATTTTTATTTTTTAAATCATATAAAAAAATTTCCTACCCATTTTTTTTTTTTGCAAAGATAATTGTGATTGATGACGAAACAAATCTCTGAGCTGGGAATTAATTCCTATTATTGCAACTATCAAAATAAACAATAAATTTCATTATTATTAATGAACTTCAACAATGTTTATAATTAGATAATAATAATAAAGAAACTAAAAGTAAAGAACAGAACTTTCTATTATTAATGCTAGTGTTTAATTTAAAATATAATCATAAAAACAACAACAAGAACAATATGATTCACATTCCCACTTTTAAAAATGAATTATTTCTAGATATCGTTTAGTTTTCACTCTTTTCTTAAGAAATGGAATGTTCAAAAAAGGTAAATAAATTAAAAAGAATGTTTGTGCTAGTTCTAGCTAGTAAGTCGAGATAGTCGATGATTTTTAATCATTTCATTGACAATTGTGTCTGTGTGATATTATAAGGTTGGGAACCAGCTTTAACCCTTTGATTAACTTTTCATTTATCATCCAACACAATCTTGACATCATCATCATCATTTCAATCCCAACAATAATCATGAAAGTTAGTAATAACAGAGTTGTTATTTTACTTTAAAAGTAAAGTTACATTGCCGATTATTACAACAACACCACACTGCTATATCACACAATTTCTGACACTTACTACGCTGTGGAACCCAAGAAACAATAAAAAACAAATTACAACCATGATATGGTATCGTAGACACATTTCATCTCATAACATTACTAACTAAAAATAAAATTCCAAATTGTTTGTTAATCTATAAGTAATTTTCTTTATTGTTGTTTGATTTTTCTAGCTTTGTATATCTAGATTACACTATGGTTGAACCTCAAACTACTCCGATATTCCGATAATTCTAATTAATTACAAACAGCTCTTTTATTTTTCTTCAATTTTTGGAATCATTTTTTATACAATTTCTCGCCATTTTAAAACCCCCAAAGTTTAAAAGAAAACCAAAAATATCGGAGTGTGCCCAATACAATTCAATGCCACTCACCCCTAAATCAGATATTAATGATCATTTGATTTGGTTTTCGCATTTTTAAACCTCTTTTTCATCAATTTTAATGTTATATTTGTGTGGTGATGTCTTAGATAATTAATTAGATTTTCTTTCTTTTTTTTTTTTTTTTTTTTTTGAAAAAATGTGGATGGTATTTAAGAAAAAACAAAACAACTCTACCACTATAAATTAATAGACCACCACTGCAATGCAGTGTAGCCACCAACCCATTAATACATCAATCCACCCATTGATTCAATATCCAACAAAAACAAGTTCATTCCTATTTATTATGTTTATATCTGTTATCCACCCCACCCATCAAAAAACAACTCATAATCAGCAAATAGTTGAATGTTTTATCTGAAGGATCACTCTATAAGTGTTCCATAGCTATGTCACAATACCATTGATTTTTATTTTTTTAAATAATTTATAATTGGATGGTATTTAAACCAAACAAAATGATATCTGCCCAAAAGGAAATAGAATTACTTTTCTTTTATTGTTATTGTTGTTGTTGTGAGGGTGTGATTGTTTATTCTAAATTCCCAATCAATAATCAATTCAACTTTTTCGTACATCTAAATTTCATATCACTTAAAATTTCATTTAAAAATTCTATATTTCTCACTCTCCCATTCTCTCTTTTTTTTATTTATTCATTCATTGTATTTATTCAATTCATTTTAAAAAATTAATAATTCAAGATTTTACCAACTTTAATAAATTTCCTTTCATTATCTTTAAATTTATTTATTCATTTGTTTCATTTGTTGAAACAACCTTTGTATTATATTTCGATTTTAAAAATGAAGTTAACATTTTTGTTAATTTTATTAACAATTCTGATGTTTTGTAATTATTTTTTTGATTGATTATCGAAAATGATAGTTTTACTGATAAATTTATTTTATTTAGATGTATCTCATTCAAATGGAGTATTTTATAGAGGAATAGCCACACATGAAACCTATGTAAATACAACCGGCTGGTGTTCAATTACAATCTATTGTCAACTAGTTTTTGTCAATGACAACAGTCCATCGTTTGTATTCAATGAAGCCGGTAATGCAGTTGGTCTCATTCCAACAGGATACGAACCTATCTTTAATGATGGATCTAGGTATCTGATGAAACTCTTCTTTGATTTTAAATACTTTCCAACAGCTGATGGAATCCAAACTATAATCATCACAGATCTGAAGAATTCATCAAACTATCAATCAGTAACTTTTTATCCACTATGTGTTTCCGGTAAGAGAACCAACTTAAATTTACATTGTAAATTGATATTTTTGTTATTAACACTCTTGTTTTTTTACTTTAAATTTATTTTATAATTTTAGTACCAAAAACATTATTGGTAAAACCGAGTATGCCTAGGTTCGATGTTATATCATCGAGTGGCTATTCATTCTTTACATTACAACAAATAAAAGAGGGTTTCCAACGTGATCCAAGACAAGCACAACTACAATTAAAATGTTCAATTCCCGGAAATGACGTACCCATAGATTGTAAATCACAACTCTACAATCCATACACTGGTCTTTACAAGTTAACATTTACAATCAATTCGAATCTATCATCAAATAGCTATTTCAATCCATTCAACATTGATTTACAGATACTTATTAACGGTAATTCATTACTTAGCAATTATTTAATCCAACCTTTTATACAAAATCCTAGTAATACTTGTAAGTTTAAAATTATAATTTAAATAATTTTATTTTATTAATTTTCTTTTTCTTTTTTTTCTTATTATTTTTTCTTTCAAAGTAACCTTTAGTCAATTTAAATATTTCCCAACTAATCATAGTAGTCCAATGGGTCAAATTGTATTTTCAAGTTTTGTTGCAAATAATCTGATGCAGGACAGAGGTTTGATTGGCATAAACTATTATCCAAACTCATTGGATCAATTAACACCGTTGGCAACCAACTCTGTTCCATTGATCGGTAACCTCGACACTGCTCTCTTTTTTTCGAAATCACAATTTTCCAAATCCAACTATTTCATCTACCATACCTATATTAATTCAAACGGTGATTTGAATGCTCAATTATTATCAAATGAATCATATATCGATTATGGTAAGTGAAAAGAAACAAATAATTATATATTTATTCAATTTTACTAATTAATTATTTTATTATAAAGATGTATCATACCTTTTAGATCCAATTAAAGTTACTATCTCAACTAGTTCTATTTCCTCATCATTGGCGTCCACAAGTATTGTAATGAACTCTGTGAAAGATCAAACTTTCCATTTAGGTTTCAATGGTTTTGCATATGTTCCACCTATTCCAACCGTTCCCTTTGGTGTTTCCGGTGGATTGTATTCAAATGCAAGCTATTCAGTTAATTATTACCTCTCACCTTTTGTTGGAGCCAAAAATATCAATTCTAGTTTGTACTATGAACAAAATCCAAGTCAAACTAAAATTACTCAATTCCAAACAAATCAACCTGGTAATGGTAAGTTATAATTTTAGAAACTATAATTAGCTTTTTCTAACTCTCTCTTTCTTTTTTTTTTTAAAGATATATTACCACCTATTATTACAAATTTTAGTTATATTAGAATTTCATCATATTCTTATATGGTTCAAATCAGTTTCAAAGATGCTGATAGTGGATTCTATAGAGCTGTTGTATCATCAGACTGTATTCTAGAGAGATCCGATTTGACTATGGGTAGCTTATACAATGGTATGGTTGAAAAGATTTGCTATTTCTTTTCTTTGACACCACAGTCTATTTCGATCTCTGATTTAGTTGGAAACACCAGAAGTTTCAATGTCTATTCTGCCTACTATTTTGATGATGTCACCGAGTGGAATCCACCATTACAAATTGCAGACATTCCATCTCCAATTAATATTACCATCAATGAAATCACCCAATTCCAATTCCTACGTAATCAAGTCGATACTACCAGTGGACCAGTGAATAATACTCTTATATTCAATATTACCAATGCCAATTTCAATTTGAAACCAAGATTCACTTTGATCTTTGATGGTAGTGACTATAATCAGGTGTCGCTGGATAATACTTTTGAAGGTGAATGGGACTATGATCAAGACTTGTATGTTATCAACTTTGTCATTCCATCACGACTCTTTACATCTTCCATCCAATATGCAATTCTCTCCAACTATGGACCAATCACAAGTCAGCATATCTCTAGCAAGTTTGGTGTAGAGTCACTTTTAAATGTTACCTCTACCAATGCCGATATGATGCCACCCTTGATCACCAAAATAGTTCCAGCGGAAATTCAAAATTCAATACAATGGTTAATAACTATCAGTGATACATTGAATGGATTTGCAAGTGGATATATAAATTACACAAGTGATTTGTATGCTGTTCCTATTAGAATTCCACTGACACCATCTCCCAACAGCGGTGTGTATCTTGCTACCATTAGCATATCTACATCCTCTTGTATTACACAAACCTATCAAATATCTGGAATATCATTGGTGGATAACAATGGATATGAATCATCAACCAACAATCCAAATAAATATGATCCACTGATGTTGGTTAGAGATAACACTAATAATTGTGTTCTTTTCAAACAATTCCAATGCTCTACCGTTCCAGAGAGAATTCCACCGGTCATCAATTCACTCACTGTACCATCAAGTGGAATCGATGTAACCAGTACAGATCGTACAGTTCAAATTTCTTTTTCTACAAAAGATCTTGACTCTGGAATATCTAGCAATACCCCAACTGTCTATGTCTCGGCGATGAATGGACACGTCTTTAGCTTCCCTTCCACCGAAACATCGAGATCCAACAAGATTGTCTATTATACCGCCAATTTGAACATACCATATGGCTTTGGAAATGGAATGAAATCGTTGTATCTCTCAATCTATGGTATCATGGATAATCATTTCAATTTAGCTGGTTACTCTAGTTCCGATTTGGCACAATTGACATTCACCGCGACGATACCAATCATCGAGCCAAAGTTTTATCCCTACATAGAAACAGTTTCTCTCTTCCATTCTTATGGAGAGGACTTGACAGTCACTGGAAAGAACTTTGGTGGTGACAACTTTTATGCAATCATTACAACGAATGAACATAGTACACCACTAAACACTACACTCACATCCAAAGTTGAGAGTGGTTTACTTTCAATATTTACATTGCCACCACTGAATAATCAATTCCAAATTCAATTATTCAATCCAAATCCATCAAATATTAAGATAATAATACCATATAGTAAGTTTAAATTTATTTTGTTTTATTAAAAAACTTTTATTAATATTTTTTTTTCGAAAAACAAAGATCCTGCAAAACCAAATACAACATGTACAACTTCAAATTGTATATATGGTACTTGTATATTTAATACTTGTCAATGCTTTACAAACTATACTGGATCAGATTGCTCATTTTTCAATGGTAATTCAACCAGACCAGATGGAAATTCAACTAATCCATCGACCAATCCATCTACTGCAACAACTAAATCACTTATTTCACTTTATTCAATTCGTGAGCTCGATGACATTGGAACAATAGTCGAAGAATACTTTATTGAAAAGTGGAATTTTACCAACTCTACAACCGTTGATGAAAATAACTTTTTATATTCTGGTAATTTGACAACCGGTACAATAGTAAATGTTACTATTCAATATTTCTTGAAAGATAAAACTATTTATTTTGCTGGTCAAAAAATGTAAATATTTAAATATCATTATTTTATTTTAATTTTATATCTAACTTTTTTTTTTATAAATAAAATAGTGAACTACTTGCTGGATCAACTAAACTGTCAGTTGTTATGGATGGTTATCCATTTAAACAAAGAACAAATTCACTTCAAGTATTAATTTCAGCACAATTTACAAACAATGGTAGTAATTGCAATCCAACCAATATGATTTCTGGAGATGAAAATCTTAGTCAAATCAAATTGATTTTAGATGACAAGGTGTTGTATGGAGAATTCAATCCAACTGGAATCATCGATGGCAGAGTAATAAAAGTTAAAAATGATATAATAAGTAACTCGACATCTGATAATTCAGTTGGTACTTTAATTGGTACAACGATTCCATACTACAGAAACTCAATTACATTGGATCCAAATTGGTCAATTCTACTAGATCCAACTAAAGGAAACAGCCAATGCTCAAGTGGAAATGGACTTACAAATATTCAAAAGGCTGGAATCATCATTGCTTCGGTTGGACTTACATTTGTTGTCGGTGCCTCTGTATTTATTTATTACTATAGAAAGAGGCAACAAAAATTGAGAAAGTTGGAAATGGCCAAGAGAGTCAGCTTATCTTCTTTATAAATAAATCAGATTTGTATTTACTGAAACCTAAACTACCAGTGAACTTTCATACTTCTTTTTTAAATTTTCATTAACATGTTACATTTGAATTAGTTCTTTTTAGAAAATTTATTGAATTCATCCCTATCAAATTTATTTGATTGAACCAAAATTCCTATTAATTCGAGTAATTTGGTAATTTTTGATTGTACCAAACACCAATTATTTAATATATTTTATTAATAATTTCAATCTAAAGCTGAAATCAAGACCCATTAGTAATATTCACCAACATAAGACAACAGTAATAGTATTAGTCTATTAATTAATTAAATTAATAAAGTCAACTAAATAAGTAATATCATAAAACAAGAGATCCAAATACAAAGATATTAAATAAAATTCAGAAATAGATTAGATAAATATTTTTAGAAAAGATCCATCTTATTATTAATTAGTCGTAAGATAAAATGACAGATCCAACAGAACATCCATCTGATACAACCACGACAAATATTGAATCAAAAGCGTCTATTAATCCAACCACCATCATTAACGAAATAACAATGAGCGACCTCGACAACAAAAATAATAATAATTCTGCCAATGAAGATCAACAAGCCACCACCCTATTCTCAGAGATCACTCGTCCAGACCCATTACCAACCGACCTTTTCCAATCTAGCCTAGCTCAGTCTAAACTACCGATATCCTCTACCATCGTACGAAACCAGATGGATGGAAAACAGGCTCTCTAATGGGCCAACTTGGCCAAAGAGGCTTGGACATTTTTTTTTTTTCTATACAAAAAAAGATTTGTTGACTCATTATCAGTCAACAAATAGCAAACCTTTTGCATTGGACAACAAATTGCAGGTATTGATATTAACCTGCTAGTTCGTGTTTTATATTATATATTCATTCTCACTCAGTCCTTGAGAAATAGCCACATCCTTTTGGCATAGCGGGAAAACCATTGGTTACAAACTTTTTAACCGCATGCGGACAATGTTCCTTTAAAAGCTTGCTCGATGCAGGGATCGAACCTGCGACCGTGGCGTTATTAGCACCACGCTCTGCCGACTGAGCTAATCGAGCTTTGTTGATGAGGCCAACAAAAATTAAAATTAATTATATTTTAATAACTTTATTTGCACTTGTGTTTTGACTAAAGTGGTCCTTCGGTGCTGGTTTGAAAACACTTTATTTGGGTGAAGTGCATCATGGGAAATAGTGTTGAAATTCACCAGCGAATTGTTTCAAAAGGACTAAAACCTGTGTTGTGTCTGACCAATTAAATCCAACTAACCATCTCAGGCTAAGCAATTAGCCAATCCAAGCCAACCATCTCAAACCATCTCAAGCTATGCAATTAGCCAATCCAAACCAACCATCTCAAACCATCTCATGCTAAGCAATTAACCAATCCAAACCAACCATCTCAAACCATCTCAAGCTAAGCAATTTACAAAAAACTCGAAAAACTAATCCAATCAAACTAATCTCCTCTCAGGAGAGTGATTCACTGAATACCTAAATACTCAAATAGAAATCCATAGGTTACTCCTCAAGATGAGAGGGGTAACTTTAAAAACAAAAACTTTATTTCTATCCAATTGTTAATCTTGTTCTATCGGAGTGCAAGCGCGGGCATGTAGGTCTCCACTCCTCATGGTTAGCGTCTAAGCAGGTTCACAACTCCTGCCAGTAAGAAGCGTCGATGCCAGTTGGCCAGACTGGGTCACGTACACATATCTTGACATAACAGACCTGGGAAGAAAAAGAGGTAGAAAAGGGGAGAAAAAAGATTTAAATTCGAAAATAAAAGAAAGAAAGGAGTGGGTTTAGGTGCGAAAAACCACTTTACTAAAAAAAAGTTATTTAAAAACTTAGTAAGAGAGAAAAGAGTACAAAGATTTAAATAACCACCACCTTTAGACTCCTAATACAAATAAATATTGATAGATAGATGCACGACAGAATTTAGAAGCGTATGCCATATCGCAACATCCCGAGAAATCGCATAAACAAAGCTCGATTAGCTCAGTCGGCAGAGCGTGGTGCTAATAACGCCACGGTCGCAGGTTCGATCCCTGCATCGAGCAAGCTTTTAAAGGAACATTGTCCGCATGCGGTTAAAGAGTTTGTAACTAATGGTTTTCCTGCTATGCCAAAAGGGATTCTTATTGCTATCTTTATGTTGAATGAAAGCATCGCATGATCAGAGAGAGCGTTGGGAACAACCTTGAAGGAGTTGTTTAATAGACTGCATTTTAGCATAAGCTCTATCAATACCTCTAGCAATGCCGGTAATTGGCGAACGGTACGTAGGAATGTCAACAGTCTGACCAAGATCGACCAGATCGTGCTCATCACTAAGAGAGTCAAGCACCACTGAAAGAGGAGAGCCGTCGCCGGGTACAGTTGAGGTCACCGCAGATTAAATCGATCCTGTTAGGACACCAGAGCTCAGGGGTGGAGAGAAGCATCTCTGGGAACGATTTCTTTTCCCAGTAGGACGCAGGAGCAGCAAGCACATTAAGGTTGTGGCAACCGACATAATTGACATTGAATAAAATGAATCTAACACTTTTACCAAGCAGAATGGGTTTAATTTTGATGCGGCTGGTGTGAGATCTATTTGAACCAGGACTCCAGAATAGCTTAGAGTCATTACTTGGTTTCTTCATTTCCAATCTAACGTCATTATCTTCTTCCTTTCTAAGTAATCTCTAGGGTAATTATTACTTCTTTGACTGTTACTATTTTTAATATAATTGCAAAAATTATTTTATTTTATTGCAATTCTTGGTGATATTCTCTCTGAATGAAGATCTTTTTTATTTGTTTGTAATACCTTTAAGTTATATGTTAGAAACCTATATTAATATAGTTGCTTTAATGGTCGACGTTGTTGAGAAGATAAAGTTGCATCAATCTGATTCTTGTTTAGTAATGGTGTAGGTAAAATAGGTTTGAATTTTCAGTTAAAACGTAATTAATTTATTTATTTAAAACTTGCTCCAACAATTGGTTCAAACGTGGTACCATTTCTCTTGAATCTTCGTATAGACCAGCGGTAATTAAAGCATTATCAACAATTTGTTCAGCTGCCAACTTGGCGACTGTTGGGTTGCTTTGACGAGCTTGATTGAGTTTAAGAATGATTGGATGGTTCATGTTGAATTCGACTTGTTGTTTTGGAATATCGTGTTGTTTGCTTGGATCCATCATCTTCATCATACGACGGAAGGTAGCAGATTCATGATCGACGACGATCGCTGGTTGTGAAATAGCACGACTGGTTGTCTTGGCCATTGCAATCTTGTTACCGACGGCATCCGATACCCACTGGAGGAATGCTGAAACCTCCGCTTGATCCAAAGTGTCGGTTTGTTTCTCTTGGTTGGCAGCCAAGAATTCCTCGGCTTCCTTTGATTCGACGGAAACGATCTTCTTGTCACCGAAATGTCCGATGTTTGAGAATACAAAGTCATCGAGAGTGTTGTAGAGCATGAACACCTCGATACCCTTGGCTTTGAATGGTTCATAGTATGGACTGGTGAGAGCGACCGACTTGCTTGGCACGGTGATGTAGTAGATGTGAGTTTGTTCTGGCTTCATACGGCTGACGTACTCTTCGAGAGTGGTGGTGGTACGTGGTTTCAAGTCTTCGGTTGGTGGCAACTCGGCGGTCGATTCGAAACGGAGAAGCTTTGAGATTTCGTCTTTCCACTTGAAGTCAGTGATGACACCCTCCTTGAAGAATCCACCAAACTCGTTCATGAATGTTTCGAAACGCGATGGATCACGTTTCGATTCGTCTTGGAGGTGTTTGAGAATACGCTTGACGAGCACTGCGCTAATACGTTGAATGAGGCCGTTGTCTTGGAGATGCTCACGTGACAAATTCAGTGGAATATCCTCACTGTCGACAACACCACGTACGAATCTCATCCACTCTGGCAGTAATCCCTTTGCCTTTTGTTGAATCATAACTTTTCTCGAGAAGAGAGCGACACCCGGCTCCATTCTTCCCATTCCGTACTTTTCGACGTGTTGCGATGGAATGTAAAAGAGCGAACGAATCGAGAGTGGTGTATCAGTTGAGAAATGGATACGATAGGTTGGAGTATCGTAGGATTTCGAAATGAATTGATAGAATTGCTTGTGCTCCTCTTCGGTGATCGACGATTTCGAGAGAGTCCAGAGTGGACGAATGGTATTGACGGGGGTACCGTTCAAAACAATCGGGAATCCAACGAAATTGCTATACTTTTTGATGACGGTTTCAACTGTTGCTTTCTTGGCGTACTCGTAGGAGTTTGGTTTCAAGTGAATGACAATCTTGGTTCCACGTGAGACACCGTCGGCCTCAGAGATGGTGTACGAACCGGAACCGTCCGACTCCCAGAGATATCCGGTGCTGCCTGGTGCTGCGGATTTCGAGTATACCTTGATGGTGTGTCCAACCATGAAACAAGAGTAGAAACCGACACCGAATTGACCGATGATCGATGCCTTATCGGGATTCTCACCCAACTTTTTGATAAAGTCACCGGAACCAGAGTAACCGATTCTACCGAGGTTACGAATGAGTTCCTCTTTGTTCATACCGACACCAGTGTCTTGAATGATCAATGTTTTCTTGTCCTCGTCGGTACCGATACGAATCTCGAATGGAACGTCGTCGTTCATAATCTGTTGATTGGTGAGTTGCATGTGTCTTGCCTTCTCGATGGCATCGGATGCATTCGAAACCAACTCACGAATGAATACCTCACGCTCGGTATACAATGATTCAGCGACAATGTGTAAAAGCTTTTGTGTCTCTGCTTGGAATTGATGTTTATCGGCAATACCAACTACCTTTTCTGTCTCCTCGATTGGATCCTCTCCCAAAGCCAAATTGGTTTCTGGTGGAATCTCATCATCCAAATTGGTATTCAACTTTGCTGCGCTATTCGATTCAGTTGAATATCTATTTAATTGAAAACTATAATTATTATTGAACTATAATATACAAATGATAGTAACATACTATTAGTATTAAGGTATTGTTTCTATATGTTAATATTAACAATATACATACATTTAAATTTGAAATTGATTTGTTGAAAATCAAATTTGAAAATGGTTGTGAAACCTTGAATCCACCAACTCGGTTGCTGATAGAGTTTAACAATGAACGATTCAATGCCTTTCTTAACATTTTTATTTATCTAATTAATATAAACAAACAATAATGAGAAAAAAAAAAAAATAAAAAAGAAAAAAAAGAATTTTTCTGACATCAAATTTACTGATCAACAAAACTAATTAAAAAAAAAAATTTTAAAAAATTAAAATAAATTAAAAAAAAACGAACGACTTGAAATTAAAATGAAAAATAAATGAAAAATAAATGATATTTAATTAATTAATTAGTTGTTTTGTTTTGTTTTTTTTATACTTTATTCATGAACAGTGAATTCACTCATTTCAATACCTTCTTTACCAAGTCTCTCTAGAATTGGAAGATAGAATTCCGGTGTCATTGGACCTGTTACACCACGAGTGGTGGTTGCATCGTCAATGATAAGCTCGGTGGCGATACCAACTGGAAGACCGACGGTGAGTGAGGTACCAGAACTTCCATTGGGCTTTCCGTAGCAAATCAATTGAGAGTATTCCTTTTCGATCTTCTTTGAGCCGTCGGCGTTGTTCGACTCGATGATGAATTCATGTTGGAGTACGACAATGTCTCTCTCGCCAGCGTTGTAAGAGAGCTTCTTCTCCAAGAGTGCACAGAGTGTATCGATAGGAGTATGCTTGCTCACCACCTGGTCAGTCTCTGAGAGCAATCCGATCCACTTGATTCCGTCGAGTGCAGTCTTCACGTCGGCATCGATGTCACGCGAGATGATGGGGAATTTGTAGTTGAGTGATTCGGCTTCTGCCTTTTGCTTGGTGAAAGCATCTCTAATCGATGACTCCAAGCAATATTCAATGTCAGAGATGTTGTTATTGCAACCGAGGAGTTGTGAGACGTATTGCTGCCAGGTTGGCGCGGGGTTGGCGCTGAGACGCTCGTCCTTCTCGGTCGAGAAGAATCCAACGGCAACCAGCGCACGAATCATCACACTGAATCCTTTCCAACGCAATGTACCACGATACATTGTCTTTACTTGTGCACGATCCAAGCTGTAGGCATCGATGTATGGCAGCGAGTCACGGTTGGCAACACCCTCAAACTCCATGGTGGTGCCGTCGGCCGAGCGAATCGAGACCGGTTGCATCACACCGAATTTGATGTGTGGTGGAATGTTGTCGATCGAACCGTTCCAGAGGAAGGTGGCTGGCAACGACGCCGACGAGAGAACACCACGTGGCGACCACGAGAATTTGTAGCCAAAGGGGTTGTCTGCAAATTCTTGGGCTGGCAGCGCACCGCACCACGAGATGAACGAGCTGACTGTGGCGCCTTTGGCTTTGGCGGCGTCGATGATCTTCATCGATGACATGTGGTCGATTCCTGGATCCAAACCGAGCTCGTTCAACAAGAGAACGCCGGCATCCTTTGCAGCTGCGTCGAGTGAACGCATCTCTGGACTGATGTAACTGGCGGTTACCAAGTGTTTCTTGTGAGCGATACACATCTTGGCGACAGCACAATGCATGGTGGCAGGCAACAAACTGATGACAACCAAACACTTTGGAATATACTCATTCAACGACTCCAAATTATTCATCACATCCAATTGTATGGTTGTGATTTGCTCTGTTGGTAATCCTTTTGAGATATTATCCAATTCATTTTGGAAAAGACTTACTAGTAAAAAAAATAAACAACATAAACATCAATATGAACGCGTTCGATATTCATTCACTTTTTTTCTTTGAATTACAAAATATGATATGATATACATACAAACAGTAAGATGAACATCATTTCTCTTTAATAAGTAATCGACTGCAGGTTTTGCAACAAAACCTGATCCTAATAAAAGAACTTCTTTCATTATTATTTTTTATTATAAATATTATATATTTGCTTTTTATTACTACAACAAGAAAATGAATGAACTTAAAATATATATTAAAATTAAGTTGTCTTAGTTAACCCCCGACAAGAAATTTCAACATCATTAATTTTAAAAAAAAATATTTATTCATCACCATTATTTTTATTCATTTTTATTATGACCAGGTAGTGGGATTGTTCCCAACAATCTTAATATTTTTTAAATTATTTTTATATTATTGTAAAATTACTAAACAAGAATGATTTGACATAATTATAAACATTCTAATTATCTTAAGATTATTTGATTCTTTATTAGTCGTCTCTCAATTAGTTTAAATATAAATCATATTAAAATATATAAATAAAGTTACTAATCATGACAAAAAAAATTATTTATTTTTTTTTAAAACAATGTTTAATGCTACAATATGTAAATTGAATTCTATTTTGTTTAATATAACTTCTTTGTCTATAAATTAATTAATGATGATCATCATATTTGTTTAATTATGTTTTTTGATCAGAGGATTTTTTTTTTTTTTTTTTTTCAATTTTTTTTTTCTGAAGAGAAAAATGATCAAATTATCATTAGATTTGTTTTAGTAAAACTTACTTGTTTTAATATAGATTTTTCTCTTGTATAGATAGTTAGTTAGTTAGTTAGTAGTTTGTTTGTGTAATAGTAGTTAGTTAAGTTTTGATTTCTATCAAATCAAATAATAAAAAAAAAACAAAAAAAAACAAATAATAATATAGTATTATTTATTTTATTTATATAAATCGAATCGAAATTTTAAAGAGATGTCACTAAAACAAATATTAGCAAGAGTATTTCAAGTTAAAGAATCACAGGTCACTGCAAATGTAGCCAAAGAGAGAATGCAGATATTCCTCAGTGAACAAAGAGGTGCTCGTCTATTGAAAGATGAGAATCTAAATCAAATTAAAGGTGAAGTTTTACAAGTTGTTTCTGTAAGTAGTATTAATCAATCAAATCATAATAGAGTCATTCTTATCATAATCATTATAACTAACTAGATATCTTATTTTTTTAAAAAATATAAATCAATTTGACTGAAATGGATGGAATTTGAATGATCATTGATTTATCTAAACAATCAAATCAAATCAAATCAAAACAAAACAAATCGAAACTCTTGCTATTAAAACATGACAAACCAACCATTTAATCATTCAAATCGATGAACTACAACATTCAACAAAAACATAGAAATATTGGAATGTAAATATGAATGACGTTACATTTACATTTAAAAAGAGTGAAGATCAAATGGATTTAGATGTATTCGAAATGCAGGTCACATTACCATCAGAAGCTTTCAAACGACATACATCAACTACACCAAAGCTATCAATTTAATCAATTAAAATAATAATTATAATAGTAGATTCTTTTTTTATATAATATTAATAATAGGTGTATTTGTCTTTATTATTATTATTATTATTATTATTGAGACTTTATATTAAATATATTTATAAACACTTGTGTATATTGATTTTATATTACAGAATTAAATTTATTATATATTAAAGATGAAATGTTTGGTTTGGCTCTATTTTATATGTTTTATAATAACTTATGATGATTGAGTATTTGTTGTTGTTGTCGAAGTTGTTGCTGTTGCATTGGTATCGGTTGTAGTTGTTGTAGATGCTGTATTTGAAGTAGTTGTTGCTGTTGTTGTTGATGCTGGTGGTGGTATTGGGTTATTATTAAAAGTAGGTGGTGTTACTGGAGTAGGTGGTTGTATTTTAATTGGTGAGAGAGCACTCTTATCGATGTTCTTTATCTTTGATTCCAATCTCTTTGTGTATTCGTCGATCAATTGAACTGTCTTTTCAAGATCACCTACATTCTTATCCAAATCATCGATCTTTTCTAAATAAGGTAGAAATTCTTCATCTGTAACATATTTCGAAAAAAAATAAACAAAATATTAATATAAATAACCATTAATCTCTCAATGTTATATAACATAATAATAATAATAATAATAATAATAATAATAATAATAATAGCAAATAACAGTAACATACATTTCAACTTTAAATCATTCATATATAAAGTCAATCCTTTTGTCATATCGGTCATATCTTTATATTTAGAGGCAGTAACACTATTCATTTGAACCAATAGATTATAATCGGCAACAGTTGCTAATATTCAAATAATATTATATAAATCAAACATGTGTGTGTGATTATAATTAGTATCAAAATAGAAGAAATCATAAATTATCTGCAGATAATTTGAAAATAAGCTATTGATTTGATTTTAATAGTTTACCAGATAGTTCAGAACCTAAATATTTTGATACTTTTGTAAACATTTCGGATGTAGATGATTGTAGATCTTGTTGTTGTTGTGGTGCAGGTCTGGCAATGTCATTCATTGCTTTCTGTTGGAAACTATCAAGATTTCCACTTCCACCCTGACTCTTTTCTGTTGGTTGCTGTTGTGCAGCAGCTGCTGGTATTCTACTTTCCATCTTTAAATAGATTAAATATAAATAATGAATAATTAAAGATATAATTAACTATATATATTATGAATCAAAGAAAAATGAAAATGAAAATTCTCAAAAGAAAAAAAAATTAAAAAAAATTACAAAAAAATCTAAGTTTTCTTTTTTTTTTTTTTTTTTTTGTAATTTCTTTTTTTAATTAATGAAAGTCAGCAAACGATTACACCTGAACATTCAAGTCAGTCTTGTTAATTGATTTCAAAACAAATAGTTTATTTATTTATTTATTTTCTGTTTATTTTTATTTGTATTATTATTACCAAAAAAGATATATAAAATGTCAAATTCATCATCGATGATGACAATAAATAATATTCTTAATACATTGGTACCTTCACATTCATTGGTTGGAAAAGCAACTATAGATAATAATCAACCTACTCCTGGTTATTTATTTGTTGATCTTCAAAGTATGTAAACTACTACTTTAAAGTTGATTCTGTTTATTAATTGTTTGAGAATGAATGATAATGATGATTTAGACGAAACATTAATTTCAAATGAAAAGAGCCAGCAAGTATTATCACAACTACTCAATAGATTAAAAAAAGACTCGCCAACGGTGAAACTAAAGTCATTGAAGTGTATGAAACATCTTTTGCTCAAAGGAAGTGTAACATTTCGTCAAGATTTAATTACATGTTCAGACTATATCAATCAATGTACAAGTAAGTTTAGCAAACAACTCAATCAATGATAATACCATATTAATAGTCAATATATATTTACATCTCTGATAGATTTTAGAGGAACATTAGATCCACTACATGGCGATGCACCATTCTCAGCGGTTAGAAAGGAAGCAAATGAAATATTGAATCTACTATTTCAATATACTTCTATCACTCCATTGGATTATCAGCAACAACAACAACAACAGAATATTGGATCGAATTCATATTCAAATCAAAATAATGTAGCACAACAGCAGCAACAACAAGCATCGTGGGTTGGCTTTGGATCGAATGGATCGATTACCAATGCGCCATTACCAGCACCGACAGCTATCGATCAAGTAAAAGAAAAGATAAATACTGTAAAGGATAAATTGGTTTCACATATTGACCCAAACAGCAGCAGCAGCAACAGCGGTAGTAACAAAAAGTCGACACAACTCACCAACTTTGGATCACCGATTCTAGAGTCAACTCATTCATCCACCTCAGTACCAATCATACCTATTAGAGATGGTACTCATTTAATGTCATCAAATAATAATAATAATAATAATAGTGGAAATAATGATATACTATCAGATAACAATAGTAGTAATAATAATAGTACATTCGATTCACAATATAATAATACAGAATGGTATCGATTAACTAATAATACAATTGGTAATCAAACATCAACAACAACTATACCTATATCTAATATAACTATTTTTATTGAATATTATAATCAACTATTACGACAACAACAACAACAAACTATTTTATATATAATACAATTACTTGAGAATAGACTAAAGAGTAAACATTGGCAAATAAGACATAAAACATTAGTATTATTAGAATCAATTATAAAAGAAGAAGAACAACAGCGACAACAACAATATTGCATAAATTATATTAGAAAGAATAATGATATTTTACTTTTACAGGCAAATTCTGTGCAAAAGTCTATAAGAGATAAAAGTAGAGCTATCCTTAAACAACTTGACATACCTCTTGCTACCACAACAACAACAGCAACATTAACAAATCTACACCAATCAAACATTAGCAATGAGAATAATAATAATAATAATACTCGAAACAATTTCAAGGAAACTAGCATGAACAACTTCAACAATAGATCTAATCACCAGGATCAACAACTCGTTGATTTAGGTCCACTCCCTCCAGCAATAGATAAAACCTACCACCACCACCAATCTTTAAACTTCTTTAATGACCACTACCACCACCACTCATTCGATCAAGAAAAACAACAACAACAACAACAACAATTCCACAATAATTTCAAAGAAGACAGTTTTCTGAATCTAAATATAAATGGCAATGAAACATTTTCGAATTCATATTATGCTCCACCTCCGAAGCAGCAAAGTGGTGGTGGTGGTACTTCTACAACACCTATTAATTTATTTGATAGTCTATCAGTGATGAAGAGTCAGGTTGATCAACATCGCTGTGGTGTATCTACAGATCAACAACCACGACACAATCAGAACCGATCGCAAGTGGAGATGCCACTCTCAATAGTGGAACCATCCATGCCTACCAATCGAAGTATTACTGCAGATTCCATAAATGGCAGTGAAATACTATTCCCAATTATATCAACAACCACCATCAACAATACCTCTCAATCTAAGCCCGACAAGCCCTGTGGATATTCACAGCTGCAACAACAATCAGCAACTCGTTAACAACAATTAATAATTACAGGTTTACATTTCAAAGTCATTGTGAAACTACAACAACGAGTGTTGGGTGTGTGCAGCAAAGCAACCAAGCGATCGCCCATCTTGCTAAATCTATAACAAAACCAGACCAGACCAAACCAAACCAAATAGACCCCTATGTTATTATCAGGCAATATCAAACACACCTATATTCCAATATAGTTTAGGGAGGTGGTGTGATGCACGATGGGTGTTAGCCGTTACAGAAAAGCAGAACACAACAACTTAATCAATAATTTGAATTGATTGATTGATTTAAATTGGTATGAAGAAGACCTTTGTTTGAACTCAAACTTGATCAACTATCATCTAATTAACACCAATTATTATTTTTCACTCACACTGCAGATGTCTTTCAATCACACCCTTCGAGACTTGATCATGGAATATCGAGAGCAACCAACCACAAAAAGAATATCCCCAACACCATCAAAATCCAACAATCAAAAAAATGTGAGTTTTTTTTTTTTTTTTTTTTTGGTGATGTGGGTGTTTCAATCCAAAGTTAGTGGTTGTGTGGAACCTCCTCAGATTAAAGAGGTTTTTTTTTTTTTTTTCTTGACCTACATGACCAATGAAAGTGTGGGGAATGGTATTTATTTATGTATTGGTTATGGTCTTCCACACACTCACACACTCACTGAAAAGTCTTTGATCGTGTGTGCCCACAACACCTTTATCAAGAATTTAATTTTAATAACCAAATATATTAAGAAAAAAAAAAAACAAAAGCATCAATAAATAAATTCAATCTCTGTGACAGGTTAATTTTAAAAAAGGGTGTTGCAAAGTTTATAAATCATCCAAAAAATATTCTAAATCTCACAACCTTTAGTACCACACTTTGATCGAAAACTTTTTAACAACAAAATCAAAAAAAAGAAAACAAAAAAAAGTGTTTTTTTGATTTTATTTTGCAAAATTCAAGTTTTCTTGATCTGTCCATTACCCATCACATATGAGCAAGCCCCAATCATATTGAAAATAATTTTTGTTTTTTTTGTCTATTTTTTTTTTTTTTGAATCATGTCACTCACACACACAAAATCCAAGAAGAATATTATTCTATTTTTTTTTGAATCAAAATATCTTGCTGATTGAACTGAACCACCCACACTGAATATCGCAAAAAATACACAAAAATTCACACAAAACTCATCATGTTTGAAAACTGGACTGACAAATCAAACACCTATTTAAACTCATGTCATATGACTAATCAAATCATTTTAAACAACTAATCATTCCAATAAGTAGTAATCTACAAATTAATTCTGTAAATTACTTGTACAACTACACCTCTAGTATTTTTGTATCTATTAAACATACAGCTTTGTATAAACCAAAACTTTACACACTCTCTTTTTATTTATTCTTGTAATTTCAAACCCCTATCACACAAATAAAAATGTCCAAGCCAGAAATCTTACCAACCTGGGATGTCATGACCGACGGACCTACTCTCATGAATTTCCTCAATACCGGTGCTTTTCCAAACCAATGTGTAAGTAAAGCAACAAACAAACTTCTCTTTCTCAATCAACAATAAAAACGTTGTACTAATTGTATTCCTAAATAATTATCAAATTCTTAGGTTGTTCTCTACTTTGCTCAATTGAATTGCGTCGGTTGTGATCAAATCAGAGATTACATGATGGCTCTTCCAAATAATAGACCTGATGTTGCCTGTTTCCAAATCCCACAAAATTCAGCAATCACCAAAAACAACATTTGGTGCAATGACGTTATGATCTACCCAACCGTCAAATTGTTCAAGAACTTCCCTGCTAATAACGATGTCAGACAAATTATCGTTGGTGCAAATTCTAATCTTGTCGAACAATGGTTGGTTCAAAACTTTGAACCATTGCAATAAATCAATATAGTAATAATAATAGTTAATAAAATAAATGTATCTTAAAAATTTTTTAAAAAAAACAAACTTTTTTAATTCTGATCAAAATTCTAATTTTATTGATCTAAAAAATCAATATCAACAACAATTGATATCTTTTCTTATAATATTATCTATAATCTTATCATCATTTGATAGTTGACATACAAATAGTTTTTATTTATAATAAAGTTTATACAAATATTTTCTTATTGTTCGGTTGCATTTTAGAGCAACGAGGAATCTGAAAATTGTAGTTTTATTTTATAATTTAAAACCTTGGTTTGTATTCATTCCACCTCCGAAATTTGGATTTGAAGAAGTTGGTACACCATTTGGGGATGCAGGGTTATTTTTGTATTTAAGATACTCTGGAGTTCCTGGCTTTAAATAAAGAAATCCACCACCTGGTTTATTAATTTTTAGAATCATCATTTCAAACTATTCGAAACAATGGTTATTAATAATGAATTAATTCGAAGCATCATTGCCACATCTTACTTCTTAAATACCTACTTTTTACAATTGCAAAAGTCTTTATTTGTTTTATTTAAAAGAATTCACTCAAAGATGTCTTAGATCTAACTTTATTTATAGTTCATTTTTAAGAAATGATTAACATAGAAAAAGTAGAAATTAAAAAAGAATTAAATAATAGAGTCGATACATGTTAATCAATTTATCAATGTAACTTTATCAAAAAAAAACACTCCCTCTTTTATAATAAAGAAAAGTGTTTAAAATTAAACATATGTAATGCCTATTCCTAAGATAGAGAGTTGAGATCATACTAAATTGGGTTGAATGGTAACAAAAGTTTATTATAGTAATTTCTAAATTAAAACTATATCGTAAATTAAAACATATATTCATCTTTCATTAAGCTAGTAGGTGCAAAATCAACTTCTCAAGTGTATGGTTAATTTGTCGAAGGTTTACAAAAAGTGAAAATTTACTATTCTATTCAACATGGTCAACAGGTCTTAATTTAAGAAGAAACAAGAAATAAGTGGGAATTTTGCATGGTACTCTGTTCGATTTCTCTTTGATGACCAAAATAAAAGGAGAGAGTAGGGGTGGAGATATCTGTTCGAAGGATTGAAATAGATAATTAACAAATAAAAAATTGTGGAGAAATAAAGTTTTTTTTTTTTTTTATAAAGTTTTCTCATATCTTGAAATGGATTTTATGTTATTCTTTTATTGGCTAGTGAGGTGGGATGGCGTTGGGAAGTTCCAGGTTTGGTGGTTCCAGATGAGTTTGAAGTCGTCTAGCTTCTTTGGATTGATATGCTTGAAAGTTTGAGTTGTTTCGACCGAAGTCTTGTTTTGATTTTCTGATTAGTTTATGGTATCTAGTTTAGCTAGTGTGTTATGTGACGATGGTGCGGTATGGCATAAGGTATCTGGTCAATCCTTATGCCGATAAGCATACATACGTCAGTGGTATATACCTCCTCTCAATACATTTGGCGACACCTTGCAGTTATATATTCAATTTTAAAAATACAATTTATTTGTTTGAGTGAAAGACGACTTGTTAAACAGCTAACAACGACGACTTAAATACTGTAGTATGACGAATCTTTAGGACACCAAATTAGCAATATGGGGACAACACCACTGGGGTTAACACCACGTTGTGTTAACACTACATTGAGACGTAGGAGATCTTTATCATAGTTGGATATCTATTCGTATACTTTAACAACGGGAAATAACCTATATCTTCACATTCGCCCCTCCCTTAAGAAGCTTAAGCATACGGGGGAAGAATCTCTTTACATGATCGATATTGACAGTTTGATTAGTGAAAGTTGACGGTAAATCTAACTGTATTTGGACCAAGAACCTTTAACACCTTGATCGGACCATACCACTTAGGTAGAAACTTACGAGCGATTCCAACCTCATCGTAGGTAGGTGGAACTTGAAACTTGACCATAACCATATCTCCAACTTGATAGTGTGCAGCAGCTCTCTTCTCATTGTTAAACTTGATACGCTTGTATAATCCAGCCTGAGATGAATTCATATGTTCGGCTCTGTTTGCGTATCTCAGTTCATGCAAGTACTCAATGTACTCCAACTCATGTTTAACCGTAGACCTGTTACTCCATTGGATTTTCTGTTGCCAAAGGATAAGATTACTGCTCATACTGGAGAGTTGTGGAATACCGCTCTAGCTAACTATGCTCTTGAGATTGCTGACAAGAACATCAAACAAGCCTCTCTCATTACAGGTTATCTAACCTCATTCAAGCTCGATTAGCTCAGTCGGCAGAGCGTGGTGCTAATAACGCCACGGTCGCAGGTTCGATCCCTGCATCGAGCAAGCTTTTAAAGGACCTTTGTCCGCATGCGAATCTTTACTGTTTTTTGATTTTTTTTCTCGATAACAAAAAAATTGGCGATCCGCTTTCGGCCACTCTGTTCGTTCTAGTCATCGACTCCAAGAAATATAAAAACACTATGAAAAGACCAGAGCTGTACAACCATGGTTACGTGGTGGCATCTCGCTATGGGACATCCAACTTCGTAATGATGCGCAACACGTGTGGATATTCAACAGATTCCTACTTTCATCCTCTGATCCTTCCAAAGTTTGTTATTATACCAGTTGGTTATCTCAAATCCAATGCAGATCTATCACCTCACCATATCTCAATCTATGCTACACTCTGTGGCACCAAATGGCAGTTCATCTCAAACATCTGGACAACAAGATCAAATCTGCTAAACCTATTCTGATTGATGGTCTACCACCCACTCTGAAGCAAATCTACGACCACCTATTGATCATCAAACATGGCATTCCACCACTAACTGATTGTCAGTTCCAACTATCTCTACCACTAACCAAATTCGACTACACATCTTATGACAGGGTACTCCTCTCCATGAAAACAACCTACTATCTAACGAATCTATCATAAATGAATATATACAGCACATATCTGTAATGAAATTAATTATTAATAACAGTATCAGTAACTTACAATCCAAACTTAAATAATCAGCTATCACTCAAATGTCAGCTAACTACAATTGTATTATTTCCTCTTCTTCACTTCATTTTCAATTTACCAAATCATTCATCAGTATTCTCATCAACTTAATAATCTATAATATAACAATAACTGAAATAATTATAATAATAATCAAAATAGCAATCAATTTGCAAAAGTAAAAATATTAAAAAAAAAAAAAAAAAAAGAAAAATTTGATGGTTTACACCAGCCCAATATAAAACTTAATAAAATAGATTTAATCTATTTTTATTTCTTTAAAAAAAAATAAATAACATTTAAAAGTTTCTTTAAACTATATAATAAAATAAAAAAAAAAAAAGATTGAAAACATTTTTTCTATTTATATATACTCTTCTTATTGGAATTGTACTTTTAAACTCTTTTATTAATAGAAAATTTTAAATCAAAAAATTAATTTTTTCTTCCAGCGTTTTTTTTTTTAAATTCTATTTCTAAATAATTTAAAGTAAAATATTGATAGGCAATCAATTAGGATAATTAAATAACTATATATCCGATGCAATATCTAGTAATAAAAATAAAAATATGTTTTCATTTCTATTGAAAATAAATCAATTTTTTTTTTTTTTTTTGTGATCATTTATTTTTAATCGATTTATCAATGAAAACAGAGATAAAGCTAAATTATATATTCTATAATATTTTATCATTCGAAATTCAACATTATAAACAATATGTAATCGACAGTTATAACAATGATCAAACAAAGTTTGATTCTAAATTATTGAAGCTTTCTTTGGTTTGCAAACTTTGGTTTAATTATATACAAATGGGTATAGATTCTTTCTATATTGAAAGTATAAATTGTATTCTTCCCTCGGGATATTCCATTCATACATTTGAATGTGAATCACCAGATATTGTATTACCAAATCAACAGACCTCTGATGAAGCTATATTAGAGAGTTCAAAATATGCATTGATACAACAGTCAAACATCAAGATATTATATGTCAATTCAACTACGTCACAACATTATCAGTTTAACTTTTGCCATGTGTTTGCAGATTTAGTGTCGAGTCATTTCAAATACATTGAGATCATTCATATGAAAGGTGATGTAGATAGTATTGATTTACCAGTATGCATGCGAATTAACCGTAGTGCGATTGCACCACAATCATCACTCATATCACAGAATATCAAGATTATATTGGATTTAAGAATAGAAGAAGATGGAGCTGGTGTATTGCTTGCTAAGTATGATCTCTCATCTCGTTCATTTGACATTCAATTCAATCGAATAACATTGACATTTGGTGGATTTTCAAAGTTTAACTTTACACAACATTCGATTCTTAAAGACTTTATCAAACTATCACCAAAGAATCTTACCATCATTAATAATCTTTCAAACAGTACTCATACATTCGATCAAATCAAACATGGTTCCTATGTTCAGTTTGGAGAGTCATCTACTCTAGAATCTCTAAAAATCGAACAAGATTATCTTGACTACTCTGAACTTGCTATCATTCTTCAATCGAAATCATTGCAATCATTGGATATCAACTTACTCTGTCATCCCGAGTACAGAGCATCTCATCCCAAAAGTCAAGATACACACATGGCAAAGCTATTAATGAATGGATATAGACTTGAATTTGACGACTACCATGCTGATAGCGAAGACGATGAAGATGAAGAGTTTGGTAATGAAGAAGCAGATATAATTGTAGAAAATGATAATTATATGATCAGCTATGAAAATATAGAGAATGATTTAGAAGATCTAAAGAAACAATTGGTTATTAATAGTGTTTTGAAGAAATTAGTGATTAGAACAAGATTTGCTCGTTTAAGAGATTACAAACTAGTACCAAATCGTCAATTGGAAAGTGTCTTTACAGATTTATTGCTTTACAATCAAACATTACAATCATTGAAATTCAAAGAATCAATGCCAGACTTTATTAATCAGTCATTCTTTTGATGCACTTGCACAAAGTAATACATTAAAAAAGTTTAGTATCAATCTAAAACAACAAGAATTTCAACTATCTCTCATCAAGAGTCTATTTTTATCACTTTCCCGAAATGGTTCAATTCATTCTCTCTCCATCACATGTAGTTCAATCAAACCGATAACTGAATTATTATCGAATTTATTTTGCAAACAACCACAACAACAACAACAACAACAAACAATTATCAATACAACAATTAAACATTTAAAAATCTTTACATATATATTCGAACCAGAGATGAATGATTTTATACAATCACTTTATGAAAATGAAAATCAATCACTGAAATCGATATCATATAAAGTTCGTATAGATTTGTTTGATACCAAATTAGAAATATCTCAACATCATAAAAACAGATATACACTAACTGAAAAGAATAATAGACATTTATTATTACTCTTGAAATATATATAATAAAGTTAATTAATTTAAATAAGTTTAAAAATGCACGCAGTTTTTTTAAAATTTTTAACAAAAAAAAAAAAATAATCAAAATGTTTATTATGTATTTTTAATTTAAACAAATGTAAAAAGTAAAACCAAAAGGAGAATGAATAGTAATACAATCATCTTTAAATGAATTATCAAACAAACAACCTGATCTTAATCAGTTGGATTCGATAATTAAACAATCAATCAAACTTGATAAAATTGAACCATCACAGAACAATGAAATACAACAACAAGTTGCAAAATTTTATTTTCATCCATTTTTACAAAAATGTAACGTGATCAAAAAAAACAAAAAGAGTGTGTGAAGATTTTGTAATTTAATTTCAAAAAAACAGTTGTGAAACTTAAATTTTTAATTTAATTTCAAATGTGTGGTCTCAATGAAAGTTGTGTTTTTTTGATCATTATTTTTGTTATAGTACAGTTTATTTAATAATAAATAAATAGGAGGAAGGAAAATAGAATGGCTTTAGAGTGTTCAGAACATAACGAATCACATAAGTTTATTTGTTATCAATGTAACAGCTTGTTGTGTTCGAGATGTATAAAAAATCATTCTAAAGATCATCCTGATCATGATCAATGGGAACATATCGATGATATCAAACAATCATTTAATAAAGACGAAAATACTTCATTCATCAATTTACAACTTAAATCGATATGGGAATCATTAAAATCATCAACATCAAGATATCAATCATTATCAACAACAGAGAATGAAATCAAACAATACTTTGAACAACTACATCAATATCTAATCATTGAAGAGCAAAAGCTAAAGAGAGATATAATTAATGATAAAGATACAATCATAAATCAAATCGATAATAATATTAATCATTTGAAATATATTGTAAATATTATTAAAATAAATAACAGTAAAGATAATAATAGAAATGATAGTAATAATAATGATAATCAGTCAACAGTGATAGAAGATACAACAACACAATATTCAACAACGACAACAATAATGAAATCTATTACATCAAGTTCATCATTACAATCATTCATCTTGGATAATAATCAGACATTGTTCAATGATAATCATGATCCATTCAATATTGATGAACTTAAAAATCAACATAATAATGATTCATCATTATTATTGGATATCATATACAAATACAACAATAAATTCAATAAAACTGATAATAATAATAATAATACATCATCAATACAATCATCATTATATGAATTATCAATCAAACAACCTGATCTTAATCAGTTGGATTCAATAATTAAACAATCAATCAAACTTGATAAAATTAAACCATCAGAGAACAATGAAATTAATACAACAACAACAAACAAAGATCATAATAAACAATCATATATTTCCACAACACACCAATCAAGAGGAGCAACACTTATCAACACAACAAACAACGATCATAAGAAACAATCATATATTTTCACAACACACGAATTAAGAGGAGCAACACTTATCAGCACAACAAACAACAATTCAATCGAGCAAATCAAACTTGATTTTGATTTTAGGTGTACACACCAATCGATTGTTTCAATTGGTGAATATATCTATGTATTCGGTGGTCTAAACAATCCAAACAAATGGATGAAGTTCTCAATTAAATCGAAATCAATTGAATATATTGGTAATATCGAAGGAATAGATGCTGATTTTAGTATATCAGTTTGTTACGATGGTAAAGATCATATCTATTTGGTTAATGGTCACAATATTAAGAATAGAATTGATCGATTCAACATCAAGACAATGCAATTCGAAAGATATCATCGATTACCTGGTGAATACGATGAACAGGTATCAACAATGATCTTCAAAGGTTCATTGTATTCAGTACCATACAAAGGAAATAAGATAATTCAATTCGATTTGACCAATAGAACAATAGAATATCATCAAATTGACATTTCACTAGACTCAGCATGTCATGATAACAATGGAAATTTCTTTATATGCGATGTTATTAACAAGATATTCATCAAATACAATGTTAAAACAAAACAAACATTCAATATCAAATTAACTCCCACCAAAGATCCATTTGGATATGCTCTTTTGATGTATCATCGAGAATCATCAACATCAAGTTTTATCTATTCATTTCGTGGTAAAACTGGAAACTATAGGTATTCAATTGAAGACCACCAATCCGAACAGATACTTGAAGATGATAAATTCGATAGATATTGGTGTGCAGCTACATCCATAAAATATTGAATTGGTTCTATTTGATTCGGAATCATCATTAGAAAGTTGATAAGAGAACGATCAAAAAAAAATACACATTATTATTATTTCAAATATTTTAATAAATAATTTAAATTCTAGTTTTAATTCAAAGAGGTACAAACAAAGAGTTATTCCTATTTATTCAGATTTATCTCTAGCAATATCCATCAAAATTAAAAAAAAAAAGTTCAATTTTAACGATTTTCAAAAAAATAGATACTTACAAACATAAGAATTATAGACATTTATTAATCTTGAAAATAGAAATTATATATATGCAAAATATATTAAAAATTGAAGACAACCAATCCGACCAGATCCTTGAAGATGATAAATTCGAAAGATTTTGGTGTCCAGGCACATCCATAAAATGTTAAATTGGTTCTTTTGATTCCGAACCATCATTAATCAGTTTATAAAAGACACCAAAAAAAAAACAATACTTTTTTTCAAATATTATAATAAATAATTTAATCTATCTAAATTGAAGAGGTACAAACAATGAGCTAATATATTGTGTAGGTTAGATGTATCACAAAAAATTACAAAAATGAAAAAAATAAAAAAAATTCAGAACTTAAAAATTAAATTTTTGTGTATCTTTATGTTATTTTATTTATAATACTATTTATTTATTTTAGCTATTTATTAGACAATGGATGTTAAGAATCTATTAGCATCGTTTATCTCTGTTGCTTTTGCAGCGGCTGCATCAACTCTAATTATCAATTACTATTTTGAAAGAGAGAACAATGAAAAGAGAAAACTATTATCTGAACGTTTAAGTGGTCATCCAGTGAGTGTTTAATAACAACAACAACAACTTGAAAGAATATTGCATCTAATATATTATGTGTATTGTATTATGTATTTATTATTATTCATTTTAGTTAGGTTCATCATTGTCAAGATTGGATTTGAATCAACATGAAATAGAGGTTCTGGCATGTTTGATCAATCCCAGAGATATTGCATCGACATTCGATGATATCGGTGGCCTCGATGATATCATACAGGATGTAAAGGATACGATATTCCTACCGTTGGAGCAACACGAATCCGTGGATATGTCGCAGTTCACGCTGCCCAAGGGCATACTGCTGTACGGTCCACCGGGCACAGGCAAAACAATGCTCGCCAAAGCCATAGCAAAGGAATCCGGTTACTTCTTTTTGAACATCAACGACTCGCTCATTGAGAGTAAGTTCTACGGTGAGACCGGTAAGCTCTTGACTGCCATCTTCACACTTGCCGAGAAGCTTCAACCCGTTATTGTTTTCTTTGACGAAATCGACGGTATCGTTGGTACACGTAGTGCAACTACAACAGATTATAACATCAGTAAGAAATCTGTATTATTACAGTAAGTTATCATCATCTCGAATATAGATTGATAGATAGATAGAAAGATAGATTACTATTATAATATCTTATTGTTACTAACAAATTACTACTATATTACATAGATTGTGGGATGGTATTAAAGATTCAAAGATTATCATCATTGGAGCAACCAATAGAATAAACGCAATCGATGAAGCATTCTTGAGAAGAATGCCAAAGAGAATTAGAATCAATTTACCAGATGTGACTAGCAGAGAGAATATTTTAAGAAAGGTTTGTATACAAGTTTTATATACAGTTATAGTTTATATATATATAAAACTATAGATATATTATTATAGTTAATTAACAATTTTATTACTACTCTTAGATGTTGAAAGATAGACATGATCCAAACTTTGATTTCAAACTATTAGCACAGAAAACACAAGGTTATTCAGGATCAGATTTACAAAATTTAACAAGTGAAGCTTTAAATCGTAGGTTTTTAATTTGATAACTATCATTTTAGTTTGATTATATTGATATTCATTCTAACAAAATGTTTGTTATTTGTTGTTTAACTCTATAGTTGCATTAAGATCAGCGATTAAATCAAAAGAGAGAATTGAAATAAGGGTTACTCATGAACATATTAATAGAGTGGTTCAGAATCAGATAAAGAACAACAGTCATATTCAAACTGAAACCGTTGTAGCAAATGATTAAATAGCTTGCTACTATGGTTAGACCATAATTAAATATTAATTTAATTTATATACAGAAATTAGAACAACAACAGCATATCATCATCATCATTTTCAATCAATTCACTTAAATAGTACATTCTAGAGTGTGTACTACCATCTCACATATATATTACAAACATTGTTGTTGTCAACCGTTGACACATCATATTAATATATAACAATAAAATTAAAATATGATCTTCATTATGTCAATCAATGCCTATTCAGAGTTAACAAATTCAAAACATGTCAAATGATTTAAATTTCCATCAGAATTCAAATGTTCACATAAAAACGTATCATCTCTCTGACTCTGTATGTTTCATTGTTTCAATGAGCTGATGGTCTTCATTGAATTAAAATAAAAAAAGGAAATATTTGTTGTAAATACATATCTTAACAAGTAAGATTCATTTGAAAAAGTGAGAATGAAAGTTTATGCTGATCAGTCTTGCAAAACGAGAATAATATAATGATCTTTAGAAGTTCGACTCAAATTCTCTGTTTTGCAAGAACAATTTAAAAAAAAATTCAATTTATTTGATTTTTTTTTTTTTTTTTTTAAAAAAAACCCAATTTAGAAAATTTATATTTATTTTGTTTATTTTTTCATCAAATTAATAATAATATTATAATATTTATAAATCATTGTTGTTTGTGTTTATTTTTATTACTTTTTTTAACTTTAATTTGATATTTGTTTTAAAGAGAGAATCAATCATTCAACTTAATTGTATAATAGTTTGTAGTTGTTTTTTTTTTTTAAAAAATCATAAAATTTGAATTTTTTTTTTTTTTTAATCATTTAAAAACAATAACTTTAAAGTCAGATATTAATAATATTAGCTAATTAGTGACAGTAGTATACTAATAGTATAAAAATAATAATTATATAATAATAATAAAATGTTGTCAGTCGAAAGAAAAAGAACTGAAAAGGTTGATTTAATAAAACCTCTCACCAAATACATAAAGGAGCAATTCAGCAAGGAGGAGGCAGCTGCCCACGAGCTTCAAATTGCATCATTACAACAACAGCGTGAAGACGTTCGTAATCTTCAAGATAAAACAGATACATCAAAAGATTTGATATGGAGATACTACTCTGTATTGCAATCATTAGAATTACGTTTCCCAATATCTGAATCAAATGTAAGTGGTTTATACTCAACAACAATCTACTCTAAAATGCATACTAAAGCCACTGAAAAACTAACTATCATCTAATTATTATTTATAGGTTAGAATATATATCCCATGGACAGATACATATAAACAAAGAAAATACTGTTTATATTCTATCTACTATGAGAGAGGATCGGTTCTCTTTAATTATGGATCGTTGCTTTCACAGCAAGCAGCCGGTCAGAATCGTTCGACTGTAGACGGTATCAAGAAGGCGTGTCAATCGTTCCAAGCGGCAGCCGGTGTTTTCAATCATTTGCGTGAGTACATCTCGTTGCACTCTGAGTGCTGCGTATCACCGGACTTCACTGCGGATTCGCTCGATCTGCTCTCGACACTGATGATCGCACAGGCACAGGAGTGTGTCTACGAGAAGGCGGTGGCAGACAACCTCTCGGATTCCATTCAATCGAAGCTCGCCATACAGGTGTCGGACTACTACGATGCCGTCTACCAGCTATCAAACTCGAACGCACTGAAATCCGTTGTGGATCGTTACTGGTCGAGTGTATGCTACACCAAGGTATTCATTTACCGCGCCATCGCCAACTACAAGTGCGCCATCGGACTGGAGGCAACCGCTCAATTCGGTGAACAAGTTGCCCGTCTCACCGCCGCTGTCGACAACATCGGACTCGCTCGTCAAAACATGCCAAAAACAGCAATCGTCGAATTCAGAGAGTTTTTAGAAAAGATTGCAGCAGTAAGTAAATTTAGCGGTAAAGTTAATTAACTTGTTTATTAAGCTTTGTTTATGTTATAGATTATTACAAAGTATTATGAATCATCAAAGAAAGATAATGATACCATCTATCATGATATTGTTCCACAACCACATAAATTGGCACCAATTGAAAAGAAATCGATTGCTAAAGCAGCACCAATTCCAGAGTTGATCCAACACGATCCATTCATCAATTTGATTCCCTACGCTGTAAAAGAAGATGCTGCCATCTACAACGACCAAAAAGAACAACTCTTAAAGAAGGAGACTGACAATATCAAATTCCATGATGATACTGCTAAATCGTAAGTTATTTATAAAACAACAACAACAACAACAGTGTTTGAATATTAACATTTTTGAACAAACTATTTTACTTTTTCTAGTACTTTGGTATCAATGAATTTACCGGGTGCTGTTGAAGCACTGGAAATCGGTGTGCCAAAAGCATTGCAAGAGAAGATGGATCTTGTAAAGTCTGAGCGTGGTGTCGACACGGTTATCGATTTGCTAAAGTCGTTGCAACAGCTGCACGATGAGGACGAATCGATTTGTACTACAGCCAAGAATATCTTGAATCGCGAGGAAGAAGAGGACAACAAGATGAGCCAACAATACGGTTCGTCATGGTACCGTACTCCATCGTATACCTTGACTGCCAACTTGCGTCAGGACTTGGCAAAGTATCAGAGTAACCTCCAACACTCTACCAAATCCGATTCTCACATCAAGAAGAAGTTTGACGATGCCAAGCCATTGATTGCCGCACTCGAGTCACAACACGAAGTGGTCAGTCTACTTCCATCCAACATTATGCCACTCAATCAAGTACCGGAAGTTGCCAACTTGAAGGCACTCATCAAAACACTCGATTCTCTCATTGTCAACCGTGATTCAATCGCTGAGAAATTAAAACAACTTTGTAAAAATGTATGTTACCCTCACCTATAAGTATTGAAAACAATGATTGTACAATATTCTTACTAACTAAATTTCTATATAATTTATAGGACGATATCACAACTAAATTAATCAATCCAAATAAAGATAAGAGCCAGATATATAGAGAGGAAATTGCCAAGTATGAACCATTGCAACAACAGTTGAACGATAACTTTTTGAAGCAGGAACAGTTGCTCGACTCGATTCGTACAGAGAATGAAAAGTTTGTTAGAAGCAACTCAAAGCAGGGCAGTCAGAGAGAGGAAACCTTGCAAAAGTTTGCCAATGCATTCAAGACCTACAACGAACTCAAATCGAATCTTGGCGAGGGTATTCAGTTCTACACCAACTTCCAAGAGATCCTCTTGAAGTTCAAGAACAAGTGTGAGGACTTTGCCAGTGAGCGTGAGAAGGAAAAGACCGAGCTTCTCCGCCAGATCCAGAATGGATCGAACCCATATTCGCCACCCAGTGGATCGGCACAACAATCCTATCCAAACGTACAGCCACCACCCTACTCACCACAAAACAACAACACCTATCAACCATACGTTCCAACACCACAATCTTTTACCGCGCCACCACCCTACCAAGGACCACCACAAACCTTCAACGCGCCACCACCTTACAATCCACAAAATAGATTCCAACAACCACCAAATAATAATGGTAGATATTTTTAAAACAATCCATCAAATACCAAAATATAAATAATTTATAATAAATAACAACAACAATCGATTACTTCAAACTCCAAACTTTTAAAAAAGAAAAATAAAAAAAAAATAGAAACACACTTATTTAAAAAATGAGTGGATATACATTGTAACTTTATTATTATTATTATCTTATATTATGTTATTTTTGTTTTAATTAACTAATCTTTTATACATAACATCACTTCTTATGATATATTTCAATCCATCTTTAACTGTATCACCATCATGCCACATGTCATGTTGGAACACTAATACTGAACCTGTTTTGGTACAACTTCTGAAATGACTTCACCAGTTTTATAATCAAGGAATCTTGTTGAACCACCTTCGATTCCATCACTTAGGTATATCATAAATGTATAGTATGATCTGTTATCGTCGTCTTTGACATAATGATTATCAAAGTGCGGAGCAAACGATCCAAACTGATTGTATTTACATAATCTCCAGAGATCATTGATTGAATCCAATTGCCATTTACCAACTATTTTCAGAGCTCTCATTGCAGGCCCAGCCAACTGAGAACCCATTTTAATATCTATTATCTCTTCAAAGTATGGTCTAATACGATCTAAAACTACTTCACTCAGCGACGGAGTCTTTACTAAAGTTCTAACATTACCTCTATCTTTTGATTTATAATGTTTAAGTTCATCAAAACCCAACTCTTCTCCTTTGTCTATAATATATCTAGAAAAAAAAAGATTTCTTATTAAGAATCAAAACTAAAGTAAAGAAACTATTTTACTTACTGGCATTCTGTTGGTGATAATACATTTTCAATATAAAAGCAGTCTTTGGTTTTAATATATCAATATCATTTTTTACTATTGGTTTTAAATCACTTGGTGTATCATTTTTAAATAACAATGATTTTACTTCTGATCCTTCAATAACCAGTTTTTCCTCCATCTTTTACAGTTTTTATTTATATTATATTACTTTAGAGTAATAATACTGTTGGTTTTATTTATATTATATTACTTTAGAGTAATAATGCTGTTGCTTATTTTATTCTTATCATGTCATTCTTAAAAATTTCCATACAGATTAAAATTTCCATAAAATATTAATACTTTTCACTCAAAATACTTGGAATTTACTTTATTAGAACTTTCCTTACAATTCAATAAATAAGACATGATTGAATCAAGATCATTTGAACTTCATCAAGATGGATAACTAAATAGTTTGATTAATTTACAAAAATTTTATAATTTATTTTATTTTTAATACTCTTCTTCAAGAGGAGGATGCAATTTGAATGCTCTTCTGAATAAGGCAGCGGCTCCTGTTGGATCTGTTTTCTCTAGGAGAATAGCTTCTTGACATAGTTTGCGTGCTGTTTGCTCACTCTCCAATTGTGGTGCTTTCGTTTCAGAGTTTAATCTTCTGTACATAACATCGCTTCTTATGATGTATTTCAAACCGTTCTTTACAACGTCACCGTCATGCCACATGTCGTGTTGGAACACTAATACCGATCCTGCTTTTGGCACTACCTCTGCCAGGATCTTGTTGGATTTGTTATCCAAGAATCTTGTGGAACCACCTTCGATTCCCTCGCTCAGGTAAATCATGAATGTCAAATACGATCGGTTATCGTTGTCCTGAATGTAGTGACCGTCGTAGTGTGCAGCAAACTTGCCAAGATGATTGTATTTACAGAGTCGCCAGAGATCGTTGATCGCGCTCAATTCCCACTGACCATAGTAAGCTCTCATCATAGGACCAGTAAGATTGGATCCTGGCTTTATATCCAATCGCTGTTCTAGATAAGGTCTAATACGTTCGAGAACCACATCGCTCAGAGACTTTGTCTTTACCAATATTCTTACATTTCCTCTGTACTTTGAAGTATAATGTTTCAAATCGTCGAAACCCATTTCCTCTCCTTGGTCAATAATAAATCTACATTCAAATTAATTAACATTTAAATATTTTTAATCAAATTAACTATTTATATACTAATTAATACTTACTGACATTCCGAAGGTGATAATACATTATCTAATACAAAAGCAACGTTTGGTTTCAGTATCTCTATATCGTTTTTTACAATTGGCTTGGCATCGCTTGGTGTTTCGCTTGGGAACAGCATTGGCTTCACAACCTGTCCCTCAATTACTAAAGGTTCTTCCATCATCTTTGATCTTTGCTAAAATATATATTTGGTTTTATTATATTGTTGTATTGTACATTAATATAATAATGAAAAAAAAACAAATGAAAAAATGAATTAAAACTTTTGTTTTTACCAAAAAACAAGAAATTTCATGGAATATTTACCACAAGTGAAAATTTTTTATATGGGGATAGTATGAGGGGTGATATTTTTTAATATGAACACCATATAAAAATTTCGTGAAGTGGAGACTTAGAATTTTTTATTTTTTTGGCAACTCGGATCTGGCGCGACTCTTTTTGGGAGGAGTGGGGTGAGTTCACATAAAAAAAAATTTTAGAAAATTTTTTTAATTTCAATTAAAAATTAATAAATATATATTGTATTATTTAAAAAGCAATAATTATAATTAATGAAAGTATGATTTTTAATTATTTACTGTTATAACAATGACAAAAAGCAAAAGAAAAAGTAGATCAGATTACAACACAAGAAAAAAAGATCTAAAAGTCATGGTACATCAATTGTGAGTGATACTCTGGCAGAGGATGAGATTCAGAGTATCAGTACTGATGATGAAATAGAAACTCAGAGTGAAGTAGATTCAGAAAGTCGAACTCACATTTATGAAGACCAACCAAGTGTTATTTCTCATACACAGGGAGGTTGTATTAATGGGGATGGAGATAGACTTGATCATAAAGATTGTAATAGAGACGGAGGTGGCGATAGTCATAGTCATGGACATGATCATAGGGATAGACATGGAGGTGGACATATTCATAGTCATGGTCATAGAGATGGAGATAGTCATGGAGATGGAGATAGTCATAGTCATGGTCATAGAGATGGAGATAGTCATGGACATAGAGATGGAGATAGTCATGGTCATGGAGATGGAGATAGTCATGGTCATAGAGATGGAGATAGTCATGGAGGTGGACATAGTCATAGAGATAGTCATAGTCATGGACATAGAGATGGAGATAGTCATGGACATGGTCATAGTCATAGAGATAGTCATGGTCATAGAGATGGAGATAGTCATGGTCATAGAGATGGAGATAGTCATAGAGATAGTCATGGTCACAGAGATGGAGATAGTCATGGTCATAGAGATGGAGATAGAGATAGCCGTGGTCATAGTCATAGTCATAGTCATAGGGATGGTGATAGAGATAGACGTGGTCATAGTCATAGTCATAGTCATGGTCATAGAGACCGTCATAGAGATGGAGATGCACATTGGGATAGTGATAGTCAGAGTCATGGAGATGAAGATAGTCATAGTCATAGTCATAGTCATGGTCATAGAGACCGTCATAGAGATGGAGATGCACATTGGGATAGTGATGTAAATGGAGATGGTGATGGAAATGAACATACTCATATCCAAAGTAATTCCGAAAGCCAGACGCCTAAGGAATGTCGTCACACAACATGTAACAAGCTTGGAAAAAGATACGATGGTATCTATATGGATAGGCATGAGCAAACCAAACACTATTGTGAAAATGAATGTCCACTCAAAGGTTATTTACATGTACAAATAGAGAGTAGAATTCAAAAGCAATGTCTGCACAATAATTGTAACTCGACTGTGTATATAAAGGGTCTCATTCGTCATATGAAATTAGAACATCAATGCAATAGTGGAGCTTGTGAAGGATGCACTAAAGTCCGGCAACTGAACAATAGGAAGAACCCACAAACTCAAACCCAATCACAATTGTCAAGTGAAGAAGCACTAGATATTCAACAATCGCCATCAGCAGATGAAGAAAAAGAGAAGGAAGACGATAGGAATAGTGATATAGATATGGGTGAGGATTATAACAATGAACAATATGAAAGTACAACTAACGGCATAGATATATCTCCTAATGAAAGTGACACAGAGACTGATGATAGAACCCTAACTAACAATTTCATTGGCAGTAAGCATGCAGTTAATTTTAAATCTTCAATTGCCAATACTAATTATTATTATCCCATATAAAACCAAGTTAGAAGATTCAATTGGAGTTCAGTGCTCAGAAGGGTACAATCTTTATTTGCCAGAGGGTATAGTCCCAATGATATTCCAGATATGATTAATGAAGATAATGAAGAAGAAGATGACGAAGACTATGACCCAATGGAAGATTACAATGAAAAAGAAGAAGAAGAAGAAGATGATGATGAGCAAGTCATAGATGATCCATTAGAGTTCAATGATATCAAGTTGCACATCAAAGATATAAATAAGATTAATAGATTAAAAATAGTTTTTGATAATCTATATAATCAAGAAAATCATAGTCTACTTGTACCAGAGCCACAAGAAGTCTCAAATAAGCTATTACTTTCTCAATTGGTTTGTTGTTGGATTATCCTATGTTCACATAACAATATCCAGAGAAGGGAATATCCTATCATGATTAAAGATCAACCTATCACCCATAGAGAGATCAAGAAATCTGTTAGATACATGAAACAGAAAGCCGAAGAATCAAATAGTTTTGCTTTAAGTTTTGTTCAGGACTTTGATTTAGAGTTTAAACTTCTACCAGCAATAGATGGTAAGTACAATATATATATATATACATAACAGTGAATGTTTATTAACTTTTCAGTAACAGATTTCAACGAAAGTGGTGAGGAGAATGAAGATGAGATAGTAGTGACGAGGAGGTATATGAACTTGGTGGAGGAGATGGTGACAGCGAACAGGGGATGAATATTGATGTAGAGGATTCAGAGCAACAAGAGAATCAGCATCCAGATGAGAATTCATCACGAGCATGTAGGCTTTTCAGATTCCCAAGAAATCTTAACAGGTTTATCAAGAGATGTGCAACTACAGATTACCAAAGTAAAAGTCCTGAGGACAAAGAGTTCTACGAATTGGGTTTTAGAAGTAAAGATAAAAAGAAATACCAATTCTTTAAGAGAAAATCAGTGAACATCAAAATATCAACATATGATATTTCAAAGCTGGTAGAAAGACACAACCTCAGCCGTGAGTTGCTGTCCGATATCTTGAGCACATTCCGCATTCCTTTGAAAGTAACCAATGTCCATCAATATCAACTTTACCGAAATTTGAAAAGAAAAAGAGGTGAACAACTAATTAGAACCTATCCGCTAAAGGAGGGATCCTATAGGCATGTGTGTGATGTCATAATGTTTGAGCTTGCCAAGCAAAACATTTTATCTCAACTTGCATCGTCCACTAATGACAATGGTACCAAAGCAATACCAGTTAAGATCACAATGGATACTGCATTGATGACCCATACCAGAAAACACCATTTGCTATCTGGTGTTGTTGAGGCAGGACTCGATAAGCTTTTACCAGATATCAAGTCTTATGGAAACAGCCAACAGTTCTTGGTTAGTCATGGACATGAAGACTATGAGACCATCAAAGAAAACCTTACTCCATTCTTGGATGACATGAAGGCGCTAAGTTTACTTGCCAAAGCAGATCCAAAGGAGACCATCCTATTTCCAGTTAATCATTCGAAAATACCTATCAATTTATGCTTTGGAGGTGACTATGCTTTTTTGACAACTATTACTGGCAACAAAGCACTCTACAGCGTAAAGTCATTTTGGAAATGTATCCATTGCTATGTTACCAAAGATCTTCTATCCAAATTTAAAGAGTATACCAATTGGCCATTTAGAAACCAAGCTGATGAAGAGTGGGAAAAGAGGAGTGTGCAAACACACCTACAATCACCAAATCATAGAAATAATAACAATGCTAACAATAATAATAACAACAACAACAACAATAACAACAATAACAACAATAACAACAATAATAATAATAACAACAATAATAATAATAATAATAATAATAATGACTCTATAGACGTGAGAGATGTACACCCAAAAAATAAAAATTTATTGGGTGCTACAGAGCTTCAACCATTCTGTCCACTCTATGGTGAATTCAGCGTACAACTATACTTTTTGTGCTCATTGCATATGATAATGCGAGTTGTACAAAAAGTATTGAAGCTATCTTTGGGATTGCTGTCACCTGAGCCCTCCATTGAACTTGAGAATATCAATAAGGAAGTAAAAGAGCTAAGGAAGATTATCGATCAATGTCAGAAAGAGAATATTAAAAACGAACAATTAATTACAAAGCACACAAACAATACAACCAAAATCTCAGAACTTGAAGAAAAGATAAAACAAAAAAGAGAACTATTCAAAGAAGCCAACTCTCAATTGGAAAGAGCATTATCCAAACAACTATCTATTCAAAAAATAGAGAAACTCAATTCTAAAAATCACTCAACAAAAACTGCAATTATAGAGATTCTAACTCATTGTAGAATCAAAGTACCCAAATCTGCCCAAGATGAAGATACAATATACGGTATATTTAAATACACAACCATCACATACTCGGATACAATCGAAATTATAAATAATTATCAATATATTTTATCTTCAATCAATAATTATATATTAAATTCTATCAACAACAAATTTAACAACCAATCCAGTTCCTCCTCCTCCTCTACATCTAGGCGTAGAAATACTGGCAAGTCCACCAGTGACAGTCATATTGTTAACATCAATGAGTATATGGATCAACAAGAACAATCACAACAATCACAATCACAACAACCACAATCACAGTCACAACCACTTTCACAATCACAATTAATATCACAACATCAAAATAACATGCAACAATTAAAGACTGTTTGGAATCAAATGCTATTTCTCATAAAGATCATACAAGATGATAAGATCACTATTTCAGAATCAAGATATTTGGATCTAGGTCGAACATTTGGACAAGGATTAGTTAATCTTTTTGGTAAAGAATCGATCACCACATATATACATGAACTTATATATCATACTGCATACTTCTTAAGAGAATCTAATGGATCTCTGGATCGTCGCTCGGGATTTTCAATCGAAAATAAGCATCAACCTTTAAAGAAGTATATTTTAAAGTCTAGTCATCGATTTCAATCTCCATTATTCTTTACTAATATCCTATTAGATACCTGGAATCAAAAACCAAGAAGGTCTTTCTATTCCAACAATCCTGATAAACATCATAAGTCGAAAGACAAAAAACTGACTGCCTCTGTTGCTAAACTCGACGAAATCAGTTCTTTTACTTGGTCTCCACTACTTGACATATATAAAAGTGCTAGTCCATTAGGTGATACAATAGCTTATACCACTGCAACTCGACCATCAGCATCATCATAATAATCATAATAATCATTATAATCATATCATTATAATCATTATAATCATATCATTATAATCATTATAATCATTATAATCATTATAATCATTATAATCATAATAATCATTATAATCATTATAATCATTATAATCATAATAATCATATCATTATAAACATCATAAATTTTAATATGATTTATGACCCATACAGATCGATAGTTATAATTAGATTGCTCATTTAATTCGCTTATTGGGTTATCCTATACTTTAAACAACAACAATACACATACTATATATTAGTATTTAATTTAGTTCCAATACGTCATATTCCTAGTATTTGGATTTTGGTGTGGTTACAGCGCGCCAGTGCGCGCGGCGTCACGGCCACAGCCAATACCTAACTTTTTTAAACTTCAATAAAATTTAATCTAGTTTTAATATGTTATTGATCTACTCATCTATACCTTATTTTTTAATTTCATTAAAAAAATAGATCGTTTGATGGTACATAAATAAGAAAAATGTTGGTACCGTTTACTCCTTTTAAAAAGTTGGTGGCGATATAAAAATTTCAAAAATTTACGCAGAAGTCGAACTGAGTTTTTTAAATGGTAAAAATTTTCACTTGTGGTAGGTTCTTATAATTTTAAAGAAAAAAGCAAAATTGGGAATCTCAATTTTTTATTTTAGATCTTAAAATGATCACAACAAATCAAACAAATAAATTTGTGCAACTTTCACATTATCTGTTGAATATTATTTTGAATAATTTAAAAGAGAATATTGATAAAATATGTTTTAGCTTGGTCTGCAAGAGATGGTACTACGAAAGAGAAAGATACTTGAAATTCAATACAGATTCTATTTATATATGTGGTGAAGATAATCTTACTATTCAAATCAATCATAGTAAACATTTTAAACTACGAACCTATGATTCCATTCTAAAGAAATCGTTACAATCAAAGACAAATTGTAGTCTCTATATTTCATATGCTCCAGCATGTGATGTGTTCATAACCCATCAACATGATTTCAAATTTAGATACAGTAAGAAAGAACAACAAATTCGAAAGAAATAATAAATTTAAACATTAATTAATTCTTTTATCTATAGATAAATTATTAGAAATAAAAAGTATTCCATCTTTTATTTCAACTATTACTCTGTCGGTCGGTTTGCATAAAGAAAGTGAAAGTCAACATTTATATAAATTGTTGGCACAATCCAATACCATTACAGAGTTTATTGGTTGTCATACTTTGAAATATGGATTTTCAAGATCATTGAGAAAATTATCTTTCGATAAACATTTCAACGAACCACTATCAAAAGATTCGCTTCCTCGCGGACTTTCATCGCTTTCTCTGGGTGTGGTTTACGATCGACCATTGAAGGAAGGTGATCTCCCAGATGGTTTGATTTCACTTTCAATTGGTAGCAAGCTATTTCAACATATAATTGAACCGGGAGCATTACCTACGTCACTCAAAGAGCTGTACCTACCCAATTACACAGAGACTTTCAAAGTTGGATCACTTCCGGATCGCCTTGAAATTCTCGATTACGCTGGTAGGAAAAGTCAATTGGATAAAGAAAGCATCGGGTTATTACCAACCACAATTCATACTCTAACGATTGTTGTCGATACATTCATTTTTGAGAGTGATCTACCCAATCTTCGAAGCCTCACTGTTATTCCATCTTCATTTTTCATTCCAATCAATCTTGATTTCCTTCGATTGAATCAGCTGAAAACGCTTCGTATTGACAAACGGCTTGTTAATCTAATAGGAACTATGCCCACATCCATCACGAATTTAAATCTTGGTGAATATGTATTTCAATCTAGTAACGTCGCTCTTTTCAAAAAAGAATGGAAATATCATTTTGAAAAGTTCATAATCAAGAGTCTTGAAGAACCGATACCAGATAATGTCAAAATCGATCGGCTATTTGTAGAGCACCTTTATAGATACCGAGAGAATCCAATCGATTTCATTGGTACTCTTTTACCGAGAGAATTGAAAGTTCCATTCCAAATGTTAAATCACAACCCGAGTGTACCATTACCAAATTCCTTGGAAACTATAGATTTGGGTGATTTCAGGATGACATCGCTAGTAAACTCTCCAGCATCTTTGAAAACCTTGAAATTTTCCAACTACAGAACAATTCGAAAGATTCCAACTTATATTAAAGATCTCAGCTATATCATTTACAAAAACGACTTTGTCCAATCAGAAATAGTAATTAGAAAGTTAGACGATCAGTGTTATTTAATATTCGGTCACTACAAAGAAAATCTTATTTCAAATATATTCCACCAATCAAAGTTATTAAAATATCTAAAATCACCATCTCAATGGTATAAATTTTAAAATAAACAAAGCGTTGAAAATCAAAATAAAACTTTTCAGTGATTATTATTGTTGTTTTGGTTGTATGATTCATAAATTATTTATTTTAATCTAAAGAAAATCAAAGAATAAAAGAGTATTTTTTTGTTTTTATATTTTTCTTTCTTTTTTTCTAAAACTGAAAGGAATCTTTAGATCCTAAACAAATTATGATAAAGTTTCCAATTAAAATTTGTTTAATCTTTTTATAAAGAGGAGTATTGTTTGTTATCCGACTGGCTTGGAGCCGTCAAGCTTCTCAATAATGAATATATTGAGTTTAACGCGACGTTAAAGATTCATTCAATTTTTTATTCAATTCATTCAATCCATTCAAGAATTAATTAGATTATTAGAACAAAGATTAACTAATAAACAAAAGATTAAACAAGAGTTAAATTTAAATTATATAAAGACATTATTAAAAACATTATTTTATATTATTATTAATTATTAATTGAATAAGAAATGACAGCTCCAACCGATCAATCAACAACAACAACAACCACAACAACTAGTAGTGCAACGGCACCTACTGATACAACCACAACAAATGATCTTAGTTGTCTGTCAGTTTACAGTTGATATCTATGTTTGCTGATAAAAACAACACCACTGGTAAAGATATTTGATAATACTGACACTATACACACCAATAATACATACACATTATTTACAACTCTCCAAGTGGTTGGTAAACTCTGAATCGACATCTTTATAAATTACGACACCAGTATTTGAAAGATAGAATCAATCTCAAGATTACCTCAAAGCACAAGGTTCTCTGTAACGCCGACTGTGATCTCCAACAACACCAAGATCACTCTCTTCTAATTTATCTTATTTTCATCTGTAAAGTCTGAACCACTGATAGAATAATAAATAGATTATTATAATAATAAAGTAAAGCAACACAAAAACTAATTAGTTTTGTTTTTAATTACTTTTTATTTTCTAAAAAAAAAAAAAAAAATCATTTGTTGCAAAAGTTATATCGTTATCAATTGTTTTGTATTATTATATATATTAAATAATGAAATCAAAGAAACAATCAGAAATAATCAAATATAAAATATTATATCTATTAAATTTAACACCAGTTACAATTCAATAAAGTTAGAGTTAGTTTCTTTGTTTCATTTTCTATCATCTTTTTTTTTAGTTTCAATATCTATCTAGATAGCTCGATAGTGATGAATGAAATAGGAATGATCATTCACATGATTTGTTGGTTATTATTTTGAGTGTTGAGACCAATACACTCTGTTGTTAAGATTTATTGTGGGCTCCGGAGCACATTTACAAAATTAAACCATAAAAATGAAGATCTGCAGATTGTATTTACTTTTAGTTATACCTCATTCACATACTTATGATGTGGGTTGATGGCAACTCCCATCAAAATATTTAATTGATGTTCAATGATGTGATATTCTCAAATGTTCTCACATCAACAAAATAGATATTATGTAAAAAGAAGATCTTGTAATTACAAAATCTTTATCATGATCCACAAAAAAATCTATTTTGTGTCAAACTATCAAGAACAGATTAGAGCTAATTTAAAATATTGACTTTTCTTTCACATGATCGATCAATAACATCTATTTTTACACATTATTCAATAATCACTTGTTATTTTATTTTACATCCCTTTGATTGTGCTTGAAAAAAATGAAAAAAAGTAAGACAAAATTACTTTTTTTTAATTATTTTAACATACTAGGAGAATTGCATTTCTTCTTATACCCTTCTTTAAACACTGAAGTGTGGGAATAGTTATCAACTCCATTTTTTTTTTTAAATTTAAACTTTTTATAGAAAGATGGATTCAGATGAGGATAAAATAGTAGATAGTGAATTAAATAATCCTCTATGGTTGACATCTTTGGTAAAAATAGCTTCAGACACAAAATACTTAGTCGCACCATCATCGAAGTAGAGAGATGTAATGTAAGGCATACAGCTGCAGCTTTGTGATCATGGTACTTCTAGAAATCCAATACTGTGCTCTCGAAAGAGCACTTGGGTATAGGAACAGTGATTGTTACTCCTTTCCTCTTGCCGGAGCCACTCTCTCTTTCTGAAAGGAAGTTTCTTAAAATCCGAAAGGAAACTCAGCAATTCAACAAAAGAGCTGGCGTCAGTACATGCAGAACCTCTGTAGTGCAGACGAATGTTGGCACAGTCGAGTATGCCAACGCACACCTCCTCTACGACTACTGAGATTCAGCGGTACTGTAAAAGTCTAGAGGATTAAACAGAGAACGAGAATATAACTGGAATATAGATTGAATATCTATTTGACACAGTTGAATTCATATCTTTTAATTTCAATAGAATAAATAATAAATAAGCATTAATTATATCCTGATTTTAATCGAAGTGATCTTTTTTATTTAAAATGATCCTCTAGTTTTAAATGTAGAGAGATGATGTATTCTTCTTTGATTTGATTGTTTTGAGAATCCAAAAAGACTCTGATATTGGATAAATTGTGTTGAATATGAATGTCTAACTATTAAAATCTGCACTCTTGATTAAAATAGAAGATTTAAAGCAAATTTAGAATGAGTCGATATCTATTCTTTGTCCTCGAATAAATAGGTTTTCAATATGTTGTGGTAGATCTTTTCTATCGATGTAGTTCGTCATTGATAATGATTTCAGTGATTCAGGTAAGACATCGACTGATAACTTTTGATTGAACCTATTTCCAAACTTCAATGATTTCAGTGATTCAGGTAACACACCAATTGATAATATTTGATTGAATCTATTTCCAAACTCCAATGATTCCAGTGATTTAGGTAACACACCGACTGATAATATTTGATTGAATCTATTTCCAAACTCCAATGATTTCAGTGATTCAGGTAACACACCAACTGATAATATTTGATCGAATTCATTTCCAAACACCAATGATCCAAGTGATTTAGGTAACACACCAACTGATAATATTTGATTGAATTCATTTCCAAACTCCAATGATTTCAGTGATTTAGGTAACACACCAACTGATAATATTTTATTGAAATCATATCCAAATACCAATGATTTCAGTGATTTAGGTAACACACCAACTGATAATATTTGATTGAATTCATTTCCAAACTTCAATGATTTCAGTGATTTAGGTAACACACCAACTGATAATATTTGATTGAATCTATATCCAAATACCAATGATTTCAGTGATTTAGGTAAAACACCAACTGATAATCTTTGATTGAATTCAAATCCAAACACCAATGATTCAAGTGATTTAGGTAAAACACCAACTGATAATATTTGATTGAATCTATTTCCAAACACCAATGATTGAAGTGATTTAGGTAATACACCAACTGATAATATTTGATTGAATTCATTTCCAAACTCCAGTGATTTCAGTGATTTAGGTAACACACCAACTGATAATATTTGATTGAATCTATTTCCAAACTCCAATGATTTAAGTGATTCAGGTAACACACCAACTGATAATATTTGATTGAAATCATTTCCAAACTCCAATGATTTCAGTGATTTAGGTAACACACCGACTGATAGTATTTGATTGAATCTATATCCAAACTTCAATGATTTCAGTGATTCAGGTAACACACCAACTGATAATATTTGATTGAATTCAAATCCAAATACCAATGATCCAAGTGATTTAGGTAACACACCAACTGATAATATTTGATTGAATCTATATCCAAACTTCAATGATTTCAGTGATTCAGGTAACACACCAACTGATAATATTTGGTTGAATTCATGTCCAAACTTCAATGATTTCAGTGATTCAGGTAACACACCAACTGATAATATTTGATTGAATTCATTTCCAAATACCAAAGATTCAAGTGATTCAGGTAAGACACCGATTGATAATATTTGATTGAATTCATTTCCAAAATTGATCTCAGTGACATTGACGGAGGTATTGTGAAATGGAGTATTTAAATTGAATGTAATTATCTGATTATTGGTGATGGTTTCAATATATTGGTTTAATAATTGATTCAATGATTCTCTATTCTTTGGACTCTGATCCAATAATCGATGAATAAATTCAATCAATTGTTTTGAATATCTGCATTCTGAAATCTTAATTTCACCAGTTGATTGGAATAGTTGATGATTATTTCGATCATCTGGATGACTGATCAATTTAAATATTCAAAAATAACTCGTTAGTATCTGATTGATAATAATATTTTAAAAATGATTTTTCGAGTATTTACCAACATAATAATTTGAGAATTGTTGATCCAATTGAAAAGATGTCACATGATTGTGCATATTGTCTGTTCATTGCTTCCTAATTGTAATTATTTTTTGAATTAGTTTAAAATATATTTAATAATCAATTAATAGAATACATACTGGTGAAATATAACCAATTGTTCCACGAGTTGCATTTATAAGTGTGTTTGAATACATATCAAAAATAGTTGGATCTGATATTTCTTTCGAATTCGAAACACTTGTTATGACAACAGGTGCCTTGAAAAATACTTTTGTATCTTGATATTCAATGATTGTTGATTGATCAATGAATTTACAACATCCAAAATCACCAAGAATCAAAGTACAATAATCATCAGATTCATCAATGAATATGTTTGATGGTTTGATATCACAATGAACAATTCCATGTTTATCAAGATCCAAAAGAATATTGAAAAGTTGTGAAATATAATTACTGATATCTGATTCTGAAAAGATTCTATTTTTATATTCAATATAAAAGTGGTTAATTGCTTGATAAAAATCAAGTTATTTAATATTTGATATATACAGATTTATATCAGTTACTTGTTTATACTTTTGGGAAAGATCACCACCTTTACAAAATTCAGTGATGATATGAAAGATTTGATTGTCTTTATCATGATGATAGTCAACAAGTTGAACAAATTTTCGATTATCTTTGAGTAATTTCATTGCTTTGATTTCATTCTCAGCTCTTTCATAAGATTTCTGATTATCTTTATAGTTTATCTTTTTATAAACATACTTTTGAATTGATTTTGTTAGTTTTATGATTGTCAATTTATTAATTACTTTGAAAAATGATCTTACCAATCTTTTATAAAAAGAATAATAATGATCAGTACCACACACTAAATATACATCATTGATATTATTACTGTTTGTAAATCTTGATATTGAACGATATCGTTTGTTATTAATGATATGAGATTGTTTGAAATAGTCAAGGTTGTTTTTGAATAGATGATTGTTTTCAAAATTGATTGTGTATGATTGTGATTTGTTTAACAACTCGACACATATGGATTTAAAATCTATTGCGAAAGAATCTATTATTATTAATTGATATTGAGTATCGACTGTATCTGGTATTACAATCTCATTATTATTTATATTAGTATTTCCAATTAATGTGATTTTTGTGTGTTGTTCATTTTCTTTATCTTTCAAATGATTATAAACTAAAATTATATATGGTTGCAAGTATTTAAAATTAATAAATGTCAATACATTTTTTCCATTGATTAATTTATCTGTTAGCTCGATATTATTCATTTTGAAGTATTTTTATAATTCATTCATTTCAAAAATAAAAATAGTCAAGTTAAGCTAAAACTTTGATTTTATTTGAGAAATTATTAAAATTAAATAGCAAATTTGTTTTTCATTTTCCAGAATTTGATCTGTCTCTGAACATTATCTTTTTTAAAAACGTTACTCACACCCACACTGAAATAAAAGGGGGTTTATATGTGAACCGTGGACGTAGTGCTGCTATCTTTTGGTGATCTTCATCTCTTCCTCAGCTGTCATCAAATCCATCGAATCGATCAGTGCTCATGCAGCATCGACTTGTTCTGTTGGAATGTATGGTTTTCTTGTTGCCGGGTTGGTAGGTGCGATCGGTGTGAATTGATATTGTTTCAAATCTTCAAGGAATGGAAGTTGACAAACATAGAGACATTCATAGTTGGCTTTGATATGTGGATATAGCAATACAATCGATGCTCTCTAATTAGTTTTTGATCAGTGACGACAGTGCTATATATACTAATCTAACTTCACCTTTTCCATATAACTTCTTTCTTTTCCTTATCTATATGATATAGTTCTTTTGTAATTATCATTTGTAGTGCTCAAGGAGGAGCCCAGCCGGATGTGGCATTGTTTAAACATGAGTCAAAAAAACTAAAACAACTATTTTGTGAAGAGAAGCATGTCATTTTAGGAGACAAAGGATTCAGAGGTGGTCAAAATATATATGCCAAAACGATTTTTCAAAAGATTAAGTCAGTTTCTCTCTCTGATCACAGGGAATTCCCTTGACAAGAAAAGGAAGAAAGATGATGAAAGAAAAGAGAGATATGGAGGAATCAAAATCCTCAAAAGAGTTTTTATCTCTTCAAAAGAATTCTTAAGTGTGAGAAAGATGGGGGATTTGATTTAACTAGAATAATTGAAGATAAAGAAGAGGATAACCAAATTAAAAAAGTACGAATAATAATAGAGAATGTATTCGCAACAATGAAGAAGTGGAAAATACTATCAGATACTATTCAACTCAAGAAGAGTGTTTGTTATCAATTGGCAAGACAAAATCAACAATGGAGAGTGATTGCTTATTTAACTAATCGATATCACTCATTTGGTAGAACTAATGATTTCTTTGAGGATACTGGTTGCACAAATAAAATAGAATAATATTATAAAGCTATAAAATTAAGTTAATTTTACATTTTTTGAGATCATTTTGTATTCAAATAGAGAAAATCATCCTTGGTAATTTCTCCAAATCACTTGGTGTATCAATTTGATCAAGTTTGCTTAATTTTCATTAATTAATATAAAATTAATTATCATGTCTTTATCTCTAGTACTCAGATTGAATTTGATAATGCCTCTTGGTTCAAAGAAATAAATGATATTATTTTAAGAGAGAGAGAAGTGTACTCGGCAACAATAACAATTCTTCGCAACAAATAATCATTATAAATAGAGGAACTTTAAAGTCATTTGAATATCAAAAATCAAAACAAATATAATAAACATTTATTAATATTATCTTTCGAAACAAATACATAAATAATCAAAACAAAAATGGTCGTCCCACTCCAATGTTTCATTAACAATACTCCATTCAATGTTTCTTTTAATAACTTAGAGTATTCTGGTGATAACTTTGAAATGACTGGTAACTCTAAACATGTTAGTAAGTAGAGCACTCATTGTTAATATTAGATACTTGTATTTATGTTTTGTTTGATATAGGTGGATTGTGGGTCCCATATAAAAAATCAGGTAAATCAGTTACAATCTTAGTAGGTTCCACCGTTTTCACAATGTATGACGATGAATGGAAGATTATCATTGAGAACAATGTTACCTTTGACCTTGCGCATGACTGTATGAAGTTTTTCTTAACCGTCAATGGTTATGATGAATCTAATCTTAATTTCCAATTGTAAGTCTCAACTATTGAATAATATATGATATAAATAACATATATAATATATATTAACGCTTTATTTATTAATATTATCATTAAAATAATATATAGAGAACAAATCAAAGCTTTTTAAAAGAAAAAAAATAGATAAAGTTTAAATAATAAATAAAAAAAAATAGTATTATTTTATTAATAATAGTTTTTATATATTATTGTTTCTTTTATATCTTTTAAATGAGATAGGAAAAATACACCAGTATCATTACAAACGAATAAATGTTTTAAAGTATTTGAATCCATTTTAAGTGACTTTAATAAATAGGTGCCTGTCATTTTTATATATCTTGCTTTTACTTTTATAATAGTACTTTTATAATAGTTTTATTTTTTTTAATAATAGTAAAAGTTTGGCTAGTGGTCGTTCGATAAGATCTTCGATGTTGTTATTCTCTTGAAGTGCAGCAAACAACTTGTCACATCTAAAACTTTTAAATATAATCATTTTCTTATTTCTTAATTTATTAAATTTTCAATTTTAAAGAATGATTTTCGAATCTTTAAGCACCCAAAAAAGTAAACCAACATGTTATAAAAAGAGAAAATTGAAAGCAAAGGTGTTTCCTTGAATTTTTTTCAAACATTTGAATTCTTGATTATGATTTATTTTTAGATCCGATCAATATTGATATAATTAAAATTTTTTTTTTAATTCAGCGATATTTTTTTTTTTGATTAATTCAACAAACAGTCATTTCATTCGATAGGATGGATACAAATAAATTTTTATTAGTTTTCAAAAATAGTGTGTTGAATAAATTAATATTCAATCAAGTAACTTCAATATCAAGTATAGCAGGACAAAAACATTATAAATGGAAACAACTTGAAGATTACCCTCATATTCTAGCTTCACACAACTACTTTGAACATTTGAAACTATGTTTGGCAAGCACTAAGAATAGAAAAGATGAATGTAAACAATTAACGATACAAATGGCAATCAGATTTGGTGATCTTGAAATGCTTATATATCTGTTGGACAGGTTCAAAGTCGATCTACACACCATTATTATACCAAGAGAGAACGTCACCTCTGATAAAAGTCCTGTAATCTTTCACGAGAGTTGTTCGTATCTCAATAGTATACTTTGTTTCGCATTGCAACATCGAAGAGTAGATATTATCAAGTATCTCACGAATCGATTCAAGAAGTACAAGTGGAACTACCGTAACGCATTGATCTTGGCTCCACTCTCTGGAAGTCTGGAAATACTGATGTACTTTGTCGAAAACTTTCCCAAAGACAATAGACATGTTAAGTTCGAGAATGGTGGTATTAAGATAACAGTATTCGATTCAGCTGCATACATGGGTAGACTCGACATGATCGAGTATCTTCTCGAGAAAAGATTAGCAAAAGTCTTTAGATATACAGAAGTTTTAGACTTACCATCCAGTAAGATATTTGAATTTGCAATTAGAGGAGGTCATTTACACTTGGTCGAATACCTGTTAAACAATCATAAGAGTTTGGCATTCAAAAACGAATATAGAGTGTTAGATTCTGCTTCCGAATTTAATCGTTTCGATATCGTCAAACTTCTCTTTAATCATGGTATCAAGAACTATTCAATGGAGTTTTTGGATTATGCAGTTAAGAATGGAAATCTAGAGTTGTTGAAATGGTCTCGTGCGAATACAAATGCCAGGTTGTCGAACAACGTCCTTAGTATTGCTGCTCTTAATGGAGATCTTGAATGTTTGAAATGGCTTAACCAAAATGGAGCTGAGGGTTACTCTACTATCCCTATGGATAATGCCGCCAAGAATGGACATCTCGAATGTTTTAAATACCTCCATTTTAACAGAACAGAAGGTTGCTCTCAGAATGCTATTTTATTTGCTCTGGAGAATGGACATTTAGATGTTTTGAAATGGATTTATGACAATCGAACTGAACGATGCAGTGAGGCTGTCTTGAAAGATATTAGAATATCTAGAATCGATGTATTGGAATGGGTTCTTGAAAACCAACCAAAAGTTTTCTCAACAAAAGACTTGGAATTTGCAGTTCAGAAAGGATATTTAGATATCGTCCAGTTACTTTGTCAAAAGAAAATGGTAGAGTGTCGATATGAAGTAATGAATTTGGCAGCAACCTATCAACATTTTCATATTGTGAAATGGCTATTCGAAAGTGGAGTCATATCTAATTTTCAGGAATCAACAGTGAATGTCGCAACATCCTATGGAAATTATGAAATGGTTCAATATATTATGCAAAATTCCAGTGGAATTCCGCTTTCCTATCCAGTCATATTTTGTGTAGTTCACGGTTGTTTGGATATCTTAAAGTATTTAACTCCAATGATCACTCGAGATACACTTTCGCACAGGAACCATTTCGATTTGGCAGTTGATCATCAAAATTTCGATATTTTACAATGGTTGTATGAAAATCTACCAGATTGTGGTTTGATTACGATCACTTCATTCAACCAGGCAGTCAGAAACGGTAACCTTCCACTTGCAAAATGGATCTATGAAAACATTAATGAAAAAAAGATTGAATCAATCAAGAAATACAATGTTTTCGATAGAGATGACTTTGTAGAGCCACTCTTTAAACAGAATCAATATGAAATGATTGAATATTTACTCGAAATTCTCAATGAAATACCCAAAAGCGATTTAGAAGACTATAAGAAGTTGTTGGAATTGAAATATCAAAATTCAGTCGAGTCTTTATCTGTAATCAACAAAGCAATTCTTAAATCGAGTAAATAAAAATAATAATAAACCAAAACAAAAGATATATCTATACTAGATCAATTTAATTATATATACTATATATTATTTTATTACAGATTTTATGTTTATATTTCTTATCAGTTGTACAATTGAGCTTCTCTCTCAATAAGAGTTTTGTTGAGTGCTGTGGCCAGGTATTTGAACCATTTGGTTGCCAAAGATGGGTTGAGATCAAAGAGGATATTTACAAATTGACCTTCGATAGCATAGACCTCGACTTCTTGTGAGTCTGCAATGACATTGGCAGTTACTTCTCCACTAAGAAGATAGGTAATTTCTCCAAAGGTTTCGTCTTGTTTCATTGTACCAAGTACGACTGAATGGAAACGGTTAGGATCGTTTGTGCTAGGTACCAGTTTCTCGATACGACAGACACCCTTGCCGATTTGGAAGATCTTTTGAATACGTTCACCTTGTTTCACGATTGGTTCATCTTTTTTGAAGGTGTGACATCTCGAACCTTCACGACCGATCAACTCCCAATCTTCTTTGGTAAGCTGATCCTTTGAATGATGCTTGGTCTTGAGTGTCATATTCTGTTTCTTACGTTCCTGTTGCATCTTTTGTTTCAGGTCATCGGATGTGTTTGATTGCTTCGATGATTCGTGCAAACTGTTAATGATACCATAGGCATCTTGACGGTCCTTGTTGTTCTGGAAGGTAAATCGGTAGTTGGTAGGAGTGGTCATGTTTTTCAGACGAGACAATTCGATTTGGGTGTTGTTGGCACAGAGCACACCTGTGATCTGCTTGAATGGAATGACCTTCTTGGTCTTGTATCCAAAGAACTTGGAGTAGAAACAAACGTGTCCTTGGGAGATGTAGCAACGACCGGAACGAGTCAGAGAGCAAGCATAGTCCTTGATAACGATTTCATCGTACAATGAGAATCTCTGACAGAATTCCTGGTCGTTCTTCTTCATGATTGGCTCACCAAGCTGAGCAGAGGTTTGTGTACGACTGATACTGTTGCTTCGAATATTATTGTTACCACTGTTGCTTGCACTAAGTAAAGAGGTATCAGCTCTTTCTCTTGGTGAGAAGTTGGCCGATGTGGAAGTACGCTTGCTAAGAGCTGGATGAAGATTGGCAAGATATTGATTTGGTGTACGTGGAGAAGCTGGAGGTGTGTTGATATTAACCAATGGTTGAGTAGCATTGTTGTTTGGTTTAACGATGTTGTTGTTGTTATCGTTGTTGCTGCTGCTGCTGCTGTTACCGTTGCTGCCAGTGCTACCAGTGCTACCAGAGAGTGTGAGAGATGGTGTTGGGATAATGATGGGCGGAACAATTGGTCTTGGTGGACTGGTTGGTGGCGATGCTGTCGAGGTGGAGGAACTGGGTGAACCGAGGTGTGGAGATGACAATGGCGATGAAGCTGGCGATTGTTGAGGTGGTTTCATGGTGGGTAGATTCTTTAGACGCACAGCCAATTGGTTAGCCATAATCTTGTAGAATTTAGCACCAAGTCTTGGATGCGAAACGAATAGACTGTTCAAGAATGGAATGTCCATGACATAGAGATCGGCTTGATCGTCTACCACTACACGAGCAGTTGTTTTGTTTCCAAGGAATGACATCTCACCAAACATCTTTGGTGCGCCCATCGAAGCGACCTTGACAGATTTGCCATCTTTGTTTCGCTTCTCGACACCGAGAGTACCGGACTTTATACGGTAGAGATAGGAATTGATGGTGTTCTCTTCGATGACTACATCACCACGATGGTAGGTAATGACAGTGGCATTGGTAAGCAATACAGACCAATCACGCTCGGTCAGCTCCTCGTTTCCATAGCCAAGCGAGTCAGAGTTACCCATGGATTGTTCACCCTCTTTCTCCTTGTCATCTCCGAGTGTTCCATTCTTTTCCGCTTCGATTTCCAGACGTCGTTCAAACTCTGAGAGACGATCAATCTGATTGTAATCGAATGCCTTTACTTCGTTCATGTATCCACCGTACCAGACATAGGGTGTCGATAACAAAGGAGGACGATACACACTTGGCATTTCCTTGTACTCCTTGAACATCTTCATTTTCTTGGATAATCGTTTCACTCTTAGGATGTTGGTCATCTTCTCACCGCCAGACGATATGAACGTTGGATTTTCAGTACTGGTTTGTGAGAGGTCGGCAACAAGTGCACCAAGGAATGGGATGGTTGGACAAATGACATGAGTCATATAGGGTGTGAGTGCCTGATAGGTTTGAGTGATCGATCCTGGCAAGGAAGAGATAACAGTTCTCAGAGGGAGGTAATTGGATTCTGGAAGCATCAGACGACTTATCTCGTGGAATGCATCGATGTACTTTTGCGAGATACGTGCCCACGATGCTGTGAGACGAGTGATTGGGTCAGAGTGGAGCGCACATAACACCTGCATTACACCATTGAAATTCCACAATGAGAGATACTCCAATGCAATCTTGATATATCGTTCGATCATCTCGGAACGAGATCTGATATCACGCTGCTTGACAATTTCACTTGCAGCCAACAACGACATCTTTTGGAACCACTGGAAGTAGTTACAGATATTAGGGAAATTCAAGTGTTTAGCTGCTGCCTTGTCGGTTTGGACATCGTCACTTGCGGCCAAACCAACGGAATAACCAAGAAGTTCACGTGGATGAATCTGGTGAAGATAATCCAGTTCCAAGAAGGTGTATTGATGAGCGAGAAGCTCGGGATCGTCGTCGTGGAAAGTGTAAAATTGACTATCGTAAAACTCATTACGGTTGCCACCCTTTGAGATAATTGGACTGCCATCTTCACCGAGAATAAAGAAAAAGTGACGAGTGAACAAGTCGATCGCCAGAGTATTGGCGTCGTCACGACTCGATGATGTCATACGACAAATCCAGTCGACGGCATCGGAACCAGAGAAACAACGAGTAACCACCTTGTTTTTGAATTTTCTCTCACGTAAAGGTACACCATACAATGGGTCCTTAATAGCAATTGCCAGATTGATAAACGATTTAGAGATATTCAATTGGAGCGAAGCGGCCGAACTAAGCGAGAAACTACCACTTCTTCCAACGTCGGTTGAGGTTCGGTGCAGCAACTTGGAACCAATGGACAGCTCTAACTTCTCTTCTTCTTTTGCCTTCTTTATCTCGGGATCGTAGTTATCGAGAATCGTTCCGATTGAATTAACAATAGCTTGATCGTTTCCATAGCAAAGATGTACGAATTCATCTACCTTGTGGTAGAGCCAAGCGTCGTCCTGGTGGTATTCAAACTCTGTGATATCGGCACACCAACGTTTCATGAAATTCGATACTCCAACTCTGATCTGTGCTCTTCGCTGTTCGAATTTACGCATGGTGAGCGAGTCGGACTTGTCAGGACGTGGACCAAAGAAACGTTTGACCAACATCTTTAGGACAGCCTGTGGAGTGGTGAATGAACGATACAAATGAATGAAATCCTCAATGAATGACTCGTCCAGTGTTGTAACGTTGCCATTCGGTGACAAAGGCAATGAGTTACGCCACTGTGGAACGGGGAGTCCACTCTTGCCGGCGGTGTCACTACGCTTGCGACCAGAGGCGGCAGTGTTGGTACCACCGGATCCTCCACCGCTACTTCCACTGAGAGCTCCACCCATTTGAATGGCTGGATTTGAAGACATTGATCCACCGTCGTTTCTTGTCATCATTTCAATCATTTTCGCTAGAGTTGCAGCAATAACAATTGACACTGATGAAGTCTGTTCCTCGTCGTAACCAAAGAGAATACCACGCTGGTCGTCGTCTACAAACGGATAAGGTTGTTCAATCTCTTCCTCTGTGAAGATCTCGAGAGAAATCAAGTCATCCAACGTCAAAACATCGTCGGAATCGCCACCGGATGAAATGGAGCTGGAACTGGTTGTGTGGTTGAAGGTCGCCTGTGTTGTGATGCTGGCGGACAACTGCTCACGCGATTGGTTGAGCGAAGAGTTGGTACTATTGATACTAGCACCCAGCCCACTTGCAATACTGGTAGAACTCCACTCTGAGAACGAAGCGGATCTCGACTTTCTCGCTTGGTTACGGATGTGTGGAGGTAGAGTCGATTGGATTGGAACTAGCTTCTTCTTCAAGTTGGCAAGTGATTCTACAATAGAGGTAAAAGTTGGACGTGAATTTGGTTCGTGAGTCCAACACGATTGAATCAACTCTACGTATTCCGGTGGACAGGAAGCAGGGATATTCGGTCGGAGTCCACGAATGATTTCGTCTTCGAGCTTCGACATCCACTGGCCGAATGAATATTCGTCGAATGGATGTGAACGAGTGTAGAGCTCCCAGAGGATGATACCGAATGCGTAGACATCGGATGGTTCGGAATATGCCATCGAAGCCATGACTTCGGGTGCGAGCCAGAGTGGTTGGTCGACGCAACGCGCCAGTGCAGCGCCACCATACAGCTCGGTGGAAGTTCCATAGTCAATGATGGTCGACACCGGATTGACACCTTCGACTACACCGTGCATCAAGATATTCGGTGATTTCAAATCACGGTGAATCATCGGTGGATTCAGTGAATGCATGTGTTGCATACCCTTGGCAATCTCGGTGGCAATCTGCAGACGCAATCCCCAGCCGATTTCAATGAGATTGTTGGCCAGTAGATTGTAGAGACTGCCATATTTAACAAACTCCAAAGCCATGCACAACGGTTGCAAACAGAATCCACTGATTTTCATGGCATTCGGATGGTTGAGACGACTCATCGAGTAGACTTCGTGACGGAACTCACGGAATACACGCAAACGATCCTCTTTCTTCTCGTCGTCCGTCGAAAGGTTGTCCACTCCGATTGCACCGGTCGGTGGAATCAGCTTTTTCAGTGCGACAATCTCACCGTTCCATTCTGCCTCGTAGACGATACCGAATGCACCTTGACCAACTTCCTTTATCAACTTTATATCCTTCAAATCGAATCTAGGTCTTGGAATGTCGACCATTGCAATATCCGGTACCAACACATCCAATGGCAATCTATGAGTAGACTTTTCGTCGTGTTTGTCATGGTTTCTAAAACAATTCAATAGGGTCTTTCCATCCATAACTGCTTCCTCACAATCTTCAATTGGGAACAATGTAGGATTTTCATCATATAAAAATGAACATTCAAAACAACTTACATATCTAAAGATATCAAACAAATAAACAAACAGTTAGTAAACATATTTTGATTCGCGATTTGATAATACTGTTAAACCATGTGTTATTTACCTTTTGATATCTAATTTATACCATTGTGAAAATAAAGATTCAATTGTATCTGTTAGGATACGAAGTAGACCGACTGGCTTTGGAAGTCCACGAACATTGACAACCAGAACTTTGGACTTGGTTCCTTTCAATGTCTTGAGTTCAATGAGTGCATCGTGTCCCTGTTGATTACGAACGACAACCACGTTCTTGAGACACGATTCTACCTTTACAAAGTGAAGTAGACGCAAGATGAGTTTACCAAAGAACTTCTCGGGGATATAGGGAAGGTGATACTGTCGATTCAAACGGATCTTGTCGGGACAATCAAAGTCTTCCCATTGCGATACGAGATTACCATCTCTTGGGAGCAGCGTTGGAATGAGATGCCTGGTCTCTGACTCTTCGGATTTCAAACTGAGTGTCGAGACGGTCGGGTAGATCGAGGTTGGATGCTGCGATGCCTCTTGCTCCTTGATCAACAGTGGCTGTGTGAGAGCGAGTGGGTACGATATTTCGAATGCCTGCATGATGGCCATCAACGAGGTGTGCATATGCTCCGGGTAGTAAGGTGGTTTCCAAATGTTGACGAGGTCGACTTGTCGCACGATTCCGGAGCGCGACGCTATGGTACGCGCGTTTATCAGCGCGGTCATACAGTTGATGATCCACTGGTGGTCGAGAATCACCATCTTGCCGACCGTGGAATTGGGATCGTTGAAATAGATGATCGATCCGATGTTGTGAAGGAACTCGGTTGCTCGTTGCACCTGAACGGTGTCTTTCAGATTGCAGATGTTCACCAGGTTGATATACTCTTGCCACATCATGACGGGCGGTGTTCGCTTCTTTCGCATTTCAATGAGCGCTTCCTCCAGCGTGAAGAACGAAGACGGCACTTTGGTGCGTAGATACGGCTGTGTCTTGATGATGTCCTCTATCAATTGGCGGAGACGATCGACGTCGTAGCCAGTGGTGCAACTCACCGAGATGATCGCCTGGATATTGGAGAATTGCTTCTGGAACGATTGACTGATGGTTTCGAGCGCGACATTGACCTTGGAGAGATCGTCGAATTCATCGATGTGCGTGCCCACCAAGACGATCGGTGAGTTTGGCGCAATGGAGGTGATGCAATGCAACCAATACTCAATGTTGGAATTGTCAATCGGTGTCTTTAGATTGAAAACCACCACATACACCGAACGATCCGATGCAAACAACTGATTGGTAGTGAAATAGACATCTTGGTTAACGATATCCCATGTCGACACAGTGATAGTTTTACGTTTGCGATCGGCATCGTCATCGAACACCACATCAAACTCGTGTTGATCAATCTCAATTCCCTCCATATTACTCGATGAAGATCCTTTCTTTTTCTTTCCACGTATACATTGAATAACCGATGATTTACCTACTTTCTCTGTGTAAATGTGATTGGATTATGATTAGTATTTCTCCAAAACAAAGCATTCGATCGAATTGAATTGAATAATAATAATAATTAACAACAAACTTACCATCACCAACTACAACTAATTTCGATCTTAAACATGGTCTTGCACCAGTTTCCAACTCACGAAGGAATGCAATTATATCTTTGAGACCTTTGCTTATGACGGTGGAGGGTGGTGTGATGATTGGATTCTGTTTGATGTTCAGTGTTTTCAGTGAGGTGAGCGATGCTATCGATGTCGGGAGCAGTGTCAGTTTGTTGTTGTTGAGTGAGAGCACTTCGAGCTTGCTGAGACGCTCGAGCGAGCACAGCGAAACCAGATGATTGTTGTCGGCTTCCAATCGCTTCAGATTGACGAGATCACCGACCGACGATGGCAATCCCACGAGACGGTTATTATCGAGAACCAACACCTGCAGCTGCTGCAACTTGCCAATGTCCTCTGACAACGTCCTTATATTGTGATGTGTGATGACCAGCTTCTGCAGCCAGATCAAACCGTAGATCGATGGTGGTAGAGTCACAAGTTGTGTGAAACTAATCTGAAACTCGAAATCAACGGTTGTAGTCGTTGAATTCGTTGAACTATTTAAACTATTACCAACACCATTACTACTATTATTTAAATTGGAGGCGCCTCCGCCACTATTATTAGTATTACTATTATTATCTTTATTTTCTTTATCTTTATTGTTTATATAATTATTATTATGACCATGACCATGACTATTCAATGCTAAATGTGTTCCACTTGATCTGTTACTGTTACTGCTGTTGCTGTTACTGCTAGTTCCAAGATGACTGTTGTGAGTGTTGCTACCACTGATATTCCCACTGTTGATGTTGGCAACGATGTGTGAAACGGTACCGTCACGAATGACATATCCACTGCCAGAGTCACGGTTACTACCACCGATAGCACCGAAAGAGATGGTCGACATTGTGTGTTGAATGGGATTGCGCTCGGGTATCTGTGAGAGTGTGCTGATCAGATGAACCAACTCTTCGGGAGTGGTTTGTGTGCCATCTTTCTTGCGAGGCAGATTCTTGTTTTGAAAATTCTGAATGGCTCGTTCCGTCCTCTGATAAGCTTCCTCCTTGGTCGAAGTGAATTGATACTCTTGAAATTTGAGCTTGGTTGATTTTTGCATTTTTTTGTCAAATCAAAACCCTTTTTTTTTTTTGTCAACTCTGTGTGTTTTTTTTTTTTAAAAAATGTTTATATATTTAGGAGGTAGTGGTGGTTAAAGGGTAGTACACACACAAAAAAACAAGACAACACAATTGATTATTTTAGTATTAGAAACAAAAAACTAACTAACTAATAAATAAATAAAAATAATTACTTTAATTAATTTAATAAAAAAGTAATTTATATTATTACTATTATTATTATTTTTATATTTTAATTAATTTGACTTTTTTTTTCTTTTCTTTTAAAGACTTTCTATTCTATTAATACACTAATGAAAACAACAAATATATATATATATACTATTTAATTTACAAATTTAATCTATTCTAATTTTACTATATAACTACATAAATAAAAATATAAATACTATACTATTCTGTTTGCATTAAGAAAAACAAAAAAAAAACTTTAAATAAAACTAACTTATGATTATTTAAAGTTTTTTGATTTGAATTTGCTATTTATTCTGTTCTGTTGTATCTATATAGTTTCTCTCTAAATTAGTAATCTGTAATAACTTTATTTATTATGATTAACAGTTGTAGAGGGATAGGATAGATACAGCATTAAGAACCAAAAATAATAAAAATAAAAAAAATAGAAAAAACTGTGATCAAATTCTGTCAAAATCTACCAAAAAAAATTGTTTTTTTTTTTTTTTTTGAAAAAAAAACTTGCCAAAAAACCAATTTTTTTTGCTTTTTTGTTTTTAATCTCGTTTATTCCTTCCACCTCCCTTTTCTGATGGTAAAATGAAAAAACAAAAAAAACAAAAAAATAATACCTATTTTTATAATCTATAAAAGTAATATAGGTTTTTTGTTTTGAAAAAATATAATTAAAAAAGTTGGTATTGAATGATGGGTGTGGCATTCCGATTAAATTTGGTTGTCAATAAGAAAAAAAAAACAAAAGAAAGCAAAAAAACAACAAATAAACCACTAAACAGAAGAACAACAAACAACCACTTTTATCTTAAAAGTTTTAATTTGATTCCATCCAACTTAACCTTAATTTGATCAATGATATATTCATCACTATAACATTTATTTTTTGTTTTTGTTTTGTTTTGTTTTGTTCTTTATACTGAGCTCAGTAAAAGATTGTTATTTGATGTGTTGCTCTCGAGAGTGTTTTCAGGTAAATCCGAATATCATTCTCATTGTAATCTCAAAACACACACACACACCCACAACAACCTATTTATATATAATATCATCATATTAGAGATTAGTTTTAAAATAAATAATAAAGTGAAATGAATGAACATCAAACAACAATTGCAAAATATATTAATGATCTTCTTTCTATGATAATTTACATTCTTTCTTATTTTAATTATTTGTTTTTGCTTAATGTTAGTTATGTTATGTTTGTTATGTTTTGAATTATTATTTAAAATGTTGAAATATTATATTATTATTATTTTGTTTTGTTTTGTTTAATTTAATCATCTTCCAACTTTTCAACTAAATTATCAACTAATGTATCACCGTTGATAAGTTTGGTGGTGATAATGATAAAATCACGATTGGCTTGATCTTGTCTTGAGAGGAAACGAAGTGCAGAGATCTCTGCGAATGTTACACCACCGATAAAGTAGACCAATGTAATCGGTTTACGGTCACTCTTTACGTTGGTGGTGGCACCTTGTGGCAGTGGTTGTATCTCCTCGAATGTCGGTCCGGGCAGTAGTCGGAGTGTCTCTTCGATTGCCTTCCAGCCGCCGGGTCTAATCGCTTGTTGAACGAGACGACAGCTGAGTGGCGCGTAACCACTGTAGACATAGGCCATATCGGTTGGGTTGGTCTCATTGATCTCCTCTATCACTAAGTTCATATCGCGTCTGATGTTCTGGAAGACGGGACGCGATTCTTGCTTCTTGAGCAGACCGATGCGCTCCAAGTTGGCGAGTGTCAAGATGAGCTCGGCACCGTACGACTGCACAATCTCACGCTTGAAAAACTCTAGTGTTTTCGGCTTGATACCGTTGTTTGTCAGGCTGTAGAGTGTCAGCAGACGCAGAATCTTGTACCATGGATCCTTCTTGTTGATGCAATCCTCGAGGTATTTGTCGACCGACTCCAAGTTGATGCCGGCGATCAGATTCTGCTCGCATTCAATACGCTTTGAGAATGCAGGCGATCGAGTGATCTCGAGAATCTTCTCGGTGACGTTGGTGTGGATACGCAGTGAGTTGTGCTCCTGTTGGTACTGTCCGAGTTTCTTGACAAAGTCACGAATGGCCGCTGGCGACTGACTCGTCTGCAGACGCTTGTAGTACTCGTCGATGTCCTTTGCTTTCTTGTTGAGAATACCACCGAGCACCGAGAAGTTGATGTCACGAATCTCGCTGTACACCTTGTCGTTCGAGTGCAGAGGGAATGGCACCTTCTTGCCGGACGGTGCCTGTGGAACCTGTTGATTCTGTGCCGGTGGATTGACGAGTTCCTCATCCAGATGAACGGCATTGTTCTTGATCTTAAAGAATTCATCCAACAGACCTTCATAGGTCAATTGTGTACACATCGGAGTGATCAAATCGACGTCTCTATCTATCAATATCAAAGAATCAATCTCTGGTGGTACAGTTGACTCTTCTCCCATTTCCTTTCTCATTCTTGTAATTAAATCCATAACCAACTAGATATTGTTATATATATATATATGAATGATATATTTTGGTGATTAGTTTATGTGTATATTATTGTTATTACTACTACCTTTAAAAGTTATATACATACTCTTGAACATTGACCTTTTCCTTTTACAAGTGGAATTGTACCAAACATTGATTGTAACTTCATTAGTGATTTGGCGACGTAAAAGAGAGAGGTACGATCACCTTCCAATAGGAATTCTTTATATGCAGATGGTAGCTCTAGTGATAATACATCTTCGTCGAACGGTACTATATCCAGTGGTAATTCGTAGGTTGCTTCGATGTTACCAGCAACACCTTCCTCTTCCAACACTCTCTGTGCTAAAATAGTACTTCTAGGTATATATACAATTGCATATGTCTTTTTCAATCCTTCATCTAAATGTCTTTGAATATGTTCCTTTATAATATGCATATATTTAATTCTTTGAACAACAATATTCAATGTAAATATAATTAATAAAAGATGATACAATAATAAAAATAATAACAACAATAACTAACAACTTACTTTGGTCTAATAATATATATAATATTTGATGAATTTGTTTCAAGTTTACCTGTTTTTAATTCATAGTTTCTTTCAGCTCCATGACTCTATTTTTAATAGGTTAAAAGTAAGTGTTAGAAATTGATAGATCGATTGATTGATTGATTGGTAGATTTGATATATTTACATTAAGGAATTGTGGATCAACAATAAGATTAAGTAGACCAATAACCTTTGGATCCATAACCAATGCTTTACCACCTTTCAGTATATCTAATGCTTCACCTAGTTCTCTCTTTGATTGCTCTCTTATAGATGTAAGGTTCAGTACTTTACTAGAGATGTTGGGAATCTGTGAGAGTACGATAGCTGCTGGTTTCTTTGCTTGTGCAGGTGCTGGTTGTGGTGGTCTTTGCTGCTGTTGCTGTTGTTGAGGTGGCAATGGTTGACCACCAGCTCCTTGTTTCTTCATCATTTTTTAAATTAAATTGATAAATAATATTCAATCAATCAATTAATATAAATATTGATTTATCTATATATAATATTATTATATCTTATTCTTTAAAATTTAAAATTTTTTTTTTTTTTTTCATAAAAACTATAAAAATCTGATCATGAGCTTGATTTTTACTCTATTTGTATTTTAGAAAATTCTTAACACTTTTTTTTTTTTAATATTTATTTCGAGCATTGTTAACTGTATTCACATTGGACATATATTTTTATTGTTTACTAGTTTTGTTTGACCTTCTTAATCAGTCGAAAGAAGAACCAGCTGGCTTTTAGAGTCTATCGATTGACATCAATGTGCAAACTTGGTCATAGGCATGAAGATTGTCTATACATTTCTTACCTACACCAGTAGTATATATGAATTGTATAAAATTATTACTTAGTAAAACAATTAGTATATTGGCTACTTTTGATGTCAAGTATTGCCAATATATATACTTGACATCAAAAGTAGCCACATGACCTCAGTCGTTTGGTTGGCATTGTCACGTGTTGATGATAGACTTTGTTGGTTATTGTGCACACATTTACTTGACTGCAAAATCTCTCAAAGTTCCTGTCCAATGTGAATAAATAGATTAATCAAACTCTTTACATTATTTGAATAACTAAAACTAATAAAATCTAACATTTTACAAATATTTTAAATCAGTTCATATTTAATATTATTAATAAATGTTATTAAATAAGTATCTATATAGAGATTAATATTTATTTAAATGATGATTCATCCGGTGAAAACATTTGGTTGTTATTCAATATGTCCATCAAAAATGTTGATTGATACAGGTTAGTGTCCACTGTGAATGTTGGCGATGTTGGTGTCTGACCATAACCATTATTATTATTGGTAGTGTTTTGTTGATTCACAAATTGTTGGTTATATATATTATTATTATTATTGTTATTGTTATTGTTATTATTATTTGATAAATATTGAGATTGGTCTATATAGTTATTATTCAATTGATCTTGGTTTGTATTAATAAAGTTGAATTGTTGTTGTTGTTGTGGTTGTTGCGCATTCATTGTGTTGTTATCGTTACTTATGTTGATATTTACAAAGGAGAGTTGTTGTTGTTGTTGCTGTAATTGTTGTTGTTGTAGCTGCTGTTGTTGTTGTAGCTGCTGTTGAAGTTGTTGTTGCTGAAGTTGTAATTGTTGTAAGTGTTGAATTTGTTGTTGTAACTGTAGTTGCTGTTGTGTTGTATTTACAAGTGATGGGAAAAATGAATTTTGTTGTTGCTGTTGAATATTCGATTGTTGTTGCTGTTGTTGTAATTGTTGTTGCAACTGTTGTTGTTGCAGAGCATTATTATTCTTTCCTTGCTCTAAATTCTTAAGTATAGATGTCAATACATTGGTATTGATATGAGTTCCTGGTGTTTGTTGTTGTTGTTGCTGTTGTTGAAGTTGATTAGTTGCGGATTGATTAACAATATTATTATTACTATTATTAAAAGTATTATTAAAGTTAACAATATTGTTATTATTGTTACTTGATACCAAACTATTATTATTATTATTGCTATTATTATTATTGTTGTTATTCTTTAAATTATTATTAAAGTTGTTTAAACTATTTAAACCATTTAGAAGAGTACTGAGCAAGGCAGATGGCGATTGACTCTGAAGATTACCCAACAAGGTATTCAAGAGTGAAGACGCTGTCGTATCAAAGTAATTATTGGTAGTATTATTATTATTGGTATTTACACCACCAGTTATTGTGCTGTTATTAAAGTTGATAATACTATTGTTGTTGTTGTTGTTGCTATTATTCATCATCATCATATTGTTATTAATTAGATTATTATTATTGTTGTTGATGTTATTGATGGTGTTGTTGTTGTTGTTAGAGATAAATGGTATTTCTATCTTTTGTTTCTTATTAGCTTTGATTACACCTGCTGTAACTATCTTGTTATCATTAACACTGTTGTTGCTACCACCAACACCACCACCGCCAAAGTAACTACCAATAGGATTCAACATCAGGTTGTAACCAGACAAGCTGTTCAAAAGGTTCGATGGCACCATAGAGTAGATCCTTTGATAGCGGTCACTGGTGTAACGCTTCTCATTGTTGAAACCAAGCTTCGATGCGTAGGTATACGATTTGTTCATAAACTCAAAACACTGCTTCAACATGTTGTATGCCATGAGAGTGTTTGATTTATAGTAATTGTATTTCTCCCTCATCAAATCGGACCAAGTAAATAAAAGATGTATTTGTGTTCTCTGTGTAAATGGATATGATTGAATTGTATGTGGTATTCTAATAATAACATTTTCAAAAAGTGTTAGTTAACATCAATCTTGAATAGCTGACAAATAATCAATAATAATAATAATAATAATAATAGTTACTTTGATAAGAAAGTTTCAGCTCTTTCTAAATCGGATTGAGATGGACTCTCTGAGCATAACAGGGTCTGAGCAATTCTGATGTTTGATCTGTAGGTACCGTTGATACTTCTAGCGTTGGTAGTTGAGTTTGGTGAGATACTTTCATAGTCTTTGGCATAGTGGTCTGCTGCCAACTTTAACTTTTCAACGATTTGCTCTCTAACTTGAGTATAGTTATTCTGTTTAGTTTTTTGTAGAATTAAACAATCTAATAATAATAATAATAATAATAATATTAGTAAATATATCAAACCAACTAATAATAACAATTGTTTTAGTTAAATAATAAACTTACCATAATCATGAGCAGCTTTATTAAAATAATACTGCGCCCTCTGTAAGGATGTCAAGTCAATCTTTGAAGACAAGAAATCACATGTATCTAAATGTAACTTTGATGCAGTATAATTCTTTTGTATTCTATAGATCGCTGATTTCAAATAACTAACTTTAAATCTATAATTTTATCATAATAATAACAAATAATAATAGTAAATAGTAATAATAATTAGATTTAAACTCTTTTTTTTTTTTGTTTTAAAAATAATAATAAGTTAATTGTTAACATACAGATTCTCTGGTGAATAGAATACATCTAAACCTTTATCCATTTGTTTATGAGCTGTAGATAGCTCACCAATAAAAGTAGATCCAATACTCTGTTCTATCATTAGATCAGATAGAATCTCTGGATTCTTTTCATACTTTCTCAAGTAAAGATCGAATACATTATCCAACTCTACCCATTTAGCACCTGTCTCTTGAAGATGTGAAATATAATTCAACAAATTCTCATTTGGTCTAATATTTATAGATTCTATAGTTATGGTAGTTTTGAGTTAATATATATATATGAAGAAAATGGTTAAGATATGTTAACTTACTCTTTGTTGTTTTAGTTGAATCAGATGCTTCGTTAGCATCTTGTTGGTTCGATGATGATGATGTTGTTGTTGTTTGGTTGATGTCGGTGGTTGCAGACGATGCAGTTGCAGGTAGTTGTCCGTCTTGTTTCGATTGCGATGCCAACTTCTTCTTTGATGGACTACCGTAAAAGTAGATTCTAATGGTGAAGTGGAAATCTTTGAATTTCAGCTCTTCGTCGTTCGGTGCCGGTGGAAGAATGACAGAGCAGCGCAGGTAATAGAATCCGGTCTTTTGGATACGAATCGATCCGAACAGCACCTCACCTTTCTTCATGGTGGATTCGAGTGTTTCAAATTGATTGGGTGCGATCTCCTCGATGTTCTTACGGTTATCTTTACGCGTGAAACTACTTGGTACCCAGTGAGGTGCGACCGATTCCAGCTTCAATCGGAGTGGCGGATGATTCTGACAGACGCGATTCGCTTCGTCGCGGTGATACATAAATATTCCGATCTTTTGATTCTTCTTGGCGGCGTAGTAGGTCGGTGTGCAGTGGAAGATATAGGGCGACGCTTTCAGTGCGTCGGAATTCGAGAGATTGCCACCCGATACAATGGCGTGGTGAGTCTCCACCGATAGCGAATTCTCATTGAGACCCATTGCAATGTTATTATTCAATTGATCTATTTCACTATCATTTAAAGTAGATGTTGTTGTTGCGTTGGTTGTGGTTGTAGTAGTGGTCGTAGTTGTACTACAATCATCGAGTGACGGTAATGTTGGTGAAGGTATAGTTGGTTGTGGTGGTGATGGACTGTTTGTGAATTGATCGGTTAAGCTACCCATACTTTGTTGTTGTTGTTCGATGAAACTGATAAAAGGTGAAGCAGAGACTGAAGAAGATGAAGAAGATAGTGTTTCATTCTTATTGTTAGAATTGTTATTGTTATTGCTATTGTTAATGTTGTTGTTGTTGTTATTGATGTTGTTATTGTTGTCAGATGATGGTGAAGTTGCAGAGTTTAATAGATATTGCATATCTGATTCGTCTAATGCTTGAAAAACATTCGATTGTGTAGAATTACCACTATTCTGTAGTTGTGTTGGTTGTTGTTGTTGTTGTTGTTTATCATCGTAGAATGTGGGTAAAGGTAGACTTGGTGGTGAGGAAGATGATAAAGAATCACCACTACCACTACCACCACTATTTTCAATGCTAAGATTTGTGGTATTATTTCCATTTACAGTATCACCACTACCACCACTATTTTCAACACTAACACCAACAAACAAGTCGAATGGAGATGTCATATTTAAATACTACTATTGCTGTTGCTGATTCTACTACTAACTTTTATTTAGTAAGTTTATATTGCTACTACTACTACAACTTTAGGTAGTAACAACACTATTAATAAACTATTACAAAATATTTATTTATTTTTTTAAGATAATATAGAATGATTTGATTTGACTAAAAAGAGAATATTTAAAGATATATATATAAAATAATATTATAATTACTATAAAACAAAGATTTTTTAAAAAACATAAAAATAGATAAAAGCTAAAAAGTAATAATAACTTTAAGAAATATAAAAAAATAAGAATAACTGAATTGAAATAAATTGAAATAAACTGAAATGAAAACAATATAACTTTAATTGAATAATAACGATTAGCTAAATATGATCTAATTAATTATTTCTGAAATACCAAGATAAGTAATATTGATTGATTGGTTGGTTTGCTTGTTATTGGTGATCAAAACTTTTTTACTTTTTTAAAAAAATGGCTGTTAAAATTTAACCGATTTTTTTTTTTTAATTTATTATTTTTTATTTTCTTTTTGCGAGCTTGAAACCAAATAGTTGGTCTTCAAATCTTTGCCATTAATTAGATATTTACACAAAATTAAAGTCGAAAATTTTGTGATTTTTTGGGAAGTGTGAAAAGGTAAAAGAATTTGAAAAAATTAATATTGAACCACATATGGAATTTGAGTCCCGCCCATTAAACTTTCCAAAAAAATTTTAAACAAACACACATCCATTCAGTGATTGTTTTTGAGAATCGATTGTTTTATTCTTATTTTTTGTATACTGCAAGGTGCAAAGGTCGGTATTTTTAAATCTCTTAAAATATCTTATCTTGAATCTTAACTCTACAATATTATTATTTTGTTTGCATAGCAAAAAGAAAATTAGTTTTAAGATTGATGATCACCAATCTTAAGTCTGTTCATTTTTGTTGTTGCGTTTCGTTTGAATTGCGAAATCCGTTGTCAATGAATTTTCTTAGGAAATGTTAAGAAAAAGTTTGTTTGTTCAACATTATTTAAATTCAAAAAAAAATTAATTTCTTTAAAAAAGAATGGATAATGATTAATTTTGTTTGTGATCAAACATAGAAAAATTAAGGTCTTAAAGATATTATTTGGTTGATAAGTTTTTTTTTTGTCAATTGTTGACCATGAGAATACTGTACAAAAATATAATACTAATAAAAAATAATTAATAAAAATGATGGAGAATTAAAATTAAGTTTATTGTTGATTATATAAAGGAAAATCTGTTTTAGTCTTTAGCTCTAAAGAATTTAAATATTCAAGTTGAGCTTTAAGAGTTAAAGATTGTTGGCGTTGTTCTAGTGACATAAATTTCGTTGATGGTAGCTGATCTAGTTGATCTCTGATAAAGCTGGAGTTTACAGATAATGAAAGAAGATAGTATAACGGTGATACATGATGCACTTTGGTTGCTATGGCCTGAGTTTGGCTATGATTAATTTTTTGTTTTTTTACAATTTCATTCCCATTTTCATCAATTTCTCTAATTCTAACACTCTTGGATTGGCTAAAGGAAAGACTCTTCATGTCTTCTACCAACTCGCCATATCCAGTCAATGTTCCAAGTAATGTCTTCAAATCTAAATCTGGGTTTTTACTATTGTTGGCCTGGTTATCCAAATCATAGAAACGATCGGTATTATAACGCATTTCATTTCTAAATCCATTACGATAAGCACTATCATATGATTGTTTAATTGACTTGAGAAAGTCAGAAAGACAATCCCTTTTGAAATCATAAGATTGATTGTTGGTAATTTGGAATTTCTTTCTATGTAGATCTGCCAATGTAAAATGGAAATGAATTTGAGTTCTAGTGGCGTTCAGATCATATAGAAAATTCTTTTTAAGAATTCTAATTATTGAAACTATTAATTTTAAAATTTTACAACTATTTTAATGTTTTTACTTACGCTTTTAGAAATTGTAAATAAGCATTATTCAAATCTTGTTCTTTTGTATTATTTGATCCAATAATAGTTTGAACAATTCGAATATTGCTTCTATAGTATCCATTTATACTTCTGGCATTCACCTCAGATCCATTTGCTTTACTATTTTCACAATCTCTATTGTAATAATCCATTGATTTTTTAAACAAATCTTTTACTTCCTCCTCCTTTTTCAAATTGTTTTTAAAATTCATTTGGAATAGATCTAAAATATATAATTTAATTTTTAGTAACTTTTAATACATAAAAATATACTTTTGTTTGACTTATATTTACCAGAATGATGTGCTGCATAGTTGAAATAATATTGACCCATAAGTAGATTGGTGAATTGACATATCTTTTTTGGATATTTATCTTTCAGATCAAGATATAAACTAGTTGCAAAAGTCAATAGTAATTCTGAAGCTTTGAAATTCTTTTGTATTCTATGAGAAACAGATCTCATAGTACTAGCTTCGAATCTATTATCATTATTTTTTTTAAAATAAAGAATGTAAAAAAATAAATAACTTTTTGTTTAATTAAAATAAAGAAACACTTACAGGTTTTCAAGAGAAGAATCTTTTTCTAATGCTTTATCAAATAGTCTATGTGATTCTCCATAGTTTCCAAGATAAGTTGATCCAATTCCTTGACTAATCAAGAGCTTTGAATAGAGAAATGGTATTTTTCTAAATTCACTAGTATACTGAACAGAAAGTTGATCATATTTATCCCATTCAGCTTTTTCCTGAACTCTTGCCATATCAACTTCCATTTTGACTTTTCTTTCGTGATTAAAATCTGTAGTAAACTTTTCCTCTATATAAACATCTTTTTCTATTATTAAAATAAGTCAGTAATCAGTTAATTAAAAATAAATTTAGAACTATTAAATTAATAATTACTTTTTTTTGATTTAGAATTATCTTTAGATGCTATTATTTCAAAAAATAAATAAATTAATATTTAAAATAATTTTAGTAAATTAATTAAAACATACTTTTAGAAGGTGATCTCTCACCAATTGCATTAATAGTAAACTTAAAACTAAAATCGGTGTGAATGTCTTGATCCAAAATAACACCGTAGCATTTAATTGTGTAGGTACCGGCATTGTCAAAGATGAGTTCTTCCATGAGGGCTTCACCATCTTCCAATGTAGTAGGGCCCTTTGAAAATACATTCTGAAGCTTGCTAACAACTGTAGCTTCGTCTATCACTGACGGGGATTTGGAGTGTGGTTGCCATTTCGAAACTTTAAAATTCAATTGAAATGGTGAATGTTTTTTGTACACTCTATTCACTTCATTTACATTGAATAAATTGACACACATATGTTGATTTGGAACTTTACTCCAAAAATAATTTGGCGTAACCAAAAAATAATAATTTGATTGTTGTAAAGAAGTTGACATTTTTTGATATTCAAATATTTGTTTCTTTTTACCGAGTTTAATTGGATTGGCAAATAGATTTAAATCTAAAGGAGATTCCGGATTAAGATTCATTAAGGACTCCTCATCCTCCTCCTCCTCTATATAGTTATCTAAAGATTCCATTTTTAAAAAAATATAAAATAATATATAAAAAGTAATAAATCTTTTTTTTTTTTTTTATAATCCTATTTGATAGAAAATGATTTGAATATATTTTTATTGTTTTATTTCCTTTATATACATATTTGCTCATTTTAATATCATTGGATTTGACATTGTTGGTCTAATAACCAATAGTATGATTATTTTAACAATATCAAAGTTTTTTTTAAAAACACACACTTGCTTCACCTTCAAAAAAAAACAAATCTGATTGTGTATAGTATGGTCCGCCAATTAAATATATAAAAATTTCGTTAGTGGTGAGATTATTATAATAGATAAAAGTTAAAGTTTGTGTTAACACAATGAACTTTATCACTATTATTACTATTTGTAACAAACCATATTACAAACCCTGAACTTGTTTTTGGTTGAACATACTAAAACTTAAATATTAAAGTTGGTAGTGCATTTAAGTTTTTCTAAAGACACTCTATATATATTATGTATAATTATACTCAACCGAAACAGCACATCAAAAAAATATTTATGTATCTCGCTACAAGCATTGATGAAGAGAAATGTATGTCGGTTGTAGAGCTATATATATCAACCTAAATGCACTACCAACTTTAATATTTAAGTTTATATCATATAGATGTGTTACAATAATTGTATCCTTAGTTTGTTTAATATCAACTATATTGTCAAAGTTGTTTCAAACTATTAAATATTTTTTATTCTTTATGATTAAATTCCTTTTCTCTTTTATAATTATTTCTTTACTAATTATTCCTAGTAACAAATCGATTGTTCGCGCTAAAACAAATAATCATCCGATCTTAAAACTTTCAGAAAAAAACTAGTGGTAAAATGAATAAAAAGAATAAAATTGAAATAAAATTAGGGGAAATTTGTATGAAATATATATTGTGTGATATTCACACTTTTACAACCTTTATTGAATTAATTTTAGAGTATTTTTAATTTATTTTAGTAATACTATTACTATTTTTAACTATTAGAAATAAACAAACTTATTGTTTGATTTTTATTTTTTATTTTTTTTTTTCAAAAAAAACATAAATGGATAGTCCTATTATTGTTGATATCCAACCACCACCAATAGTCAATGAACTTCAAGACAATCACCATCATGACAATAACAATAGAGAATCAAATTCAAATGTATCATTGCTTACATTGATGTTGGAGAAGAAAGAGATTGGTCAGAGCAATGTCAACGAATCGTTCTTCAAGGTGTTTCGATTTCAAGTGCTAAGAAAAAAGATATTTTCAATGATCAATCCGATCACTTTGAAACTTGCAAAGCTTTTATATCATTATGGAAAAACTCCAGCCCCGAATATTGTTAAATTCGAAACCAAGATCGCAGCATCGTATCTTCTTGACAATGGAATGACCGGTCTGTTCATCGACAAATTCCGTTACGCTTTCAATACACTCAGTTTCCGTTGTCCCAAAGGATCGATGACGACAATGATCTTTGAGAAGATCGGTGATTGTCGCCGATTCGACATGCTAGATATCATCTTTCGAAAGTGGAGGACATCGCTGATGCCGGTGGCGTTCGACGCCGCCTGTGGATCAGGTCACTTTGAGATCATCGAGTATGTCAGTGCACTCGGATGCAAACCATCATCGAAAGCAGCACTGTGTGCAGCCAAATACAATAGAATCAATGTACTCAAGTATCTCTATCGTAATCTAGAGTATCGACCGCTGTTCAATGATCAAGTCAGTCTATTCGCAATGCAAAATATGAGCCACGACGTCATGATGTGGTTGATCGAGCAGAGTGATATACCAATCAACATTTCAGTGATCTCTTCACTTCCTTACCCAACCACTGATGAAAAGTACAAATTTGCATTGAAAATAAGAGATACTTACAAAGCAGCTCGCTCTACTTATCCAGAGAAATGGGATGTAGATTTACTCTTCATGAAGAATGTAAGTGTAGATAATATTATCTTATTTTATTTTCTTAAACTAACAATTTAAATGTATTTAAAATCTATAGAGATTAAGTGACCGTATTATTAATGGATTACACCATTAGGGCAATATCTATCAATCTATCTATCTATCTGTCTATCTTTCAATCAATCTTTTTCATAATCATTATTATCAATCATTATAACATTCATTATTATTTTCTCTATAAATATCATTATAATGTTTTAGAGAATATCAACATACGATGTATATAAATAACTATCTCTTATTAATATAAAAATTTAATAATAAGAGATCATCTTTAAAAATCATAATTGTCAATTGATAAAGTATTAATGTAGTCTTAAAGTTTTATAGTTTTTGTTTATACTTTTTTTTTTTTTTTTGAATAATTTATTAATAATTTAAATACAAAGAGTTATTATTGTTATTGTTGTTGTTGTTGTTATGTTCAAGTTTGTTATTGATAGGATACACCTTTAGAATCAACAGATAAAACTTCAACCCATGATTTCAAATCTTCATGGGTGTCGCATGCAAAGAAATATAATCGATACTTGGTGATTAGTGTGAAAGAGTGTTGTTGCTTTGGCTTTGGTTCGACTTTCAGTGAGTAAAAGTCTTTGAGGTCAATGGAACCTCTGGGTTTCTTCATCTTCTTGTCGTCGAGTTTGAAATAGTTGAGCAGACCGTCCTTGAAGAAGAAATGGTACTTCTTCCAGTTACTTGATTTCGATGGACTGCTCGTCTTGTAGAGTACACCGTCGATCTCCTTTCTTATTTCTTTTCGTGGTTTGTCGAGGAATACCGACTTCTTACGTTCGATCGCTGGCAACTGACTGTGTCCTTTCCATGGTGACATCGATGAAGCTGTAGAGTTGGCAGATGAACTCGATGCCATCATTGTTGGTGATGATTCATTACTGTTGTTATTGTTATCATTACCATTAGTGTTGTTTGTGGTAGATGAAGATTCACCCGGTGTTGAACTATGGCTATCGGAAGTTGACATTGAATCATTGTTGGCGTTGGCGTTGTTGTTGGCAAGGAGAACTGGTGAACTACTTGGATGGTTAAATTCATTTCCATTTAAACCATCTACATCTGCTGAATTTAGACTGTTCGGTGTACTTATTACACTGGTGCTGGCACTGTTGTTACATGAGAGACCTAATGATTCAGAGGAAGTTGGATCGGACAATAACTCTGCATTGCTGACATTGCTATTGTTTGTCTCACCATTGATATTCTTCACACCGTCATGTTGTTCATTTTTGTTAGTATTGGTTTGATTTGATGTTGTTGTTACATTAGCATTAGAAGTAGAGGTAGGAGAAGTAGAAGTAGTAGTTGATTGTTCTTCTGGTATAGTTTTCATTGTTGATGTTGATGTTGCTGATTGATTCTTCAATTCTATAAAATGATCGAGTTTACCTACACTTCCGACGAGTGAACCAGATAGTTGGGTTAATGGCGATGGTGGACTGCTTCCACCGGTCATCTTCACACTTGCTCTACGGACTTCCGATGGCGAACTTGGAATGGGAGTGCCCGGCAGATACTTGGCGTAGATCCATGGCAGACGAATATCAACGGAATCCTTGGGAGACGGTCTGTTTATATGAGATGGGACGTTCTTTTCGTATTTCTGATTGGCTCTGGCATTGCCATCGAGATTCTTGAGATGATCGACATCCAAGTTCGACGAGGATAGTCCACGAAGTGACTTTACATGTGATGCACCGTTTGGAAGATGACGATGCACACCCGAACATTCTACACACAGCACTACACCAAATGATGTTGAGATCCACGATGGGTCTGATGCACCACAATCCGCACAACTTTGATTGGCTGGTTCAGAGAGGAAATCATTCTAAAAGTTAATAATATAAAAATTAAATAGAATTAATTAGGTTAGTATTTAATGTTTGATGTTGTTCAAATATTTAAAGTTAATATTAGAATCAATAAAGATTATCAAATTTACAATGTATATATATATATGTTTAGATAGAATATTAGGTAGGTAGTAGATAAGAAAAGTAGGTAGTAGGGTAGGTAGGTAGAATATTGAGAGGTAAAGTTTGGAATTGGAATAAAGAAAGAGTAACAAGCTACTACAAATAAAATAGAGAAGTAGAAAGTGTTCTTCGTTTCCTTGTTGATTTCTTCTTTTTGATGAGTTGGAAACTATTGTTGGTAGGAGAGAGACAAGTAGATGAAGCAGATACACTGTTAATGTTGTAATTAGTAATACTGCTAATGCTACTGTTCAACGTAGAATTGTTGTTGGTCATACTACCGACACTGCTACTCAAACTGTTGTAACAACTACCACTGCTACTACTACTGAGACTGTTACAACTACTACTCAAACTGCTACAATTGTTATTGTAACTTTGACTCAATCCTGTCGATGATAGATCACTTGGCAACGATGCCGATGTGATCGTAAAGTATACCGATGGATTATGATGATGATGATGGTTACGATGAGGATTGTTGTAAGCAGACGGTGTAGGTGTAGAGACAGAGTGTATCAGTGGCGTGTTATTGACAGTCGAGGCATTCGATGTATTGCTAGAGGAGTGCTTAGAGGAGACATTAGAGAGAAGAGAGCTAAAGAGTGGAAAAGAGGAAAGTTTCATAGGTAGAGAGTGTCGTTTCTTTTCAGGTCGATTACAATTATAGTTGTTCAATGATTGAGAGTGATACAATTGTTGTGTTTGTGAATACTGTTTTAAAGACATTACCTCGTCGGATTCAGTCAGAGAATCAAGCTTCTTGGCAATTGAAGAACGAATCAACGAGATCCAAAGGAATAAAGTTTGACCATCGGGGCACGAGAAGAAGTAGATTCTCAACGGTGTAATCAATTGGAAACAATGTGGGTGATCTACAACCTGTACTAACTTTACAGATGATAATATTAAATTGATACATTTCATTTTCTTTGGCTGGTGGACAACAACAACAATAACAACAAATGTTAATATATATATATATAAGTTAATTTCTTCAATGATCATTGTTATCATTATCTACTTACTTTTTCATTTGTATCTTCAAAGATTGTATTATAGAAGAGATTTCCATTTTTAAGATAGAATTGCTTTTGTTTCCATAGGATTTCGGTGTGTTGTTTGATGAGGATACCAGACATTTCGGCATCTTTGATCGGTGCTTCATAGGTTGCAGTTGTCAACTCGTCGTAGTCGGTGATAAGTGATCGTTTCTTACTTCTTGTTTTCTCGAGTAGTTGTGAGATACACTCATCGATATCGTTGATCCAAATCATCTTTTCACCGAGTGACGATGCCGTCAGAGTGATTGCGGTTGTACCAATCGATGCACCCAATTCATTACCCATTCCTGTGTTTGTGGTGATACCGATCAACTGGAATGAGAACGGATTGTTTGGATCTGCCAAATCAATCAGAGAAGCACCATCCAAATGATACGATACAATAAACTTGAATTTACCTTCATCTACACCTGTCAGAGTATTTCTTGAATTCTTTGATTGACTTAGTTGTCTATTATTATGACAATAAACATAATGTTAATATTAAGTTATGTTAATCTATATATATATATATAGATGTTTTTTATGATACTTTACTTTGCAAGATTCTTATTCTCTGTTTTCAAAAGGATATCGTTGAAGAGGAAGAAGAAGTAGATCTTTGATTTCTCTTCTAGACATGCAAGTGGACCTTTACGAACGTATCTACGATGTGGCTCGGCGAGATTGTCGAATTTACCGACAAGACTGTGTTGGATGTTGAGTACTTGGTTGAGATTCTCGGCTTCTCTCTTCTTTTCGTTGACGTACTCTGCGACGTCTTTCATCTTTTTCAAGGCGACAGAGAGATTGTCGTAGTCTGGGTGGTCGTCACTGGTAAACTTGACGAGATCTTGCAGCAGAAGAACGTATCGCGGTAGTCTTTGAATTGGCATGATCAGGAAAGCCGACAGATCCAAACCCATACACTTCTCGGCGATACGATTCTGCTCGAGCAGCTTGGCAAACTTCTCGTTCTCTTTGCACTCGTTGATCGCTGCAATCGATGCGTTGTAGTTGTTGACGTAGTTTGTGTAGACTTTGAGGTAGTCGGTGGTTCGCTTGAATATCTCACCGAGCTGCTGTTTCGATCCCTCCTTGAAACGATTCTCCATCTGTGTCAGCAAGTTGTAGTTTACATTCTTGATGACCTCGATCTGCGAGAAGATACTCTTTACTTGATTGGGTTGCAGTATCTTTTCACACTCTCGCAGGTAACATTCAATGAGAATCTCCAAGCACTTGACATATTTACGCTCAGTCGCCAAGATCTCCTTGACGATATCGTTACGACGGAACAACGGATACTGACGCCAGAGACGTCTTCTCTCTATCTTTGCTTTGGTACGAGCTTGAACTTTGGTGAGACCACGATATGCTTTTGGATTGCTGGCAAAGTGTTCTTCGTAGCTACGCATTCTCTGACGGTGTTTCTCCATGGCAACACGCACGCGACGACGAGCGATCCATCCACGCACATGTGCCTGTACAACCACAAGCTTGCGTAAACTATGTTGTTTTCCACCGAAATCGAAAGTTCCACACATAATCGCACCGCTCTTTGTTTTTCTAATCATTCCACGTTCAAGCTTGGTGTCGGAAGACGACAGAACCGAGTGTGAAGATGCAGCGGCTGTACCGCTTGCGGGTAGCGAAGTCGACAGTGAACCAAGATCGGTTGGTCTTGTTGTTGGTGCACTGGCGAATCGATTTCTCAGTGTGCTAACACCGACTCCACTTGTAATTTCGATGGTCGATGGTGTTGTTGTGGCGCGACTGTCGACCGGCCTAATTCCGCTACTCGATCCGGAACTGCTTGTTTCCGAGTCGGATGCGCCGCTGTGAATGTTATTGCTGTTGCTATTGTCTTGGTTGAGTGATTTATGTGCGAATCTAGATACTGGTGTACCGATGATGGTGGCGCGTTTACCGCCCAGGCTGTTACTGGACATTGCGCTGAGCAGTGTCGGATCGATTTCCAACTGCATGCTCGACTTTACTTTTTGGATCAACAAAAAACTGACACCCATAATCTGTTTCAGATTGCCATCGACGATGTCCTTGGCGTTGCAACCAACCACTTTAATATCCAATACCTTCTCCATAAAGAGAAGCGCCACCATTATATTATCGATTTTGTGTTGTAGGAATTTCGGGTTGCGAACATAACGCGACACCTTCTTGCCAGAGATGACCTCTAACAAATTGATCAGCATGACACCATCGGAGAAATCAGTTGCCAAATCCTTGACGACCAGACTTCTCTCTTGTAGATGTTGGTTAATCCATCCTGTAAATGAATCCAATTGAATGTTCTCCCAATTGGCATGTGAACCAGATACATAGGATTTCGATGTCATTTTGTTATGTTAAAAAATATATTATAATTATTACTTTTTTGTTTCTATTATTATTATTTTTTTCTACTTCAGGTTATCAATAAAAACTTTTAAATTTGGTGTTGATAATTTCTAATATTATTATGATTATTATTAACTAACTAAAGTTAAATATCTAAGATTTAAATTAAAAAAAGACTAACTGTTAATATATTGATATTTATTTCAGAATTCTATGTAATATTGTTAATAATATTAATTATTAGGTGAATGGAATGGAATGAATGAGTGTTCCAGGTTTTTCCAGAGTTTATAAAATTGTAAAATTAAACAGTTATTTGTTTTTGTCAAATTTAGGGTATGAATGAATGATGATAATATATGATATGTCGATTGAATTGGAATTTAATTGAGTGAATGAATTTATATAACAATCAATCACAAGCTAAACCAAAATAAAACAAAACAAATTCAACCATTATTATTATTAATCAACAAATCAACAATCTATAATCTCTAAAAAGTAGTTTTCTGTTTGGATTCAAAAGAAATCCTCCTTTTTTATTCTTTTCATACCTTTCTATTCTCTATTGATTGATTGATTCTATTATGATTCTGTTGTTAGCTTTATTATTAAATAACAATACTGTCAATATTCTATCACATATTTTAACATTGATTTGGTATGAATATTGATTCATTAAATAAAAACACTAAACCATTTACTTTGCTTGCTTAGTTGTTTGTTAATATTAAATCTAACAAATCAACCACACACACACTCACACGCAACAGAGAGTTAAAATAAACAACACAACCAACACAACACATTGTTGGAATATTAAAACGACACACACACAACTAACTCACATTTTTTTGTTTTTTTTTTTTAATATTTTAAATGTGTAGGTAAAAAAATTGGGTGTGTTTTTGAATGTGAATGATTGACTGATTGATTGATTGATTGACTGATGTATGTCTGACTTGACTTGTTGTGTTGATATCATCTTAATTGCAATCATATGATTTTATCAATGACATTTCTTTGACTTTATAACCTAAGATAGTAATGTTATAAAAATCTGATGAAGATTTTGAAAAAGTGTAAAATATAACCTTTGAACAAAAAAAAAAAAAAAGTAGATTCTAAAATAATCGATATAATTCTACAACTACTACTACTACTACAACTAAGGAGAATGTTAGATAATTATATATCTCGTACTATTCTCTAAACTTTTCATTCCAAATTAATTAAAACAGATACACCAAAAACTTGCTATTTGAAATGGTAACTGCTTTCTTTTGATAGGATTGTGATGATAATGGCACATGTGTGATTAATCAATTGACGACAATAAGCAAGCGAAGATCAATCTTTTACTAAAAATTATCGTCGTAGGTGTTGTTTATCTTAAAGTGTTGGCGAACTCTTTGTGATCTTTACCTTTTTTTATTTATCTGTTTTTGTTTTGTTTTGACTATGATTACAATTAAAAATATAGAGGTTGAAATATTTCTATGTATTTGTTAATGAAATGTAATTAATGTACTGTGCTATACTCTATTCCTCTACTCTTTTTTTACTACAAGTTTACACTAAAATACTAAACTAACTAACTAACAAACTAATATCTACAAATTTTTATATATCTGAAAATATATAAATATATATATCTTTCTTCCTCTCTCTTCTATAAGAAACAATTAAAAAAAAAATAAAAATAAAAAAACTTTTTTTTTTTTTTTTTACAAAAAATTATAATTACATTGATGTATGAAAAAAAAAATTTCAATTTATTTTCTTTTAAAAGAATATAAATTATGATGATGATTGGTGCAACACAACTCTTGATCAACCAAAAACCCCCATTGTTTGAAAAATATAGAAAAAAAATGAAAAATGGGTCAGTCAGTTTATAATAATTTAACCACAAATTTTTTCATTTAAATCTTTAGCGATTTAATTTTATTTTGTTTTATTTTTGGTGTTAATCGACAAATTTGCCTTTAGTTTTGATAAAACAATGGTTATTAAAATTTAAAATGAAAGATGAAAATAAGAAATAAGAAAATGATTATATTTAAAAGTTTTAGATATTTATTATTTATCTTCTAGCTTTTTTGGTTAAATATACAAAGGCAAGGATAAAGAGAATCGATGAAGCCCAATAAGCAGCGAGAATACCAAGGTTTCTCCAACGATTTTCGTAATGCCAATCCAATGTTTGATAGTATTCTTCACCATCTTTATATATGCAATATCCACATTCAGTTTGATTGTTATTGATTGAAACTACGTATCCTGGTGCATTTTGTGTGAATTGTTCGGTGTATTGCTCACATGTTTGTCCGTCTGGTGATGTGAATTTAATGAGATCCTCTGGTTTACAGATAACTTCCACTGGCTTTAAGATAGTAGTTACAATACCTTCCAACAAGTACTTGGCAGGGTTGAGACTGTACATGAAACGGAAGAACTTTGGCAACAATGAATATGGAATTTGGACACCACAGAACAAGAAGATATAGAATAAAAGAATTGGAAGTGCTGCAATCGAGATGGCAATGTCAAAACAAGCTGCTCCCAATGCTTGACTGAATGATACAATGTAGAGTCCAAACATCGAGTGAATCAACCAGTAATAGAATCCGGTGATCGCATCGAATTGGAGACCTGCGGTCCAGTAGGATGCAAAGAAGAAAAGCGTTGTTGAGATGATGACATATGGTATTTCAACGGCAACGATTGCCAATGAGAAACTATGCCATGAATAATATTTACTTGCGTAATCACGCTTAAAGAAATTCTTTTGAATAAAGAATTGTGGCAATACCAAGTAAATCAATAGGACACCAAGAACCATACCTTCCCACAAGAAGAATATTCTTTGGTTCATATCGGATGATGAGTTTTCCAATTGATAGAATGTGAATCCAATAATCAATCCGGAAACCAACGATTGTGCAAACGATCCAATGGTATATTGTGGATCTCTCCACCAGATTAAATTGAAACGTTTGTAGACTTCGATGAATTGTGTGAGGAATCCAGTTGCGAATTCTCTTGGTGCCTTGGAATTGTTTGATTCTTCGTCGACATGACTAATATATTTGACAAGTTCTTCTCTGGTTTTGAGAAGTTGAAGTTCCAATTTCACTTGGTTGTACTCGGTGGAACTCTTCCAGATTGCACTCCAATCAAAATCAGTCTTTCCATGTACACCGGCACCAATTACATCGAGAATATATTCAGCTGGATTCTCAGTTGAATCATAAGCACGTCCACCATTCTTTGTGAAATAATTGACAAGAGTTTGTGAGTTTTCACCAATATCACCGAAATAAACGGTTTTTCCACCTTTGGCCAACAAGAGAATACGATCGAAATGCTCGAATAATACTGGTGATGGTTGATGAATTGTGCAGACCAATGGCATTCCAGCGTCGGCAAGTTTACGAATGAATTTAATAATGTTGTATGATGATTGTGCATCGAGACCTGAAGTTGGTTCGTCCAAGAAAAGAATATGTGGTTTGGCAACAAGTTCCAATCCAATGGTGAGACGTTTTCTCTCTTCAACAGAGATACCAACTCCATTTTCCAAACTTCCAACAAGTGCATCACCCAAATGTTTCATTTCCATCATTTCAAGAACACGTTCGACATATTCGTATTTCTCTGAGAGTGGTACCTCTGGTTCTTGTCTGAGTTTTGCAGAGAATTGCAAAGCTTCACGAACAGTCAATCCTGGATTATGAACATCCATTTGCTCGACATATCCAGTGATACGCTCAAAGTCAATGGCGAGTGCTTTACCATTTAATGCAGAGTCACCTTTGACTATTCCAATGGTTTTACGCTTGGCCAAAACATCCAACAGTGTTGTCTTACCGGCACCTGAAGATCCCATTAAAGCAGTCATTTGTCCAGGTTTAATCCAACCGAGAACATCATCGAGGAGTAACTTTTCACCGGCACCTGGAATTGGGACTGTATAGTTAATATTCTCCCAAGTGAAGATTCCACCTTGAATCTTGAGATTATCTTTCATGTTGGTGGTGGCTTGTTCAACGATTTTATTTTGATTACGTTCCTCTTCGACATCGTTCAACTTTGGTGCCTTTCCTTTTTTGTAGACTTTCTGAGTGTATCCACCGGCAGTCCAATCAAAGAATTCGACTGCGAAAACATTCAACAAGATATAGAACAACCAGAGAAGATAGACAACCACGACATAGAGAGCTCTTTGTTCAACTTTGAAATCGAATGAGTCGAGAATATAAGATCCACCTTTAACACTCAAATTTCCTTCAACAGCACCTGGAACTGGACAAATACGATGTGCAGAGTCAGTGTAGCTTAGACCGGAAGGAATTGCAGATTGTTCGCATGAGAAATCGATCGATTTGAATTCATTTGTCATTAGAGCACGGAATGCATAGGACAATGGTGAGACGTGGTAAAACCATTTGAACCATGGATGCATTTTAGAAACTGATTGGGTATAACCAAAATAGTTCACCATGAAGATGAATACGAAATTCATTACATTCTGACCGGCAAATAAAGTTGGTGTGAAATTTCCAAAGGCACGGTACAACGAACCACAAGCCAGAGTGACACCGACCAGAGTGAATGCAAAGATAAAGAACTTTCCAGCATTGTAATCAAGTCCATACATAAAATAGGCAATGATTGCATGAAGAAAAGATTGAGCGAAAGCGAATGGAATATCAACGATCACCTGAGAAATAAGGAATGCCGATGGTCTGTAGAGAGCATAGGATTTGTGTTTCTGAAGGATACGACGTCCGTTGAATGTTGCATGAAGATTACCACTCGTCAAAATACACATAAATATGATCGAGGAGAAAATAGCACCTCCTCTTGTGAAAAGTCCATCGGTTGTTCTGTCCATTTGGAAGTAGACACCACCGAGAATAAATGAATTAATGAAAACAGTGAGGAAGAGTGAGACGATTGTGAATTTATCACCATAACTCAATTGCATCTGACGTTTGGTGAGTGCAATACATTGAGTGATGAAACTGGCACTGTAGACAGAACGCTTGCCGGCAGTCTTACTCTTTTCATTACGAATCTGTTGGATAAAGTCAGCGGATGGTTGCTCCTTCTCAACGGTAGCTTCGTAGATCTGTTGCGATTCCATCTGTTGTTTGAAGAGATAAGAGTTTTTCCATGCGGTTTCCAAGTCTCCTGATGTCTCTGGAACACGACCTTCGAATCCTGGACGAACAATTCGTTCCTGTGGGTTGGAGATTCCGGTGAGGAAATCGGCGATCGATTTTCTTGGTTCACAATCGAATCCGAGATCCAAGAAATATTGTTTGGCAAGTTCGATTGGTCCAAAATAAATACAACGACCTTTGTCTAAAACCATTACCTTGTCGAAAAGATTGTAAATCGAGTCAGATGCTTGATAGAATGATGCAATCGTTGTCTTGTGAAGAGTATCAGACATGATACGCAATGACTTGGCATAATCCAAAGCGGATGCAGCATCCAATCCACGAGTTGAACTATCCCAACATGTAATACTTGAACCTGAAACCATTGCCTCGGTAATTGTCATTCTCTTTCTTTCACCACCAGATAAACCTCTAACAAATTCATTTCCAACAATCTAAAAATAAAACATTATTAGTTAAATTTGATATCATTTTTAAAATATTATAATTTTTTTACTTACAGTATTTCTTTGATTTACTAAACCATACATTCCAACTAAAAGATCATATATTTTCGATCTGAAATTTGCTTTTGTTTCTTCAGGTAGACGTTGACTTGGTGTTTTAAGTTTCAATGTGAAATCGAGTGTTTCGAAAACTGTGAGTGTTGGAAAATGGATATCTTCTTCTGGTGTATAGATGGCTTCACCTCTATATTTTCCAAATTCATCGGCTGGAATATTTCCATATTTAAGTTCACCAGTTACATCGATATATGATTCCGTTTGATTGGATATAACTCTCAACAGAGTAGAACAACCAGACCCTGGACGACCTAAAACCAATAACATTTTTCCATCTTCTATATATCCATTTACACTATTTAAAATATTAAATGTATTTATTTCTCTACTTTTAAAACTATTTGATCATTTTGTTAGAATTTTTTATAATTAGAGTTTAGTTAATAAAATACATACAAATTAAATGGATTTAATGCAGATAATAAAAATTTAAATGGTGTAAAGTTGTCGGCAATAACAGAAGTATCGGCACCTTGACCAACAACAGTTAGATTCTTGAAAGAGACACCCATTTTCTTTGGCTTTCCTCCTATTTCCAAGTTCATTCTCTGTGAGTTTTCAAAGTATTTACGGAGTTTGAAGTCGTCTTCATTCTCCTTATATTTTTCACCAAGTTCAATATCAACTTCACCACCAAAATCAGTTACAATCTCTCTAAATAATTTTGATCTGCTAAGTTCTCTGACTTGATTTTCCAACTCTTGAAACAATTTATTTCCATCTTCCACAGATGGTGATTCATCGATCGCTATATTAATTTCTTGGTTAGACATTATTAAAAAAAAAATTATATTTTAAAAAAAATAAATATATTTATATATGGATAATTAAATATTTATAAATATATACAGAAAAAATTAATAGAAATTTACAAAAAAGGTTATTGTTATAATTAAAATGATATAATATATATTTATATATTTGTATAATAGTTTGTACAAATGATCTATGATAATTAGATTGTATTTATAGTTGATCTAAAATAAAGTAGGTGCAAATCTGACAGGTTACATATTTACAGGAAATAGGTGATCACTTTGATTAGAATGGTAAACATTCATCGTTCATTAGTGGTTTGCGGGGTAATTCATTGCTTCTTATCTTTAAGTTTCTTTAAAGAGTGATCGTTTTTTTAGCATCATAAGCTTGTAGAAGCAATCAAAACACTTTTGAAAAAGCGCTCGTGTGATCATCAAAAAAACTGTTCTTTTTTTTAAAAACAAACTTCTATTTTTTTCATTCTGGAAGCAGTGCAAATAAATTTAATTAAATTAAATTTAGAAAAAAAAACAGAATCACTTTTATTTTTATATAAATATCTGTTATATAAATACTAGTAATTATTGTTAATTTTATTTTTTTAAATTGTAGTATTTGTTTTATTGCTTGTGATTGTTGAAGTTGTAGTTGTTGTGTGTACAGTTTAAGGTTATTTTCCTTAATGAAACTAAATTAAAAAAATAAATAGATTTGTTGTCACTATTGTTTTTGAGGGTGTCATCGTGCTTTGTTTGTTTTGTTTGATACAGTGAAATGCTTGGATATCTGATCTGGGTGCAGTGATATGATACCGAAAGATCTTCTACCTTAGTAATCCCAAACTTTGCATGATCATATCGGATAATGTTAAGGGCTACTCTGAGTCGAAGACCATTACCAGCGAAAGGCCTCAATTAGAAGCATATGTATTGGTCGTTTATTTAAATAGGAAACCACATATATATATATATATCTAAACAAATTTTTGTTTTTTGCAAAATTATTTTAATAAATTAAGAAAAAAAAACTAAGATCTTATTTTTATCAATATATTTGCATTGTTTTGTTGTAATGTCAAGTCATACAAATAATGGTATTCAAACTCGACTACAATGGATCGATGAACTTACTGAACTAAAAGATCAGGCCACTCTATCTTTGAAATTAGATAGTGTCTTACAGTCCATTAATAATCATCTTTATATATCGGATAATAACCAAACAGCAACGATATCAACAATAACAACAACAACAACTGATAATTCATTGACAATAGAAGATAAAGATGCATTAAATAACAATAATGATAATGATAATAAATTTATATCACCAAATGATTTAGATATGTTGGATTTTAATGAGAATGAAGATAATAATAGTAATAATGGTGATAGTAATAATATCAATATAAATGTTAAACAATTAATAGATAGTATAACAAATAGATATAATGATTTAATATCAAGAATAAAAATCAATGATAATAGTAATAATAATAATAACAGTAGTTGTTTAATTCAAATTCATTATATTATTACGATATTAGAGATAATAAATTCATTAAATAAACTATTAATACAATATAATGAAATACTTTCATTTAATGTAATTATCAAAAATAAATGATTATTTGTACATATTTATTTATTCTTTCTTTCTTTCTTTCATTTATAATGTCTACTTTTGTTACTTTCTTTATAGAATCAAAAACTTGTAAAGTTGGCATTGGACATTGTCATATGTTGGGGTGTATCTCCAATGTTGGTACCTGGTATTGGTATTCCCATAAGTAAAAGAGTTGGTTTAGTCAATGGTAAGTGTTTAAACATTAATGTTAACAAAGATATATATGTAATTACAATTAACTAATATTTATCTCTATGAAATAATAGAGCAACTATTTGTTATGAATGAAGAACAAACTAGATTCTATAGTTGGAATAATCATTCAATGTTTATATCTTACTATTTGTTGGATGTGGTGAGGAATATCATTGCTCTAAGGGATAATCTCGATTTGAATTCCATCATTATCTCTAGGTATCTTTCGGATCTGTTTGCTTCACTTCTCCAATTGATAAATCTCTCGAATCGACCTGGCAATTCATCACTTACCGATGCCGACAAGCAGTATTGTGGACAGCAGATAGATAAGATGTTGTTCGGTATCTATCCAGAGTTGATATTTGAATCGTTAACGATGTTGTTGTCACCTGTACAATCAACAGGAATGACACCGACACCAACATGGTTTACCAAGTGTGTTAGTTTGATGTTGTCAAAGTGTTTGACTCGTCCACAGTCGTTGAAGATCGTTCTCGACACGGTGTTGACACCGCAGCCAGGAAAGGATATGACCAACTCGATCAACTCGATCGTCAGACTGGTCAGTTTGATTCCTTCGAATATGTCGGTCGACGACTACCTCCAAAAGATAGCACCGCAACTTCTCGATATCTTGCATCTCAAAGACCGTCACGACAAAGAGAGAATCATCGAGGCAACCGTAATGATAATCGATCGTCTCATTCAACTATATCCACAACCAACATCTAAATACATATTACAATCAATCATTCACCCACTCATACAATTCAAATCTACAACAAACAAACAACAACAAGAAGAAGAAGAATCAAATAATAATATTATAATCAAAGAAATAGATATATTCTATTGTATAGAAGACATTCACAAGTTATTAACAAAACTATCTTTAAATCAATTTCTATTATCATTTTTAACACCATGTAAGATAAACTTTCTTTTTTAACAATTGGGTCAATTCACAAACTAACAACATATCTTTTCTTTATATAGATATACCTATTTTATTTCAATTACATTGTTTCCTTTCAAAATCGATATCATCATTGAAGGTATCTTGTAAAGAGATATTGTCAACTTACTTTAAATTCTACAGTCATTCAGTTTTAGAGTTGAAGCGTTTGATATTGCCTGTTGTTGTTAGTAATAAAGATGAAAGTAGTACTGGAAGTTCGAAAGTGGATGAAGGAAAAGATGGAAATAGAAAAGCAGATCGTTCATTGTTGGATTTAGAGGATAAACTTGCAGATAGTAGTTTGGATGATGACAATGAGACAACGATTTGTTTGTCATTTGCAATGGGAGAGAATGGAGGTGTCGTTGCTAAATACATTGCTTACTACGACAGAGATTTCAATTGGGAAGCAGAGTGTCTTGTAGGTATACTGCAACTGATGAAAAGCGATCGGTTAGCTGGAGATCTCTTTGTTGACTTGCTCAACGAGTATTCATTGGTGGAGCTAAACGTTAAGAAGCGACACTCCAAACAGTACTTTGTGTTGATGCAATTCCTTGTTATTGTTAGTGAGTCGTTGGGTGCCGCTGCCATAAAGAACGTAGTGCAAGTAACAACTCTGATTCGTGTGATGTTGCAACGTTCACTTGACAAGTTTGCAAAGACTGTTAGTAGTGGCAATGGTAGTGGTAGCGATCAAGTAGACGATGAAGATGTTGAATCTATCACTCTTTCACTTGGAATATTGTCATCTCTCCTCACTGGCGATATCAAAGTGAAGAAGGAAGAGGAGATCTTAGTGTTTGACCTGTTGACTCCACTCGAACAACTAATGTCCTATCCAAACGAGATAATCTCGACGATGGCATCACAATTGAAAACAATAATCACAGCAAAACAACCTATTTGGCTTGATAACAATAACAATAACAATAACAATGATAATGGTAATAATGTTGAAGATGTCAAATCAAAACTTAAAGAAATTTTAGAAGATCTTTCCCATCCTCTTTTACCAATAAGAGCACATGGTTTAATAGAACTTAGAAAGTTGGTTCTCCAATCCAAACAATCTGAACTCATTCACAAGAATCTGGAGAATATCATTGAGATTTTCAAGACTCAAATCAATGATGATGATACGTAAGTATAAGAGTTTGAACTCAAAACTAAACAATCATGTTAACTAACTTATCTATTTCTACTACTGTTTTTTAGATTTATATATTCTTGTGCTATCAACGGTTTAACTGCACTCGGTGATATCTACCCAGTGAAGATCATTCCAATTCTAACCGCTCAATTTAACAATCAATCGTACAAAGAGGAGAGGAGAATGAAAATCGGTGAATCTTTGGTGCAGATCTCTCAGCGATGTGGTGATGTATTGCCACACTATGCAGGCCAGCTTTTCCATTGTTTCTTTTTGGGGTGTAACGACCATAGTGTTGGCGTGCGTGCTAGTAGTCTTTCTAATCTGGCGACACTCTCAGAGCTATTGAAATACTCGATCGATAGCTATCTGGTGGAGTTGCTACACTGCATCGAGAGTCTGCTAGTGAGTGAACGCGAACCAGAGGTACGACGTGGTGCCATCTTTGTCATACAGCTACTACTCAAAGGTGTCGGTCTAGATGCTTTCCAACTGATACCGACCGAGCTGAGAACACTCTACAACCGACTCAAAACATTGGAATCTACAGATACCGATACCATCTGCAAGTATCACGCAAGAAATGCATTAGCAGAATTAGATACAATAACAAGACAATTTATATTTCCAAATAATTAATTGATTGATTGATTGATTAAAAAAAATAATAAATCTTTCATTAATACAACAAAAACTACTACTATTACTATTTGGATTATACATTCATTTTTATATTAAAATAATATATTCTATGTATGTTGAAGTTCAAATTTGTGGATGATGATGATGAATCTAATTGATAAGATCTCATATAAGAATCATTTGGTGATTACCTACAATGACTCGAATAACATTCCAACTCTGACTAGCTGTGATTATACTGATGAGACTGTTGTTGACCAACCGAATTTTCTTACCCTGAGCGTTACTCAATGCCAAATCGGTTCTGGGGTTTACAGTTTCTACTTGGTGAGCTACCATGCTAAACAAAAAGGATATGTTCTCCATACACTTTTGATAACCATAGCCGTTCTTGGTACTGCTCAGATCCTATTGATGGTTCACCTGCTGTGCACAGACAGGGTACCTACTTCATGTCTCTTGTTTTTCTGGTTAGCAACACTCTCACTTGAAGTTACTGTCACTGTCTATTCTCAACTTCAATTTAAACAATCATTGGATATGTGTTGGAATCGTAGTTCCAAGATACCAATCAACCGATACTGCCAACCGACAAATCAACAATATATAAGCCCAAACAAAAATCAATAAACAATTAATTATTTTACAATCATCTTTAAAACATATAACTATTATTTATTATAACATTATTTTATACCACTACATTATGTCATTACTATCACAATTCAACGACATCTCTAACAATATGACATATAGTAAGATATTTGATATTTGTATTTCAATATTTATATTTTAAAAATTCTAATTTCTATTTTATTTTTATTAGAATTATTCTTCAAATCTGTTGATGTGGATTTTTTCACAAAAGGTTTTATCTATGAAATATTCTTGGCTGCACATGAAATAATACCATTATTGTGTATCTTTACATTATTTTGGTCATATGATAACAGATTAAGAGAAAATTGATTGTCATCAGAGAAAAACATGAGTACTTTGAAATAATGTAATTTGTTCTTATCTGTTACGTGTGATAACAAATTTATAACTTCTAATAAAATCCAATACCAATATAATTGCATATTGCTACTTTTAGAACTCAGAGTGAGAAATTAGAATTGATAATAAAAAGAATAACAATAAAAAAAAAATTAATTTTAATATCAACAACATCAGGTAACACGTTAATCAAAATACATTTACAAAAAAATATATTTATAGAAATTTTCTCTGTCTGATAAACAAAAATGGCCGTCAGAACAAAAACATATTTTGTTTTGAATTTTATTTATTTATTTTATTTATTTTATTTCAAAATATTTATTTAGAATAATTCAAAACATTATTTATGTTATATTTAAAATTTATTTATTTTTATAAAATAAAATAATAGAAAAAAGAAAAATAAATAATAGAAAAATTAATTGATTTAAATATGAATGAAAATATAGAAAATATTCTTCTAGATATTAGAAGAGATAACCAAAATTTTGAAGACCATAGAAGATCAGATAAGGTTAGTGATTTTAAAACTTATTATTAAACTTCTTTTCAATGAAGATATATATAGTAACATTTTTTTTAACTTTGTATTTAGAGCAAAGAAAATATTTGCACAATTATTTTTCTTATTATTGCCTTAGGTTCATTGATTAGTGTAATCTACCAAGCAGTAAAAGGTGGTACCAATATAAATTATAATACTAATACAAAGATTGATCAATATTTTTTTACATCAGAAAAGGAAACCCCATGAACTTGGATATGTAAATAAAAATAAAACTGTTAGATCAATCAATTCTTTATTATTAAAAACTATTTGAGATCCTTTTTATTAAATTTTTATAACAAATTAATATCTTTGTTTGTATTTTCTTCTTCATATTTTAGTAAAATATATGAATGTTTGATTGAAAGTGAGCTCTTTTTTATTAGTATTGGTCGCTTATAGGAAGTAACCGGTGTTATTTTAACTATAAACATTCAACCCTAAGCTAAGAGCTTTGGTTAAAATCCACCATTACATTAGTTTTATTTGTTTGACATTTATTGAAAAATTACCCAATTTGGTACGAGGGTGTTTTGATTGAAATTTATTTGTAAATGAATATATTTTTATTATTTTCTATAACAAATTAATAAAATTTATTTAAATTTATAAATTAATATTTTTATGTATAAATGAATATATTTTTATGGTTTTCTTTAACAAATTAATTTATTTTTTTATTTTCTAGAATATTATTTTTAATACATTCTGCTTTTAAAATAAAATGAGTGAAGCTAGAATTTTAGAGATTCTTGAGGGCATCAGACAAGACAATCGAGATTTTGAAAATCAAAGAAGATTAGATAATGTAAGTTTAAATAAATAAAAAACTTTTAAATTATTAACATAAAAATCTTTGTTAAATAAAGACTTTAAAAGGAAGGATATACTTGGTAGGCTTTTTTTTTAAAAGATATTTTCTCAAAGTAAAAAGATGTTTTTCTCCTTAAAATTGTTTATTATCTATAAATCAATAAAATTAAATAAGTAGGATTTGGCTCCATTAAAATTTTATTATTGTTCAATAAATATTAATTATATAGAATATGGATTTTTCTTGATTTTAATGAACATCTTTTATGAAACTTTATCATTGTTTTATTGTTAAAATGAACTTTCCTGTGTTACTATTATTAAATTATATTCAATTTTTCAACTATATTAGTTTTATTTCATCAAATTAACAGACATAAACAAAACTGAAGTTTTTAAGTTAAGATTTAAAAAAATAAATTCTGATTGTATTCTATTTACCAATGATAGAATGTATTCTTTAATAAACAGTGTTTAACAGTATTAGTTTTCTTTTAAATTTTTTTTAAAATTTTCAAGTATTTAAAATATGTATGAACCAATTGGAGATAGTCATTCAAGAAATGAAAAAGAATATCTTGATCAAGATTTAAGTGTTATTACGAATGTAATATACTTTTTTGGAGGATTAATTTATAAGTACACCTGCTTTCTCCTTAGTTTCAATCTTTAGTATGAATTACCTATTTCATCCCTAAATTGAATTTATTAATAATTTTAAATCTTCATTATATTTAATTTTATATAGGTCCAATTATAAGTGTATACCAACCAGTTGCATATTTCAATTCATTCGATAATTTCAACAATTCTGAACCATCTGGAAGTATTCTCAGTCAAATTGATTACTATATTGGTCATATGGTTGTAACACACAACGACTCAAAGAAAACAATGACAAAGACCTATTGTCAGTACACCGATAAATCCGATAACCAAACTCGGTATATAGACATTGATCTCTCACAGTGTCAAACCAACTATGGATTAAAAAGTACATCTACCTGGTGGACTACAATGCCAAACACACTAGTATCACACTTAAATCAATACTTATAGTATTATGTATCTTTAGTATCGTTTTGATAAAGATGATAATCGATTAAGTAACCAGAGATAGAATGCCTATTCTCATTCTATTGTTACTTTGGTCGATTACATTCTCTCTTGAGATTACAGCCATTACCTATTCACAAAGTAACTTCAAACAATCACTTGGAATAACAGATCGTATGTATCAATCAATAATTCAAGAATAACTTTATTAAAATTATTAATATTTACTACTATCTATATAGAATTAATTCAAAAAAGAGAAATTACCGATTCTAAAACCAACGGATTTTTCTTGATATTGATGACAATCATATTAATAACATGTTTTAATATTAATATTATAGTTTTCATTTTTTTTCAATTGAGATAATATGATTGACATGTTTTAAAGAATAATATTAATTTGACTGTTCACTATCTATTAATAATACCACTAATTAATTGTTTAAAAATTAAATTTAAAAGTATAAAAAAACACTTAATTGTAGAAAAAGTATTTTTTTGTGCTTATCAACCAAGTGTGTGGTTTTAAATGAAAAAAAACCCACACCCCAAAAAAAAAAACAATCACAGCTTATTCAAATAATTAATATTTTTAAAATAAAATAATGTTTGCAAATTTTAAAGAGGTCGATAATATTATTATTGAAACAAAAAACATTCAACCAACAACAACTGTAGTATTATATAATTAAATTTAATTAATAGATTAATATATCATCAATACTTTAGAAGAAAATCTTTTTTTATTTATAACCTTTTATATTTATATATTTTTGTTTTTGTTAAACCATCATCATCAATAATATAATAATCAAATTTAAAACCATTCATTCATTTGATTTATTTTAAGTTTAGTTTTTTTTTGTTTTAGTTCTTTTTTCTATTTTTTGTTTTTTAAGTTTGTTGTTTGTTATTAATATAATACTCCAAATTATCAAAGAAAAAACAACAAAATCAACTGACAAACAAACTTGCTTATTTTTATTTTAATCACTTTTTTGTAATATATCTTCAACATACTACTACGTACACCTTACATTACACCTCTACGCGCGTAACATCCAAAAACAAAAGTTGTATTTTTTTATTAATAATAGACTTTTCGATTGTTTGTTTTATTATTATTGGGATTTCTTGAAAAAACACAACCAACCAACCAACTGACTTTAATACTACTAAACACCTTTTCCCTTAAAAGACAGAAATCCACACTCACTCCAAAACCAACAGTATACACCACCCCAATCTCTCTCACACCCTTACATCCTTCGTTTAGTTTTGTTTTTGTTACTATTATTTTAATTGTTTTTTTTTTTGTAATTAATTGGAAAGAGTGCGGAGTTGACACACATTGGTGGTAGGGTCATAGAACAAGAGGAGAGCAATCAACAACAATGATGGAAGAAACCATTATAAAAGAGGACATCGATTACTCGGATGAAGAAGATGATGAAATAATTGAAGGTGATAACAACTTGACAGATCCACCAAGTAGACCAACCATGGACAAATCACTAGCTGCCAAAATGTACATAGAACAATACTATATGAATCAACAGAAATCTGCAAAACAAAGATTATCAAGGTAAATACTACTAATTAGTTTATTAAAACTATGTGATTGATCCGTTATTTATTAACCATTTTATTTATATTTGTAGACGAAAAGACTTGGAACAGAAAATGGAAAATATGAAATTGACATCGAAAGAACAGAACGATCTATTGAAAGAATTGGATAAGAAGGAATCAGAGTATATGAGATTGAAACGTGTAAAATTAAAACGATCGGATTTCGAAGTACTCAAAGTAATTGGACGTGGTGCATTCGGTGAAGTAAGTCTCGTTCGTCAAAAGGAAAATGGTGAACTATTCGCCATGAAAAGATTATTAAAATCTGAAATGTTAAAGAAAGAACAAGTATGTATATATACTTAAAAAATAATATTATTTTTAAAAATACATCATTTATTTATTTACTAAACTAATAATTATGTTTGTTTTGTTTAATCATAAATAAAGGTTGCTCATGTTAGAGCGGAAAGAGATGTTCTTGCCAATGCAAATAATGAATGGGTGGTTCGTTTGTTCTATTCGTTCCAAGATGAAAACTATTTGTATTTGATTATGGAGTATTTACCGGGTGGCGACATGATGTCGTTGCTGATAAAATACGATATTTTCTCGGAGGATCAGGCGCGATTCTACATTGCAGAGACGCTGCTGGCCATTGAGCTGGTGCACAGTCTCGATTATATTCACCGTGACATCAAGCCGGACAATCTGCTACTGGACAAGAGCGGACACGTCAAACTGACCGATTTCGGTTTGTGCACGGGATTCCATCGTTTGCACTCGTCAGAGTTCTACAACAAGCTGGTCGGCGACGCCATGACCCTGAAGATGCGATTGGTGGCGGAAACACAGATCACTCAGACCGAGCGCATTCAATCGTGGAAGAAGACCAGACGTGAACTGGCATATTCCGCGGTCGGTACACCCGATTACACCGCTCCAGAAGTGTTCCTCCAGACTGGCTATGGAAAGGAGGTCGATTGGTGGTCACTCGGTGTCATCCTCTACGAGATGGTCATCGGACATCCGCCATTCCTCTCCGAGGACACCACCCAAACCTGTCTGAAAATCTTGAATTGCAAGGAAACACTGGTGTTTCCATCCGATCATGGTGTATCAAAAGAATGTATAGATTTAATTAAAAAGTAAGTGAAAATGTAACTAAAAATTGAATGTTGGCAATCCAATTAGTTTACTAATCTTTGAATTAATAATAATAATAATTATGATTATATAGGTTGGTATGCGAAAAAGATAGATTGAAAAACGCTGAACAAATAAAGAAACATCCATTCTTTAGAGGTGTCAATTGGGATAAGATTCGTCAGCAGAAAGCACCGTTCATTCCAGAGTTGAAGAGTCCAACCGATACTTCAAACTTTGATGAATATGAACCAAACGACGACAGAAAGCTGGAGAAACAACAGATAAAATCAACTCCACCACGTTATGGAAAGTTGGTCAAAGAGAAGGATTTGGCATTCATTGGTTATACATACAAGGGTTTTGATGCTGTCGATAAATCACCATCACCAAACAGAAGAAATGTAGAAACTATTTTCAATAACAAAGATAATAATAACAATAGCAATAATAACAGTAATAATAATACTAATAATAATACTAAATCTTAAGAATGAGTGATATCTCATTTACTCCCAAATAATTATAATAATAATAATTTTGTATATTCAATTTAAACCTTTAAATAATCTAATCTAATCAAATCAAATCAATACCAACAAATCAAATCATAATCTTAAACCAACAAATGAATAATATCGGAATAATAATCAAAAAAAAATAAAAATGTTTAATTCATTTTAGATGTTCCCTACACAATCATATTATACATTACCAATTTTGAAGTTAATTATAAGTATTGTTATCAATACTATAAAATTCAGATGTTTATTCCTTCAAAAAAAATATATTATTTTAAAAAAAAGAAATATTTATCATTTTTAATATCTAAATATATATCTCTTAGTGAGTGTCCATCAAAATAAAAACTTTTGTGATTAGGATTCAACTTAATATATTTATAAATAACTTATGATTGATTGCTCAATCAACTTCACACACTACAATAATTGTTCATTCGCAGTGTTCAAGTGGTGTCAAAAAAAAATTTTAAAAAAAAAACTAAAAAGGTCCGTTATTTTAAATTAATCATTAATAACAATAAACTAATATATATTACTATAATATTATTATAGTTCTATTATTTATAATAATCAATATTTATTATTCTTTATATGATATTTATAGTTATTGTAATATAGTTTAGTTTATCTGGTTAAACAAGAAGATCTAAATCAACAACAACAACAACAATGTCATCATATATTTACATCCCTATCAAAAACTCTGATAAGCATGTAAAAGTGTCAACAGAGAATCTACCTCACGTTCAAGATGTATTACAAATATTAAAAGGTGAAATTGCACCTTTAGATATTTGGTTAAAGATATCTGTAAGTAGTATAACTAATATATTTTAATAGTCTATTTTTTTTTTTTGAGAGTAAACTAATATTGATTAACTTGACTTTAATCAATTGAAAACAAAAACCAAAAGGTTGAATATTATAAACAAGATATGATCAATGAATTCATAGAGATTTTAAATCAGGTGTTGGAACCAGAGGTAGAGAAGTTGTACAGCGATTCGAAATTAGGACGTATCGCTATGTTGAATTCGTTGGCGTCGTACTACACACAGGCAGGTTCACAAGAGCGTGACAAGATACGTCGTGACGACTACTTCAACAAAGCGACATTCCACTTTAACAAAGCACAAAAGATCGATTCACACATCTCTCTTACCTGGGTAGGAATTGCAGTTCTACTTCTCTCGCGTGGTGACATGGAACATGCCGAAACTCATTTTCTCAACGTACTGAACCTAGCTTCTAAAGATCCACAATCCATCTTCCTTCCTGTATTACCTGCACAACTAGGTCAAGTAAGTAACTAACTAACTAACTAATAATCAGATTAGACAGTTATAGATAGATCACTACTAACAATCGATAACTAGGCATGTATTCAATTCAATAAAGCAAACTACTCAAAGGCATTGGATAACTATCAAAAGGTGATAAAACAGAATGCTAATTGCTCGCCTACTGTGAGATTGGGATTGGGTTATTGTTACTATAGACTCGGCAGGATGGAGCGTGCGAAGGAGTCGTTCAAGCGTGTGTTGCAGTTGGATCCAGACAATGTGGAAGCGTTGATCGGGTTGTCGTTGGTCTATATGAATAACCAGCAGTTTGACGCTGCGATGGAGTTGATGGTGCAGGCCTACCAGTTGGCGCCAACCAACTCGCTCGTGCTCAACCACCTCGCCAATCACTACTTCTACCGTGGCGACTACCAAAAGGTGCACGTTCTCGCTTCGGCAGCGCTGCAAAACACAGAGAGCAACCAGATCAAAGCGGAGACTTGCTACTTGATTGCGCGTGCACACCACGCCACCGAGAAGTGGAGCGAGGCACTCAATTTCTATCATCAGGCCGTGCTGAAGCAGCCCGACTTCTTCTTGGCGCAGTTTGGACTTGGACAGACACATCTGAAGAATGGCGATCTCGAGAAGGCAATCTCATGCTTTGAGGCGGTGCTTGAGAAGCAGCCGGACAACTACGAGACGCTCCAGATCCTCGGAAGCATCTACCGTCACTCGTCGCAAGCCAAGAATATCGCCAAGATCAAAAATGTACTAGTAAAAACAACGGAAATCAACCCGAACGACCACGTCAACTGGTTCGAGCTGGCACAGCTCCTCGAGAATACCGACGCTTCGTACGCACTCGATGCATACCACAAGGGAATTGCCATATTAAAGAAAGAGGGAATCGCAGTCACCACTGAGATACTGAACAACGTTGGTGTGTTGTCTCACAAACAGGGATTGCTGGCTGAAGCCGAACAGATCTATTTGGAGGTGATTCAAGACTCTGGATTCACACTGGAAGACTACAAGTCTGTGAATATCACAACGACCTACAACCTCGGAAGATTGTACGAGTCGATGAATAACTTTAGTCGCGCACGTGACTTGTACGTTGGAATATTGGGTGAGCATCCAAACTACTTGGATTGCTACATGCGTATCGCTTCGGTGTGTCGTGCCGAGGGCAACGACTTTGAGGCGATCGAGTGGATCAAGGAGGCACTGAACGTCGACCCGAACAACGCCGAGGCGTGGTCGCTCTACGGAAGTTTGCATCTCTCGAAGGAACAGTGGAATTTCGCACAACGAAAATTCGAGCAGATCATCGATCTCAGCAAGACCGACCCATACGCCAGTTTGGCACTCGGTAACCTCTACTTCCAAGCAAAGAACCAGAATCCCGAACGTTACGACAAATACCTCACTCTCGCCGAGACATACTACACCAAAACACTCAGAAACAATCCAAACAATATATATGCAGCCAACGGACTTGGTATGGTTGCATTCGAGAAGGGTAACCTCCATTTGGCAACAGAGATATTCGTCCAACTCCGAGAGGCTGCAATCGATGTACAATCTGTATCACTAAATCTCGCACACGTCTACATGGAAAAGAAACTGTTTGATTTTGCAATTAGATTAGTAAGTATAATAACATAATAGATAGAGCAAACTAACAAGTTAACTAATTCTAATTGAATTCTAAAGTATGAAGGATGTCTAAAGAAATGTAGTGATGCAAAGGAATTAGAGTTGATCTATCTATATCTTTCAAAGGCGTTGTTTGAAGCTCAGAGATACTCGGAATGTAAACAGATTTTGAAGAAAGCCATTCATATTTCACCAGCCAATATGGTGTTGTGGTTCAACTTGGCGCTGACCATCGAGAAGTACGCTGCTATGTTTATTCACACTGCAAAGAAGACACTGTTTGACTATAGCAACTTGCAAAAGGAGACTGCATATGCACGTCATCTGCTGATGAGTATCAGTAACTCAAAGAATACAAAGCTAGGTTTTGATGTGAAAAAGTGTAAGACTCACTTGCAATCGCTTGACGAATTGCAAAAGAAGATCGGTGACGAAGTCAAGAATCTCGAGATCATCGAACTGGAGAATAGCAAGAAGCGTGAGATCGCTCTACAGGAATCAATCAAGAAGGCAGAGGAACGTGAACGTGAAGAACACGAAAGAAAGGCTGCTCTACAAGCCAAACTCGAGGAGGAAGAGAGATTGGCAGCCAAGCAAGCCAAAGAATTCTCTGATCTTCTCAAGAGTAAAGAAGAAGAGAAATCAGATGATGAACAACCTGTTTCATCAAGAAAGAATGTATGTATAAACTAGTACTCGACAAAAGTTTAATAATATTTCATTGTAAAATTAATCGTTATATCTTACTTTCTAGAAAAAGAATAAAGATCGTAATGCCTCAGATGAAGAAGATGAACCAAGAGAGAAAAGAAAAGATAAGAAACGAAAGGATAAAGATAGAAAAGAGAAAAAGAAAGATAAGGAAAGAAAGAAGAAGAAGAGAAAGGGTAAAGATGGTGACGAGGAACAACAAGAAGAAGATCAAGAACAACAAGAACAAGAGGAACAAGATCAAGAACAAGAAAAAGAAAAAGAAAAAGAACCACAACCAGAAGCTGAAGACGAAGAATATAACAACTTATTTGGCAGTGATGAAGATGAAAATTAAATTAATAAAAGAATAGAAAACAAAAACTTGCACCATTAATTTATTTTTTTGTTTTGTGTGGATAGAAGATCATAATAAACTGATAATCTATAGATAATATATGATAAATTAAATCAACAAAATAACATCTCTATTTGATTATTTTTTTATTATTATTTTTTTTTTTTTGTATAGAATGGTATGTCTGATAATAACCTTAATTTATTTCATTTAATAACTAAACACTCATTATTCAACAAAACTAGGGTTTGAAAGACAAACCAAAGCAATGAATGATTTAAACAACAAGATTAAATCAGGTATGTTTGATAGTATCCTTAGTTTATTTCATTTAAAATCTAAGAAGTATTACAAGCTTTCTCCATCACAGAAACAGTAGCTTCATCTCATTTTGATGATATCGAATCCTTGGTCAAAACCTATTCTGTTGACAGACCCTCAAATGGAAAGAAATCCGAACCTACACTTGCGCTGGTGACAAGAGAGAATCATTATGAGGGAGAACAACAAGAAGAAGATCAAGAACAACAAGAACAAAAAGTTCAAGAACAAGAGCAACGACCAGAAGCTAACATACAATCAAAGAATTATCATCAACACAAAATAAGTTGTTTATTCTTTAAAACGGACCACAAAAATAAATTATAATTTTGGGTTGTTTTTGAAAAACCAAGAGAAAATAAAATCTTTCTTATCATTTTTCAAGAATGTATTCTTATTATTTTAACAATTCTTTTGTTTTATTTCTACATATTAAAGAATAATAACATATAAATAGGTTCATGAATCAAGTTATTTTCAATATCAAATTAAAAACTAAAGCAAAACATTAAATTAATCAAATTATTATTATTATTTGGGGTAAATTATAAATAAATAACTATTAAACAAAACAATGGTATACCAAAGAGAAGAAACCGACCAAATCGAATCAGCCAGACGTATCGAGAGGGACGAAAGAAAGAAACAAAGGGCTGAAAAGAGGGCTGAAAAGAGGGCTGAGAAATCAGAAAGGGCTGAGAAGGTTGAACAACCTGAAGGGGGAAACAATCGTTATCGTTACCGTTATCGTAATCGTCGTTCTGAGAGGGATAATAATAATACAATTATTCAAGGGGTTCAAAATATTGATTTGGGTAATCAATCTAACAACAACAACAATGCAACCACCACTGCTGAACCAACAACTCCAACTCCAAATCCAACTTTGGATCAACAACAACAACTAACCAACAATCAATCAAACAACACTGATGACAAAGTAGAACAACCAAAGGAAAAGGTATGGGAGAAGTATGCAAAGAGATCAAAAGATAGATATGAAAAGAATTCGATTAGAAAGCTAATCAATGAAGCATTAAAGGGATATGAAAAGGGTTCCAATGTGACAGTTGAGGAGATCCTTAACAAATCTATTGCTCTTCAAACCCCAAAAGATTCAAAATTATTTTGCAAATGATTTTCAAAATCAAGTATGTATTGATAATATTATCACTATTTAATAACTAAAATAACTAATAATTTGCCTTCTTCTTTTTTACACTTTATCAATTATTCAATCTATCTAGTTCCTACATGAGAAATCAAGATATCGTTTGTACATCAACATCAATCAACTCAGCAACAAACAACCAAAATCTGAAAATATTCAATCCAAATATTAATTTCAGAATATTTGCTGCCTACCACTGTCACAAAAATCATTATTCGGAATGGTTCATTGTAAATAATAACAACAACAACAACATTTTAATTTTTTAAATCAATCAACTAATTTTTAAGAGTCAAATAAATATATATATATATTAAAAAATATAAATATTATAAAAGTTTTTTTTTTGTTTTAATTTTTTACGATTTCTTTTTTTTCTTTTTTAAATCTAGTAACTAACAAGAATACTACTCTATAATAATAATTCATTGGAATAATCAATCTAGTCGATCGAATGAAGTGAATTATACACTTATCACTGATTAATTTTATAACAATTATTAAAATTCGTGTTTTTATATTTTTTGAATAACTTTATCGAAAATTTTGATATTCATATCAAAAAGCGTTCAAACTATTTTTTTCAACTCATCACTCTTTTTTTGATAATTTTTTTTTGATAATTTTTTTTTCAGTTTTTTTTTTTTTTTTTAATTTTTTGATCCAGAAACTAAATACTACAATATGGTGTGAGGTCATTTCTTTTGTACAAAAATTTTGAATTGCTTTTTAGTGCGATTCAAAAAAAAAAAACAAACAACCACCGACTCAGTATCACAGAAACCAAAACAATAATATAAAATCAAAAAAAAAAAAAGTAGTTGTATAGATAAAAATAAACAATAATATAAATTTGTTTATATAATACAGTTTTTAGTAGTAATATATATATAGTATTTATTTATTTTAGATAGTTAGTTAGTTAGATAGATAGATTGATTATTATTTTTTCGATAAAAAACAAAGACAATTTTTAAAAAGTAGTTCTCAAAAACCAAACATCGTTTTAGCGTAGCAAAAACAGCAACAGCAGCACAGTATATCAATAACACCATCAACAAAAAGTTAGTTTCGATCATCATCAAAACTTTTGGTTCTTCTTATTCTCTTATATAAATTTTGGATAGAATATAGTTTTAAATTAAGATCTATCCATTGATCCTTAACTTCATTGCAATATTTGTTTATCTCATTCATCATCATCATAACCATAACACAGTCCAATCATCATCATCATCATCGTAACAACAACAAAACCATCACTCCACTCACACCAACCAAAAATAATATTTTCGATATCAATCACATCCTGTTTGGTCAAGTTTTAATACTTTTTTCGTTTTTACATTACACTTTGGCAAACACTCACTATATATATATATATTAAATCAATAATATTTATCTTATGATTGATTGATATTTGATTAAAAGGTGTGTGTGTGTTGTGTTTATGCATATATGTTGTGTGTGCTTTTGATTTATTTTATAATTTAGTTTTAGGTATAGCGGTTTTATTGTGTGTTTAATTTTGATTAAAATTGTTATTATTGTTGTCCAATCCAACAATCATCAAAATATTAGAGATAAGTGTTATAGAAAGATAGATAGGTAGACAAACAACAAGCAGGGAACTTTTTATAACACAACAACAATGTTATTTTAATTTATTTGTTAAACATATTGTAATATTATTCTACTCTTTATACTTTTTTTATTTTATTTAATTTTATAATTTTTACTATAAAATTAACAACAACAGAGACAAACAGATATCTGGCCATTCATTATAAATAATAAATTTTATTCTTTTACAATCAAGTTGGAAAATACCAAGACAAATCAAAAATCATATGATTCCATCAATGCATAAGCAATAATTAAATAGTTTTCCTCTGCTTTCCACTCCTAAATATTACATACTTTTTTTCACATTAGTTACCTCTTATTTTAAAATTAACAAACAATAGTTAGTTATTAGTTCGAATTCACTTTGGTAATCAATATATCATATCATATTATATCATCTTATCCCACTAAACTATCAATAATAATCCATCTTAAATAATCCTAAAAATAAATTAATAAAAAATATAATTTGACAATAACAAAACAAATACAAATACAAATCATATATATGTTTTATTAACAATTGTAATCGTAATAAAATATTTTTAAAAAACACTAAAAATAACTAAAAGTAATAAAAATAATGATAATCATCCTCAACTCCCTGCATATCTTTCCCTTTCTCTGTTTTTTGTTGCAAATAAAAAATAAAAAAAAGCAAAAATAAATAAAATAAAATAAAACACCAAACATCTTAAGTTACTCAAATTGAACACTCTTTCTTAACAATAATAATAATAATATCAAAACAAGACTACCATTATTAATAATAATAATAATTATTATTATTAGTTAGAATAAACACCTAATCTTACATTACATTATCTTATTAAAGTTTTTAAATTTTAATATTTTCTACATCATCAAATCAATCAACATCATAAACAACAACGACAGATATTCAATTAAAACAAATCATTATCTTTCATTCATTCATTCATTCAATCAATTTAAATTATTTATTAAAAAAAAAAAAAAAAAAACTAAAGATTAAAAAAAAAAAAAAAAGATTTTTTCTTTTATATCGATTAATTTTACCAACAATTATTTATAATAGAATATTGTTTTACTATTAAAAATATATATTATCTAATCATACATATATATTTATTCATACCTTGTATATATTTATTGCTACAATCATTTTAACAACAATAAAAAAACCAAATAACTTTAACTAACTTTTAAAACAACAATAATAATAATAACCTTTTAGATAACACAACTTTGTAGTAATAGTCTAGTCAATATTATAAAACAACAACTTAAAAATGAATCCAGAATAGTAAGTAGAGATATTAATGATATAGATCTTTTATTGATAGAGTTTTAAGATTACTAATTAAAATTATTATTATTATTATTTGTTATTATTTAAAATAGTGATTATCTTTTCAAATTGCTTCTCATTGGTGACAGTGGTGTAGGAAAATCATGTCTATTATTGAGATTTGCCGATGACACTTACACTGAAAGCTATATCTCTACCATCGGTGTAGATTTTAAGATCAGAACCATCAACCTCGATGGTAAGATTATCAAATTGCAAATCGTAAGTATCAATTGTTTCTTGAGAAACAACTCTATTAAAAACAATTGTTAGATTAGATTACTTATATTGATTGTTATAATAATAATAATAATGATAATTTAGTGGGATACTGCCGGTCAAGAAAGATTCAGAACTATCACTTCATCATATTACAGAGGTGCACATGGTATTATTGTAGTTTACGACGTCACCGACCATGTGTCGTTCAACAATGTCAAGCAGTGGATGCAAGAGATTCAGAGATACGCATGTGACAGCGTCACCCGTTTGCTCGTTGGTAATAAGTGCGATCTCATCGAAAAGAAAGTCGTTGAAACCAACGTCGCTAGAGAATACGCCGACTCTGCTGGTATCCCATTCTTGGAGACCAGTGCTAAATCCTCTGCCAACGTAGAGGACGCTTTCATGATCATGGCCAGCGAGATCAAGAAGTTGCAAGGTGGTATTTCTACAGGCGGTAACACAAACTACAACACCAACGTCGTCAAACCAAGCTCCGGTACACCAGTTGGAAAGAAGAAGAGATGTCTCATTTTATAAACACCTAAATTATTTTCAACCCATCATCGTAAACATCATCATCATCATCACCTAAACAAACCAACAAACAACCAAATCAATATATAAGAAAAAGAAAAAAATAACAAAAAAAAAAACAAAAAAAAAAAAAAAAGTAAATAATAACAAACAAACAAAACATCATCACTTAAAACGAACGAATAATAATCATAGATGCCACAATAGATCAACAAACATCACCTCACAACAAACTACCAACTAACCAACAAAAGAGTTGTTTTTTTTTTTTATAATTATAATAGTTCATTTGGTATTTTTTAACATAATAATAATAATAATAATAATTTTAGTTTTCAGTGTACATTCGAAAAGATAACAACAAAAATAAAATAACAAAAAAATAAAAATAAAAATATTTGTTTAAATATCTATCTTGATCTTTTATTCTTTTCTTCTTTAGTCATCTTCGAGAAGATGCTATTTTGTCTTTTTCCGAATGTAAGCTAGAGTTTATTAATTCTTGGAAATATTATATTCATTTCTCATATATATGATCATGCTATTTCATATCAATCAAATTGTGGTAAAAACAAAACAACACTTTTGTTCTCATCTTGTTAAGCTATCATAATATTTAAAGATGGATATTATTTCAAAAGCAAAAGAATATGTAATGAAAGATGTATGTATTGATTGGTTAAACAACAATTATCAACAGTAATTATTATACAAGTTGATTAATGTTTAGATTGAATTCCTTATTTTAGATGATAAATAATGACCCAAGTCATGACTGGGCACATGTAGTAAGAGTTATCAACTTGGTGGAGACCATTGCAAGAGAGGAAAAGTATTCAGGTGATATGGAGATTCTTCTTTTATCGGCTATCTTGCATGATGTAGGTGATTGGAAGTACTCTGGCAATGAAAATGCTGCGACCAACGCTATCGAAGCTTTTCTTTCATCGAATAGCTATCCCTCCGAAAAGATTGATCGTATCTGTAAGATCGTAGATGATGTATCATTTAAGAACGAACTAGGTAGACCAACCGATTATATCTATTCAAAAGAGTCAAAGATTGTACAAGATGCTGATAGATTAGATGGTAAATCAATGCTATTACTATGAATAGATTGTTCAAAAAAAAAAAAAGAATATTATTATTAACAAATATCTATAATATAGCAATCGGTGCAACTGGTGTCGCTAGAACATTTGCATTCGGAGCTACCAAAGGTTCAAAGTTTTATGGTGAGAACTCATTTGGAAGAGAGATTGTTACTGAAATGAAAAAAGAAGAATACATGGGAAAGAAAGGTGAACCTACTGTTGATCATTTCTATGACAAGCTATTTAGATTGAAATCAATGATGAAAACCGAGACCGGTAAGAGAATGGCAGAGAAAAGACATCAATTCATGATTGATTTCATTGAACAATTTAATTTAGAAGTTAGATCAATCAATTAAATAAAATATGATAAGTAATTTAAATTAATCATGATGATCACGATGATGATGATGATGATGAGGATAGATTATAAATAGTTTAGATTGGTTCCACCTATATCATTAATAGAGTGGGAATGTTGGATCGATCTCTTCGTTCCAACCAGTCAGACCATCTCTAATATGTTTTATTATGAAACTGTTTGTTGATTTTTCAGTGGAATTTAATTTGTTACCTAAAATGGTAGCTGCATCCTGTGACTTATTACCTCTTCTACAAACAATATAAACTAGTAATAAAATTGATTGGATTAGATATTGATATGGATATATATATTAGTTTATACTTTATCATTATATTTGATTTATACATACTTGGAAGTATTTCGTTTTCATTAATTGCCAATTCTTCAATTGTCTTTATACTACTTTCTCTACTTAATTCATCAATAGGTATATCTGCAGAAACAAAAATAAGAATAAGTAACTATTATTATTATCTTTAATCAATATTTAACCAAGTGCTTAACACCACTTACTGGTTGAATTTGGTAAACTACAAATTTCAAATTGATTCTTTGGTCTTACATCGAGTAGGATATGCTTCTTATTGGTATCCAATATCGATTTATATTGTTTACAAGTCATGATGAGTTCATCTTCAATTCTATCGTCGACCTTTGATGATTTATCGCTGTATGGAGAGCTGCAGAATTGAGGGTAATCAATGAGTTCTGTGAGTGTTGGATTGTCGCCACATACTACGCAGCCAGGTTGTCTCGATCTAATCTTTACAGTCTTGAAAGTTCCCGCCAATCCATCGTATAGCATCAGCCTACCGCTCAACACACCATCGCTGTTGTTTGTAATGATCTTAATGACTTCCAGTGCTTGGAGACTGCCTATCACTCCTACGATCGGTCCCAACACACCGCCGTCCGAGCACCGTGTAACCGTCTCTGCGGGTGGCGGCACCGGAAACAAGCACCGATAGCACGGTCCGTTGTTATAGTGATACACCGTTACTTGTCCATCCCATTTGAGAGCACTTCCGGAAACGAGAATCTTATTCGCCAGAACTGAGGCGTCGTTGATCAAGTAGCGAGTCGCCACATTATCGGAGGCATCGACAACGATGTCGTAGCGCGCAATCAAATCGAGTGCCGTATCCGAAGTGAAAGTAACAGTGTGTGGAATGACGCTGATCGAGCTGTTCAGCTGCTGACAAGCGGTGGCTAGTGAGACAGCCTTGGCATGTCCTTCCTTCAGCTCATTGTGACCGATCTGACGATGAAGATTACCGACCTCCACCGTATCATAATCGACTATTCCTATTGTACCGACACCGGCACCCGCCAAATACATAGCGATCGGGCAACCAAGTCCACCGGCACCGACCACCAGCACCTTGGCAGCGAGCAACGCTTCCTGACCAGCGACACCAACGCCAGGGGTAATCAATTGTCTTCCATATCTTCCAACCTGTGAATTATTCAATCCATGTAATTTATATAAATCAGACATAATAATATTATTAATGTTGATTTTAATTGCAATTGATGAGATATTTAAAAAACAAACAAACAAAAACAAATTAAAAAAATAAATAAATAATTTTAATTTCTCAAATTTTAAATTAAAAATGAAAAACTAAACTCTGTAATAACGTTATAGTTTGAATTGATTCGTTTTTTTGAATTTTAATTTTTTATTTTTTGGCTAAATAATTTTCACTCGTTTTTTTTATTTATTATTATTATTTTTTTATTTTTTTTTGAATAAATATCATTAAATATTATTTATATATTATAAAAAATAAACAAAAATTTAAAGACAAACAATTATATTTTGATTTGCTCTTTTTTATACTAGTTTTTTTTTAAGTGTGTCATACCACATTTACTATATTTATAATATTCATTGATTTTAGATTTTGATTTGATCAATCATAAATCATTTCATTTCATTCATTCATTAATAATAACAAAGAATACAAAAAGAATAATACCAGTATAGATAATATATATAGATGATAATATAAATAACAAAAAATGGCAAAATCAGAATCATCAAAGAATAACAATAGCAATAATAACAATAACAAACCAAAGAATAATAAAAAGAGAGCATCAACTTCAAAAGATGAAGATAATAATAATAAAGCATCGGCAGCAATTGCTGTCGAAGTTGAACAACCAGCAAGACCAAGATTGTCAGTCTCTGAGAGTATGGATAATCTAGCTGACCAAATCGATATTGAAATGAAAAAGAAAGACGATATCCTCCAATGTTTCTACGACATTGTCTCTGCAGATGAATCTACACGTATCAAAGGTATCTCCACACTCATTCTCACACTCGCCGAACTCCAAGAAGATTTCAAACCAGAAGATCATACCAGTGTATTAAGATATGGTAAGTAGTCAGTTAGATAATCATTCACATTCATTCATTATCCCAAATGTTAACCATCACAAAACATCGAAACAAAAACAATTACAATTATATACAGTTCCAAAAGTTATGGAAAATAGAGTAAAAGATATAAATAGTGAATTTTCACCGGAATTGAACTATTCTTTGCAACGTTTGGTTGGTGGTTTGGCGTCGAGTCGTGATATTACAAAAATGGGATTCTCGCTGGCACTCAGTGAGTTGCTAAATTCGCTGCCTGTCATCTCGATCAGTTGGTTCATTCGCTACTTGACCACCGCTATGGATACTACTGGTGCCAGTGGATTTTCAGAGCGTGAAGCGTTGTTTGGCCGTATGTTTGGTTTGATGGCTGTGATCAAGTCGGGTCGTATCGATAAGGAGCTCATTAGACGTGCTCCCACCAAGTCGTCGATCTACAACGCCAACCAACCGATCGACACCGACAACATCATCGAATCCATTCTGGAACAACTGATATACATCTCAAAGAAGCGTGCAGTCTACACCGAACTCGCATACGAAGTCATAACAGCACTCACCGAACAGATCCAAACCGATCAAAACTTTGACAAACTCCTACCATTCATCAAACAACTCATTCCCGAGAACATCGACGACTACACTCCAGATTTAATTTTATTGATTTTATCACTTTCAAATAATTATAAGGTTTGTATTATTATAATCTTTATTTTTTTTCCAAATTAAATACTTATTCATTTTATTATTTTACTTTTTTCTTTTCTTTTTTTTATTTAATAATTTAGAAATTCAAACTTTTAAAACATACAAATGGATGGAGTCATAGTTCATTATTTAATCAATCGAATCTACAGTTTTTAAAGATAATCTATGCCAAGTCGGTATCTACTCATCCAAGAGTTCACAAAGTTTGGCCAACTACATTTGCAATCTTACTTCAAAATCTTCCAGAGAATATTTCAGTAACCGAATTTTGGAAAAAAGTTGTTGAAAGTATGTATACAACATTAATCTTTAAATAATTTTAAAACAGTCACGTTTATTAATAATTATCTATTTTTTTAATAATATTTAGATCATCTTTTTACTTCAACTGCAAATAAAAAATCATTGGGATTACAACTATTTGAAATACTTTTACCAATGTTACCAGCCACCTCCATTCCAGAAATTTTCACAGTTCACTTGAATTACTATTTGAATCAATCATTACAATCCGATAATATATTACATGAAGTTGGTGTCCAAGTTGTATGTATCAAATCAAATAACGACGAATACTTTTAAAATATTACCAAAACCATTTTATTAATTTTAATATTCGTTCGTTCGTTCGTTTTAGTTCCAAATCATTCCAAAAACAGCAGAAATATCAAAAGAACATCGTTTACAATTAATTCTTTATTTCAGTGGAAATGGTTCAAAGGTATTCCAGAATCCAATCGATATCGTCAATGAGTTGCTCAGAGATATCGACTTTGAATCGATGAACAAATATATCAATACACTTTTCAATAGTTTCTACGACCCGGATGTCTCGATTGCCAGCAACAACAACAATAATGCCCGTATCGAAACACCGACTGACCCCAACGCTGAAGATGCCGTCGAGAGTGAAACCGACAACGAGCAATACAACGAAGAGCAACTACGTCTTTTGAATCTGCGTAATTGGATTCTCACTCAACTCGGTTACATCGTCAAGGAGTTGTTGCGTCGTCCAATGGATGCCGTCGCCACCCAGCAATCAAAGATCACCAACATTCTCAAGTTCCTCTATTTCCAAGCGTTCTTTTTGCCCAAAGAGAAAGCTACATCAGCTAAATCTAAACAACAACAAACCACAGATGATGTCTTCCTCAAGGAACTCCAAAGTCGTGTGCCAACCATCGACCTCCAACAAAAGACAAGAGATCAATGCGGTGCCAAGTTGTTGACAGTGCTCGAGAATCTCTCACATCATAATCTCGTTCACCAACCACTCGTTGACGGTGTTATGAGCAATGGCGAATTCTGGGTGAGCGAAGTCGTCAAGTTCCAGAATCAAGTGAGATTGACACACTCGTTGTCCACACCACTACCAATTGGTTTCAAACCACTCGAAAAAGTAGCCAAGGTGATCACTATGCTCCAACAGAACCCGGTGGAGAAGAGATCCATTCAGACACGTGCATTCGAGTTGTTGTTCCTCCATGTTTCGCTCCAATATCTCTATGAGCCATCAGAGATCTCCGAGTTGCTCGAGGATCTTGTCGCTGCCTACGAGGAGTTGGTTGGAATGCGCAAGCCAAAGAAGAACGGACCGAATGCCTTTATGATTCTCGTCGATATTCTCATCTCGCTCCTTGACAAACCACAGCATTTGTTGCGTTCCGTTGTCAAGTTGATTTTCTCGATTTTCTCGGAGGACATCACATTCCCAGTGTTGGAGCACATCTTGAACACAATCTCTGCACCAATCACTGAGATTTTCGATGGAATGGATGAAGACGACGATGAAGATGACGATGAATTCGAACCGATCGACGGTGAAGACGGTGAGGATGACGAGGACGGTGAGGATGGAGAAGACGAGAGTCAAGAGGATGGCGAAGAAGACGGTGAGGACAACGAAGATGACGAAGAGGAAGAAGAGGAAGAGGAGGAAGAAGATGATTCCGATGACGATGAAGTAGATCCAGAGATTGTTGCAAGAATCAAAAAGAGTCTTGGTCCACATTTGTTGTTGGAGGAGGACGACGAGATGGACGACGCCAAGCCACCCACCGCCAAAGAAGCCAGACAACTCGACAACTACCTCGAGCAAATCTTTAGAAGAAAGAAAGAACAGAAAGCCAAATTCAACAATATCAAGACAAAGACAATGACTTTGAAGATTCGTTTGATCGATCTCGTCGAGATCTACATCAAGAAGTCGACAGGTGCACCAAACTCTATCTTCTTCCAGGCGCTGCCACTGATGATCAACGCTGCCAACTCTGAAGAACCATCGATTTCCAACCGTTTCCTTACCATTTTCAAAAATAAGATCAGTACCATCAAGAAGTGTGCCGACAACGTCGATGTCAAGTCGATCAACGCGCTCATCAAGAGTTGCATCGAAACCATCAAGTCGTCCATAAAGATGAAGGGAGACGACAAGAAGAACAAACCATTTTTATTCCTGCTATCGGGACACACCGTTTACATGTGTGTTCGCGTGCTGATTTCCATGAGCAAACTGGATGTCGCACCGCTCGACGCCGAACTAACTCAACTGCTCCAAAAAGAAAACATCTCCAACAAGAACAACACTGTCATCCTATCGTTTATCACCGAGTTCTCTCAGCGTTTCCCACAGTTGATGTCCGGACACATCACCGACATGATGCGTGTTGTTGGCAGCGCCAACGACTACGTCTTCAAGAAGCTCCTGGAGATCGTCGGTGTCATGATTCCAAAGCGTTCGCCACAACAACAGGAGAATGTTGCTGCCACCAACGGAATGGTACAAGTGTTCCACGTCATCGTCAACACGCTCTCCGACGCCATCGACGAGTCACTCAAGTCCAAGAAGTACGGACAGCAACAAGCGGTACTCTTGCAACTCGCCAACATTTTCAATTTTATCATTTCACATCAATCGGTCGACAAGATCAAGTCAAAGATCGACGCTGCCAAGCTCAATGCGCTCCTTGTGGAAGTCTGCAAGGTCAACGGAAAGCGTGCCATCAAAGACCACGCCAAGCGTATCATCAAGCTGTTGGAGATTGAAAACAGCGATCTACTTGCACTGTCGAAGCGCAAGAGAAAGCAACTGGAGAGAGAAGAGAAGTTGTCGGCATCGACCGACAGCAACGCTACTGGCAGCGAATCAAAGAAGTCTAACAATAATATTTTAACAGTACACAACGCCAAACGTGATAAACCACAATCGAAATCAACACAACTCAAGGTCGACAACAAGATCAAGAGTAGACCAAAGAAGAAAGAAGAAGAAACCGACGAAGCAGCTCAACTTTACAAAGAATTACAAGATCCAAAAGAAGAAGAAACAAGACCAAAGAAAAAGAATGAAATCAAAGAAATAAAATAATAAAAAAAAACTTAAAAAATAAATTTATATATAATTAAAACAAATAACAATAATATTTAGTATTCTTAAATCTTTATTTATTTTACAATAAGTTTTTTATTGTTTTTTTTTAGAATGAAGAACGGTTGCATTCACAGTATCAGTAGCCTCTGAGAAGTATCGATCCATAAACTTAATTAAATCAACATTAGTATATCTTTATCTATTTCTATCTATTTATATTCTTTTCTTAATTAATAATTACTTTGATTCTTCAAAGAACTTTGGTAAACCAAACCAATGTACTGCTTGTGCAACTGTTATAAGATCAGCTGTGTTTGGTGGTTGATCAATGCACTCTGCAGGTGATTGTTTATATTGAATGTTTTCTGCTTTCTTTGCATTTGAGATTTGTGAAAGTGATGGATCGACACCGATCACCGATTTCCAGTTCGACATTTGCTTGACCATTTCCACAACCGACATCTATTGCCAAACTCTTGTGGAGTATCTTTTGTTATGTCATTGATGATATCGAACAGCTCTTGTGGATAGGTTGGTCTGAACGTGGCATACTTATCACCTACCTTTCCAATAGATCTTTTAATTCTTTGGTCTCTGTTGGATAAGTTGGTACTGAATCGATAACCCTTTTTGATAGCATGGTTCGAAATTAATAAGAAGTCAAGTTGTAAACTTTAAAAAATTTAAGTTTTGCAAAAATAAATTATTATTTTGAACCACTCTATTTTTTTTCTTTTAGTGATCATTTAAAAATAAGAATAAACTAAAGATGAATACAAATAATATTGAGGAATCAGATAAATTACTAGAGAATACCTTGACATTTACTGATTTTTATCCATTTGATAATTTAATAATATTACTTAAAAATCTTTTGAAAGAAAATGATAATGAACACAGAAATATCATATTAATGCGAAATATTGATATTATGAATAATAGAATTGTAATACCAGATAAAGTCGATACTCAATATCAATTAATAATAATATCACAATCATATTTATCATTATACACAAAGTTATTAAACAAATCACAATCATACACAATCAATATTAAAGAATGTAAATTCAAACAGGACTATTTCCAACTATCACAAATTAGCAAACGATATCGTTCAATATCAAGATTTACAAACAGTAATGCCATCAATGATGTGTATTTAGTGTGTGGTATTGATAAAAGATTGGTAAGATCATTTTTCAATGTAATTAATCAATTGACAATCATAAAACTAACAAATCAATTCAAAAGTATGTTTATAAAAAGATAAACTATAAAGATAATCAAAAATCTTATGAAAGAGCTGAGAATGAAATCAAATCAATGAAATTGCTCAAAGGTAATAAAAGATTTGTTCAACTTGTTGACTATCATCATGATAAAGACAATCAAATCTTTCATATCATTACTGAATATTGTGATGGTGGTGATCTTTCTCAAAAGTATGAACATTTAACTGATCTAAATCTGTATGTATAATAAATTTATCAAGATATGAATATATTACAATTAACCATTTTATATTGAATATAAAAATAGAATCTTTAAAGAATCAGATATTATTAAATATATTTCACAACTTTTCAATATTCTTTTGGAACTTGATAAACATGGAATTGTTCATTGTGATATCAAACCATCAAACATATTCATTGGTTATGATGGTACTTTGAAGCTTGGTGATTTTGGATGTTGTAAATTCATTGATCAATCAACAATCATTGAACATCAAGATTCAAAAGTATTTTTTGAGCCACCTGTTGTAATAACAAGTGTTCCGAATTCGAAAGAAATATCAGATCCATCTATTTTTGATATGAATTCAAACACACTTATAAATGCAACTCGTGGGACTAAAGGTTATATTTCACCAGTATGTATACTCTATTAATTGATTATTAAATATATTTTAACTAAATCAAAATTATAATTACAATTAGGAAGCAATGAACAGACAATATGCACAATCGTGTGACATCTTTTCAATTGGATCAACAATTCTCAAATTATTATGTTGGTAAATACTCGAATAATCATACTTTTAAAATATTATTATCAATCAGATATTAACTCTGTATTTTTGAATATTTAAATTGATCAGTCATCCAGATGATCGAAAAAATCATCAACTATTCCAAACTAATGGTGAAATTAAGATTTCAGAATGCAGATATTCAAAAAAATTGATTGATTTGGTTCATCAATTGTTGGATCAGAGTCCAAAGAATAGAGAATCATTGAATCAATTATTAAACCAATATATTGAAACCATCACCAATCAACATTTAATAACATTCAATTTAAATACTACATTCAAAAACACCTCAGTCATTATAAATGAAATTGAATTTGGTGATGAATTTAATCAACCTTTGGAATCTAATTCACTCCCTCCAAATCTGACATCATTATCATTTGGATATTCATTCAATCAAATATTATCAGTTGGTGTGTTACCTGAATCACTGCAATCGTTGGAGTTTGGAATTGAATTCAATCAAATATTATCAGTTGGTGTTTTACCTAAATCACTTAAATCATTGGTATTTGGTGATAAATTCAATCAAATATTATCAGTTGGTGTGTTACCTAAATCGTTGGAATCATTGAGGTTTGGCCGTGAATTCAATCAAATATTATCAGTTGGTGTGTTACCTCAATCACTGAAATCATTGGTGTTTGGTGTTAAATTCAATCAAATATTATCAGTTGGTATGTTGCCTGAATCACTGTATTTATTAAAGTTTGGTTGGATATTCAATCAAATATTATCAGTTGGTGTATTACCTCAATTACTGAAATCATTGGTGTTTGGAAATAGATTCAATCAAATATTATCAGTCGGTGTGTTACCTCAATCACTGAAATCATTGAGATTTGGTTGGGAATTCAATCAAATATTATCAGTCGGTGTGTTACCTAAATCACTGAAATCATTGAGGTTTGGTTGGGAATTCAATCAAATATTATCAGTTGGTGTGTTACCAAAATCATTGTATTCATTGAAGTTTGGTTGGGAATTCAATCAAATATTATCAGTTGGTGTGTTACCTGAATCACTGAAATTATTGGTGTTTGGATATGAATTCAATCAAATATTATCAGTCGGTGTATTACCTCAATTACTGAAATCATTGGTGTTTGGAAATAGATTCAATCAAATATTATCAGTTGGTGTATTACCTGAATCACTGAAATCATTGGTGTTTGGTCGAGGATTCAATCAAATATTATCAGTCGGTGTGTTACCTGCATCACTGAAATCATTGGTGTTTGGTCGTGAATACAATCAAATACTATCAGTCGGTGTCTTACCTGAATCACTGAAGTCGTTAGGGTATAGTTCAACGACAGATATTGAATTAGTCAGACAGGAATGGGGTTAGGGAACTTAACAATTTAAGAATTATAATTATAAAATAATCTAAAAACAAAAAATAAAAAAATAAAATGAAGAAAAAAAAAAAAATTGTTTCCAAAATAATTGTAAAGATCATACTTCTCTAATATTTATTTATCTTGAATTTTTACTTTTATTATTTAGAAAATACTTTATTGTTTGTTTTGTTTATATAATCATAAGATACTTTTAATTTTAATTTACATAGTTAATGGTTATCTTTATTAATTATTATTTGGAAGTTGCTTTTTGAAAGTTTCTATAGTATGTTAGGAAAAAATAAAATTTTAAAAGTAATGAATATCAATATTAAAAAAAATAAAATTTGATTAGCTTCAAGTTTGATATCAAAGAACATTTGTTCCTAACCTTTTCCTAAGATTTTATAATGAGCACTATATTAAATGTAGGGAAATCGGTGCTAACATTAGTTAGAAACTCCTATTTAGGAATCCAATAGGCATAATAATGTTGGAAATTGGGTCAAAAAAGTCGAAAAAGTACTATTACTTTTTAAAAAAATAATTGTATGGTGGTTTCGAAAAATCCAGATATCAAAGATTATCAACAACAGAGAATGAAATCAAAGAACACTTTGAAAAATTACATCAATATCTAATCAGAGAAGAACTTAAACTACAAAGAGATATTATCAATGATAAACATACAATCACAAATCAAATCGATAATAATATTATGAATTTGAAATATTTACAAAATAAAATGTTTAGAAAACAATATTAAAAATCTAATTTATTGATTTATAGTATCATTGATTTTTCCTTATGTCAACAAAGGTATTAATCAATAGTCCAACACAACACCAAATTTTATGGTGAAGCAATAACAATTTCTCCACATTTTTAGCCTTTTATCTGAAAAAGTTATATGAAATTTCCCACTTTTTATTTATCTGCTTCCTTTAATCTATCATCTTTTTCATCTTTTCTATTTTCTCTGTCAATAACTATAAATCTTTTGTATTAACTGTGTGATCCTTGAAATCCTTTGTCTCCCATTTTATACTCCCATGAATCATCGAAAGTTTGGAATTCATCCACTTCGCACATCATTCCTTGATCACTCCTGGAGCATGGTCGGGATTGAGCAATATATTGAATCTTTCCATTTGTATTGCGTATACCAATTTGGTTATTGATGAAAATTCTTTCTTTCCACTGTAGAGGTTAATATTTTCTTGTTCATCCAAAGGCACATCTACTTTTTGTTCTGATCCATCGATAACCGATGTTACCAAACACCCACAATTACTATAGTCTACAAACAATGAACTTCTGAAATGATATTAAAAAAAACAAACTAACAAAAGTGATACTCGAATACCACTAACGAACTCTCTAAAAACTAATTCAGAGACAACAAACAAACAGTAATAGCAACAGGATATTTGTCGTATAGTATTAATAAAAAAAAATTTAAAAAAGCTAAATATTGTCAAGGTGGTAGTGATTTTTCTCAAAAATATAAACATTTAAATGATCTAAATCAGTAAGAATAAAAAATAAAATACTTGTACAATCGAGATATTAATAGAACTTTTAATTGAGTATAAAAATAGAATCTTGTAAGAATAAGATATTTGTGAATATATGTTCTAAAATTAATATTTTAGAATTATAATAATCAAATCTACTGACACCTCAATAATTTATTAAGAATTCAACTATCACAATTCAAACAGTTTATGGACACGATTTCAAATAACTTAAATTAATAATCCTGCTATTTAAAAATAATTAAATATATTCGAATAATATCAACATTCAGTGAATCAACAAAATATCAATCTACCAAAGTTAACATAAAGAAATAACCAACAAGTTAATCTACAATGAATACCAAATTAGTAATCAAGAACAGATTTCTGAGATTGGGCCACTGCACTGGTCAAAGAAATCCAACCAGTATAAATACCATGGAAATCCACTATGGAAATCAATGATTCAACATTATTCAACTTTCCCAAATATTATTCTTATCTTAAAATTGTAAAATAAATAAATTATTATCTTTAAATATTATACTGTAAATTATATCTCTAAACTTTATTACATTCATTAAATCTATATTCTTGGTACCAAAACTATTCCTAAAGTAATTCCTAATCTTATATCAAAGTTGTATATTTATATGTTTATATGTATATTATAATATGATATTATTACCATTGAAAAATAACAATATATTCGACAAATTTTCAATATTCTTTTGGATCTTGATAAACAACAATTGTTTATTTATCACCAGTAAGTAAATTCCATATAATTGATATTAGAATATATTTAGCTAAATCTTAATAATAATACAATTAAAATATTTGAATGAAAATCTAAACACGAATGATTTCAGTATTTGAGGTAACTCACAAACTGATAATATTTGATTGAATACTTCTCCAAATATCAATGATGGAAAAGATCGATAGAACCACTGATTTGTCATTGCTATAAACAATCAAAAGGTGGGTAATTATCCCTTAGATTATTTTTTTACAACACCTAGGTTTCTAGTGGAATGAGACAAATGATTTTTCTTACTAGGTGAAAAACACTTTCAAAAGGTCCGAGCTGCATACTCCCGGTGAGAAACAACACTCCACTGATCCGTTGAAATCTAATTTTAAAAAGATCCCGAGATCTAGAAAAAAAAACGACAATGATCAATAATACAGCAGCAACAAAAGCAACACCATATAGAAAATGGCATTAGAATATGAAGTTTATTTGACAAAATTCAATTGAATCACCCTTATAACTATATGTTGGTGTGGCCTGCTAGTATTGAAAGAGTATACATACTAGGTAATAGATGATATCACCCACCAACATCAATATTAATATTTGAAACAACAACTTGAAATAAACCTTTTTTTTAAAAAAAAACAAGATATACAATTTATTTATAAACTACAATTGAAAAAGAGTAAAGAGTTTACTTTACTTTACTTTCTTGCTTTACGTGAATTCATTTGTTTCATGTTGAACAGCATGGTGGCAGTTTCATCGTTTCTCTGTGATTGACGTTGACGATAACGATCTTCTTCAGAGAGATTGGAGTTGAATGATTCTTTCTGGATGTTGGTGGTGAGTGTTGTTTCGAGAGTTTGTGCTTGTTGTAACCAAACTTGTGCACTTTGTTGTTGTTGTTGGAAATATTGTTGTTGTTGTTGATTGATGACTGGAGATTGCATTTGTTGTTGCTGTTGATGAACGATACGTTTCATCATGTTGGCAGACTGCATGTTTTGAGCACGTGATTTGTTGTAATCACCGGTGGCAGCTGTCTTTGAGCTGTTTTGAACCATGTTGATACCGATCTCTTCGATCTTGGCGTGTTCCTCAGCCAACTTTTGTTCTTTGGTGGTTTCCTGTGTCATTGTCATCACACGCAAACACTTCATTCCTTTCAGTGTGGTATAGGTGATTTGCAACTGGAATGGCAATGACTTTAGTGATTCATCTATTACTCTATCGGGGATGGTACCATAATCGAATGCTATGATAGTCTCTCGGTTGACATTACCAACCTCTTTGGAGATTGAAGATTGATTGACAGTCGGTGCCAGTGGATCTGAAATGTAGAGACCACGATGCAATCTAACTTTAATGGAGCAATGTGTTGCAAGTATTGGGAGTTCCAAAGCAGCTTTGAATTCTTCTTTAATCTTTAGTGGATCAACGATATCTACAGTTCCATTGGTCATCTCGGCAAGCTGACCGATTTGTTCCAACTTGGTGTCGGTTCCCTTGATGGTGAGAACCGAGACAGTGGTACCGTTCTTCTTGGCGATTTCACCGATCTCATTGTAGAATTTGGCAGATTCCAAAGATTTCCAACCTTCTAGAGAACCGATACCGGCGTTACTGAGACCGTCGGTTGCAACGACGATGGTGGAACCTGGGACGGCAGCAGTCATACCGACGGCAACTGCAATAGCTGGACCGAGTGCAGTGTTACCGTCAGCATACATGGCGAGTACTTTCTTCAAGAGCATCGATCTGGTCTTGGTAATCGGTTTATTCAGAGTGTGCTGGGCACCGTGTGCAATCAATTTCTCGGCATTGTGCAAATCGTCACCTGATATGGTAATAGGCTTCTGGGTGCCATCACCGATAATCAATACGTTGGCATTGAAAGCAATGATAGCAACACGACGGTTTGGAAAGTCTTTCGCAAGTGCTTCCAATTGTGATTCGATACCGTATTGTACACATTGAAGACGTGAGATGTCGAAACTCTTGGATTTGGCACCGTGATGATAGACCGGCTGTGGTAGGTTGTAGGTACGTTGCATACTTCCAGAGATATCCAAACAGAATACAACGAGTGAGGAATCTTGGTTGACTTCAACGGTTGGAGTGTTTTGATTGAAATTATTGTTGTTGTTTTTGGTAATGGGAGCTGGCTCGATTACATAGTCAATGATGTTTGACTTTGGAATCTCTTGGTCGTGCAAATTGAATGGAGTTGGCTCACCGCAGAACTCACAAGTCCACACTCCATCTTTGACACCTCCACCGGTTGCTATGTTCTTGCTGGTGGAACCATCGGCATTCTTTATCTCTGTGAAGTTATTGATGTGACTGTAGATGACATCACAACCCTTACAGTGCAATGGATCACCAGTTGCTATGGTTGGTTCATTGGAAAGAGTACCCAAATTAATATTTAAAATATTGGTATTGGCTTTCTTTACTAATTTCTTTTCTTTTTGAGCTACTCTTTGTTGTTGTGGCTTTCCAAATAGATATTGTGGTTGTGGTTGTGGTTGCGGTTGTGCAAATGGATTATATTGTGGTTGTTGTCCAAAATATATTCTTTGTTGTTGTTGTTGTGGTTGTCCAAATAGAAATGGTTGTTGTTGTTGTTGTTGTTGTTGTTGTTGTTGTTGTTGTTGTTGTGGTTGTCCAAATAGAGATTGGAGTTGTGGTTGTCCGTATGGCACTGGTATTTGTTGTTGTGGTTGTTGTTGTAGTGGTAGTCCGAATGGATCGGTCAGAGTATCATCTTGTAAATTTACAATTTCATTCTCTAAATAATTAAAATATAAGAATAAAAAAAAAAAATAAAAAAATAAAAAAAATAAAAATAAAAATAAAAATAAAACTCTGTAAGTGAAAATCCATTATTTAAAATTTCTGGTGCAATTTAATAATCATACCTATTTCCATCTCCTCATATTCATCTTTACCAGTGTAGCAATAGTGTGATCCAGCATTCATTTTTTTAAAGTTTAAAATTTAACAAATAAAAGGTACAAGTAGAAAAAAGAAAAAAAGAGTTAAGTTTATTAATAAGTGTATTAGATTTTAATATCAATTTGATGGTTTGATTTTTGATTTAATGTTCATTGTGCACCTCCTTAAATAGTTTAATTTTCATCAAAAAAAAGAATTTTTCACAAATTTTTGAGAATCCAGAAATTTTCGCTAATTTTGCTGACATGAGCAATCACAGTTTTCACTGAAATTTTAGGTGTTACTGAATAAGCACCACCGAAGAAAAAATTATAGGTTTACCTATTTGGAGAATTCTATTTTAATATGATCATTAGTTATATGACTGTAAGTAATTCTGATTTTCAACATATAATATATAAAATATATATATTGATGATAGTATCGGATAGTTTCTTTTCTGGTTTTTGATCATTTTGATGAATAAAAAAAGATTTATATTCAAGCGTAAAATGTTGTCGTTTTTTTAGTTTTATTTTTTACATTTCTTTATTTTTAAAAATGTTAAGAAATATTATAAGGAGATATAATAGTAGTAGCTATAGTAGTAATAAATTAGTTTTAAATTGTAGAAATATAAATATAAATAGTAATAATAATAATGTTTGTTTAAATAGATTTTCATTTAATAATAGTAATAATATATTAGCAAATAATATTAGCCATCAATATTTATTATATTCAAGTTATTCTACAACAAACACTACTTTTAATAATAACAATAATAACAAAAAAGATGATATTAATAATAATAGTAGTAATGTTTCATTATTTGGATTTGATAAATATATTGAAAATGAATTGAAGAATCAATTCAATGTGTTGGAAGCAACCGAGATTCAAAAGAAGACAATCAAACCGTTATTGTCTGGAAAGGATTTGTTTATTGTAGATGAAACAGGTACTGGAAAGAGTTTTCTTCTAATGTCATCTATTGTCAATGATTATCTGAGGAACTATAAATTAATTAATAAACAATCGAAACAACAATCACAATATCTTTCACCAAACTATATAATTGTAACACCTAATCGTGAATTAGCATGGCAATACGGTGATTGGATTAGAAAGTTAACAGCGAACATTGGCAGTGAACAACAACAACCAGCGGTTGCAATGGTAGTTGGAGGACAATCGCTAAGTTCTATCTATCAGCAATTGAAAGAGATTCAACCGAATATAATCATTGGAACACCTAATTATATATATGAATTGCTGGTAGCCGAGAGATTGTCAATCGATTCACTAAGGATGTTGGTTGTGGATGAAGCCGATCTCATCATGCAAGCGATGTCACGTAATTCAACATTCCGAGAGAAACAAAATCGAAAGAAACATCTACCAGAGGGTGTGAAACTAATCATTGAAATAAACAAACGTGCTCGTTCTAGAATGGATTTCCCAACATCAACACATCAACAACAATCATCATCGTCAACAAAAGATGATAAGAAACAACAACCAACTAAACAACAACAACCATTAATAACAGATAAATCTATATTATCATTAATCAATCCATTAAATAAGAATACAAGACAACAACAACAAAGAAAAGTAAGAGAAGTAGAGGATGTAGATGAAGAGGTGAAACATATCTATCAGAGAACGGTTCGTTGGTTCCAAACTATATATGCTTCGGCAACGTTGAATCTTAGGAATAGAAAGTATATCGATGAGAAAGATTGGATCAATGAGGATAGGGTGTATGTGACGCTGATGAGTAAGCAGAAGGAAGATTTGGCGGTGCCACAACAGTTTACGAATCGATTCGTTCCGGTGGTGTCTGAACAGGGTTTGTTGAATGCATTGGTTAGCAAATGGATAGAGTTTCAACCGACAAAAGCAATAGGTGTCATTCCCAACGACGGTAGTGTCGACAAGGTCGTACAATCACTCCGTGAGCGTGGCATCAACGCTCGGCCACTGAACGAGTTTATGGATTTCGAAACGTTCAACATCACCGGTATCAAAGACCAAGAGAAACGACAGTACTTCAAAGATCAAATAGCTAGTGAACGTAAAGCGAAAGAGCATACCGTTGCAAAAGAGAGAAAAGAGAGATCAAAACAACAACATGGTAAACAACAACAACAACAACAACCAACTATAATGGAAGAAGATGAAATAGAAATAGTAAAGCTACCAAATATGAATGATCAACAGATATTATATATTGGAAAAGAGAATGCAATTCGTGGTGTTGATATAAGTAGCATTGGACATGTATTCATTTTGAATATCACATTGACCATGAGTTCCTATCTTCACATGGCAGGTCGTAGCGGTAGAATGGGTCAGAAAGGTCATGTCATTTCCATCTACAATGCATTGCTCTCACGTAAATACGAAGGTGTTATGAAATTATTAAATACACCATTCCAAGAAGATACCTAAGTTAAATTCAAATAAAATATATTCAATTAACTATCTTGTTGTTTAAACTTTTAAGTTGTTATTTATTCGTTTGTTTCAACAGATTTTATCTTGAAGTTGATCTATCTCTATCTCTTGGTGGTGATAATGATCTAGAGTCTGATCTTGATCTTGATCTAATTTGTTTCTTATTGCTTGTTCTTGGTGGTGATGAGGATGGTGATGGGGATGGTGAAGCTTCTCTTCTTGATCGTGGAGGTGTTGCAGATCTATCTCTAACTCTACCTCTTGGACTCGTCGATGAAGATTCTCTCTTGACTCTAGGTGGTGAGTTCGATGGTGATCTGTCTTTTCTTGTCGAGTTTCTCGGTGGTGTTGCAGAGGGTGATCTCGATGATGTTCTCTTTGAACTTCTTGGTGGTGTCAATGACTCTCTCTTCACCGCGCTGTTGTTACTGCTAACAGATTGTGGTGGTGGTGGTGATTCATCTCTACTATATTTATATACTCTAGGCGGGGTTGAAGATCTCTCTCTCGATCTATCTCTTGGTGGTGTAGGTGATCTATCTCTTAATCTACTATCATTACTGTCCTTAGTACTATCTCTACTTCTACTATCACTTCTACTTCTTCTCTTTTTATTATATTTATCATCTTTATAAGAATCTTTACTTGTATTATCCTTTCTACTTGATCTCTCTCTTTCTCTATCTCTATCTCTTCTATCTCTATTTCTTCTATCTCTTTCATCTTCACTACTATCGCTACTGTCACTACTACTGCTACTGCTACTGCTACTGCTATGATCTCTTTTACTTCTCTTTCTATCTCTTTCTCTTTCTCTATCTCTACCGTTATCTTTATCTTTTTTATCGATGTTTCTATCTCTACGATCTCTTTCTCTATCTTTTTTATCTTGTCTTTCCATCTCCTTCATTTGTCGTCGCTGTTCACGTTCCCTTTGTTCTCTCTGCTTTTCTCTCTCTTCATAGGCTTGCTTTCTCTTTAGTTTATGTTCTTCTTGTATCTTTTGATCTAAACTGGTACCGGGAACATAGCCAGCGGGCAATTTCAGTGCATTCTGGAATCGGAGATTCTCTGCGTCCTTGACGTGCTGAGCTTGATGTGTCTCGCTAAGATCAAAGGTATTACGCAGCTTCTCCACCGATGTAATATCGCCATCCTCTCGCTCATTGTCTCTCTTCAACTCCTCCCGCTTTTTCTGTTTCAATCGCTCTATTTCATCGTCGTCGTAGCCACTCTCATAGAGATTCTCTTCGACTGCCCATTCCTCGACGGCCAACTCTATCTTTCGCAATTCATTATGCTGAATGATCTCCAAGTTTGCCTTTCTCTGTGGTGCCAACTTTTGATTATCCGGTTGTTTGAACTGCTGTTGATTCAACTTTGATTGATTCTGTCGATTGGTGTTTACAAACGAAAGATTCCTCTGAACATATCCATTCGTACCAGAACCTCTTGGTGTTCTTAAACCAATTCCGTTATACATTATTTAACAATATTGTTAACAACTTTATATAATTATATAAATATCAAAATATATATAAATTAAAATCTAACTTTATTAAGTATTAAAATCTAAATAAATAATTAATAATAATGAAAATAAATTATTTTAATTGTTGAAAATTTTGTAATAGTTTTTTTTATTTTTAAAAATATCATCAATTTATTTAATTTCAAGATTTGCATTTGAAGATAATCGAATGGTCAGTTTAAATAGAAGTAAATGTTATAACTATTTGAGTTGTTTGTCTATTTTTCAATGGAACTATAATATTTGTAATTATCTGATTAGATCAGACGAGACCACTATAATAATGGTGGTTGAAGTAATTAATTACTTGTTACTCCTAATTTCTTGATAGTATTATTGTCAAAGAATGAATAAAATAGATCATTTACTCCTCCTCACAAAGTATAAATAAAAATAGATAACATATCTATGTCATAAGAGATGTATTTTTAATTTAGCTAACAACTTCTTGGAAAAATAAAAAATAAAAAAATTTGATCATAAAAAGGGAGCTTTTTTTTAATACTCTCCCTCAAATCGTCAATGATCATATATATTAGAGATAATTATTTATTTATACAGATGCTATAATTATAGAAATGGATCCATTACCACTTAGATTTAAATATTTATTTTTAGAGGAAAAAGATCCACGTGGTTTGATAGATGTTATCAAAGCAAGAGAGTATGCAGCTTTCATTTCAAAGTTGGCACTTCGTCAACATGAAGAAGAGGAGAAATATACTGAGAAATCTAGTAGCAGAGAATCGGAATCATTCAACTATTCAAACTTTTATGAAATCCTATGGAATTTCCTTAGATCCAATACCTATCGCTATATTATCTTTGTTTTGAGTTTCATAACGTTGGATGTCTTTTCGCTACTGAAGCGATTGGTTCACAGAGTGGAACGACTCAATGTCTACGAGCAGCCGGTCTTCAATATGAGTTTGGAGATATTGATCGAGCTGAAACAGCGTGATGCCATTTCAAGGAAAATTCAACTGTACCGACTGAAAACCAACCAGGACGAAGGTATGCAACAACGATTCCAAGATTATGTGGATAACGTTTGTCCGTTGATGGATTGCTTTCCGGAGAATGTCCACCAGATGCCGTTGAATAAACACGTCAGAGTCGATTCAGACATCCTCTCAATGCTCACCTCGAAACCACAGGAAATCTATGTATCAGTTCCACACTACCAGCAATTCGTTGACCAATTCGAGATCTTCTCGAGACGTGTTCTTCGCAATGTAACTTGGAATCTCGGAGAGAGTTCGCGTGTGGTTGTCGCCGGTGGATCGGTAGTGGCGGCACTCACTATGTATGCAGGCTACACAGATTACCTGGCTTTCAGTTGGACACGTCGTATCCTTGGTAAACTCCTTCCACAGATCATTGTTAGATATATTATGGATCTGTTGGAACTCGATGGGAATTGGTTTGTTCGGGTGGTTCAAGATCATTTCAGTATGAAATGGTCGGAATCCGATATCGATTTGTTTGTCATGGCTACTTCACTCGACGATGCCAAAAAGCATATCAATCTGCTACTCCAAGAGATAACTCCATGCATTCCAGTGGACTACATGATTGTTCATACAGACCGATCGATTACCATTGCGCCAGAGTATCCTTATCGTCCCATACAGCTGATAACCTCGATACAGAACGGTCCACAAGATCTACTGATTCCATTCGATTTGGACTGTGTAGCGTTTGTCTACGAGCCAACCTACAAACATGTCTTCACGCTTGACCGTGGAATTCGTGCGTTCAATACATCGATCAATGTGATTCCAACACACCTGTGGCCAAAGAGTGGTTCGCGTGCATTCAAATACGAAACAAGAGGATTCCACCCACTGCCATTCTACGATCCAAAGTGTATGCACAACACCGTTTGTTGTGATCACCGCTCCGATTTGAATCAATATAGACACAGAACGTTCTACAAGTCACACAGCTTCCCTTACCACAGCGGAATCGAAGCGGTCGAAGCCTATTGCCGTGAGAAAAAGTTGACCTATTTCAGTAGATTGGACACCAAATTCGAAGAGTATTTCAATAGTAAAATACAGTTTGATTGGAGCCATAATTACGATGCCGTTATTTGGAAGTTTAATTGCTATCAGTGTAACACCCCACTTCCTGAAGAGTTGGTAAGCACTGTCCATGTTCTGTGTGAACCTTGCAGACAGGTGAATGAAGACAAATGGAACCAATGGGACGAATTTAAATTCCATGATAAAAAGTATGCATTGGTTACTGGTGGACGTTCGAAAATTGGATTCGAAACAGTTCTCCGGCTGTTGAGAAGTGGAATCCATGTTATTACTACAACTAGATACCAACTGGTGACACAAGTTCGTTACGCAAAAGAATTGGATTACGAGAAATGGGCAGATCGTCTCTTTATTTTCATGGTTGATTTCTCCAAACAAAATGCAGTGGAGTCACTCGTAAAGTTTGTCAAGTCAAAATGTCAGAGACTGGATATTCTAATCAATAATGCCATCGTTGTAAATAGAACATCATCTAAACTCTCTGAATCACTTAGAATTTCAGAACAAAGAATGGTGGAATCGATTGTATATGCCAACGAAATGATGGATCAAGAAGATGATGAATGTAACAACAAGAAAACCGATGTAAATTTAGATCAAATGTTAGTTGGTGAAATGCTGGATAATATGTCAATAGATGAAGATGAACCATTTACATTTGAATCAGTTATCGATATCCAAAAGATCAATACAGTTGTACCGATTCAATTGATTACACAGTTAAGTTCCATTATGGGTGGTACAAGCAGTAACAATCAGTATTCATGTATTGTTAATCTCTCGTCGAACGGTGGAAGTAACAAAAAATCAACATCGAAACTCGAAGCGAGTGATCCTGGCAACATTGAATTCTTTTCAAACCTATCGGTTGCACGTAAACAACTTAATAGTATTACATGTTCATTGGCATCTGGATACCTAGCGAGACGTATCTACATTTGTGCAGTCGATCCAGGTTGGGTTGCAAAGAAAATTCCATATTCCAATATCCTATCGATAGGACCTTTGAAAATGCGTGATGGAGCATCACGTATACTCGATCCCATCTACAAACGATTACAAAACATATCTCAATATGAAAGTGGTGTATTATTTAAAAACTATATTCCTGTAAAGTGGAACAAAAAATAAATTATATTTAAAATTTGTTTATTTTCTAAGCTCAAGAAAGATGGAATCTGGTGATTTATATTTTACTCTTTCTAAATACATAGATACTAAAACAGATACAAGTGTAAGAAATTGTTGAAGAATTTGATAAAATTCTTCTTGATCTTCTTTGTTTTTAAGATTTTTCCTGAATTGTCAATTAAACTTCTCCAGAAAGGATCAAGAATTATTTCAGAGTTTAATCTTTTCATTGTAATTGAAGCGATATTTTTTATTTAAAATGATCCTCTAGTTTTAAATGTAGAGCGATGATGTATTCTTCTTTGATTTGATTGTTTTGAGAATCCAAAAAGTCTCTGATATTGGACAAATTGTGTGTTGAATATGAATGTCTAAATATTAAAATCTGCAGTCTTGATTAAAATAAAAGATTTAAATCAAATTTAGAATGAGTCGATATCTATTCTTTGTCCTCCAATAAATAGGTTTTCAATATGTTGTGGTAGATCTTTTCTATCGATGTAGTTCGTCATTGATAATGATTTCAGTGATTCAGGAAAGACATCGACTGATAATATTTGATTGAATCTATTTCCAAACACCAACGATTTCAGTGATTCAGGTAACACACCGACTGATAATATTTGATTGAATTCATCTCCAAACTCCAATGATTCAAGTGATTTAGGTAAAACACCGACTGATAGCTTTTGATTGAATTTACTACCAAACACCAATGATTCCAGTGATTCAGGTAACACACCAACTGATAATATTTGATTGAATTCCCAACCAAAATTCAATGATTTCAGTGATTCAGGTAACACACCAACTGATAATATTTGATTGAATCCAAATCCAAATGATAATGATTCAAGTGATTCAGGTAACAAACCGACTGATAATATTTGATTGAATCTAATTTCCAAATGATAATGATTTCAGTGATTGAGGTAACACACCAACTGATAATATTTGATTGAATTTACTACCAAACACCAATGATTCCAGTGATTCAGGTAACACACCGACTGATAATATTTGATTGAATTCCCAACCAAACTTCAATGATTTCAGTGATTTAGGTAATACACCGACTGATAATATTTGATTGAATCCAAATCCAAATGATAATGATTCAAGTGATTCAGGTAACAAACCGACTGATAATATTTGATTGAAATAATATCCAAACACCAATGATTTCAGTGATTTAGGTAAAACACCAACTGATAATATTTGATTGAATCCACCTCCAAACTCCAATGATTCAAGTGATTCAGGCAACACACCAACTGATAATATTTGATTGAATCTAATTCCAAATGATAATGATTCCAGTGATTTAGGTAACACACCAACTGATAATATTTGATTGAATTCATCTCCAAATACCAATGATTCAAGTGAGTCAGGTAACACACCAACTGATAATATTTGATTGAATCTATTTCCAAATACCAATGATTTCAGTGATTCAGGTAATACACCGACTGATAATATTTGATTGAATTCATCTCCAAACTTCAATGATTTCAGTGATTCAGGTAACACACCAACTGATAATATTTGATTGAATTCATATCCAAACACCAATGATTCAAGTGATTCAGGTAACACACCGATTGATAATATTTGATTGAATTCATTTCCAAAATTGATCTCAGTGACATTGACGGAGGTATTATGAAATGGAGTATTTAAATTGAATGTAATTATCTGATTATTGGTGATGGTTTCAATATATTGGTTTAATAATTGATTCAATGATTCTCTATTCTTTGGACTCTGATCCAACAATCGGTGTATAAATTCAATCAATTGTTTTGAATATCTGAATTCTGAAATCTTAATTTCACGTTTAGTTTGGTATAATTGATGATTATTTCGATCATCTTGATGACTGATCAATTTAAATATTCAAAAATAACTCGTTAATATCTGATTGATAATAATATTTTAAAAATGATTATTCGAGTATTTACCAACATAATAATTTGAGAATTGTTGATCCAATTGAAAAGATGTCACATGATTGTGCATATTGTCTGTTCATTGCTTCCTATTTGTTATTATTTTAAATAAGTTAAAATTATATTGAAAATCAAATAAATAAAATTTACTTACTGGTGAAATATAACCAATTGTTCCACGTGTTGCATTTATATTTGAAATGGTTGGCTCCGATATTTCATGATCGATAGTTTTTAAATTAAAATCATTTGTTTCAAAAGTATGTTCTTTTGTATCTTGATATTCAATGATTGTTGATTGATCAATGAATTTACAACATCCAAAATCACCAAGAATCAAAGTACCATAATCATCAGATTCATCAATGAATATATTTGATGGTTTAATGTCACAATGAACAATTCCATGTTTATCAAGATCCAAAAGAATATTGAAAAGTTGTGAAATATAATTACTGATATATGATTCTGAAAAGATTCTATTTTTATATTCAATATAAAAGTGGTTAATTGCTTGATAAAAGTCATGTTATTTAATATTTGATATATATATAGATTTATATCAGTTAAATGTTTATACTTTTGGGAAAGATCACCACCACCACAATATTTAGTGAAGATATGAAAGATTTGATTGTCTTTATCATGATGATAGTCAACAAGTTGAACAAATCTTGGATTACCTTTGAGTAATTTCATTGCTTTGATTTCATTCTCAGCTCTTTCATAAGATTTTTGATTATCTTTATAATTTATCTTTTTATAAACATACTTTTGAATTGATTTTGTTAGTTTTGCGATTGTCAATTGATTAATTACTATGAAAAATGATGTCAATCGATTCAAATTGATCTTACCAATCTATGATTATCAGTACCACACACTAAATATACATCATTGATAGCATTACTGTTTGTAAATCTTGATATTGAATGATATCGTTTGTTATTAATCATATGAGATTGTTCGAAATAGTTAAGGTTGTTTTTGAGTATATTGTTTTCAAAATTGATTGTGTATGATTGTGATTTGTTTAATAGCTTGACACATATGGATTTAAAATGTAAATTTACTGCGTCAGAATCTATTATTATTAATTGATATTGAGTATCGACAGTATCTGGTATTACAATCTCATTATTATTTCGATTAATATTTCCAATTAATGTGATATTTGTGTGTTGTTCATTTTCTTTATCTTTCAAATGATTATAAACTAAAACTATGAATTGGTGAGAGTATTTAAAATTAATAAATTTCAATACATTTTTTCCATTGATTAATTTATCTGTTTGCTCGATATTATTCATTTTGAAGTATTTTTATAATTCATTCATTCCAAAAATAAAAATAGTCAAGTTAAACTAAAACTTTGATTTTATTGTCGAAATTAATAAAAATGAATTAGATAGCACTCTTTTTTTTTTCCAAATTTTTTTTCCAGAATTTGATCAGTCCCTGAGTATTATCTTTTTTAAAAAACGTTACACACACCCAGACATAAATAAAAAGGGTATTTTTAATTTAAGTTTAAAATGTAATTTTTTTAACAATAACTTGTAATGTAGACGGTTTTTAGTTAAAAATAAATTTTAGTATTAAATAAATTTACAAATTATTATTTTTATTCATTTGATTTCACTGTCATCACTTTCATCGTTTGTGATCAATCCGATCTGATTTGTAACGATAAGTTGCCAAAAGTCATCACGATTCTTTGATTCGTAATAATCACGAAGTTCACCTGAATACCAGTGATTCTGATTCTTTGGTAGATCCACGACGAAGTTCAACGACACACTCCAATGCCTTCTAATAGAATTGATCTTTGAGTGAATCGTTTACCAGTTGAACAATACGTTGTTTCATTAATGATATCGCTTTGTCTACCAGATCGATATCACGTCTTGCCAACATATCTTTGAAGTTCTGCACGGGATTGATCGAACCGACTTCATTGATGTAACCAAAACCAACTTGTCGAGCGAGTAATCTGCAAGATCGTCTGCATTTCTCCTCTTCGATGCGTTGGTATCGTCTGTCACATAGGAATCCAAACGAATCTCTTGTTGTTGTTCGACCAACATTCCATCTTGCCATCGATATTTCGGTTCCGATTTAAAGTTGGTGATTTTCGTGAGTGGAAACAGTGTTTGGAAGTTCTTTATTGCATCTTGTGCATTCTCCATAATCGCTTCATCCGGATTGATATATTTCGAGATGATCGGATCGAGTTTTGGAAGTTGTGATTCCGGATGAAGTGCTCGATCGTGCAGACACTGGTAGAAGTATTGCAGTGATGCATTATATGTGAACCGTGGACGTAGTGCTGCTATCTTTTGGTGACAAGGAATGGAAGTTGACAAACATAGAGACATTCATAGTTGGCTTTGATATGTGGATATAGCAATGCAATCGATGCTGAACTTCCGTTTCTCTTGACATAACGCGCCAGTAATGCTTGTTTGGTTTCAGCCATTCCGTGGATCAGTGACGACAGTGCTGAACAGGCAACTTTATCGGCATGTGGTGAAACCATGATCTCTGTCGATCCTTTATTATGACAAAAGTCAAATAAAAGATGATTTATATTTTATCTTATTTTCATCTCTAAAGTCTAAAGCAACTGATAGAATTATAAATAGAAAATTATAATATTTATAATTAGAATAATAACAAAGTAAACTAATTTTTCAAAAGATGTTATTGAAAAAGTTATAACGTTACCTCTTTTTTTTATTTTTGATTGTGATAAGTTGAACAAATCAAAAGCATCAGAAATATCTTTGACCTATTTTTTATTTTTTATTGTTCTACTTTTGTATTTTTTATAATTAAATAATAATAATGAAATCAAAGAAAACAATCAGAAACAATATCAAATATAAATATTATATATCTATTTTTATTGATAATATCAGGTAGTGGTGCATCACATTAATATTTATTATATTCAACCAAAAAGTATAATAGCAAAAATAGGTGATCAAGAGTAATGAATATTAAATTAACTTTGAAGTATAAAAGAATGAATATCATACTTACTTATTATATAACAAATCAGTTTTTTTAGTTGCCACTTACTTGTTGCACACGTCGACCCAATCATTTCTCGTTTGCAGCAGTTGTAAATCGCGATGTATGCGCGGGTCGTACTTAGAACACTCACTTTGTCATCTATTTAGTGAAATTTAACTTATCTATCTTCCGAATGGAATTCTGAGTGAAGTCGTTCATTAATTGAATCGTTACAATGCACTAAAGTTAGATCCCAAGGAAATGATCGGTTCGACAAGAGAAGATCACGAACGTTCTGACACTATTCAGTGTATTTAACCACTTACCACTTGTTTATCCATCCATTCATTTTCTTCATATACCGATTCACCAAAGTCATCAACTCTTTGATCAATTGTAAGTATAGCTTGTAACTGACAGCAAGGTAATGAGTCTACTGTTGGTCTATAACTAACCAGTCATCTTTTTTAAATATTGTCGTGATCAATGATCTTTTTTATAGTCAGATGGAATCAGATGAGGATAAGATAATAGATCGTTGAATTAAATTACTTCCGTTAGTAATGGTGGTGGGACAGTATCGGTGAATTGAATGTACATCGCGCCGGTGATACCATCAGGTCCAGGAGCGTTGTATTTATCTCATAGAGTAGCTGAACATGGAAAATAAGGTGCTTGGTCGAGGTGATCGGTGAACCTCTGGACAGTTACCTAGACGTTGCATCCGTGCGTAATTCATTGTTGTCAGCATGTATGAAACGCCTCTTAACGTTCCCCATCAGCATTTAGCAGTTGGTTAAGACAGGCCTTTCTCTAACATACTGCTGTGAGTTAGGTGGACAGCAAGTAGACAGGATGTCATTAAGATGTTTATTTATCCTATTAGAGACATCCTGTGCAAGCTTGTTTCGTTGACTAGTTTGGATCACACACACGATGTTGTTTTTGACTTTCAACCATTTTGTGCAGTTTCACCCACTAGCATGCTCATGATGATATGATCAACAATGCACTGCTTGGCGTAGTTGAGCGTATTGACAGCTGGACTTTAAGAGGATAGTGGTCTGGAATTGTTGTGCCATAGACGAGTGACAGAGGTGCCAGCGGCAACCATCGATTGGTTAATAATATTCTATCAAACTTTTAATGGATGTTGGTAGGAGGTAGCGTGTCAACTCATTTTCACTTAGGTGCGTTAAAAGCGAGACCCACATCGATCATACCGTGCGTAGTCGCAAGAGAGTCTACAAAGAACGCGAAGTCATCATGGTCATCAGATCGTGACCAATAAGGATCACACAAGGATTGACAATTAAAGTCGCCGGTGATGACGTCGATCTTGGTGGACAGCAGGACATCTATCTTAGAAATTTTATTGACGAATTTGTTTAATGGCATCACGGTTGGCAGTGGCGCAGATGGTATGAATATTAAACGTAATACCATTATGAGTGACACATACGAGTAGGAAACTCCCGCCAGGTCATCCATTATGGTTTAGAATTATGTTGACGATTTTAACGATCTCCATACCAATGCGTCTACATTGGCACAGGTGATAGAGTCTTTCCTGTATTTATTATACCCAAGAGAACTTTCTTCAGCACCTACATTAAACCGGATATCTACAATGATTCTGACTCCTTTCCTTTTGACGAAGCCACTCTCCTTTGAGTTCCTATTTCCTATAGGAATTTGCTGAACTTCCGACAGGAACCTCAGCGAGTCAACATATTGGATGGCGTCAGTACATGCGACACCTCTGTAGTGCATTCAAACGTTGGTAGTGATAAATGTAAGTCAACACACACTTCAAGGAGATCAAGTATCAGTGCAAGTTCGACATCATCAAAAAGCAAAAAGATGTGGTAAACAAGCTTAAGACATTAAGACTACTGAGATACAACGGTCTGAGTTTAATTCTAGAAGATTAACAGAATACGAAGATAAAACAGCTATATAGATTGAAGATACAAATAGGTAGATAGAACGAATAGATCAAACCAAATCACACTCTCTTATTTGCTTTTCATTCATTGTAAATTAAATGTTACTTTTATTTTTTTGGTTTATAAAGTTGTTTTTTTATATCAAAATAAACACTGGTGTAATAATAATAAAGTATAGGAGATGCAAATTACAAACTATTTATTGTTGTTGTTGCAACTCATTTATTTCTAAACAACTTCATATGTTATAAAGAGAATTCTATTGGCAACGGCTGCTGACTCATATGATCAGAGACGAAACAGTTTTTATAGTCATTTATGATCTATTGTTATATTTTAATATTGGTATTACTATCGTATTTATATATATGAAGATATTGAATATATAATACTTACGTTGATAGGTTCTAGAGGAAGAGATAATTATGCAGAGGAGTGAATATATAGGTTGGGATAAAATTTATTATAAATTGTAATAAAGAGTATAATTTATTAGAAGAAACAAGTATAAGATTAAATTTTTTATTAGTAATAATCAATTTAATTGATTTATTTGATGAATATAAATTATTGTTGTTTTTAATATTCATTTTAGCTCACTATTTATATCAATTCCATTCCATCAGATTATCCAGGTGGCTATCTTTGTAACTCCATGGATAGTGGCTTATTTAGTGGTGAATGTAGATTTGTCATATTTCTATTGGTTACTTTGTAGGTTGGAGAATAGCATTATTATTAATGATTTCTTTTTAGTTAGTTGATTAGTATTGAAATAATATAATTTCTAAAAGTATATTTTAGAACAATTGGTCAGAAAATTGTAAATATAGCTTGTGCTTGTTATCGACTTTAAGTAAGGTAATGAGTCTATATCTAAGCATCTGAGGATAAGATAAAGATTTGGTGAGTACTTCCGTTAGCATGGTGTGACAGTATCGGTGAATTGAAAGTGCAGTTACCTACAGGGCGAATCCGTGCGTAATTCATTATCAGAAAGGAAAGAAACACCTCCTAACATTCGAGAACAAATTGCTCTAAAAATAAACAATTAATTTTAATAATCTACTTTGAAAGAAACATTGAAAAAAAATCAACAATATTTTTTGTTATTTAACTATTTATAAAAACATTTATTTAGATATTTTTTGTTGTGAATATAAATTAAAATAAAATAAAATAATATAGAATAAAAAAGAAAATATAATATAAAATATAAATATTTATATATGATATCTATTCGACATGTTTGTCTATGTCCTTGAACTCGGTTTTCCAAGTGGAAAAACCAGAAGGTTGCCATTCAAATAAGACCAGATGAGGCTGACCAGGTCCTAATTGGAAATAGTTAATAAAAAAAAAGAGGAAATATCATAAATATATTAACATACTTGTTCTGCATAGGAAATCAATGACTAATAGTGCAACAATATCAGATCGGAAATGAAACGTAAATTCGGTGTTGTTTGCCACACTAGTGTCTTCTCTGTATTCTGGTGGATCGATTGGGTCACATTGTAATCCATGATTTGGTATTGTAGCTTGTGTATGGTGCTTGTAGTTGGCGAAAATGTTTAGGACTCTTCTTCTTTGTTCTTCGTCTAGTTCACTATATTTGAATCTAATTTTGAAAAGAATAGAATCTTCATTGAGTATGTCAGTCATTTATATATGTGAACAAATATTTATTTCAAAAATTATATAGTTTAAGTGTAAATACTTACGATTTTTTTCGAAACATACAACTTTTATATTTAAAAAGTATTCAATTAAATTGATAAAAAATAATAGGAAAAAATAAAAAATAAAATACTAATAATTTAAATAGATACATATCAATAAAATTTTTTTTATTATTTATCCACCTTCAGTTTTATAAAATTATAAAATGAATTTCTTTAATTTTGTTTATATAGCCATTCATTTAATGTTAATTTTATTATTATTTATTTTATTTTCTTCATTTCCTTTTTGATCAAATCGTGTTTGGTATTTATATCCTCTTTTAATCTAGGATGATTTCTAAAAGTGTTTACAAAATTTAGATGAATAAATTTGAGTAATTAAACTATAACAAAAATTTTTGTTTGGATAAGTTCAACAAAATAAATGAATAGGTCAAGTGATTTAACTAATATTAGTTAAATAATGAATATTACTTTATTTCGAGCAATAACCTTTTAATATTTAATTATCTCTCAAATTGTCTATTATTTCTTTATTATTGATATTTGTGGTAATGTATGTGGAGTCAATATTGTCGACAATCAATCAATTGATCCTAATAAAAATACTACTACTACTATTGTTATTACTGTTCGTATTATTAAATGATGATTTAATACCACTCATGAATGAATATTACAATTACTATTACTTTTATTTTTGGTTGTGTATTTTGTTGGTGTTTCAGTGTTTGAGTACTGTTTTCGATGCAGACGTTATCAGTTGTTTACTGCTATTGGGAATGGGTGGTGCTGATTTTGAAGTAGTTTTTGCACGTTGTTGCTGCTGTCGTACCACCATTATTATTATTATTATTATCTGTGGACGAACCAGACAGTGAATGCTGTCTTGTATGCCGTTCGAGTATGGAGTGTTCGATTCTATTGAGATGCTTCTCGAATTTGACCTGACGACGTTGAAAAACATCGATTTTATCGATCGTTGCAACTTTTTGTCTTGATAACCGTCAGAGTAACAAGTGGCCAAGTTCACCTTCAGAGTGGCGATAGCTTATAACTATATGATCTGACCTTCGATCTACTACAATCTACTGGAGATTCACGCAAAGGTAGATTCATCGATCAGGAGGTGTAATCCGAATGTTTGGCAATCTTGGCTGACCACTCGATAATAATAGGTCTGCTATTAGTCAATGGCCAATTCTGTAAAGTGCTACACCTCCACCAAACTACTTCTGTTCGCTGATGCTGATGCATAACCTTGGCCAACCTTTGACGAGCTGGAATCTAGATTAGTCATTGATTGGTTTTACTTGTTCAAACACTGGCTCCTCTGCAGAGATCAACCAGTTCAAATGTACTGTAACTCCTCGGAGGTGACATCGACACTACTTGGTCCATCTTCACTGTCTCTACTGTACCTTGGAGTGATGTTCAAAAGCAGTGACAGTCTCTAAGCTGGCCACCGATCATTAACATAACCAAAACTGACATTACTTTGTTCAATCTCACTTCGATGTCACTCAGGGCCAAGAAGTATGAAATTCCATCATCAAATCATTTATAAATTCATGCAATGAATTGTACAAATCAACTAGATAAGAGTTGAGCATATTTGTGAATTCTGCAATAGTAGGTTGATATAGAATCGTATTATCATTACTTAATTTTTCAGTTATCTGGTATACAGTTGTCTGTCAGTTTACAGTTGCTATCTATGTTTGCTGATAAAAGCAACACCACTGGTATTAGTAAGATATTTGATAATACTGACACTATACACACCAATAATACATACACATTATTTACAACTCTCCAAGTGGTTGGTAAACTCTGAATCGACATCTTTACAGCTTATTTATACGTTTATTTGTTCATTTTCTATCATCTTTTTTTTTCAATATCTATCTAGATAGCTCGATAGTGATGAATGAAATAGGAATGATCATTCACAGATTTAATTGATGTTCAATGATGTGATTTTTCAAATGTACTCACCATCAACAAAATAGATTTTATGTAAAAAGAAAGATCATATTGTAATTACAAAATCTTTATCATGATCCACAAAAAAAACTATTTTGTGTCAAACTATCAATAACAGATTAGATCTAATTTAAAATATTGACTTTTCTTTCATATGATCGATCAATAACATCTATTTTTACACATTATTCAATAATCTCTTATTATTTTTTTTACATCCTTTTGATTGTGCTTGAAAAAAAAATGAAAAAGGAAGACAAAATTACATTTTTTTAATTATTTGTTTTATTTCATTTTAAAGATAAGGCGTTTTTTTTTTTTTCATAGCTTTTTTTGCAATCTTATGCGCATTATTTTTGCAAAATGCACACCGACTGATAATATTTGATTGAATTTACTTCCAAACACCAATGATTTAAGTGATTTAGGTAAAACACCGACTGATAATATTTGATTGAATTGATCTCCAAACTTCAATGATTTCAGTGATTCAGGTAACATACCAACTGATAATATTTGATTGAATTCCCTATCAAATACCAATGATTTCAGTGATTCAGGTAACACACCAACTGATAATATTTGATTGAATTCATTCCAAAATTGATCTCAGTGAAATTGACGGAGTATTATGAAATGGAGTATTTAAATTGAATGTAATTATCTGATTATTGGTGATGGTTTCAATATATTGGTTTAATAATTGATTCAATGATTCTCTATTCTTTGGACTCTGATCCAACAATCGGTGAATAAATTCAATCAATTGTTTTGAATATCTGTATTCTGAAATCTTTATTTCACGTTTAGTTTGGAATAGTTGATGATTATTTCGATCATCTTGATGACTGATCATTTTAACACATTCTTGAAACAAATGATTTTAATTTAAAAACTATCGATCATGAAATATCGGAGTTTTGGAAGTTGTGATTCCGGATGAAGTGCTCGATCGTGCAGACACTGGTAGAAGTGTTGCAGTGATGCATTATATGTGAACCGTGGACGTAGTGCTGCTATCTTTTGGTGATCTTCATCTCCTCCTCAGATGTCATCAAGTCCATCGAATAGATCAGTGCTCATGCAGCATCGACTTGTTCCGCTGTTGGAATGTATGGTTTTCTTGTTGCCGGGTTGGTGGGTTCGTCGGTGGGAATTGATATTGTTTCAAATCGTCAAGGAATGGAAGTTGACAAACATAGAGACTTTCATAGTTGTGGATATAGCAATGCAATCGATGGTGAACTTCCGTTTCTCTTGATATAACGCGCCAGTAATGCTTGTTTGGTTTCAGCCATTCCGTGGATCAGTGACGACTGTGTTGAACGGGCAACTTTATCGGCATGTGGTGAAACCATGATCTCTGTCGATCCTCTTTTTTTTTTTTTTGATCTTGATAAGTTGAACAAATCAAAAGAATTAGAAATATCTTTGATCTATTTTTTATTTTTTATTGTTCTACTTTTGTATTTTTTATTAATTAATAATCAAATAATAATAATGAAATCAAAGAAAACAATCAGAAACAATATCAAATATAAATAACCGATTGCATCACATTAAAAATTTCTGAAAACTATCTAAATTAAAACTTATATATACTTTTAATTTATTCTTTTTTTAAAATACAAAACAAAACTAGCTCTTGCCTGTAATCGTAAATCAAATAAAATAAAAAAAAACACTCTGATCATATTAACCCTCTATTTTTAATTTTTACTTTTTTTTTAAAATTAATGTGCAGGCGAAAGTGGTTGGGAGCCAGTTTCGTTTTGTAATAGATCATATCAGAACCAAAAAAATAAACACATAAATTAACCATTTTTTGATTGAAGATCTTTGAGAATTGGATGGAATCTTTTATAACATTGATAAATAAGTCTCTCCCTGTATTCTTTGATCTCTCGGGTTAGTTGTAGCTTGCTCCGAACTTTATATTCTAAATCTACTAAAAATACTTTCTATTTATCTAATTTTTATTGAGGCTTTTTCACTTTTGTTATTTTAATATTTTTACATATTAATTTTTGTAATTTTCACTTTTTTTTCAAAAAACTAAATCTAATTTTTTAAATTAAAAAAAGTGAAATGACCTCATTTCAATCTAAATTTGATATTTTATTTTATTTTTATAATTAAACAAGTGCAAAACCAAATAATTCAACAAAATTACAAAAAAAAAATAAAATTTCAAAATTTTTCAAAATTTTTTACAAAAAAAAATTTATTTAAATGTAAAATTTAAAAGTAAAAATCAAGTTAGAACTTTATTTTATTATTCTCTAAAAGCTTTTTTCATTCCAAGCTGAATATCAATGTTTACAATATAGTTAACAACCAAGAAAGCCAAATCCAATTTTTCTTTTGAGCTCCTCCATGCCTTTTCAAAGCAATGGAATTTTTTAATTCTCCCAAAATAATTTTCTACAACAGCACGATTGGAATTGATAAAAGAATTTTCTGCTTTCTGTTCTGGTGTAAACGGAACTTTGACTTTCATAGTTTTGTTTGGGTTTCTTATTGATGGCTCTTTCCTTGACAATTTCTTATTTGGTGCAAAAATTCTATTTCCACCAATATAACCCTTGTCTCCCAGCATCCAATATGACGGAGATAGTAAATGATCAATTTCATTCCCAATAGACGAGTAAATACTGGCATCATGTTGACTACCAGGAAATGGACCTCTTAGTGATAGTAGTTCCCCCTTCAAACCTACTACAGCTTCATATTTATAGCCATGTATTTTATGTTTTGCTACAATTTTTAATTCTTAAAATTAGCTAAATAAAATTATTAAATTTATATATTTATAATACATACTACAATATAATGATTTGTACAAATATCCATCAATAGGTTTTGGGATTTGTAGAAGGGTAGTATCAACAGCACAGTTTACAAGTTTAGTTTGAATGGCATCACCAGAACCAAAAGAATACTCTTTAATGACCAAGTTATCTAGAATATTTGGATTCTTATCATATAAAAAGATTAATTTAGTTATGATTTTAGAAATAGAAAAGTTAAATTTATTACTTACTAATAGAACATCTTCTTTCAACTTATTTTTAAGTACAATATTAAATGCCACGAAACAATTGTCAACCCAGGTCTTAAAAGTTCTAACTGAGACTCCAAAGTTGACAGCATGTATATCTAATGAATTGTACTGCCTTAAATATACCAAGAACCAAAGTAAATGTTTTTCTTGAATTTGAAAATGATCTTTAATCATAGAATAGAGGTGGTCAAATGTTGTTTTGCTAACACCACAATAAATCTCTAATGTTGATAGATAAAAATTTATATCTATAATAGTATTCTTATTTAACATTTTTTCTATATTATTATTTTAACTATATACTTAAATAAATAAATACTTGGTTGTTTGTTTCACTTTTGTGAAGCTTCTATCGATATTATAATTTATTTTCACTCACGAATACTAATTAACACTTATTATTTTCATTCTAAATTTGTAGTTTAATTATTAAGATGATAATCTTCGATCTAACATGGTGAATTAAAAAAAACTAAAGTATATCAAAAATATATACATGCAAACATTGAAATCTTAATACATTTTCATATCTTTTCCTGAAAAAATTTCATATTACCACACAAATTCAACACAAGTAAAATTTTTTCATTATGGGTACCCCATTTTTGCACTTCAACCCAAATATTAGTATTGAATTCGTATATCTTTTCATGAATAAAAAAAGTACACTCATTAACCCCAATTTACCATCATTGACATAGTTTTTTGCTTGAAACCAAACACAAACATTTTTTTTTGCAGGCATTCTTATTGCCCTATTGAGAAATAAATAATGCACTTATTAATAATTAATACACTATTATTAATAAATTAATGTACGCAAAATAATTTGAAACTCCACTAGCTGGGATGGCTTAGATGATGGCTTCTTTAATAGACTTTAATCTTTCATAAAAGTACCCGATTTATTATTTAAAATTATTTGTTATTACATGCATGCAAGTAAACCTATTTTTTTTTAATATTAACATAACAAACACTGAAGTGAAAAGATTTAAATTTAAGACCATTTTCTTAAAAATAAATAAATTGTTAAAATATTTAAATATCTACATTTAAAACCATGACAGTTGTAAGTGTTAGAAATTTATTAAGTGTTTACAGTATTATTAATTAATTTTACAATCTATATAAAATAATTTTCAAACAAACAGTATAGTAAATACGAAGATAAACATACCAAGTTCTTCAAAGAAATGATAAAAAACAACCCAAATATCACATCCACTGATGGCTTCAAACTCTTTGAAACTAGATTTGGGCAAAACACAGGTTACACCAGGAATTCGATAATGGGAAAATTTAATTCAACCAAGAGATTCTCCCAATTGAATGTCAAGAAAACTCCTATAATCACAACTACTCCTGATGCATCACCTATAATCCAACCTGTTGAAGCTGTTCAATTACAAAATGTAACTCCTGACAAACATGGCTCAGCTGAGGGAAATAATTCCACCACTACTACGACCACTACTACTACCACCACCAATAGAAATCCACCGAGTCCTAGTATGTCTGTCCAAACTTCACCATCATTGGTTGGAATACCCTCTTTCTTGGATTCAGTCGAAGAAGACAACATGAACTTCCATTCTCCACTAGATGATCTTATAGAGGCTAACAGAGCAGAACTAACCTCAGCCTCATCTTCTCATTATTCATACCTCCATGGTGATGAGGTTTATGGGCCGATATTATTCGAACATTCCTCAATGGAAGATGGTAGGTATATTAAATAGTTAGAATATTTACAAAAACTAATATATATATATATTTTTCATTTAGAAATATTTAAGACGTACGTTATATTTCTACCAAAAATGGCAGGTGTTGAGTTTATTGGACCTTATTTTAATCCAAGAACGGACGAGGTTCTAGTGTCACTTAAAATCAATAGTTTCACAAGAAAATGCTTCAATCTTGGGGAGTACTCGGAGGAACTAGAACTTCCAAAAAGAGAATTGTAAAGGTTCCAGTCCGATTGGAAAACGTAATGAAATTGTTCAAGTTCCAATTATTAAAGAACGATCAGTTCTTCGTGGTTGAGTGCCAATGCGTCAAGTCCAACTTGGGAGTGACCTCCACTGTGTCTAAAAACAAAAACTATATTAAAAATAATAAAATAAAGTTCTAACTTGATTTTTACTTTTAAATTTTACATTTAAATAAATTTTTTTTTGTAAAAAATTTTGAAAAATTTTGAAATTTTATTTTTTTTTTGTAATTTTGTTGAATTATTTGGTTTTGCACTTGTTTAAATATTAATCTCTATTGCAAAAACCTAAAAAAACAAAATTGTGAAAAACAACCACCATCATTGAAAAAATTTAACATTTTCTAAGTTCAAGAAAGATGGAATCTGGTGATTTATATTTTACTCTTTCTAAATACATAGATACTAAAGCAGATACAAGAGTATGAAATTGTTGAAGAATTTGATAAAATTCTTCTTGATCTTCTTTGTTTTTAAGATTAGGAATGAATTTTTGAATAAGAAGGTTTTCATCAGTAAAATATTCTTCAAAACAAATATCCAATTCTTTTTCTATGAAATCAAAACATTCTTGATTTGACCAATTATTTTGAGTTTTCATAAAATGGAAACTATTCATTCTTTCATCTTTTTCTCTCAATTCCTTTTCATAAGAAAATACATCATTTTAAAGAGCACACATTTTTCCTGAATGGTCAATTAAACTTCTCCAGAAAGGATCAAGAATTATTTCAGAGTTTAATCTTTTCATTGAGAATATTATACCTAAAAAAATAGATGGCGACATCCCAATATTAACTCTTCTAATATTATAATATAAACTCATAGTTATATCACCATTTAATTTCTAATATTATAACCATTAAAAAATAAATAAAATATTAATAATTTAAAAAATTTAAAAAGAATTTATTTATAAAATTACCTTTATACTTTGCCACGGTACTAAATTTTCAAAATACTCTATGCAGGATGTTATAAATAGATTCATTAATGGATGTTGATCTCCGACTCTATCTTTTACAATCCGAAGGAAGTAAAATGCTAATTTTTCAAGTGGTGTAGCATTGGCTTCTAGTTTACCCAATTTAAAAATATTGATTGCTCTTTTTATAATTATGATACAAAACTCTTGCTCATTGGTATCAATGAGGTCGTCGAAAATCACAAAGTAAACAAAAAATTGGGTTCCTAACACTATTGCTTCTTGATCTAAAGCTAGCCATATATTTCTTGAAAATTTTGCAAGTCCTTGTAGTACCGTTCTATATTTTTCTCTAGTATCTTCATTTACTACTCCAAAATATTCCATTTTTTGATACACTATATCCGTAGGTTCATGTGGGTTCATTGGTAAAAACCAACTCTTTGGAGTTTTATCAACTAATTTTTTTAAAGACAACATATAGTTTTCTTTTATTTAGAAATTTCTGAAAACAATATAAATTAAAACTTATATATACTTTTAATTTATACTTTTTTTAAAGTATGATAGATTATATCAGAACCAAAAAATAAACACATATATTAGCAATATACATATGTAATAAGTCCAACCATTCCGATTAATGGTATAGCACCACAAACAACACCCAGTAACAAACTAATGGTTTGTCTTAACCAATATACATTCAATAACATCTCTTTCTAAAAATATCGATCGAACTAAGTATTAGTAATCACTATATTCATACATTTCCTCTATAAGAATATATAGAAAAACAAACATAAAAAAATTTTATCTGGGATTTTTAGAAATGACTGAGTTTTTATTTACGTGTACGAATTTTAAATGTGTTATCGAATGAATAAAACATTTTTTGATAATATCAGATATTGTTTCAAAAACTCTGATAATAACAACAAAGAAATATAAAACTTATGACAAGAATGGTGAAGAAGATAATAAAGTTACTTACTACATAGGTATATTAGATCAAACCAGGGTTGTTAATAATTATGTAATATTATAATATTGAATAAAAAATAGAAATTTGAGGTCCGACTAAAAAGACTTCCATAGTTAACTGGTCAAGGAGTACTCTATTATTAAAACAAAAAGATTAGGAAAAAGGATCAAAATCAAGTAAATAAGAAGCAGATCAAATTAAAGTAAGAAGCAAAGAAGTAGCCTTACAATACTAGATCAACTCTTGAGGTACTCTTGGTCAGAGTCTGTGCAATGCAAGTGATATTAAATACCAAGAATGTCAAACGAGAGAACAGTAGTTTTTCGTCATCAACTAATGTTTTTATTGATCAATTGGATCATTAAAATTAAATTTTAAATTATTCAAATTTAAAAAATATTTTAAATTTTTTTTTTGCAAAAAAAAAAAAAACGAACGAAACAAAGATTAATTTAAATGTTTTTTGGTTGAGCACACACGTCCTATATATTTAAAAATGAAAAGAGAAAGAGAGAGTGATATAAATGAATTAGAGGAAGAGGTAGAAGAAGTTGACGAAGAAGAGGTTGACAAAGAAGAAGCCGATGAAAATGGATTAGAGATGGAGGATGATGACGGTGATGTAGAAATGGAAAATGGAAATGAACAAGAAAATGGAGACAATGATGATGATGATGATGATGGTGGTGATGATAAAGAAATGAAAGAAAAACAACACGCTCAAAAAGAAAAAGAAAAAAGAAAGATGACAGAAAGGCTGGCAGATAGATTCATTAGAACGATGTCACAGACATTCATTCAATCATATAGCCATGGTCGTATATCAAGAGATCGTTTGAGAAACTACTACTTTGAAGCGATACAATCAATCAGTCACGAACAAATCAAAGAGTTGCTCTTCAAGGTGAAGGCATGGAATACCTTTTTCTACTTGGTGAGACAGTCACTCGAGTTCAAAGACGATGCCGAAACACAAGAAGAACCAGAGGAATTACAACAGCAACAACAACAGCAACAATCGGAAAAGACAGAAACTGGACATAAAAAATCAAAAGGTGTACCAGCTACCTCCAAGATTTCATACGACACAGTAAAGACTATCGATAATCTCATTCGTCTGAATTGCATAGGTGCAGAGGAATCACTAGAAGAGATTATCGATAATAATAATAACAGTACAAACAAAAAGAATAACAATAACAAAACAAATAATCTTTGTAAGTTAATAACCCACGTATATCTTTTAAAACTAATACTTTACTAATAATATTTCTTTTATAATAATAGACGAACAAATTATACTTAGCGACCAACAAACATCTTTAACAACATTAATTTTCAATCATCATATCAAACATCAGTCAACCTCCAACACTGTAGAGCTGCTTTCAAACCTTAACAACCTAACAATTTCATCAAACAAAGTATGTTTTATACATAGATAAAATGTATTGTTAACATTTTATAGATCTAAACTAACACTCAATCTAATTAATTAATTATAACAGATATATCATACCAATTATATTTCAAATATTACAGAGTTAATTTCAAATATTGATTATAAAAATATAAAGTTGTAAGTAAAAATAAAGAATATCAAAAAAAAGTTATAGATATTTAGCCTATTAACTAATTTAACTTATTAATCAAAATCTATATTTAAATTTAATAGAGTTGAACAAAGTTATGAACAGTTAAAGAAATACATTAGTAGTGCAGTACTACCGAATATCATAAAATGTGAAGAGAAATCATATGAGAGTAAATTTGTATTGTTGGCAACAGAGCTTTTGAAATTGTCTTTGGCTCTCAGTGCACAGAATAGCAAGCGTTCCTATCAAATCGATTATACCATCATCAATATGATGTTGGGTAAAACCAAATTCCTTGGAAAGCTTACCAGTATTTTGACATCGTTCGACTTTGGTGTTGCACCGTTCCTCGTCAATCAAAAAGATGGTATCATCTCAAAGTTAATCACCAAATTCATGGATACATCTGATCTCACTCCACCAAACACAGCTATCTCATATATCAAGTAAGTTACTACCATGGTATCATAAAAGAGAAGATGAAACAATTAAACTAACATGTTATATATATAAATAACACACATATATAGATCTAGAATTCTTTTAGAGAAAACAATTCAATTGTTTAACATTACCAAAGACTCTATGTTGTTGAAATTAAAGATTGCTTCGGCTTCTTTGTTACCACCACTCGTATTAATACAATACATCAACAAACATAAAGATCTTTTGTTCACAAAGACAACTTCATCACTCTCCAACAACGATATCGTTAAAGCATTACGTTCATCTAAAATGGATACAATCTTAAAGATTGAAGAGGTATGCATGCATAACTAACTTAATAATAATAATAGTAAAACAATTAGTATACTAATATATATTTATTAATTAATAGCACATGAATAATAATGAAGAAGGAATTGAAGAACCAAGTGATGACGATGAACAAGATGATGATGAGCTCGATATCACTATTAACAAGACCGGAAATAACAAAGATGACAACAACAGCGACGATGAAGAAGATGAAGATAATGAAGATAAGAAACCATCTGAAGAATCATCTAAACTTTTGGAATCATTATTAGATGGTCTAAGTGACGAAGAAGAAGAAGAAGAAGACGATGAATAAAAAAAAGAAAAAAAAAATAACAAATAATATAAATAAATAAAGAAAAACCAGATTACTATTTATTGGTCTCTAATGCTAATGTTTGTTTCGAGTCAAAGTCACTTTTCATTGTTTGTTAATGTTTATAATAATTAAATAAACTTGTATTGTTTAATGAAAAGAACAATAATTTAAAATGTATTGTTGTTATGCTATTATTATTTTTTAAGATTTAGTTACTTCAAAGTTGGCTACCTGCATTCTCTGGATTATTTAAATCGATTGGTTTGAATTTACCACTGGTTTCGAGTGATTCGGCTTGTCCATCGATGGTCTCGTTGAATTCACCTTCCCAGCCTTTGCCATTGGCGAAAATCATTTGTCCGAAACCAACGCGGAGATCGTCCACCCAGTTACCTTGGTAGACTGTGCCGTCAGCCCACTTGAACGTTCCGAATCCATTGCGTTTACCATCGCGATACTCTCCCTTGTAGTAGCATTGGTCTTCCATAAACTCTTCTCCCTCGCCGTGTGGCACAAAGTTTCTGATCTCGCCGATGTACACGCTGTAGCCGACACGCTTCAAAGTGCCGTGTTGACAAGCGCCGTTCAGCCAGACACCCTCGCACGTCCAGTCGTGAGAGGAGAACTTTCCAGAGCCATTCGGTGCACCGTTGACCCATTCACACTCGAAAATCTGGTCGTCGCTAATCAGTCGGCCAACTCCACTTCTCGTACCATCGACAAAGTTACCCTCGAAAATCGTTCCGTCTTTGAACGCCAACTTGCCAGCGCCGTGCCAACGTCCGTTTCTGTAGGATCCAAAGTACTCTAGTCCGCTCTTGACGTGCAGTTCGTGGCCGCTCACCAACTCGTTGTTCACCCACTCGCCTCTGATCTCGATGCCCTCTGTCAGCAGCAGTCCGGCACCGTGTCGCTGGTCGTTGAGCCACTCGCCCTCGTAGATCTCACGCTCCTCTACCATCTTACCGACACCGCTTCGTTTATCGTGCATCCAATAGCCATCGTAAGAACTGTTGTTTCTCCAAATATACTTTCCTGCACCCTGTTTCATTCCCAGCACAAACTCACCGATATAGACTTCGCCATCGACCGTCTCATACTCGCCAGGACCATTTGGCAAACCATCGTCAGTAAGTGCACCCTTATATTGTGTTCCTTTCTTTGATACCACTTCGCCACCTTTCGAATCCGGTGCCAACATATTGAGTAGAGCATTCGTGCTGTCATGACCGGAAGTCGGTGATATAACAGTCTCCATTGATGATGATGATGTTGATGTTGTCGATGTTGTAGATATACCATTCTTTAGTTGTTCCTGTTGATTATTGAAATCGGTTTCTAAATCTTCACCCATCTCTAAACTGCTGTCGGAACGCTCTGCATCACGAGGACTCTGAACGTTTGGTATTCTAGTTCTATGTAGTTCTTCACGTACTCTTTTCTCACCGCTGTGTCTCTCAAACAAGATCGATCTCTCTCTTGAAATATCGGGTACCTCCAATGTATTAATCAACGACTTTAACTTATCATTCGGTTGTATCTTTATGAAATCCTCTAAATTACTAACTCTAATACCACCACTACCAGAAGCAGTACTAAAATTACAATATTCATTTAATCTCTTTATTATTAAATTCGTGGAAACCACCATCATTAATATATACACGATAACATATCATAATCATAAATCATATAAACTAATACATACATTTAATATATTATTATTTCCTTTATCATTTTTATTATAACTATTAATATAATTTGATAATATTAATGGTTTATTTCTATTATAACTATTAAATAAATTTAAACCTTTTCTATTTGTAAAAAATCTTAATTGTATATTCATTTTTTTTATATTTTTTATAAATAAATATATAAAAACAAACTAGTTTTGTAAACAATAAAAGTTTGTATTATAATACCTTTAATATATATATAAAAAATATAAAAGTAATATTACTGTAGTGAAAATAATATTATTATTGTGTTTTTTATAAAAAATTAAAAAACGATGAACCAATAAAAACGGGTTTTTCGTTTGCAATGAGTGTGGTGGCAAAAGTATGATTATTTAACTTATTAATGATTTGTTGATATTTTTATACAAGTAATAAAATTATTTTATTTTATTTGTTTTTGTTGTTAATATTTTACAATTTTCATTTATATCTTAATTTAAATTAATTAATTAAATATTATATATATTTTATGCTATGTTTTTTTGTTGTTTGTTTTTTTTTTTTTTTGTTGTTTTAAATTTGTAACGATGCACTTGGAGTATATTTAATTATTGCGTTTCTAATTTCGTTGAATGCTTTGGTGTCGTCTTGAGGGAAACCTTTTGGTGATGAGAATATTCTTTCGAAACTTGCGATTCCGTCGAGTTGCACGAGTTTATTGGCGTAGAGCTCTCCTTTCGATGGACAGTGTTTGAAGACACTGGCGATCGACGAGAGAATCAGTGAGAGTGCTTGATCCTGTTTGGTCGGTAGCAAATTGCAGAGTATGGTGAATGCATTGAGGTCGATCATGACGTAGTTGATTTGCTCTTGGTTGCCGCCGTCGACCAAGTTGGAAACACACCACAATATCTCTTTTTGGAGATCGACGCGTGAATTGACCGAGAGCATCTGTATCAGTGGTGGCAACATCTGTGCGTCGATGGCCATCTGAATGATCTTTGTGCTACACGCAACGATGTTACTCATACTCCAAACGGTTTCCTTTATAATGGCGTTCTTTGGCGATTGCAACAGTTTCTTTAGCGCGGGGAATGGATTCATCGAGAGTACGTAGAGCGTCGACTTGTCGTCGCCCGTCACCAAGTTTCCAAAGGTACGAAGACTGGGCACCAACACGCTGATCTCATCGATGTTGAGCAGTTGTACGATCCTTGGTACGACGCCAGTCTTGATGATCTCGTAGATGTCTTCGTTGGTGGCGTCCGAGAGGTACGACATTGCCCAGAGTGCGTCGACCATCATCTCGCGATCCACCTCGGTGGCGATGATGTTTGCAATCACAGGGAGTGCTTCGCCGACCAGTGCCAACGATGGCTTTGGTTTGCCACGACACAAATTACTCACCGTCCAAATGAGCAGTCGTTTCAACGAGAGTTTAGCATTGGTCGCTCGCAGATATGTCAAGAGCATTGGCAGCACATTCGCTGCCAACACCAAGTCACGGTGTTGCGCGTTGTCACCGGCGATATTTCCGATCGCCCAGATTACCTGCTCCCTCAGACTCTCGTCATTCGACGAGACCAACGAGCAAAGACGAACCAAACCTCCACTCTGTATAATAAAAGTGACATACTTTGATGCACCCGACAATATATTGGTGATAACCCAGCACGATTCACATTGAATCGATGGTACCGTACTCAACAATAAATCCAACAATCTCGGTACAAATCCAAATGAAACAACTTCATCCAATGGTGGTGCATGTTCTAAAAGGTTTAAAAGTATTAAAAATGTTAATATCTATCTATTATAATCTTGATTTGTTTTATTTTGTTTTGTTTTGTTTTACATACCTAGTGAAACCATCTTTCTTAAAGTTGAACAAGCTTCACCAACAATGACAGGATCATCCATATAGATTTGCTCTTTCAACTTGGTAAGAGTTGCTGTTACTGAAGTTGATGTTGTCGATTCATTTAAACTTAATGCACCTATATCTATATCCATATCTTATTGTTTTGTTTAACTTTTTGTTGTTTAATCTTAGAGTAAATTTATTATGAATTTTTAATTGTTAATTTGAATTTTTGATAATTAAAAGATTCCACCAATTATTATTTTTTGTTCAATTTAATTGTTAAAAATAAAAGAATATGAAAAAATATTTTTAAACTAATAACTATAGTTTGATCAAAAAATGGTGTGTTTCCTTTCTTTTTTTTTTTACAAGAATTTTTTTATTGGTATTTTAATTTGGTGCTGAGACAAAAAAATTGAAAAATAAAAGAAAATGAAAAATAATTTGTCTATTTTTTACAAATATCTTTGGAATCTTTTTTTCTTGATCGATCACTAATCCCATATATAATTAATTTTTTTTTATTAGATCTTAAACAAAATATCATTTTTTCAAACTCGGAGTTCATTTTTATTTTGTGATAAATGGTTGTTCGACATAATAAAACTTGAAGTTATAATAGCTAACAACAAACATTGCAACTGAACATAAAAGACATAATAATTAAAAAACACACGCAACGTAAAATAACTTTTACAAAAAGAAAAATAATGTTTTTATTTCAAAAAATTCTAACTTATTGTTACTTAAAAAAAAGGTTAGAAGAAATGACAGTTAAAAAAGTTTTAAATTCAAATCTTTTTTTTTTTTTCGGACTTCAAAGATAAATTAATCATATCTAAAAAGTAGTTGTTAAACTTTTTTGTATTTTCAGTGGTTTGATTTGAATCGCAAACTACAAAAAAAAATTATCCTTTTTAATTAAAAAAAACATCCAATTTTTGCCCACACTTCATCCATTTTTCTTAAACAACAATGAAATAGTTCACTTTTGGGTTATGAATTTTCAAAAACGATTGACAATAATAATCTTAATCATAAAATCCAAAACACACCCAATATAAATCCACAAATTGTTCACCCTTTCCTCATTTTAGAAAAAAACTTCAAATTTATGTCTTTGTTTTTACTCCACAACACACAAACACCAATCTTTTCCCCATTATCAAAAAATAGTGCTTATTCTGCGCTGACAACTGTTTCTGTTTTAGTTGTTTTTTTTTTAAATTTTGTGGTGAACAACACCATCCGCATATTAATCAAAGAGTGAAAAAAAAAAAAGGCGGAGAGTAACTTTCACCCAACAATTATTTATCAACCGTTATAAAATGTTGATGCTTTTTGATCAGAACTAAAACAAAATGGTTAAGTGCACTGTAAAATTAAAACCAACACACGACCTCTGCCACCCATGTTACAAACAAACAAAAACACCAAAAATAATCAAAAACAACAATAACAACAAACATCAAACATTCAAATTTAAATTTTTATCATTATTTTAAATATTTTATTTAATATAATATTTTTTTAAAAAATATTAATAATTATTAAAAATTTAATTAAAGTTTAAAGACAAGACAGCAGCAGTTGTTGTTATTAAAAGTTCAAAAACATTCTTTGTGGAAAAATTTAAAGCAACACCTCTATCACCAAGCATATACCCCTATAATTTAATTTTTAGTTAACTTCTTCTCTTTAGCAGTCTTTTCTCTTTCTTTTTTTTTGTTTTTGTTGTTGATTTTTTTTTTTTTTTGGTGGCATAGCTACATAGTCATATAGCAGACTCAAAAGTAGACCAACAGGAGTGTGTGACTACAAAATCAAACCAAAGAACAATTTCAAAAAAACAAGTTGATGCTGAAAAATTATACTTGTGTGTAGAAAATGAAAGCAACAAAGGATAGTAATGTAAGTTAACTTGATATATTACCACCCTTGTTAAGTTCATTTATTTTTGTTTACAACTCGACATATTACTTTATAATAATCAATTCAATTTAGATGTAAATCTTTTAATTTCAATTTTAATTTTCTTTTTTTAGTCCTGATAAAGAATAAAGAAATTTCAAAATCAGTTAATCAATTAAATGATTTATTATTTTTAATGATTCATATGAATAACTATTAAGAATATTATAACTAATTTTTTAATTATTTTTTTATATTATTAAAAAAGAAACCTCGTAGATATCTGTCACCATATATTCTGTTTTGTCAGGAGCACAGATTATTGGTGAAACAGGAGAATCCAGCTGCCAGCTTTACAGAGATAGGATCACTTTTGGGTAAAAAATGGCATTCTCTTTCAGCCCCTGAGAAAGATGTCTACCAAAAACGTTCGGATGAAGAAAAGAGAGTTTATGAATTGAAGATGAAAGAATACAAAGCAATGATCTCTCAACAACAACCAGTTAAGGCAGAATAGATTTCCTATCCTAACAAAATTTTCACCAGTTCTTCATTTTCCAATATCTAATTCAATCATTCAAACACTCAACCAATCAAATCCAACAATTCAACATTCTTTTCTTTTTTTTTTTCTAAAAAAAAACAATATTTTCTTCTTTATAGAAATTCCCAACATTTGTTAAATATCAATCAATTAAAACATTAGCACTCATCCCTCTTCATCATTATCACAATCATCTCAGACACTCACAATATATATTATATACTCAAATCTTCTTTTTCACTCTTTATTTTTTTTCCACTTCCATTCAACTAAAAAAAAAAAAAAACAAAAAAAATAATAAAGACAACACTTTGTATATTAAAATATATTTACTATTATTTTAATTGTTAAATTTCTTTAATTTTGATTCCATGCTCTTATTATATTTTCTAGCGGTTTTCCTCTTTTTAATTAGCAGAACTGTAACGACACCGGCAGCAATTAAAGCAACACCACCAACTACCACACCAACAGCGATACGCCAGGCATTTGATTTTTTATCACAATGGTTGGTTCTCGGATTGGTATTGATCAGCAATGAAAAATCTGGATCTATTGTCATTTCATTATCAAAGTGCGATACTATCATTGAGATAATGGTTGTCGATTCATTCTGTGCGCTGACTTCTACTTTGGTAACTCTTGGTATAGTATCCAAAATTGCTCTATCGCTAATTCTACCATAGACAATATGACCGTCTGCTTGCTCCAAGATAAAAGTTGAAGTCTCTCCGGAATACATTAAATTGGAATCGTAACATTCGTCATATGGCGAGTTAATCGATGATTGGATCTCCAGAACATTCAGCCTGCTGGTAAAGTTCCATCTCTTCACATCGATTTGATATTTAAGTGATCCAGCTGTCAAGTTGAATTTCTCTCCAGCAAACTCCATTGGATAGTCAGGAATTGTTTGGTTGTTAATCGGTAGTATCTGTGTGAATGTGATTGAGATTGACTGTGCTTTGGGGTGAGTGGTATTATAGGAATATTGATTCATGGTAATATTAGTTCCAGTGGTTGGATGCACTATAGTTTGATTGATAGTCTTTGACAATGTCCAATTCAATCCAGTCAATTCCACAATGGTTACAATCGTTTCTTCACTAGTCTTTTCAATTATCTTGTTAAGACTAAATGTGAAAAAACTATTGTCACTACCACCATCTACTACAATAATACTTGGATCGTTTGGATTTGGAATGATATCTGGTGGATTTCCACCCGATGGCTTTTCATATTTGATGTCACAGTTGGCACCAATCCATCCTTCTAAACAAACGCAACGTCTTGAAATTGGATCACACTTTCCATTGACAGAACAAGTGCAACTCGATTCCGGATTACCAAGAGTCTTTATCGAAGAATAATTCGAAATGGTTTTATAAAAAGTGTTCTTGCCAGTGACCATTACGTAGTAAAAGGTGCTTGGAATTAGGTTATCAACTTGACAATTGGTGCTTGAAATATCTCCACAAACGATTGCCCAACTTGAATTGTCTATTGAAATAGAAAGATCGTACAATGTCATTCCCGAAATACCACCAACTACACTGGTCCATACTGAATTGATTGATCTATTGGTACTTTGTATATCTGTAAACTGTAAGCCATATAGTATGTTATCACTTGCTGATGCTGTCAGTTGAATAGATTCATAGGCAAAATCATTGGAGGCAGTTAATATAATATTATTATAGTAGAAATGTGGACTGAGATTGGAAATTAAGCATGAGAGCGATGTAATTTGGATACAACCAGCAACTTTATCAGTACTGATCCTTACTGTATACAATGTTTCATTTGGTACACCACCTGTTGAAGAAAATTCCAAAAGTATGGAATTGGCTGTGGTTGTTACATTGGCAATTGGAACGGAAATCGATGGATATAGTGTGGCTTTCATTATAGATGCTGCTGATTCTCCATCTTCATTATATGCATTGACCATTATATCGACATTTGATCCATTGTCCAGTCCATTTACAACACAATAGTTTAGTAAAGTACAAGCTGGTTGAAGAATAGCGTTTACGAAAACTTTGTATCCCTGAGGATTTCCAGTGGCAGTGTAATTGAATGAAACACTTGTGGTTCTGGTATCATTTAAAACCAAACTTGTCATTGTTGGTTCTAGAAAAATAGAATTATATTAATATACTAAACTACTTTAAAACTAAAGATATTATTTATAATTAATTACTACTTACGAAGAAAATCAATAGTTGTTGAATTTTGAGTTGTATCTACATCATTGGTCGCAACAACAGTTATGTTATAAGTATATGGTTGTTGAATTCCATTGACAACACATTCATCGGTGATATTGATACAACTAGGAACATCAATATCATCCAGCTTTGTAGTGTAAAGAGTTTTGGAAGGAATTCCTCCAGTTACATTGTACCCGACTATCAATTCATTTGGAGATGGTTGTAAATTAATGGTAGGTGTACTTATTGGTGAATAGAGGTTTCCTAAAAGATATACACTCTCTGTTGCTCCGGCCCAATTTACTGCATAAATAGTAATATTGTATGTCATTCCAGGAGTTAGTCCACCAAGAGTACAATTATTGCCACGAGAACATACAGGACGTGGAGCACCATTAAATCTTACATAAAGGGAATATGTTACATCACTAGCCACTGTGTAATTGAAGCTAATGGATCTAGTTCTTTTTTCAATAAGTGAATATGAAGTTATAACAGGTACTAAGTATTGAATTGTTAGTAAAAGGATTATTAAAAACTATTTAATGCTTTTTATACATACAATAGAAATAAAGTGTTGAAGAATTTTGTTTAGAAATACCATCATTAATGGCTTGAACTAAAAAGTTATGTGAATATTCTTTTTGTGCTACGGGAATGGTACATGTAGATGACAGAGTGTTTGCACAAGCACCAACTGCAACTCCGTCCATGCTAACACTATATCTTGTTTCATTTGGAATACCATCGGTAACTGGATAATTAACAATGATTTGACTTGCCGATGGCGTGAATGAAATGATGGGAGCTGAAATGATATTGTAGATCTGACCAGTTTTAACTACAGGCAGAGAATTACCAACTTCATTGATACCAATCACCGATACTGAAAATGGAGAGCCAGGTGCCAATCCAGAGATCGTGCAAGTGGTAGTAGACGAGCAGCTTGGTTGATCGATACTATTAAAAGATACAGAATATGAAGTAGGAGTCATTGTTCCACTGTATTGAATACTAAGAGATGTAGTGGTGATTCTAGTTACAGTAACAGTCATTACTGGTTCTATAAAAATTATTAATAAAAAAAGGTTACAGCTCAAATTCAATTGAAGAGATTCTTACCGGTAAAAGTAACTTGTTTAGCAGATGAAACCATAGTACGTCCGTCATTTACTGCAGATACTGTCACACTCTTGCTATAGCCTGGTGGGAGTCCAGTGATAACACATTGAGTTAAAGTTATATTTTTACAAGCAGGCACTTCAATTGAATCCTGCAAGACAGTATAATAAGTTTGGCCTGGAATTCCATCGGCTGATGTATATTGAACAACTATTTGATTAGCGTAGCCAACTGCCATAGTGATTAATGGCGTACCCAACAGTTTATAGGTGGCAACAGTTGCAGAGAATGGAGCACTACCACCACCAATACCAGAAGCAACAATCCCTACTGGAAATTGATATCCTGGACTCAGATTTGGAATAGTACAAGTTGATACTTGTTCACATTGTAGTTGAGTAACATAATTAACACTAACTTGATATGAAGTTGGAGAATTTGTTGCATTATAAGTGAGTCTAAGCCAAGTGGTTCCGCTCACATAAGAAAAAGAGTTAATGACAGGTGCTAAAAACAAAAGAAAAAAGAGGTAATATATTGATTAATATTATACTTTTACTTTGTTTATAAACAATTAAACTTACGTAGTGGAATATCAATATTTGGAGAAACATAAAGAGGTCTTGGAAATAGATCTGTACCTCCATCCATAGAAATTGACACTCTCGAATAGTTTTGATTTAACGTCTGAAGATTTATAATACATCCAGCTGAGCCGAGAATTTTGTAACAACCATCTGCAGGAAAATATAAATTAGATTCTTCATTGTAGTAGCTTACTTTATAGGTATATGGAAACTTAAAGGTTGTAGAAAAACTTTCAAGTTTGAGTTGAGCTCTGGAAATATAAGTAATAGGAGGGACAATCCATTCAAATGGAGGCGTAACAATACCAGACAAGCCAGGAGAGCATCGAGGATACGTATTTAGTGTTGAAGGTGTACATGAAGCAGCATTGAGATCACCTATCACTTGATTCTCATCTCCGTTTGAAATATAGAAATTGGTGGTCGATCCAAAAGGTTGAGTACATGTATTTAATTTGAATAGATGTCTTGCACTATCCATTGATCCACATCCAGACCTATAGATATATTTATCAATTAACAAATTAATTATTTGTTTGAATAAATTATCATTTTTGAATAATAATACTTACGACATTGTCGAAGGTGTATTTTCAACTGCAACCCAGCCAGGTTTTTCAATTATCGGGTCAGCTGAATATACAAACAATATGTTGTTACTGCATTGCAGCATTGATCCTTGATATACTGTAGCTGTACCAATACAATCCAAACCATCGAATCCTTCCCTTACAACAGGTTCTCCAAAAGCAATGGTGAATGTGTATCGATAGGACTTTGATCCTTGATTATAACATGTTTGATTTCTATAGGTTGACACTCTCACAGGGTTATTTTCCTGACAAACAGTTTCCCATTCAATAAGATATTCATTTGCCGCCAAAACTATATTCCCATTATTATTACTATTACTATGATTAATATTTGAAAATAATACAAAAAATAAGAATATTGATAGAAAATATTTTAATTTTCTGTGATCTATCATTTTTAATCGATATATAAATAAATAGAAATAATAAATAAATATAATATATACAGAGACTAAAAGTTTTGTTTTTTATGAGTAGAACTCTCAAGTTATCGAAAGACTTTTGATAACTTCAAAAGCTTACCTATTCTACATTTGCATTAGAACCTTTGTTTACAAAAAATAAATATCGATCGCATGAGATTTATCTTGTTGATTATAGAATTATCATGGGTTTGATTAATTTGGGATTCTTATGGTTTAAGATCAGTTGTTCTGATTATATGCTTGTCTCGAGCCCTGTTTTTACAAAAAAAACAAAATCTATATAAAAATCAAGATAATTTTAAAAAAAGATCTAAAAAAATCAATCTCTCAAATCTTTTTTTGAACCAGAGATTTTTATTTTATCACAAAACCAAATAAATTTATTCAGAATTTTTAACGAAACAAATAAAAATTATCTTTTTTATAAAAATAACTTTAAAAAATGAAATGTTAATAATAACAATTAAATTGATCATTGATTGAAAAAAAAAAAATAAATATTCTAAGTTAATGTAACAGAAAATGAAAAGTAATAATCTAGAGATATATACACAAAAAAAGATATTTCATCATTTATTTGAAGATCAATGTTTGACATTCAAATGGAGGTTGTCTTTGAATTTGGTATCGAAGCGATGGTTTGATTTCATGAAGGAGAGTATCGTGCACTTTAAGGTGAATTGTGATGGACCCGGCATGAGAAACCTGTTGGATCGTTCGGATTACAATGTATTCAGTGGTGTCAAACACCTGGTTTTCCAATATCCATACACTAGAGGGGACCTTTCTTTTACAGAGTTTAAAACATACTTTACTAGGCTGTGTAGCCACTACTATATAACGTTGGACGCCAACTTTGTTTGGGAACTTAACGAGCTTGGAATCATCGACATTATCAACCGAGCTGGCAGACCGATCGGATTAATAGGAATTTCTTTGATGTCGATGGAGGTGCAATTCTACAAGAGTTATCTCAGCCCTCTCAAAGTACCACTGAAATGCATCCCGAAATTTCACCTGACCACCGAGTTTCGCGAGACAATACCAATGGAGATTCGCAATAGAATACTGAGAGAGTCGCAGCTGGAACGAATGATTTGTAGTACAGTGCGTGAGCTAGATGCACCGTTGCCAACCGATTGTGTTGAGACTCTCAGAGATTTCAGACTGACCGTTTTTCACGACGCTTCGATTCAACATGAAATGAAATTCCTATCGGCATGCAAGAATCTCACTAAAGTAGCGTTCACACTCTCCTCAGCAGCAAACTTGGAGACAATCATCAGCTACCTATCAGAGACAAGCACTTTACAATCGGTTGCGTTGAGTCTGGATATTTGCGATGCAATTCTCTCTTGGATTCTCTCGAATCCTAGTATTAAGAAGCTGACTGTTGGAGCGATAAACAACTATCACCAGCTGCCAATAGGTATTGTAGCACAAAAAGAAGAACTTGTCAATACAACACTTGAGAAATTGAAATTCCTGTGTATCTTTGATAATCATCACATTTGTAATAGCACAGATAGATACGATATATTCCTACATCCAAACAAGTATGTTACATCGTTGAAACAGATTAGATATGATACTTTGATATCTGATAATCTGGCGTGGATAGAAGACATCGGAGTACCATATAGTTCATTAGTAAGAATGTCACTCGATACACAATGCTATCAGTCAAACCTTGACATTGGAAGATTCGAGAAACTTATGACCATCAATCAAACACTACAGTACCTTACTCTTGGTATCTCGATATGTGAACAAATCAAAGATGTCAATCTATTTGTGAAACTACTAGATGCAAGTGTATCATTACAAACAATCGAATTAATTTTACGTGCCGGCAAGAGTAATCTCAAAAACAGATTATTAAAGTCAAATAACTATTATCAGTCACATGTTATAGGTAACTTTGATAATCATCATTTCTTTGGTAAATATATTATTAAAAAGATATTAATATATTAAATACTAATTAATATTGTATTCTATTCATAATTATAGTTAGAAAGAATCAAGATAATAATACTCAACAAGGAGGTTTTATCAAAAAATCAATATCCTATCTTAAAAGTTTTAGGAAATAATAAAGATTACAATGTTTTTGTTTGTTTAAATATGTATATATTATTTTATTAAAAAAAATGATTAGTCGTTAAATGATTTGTTTTGGTTATATTTGTTGTTGTTGTTGTTGATTTGCTTCATCTTGTGAGCTGTTGAGTGGAGGTGATGGTTGTTCGCTTGAAGATGTTAAACTTGATGTTCTAGATCTTTCTAAAAAGTTAATAGTCGATTTGAATCCTCCTGCATTGGTTGTGGTGTGATTGGTTCTTGTCCAAGTGGGTGATGTTTGTTCTGTTTCTTGATTCGATTCGCTATGATTCAATGAATGTTCAAGAGAGTTTCGTTTATCATTATTGCTGTTGTTGTTGGAACTAGTAATTTGATTCAATAGAGTCCAGTCAGATGTAATGCCAATCTTAGTTGCATCAAACTCTGAGAAATCATAGCAGAGATGTTCATTGATAAATTGATAGTCCACGGAGCTGTTGGTCATGTGACGACGGTAGATCGTAGCGGAGAACGTCGAGAGGAACGACTTGAACTCGTTGTAGCCATTGGGAAGATCGCCAACCGATCGGATCATAATGCATGGACGCAGCAGCTGGTTGGATGCGTTGTTCTGCTCGAACAGACCGGACGAAGTGAGTGAGACGAATGGCGAAGCGTTATCCTCGTCGTAGAGCACTGGATTCTGTGCAATGCTGTCGATGAACGGAACGAACGGTGCCTCCTGTTGTTTGATGAAGCAGTCCTTGATGAACACCCATTCAAAGAGACAGAATTGCTCGGTGATCGACGGGAGTGTCAGTGCCAAGTCCAAGAACTTGCAGGCTGCCAGAACGAGTTCACCGTTGTCGGGATGCGAGAGGATGTCGGTCAGCTCCGAGAGAATGATTGGCCAGAACGATCGGAGATTCTCATGTGAAATTCTTACCAGTAAAACACGCAAACAGAAGAACACCTGTAGATGTAAAACAGTGGCATTTGGTATTCTCAGTGATTCTACAATCTTCTCGAGAACCAGAGTCAACATTTGAAGATGTTGATTCTCAGCACCACTCCAAAGAATGAATGACAATCTCTTTAATTGTTTAGCACGATTCATATACTCTGTTTCCTTATTAACAAACATCAAAGCTGATGGTGGAGTCCAATTCTTACTTAGAATTTCTATAGAAAAATAATTTATAAAGATTAATTAAAACTATTTTTAAATTATTATTAATTAACCTCTAAACTTACTTATGAAATCAGATAATGCAGTCTTATCATGAATCATTATTTGATTGATTATCTTTCCAGTTTGTTCTAGTGTCTTTAGATCTGATTTGAAAAAGTCGGCGTCAAAGAAAAGTTCCAATGCATCTTTTTTAATTGATTTGATGTTATATGAATAATCTGATAGCGATGAGAATAAACAAGTTGCATAATATGAATTCTCTCTATTTACATCACTAATGTGTTAAGAAAATAAATAAAAGTTAATAACACGTATATAAAACTAGTACTTTTTTAGCAGTTTACTTACACTTTAGATTTTAGATATGGAACAACATTGTGTAATGAGTTTGTCAAGATGGTTGCAATTCTTTCTTTATCATCGAAAATGGCATCTAATAAAATGGATAATGTTGTTGAGAGATGTACCAATGATTTCAAACTGACTTGTGTCTTTAGTCGACTTGCTTCTCTCTTTAGGAGGTTGGTGCCAGAGTCGTGTTCACCACCCGAAGAAGAACGTCCACGCGAACCAGAGTCTTCACCAATAGAGGTACCAGCTGATGTATAAGCGGATGGTGGTGTTTGTAACATCGATGGTGGAAGTGAGTTGTCGTTATTATTATTATTATTGCTGTTGTTGCTGTTTCTGGTGTCAACTGAAGGTGGTCGTGATGGCGACATGTCCGAGCCGGTACTACCGACCAATGGTGGAATGTACATAGCTGAGATATCATTGAATGATTTACCACTGATCATAAAGCAAGCTTCGACAATCTTGGGAATCAAATCTTGTAGGTCACGCTTGTTGTTCTTGTACTTCATTGGATGTTTAGACTTTTCTTCACCGCTCATCTTCTTGATGTAGACATTGAGGATTTGAAGCTGCGATACGAATGTCATTGGATTGGAGCTGTGTAGCGACTCACGAACAAACGAGAGGAACGAAGTGGTGATACCGTCGAATAGCGAGGTGTACTCCTCGATGTACCGATAGACAAAGTCGTAGAGCGCAGCTTCTTTCAGGGTGATCTTGTGGATGGTGGATTTAGGTGGTTTGGCACGCTCCTGAATGTGAAGACTCGAGAGAATCTGGTAGAGCGACTGGAACATTGTTTCCTCACGCACCGACTCCAAACTGTTGAGTATCTCCATGATCACTTTACGAGTGTTGACTGATTCCTGTGTGTTGAGATCGGTTTTCTGCCAGATGTCGATGATCGAACCCAAGAAATAGGTTGGATACTTTGTCATGAATGGATCCATGATGTGAGTAATCAAATCCTGAATGGCAAACTTGTTGTGAGTGTCCGACGATACATCGGTTGACATTGAAATCTTGGAGTTTGTCGACTTGGGTGGTCCCCAAACCTTGAGGAGCGGTGCCAGTATCGAAGGTAGCTCTCTGAGTATCTCTTCTTTCGCTTTGCCGATCGGTGTCAGTGTGGTCGATGGATCGATGTCCGAGGTGAATACATCCTTTACGAAATCGGTCAGCAGACGAACACCACCCAATGCACCGCTACGGTTGGTGATTTGCTCTTCGTTCGATACTCTGTCGAACGGTGTGATCGGTTCGAGAACAGAGAATTTCAAGATGAATGTCAAACTCTTTAATAGTACAATGATGTCACGCGATGTCAGACTGTCATAGAGTGAACGACTGTCGAACGATATCAGGAGATCGCGCAGACAATTGATGATGGTCATCACCACATGTGGTAGTTGAGCAGAGTTGGCCATTCTCGGCAAACAGAACGTTATAAAATCGAGCCAGTAGAATCTGATGTTGAAGCGAGACGACGGTTGAATCAGACCGACAACAGTGGTCTGAAGGAACATAGTGGATTGTGTGATCGAGTTGATTGAAGTGTTTCCAAGTGCGTTATTGCTGTTGCTGTTGGTACCATCGCCACCGGCACCGCTAAAGCCAGACCACGATGGAGATGAAGGTAGTGTGTTTGGCGACGAGTCAATCAACACGATAGATCTCAACAGTGAGAGTAGATGTACTTGTAACACCATATTGCTGGAGGATACTGCTTGTGCCAAGTTCTGAAGAATTGGCTCTTGAATGTAGTTGGCGATTTCAATTGCTTTCTGTGGTTGGATCGATGTTTGATTCAGCAGATATTGGAGGAATTCAGCTGCGCAAATCTGAACAACATCGTTCTGAGAAGCAAACGACTGTCCTTCTTTGGTGGATTGATCGGTCGAAGGTGGAACCATGCCCTGGAGGAAACGAAGTGCAACGACAACCAGCAAATCTATATAGGAATTGGTTGGAATAAAGAGGAAATCTGAAGAGGTTTCTGTTGTTGATGGAGCTGTTGTATTGCTGGTGGTCGGTGTGCTCGAGTAGTTTGTGAAAATATAGGGAGTCGACGACATCTGAGTGACCTGTGGATTGTCATCTTTTCCACCGGGTCGCTTGGCGCCAGTCAAATTTGGACCGTTAGCTTTTGGTGTCTCACGGAAATTGAGTGATTGCGCTTCGTTCAACGACAGGATATCTTTGGAGATTGGTTTCTCAATGACGTGGTGAATGAACAGTTTAAAGTCACACTCGATGATACCTTTCAGCACTTTGAAGGCATAGATAACACGACGCGCGTCGTACATCGATTGATAGATATGATTGAATCGGATCGTCGATTTATCGAGTAGGATTATCAGCAGTGGATCCAATATTCTCTCAGCTTTCGAGATACTGTCGGCTAGCCAGGTGTGTCCGGTCAAACGAATGATTGGTTGGTCGTCGTGAAGCGAATCCAACATCAAGAACAGAGTGTTTGAGAATGGAACAGATGTGTTTCCAAGTTCACCAGTGAGACGCCAGAATAGCGCAAACTTTTGGTAGCCTTCGACACGATTGTTCAGATTTGTATCGAGCATTGCCTCTGCGATGACCGACGAGCATGCATCCTCGTTCATTTCACGTAGCTGTAAGTAGAGCGATGCAACTTTGTAGTGTACAGAGCAGTTGTTTGGTTCGAGCATGCTCCACAGCTTCTTGGCGAGTTGTGAGAAATGGCTGGTGGTGATGATACTACGGAAGCTGCGACTGAGATTGTTCTCACCGTGTTTGTTGGCAAGACTGATGAATGACTTGATCGCCAGACAACTGATGAATGGGTTATCCGACATACAGAAACTAAAGATTGGTAGGAACCACTTTGGCATTGAAGATTCGAGCAGTGGCGATGAAGCTGCTGGTGACTGTCCGCCTGGCGAAGTACGGAATTGATGAACCAGTCCAACCAGAACCTGTAGCGAAAGATCGAGAATAATAAAGATATCACTGTTTGTGACGAATGAGAATTGTGAGCCTGAAGACGATGCGATTTGCTGTTGGAGAAGCACAGACTGTGACAGCAGCGATGGACTGTTGGTGGCGCTTCCCGAGAGTGGTGTGAGCGGGAAGAGCGTTGTGGTCTGTGGTGGATTCAGACGACTGAGATTCTCGGTGACATAGCCACACAGTATCACAAAATAATCTTGGAATGTTTCGATGCAATCGATGAGATTCACTTGTTGCTGTTGTTGGTGTTGCGCGTGTTGGTCGCCGACAATGATCTTACCGATCAGACGCAGACACATCTGTGTAAACGATATAATCAGCTGATTGTCACGTGCTATCAGAACGAATCGCATCGATCTGGTGATGGCAAGTAACAGGGAGGGTAAGAAGTTTGTTTGTACATCCTCGACAGAGAGTGGGATGACATCGAGTAGTGCTTCGACCAGCTTGACATTCTCGATAGAGTCGGCAGGCTGCGTTGTCTCTGTGAATGTTAGCAACTGACTCAAAAAGTTCCAAAGCAAACGGTGATCGCTAATCGATCCAAATACATCGTCGATATGACGAACTATATCTCTGGAGAAGGGATATCCCTCCTTATACTTGTAGAGACAACGAAGAATGTCGAGCATGATGCCGTCGAGCAGCTCTTGGAACTCCTCCTTCTGGAAGAGCGTAGTGAGTATAACGAAAACCGATGTCATCTCCTTTACTTTTTTCTGTTGTGCTTGTTGTTGCTGCTGCGATTGCAGCTGTTGTAGTTGCGGAACCACATTGAAATCGAGCGGATTCAGCACGTTGTTCAACAACTTTTTAAATGCTTTGATCGTTGGTTTCTTACCGTAATTTACAAAGTAACTGATGTTGCTTTGAACAACATTGATACTACCACTACTATTATTCATATTATCCTTATTATTGTTGTTTTCTTTATCCTTATTGCTATCTTTCTCCTTGCCAGTTCCTAACAACCATGAATTCAAACGTTTATTCAACGATGCATCTTTATGAACGACCACCTTGACTGCCGCCATTATAATATTCTGCAGAGCATCCTCTGAGAATATCTTTATTGAAATCGGAAAGTAACCAGTAATCAACTCCAACGTACTTCTCTGCACCAACGACAATGGATCCATCAACGATTCATACAAAGCCTGTGCAACTAAATTATTCTTTTCTGGTAAAAATGTAGCTAAATGATAATTATATCATACAATATATTAATATAATAATCTAATTGTTATATATTGTTTTGTTGTTGTTGTTGTTGTTTTTACCTTGAAGTGTAACATCTTCGAAATTTCTTGGTAGATGTTTCAAGAGGAAATCGATTGCCGATTGTCTGTTGTATGATGTCGTTACCATTGATTTCCAAATGGCTTGATAGAATAGTGTGGTTGCCGTCGACTTTTGAATTGATTCCAAGAGTTTCTTTACCGATTCGTACATCTCACCGTTGCCCTCTTCCAAACCCGGTAACAACGACGACACTATACCGTTTAAGCTCGAGTGCAGCTTGTGTCCCAACGGCAACAAGAACTTTTCGTACAACGACAACAACTTGAATCTAACATCGGTACTTGCATGTCTGAACAAAGGAAACAAACCATTCGAATAAATAGCGATATCTATAGCTAATTTATCTTGCTACAACAATAATAATAATAATAATAATAATGACGATATATTATTAATTAATAAGTATGTAAAGTAATCGAAAACTACAATTTAAAACATACACCAATTCTACTGAATATCAATTCATATGTATCTAATGTTTGAGAATGACAACCACTTGGCAATGAAGGGTTTAAACACTGTGATAGACGCTTTGAAAGTAGTAGTTTCTGTTGTATACATGTTGATTTCGGGTACTTTTCAAAGACTCTACCGAATTTACCTAGCCATTTAACGAGATCTGCCCATTCCACCGACTTTGAGAATGCACTCAACACTGCATTCAAATCATCGTTGAAATGTTTATATTTTGGATCACTAGAAGCTCCCTCTGCGTGTTATATTAATATATATAGGTTTGAATGAATCAAATTAAAACTTATAATAATAATTAACATACCTTCTAAATCCATACTTTTCTTCTTTCTTTCTTTTTTGATAAAATTATATTATTAAAATAAAATTAAAAATAAATATAAAATTAAAAATGAAAATAAATTACACTATATATGTATATATATTATAAATAAAATTGACAAATTAAAAGAAATTTAACTTTTAATTAAATCATATTAATATTAAAATATTTTAAAAAAGAGATAGAATTTTTATTTTTAATTAAAAATGAAAAAAATAAAAATATAAAAGTTACTTTTATTTATTACCACTAACTTGTTTTCCAAAATCCTGGTCTTTCAAAAAAAAAAATTTTTGATTTTGATTTTTTTACAAAAGATTTTTTTTTGGATGTAACCTGGTTAGGTTTATGAATTGTTATCGCTTTATCTTGAAGAAGTTTATTGATGCTTATACTTGTTAACTAATCGAGAGTAGAATCATGATTAAATTAAGAAATATCATTTCAGTGATAATTATAATGCTAATAAATTTATAATAATATTGGTTGTCTATTTCCAATGATAAAGCATAGCATTATTGATACTACTATGTAGTATTATTAATAAATTTAGTCAATCAGGATAGAGTTGACTGGCAGTTTTCCAATGAAAAATCTATTAAAAAAACAAACACTTTGCAGCATCATAATTTAAGTTATATTATTTAAATTTTATTTATTTTATTATTATTTTGATTAATTAAAAAAAACATACAAATATATTATTATATTATATGAAAGTTAAAAATTTGGTTTAAATTAATTTACTATCTTCTTCTTGTGGTCTTTTGTAGACCAATTCCGAATGTGGTGTCACTGGTGAGGTCGAAACAATAGGGAGTGTCGACTGCTGCGATTTTGTTGGTAACTCCGACAACAGTGAGTTTATAGTCGGTTGGTAATGCGGTGACAGTGAGACAGTTCTCACCTCCGACCGCTGTGGTGAATTGATCGGTCTTGGTGGTTGCGTCTGGAGTTGTAAAGGTTGGATTAGGGAAGTTTGTAGGGAATCCATAACGAATATTATTCAATGTTCCCTTTACACCGGCAACATACGGCTCTCCAGTTACATCTAGACCATCTCCATTCTAATATTGTTTTTTTTTAAAAGCAAAGAAAATTTTTGTTAGCAATTGTTGATTGTTGAAACATTGTATTTTTTAATAATATTCTGAAAACTTCTTACCTTATCTTCCCAAGAGTAGAACTTGGTGGTAATGAATTTCTTTGGATAGAGGTAGGCATCCGCTAGTTTACTACCGGTAGGAACGGTGGTATCGTCGACGGTGAAACAATATGTGCTATCGACAAAACTGTTGTCACTGCCTAAAACCGATGTTCCAAAGTAATCGGCGGGATCGGTGAACTGGAGACAATAGTCGCCTGCTACAACATCTTGTCTGATACGAGCTTTGCTAGTCTCACCAGAGTCGGTGGCAATGACATTTCCATCTGAGTCCGTGAGAGTCATGGTGATATTGGCAAGATATGGTTCACCGGAAGCGTCGGCACCATCGTGGTTACGATCAAAAATAGGTCTGGAGTCGATATTGTAGGTCTTTGTCTTTTTGAATCCAGATACGACGGTTTGGCTGGGATTGTCTGGTCCGAGCACGAAGCAGGTACTCTGATTGTTTACGTCCATCTTGTTGGATGTTCCAACGACGGTTGGAGTGTAGAACGGTGTCTTTTCGTAGATAACACAATATCTACCGGCGGGAAGATTGGCGTCGGTGAAGTCAGTCTTTGCCTTTGTGGCGTCGGTTGTCCAGTTGACGATGTGCGAACCTATGTCAGAGTCTCCAAACATGTAGAGCAATCCACCCTCAAGACCGCTGATGTATGGTTCAGAGGTATCGTCGGCACCGTCTGCGTTCTGGTCTTCGAAGGTGTAGGCATTGACAGAGTAGTTTTGCGTTGGAATCATACCTTCGATTGCTCTGGCGGTTGGATTGCTTGGGGTGACATCGAAGCAGTAGTTCTGGTTGACAAACTTGTTGTCAGTACCGACCGCTGCCGATTGGAATTGATTTTTAGGATCGGTCAGCTCAATGCAGTAGGTGTCTGGTCCTGGAAGAGTTGCGCTGAATCCATTGGTCCTCTCGGCACCGTCGGTAACGAATGTCGAAACGACATCGCCATTCGAGTTCTTAATGGTACCGGTCAGTCCAGTCAAGTATGGTTCTCCACTATCGTCGGCACCGTTGTTATTTATGTCCCAAAATGCGTAACCACTGACACTGTAGTCTGGTGGTGGGGTAGTGGGAGCTGGGACGAAACCGGCAGGAACCTTCAAGACATTGTTGGGGTTGGTACCGGATGGAGTCAAATCGAAACAATATTCTCCATTGACGAATTTGTTGTCGTTTCCAACCGGAGCGGAAACATATTTACCGGTTGGATCGGTCATCTTCAAGCAGTAGTGTCCTGGATCAAGATTGGGGATAGAGAATGCATTGTCTTTGTCACTGGCCTTGGTGGTGAATGTATTCACTGTGTTTCCATCGACATCGGTGAGAACACCAGAGATATCTCCGAGGTATGGTTCACCGCCGTTGTCATTTCCATTGGCGTTGTTGTCGAGCCAGGCGTATCCTTGAACGGTGTATTGTGGAGTGATGTTGGTTGGCGATGGTACCATTCCAGCGGCAATAGTCATTGACTGGTTTGGTGCAGTGGATTCGTCAAGAGTGAAACAATATTGTCCATTGGTAAATTTGTTGTCAGTTCCAACTGGAGCATCGATATATTTACCGCTTGCATCAGTCATTGTAACACAATACTTTCCTGGATCTAAATTGTCAATTTTGAATGCACCGTTGTTCTTCTTTGATGCATCAGTAGTGAATGTAGTGACTACTTCACCATTCTCTTTTGTCAATGTTCCAGTTATTTGTCCAAGATATCTATTGTAATGTACAAATGTTAACATTGTAAAAGTTATTTAAAAAATTTTATAATAAAATACATACGGTTCTCCTGAATTGTCACCACCATTGGCGTTTTTATCCCACCATGCATAACCATTGAGAGAGTATTTGATTGGATTTGCTGGGCCAGTAGTTGCTGGACCAGTAGTAGCTGGGGCAGTAGTTGCTGGGGCAGTTGTTGCTGGGGCAGTAGTTGCTGGACCAGTAGTAGCTGGGGCAGTGGTAGCTGGAGCAGTTGTTGCTGGACCAGTAGTAGCTGGGGCAGTGGTAGCTGGAGCAGTTGTTGCTGGACCAGTAGTAGCTGGGGCAGTGGTAGCTGGAGCGGTTGTTGCTGGACCAGTAGTTGCTGGGGCAGTTGTAGCTGGAGCAGTTGTAGCTGGAGCAGTTGTAGCTGGAGCAGTTGTAGCTGGAGCAGTGGTTGCTGGAGCAGTGGTTGCTGGAGCAGTGGTAGCTGGAGCAGTGGTTGCTGGAGCAGTGGTAGCTGGAGCAGTGGTAGCTGGAGCAGTGGTTGCTGGAGCAGTGGTTGCTGGAGTTAGAGCACTAGTGGTGGCTGGAGATCCAGTGGTGGCACCAGTAGTTGGTCTAGAAGTTGATGGTCTGTTGGTGGTAGTTGCAACGGTTGATGCAGTTGTGGTTTGGGTGATTGTCGAAGCTGGACCGGTGGTTGTTGCAGTTGTTGTGGCGGTGGTTGTTGCAGTTGTGGTGACTGGTCTATTGGTGGTAGTTGCAGTGGTGGTCGCAGTTGTGGTGGCAGTGGTGGTTTGGGTGATTGTTGAAGCTGGTCCGGTGGTTGTTGCAGTTGTTGAGGCAACAGTTGATGCAGTAGTTGAAGCGGTTGTTGAAGCGGATGCGGATGCAGATGTTGCAGTTGTTGAGGCAACAGTTGAGGCAATAGTCGATGCGGTACTAGCAACGGTTGATGCAACGGTTGATGCTGTGGTAGTTGGACGACCAGTAGTTGATGCAGTTGTTGAAGCAACAGTTGATGCAACAGTTGAAGCAGTGGTGGTTTGGGTCATTGTTGAAGCTGGACCGGTTGTAGATGCAGTGGTTGAGGCAACAGTCGATGCAACAGTTGAAGCAACAGTTGAGGCGACCGTTGATGCACCTGTTGGACGACCGGTTGTAGCAGTAGTTGAAGCAACAGTCGATGCAACAGTTGATGCGGTAGTGGCAATGGTTGATGCAACAGTTGAGGCGGTGGTGGAAATACCAGAGGATGGAATTCCTGTTGTGGCGGTGGTTGTTGCGATGGTAGAGGCAGTGGTTGCAATAGTTGATGCAGTTGTTGAAGCGGATGCAGATGAAGCAGTGGTAGCAATTGTTGATGCGACAGTTGACGCAACAGTTGATGCGGTGGTGGCAATTGTTGATGCAACGGTTGAAGCAGTAGTGGAAATTCCAGAGGATGGAATTCCTGTGGTTGTAGCGGTGGTTGTCGCAATGGTAGAGGCGGTGGATGCGATAGTTGTTGCAGTTGTTGATGCAGATATAGAAGCACTTCCAGCCGATGTTGGGATAAGAGTGTTTCCAGAGAGTAGACAACGTGGTTTTCCATTGACAAGAGCGCAAGTGGTTCCTGGTGGACATTGGATGGTACTACAGATTTGATCAACAATATTGTCACCTCCAGTGGTGGCTGATCCATCTTGCAGACAGAATGGTTGTCCGTTCTGAAGGATACAATGTGATCCGGTTGGACAGTAGAAGTTGGCACATGCACCAATACCTCCAGTGTTGGTTATAGCAGCACTCTGGCCTGACGATGACCATGGTTTGCATTGATTGGCTTGTCTGTCACACCAGAATCCCCAACCGCACTGGGCATCGTTTTGACATCCACTTCCCGATGTTTGTGATCCTGAACTACCAGTTTGTGCTGATGTTGACCATGGTTTACATTGATTGGCTTGTCTGTCACACCAGAATCCCCAACCACACTGGGCATCGTTTTGACATCCACCCGATCCAGAACTTCCAGTTTGTGATCCAGTGGTGACTTGACTTGGTTTTACACATGTGGCCACACCATTTTGGTTAACACATACCAATCCACCGTAACATCTAAAGTTTGCACAAACTATGAAATTAAAATGTAAATATAAATTATTAATTATTTGGTTTTAATCTTGAAAAAAGAATTTGAAAAAACGAATACTTACTTGCATCGGATCCAGTTGTTGATGAACCAGAACTTCCAGTTTGTGATCCAGTGGTGACTTGACTTGGTTTTACACAAGTGGCAACACCATTTTGGTTAACACATACCAATCCACCATAACATCTAAAGTCTGCACAAACTATGAAATTTAAATGATATAATATAATAATTAACTCTGAAAAAAAAAAAAAAACGAATACTTACTGGCATCGGATCCAGTTGATGATGAACCAGATGTTCCTGTTTGTCCTGAAGATTGTGATGAAGAAGACCATGGCTTACATTGTGAATCGGATAGATCACACCAATATCCCCATCCGCATTGTGCGTCATTCTGACAGTTTCTTCCGGAACCAGAAGTACCGGTCTGTGAACCAGTTTGTGAACCAGTTTGTGAGCCTGATTGTGATCCCGACGATACAACACATGTGGCTATTCCTCCTTGATTAATACACGTAAATCCACTGGAACATCTATGATTTGCACAAACATCTATAAAAATATTTATTCAAAAAAAAAAAATATTAATTTTTTCCAAGTAATAATACTTTTATCTGGACAGAGAAAGATTTGCTATGAATGAAAACAAACCTTGTGCATTAACCATAGATACTATTGTAATAGCACAATATAACAATAATAGATACCTTCTTGTACCCATTTTTATTTATTTTGGTGCTGTAGTTGTTGTTGGTACTATTTGAAAGTTATAATAATATTATACTATATAATAATGTTATTCTTATATGTATTTTTAAAAATAAAAAAATAGTTCTGGCAACAAATAAATAATTCCAATGTTATGAATAATAATATGATTTGGAACAAAGGTATTAAATAGATAATAACAAACAAATAATACTACCAAGTGAAGATGATGAAGAAAAGGTACCAAAATAATATTTAATTCAATTGAACCTATACGAATATATTAAATTCTATCCTCTTTTTAATAACATTTTTATTATTATTAAATCATTGATCTTTACGTTTTGATTACACATTGAAGTGTAGGTAGTGTGGGTTGTTTGTTATCCATTGATTTTAAAATGATTTGTAATTAATTTTCATATTCAGTGACACACAATGATGAGTAAAAACACTGATGTATAATAATAGAATGAATCAATCATATGAAAAACAAGATTTAATATTATAATTTGATTGTTGTTGTTTTTGCTTTTCTCTTTTGTGTGTTATTGTTTGTTTGTGTGTGCGTGTGCGTATTTTGTTTGTTTATTTGTTGTTCACCTGATTTTTTTGATTGAATTTTTTTTTGTTGTAAAAACCCCACTCTTACCTTGTGAAGTCACAATCAACACTATGAGCATAATTTAATTTATTACATTAATGAATAAACCAACTTATTATTATATAAACTTAGGTTTTTTTTCAAAAAGGGATTGAAACCACTCTTTTTTTTTTTTGTTTATCAACATACAAATCCGATAATAATATATATATAAGTAGTCTAGTTAAAAAAATATTGAAGAAGTTCTTAATATGTTAACCACTAGAGTAAACCTAACAATACAAATAACCCATTTACAATTAACATATCAGTCAAAAAAAGAAAGAAAGGAAAGAAATTGTATTGTGTGTTCTTCTTCTTTTTTTGTAACAAAAACTAGATCTGATCTATATATATAAATATGATTCATACGATCAACTTACAGAACATATATTTTTCTAGAAAAATCAAATGGTTTCTATTGTATTTCGAAAAGCTTGAGCGAAACAAGTAGATTATAATTATTTATTCAAACTATTATTTATTATTTTACAATAACAATTCACTTGTATGTCAAAATTTGATAGGAAATAGCGACATCGACAAACAATTGGAAGAGACCACAATAGATGAATTGATTTGGCGAGTTATTATAGAAGAAATACAATGTTTTGAATAAATCACCAAGGAACCAAGATCCAATTAAAACAAAACTATAATAATCAAATTGATTTGTTTTTGTTAGTTTCCTATTATTTAAAGAATGGAATCTTTCTTTCTTTCTTACCTTAATCCTTTGGCAGATCCATTCTTATAGTTCTGATAGAGTTGTGGAACTCCCAACATAGCCTCGATGGTCAATGATAATGTACCTAAGAGATCAAAGAATGAACTGGATCCATAGAACATCATTGTGAGTAACATAAACAATCCACTATATCCTGCCAAAAACATCACTATTTTAATTGATTGAAATTGAATTTGAAATTGAATTGAGTGTTAGCTTAGCTTAGCTTATCTTATCTTATCTCTCTTTCTCTTGTTGTACAATAATTGTTGCTCGCAACAAATAACAATTAACTTACAATAAGGAGAAAGACTATCCCATTCCCAGAATGGCTGGGCGGTGAATGATTGTGAGAGTGATCGACGTGATCTCGAAATCGAGTCGGATGCCTTCAGTGAGACGGTCAGTTGCAACATGAGGAGTTGTGCAACGATCATTACCAACGCTTGGTAGAGCAAGGTGGTTTCGAATCGCTCGCCTATCCAGAAGTAACATCGCAGTATATTGGAGAGTAGCAATATCAGCGATACCTTACTACTGAATGCCTCGGCATTGCGTGTCTCTTTCATCGATTTGTACTGTGAGACATAACCGATCACCGGTCCAAACACCATAATCAATGAAAATACCATTTCACCACTACTTATTATCTTTAATGATTCCAACAGCGTATCTTTACTAATTTTCATACAATTTATAAATAAATTTATTTATTTAAATAAATACAACTCAACTCTTACCTACTAACTAATATATATAATAATATTATATATATTAATATGTATTAATTAAATTAATAAAAAGTAAATTTATCTGAAAAATTAAAAAAATTTCAAGTCATTGACCTAAAAAAAAAAAAAAAAAAAAAAAAAAAGTGTTAAATTTAAAAAAAAATTCAAATTATCTATCAATGGTATATATTTATTTGTTTACAATTATTACTTTTATTTTGAATGTATTTAAATAGATATTTATCTATTAAATAAATATTATTTTTTTCATATTTCTATATTTTCTTTTTTTTTTAAAAAATAAAATAAAATAAAAAAATAAATAAACTATTATTAATAAAAGTTTTTATTTGTGCCCAAAGAATGTGTTAAAAATTTAGATAGTTATGTATATCAATCAAATAAATATATCAATAAAAAAGAATTATCATAGTGGATGGTATTCTTTTTTTTGATTCAATATTATTTTGGTTTTTTTATTTATTTTTATTTTTTTTTCAAACACACAGGTGGAAATAAATAATCAAAATCATACAAATACACACGTGTTCTCATTGATTATTTTTTTTGTATGTTCAGTCAGGTGTTGACTCAAATATGATTGAATTCATTTAGTGTATATATGTGTGTTGAAATATCCTTACGAAAATTGAGTGTTATTATTAGTATGATCAATTTGATTTCATATTGTATTTACATAAAGCTGTGTTGACATTACATTTTAATTCATTTATAATACTTGTTTTTGTTAGTTCAAATCAAAATTTGTATCAATAAAGTTAATAATTATTTATTTTTTAATATAGAAATAGAACAAAAACAAAGAACTATAGATTATTATATTAGTAAATATAATAATAATATTAAAAAATGTTAAAACTATATAGTTTTGTATTGTTAGTTTTATTTATTTCATGTTGTCGTGCTGGCTTTGGTAAGAATTAATTATTTCTATTAATTATTTAATTCTGATAATTATTATTTTTGAAAACTAATTTTTTCTTATTTTATTTTTTTTAAACATTTTTTTTTAAACAATTAAAGAAGAGAGACCACCTAAATGTAAACCAAATGAAATACTTCAGATATATAATGGTGTAAAACATTGCGCACCAAATGATATTGGATGTTGCACTGATGTAGCGTGTCCAAGACAACATGTTTGTGCTTCGATCAAAGGACAAGCTGTTTGTGTTCCAATTCACTGTAAGAGACCCAGACCCATTCATTGTCCACCAGGAAAGATTGTCCAAGTCAGAGATGGAGTTCACTATTGTGCACCAAATGACGTCGGATGTTGTAAGGATGTCAAATGTCCAGAGGGTAAGATTTGTGCCTCCTACCAAAACGCTAGAGTATGTGTACCAATGGGATGTTGTGATCACAATGATGACCATTGGGACAAAGACGACCACTGGGACAAAGACGACCACTGGGACAAAGACGACCACTGGGGAAAGGATGACTGGGACAAAGACGACCATTGGGACAAAGACGACCACTGGGATAGAGACGACCACTGGGATAGAGACGACCACTGGGATAGAGACGACCACTGGGATAGAGACGACCACTGGGACAAAGACGACCACTGGGATAGAGACAACCACTGGGATGAGAGTGATGACCACCGGGACAAAGACGACCACTGGGATAGAGACAACCACTGGGAGGAGAGTGATGACCACCGGGACAAAGACGACCATTGGGACAAGGACGACCACTGGGACAAAGACGACCACTGGGATAGAGACGACCACTGGGAGGAGAGTGATGACCACCGGGACAAAGACGACCACTGGGACAAAGACGACCACTGGGATAGAGACAACAATTGGGAGGAGGAGAGTGACGACCACTGGGATAATGACAACATCTAGGACAACAACCACAACACCTTCAATTCATATTTGAAATACTAAATTGTTAAAACCATCAAAAAGAAAGAACCACAAAAACCCATTAGGGTAATAAAATTGATAACAAATTAATTTCCTATGACATTTTTCTGAATAAATAAATATTATTATTTTATTATTGTTTATTTATAAATTTTATTATTTATCTTTTTATAAAGTATCAATATTAATATTGATTGATTGCAAATATTCATTGGATAATGAATAGAATTTCTTTTTCAATTGTTGTTTGGAGGTGTGCGATTGGAAGTTGAAGGAATAGGAATTTCTCAACAGCGAGAATACATGCTTCAAATTGAGTTGTGAATTGTTAACGATCTCCAACAACATTTGGGCTCTGGAGATGGAGTAGAGACTGCTTCGGAAGGTGCAGATCACCACTGGGACGTTGGAGTCGAGTAGATGTCTGATTGGTGTAGTGAATGACATGTCGGCTGTGAATACCTTGAGCTTATCGGTAAGACTCAACTCGATTGGAATGGAATAGGCCGAGAGGTATTGCATCATTCTTGGATACTTGTGAATTTGGAAAGCTCCAGAGAGACGCGACGCTCCCGACACATGAATGGTGGAAACAACCGAGTCGATATCTGATTTTCCACAGAATTGAACAATATTGAAATTTTCAGATTTTAAATAATCCAAAGTCTTTGAATAGTAATGCATTTCACTTGGTGGTATTTGTTCTAAAATAATATCCAATTAGTATTAAAAAGAAACAACATCAAAAAGATAAAATACATACCACTTCCAAAAATACCAAATCCACAAACACCATTGTTTTTATTGGATACTGCTAATTTGGCTGTGTTTAGAGCATCGATTGGATCATCACTGTTTGGCGATATGTAAATAACGAATGATATTTTAATTTTGTCGGTTGCCTCCCATTTCTGTTTGGCGGCAATTAAAATATCCAAGACTTGTTCCTGTGATTTTAGCTGTTTCAAATGGGATGCAGGTCTGATTGCCATCTCCATGTATAAAACATTGTCTTTAATAGCGGTTTCAATGATATCATCGAATCCTCTTTCGATTTGCTCCTTCGATTGCAACAGTGAATTCATAATCTGTTTGGCAAGCAAGATCGATTGGTCGGTATGCGATTGATTTTGTAGCAGCAATTTGAATTGGCTGAAATCGGCACAAGGGTGCTTCAGCTTGAATTCCTTTACCAAATCGATTTTGGCCAATTCGATTTCACGCCACATCTGCTCGACCGAAACCGATCCGTCGAAACGACAGTGAAGATCTGCTTTTGGAAGTGATTTCAACATCTCCAGTGTTACCTTGGGTGGTGTGCTTTGTACAGGCTTTGGAATGGCAGACTGACAATTGACATCGACACCGTGCTCCAAATAGTAGTGTTTATTCGCTAGGACACCAGAGACGTCGTAGCCATTCTCCTTGAATACCTGGATAGCACGATGAACAGCATTGATTCTCAACATCTTCTTGAGTGGCGATTCAATAAATGCCGCTGAGAACGAATGGTCAATCAGACGTACTACTTCCTCCACTTGGAAATTGAAAGTGTCGATTGCCAACTTGAATTCTCCCGACAAATTGATATTGGACATAGTCACATTGTCACAGCACAAAGCAACGACAGCACCGGCATCGAAATACTTTCTAATGGGATGAGCAGCTGGCGATTCAATTCCCTTGATCTGATAGTTACTGGTGATACAACATTCAATTGGAATACGTCTATTTACCATGTAGTTCAAGAGAGCTCTTTTTGAAAATTATAATTAGTTTTTATCATCTTTTTTTTTGTTATTATCTCTTAATTAATTGCATGCATACTCATTTTCTTGTACGGCAATTCCATGCCCAATACGATGTGCTCCACAATGGATGGAATCGGCAACCGATACCCATGAGGAATCTTCACCAGAGTGAAGTGTACAATTGACTCCTTTCTGACGGATCAAGGCGAATGCTTCTTTGTGGAGCACCGAGGAGTAGCCGTTTTCAGCACCAGCCAAATCGAATGCAACCACACCTTTATTACGATAACGCCATGCAATCTCTGCAAGATCCTTGGTGACCGATGGATCCAAATGACGCAAACCACAAACAATGATTCTCACCTTGATGGTCAGGTTCAACTCGACCAACGCCAGACCATCGCAAACCGCTTCCATTACACCGGCCAACGACAGTCCATTGTTAATATGAAGGACAGGACTGAATCTCACTTCCAAATAGGTAACACCATCCAAATGAGCATCTTCACACATCTCATAGAATATTCTTGTAATTGAAGCTAATAATCGATATACAATATTAGTTTATAAATATGCACTACACTACATTACATTTGAATGTTTAAACTTTAACTTTTAAACTTACAGGCAGTTTGCATTACAGCACAAGTATATTGGAATGCCTCAAGGAAATGTGGTAAACCATTGCAATTCTTGTCTTTGAGAATGTAATCACCAATCTTATCGAGATCATAGGTTGGCAGTGGAATGTTTTGTTCTAATGCCAACTCCACCAGGGTATTCAATCGAATTGAACCATCTAAATGACGATGTAACTCTGCTTTTGGTAATAGTTTACAAATATCTAATGTTATCTCTTTTGACATCTTATTACTATTATTATATTTGTTTTATTATTACTTGTAGGTAAGGTATTATTACAAATTAAATAAAACAGAACAGTTGATCAAAAAACCTTTTTAAAAACTAAAAACTCATCATTTATTTAAATAAAATCAATTAATTTTTTAAGATAAAAATGAAAAAATCTGGTTTAAATTAAAAAAAAATCAACACATAAATCTTAGGTAAAAAATCTGAAACCTGGTATGTTGTTTTGACTTTTTTTTTTTTCTTTTTTTTTTTTTTTTGTTGACAATCATTGGCTAAATTTGATTTAAAAAGGAAATTAATTGAACTATTACATATTTAATACAATACTTGAGAAATGAGGAGAAAGTAAACCTAATTGGAAGAATATAAGATCCAATATAATTGTTTTCCAAGTAAAGTTTTAAAACATTCAATTTTAATATTTATAAACTAATATTGTTTTAATTCATAAAAAAATAAATAAAATGAAACCTTCATATCTGTTTATTTCATTGATGTTCTAGGCTTAAAACAAAAATAACTAATAAATAAATTAAAGACAGGGTTGATTGTTTCATTTTAATATAAATACCTCAGTAACAAATTGCATTTTAGATTCTATTGTTTTTATAGATGAAATATCAATTAAGTCGAATTCTTTAATCTTTACTATTTCAAATCTTCTGCCATTTGAAAAAATAAATTTATCACTATCAGATTCAGTTATACTCTTGTTAGGAATAGACATTTCCTAAGCTTATCTCTACCAACTACGAAGGAGCTTCTTCAATCAACTGACTTACTTTATATCTATATGTTAACTTGGATCAATTGTGAGTACTGCTGCGATGGAAAGAAATTGGCCAACAAAAACAATAGCTAGATTTAATGAGGAAGAGGAGTATTACAAATTCTACTTGGATCTGTCCAATTAAAGAACACCATTCGCGCCAGATTCAACGAAGAGGTCCAATCATCCAACGAAATTGTGATTGTCATCGATTTTAAACAAAATATCGATCTAAACCAATCATCAGTCCAACTTGGTTCCCAATTCTATACTATCGCAGCAGTACTCACAATTGATCCAACTGGTTCCAAGATAGTGTTAACCAAGTACACTACAGCAAAAATCTATGAAACCGGACAGAGGTTTCAAAATATCAAACAGTAATACATTTATTTGTTATAGAAACTAATAAATATATTCTAAGATAGATCTTTGTTAAAGATTAATTATTAGAAAAAAATTGAAATATTTACCATTTTAAAAAAAAATAAAAAAAATAAAAAACTAAAATTAACTGTGCAATATTTCTGAAGTGATAAAATATTTTTTATTTATATACATTTAAATTGATTTAAAAGAAAACAATTAATAGGATGTCCAATAACCTTGGTTGAGGATTACTTGATTCAATCTGTTTGGTATTGATTCATATAGTGATTGGCAGTACTCCGGTGTCATTTCATATCAACACTATTAACATTATTTAAGAGCTCTATTGAGTTTAGAATGAATGGCATCTAGTATATATATTTATCTCAAGAATACCCAAGAATTTTAAAAAACATTCAGGTCCTGACTGGTTTGTTTATTTATCAAATTTAGTTAAGAATGCATTTTAAGTAAAAAATAATAATGAGTTTTAGAATATTGATGACAAGTGAGATGTCTTGTACAGTTGTGGAATATACTAAAATTAGTTAAACAATATTATTTATTCGTCGATATATATCATACTCTAAAATTTCTAAAAAATCTGGGAATCTAGAGCTTAAGATAGATTGTCTAAGTATCCAGTTCGATATTAAATTAATGAGAGAAAATATTGAATTTGAATCTACCACTTTCAACTTAATAATAGAATATTAGTTGTTCTATAATCGGGAACTCCTTTAAAGAATAAACTTTCTTTATACTATACTCTCCTTGTTTTATTTTCGTTTCATCTGTTAAATTACTTTTCTAAAAAAAACAATATCCTTGTTTATGTAAAATCAGTTAAAAACCTTTACATTTTGAATATGAAGAAGAGTCTAAAAGGTTTTTTTTTGTATTATTTCTGAAAGTAATTCCTTAATCCTTTATTATTCTTCTAATAATGTTATTGATTTATCTTTTTAAAAATGTATTGTTATCCTTTTTTTTTTTAATGATATAATTGATTTTTAAAAAAAATTTTAAATTGTATTTTAAATATAATTGTAATCTTTTAAATATTTATTCTTTTTATACATATAGTATTTGTGTTCAGTGATGAGTTTGTTTTTGCTTAGTTTTTCTTTAGTCTTGAAACTGTTGAAAATTAGAATTGTATTTTGAACCAATAACCTCTTGTGCTGTTCAGTAATCCAAATCAAGTATTCCACAAATCTTTTATCTTTCTGTTAACATTTTACTTTGTATCATTCTTATATATAATATAATTAAATATTTCAAAATAAATTTAAAAGTACTATAATAAAAAATATTTTATTACTTCAGAAATATTGCACAAATTAATTTTATCTTTTATTTTTTTTATTTTTTTTTAAAATGATAAAAGATTCAATTTCTTTTTAATTATTAATCATTTACAAAGATCTATCTTAGAATATATTTATTAGTTTCTATAACAAATAAATGTATTACTGTTTGATATTTTGACACCTCTGTCCGGGTTTCATAGATTTTTGCTGTACTAGCAACATCAAAAAATTTGCCATCTCCAGAGCATATCGTTTGAGTTTCTCGAAGGATGGTGAGACAAATTTCAATGGCACTACCGAGTGGGTCACCTTTAGCCTCAAGAGTACCAGAAAGTTGAGATATCCACCAAAGATGAAGATTGGATATGAAGCACCATCGATTCACAACAACTTTACTCCAATCCCAAATGGTTCAAACAAAGAAGTTGCCAGATGCCCAGCCTTCATCAGCAAACTTATAAAGAAAGGATTGGAATACACCACTCTAAGAGGATCTCAATCAGCCAACGATACCGCTCGTGTTGCTTCCACCACTCGTGCTACTGCCACCACTCGTATTGCTGCTAACACCCGTGTTGCTGCTGACTCCCAGTGCGATGAGGATCATGATGGTGGAATGGACATCGAACAAGATGAGCCAATTGTCAACGATCCTGTTGATGCACTCTCTGCTATCCAAGGTAAGCAATTTTTGATTCAATCCTGTTCTAACGTCGATGGTTTGAATGATATTCTTGTTTATTTCCATACTTCTAGATTCATCGCTGCTGTTGCCTTGTACACCGACGAACAAGACACCTCCGCATTTGTTGTTCGTAATGAGGGATCTGACGGTCTGTCAGTCTTCCACCTAGACCCAAGTGGTGTACACTCTGCGGTCAGACCATTGGAAACACTTAACGGTCTCGGTGTGGTGCTTTCAAGATCTGAATCACGTACAGGTGTAGGTAGACCCGTGTTCCTTTCGATCCTGAAAGGTGCTGCCTGTTTCCTTGCCAGTAACAAACGTGTTGCCAGAAAGGCATTCCCAGCTGCCATGAATAGGATTGTCGGAGAGCTCCTGTCTTCGACCGTATCTGCAAACCGGATAGACGCCCTGCCAGCTTTTTTTTTTAAAATTGGTTTATAATCTATATTTTTATTTAAATATATATATCAATAAATAAATAATTCTTAACTTTAAATATATATATATATATGTTAAATTGTAATTGATTTCTTAATCATTTTTAGTTAAAAAAAAAAAAAGTGGTGGCGCGCCTCTGTCACTAGTTTTTTCGCTCTTTGGGTTTTTTTTTGTTTTGTTCACTTGGTTTATCTGAATTTTAACATATACAAAATATAATAAATATCATATAATAATTGTATAAAATGTAATTAAAGTTTTTAGATTCTTCATAAATGTCTTTCCAGTATATTCTTTGTCACGTTTAAATTATTTTATTATTTTGTTTTTCTATTTAATAATAATTTTAGTATTATGTTAATTAAATTTCTAAACCATTTTATTAAATTTAGGATCATTTGTTCAATCATCTTCACAACTCTCTCAGCAAACAACAGGATCACCTATTAAGATTTTCCAACAAAAAATATTAATAACTAAGTCTTTGCAATAAAATATTAAAATTGTCTGACTTGTGATTTTAAATGCAATAAAAAGTAGATAGATTTTAATTAAATTTTTTTTATTTTTTTACATATATATAGATTGTTGAATATATACAAAGAAAAGGTATATATTAAGTGGGTGGTAATTTAAATTTTAAATATATTTTAAAATTAGATGATTTGAAAAAAAGTAATGTTTTTTAAAGCAATATATATTTTAGATATATTGTTTTGTTTGTTGATTTCGATCGGATTCGATAGTTTGATTTGGAATATTATTTAAAACTTAAATAACTTATTTAAGAGAGAGAACGTAGTTTTGGAATTGTGGGAAGTTGATTGAACCAAGACCAGAGGCAGCGTCGTAACCTTGGGTGGCATGGAAACCGTATTCACAACAGTAGGCACGGTTACAGGAGATGTCACCGGTGGTGATATCGTGGAAAACGGATGGTTGGTTCTCTTGAGCTTGGTAGAGCATTGGGTTGAGGAAACCGAGTTGTGACTTTCCGGCGTTCAAAAGCTTGTCGTTGACCAACGAGAAAAGACCGGCAAGAGTTGGTGAGGAACAGGAGGTACCGTCGACGTTACCCAATTGGCATGGACAGGTGTCAGAGTCGGAACCGGTGTAGGCGATGGAGTAGGCGTGACCGACAAAGGTAATGTCTGGGTAGGCACGACCGGAGGTGTTGTAGGTTCCGGCTGGTGGGAGGTTGACGTTTTGTTGGAGGTAGTTGTTGACGGATGGTTCTTGGTAGGCTGGTTGTGGTTGGACGTTGGAGAAACCACCACCACCGGTGATGATGGCACCGGTTGAGATGGAGCAGACAATTTCTGGTTGCGACATCGAGAGGATTTGAGTGGCACCGACAGAGGTGACGTATGGCGAGGAGGTTGGGAAGTCTGGGTAGAACATGGCACCGTTGCTCTCGCTGTATGTGTAACCGGAGACCTTGAAACCAGAGTGGGTGATGGTGTTGAGTGAGCTGCATGCGCAATTGGAGTGGATGTGATAGTTTTGTTGGGAATCTTGTTCGATGGAGACCTTGCATTTCTTGTTGGCGCTGATGAATTGGTTGAGAGCGGCCGATCCTTCTTGGTTCAAGATGTTACCACAGGTTGGGTTACCGGTTCCACCTGGGAAGACACAGACGGTGTTGTTTGCAGCGTAGCTGATGGTGACGGATGGACATTGAGTGGAGGAAGAGGCACAACCACCGAGTGGGCAGTACTTGGAGGCATCCAATGGACAGTTACCAGAGGCGTAGAAGAACGATGGAGCACCGTCGTCACCGGCGGAAACCAAGATGGACATACCCATGAGACCCAACTTTTGGAAGGCAACGTTGGAACGTTCGACATATTGGAGATTGGAGTAACCAACGGTGGTACATTCGTTGGTGAGGACACATTGTTCGATTTCAGAGAAACCGTAGGAGAGAGAGGTAATCATTGGCAATGGTGAAGCATCGGCAATTTGGATAGCCCAATCCAAAACCCATTCACCGTTGGCGTGGTTAATGAAGAGAGTAGAGACGTTCAAACCCATGGCAGTTGAGTATTGGATATCCAAGTCGGATTCCATTTGGTCACAGTTCTCGTTGAAACAGTTTGGACCTTGACGGTTGACACGGACATTGGAGATCTTGTAGGTCTTACCAAAGTAGTTGAGGGCACCCATTGAGAAGTAGTCACCAAAAGCGGCGATCGATTGGTAGTTGGCGTCGTTGGTGGCAACTTGGCTGGCTGGAACACCGTAGTAGTTCTTGATGACGGCAGGGGTGATGGTCAAATCGGCAGCTTTTCTGGCGTTGGCACGGACTGGCTTCTTGGCACCTGGGATGGTTTGGATATTCATCTTTGGATCTTCGATGAATTCAGAGAGACCGACGATGAAGTCGATGTGCTCGGCCAAATCGAATGGAATGTAGGCACGACCGTTGATACGGGTACGGAGGTTACCGGTGGAGGCAGAGACGTAGTCGTAGAATTGAGCGTTCAACAACTTCTCGATCTTGTTGACGGTGGTTCTGACTTGGATGTAATCGGCAGAGACCATAAAGTCAAACTTGGTGAGACCACTGGCGAACAACCATTGGGTGACGGCCTTGACAGTCTCGTCGGAGGCACCTGTCAACATATCGATTTCGTTTTTGGTCATGAATTTACCGTAGGCATCGGACTTTGGATCTGAAACTTCCCAGAAAATTTCTTCAAGGACATCGAGATTATTCTGGAAATTAATTAATTTAGAGAAAATATTTTTATTAATAATCAGGATAATTAATTAATTTCTTAATAATTATTACATACTTGTTTTAATAAAATTTTGAATGGTAAAATAGTTGTTTGTGAAGCTCTGTTTGATAAAACAAAGTGAGCTGGAGTATCGGTTTCAACTTGAGCAATGACCATCTGTCTGGAAGCGACAGAGGCAGAGACTGTAGCAATAGCAATTAAAGCCAACAATGCAAAATATACTTTGTACATTTTATTTGTTGTTTATATATATATATATTTAGAAGTATTTGTTTATGATGAAAAATACTGTCCCAATTGGTCGTCTTTTATAGTAGTTGGTAGGTTCTGTTCACCACACCTCCTTTGATCAGTGAATACTCGTAGTTTACAAAAATAAAAAAAAAAATAAAATAAAAATATATGAAAAAACAAACTCGTATCACCCCCCTTTTTTACGTCGTTTAGTTGGTATTGGACATGTCACTGATGGGTGGGAATTAGATGAATCTTTTAAAGATTTTTAAAATATATTTTTTTTTTATGAAAAATTTCTTAAAATTCGTAAAAAAAAATGAAAAAACGAAACCCAAAAGAGTTTGAATGTTCAAAAGAAAAGTTGAAGGCTTCCCACTTTGAAAAAGCTGAGGAGCATAAAGTAGGTGGTAAATGAGGTTATAGTTACTTGTGTTTAGCGTTTCTCAACAAAACATAAACATCTTAATTTGTAATGATTTTTTATTTCCACCATCTTTAATAATCGCCATCGATTTTTTTTAGATTTTTAATTTAGCTTTGTTTTGTTTTCTCCCTCCTTTCTTTAATTGAAAAAAATCAAATGATGATTTCATATGATTTTATTTCTTTTTTAGGAGGTGCTTTTAAACGGTTTTCTTTATTTGCACTCCACAAAACAACAATACTTTTCTTTTGATTTTTATTTTTGTAGAGAAAGAATAGTTAACCAACTTTTGCAAATGACAAGTCAAAAGAAAAGTTTGGTTACTTTTCAAAACAACACTCATTTCAAAGATTAAATTGAATTGATCTTGATGACATCAATTAGGAAATCAAGGATACTTCCAAATAGAGTAATCAATGATGAATGAAATAGATTTGAAGATCTGATTTAATACTGACAATAAAAGATTTTGTTTAAGTATACACAAAATGGAAATAAGTTGAAATTGTATACCTATTTAAAATCATTATTAAATTTACCTTGGCTTTTAATTTTTTTTTTTGGTTATAAAAAATAAATGAATTTTATTAAAATCATTATAGATTCTTTATATTATATTAAGAACTAAAAAATCTTTTAAAAAATAATTATATATGTTTTATTTAAAATTTATTAAATCTTCTTAAAATTGTTGGTATCTATTTCTATTTCTTCTACGAATAACTATAATTAGAATTGCAACCAAAACTATACCACCTACACAACCAAAAGCAATACCAACATATTTTCCAATATCTGAATTACCAGAGGAGTGATGAGGTTCCTCATGACTCGAAGTGTCATGACATAACCCAATAGAGGAATTACCAGTGAGTGTACATTCATATGGATGGGAACAAGTAAGGATTTCTTGAGAGGTGGTATTCAAATTATCCATATAGATCGTACTATCACTACAATAGATTGGAGAGTTTGAATTGGAATTAAAGGTTGAATTCTCAATACTGGCATTACCTCCCAATGAATATATGTAGACTGCACCACCACTGGTATTGTTTGTTACCGAGTTTCCAGTAAAATTACAATTTTGAATGATAAAGGTGTATCCACCGCTGTTGTAAATAGCTCCACCGTTGTTGATAGCAAAATTATTTGTAAATACAGAGCCATAGATTCTCACTGATGCTCCACCACTAATTAATAAAGCACCTCCATTGTTGGCATTTACATTCGAGTCAAAGGTTGAATTATGGATCTCCAAGGAGCCAAGTGAAGTTGAGATTTGAATAGCACTACCTTGTTGATTCGATTTGAAGTTGGAATTATAAATGATTGCTGATGAATCATAGATGGAAATTAAACCGTATTGATTAGAATAGTGGAAATTTCCAGTAAATGTAATTGCATTTAAATATACAAGTGTAGGAGCCTTTTTGATATAGACAATACTATCTTGGGCAGTATTGGTAATGAAGCTGACTGTATCCATTGATACATTGGCGTATATGGTATAAATAGTTCCATAAGACTGGGCATTATTCGATTCAAAGATACAATTGCTAATGACCAACGAGCTATCAAAGACCGAGTAGAAAGCACTTCCATAAGAAGCATAGTTGAGTTTAAAGGTAGAATCTTTCAAAGTAATAACAGTATCGGTGGTATAAGCAGCTACTATACCAACTACACCTCCATATGCTGCCAAATTGCTGATGGCAGTAACTCCAATTAAATTCAAGCTGACTGGTGCTGGCAAAGTCATGTTGATCGAAACCACACCTCCGTATGTTGATTGACCTTCTTTGAAATTCAAATATTGTAAGGTTACATTGGAATAGACTGCATTGTAGAGATCGAGAGAATCGGTAATACAAATGAAATTGCTGGTTTTGTTCATTTCGATAAAGGCTGGATTGTTAATGGAGTCTCCTGTGAAAGTGATGTTTCTGTTGAAGGTGTATAGATTGGTATTGTTTACTCCAGAGTATGTGTAGTTTCCTAGATTCAAAATGACAGCAGTTTCATTCGTTTCCACAAGAGCGTACGATAAGAGAGCAGTAACGATATCTGGACAGGCATTAGTTAAATTCTGGCCGCATGGTTCGGAAGAATTATAATTATTTATATTGGGATTTAAATAGAAATTATATACAGTTTGTGATTGAATGGATACAAAAAATCCAAATAATATGGTTGATAATATAACTATAGATTTCATTTTTATAATAAATAAAAGATTTGATTGATTTGACCACTAAACAAAAAGATCTCTATATTTATTTAAAGATTATCAAAAAAAAATAAAAATAATTAAATCAATATTAAATAAAAAATAATATTTTTCAGGATATCGAGCTTGGATGATTTTTTCGTTTTTCAAGATTGTTTTTCAATACCATCAAAAAAATCTTATATTTTTTCATTTTTTTACCACCTAAATTTTTAAAAATTCGAGATTTTTTATTAAAATAAAAATTTAGGTGGTAACTAAATAAAACAGAGTTATTCTTTTGAGAAACGGTACATTAAACCTCAATACCAATCTTCCAAAAGAATTTTCAATAGAATAATTATATCACAAAAGATTATTAATACTTTAATTATTTATTAACTGGTTATGAAAATATTGTTATAGAAGGATTCAATAAATACAGTGCTGTGCTCTGATTCTTTAGGGTTGTCGAAGACTGTAGAAGAACAACTCTATTAAAAAATAATCTTTTCTTTTTTACCAACAAACATTCTTTATTCAAATAAATTGTTTTAATTTAAACTTTAAAGTTTTTCTTTGGGTTTTTTTTTTTGCACAGCTTTTTTTGCATTCTAGCATTATGTTTTTAGGTCTTTTCTTTTTCGAAGTAGTTGTCTTCTTGTCATTTGTTCACCATTTGGATGTGTAATGGTTTGTTTTGTTTTTCAAAAGAGTTAAACCAATGTGTTTGAATGCTGATTTTTGTGTATTATCTAGTCTTAGTGATTCCTATAATAGTTGTTGTTTTGTCATTCTCACATCATTATGAGGTGTGATTGTATCATAGAGAGATAGTGAAAATGAAAGGTTATAATAGGAATCTGAAAAGTTTGGATTGATTTTAAGTTGCAGTTCTGTCATACTCACACCATTTTGGAGTGTGATTGTTTCATATCGCGATAGTGAAAGTGCAAGGTTATAATAGGAACTGAAATCGTTGGGATCAAATTCTAATGACTTTAAGTATAGTTGCTGTTCAGTCATTGATTTTCCATAAATCTTGATTGGTTCACTGGTTGAAAGAGTCACTGCAAGGTTATGATATGAATTGGAATAGGTTGGGTTACATTCTATTGTTCAGTCATTGATTGTCCGTTATTTAGTGTGATTGATTCACCACCTGGAAGAGTCATTGCCAGTTTATAGTATGCTAAAAAATAGGTTGGATCACAATCTATTGACTTTATATTTTCTAATAAGTTGTTATATTGTAATTGATTGACCAGATAGAAGAATGATAGATGATCGATTGTCATTTATTAAGATTAATGCCAACTTGCAATAAGCATCAGTATTTGGATGCAAATCGATTAATTTCGATAAAAGTTGTTCTTTCGTTATTGATTCACCTGAAGGTAACACGATTGTTTGTTTTTGATCATTTCGATCATCAATTGACATTGAAAGTTGGAGCAGTGCTTCATTGTCATCTGAGCTGATACTATTCTGATGTTTTCTTTTCATTTTTAAAATAAGAATAGTTGTTTGATATCAATTATCTAAATACGAATTAATTTTAGATATTTTTTGTTTTTGCTCATTTACTTTTTTTTTGTTTTTTAATGTACTGATAATGATGTAAAATTAAATGTTTCTAAGAAAATATAATATTTAAATTTTATAAAAAACAATCAAAAAAAGAATAATCAACTGAAAATGAGAACTTGATTAAACATCAATCACATAATTTAGCAAATAAATAATATTATTTAAAGAAGAGAGAGAAAAAATTATTGAATAAATATATTAGATTATTTTACATTCATTCCCTTTTATTAAAAATTAATAATCGCATTTGTTTTAAAGTATGACTGAGGATCATATTAACAGTGTTTAAACACTGTACCAATATCATATTGTTTATAAAAGTACTACAACAAGATTTATCAAACTGTATGGATTGAATGTAGTCTGGGTGTTTTTTTTTTTGTTTAAGAAAACTACTGTTGTTTAAAAGATTAAAAATTAAATATTCTACAGATTGAATCAAGACAAATTTTTGTAGATCTTCTTGTTAAAACAAATATCAAACACCGAGATTCAAACATGATTTTTTTAAGTAATAATAGCTTAAAAAGAGAATCTAGGGAACTGTTGTATTCAATAATAACTAAAGTTATAGAAACTCTTACTTTTTTATATGACAAAAAGAAGGAGTTCGAATATCCTATCTTTAAAAAATTACTCTGTTTCAAAGATGCCTGTTCGCATGCGGACATGTATTCAGAAAAAGGATGTGCAAGCTGGGAGATTCGAACTCCCGAACCTTGCGGACTAGAACTTGAGTCTAGCGGATTTAACCACTTTCCTAAGCTTGCTTGCTGATGGGGAGATTTTCCTATTTGTAATTTTTAATTTTTTGGAAATTGTTAACAATAAAATATCTTGATTTCCCTCTCTATTATATCCTCTTAAGTACAATAATCAAAATAATTTTATTTTACAAATATTTAGTTATTGCTGGTGGAGCGAACCAATCATTATCTTTACCGTTCGTGTAATTGACTTGTAAGACATCGAGCTGCTCTGGTGTTAGATCGTCAATAACATTAATACAAACGGCAAAGAATTCACCCATTCCCTCAATATTGCAATCAGCAAATACAGAAATTCCACAAGTCTTTGTTTTTGTAATGAAGTAGCTAAGTTAGCAATCGATCTTTTGAATAAATTACTATGTACTCTCTCACTCTCATCTCAACAACCCCCTAACACACACTCACGCAGTATTAAATTAAAAGTTACCTTGCAGAAATTATGTTTTACACCATGACTACCAAATGTATAAACTGAATTTGAAGTACTATCTGTTGTTTGTTTGAAGTGCTCTTTGTTCTCTACGATTACACACCAATGTCTTTGTTTTAGACAAATAGAACCTATATAGATTAAAATAATAAAAAAAAAAAGTTTGTCAATTAATGAGAAGGTTGATCAAAGATGGTTGTTAGTTGTAAAGATATCAATCTTTTATTAAATACATACAATTGCATTTAGTTGTTGGTTGGGTTGGTAAGTCTAATTGAACTGTAAACTTGATAGCACCACAGTGACAGCTACCATTATATGTGTGAAGTCCTGATGGGAATAAAGATGTCATTTTCCTTTTATTTATATATAAATATTCTAAACAATGTCACTTTTAAAGAATGAATTGATAAGACTTAGTATTGAACTTGATACCACAGTATATTTCCAAGAAAAAGATGGTCATTTTCATATAACTGTTAAAGGTTATATTTGACACTTTTCCCATTGTTTTTTTTTTATATTTAAAAATATCTCGATCTTTTTTTGACACTTTAAATTTATTTTTGAACATCAAAGTTTAAAACTTTACAAATCATTTATTGTTCAAATGATAACACAAGTGATCCCCCTATATCTTCATACATTCATTTCTAACTATCATATCAGTTTGGGTACGAGTGTGTGATACATACTGATCAGGTTGCTGGTTGCTTCTGTTTATATTCACAACAAATAAACTAGTATCATTCATCAGCATCACAGTCTGTTTTTATTGATTGCAGCTTTATTGGCTTCATATATATGGGTGGTTGGTGTGTTATCACCTTCATCAAACTACTTTAATTACTGATGATTGTTTCTACTTCATTTATCTTATTTTATCTAAAAATGTGTGTGAGGAATAGGGTGTGATATATATATTTCTATTCAAATATACATTTTTTTTTTATGAGCTTACTTTTCAGCTGGTGAAAGTAATTTTTAATAAATGAAACAACATACAGCATCACACAAACCAACATCTTATCTCGTACTATTATATATATAAACCAACTAGAGGTTATTATAAACTCTCATTCCATATCACAAACCAACTTCAAATTAATATAGATATGTACATATATTGGTTGTATGTTTTGGACTATTAATTTTATATTAATTTTTTAATTTGATTTTATTTTTTTTACTTTTTAATTTTTATTTATAAATTTAATAGTAGAAGTTACACGAATAAACTACACCAGAGTTGGTACAAATGTTTTTTTAGATTCTATCTGCAGTTACGACCTCTGCCTTGAAGTTAAAGAATAACAAGAGTTGAAACATATAAACAAGAAAGCTTGTCAAAGAAAGCAATAGATATAAACATTCCCATGTCTATTTGTATGATACACTTTATTAGAAATCTAACCAAGATTCAATTTCTATTTTAAGAATCTCTCTGCAAGATCAAAGAAACTGCTCACTCTTGCTACAAACACATCTAGAAGTTAGAGATCTTGTAGACTACATTATAGCTGAATGTGAAACGTCTATCGAAAGAAATATCGACAACTATAGAATAGCTTCAACTGTTCGTAAAAATATTAATATTTTAACACAGAAGAACAATCGACACCAAAAGACCTGGTAGACCATCAAAGAAACAAGTCTCATTGGAGTGATTCGAATTCGATCGATGTAACAACATGTCGTTCCTCGTGATAATGTTGTTGTAACTAGTTCCAGAGTTAAAGGACGACAATGCCACCAATCAAAGATCTATTCCAGAATGATAGCATCATCAGTTTGACGAGATGCATTGTTTGCTCCAAAACTATGAACAATCATCGATCAGAATCATTTGGATACGCGATGCGAGTACGAATACTACCATATTAAGATTCTGTTCAAAATAATTTTAATAAATCATGTACTTAGTACCTCTATCTATTTTCTTTCACGAAAATAATTAATATTAGAATAGCAGTGTAACAAAAAAAAAAATCATAAGAAGAAAAGCATTTTAAATGTGTAACAAATCGTGGGGTTCATTCAAATTAATTTAATCACAAAACAACTGTTTTTTATCAATTGAGATCCCATTTTCATTTTATCTATTTTTTTTAAAGCGTAGCAAATTTTAATTTGTATTTATATACTTATTTTTGAAATGAATACAGATTTAGTCAAGAAAACTAATAAATTAATCAACGGAAGAAATGAAATAACTATCTTGAATTATACCTGTGATAGTTTTACAGTTTTAATTTATAATCATTTGAAAAATAAAGATAATGAACAACACAAAAATATCATATTAGTTAGATGTGTTAATGGGTATGACAATGAAAATGAAATTGTAATACCAGATACTGTCGATACCCAATATCAAATAATTATAATAAGAACTCTACCGATATCTATATATACAGAGATACTAAACAAATCGCAATCATACACTATCACCATTACTCTGAAATGTTTGAATAGCGGTCTATTCGAAAACAATCTTTACTATTTCAAACAACTATATATTAATAACAAACGATATCATTTAATATCAAGATTTACAAACAGTAATGATATCAATGAAGTATTTTTAGTGGGTGGCACTGATCAAAGATTGGTAAGTTCATTTTTCAAAGTAATTATAAATCAAAAGATAATTTTTAAAACTAACAAATCAATTCAAAAGTATGTTTATAAAAAGATAAACTATAAAGATAATCAAAAATCTTATGAAAGAGTTGTGAATGAAATCAAATCAATGAAATTACTCAAAGGAAATCAAAGATTTGTTCAACTTGTTGACTATCATCATGATAAAGACAATCAAATCTTTCATATCATCACTGAATATTGTGATGGTGGTGATCTTGCTCAAATGTATAAACATTTAATAGATCTAAATTTGTATGTATAATATATAAAATTAAGTTTGATAAATATATTACAACTAACCACTTTGATATTAAATAAAATAGAATCTTTAAAGAATCAGATATCATTAAATATATTTCAGATCTTTTCAATATTCTTTTGGATCTTGATAAACATGGAATTGTTCATTGTGATATCAAGCCATCAAATATATTCATTGATAAATTTTATAGTACTTTGATTCTTGGTGATTTTGGATGTTGTAAATTCATTGATAAATCAACAATCATTGAATATCAAGATACAAAAGAATATCTTCAAGAAACAAGTGATTTTAATTCGAAATGTATCGATCATGAATTATCAGAACCAACCATTGTTGATATGAACTCAAATACACTTATAAATGCAACTCGTGGAACAATTGGATATATTTCACCAGTAAGTAAATTCTATCTTCTAGCTAATTTACTCATCAACATAGATAATAGCTAAGTCAAACAATAATATAATTAGGAGGCAATGAAACGACAATACGCACAATCATGTGACATTTTTTCAATTGGATCAACAATACTCAAATTATTATGTTGGTAAATACTCGATATTCATTTTTAAAATATTTAATCAATTGATATTAACTCGTTATTTTTGAATATTTAAATTGATCAGTCATCCAGATGATCGAAATAATCATCAACTATTCCAATCTAATGGTGAAATTAAGATTTCAGAATGCAGATATTCAAAACAATTGATTGAATTTATTCATCGATTGTTGGATCGGAGTCCAAAGAATAGAGAATCATTGAATCAATTATTAAACCAATATATTGAAACCATCACCAATAACTGTTCAATTACATTCAATTTAAATACTCCATTTCATAATACCTCCGTCAATGTCACTGAGATCAATTTTGGAAATGAATTCAATCAAATATTATCAATCGGTGTCTTACCTGAATCACTGAAATCATTGGTGTTTGGATATAAATTCAATCAAATATTATCAGTCGGTGTGTTACCTAAATCACTATTAACATTGAAGCTTGGATGTTCATTCAATCAAATATTACCAGTCGGTGTGTTACCTGAATCACTGAAATCATTGAGGTTTGAATCTGCATTCAATCAAATATTATCAGTTGGTGTTTTACCTGAATCACTGCAATCATTGGTGTTTGGAGGTGAATTCAATCAAATATTATCAGTCGGTGTGTTACCTAAATCACTATTAACATTATCATTAGGATATTCATTCAATCAAATATTATCAGTTGGTGTGTTACCTGAATCACTGAAATCATTGGTGTTTGGTGATAGATTCAATCAAATATTATCAGTTGGTGTGTTACCTGAATCACTTGAATCATTGGTGTTTGGATTTAAATTCAATCAAATATTATCAGTTGGTGTGTTGCCTAAATCACTGAAATCATTGAAGTTTGGATATCCATTCAATCAAATATTATCAGTTGGTGTGTTACCTGAATCACTGAAATCATTGGTGTTTGGAAATGATTTCAATCAAATATTATCAGTTGGTGTGTTACCTGAATCACTGAAATCATTGGTGTTTGGAGATGATTTCAATCAAATATTATCAGTCGGTGTGTTACCTAAATCACTGAAATCATTGGAGTTTGGATATTCATTCAATCAAATTCTAACAGTCGGTGTATTACCTGAATCACTGGAATCATTAACAATGAAGAGATATAATCATAGAATTAAGAGAGGAGTTCTACAGGTGTATGAATCAGAAAATGAAGCTCAAATTCTAAAACCAATTGAATCACTCATTATAGGTGCCGTTAATGACTTTATGAAAAGTAAATTACCTTCAGATCTAAAATTTCTCAGTATTGGACCTACATTTAGTGAATATATATTTGAAGCATATATACTCACAAATTCTCATGAATCACTTCAATTTATCAAAGAATATTATCCAGGATATTATTCAAGAAACAATTTATGCCACTCCTCTTTAAATTCTCCGATCTATCAAATTTTAGGCGAATATATCACTGCTCTACTTTTAACCGACACTATTCCATCGAGAAACTATGTAAGATCTTTTAAATAAATTTTTTTTTATTTTTTATCAAACCAATTTGTTTGTATGTTTTTATTTGTTTTGGAACAAATTCAATAATAACAAGGCTAAGATAAGATTTATCCATGAATATTCATAAAATGAAGAGAGAAATAAAGAGAATTTTTTGAAAATGGATTTTTCTTTTTTATTTTTAATAATAATAATAGGTTGTATTGAGAAATCATGCGGGTAAAACATAAAAAGAATGACTCGCTTGGTAATAATTCACAAATTTTTTCTCTCTATGATTTCCCACGAGTCTGCGAAAGTAACCTCACAGTTCGTTGGATCACAGAGGTGACAATTTGCATTACTCAATGAAGAGTACTATATTTTTTTGTTTTTTTTATTCTGACTTATGGGAAGCTACGAATTCTTGGTCATTTGATTCAATCGACTGGCAAAAAAAAAAAAAAAGAAAAAATGGATCCATTTTTACCCCCAAAAATTTATATGAGAAAAGTACTCAACTTTTTTCAGTTTTTGCATAGTGTCACTCTATTTTCTACATTATCTTTTTAGTATATGCATGCTTAGCCGAAGTAGAATCGTACAGTGTGAATGTGTTAGATATACAAAGATATGAGTAAATCATTCTAATTCTTTACCAAAAAAGCATTTAAATGTTAGTACAATCTTCACACCAAAATAAATAACGAAAGAACAATTTTGACAATAATCATTGATATTGGTGTCGAAAAGACAAATCTAAACTATGTGGGTGTATGATGTAATGATGGAACTACAATTGTAGCCTGCGTTTGGGAATCAAAAATATTAATGTTTCTCTATGATAAAAAAATAAAATAAAATAAAAATAAATACAATAATAATTCAAGTTTATTATTCAAAGCAATAATAATCTCAAGAGAAAACAATAATTATTAATTATTTTTTATTTAATGACAAACACTGAATTTGAACCCGATTAATGTATATAAAATTCCCCCACAAACTATTTTTTTTTTTTTAAAAGAATTGTTTGGTTTTGGTTTTCAAAACCCGTTAATAAATATGGTTTTTTTGAAAAATTTAAAAAATAAAAAAAATAATCTTTTACCACAAAGTAGTACTGGATGCATTGTGTGTGATTGGTAAATTTTTAAAAATTTTATCATTTTTTAATGTTGTATAATAATATTTATATTTAAAAATTGTTCATTCTCATCATCATCATCATCACATACACACACATACAATCAAAAACAAATTTTTATTACAAAAATAAAAAACAAAGCAAATCACATCAAGATCGAGAATCAAATTAAAGAATATTCGATTTAAGAATTCATAAAAAAACAAAAAAACAAGCATCAAACAGCACTAAGCAAAGAAAATTAAAGAGAAGAGAGAAAAAGAGAGAAAGAGATTAAGTTATTTATTTATTAAAATTTGTGAAAATTTAGTTAGTATAGTAGAATAAAACAAAGATCAATACATTCATTATATATAAAAAATGGCTGACAAAAAGTAAGAGAATCAATTACATTTGGAAACAGAGAGATTCTGTTAGTTAGCAACACATTTTTCTAATTCGATATGATATGATTCTCTTTATAGTGTATTATCTCAGATGGATGATTTGATGGCGGAACTTGGTATTCTTGGTGATCAAGATGGTACCAAACCAGAGGGTAATGGATTGGCAGCGAGTGGTAATCAAGCACCAAAGTCGAATTTCCTTTCTTCTGGACCTGGATTTGCGAAACCACAGATGACTCAACAATCGGGTCTTACAACAGTTGGAATTTCATCGCAACCAATCTCACTGGCGAATGTTACACCGGATGGACGTACCGTCAAAGCGACCGGTCCACCTTGCGCACACTGCGGTGAAATGATTATCGGTATCTCAACGAATGCTCTCGGTAAATCGTATCACCCAGAGCATTTCGTTTGTGCCTACTGTCACCAGCCGTTCAAGGGCGGTTACATCGAGCACGAAGACAAGCTCTACTGTGACACCGACTACAACGAACTGTTCAGTCCACGTTGTTCGTCGTGTCAGAAACCAATCGAAGAGTCTTGTATCACAGCTGTTGGTAATCGTTATCATCCCGATTGCTTCTGTTGCAGTGGTTGTGGAACACTACTCAAGGGTAAGCCATACAAAGAGGAGGATGGCGAGGTCTATTGTACGACCTGCAAGATTGCAAGACAAAAGAGATTGGCATCGTCACAACAGATCTGTGCCAAATGTAAATTACCAATCACCGGAGAATATATTACACTAGGTGGACAACCACTTCACTCTGAACATTACCGTTGTGAAGAATGTGGTTGTGAATTCAAAGGAAAATCATGTCATGAATATGAAGGTCGTCTCTATTGTTATGAAGATTATCAAAAGCAAATTAGAGTAAGATTATTATTTTATCAACAACAATCATCAAACTACATGTTATTAATATAATAATTATTTTAGAATATTTGTGGTAGTTGTTCAAAACCAATTGTTGGTCGTTCAGTAACTGCTTTGGGTAAAGTTTGGCATCCAGAACATTTTACAGTTTGTATTACAATATTATTATTACTAGATAGTATAATATATATTTAGAGTTTAGTTTTATTAATATACAAATATTATTATTGTTTAGTGTAATACATGTTCAGTACCATTTGCAGGTAGTTCATTTAGAGAGCATCAAGGTAAAGCGTATTGTGAGACACATTATCATCAATATTTCGGAAGACTCTGTGTCAAGTGTAATAAACCAGTCATCGATAAGGGAGTTGACGCGTTTGGAAAGATTTATCATCGTGAGCATTTCACTTGTACAGGTTGTGATTCGCTACTCGGCAAAGAGGTCATGGATTGGGATGGAAAGCCAATGTGTTTCAAATGTTTCGAAGCACTACCTAAAGACGTCAAGAAGAGAATCAAACAAAAGAAGCATGGTGACAAGAAGTCTGCAACCGAGCGTGAGAAACTAGCAAAGAAAGAAGCAAAAGAGAAATTAAAACAACGTGAAAAAGAGAAAGCAGAAGCAGAAAAAGCAGAGAAAGAAAAAAAGAGATAAACAAAATGACTAAAAGAGAGAAAAAAAAAACAAAAAAAAAAAAGAAACAAACAACTTAAATTATAAATATACAATGTAATACTAAATCAAATTATTTTTATTTAATATTTTAAATAAATAAATATTTAATTATATAATAACAAGCAATAGCTATTATTATTATTTGTTTGATGGTGTTCCATAACCTCCACCACCAGGAGTCAATATTCTTAATCTATCACCATTTGTTAAATTGATAGAGTTCTTTCCACCTAAACTAATGATTCTACCATCTTTCTTATAGACATAGTTTATACCGCGTTGTGCATTCGATCCACCATTTAGTCCTCTTGGTTCAAATGATCTTCTCTCTGAGAGTATACTCACAGAGATATTCTTTAGGAATTCAATTTCACGAATGATACCATCTCCACCGTTGAATTGACCTTTACCACCGGATCCTGTTCTTATTCCAAATTGTCTAACTATGACTGGATATCTTTTCTCCATGATCTCTACATCTGTTGCTCTGGTGTTGGTCATGTGACACTGTACTCCGGAGGTTCCATTCCAATGTGGACCAGCACCGCTACCACCACCGATAGTTTCGTAGTAACCGATGGATTCATCACCAAATGTGAGGTTGTTCATACATCCTTGACTGGCTGCACATGCACCAAACGAAAGTAGAATTACATCGGTAACACGCTGAGAAGTCAATACATTACCTCCTACCACGGCAGCGTCTTCCGATGGATACAAAATGGTGCCCTGTGGAATGTTGATGGTTATTGGATTGAGACAACCTTGATTCAGAGGAATGTCTCTTCTCACCAGACATCTCAAAGAATAGATAATAGCAGATTTCGTAACAGAGGGTGGCGAGTTTGTATTACCGAAAACTTCACATCCAGTACCATTGAAATCAAAACAAGCGGTTCCATTACTACGATCGATGGTCAGTGCTAGTTTGATTGGTGTTCCATCATCCATAAAGTCTGTGGCATATAGTGTATCTTTTTCTTTCAATTGATGCTTCAATGAGATCTCACAGAGCATCTCTTTAACAGCCAACTCTGCATTTCTTTGTACATGATGCATATAGGCATGAACTACATCCAATCCATAGTAACCAATCAATTCCTCCATCAGAGAAATACCTTTTTTGTTGGCGGCGACCTGTGCTTTCAAATCGGAAAGATTGTCAGACAAGTTACGTGACTTGGCAAATATTCTCTTGATTTCATCCTCTTGGAATGAACCGTCTCTCACCAGTTTGAATGATCGAATGGCTACACCTTCCTCTTCGAGATTCTTTGAGAATGGTGGCATCGATCCCGGTGTAATTCCACCGATATCCGCATGATGTCCACGACTTGCCATGTAAAAGACAGGCGCACCATCATGATAGACCGGTGTTATCACAGTCATATCTGGCAGATGACTTCCACCCGATTGTGGATGATTCGAAAGAATTACCTCGCCTTCGTGCCATTCTTTAGCCAAGTGGTCGATTTGCCATTTGACAGCTTCTTGCATCGATCCCAAGTGCACTGGAAGATGTGGAGCGTTGGCGACCAGACCTCCGTCCGGTCCAAACAAAGCACACGAGAAATCCAATCTCTCTTTGATGTTGGTGGACACCGATGTTCTCTGGAGAGTACGTCCCATCTGCTCTGCAATACTCATGAATCTATGCGAGAAGACAGAGAGTGTAATTGGATCCAGCGTGGTAGATACCTGCTTTGGTGCACCACTTCCAATGGTAATCTCAATGTTACCGGTGTTTGGAAGAATGGTAGCTTTACAACCGGGTTCAACAACAATGGTACTGGTGTTATCAATGATGATAGATGGACCTGCAATTACATGTCCACCAGACAACTCAGTCAGCAGATACACTGGCGTATTCACTCTTCCTAAATTGTTGAAATAGACTTGATTGAATCGGTTTGCTTTTGGTGCTTCCGGTGACTCTGCATCATTAATGGCGATTGGTTTCAAAGTTGAACCTTTGGCAGCTGCTCTCACTCTAATATCATCGACCAACAAATCTCTACCGATAATCAAGAATCCATACTCTCTCTTGTAATTACTTTTGAATTCTTTTTCATAGTCATTGTCAGTCGGAGCTTGAATCATCATTGCAGTATCTGTACCAGAGAATCTAAGGTTCAAATATCTTTCAATAACAATATGATCATCTGAAAAACCTTTTTCCAACAGCTCCTTCTTTGCTTCATCTACCAATAGATCCAATCTCTTTTCAAAAGTTGATAGATTTTCTTTATTATAAATCAATGACGATGGTTCCTAAAAATATAAAACAAACAAGTTAGTTAAACACTTTCATTTATAAAAATTAGTAATAATAATTTATAGTTACTTGTTTTTCAACAACTAAATCAGCTAAACCAAGTCCATATGCTGATAGAATACCAGAGAATCTGTGTATGAATACTTTTGGCATTCCAAGGTTCATTGCGATTGCACAGGCATGTTGACCTCCAGCACCACCAAAACACGAGAGAATATGATGAGATGCATCGAATCCCTTGGCTTCAGTGATATTTCTAATTGGTCTACACATTGCTTCGTTGGCGACACGAATGAATCCAAATGCTACCTCGTCGACTGTCATGTTTGGCAGTCCTTGTGACTGTTGGAATGCATTGACATCCTCTGTCAGCTTGGTCATGGCTCTAATCGATGCTTCTGCATCCAGAGGTTGGTCTTGTGTCGGACCGAATATCGATGGGAAATAGCTTGGCATGAGACGACCGAGTACCAAGTTGGCATCGGTAATAGCAAGCTCACCTTGCTTACGATAGCAAACCGGACCGGGATGAGCACCGACCGATTCCGGTCCGACCGAGAACAGTCCCGATTGAAACTTTAGCTTCGATCCACCACCGGCAGCCACCGTTGTAATGTCGAGTTGCGGTGCCTGAATGGTGAGTCCCGATATCTCTGTTTCAAAGATGTGCTCGAGGCTACCACTGAATCTCGAGACATCAGTCGAAGTTCCACCCATATCGAATCCAATCACCGGTTGTCTGTTCTCCTCGCTCCAGGTGGCACGCGCATATCCGACGACGCCACCCGCCGGTCCCGAAAGAATCGATCGGAATCCACGGAAACTGTCGACCGGACACAAACCACCGTCCGACATCATAAACGATATATCTACATCTTTGATATTCTCATCGAAACCAGAGATAAAGTTTGATATGTAATTCTGAATTTTTGGTGTTAGATAGGCATCGACACACGAGGTGACACCACGCGGAATCACTTTGATCATCGGCATCAACTGAGAGGACAGCGACACCTGACTGAATCCTACTTCCTTCGCCAGCTTACCGACCAACTCTTCATGTAAAGAGAATGTATAAGAATGAATAAATACAATCGATACACTATCTATTCCTTTTTCTTTATATTTCTATCAGTTATATCATATTATTGTGTAATAATATTAGTAGCTATAATCTATTTGTTATCTTTACTGATCGGTTCTCTTACAATTAAATCATCTTTAATCTTTTGTAGATCCGGTGATTTCAATATAACTATGTTGTCTTTTGTCGGTGTGTCTGATGTGGCAGCAAGACTTGAAACAGAAACTCTTTCATCTACTTCCAGAACATCTTCATAGATTAGATCGGGTCTATGTATTTCCAAATCGAATATATTCGGTCTTGCTTGGTTGCCTATTTGCAATAGATCTTTAAATCCTTTGGTAATTACAAGTAATACACGTTCACCTTTTCTCTCCAACAAAGCATTGGTACCAATGGTAGTACCCATTCTTTATAATTTAAAAGAATAACAATCAGTATATATATATAGTTCTTTAGTTTGTTTTAACTATTCCAATAATAATAATAATAATAATAATAAACATACCTAATTGACTTTATATGAGTAGTATCAACATTGTTCTTATCAATCGATTTATTAGTTGCTCTCTCAAGAATTCTTCTGATACCTTCACGTGGTGCATCACTGTAGTTCTCTGGGTCTACAGAGAGTAGCTTCTCGATGAAGTAGTATGGTGCCACCGGTGATTCTGCATAGATATCTGTGAAAGTACCACCTCTATCAATATTAAACTTTAACTTTGGTATAGTATCAGTCATTATTTAAACTAATTTATTTCTTATATTTTGTTGTTTGTTTGTTTGTGTAACAATTTTTAATAATAAATATAATATTATATGTTTGTCCAACTTTTTGTTATGACAAGTCAATTGAATTCTTTGGAATCAAAATAAATTACCCACACACACGCACCACACACGTATTCATTCATTGTATTAAAACAACACACAATGAGTGACATTCGAAAAGATCTTCATTATTTTAAGATTAAAAAACTAATCTGGGAAAATTTCTTTTGAATTTTGATTTGCTTTGATATTTATTATTATAATAATAATTTACAACTTTTTTTTATGATTAACTACTAATGTTTGTATTAAATGATTTACTTTCATATGTATTTGAAGTGCCTATTTGTTTTAAATAAATGGTTTAATAAAGTTTAAGTTTAGTTAGTTATAATAATGTAGTTATGATTATTAATATTTTTTTAACATACTTCATAAGATCTGAAAATTAATTCATTTCCATTCTTTAATATGATTTTCCAATCCATCCAATTAGGATCCAACATGAATTGAGTGATTTCTGCATAAGTATATGAATCAGCACTACCATGTTCATCGATTAATGTAACTCCATGCTTACTTATTCTAATGGTTGTAAGTTCATATTCATTACCTCGTGATATAGATGCTCCACCATCATCAAATCTCCTATACTAAAAATTGTAAATAAATAAAAGCAACATTAATACTGGTATCTAATTATTAAATAAATAAAATAATTATTATTTACCTCCAATTTAAATTCAAATTCTTTTATTGAAGAATTCTTGAATTTAAATAGTTTATTCTTAAGAGTTCCACTTTCTTTTTCTTTTGAATCTTTTTTGTTATTCAAAGGACTATTTCCACTTTGTGATACACTTTCATTATTATTACTATTATTATGATTTTCTTTCGAGTCTTTACTATTACTATCTAATTTATTATCTTTTTTATTATTTGTAGTATCGATTGATTCTTTATCTTTTTCTTTATCTTTAATTTTTAATTTATCATCCTTATTATTAATATCTCTTTCTTTACTCTTTGATTTATCTTTATCTTTTACTTTTTCTTTTTCTTTATCTTTGTCCTTTGATTTATCTTTATCTTTGTCTTTTTCTTTATCACCAGATGAAATAATAGAAAGGAATTTCTTTTTCAACTTCATTACTAAAAATATTTCTAAATTTGTTTTTACTTTCTAAATTCTATCAATTATTTATTTCTTTTGAAATATAATATTTTTAGTATATTGTTTAAACAATTATTTAATATTTAATTAATTTGATGGGAGTGGAGTGGTGGTGGAATGGAATGAGATAAATAAATAAAACCAATAATGATAAATCAAAAAAAACAACATTCATTTTACTTTTTTTTCATTGGTTTTTTTATATGTGTTTGATTAGATTGATAATGTGTGTTTGTGTGTATGAGGGTGTTGGGTTTAATAAATAATAAAATATATCTGAAAGAAATTAAAAATATTAAAAGAGACAGGTAGGTATGTTTGTTTGAATTAATATAAATATAAATTTATTAAGCAGATAATAAATTTTTGTTAAATTAAACCATTGCGCTGACTGACTATACTATAAAATAAGCAAAGTGTTTTTTAATGTTTGTTTGTTTTGTATTGATTTGATAATAATAATAAATAATCGATAGGATTGATTCATAATAATTAAATGAATTTTAATTGTTTTTGTTTTGTTTTGTTTTCATTTTAGTTAGGTGTTTTTGTTTTCTTTTTCTTTGTTATGTTATGTCATATTAACTCTAACACCTTCATTGTAGAAATGGTGATTCATGTCGACGATGTGATGACCGTTGGTATGTGGGTATTTCGAGTTATTGGGAGTGGTGGTGGTGTTGGTGGTACTAGTGGTGTTACTGCTGCTGCTGCTGCTGTTGTTGTTGTTATAGCCATTGAGATCCAATTGCTCGATGGGTGCACTTCCATCTGATGAGGTGGAATTTTCATTTAAATAGATATCCGATCGTGATTTGTGATGATCGTGATCGAAAACGTTGGTTATATTTGAATAACCGTGCTTCATATTTGGAGATGATGATGATGAATTCTCCGTGAGCATTGGATCGATACCACCGTTACTACTACTAAGTTCATGCTCTTCTTCTCCTTCTTCATGTTCTTGTTGCTGTTGATGATGATATTGATAATTATCATGAGGTGATTGTAGTTGTTGATGTTGTTGTTGAGGTGTTGGTGGTGATGGTGATTGAATTTGATTTTGTTGATGTTGTTGTTGATATTGTTGATGATGATTGAAGTGATGTGGTGATTGATGAGGAGGAACTGGTTCGTAGGAGTAAGAGAGCATGGGATATGGTGGTGGCGGTGCATGTGCATGTGCATGTGACATTGGATGGTGAGGATGAGCATGAGGATGATGCATATGTGGTGACAGCAGATGATGTGGAGAATAATGATGTGGAGACATATGATGTGGTGGATAATGATGTGGATGTGGTGGATAACTACTACCGCTACTACTACCGACTTCACTACCGTACATTTTAGGTGAGGAGATAATACCCTGTTGATAGTTATGCATCTCCATTATGAGATGCTTTTTCTGTTCCTCGAGGATCTGTTGGTGGTGGTGATGCAGCTGGATCTGCTGGATGATGTGGTTGGGATCGATCGGTGAGTGTGGAGTGCTGCCGTCCGAGCTGCTTGCACTGCTTCCGTTGTGTGCTCCACGTCCGTGAACATTCACAGTTAATCCATGAGAACTACGGCTGTTGTCCTTTTGCTTTGACTTTTTCTCTGACTTTTTGTTGTTGTTGTTCATCGGAAACGAACTGTTGGAAGATTCCGTTGGTGATGAATTGCAATTCTCTTTATGTGACTTTGTTTTTTTTTTGTCAATAGATTGTTGTTGATGTTGTTGTGGAGCTGAACCTAAAAGACTGACACTTGTAATGATTGGTGACAGTTGTTTTCTCTTGTTGTTGCTGTTATTGTTAAAGTTGATGTCGTCAACCTTTATCATTTTTCTTAAACCTGCAACGTTACTGAGACTACTACTACTACTGTTTCCATTGTTGCTGCTGTTGTTGTTGTCTGCTTGTTGTTGTTGGTCAAAGTTGTTCATTGGACTATGTGATGATTTCGGTGTCGATGGTGAGTGAGGTGATGGTTGATATGGAGAGTTGTCTGGATGTTGTTGGTGAGGCGATGCATAGTGTTGTTGATAGGGTGAGGTTGGATATTTACTAGTAAACATTGGTATGGGTGAGGGTATGTTGGAATGAGTATTGCTGTTGTTGTGGTTGTGACGAGGATTGTGATCGGATGAGGAAGAGTGATTGGAGTTGTCTGATTTTTCATCGATGGCACTCTCAATACTCTGAGGTGTTATATTTGGCAAACTATACATTGGACTTTGAAATATATATGGAAGTTGGATGGTTGGTGTGAAAGGTGTCAATGGGATTTGATTGGGTGCGTGGTTCGGATCCATCGAGTAACTACAGTACTCGATCATTCCTTGGCCATCGCCACCACCAACCGCCGGCGAAAAATGTGATGGTACTCCAGGCTCCGCTGGATGATGCACATGGAGATGATGATGTGGAACTGGTACTGGTGAAGCATGATACAGGTTTAAAAATTTGTTTTTATGTGATTTGGTATACTTGTTGTTGATATTGCTATGTTGTTGATGATGATGATGATTATTACTGCTGTTATTGTTATTGCTTTGGTTGGAATTCGTACTATTATTACTACTGTTGCTGTTATTGTTGTTATTGTTGTTGTTGTTGTCATGATGGTTATTACTATTGTTACTGTTGTTATTATGATTGTTTCCATTGGAGTTGATATTCATATCATCGGATGAAGTGGATGGTGATTGATTGTAGTGAATTGGATCAAGGTTGGCGGCATTGGAAGATTGGAAGGGCAGTGAGGGTATGGGTGGTTGTCCAGATGAGCCATAGGAAAAGCCTGCTCCACTGCCATCCATTAGATATCCAGGTGCAGTTGTGATGGGTTGTGGATATCCCGGTGGAAAATGTTGGATTTGATTTGAAAAATGTGGTAGTGACAATGGAAGAGGAATCAAGTTGGAGTTGTTTCCTTGATTTAAATAATGAGGTTGATGATAATAACTGGAATTAATTGTTGGTTGTTGATCTTGGATTTGTTGTTGGTGTTGATCAATATCTTGATCTCCTTCTTCTTGTTGTATTGATTGTTGATGTTCTAAATGTTGTTGAACATGTTCCAGTTGTTGTTGAACTGGTTGTTTATTACTACTATTATTTGTTGTAGTTGTAGTAGTTGTTGTTTTATCAGCTTTATTCTTATTTGATTTCTTTTTCTTTTTAGTTTGTTTGTTATTCTTATTATTATTCTCATTATTATTGTTGGAAGGTGGATCAGAAGAAGGAGTATGACCATCGGTATCATAGTTGGAAGAATCATCGGACATTGCTTGATTACTGCTGTTGTTGTTATTGGCACGGTCAGAGTCATCCTCTGTTTTTTTCTTTGGCTTTATAGTCCCGTTGACTTTTAGCAGGTAATCTCTCTTCAAATTCAGAAGCGGAGTATTACCGTTGGTGACCCGAACCGTGCCCCAGCCACTGCAGTTGTTTCCACTGATTGTCCTCGTCCAGTGCGTAGGATTGATAAAGACCTTCCCTTCCGTTGTATGTATCTCGCCATTGGAGTCGATGACTCCCATGTGTTGAACACCTCTATAGTTGTATCGGACTTGTGTATTTGGAGGCAAAAGCCCATGATTTATTAGATCCAAAAGAGTAACATTATGTTCGCTAACCATTTCTTTTTCATTGATTTAAAAAAATTAAAATAGAAACAAATATGGTGAAGTTTGTGTAATTTAATATATATATATATTATAAATATGTGGCAGGTGAATGAAAAAAGGCAAGATGATTCTGTAGATGGGAAAAATAAGGAATTATAAAAAAGTGAAAAATATATATATAAATAAATATATGTGTGTAGATTTTGGATGATAAAGCAATAGAAAAAAAAAGTTAAAGGTGAAATTAAATTATTATATTATTATGAAAAATATAATAAGATTTAATATAAATATATATATATGTATATGGATGAATTCTTGTTGTTTTTTGTTGTTTTTTCTTTTTACTTAATTAATTAATGAATATATATGAATGGATAGTAGTATAGATAGAAAAACTAGATATATATATATATGATTTGGTTTGTGTGGAAAAAAAGGAAAAAACCTTAAGTTCTTTCTTTTGGATTTGTAATAATTATTTTTGTTATTATTCTTGTTGTTGTTTGGTTATTTTTGGTTGTGATAAATTAAAATGATATTGACAACTCTAAACTATACATTGTATTACAAAATATAAAAAGAGATGGTGTAAATTGTGAGCTATATTAGTCACAATAAACAAAAAAGGAAAAAAAGAAAAAAAGAAAAAAAAAAAGGAAAGGAGATGTTTTTGATCGATTCTATTTGATCTCTACCCAGCCAGTCTATCTGTTTGTCCGTGGTCTGTCAGTTAGATCTCACAAGTTTAAAAATAAAAAATATTACTCTCTTGTCCAATTATATCTATTTTTTTGAATTTGATATTGAAATAAAAAGAATTTAAATTCTGATGGTTAGTAAGTTTTAAAATATTGGTTTATCAGAAACAAAAATTAATTTATAGTTCAATTTGTCATTGTTAGGTAATAAAACAAAAGTCTATATTAATATCATTTACTAAACTCTCTAATATAGACAAGCAATGGTGTTATGTTATAAATAAGTTTGTGTGTAGGTGGTGGTATGTTTGGTGGGTGTGAGAGGATTTGAAAGATGTGGCTACATGTCAAATAACATCAAACATAAAAAAGTTACTGTTTTAAAGTGGCAAGTATTAATTAAATTCACAGATGATAAAGTAAAGTAATAGATAGATTTTTGTTTTTGTGTGTTTTTTGTTTTGTTTGTAGTTATATGTGAAAGGTTTTTTAATTATACCTGATTCTATAGAATTTAGACAAACAATTAAAAAAGTAAAAATACTGTTGTACCTACACTTGGAATTAAATCGATCCAATGGACGATCTTTGTAGGTTGTATTTTTTTTCAATTAAAAAAAAAAAGCAATAAAAAAAAAAAGGCAAATCCAATGCAAATGAAATTGACTATACTAATTTACTTGCTGTTGTTGTGTGAACAACCAACCTATTGCTTTCAGTTGTGATATTGCTTATGTTGTAATCTCTCTCTTTCTCTGCAAATCCAATTCTCACTCTGATGTGTGACAGACAGTATTATTCAATTTCCCAGATTATTCTTCTTGAAAACTAACTACTTTAAATTAAATAATAATACTCTTCTTTTTCTCTGAATATATAAAAATAGAATAGAATTAATTAGTTTTTTTGTTTTTGGATATTGATTTGTTATTATTATATGTGTTGTTGGGATTTTAAGATTGTTTAAAAGATGGATAAAGGTTGATTTTGTTTAATTTTATTTTTTTGAGGAATATTTTTTGGGAATGAATATATTGAGGGTCTTTGGTTGTTTGAATTGAATATCATCCAATGAGAAGCAGTGATAGAATATGCCAAAAATTAAAGATGATTACTGTTTGCAATTATTTCTTGTGGTTGTTTGTTTGCATCTGAAAAAATTAATCTTAGGTGTTGTGGGTCCACAATTTGTCTAAAACAGAAAAAAAAATAATCAAAAAAAAAAAAAAAAAATCCAAAACAAAACCAAAATTTTCAACTGACACTAGTAGTAATAATTATTTTATTGGAGATCTCCAGATCTTAAAGTAATTACTCAACTCTTAAATATTATTATTATTATTTCCAAAACCACAAAAACAAATAATTTATATATTTATAAAAAAAATATAATAATAATATATTATTATTTGTGAAATTAATTAATAAAATAAATAAATAAATTATTTATAAATTTGAAATTGTTTTTTTTAAAAAATGGAAATAGTAATAAGTAACAAGAAATAAGAAATTCATTATAAATATAATATATATTATATATTTTATGTTTTTTTTGCTAATATTAATATTAAATTTATAGACAATTTTAAAGTTGTGGGCATTTATATTGAAGAGGGGTGGTAAGATGGATTGAATTTGGATAGGTGATAGTTAATAATAGAATCTATCTCTCAATGAGATAAAGTAATTTATATTTTTTGATGATGGTGTGTGTGTCTGTTTGTGTGTGTGGGTGTGGGGTTTGTCTTATCCACGTGATTAATTGTTTTTTTTTTTTTTGCTCAATTTGTATTGACACAGTTGGTAGTACTAAAAATGATAGTCATTTACTACTTTAGTCGAGCCAATTGCCAACTAATGAAATCACAAGTGACGGTAATGATAAAGATGATGATGATAATAATAAGAGTGAGAAGTATAGGTGATAATATATTAATAATTAATTTATGGTAGGGTTGGAGAACAGGAAAGAGTAAAACAATAGTTGATTATTGCTTAAATATTTATGCATAATATGTTTGATACACGCACTTGACCAAAGGAGGAGAATTTGATTGTTATTGGGGAGTCCCTATAGGACACAGTGTAAAATATTATTAAATAATATTGAATTATTTAATGAATGATATTTATATTTAGATTAATGTGTTAAATCTCTACAAAAAAAGTGTGTTCCTTAGGATCACATATATTATATTATAGTATATTACTTTTAATTATAAATGAATGAATGGACTGGATTGATTTAGATTGGTTTGGTTTGGTTTGGTTTGATTTGATTTGGTTTAGATTAGTTTGAAATTTTGTTTTGTTTTATTTGGATGGATGGATGGATTTGATTTGAATAGTTAAAACTTTTAAAATTGATATATTTTTAAATGCTTAGGAAATGATATAACTTATTTAACATATATGGTGTAAACATTAATTAATTAGGAGTAGTAACATCACAAAAAACTTGAATCTAAAGAGAATTTGTCAAGCAAAACACTTTTTTTTTTTTCTTTTGGTTGGCTAGTTTAAAAAAATTAAACTAGCAGAGCAAAATAAAATCAAAGTATATGCATCAAGTTGTGTTTATTAATAATTATTTTCAATAACAATAAAGTACCTATAGAGCACTTTGGTGGGTATATACTGATAGATGATTTGCTTTAAAACAAATTTAGTGATGTGGCTGTTTTGATATAAATGAGCAAAATCTTATTGAAAAAAAAAAGAAAAAAACTTTTTCAATCAAGAACAAACTCAAACACACACAATCAACAACCAACACACATATACAATATTAGAATTTTGATCAAATGATAAAGCAAGCAAGTAAGTGAGTGAGTAAATATTAACATTAATATTGGGCATAATTGTATGTTAAAAATGAATAGAATATTGCTGTTCAACTTGCTATATGGAAACAATGTGTTGATTTGTGGTGTGTTGTTTTTATTGTTGATTGTTTTTTTTAATTCTTTTTGTAGTATAGTTTCTATAAATTTTATATTGGTGCTATTATAGTTCATAATATTTATATATTAACTTGGTAGTTGTGAAGAGTGGTGTGGTTTGAATTGTTTTGTTACTGATTAACAGGGTGGTGATGGAGGGGTGTGGTATGGGTGAGTGGTGGTAAAGGTGGTTTTGAAACAGCTGTATGAAACTATTGACAAACAAATTGGAATTCAAAAAAAAACTACTGCTCATCCCAAAGGGATGATATCTCTAGTATCAGGATAATTTTCAATAACTCTAAGGATATTATGGTCCGTGACTCCACTTCTAAATTGGTATAATGAGTCTGAGTTTGATATCGAATGAAACCAGCGTATCCCAATTGCAGCTGGATGATAGTGTATTGTTGCTGTATGCTGTTACCGTTGTTTTATTGCCAAATTAAATTTGTTTTAACTTTATATACAGTTAATGATTGGTATAATTAAAGCAAAAGACAACAGAAAATTGTCAACCACTTGTTGGTAAGTAGAACTATTACCACAAATATATATAGGCACACAAACAAACACACAACACACCTCTAGATTACTTATTAATTAACTAACCACCATCACCAACGAACACCAATCTACACTACTTGATTTATTAGGCAATTGATTTTGAAGTGCTGTTATTGGTGCGGTGAGTGTGGAAAAATGTGGAAAAAACAATTATATGTGTATGGAATGAAACCAAATTATCATATAACAACAACTTAATATTATTTATTTATTTCTATGGTGTTGCCATTTAATGATTCCTTTTAAACTTTGAATGTTATTTTTAATCTATGCTTTTAAAGGTTGATCATATGATTTGGTTTGGCTTGATTATGTTTGGTATACAAAATTTTAATTTTTTTTAAATGGTTAATGGAAATATTTTATTCTAATGAATCGTGATTATTTTAATAGTAAAATGAATAATAAGAAAGAAAGATGTCTCAGTTGAAAAGAGTGTGAGTTGGTTTTGGTAATAAAAAACAATCTTTTACTTTTGTTTTGAATTATAAAGGTGTTATATGTATATTCTTCTAATTATATTTATGATTTATATTTTGCTACAATGTATAATATTATAATATAAAGTACTATTATTATGAGAAATATCAATTGGATGATTTGATTGGGTGAAAACTTGAGTGAAAAGTGGGGTGGCTTCTTGGTGCACCAAAATTATACAATCGAACGTTTTTTTTAATTTTTTAATATTTTTTTTTGCTGAATTTGCAGTTGAAAAAGAATATATTGATTTGATTGTTACCTGAATATGATGTTGTTCTGATTATATCTAAAACTAACTAACTAATTAAATAACAAATACTATTTACAATTGTTCTACTACTATTATGATTAATGTTTTTACTTTTTATTTACTGAAACTGAAATAAACTACAGATATATATATAAATGTTACTAAAATATTGAACTTGACTATAATTTTGCTTTATTTAATAAAGACAAATAAAGTAATATGAAAGATAAGTAAGAAAATAGATTTTATGAAATGAAATGAAAAAAAAAAAAAAAGTTGCAACTTTCGGTTAAGTGGTAAGTGGGGATGGCTCTAAGAAAAAAAATGAGTGTATTTATTGGCAGGTAATGATTGTATGTTTGTTGTGTGATGAATTACTGATGATTATTAGATATTATTATATATAATTATAATTAAAATTAAATAAAAATGATGATGGTGTCTCCTTCGACCAACAACATCATTGTGTTATTATTACACACAAAACACAAGTCCACCAAATAATAAATTGGAAAAAATCAAAAAAAAAAAAAAAACAAAACAAATATTCAAATTAAATAGAGGCAAAGCAAAGGCAAAGTGCTCTCAAAAACAAAACTACAATATCACACACCGTGGTAATACCACTAAAACACTCACTTATTACCAAACCATGATCCACTGCAGTGTGTGCCTTTCCACAATATTAAAAACTATTAAATCAAAAACAAAAAAACCACAAAATCATTAAAATTGGTATATTTGATGTAAAAACAAAAAAAATTGGAATATTATCAAAAAAAAAAGCAAATTAATTATACAAATGAGAGCAACCTTGAATCAAAATTATTTTTTTTATGCCATTTGCACATCTTTTGGTCAGAGATTTCATTGTATTTTTATTTTTGGTTTGTAAAAAATTTGTGATATCATGGGGCACCCTTGTGGATTTGCGGGTTCTTTTTAAAAATTACAAAATATTTTGTGCAAAAAACAAATCAAATCCAAATTTTATATAAAAAAACAAACACACAAAAAGATTCTAGTAGTGGTGTGTCGACAACTTGCACTCATATCTGGCTCAATCACTATACTCTAAATTTGGTTCACTTCTAAATTCAAATAATACAGGACCTTAAATATAATCTATTTTAATTTTTGTTTTTTTGTTTTTTACAACAATATCAAAAACATATATTCCACACTATCTCTCATAGATGCAAAGAACTTCGGATAAGATTTCCACACAGCCGTGTTAAGATAGGACCTATCTTGGAAGAACACCAACAACACACAAACACGGTAGTGGGTACCAACTAGTTAACTTCATCCACCCATTTTTATGGAACTGAACTTGTTTTTGGATTTGGTTTTTGTAAATTTCTTTGGTTGGGTGATTATTATTTTAATCGTCATGGTCATATCATCAGATGTGGTGTAATTCTGAAATCAATCAATCTATGATAGACCCAACAATATTTAAGTAGTGATATTGGGCATGTCCAATCTCCTATATATCATTCAAAGCCAAACATATTTTATGAACATGGTTAGCATAGTAAAAATAGTGTATTGACATAGATTTAGTGAACAGCTAGCTTTAAAAAAATCTTGCAGTTTCTTTGTTCAAGAAGAAATAATTTAGTTGATTAACACATTATAGTATTTTTTCATAGTGAACACCAAAATCAGAATTAATTTGGTTTGCTTTCTTCATAGAACTCAATAGGTTTGTAATAATTAAAAAGGAAATGTTTTGTTTTTTGGGGTTCCAACCCCTTATATCAAAAAATCATACCTCTGGCAAACAATTTAAGAACATTCGATTGAAATCATTAATCATAAAAAAAAAAAAAAAAGGCAAAAAAAAAACAAAGTATATTTTTGTTGTCCAATCAACTTTCGTTTCAGTCTGTTCACTCACTTGGTGTTGTATTGTTTTTGGAAATCAACAAAAGAATCAAATACCTTTTATGGAATTCCACAACATTCTCTAAAGTATATCAAGATATTATGATTAATCAACCAAACTTTCATTTGCCAGTTTTCAGCAAAAATAAAATAGATTTTTTCAAATATTAAAAAAAATGTAACCTATATTATCTATCTACTCTAACTAACTCTAAATCAATTTAAATGATGACCAGGTGGTTGCTTATTTTAATTTTCATTTATTTGATGCTTAGAACAATGTAAAGTTGTAATGTGATCAACAAGATTTGATATCTTTTTTTAATTTTTTCACAAAACAAAACTATCGATCATTTGAAATTTGAGAAATAATTAAAGTGGTAATTATCATTTCAAATACAGTACACATATAAAAGCAATAAAGAGAGTGTGAGGTGAATTGATGGTAATAGGGACCATTTTTTTTTGTTGGTGAACCTTTCTCACCTTTCTTAAAATTTTTGAAAATATTGTTTTTTTTTTTTTTTTTTTCAAAGGATAATTAAAAATTATAATAATACGATTATTAAATATATCATCTATCTATTTTTATTGGTATAGATTTCTTAAATATTTGCACACTATATAAATAAATAAATAAATAATTAAATGACTTTATAGTATTCAATATTGAATTGTTATGTTTTATAGATATTTATTTATATAGATAAAAGTTTGTTTGTACTCTAGAGAGATTATGATGAGCAAACCAACCACTACAAATGAAGTGACTTCTACTTCTGCAAATTTAGACGGTGGCAGTGGTAATACTACACCATCTACTACTACCACCACCACCACTACGACAACAACAGCTTCTTCCTCTACTACTTCAACACCACATGTTATTACAATTGAAAAGAAAGATAATAATAGGAAGCAGAATCATCAGAAAGAGAAGAAACAATATGTAAAGAAACAACAACAACAACCAAGTACTGGTGATGCGACAGCAGCAGCAGCAACAACTTCAACTACAACTACAACTACTTCAACAGCTTCATCTACAGATGGTAGTTCTAGTTCTAGTTCTGTAACAAATACATCAACACCAACATCTACAGCTACAACTACAACTACATCATCAAATTCTGGTGGTGGCGGCAGACAAAAGACACCAAGAGAGCCTAAACCACCAAGAGAACCAAAGCCACCTAGAGAACCTAAACAACCTAAAGAGCCAAAAGAGATAAAAGAACAACCGAAAGGACCAAAGGAGCAAAAGGATCCAAAACCACCACGCTTACCAAAGGAATCAAAGCCAAAATCATCTGCTGCTCAACAACCAGCTGGTCAACAACAACAACAACCACAGCAACAACAACAACAGCAACAAGGTGGAAAAGGTGGTAAACAGCAACAACCAAAGAAAGATCAACCAAAACAACAACAACAACAACAACAACAAAAGAAAGATCAACCAAAAGCAATCTATCAGAAGAAAGAAAATAAACCAAAGTCAGAACAAGAGAGAAGAGAATTGGAGGCAAAGTTGCAAGAGGAACAACGCGTTGAGAGAGAGAGAAAGGCAGAGGAGGATAGAATCGCTCGTGAGAAGAAGGCAGAGGAGGAAAGACTCGCTGAGCAAGCGAGATTGGAGCGTGAGGAGGAAGAGCGAAAGAAACAAGAGCAACTGGCACACGAGCGATTCCTCAAGCAAAAGGAGGAGTTACTGCAACTGCAACAACTCCGACAGCAAAACTCTGCGGTCACCGCCAAGAGTAGAGTGGTCACCGAGGAATCGAGCAATCGTGACTCTAGCTTCAAGAGAATCACCAATTTCCTCAAGAAACTAAAGACTATCAATGAGATTGACAACAAGGAGAATCTACTACAGGAGATACACCAGTTGAATCTATCAAAGTATACGACGGAGATCATTCCCTCCATTGTCAAATCGTCGTTTAAACCCAACGATATTCCGTGGATCGTAAAGATATTCTCGATGCTGCATCAACGCTATGACGGAGTGGATTCTTCCGTGTCGGAATCACTCTTCCAGCTGTTCCTACCGCTCCAGATACAAGCTGCCGAGCCAGAGTCCGAGAGAAACGCCAAGATCACCAAGCGAAGAAATGCTATTCGTCTCATCATGGATCTCTTCTACGTCGATATTATTCATACTTTTTCACCAATCTACAAGTTAATCAGTAAAATGGTAATAGCAAACAGTTTGTTCAATCTTTAGCTTTTAACTAACTATCCATCTGTTCTACTTAAACTTTGATATGTTGCAGACAAGTCAATCGACATTTGAACAAGATAAAGAATGTGGATATCCAGTACTAGTTGTATTGCTGAACTTCCTAAGACCATGTACACAACTAATTGGAATGAGTAAAGATAGAGTAAGTAGAGGTTAAGTAGAACATCAAGAAGAAGAAGAAGAAGAAAGGGTGGAAGTAGCTAATTAGAGTAACTTTGATTTAGAATCCAAATCTACCAGATATCTACTCGAATATTCTCAGTGCGGACGAGCAGTCGAATACAAAAGAGTTGATTCAAAACTACTATACAAAGCTTGGTGAGTTTATTCAGCGTGAACAACAGTTGTTGCGTGACAAGGAGAAGGAGATGAAGAGTATTATGCAGATGAAGGGTGAAGTACCAGAGACTGTCACTTCGAGCTACGAACAACTCAGAAGAAACTATGAGAAGTTGATCACTAACGTTACATCGTATGCCGATTTCATTGGTGCACCACTGCCCACCAACGATTACACCACCAAGTTGGAGACAGAAACAACAGAGACAAAGTCTGAACAACTCGAAGCATTCGATTCTCCATGGGAAAACGAGGAGCAACGTCAATTCTATGAAGTTTTAGTTCCACTTCCAAAGGAAGAGAAGAAGCAATCTACTTCACCAACAGTTCAACCAGCTACAGCATCGACAACAGATGAAGATAAAGAGAAACAGGAAAAAGAGAAACAGGAGAAAGAGAAACAAATGAGTGAGAGTGAAAAGAAAGCAATCAAATCAAAGACAAATAAGATCTATGAGGAAATCATTCAAAGCTTTAAATCATCGGGACTCAAGACATCGTCGGTGGATCATTGTGTGCTCGACTTTTTAAAGTTGAATCTAAAGTCATCGAAAAAGAAGAACCTGATCAATGTTTTGATTCAATCGAGACAAGATCAAATTCCATATTATGCCAGATTCGTTGCATCTCTTAATCAAACTTCACAACAAAAGGAGTTTGTAACTTCACTTACACAAACTGTATGTTATTTTTATCTAGTTATTAATGGTTACGCTTTTTATTAATACTTTATTATTTAGATTGAAGAAGAGTTGACAAATCTCATTGAGAAGAAGGAGCAAGTACATCTTACCATCAAGGTTAAAGATATCACTTTCATTGGTGAGTTGATAAAGTTCAAAGTGTTGCCAAGTTCTACCGCTTTCAACTATTTGAAGCTGTGTTTCGATGACTTTACTCATCACAACATCGACATTGCCTGTACGTTGCTGGAGGTTTGTGGACGTTTCCTCTATAGACAACCGGAGACTCAATTCCGATTGAAGAACATGTTGGATATCTTGATTAGAAACAAGAATGCCAAGGTGATGGAGCAACGCCAGGAATCACTGATTGAGAATGCTTACCTGTCGTGTCGTCCTCTGCTCGTCAAGAAGAAGAAGGTCGATCCAATCCGACAGTTCACCAAGTATCTGATATTCAAGTATCTCAGTGAGGACACTCAGAAGCGTGTCTTTGATAAGATTCTACAGTTGCCGTGGCCCGAGTGTCAGCCTTACCTCGCCAAGTATCTGCTCGCCGTCAACAAAGGTCGTTTCGGTAATATCTACTTGGTTGCCGACATACTCTACCGACTGCGACGTCACTACCCATCGTTTGTGCGCTCGGTCATCTGGCAGCTACTCGAAGAGATAACCATTGGTTTTGAACGCAACGATTTCAACCTGAATCAAAAGCGTATCATGCATGTAACATTATTCGGTGAGCTCTACAACTCGTGTCTACTCGATTCCTACCACGTATTCACACTGCTCAAAAGCGCGTTGGAGTATGGTTACTCAACGATGCATCTTTTCCCAGTGAATCAAGACCGTGAAAAAGAATTCCTAAAGAATAGATACAAACCAAATCTCGATGATTTCGATCCAATTAATGATACATTCCGTATTAGATTTGTAAGTAAATCCATCCAATCAAATCTTTTAAAACAGAATAACTAACAGACAGGTTGTTGGATTTCAATTTCTTTAGATTTGTACATTGATTATAACTTGTAAGGATTGTTTCTCAGACCGTGAGATTACCAGTCATTTGAAACCTTATTTGTTTTTCCTTCAGAGATATACCCTCAGTAAGGTTCTCTCGTTGGAGTTGGAATTCATGTTGTCCGATTGTCTGCAGATAGTGCCTGACATCAAGATATTCAAGACTTGGGAGGAGGCAAATGAAGAGTGTTCAAAGAATACAACAATCAAGGTTCCCAGCGAGAATGATAGCAGCGCTGAGAGTAGCTCTACTGACACCGACCAGTCGTCCAGAAGAAAAGACATCAGAGCGACAGTCAGCAAAGAGGTTGAACAACAAACCGATCAGCAAGTGGCCGAAGAGGAGGAGCTGTTCTATATGAATCAGAGAAAGGTACAAGAGGATACCGAGGAGGATCTAGAGTTTTTGCGTGAGTTTAAAAAGACGATGCAAGAGAGTGCCGACTCTAGAAAGTCTGAGAAGCAAAACATTAAGCTCAATTTGCCTCATCTTATGTCTACAACAAGTCTTGCCAACGACATTGAGTTGCCATCGGTGTTTTCCCCACCCTTGAACGGCGTGAGTACACCAACAGCAGTTGTTGCAGCAGCAGCACCATCTGCACCAACAACATCTGCAACACCACCACAACCATCGACTGGTAATGCACAATTCAAGCTGTTGTTGAAGAGAGGAAACAAACCTGCTGCCAAGACCATCGAAATACCTGAGGATTTCGCTTTTGTAGCACAGATCAAGCTGGCAAAAGAGGAGGAAGAAAGAAACGTACAGGAGAATAAGAAACTAATTTTGAAATTAGCACAGCTCAATACAACATAACAAGATTATTACAATCATCAATCAATCAATCAAATTGATAACCAATTCATTTCAATTGTAAACCAACCAAAACAGAACAGAATAGCTCTACATACAAAATAGATTAGAAACCCAGTTACTTTGGTTCATTATCGATCGACATACACAAAAGAAAGTAAAATGGCTGTTTTTATCTCTTGTTGGTTTTTGCTAATTTTTTATTTATTGATAAAACAAATTGAATAAAGTAACTATATATGTTTATAACATTGCACATTTTCTATTTCTTTCTTTTCATTTCATCTAATTCCATGGGTTTAATCCAATAGATATTCTATCAAAACAATTCTTTACTTTGAATAAATCGAGTGTAGATATGCCAGTACAGATTGGTATAATAAATACATCTTGTCTTTCCATCTTTATTTGGCCTATAGAATACAACATAGATTTGAAACTCTCAACTGATGTTTGGCCATTGATTGACTGAACTGAATTAATATATATTTCGAACTCTTCCAAGTGTAAAATAATAGTGAGGGGATAACTGCTCTTTAATGGAGATCCATATCTATTTTTGGATTCCCCTAAATAATCTATTACATTCGATGAAGTAAATCTCGAGGGTAATTTCATTAAGTATTCTTTACAACTGCATTTGTATATTCCGGATGAAGCTGCCACTCTCTTACCAATTCGAATATCTGATGAAAGAGAATCTAATTGGGGGTGGAAACGAGATCTATTGATAAAGTTTAATTCAATATAATGATTTGATTTATTTGAACATTTAAATTCCTTTGTAGAGTTTTGGAAAAACTTCTCTGGTATTCTTTAAACTTCATCACTCTGATTAACTCGTAATTTTAGCATCCCCGAAAAATAAAAAAAAATTCAAATTAAATAACAATCACACATTAAACCCACCAAAAAAAAAATAAAAAAATAAAAATAAAAGCTAATCACACAAAAGAGAGCGTATAGTGACTCTCTCCACAGTGAAATTCGTAATTTAGCTTTTTTAGCTATTTTTTTAATATATTTTAATAATATTTATAAATAATAAATAGAAAATGATTCTCTATAAATTATATTATAGATATATAAAAATTTTTATATACTTATTATTGATAGGTGTAGTAGTGTGTGTGCATGCTAATTGTGGACTCCAATATAACCACTCTTCCAGTAGATCAAGACATTATAAGAAAGATCACAAGCAACCCTGCCAACAAACTTGTGATTACTGTTCCAACACGGCAACAACCAAAGTATCAGTTTGTAGACATCGCAGCTGTACCAGTGGAAAGAAATATAGTGAATCAAATTTGTCAAAACATGAGAAAAGTAAAAAATACCATTCTAATTGTGGTATTTCATCTGGATGCTTACCATGTATTGAGTTAGAGGAAATGCGAAACGCAAGAGATGATATTCCAATTGCAAAGCTGGCACAATTGAAAGATGAGTTACTGATTCCAGATGGCTGGTGGTCTCATCTGCGCCAAACCTTTAAACTATCGAGGAATTATTCATTAGCAAAAGTAAAGAAAATGCAACAGGATAAGTTAATATTATTAACAAATATTCTCTTTAGTATGTTCATTACCTTTATAATAATACATAAACATTGGAGAATGTTCAGTTTCTATCGAGAGAAGAAGGAAAGCGTTCGTACATCAGTCTTAAAGATCTACTAAAGTTGGCGTTTAACAGAGAGTTTCCGGTAGGCAGCCAAGTGCCACAAAACATTTCACTTAAGATATCTCTTGATGGGTGCATGATGAGCCAAACCTAATGAATGATCCAAGCATTACGAATGCGGTTGCTACCACTACTACGACCACTGCTGCTGCTACTACCACTGCCTCTGTTACTACTACTAATGGTACTACTACTGCTACAACTAGAGTTTCAACTTTCGCGAACCAACAACCATTAATTAACGAAAATCTTTTGCCTATTCCTGCCTTCTCTGTAGGTGAGAGTGTTTATGGAAAAGCGGTCAATGGAAGAGACTTTGGGACATGGTGGCCTGCTACTGTCAAAAGCATTGAATACAGCAATGAAAACAACGAATGGTGTTATACTATTAAGTTTAAGCAAGGAAATGAAGGTTTAGAAACATTAATAGATCACAACTTAGTAACAATAGATGAGGATAAAGAATTCACAGTCAATAACATAAAAGATAGATTGGATGTTTTGGTGTTTGATAAAACAACAAAAAAATACTATAAAGGTGAAATAATAGAAGGTACTGAACAATCTAATACAAGAAAAAGAAAGGTGACTGCGATAGAAGTAGCATGTGAAGGTACAAATAATTATGATTTAAATAATATTCTTAATTCCACAGACTTTTCTTATTTAAATAAATTTATTAAATATTAATTCATTGCATATTCTAATAGCAGTATTAAAAAGAAATGATCATCAAAAAAAAAAAAGTGAAAAACAGCTATTTTTGCAAAAATGAAAGTGCAAACCTTCTGATTTTTGAAATTGTGATATTGATCATTGTAAAAATTTGGTGAACAACCTTTTTTTTTTTTTTATTGTAAAAATTAAATTTTGAAAAATTAATGTGTGGTTAATATGAGGATGCTAATTTTACGAATATTTCGGAGTGATGCAGCTCGACTCTTACCAGTTCTAGTTCACCAGCAAAAAAGAAAAAGTATTGTTCCTCCTTTTCCTTTGTTCCTCAGTATTTAAATCCATATGAACATTTAGAAACTATAGATTCAAAAAATGAGTCCCTCTCCTTAAAAGAAGTAACTTACCGAAAGTATGATCTATAGAGGATAAAAAAGGTTATTTTAACTGATTTCAAAATATCTTAAAATGTGGTGGTAATGTTAACTAGTTGATTGATTGATTTAACTTTTGTTTATATTGATGAATTCTTATCCTATATTTTGGAACTACTAATTAAGCAGTTCATTCCTCTCCTCCAGAATCAGAGTAGTAGTATTTGTTTGATTTGATAACTGAATCAATCACATTATCATCACCCTCTACGAGGATTGACACACACTACCATTACTAAAATTATTTGGAATTGTACGACAATCATCAGATCCAACAATCAACATCAATGGATGAACATTGCCCTGTCCTGGGACAATCCATGGATCAACACACATGTGAGTAGTGTTTGTTTTAAAATTAAATACATGTAGTAGTTTTATTTTTAGAACTTGGTTGGTTTTGTTGAAGATCTCTTAAGATGTCTTTAAAATTCATCAATATTATTAACTTTACCTCCTACAAACATTGGTACAGTCTTTTGTTCAAGTTCCATTTCTTGGTCTGGTGGTGACTTTCGTTTAGATCTTCTTCTAGCAAATACAATGGCAAGTGCAAGTAAAGCTGCCAATACAAATGCTCCAGCCGCAATACCACCAATAGCACCAGCTGATAAGCCACCCTCACTGTCATCATCGTCATCACCTGGTGGCGTGACACCTCCAGAGTCAGAGGAGGAAGAGGAAGTTGAATTAGAGGAGGATGACGAAGATGAAGAATCTGAATTAGAGGATGACGAAGATGAAGATGAAGATGAAGACGAAGATGAAGAATCGTCAGTCTCTTGAGACGGGAATACAACTGTACATTGGTCAGGTGGAAGAACAAGAGGTACTGGACATTCAGCGGATGGTGTGTAAAAGTTGAATGGTTCAATGGCACCGGCAGGAGGTTCTGGTATAGGATTGTATGGAATGGCTGGAGCATAGGTTAAATTCCAAAAGTTGGAGATTCTTGTAAAGACTTGACCACCACCTGGACTGTATGTATAGGTGATTTGGATCTTTAAATTGTCAGTTGGTTGGAATAGATTGCCATTGAGCGAACAAGTGATAACTGTATGCGAGTAAAACGATGGAGTGGCGGTCTGGACAGCTGTGGGATTATCATTGACAAACAAATTTACCTTAGTGAATGTGTAAGAATCCAGGGGGATAAGTCTACGTCCACGGATGGTAATGGGTTTGGCGTCGGCTGTGATGGTGGGGATACCGCTGGTCGACAAAATGATTGGCTGGATGTTATTCATGACGACGGCAAATGACGATACGAATCCCTTGGCAAGGAGATCGGCCGATGTTTGCGATCCAAAGTTTCGACTGTTGTCACTGTATCCATAGATGGATACGACTGGCGAGGTCTGATAACCAAAGCCATAGGGAAGTTCAACATTGCATCGGTAGGTGACATTGCCAGCGTTGGCCAACAGAGAGTCGTTTGTCATGGAGATCACGACACCCGCACAACTGGCAGATTCACCATTCAATCCAGTGACGTAGAGGTATGGGGTAGATGCCAACGATACTCCACTGACTTGATCATACAATGTAAATTGGAATTCAACCGTACGATTATACAATGACACGTCTACAGGAACAGCAGTGAAGAATGACAGGTCGACAAGAACGGGTGGGTCAGTGTCGACGACTGCAGTGGGATACAACACTGATATGTATCGACCTATATGATCGGGCAAGTAATGGAATGGATCGACGTTGATTTGATTGTCATCAAGATCACCAAGTGCAATGGAGGTGGCTACATTACCGAGTGAATCGGTCAATACTAAATCCAATTTAAATATTTCACAGCTGGCACCAGCACGTGCAGAGTGAGTGGCGCTGTAAACACCGCTAAATACGTCGCCAGACACTTGGACAAGACTGACTCGACGAGGGGTTGGGTCGATGTTGCTACTGACGATAGCATAGCTGTTGGCGAGTGCAATGCCACTTGGACGATCTTGGATATTGATGGTCCATTGAAGGGTCACTGATTCCTCTTGTGGCGAGGTGACATTGATCGAGTAGGAGGGTGGCGATACGCATCCTACAATGGGACCCATTTCATCGGTATTTTGGCATACAATAGTGAGAATGGCATTGTCTCCAACAAGAAGGTTGGAACGGAGTGCCTCGCTGGTAATGTTGGTGTTGGACGACGCGATAAAGTATTCGGCTGGACCTGGGAAACTTCCCTGATCAATGGTTACCTCAACCTTGTAATATCCGTCTTCATACTTGCCCATAAAGTATTGTGCAAAGTCGTGGACGTTGGATTTGTGACGCTTGTAGATCATCACGGCAGGACGATCCGTTATGTTTGGGAGGTAGGTGGTGGTTGCCAACTTGAAAGAGAGGGTAGATTTGGCCGGGCCGAGGGTGACACCAACAGTTGGTGGTGACCAAAACAACTCTGAAACCTCATCGATGGAGAATTCGAGAAGACCAGTTGGCGGCACGACATTCAACACCATGGGTTGATGGAAAAACATCTGGGCCACATCGTTTTGCTGGTAGAGACGTTGTGTCTTGCCATCAAGTGACAACAAGTGGAATCGGAAACGACGACCATAATCTGTCTGGGTGATATTCAACTCCACTTCGTAATTGTTAGTGTACGAGTGATCGCTTGCTCGAATATAAAGGCCATTTTCGGGACCAAAGGGAATGTATCCACCTTGGAATCCAAACCCGTCATTATATGTGACCTTGAAACCAAACACGGTCTGGTGCGACGTAAACTTTCGGAATGAGCTGACTGTGACCAAAGGCGTTTGACTTGGTGTACCTGTCTTGCCAGAGTTCGTCTCTCCCTCGGCCAATCGCTCATTGTGTGGACCCCACACGGTCAGCTTGTTGGACACAAAGTTGGGATGGACGGGTTGGTCAAACGCATAGTCGTACTTGCCCATCGAGGGAATACCCTTCTTTAATCCATAGGGGAATGGCTGTTTCACTGTCTGCACAAAGTTATTCAGCAGCGAATTGGCTTGCACCTTGATGAACGGGGCGGCACCGGTCGACTTCCATATGGGTGTGACCACATATCTAGCACCATCGAACGCTACGTGTGAACTTGTAGCAGTGTTATTATAGGGGTATCGGTAGTGAGTATAATTGGTAGCTAGAATCGACGCATTGTTGAGTGTACTAATCGACGTGCTTGTCAATGTGGCAGGTACATTGGCCGCTGTCATTGACTGTGGAAGTGCAAAATGGATCAGGGCATTTCCCTTGTCATCAGCCAACAATGGTTTATACGTGTTACCATAGTAATTGACACCAGTCGATGGGATGACACCTCCGTCGGCCTTGTACACGATAAACTGACTGTTCCAATCAGACACATTGGCATAGACACTAAATTGGTTCACCTGTGATTGAATGTCGATCCATGTTGTGTTTTTTACGGCGGTAGTAACATTGTTAAACACCGTCGTGCTGGAATTCCAATTGGCCATAAATGGGAAGTCGACTGTTGCCGAGACCGATCCAATATTGACTCTTCCTTTGTCTGAAAATGTTACATTGACAGCATTGTCCCAACCCGTAAACGTGTTTGCCAATGGTGCCAAGGAACACTTTAAAAATATCTTTCCTCTTACAGGATACAATTTGTACCCATAGTCGTAGGGATGACAAATACAATTAAATTGTCCACCATCCTCAACACAGTCGATATTGTCAGTTGGAACTTGTCCAAATTCAACTATAAATGTAACAATTGATAATCTTGCATCAAACATTGATGCTTGTATTATTCCATTACTTTTTAATATTAATGGTTGATCTCTAAATGCTTTTAAATTAATTTAAATATTAATACACTCCATCCAAACTGTTCTTTTACTTTCTTTTCTTTTACTTTAATTTATACATACAATAACATGATATATTTCCAATTGGTACTTGCCAAAGTGATGAATTATTTGGATCTTTTAAATTTACTATTACACTATTATTTAGGATGGTTGTACCAGTTGATGAAATGGGTGAAACAATGTTGATATACAATACTTGTTCAGCAAAATTATGATTGAAATAGGTGGTTACCGCTGTAGCAGGGGTACCATCTATTGTAGCCTCGTTGGTAGCCACCAACTTACTCGTGTAGTTTAATAGGGCATAGCCATCGATATACTCTCTCTTATTGACCTGATCAAAAGGACAATACTTTCCAACTAATATAGTTCTAGAATATGAATATATTAAAGATGGTTGTGAATTTACAATATCTAAATATATAGTAAGTTCCAATATGAATGAATATATTAATAAATGTAATGTTTGTTATGCACTACAGTTTATGTATACTGTAATAAAATCTATCATACCTATGTGATAATTAAAAAATAAAAATAACAATACAATTAGAGAACGAAACAATGTTGTATTCATCATTCAACTTTGATGATAAATAAATAAATCTCAAAATCTTTTTGACTTATTTAAATACCTAGGTGAGCCAAAAATATCTCAAATGCTTAAAATAAAATAACAAAAAAAAATCAAACTTGGTCACCTCTTTGTGCACGCTTTAGAATGTTGGTGTTATGTTTCAAATTGGTGATTTAATTGCTTGAATTATTATCCAAAAGGAAACTAGCTCCCAACCCCTTTCGCCCTCACATTAATTTTAAAAAAAATGTAAAAATTAAAAATAGAGGGGTTAATCTGATCAGAGTGGTTTTTTTATTTTATTTGATTTACGATTACAGGCAAGACTGTAACTAGCCTGTTTTGTTTTGTCTCTTTTACCTTGAAAACCATAAAAATCTAAATTTTTTTTGTAATTTGGTGAGTGTAGATAAACTTTCGACAGAATAAGTGAATTGCAATTCACAATTAATTGAAATAACAAACTCTTAAAAAAAAAAAAACAAGGGTATATCCTTTTCAGTCATCAATATTTTCAATTGGGAGTTAAAAAAAAAATATTGAAGTCAATGATTTCATTAAAAACATGACAAAAAATTTATATGACCACACTTAAATTTGATCGTAAAAAAAAATTTCAAAATTGGGGTGAAATTTATCTGAATGCTGTTGGCAGCAACATTTTTACCACGTTTTTTGAAATTTTTCAAAAAGGTCGTCTGCGTGACTGAGAAAGATATATTCATGTAGATTCAATTTGGATTCTCTGCATATCATCATTTCTTAGGATCAAACATTCTACTCCTATAAAATATTCAAATAAAAAATGTTGAAATATACAATCTTTACAATTTTCGTTAGTTGGCATTGTCTCAAGGTAGGTTGACAACTTATAATTATTATATCTTTCCATTCGATAGGTCATTTTATATTAATTGGTTATTTTTATTTTTTTTAAATAGCTTTAACTATTTCAGTCGTTCAATATAACTGGATCCTTCCCCATGCTCAAAGCCATTGTTAGTAAATGTTACTTACTCAAATGGAGTGTATTCCTCTTTCAAAGCCTCCGATGCTACAACTACATATTTGACAAATGTTACTGTTAACTCGGACGCCACATTCAGTGGATCTGTTGCTCTTTACAATGGTACTCCTAAACGTATGATCGGTTACACCACCATCAAAGGTGTACTCAGCAACCCATTCAACTTAATCATTATCTACAATCCAGCACCCTCATTACATTTCCCAGGATCCACAGATTACTATAACCTAGTGTCTTGTTCAAAATCTTTGAAGTATGAGGAGAGCGATGACACCTTGACCTCCACTGGTTTCGAGTAAATAATTGATTTTAAATTAACTAAATAAATTAAATTTGTATTTTTCTCGAAAGACAACAATCAATATTCCTCTAAACTCCCTAGAATGGTGTGATTACATCAACAACTGTGCACGAACCATCGACATATAAATGTTCAATTCAAGCTTTTGTTGAAGATAGGAAACAACCAGCAACCAAGAATATAGAAGTACCTGAGGATTTCGTTTTTGTCACACAATAAACTGGCAAAAGAAGAAGAAGATTACAATAAGTATGATGGATCAAGAATTAAACTAATTGTTTCTCTCAAATCTAATCTGTTTGTATTTAGAGTACGTAGTTAATGTTACTTACTCCAATGGACAGTATTCCTCTGTCAAAGCCATCAATGGATTACCCTTTTTGACTAATATCACTCTTACACCGGTGTAACACCGATGGTACATTCAATGGAATCGGAAATCTTTACAACCCAGTTACTAAACGTATCATCAGTACAACCACAGTCAAGGGTGTAGTCAACAACCCATTCAACTTGTTGATTGTCTACAATCAAAGCTCCTCCTTCCCAGGAATCACAGATATCTTATTGTTATCCGTAAGCAAAAATAGATATTGTTTTGGAGTTCATTCATTTTTTGTGTGATTGTAATAACATAATTTTTATTCTTTTACTTAAATAGAACTTGATAGAAGAATAATGATTTTAATAGTTAAGAGCAACAAGATTATTTGAAATTTTTTATGTTTAATCAAAAATTGAAAAAAAAAAAATAAAATCGCAGAAACCCCTTTTTCTTCCACAATAACTATTCTTTATTAAAATGACGCGCTTTGCAACTCTAAAAAGCAGGAAACTATGTTTGAGAAACTTTGAGAGGCAATCGAGCCAACTCTAATATGAACAAGCCAACAACCTTTTCTTCTATACCGTGGCAAGGAAAGCTATGATTTGTTTATGAAACAATTAAAACCATTAGTTGATGTAATAAATAAATGGGTAAAAGAAAAGAAGATTGTGGGTGGACATACGTACAAAGTTGACATAGTCTTTGTCAGTGATTACAAGTGTTTCACTGAGTTGCAAGGTCTAGAAGAAGTGTTCAATCCAAAGGTGTTTTTTAAATTAAATTGTGGTGTAATTTGGATGACATCGAATTGTTTGTGACAAATGAACAAGGGCAATCGACATTTGGAGTCTCTTAAGAGACTACAGTTCAAATGTAGAGGTTGGCGATGTCAAGTTCAAACTTGAACCTCCAGGTAGTAAGATAGTTGGTCACGATGAACATATGATGCCAGTCTTTTCACCGAAAGCATTGAAGGATCTTGGTGGAGAAGTCAATGGTAAGCTATATGGCCAAGTGCAACCTCCTGTTTTCGAAGGTGATTCAGAGATACAGTATCCTTGCTTTCTGTATGTGTTCATTGCCCTGTTCAAACAGATGTTTAAGAATACGGTGTTGTATTCAACCACAGACAGTAAACTTCGGTATGACCAAGCCAACGCTACTATAAAAGAAAAGACTGGGCAGATGGTCAAGTTGATGTCTATAGACTCCTTTAACATGCAATCTAAGCATGGCTACTACCGTAACTATTGCAAGCACATTATGAAGGTTTTAAGAGAGATTGATGTTGACGAACCTACAATTAGACGACTATTTGACGATAACTACAAGCGTCTTAGTTTATCAAGACCAAGAAAAACCAACTACATCTACTCCCACATTCTCTATCTGTTACTCTTGCTCTAACTGCTACACCTGTATCAAACTCTTCTTCAAATGCTTCAGACCTGACTTAACACCTGCAGTATTGCCCAACTCGACAAGTTCTAACACTACTCAACCTATGGTAGCTAAACAAAAAAGAGTTAGAACATCTACACATGGATTACCTGCCAATTTACAAACAAACTTGCCAAATGTTACTTACAATGATGATTGTACTGATACTATACCACATGAAAAGCAATGCTCATCTAACCAAGTTTTAGAAATTTATACATCTGATAGTAATAATTCAACAAGTTCATTTTCAAAAAATTCTACCAATAAACGTAAACGATAATTAACTTTTAATACAATCTATCACTTTTTGGTATTTATTTATTTGATTTATTTTTTTCTTTTTTGTTCTTGGGGTTTCTGCATGAAAACCAAAATGCTGTGATTCCAATAAATAAAAATAAAATTAAAAATAAAAGTTTTATTATTGTGATCACTGTTTTTTTTCTGGAAATCATTTGACTGCACAACGAATTCAATAAACTTTCTGTATTAAATATTAATAAGGTTATTTTAACAAACCTAGATTTTTTGGTGGTCACCAATGATGCTTTTGTTTTTTCTCTCAATTAGTTGTGTATATATTTATTTATTTATTTATTTATCTGTATATAAAAACATTAGTCACGTTTGTATGGTAAAAGTTAACTTATATTTGTCCAATCACAGCATTGTTAAGTTGATTTTTACTTTTTTAACATAACACCCAGTCACGATTGCAAGAAATTTGCCTTCTCGTTTCTGAACTAAATTTGTGAAAATTTTTAAAAAAATTATATTGTTTTTTTTTTGAAGCTAAGTTATTAATATCTGTAGATTTTAAGATAAAAATAAACAAAGTTTTATTAAAATAGAATGTATCAATGCAACGGTATGTCGGGTTTAACATTATTTAAAAATTATGTTATTATTTAGAAAAGATGGTGCTAATATAGCACTTTTAATAGGAAGATACAAAAGAATTAAGCGATATCATACGTGTAACACCTCAGAGGATTAGTCAAATGAGCAGAGAAGAGAGGTTGATGGAAGCAATAAATGAAATTCAAAACGATACAGGTTTTACTCAAGGAGCTCCCTCTCAAAAGTATGGAGTTTCTGAAAGTGAGCTATCCAAGAAAAAAAAAATAACCTCTCCTTTAAGCCAAGAGGTAGATATCTCACCGAAGCAGAAGAATTAGAGATGATAAAGATGGTAGAAGAATTAAATACCAAGAATATTCCGATAACGAAAGAGAATATTCTAAATTGGGTGGTCGGAAAGGTATATGACAAATATGGCTATACAATGAGTCGTCACCCTGGTCGTGACTGGTGGACAAAGCTGAAACAAAAATATCCGATCTTAAAGTTAAGAAAGGTTAAGTTTCAAGATGAAGCTAGATTAAAAGCGGAGAAAGAGGCCGATATTCAAGGTTTCATCCATTCATAAAGTGATAGTAGAAAACCAAATTCAACCAAAGAATGTGATAAACTCTGATGAGAAAGGTGTTTTATTCACGAAAATGAATCAAAAGGTATTTAATATTCTATTTTATTCTATTTATTAGTTTTTTTCGAAAGATTTAGCTAATTGTTATAAAAATATAGGTTGCCATTATTGACCGTGGAAACAAATTTGAGACAGTCAAACCTAGGTTTCCCAAGCAATCCCAAAGTCAACACTTACAATGATTGGAACAATAACAGCATCTGGTCATGCTCTACCACCCTATAACGTTCTCCAGATTCCTAAACGAGCAAAATGGGAACATATGCAAAATTCAAATTATGGTGTCATTATTGCTAATGAGTCAGGATATGTAAGTTGGCAAATTTTTATAACTTGAACCAAAGTTGTCTATTGCTATTATTAATATACATTGTATTATTATATATTATAGGTAACGCAAGAGATAAAGAAAGAATATGTCGAATGGCTTCTAGGACAATTTAAGAAAACAGATAAAAAGCTGCTTTTAGTGGACAATCACATATCCAATTATTTCTTTGACGAACAAAAACTTTGTGATGAGAATAATCTTATCATAATGAAGTTCCCATCAAACCTGACTCACATTCTCCAGCCTTTGGATTTAGTCCTATTTTCGTCATTCTCTCAACACCTATCGAATTTGCTCAGAGATGGGTTAATGGTCAATCCAAAGTTTAAAGTGAACGATAAACACTACCAAATGTTGGCTTATCATTCTTGGTCATCATCATTCAACTCATCCAATATAAGAATGTCTTGGATTAAGTCTGGTTTGTTCAATTGGATGGCACACGAATACTGCGACCCAATATTTCTTAAAAAGCCGAAAAAGTCTATCTCAAAGGAAATCGCTATAGCCGGAAAAAAAGAGATTGTTCCGGCAAATGCTCAAGCCATGACCCAAAAAGAACGGGCTATAGTAATGAGAGATAAAAAGCGCAAGGGTGCCATAATAACTTCCCAAGATACACAGTATGTTCAACTTTTTTTTAAATCACCTCATTAACCCTATTAATTGAATCAAATTTTGACAGGGATATTATCAAAATAACCTATGATGTATCTAAAAAGAAAAGAAAGACACTAGACGAAGAACCAACAATTTCTTTGTATCAAGCAAACCTTCAAATCAATAATACCACCAACAACATTTTGAATAATGTACAATCTTCTACATCACAACCTCAAATTGTTTCCCAAAATACCTCAACTACAACCAATACCAATGTAGCACAATCGAATGATAAAACTTTGGTTAAATCTTTCTTTAATTTATTTAAATAAAATCTACAAACAAATAATTTTATATTAATTTAAATATTTAAAATTTCATATAAAATTTTGTTCAAAAATGAATTTTTTTTTGCAAGAGATGAGAAGGCAAATTTCTTGCAAACGTGACTGGGTGTAAAGCCTTTTGCTGCAATCATCACTCGTTTTTATTCATTAATTTTCACGGGGTGTTAACTCCATAGTGATTTGTGCGTCGGGTTGAATATTTTTCAAAATATGAATTATTCTCGAATTTTCAGAGGAAATTCCTTTTTTTCAATTTTTTGTGATCATTTAAATTTTTTTTTTCTTTCTTCTATTTATTATTTGATTATCAATCATTCGATCTACTAAACATACTGTTTCACTCGATTAATAGCTTCTTGTACAGACCCGAACTTTTTTAAAGTGAGGATTCACTGTGCTTGAATTACTTAGTAAGAATATCACGCAATTGGACTTGCTTGAAGTTATTCTTATGAAAGTACTATCAATCAGAGATGGAGCCCTATGTTCAGCCGAGCAAAAATGATTGGGATCTACTTAAACAAATATTTTCATTAGAATATGAAATAGTAGACGACAATTCTGATCAATCTAAAATAGTTAATCGAGTACTTAAACACTCAGATGATAATCTCTTCACATATTATTCAAAAAAGTTTAATATCAATCGACAATGGGTTTCGAGTAGCCTAGTCATACCAAGTACAAAATCTTTCTTTAAATGTATTGTAGGTCATTTGTTAACAAAAAAATTTAAAAAATGTAAATCTAATAATTACTTTTCTATAGAAAAAATCTATTGACCAAATTGACAGTTTGAAATTAACTAATCTTTGTGACCAACTCATCAACAGCCTTGCTTTGAAACAACAGAAACTAAGAGGCACAAGTAAACACCAACAAAAAGCAAACAAACAACAACAATTGTCTACAATAGTAGAACCAATCTCCTCACATGATGACCCACTTCCCAAAAATAATACCACTAGTGGTACATTATATAACATCACTATATCCGATAATAGCAGAAGTCAGGAAGTTATTCTTAGTTCAACTCAATTATCAACACAACAAAACAACAATCCAATTAAAATCAGTATCAATTCAATATCTTTTGTAAATAATAATGTAGATAAGGTCAATGATCTTCAGACTAAGCTTGACCAGTCAGAGGCTAATGTAAATGAACTCCAGACTAAGCTCAACCAGTCAGAGACTAAGCTCAATGAACTTCAGACTAAGCTTGACCAGTCAGAGGCTAATGTAAATGAGCTCCAGACTAAGCTTAACCTGGCCGAGGTTGAGATCAATCGACTAAAATCAGTTATTATGGAGCTAGTTCAACGTCATATAGAGAAGATAGAACAATATGAGCAAGCCCTAGAAGAATACAAGAAGAAATGTAGTTTATTGGAGTCTGAACTTGTCAATAACAAAAAGACTCTCGAGGAATGCCTGAAAGAGTATGATCAGTTAAACGAGCTCATCAAAACTGAAGAGCTTTATCATAACAGACACCAATCAAATATGCAGATGTTTGATAACATGGCAGACAAAGAATCGTTTGATGGTTTTATACGAGATAAGCTACTAGTAGATAGGACTTGGAAATCGGGTGACCCAATTGTTCAAACTATAAACAATTTGTTTAGTTTTGGAAAATCAAACGAATTAAAGTCTACATGGCTCATTCCTCTTGGAGTGATCCGAGAAGAAACCGTCAAACAGATAGCTATTCAAATATTTCCAAGAAACTCCTCTTCACCACCATGTCTAGGGAAAACAGCAAGTGGAAATCTGGTATAGAGCCCTCTGATGTTTGTTTTACAATATTGGAGTTTGGTTCCAATATTAGTGGAACCAAATACAATGGGTCATATTACCATCGATACTTCAACTATTACTGTGGTCAGGTGGCGGAACATTGTTATTGCGATAAGCTAAGGAAGTGTATCAGAGAAAGACAATCCAGACTACTCGACCATCATCCTCTGATTAATCCAGAAGAGATTCGAAAACGAATCACTATTTGCAAAAGCGACGAGCTGATTCAACTTTTAGAGAAAACTCTGTATGAAAATCCCAATTTTGTAGAGAGTTTTTTATATAAGTTTACAAAGGAGCAATTGCAATATATCAATGCAAAGAATAAAGGACATCGGTGGTCCGATATGATGCTTGATTTCGCACATTCACTCAGGTTTTACGGAAAAGGAAAAGGTGTCATCAACTACATTCGAGGTGAAACCCAAGACCCCAATGCCATCAATTTGAAACTTCCAGGTATCTCTGTATTAAACTACAATGCTGCACCAACTTGCATATACTTGGATGAGGAAGATATCAAAACCAACTATTCTATTTTAAGTAATTCTTGTTCTGATCCAAAGCAGAAGATAGGTGGTCTGGTATATGACGAGATGGAAATCAGTCATGGTCTATATTTTAATGAAAGGAAAGATCAAATTTATGGATTAGCCAAACATCCTATCACTCGAGAGAATTTCAGGGATTATATTCATCTTCCACAACAGAATATATCAGGTTTACTTGCCAAAAAGGTAATACAATTCTTCTATGTCTCTTTAGACGGTACCATCAGCGTTCCAATTGCCAGATTTCCAACTACTTCAATTACTGTCGATCAAGCACATCAATGTATTAGTATGGTAATGAAGATTGCCAAAGAATCCGATTTCAATATTGCATTCACCAGCAGTGATGGATGGGACAAATGTTATTGGCCAAGCTTAAAGAGACTCACCCCGATCTTGTTCAAGTTTTCGATCCAGTACATATGATAAAGAATTTAAGAAATTTTTTGATCAGTGGAAAAGATATCATTCTGAATTCGAGCGAAATCATTAATAACAATGATTTATTAGACCTTTTGGAAGATTCTCGATTCAATAATTTAATTGCTTTTGCCGATATTCACCCAAGTGACATAATGGAATGGAAACCTGTCAAGAATCTAATGAATGATGCTCTTTTGGAGAAGCTCAAATCGATACCAGAAAAAGCTAAACTGTACAAGTTTCTCTATTTCATGCGAGTTATATACGAGAACTTTAATATCAATGAGATTAAAGTTGTAGGTCCTCAAGGTACTGCTAGAATTAAATCTATTGAAGAAAAGGTCAGAGATTTGAGCCAAGCACATCAATATTTTGAAGCTACAGCTGGTCCTATCACAGATGCTTTCAAAACTCATCTCAAAACAAGCATCGAATCGCTCCAGTCTCTTTTCAACAAGTTTCCAAATCTTTTGAAAATGACATCAATCCTGGGGACCAATGTGGTGGAGAACTACTTCTCTATTATCAGATCTTTTGTTCTTTACCCCAATGTAAAAGAGTTTTGTCAAGTTGCCGAGAAAGCCTTTATTGAGTTAATGAAGAAGTTCTCTACCGACTCAATATATAAGTACAAGGATACGAAAGTTTCAAAATGCTACAACAATCAACATGGCCTTCAGTTTAATCAAAAAACAATTGAATTGTACCAATCGCAACGCTGTAAACAACAACTAAAAGAGTTGCCATTGGTCTCCACACTCCAGGAGGATGAGAAGCTCAAGTTGAAACTTATCGTTGGAAACAACAAGATCACAAGAAGAAAGTTCACTCTACGAGAATCAACATGCAAGGTGGATCCAACCCAGTCAGTATTTAAGTCGGGACATCGTCAATGCAAAATTAACAATTGTAACAAGATCTACCTTTATGTCAATGCGTTCACCAATCATCAATTCAATAAGCACCAGATCAACCCACTCACACAACAATTCACAGATCAATCATGTATCTCACCATTTCTTTCAAAATACAGTATCCCAGATCAAACCCCACCACTCTCTTTTCAATATGGTAATTTTCAACATAACCTTAGTGTTGTAGATCAGCTCATTATTAATTGGATGAGGAAAATTGTTGTTGATAATGTTAATCAACCCCAAATTCTTTTATTGGATTTTGAAACTACTGGAATGTATAGGAGTATCAATGAAACCAATCTCAAAACACAGGAAATTACCAATATCTGTTTGGCCAACATCACCAATCAAAAGCTATTCCAATCATTAGTCAAGCCATTAGTAAATGATAAACTCAACTATATGCCAGGTCACACTAAGTTTTCACCAGACATGGTTGATAAGGCTCAGTCTTGGAGTGATTTAGTCAAGGATTTCGTCGATATCATAGGTACTGGTGAATCACAAGTATTTATTCTCTACCACGCAACAAGCAATTTCGACCCAAATACACTATTTGGTAACAACATGTTGCACAATATCACACTACCAGCCGATCTTTTTTCCAGGACATATTTTGTCAACACCATAGAGTTGATTAAAGATATCGAAAAACACTCAAGATACTCAGTGAAAGCCTTAACTACCGACCTCCAGCTGACCAACTTTGCTCCTCACTTTGCGAATGGGGATGTCTTGGCATTGATGGAGATCCTGTTCAGAATTACTAAATCTACGCATTCAAACTTTTTTGGTTCTTTGCTTGACGGTATCAACAAAACATTAAAAACATCTTATACCCAACTTCTACAACGATATCAAAAGAGCCCGACGCCAACCTCCCTAAATAATGGCAATTCAGATAGTCAATCCACACCAACTAACACTCCAGTGAATGATGACCCTACAACAAAGAAAAGAGGTAGACCTCCAAAAAATAAATCCACATAATAGATTTGGCTGCATAATAATTAATTTTTATTATTTTCACCTCTTTTTTTCATTTTTACATACTAATTTTTTCGAGTTAACACCCCGTGTAAATTTTTCACTTTTTTTTTTTATTTTTTACAAATTTTTTAGAAATCTTAGAACGTCACTGTCATCTTACATTCTGCTAAAAGTGGTTCTTATAGTGTGCTGAGAATCATGTAGATTGGTGTAAAATTGTTTGATGCTTCTGGCGAGATCGATATTATGGTCTGAGATATCTTTCGAACCTACGCTGGCAAATGATAACAATCAATCATTTACACCTCAGACGGGATAGAGGATATGGTATCCATCAGTATGCCATACTATTCACATTGGTATTCGCTCTCAGATGGGTGAGAGTGAACAGATACCAGTACTTAATGGATATAGCAGCGATCAACAATCGAGAATAGACACACTCATTAATGATTTAATAGCTAATCATACGCCTTGTCAACGTAGATAGAAGCCATCAAATCGTGGAATGTGGCGATGGAAATTTAATAGTTAGAATGACTAGATATAGAATCTAGAAATGGTAAAGTTCATACAACAATTCTTTTAGGGAATGGGAGAATCGTACGACGTGGATCAAATACATCTTTTTAAGGATAAATCAAGCATGAAAGTAGACCGGTGGAATATTAATCAAAATTACAGACGATCAAATGAGCGGTACAACCCTCCTTCTCCAATTTTAAATGCCTCTTTTGTAGCTATAAGCTACCTTTCAAACACTTTAAATAAAACATGTATACCACATTAGATATATTAAAAAAAAAATGGTCACCAATGATTCAATTAAGAATTATTGTGTCAAGATCTATGAAAGTGATTCTCAAAAAAAAATAAAACCGGTGAATATTACTACCTTCATTTAGTTAGATGATCTTAACTTTAAGCAAAATATGGATAATTCTAGATTTCAAAATATCTTAAAATGTAGTGGTAATGGTAACTAATTGATTGATTGATTTAACTTTTGTTTATATTGATGAATTCTTATCCTATATTTTGGAACTACTAATTAAGCAGTTCATTCCTCTCCTCCAGAATCAGAGTAGTAGTATTTGTTTGATTTGATAACTGAATCAATCACATTATCATCACCCTCTACGAGGATTGACACACACTACCATTACTAAAATTATTTGGAATTGTACGACAATCATCAGATCCAACAATCAACATCAATGGATGAACATTGCCCTGTCCTGGGACAATCCATGGATCAACACACATGTGAGTAGTGTTTGTTTTAAAATTAAATACATGTAGTAGTTTTATTTTTAGAACTTGGTTGGTTTTGTTGAAGATCTCTTAAGATGTTTTTAAAATTCATCAATATTATTAACTTTACCTCCTACAAACATTGGTACAGTCTTTTGTTCAAGTTCCATTTCTTGGTCTGGTGGTGACTTTCGTTTAGATCTTCTTCTAGCAAATACAATGGCAAGTGCAAGTAAAGCTGCCAATACAAATGCTCCAGCCGCAATACCACCAATAGCACCAGCTGATAAACCACCTTCACTGTCATCATTGTCATCACCTGGTGGCGTGACACCTCCAGAGTCAGAGGAGGAAGAGGAAGTTGAATTAGAGGAGGATGACGAAGATGAAGAATCTGAATTAGAGGAGGATGACGAAGATGAAGATGAAGACGAAGATGAAGAATCGTCAGTCTCTTGAGACGGGAATACAACTGTACATTGGTCAGGTGGAAGAACAAGAGGTACTGGACATTCAGCGGATGGTGTGTAAAAGTTGAATGGTTCAATGGCACCGGCAGGAGGTTCTGGTATAGGATTGTATGGAATGGCTGGAGCATAGGTTAAATTCCAAAAGTTGGAGATTCTTGTAATGACTTGACTACCACCTGGACTGTATGTATAGGTGATTTGGATCTTTAAATTGTCAGTTGGTTGGAATAGATTGCCATTGAGCGAACAAGTGATAACTGTATACGAGTAAAACGATGGAGTGGCGGTCTGGACAGCTGTGGGATTATCATTGACAAACAAATTTACCATAGTGAATGTGTAAGACTCCAAGGGGATAAGTCTACGTCCACGGATGGTAATGGGTTTGTCGTCGGCTGTGATGATGGGGATACCGCTGGTCGACAAAATGATTGGCTGGATATTATTCATGACGACGGCAAATGACGATACGAATCCCTTGGCAAGGAGATCGGCCGATGTTTGCGATCCAAAGTTTCGACTGTTGTCACTGTATCCATAGATGGATACGACTGGCGAGGTCTGGTAACCAAAGCCATAGGGAAGTTCAACATTGCATCGGTAGGTGACATTGCCAGCGTTGGCCAACAGAGAGTCGTTTGTCATGGAGATCATGACACCCGCACAACTGGCAGATTCACCATTCAATCCAGTGACGTAGAGGTATGGGGTAGATGCCAACGATACTCCACTGACTTGATCATACAATGTAAATTGGAATTCAACCGTACGATTGTACAATGACACGTCTACAGGAACAGCAGTGAAGAATGACAGGTCGACAAGAACGGGTGGGTCAGTGTCGACGACTGCAGTGGGATACAACACTGATATGTATCGACCTATATGATCGGGCAAGTAATGGAATGGATCGACGTTGATTTGATTGTCATCAAGATCACCAAGTGCAATGGAGGTGGCTACATTACCGAGTGAATCGGTCAATACTAAATCCAATTTAAATATCTCACAGCTGGCACCAGCACGTGCAGAGTGAGTGGCGCTGTAAACACCGCTAAATACGTCGCCAGACACTTGGACAAGACTGACTCGACGAGGGGTTGGGTCGATGTTGCTGGTGACGATAGCATAGCTGTTGGCGAGTGCAATGCCACTTGGACGATCTTGGATATTGATGGTCCATTGAAGGGTCACTGATTCCTCTTGTGGTGAGGTGACATTGATCGAGTAGGAGGGTGGCGATACGCATCCTACAATGGGACCCATTTCATCGGTATTTTGGCATACAATAGTGAGAATGGCATTGTCTCCAACCAGAGGGTTGGAACGGAGTGCCTCGCTGGTAATGTTGGTGTTGGACGACGCGATAAAGTATTCGGCTGGACCGGGGAAACTTCCCTGATCAATGGTTACCTCAACCTTGTAATATCCGTCTTCATACTTGCCCATAAAGTATTGTGCCAAGTCGTAGACGTTGGATTTGTGACGCTTGTAGATCATCACGGCAGGACGATCCGTTATGCTTGGGAAGTAGGTGGTGGTTGCCAACTTGAAGGAGAGGGTAGATTTGGCCGGGCCGAGGGTGACACCAACAGTTGGTGGTGACCAAAACAACTCTGAAACCTCATCGATGGAGAATTCGAGAAGACTGGTTGCCGGCACGTCACCCAACACCATGGGATGACGGAAAAACATCTGGACCACATCGTTTTGCTGGTAGAGACGTTGTGTCTTGCCATCAAGTGACAACAAGTGGAATCGGAAACGACGACCATAATCTGTCTGGGTGATATTCAACTCCACTTCGTAATTGTTAGTGTACGAGTGATCGCTTGCTCGAATATAAACGCCATTTTCGGGACCAAAGGGAACGTATCCACCTTGGAATCCAAACCCGTCATTATATGTGATCTTGAAACAAAACACATTCTGGTGCGACGTAAACCTTCGAAATATGTCTACCAAGACCAAAGGCGTTCGACTTGGTGTACCTGTCTTGCCAGAGTTCGTCTCTCCCTCGACCAATCGCTCATTGTGTGGACCCCACACGGTCAGCTTGTTGGACACAAAGTTGGGATGGACGGGTTGGTCAAACGCATAGTCGTACTTGCCCATCGAGGGAATACCCTTCTTTAATCCATAGGGGAATGGCTGTTTCACTGTCTGCACAAAGTTATTCAGCAACGAATTGGCTTGCACCTTGATGAACGGGGCGGCACCGGTCGACTTCCATATGGGTGTGACCACATATCTAGCACCATCGTACGCTACGTGTGAGCTTGTAGCAGTGTTATTATAGGGGTATCGGTAGTGAGTATAATTGGTAGCTAGAATCGACGCATTGTTGAGTGTACTAATCGACGTGCTTGTCAATGTGGCAGGTACATTGGCCGCTGTCATTGACTGTGGAAGTGCAAAGTGGATCAGGGCATTTCCCTTGTCATCAGCCAACAATGGTTTATACGTGTTACCATAGTAATTGACACCAGTCGATGGGATGACACCTCCGTCGGCCTTGTACACGATAAACTGACTGTTCCAATCAGACACATTGGCATAGACACTAAATTGGTTCACCTGTGATTGAATGTCGATCCATGTTCTGTTTTTCACGCCGGTAGTAACTTTGTTAAACACCGTCGTGCTGCTATTCCAATTGGCCATAAATGGGAAGTCGACTGTTGCCGAGACCGATCCAATATTGACTCTTCCTTTGTCTGAAAATGTTACATTGACAGCATTGTCCCAACCCGTAAACGTGTTTGCCAATGGTGCCAACGAACACTTTAAAAATATCTTTCCTCTTACAGGATACAATTTGTACCCAAAATCGTAGGGATGACAAATACAATTAAATTGTCCACCATCCTCAACACAGTCGATATTGTCAGTTGGAACTTGTCCAAATTCAACTATAAATGTTACAATTGATAATCTTGCATCAAACATTGATGCTTGTATTATTCCATTACTTTTTAATATTAATGGTTGATCTCTAAATGCTTTTAAATTAATTTAAATATTAATTCACTCCATCCAAACTCTTCTTTTACTTTCTTTTCTTTTACTTTAATTTATACATACAATAACATGATATATTTCCAATTGGTACTTGCCAAATGAGTGATGAATTATTTGGATCTTGTAAATTTACTATTACACTATTATTTAGGATGGTTGTACCAGTTGATGAAATGGGTGAAACAATGTTGATATACAATAATTGTCCAACATAATTATTATTGAAATAGGTGGTTACCGCTGTAGCAGGGGTACCATCTATTGTAGCCTCGTTGGTAGCCTCCAAATTACTCGTGTAGTTTAATAGGGCATAGCCATCGATATACTCTCTCTTATTGACCTGATCAAAAGGACAATACTTTCCAACTAATATAGTTCTAGAATATGAATATATTAAAGATGGTTGTGAATTTACAATATCTAAATATATAGTAAGTTCCAATATGAATGAATATATTAATAAATGTAATGTTTGTTATGCACTACAGTTTATGTATACTGTAATAAAATCTATCATACCTATGTGATAATTAAAAAATAAAAATAACAATACAATAAGAGAACGAAACAATGTTGTATTCATCATTCAACTTTGATGATAAATAAATAAATCTCAAAATCTTTTTGACTTATTTAGGTGACCCAACTTTTTGTTTGACAAAAATATCTCCAATGCTTAAAATAAAATACAAAAAAAAACAAATTTGATCACCTCTTTGTGCACGCTTTAGAATGTTGGTGATATGTTTCAAATTGGTGATTTCAAAACGAAACTGGCTCCCCACCACTTTCGCACTCGCATTAATTTTAAAAAAAAGTAAAAATTAAAAATAGAGGGTGAATATGATCAGAGTGGTTTTTTTATTTTATTTGATTTATGGTTACAAGCAAGAGCCTGTTTTGTTTTATTAAATTTAATTGCCCCAATTTGAAACATAGCACCAACATTGTTATCTACACTGACTTTTACCTTGAAAACCATAAAAATCTAAATTTTTTGTAATTTGGTGAGTGTAGATAAACTTTCTACTGCTATCCAGTGTTTCAAATTGGTGATTTTTATTAAATTTAATTGCTCGAATCTAGTGTAGATAAACTTTCTACTACAGAATAAGAAGTGTAATTCACAATTGAAATAAAAAACAAAAAAAACAAGGTATATATATCATGTAGATTCAATTTGGATTCTCTAAATATCATCATTTCTTAGGATCTAACATTCTACACCTATAAAATATTCAAATAAAAAATGTTGAAATATACAATCTTTACAATTTTCGCTTAGTTGGCATTGTCTCAAGGTAGGTTGAATACTTAATTATTATATCTTTCCATTCGATAGGTCATTATATATTAATTTGTTATTTTTTTTTTTTTTAAATAGCTTAACTATTTCAGTCGGTCAATATAACTGGTTCCTAGATCCTTCCCCATGCTCAAAGCCATTGTTAGTAAATGTTACTTACTCAAATGGAGTGTATTCCTCTTTCAAAGCCTCCGATGCTACAACGACATATTTGACAAATGTCACTGTTAACTCGGACGCCACATTCAATGGATTTGCTGCTCTTTACAATGGTACTCCTAAACGTATTATCGGTTACACCACCATCAAAGGTGTACTCAGAAACCCATTCAACTTAATCATTATCTACAATCCAGCACCCTCATTACATTTCCCAGGATCCACAGATTACTATAACCTAGTGTCTTGTTCAAAATCTTGAAGTATGAGGAGAGCGATGACACCTTGACCTCCACTGGTTTCGAGTAAATAATTGATTTTAAATTAACTAAATAAATTAAATTTGTATTTTTCTCGAAAGACAACAATCAATATTCCTCTAAACTCCCTAGAATGGTGTGAATATATCAACAACTGTGCAAAAGCACGAACCATTGACATAAAAATGTTCAATTCAAGCTTTTGTTGAAGAGAGGAAACAACCAGCAACCAAGAATATAGAAATACCTGAGGATTTCGTTTTTGTCACACAATAAACTGGCAAAAGAAGAAGAAGATTACAATAAGTAGATGGATCAAGAATTAAACTAATTGTTTCTCTCAAATCTAATCTGTTTGTATTTAGAGTACGTAGTTAATGTTACTTACTCCAATGGACAGTATTCCTCTGTTAAAGCCATCAATGGATTACCCTTTTTGACTAATATCACTCTTACACCGGTATAACACCGATGGTACATTCAATGGAATCGGAAATCTTACAACCCAGTTACTAAACGTATCATCGGTACAACCACAGTCAAGGGTGTAGTCAACAACCCATTCAACTTATTGATTGTCTACAATCAAAGCTCTTCCTTCCAGGAACAGATAACTATAACTGGGTATCTTGTACAAAATAAAGATTGTTGTCTGATGAGGAAACCTATGATTCATTATGTTGGATACAAACATTTGAATATTAAAAAAAAAATCCTTTTTTTTTATTCTGAAGTTGATATATATACATTAACCAGATTTAATCTATACTTATTGTTATCCGTAAGCAAAAATAGATATTGTTTTGGAGTTCATTCATTTTTTGTGTGATTGTAATAACATAATTTTTATTCTTTTACTTTTAAATAGAACTTGATAGAATGATTTTAATAGTTAAGAGCAACAAGATTATTTGAAATTTTTTTATGTTTATTAATACAAAATAAAAAAAAGATCATTATAAGAGTAAAATATACAAAAAAAAAAAAAAAAAAACATTAAATTTTTTTTGTTTTTTTTTGGTGACCATTTTGATCGTGTTAATGGGAATAAATAAATCTTTTCTAAGAAAGTGATTGTGCATATACCAGATGAAACGATCTACCATTTCACAGGACCACTCATTATAAAATCTATTTTATTTTTTGATCATTGCCACGGTTTACGAATCTGAATTTAAAATCTTGTGGTAACCAAAATCAACCTTTGGTATTACTAAAAAAATAAATAAATTAAAAAAAAAACAGATTTTCGTTAAAGTAATTTCACACCTTTTTTGAGTAGGTGATCACCATTTTTGGGTGAAATGATCTTGTCTGGTATCCAGGTGGCAAAGATTTTTATTAAAGGTGGTAATACAGAAAAAATCTTAAAAAAATTTTGAGTATTTAAATCGTTTAAATTTGAATATCTAACATCATCATTTTTTTGGATCTACACTTTTTAAATATAAATATATATACAGATAAATAATGTTGAAATACACAATTCTTGCAATTTTCGCTTTATTGGCTTTGTCTGAAGCTGGTAAGTTAACAAATAAATATTTAAATATTCTAGCTATATAAAAAAAGGAAAGATATGATTTTAATTTTTTGATTATTATTTATTTCTTTTTATCTATAGCTTTTACAATCAACGTTGGTCAATACAACTGGTACTCAGATTCCCCATGTTCCAAGCCAATCTTAGTTAATGTTACTTTCTCCAATGGACAATATAGTTCTTTTAGAGCAACCGATGGTTCTGCATACTTGAGAAATATCACTCTTAACAGCGATTCTACTTTCACTGGAATCGGAAATCTTTACACTCCAGGTTCCGACCGTATCACCGGTTACACCACCGTCAAGGGTGTAGTCAACAACCCATTCAACTTATTGGTCGTCTACAACCCAAGTTCCTCCCAAAACTACCCAGGATCCACACAATACTACAATCTCGCCTCTTGTTCAAACTCCTTGTTGTCTGAGGAGAGCCACGATAACATGTCCACTGGTCGTTTCGAGTAAATAATTATTTAAATAAATTATAACTTTTTAAAATTTCAAAATTCAATTCTTTCGAAAATCAAATCATTTTCCCAAGATCCACTATCTTATAAGTTTATATATATCTATCTATATAACTTTATTTTGTTAATTAATATCAAAAAAACAATATTATTTTTTTTTTTATTTAAAATAATTAATTTAATAATATGAAAAAATAATAATGTTAATTAATAACCAGATATAGAATAAAGTGTATTAAAAATCGATTGAACAACACACTTAAGTGTTCACCACAAATATTTTTCATTAGTGTTAATTCAATTTTTGATTTTAAATTATTTTCTTTGTTCGTTTTAACAGATTTTTATTCATTATATTCAGATCTGAATATTATTAAATACATTCTATAAAAATAATGAATAATGATTTCAAATGTCAAGAACATCAAAGATTATTTGAAAATATATGTTTTCAATGCAATCATTTGTTATGCTCAAGATGTTTGACAGCACACAACAAAGATAAAAATCATTATAAATATTGTGAACATATAGATGATATCAAACTAACACTTGAAAATCATATGCTCTCTGAATGTTTTAAACTACAAACAACTACAATAACAAATCCTTTTAAAAGACAAAAATTAGACCATAAAAGTGATAATAATGATAATCATTCAGATTTAGACACACCAGAGCAAGATAATGATAATGATATAGATAAAGATAGTAATATTGATAAAGATCGTATTAATAATGATAATGAAAGTTTAGATCCAAATAGTAAGAGTTTTATCAGTGAAAGAATAGCAGATATTTGGAAGACAATCAAATCATCTTCAGAACAATATAAAAAGTTAACAATAACTCAAAGTGATATCTCTAAACACTTCAATGAGTATCACAGATTCCTTATTGATGAAGAGAAAGCTCTAACAAGAGAAATCGTCAATGACAAAGAACTAATTGTTAATCAAATAGAACATAGTATTAATGAATTAAAATACTATACAAATATCTTTTATTTAAATAATCAGCTAATCAATTTACACAATGATAACATCAACAACAATAACAATAATGAGAATCATATATATTCTACAGAAACAACATTAGATACTGCAGATAGTTACTCAACAAAGGCATTAATAGAATCAATAAATACAAATGAATCATTAATATCATTCATTCAATCAAATAACGATACAGTTTTCAATCAACAGAATATATCTTATATCAATATCAAAGATGTATTTAAACAATATAGTGATGTTGATTCAATGATATTAGATTCTATCTATAAATTAAACAGTCAATTAATATTAACAACACGTAAATCAAATTCTTTAATCAACAGCCAAATCAATGAATATAAATTAAAAACAAATCTTATCAGTCATAATCAAGTTGCCAGGGTACTGAATGAATCAATCAAGTTACGCGCCATTCCACCAAAGCCACATATTACCAAACATACTTACCTCCTATCTATGCACAGTGACAACGGTGCGACAATTTTTGATATCTCCAATAACTCAACCGAGCCCAAAGAAATAATCAACTTAAAGGACACTAAAATCGATTTCAGTGGATCAGAGGTTGTGGGTGTTGGTGATTATTTCTATATTTTTTGGTGGATTCAATAGTGGCAATAAATATATCAGATTAGCGATGGGAACCAGGAAAATGGAGACCAACCAAGTCAAAGGAATCGAATATAGTGATAATGTTTTTACTGTGTGCTATGATGGTGGTGATTACATCTATTTAGTTCGTAAATTTAAATATATGATAATTTGCAGGTTCAATGTTCTTACTCTTGAATTCCAAGAGATCTATAAATCAAAACCAAATGATCGAAACATCAAACTCTTCCAATCATTTTTCTACAAAGGATTGATCTATTGTTTACCGGTGGAGGGGGATACACTACAGATCTTCAATCCATCAGATAAGAAGGTAACAGAGAGTCAGTGTGATAAATCGATAGTAAATTCCGATATGTGTTTCGATGGAAATGGAAATATCTATTGCATTCCAGGTCATAATACATTTATTCGATTCAATTTGGAAACCAAAGAAAAGGTTAATCTAAAGGCATCAAATATTAAATATTGCTTCTCAATGATACACCACAAAGTGTCAAATGAAGAGTCCTATATTTATGTTGTTGGTGGAGTAACTATTGGTAATCACCGGTATTCAATAGAAAAGGATGAATGGGAACCAATATTCACCAATGATGAATATTTAAGAGAGGAATTTGGATCTGCCATTATTAGTACAACTTTTTAATGCTCTAGATATCCTTTAATTGTTAATAAAGCAAAAGTAAAAATAACTTAGTTTATTTCTTTGATGGAATCTGATTAATTATTTTAAATTTTAAACTTGTACCACTTTATCTACTTTCTAGAATCAGTTATAGGTAACAATGTTGTAAGTTGTTTTTGATTGATCAAAAAAATTAATATTCTTTCACCCAATTACCACTTTTTTTATGGGGTTGTTTTTAAGATTATCATCAACGATTTTAGTTTACTTTTTAATAATGAATTCATACAAACTTTTTCGAGAAGTCAGATAAATTGATCAATGGAAGAAATATCTTGGAGGAGTTAATATTTAGTTTATAATCATTTGAAAGATAAAGATAGTGAACAACATTCAAATATCATTCTATTGGGAAATATTGATAATAAAGATAACATAATTGTTTTACCAGATACAGTCGATACTGAATATCAATTAATAATAATTAGAACAGACTCTTCACTCTATGATCTAGCAAGACCCATATACACTAAGAAACTAAACAAATCACATTAATATACAATCTGGTTTCCATCCGGTTGGCCTGGAACGATGGTAGAGGAGATCGGGAGCTTAGATGATGCCAGGCTAGACTGAAAGAGATCAGTTGGGAGCGGATCTTGATGAGTATTGACAGGAGTGACCTCTGGGAATAGAGTAGTAGCTGGTTGATTTTCATTATTGTTATTATTACAGTCGAGATCACTCATTCTTAATTCATTCGTGATAGTAGTTGGATTTGTAGATGTCGTTGAATCATTAGTCGTTGTGGTTGTGGTTGTTGTAGTTGTATCAGTTGATTGTTCGTTTGGATCTACCATTTCTCATATGATTTGTAATTAATAACAATATAAAGTATTTCTAATAATATTTTATATAATCTATTTTTAACTTTTATTTCGCGTTAAACTAAATGTATTGATTATTGAGAAGCTTGAGGGCTGAGTGTTGAATAACTTATTTTAAAAAAAACAGATTTTTATTTAATTATTATTTCGATCTGTTGTTTTAAACTATTACTTATTTAGTTGATTTAATTAATTTAATTATTTTAATTGACCATTACTATATGTTGACTGGTGTATATTATTGATGTTGTTTGATAGGTACTAGCATTGCCTTGGTGGCTACACTATTGTCCTTAGAAGGACAACATCTGGTATGATATCAACTTTAATTTAAATATATTAATGTTAAACTACCAATGGCTGCTCTCTATTGCTCTCGTTTCCAAAGAGTAATTCAAATTGATATCATCATTATTCGAATTTTAAGTAAGTACAATGATAGAATGCCAGATATTCTAGCACGACACTTCAAAGAGAGTGTATTGAATCCGTATTAGATCCTCAAGAATATCTGAAATTTGGAAATGACATCGGAAATCATGAAGGAAATCACCAACAAATCTTTTTGAACATCAGTTGAATTGGGCTTGATCTTCAACAATGTAAGGAAATTCAAACTAGTTTCAATGAAAAGAAAAACAAACAAAGTTCCATTTTGTAAATTGTTCACCCAATACAAACATGCCAAATCTAGAATCTCTTCAAATTTGTTATATAAATAGATAACATCAAGATATTTCAGATGTTAAAACAAGTACCCTTACTGACATCACTGGATATATCACAATCTCTAATCAAAAACTTAATCTTCAGTTCTGAATTAATATCCAAATCTCTAAGGAAGTTGAAACTTACATCTATTCCTTCCACCAGCCAATCCTTAACGATTCTACCAGACGACAGTCAAGTTAGCACACTAGTATTGTCAATATTAGATTGGAGCAATTTAACATGATCAGCAATCGAAGCTACCTATCCACATTTAAAATTCGTATATTATTAAAAAAAACTTTTCCAATAAATAACAAACAAAAAAAGATAATATTGTCAAAGAAATGGAGTAGTTTGTTCTTTTATTGTATTTTTTTTATTTTGTTTTCACCTGGTTGTGGTTGTCCATATTGACCTGGAGCTTGTGGCTGTCCTTATTGTCCTGTTGGTGGATAAGCACCTGGCTGTGGTGGTTGACCGTATTGACCTAGTTGTAGTTGACCATATGTTCTGGTTGTGGTTAACCGTATTGACATGGCTGTGGTGGTCCATATTGACCTAGTTGTGGTTGACCGTATTGAATAGGTTGTGGTCGACTGTATTGAGCTGGTTGTTCGTATTGACCTGGATCTGACATAGTTGAGTATCCTGCTGAACCTGTTATACCTTCAAGTGGTTGTTTTGGAACTTTACTCATTCTCTATGTAAATTATACAAAAAAACTAACAAAACTAAAAATAATATTCTAAACTTTCAAATATAATACAAACTATAGATAAAAGTATCTTTAAAGATATATATAATAAAAAAGCTGCTGAACTGAAAAGAAAAAGAATTAATTAGAAAAGTAAAATGTTTAATTTAAACAATTCCATTCAAAGACAGATGGAAAAAATTAAAATTTGGGTCAAACACTCCAATTTATTTAAGTTGTCTAATGAATCAATTAAGTTAATTTATTCATTTGTGTCACATAAAAAAGTTTATTTTCATTCATCAAATAATAAATTAAAAATTATAAAAAATTAACAAAAAAAACCATATTAATTTTTATTTACAATATTGAATTAATATGGTGTTCACTCTAAAACCCCCAAGAATTAAATTTGTTTTAAACAAATAAAAATGTGATTACCCCTAAACACTTTCTTAGTAAAAACAATAGTTTTTGTTCCCTTTTTCTATTACCACTAGACACAATCATAGCGATTATTTGTGTAAAATTTTCATTGTGAGTGTATGATACTATTATAAAAAATAATTTTTTTTTGGATACATTAAATTTTAATATTGTATTTATTTTTCATAATAGATTTTGAAAATCATAATAGGATTTATCTTCTAAAGCTTTCAAATGGAAATAAAAGATATAGAAATAGAAATAGAGGAATCAAAAAAAGTCTTGGAGATTAGTTTTCAATATTTCTTTGGTAAATTAACAATTTTAATTTATAATCATTTGAGAGAAAAAGAGAATGAACAGCTTAGAAATATTAAATTAATTGGAGGGATTGATCAAATTGAAAATAAGATTATAGTTCCAAAAACAGTTGATGATCAATATAAATTAATAATACTTAGATATTGTAGATATTTCTCAACTAAAACAAATAAAATATCTATATCCACTAAGATATTAAATAAATCAGAATCATATAAAATCAATTTAATAGAGAGTGACTTCCAAGAGGATATTAACTATTTCCAACAAACACAAGTCATTAATAACAAACGATATCATTTAATATCAAGATTTACAAACAGTAATGCTATCAATGATGTATATTTGGTAGGTGGTACTGATGATCAAAGATTGGTAAGTTCATTTTTCAAAGATATTAATGACAATCATAAAACTAACAAAATCAATTCAAAAGTATGTTTATAAAAAGATAAACTATAAAGATAATCAGAAATCTTATGAAAGTGCTGAGAATGAAATCAAAGCAATGAAATTATTTAAAGGAAATCAAAGATTTGTTCAACTTGTTGACTATCAAGAAGACAAAGGTAATCAAATCTTTCATATCATCACTGAATATTGTTTTGATGGGGATCTTTCTCATATAATAAAACGTTTAACTGAACAAGATAGGTACATATAAGCAGTTTTTAAATTTACTATTTTAAAAAGCTAACAAACTACTTTTATTTTAAATATACAAATAGAATCATTGATGAATTGGTTTTAAAGAAATATATCTCACAACTTTTCAATATTCTTTTGGACCTTGATAAACATGGAATTGTTCATTGTGATATCAAACCATCAAATATATTTATTCATGAATTTGATTATGATTTTTCTTTGAAACTTGGTGATTTTGGAAGCTGTTTATTCATCGACCAATTACCTGTCATTGAATATATAAATACAAAAGAAAATAATCTTGATACTAGGAAGGAATATAACAATACTGATATATCATATCCAACTATTATTTCAAACCCATATATAAGAGGAACTAAAGGTTATATTTCACCGGTAAGTTAAATTATAATATAAATTAATGAATTAATTCTTATAATTTATTAAATAAAACTAAATTCAAATAATATTAATATAACTTTATTTAAATAATAATACAATTAGGAAGCAATGAACAAACAATATGCACATTCATGTGATATTTTTTCAATTGGATCAACGATTCTCAAATTATTATGTTGGTAAATACTCGAATAATCATTTTTAAAATATTATTATCAATCAGATATTAACTCTGTATTTTTGAATATTTAAATTGATCAGTCATCAAGAAGATCGAAATAATCATCAACTATTCCAAACTAATGGTGAAATTAAGATTTCAGAATGCAGATATTCAAAACAATTGATTGAATTAGTTAATCGATTGTTGGATCAGAGATCAAAGAATAGAGAATCATTGAAATGTTTTCTAAACAAATATATTGATGCCATCACTAATGAATATACTATTACTTTCAATGTGGATACAGATTTCAATAATACATCAAAAAATATTACTGAATTATATTTTGGTAGAGAATTTAATCAACATTTGAATAGAAACTCTCTTCCTCCAAATATTATTACATTATCATTTGGACATTATTTCAATCAACCAATACTTATTGATGTGCTCCCAAAATCACTCAAATATTTATCATTTGGTTACTATTTCAATCAAAAACTGGAAATAGGAGTGCTACCCAATTCTCTTTTATCATTATCATTTGGGGATGCATTCAATCAAGTGTTATCAGTCGGTGAATTACCTGTAAAATTGAAATCATTGTTTTCTGGAAATGGATTCAATCAAATATTATCAGTTGGTGTGTTACCTAAATCACTCTTATCATTGGTGCTTGGAGATAGATTCAATCTATTATTATCAAAGGGAGTGTTTCCTGAATCACTAAAATCATTAAAAATGATGGGATACAATCTTAGAATTGATAGAGATGTTCTACCTAATAATCTCGAAAATTTATATTTTGGATCGTTTAATCAAACATTGGATATTGGAACCTTTTCAAATCAAATTAGATCTTTAACATTCACAAAATTAAGACAACCTTTGGATATTGGAGTATTACCACAAACTCTTGAAGATTTACGATTTGGTTCAGAAGGTCAACACATTAGCATTGGTGTTCTCCCTTCATCTCTAAAAAGAATAATGTTTTTTTGTCATGACAATTCTAAACAATCTAGCAACACAAATGGAATTTTTGAATTGATACCCACATCTATTGAATCACTCATAATAAGTGGATATAATGAATTAGAGATTAAAAAAAGAAAATTTCTAAAGACTCTCGAAATTGATCTTGGTGGAGGACATAAATATGAAGCATCTATTCTTACAAATTCTATTGAATCACTTAAATATATTCAAGAATTCTATCCAGTATATTTTTCGTCTCATTACTTAGAATTAACCTCTCCACTTCAAGGAGAATATATCACCGCTCTACTTGTTACATTAATTAAAAATTAAGAATAAAAATTATGAAATCAAATTAACAATAATTAGTTAATCATAAACACTTTTTTTTTTTTAATTAATTTAAATTTATAAAAAAACTAAAAGATTATTTTGGTGTATCACAATTAGATAACCACTCAACAATAATTTAGTCTGATAACCTATGTACAATAAGAATAAATAAATTGAGTTTAAGTTCAATCAGTAGGAAAGACAATAATATGCTTGTGCCTAATCACTCATCATACATACACAATCTGATGTAATTTTAGAAAATATCGATTACAAATTTATTAATTTAATTTAAATCAATTCCAGTCAGATGTTTATATGATAACTTCAAGTTTTTGATTGCAGTGTTTACATCGTCGAAATTGAGAGAACTGATAACCCATTTGGCATATTTAGAGGCATTGGCGATGTCTTCTTCCGATGGTGTATATGCCTTATTCATTGATCCATAATTTTGTTGTTGTTGCTGTTGTTGTTGTTGGTTGTATTGTTGATATTGTTGTGGCTGTTGTTGTGGTTGTTGATATTGTTGCTGTTGCTGATGTTGTTGTTGCTGTTGCGGTGGTTGTTGTTTTTGTTGTGGATGTTGTTGTTGCTGGTGTTGTTGTGGTTGCTGTTGATGCTGTTGATAGCTTGGTGGCGATTGTTGTTGCTGCTGGTGTTGTTGATATTGTTGTGGTGGTTGTTGATGATGAGAAGATTGCTGGTCAAAGTCTCTTCTGTTATTTGGAGGTGATTGTGTTTGGTGTGGAGAATAAATGTCTTGTTGGTATGGTGGTGGTGATGGTTCTTGCTTATTAAAGGTTGGGAATGATGGTTGTTGGTGATCACTCGATCTGTTTAGCGATGATTGATCATTACTACCTGACTTTGGGAAAGATGGGAACGATGGCTGGTCATTACCACCTGCTTTGGGGAATGAAGGGAATGAAGGTTGATCGTCACCTGCCTTTGGGAAAGAGGGGAATGAGGGTTGGTCATTACCACCTGCCTTTGGGAATGAAGGGAATGATGGCTGGTCGTTTCCACCGGCATTTGGGAACGATGGGAATGATGACTGGTCGTTTCTTCCGGCATTTGGGAATGATGGGAATGAGGGTTGATCGTTTCCACCTGCCTTTGGGAACGATGGGAATGAGGGTTGATCGTTTCCGCCAGCCTTTGGGAATGATGGGAATGATGGTTGATCGTTTCCACCTGCCTTTGGGAACGATGGGAAAGATGGTGATTGCGTATCACCTACATTGCTATTGTTGAAAGATGGGAATGATGGTGGTGATTGATTGTCACCTCCAGCCCTTGGGAACGATGGGAATGATGGATTGCTATCGACGGTCGAAGGGAAACTTGGAAATTGGTTGGATTGTGGTGTTGATGGGAATGCAGGGAACGATGAATCTTGATTTGATGACTCTTGATTACTACCATCCTCTAAATCATCAGCACCTCCATCTTCTTCCTCCTAAAATCAAGCAAATCAAAATAATATTAGTTACTAAACAAAACAAATGTGCAGAATAAAACAATAGAATTGAATATTGAGACATCGACATACAAGTGTAGGTGGTGGAGTTGGTTGTACACCATTCTTGATGGCAGTATTAATCTCGGCTGCTCTCCAACCTGCATACTTTTGCTTCTGTTTAACTTCCTCTGGTAATTCACCAAACTGTTTCATTACATCAAAGAACAAATAGCAAGAGTAGAATGTAGTAGCTGTTGCTCTAAATTAATGATATAAAAAGGTTAGTTTTTAATAAGTCTATGTAACAATCTGTTACTCTCTCTTTCTCTCTCTCTCTCTTACTTTGTTGCAACACCAGCTCTATCTTCAGAATCGGCATGATTGAATGCTCTCATTGCAAAACCTTCTACATAGTCTAATTCCATTCCTTCTTCATCTAGTTGAGCACCTATCTTCTTTTTATCCTATTTATATGTGTGTGAATCGAATTCGAACTCTATTAATATAGATACTCAAAAAGATGCAATGTATCTGACTTGATTTGATTTATAAACATACATTCTCTGCTAGATCCAAAATCTTTACGATAAAAGTACTCAGAGAACTACCAGCAGGACCCAGCTTCTTCTTTATGTCGACAGCCAGCTGTAGAGCATAAAGCTTACAATAGTAAGACATGATCAAGTCATGTTTCTCTAATTGCTTAGCTTGCTTGATGAATGGTGAAATCGGTTTCAACTGTACAGGTATATTATCCATCTTTATAAACTAATATATATATATGATATATGATGATAATAAACAAAATTATAAAAAAATAACAAAAAAAAACAAAATCTAAAAAGTTATAAATCTATATAATAAATTAATAACAAAAATAAAATAATGATAACAAATTATATGAATGATAAAAAAATTAAATTTTTAATAACTAATTAGTTTGCAATTTCTTTCATCTTAGAAACTTGCGAAAAACATTATCATATTCACATAAAAATATAATTATTTATTTTTTAATTTTATTAATTTTTATTAAAGATTTGTGATTAATAATCTTTTGAAATGAAGAAAAATAATGATCAATTCGATCCGATTATATTATACTATATATTAAATTATATATTATATTTATATTTATAAAAGTTTATTTAATCTTGATTTTGCAATTTCAATATATTCAGATAAACCAGTTGCCAACTCTTGTTCTTTGGTGGAATGATGTAGACGTTGCTGAATAATTGGAATGATTTCAGCTTTTGTTCGGCCATTTACAAAAACGATAAATGAAAATCCATATTTCTGTTGATATTCGTTGTTGAGTGAGTTCAGTGCTTCCAAGATTCTCTGTTGCTCTGGATCTTTGTCTGGATGTGATTCTCTGTGATATCCTTGCTCATAGTAAGAGAGTGTTGAAATCTTTGATGGATTTGCACCGATCTTTGGATGTGAATTGATAATCTCTACCTTTTGTTCTGTTGTACATTGTTCGATGATAGCGACCACTGTTTCGATGAGCTGATCGTAGCTAGAGTATGGTCTGGCTGCAAGTAGTCCACTGGCTAATGGTGGTGCCACTTCCAACAGCATATTGACAACACTCAAAAAGTCGGTGTCGCTAAGCTGGCTGTTCAATCTGGCAATCGGTGGCAGACGGATATCGGCATATCCGCTGCTCGAAGATTGGATGTTGGTTGGGGTGAGACGCTCACCTGTGAAAATTTCGATGTGTCCGTTGCGCTTTGAGTAGATTTCTCTGCCTCTCAAGATAGTCTGTTCGACGACACCGTAGAGAGTTTGTCCATGGTATGGCGACGCTCTGTTTCTAACGTACATCTTCTCTTGATCCACTGTAAACGATGCTTCTGGATCCCAAACTAAGAAATCTGCATCTCTTCCAACGGCAATCGATCCTTTTCTATCGTTCAAATTCACTAGTTTCGCTGGAGCATCGGACATCAGTTCTGGCAGGTCGGTAAGCGAGAGAATTCCACGTCGTTTCGCTTCAGTCCAAATGATGCTCAATCCGAGTTGCAACGATGAAATTCCACCCCATGCCTTCATGAAATCACCATCCTCCAACAACTTTAGATTTACTGTGCATGGCGAATGGTCAGAGATAATCATGGAGACAGTACGATCCGATACAGCTTGCCATAGTGCATCTCTATTCAACGATTCTCTGATGGGTGGACAACATTTATAGAGAGTATTTCCGTGAGGAACCTTTTCCGCTTCGAAATAGAGATAGTGGAAAGTGGTTTCCGCCGAAATTGGAATGTTGTCAGTGTGGGCAGCGCGAATCATTGGCAGTGCTTCTGCCGATGACAAATGGACGATGTGAGTGCGCACATTGTTTTCTCTGGTGAGTGAGATCACCATGTCGATTGCTTCGTTCTCCGATGCCTTGGGACGACTACTCAGGAAAGTGTGATAGTCACCGGTGTCGCAGTCGTCTTCGAGCTTGGCAATGGCGTCGTCAATCGGACCCGGCACTTCAGCGTGGAACATAACAACCACATCCTTTCCAACGTGCTTCAACTCGGCCATCACTTTCATTGCACGATCAACATGTTCACGTTCGACCGCAGGGAAATCATCGATACCGGAATGCACGAGGAAACACTTGAATCCAACGACTCCACCCTCCAAAATCATTCTCTTTATTTGATCTTCGTTGTTTGGGATGATTCCACCGAGCAGTCCAACATCGACAAAACATTTTCCGCTCATCGACGAGATCTTTGATTGGAGGGCGGCGAACGATGTTGTCACGGGATCGCTATTCAGTGGCATGTCGACAATGGTTGTGACACCACCGGCAGCAGCAGCCGAAGTGGCAGTGACAAAACCCTCCCATTCCGTTCTACCCGGTTCATTGACATGAACGTGGCTATCTACAAGTCCACCCATCACCACTTGATTATCTGGAGCATCGACCAACGTCTTGTAAGATCCAGCTGGCAATCCATGTTCATAAGGTAGAATATCAACAACTACACCGTCATCAACAACAATAGTTGCTTCCTTAACACTACCATTGAAAATAACTCTTTTTCCTCTAACAATTGATTTTACCATATTTTATTCTAAAATTTTCAAACTATTTCTATATTATATTATTACACTAAATATTTTATTGTACTACAAATTTAATTATATATCTACTATATATATCTTTAATTGTTTATCTATTAATTTAATTTATTGATTATTACTTTGATTATCTGTTATTATCTGTTATTATTTTATTTTATTTATTAAGATTAAAATTATTCAAATTAAAGATTGAAATAAAAAGGTTTCAAATTGACAATTGTTTGAAAAATATCAACAAAAAAAATATCAATAAAATTTATCATTAGCAATGCCATGTCTAATATATCATTCCATCTTGAGGATCTATGGTGTAGTAACCACCTTTGATGTCACTGCCCAAAAAATTCTTTTGGTAAAAAAAAAAAAAAAAAAAAAGCCCAATTTGTGTTTTTTGCAAAAAAATAAAACAAAAAAATTTGAAGAGACAGTTATAAAACGCGTTGGAAGTCCTATTTGAATTGGAAAGTTTCGTTCCAACGGATATAAACAACACATTATGGAATATTTATTTCCATTATAGATATTTTTTATATATATTTATTTAATTAATAAAGAGTCGGAAATTGAAATAAAAAATAATTAATTTTATGAATAAACTTATTTAAAAGATGAAAGTTTATTTATTTTATTTATAGTACTATAAATAAAAGAAATCGATTGAGAAAAAAATTGGCGCCATACAAAATATGTACTTGCATTGTTCTAAATTTAGTTATTTATTGTCTCTTCTGATTTAAAATATGATTACATGAAAATCAATCATTCAAAAAGACCATTATCATCAATTCCTCGATACCTTTTTAATTCATTCTATACAATTCTATAAGTTGTATTTACCACTTGAAAAAAAAAAAAAAAAAAAAAAAACTGTTAAAAAAAAAAAAAATAATAATTCTAATTTAAAAAAAAAAAAAAAAAAAAAAAAAAAAAACAAATATAATATTAATACACAACTATCAATAGAATAGATAAAATTGTTGTTCTTTGATGAATCTATTTAGTTAGTTAAAAGTATCTATACTATCAAAAAATAAATTTATTTTGCAAAATAAAATTAAAAAAATAAAATAGAAAACAAACGCTTTATATATACTTTTATATCTATATCTACATATTCATTCCTCCTCTTCTTATAATAATTCAGATACACATTTAATAGTAGTACAAACAAATAATATATGGTGGTTTAAACAAAGATTTAAAATTGTTTGTTTTTTTTTTTTTTTCATCCATCCATTCATTCTTTTTACACAGGTTTGTTTGATAGTTAGTTAGTTAGTTAGTTAGATTTTATCTATTCGATAGATAGATAGATAGATACAAAGAGTATATAATACAACAACAGAAGGCAGCACATCAATATTTAAAACGACAACAACAACAACAAACTAAACAAGGAAAGATTATTGGTTTTATTAAGAATGTCTGCTGCCTCAACATCTGTTGGCGTTCTCAGTGGTGATGATTTCGAGAAGATACGAGACCTATTAGCTATTAGTTCATCTGACTTAAGAGACAGATTAAGAAGGTATGTCATTAAAAACAATGATGAGATGAAACAACAAGATATTATCATCATCTATCTATCTATCTATCTTTATGTATTATAATAATAGTACTATGACTAACTTACTTGATAATAGCGTAGAGACTCTTAATAGACTACATGTAGATCATCTCAAGAAGATACTAAAGTACTTGAAGACAAAGAACAATAATATAACGTTGTCTGGCAACAAATCGATGTTGGTAGAGAGAGTCTATAGGGCAATACACCATAACCAACCGGCTCCACCCGTTTACCAGCAGAATCACAACATGCAATATCAACCGGGTGCACAGTTTCGAATCGGTCAGATCAATCCACCGCACATAAACAACCCGAACAATCTCACAGTGAATCGACCGCCGCCAGGCATAGGAATTCAACATATGACAACAACAACAACACATCCAACAACAAACGGGATCAACAACAGCAACAGAGTAGTTACATCGACTACAACGACAACAACACCGACCATAGTATTTCCCAGTACGTTTGCATTTCCTGGTGGTCCGCCGCTCAACGCACCGCAACATATAGTGCCGCCACCAGTCATTCAACAGCGAACCGTGCAGAACGCGCGAAAGAGTGCGCCTCTCGCCAAACCGGCGAACATCGATTGGACATCGTTTGGCGAGAAACAATCGATTCTCTATGAATCGGTCAAGGTTCTCTATCACTATGCGATTGTAAAGGGCTCGACAGGCCACCAGGAATTCAATATCGACAACGACACATTCACCAAAATCACAGCGAAAGCACCACCTCCAGACTCTGACGAAACACAGTACTTCCTGCATCTTCGTTTAATTCAAAACTCAACCAATTTAACTTATTCAAGTGATATGAAACTCTCGATCAACGATAATTTTATAGCATTGGTAAATAGATCTAATTATCATCATCATCATCATCATCGTCATAGTAATATCATATTCATTAATATCCATATCCATCATATCATATTTCATATAGCCATATAAACTTAGAAATCCATCGGGATGTACACCACTCATCATTCCAAAGCCATTGGACATAACTTCATTTGTGAAAAAAGATAGAAACAAAATAGTATTCTCTGCTCCCGCCAGAACAGAGGGTGTTTTAGTAATACAGTTTGTTAAAAATATACCAATTAAAAATGTTTGTATTTAAAGAGATGATATTGAATTGATTTTTGTTCAAACTTTTTTATTAACTAAACATTACATTTGGTTTTGTCTATTATTATAATAATGATAATGTCTAGATTTTGGAAAAGATTATTAAAAAAGAAAGTTTAGATTTTAAAGGATTGATAGCACTGAAAAAGAAAGATAGCGATATAGAGGAGTTGTCTTATGATATTTCAATACGATGTCCACTTAGTTTTATAAAATTATCATGTCCTGTTCGAACAAGGAATTGCACGCATCTGCAGTGTTTCGATTTAAAGTTTTATCTTCAGTACTCTTTTCAGCAACAGATTTGGAATTGTCCAGTTTGCAACTGTGCTGGCTCCGCCGACATGTTAGTCTACGATAAATATACCGCAGCGATCATCAAGGAACTACCCGATGGCATAGCAAACTTTACAATTCAACAAGATGGATCATGGAGTGTAAAAACTGAAACTGCAATACGTATGTTGGTTTTATTTTGATTTGCTTATTGTGTCCGAAATTCGGATTCTGATTACTAATATGATTTTTCCTCAGAAATTAAATCAGAAAAAACAAAAGAAGAAAAAACAGAATATACAGATATAATAAATTCACAAACAACCGATGATAATAATAATAATATTGATGCGGACAATGGTGTTGTCTTTGATGTGGATTCGATGATGACTCCAACGCCACCGGTCAACACTGACGCATCCGACAACGACTATGATTTCGATGAGGATGAAGAAGACGAATTCGACTTTTCAGGTGTGGAAGGTGCACCGATACAAGCCAACGGTACAGGTTCACACGCCACTCCAAATGTAAATACCAACTCTACAAATCACAGTGCCAGCAATGGAAATAGCAGTAATCATATAGCAGTACACAATAATTCAAATCAAGACGATGACGATGATTGTATAGTAATTAGCGATGACGACTAGTAAAAAGATTATAATTATTATTATTTATAATCAACATCACATAGCTTTTTTTTGTTTTTTGTTTAAATAAAAAAGTAATTTAAATAAATAAAACAAAAAAAGAAAGAAAGAAAGATTGGATTTAATTAAATAAATTAAATTCAATCAAATCAATAATATTTAAATCCAGATGGATATAATATATTAAAAGAAAACAAAATTGTTTTGTTTAGATTAGTTTAGTTAATTTAAATTGAATTTTTTAATTTATTTAAATTAATTCCATCGAAATAAGATGATGTTGGAGTAGTTGGTGTTGATTTTGAATTCGATGATGATAATAATGGTGTTGAATTCAATGATAATTGTTCTATAGATAAAATCGATGTACAGCTAATATTGTCGTTATTGTTGTTAATATTGTTATTGTTATTTTTTCTTGTTAATTTCATAAATGTATTTCCAGGTCCTTCATATTCAATGTTAAAGTTTGATCTTATTTCATTGGTTGTGTTGTAGATGTTGTTGAATCTAATCTCTTGGAGATTCTTATTTTTCAAGAGATAACCTACGAATAGCTTTTCGAATTCACCCGGTTTGTACAAGTAGAACATGTCCAACTTTTGAATGTTTTTACTGTTGGCCAGTAGTTTGTGGAACATTGCGATTTGGTCACGATCTACGATGTACGGTGAGCGGAGATTATGGAGGGATCCTGCAAAAGAAAGTGTGAGGTGTTGGAGTGATTGGTTTCCGGTCACCAATGTTGAAATCTGCTTAAGGACATCTCGGGTGACTCCAATGATTTCGAGGTGATGGATGGTTTGGTGGTGAGTGAGTTGTTCGAGAATGTCACAGTTGAACGATGGATTGTCGAAACTCAGACGCAAGTGATCCAATGTATCGCTATATTGGAACTTTAGATTTTGTTGTGCAAATTGATTGATTGAAATGTTTAAACTGTCGAATCTTGTGAAATGTTGAACCATGCTCTCCTCCAAGTAGACCTCGGATTTCAGAGCACGGATCGTGTTGTTTGTGTGGAGAAAGTCGTTGAGTGACCGGGTGATAGAACTGCTCCAGGTGGTGAGCTGGTAAGATAGTTCCTTCAACTTTGGTGCGGCAATGGTGAGCATTGTCCATGGGAAGTGGTCGTCGATCTCCTGGACTTTCAAGCTGACTAAATTGGGATACAAGTTGGGACTGCAAAATATCGAAGCAAAGAAATCGGCATTGACTCGTGTCAATGATATTTTCATGGTTTCCAAAGTGTAGCAATTCGATTTAATCAGACGAGTTAAACTGTCGTCGTTTCCATTGAGAGTGTCCGGCTGGAATGTATATTGAGTGTGGTCGAAAATATCAATCTTTTTCAGAGATTGACAAAAGCTGACGTTGGCAGCTGCAGCCTTGAGAACCTCACCGTCACGCTCGAAACTCGTTCTCATTCTGATACTTAGTGTTTGGATCGAGGACGATCGCAACGACGACGATAACAACGGCGAAAGGATATTGGTAATTCTCTGGGTGCATGCTCCTGCTTCCAATTTTAGAGACAGATGTGAAAGTGAAATTAAACTGGAGTTTCCTAATAAACTGATTGCCAACTGGTCTGGATTGATCGATGATGAGCTCTGTGCCAGTGGGATGGAAGTGGCACCGAGATCCAAAATCAATCTATAAATATATTTATCCAGACGCCAAATATTGGAAAAAAGTTGCTTCTGAATTTTCTGTGGTGCACCGATATCGATATTATATAGGTTGACCTCTGAAAAAATCGAAGAAGAATAATCGAACCATCTCTTACAAACCAGTGCTAAGCTACTATAATATTTTTTATTACTTCTATTCTTTTTATCGATCAGCAAGTGACTGACAATCATCCTTTGGATGAAATGTGGTAAAATTTCACATTGATTTGCCAGAATTTTATTATTATTAATTATATTACTACTATTATTATTATTATTTATATTGAAAAAGTTGTTACTATTGTTATTATTAATTCCACAACTACTAATACTATTACTACTACTACCACCACCACTATTGCTATTTATATAATAATATATATTTGTAGATTGTGGAATTGCGACAACTTGACAAAATGTCATCATAATCGAAAAAACAAAAAAAACAAAAACAAATTTTACTAAAAACAAAAAAGGATTGTTTTTAAAAAAAGGAAATATTATATTTATATTTATATGTATATATTTGGTTAAAATAGTGTTTAAAATATAAAACCTTTTTCTTTTTAGTTTTAAATATATAATTGTTTTTTTTAATGTTTTTTTTTTGTACAAGTTTTGAAAAAGGATTGTTTTTAAAAAGGAAATATTGCTGTTGTTGGTAGGCTGTTTAATTTATTTATTTTAAAAACAAAAAATGAAGAAATGATTTTTGACTAGTACTGCTAGGAAGAAGAAGAAGTAGTAGTTGGTGTTGATAAAAAAAAACAGATATTGCTTTTGAACTTGAAATGAATGATATCATTCAAAATTTATGTACCTAGTTTGGTTGTTTTGTTTAAAATAACAAAATCAAGGTAAAGAGAAAAAAAACAACACAACAGCAATAATTTTTAATGAATTGAAGTTGTTTAGTGGTTATGTGTGAAAACAAAATAAAAACAAAGTCTCTCTATCTATGTGTATGTATTCCAGTGTGCTTTTTGGTGTGTTTGTTTTTGTGTGTGGTTGTTGGAGCTGAATATTCAGCTCTCTTTTAAAGAAAATAAATAGAGAGTTTTATTTTAATTTATTTTTTTTATTTTTTTATATTTAATTGATTCTTGATGTTAAGGTGTTGTTGTTTGATAATATTCATTGTTGTGAGGAATGTGTTGAAAATAGAGTAAACGCAACTCCTCAATCATTTGAGGGAGATCCTCGAAATTACCTTTTAAAGTAAAAATCTCGATAATCAAATATTGTGGTGAAATCAACTCATGCCCCATTCTCCCCCAAAATCAGATCCTTACAATTTTGTTGTTTTTTGATTTTTATTTTATTTTGAGTTTTTGCAAGTGTGAACGTTGTGACCAACAATATTAAAAATTTAATATTAATTTATTAGTCTGTGTGTGTTTTTTTCTGTGATTGTGGGTATGTGGGTGAATCATTCATTCAAAGCAAAAGGTCAACCCATATCAAAAAAAAGGTTGTAGGCCAACAACCCAACTCATTGAATGGTTTAATTTCGTTTTATGTTTTTACCATAAAAGGTATTAATTTAAATTTTACCTTTTATAGTAAATGATTTTATATCCTTTTGGTATCAGTGATCCATTAATTTAATGGCCATTGGGACGACAACTACTATTTAGTTTTTAGTAGATGACGAATAAGAACAGTAAATCATCGTTTTCATTTTATTTAAATAAAACATTCGTATAATGTTACCTTATAACAAAATAATATCAATTATAATAAATTACAAAAACAATATTTAATTTATTTTAATTTGTTTTTTACTTGTTTTGGTTTTGGTCAAACAAGAAAAATAAAACCCAAAACATTGATATGGTAATTATTATTACTAACAACATTGCAAATAGAACCAAAAAAAAAAATGATAACAACTAGAAATGATGTAAATCAAAAAAAAAAAATCATCACTCCTAATTATTATACTCTATTTAAAGACTATTATGAAATGATTCACGTTCATTCTTTAATCGTTACTTAAACTCTAAAACTCTATGCCTCAGGTTGATTGATTGATTGATTGATTGATGTTCGCCATAGATTATATAACCTTTGGGCATTTTGCAACTAAAAATAAAAAAAATGAAAAAAAGCCAAACCAAAAAAATAAAAACAAAAATTGATTTTTTTTATGAACATCATTAAAATTATACAAAATAGGTGATATTGATATATAATTAATATGTTTTTAAGTGGTGTTAGACTTACAACAGCAACAACAACATCAAGAATATCTTATTCTCATTTACTGAATCGAGGTTGTTCATTATCGGGTTCATATCAGCAATTTCCTAACCTATCAATATCAAAATCAATATTATCTAGCTCTATAAATAGTCAAATACAACAACAACGATATTTCAGTTCTAATAAAAATAGTAACAGTAGTAGCTCTTCGTTTAATATCAGACCTAGAAACAGACCCATCGATATAGAACACAAAATGAATGAGTTCAACAGTGATAAAATCTACAAGTTTGCCGGTATACAACTGCTGGTTGGCGAAGACAAAAATCAAAATATAGAAGCCGCTCGCAAAGCAATTGAAGAGGCTGCATCTAACGGTGCTAATATAATATGTTTACCTGTATGTCTAGTCTAGTCTATCTTTCCTTTCTTTATATTTCTTTGTTTATTGATTACTTTTTCTATTGTTGTTGTTGTTCAATGTGATTGTTTAGGAATGCTTCAATTGTCCGTATAGTACATCAGTTTTCAATGAGTATGCTGAGAAGTTTGGTGGACCGACTACTACCATGTTGGCGGACGCAGCTAAGCGTTTGAAGATTTGGTTGATTGGTGGATCGATTCCAGAACGTGGAGACGACGGAAAGATATACAATTGCAGTTTCATCTTCAATCCAAGCGGTGAACTAGTTGGAAAACACCGAAAGATTCACTTGTTCGATATCAATGTGCCAGGCAAGATTACATTCCGTGAGAGCGAGATTTTGTCGCCAGGCGAAACACCGACGATCATTGAGTTGGGTGATGGCGTAAGGCTTGGCGTCGGTATCTGCTATGACATTAGATTCCCGGAGCTCGCTATGCTCTATGCCAAAGAGGGTTGTCAAATCCTCGTGTATCCCGGTGCCTTCAATATGACGACTGGCCCGGCACACTGGGAACTGCTGCAACGTGGTCGTGCCGTTGACAACCAGGTATACGTAGCTGCCGTATCACCCGCTAGAAACCCAAAATCCACCTACACAGCTTGGGGACATTCCACCGTTGTCTCGCCATGGGGTGACATTGTATCCACCACCGAACACGATCCAACCATCATCTACGCCAACATTGAACTTGCCAAAGTCAAAGAAATGAGAACAAACATCCCAGTTTATCAACAAAAGAAATTAACAACAACCTTCAAAATCTAACAAAACAAACAACAAAACACAAAACAAAGTATATAATAAATCAATCAACTCACTCATTAATGTAATTAAACAAAACACATAACAAATAAAACAAAACAAACTTTTACGTAAAATATAAATAATTAAAATTCGTTTTAGATCGGATTAGAAGATCTAATTTTAAATACTAATTGATTGAATATTCCTTCTATTTTCCCAAGATAATTAATCGATGTAATTTTGAAAACTAAATTAAATCTAATAGATAAATAAATTAAAATTAAATCGCTTTCTTAACACATTAATTAAAAATAAATAAAATAAATCCAAAAAAAAAACAAAAAAAGAATGTTAACCACCAGTTAATTATTTATATTATATTATGTTGTTCTTTAAAAGAATAAATGCTTCATGAATAATATGATTGCGAAAGAATGTTATTCTTTTTGGAGAATGTTTTTCAAAACTATTTAAACAGCGTCAAATTTTTTTTATCTTACCAAACACAATTTTAATTTTTTTGATTGTAAATAACACACAACAAATCAAGACATAAAAACAAAAAAACTAAAGTTCACTTTTCAAACACAAATTTTCATTTTTTTTAATTTTTATAGATTTTTCAAAATTTTTTGTGGTTACGCTCTCCTCGCCTGTCTGCCTAACCCTAATCTCATCCACTCACACACTATATCCTCTCTTCAGAGCGTCAATATTATTTCCTCAGTAATTTAACAATCCTCTCAAAATGGGTAGACGTAAGTATATCTATAATTATACCTATCTATATCGTTTATCATATTAACATCCCAATCAATCTATCAACATTCAAAAACTATAGGTCCAGCTAGATGGTAAATATCAAACACAAACAATAACAAAACAATAGATAATAGAGATTGATTAGGATTGGATAAACATTGAGGATTGTAAAGTTGAATTGAAATAGTTACGAAAGAAGGATTGAATAAACATAAGATGATTTTGATACTTTGAGATTAGAAGAAAGAAACTAACATTAACAACAATAATAGTTACAGATATTGTAAGAATAAGCCATACATCAAGTCAAGATACTGTCGTGGTGTTCCAGATGCCAAGATCAGAATTTACGATTTGGGTCGTAAGAAGGCATCCCCAGATGAATTCCCATTCTGTGCTCATTTGATCTCATTGGAATACGAACAATTGTCCTCTGAAGCTTTGGAAGCTGGTCGTATCTCATGTAACAAGTACATCACCAAGATGGGTGGTAAGGACTCCTTCCACATGCGTGTCCGTGTTCACCCATGGCACGTTCTCCGTATCAACAAGATGTTGTCGTGTGCCGGTGCAGATCGTCTCCAAACTGGTATGAGAGGTGCCTACGGTAAGCCAATGGGTACTGTTGCTCGTGTCAACATTGGTCAAATCATTTTCTCCATCCGTTGCAAGGACAACATGTCTGCTCACGTCATTGAGGCCTTCCGTCGTTCCTCATACAAATTCCCAGGTCGTCAAAAGATCGTCGTCTCCAAGAAGTGGGGTTTCACCACCTACGACCGTGAGGAATACAAGCAACTCAAGGCCGATGGTCGTGTCATCAACGACGGTGCCAACGTTAAATTGATCACCAACCATGGTCATCTCAAGGACTACGGAAAGTTACTCAAGGCTGCCATCTAAACGGTCTAGTTTTTTATTGATCAAAAAAGAAATAAATAATGCTCCTCGTCTTAAACCCATTTAATTTAAATTATCTTTTGCAAATACAAAATCAAGATCATAATTTAATTTTAAAATCAAGTTTACTTACTTATTTTCTCATTAGTTCACATACATCATTTATTGTTTCTTTGTAGATATTAATTAATATGAACTTGAAATCACAAGTAAATTTACTTGAAATTCTGAAGAATTTTTAGTTTTTTTTTTTTTAAAACTTTTTTCCAATCTTTGATATTCCTCAAAACATTTGTTAATTTCATTTGTTGTTGTTGTTTAGTTATTATTTATATAATATTAGATTAATAAAAAGTAGAATGGAGGAATTAAACAAAGGAAATTCATTGTTTGTTGATGAGAACTACGAAGATGCTTTGACTCACTACAATAAAGCATGTACTGAGTTGCCCAATTCATTTGAGGCATTCTTCAGACGTTCTCAATGTCATCAAAAGTTAGACTCGATCAATGATGCACTTCAAGATATCAACAACTGTATTAAATTAGAACCAAACAACCCAAAGAGTTATTTAAAGAAAGGGTAAGTAATACAAATATATATTAGCATAACAGGTATAGTTATTGAAACTGATCTCTTATTTATATAACTATCAAACAATACAAAAACAGTCAATATTGTTTCGAATTGGAAGAGTATGATACAGCTTTGAGTGTATTTGAAAAAGGTTTGGCATTGGAACCAGAGAATTCTCAATTAAAGACATGGGTTAGAAAGACAAAGGCAGAGTTGGAACAAAGCCAACCAGCACCAGTACCAACTCCAACACCAGCTGCACCAGTTGCTGCTAAACCAACTACCACTACTACTGCTACACCAGCAGCTGCAACAACCATCACACCAACACCAACAACCACTACACCAGCAGCACCAGCTAAACCACAATTACCAGTACCATCATCAGGTACCAAGGTTAGACATGAATGGTATCAAACTGGAACACACGTAACCTTGACAATCTTTGCCAAGTTTGTAACAAAAGAAAACTCTAATATTGAGATTAAAGATAAATCTGTAAGTTTGTTTTTTCTTAAATCTGATAAGCTTGATTATCATTCAGCATTGTTCTATAGAACTAACTTTCTTTATTCTATTTCTAGATTAATATTTCATTTGCAATGGCAACAGGTAGTGAATACAGTTTTGATATCGATTTCTTTGACCCAGTTGTTCCAGCAGAGAGCACAACTAAATTCTATAGTACAAAGGTTGAGATCGTTTTAAAGAAATCAAGAGCTATCAGATGGGATAATCTCGAGTTCACCGGTAAGGAGGGACCAGTTGGAACTATCGATACACCAGCACCAAAACCATTGGTATCACCATACCAAACCAACAAGAATTGGGACAAGATTGATGCCGGTGAAGACAAAGAGGGTGATCCATTGAATCGTGTATTCCAAGATATTTTCTCAAAGGGATCGGAAGAGCAACAACGTGCAATGATGAAATCATTCGTTGAGTCTGGAGGTACTGTTCTCTCGACCAACTGGGAGGACGTAGCAAAGAAGACTGTAAAGGGTGCACCACCAAAGGGTATGGAAGTTAGATCGTGGGCCGACGGTGAGAAAGTTGTCACCGATAAAAAGAAAAAGAAAGAGTGGGAAGATGACTCTGATTCTGATTCCGATTAAAAGAAAAAGAAGACCTATAGATTTATACCATATAGTATTATATATATAAAAGAAAAAAAAAAAAAAAAAAAAAAAAACAAATGTCTTTAAATTAACAAAATAAAAAGATTATAAATTTTATCGACTGTGAGACTAACATATTCAAGTATGATATAAAGTGTTTCTTTCTTTTTTAATCATCATTTATATACAATTTATCTGTTTAGTTTTATTTATTTGGTTCTTGTTTGGTTTTTAATATTAATTGTTTTGTTTTAAAGAGGAGGTGCCAAGTTCTCCAAAATAATCTTTATTACACTGAATGAATCGAAATCTCTTTCAAACTCCTGGTTGCTTAGAGTCGATCGTTTCATTTGGCTAAGTTCAACACTACTCTTTATGTTTAGATCGGCACTGGTGTCGACGATTGAGATGGGTGGAGGTGGTAGTAGAGTTGCTTGTGAAAGGATCGATAGTGTTGGTTTCTGAATTTTCATGCTGGTTGGAATCGAAGAGCTAGATGAGAATGGATCGTTGTGGTACGATGCATTGCTATCGTTGTTGACGTTGATCGATGGTGTTCCAGAATTGGGTGAGCCTGATGGAGAGTTCTGAAGTGGATCATCATCGCGTGGGCTGTGTTGTTGGTGTTCCAAAGGGAATGGATTCGATAGGAAGATTCTGTGATTCAATACCTGTGCTGCAATCATCAAGATGTGTGTGGGAGTAACAAACTTCTGACCAGAGAGCATGCCAACTATCTTGGATGCTGATGTCAGTGTTGGCGTGGCACGTGGTGAAGGACCGAATGTGACAAGTGGATGATTTCTTAGATTTACAATGATGGTTCTCATATATTGTTCAATGTCATGTGTAATATATATCTTTGGTAAGAGTTGACGAAGATTGTGTAAACGTGATGGTGTAACTATATAGTGAGATTCTGGTGTTGATATCAAAGGATCTGTTTCCAACTTTATCTGTGGTAATCTAAGTTGTTCATATAATCTAATATTTATAAAGAAACAATCTAACTGTAAAAGACAAGTAGTTTAATTATTAGTATATTAATTAGTTGTTATTGTTATCGATTACTTACCATTAATGGTGATAATGGTTCGATTGTTGGTGAAATTATGTTTGGATTGGAGAGAGATGATGCTGTTGCGATGATACTGAGAGATGAAGGTGTGTTGTAGGTGATACCTTTGAATGCAACCTTGCGGTATGTCATCATTTGCAGTAATGTATAACGAGTTGGCATTGGTGCAATATCGATGTCATCGACAAGTAGTATATCTACCATCTTATAGTTGGCTTCTGTTCTTTGTCTTGTGTTTGCTGAGTTTTGATTCTGTTGTGAACTTGACGATCCGACCGATTCGTTACGTGATCGTGTGAGAGGTGGTGTCTCTAATGACTTTGTTAAAGATAAAGATTGTTCTAAATTATTATTGCTGCTGTTGTTACTTCCACAATTATAATTGTTGCTATTATTACTGTTGTTGATATTATTCAATCTCTTGTTATTCTTTAACATCAAGGCAGCTGTGGTGGCAGCATCCGAAGGAATCTGAAGAAATAACTGTTGCACCAACTCTTCTGGTGTTGTTGTATTCGTACAACTTATATAAGCACAACTTAAACCACTCATAATAGGAATTGCCTTTGATTAATTAATTTAATAAGTTAATAATTGGTTATTAGTTAAAAACATGTCTATAGATAATAGTTGATACATACCTTTGATAGAATACTGCAATTACTTTGTTTTTCTATTGGTTGACGATGATAGATACGGTTATTATTATTATTATTATTGTTTATATGAGATGTATCGATTAACATGTTAGAGTTGGATATGAGTGTACAAAAGATTGCATGAATCAAATCATTTGGTATATATATGTTGGAAAGGTTGAAACTACTATTGCTTGCACTGTTGCTCTTTACTATACTTGTATTGCTTGCACTATTAGATATATTATTATTGTTATTGGTTGTTGTGGTAGTCTCATTGTTGATTTCATCTTTGACAGCAGTCAATGATAATGATACCAGATAAGATCTAAACAATTGTATTCGATGATCGAATTCATCTCTTTCAAACTCTACAGGTTCTTTAGGTAGATTCTCTTTTGGTAGATCAGGACCTATCACTTCAGGTTCATCAGGAACATTATTACCACTGATCTGACCTCTATTGAAACCCAAACGACCTGTGAATTTCAAAAAGTTTCTCTTTATTGCACTCTTCATTCGATATATATATATTATATACTCATTGATTAAATCTGATCTTAATTTTAATAATGTGAAACAAAAACAAATTAAAAACATTGAAATAAATGATCGATGGCATAAGGAAGGGGGTTGAATTTGATTGAAAATTTTATTGAAAAAATAATATTAAATATTAAATATTTAATGATTTGGTATTACTTGTTGGGTGAAGAAGGATAAATATCTATCAAATTTGAATTTAAATAGGACTTATCGGTTAAAATTAGGCCAAATATGTATTCTCCTGAAATTTGATTGATCGAAGAATTAAAAGAGGAGTACTTGATCTGTGTTGAATAATATTCTGGATTGAATTCTTGAATAAATTGAAGTGATTCATGAGAATTTGTGAGTATAAATGCTTCAAATATTGTAGTTTTAGAGCCAACTGTAATTTTGATTGTTTTTATATTTGAAGGTATTCTTTGCATCACGTCTTTATCATAAATACCAATGATGAGTGGTTGAATTAATTTTAATATTTGAACTTCATTTGATTTACGCCTTAAGTCTAGAATATCTATTCTTTGAAGAGATGATGGAAGAACTCCAATATCCAATGGTTGATTAAAATTGCAACATATCTCTTTTATTTGTTGTGGTAGAACTCCTCTCTCCATTCTATGAGCATATCTCATCATTGTTAATGATTCAAGTGATTCAGGTAACACACCAACTGATAATATTTGATTGAATTCCCAACCAAACTCCAATGATTTCAGTGATTTAGGTAACACACCAACTGATAGTATTTGATTGAATTCATTTCCAAACACCAATGATTCAAGTGATTCAGGTAACACACCGACTGATAATATTTGATTGAATTCAACACCAAACACCAATGATTTCAGTGATTCAGGTAACACACCAACTGATAATATTTGATTGAGTGCACCTCCAAACACCAATGATTCAAGTGATTCAGGTAATACACCAACTGATAATATTTGATTGAATCCACCAAATACCAATGATTTCAGTGATTCAGGTAACACACCGACTGATAATTTTTGATTGAATCCATATCCAAACACCAATGATTCCAGTGATTCAGGTAACACACCAACTGATAATATTTGATTGAAAACAACTCCAAACACCAATGATTTCAGTGATTTAGGTAATACACCAACTGATAATATTTGATTGAATTTATATCCAAACTCCAATGATTCAAGTGATTTTGGTAATACACCGACTGATAATATTTGATTGAATCCATATCCAAACACCAATGATTTCAGTGATTTAGGTAACATACCGACTGATAATATTTGATTGAATTCATTACCAAACACCAATAATTCAAGTGATTCTGGTAACACACCAACTGATAATTTTTGATTGAATTCTTTTCCAAACACCAATGATTTCAGTGATTCTGGTAACACACCTTTTGGTCGTATTTGATTGAAAAATCGATGCAATATTAATTTTTTGAATGAATATGGAGGTACATCAATAAGTGGTTGGTCGAATTTATTACCAAATGATAATGATGTAAGATTTGGAGGGAGTGAATTAGATTTCAATGGTTGATTAAATTTGTCACCAAATTTAATATCAGTAACATAGACAGAGGTATTTTGGAATGTAGTATCTAAATTAAATGTAATTGAATGATTATTTGTGACAGTTTCAATATATTGGTTTAATAATTGATTCAATGATTCTCTATTCTTTGGACTTCGATCCAACAATCGATGAATAAAATCAATCAATTGTTTTGAATATCTGGAATGTGAAATGATAATTTCACTATTTGATTTAAATAGATCATGATTATTTCGATCATCTTGATGACTGATCAATTTAAATATTCAAAAATACAGAGTTAATATCTGATTGATAATAATATTTTAAAAATGATTATTCGAGTATTTACCAACATAATAATTTGAGAATTGTTGATCCAATTGAAAAGATGTCACATGATTGTGCATATTGTCTGTTCATTGCTTCCTATTTGTATTATTATTTGAATAAAGTTATATTTAATATTAAAGATTAAACTAGATAGAATTTACTTACTGGTGAAATATAACCAGGTGATCCACGAGTTGCATTTATAAGTGTGTTCATTTCAAAAATGGATGGATATGATATTTCATGATCGATACATTTCATATTATAATCATTTGTTTCAAGAAGGTATTGTTTTGTATCTTGATATTCAGCGATATTCGATTTATCAATGAATTTGCAACATCCAAAATCACCAAGCATCAAAGTACTATTATAATTATCATCAATGAATATGTTTGATGGTTTAATGTCACAATGAACAATTCCATGTTTATCAAGATCCAAAAGAATATTGAAAAGTTGTGAAATATATGAACTAATATCTGATTCTTGAAAGGTTCTATTTGAATATAAAGTGGTTAGTTGTATGATATTTCTTTAACTCTCGATATTCATACTCATTTTGATCAGTTAAATGTTGATACTTTTGAGAAAGATCACCACCATCACAATATTTAGTGATGATATGAAAGATTTGATTGTCTTTATCATGATGATAGTCAACAAGTTGAACAAATCTTGGATTATCTTTGAGTAATTTCATTGCTTTGATTTCATTCTCAGCTCTTTCATAAGATTTCTGGTTATCTTTATAGTTTATCTTTTTATAAACAAACTTTTGAATTGATTTTGTTAGTTTTATGATTGTCAATTGATTAATTACTTTGAAAAATGATCTTACCAATCTTTGATCAGTGCCACCCACTAAATATACATCATTGATAGCATTACTGTTTGGAAATCTTGATATTGAATGATATCGTTTTTTTTTAATGACATGTGTTTGTTGAAAATAGTCAAGATTGTGTTTGTTTGTATTGGGTATAATTTCAATAGGAGTGATAGTGTATGATTGTGATTTGTTTAATGACTTTGTATATATAAACATTCTGGTATATTTTTTTCTTATTATTATTAATTGATATTGAGTATCGACTGTATCTGGTATTACAATTTCATTTTCATTTCTACTAATAAATCTAATTAATATGATATTTCTGTGTTGTTCATTATCTTTATCTTTCGAATGGTTATAAATTAAAACTATAAATCTATCAAACCAGTCAAGAATTATTTTCAAGACATTTCTTCCGTTAATTGTTTTATCGATTAAATCTATATTCATTTTAAAAATTAGAAATATTAAAGATAGATAGAAAAAAAATAAATAAATTAAACAAGTTAAATTAAATTAACACAATCAAGTAAAAGAGACAAAACAAAACTAGCTCTTACCTCTAATCGTAAATTAAAAAAAATAAAAAAAACACTCCTATCATATTAACCCCTCTATTTTTAATTTTTACATTTTTTTTAAAATTAGTGCGAAGCTGAAGGTGTTGGGCTTGTGGTTTTCGAAAATTAAATTTCTAATTTTAAGATGAATAAAAATATGTAATTTCTTTTTAAAATTTTAATTTTTTTGAAATGGTTAGTATTTACCTCAAACTAAACTGCGTGTATCTTTATCTTTATGAGCTTTGTTTTAAATAGACGATTTAAAATCATAGTAAGAGAAAAGGTAACCTTTTTACACATGATTCCACAGATAAAATGAACGTAGTGCCAGTATAAACATATTCTCGCTCATTGGTCAAGACAGTCCAGACAAAGAGCAAACCAATGATGATTCTGTGGATGTCACAAATACCAACAGTATAATCGAGCACCATCGATTGGAGATGATTTTGACAACAACCTTGAGGATCATTCATTTTGTAATGTATTCTATCACTACTAATATAACCTAATTGTCACATACAACGAGGTATAATAATAAAAATACTTATATTTTTTATTGTTTTTTTAAATTATAGACTAGCTTGTTAAGTTTTTGTCCGTAGAATCTAGACAGTTGGCTATCAAGAAGTATTGACCGTGTAGCTATCATGTCATATTCATTCGTAAATGAACACCCAGAATTTAAAAAGTTAGTACACTGATTCGATTAGTTTAGGTATTTAGTATATTAGAACAAGAGAATACTATGGTCGTCAGTGTGTGAGTTAGTCAGAAAATGATTCTCTCATATCGTTACCAGTGACTATATCACTTAAGTGTTTTGAATTCTTTCGACATAGTCAACCAAGTTTTTGTTGGATTTGATTGCCTCTGAGATTGGAGTTGCTTCGATTACATAGATGAGTTGTACCAACATTGAGAATAAAGAGATGTCAACAACCGAGAGTTTGTCGTTAAAGAGGAATTCTCTGTCACCAAGACGTTTGGCAATGCTATTGACATCCTTGATGGCGACACTGTAGATTTCATCTCGTGGGCAACGGCCAATACCGGCATTGTACAACTGTTTAGCGACATACGACTTGGCCATTCCCGAAAGGATACCGGTCAACATTGGTGGTACACTGGCCAACATACTTCTGACAGCAGCTGGTGAGAATACTGGGTCACACCAACGAGAGTAAACCAAATTCCAATAGAAACAGTCATCGATGTAACGTCTCAACAAATGTGCCTCTGCTTCTTGTTGTTCATCCTTCAATTTTAGCGATGTAACATTGAACTTCTCTGTGAGGAACTCAATGATATTCTGTGAGTCTGAAATTAGCTCCCCGTTGTATCTGATGAATGGTTTCTTGGCTCCATTTTCAAATGATTCTGTTATTGTTTTTGTTGTACGAATGTTAATATTTGGAAATAAATATTGAATAACAATGATCATTACATACTGATTACTTTGTGTGGAATATTTGTATATCTTAAAAATGTGATGACTTTCAGCACGAACGGAGATGGATGAGCTACTGGCATCGATGACTGTGGAAAGTCATACACATATACAATATCTCTTTCATAAACCTTTGTTTTTCAAAAAAAAAAAAAAAATAGTTTATATTAATTATAATGATCGAATATGACTTGTTAGTTAAAGAAGTTATTTACAGGTTGTTTTTTGAAAAATGAACTTAAAAGTTTGGCACCTGCAAGTACTACAATTGTGGAAGTAAATACTTGTACTTTATTGTTTACTACGATTTTAATAATAGATTCCATTTTAAATGATATATTAAATAAATAAAAAAAGATAATCAAGTTGATATTGATAAGTTTGATTCCTTGGAAACGAGAAGGTTTGTGTTTATTTATAGAAATTAAATGTCATTGACCAAAAATTATAAAAAAATTAGGTGTCCTCATTTACTGTCACTTTTACGGGTTACATCATAAACTATAAAAATAAATATTTAAACTGATTTATGTAAAAATAACACATAATTTATTGTTTCCAAATTAAAACATTACTTTTTTTTGTTTTTTTTTTTGAACTTTAAATATCTTCAGCTTGCATTTTTTGGTGTTAGATGCTTGTTTTGATCTGAATGCACCATTTTTTTTTTTTTAATTTTGAAAATTTCTATTTTTATTTTATTTTTATTAAAAATCTTCCATGGATCTTGTATTCAATAGAGAACATCATCCTTGGTAATTGTTTTAATGATAAATGATGCCTGATCAATTTAAATATTGTAGATAATTATTTACCTCTCTCAAAAGGGATGTCTTTTGATCACAAAGGTATTAAACTGTAAAGTTTAACCAGTGCACCGAAAAATGATCTGCACAACCAAAATTTTTGCTATTGAAATTTAATATTCTTTTTTTTTTTATGCGAATAATGGTTAGGTAGACCGAGTTTCAAAAAAATCAATCTCCAGATTACTTGGTGTATCAAGTTTGCTTAATTTTCATTTATTAATATAAAATTAATGATCATGTCTTTATCTCTAGTACTCAGATTGAATTTGATAATGCCTCTTGGTTCAAAGAAATAATGATATTATTTTAAGAGAGAAGTGTACTCGGCAACAATAACAATTCTTCGCAACAAATAATCATTATAAATAGAGGAACTTTAAAGTCATTGGAATATCAAAAATCAAAACAAATATAATAAACATTTATTAATATTATCTTTCGAAACAAATACATAAATAATCAAAACAAAAATGGTCGTCGCACTCCAATGTTTCATTAACAATACTCCATTCCATGTTTCTTTTAATAACTTAGAGAATTCTGGTGATAACTTTGAAATGACTGGTAACTCTAAACATGTTAGTAAGTAGAGCACTCATTGTTCATATAGGATACTTATATTTATGTTTTGTTTGATATAGGTGGATTGTGGGTTCCATATAAAAAATCAGGTAAATCAGTTAAAATCTTAGTAGGTTCCACTGTATTCACAATGTATGACGATGAATGGAAGATTCGTCATTGAGAACAATGTTACCTTTGACCTTGCTCATGACTGTATGAAGTTTTTCTTAACCGTCAATGGTAATGATGAATCTAATCTTAATTTCCAATTCGTAAGTCTCAACTAGTGAATAAGATATGATATAAATAACATAAATTAACATATATTAACACTTTTATTTATTATTATTTATTATCATTAAAAATTATATATAGAGAACAAATCAAAGCTTTTTAAAAGAAAAAAAGATAGATAAAGTTTAAATAATTAATAAAAAAAAATAGTATTATTTTATTAATAATAGTTTTGATATATTATTGTTTCTTTTATATCTTTTAAATGAGATAGTAAAAATACACCAGTATCATTACAAACGAATAAATGTTTTAAAGTATTTGAATCCATTTTAAGTGACTTTAATAAATAGGTGCCTGTCATTTTTATATATCTTGCTTTTACTTTGTTGAGATTGTGGTTCGATTCTATAAGTTTGGCTAGTGGTCGTTCGATAAGATCTTCGTTCAATCCATTATATACTGAACTGAGACACAGATCTTCGATGCTATTATTCTCTTGAAGTGCAGCAAACAACTTATCACACATGACATGATCAAAAAGTGTAAGTTGCAATCTCTTTAGTGTGTTTGTCGTTGATAATGATTCGAAGAACATAGTGTTGAAATGAAAGAAATGATCAAGCTTCAACTTGGTTATAGATCGATTGACTGCGAGTAGATCACCGAATTGATTTGCAAAGGATTCTATTCCTGGTCGTTGATTAGATCTCTTATAACCAGAGATTTCTTTGATGGCGAACGACTCGATCGTTTCATTCGCTTTAAGTCGGTCAAAGAATATCTTTGATTCCTCGATGTACTGTTTGTTCCCTTCCTGCTGACACATCGTTACCGAGATCTTGAGAATCTTCAATGATGGCATTCCACCGATGATTTCGGCGATTGCCAAAGGGTGAAAGCGATTCAACTCCAACTTGTAGATGCTATTTAATCTACCAACGTTTATCGAACCATCATTCGATTGCATCGATGAAGAGGAAATTGAATAGTTTGTTGGTGTATTTGGTTGTAACTTTTCCATTTCCTTGAGTATTTCGATGCTTGTGCTCATCGGTGTTTCGTATGTACATTCATAGATGGTTTCCAACCAATCGATGTTGTTACTCGGCCGACTTAGATACTTGATAGAAGCTAGAACATCTCGATAAACTAGGTCATTGGTAATGGTAGGAACAACACAGTATTGAAATCGATTCTTATGCGGGTGTTTGGTGATAAAGCTTTGGAGTAGGACTATCTCTGCTTGAACGGTGACTTTCTTTAGCTGCTCGCCTGCATAGAGTGTCTTTAGCACCGGTTCAAAACTCTTGCTCCACGGATAGACATCTCTGATGATTAGGTTACTGATATTTGAAGCTCGCAACAAACTGAACTTCGAACAAAGAGTCCTGCTAAACTGTTTCAACTCTAACGTTTTCTGATCTTTGAATCTGTTGTAATTCCTACTCATATTATAGATTTCAACCTCGCAAGTGTCATCGATAGAGAACCGAATCTCCAAATGGTTGATCAACGATGATAGAGATGTAAACCATTTCCAAGATACCAATGCTATATTTAATATTGAGTATCTAAGTGATGACACATATTGATTGTTAAAGGTATGACAATCACCATTATTATAAAACAATTGATTTGGTTTTAAATTGCTAAATATTTCTTTAATTAATATGTTATTTAAACTTTGCATATCTTAAAATTGACAATCGAATTAAAATGACTTGCAAGATCATTAAGATAATAATACGTAGTAGATTAGATTTCTATACTACGTATTAAGAAACAAATCGTTTTATATGAAGTTCTTAGAAAAAAATTAAAGTTTTTTAAAATTTTTTTTCTGAGAACCCCATATTTAGTTCAATTTTTATATTTTTTACGTGAGATTACAAAACACATTTTGCATTCCCAAAAAAATAAAATTTTTTTATATGAGGGTTTACTACAAATCATAACCATATCCTTCATAACGTTTATGAAAACACGTTTTTTTTTTTCCTCATTAATCATTCATTTTTAATTCGCATAAATAAATTTAATTTATTTTTATTTATAATGATATCAAATAAAAAGAGAGGCAATGATGATTTTCAAATACAGGAATAAAAATAATTTTGTATTTATTAGTTTTATTCTAGATGATGCATCAACTATGTTGCAAATAACTTATTGGTTCCATTGGATGCCAAAATTAAATGAAATCACAAAAATATGAATGGTATGAAATAGAACCTAATAAAATGTGTAATTTCATTTTATGCATCCCCCAAAAAATGAGAAAATTTTGCAAAAATAAAGAGAGAATACAACCTAACCTATAAAATGAAATAACACAAATCTGATATTATAATAAATTTAAAAATTATTTACTGATAAATAAGTAAGTAAAGAATTGATAAATTATAGTATTTCATTTAGTTACCAAAAAACATGCAAATTAAAACTATATTCTCAATTTCAACAGCTATTCTATTCTTTTTGTTGCCCTTGCTCTTAGTTAATGCAAAAGAACAACTAGAGACTATTGCAGAGGCCAAGTGTCAGTACCCATGCCCAATTATCCATGCCTATATTGATGACTGTGGTTGCAAACAATATTGTTGATAATCTACAATAAAATTAAATCAATAAATCTTTTTTTTTAGTTTATTCATTGCAATCTTCTAATTTTGCTACGTAGCAAAGATCATTTCATAGAAATTCCTTGAATTGATCGAAATATTCAATAATTTATTATTGTAATTTAAACAATGATCATATTTTAGTGAAGATAATAAAAAATATAATTGATAAATCACAGTTGGTACGATTACAAAAAAATGTTAGACTCAGATTTAGAAAATAGTATTACGACTCTTCGTAAAAATGCTATGATTAAAATGTCAATGACACATATCAAAAACAAATTACAAATGGAAATTGACAAAAAAATTATGAGGAATATTGATATTGAAATGATCTAGTTCATATTTGTAATTTGTAGATTGTGGTTAATCAAGTTCAATATTCAATACCCGTAAATTTACAAATATGATTATCTTTTTCAATAATAATTAGTGTATTATTGATGTGTTGATCAAAATATAATACAGTTAACAAATTGAAATTAGAATATTGATGGAATCTACACTTTATAATAATGTGTATTGGAGCACCACAATATACATACCATATAAAATTTAATGAGAGAGAAAAGTGGTGTCTTTCTATTTAACTATGTACAGAGAAATGCGAGCTGTCTATCTATTAATGAATAACTGCTAGGTAAGATGAGATGACTTGAATTCATCACGATTCCAATTGGCCATTTCAAATTTGTAAATACAGAGGGGTTCGATTGGATGCGTATCCAATCTGATTAACAAAGAATAGATAACGATATAGATAATAGTCATTGTACTCTTTTCGATTTAATGAATCAACTAATTGATGTATAACGAGGTTATATGTTTGGTGTGCATGTTAATCGGGTTCTGTTTGATTAATTAATTATTGTTGGTTGATAGTAGATGGGCAATCTACGGACTACTGACAAGAAATGCTAGTTTTGGTTGGTTTCAGCTGTGATCATTAAAATCGAATTGTAAACAGTAGATGGTGGTGATTGATCGTGCGTATGGTAGACAAGACAATAGATGAAAGAAAATAGTAAATGGTCATCTATTGATTAATGGACAACACAACATAGACATGTGCGCGCGAAACAAACAACAATATGCAGTGATGTTTCAAATGATGATCTACAAATACAAGTAAATTTACTGACTTTGTATGATTGAAGTAAAGACTACAACATTTGTTTATTGTAATATTGTAAGGTTGTAGTTGAGATCGGATGCAGACTACAAACTCAATCGTAAAGATAGAGAATTAATCAGTCTGACATCTGTGAAATAAACCTTTGTTTTACAAATTGGAAATTGACTGACGAATTGTGGTTATTGATTTTTGTTTGTAAAGAAACAACAACCTAACAAAAGATGGATAAAGGAGTGATATCGTAGATAACCAATCCATCTATCTATCTATCTATCTCTTTATTATTTTTTGAGATCATGATAATAATCTTATCAAAATAAAATAATATGGTATTAAAATATAGATATGCGATGATATTATATCTAGTCTGAATTGAATTGTTTTATTTTGATGTGTGTGTTTAATATTTGATTGAGATAGCTTGCATGTTTATATTATTATAATATAGTTTTATCACCTAATTATGGAGTGTTATTAATAAGATAGGTGACGATTCATCTTTAAAACGCTTTTAAACAACACTTGTTATTGTTTAATATTTTGTTACCATAGTGGGTATTTTTTGATTATAACTATAGCAGCAACACATAAATTTGATTTCTGTTACCATATATCATAGTGTTAAGATTTTAAAATGAGCTATCTAGTGTACCTCAATATTAATTTAAAAAAAGTAATAAATAAATAAATAAATTTTGTGTGTTGTGGTTTTTTTGATTTAAACCCACAAATAGATTTAATCCTTATTTTTTAAACACACACTCTCACACACATTTTTCACACCACAAACATAGAGATAATCAATCAATCAAACTAAACATATATTAAAATTTAAAATTTATTGCAAATAAAATAATATAAAACATATATAAGGTGTTTGGATTGTATGTTCTTTTTATTATATATCAATCATACCACAACAACACCACTACAGTGGAAGCGAAAAAAGAACTGATTGATGCTCCGACCTCCGACCTTTCAAAATCGAAATTACAGGGATTGACAGGTATCAATTTTGTGTGTGGTGCTGTGTTATTAGTGGTTTGTGTTATTGCGCTTTGTCATACAAGCACCTTTTTTTTTTTCACTTCTTCCTTTCGAATCCAAGTTGGGTGGAGAAAGAGAAAGCGTGAATATTGGATTGACAATGTCTCATCATCAATCAACTTTATGAGCAATCCATTCAGTATTTATAGCTTGTAACATTCATCTTAACTTATATCGATAAAAATAAATACAAACAAATATAAAATATAAAATAACAAATAAAAATATATTTATCTATTTATTTAATTTTAAAACAAAAAAATCTAATTTTAATCAACCATCAAAAAAGAAGTAAAAAGAAATTTCAACTTCATCATTTTATATATATAATTACATTATTTATTTATTAAATCTTTCAAATATATCAAATCGATATTTTTTCCCCCATTAATTTTAAATTAACTTCTTTTTCTTATTTATTTATATATACATCTAAAATCTTTATATTAAATATTTAAATATTGAACCAACCAAAATTTTATATTTAATAAATAACCACCACCACCACCACATAAATTTATTATATAACTTCAAAAACCACACACACCCCTAATAACTCAACTAACTGATATTATTATCAATACGAAAAGTATTAGTCTTTACAACAAGTTACCAGACACCAAACCATACAACTTGACTCTAAAATAAAATATAAAAAACCACCAATATAATAAATTGTCACTATCATACAGTCATCAGTTGAATCAATATATTAAAAAAAAGAAACAACATTAATATAAGCAAACCAGAGAAAATAGTAAAATCATCGTGTTACCTTTTTTAAATTGATAACATTTTAATATTTCCGTATTAGAATTTACATTGCACAACCAACTGCCAAGTTAAATTTCTACCAACACACACACACACCATCAACACACTAAGCTTCCTAGGAAAAACTCAAATTCTTTAGTTGTTATATAAAAATTCCAAAAACCAAGCAACCCTATATGTGTCATCAGTGACCATCATCAATCAGCCTATATTATTTATAATAAATTAAAACAACAGCAATAACAATATTAACAAAAAAACATCTTCACCACTAAAAAAAAAAGAAAAGAATCAACAACCACCCACCACCCTTGATTTCGCACCGAACCCAACACTCAAACAACATTAATTACTATTAGAGCGAATTTGGAATTAGTAAAGGAAGTTTTGTAGTCGTCACCCACAACCAACCAACCAATTCTACATACATCTATCAGAATCACAATCTACACTATTAACAACACACAGTACTTACCACCTCTCTATATATACAAATATATTATACATTTATATTTATTATCATCGTTATTATATATACATATATCTATTAAAATTCAATCAAATTTTTCAATCAAATAAATCATTAAATTAAATAGGCAATCACAAACTTTTATTTAGAAGAATCAGCAGCAGTAGTAGTAGTAGCATCAGAATCATCATTATCATCATCATCATCATCTATATTAGCAACAACAACAATAGCATTTTCATTTAATAATTCATTTAACAAATAGATATACACATACACTCATTCATTCATATATTTAATTATTTATACACATACAAATAGAAAGAAACAAATAATAAATCAATATCCATTTTATTATTAATATTTATTTATATACAATCAAATCAAATCAAATCACAAATTACAAATAATAAAACAACTACTAAAAAACACCCTCAGCACTTGTTCTGATCAATCAGCAGTATCAACATCTTTTTATCAACTTATCAAAACTCCTTAATAGATACAGATACAAATTCACCAGAATACACATTATTGTTTGTTTATTGTCTATTTGTTTTATTATTTAATCATTAACTTTTATTGATATACAAATATCCAATACAAAAATTTAATAATAACTTCTTTTTTCTACTTGTTACTATCAATCATTTTTAACAACTATTAAAAGAGCGCACTTTTAATAATAAAAGTTTAATTATATACAATTAAATCTAATTACGGTTGTTGTTTATTAAATATTTAAACAACAAAATTTTATTAAATCAATCAGTCAACAATCAATTAATAATCAATCAAATCCAATCTTTATTAAATTTTTAAATTAAAAAATACTACTTTTTTTATTTTTATAATTCCAAGTTTTTTTAATTTATTTATTAATTAATTAATAATAATAATTTTTTATATTTTATTTATTTATTTATTTTTAAATTTTTTATTATAAATAATTTATTTTTTTCAAACAAATATAATTTTTTTTAAAAAATATACAAAAATACATATAAATATTTTTTTTTCAAATATAAATATATAATTTTTTTTAAATGATTAAATTACAATCTGCAACTCCACTTCCATCAATCATGATCACTCCAGAATCACCACAAATCGGTAGTTTAACTATCAATTCATCACCAATATTCTCGCCATTCTATATTTCAGAGTTTCTCAGTAAAGAGGTTTTCTATCCACCACCCTTAGACATCTCTGGCGATATGACGATGGACGAAGACGACGCAACCGTTCCACAATCACCCAATAGCAGTCTCACCAGTAACAGCATCGTCAGTAGCACAGCCTCGTCGAAATTGAAATCCAACGACATGATGCTTAGAAACAAGAATGCCTGTTCATCGTGCAATCGTGTCATTCAATTGTATTTGGTCAGTTCACGTTCACGTAGAAAGTGTGGAACTCAATGTATCTCATGTCATAGAATGATCTGCGATAACTGTACATTCTTAAAATACTATAAACATCAAAGTAAAGATATTTCATCAACTTCATCATCTTCCTCCAACGTTACCGAAAAGAATAATACAAACTATTTACCAATCAAGAGATCTCCATCGCCAAAATCAACCGCCCAATCAAAAAGAGTTACCTATTGCATTTCTTGTAGTCAACATCAAAAGAAGACTCCATTTAATATTTAAATAATAATAATAATAATATACAAATAGAATATATATATAATAGATAATAACTTTAAGATATACTTATAGTTATTAACAAACCAACCAATTTTTTCCTTAAAATCTAAAAAATAATTATAAAATATATAATTTTAAATTATTTATAAATAAATAAAATTAAATCGATCGAATTTAAAATATAACTTTATTATCTTTCAAATTATTCTTTATTTTTTTGAGTATAATTCAATAATTTAATAAAACAAGAAAAATAAGTTGTAATTTTTGAATAAAAAAAAGATTAATTTTTCATTTTTATTGCCAAACTTAAAGTGATAATTAAAAACTTAGAGATTTTTAAGTCTAATTTAGACAAACAATGAATAAACTATTTAACAATAGATGCTTATTTAACAGCATATTATTAGATGTTAATAAAATAAGATATAATAATGTATCGCTATATAGTATGAGACAATCATTGATGACTTCATCATCATCATCGTCATCGAATTTGTTAACATACTACTCATCAAATAATATAAATAATAATAACAATAACAAATTACAAATGAGATCATATAGTAATAGTAATAGTAGTAGTAATAGTAATACAAATAATAAAGTAAATGACAACAACAATAATAAAGAGAGTAATAATAGTAATAATGAACATAAACCATTCGAACCAACATCATACGATAAAATGTTTAAGGGATTTAAAGAGGAGACGTCAGATCTTGAGATTCAATTGAGAGAACAACTCCAACAGATGAAAGAAGTAAGAGAGAGAAGCAAGAAGAGATCTAGCTATTTCGAACAGATGATTAAGCGTCACTCTGATATGCTTTGGGTACTGCTAGGTGTCAGCACATTCGCACTGATGTTCTACTCGTTCATGAAAACAAAGAAACACAAGTGGAATGTCAACCAAGTGCAAGTCACCCACAAGTCAGCCGTAGAAGAAATAGAATCACTGGAATCACAATTCAACAAACTATCATCGATGAACGACACTGAATTGTCTCAACTCTCACAGCTACTCATTAAATCAACAACAAACAATAACAATAACAATAACATTGAACTTTCTAAAGAAATAATCAACATTATAAAAAATAATAAATAAACAAAAAAAAAAAATTAAATTAAAATTGTAATATCCTTAACATTCGATATTAATAAATAAAATCAAAATTCTTATGTTATGTGTAATGACATCATATTATTTTTGTTGGCAATGGGTATTAATAATTATTGGAGGGTTGTTGTTGACCATGCATACACCCTGGCATACCCTTCAATCCACAATCACGATTATCAACACAAATCGAAAAAAAAAAAAAACAAAAAAACAAAAAAAATAAAAAAACACAGCAAAGGGTCATCCAATGATCATCAAATCAATAAAATTTTCAAAAAATTTTATCATAATTTAGTTTGTTTCACCAAAAAGGTGTGTGTTGGTTATTTTTATTAAACAATCCACATGAAAAACCATTCAGTGACTCCAGATTTTACTTAATTTTTTTTTTTTTTTGAAAAAACAACTAAAAACTTTTTTTTTTTCTTTGCTCAAAAAAATGTTTGCTTTAATGTAAAGAGAAAAGGTTATAATGGTTATTTAAATTACAAAACAATTGTATTGTTCTATAATCATGTTATACAGATTTTAGGTTTTCAAGAAAAAAAATATCAATTTTAGCATTTATTTAGTTATTATTATTGTGTTGCATTGTTATTAACAATTGGCATAGGACCAACAAGTTCAAGATAACAAACTACCAGTCAGTCATTCATTCATTATGTATGTTTAAATGTGTCCTATTTTCATACAAACTATAACCCCCTATATACACACACAACACACAGATTCAAACAAACAAACAAATTTGGTTGGTACATACATCATCAATGAAATTAACACCGCCACTACACAATCTAAAGTTGACTTACAATATGTATATATATATAATTTATTGTATTGCAATGATATTATAAATTTACTATTTTGTTTGATATTAATTGTTTCATCAACTTGAAAATATATAAGATATCATCTATCTAAACAAGTATATTATTAAAAAACAAAACAAAACAGCAACTCGAGATGTTGTTTTATCCGCATTCATAAAAAAAAACAAACAAACACAGACAAAACAAAACAAAAAAGAAAAAGAAAATTGTGCTAAGCACAAACAAACAACATCATCAAAAATAAAAACAGGTGTTAACAAACAAAAAGCAAATAAACAAAACTCAATAATCGACAATAATGAACTACCAAACAACAACAACAACAACACAACATCAATTCAATTCAATTTATTGTTTATTGTTATCTTGAAAGTTTAATTATACATTGTATTTTATTTATTACATCAGTTAATATTTTGTACTATAAAATTTTAAAATAAAGATTATTTTATTAATTGTTTCATTATCTTATTAGAATCTTTAAGAATTATATATTATAGCAGAAAATTAGTTAGTTGAGGTACTTTTACAAATAAAATTGTATGGATTTCATATACAGGTTTAGGAATAATTTATAATCATTGGACATTATTCAAACACTACATTCAGTTCCACCTATCCTTCCTATAATATAAGGAAAGACAGAACACCTAACAGATTCGATTCAGAAGTTCTTTGTTGTTAGAGAATAGTTGTTAGTGTTAGATTAGTTTATAGTTATAGTACAACAATACCTTACACACGATTGTTAAACGTAAAAATGCACTGGTGTGACATTACAACTAGAATTCAATGTTATATATATATATTTATTTGTATCAAATTAATTAATTGGCGAGTGGTGGTTTTGAGATTCGAATTGGTTGGTAGTGGTTGGTGCGTGTGGTTTGAAGTTACCTCGAGGTTAACTTCAAAAATAGTAGAAGTAGAATCCATAAAATTTGGTACCTCCTGTTTTTAGAGTTCTACCCACCCCATCACCATTCCTTTCCTTTCCATTCCGTTTCATTACATTTGCGCAACACACCCACACATTCACACAACACACACACGCGTAATTGCACATCATTCACCCAACAACATAACTCTCGAATTTTCAAATCTAAATCATTTATAGCTATATTTATATTATGTATATTATGTTAATGATCCATTATTAACTCTCTTAATTAATTTGTTATATATCTTACAATTTAAAATTCCACTTTTTTACTCTTTGAAATCAATACAAACCAAATCAAACCATATTGATTTTAAAGCAACAGCAATAATAATAACACATTAGATCTAATTTAAAATATTGACTTTTCTTTCATAATCAATCAATCATATAATATATCATACAAGAGGTGTAGTAGTTGTTACTTCTTACTTTATAGATAACAGTATCAATCACCATTAAAATCTCACAGTTTGTTTTGTTTTGTTTTCCTGTTGGACAAGTATGTCTTTATGCCACTGACCATCAACATACAGTATTTGTTGATAATTTTACCAAACTTGATTGTCCAATCCAATACTCACATTAAAAATAATATCACTACTAATCCACCACTCATTCACTTTCACTTTTACACACACACACTTTAATTTGATTTGATGACTGTGGTTATGATTGCAAAACAGTATATAAATAACATCTATATATACACATATATCAATTGAATAAATATTAAATTATTTAATTAGCAATATATATATATTGATGTTTTATTTAATGTTTTGATTCAATTACCAATCATAAAATACAAATAATTTGAAAAAAAAATATAATAAAATATATAGTGTAGTATATAGTGTATATATTATTTTTTGTTTATTTGTTTTTGTTTATATATGCTTTTAATTTAGTCTTCCGCATATAACATAACATTATCAACAAATCATAGTTTGATGAAAGTAAGATTAAGATTTTGATGATATTATCATCAATATTATGGATTTTGGCAGCATCCCGTTGTTTTCCCTCTTTTCATATTTAGTGTATTTTATTCTATTTTTCGATATCACTCTTTCATCACAGCAATAACAAGAAATCATCGATCGATTTTCCATCTCCATAAAACATTTTCATAATGATATGACACCATAACATAACACATCAATAATTATTATCACGATCATTTCAAATTTTACAATTACCATATTAAAACAAAACAAATAAAGCCAAAAATAAATCCATATATATATATAAATTAATAACAAGTTCTATTATTATTATTAATTATTTAATTTCATAAAATTTATTTTATTTATATAAAATCATTTTTCTTCAACTTTTTTGAATTTTATTTTATTTAGACAATCACATCCACAATCAATCAATCAATAATAATCAATCAATCTCTTTTTTTTATATACATTTTTAAAAATTAATTACTAATCAATCCAATTCATTTGGTTTTTTTAGTTTATTTAATCTTGGAAATCAGATAGATTTAATCAAAAGTTAGATTTTACATACACTTTTCTTTATTAGTAGATAGATAGACAGAATCAATATTATTATCAAAATTAAATAACAAAGCAAAAATAAGAACAAAATAATACAATACAGAACCAATAATAATCATATTTGTATAAATAGTTAGTTTGCCACCAATGATGTTGGAAGAGACTCCTTCGGTGGTGGCAGCTGGACCACGTCCACCTTTGACCCGACAGAAAAGAATGTCAAAACAATCAAATGGATTGATCAATAAGTTCTTGATAACTCAATTGGATATTACAAGTAGGTTTCTTTTTTTTTTTAATATTAAAGTTGGATATTTCATTAATAGTAATATTAATATAATATTGATATTCATATCTAAATTTACAGCATTTAAACCAACAATCATATTCAAATGGATACCAAAAGGTAAAACAGAGGGTAAAGAGGAAGCAGACGACGCAAAGATACAACAATTCTGTTTTCCTGAATCAAATCCAATCATGTTGGCATTAACTCAAAGGTTAGTTAGTTAGATTCAATAATATTACATTCAATCAATAATAACTATTAATAATCAATCAAAAATAACAGTGAAACAGATGTAGTTGATCAATTTTCATTCATTCTTACCAATTCATTAGGTGGTAAATCATTTGCATATTGTAAGAGATTCATAAAACATGATGTTGCGCCTTATTGTCATGTTTTTATAAGTCAAAAGTAGGTTAACAATTAAGATAGGATTGATTGAAAAAGTAAAATTAACAACTTTCCTTTTTAAACAAAACAAAATATAGACCACATTTTAGTTTATATGATGAAATATTCGAGTTAATCGAACCAAAGTTTGAAAGAAATTTGAAATACAGTATCAATGCAATATTGAATTCACTGTTGTTATACCCACTTGGCAATGAGAGTACAAAGATCAGGATCTCTGCCAACAATTCACAGACTGAAAACTATGAAGTCAATTACAGTCATCCACGCTCCGAATTTCAGCATATCACATACGATTCAATCTATGAAATGAAGCCAAACCATCTTGTCAAACTCTTTGAGGCAATGTTATGCGAGGCACGTATCGTTCTCTGTTCCAGTAAACTTTCAAACATCTCCAATTCAATCATGGCACTTCATTCTTTAATCAGTCCTTTTTTCTGGCAAGTAAGTAGTTTGTTATAATTATTATTATTATTATTTAATAATTTCAACTAAATTAATTAATTAATTGATTTCAATTTGTTTCTGTTTTTAGCATATATTTATATCAATATTACCAGAACCATTAATGCCATATGTAGCTGCACCGATTCCATTTTTAGTTGGAATTTTAGACAATTCTTTGAAATCATTCTATCAACAACCAACCGAACAAGTCATTCTCTACAATCTTGACAAATGTGAATTTATGATTGATCCTGGATTTAAATCATTACTTCCCGTTCATATTATAAATTATATGGAGAACTCTTTGAAAAGATTAAAGAATGAACAACCAACATGTATGTTAATAATTGATTAATGATTGCTCAACACAAATACTAACATATTTGTACAATTATTATATATTTCAATATAGATAATAGATCAATAGATTCACAAATTAGAAAACCTTTCTATTCAGTTATTTATCATTTGTTTCAATCGTACAATCAATATATGTATAGAAATGGAGATCATTTCACGTTCAATAAGGATCAGTTTATTGAGCAGGCTCACACTGGACAAACGAAAAAGCTAATTGAATCGCTGGTTTGTTCACAGATGATAGAGATGTTCTTCAATCAAAAGGAGAATGAGTTTACAAAGATCGATGACTCTACGCTCTGTCCGTTCCTACTGGATGCCAAAGAGGTGTGCGACAAGATTCCAACGGTTGCTTCCAAGCGACAGTCACAATACGACTGTCCGATCTGCATGGAGTCTACAACCTCGCGACCATCGCTCGAGTTCTCTGGTTTCACTCTGCATCAAGACTGTTTCCGTTGTAAGATGTGCTCGGTTGGACTGCGCGAGATGGAGCGTGAGAAGATCATCCTGAAGAAAAAGGACGGTGAGCGCATCCAAGTGTATTGCGCCGATTGTCGCTCGAACTTCTTTAACAAAATCAAAAAGAGTTCCTCTGCCAAGCAGTTTATCAATCTATTCAAAGTTGATTCAGATCAACAACAACAGCAACAGCAACAGCCACAACCACAACAACAGATATCTTCTTTCATGGGTGGTGTCAATCCCAACCAGATTTCCACTTCTCCGTCAAAGTCCAATTACTATCCAATCTTACCGGTCAAGAATGAGATTCAGAACTTTAGATTCAATAACCAACAACAGAGGAAACCGTTTCCAAAGGATCTAGGTGTGAAGTCGCAGTCACACGGTCGCTTTATGACACCGCGTGAAATGCAGTCAAACACACTGCCCATACCAACAACGAATGGAAATGGACAGATCAACGCCTACAAGAGACAGAATTATAATAACAGTAGTAATAGTAACGGTGGAAATAACAATCGTTTCCAACCACCTCTACCACCTACTCCCAACGAAAAGAAAGAGCGTGTAATCGAGCAGATGAAGATAAAGAACATTCACATCTTTAGTGACGAGCAATTCAACAGCAATGACGATGAGAATTCATCGGCATCTTCAACTCCATCGAATACACCACCCAAAGTAGTGTATGCATCCAATCATATCAATCAAGAGTCGAGAGCTATGCAATTCTCAAAAGCATTACCAGAGATTCCACAAACTAAATCTCAACAGCAATTGCAACAACAACAACAACAACCACAACAATCTCAACAACATGATGAATACAATCTGAACAATGGAATCAACAACTCTGGTTCACTCAGTCAAGAGAGACTGAATCTCTTTAATCAGCTAAATAATGTCAATAGGATGAAGAGTAACCAGGTACAGAATTCACTACCACCACTGCCACCAATTCCTCAGGGCAGACCGCTACCCATTCCACCGGCAACACCAACGCCTCCCAACAAGTCGTCACATCCCAACACTTCACCCTCCAACAAATCACCACCAAGAATTGCACCGTCACCTAGATCAGGTTCACCAAACTCATCGACAACCTTAACATCATCATCATCATCAGTAGTAGTAAATACCTCTTATTCGACCAATAAGAAACCACTACCTTCACCAACATCACACCAATTTACACCAATACCACCAAAACCACCTCTACATAGCAGCAACAATAACATTAACAATAATTATAATAGTAATAGCAACAACAACAACAATGTAAATGATGTATCAATAGTTAAACCAACACCAATTCCACCGAGATCAAACAAACCACTACAAACACCACCAATACCTCTTTCACCAAAACAACTTCCACAACCTAAGCTAGTAACGAACAATAACAATAATAATTATAGTAATAATAACAAATCACAACCACCTATACCACCTATACCATCAAAACAACAACAACAACAACAACAGCAACAACAACAACAACCAAATATAACCACGTCTAATCGACAAGTGGTTGTCAAGACACCTTCACCTGAAAATTCACTATCACCTCGACGACTTAACAAGCAATGCTTTGGCTGTAAAGAACAACTCACCTGTACAACACAATTGATGGCTGCCAACGGCAACTACTACCACAAGAGTTGTTTCACCTGTGCCAGATGTTCACTGCCACTTCAGAGCGGAGAGTACTTCTTCCACACAGGATCACTCTACCATTTCGCTTGCTCCAACGAAATACTACCTACTTCAAATAATAACAACAACAACAATGATAACAGATTCAAAAACCTAAGAAGAAGTACAAATAGTTTATCTTTAAGCAGTAATTAACTAAACAAATAACTGATAATATCATATATAATAAATCAATATTATTTTATAAAGTGATTAAAACAAAAAAATGATCACCAAAGTTTTAACATTAAAAAAAACATAGAATTATGTTGCTTTATTTTCTTTAAGTTTTTTAATTTAAATGTATCTTTCTTGCAACAACTCTAATGAGTTATTAAGAATAAAATGTAAATATCAAAACATTCTACACTTTAAACTAAAAGAAAGAAAGGGAAAGAACTTCATAATAATATTTCGAGTTTGAATACTCGAAATAAAATCATCTATTCTATAATCATTGATATAGGAAAATATGTGCCAAATGACCTGTTATCTTTTGGTAATCTGGGTATTGTTATCTTCCTTCATTGTATACAATGAGCAAAAAAAATACAAAGAAATTAAATTTAATTTTGACAAAAAAAAAATAAAAATAAAAAGAAAACAAAAAAAAAAAAAAAAAAAATTTGGTTAAATGATTCAAACAATTAAATAATCCTCTGTGGTTGACATCTTTGGTGAAAATAGCTTCAGACACAAAATACTTAGTCGCACCATCATCAAAGTAGAGAGATGTAATGTAAGGCATACAGCTGCAGCTTTGTGATCATGGTACTTCTAGAAATCCAATACTGTATGCTCTCGAAAGAGCACTTGGGTATACGAACAGTGATTGTTACTCCTTTCCTCTTGCCGGAGCCACTCTCTCTTTCTGAAAGTGTAGTTTCTTAAAATCCGAAAGGAAACTCAGCAATTCAACAAAAAAGCTGGCGTCAGTACATGCACCACCTCTGTAGTGCAGACGAATGTTGGCACAGTCGATTATGCCAATGCACACCTCCTCCACGAGGATATCACATAGCTGTACAAAGTTGGACATCATCCTGATTTTAATCGAAGTGATCTTTTTTATTTAAAATGATCCTCTAGTTTTAAATGTAGAGCGATGATGAATTCTTCTTTGATTTGTTTTGAGAATCCAAAAAGCCTCTGATATTGGATAAATTGTGTGTTGAATATGAATGTCTAACTATTAAAATCTGCACTCTTGATTAAAATAGAAGATTTAAAGCAAATTTAGAATGAGTCGATATCTATTCTTTGTCCTCCAATAAATAGGTTTTCAATATGTTGTGGTAGATCTTTTCTATCGATGTAGTTCGTCATTGATAATGATTTCAGTGATTCAGGTAAGACATCGACCGATAATATTTGATTGAATCTATTTCCAAACACCAATGATTCAAGTGATTTAGGCAACACACCAACTGATAATATTTGATTGAATTCATTTCCAAACACCAATGATTTCAGTGATTCAGGTAACACACCAACTGATAATATTTGATTGAATTCATTTCTAAACACCAATGATTTAAGTGATTCAGGTAACACACCGACTGATAATATTTGATTGAAGGAAAATCCAAACTTCAATGATTTCAGTGACTCAGGTAATACACCAACTGATAATATTTGATTGAATTCATATCCAAACACCAATGATTCAAGTGATTTAGGTAACACACCAACTGATAATATTTGATTGAACACATCTCCAAACACCAATGATTCAAGTGATTTAGGTAACACACCAACTGATAATATTTGATTGAATTCATATCCAAACACCAATGATTCAAGTGATTTAGGTAACACACCAACTGATAATATTTGATTGAAATCAAATCCAAACACCAATGATTGCAGTGATTTAGGTAACACACCAACTGATAATATTTGATTGAATTCATCTCCAAACACCAATGATTTCAGTGATTCAGGTAAAACACCAATTGATAATATTTGATTGAATATACGACCAAACACCAATGATTCAAGTGATTCAGGTAACACACCGATTGATAATATTTGATTGAATTCATCTCCAAAATTGATCTCAGTGACATTGACGGAGGTATTATGAAATGGAGTATTTAAATTGAATGTAATTATCTGATTATTGGTGATAGTTTCAATATATTGGTTTAATAATTGATTCAATGATTCTCTATTCTTTGGAATCTGATCCAACAATCGATGAATAAATTCAATCAATTGTTTTGAATATCTGAATTCTGAAATCTTAATTTCACGTTTAGTTTGGAATAGTTGATGATTATTTCGATCATCTGGATGACTGATCAATTTAAATATTCAAAAATACAGAGTTAATATCTGATTGATAATAATATTTTAAAAGTATGATTATTCGAGTATTTACCAACATAATAGTTTGAGAATTGTTGATCCAATTGAAAAGATGTCACATGATTGTGCATATTGTCTGTTCATTGCTTCCTATTTGTTATTATTTTAAATAACTTAAAATTATATTGAAAATCAAATAAATAAAATTTACTTACTGGTGAAATATAACCAATTGTTCCACGTGTTGCATTTATGTTTGTATTTGAAAAAGTGGTTGGCTCCGATATTTCATGATCGATAGTTTTTAAATTAAAATCATTTATTTCAAGAGTATGTTCTTTTGTATCTTGATATTCAATGATTGTTGATTTATCAATGAATTTACAACATCCAAAATCACCAAGAATCAAAGTACCATAAGCATCAGATTCATCAATGAATATGTTTGATGGTTTAATATCACAATGAACAATTCCATGTTTATCAAGATCCAAAAGAATATTGAAAAGTTGTGAAATATAATTACTGATATATGATTCTTCAATGATTCTATTTTATATTCAATATGAAAGTGGTTAATTGCTTGATAAAAGTCATGTTATTTAATATTTGATACATACAGATTTATATCAGTTAAATGTTTATACTTTTGGGAAAGATCGCCACCACCACAATATTTAGTGATGATATGAAAGATTTGATTGTCTTTATCATGATGATAGTCAACAAGTTGAACAAATCTTCGATTATCTTTGAGTAATTTCATTGCTTTGATTTCATTCTCAGCTCTTTCATAAGATTTCTGATTATCTTTATAATTTATCTTTTTATAAACATACTTTTGAATTGATTTTGTTAGTTTTATGATTGTCAATTGATTAATTACTTTGAAAAATGATGTCAATCGATTCAAATTGATCTTACCAATCTATGAACATCAGTACCACACACTAAATATACATCATTGATAGCATTACTGTTTGTAAATCTTGATATTGAATGATATCGTTTGTTATTAATGACATGAGATTGTTTGAAATAGTCAAGGTTGTTTTTGAATAGATTGTTTTCAAAATTGATTGTGTATGATTGTGATTTGTTTAATAGCCCGACACATATGGATTTAAGATGTATTGCGAAAGAATCTATTATTATTAATTGATATTGAGTATCGACAGTATCTGGTATTACAATCTCATTATTATTTCGATTAATATTTCCAATTAATGTGATATTTGTGTGTTGTTCATTTTCTTTATCTTTCAAATGATTATAAACTAAAACTATGTATTGTTGAAAGTTATTAAGATTAATTTTCAATACATTTTTTCGATTGATTAATTTATCAGTTAGCTCGATATTATTCATTTTGAAGTATTTTTATAATTCATTCATTTCAAAAATAAAAAATAGTCAAGTTAAACTAAAACTTTTACGAAATTATTAAAATTATATTATAAAATGACGATTTTATTGTCGAAATTACTAACACCCAGGGTGTAAAATTGAATAGCACTCTTTTTTATGCTTTTCATTTTTTTTTTTTTAACAATGAAAAAATTTCATTTTACTTACATCTTTCGATGAAACCATTTCATTTCGGTGAGATCCGTTCAATCATCCTCCGGGTTGTCCTTTTTGAATGGACACAATAAAGTTGGACGGGCTTTACCTTTTAAATATGCAATAGTACTATTTTATTTTGTAAAAAACAATAAAAATAAAAATAATTGTTAATAAATGAATGAATTTAAATAAGCATTTATATCATATTTACTTGGGCTGTTTTATATTCGTCGAAAAGGTAGGTCTTTATCATATCGAGAATGAGAACGTCTTTCTAAGAAATCTATTTCCTTGAGAAGAGTGGGACCAAATTGGACATAGTTATTGTACCTTAACCTTTACCTAAAACTAAACAAAAAAAAAAAAAATAGTTAAAATAAAAAAATTAATTATTTATAGTTTTAAATGATATAGCAGCGGCACGTTGTTTGGAGCGTCGTTTTCGTCGGGCAGACTCTTCCGAAAGTAACGTGGTCTCAATTGCACGATAGAAAAGTAGTAGGTCGGCTTTTAAGAGTTGACTGCGTTTCTTCTTTTTATCAAATGAAGAATCAACCAATCGATAGGATTTATGAGCTTCAATTGCTGCAGAATATAAAGGACTTGGAATTGACTGGCGTTTTTCGATAAGAGCATGAAGATTCTTTGAGTTTCTCCTAAGCGATCAATAATACCATCGATTTCGGTATTATTGGGGTTTACTTGAATTTCGGGCTTCCTAAATGGTCCACTGCTATTTTTCGCATAAACTTTACCATGAGCTACAAAAGATTTAAGATGATTCTCTAAATCTTGATAAACAGGATCATCTGGTTCGTGATTGCCAATTTCCAATATCAAATGGTCAATATGATTTTGAATATCTACCAGCTCTTTATTCAATAGATCAATCTCTTTTGAATCTTGTAACAAAATGAAAAAGTATAAGGATAAGGTCTATCAAATAGATATTTCCTTATCTTTTCATAAATATCTATTGATAATATGTTACGTTCAAAATCTCGAGTACATCATTTATTCAATCTATACGAACGATTTGCGTCAAGGTTAGATTAATATGCATACTATTAATATTAGCCTAATATTCACTCAAAAATACTAGAATAGTGACATCATCGATTGCAAAACATAGATCAGATTGTTTACCTAGTAACCTTAAAGCGATATACATTTATTAAAATTTTTGTTAATCTTTTAATCAATAACCTTTTTTTTAACTTATAATTTTTAATAAAATTTTAACAAAAATAAATAAATCAGTTTAACTATTTTTTGTAAAATTTTTTTTTTTTTTTTTTATTTATTTGAAATTTTTGGTTGTTTCCCAAATAATTGAGCAATGTGGTGGTGATTTTTATTATTATTTTTGTTTAATATACCTTTATTATTGCCGTTTGTAGAAACAATATATACATATATTTATTTATTTTAATTATTAGTTTTTTATTTATTTTTATTAAAAGTTTATTTTTTAATTTTTTATTTTCAAGATTAAAAGTGTAATTAAGATTACTTGAGTTTATAGGTTGACTGTTTTGTATAAACTAGTAAAAAAAAAATATTGTTTGTTTGGTAGTTTGTTTATTGCTCTATTGTTCAAATAATTTGAACTTGTTTTTTGTTAGAACTACTATTTATATTGATAGATAGAAAGATAGATAGTAGATATAAAAGATGTGTGGTATTTTAGCATGTGGAACCATGGCATGCTGTGCAGGTAAATAAATTAATCAATATAATATATAAAAATGGAATTATAATTCTAATTGATAATGCATTTATATCTATATAGGATGTTCATGCTGTGGTTCTATTATTAAAAAGTCAACAGGTACAAGAGTTATTTATGTTATATTCTTCTTGTTAGTATCGGTTATTTCATATATTTTGAGTGCATTCGCTTCACAATGGTTTGCAAGTGTAGATGGTAATGTATACAATGAATGATTGCTATTATCTTATCTTTAAATATTATATACATTGTTTATACTAACTATAATAAACTATAATATTATATTTGTAGTTTTAAAGATCTGTTCTAAATATGATAATGAATGTTTTGGATCTTTAGTTGTTTATAGATTAACATTCTCATTGGCAATCTATCATATTCTATTGGGATTGGCATTGATCGGTGTAAAGTCATCGGAGGATTCACGTGCAGCTATCCAGGATGGCTACTGGCCAGTCAAGATATTCTTCTTGGCAGGTCTGTCGTTTGCTTCGTTCTTCATTCCCAACACATTCTTTGTCTACTACGGCTGGATCTCATTGTTTGGTGCAGCACTGTTTATTCTCATTCAGTTGATCTTGCTGATTGAGTTTGCGTACGGCATCAACGAGATCTGGGTATCAAAGATCGAAGACGAAGGACACCTCACCAACCGTTACTACATCATGCTGCTCGGTAGCACCATTGCAACGATCTGCATTGCATTGGCACTGACCATCACCATGTTGGTTCTCTGGAGTAAGACATCAATCAACCAATTCTTTATCGTATTCAATCTCGGTTTATCACTCATCATCGGTGTATTATCCATTAATGAAAAGGTATAGTTAGCTTTATAACACAAACAAAACAAAATACATAGATATTAACAAATTTGAATGTTTAATTTATTTGTAGATTCGAGAATTTAGACCATCTTCTGGATTATTCCAATCGGGTGTTGTCATGTTGTATTCTGCTTATTTGGTGTTTAGTGCTATTATGAGTGAACCATCAATGGATAATAATAGCAATAGTGGAAAACAAAAGACATGGACAATCATTATTGGTTCGATGTTTACCATTATTTCGGTTTGCTATTCCGCTTTCAGAGCGTCGGATTCCAATGAGATCTTGGGATCGTCTTCGGGTGGTGGATTCGACAAGTTACCAACGGTTGCAAGCGATGACGAGGCTGCTGATGATAAGATGGAGGACGATGAAAGCGGTGGTGTCGCTTACAACTATACATTCTTCCATATCACATTCGCACTTGGTGCAATGTATATCGGAATGTTACTCACCAATTGGGCAACGATCTCTGGTACTTCCGGATCAAACGGTGACCTCAATGTCGACTCTGGTATGGTTTCCGTTTGGGTCAAGATCGTAAGTGGTTGGTTGGTTCATCTTTTGTATCTTTGGACATTAGTAGCCCCTGTTTTAATGCCAAACCGTGAATGGGATTAAAAGACATCCATTATTTTAGAATTTATCACTCAATTCATTGTAGTATTTAAACATATATTTTAGATAAATAAAGAATTTTTCAAACTCCAACAGTTCAATCTTATCTATTTTAAACAGTATTCAAAAGATGTACATTTAGTGTAAGGTGATGATCAAAGATCTTGTTTTTAAAGTGGGCCACTAAAAATTTCAAAAAAAGTTGTATAAATCATATAATATTACTTTTAGAAAATGAATACAAATAATATAATAGATATACTATACAAAGGAAACAATATCTTGAAAATAAGTTGTGACTTCTTTAATAGATTCATAGTTTTAATTCATAATCATTTGAAAGATAAATATAATGAACAACACAGAAATATTGCCTTTGTTGAAAAAGTTATACCAGATACTGTCGAAACCAATATCAGTTAATAATAATAAGATCAAATAGGTTACCAAAGGATTAGCAAATTTAGAATACACTATACCTATATACACGGCGTTATTAAACAAATCAGAATCGTACATAATCAATATTAATGAAAGTCAATTCAAACACTTGCATGTCATTAATAAAAAACGATATCATTCAATATCAAGATTTACAAACAGTAATGCTATCAATGTATATTTAGTGGGTGGTACATATGATCAAAGATTGGTAAGTTCATTTTTCAAAGTAATTAATCAATTGACAATCGTAAAACTAACAAAATCAATTCAAAAGTTTGTTTATAAAAAGATAAACTATAAAGATAAAGATAATCAAAAATCTTATGATAGTGCATTAAATGAATCAAAGCAATGAAATTGCTCTATCAACACATTTACCAATTTTTTTTATTTTTTATTTTTTGGTGAGATATTAATTTCAATAATTAAGAAATATAACAATTTTATTATATAACTTTTATTTAGATTATCTAGATTATTTTTATTGTATTAGGAAAGACACTAACAATAAAAATAATGAAAAAATAAAATAGGAAATTTAATACAATTTAGTTTTGATATGAAAGATTTGATTGTCTTTATCATGTTGATAGTCAACAAGTTGAACAAATCTTGGATTATCTTTGAGTAATTTTAATAATATTATTTGTATTCATTTTAATTATCAAATATCGAGATATATATAATAAAATAGTGTGTTTTTAAATAGAATTAAAATATTTAAAAAGATATTTATATTATTATTCTATCTATTTATTTTTTAATAGGTAAAAAAATGGTAGTTTTAGATATAGAACCTACATGTATAGGAAATTCCCAATCTCTTCATATTCATACCGAAAAATTTACAATCAAACATTTTTTAGGAATTAAAAGTCCAAGTTAGAATCATACCATATGATATTAGAATTTGAGCATATTTATCAAAAGAGGAGTTTGAAGAGATTCTCTTTGAAATTAATAATTATAATACAATTAAATATCCATATTTAAATATAGTAATCTTTGTATTAATGATATGAGGTTAAATTCTATGTTTATTAAGTCTTATCGATAAAAATAATATTTTTTGTTACGTTGCCGTAGGAGTATTTATACCAATATTGCCAATTGTTTTTTGGTCAAATAAATTAAACTCTGAAGTAAGTTTAATCATAAAAACAAAAAAAAAAAAAAAAAAGTAAAAAATAGATATTAAATTTGCAATTTCTTCAAATAGTATTTAAAAAATATACGATTAGCTATAGTCCTTTTTAATAAAAAGTATAATATAAGAGGTTTGCACTTTGTCGAGGCAAAAAGAAAAAACATGTAAGATGTTGTCCAAGAACTGGAGCAATATATAACTACAAATAAATAAAAAAATAAAAAAAAACTATTACTATAGTACTAATTTAATACTCAAACCACAAAAGTAAACAAAAAATTTTGGAATTTTTTTACAATGAAATTTGAATAATTTATATATATAAATAAAAATGTTATTATTCTAATATTTTTAATTTGTTATCATCTTGAACTTTGTATCCATTAGAGTATTCTACGAGGGAATTTCCAGATATAATATTTTCCATCTTTAATATATTCAATTCTTTGACTTAAACCTAATTGACCAATCTCTTGGTTTTCATTTTTGCTTTTCTTTTTTTTTTTTGAATGAGAAACTATCTCTTCCTCTTCACTTTCATCTGATTCTTCATTCATTTTCCTTTAAAATTGTTCTACCATGTGCTGTAAGAGCTAGTATTGTAGTAAATTAAATTTTAATTTTCTGATATTTTAAAAAAATTAGAATGTTCAAAAATTACTTACTTTTTTCATGATTAGCAACCTTTTGGCTTAAGATATCTTTTGGGGCACATTTTGGAAATGCTCCTTTTTAGTTTCTGAATATTATGTAACAAAAGAGTATTGCTCTGGTACTTAACTAAATCGTTCACGCATAGTGCTTTTCTCACTTTGATCTGTTGAATTTGCTCTTTTTGGCATTTTATAATGTTGAAGTTATTGAAAACTGAATTAATATTTTAAAAAAAAATAAACATATTTAATTAAATCTTTTAATGATTTGAGTAATAATAGTAAAAATATAAATTTAATAAAACATTTTTTATCTCATTGAAATATCTTTTTTTTAATTTTTAATAATATGTTTTTTTTAAAACCTCACTGTCAAAAAGGAATAATATTTATGATGTGGGTTGATGGCAACACTCATCAGAGGTAAAGATAATTTTATATTTTTTTTGAAAAGTTAAAAAGATTTAATTGATGTTCAAAGATGTTATATTCTCAAACGTACTCGCCATCAACAAAATAGATTTTATGTAAAAAGAAAGATCATATTGTAATTACAAAATCTTTATCATGATCCACAAAAAAAAAAAATCTATTTTGTGTCAAACTATCAATAACAGATTAGATCTAATTTAAAATATTGACTTTTCTTTCATATGATTGATCAATAATCTCTTATTTTACATCCTTTTGATTGTGCTTGAAAAAAAATGAAAAAGAGAAATAGAAGATTTACATTTTTAATTATTTTTAACATAGTAAGGAGAATTGCAATCATTTCTTCTTATACCCTTCTTTACACACTGAAGTGTGGGAATAGTGGTTATCAACTCCATTTATTTTTAATTTTAAACTTTTTATAGAAAGATGGATTCAGTTGAAGATAAGATAGTAGATCGTGAATTAAATAAACCTCTATGGTTGACATCTTTGGTGAAAATAGCTTCAGACACAAAATACTTAGTCGCACCATCATCGAAGTAGAGAGATGTAATGTAAGGCATACAGCTGTAGCTTTGTGATCATGGTATTTCTAGAAATCCAATACTGTGTGCTCTTTCGAAAGAGCACTTGGGTATACGAACAGTGATTGTTTCTCCTTTCCTCTTGCCGGAGCCGCTCTCTCTTTCTGAAAGGAAGTTTCTTAAAATCCGAAAGGAAACTCAGCAATTCAACAAAAGAGCTGGCGTCAGTACATACAGCACCTCTGTAGTGCAGACGAATGTTGGCACAGTCGAGTATGCCAACACACACCTCCTCCACGAGGATATCACGTAGCTGTACAAAGTTCGACATCATCAGAAAGCAAATAGATATGATAAACAAGCTAAGACTATCGAGATTCAGCGGTATTGTAAAGGTCTAGAAGATTAAATGGAGAACGAGAATATAACTGGAATATAGATTGAATATCTATTTGACATAGTTGAATTCATATCTTTTAATTTCAATAGAATAAATAATAAATAATCATTAATTATATCCTGATTTTAATCGAAGTTATCTTTTTTATTTAAAATGATCCTCTAGTTTTAAATGTAGAGCGATGATGTATTCTTCTTTGATTTGATTGTTTTGAGAATCCAAAAAGCCTCTGATATTGGATAAATTGTTGAATATGAATGTCTAACTATTAAAATCTGCACTCTTGATTAAAATAGAAGATTTAAAGCAAATTTAGAATGAGTCGATATCTATTCTTTGTCCTCCAATAATAGGTTTTCAATATGTTGTGGTAGATCTTTTCTATCGATGTGGTTCATCATTGATAAAGATTTCAGTGATTTAGGTAAGACATCGACTGATAATATTTGATTGAATTCATTTCCAAACTCCAAAGATTCAAGTGATTCAGGTAATACACCAACTGATAATATTTGTTTGAATCTATATCCAAACAGCAATGATTTCAGTGACTCAGGTAATACACCAACTGATAATATTTGATTGAAGGAATATCCAAACATCAATGATTCTAGTGATTCAGGTAATAAACCAACTGATAATATTTGATTGAATTCATATCCAAATACCAATGATTTCAGTGATTGAGGTAATACACCAACTGATAATATTTGATTGAATTCTTTTCCAAACTCCAATGATTTCAGTGACTCAGGTAATACACCAACTGATAATAATTTGATTGAATGAATATCCAAACACCAAAGATTTCAGTGATTCAGGTAACACACCAACTGATAATATTTGATTGAATTCATTTCCAAACTTCAATGATTTCAATGATTCAGGTAACACACCAACTGATAATATTTGATTGAATTCATTTCCAAAAATGATTTCAGTGAGATTGACGGAGGTATTATGAAATGGAGTATTTAAATTGAATGTAATTATCTGATTATTGGTGTTGGTTTCAATATATTGGTTTAATAATTGATTCAATGATTCTCTTTTCTTTGGACTCTGATCCAACAATCGATGAATAAATTCAATCAATTGTTTTGAATATCTGCATTCTGAAATCTTAATTTCATGTTTAGTTTGGAATATTTGATGATTATTTCGATCATCTGGATGACTGATCAATTTAAATATTCAAAAATACAGAGTTAATATCTGATTGATAATAATATTTTAAAAATGATTATTCGAGTATTTACCAACATAATAATTTGAGAATTGTTGATCCAATTGAAAAGATGTCACATGATTGTGCATATTGTCGTTTCATTGCTTCCTATTTGTTATTATTTTAAATAACTTAAAATTATATTGAAAATCAAATAAATAAAAATTACTTACTGGTGAAATATAACCTTTAGTTCCACGTGTTGCATTTATGTATGTATTTGAAAAAATGGTTGGATCTGATATTTCATGATCGATAGTTTTTAAATTAGAATCATTTGTTTCAAGAGTATGTTCTTTTGTATCTTGATATTCAATGATTGTTGATTTATCAATGAATTTACAACATCCAAAATCACCAAGAATCAAAGTACCATAAGCAGAAGATTCATCAATGAATATATTTGATGGTTTAATGTCACAATGAACAATTCCATGTTTATCAAGATCCAAAAGAATATTGAAAAGTTGTGAAATATAATTACTAATATATGATTCTGAAAAGATTCTATTTTTATATTCAATATAAAAGTTGTTAATTGCTTGATAAAAGTCATGTTATTTAATATTTTATACATACAGATTTTTATCAGTTACATGTTTATACTTTTGGGAAAGATCACCACCACCACAATATTTAGTTATGATATGAAAGATTTGATTGTCTTTATCATGATGATAGTCAACAAGTTGAACAAATCTTGGATTATTGAGGAGTAATTTCATTGATTTGATTTCATTCTCAGCTCTTTCATAAGATTTCTGATTATCTTTATAATTTATCTTTTTATAAACATACTTTTGAATTGATTTTGTTAGTTTTATAATTGTCAATTGATTAATTACTTTGAAAAATGATGTCAATCGATTTAAATTCAACTTACCAATCTATGATCATCAGTACCACACACTAAATATACATCATTGATAGCATTACTGTTTGTAAATCTTGATATTGAATGATATCGTTTGTTATTAATGATATGAGATTGTTCGAAATAGTCAAGGTTGTTTTTGAATAGATTGTTTTTAATATTGATTGTGTATGATTGTGATTTGTTTAATAGCTCGACATATATGGATTCAAAATCTACTGCGTAAGAATCAGATCTTATTATTATTAATTGATATTGAGTATCGACAGTATCTGGTATTACAATCACATTATTATTATAATTAATATTTCCAATTAATGTGATATTTGTGTGTTGTTCATTTTCTTTATCTTTCAAATGATTATAAACTAAAATTATGAATTGTCGAATGTATTTAAAATTAAATTTCAATACATTCTTTCCATTGATTAATTTATATGTTAGCTTGATATTATCCATTTTGAAGTATTTTTATAATTCATTCATTTCAAAAATAAAAATAGTTAAGTTAAACTAAACTTTGATTTTATTGCCGAAATTATTTAAATTAAATTGAAAAAAAATAAACTTTTTTGTGTTTTTTTTTCAGTAGGAAATCACGTGATCAAAATAAAAAAAATCCAACATAATTCAATTATATTTAATTATTATTATTACATCCTGTTGAACTAAAGAATTCAACATTTCTTCCAAAGTTATGGTACATATTAGTTAAATATGCAATAACCTTCCCACAATTGTAACTAATTTCCTTTGATGTGATAGGCCTTTTTTAAGATCTAAAATATCTGATAGTATTCCACTTCTTCATTGTAGCGAATACATTCTCGATTATTATTCTTACTTTTTTTTATTTTGTTATCCTCTTCTTTATCTTTAATGTATTTTTCTTTATTAAATCCACCATCTTTATCGTATTTCTTCTGAAGAGATACTAACTCTATAGAAGGTTTAGAAACATCTTGCCCCTTTTTAAATCTTTGTTCATCTTTTTTTTCTTTTTTAAGAGTACTCCATGTGATCAGATAAATAAGCAGATTTGATCTTTGGGAAAATTGAATTGGAATATAGTTGTAGGAGGCGAGCTATTTGTTGATCTTTATCAAGTAACTCCTGGATTTTCTTATAAAATGTAATTTTTTTAACAATAACTTGTATTGTAGACGGTTTTTAGTTAAAAATAAAATTTAATATTAAATAAATTTACAATTTAAATTACAAATTATTATTAATTTTATTCGATTTGATCGAAAAGATCATCAACAGAATCAGATTTCGATGGTTGATTGTTGTTGATTGCAATGGTCTTGCGTTTAGAACCGAGGAATTCTTTTGATTCTTTTTCAGTGATTTCACTGTCATCACTTTCATCGTTGGTGATCAATCCGATCTGATTTGTAACGATAAGTTGCCAAAAGTCATCACGATTCTTTGATTCGTAATAATCACCAAGTTCACCTGAATACCAGTGATTCTGATTCTTTGATAGATCCACGACGAAGTTCAACGACACACTCCAATGCCTTCTGATAGAATTGATCTTTGAGTGAATCGTTTACCAGTTGGACAATACGTTGTTTCATTAATGATATCGCTTTGTCTACCAGATCGATATCACGTCTTGCCAACATATCTTTGAAGTTCTGCACTTGATTGATCGAACCGACTTCATTGACGTAACCAGAAACCAGCTTGTCGAGCGAGTAATCTGCAAGATCGTCTGCCTTTCTCTTTTTCGATGCGTTGGCATCGTCTGTCACATAGGAATCCAAACGAATCTCTTGTTGTTGTTCGACCAACTTCCATCTTGCCATCGATATTTCGGTTCCGATTTAAAGTTGGTGGTTTTCGTGAGTGGAAACAGTGTTTGGAAGTTCTTTATTGCATCTTGTGCATTCTCCATAATCGCTTCATCGGGATTGATATATTTCGAGATGATCGGATCGAGTTTTGGAAGTTGTGATGAATCGTGCAGAAACCGGTAGAAGTGTAGCAGTGATGCATTATATGTTGTAAGTACATCATTAAATAATCTAAATTGATCAACATGGTTCAATTATTTATATTTGAATAAAATCAATGCTCTTAAATCGTTGATGAATGAATATAACAACAAGTATACAGGTCAAGCATTGATATTTGATATAAACAGATACAAAGAGTGTGGTCCTTGGTCCTATAGTATCATCATTGGTCTACCAGATTATGTAAATGAAATTTACCTCGATTTGTTAAAAAATAATTTAAATCGATTTTATTGAATCATTAAATTTGTAATAATATATTAATAAGAGAAAACTTAAACAGAATGTACATTGTTTTTTGTTTTATAATGATATAAAACCAGTTATACACTACTTATAAAATCAAACTATACATTACTGCAAATGATGACATACCGCAAAATTGCATTCAAAGGTATCACCTACAACATACCTTCATCTCAGTATCATCGCAACAGCATCATTTCTTTCCAATACAAACATTCTTTCACCTACAAATGAACCAGTCTCACCAATCGTAAATAATACTATTAACTAATGGCTAAAATAAAAATACTAAGAAACAATTTAACTATTACTTATTGTTCTAAAATTAACATTTTAGAATTATAATAACCAAATCAACTGACACTTCAATAATTTATTAAGAATTCAACTATCACAATTCAAACAGTTTATGGACACGATTTCAAATAACTTAAATTAATAATCCAGCTGTTAACAATAATTAAATATATTAGAATAATATCAACATTCAGTGAATCAACAAAATATCAATCTACCAAAGTTAACATAAAGAAATAACCAACAAGTTAATCTACAATGAATACCAAACTAGTTAATCAAGAACAGATTTCTGAGATTGAGCAACTGCACTGGTGAAGAAATCCAACAGTATAAATACCTTGGAAATCCATTATAGAAATTAATTATTCAACATTATTCAACATTACCAAATATTATTCTTATCTTCAAATTGTAAAATAAATAAACTATTATCTTTAAATATTATACTGTAAATTATATCTCTAAACTTTATTACATTCATTAAATCTACCAAAACTATCCCTAAAAGTAATTCCTAATCTTATATCAAAGTTGTAAGTATTATATTTATATGTTTATATGTATATTATAATATGATATTATTACCATTGAAAAATAACACTTATTTTTTACTTTTCTATATAAAAATTGGATTATATGAACAACTTAGATTACCAGAGATAAAGTTGGAAACAGATCCTTTGGTATCAACATTAGAACCACTTTATATATGTTGTCCGTCTAAGGACAATAAGGTAGCCACCAGGGCAATATCAATACTTATCAATCAACATCAATAATAATCACCAGCCAACATATAGAAATAGTCAATTATAATTAATTAAATTAATTAAATCAACTAAATAAGTAATAGCTTCAAAACAACAGATTAAAATAATAATTAAATTAGAATCTGTTGTTTCTGTTGTTTCTAAATTAAGTATTCAACACTCAGCCGTCAAGCTTCTCAATAATGAATATATTGAGTTTAACGCGACGTTAAAGAGGAATTCAATTTACTCAATATTCAAGAGATAAAATGAAAGAAATTAAATAAAGAAGAAAAGAATAAAAAAAAATAAACTTAGAAATTAGATTATATAAAACATTATTAGAAATAACTCTTTATTATTATTAATTACAAATCACATGAGAGATGGCAGATCCAAACGAACAATTAACAGAAACACCCAACACCACCACAACCACAAACAACCACTGGATCAACGGCATCTACAGATCCAACATCAACAACAACCACCACAACAAATGATCTTACAATGAACGATCTCGAAAGCAATAATGATAATGATTCAATCCCATCAACCTCTACTTTGTTTCCTGATATCGTTCCTACTGTCACACGCCCAGACTCACTCCCGTCAGATGTATTCCAAGCAACCCTGATCGCATCCAAGATACCGATCTCTTCCTCTATCGTACCTGGTCAACCCGAGAACAAACAATATAGTTACACCATCACGTTACATAATCTTCATGCACAGTATCAAATTGCTTTGAGAAGTGAAGCAGGTATTGAATCACAGAATCCTCTTGTCGAATACATTTCCTTTGGAACACAAACAATACTGCCCCCTTGATGAAATGGATCCACTTCAGAACTCCTGGTCCTCTCCCAATGCTGGAACACCTTGATCAACGTCAATGCATTGTATCATATTGACCCATTTTCGTCCAAATCGAATAAATAGATTTGATTCAGATACTATTATAGTTCTATTTGTTCGATTTGGTTGTTAACAGATCGAAATTATTTTTGTTGATAATACTTGTGATTTTTAAAATAATTTGTATTTTATTTTTTTATCTAGATTTTATTTGAGGAATGAATACAAACATAATAGAGAAATCTAAATTGATCAATATAGGAAATTTCTTGAACATTATTAATGATTTTCACTGTGGATTTACAGTTTTAATACACAATCATTTGAAAGATAAAGATAATGATCAACAAAGAAATATAATATTAATTGGAAATATTGATGTAATCGTAATAATCAGATTTTAATACCAGATACTGTTGATACCCAATATCAATTAATAATAATAAGAGAAAGAAAATTTGACACTATATATACACCGAGCTATTAAACAAATCTCAATCATATACAATCAATCTTATTAAAATTCAAATTCAAAGACAATCTTGACTATTTCCAACAACTTCATATTATATTGTTTAGTTAATAATTTAAAATGATAGTATTTCTCTGTTTGTTATAATATTTTTTTATTTAAGTTAGTTATTATGTTTTGGATGTATTTGTTCAACGACACCAGAACATTTGGTACCATCAAAGAAGAGGTAGTTGTTAATGACTTCATTGTCTTTTGAGATGATCTTTACGATCTCTTGACCAACGATACCACCAAGTATTGCACAAACAGGCGCAATCTCACCAGTAAGTTGTTTGATACATTGTTTTAAGAGTTCTGAATGTCTGTCGGTCTGTGCGTTATATCTCTCATAGCATGTCTCCAAAACTTTATTGATAGCTTCTACATTGTTTATTGATGGTAATTTATTACTTCCTTGTTGATATTGATATAATACTAATAGTTTATATTATAAAAGTAAGTTAATAACCAATATCAATTCCTTTTGTTTTTTCAACTATTTATCATAATTACCAGATAAAACATAATAAAGTGGTGATAATCTATTTGGTAGAATACTCCATTGTACTGATAAAGCATCATTTAAACTTGAGAATGATGATTTACATTCTATTAACTCTTCAATTTCTTCTGGTTCTTCTTCATTATTATTATTGTTGTTGTTGTTATTATTATTATTATTATTTTTATTTACTTTTGTCTTTTTCCTAATAATTACAAATAATATAAATAAACAATGTAAAGATTGATTGTAAAAATAAAAGTTATATATACACTTACTTTATAGCATATTTAAATGTATTACCAAGATCAGAGAAGAAATAACCTTGTAAACCAAAACAATGAGTCAGTATGAAAGAAACACCATCCATTCGACAGAGATTATTGATACGAAGTTGAACAGCACTATCAAGACTATCAACACACACCAATGTATATCCTTTAATAAACTCTCCACTGATAGCATCCAACTCAATAGATTCTGCACGTACATTAATCAATGGATTAAGTTCTTGAATTGCTGAAATCGCTGCTTCTGATCTCTTAATAAATAACAATAACACATTAATATTATTATTATTATTAATTTTGATTTGTTATTTCAAATTTGATTTACATACAGTTTTACCAATTGATTGATCACCATTTATAAATAAACCGATATCATTCTCTGATACGATGGTATTGTCGATTACCGTGATATTACCTACACCAGCCAGAGCAACATTCTTTGCAATCTCTGCAGACAATCCAGTAATACCTACAAACAATACTCGAGCACGACGCAATCTATTCTGTGCATCTACACCCCAAACTCTAATACCACGATCATACAACGCCGCTTCATAGTCTGTCAATGCATTATTTTCATCTTCAACAATATTAATTTGTCTTTGTTGTTGTGGTTCACTGCTCATTGTTTTTAATATATTTATTATTATTATTATAAATATCTATCTATCTATCTATAAATAAAGTATTTTAATAATCAGATCTGAAATCAATCAAAATTATCTGAAGTTCAAACACACACAAGATAAATGTTTGTCAAAAAAAAAAAGTGAAAAAATAAATTAAAAAAAAAACGTTAAATTGAAATTTTTACAAATACTTTTGATTTTTTTGGTATTTTTTTTCAACAATAATAATAATAACAAACATTAATTTTATTTTTAATTTATTTATATTGTTTATTTTTATTTATTTTTTTTTATTGTATCAAATTAAATTTGTCACAAAAAAACAATAACATACACCTTATTTTTGCATTATTTATATTAATTTTTTTGCATATTAAAAGTTAATTATTATTATTATTATTATCACAATATTTTGTTATAATTAAAATAATGAGTAGTGAAGGTACAACAACAGCATCACCACCAGCAACCAGTAGTAATGGAAATGGTAGTCAATCACCGATTGAGATACCAGAGAATCTGTCGTCATTGACCAACACACAGTTAAAGTCGATATTGAGTTCGAGAAACCTCTCTGACAAAGGTCCGAAATCTGTATTAATAGCAAGAATCAACGAGTTAAAGACTCCACCACCATCACCAACACAAAAGAAACAACCTGCTTCTGTTACTTCACCAAAAGCTAATGCTGCAACAACATCACCAACAACAACAAGTCCACCTACAAAACCAAAAAAAGTATTAAATTATAATAATAACAATAGTAGTAATAGTAGTAATAGCAATAGTGATAAGAAAAAAGAACAACAACAGCAAAAAGAAAAAGAAAAAAAAGTAAAGGAAACAAAAGAGGAAGTGGAAGATGAAAATGAACAAGAACAAGAAGAGGAAAATGGTGGTAACAATGAGAATACTGCTTCTGCCAATAATAGTAATGATGACGATGAGGAGAATACCAATGCCAACGATGATAAACAAGAGTCAGCAGCTGCTGTTGCCAGTAATAATAACAATGAAGATGCCGAAGAAGAGGATGATGAAAATAATGGTAATGCAGATCAACAGCAACAACAACAACAACAGAATTACAATGGCGAGGGTAATGAAGAGCAAGACGACGAAGATCTGATTGACAACAACAACAAAGAGCAGTTTGATTACTCTGACAACGAGGAGAGCTATCCCGATAATATCAACGATGAGGTTGACCAAAACGAGATTGAAAAGGTGATCAAGGAGGTCGAGGAGTCCGTTGCCGAAAAGGTCAATAAGACTGCCGACAAGAAAGCAGAGGAAAAGGCCAAGGTACAACAGTCGCTTGCCGAGATGGAAGAGGCATTCAAGAAATCGCCGGTTCTCAAGATTGCAGGACTCACCGAAGCAATCATCGATAAGGATCTCAAAGAGTACCTCAGTGCTCACGGCAAGGTAATGAACATCACCTTTGACGGACCAAAGCGAGATATTGCTGTTGTCTGCATGGAGAATCAACAAGCTCATAACTCTGTAAAAGAGAAATTAAATGGAACTAAAGTAAGTACAATTAAATATATATTAAACAATCATCCCTAAAACAAAATAATAACAATCTTATCTTTTTAACTATATATATATATATAGTTAAAGAATTGTACATTAAATATTAGTGAAATGCCAATTTCCGACACTTTGTTGTTTATCGGTAACTTGGGACCAGAAGTCGGAAGAGAACAACTTAGAAAGATGTTTGAGAAATATGGTGAAGTTGATCGTGCAATTGTAAGTATAATTATGATTAAGTTGGTAATTGGTTAAATAATTATATATTAATAGTTTTGTTTTGTGTTGAAATTACAAATAGGTTATGAAAAACAAGAGATCAGGAGAATCAAAAGGTTATGGTTTTATTGACTTTAGAACCAAATTACAAGCCAATGCTGCTAAATCATCACTTGGTTCAACAAAGTATAACGGTAGAAATCTTCGTGTAGATTGGGCTGATTCATGTTCAACCTTGGAATTAATGCATTCAAAGACCATTTTTATCGATCGTTTATTAAGAAACTTTGTTGTAAGTATTAGTAACAAACATTTAATTAAACAAAATTAGTTGACTAATTTATTTTATTTGTTTTTAATTCTGAAGGATCGTACTATTTTGAGAAAATTGTTTACTAAATTCGGAAAGATTAGAGATTGCAATGTATTCCCAAATCCAAACACCGGTCAACCAAGAGGTTTCGCTTTTATCGACTATGAGTTGGTCGAAGACGCCGAGAAAGCACAAAAGGCAATGAACGATAGAGATATCCAGGGCTATCCAATTAGAGTGAGCTTTGGTAATCCATCTAGGCCTGGATACACCTTGATTCGTCAACCAAGACAAGGTCCACCACCCCCACCACCTCCACACAGAGGTGGATTCGGTGGTCGTGGAGGTCGTGGAGGTCACGATCGTGGTGGATTCAGAGGAGGTGCACCAATGGGTGGTCGTGGAGGTCATCCATTCAACGGACCGTTCCAACCACCTCATCCACACGCCCACCCACACCCACACGCTCATCCACATCCTCACGCTCATCCAATGGGTGCAATGCCAACTCCACTGCCAGGACAGCAATTCCCACCCTACAGAGGCGGTGCTCCACGTGTCAATCCACCACGTGGTGTAAACGGTCCCGCCGGACCAGGTGCCCCACCCAACTTGGTCGGAGGACACACTCCACCTTTGTTCCCACTGCCAATCAACAACGTTCCACCACAGCAGACCATCCAGAACAACTGGAAGCAAGACCAACTCACCCAGGCAAATCTCAAGATTCAATTGATGCAAGAGAAGCTCAAGGAGCAATCGGAGGCACTGCAACTCGAAAAGTCACAGAAGGAATTGCTCAAGAATCAGATGCAGATGCAAGAGAAACAGAGAAAGATCCAACAGGAAGCAATGCTCAAACAACAGCAACAACATCAACAACAGATCCAACAGCAACAACAAACCTACATGCAACACATCTCCAAAATGCAACACCAGCAACAACACCAGTATCAGCAGCACCAACACCAACAACATCAGCCACATCAACCACATCAACACCAACAACACCAACCAGCACAGCCAGCCCAAGTTGCACAGACACCAGTACTCAACCAGGCAGCCACAACACCAAACAACAATGCCTACTATCAACAATACTACGAACAATGGGCTGCCTATTTAGCATCTAACCCTGTATGTTTTTAATTATATATATATTTTGATAAACAGACAAATAGTTTACTAACAATCAATAAATTTTTAAAGGCATATGCTGGTTATTCTCCACAGGTAAAATATAAAATTAATATACTCTAATAACATCATTTACATATAGGTAAATATAAAACCGATTACTAACCAACTAATAATATAACATTTAGGATTTATCTAATTATTATGCAAACTATGCTGCACAAACTGAGCAAGTTGGACAAAAGCGACAATTTGACCATACCACGGGAACAGGAGGTTCATTTACCCCACAATTCCCTATTCATCCTTCACACAATACTCATTCACACAATCCACACTCTCATCACCCACATGATGGAGGAAAAAGATCAAGACATTAATCAATCAATCCTCATCACTCTTACTTACTTTGTCATTATACTTTTCTTCAATTTATTCACATCTTCATCTTTAAAAACTTTTTTTTTTTTTTTCAATTTAAACTTTTAATTGTTTAGACAGTATCCAAAACACAATCATCACAAACTAAACTATTTTTTTCAACACAGCCATCATTCTATTATATATTATATCTCTTTTTATATTTCTATATTCTTATATTTATAAATATATTTGGATAATATGTTTTAACATAACCCTTTCATCTAAATTTTGTTTATAAACAAAAAAACATCTTTATAAAGAAAAAAAAACAAAAAACAAAAAAAAGCAAAAAAAATAACAATACAATACAAAACAAACAAATACAATCAATAAGATAACTATAGTCAACTACTACAACAACAAACAAGAAACTATTCACAACTACATATTAAGAAGATAAGGTATTGGATTATCTAATGATAGTTTAAATAATTAAACGATTAAAATAATTATAAACCAATTCAAGAAGTAGCATTAATGCAGACTATAAAACAAACAACATTGCCAATCGAATAACAATAATCATTATTATTCTCCATCATAAAAACATCCATTGTTATATTCACCAAAATAAATCTACCATAGTAAAAATAATATATTTAAATCAAATAGGAGCCAATTGGTTCACTCTGTTATTATTATTAATGTCATTATTAGAAACATCATTAAGTATTTGCAATTATATATATATGGATAATATTACTATAAAATTAATCAATACCGACTGATCAAAAAAAAAAAAAAAAAAAAAAAAAGATAATTAACAAATTTAGAGCGATTATGTTTTCATATTATATTAATGATTACTTGTTATAATTTAAATCGATTATATCTGACTATATCATGTTTATCAAAGTTTATATCTAAATTTGAATACATCAACAAACAAAGTACTAAAGATACCAAAGTTGATGATATTGACTTGTTATTATATAATTTATGTAAAGATACAATTTTTTTTTTTTTTTTTTTATTCTTTATTTTTTGTTTGTTATTTTTTAATGATCAAACATTGGTTGGGTATTTATTTAAACATATGTTACTTTTATTTATTTATTTATTATTACTACGATTGTTTATTATTCAATGTAATTGGCTGAGCAAATCATTGAATCCAAAAGAGATTCATACAGTTCTTTGGATAATTTAATATATTCTGTATTTAATGCTTGATTGGAGCTTGATGGCCTTGAAATCGGCATATCAATCCATGCAAGAGCTGTTGCATTTAAAATCTATATATATATATAAATAGTTAAAAGAGAGATAAAAAAACATTTATTAGTACATTAATTTTTTTTTTTTTTTTTTTTGTATTGATTATTTATTTGTTGTGGTTGAAGAATACATACCTGAAGAGCAACTCTAACCTGACTTGGATTAAGACCATAGTCTCTTGGTAGATTGAGGAAATCATATAATCTATCAAGATCTTTCTTTGTCGATAACATAACATCCCTAATAAAAAAAATAACGTTAGTTAGTAATCGATCAACTATTATTTGTTATTTAATTACGATGCGATGCAATCGATCAAATAACTACTACTACTACTTTTACTACTACTATTACTACTTACATGTGAATAAAATTCTCGGCCTCTGCCAAATTGTTCAAGAATGTCATTTGCGAGGATTTTGGAATTAGATCCATTTGGTGTATGTTTAGGATGGTAAAGTCTCTCATTCTCTCCAAGGCCTCCTTGAATCTCTCACGGACGTCGCCCAATGCGATTTTCTTCCATAATAGATAATCGTTGACCGGTGCTCTCGGATTGGCTGTAAGACAGATTTTGCCTTCCGGACCAGCGTCGTTGGTGAACTTCCAAGATTGGTGACTTTTATCGTTCAACTCGCTCGAAACCAAAACCAACTCTGGATTACTGACTGGAGCGGGTGCTTGCTTCTTTGCAGAGAATGGTGAATTGCATCTCGAAAGACTCAGGTGTTCTGTGCCATTCTTTTTGTGCAGATTTTGCAGCCATTCTTTAGCATTTATTTCACTTTTCTTTTTTGCTTCATCTTGCATTGTAATTCTAATACTTTCCAATATTTGTTCTAAAAATAATTTTGTAATAATAAATATTTATTAATAAAAATGTTAAATCTCTAATATTTATTTGCATTTGCTTACTTGATGAATCAGTATTATTATTGGTTTTCAATGAATCTAGGAAGTTATTGCCATGGACTACCATCATGATTGGATTTAGTAGGTTTTTTCTCATTTGGGCAGTGGCTGTCTGTGACAACAGAAACTGACTACTCTTGAATAGCGATGTCATTGTTGGAGATATATTGTTTGTTTAATTACGATTTCGTTGGTGTGAGAATATAGTGAATGGGGTTTCAATTGATATTTGTTTGTTTTAAAAAAAAAATCAAATGAATGAATCTATTAAATACAGTTAATTGTTGTTTCAAAATAAATTATTATAATCTAATCTTATCAGATAAATTTGAATCGATTTTATTAAAAATAATTAAAAAAAAAACAAGTAATATTATAATAATTATGATAAATAAATAGAAAATAAGAAAAAAACAAAAAAAAACAAAATAATTCTTATAAAAACAATTAGTAATTAATGTTTTTATCTATTACTAATGAAAAGAAATGTTTTCACAATATTTTTTGAAAAGAATAAATAATCATTTGAGAAAATGAGAAAAATAAATTATATTAAATTAAATATACATAAGGAGATGAAAAGTGTGTGTTTTTGGGGAATGGGTAAAAACACAGATTTTTTTGGTTTTTGTTGTTATCCAATACCAAAAGAGTCGATTCCTATTGACGTTACCAAACCAATGTAAATGGGGGTTTTTCAACTTTTTATTTAATTCACCTAAAGTTGTGTGTGTGTTTATATTATTTTTACAATTAAAAAAATTATTTTTAATTTTATTTACATTTTTTAAATTCATTATAACTTTATGAAGTCATTAAATCTTATGAATCTTAACTTAATGATGATTTGATTGGTTTAAAATAATTTTTTAATAAACAGTTTTAATATCATTGGATGTTCAAAAAAAAAAAACAAATAAAAATCATTTGTGCGAATCTTATTATTTGAATTCTGATTAAATTATTGCAACCGCTCAAGGTTCGTTTGATCTGTTAAAAAAAAAAAAAAAAGAATTGCTTGTAATTCAAAAAATAGTTATACAAACTTCTATCTTCTACCTTTTAAACTAAAATTTTGAGGATGAGTGTTACAAAGAACAAAAACAGCAAAGTGGTGAAGTATAACCAAGTTTTAATTGATACAAGTTATAAAAAAAAGAATTCTTTATGATCATCAGTTTCTCTATAAAAAAACAACTCTGATTCCTAAGATCTTTGTCATACCATCATTCGATCATCATATATTTACTGTTATAACTTTGACGCTTAGGAATGTTTTAACGATGTTGCTGATGTTACTAGTTGTAGTTTAAATTAGGTGTCTAATTTGAAGAAAGAGGATTGTTATACAAACAACAAATTGCAACTAGAGTTGTGAATTACATACTCTATAACAGGAGTGAATTTAGAGTAATAAATGGTTGCCATTAATCCTATCAGACATCTACCTTATTTGTTTTTTTAAATATTTATAATATTTAAAACAAATATAGGAATGAAAGTTCATTCGAAAATTTGATTGTTTTTGCTAGCTAAATAGATTATAGCAAGAATTCTGAATTTATCCTTTTTAAAAAAAATAAAATAAATATAAACAGATATATTTATCTTGGGTTCTTTTTATTATGTCTTAATTGTATATTGTATTGAACAGCTGTAGTGATTATAACACATTCATTGTTTGCTAAAACATTTACAATTGGGATCCACAGATAACATCATATGATTCATTCAACTATGTTGTTTATTTAAATGCAATGAATTTCTCTCTAATGTTTCTGTGTTATTAAAGTTTGATTCTAATACTCAAATCGAGTAAGCATTAATATTGTTTCAATAGTGACACCCAACATCTAATTATAAACAAGAGATATAATAGGTTTACCTAGTACTGGATTTTTCTACCAATCATCCTATAATGAATCTAATAATCATATTTTATACCTTGGTGTAAATTATTCACCACACAACTCTGGACAGGTTGTGATTGTGACCTATGATACATTATCGGGAGAAATAACATCTCGTACAGATGCAATAGATGTTCTTGATTTATGTATATACGCAACAATGTATTTATATGACTCAAAGTACTATATTGGAATTCAACCTGCCAATGGGTCATGTGACACTTACCTCTTTGAATGAATATGAATAACAACAGTACTAAATTACTTTACTGCATACTTTGTTAGCTATCAATACTCCACATATATGTCATTTGTATTTGATGAAATCAATGGATTGTTTACTACAGTATTAAGTAGAAAAACTATCAGAGTTGCTATTGTAAATCTCAATATCTATGAATTCACCGAACATAGTTTCCAAAACCCTCTTCCAGTAGATATGCAAACTTTCTTAATGACAACTTCATACACAGATTATCATATCGATATTATAATTAAAAAAATATTAAATAAAGTTAATTGTCTTTTATATTTTTTATATATTAATTTAAAAAGAAAGTTTATTGATTTAACATGTGCATGGAGCAGAAGTCTTTGAAATGAATCCTATATTGTTTAAATAAAAAGAATTAATATTATAAAAGAATATAAAATATAAATTTTATATTACCTGTGATTGAAGCAAGATCCAAGAAACTTGAATTTCTTGTAAATCCTTTAAAGTCAATAACAATTCTTGTTTCTTGGGAAACAATTTCATTGATCTCTAACATGAATGGAATATTTTCTGTGGCATGACTACAGATATTGGTTAATGATTGGATATCATTTACATATGTGTTCATTTGCATATGGTTGATGGTGAAACCTTGGATGACGGCATGAATCAATATTCTGGCTCCACTTGGATTCTTGATAATCAATCTGCTCTCTCCTTTTGGTGAAAGTTTCTCAGTGGTTTCCATGGTCCACTTTGCACTGAATGGTCTCTTGATGAAAAGGGTATTAATTCCATCAAAGTCATAGACATTGTCACAAATTGAATCTTCAATCATTTTTTTTTAATAAATAATTTATTTATATAGATAATTAAAATTTTATATAAGTATAGTTAAAGTAAAATAAAATAAAAATCAGAAAAGGATTAATTTATAGTTAACTTCTTAAAAATAACTCTTGTTAAAATTAAAAAAAATCTTGGGTAAAAAAACGAAGTTAATATTTCATTGTGAATTTGAAATACACAAAATCATTTATCTAGATAAGGAATCCAACACTCTTTCAATGAAGATTCTTTAGGTGATTAAACAGCAAGGATCAGGTTCGAACTTTGTATTTGTGTATTGAGATTCAATCTAAACAAGTCATTCTTTCGAAGTTTACCCAAGAAATATAATTTGAGGTTTATCTCTAATCAAAATGAGATTAAAAAAGAAATCAGATCATATTCCTTTCATCTGATTTGTAGTTTGGTCAAGGACTGGTGGCTGTTTTACAACAAAAATTGTTGGTCAATCCACACCAATTTTTGCAAAATGTTTGTTTTTTCACCAAAGTTAGATTTTTTTGTTTTTTTTTGTGAAGACCAACAGTTTGAAAATATTTTGATTGTTTTCGTGCTGTGCTAAATTAAATTTTGATTGAATCGAAAACGAGTCAAAGACAAAATACCAGAAACTATAAATAATTAATACATTTAACCAAACTCTTCTCAATTTATCAAAAATATATTTTTATTTAAACAAATATAATCCAACAATGTGTGAATGCGAAACTCCAGGTGGTAGAATTACCTTCAATGGTGAAATCCAACTTATCAAGAGACAAATCGACAGTATCTGGAAGATAAATACCCTCGAAGGTCTTAGTCCAAAGGGAGAAACAAGAGTTGTCATTAAGAATCCAAAGGCTCACAAGATATTGGTTCACCTCACTCTCCAAGGAAACTGCCAAAACCAAGTAGTAATGAAATCCTACTTCAACGATGTTCAATCCTTTACCAATACCTCATTCCATAACCATGAATTTGTTCCATTCTCCTTGACACTCAACGAAGTTACTGACGAGACCAATATTGTTATCGATTTCAAAGCAACCAATGGATGGAACAATGGATCGTTTGCTAATGGTATTCTCACTGGTTTTATTAGAGAACTTTAAATAAATTAAATTATTTTTTTTAATAAAATCTTTAAATTGATTATAATTATAAATTCTCATATCATTTTTTTTTAACATTTGAAGGTTGATTTTTCAAGTTATCAGAAAATTTGATTTCTTTTGTCTAAATAATTTGACACTTTATTAAATTTTATGATTAATCATTTCTCAAAAAAAATATACCCCACAATGGATTTTGATTTGATGACGATAAATCTCATTTTAAATTCAAAAAAAAAAAAAAAAAAAGATATTTTGCAAAAACTCTTTGGTCAATGTTTTTTCCAATTTTTTGTGTTTAGTTGCCCAAAAGTGATCTTGACAAGAAAAACAAACAAGCAAAAATAAAAAATAATTGTAAATTGGACATGACTGTTTTTGTAAGGTCGAACAATAGCTGTTTTTGTGATTGTTTAAATTGATGTCTTTGAATGCAATCATTTTGTTGAAATCATGAAATTGGAGGCTTGGTTTCAAATCACAACATCGAGATTCTATTCGCCTCCTTTGTGCATACCATGTAATAAGAGAAGTTTGAGATCATGGATAAAGAACATAGATATTGGATTCCAAAATAATAAAAAAATAAAGTATAAATAGAAAGATTAATAAATTTCAATTTTTTATTAACTATTCTATTTTATTTCTTTTACTTTTATTTATAACTATTTTATTAGTTTATATATTTAATAATTATTAATAATGGCAACTTTATGTGAAGATTCCATTTTGGACAGTGATTATGACTTCAATGGTAAGAACATTATGTTCATCAGAAGACAGTTCAAAAATGAAGCATGGAAATTAGATCTCCCAGAGCAACACTCACCAAATGGAGAGACCAAAATTATCATAAAGAATCCAACTCAGTCAAAGTTCTTGGCCTGTGTCCGATTCCAAGGAAACACCAACGCCCAGACCAGTGTCAAATCCTACGTCGACGATGTCAACTCTCTGGAGACCCTTTGCAATCATAACGGTCACGAGCTATTGCCAATCGCCTTGGAATTGAACGAAGTCTCCCAAGATTCACGTATGGTTATCGAATTTAAATTCTCCAGTAAAAACAAATCCGGTCTCAACAATGGAAGTATCACTGGTTTCATCATGCCACTCAACAGATAAATTAAATTTAATTAAAAACATCATTATTTTTTTAAAAAACCAACATTAATATTTTGAAAATATTTAATACTTATATATTTATTTTCTTCTTTTAAATATTGAATTTATTTGTACTGGTTTCTCTTCTTCTTTCTTTTTTCTAAATTATTATTGAAAAAATAATGTAAATTTTGTTAGAATTAAATTGTTACAATTAAATTGTATTTATTATACTTACACAATGGTCGGCGCAGATGTTATAACAGCACCAACTTTAACTGATTTCGTAACTACAGTAGGCTTTACATTGGTAGTAGCAGCTTGACTATATTTATTCCAATTTGATTTTTCTTTAAATATTTAATATAGAAGTTTAATAAATATAATAAATTGATAGATCAAATATATAAAATTGATAGTTACTCTTTGTTTGTGGTGCAGTTGGTTTAGGTGGTGTTTGTGAATCAATCCGCAGTCTCTCTTTTTCTTTCTTCTCTTCCATTTCTCTCTGCTTTGCTTCGATTTTATCGTAGTATTCATCTGGTTTAGTTGCATCGGGATTAAAATAAAACATCGGTAGATTCGATCCATTCTCTTTGATCTCACAGAAACTTATCAACTTTTCCAGAATTAATGGATTGTTAAACGCAATTGAATTTCTTAAAGAATCATTAAAGTTTAATCCTTCCTGTTTCATTTTATGTAATTTAATAATCTTTTCCTATAATAAAAATTAATTGTTAGTTTATCCATTCATCTACATAATAATAATCATTTACATACTCTTAGATGTTCATCTATATCATTGTTTTCTCCTTTTCCATCTTCTTCTTCCTCTTGATCATTATTGTTATTTTTTGATGATGATGAATGTGAATTGTTATGATTATTAGTTGTTGTTGTTGTTGTTGATGAAGATGATGATGTTGTTATTGTAGGTGACGATATATTTGGATATAGTCCAGTGAAATTAGGATTGGTAGAAGTCGGTGGGTTACTGATGTACGGTGGAGAGTAGAGTGTCGGTGTAGGTGGTGTTCTGTTATCCGATGAGATTGGTGGTGTACTATTCTCTAGAGTTGTATGAATCAAGTCGTTTCTCATCGAATAGAGAGGTTCTAGATATCTTGGTTTCTTCTTTCTCCTCGTTTCATAGTCAGCTGTCTCTTGTTCCATCAAATCTCTGTCAGGTTCACAATCTTCCATCTCTAAATCGTTGTTGTTGTTACTTCCATTCTGTTTGTAATCGTCATCATCGTCTTCTTCATCATTATTCTGTACTTTAATACCATAAGGTTTCTGTAATACTTTTTCAATCGATAGTTTCGCAACTGAATCATACTCTACATTTATAATAATCTAATAAGTAACATTATTAAACTTTAACTAATAACAATTGTTGTTAACCTAACTTACCAGAATAATCTTTATCATTGATATCTTTAAGATTTGAAGATGACCTTGAATCTGTTCCTACACCACCACCATTTTTGTGATTATCAAGATCTTCTTTATCTTTCTCTTCTATATGTTTTTCATTTTCTTCATCTTCACTATCTGAACCGTAACATTGAAATAGACTCATAATATTGTATAATAATAATCTTTTTTTTTTTTTTTTTAAAATTAAACAATTAAAATAGTAATAATATTAAAATTTCTTTTTTTAAAAAATTTTTTAAAAATTTTTTTAATTTAAAATGAACTTCATCTAATATTTTTGCAAATTTAATCAAGTGTGGTTAATGAGCACTCAAATGAATAGAGCGCGAGTGTTTGTTACCTCATCACCATTCTTGATCTATTATCAATAGGTTAGAGCAGAAGACAAGCTTTTTCAGCTGCAACACATCACTTTAAAACAAAAGAAACAATAAAGATAACATTAATAAATTTGGCTTTAGTTGAATTGGAATGAACATTTTTTTTTTATTTAATTATAAAGTATATTGTGATAATAATTTATTAATAATTTCGATTGTTTCGATAGAATTTGAATATGTTGATTCTAATTGTTGTTTATATGATTGAAGTTTACTTTTGGTTGATTCTTCTTTGAATGTTTGAAGAACCAGTTCAACGATTTCGAAATGATTACGTTTGAAAAGTTCATCTGAATATTCATTGAAATCGAATTGGTTGTCGATAGATTTTAAAAGATCTGAATCGATATGATCGATCATCCATTTCACCATTGAAATGTTGGCGTTCGTTATCGATGATTTTAGCGAATCTAAAGTAATCGATCCATAATCTGAAGCATTGTCATACAACCAAAGTAATGCAACCATATTATCGTGTTGTGCTGCTATTTCAATAAAGTTTAAATTGATATTTGTATTTGTAGTGTTCATCAATTCCAAACAATTATATATATATCCAAATAAAAACTTTACTCTACCCAATTGATGTCGTGAAATAGAAGAGATGATTGCTTGGTCAATGTCCAAACTAATGGTCCCATCGATTTTCTCGAGTATGTATTTGAGAATGTCATCATCATTATTATCGACTGCCAATCCAAATAAATCTTTATCAAGATTATCATCGATTCCATTTTCATAGATGTATTTCACCATCTCCAGATTACTATTGGCAATAGCATTATAAATGAAATGAGTTGCATTATACTCTCTATTTTTAGAAAGAAGAAATTTGAAGATTTCAATTCTTCCATATTCCACAACTCTCTCTATAAAGAATTGGAAATCATCAGAGTTAATTTCTCGATGATCGTATAACCATTCGAATATTTCAAGTTGGTCACCATATTCAATGATGTTATAGAATGCGTCAAAAGAGAATCCTTCAGTACGATTCTCATGCAGCCATTTCAAAATTGAAAAATGACCACCTCTAGCTGCTTGATCCATTGCTTCTCTATTACATCCTTCAGTTCTATTGAAATGCAGGAACTTAACACATTCTAAATCACCGGAACCAGCTGCATAGTTCATTGCATGAAAGGTACACCCATAGGTGTTTTCATGCAACCACTTTATACAATTGAAATGACCGTAATATGCTGCATTATTCATTGACCAGTTTGAACCTTTATTCGTGCTATTCTCATTAAGCCATTTTAACATCTCCAAGTTTCCGTGAATGGCGAACCTATTCATAAGTGGTGTTTCACTCTGGCTAATATTGAAACTAAAAAGAATTTTAACGATTTCTCCACAATGGAAATCTGCAGCAATGTTTAACAATATATGTTCAATGTTGTTTGACAAGCTTCTATGTTCTCTTAATAGATATTCGACCATTGTTGTTTGTTTACCTTTGATTGCAAACTCTATCATCTTACTGGCACCTAAATCTTGTTGTCTTTCTTGTAAAAGATATTCAACCATATCTATTCTACCAATGTATGCAGCACTGTCAAATACTGTTACTTTGATATCATTGAACTTATTATCGTCGACTTTGTTTTGTTTCTCGGTAAAGTATTTCAACATCTCCATACTGCCAGAGAGTGGTGATTTCACCATTGCACGGTAGTAATTCCACTGGTATCGAGTGTATCTTGATGTGAGATATTCAACAATATCCATTCGTCCATATTGCGATGCATAACATAATATACTATTGATTGTATCTAAAGGTTCTGGATGCAAATCGTTGATATCCTTACCAACTTGTAAAGTGTCAATATCTCTAGACCAGTTGTCATTAAAAGAGTTTATATCAACTTTGAATTGATCGATCAGATATATGAGCATATCAAGTTCACCAAATCTGATTGCCATTCCAATAGTTAATAGATCACTGATGAATCTTCTATTAGACAAACACATTTTAAGTTGGTCAAAGTAGTTGTGTGCTGCCAATACCAAAGGTGTCTGACAGACTTCACTCCATTTGTAACTCATTACATTTTTCAAACTACATAAATTTTTAACTTGATTAAATATTATTTTATTCAATATTGTGTTATTAAACACTAATAAATATAATCTTTTATCCATTTCTATCTTTTTTTTTAAAGATTATTAAGTTTAAATCTCCCACAACGAGGTTGTTTGATGGAAATTTTTAAGAAAAATTAATGTTTTTATATTTATTCCTCAATCTTTTTTATTTAAAAAAAAATATTAATTAATTCTTGTATTTATTCTAATGTATTTAAATAAAATATCTATGTTTTTTGCTACAAAAAAAAAAGTGGTGGTTATTGTTTTTTTAAAGACCACTAACATTTTAAAACACTCTAACTTTCATACCATTTGTATTTTGAATTATCATATAATTAGTCATTAGTTATTGTTTATTGTTTTTATTATATATAATATTAAAATATTTTTATTTGATTAATATATACATTTTTACTCGTTTTATTAATTGTCATTAATGTTGAATAAAAAGCAACTAAAATGAAAAATTAAACTATATTAAGTCATTTTTTAAAATCACTTTCTCATTATATAACTATGAACTATATAAATAATAATCAATTAAATAAAACAGTTCGTTTATCACATGTATTATTAAAAAAAATAATATATTTTTTAGATAACAATATCGATAGAATTTGTTTTTCTTTAACATGTAAAAGATGGTTTAGTGAAAGAAATAGATACTTACAGTTTAATAATGAAATTGTCGTAGTGAAAGGAGAACATATTAATATGTTTTTGAATAGTTATAAATTAATATACATTTCTTCAATCAAACAAAAGAGTAATTGCCATTTGATAGTTCATAACAATCCTAATAAAAAATATGACCTTTATTGTTATCAAATGTCTTCAGGTATACTATGTATCAAATTTATTTGTATTCTAGAATATTCTAACTTAATATTGCTGTAAAAGAACAACTCAAAGATATCCCACCAAATGTTGGAATAATTACAATAGATAGTGATGATTCCGATTATGAACAAATATACAAAAAGATATCTAGATCAAACGTCACAGAGTTAAACAATTGTCATACACTGATGTATAAATTACCAGAAAATATTACATCATTATCTTTTTCATCCACATTTAATCAATCATTGCTGCCTTCTACGCTTCCAAAACAATTGAAAATTCTAAACTTAAAACGTTCAAATTTCAATCATCCCATCAGATATGGGATGATTCCAAATACCCTTGAAAAATTATATCTAGATAGTTCATACGATCAACCTCTTGAGCCGGGAGTATTACCATCGTCTTTGAAACATTTATTTTACTATGGAAATCATAATCTGAAAGTAGGATCACTACCTCCTAATCTAAAGGTTTTTGAATATTATGGAGATAATTTCATAATAGAAAATGAAAAGGGAATATTACCAATGACACTTGAATCATTGATAGCAAATATTTTATGGCTACCGGCTATCAAATCACTTTCAAATCTTAAATCACTAACTCTTCTTTATTATGGTAACAGTGAAGCTAAAATTGATTTAACCTTACTCCCTTCTTCACTTACAACTTTAAATGTTCATACCGGACATTTGATATCAAAGATGCCTACTTCAATCAAACAACTAAATTTATTTGCTGAAAGATATGACATAGAAGAAATATTTAAAGATAGATCTGAATACAAATTAGAATATTTAATGGTGAATGCAAACCAATATGAATCTTTAGATAATTTGAAGATTAAAGAATTAGATTTTGCAATTGACTTTGGATCAAATGAAACTAATGTAATTAATGAAATTAAAAAAGTTCCTAAAGGAGTAGAAAAACTTGTAATTAGACATGGTATATCATTATCAATTAAGAACATTCCATCCTCAGTTCGATGTTTAGAAATTCAATCACTAAATAGTTTAATAATTGAGGAAGAACAATCTCTACCTTGTACTTTACAAGAATTAATAATCAATGATATAGATCATAAATCTTTTCTCAATTTTATTTCACATACAAGAACACCAAACAATCTAATTTTCTATTTACAAGGCGAAAGAATCTGGCTTAGAAGGATTGACCTAAACTATTATCTATTTTTTAGTGAAGAACCAAAATTTATATCCTCAATGGTCCATAAATCACAGATTCACAATTTATTAGAATATTATATGACCTATCAAGTAGATTATATTCCTAAATGGGTGTAATTTAAACATTTTTAAAATCTTTATTGGACTATATGTATAAAATAGAATTATAAATGAAATTGGTTTGCTTTTCATTGGGTTTATGATGGAACTTCAAAAGTAATCGAATCTGCATAGTCACTTGATTTTTTCTGGCGGTAATATTCTAATATATCAAATGTTTAGTTAGATTTAAATAAATTTCTGTTTCTTTTTTTAACTTACCTTCTGCTAAGCAGATAGAATTTCCAATAATTGCCAATAAAATATCAAAAACAAATATTGATTTAGACATTTTTAATTTTATCTTTAAGAAAAATAGATTTGTTAATATAAAACAAAAAACTTAGTTCTGATTATAATAGAATAAACTACTCTATCATATCATTAAATACTTTTTCTAAATAATAATTTTAAGGTACCCATCAAATCAATAGACACCCATAAAATAGTTTTAATGTGATTTTTGTTCAAATTAGAGTTGTAATACTTATTCACCCGTAACTATACTTAAACTTATATGTATATATATCAGGTTTTAACAATTAACTTTATTCTTTTTTTTTAATGATATAAAAAAACTATATACCCAAAACGTATCGATAACAATTATATTTTATATCTTTATTTGAATTTTATTAAAAAACCATTAATAACTTCAATAGATTCTATTGAATTTGGGTATTTTGATTCCAGTAATTGTTTGTATGATTCAAGTTTACTTTTTGTTACAGTTTCTTTAAATGTTTCGAGAATAAATTGAATGATTTCGAATTCATTATACTGAAACAGTGTATTTGAAATCATATTGTTGAATTCATTGCTCTCTTTTAAAGATTTCATTTGCTTGTCATCGATATGATCAATGATCCATTTAACCAATGAAACATTCCCGTTGTTTATTGCTATATTCAAAAATGAAGATGAAATCTCTCCATATTCGGAAGAGGCATTGTCATACAACCAGAGTAAAACATCCATATTATCATGTTGCACCGCCAGTTCCATATAATTTCGATCTGCCTCGCTGTTATTCGATGTGATTTGTTTAAATAGATATTTTAAAGTATCTAAATGATTATTGATAATGGTGCTAGCAATAGCATCGTTAATCTCCAGACCAGTTGAGTTCCTAAGTATATATTCAACTATGTCGGTATAACCTTTTGATGCTGCAGTCGCGAGTAAATCTTCATCAAACTGTAAGAAGAGTATACATTCATTCAAGTATTCCAGCATCTTTAAGTCACCCTTCTGTATGGCTTTCAACAGTAGATCGTATCCATCACCACCGTAAACACCATTGTTTTGATGCAATAGAAACTTGAGAATATCCAACTTTTGATACTCGGCTGCCATGTCTACCAAATAAACAGTGTCGACATCGGTTTCTTTGATAGTATGCTCGTATAACCACTTGAAGATCTCATAGCTGCCCTCTACTGCACCGTATAACATATTCACTGAGAATCCTGAATTTCTATTCTCGTGCAACCACTTCATGATCGCAAAGTGACCGCTTTCTGCTGCGTACTCCATTTCCTGTTGTGAAACTGCTTCTGATCGATTCTCATGTAGCCACTTTACACATTCGAAATGACCGTTCTTTGCCGCGTAAGCAATGGTTTCCTCTGCAAACTCCTCGGTGCGATTAGCATGCAACCATTGTAGACACTCGATATTGCCTTGCGAAGCAGCAAATGTCATTGCCAAGGCAGTGCATGTAGCAGTCGTATTCTCGTGTAACCACTGCAATATCGACATATTGCCGTGATCTAAAAAACAATCCATTACACCAACTGTAAACGTTTGAATACCATTGCTAAACAAGAGGCGAAAGATATCAGAGCAATTCTTTTTGCTTGCAATATATTAGAAAGTTCACTCGATTCTTTCTCCACCAAATCTCTGTGATTCTTCAATAGATATTCGACCAACTGTAGATGTCCACCATTGACTGCAACTCTACAAACAACTTTACTTTTTTTCAAATCCTTTTCTCGCTCGGTCAGTAGATATTCAAACATATCTATTCTACCCATGAATGCAGCAGTCTCAAACACCGTACTGATAAACTCATAGTTATCGAACCGCTCATTCGGTGTATTGTTATGTTTCTCGGTAAAGTATTTCAACATCTCTAGGCTGTCAGAGAGCGGTGCCATCACCATTGCACGATAGTAATTCCACTGGTATCGAGTGTATTTTGCAACGAGATACTGAACAATATCCATTCTTCCATGTTGTGAAGCGTAACACAATATACTATTGATCGTATCGCAATGCTCTGGGAAGTGGTCGGACATATCACCAAAACCGAAATAAGATTGCGAGGTACTCCATGACTGATAGGAATTTAGATCGAGTTTTAATCGATTGATAAGATAAGAAAGCATTTCGGTACTACCAAACCTGATTGCAAGCTTAAGTGTAGGTGCTCTATCTATTTTCGTATTACTAGACATACATTGCTTAAGCTGTTCAGAGTAGTTATGAGCTACAAGAACATGTGGAATTCTAACAACTTCATTCCAACTGAAATGCTTTCTTCCGTTTAAACTTGAAATATTATTAACATATTTGAATATTATCTTTGATAATACACTATTATTAAATACCAATATATAAATACTCTTTTCCATTTTAATTCTAAGAAAATATATTAAATAAAATAGATTTTCAAAAAAAATTTTAAAAAGAGCTCAATAAATGTTTTGTAAAATTAAAATTGAGTCTTACCAATGATTTCTTCATATCTTCAATTTACAGTTATTGATTTTGGATATTACTTTATTTATTATTTTAAATTTTCAATTGATTCAATTTGTGTAAAATCAACAATGCACTGCTTGGCGTAGTTGAACGTAAGGACAGCTGGACTTTAAGAGGATAGTGGTCTGGAATTGTTGTGCCAGAGTGTTAGAGACGTCGTTAAACCGTGATAATAACGACATCGTGTAATAATATAATAATGTTATAATAATAAATAGTTTATGTATTTAAAGATGATGTTAAAATATAATGAAATTAATAATGTTTATTGAGTTCTTGTTTGCGCTTAAATACATTGTGTTCATTGATCGGTTAGCAGTAGTCGGTTGACTGATATCTTGGAACTACGATTCCAACACTGCCCTTCTTCTTCGAGGCAGCAGCCTGACAGGATTAAAAACTTATACGCGGCTTTGCATAAGAAAACCTTATCAGGACTTACGCGAGAGACGGGTGCCGACTCATCCGTCTGTAGAATCTGGAACTGAATGAGCAGAGCTAAACTTAGTCGCCAGAGTATTACCAGGTAACGGTACCCAAGCGAGAGCTCTTCCAACCTTAACCAAATATTCGACACGAGCTAATTTGGAAGTACCAAGAGTGAACTTGCGCTTGGCGAGGATGGCAACAATATCCTTTCTCCACTTGGTGTATGCTAGAACCTTTACATCATCTGCAATAATAATAGAAGGAGTGTTTGGTATGAAGTCGTCGCTGTTGATGTATGATATAATGTTTTTTGTCGCTATTATTTCTGATTTGTTAAGATTGCATTTTAAATTATGATCGAATTTGTCCACTTCGTTACGTAGTTCGTTAAAATTATTTTCGACATTTCGCAAAATTGATTTTGATAAATTATTTGATAAAGTTCCACGTGCGGTGATGTTTTGATGAAATTTTGAATCATTCGAAATAAATTTAAAATAATCGATATTTAAATTATTATTATTATTATTGTTATTATTATTAGAGTTATTAGAGTTATTATTATTATTAATAAGTAAGTTATCGCTATCATCGTCATCGACATCCATGTCGTCGTTATTGTTATTGTTATTGTAGTTGTTATTGTTATTATTTTCATTATCATCGTAGTCGCTATCATCATCGTCATTTAATTCATTATCCTCCATGTCATCCTTGTCAACACTACGTTCGACATTTATGTCTACTCTACTTTCGACATTTTTCAGCCCCCTCCGTGTGTGACGGCGTATAGGCCTCGGACTATCGTCATAGTCGTCTGAACTATCGCCAACGGTACTACCCCGATCGGTCTCCGCCGTAGCACCGTTTTCGACTAATAAGTCGTCGACATCATTAATTAAATTATCGTTCATCTTTGGATCGTATAACATTATGTGTTTCGAATTAAACTTCTTCTTCTTTGTGCTTATTCCATCTTTTCCAATCACATCTATGAATATATTATTATAATTATCGACTTCCACTACTTTTCGCGGTCCTTCATACCTCACATCCAATTTCTTTTTCTTACCATCTCTATTATTATTGTAGAAAACGTAATCACCTACCTTGATTTGGTTTTCTTTTTTACCTTTGTTCCATGTAAATCTCATTTCTTGATTTCCAATACAGATGTTTCGTTTGACTAACTTAATGATTGCTTTCCTTTCCTTAATAGATTCGATGATTTGCTTATCAGTGACGTCGACCAGAGCATCCGATTCTTTGACGAGGTTGAGTGGTGTTAACGGATTGTGCCCCAAATAGATCTTGAACGGTGTGTACTCGGTAGTAGAATGAACAGTAGAATTCAATGAAAACTCGACAGTATCGATGTGCTTAGACCAGGAACCAGTAGTATTGTGGAGACGGTCATCAACCATAAGCTTTCTAGTTGCATTCTTGACTGCACGAATGATTCTTTCAGCTTGTCCGTTGGCTTGTTGATTGGATACGGCCGATGTGGAGTGGTGAATACCGTACGCTTTCGTCAACTGCTTGAATAACTTAGAGGTCAATTTAGAATCGTTATCAGAAACAATTTCAATCGGGATACCATGGAGTTTAAAGATCTCTTTATGAAACAGATCAATCACCTCTTTACTGGTATAGTCCGAACCTAAAGGAATCAGTCTGGTCATTTTAGATAAGGCATCGACGACGACCATTATAGCGTCAACCTTCCTACCCATGTACTCCTCGACTGGTAGATTTGGGATGAAGTCGATGTTAATACGTTGGAAGCATTTGACTGGAATGGGCAATGGAATCAGGTGGCCAATTCTTTTTCGTGCATGGTCGCTGGCACGTCGACAGACGATACAGTCATCACAGTACTTCCTGATATCTGCCGCCATGTTCGGCCATACGTATAGTTCGGATATAGAATGGAGAGTTTTGGAGGCCGACCTATGACAACCGAATTCAGAATCGTGGGCTTGATATAGTAAATTATTGACTATTGACATGACTCTAGGTACTATAATCTTACCGTCGTGGGTGTATCGGAGACCGTTGATTGTCGTGTAATCAGTGATTCTGTTACTAAGATTGGAGTTGTCCTCTATGCGGTAACCGTCGATGATGTCATTGGCGATCGTTGGATGACTAAGTGATACGGATACATTGAATGTGTACCTAGACAAACCATCGGCGATCGTATTGTCCTTTCCTTTGATGAATTTGATCTTTGGTTGGTAAAGATTAATGTGTGCGATCCAGCGATTAATAGTTTGGTTGATACCGATCTTGTTGGCCTCGTTGATGTAGGTGATGTTCTTATGGTCAGTACGAATCTCGATATCTCTGCCGAAGATGTGATAGTAGTTGGCTTTCAACGCAGTAACGATGGCTAATAGTTCCTTTTCCAGTGTTGAATAACGTGTTTCCGAATCTTTCAATTTCTTGGAACCATAGCAGATTACATTCTCTTTACCGTCTACCAATTGAAACAATCGATATCCGGTACCGACATCGGAAGCGTCGCATTCAAATATAAACGGAAGATCGTAATTTGGTGGGAACAACGATGGCTTCTCTTTAATTGCTGATTTGATAGTATCGAATGCAAGTTGGCAATCATCAGACCAGTGGAATGGAGCGAACTTTCTAAGCAGGAAAGTGAGTGGTGCTTGGACAGTGGCTAACCTCGGAATGAATCTATTGTAGTAGTTAACAAGACCGAGGAAACTACGTAGCTCGTCTTTGTTGTTCGGCTCTTTCCAAGCGATGATAGAATCGATCTTGTCCTGCAGTGGGTCTATTTTGCCATTACCAACCATGTGACCAAGGTAGTCGACAGATCGAACCAAGAATGTGCATTTTGATAAGTTGACATGTAAGTTGTTCTTTCTAAGTATTGTGAATACATGCTTGATACCATCGATGTGTTCGGTAATAGAAGAATTATTGGTCATAATTAATAAATCGTCTAAGTATACTAATAATAATTTTTGAAATACTTCCAATTTAAATACAGAATCCATGAAAGACTGGAAGACCGCTGGTGCATTTGATAATCCGAATGGTATAACCGTGTATTTGAATGAACCAAATGGACAACGAAAAGTGGTCTTGTCAGCGTCTTGTAGGTTCATGCGAAGTTGGTGGTAACCATGTAGCAAGTCCAACTTGCTTAGCCAGTGAGCAGCCTTGGTACGGTCGAGCAGTTCGTTGATACGTGGAAGCGGATAAGAGTTCTTGACGGTAGACTTATTGAGTTGGCGGTAGTCGACACACATACGCCAGTTACCAGTTTTCTTCTTAACGAACAATACTGGAGCGCCGTATTCAGCGTTAGATGGAACGATGAAACCTTTATGTAGCAAGTCCTTGATTTGGTTGTGTAGTTCCTCTAACAGTGATTGCGGAACAGGGAACATCCTCTGTTTCTGGACAGGTGCGTTTAAGTTGATCTTCATATCCACATCCTCTCGGAATGGTGGTGGTGAAGTCATTGGAGATACCACATCCTGGAAATCGCTTTTCAACATGTTAATGATGTCCTCTCGAACACCATCAAGACCATCTGCCGAAGTAGCGGTGGCGTTCGCAGTAAGAGTAGTGGCTGTCGGCAGTGGAGTCTTCACGTCATCAGGGTCAATCCATACCAAGTAACTATCAGCAATATCAGCGGTGTTAATATGCTCGATGCCAGCGTTAGTTGGATTACTTGGATTAAGGGTGGCCATGGTCATAGGAGAGTACCCAAACTTATTGAAATTCCCAAAATGGAAATTTTCAAAATCAGTTTTTAATTTTTCCTTGGTGACGTGGATTTGGTGACAAATTTTTGTAATTTCGTGCAAAATGTCACATTTCTGAGTTGACGCAAATAAACATTTCAAAGCAGATTTCCTTTTACGTCCAGATACATGAAAATCGATGTTGTTGCGAAGCGCACTATGATTAGTGGTACCTCTTCTGAATGTTTTAACTATATTATTAGAAATAGTGAGTGTATTATCGACAATTCTAAAATCTAGTTTGGCTAGTGAATCTACACCGATGATACATACTTTAGGGTCCACATCCGCAATGATAAAATCCATTGGAATATGGACACGGTGACCTTTAACGGTGGTGAAACCTACAAGCAATGAGACCATACCATCTGCACGTGTGGGGGTACCATTGACACCACATATATTAATGCATGCAGGAGTGAGGGGTGTGGCCAACTTAAGATTATTCCAAACGGTTCTAGAAAGTAGATTAATCTCAGAACCAGTGTCAAGCTTAGCGTCTTTGGTAATTCCATTGACAAAAATAGGAACGTATGGTAAAGAAGACGTATCGACAGAGCCGACCATTTTATTTATGTACGGGTTTTTATCACCAGAACTAGGGCGATCTGAGTGTTTGGGTCTGTCAGAGCGACTATCTGAACGACGATCTGAATGTCTGAATCTATCACGTTTATCGCGGTGATATGGGCCACGAGGCTTGCGACATTCAAAAGATTTGTGACCAGGGAGACCACAATTGAAACACTTAAAGCTGGGCTTAGAAACGTGATGTGTGGTTTGACCAACCGACTTGTTAGCAAAACCAGGGAAGTGCTTGTCAATCCAACCACATGGATCAGCAACGTCAAGTTTCTCGAGATGGGATTGGTTCACGTTCTTAGCTGAATAATGGAATGCGAACAACTCCTCAGCTTTGCGAAGGCATTGTGAGAGATCGGTAAACTCACTCAAACGGGTACGGATCTCGCCCAGGTTGATGAATGCAGCTTTATACATGCGGACGTTGATGGCTTCACCCATATTCATAATTCTGGCAAGGCGGTTGAAAGACATGTTGAAGCTGGTGATTGACCATTTTGGATCGTATACTACTTGGTGTGAAAACTTGGCATATAGTGAGTCAGCATCAATCTTACAACCGAAAACTTTTACTAGAGCAGCGGACAACTCGGCGAAATCCTTGTAAGGGATTCTGTTGGCAAAGAAAAAGCTAAAGGCGTCAGGTGTCAGCCATACCTCGGTAAAGTTGAAACGGTGCTCCTCCGGAACCAGATTATAGATCGCATCTATCCATGAGTAGATGTCATCACCTAATTTAAACTTCTGGATCGAGCCAATCACTACCTTATTCGAGTTCAGCCACGTGTTGAAACTTGATGAATTTGGATCGGCCGCAAAAGTAGCAGTGGTCCAATCGTAAGCTTGCTTTACGGAGATGGAATACATGGATAACACTTTGACAAAGAAATCGCAAAAGCTCTTATGAGTCGATCTTAAAGGGTCATTCCTGCAAAGGAAATCGTTAACTGTCATCATAGCACTAGCGTGATTGCGAGGCACTGTTCGTTTGGTTAAACCGGCAGGGGTGGTGGGCTTAGTAGGGGTCCGTTTAAAATATGGCGTAAAAGGAAAAGACTCTTCTGAGTCCACCATGTTAGAGACGTCGTTAAACCGTGATAATAACGACATCGTGTAATAATATAATAATGTTATAATAATAAATAGTTTATGTATTTAAAGATGATGTTAAAATATAATGAAATTAATAATGTTTATTGAGTTCTTGTTTGCGCTTAAATACATTGTGTTCATTGATCGGTTAGCAGTAGTCGGTTGACTGATATCTTGGAACTACGATTCCAACACAGAGACTAGTGACAGAGGTGCCAGCGGCAACCATAGATAGGTTAACAATATTCTATCCAATCTTTTAGGGGATATTGGTAGGTGGTAGAGTGCCAATTCATTTTCACAAGTGAACTCTTTAAAAAAAAAAAATATCTTTTTATTGCCTATAATGAGCACTAAATGCCAAAAATTTGCATTCACATATTTATGATTTGGGTTGATGTCAACGCTCATCAATATTTATAGGACCAATCAAAGCTATTAGTCACTATTTTTTTTTAAAAACTCCTTTGATATTGAATTCAGATGTGATCAATTTAAATCAAGTTTAACATTGATATTACCTGTTCTTTTGAAATCGATATCTTTTTGTTCAGAGTTCAATATAAAGAGGTAAAGATTTATGATAATGATTATCTCTAATTTCTTTTATGGTATAATTATAACTATCTCAATATAAATATAACATCAGTTACAAAGTTAGATACAAATACTTAGTTGCACTATCATCGAAGTAGAGATGTAATGTAAGCATACAGCGGCAGCTTTGTGATCATGGTACTTCTAGAAATCCAATACTGTGTGCTCTCGAAAGAGCACTTGGGTATACGAACAGTGATTGTTACTCCTTTCCTCTTGCCGGATCCACTCTCTCTTTCTGAAATGAAGTTTCTTAAAATCCGAAAGGAAACTCAGCAATTCAACAAAAGAACTGGCGTCAGTACATGCAGCACCTCTGTAGTGCAGACGAATGTTGGCATAGTCTGAGTATGCCAACACACACCTCCTCCACGAGGATATCACGTAGCTGTACAAAGTTCGACATCATCAAAATGCAAATAGATATGATAAACAAGATAAGACTACCGAGATTCAGCGGTACTGTAAAATCTAGATGATTAAACAGAGAACGAGAATATAACTGGAATATTGATTGAATATGTATTTGACATATTTGAATTCATATCTTTAAATTTCAATAGAATAAATAATAAATAAGCATTAATTATATCCTGATTTTAATCGAAGTGATCTTTTTTATTTAAAATGTTCTTCTAGTTTTAAATGTAGATCGATGATGTATTCTTCTTTGATTTGATTGTTTTGAGAATCCAAAAAGCCTCTGATATTGGATAAATTGTGTGTTGAATATGAATGTCTAACTATTAAAATCTGCACTCTTGATTAAAATAGAAGATTTAAAGCAAATTTAGAATGAGTCAATATCTATTCTTTGTCCTCCAATAAATAGGTTTTCAATATGTTGTGGTAGATCTTTTCTATCGATGTGGTTCGTCATTGATAAAGATTTCAGTGATTCAGGTAAGACATCGACTGATAATTTTTGATTGAATCCATCTCCAAACACCAATGATTTCAGTGATTCAGGTAAGACATCGACTGATAATATTTGATTGAATCTATTTCCAAATGATAATAATTCAAGTGATTTAGGTAAAACACCGACTGATAATATTTGATTGAATCTATTTCCAAACACCAATGATTCAAGTGATTCAGGTAACACACCAACTGATAATATTTGATTGAATTCATTTCCAAACACCAATTCTTTCAGTGATTTAGGTAACACAGCAACTGATAATATTTGATTGAAGGAATATCCAAATACCAATGATTCAAGTGATTCAGGTAACACATCAACTGATAATATTTGATTGAATCCATATCCAAACACCAATGATTCAAGTGATTTAGGTAACACACCAACTGATAATATTTGATTGAATCCATTTCCAAACACCAATGATTCAAGTGATTTAGGTAACACACCAATTGATAACTTTTGATTGAATCTATCTCCAAACACCAATGATTCAAGTGATTCAGGTAACACACCAACTGATAATATTTGATTGAATCTATCTCCAAACACCAATGATTCAAGTGATTCAGGTAACACACCAACTGATAATATTTGATTAAATTCATCTCTAAACTCCAATGATTCAAGTGATTCAGGTAATACACCAACTGATAATATTTGATTGAATTCATTTCCAAACTTCAATGATTTCAGTGATTTAGGTAACACACCAACTGATAATATTTGATTGAATGAATATCCAAACTTCAATGATTCAAGTGATTTAGGTAACACACCAATTGATAATATTTGATTGAATCTATCTCTAAACACCAAAGATTCAAGTGATTGAGGTAACACACCGACTGATAATATTTGATTGAATTCATTTCCAAACTCCAATGATTTCAGTGATTGAGGTAACACATCGGCTGATAATATTTGATTGAATCTATATCCAAACACCAATGATTCAAGTGATTTAGGTAACACACCAACTGATAATATTTGATTGAATTCATTTCCAAACACCAATGATTTCAGTGATTCAGGTAACACACCGACTGATAATATTTGATTGAATCTATCTCCAAACACCAATGATTCAAGTGATTCAGGTAACACACCAACTGATAATATTTGATTGAATCCATTTCCAAACTCCAATGATTTCAGTGATTTAGGCAACACACCAACTGATAATATTTGATTGAAATATCCAAATACCAATGATTTCAGTGATTTAGGTAACACACCAACTGATAATATTTGATTGAATGAATATCCAAACACCAAAGATTCAAATGATTCAGGTAACAAACCTACTGATAATATTTGATTGAATGAATATCCAAACACCAATGATTTCAGTGATTTAGGTAACACACCAACTGATAATATTTGATTGAAATCATTTCCAAAATTGATCTCAGTGACATTGACGGAGGTATTATGAAATGGAGTATTTAAATTGAATGTAATTATCTGATTATTGGTTACAGTTTCAATATATTGGTTTAATAATTGATTCAATGATTCTCTATTCTTTGGACTCTGATCCAACAATCGATGAATAAATTCAATCAATTGTTTTGAATATCTGAATTCTGAAATCTTAATTTCACGTTTGGTTTGGAATAGTTGATGATTATTTCGATCATCTTGATGACTGATCAATTTAAATATTCAAAAATACAGAGTTAATATCTGATTGATAATAATATTTTAAAAATGATTATTCGAGTATTTACCAACATAATAATTTGAGAATTGTTGATCCAATTGAAAAGATGTCACATGATTGTGCATATTGTCTGTTCATTGCTTCCTAATCGTATGATTATATTAAATTAAGTTTTTTATAAATGTAAATAACAATCAGTTAAATAAATAAAATTTACTTACTGGTGAAATATAACCAATTGTTCCACGTGTTGCATTTATGAGTGTGTTTGGGTACATTTTACAAATACTTGATTCTGATAGTTCGATATAAATACAATTTCGATTGGAATCACTTGATATCACAATAAGTGGTTCAAGAATGTGGTCTTTTGTATCTGGATATTCAATGATTGTTGATTCACCAATGAATTCACAACATCCAAAATCACCAAGAATCAAAGTACCATAAGCATCAGATTCATTAATGAATATATTTGATGGTTTAATGTCACAATGAACATTCCTTTGTTTATCAAGATCCAAAAGAATATTGAAAAGTTGTGAAATATAATTACCGATATCTGATTCTGGAAAGATTCTATTTTTAAATTCAATATAAAAGTGGTTAATTGCTTGATAAAAGTCATGTTATTTAATATTTGATATATACTGATTTATATCAGTTAAATGTTTATACTTTTGGGAAAGATCACCACCACCACAATATCCAGTGATGATATGAAAGATTTGATTGTATTTATCATGATGATAGTCAACAAGTTGAACAAATCTTCTCCAATTACCTTTGAGTAATTTCATTGCTTTGATTTCATTCTCAGCTCTTTCATAAGATTTTTGATTATCTTTAAAATTTATCTTTTTATAAACATACTTTTGAATTGATTTTGTTAGTTTTATAATTGTCAATTGTTTAATTACTTTGAAAAATGATGTCAATCGATTCAAATTGATCTTACCAATATATGATCATCAGTACCACACACTAAATATACATCATTGATAGCATTACTGTTTGGAAATCTTGATATTGAATGATATCGTTTGTTATTAATGATATGAGATTGTTTGAAATAGTCAAGGTTTTTTTTGAATAGATTGTTTTCAAAATTGATTGTGTATGATTGTGATTTGTTTAATAGCTCGACACATATCGATTTAAAATCTACTCGGTAAGAATGCATTATTATTAACTGATATTGAGTATCGACAGTATCTGGTATTACAATCTCATTATTATTTTGATTAATATTTCCAATTAATGTGATATTTGTGTGTTGTTCATTTTCTTTATCTTTCAAATGATTATAAACTAAAACTATGTATTGTTGAAAGTTATTAAGATTAATTTTCAATACATTTTTTCCATTGATTAATTTATCTGTTAGCTTGATATTATTCATTTTGAAGTATTTATAATTCATTCATTTCAAAAATAAAAATAGTCAAGTTAAACCAAAACTTTGATTTTATTTGAGAAATTATTAAAATTAAATATAATTTTTTTTTTTCCAATTTTTCATTTTCCAGAATTTGATCTGTCTCTGAGCATTATCTTTTTAAAAACGTTACTCACACCCACACTGAAATAAAAAGGGTTTTAAGTTTTAAAATGTAATTTTTTTAACAATAACTTGTAATGTGGACGATTTTTAGTTAAAAATAAATTTTAATATTAAATAAATTGACAATTTAAATTACAAATTATTATTAATTTTATTCGATTTGATCGAAAAGATCATCAACAGAATCAGATTTCGATGGTTGATTGTTGTTGATTGCAATGGTCTTGCGTTTAGAACCGAGGAATTCTTTTGATTCTTTTTCAGTGATTTCACTGTCATCACTTTCATTGTTTGTGATCAATCCGATCTGATTGTAACGATAAGTTGCCAAAAGTCATCACGATTCTTTGATTCATAATAATCACGAAGTTCACCTGAATACCAATGATTCTGATTCTTTGATAGACCCACGACAACGACACACTCCAATGCCTTCTGATAGAATTGATCTTTGAGTGAATCGTTTACCAGTTGGACAATACGTTGTTTCATTAATGATATCGCTTTGTCTACCAGATCGATATCACGTCTTGCCAACATATCTTTGAAGTTCTGCACTGGATTGATCAAACCGACTTCATTGACGTAACCAGACACCAGCTTGTCGAGTGAGTAATCTGCAAGATCGTCTGCCTTTCTCTTTTTCGATGTGTTGGCATCGTCTGTAACATAGGAATCCAAACGAATCTCTTGTTGTTGTTCGACCAACATTCCATCTTGCCATCGATATTTAGGTTCCGATTTAAAGTTGGTGGTGATTAGTTGAAAGCATAAGAAATATCTTTGATCAGTTTTTTATTTTTTATTGCTCTACTTTTGTATTTTTTATAATTAAATAATAATAATGAAATCAAAGAAAACAATCAGAAATAATATCAAATATAAATATTATTTATCTTATAGAGAAGCTGAATATCGAAAGTAAGGTGCTTGATGGGTGGTGCACTTCAAGAGTCCAGATAGTTACCTAGATGGTGCATCCATGCGTAATTCATTGCGCTACCAGCATGTAAGAAACGCCTCTTAACGTTCTCCATCAGCATTGAGCAGTTGGTTAAGACAGGCTTTTCTTTAACATAATGCTGTGAGTTAGGTGGACAGCAAGTGAACAGGATGTCATTCAGGTGTTTCTTTATCCTAATAAAGACATCCTGTGCAAACTTGTTGCGTTGACAAGTTTGGAGTAAACTCACGACGCGTTTTGACTTTAAACCATTCATTCAGTTTAACCCACCATCATGAGAGCTATTGATGATAAGATCAACAATGCACTGCTTGGCGTAGTGGACGTATGGACAGCTGTACTTTAAGAAGACCAGTGGTCTGGAATTGTTGTGCTAGAGACTTAATAGTTATGATTGCTAACGGAGATCTGACCTTTGTTTTCATAGAGGGTTTTTACATTCCGGAATATCTCAAAAAGATATACTATACATGTATTAAAGAAAAATAATAAATAGTTTATTTATAAATTTAGAATTTTAAAATTAAATGTACATCCTCTGGTTCTCTATCATATAACTCTTGATCGAGGGTATCAACTAGTTTGCAACCTTGAGCTATATAAAAGTCGACTGTATTTTTGCCTGGAATTGCAGAGATATATAAACCATTGACACCATCGATTTGTTTTGCTCGCTCAATACATTGTCGCCACAGTGACTTGCCAAAGCCTTTTCCACGTAGTTCCACACCAATGAAAAAGAACACCAAAGTCAAGATGTCATTATCTACACCGATTTTCTTGGTATCCAGAACAGCAGCACCCAAAACTCTATTTGAAACGGGATCTCGTATTACACAGAAATAACCACCGCGATCGAAACAATCTTCCAACACAGGATTATACTTTTCTGGCTCACCAGGAGGAAATCCATTGTAAACTTGATACTTTGGACATTCCACTAAAACTTTACTTCCAGCATCATCTTTACTAACTTTATATATTGATTTAATTACTTCTGATCTATCTATATCCCATAGTGATCTTATCTGATCTCTATATATTGATTCTTCTATTTTATACATGATTACTATTATTAACCCTATTACTACTAACAATATTAAATATAATGATCAAAATGTAAATCATCAATTTATAGATGACCACAACCAACCCCACCATCTTTAATTGGTTTTAAAGATGAATTACATCATCAGATACTGAGATTATTTTAAGAATGAATATATCAAAAACTAAAATTTGATCATCTTTCCCACCACAAAACTAATCACAAATTTTTCTATTTTTGTTAAAATTTGTAGATCTTAAAATATTGATTAAAAAGAAATATATAATTTGTATAACCAATTATATTATATTATACAAATAAATAATAATTTATTATTTGTTGAGTATTGTTAAAATTGTTAGTATAGTGACAGCCCTTAAGTGCCATATCTTTACATTTGAGATAGTTTATGTTGTTTCGGAATGTTTGATTTTCTGATATTTTTTGTATTAAAAACTCTACAATGCTTAAATAACCATCTCTAGAAGCCTGCATAAAGTACATGTTATAATCGGTTCCATTCTGTTGTGATTCGAAAAGATACTTTAACACATCGACTTGATTGCTTTTCACTGCTTCGAATGTTGATTTTTGTAAATATTTCTTGGCATAGTCTGCACCACAAAGTAAATTGAAAACATCTAATCTATTACTGGAGATGCTCTTTTCTATACAAGCTTGAAGTGCAGGACAATCGGTGTGTTGAATATCTCCAATGTTCTGAGTGTATAGATACTCTATCAAATCGAATCTAGCAAAGCTTGCAACTGTAGTATAGATATCTTCAAAACTCTCTTGATTCGGTTGTTTAGTGAGGTAGTAAGCGATATCTTCTACACCTGCATATTGCAATATTCCTTTGTCGATCTGATATCCTTTTTCTAGGTGACAACCATGTTCTACCAACCATTCTGTTATCTTGTGGGAATAGGAAAGGTTGATGATAATTGGTGCGTTATCACTTGCAAGCCATTGCTGTCCATACAGACTCCATAGATACTCTATCATCTCCTGAGCAAACCTGTAGTCTTGCATGTGTAGGACAAGACCAAGTAATCGATGAGAAACATTGGCAAATCGGTTGGCGAGTTGCTCTCTCAAAGAGATAACGCATAAACTCTATATTCCTATAGTTAATAGCATAGATTAAGATCTGTTCATTATACTCCATCGACATATTACAATGTTCCACCAAGTAACGGACAATCTCGAATTTACCAGCTTTAATAGCATTGTATAGCGATTCTACAGTGCATCCTTCACTTCTATTCTCATTGAGAAACTTGACTATTTCCAAGCTATTTTCTGCAGCTTTGTCAATGGCACTAGTTGTACAAAACTTTTTGTTCCCCATATCGACATGTTCAGTGTTGTTGTGCAGCCACTCCACTCCAAGAAGACTATTCTTCGCGATGAAATCCATGCTAGCCGATATCTTGTAGTTGTGTTTCTTTCACAAGATAGTGTAAACACTTTGTACAATAGTAAATCAATGCAAGGTTTGCTAGTTCCGGTGCCTTTGGAATCTTTAGATCTTCAAACAAATATCTGAGTGTATCGACTTGGTCATTGAGAATTGCTGTCTCCACAAGAGTACTACCATGCTGCTGCATCAATTCATTGTCGTCGACTTTAAGGAATTTCAGTAGGTTGAAATCCAAAGCAGTGACAGCTGCACTTATTGCACTATCGAAATCGATGACATATTCTCTCTCCTGCACGAGATAGTCAACCAAGTCATGATGCTTTTTGTTGATTGCACCCGATAGCTCTATACCATTGAATAGATACCTTATGATACGTTTGTTTCCGGTTGCTGTAGTTTTCGTGGGTCGTCAATTAAGTGTTTTTACATATTAACGCAGAAGGAGTTGTGCCAGCATTTTTTTTTTTTCAATATTTAAATCGATCGATATATTTTAATATGAAAAACAAAAAATTGCAAAAAAAAATGTGAAAAATGGATTTCATGAGGAGGGCTTTCTGCAGCAAGTTCGAAAACCACTCAACTGATGGTAGCTTAACAAAAAACACATGGATTACCTGCCAATTTACAAACAAACTTGCCAAATGTTACTTACAATGATGATTGTACTGATACTATACCACATGAAAAACAATGCTCATCTAACCAAGTTTTAGAAATTTATACATCTGATGGTAATAATTCAACAAGTTCATTTTCAAAAAATTCTGCCAATAAACGTAAACTTTTAATACAATCTATCACTTTTTGATATTTATTTGTTTGATTTTTTTTTCTTTTTTGTTCTTGGGAGTCCCCTAGAATTAGTGAATATCACACTTTTTTTTTCCAATTTTTTTTCATGACAACGAAGTGCAACAACACACTCCAATGCCCCTGATCTTTGAGTGAATCGTTTACCAGTTGAACAATACGTTGTTTCATTAATGATATCGCGACAATAATGCTTGTTTGGTTTCATGATCTCTGTCAATCCTTTATTATGACAAAAGTCAAATAAAAGATGATTTATATTTTATCTTATTTTCATCTCTAAAGTCTAAAGAAACGATAGAATAATAAATAGATTATTATAATATTTATTATTAGTATAATAATAAAGTAAACTAACAATCAAAATTACTTTTTTATTTTTCGAAAGATTTTATTGAAAAAGTTATAACGTTACCTCTTTTTATTTGATCTTGATTAGTTGCAAATCAAAATCACCAGAAATATCTTTGATCTGTTTTTTATTTTTTATTGTTCTACTTTTGTATTTTTTATAATTAAATAATAATAATGAAATCAAAGAAAACAATCAGAAACGATATCCAATCTATTTTAATTGATAAAATCAGGTAGTGCATCACATTAATATATTATATTCAACCAAAAAGTTTACAAACAAAAATAGGTGATCAAGTAATGAATATTAAATTAACTTTGAAGTATAAAAGAATGAATATCATACTTTCTTATTAAATATTAAATAACAAATCAGATTTAGTGGCCACTTACTTGCTGTACACATCATATATCGATCCAATCATTTCTCGTTTGCCACAGTCAAACAGATTATCTCGATTCCAAAGAAACAATTAAATATCTTTTGTTCGAAAATGGTACTATCGATAGTTTAATTGATGATCGATTATGTTCATCGCTACCAATATAAATATAGATAAACTTTGTATTGAAAAGTGGAGTGATCTTACTCCAACGCAGAACATACCACTTGATGATGCCAGACTTCAAGAGCAGAGTTAAGAATCATAGACCAAGTAGAGTCGATTCCACCCAGAGGGATGGCAGTCCATTCTATCTGCAATTGACAAGAGACATCAGATCCCAAGGAAATGATCGGTTCGACAAGAGAAGATCCCGAACGTTCTGACACTATTCAGTGTATTTAACCACTTACCACTTGTTTATCCATCGATTCACCAAGTCATCAACTCTTTGATCAATTGTAAGTATATCTTGTAATTGACAGCAAGTTAATGTTAATGAGTCTACTGTTGTGGCCTATAACTAACCAGTCATCTTTTTTAAATATTGTTGTGATCAATCATCTTTTTTATAGTCAGATGGAATCAGATGAGGATAAGATAATAGATCATCAAATTAAAATACTTCCGTTAGTAATGGTGTGACATTATCGGTGAATTGAATGTACATCGCGCCGTTGAAACCATCAGGTCCAGGAGTGTTGTATTTATCTCATAGAGCAGCTGAATATCGAAGTTGGGTGCTTGATCGAGGTGATCGGTGATCCCTGGTTCTGCACTTCCAAGAGTCCAGACAGTCACCTAGACGGTGCATCAATGAGTAATTCAATGGGTTGCCAACATGTAAGAAACACCTCTTAACCTTCTCCATCAGCATTGAGCAGTTGGTTTAGACAGGCTTTTTCGAACATACTATTAGTTAGGTGGACAGCAGGTGGACAGGATGTCATTCAGGTGTTTCTTGGCGTAGTTGAGCATATGGACAGCTGGACTTTAAGAGGATAATGGTCTGGAATATATAATAGTTGTGACAGAGGTGCCAGCGGCAACCATCGATTGGTTAATAATATTCTATCCAATCTTTGATGGGATGTTGGTATGTGGTGGCATGGTCAACTCATTTTCACGTAAGTGCGATAAAAGCGAGACCCATATCGATCATACCGTGCGTAGTCGTAAGAGAGTTTACAAAGAACGCTAGGTCATCATGGTCATCGGATTGTTACCAATAAGGATCATACAAGTAGAGACAATTGAAGTCGCCGGTAATGACGTCGATCTTAGTGGACAGCAGGACATCTATCTTGGAAATTTTCTTGACGAATTTGTTTAATGGCATCACGGTTGGCAGTGACGTAGATCGTATGAATATTAAACGGAATACCATTATGAGTGCCACATACAAGTAGGAAACTCCCGCCAAGGTCATACACCATGGTTTAGCATAATGTAGTTGACGGTTTTAACGATCTCCACGCCAATGCGTCTGCCATTGACACACAAGTGATAGAGTCGTTCCTGTATTACCGAGATAGAGAATGGTCATCTACGCCGCAGTTGAATGCCATAATATGAGATTTAACGTCGCGTAGAGATGGAACTGTGATGACCACTGCACATTCAACGCCTGATATATGGGACGAGCGATCATTGATTTGCAGTCGCCATTGGAGCCTTTAGCAGTTTGATCTCATTAGGGTAGAGCCAGGTTCTCTCTGTCACTTGCTGACATCTTTGGCGGACCAGCCAAGAATAACTTTGCAAGTCGTGGAAGCTAACGGTTTCGTCAAACAAAGAATGAACTGCGTCGCGACTCCATCCGCGAAGTAAAGAGAGATGTAATGATTAGATCGGAAGTAGATATCCCGTTAATAAATGTGCTGAAGAAAGTTCTCTTGGGGTACAATAGCAATGATTCTGACTCCTTTCCTTTTGACAAAGCCAATCTCCATTGAGTTCCTCTTTCCAAAGGGAAGTTGGAGAACTTCCGACAAGAACTTCAGCGAGTCAACATATTGGATGGCGTCAGTACTGGCACTATTCAGTGTATTTAACAACTAACCACTTGTTTATCGATCCATTTATTTTCTTCATATACCGATACACCAAAGTCATCAACTCTTTGATCAATTGTAAGTATAGTTTGTTATCTTCATTAAGCAATGTAATGAGTCTACTGTTGGACTATAACTAACCATTCATCTTTTTAAATATTTTAATGATATTTTTTAGAGTCAGATGGAATCAGATGAGGATAAGATAATAGATCGTTGAATTTAAATACTTCGGTTATTAATGGTGTGAAAGTATCGGTGAATTGAATGTACATCGCTCCTGTGATACCATCAAGTCCAGGTGCATTGTATTTATCTTATAGAGAAGCTGAATATCGAAAGTAAGGTGCTTGATGGGTGGTGCACTTCAAGAGTCCAGATAGATACCTAGATAGTGCATCCATGCGTAATTCATTACGTTATCAGCATTTAAGAAACGACTCTTAACGTTCTCCATCAGCATTGAGCAGTTGGTTAAGACAGGCTTTTCTTTAACATAATGCTGTGAGTTAGGTGGACAGCAGGTGAACAGGATGTCATTCAGGTGTTTCTTTATCCTATTAAAGACATCCTGTGCAAGATTGTTGCGTTGACAAGTTTGGAGTAAACTCACGACGCGTTTTGACTTTAAACCATTCATTCATTTCCACCCACCATCATGAGAGCTATTGATGATAAGATCACAATGTACTGCTTGGCGTAGTGGACGTATGGACAGCTGTACTTTAAGAAGACCAGTGATCTGGAATTGTTGTGCCAGAGACAAGTGACAGAGGCAATCAACGATTGTTTTACAATATTCTATCCAATCTTTTAGGATGTTGGTCAGTTTCTTTAGACAAAGAATGCACTGCGTCGCCACCATCCTCGAAGGTAATGATGAGACCAGAAGTAGATATCCGGTTAGATGAATGGTGCAGCCAACATGGTTCTTGTAGAAAGCCAATACTGTATGCTGTCGAAAGAGCTATTGGGTATAATAACAGTGATTGTGACTCCTTTCCTCTTGTCGGAGCCACTCTCCCTTGATTTCCTCTTTCCTAAGCGAAGTTCCTTAACTCCCGACAGGAACCTCAGCGAGTCAATATATTGGCATGTTTCAATGCCCAATAGTTGCAACATCCATATGGATATCTTTAAATTAAATAGAATAAATAAGAAATAATAAATTAACCAGTAAATATATCCTTTTATCTATTTTATTTAAAATGTTATTCCTAAGTTTAATAGTAAAGCGATGATGTATTCTCCTTTGATTGATTGTTCCGAGAATCGACAAAGTAATCACTGATCTTGGATAAATTGTTTGTTGAATAATATTCTGGATAGAATTCTTTGATAATTTGATAAATGAAAGTGAATCTTGAGAATTGGTTAATTCAAAATGCTGTTAATTTTTGGTGATAATTATGTGAAGAAATGAAATAAAATGCTGATTCTTTTGGTCAAAATGATAAATTTCATATGTTTCTAGATTTGAAAGTAATTTTCTTATATAATATATGTCTTTATTTATCACATATAACTTCACATCACACAAAGTTCCTCAATAAAAATATAGTGACCATTAAAAATCACTGGTTGAAAAATGACCCACCTATTAATGTTATTTTACATTATTTAAAATTTTTTTATTTAGTTTGATACGAACAATTTCAGTGCCATATCTAGATGGAACAATGGTGGTCAAATAGATACAATTGTTTTCAAATTCAATACTATAAAAATAAGTTTTTTTTATATGTAATTTTAATATTTATTTATATTTATTTGAAATAAGATATATCTGAAGATGGTGATCTGTTGTCCTCATGTTTGCGTCTGATGATTTAGTGGACAACAGATGACGACAGTGATGATGAAATACTTCACTTCCCACTGAAGTAGATCACTCCAATGATGACGATGTAGATGGTTCGATGCTATTAATGGTTGTTGGCTGACCGAGATTAAAACTACTACTGCTACTATTGTTATTGCTGTTCGTATTATTAAATGATGGTTTAATACCGACGCTATTATCACTCATGAATGAATTTTAAAATTACTATTACTATTATTTTTGGTTGTGTATTTTGTTGGTGTTTCAGTGGTTGAGTACTGTTTTCGATGCAGACGTTATCAGTTGTTTACTGCTATTGGGAATGGGTGGTGCTGATTTTGAAAGTAGTTTGTGCACGTTGATGTTGTTGTTGTTGCTGTCGTACCACCATTATTATTATGTGTCGACGAACCAGACGGTGAATGAATCGATCGTTGTAACTTTTTGTCTTTGATAACCGTCAGAGTAACAGGTGCACTTTCAGAGTGGCGATAGCTTACGACTATATGATCTGACCTTCGATCGACGACACTCTACTGGAGATTCACGCAAAGGTAGATTCATCGATCAGGAGGTGTAATCCGAATGTTTGGCAATCTTGGCTGACCACTCGATAATAATAGGTCTGCTCTTAGTCTACCTTTAGTCAATGGCCAATTCTGTAAAAGTGATACACATCCACCAAACTACTTCTGTTCGCTGACGCTGATGCATAACCTTGGCCACCTTTGACAAGCTGGAATCTATATTAGTGATTGATTGGTTTTACTTGTTCAAACGCTGGCTCCTCTGCAGAGATCAACCAGTTCAAATGTACTGTAACTCCTCGTGGTGACATCGACACTACTTGGTCCATCTTCACTGTCTATACTGTATCTTGGAGTGATGTTCAAAAGCAGTGGCAGACTCTAAGCTGGCCACCGATCATTAACATAACCAAACCTGACATTACTTTGTTCAATCTCACTTCGATGTCACTCAGGCCAGGAAGTATGAAATTCAATCATCAAATCATTTGTAAATTCTATGCAATGAATTGTACAAATCAAATAGATAAGAGTCGAGCACATTTGTGAATTCTGCAATAGTAGGTTGATATCGAATCGTATTATCATTTCTTAATTGTTCAGTTATCTGGTATACAGTTGTCTTGTTTGCTGATAAAAACAACACCACTGGTATGAGTAAGATATTTGATAATACTGACACTATACACACCAATAATACATACACATTATTTACAACTCTCCAAGTGGTTGGTAAACTCTGAATCGACATCTTTATAAATTACGACACCAGTATTTGAAAGATAGAATTAATCTCAAGATTACCTCTAAGCACAAGGTTCTCTGTAACGCCGACTGTGATCTCCAACTAAACGATGATCACTCGCTTCAAATTATCTTATTTTCATCTGTAAAGTCTGAACCACTGTAGAATAATAAATAGATTATTATAATAATAAAGTAAAGATCAAAATTACTTTTTTATTCAAAATTAAAAAAAAGCTTTTGTTGAAAAAGTTTTAACGTTACCATTTGTATGGATCACAAAAAACACAAATGGTAACGACAATCAGATCTAATGGTTTTGCCAGCCATTATTTATTTTGATTTGTTTTGTATTTTTTATATATAAAATAATGATGAAATCAAAGAAAACAATCAGAAATAATATCAAATATAAATATTATATATCTACTTAATTGATATCATCAGGTAGTGAGTGACATTAATATATTATAGATTCAACCAAAAATAAATTTTATTTCTAACATCAGGTAGTTTAGTTTATTATAATGAATCACATTAATATATTCAACCAAAAATTAAATAGATGATCAAGAGTAATGAATATTAAATGAGCTAAAAAAGAATGAATCACTTACTTATTATAACAAACAGTTTTAGTTGCCACTACTACCTGTATACGTCAATCATTTCTGTCAAATGGATTATCTTGATTCCAAAGAAACAGCTAAATAACTTTTGGTCCAAAATGATACTATCGATAGTTTATTGATGATTGACTGTGTTCATCGTTACCAAAATAAATATAGATAAGCTTTGTATTGAAAGTGGAGTGATCTTACTCCAACGCAGAATATACCACTTGATGATGCCAGACTTCAAGAGCAGAGTTATGAAACAAGGGCCAAGTAGAGTCGATTCCACCCAGAGAGATGACAGTATATTGACCATTGACAATTGACAAGAAGACTTGACAACAGATCCCAAGGAAATGATCGGTTCGACAAGAGAAGATCCCGAACGTCCTGACACTATTCAGTGTATTTAACCACTTACCACTTGTTTATCCATCGATTCACCAAAGTCATCAACTCTTTGATCAATTGTAAGTATATCTTGTAATTGACAGCAAGGTAAAGAGTCTACTGTTGGCCTATTACTAACCAGTCATCTTTTTTTAAATATTGTAGTGATCAATGATCTATTTTTATAATCAGATGGAATCATGTGAGGATAAGATAGATCGTCAAATTAAAATACTTCCGTTAGTAATGGTGGAGGGACAGTATCGGTGAATTGAATGTACATCGCACCATTATACCATTTGGTCCAAGACTTGCAATGTTGTGCTTTGACAGGTTTGGAGCACGCTCACGATGAGATTTTAACTTCCAACTATATCGTGCAGTTCCACCCACCAGCACTGCTCTTGATGATAAGATCAACAATGCACTGCTTGGCTTAGTTGAGCGTATGGACAGCTGGACTTTAAGAGGACAGTGGTCTGAAAGTTGTTGTGCCAGGGACGAGTGACAGAGGTGCCAGAGGCAACCACCGATTGGTTAACAATATTCTTTCCAATCTTTGATGGGATGTTGGTAGGTGGTAGCGTGCTCAACTCATTTTCACGTAAGTGCGATAAAAGCGAGACCCATATCGATCATACCGTGCGTAGTCGTAAGAGAGTTTACAAAGAACGCTAGGTCATCATGGTCATCGGATTGTTACCAATAAGGATCATACAAGTAGAGACAATTGAAGTCGCATGTAATGACGTCTATCTTAGTGGACAGCATGACATCTATCTTGGAAATTTTCTTGACGAATTTGTTTAATAGCATCACGGTTGGCAGTGGCGTATATGGTATGAATATTAAACTGAATACCATTATGAGTGCCACATACAAGTAGGAAACTCCCGCCAAGGTCGTCCACCATGGTTTAGCATAATGCTGTTGACGGTTTTAACGATCTCCACTCCAATGCGTCTGCCTTTGGCACAAGTGATAGAGTCCGCTCTTGTTGTACCGAGATAGAGAATGGTCATCTACGCCGCAGTTGAAGGCCATATAATATTGGATTTAACAAAAATAAAAATAAAAAATTAGTGTTATCAATAAATAAATAAATAAATAAATAAATTACAAATATTATTTGTTTTTTTAATTGAATTTGTTATAGTATATGGTTTGGATAGATACAATATAAGAAATAAATCATAGAGATTTGATCTTTTAAACTAATAAGTAATGTATTATTACTCTTTAACATTAATGATTTCAAATGGATTGCTTTATAAGATCCAAATAATAATGATATTATTTTTAAAGAAGTTTAAAACAAACTTTATCGATATTTATCATTTATTCTTTCAACAATCGCACTTAACAATAAAAATAAAAATATATATATATTTATGATTTCTAATATACATGTTTGTTGATGTCCTTGAACTCAGTTTTCCAAGAAGACTTTCCAAGGTTGGATTTTAAAGTAATCGATCCATAATCTGAAGCATTGCATCCATATTATCGTGTTTCGCTGCTATTTCAATAAAGTTTAAATTGATATTTGTATTTGTTCATCAATTCCAAACAATTATATATATCCAAATAAAAACTTTACTCTACCCAATTGATGTCGTGAAATAGAAGAGATGATTGCTTGGTCAATGTCCAAACTAATGGTCCCATCGATTTTCTCGAGTATGTATTTGAGAATGTCATCATCATTATTATCGACTGCCAATCCAAATAAATCTTTATCAAGATTATCATCGATTCCATTTTCATAGATGTATTTCACCATCTCCAGATTACTATTGGTAATAGTATTATAAATGAAATGAGTTGCATTATACTCTCTTTTTTTAGAAAGAAGAAATTTGAAGATTTCAATTCTTCCATATTCCACAACTCTCTCTATAAAGAATTGGAAATCATCAGAGTTAATTTCTCGATGATCGTATAACCATTCGAATATTTCAAGTTGGTGACCATATTCAATGATGTTATAGAATGCGTCAAAAGAGAATCCTTCAGTACGATTCTCATGCAGCCATTTCAAAATTGAAAAATGACCACCTCTAGCTGCTTGATCCATTGCTTCTCTATTACATCCTTCAGTTCTATTGAAATGCAGGAACTTAACACATTCTAAATCACCGGAACCAGCAGCACATTTAATCAATCATTGCTGCATTCTACGCTTCCAAAACAATTGAAAATTCTAAACTTACAACGTTCAAATTTCAATCATCCTATCAGATATGGGATGATTCCAAATACCCTTGAAAAATTATATCTAGATAGTTCATACGATCAACCTCTTGAGCCGGGAGTATTACCATCGTCTTTGAAACATCTATTTTACTATGGAAATCATAATCTGAAAGTACGATCACTACCTCCTAATCTAAAGGTTTTTGAATATTATGGAGATAATTTCATAATAGAAAATGAAAAGGGAATATTACCAATGACACTTGAATTCTTGATAGTACATATTTTATGGCTACCGGCTATCAAATCACTTTCAAAATTTTTAAATCACTAACTCTTCTTTATTGTGGTAACAGTGAAGCTAAAATTGATTTAACCTTACTCCCTTCTTCACTTACAACATTGAATGTTCATACTGGACATTTGATATCAAAGATGCCTACTTCAATCAAACAACTCAATTTATTTGCTGAAAGATATGATATAGAAGAAATATGTTAAAGATAGATCTGAATACAAATTAGAATATTTAATGGTGAATGCAAACCAATATGAATCTTTAGATAATTTGATTATTAAAGAATTAGACTTTGCAATTGACTTTGGATCAAATGAAACAAATATAATAAATGAAATTAAAAAGGTTCCTAAAGGAGTAGAAAAACTTGTAATTAGACATGGTATATCATTATCAATTAAGAATATTCCACCCTCAGTTCGATGTTTAGAAATTCAATCACTAAATAGTTTAATAATAGAGGAAGAACAATCACTACCTTTGTACTTTAAAAGAATTAGTAATCAATGATATAGATGAAAAATCTTTTCTCAATTTTATTTCACATACAAGAACACCAAACAATCTTATTTTCTATTTACAAGGCGAAAGAATCTGGCTTAGAAGGATTGACTTAAACTATTATCTATTTTTTAGTGAAGAACCAAAATTTATATCCTCGATGGTCCATAAATCACAGATTCAAAATATATTCGAATATTATATGACCTATCAAGTAGATTATATTCCTAAATGGGTGTAATTTAAACATTTTTAAAATCTTTATTGGACTATTTGGTATAAAAAAGAATTAGCTGCTTCAGATAGTAGGGTAGGTCGTGGACAGTAGGTTGACCTTCTTTGGTTGTCTCTGTGTTGTATGTACCAAAGGCACCAATGATTATAGGTATGACTGCTACCTTGTGGTCTGGGTTACTCTTCTTAAGTGCGGCTGCTAGTGGTTGGTATTTTTCAATCTTATCTCGGGTTCTTTTAACAATGTTGTTGTCATAGGGTACTGATATTTCGATGATTTTGATTGATTTCTTGGTTCGGTTCTTAACGATTAGATCTGGTTTGTTGGTTTTGGTCAGTGCATTATCTATTCTGGCTTCATGTAGGATCTCAATGGTGTCTGACTGGTAGACTGCGCCTGGCTTGTAAGGTATTCTGTGGAACTTCAGCATCTCTTTGAGTATCACTTTCACTACCATGTTGTGTCTTGGTACTATACATAGTAGTTTCATCGCGTGGCATGAGGATACAATGTGCTCTATGGACTCTCTTGCGGAATGGCACTTTCTACATTTTGGATCGGTTACGGCATTTCCCATGATTCCTTTTGCTGACAGGGTGTTCATGTTCTCTGTCAGTGCAAGCCATAGGTGGTGGTCAACATGTCGAGGTATGAATCTCCATTGGGCTATCCAGTTTCTTGCCATGTTTTCTCTGTGTTTGATCCAGAATTTGGTTCTAGCTGTTGGTTCGATTGGGTGTTGTTCTCTATATACATTCTTGAGGTGAGCTGAAATGGTGTTTGTGATCGTAGGGCTGCCATCGTGGTTGTGTAGTATTGTTTCTCCATCCTTATCTATTTGCCATTTTCCATCTTTACTGAATGTGAGTTTGTAGTCAAATGATTCCATGTGTCTCATTGCGCTGGTGTATAGTGGGTTCTTCGTTTCAAATGCATAGTTCATAAGGTCTTGGTTTCTCCTCACCGAGTGTAGTTTAACTGCTGTGATGATTTTGTAGACCTTATATTCTAGTATTAGTTCGTTGAATCCTCTTCCACCTTCTTTCCTATCCAAGTGGAGGAGATCTCTATTCATGTTTCTATGTAATAGTCCTCTCTTTGAAAGGGTCTCATTGAATTCCTTGTTAAGTGTATCTATGGTGTAGTCTGGGATGTCGATGAACCAGTAGTATCTCAGGTATCCGACTACCAAAGAGTTAAATGCCCTGGCTAGGTTCCATGCTGACAGTTTGGAGTTTAATATTAATTTAAATCTTTCTCTCGCCTCTTTGTGTATATTGAAAAGTGTTTTTTTCTGATCGACCAATCGGTGTTGTAACATTCCTAAGTATTTATATAGGTTTTCCTCGTCTACTATCGGTATCTCTTTCATTTCCTCCGGTAGCATATCCTTATTGATTCCTTTTCCAAGAATTTCCACATTTCTTTTTGTTGATCTTCATTCCAATTGATTTGAATGCTTTGTCTGTTTCCATGAAGGTGTTGATTATCTCTTCGGTCATACGGGAGTACATCTTGATATCGTCAATGAACATAAGGTGGGATAGTTGGGTGTTACTTATTATTGGCGCTTTAGTAATTATCTTTATATAGTATCCGACTGGGTTTATGGTAAGGCAGAACAGGAAGGGACAGAGGGCATCACCTTGGAAGATTCCATTGGTAATCGGTATTGTAGTTGTGGTTTGATTCTTGGATATGAATATCTTGGTGTTCCATTTGCTCATGAGTCTTTCAATGATTGATCTGGCTTTCCGGTCTATCTTGTGCATTTGTAGTATGTACTTGATCCACCTGTGCTTCGTTGAGTCATATGCTTTGGTAAGGTCTATCCATGCCACCTTGATGTCTGGGTATTTCTCACAGAATAAATTGTCTATGAAGAGGTTCTCGTATGTTCCCCATACATCGGTCATTCCACCTCTCTGTACTTCTTCCATCAGTTGGTTGTTGACTTTGGTGTGCTGGTGGAGGTGCTTGGCTACTATTCCTGTTAATATCTTACATGTGTTGTTAATGCATGTGATTGGTCGGTAATAGGCTTCGTCCTCTTTGTCACCTCCCTTGTGGATCCGGTATGTTATTCCTTCACAGAACCATTTAGGGAACTTCATGATATCCAAGTGTAGGTACGCATTGAAGGCTTCGGCTAAGTCCTCATGGTATCTCTTAATCCTCTTAATCCAGTAGTTGCAAATTCCATCTGGGCCTGGAGCTGACCAGTTCTTCTTGTTTTTAATGTAGTTGGATATGTCAGCTCCTTCGATTTCAAACTTGGTCTCTTTGATGCTCTTGAATTGGTTGCTATCTTTCACTCTTTGTATCCATTCAAGCTCGTCGTAGTTGGTTGCTTCCGTAGATGGTGGGTTCCAGAGTTGGCTCCAGAACTCAAATGCTCTCGTTGTTGTGTGTATTTCCTGTTGTTGCGTGTTGTTTTGGTTATTGGTTGTTGTTCTCTTCCCAGTGATTAATGAGTATGCTTTGCTTTCATCTTTTAGCATCATTTCATTAATGTATCTAAACTTTGCTTCTTCTCTTATCTTTTTGATGTAGTCTATGTATCCAGTCTTCAACGCTTGTAAACTCTTAATCTTCGCTTCTACACAGTTCGCATTGAACGTCATATACTGTCTTTTGATTAGTTTAACTACGTATCTGGCTGGTTTCATATTCTTCTTGATCTTATCTACTGTACTTTCTAATGCTCTTCTGAGTTTGTTGATTTTCTTGATCTTATTCGCTATTTTCTTTATCAGTTTCTCTCCTTGGTCTTGTTTGATATGGCTGGCGTCTTCGTTGGCTCTAACTGCTGCTGTGGCTGCCGCATATAGTGCTACATTGCATGCTTCTAACTTAGATATATTCTTCGCTATTAGGTATTGGTAGCTGATTGTGTATTGAATTTCAATATCCTCTTCTTGATCTTTAGTTATTGGCTTCCTAGCTCTAGTAAGTTGATCTGGTTAGGCTGCCATTGAGGTGCTCAGTTACAATCTGGTCGGCTAATCTTCCCATGGCGAATGTAATGCATTGTCTCGATTGGTGTTGGTAACTCTTCTTGGCCATGTTTTGCGGTTTTGCAGCTTTCGATGTTGGTTGTACGGCTAGACCTACTTCTCGTAGTTTCTCCTTCTTATTCGCTCTATTGAATACAGACGTCATTTGTCGTTTGTTGCTTAGGGGTGGTAAGTTGGTGTTCTGATTCCACATCTTCATCGCCTTTTCTCGCCATCTTTTCATGCCATACTTGGTTTGGGTTAGTTGTTTAATTCTCGCTAATTCTTGCAATAGCTCGTCATTCCATACGAACTTTGTATTTGCACCCCTTCCATTGTTGTTACCAGCTTGTTCACCTAGTGGTGTTCTTGCCTCCTGATTGGTAATGGTGGTGTTGGTGCTTTGTGTATTTCTATTTCTTCTATGATTTGTATTATTTGTGCTTGTACTGTTCATTTTTGATTTAGTTGACATATCTTAGCCTAGTCATCGACATGATCGTCGAGCTAGTTGCCCAGATTGTACCACGAGGAGGTGTATGTCTAACAATCCGCAACCACTTCATGATCTCAAAGTGACCGCTTTCTGCTGCGTACTCCATTTCCTGTTGTGAAACTGCTTCCGATCGATTCTCATGTAGCCACTTTACACATTCGAAATGACCGTTCTTTGCCGCGTAAGCAATGGTTTCCTCTTCAAACTCCTCGGTGCGATTAGCATGCAACCATTGTAGACACTCGATATTGCCTTGCGAAGCAGCAAATGTCATTGCCAAGGCAGTGCATGTAGCAGTCGTATTCTCGTGTAACCACTGCAATATCGACATATTGCCGTGATCTAAAAAACAATCCATTACACCAACTGTAAACGTTTGAATACCATTGCTATACAAGAGGTGAAAGATATCAGAGCAATTCTTTTTGCTTGCAATATTTAGAAGTTCACTCGATTCTTTCTCCACCAAGTCTCTGTGATTCTTCAATAGATATTCGACCAACTGTAGATGTCCACCATTGACTGCAACTCTACAAACAACTTTACTTTTTTTCAAATCCTTTTCTTGCTCGGTCAGTAGATATTCAAACATATCTATTCTACCAATGAATGCAGCAGTCTCAAACACCGTACTGATAAACTCATAGTTATCGAACCGCTCATTCGGTATATTGTTATGTTTCTCGGTAAAGTATTTCAACATCTCTAGGCTGTCAGAGAGCGGTGCCATCACCATTGCACGATAGTAATTCCACTGGTATCGAGTGTATTTTTCAACGAGATACTGAACAATATCCATTCTTCCATGTTGTGAAGCGTAACACAATATACTATTGATCGTATCGCAATGCTCTGGGAAGTGGTCGGACATATCACCAAAACCGAAATAAGATTGCGAGGTACTCCATGACTGATAGGAATTTAGATCGAGTTTTAATCTATTGATAATATAAGCAAGCATTTCGACACTACCAAACCTGATAGCAAGCTTAAGTGTAGGTGCTCTATCTATTTTCGTATTACTAGACATACATTGCTTAAGCTGTTCAAAGTAGTTATGAGCTACTAGAACCTGTGGAATTCTAACAACTTCATTCCAACTGAAATGCTTTCTTCCGTTTAAACTTGAAATATTATTAACATAATTGAATATTATCTTTGATAATACACTATTATTAAATACCAATATATAAATACTCTTTTCCATTTTTAATTCTAAGAAAATATATAAAAATAAAATAGATTTTCAAAAAAAAATTTTAAAAAGAGAGCTCAATAAATTTTTTGTAAAATTAAAATTGAGTCTTCTCAATGATTTCTTTATATCTTCAATTTACAGTTATTGATTTTGGATATTACTTATTTATTATTTTAAATTTTCAATTGATTCATTTTGTGGTCCTTTTAAATTACAGACCTAAAAAAGTATGGGAACCTATTTATTTATTTGGAAGTTTATTTTTGAAAGTTTCTAAAGAACAACATTTTAAATTCAACAAAAATCATTTTTACAAAAATAAAATTTGATTATCTACAATTTTGAAAAATATATAAAAAGAATTAACCTAACCTTTTTCCTTCATATAAAATGATAACAACAACACCACTGGTATTAGTAAGATATTTGAAAATACTGACACTATATACACCAATAATACATACACATTATTTACAACTCTCCAAGTGGTTGGTAAACTCTGAATCAAGATCACCAAAAAACATGTTATCACCACCAAAGAAATCTCTAATAGTTTGATAAATTACTTTTTTAAATTATTTGCATTATTTCGTTTTGTAGGTTAGGTTTTTTTTTTCCACAGCTTTTTGGTATTATTTTTGCAAAATGCACACAAAAGCTATGCAAAATTTTTTGGGGAAGGGATAAAATGAAATTACACATTTTAACATAGTAGGAGATTTACATTTCTTCTTATACCCTTCTTTACAAACTGAAGTGTGGGAATAGTGGTTATCTACTCCTTTTTTTTTTTAAATTTAAACTTTTTATAGAAAGATGGATTCAGATGAGGATAAGATAGTAGATTGTGAATTAATCCTCTATGGTTGACATCTTTGGTGAAAATAGCTTCAGACACAAAATACTTAGTCGCACGATCATCTAAGTAGAGAGATTTAATGTAAGACATACAGCTGTAGCTTTGTGATCTTGGTACTTCTAGAGGATTAAACAGAGAACGAGTGTTGTCCGTCTAAGGACAATAAGGTAGCCACCAAGGCAATATCGATACCTATTAATCAACATCAATAATAATCACCAGCCAACACATAGTAATAGTCAATTATAATTAGTTAAATTAATTAAATCAACTAAATAAGTAATAGTTCAAAACAACAGATTGAAATAACAATTAAATTAGAATCTGTTGTTTCTAAATTAAGTATTCAACACTCAGCCGTCAAGCTTCTCAATAATGAATATATTGAGTTTAACGCGACGTTAAAGATTCATTCAATATTCAACATATAAACTTTTATGAAATTAAATAGATAAGGAAAAGAAATCAAATAAAGTTAAAATTAGATTTTATAAAACATTATTAGAAATAACTCTATATTATTATTAATTACAAATCACATGTGAGAAGGCAGATCCAAACGAACAATTAATAGAAACACCCACCACAACCACAACAACAACTAGTAGTTCAACAGTACCTACAAATCCAACAATTAGTACAAGCGACCTTAGCATGAGTGACCTCGAAAGTAACAATAATAACGATCCAATCAACTTCCACCCTATTCCCGGATGTAACTCCTGCCAACACGCGTCCAGATCCACTCCCATCCGACCTATTCCAATCAACTCTGGCCGCTTCGAAGATACCGATCTCCTCTGCCATCACCTCAGGTCAACCAGACAATCAACAACGAGAATATAACTGGAATATAGATTGAATATGTATTTATATTTGAATTCATATCTTTTAATTTCAATAGAATAAATAATAAATAAGCATTAATTATATCCTGATTTTAATCGAAATGATCTTTTTTATTTAAAATGATCCTCTAGTTTTAAATGTAGAGCGATGATGTATTCTTCTTTGATTTGATTGTTTTGAGAATCCAAAAAGCCTCTGATATTGGATAAATTATGTGTTTAATATGAATGTCTAACTATTAAAATCTGCACTCTTGATTAAAATAGAAGATTTAAAGCAAATTTAGAATGAGTCGATATCTATTCTTTGTCCTCCAATAAATAGGTTTTCAATATGTTGTGGTAGATCTTTTCTATCGATGTAGTTCTTCATTAATAATGATTTCAGTGATTCAGGTAACACATCGACTGATAATATTTGATTGAATTCATATCCAAACTCCAATGATTCAAGTGATTTAGGTAAAACACCAACTGATAATATTTGATTGAATTCAGATCCAAATGATAATGATTTCAGTGATTCAGGTAACACACCAACTGATAATATTTGATTGAATCTATTTCCAAATGATAATGATTTCAGTGATTCAGGTAACATACCGACTGATAATATTTGATTGAATGAATATCCAAACTCCAATGATTCAAGTGATTTAGGTAACACACCAACTGATAATATTTGATTGAATTTATTTCCAAACACCAATGATTCAAGTGATTCAGGCAACACACCGACTGATAATATTTGATTGAATTCATTTCCAAACTCCAATGATTTCAGTGATTTAGGTAACACACCAACTGATATTATTTGATTGAATCTATTTCCAAACACCAATGATTTCAGTGAATTAGGTAACATACCAACTGACAATATTTGATTGAATTCAATTCCAAATGTTAATGATGTCAGTGATTCAGGTAACACATTATCTGATATTTGATTGAATACATCTCCAAATGATAATGATTTCAGTGATTGAGAGAATACACCAACTGATAATATTTGATTGAAATAATATACAAACTTAAATGATTTCAGTGATTGAGAGAATACACCAACTGATAATATTTGATTGAATCTAAATCCAAACACCAATGATTTCAGTGATTTAGGTAACACACCAACTGATAATATTTGATTGAATCTAAATCCAAACACCAATGATTTCAGTGATTCAGGTAAGACACCGACTGATAATATTTGATTGAATCTATCTCCAAATGATAATGATTTCAGTGCTTGAGAGAATACACCGATTGATAATATTTGATTGAATTCATCTCCAAACACCAATGATTTAAGTGATTTAGGTAACACACCAACTGATAATATTTGATTGAATTCACAACCAAACACCAATGATTTCAGTGATTCAGGTAACACACCAACTGATAATATTTGATTGAATTTAAATCCAAACACCAATGATTTCAGTGATTCAGGTAACACACCAACTGACAATATTTGATTGAATTCTTCTCCAAACTTCAATGATTCAAGTGATTCGGGTAAGACACCGATTGATAATATTTGATTGAATTCATTTCCAAAATTGATCTCAGTGACATTGACGGAGGTATTATGAAATGGAGTATTTAAATTGAATGTAATTATCTGATTATTGGTGTTGGTTTCAATATATTGGTTTAATAATTGATTCAATGATTCTCTATTCTTTGGACTCTGATCCAACAATCGATGAATAAATTCAATCAATTGTTTTGAATATCTGCATTCTGAAATCTTAATTTCACGTTTAGTTGATTGGAATAGTTGATGATTATTTCGATCATCTGGATGACTGATCAATTTAAATATTCAAAAATACAGAGTTAATATCTGATTGATAATAATATTTTAAAAGTATGATTATTCGAGTATTTACCAACTTAATAATTTGAGAATTGTTGATCCAATTGAAAAGATGTCACATGATTGTGCATATTGTCTGTTCATTGCTTCCTATTTGTTATTATTTTAAATAACTTAAAATTATATTGAAAATTAAATAAATAAAATTTACTTACTGGTGAAATATAACCAGGTGTTCCATCTGTTGAATTTATATTTGAAAAAGTTGGCTCCGATATTTCATGATCGATAGTTTTTGAATTAGAATCATTTGTTTCAAGAGTATGTTCTTTTGTATCTTGATATTCAATGATTGTTGATTTATCAATGAATTTACAACATCCAAAATCACCAAGAATCAAAGTACCACCATAAGCTTCAGATTCATCAATGAATATATTTGATGGTTTAATGTCACAATGAACAATTCCATGTTTATCAAGTTCCAAAAGAATATTGAAAAGTTGTGAAATATAATTACTGATATATGATTCTGAAAAGATTCTATTTTTATATTCAATATAAAAGTGGTTAATTGCTTGATAAAAGTCATGTTATTTAATATTTGATACATACTGATTTATATCAGTTACATGTTTATATTTTTGGGAAAGATCACCACCATCACAATATTCAGTGATGATATGAAAGATTTGATTGTCTTTATCATGATGATAGTCAACAAGTTGAACAAATCTCCAATTATCTTTGAGTAATTTCATTGCTTTGATTTCATTCTCAGCACTTTCATAAGATTTCTGATTATCTTTATAATTTATCTTTTTATAAACATACTTTTGGATTGATTTTGTTAGTTTTATGATTGTCAATTGATTAATTAATTTGAAAAATGGTGTCAATCGATTCAAATTGATCTTACCAATCTATGATCATCATCAGTACCACACACTAAATATACATCATTGATAGCATTACTGTTTGGAAATCTTGATATTGAATGATATCGTTCGTTATTAATGATATGAGATTGTTCGAAATAGTCAAAGTTGTTTTTGAATTGATGATTGTTTTCAAAATTGATTGTGTATGATTGTGATTTGTTTAATAGCTCGACACATATGGGCTTAAAATGTATTGGGTAAGAATCTATTATTATTAATTGATATTGAGTATCGACTGTATCTGGTATTATAATCTTATTATTATTTCGATTAATATTTCCAATTAATGTGATATTTGTGTGTTGTTCATTTTCTTTATCTTTCAAATGATTATAAACTAAAACTATGATTTGGTGAAAGTATTCAAAATTAATAAATTTCAATACATTCTTTCCATTGATTAATTTATCTGTTAGCTTGATATTATTCATTTTGAAGTATTTTTAGAATTCATTCATTTCAAAAATAAAATAGTAAAGTTAAATTAAAACTTTAATTTTATTGTCGAAATTATTAAAATTAAATAGCACTCTTTTTCTTTCCTTTTTTTTCATTTTATCTTTTTTAAAAACGTTACTCACACCCAGACACTGGTAGAAGTGTTGCAGTGATGGATTATATGTGAATCGTGGACGTAGTGCTGCTATCTTTTGGTGATCTTTATCTCTTCCTCAGCTGTCATCAAATCCATCGAATCGATCAGTGCTCGTGCAGCATCGACTTGTTCCGCTGTTGGAATGAATGGTTTTCTTGTTGCTGCGTTGGTTGGTACGATCGGTGAGAATTGATATTGTTTCAAATCGTCAAGGAATGGAAGTTGACAAACATAGATACATTCATAGTTAGCTTTGATATGTGGATATAGCAATGAAATCGATGCTGACCTTCCGTTTCTCTTGACATAACGCGACAGTAATGCTTGTTTGATTTCAGACATTCCGTGGATCAGTGACGACAGTGCTGAACGGGCAACTTTATCGGCAGGTGGTGAAACCATCATCTCTGTAGATCAGGTCCAGGTGCATTGTATTTATCTTATAGAGAAGCTGAATATCGAAAGTAGGGTGCTTGATGAGTGGTGCACTTCAAGAGTCCAGATAGATACCTAGATGGTGCATCCATGCGTAATTCATTGCGTTACCAGCATGTAAGAAACGCCTCTTAACGTTCTCCATCAGCATTGATCAGTTGGTTAAGACAGGCTTTTCTTTAACATAATGCTGTGAGTTAGGTAGACAGCACGTGAACAGGATGTCATTCAGGTGTTTCTTTATCCTATTAGAGACATCCTGCTCAAGGAATGATTGCTAACGGAGGTGATAAATCACGAACATGAAAACAGGAATCTATATAGTTAGATCTGATAGCAGCAGTGAGATGAATAAAAGGTATCGTTTAATAGACCTTGAACCACCGTGTTCAGAGGATTTTATTCTATTGTAGTTCCAGACTCGTAAGATATAATATATAGAGATCTGACCTTTGTTATCATAGAGGGTTTTTACATTCCGGAATATCTCAAAAAGTTATACTATACATGTATTAAAGAAAAATAATAAATAGTTTTATTTATAAATTTAGAATTTTAAAATTAAATGTACATCCTCTGGTTCTCTTTCATATAACTCTTGATCGAGGGTATCAATTAGTTTGCAACCTTGAGCTATATAAAAGTCGACTGTATTTTTGCCTGGAATTGCAGAGATATATAAACCATTGACACCATCGATTTGTTTTGCTTCGCTCAATACACTGTCGCCACAGTGACTTGCCAAAACCCTTTTCCACGTAGTTCCACACCAATGAAAAAGAACACCAAAGTCAAGAGGTCATTATCTACACCGATTTTCTTGGTATCCAGAACAGCAGCACCCAAAACTCTATTTGAAACGGGATCTCGTATTACACAGAAATAACCACCACGATCGAAACAATCTTCCAACACAGGATTATACTTTTCTGGCTCACCAGGAGGAAATCCATTGTAAACTTGATACTTTGGACATTCCACTAAAACTTTACTTCCAGCACCATCTTTACTAACTTTATATATTGATTTAATTACTTCTGATCTATCTATATCCCATAGTGATCTTATCTGATCTCTATATATTGATTCTTCTATTTTATACATGATTATTATTATTAACCCTATTACTACTAACAATATTAAATATAATGATCAAAATGTAAATCATCAATTTATAGATGACCACAACCAACCCCACCATCTTTAATTTGTTTTAAAGATAAATTACATCATCAGATACTGCGATTATTTTAAGAATGAATATATCTAAAACTAAAAAATAAAAATATCTAAAGCTAAGGCTAAAATTTGATCATCTTTCACCAAACTAATCATAAATTTTTCTATTTTTGTTAAAATTTGTAGAATAGTAAAACCTATCTTTTTATTGATTAAAAAGAAATATATTTAATTTGTATAACCAATTATATTATACAAATAAAGTAAATATTTAAATAATAATTTATTATTTGTTGAGTATTGTTAGTAAATCAACAATTTCATAGTGACAACCCTTTAGTGCCATATCTTTACATTTGAGATAGTTTATGTTGTTTCGGATTGTTTGATTTTCTGATATTTTTTGTATTAAAAACTCTGCAATGCTTAAATGACCATCTCTAGAAGCCTGCATAAAGTACATGTTATAATCGGTTCCATTCTGTTGTGATTCGAAAAGATACTTTAACACATCGACTTGATTGCTTTTCACTGCTTCGAATGTTGATTTTTGTAAATATTTCTTGGCATAGTCTGCACTACAAAGCAAATTGAAAACATCTAATCTATTACTGGAGATGCTCTTTTCTATACAAGCTTGAAGTGCAGGACAATCGGTGTGTTGAATATCTCCAATGTTCTGAGTGTATAGATACTCTATCAAATCGAATCTAGCAAAGCTTGCAACTGTAGTATAGATATCTTCAAAACTCTCTTGATTCGGTTGTTTAGTGAGGTAGTAAGCGATATCTTCTACACCTGTATATTGCAATATTCCTTTGTCGATCTGATATCCTTTTTCTAGTTGACAACCATGTTCTACCAACCATTCTGTTATCTTGTGGGAATAGGAAAGGTTGATGATAATTGGTGCGTTATCACTTGCTAGCCATTGCTGTCCATATAGATTCCATAGATACTCTATCATCTCCTGAGCAAACCTGTAGTCTTGCATGTGAATGACAAGACCAAGTAATCGATGAGAAACATCGGCAATCGGTTGGCGAGTTGCTCTCTCAAAGAGATAACGCATAAACTCTATATTCCTATAGTTAATAGCATAGATGAAGATCTGTTCATTATACTCCATCGACATATTACAATGTTCCACCAAGTAACGGACAATCTCGAATTTACCAGCTTTAATAGCATTGTATAGCGATTCTACAGTGCATCCTTCACTTCGATTCTCATTGAGAAACTTGACTATTTCCAAGCTATTTTCTGCAGCTTTGTCAATGGCATTAGTTGTACAAAACTTTTTGTTCCCCATATCGACATGTTCAGTGTTGTTGTGCAGCCACTCCACTCCAAGAAGACTATTCTTTGCGATGAAATCCATGCTAGCCGATATCTTGTAGTTGTGTTCTTTCACAAGATAGTGTAAACACTTTGTACAATCGTAAATCAATGCAAGGTTTGCTAGTTCCGGTGCCTTTGGAATCTTTAGATCTTCAAACAAATATCTGAGTGTATCGACTTGGTCATTGAGAATTGCTGTCTCCACAAGAGTACTACCATGCTGCTGCATCAATTCATTGTCGTCGACTTTAAGGAATTTCAGTAGGTTGAAATCCAAAGCAGTGACAGCTGCACTTATTGCACTATCGAAATCGATGACATATTCTCTCTCCTGCACGAGATAGTCAACCAAGTCATGATGCTTTTTGTTGATTGCACCCGATAGCTCTATACCATTGAATAGATACCTTATGATACGTTTGTTTCCGGTTGCTGTAAACCTATTGAACAGACAACGAATGATATCGGTTCTTCCTAGATCAGTGGCATATTGTGCGATTCTATAGAGCTGGCTACCATGATAGGCATCACGTGATGTTTCAACAATTATATGATCATAACGAATTAACCACGCTGAAAATAAATCTACATAGTTATAATAGATAATAGAACGCCATGAAGTAACTACCTGATGATATTTGATTGATTTACCAAAAGGTCGACCGATTTGTTGTAAATTGATTGATTTTACATTTTTAAATAATTCAAATCTAAGAAATGAATTTTCTAATAATTTTATTAATAAATATTTATCCATATTTATTACTACTATTTTATTCTCTTCTTTTAATAATACAAAATGAAAAATAAAACATATTAACAAACAAAAAGATAAAGATATAACAATTTGTAAAACAAAAAAAGATCAGAGAAAATGATGGGCAATAATATTATTGTTTTTTTTTTTTGGATAGTTCTAAAAATTTTCTAAATTTATGTATTTAGTTTAATTTAGGCAATATATACTTCTTCAATTGTTTTGAAGTCGTATAAATGTGTGAAAGATATTTCTTGTTAAGAAATGAATTAAATAATTTGGATGATTGTTTAATTTTGGAATTCGAATTCAACAAGCTCGTTGACGCATGGACACTTGGTACCCTTGCAAACTGGTGCTTGTTCTTCAAAGACAGCCATTCCTGAACCCGATCCTGATCCACTACCGGAACCTGAACCCGATCCACTACCGCTACCAGATCCCGAACCTGAAGCAGAGGCAGATGATGATCCACTACCGCTACCTGATCCAGATCCAGAACCAGAGCAGGCACCTGAACCTGAACATCCAGAAGAGGAGGCTGAAGTTGCGCTACCTGAACCGGTACCGGTGCAAGCACCTGAACCTGAACAACCAGAGGAAGTTGAACCAGAGGATGATGAACCACCAGCAGATGAACCACCAGCAGAAGCACCACCGTGAGTACCAGCGGAGGAAGAACCACCGTGAGTTCCAGCGGAGGAAGCACCACCATGAGTACCAGCAGATGAAGAAGCGGCGTGAGTGGTTGAGCTAGCAGCATGAGTAGTTGAGGTTGAGTGAGTGGTGGTAGAGGAAGCAGTGGTTGGAGTAACCTTTGAGCAAGCTCTTTGGGCCTTTGGACATTGACATTTGCAGGTAGTGACATCACAAGTTGGGGTAGTAGTTTCGGCAATCATATTACATCTTTCCTTACATGATTGTTCACTAATAATTTAAATCAAATAGAAATTAATTAAATAATTAATGAATTAGAAAATTAATATTTAAAATAATATTTACTTGTATGAAATAATTTCAATGGTTTCACCAGTGTGGAATTTACAGGCACATTTCTTTGCTGCTGGTCTGACAGCAGAGGCGACGACAACAGCCAAAGCCAAGACGACGAAAATAGATAATAATTTATTCATTGTTTAATGATTAGAAGATTTGGATAATGAGAATAAAATTTGAAACAGGAGGCAATGGGTTTTCATAGAGTCGCATGACGTACTGCCCATCCGTTAAGATTCTACAAAAAACAAAAACAAACAAAATAAAAAAAAACAAAAAAAACTGAAAATCAAACAAAAAAAACAAAAAAAACACACCCAAACAACAAAATGGTACCCAAGCTGCTCGGAAAAAAATATCTAGATTACAAAATCTTATAAAAAACGTCTGAAAATAGTATGTTTTAAAGATTTTTTGTAAAAAATCAAAAACTTTTCGAAATTTCTTCAAACTTTATGATGATCAAGTTACACAAATTATATGCATAGAAAATACTAAAGAAAACTTTAAACAACAATTCTTTTGATTTTTATTCTACCAGTGATAAGATGATCCCGAAAGTAACCAATCACACCAACAAAACATATTGTTCCAACTTGAACATTAAATGGAAGGTTCGGTTCAAGCTTGTATTAAAAATAGATAATTAGTTTAGATTAGTTAAATTTCAAATTAATTAATTAAATTAAATTAATTATTAATTTTATTGTTTTTGGTTGTTTAATGAATTAATGTATACATTGTAATGTTAGTTATATTCGGACATTTGAAGGTTTTTGTTTCGGAGATGATTGGTTTTGTGAATTTAAATTTCTTGATATTGGGAAAAACTATTTAGACTAGTAGTGGAATGTTGGTTTGTTGTTGTTGTTGGCTGTTATCGTTATACAGTTATAATTAAAAAATATTAGTTTGTTTGCTTTTGTTTGGCTTAAGAGAAACAAGAGAATGATCTTCTTTTCTTTGACTTTTGTTTCTTGTTGGATGATGATTCGGTTGAACTTAAATTTGGTGATGGTGCTTGGCTCGTTGGGAGTGAATCCGATGAGGTGGAAGTTGATATGGTGTTGGTGTTATGGCTTTCTGTACAGTGTTTTTGGAGGCTGGTGTATATTGGACTTTGTTTGAAACGGTGGAAACTGTCGTTGTTTATAATATCAAAGATCTCTTTGATGGCACGGTCAAACAACTTCTCGGAGATCTGCTTGGTTTGGATGCGCTTGTTGATCTCACTGAAGGTACGGTAATCGAGATTCACTTCGATCGGCGAACTTGGTGACAAATACTTTTCAAACAACTTGGTTGCATGCTCCAAATTCTTTTGTTCGGCCATTGAGACGGTCATTCCTTCGAGGTCGAGAGTGCTCGATTCACGGGACACTTTGTTGGCGCCATCGGAAATCGATGACTCGGCGACACTTCCGGAGCGAGTGGTGGCGACGGCGACTTCCACGGACATTGGCAGTTGGAGCTGAAGTTGTTGGTCCGATGGCGACGACGATGATGGACTGTCGTTGTTTATTGATCCGTGGCTGGAGTGGCGACGACTCGATGACACCTCAGCGACTTCCATGCGATCCGATTGTTGTTGTGCCTCTGGTGTAGAGCTATTGGATTGTGCCACAATAAAGGTGTCTCTGAAGGTTCTAGCTTCGAAAAAGAAACTGACATGATTCGACGAGAATTCACGTTCGGTGAACTCGTAAAATATCTTTCTGGTGCATTCGTTCATCAAAACCGTACTGAGTGATTTCAATGTATCCAATGTTACTGTGCTATCGATGACCAATTTTGAAATGATATCATTTGTTCTATTATTACGTTGTTGTTGTGAAGATGGTTGTTCTTCATCTTGTTGTTGTTGTTGTTTTTGATTCTTAATTTTTTTCATTTTCATTTTTTTATCTACGGCAACGTCACTTCCATTGGAAGAACTTCTTTTTGAACGAAGTGCCATTGTTTTAAATAATTATAAATTGATTGGATTCACTAATTAATTGACTATTTAATTTACTATTAATATTTTTTTATATAAAAATAAATAATTTGATTTTTTAGTTGGTTGACTGACAAATAATGACTGATTGACTGACTGACTGATTGATTTACTATTTAGTAAATATGTTAAATCTGTTTATGTACTATAAATAAATAAATTTAAAAATAGGTTAATTTAAAAACGTAAACAATGAAAAATTAATATTCATTGGCGATGACAAAGGCAAAAATAGAAATATGGTTTTAAAATTAGGAAATGTTTGTTGGTTTGTGATATGCTTCACAAGATTTATAATCCAAATTAGATTACTAAATGATTTTTGATATTGTTATGATTATTTTTAAAAAATAATTTAAATATATCTTAATTTAGTTGGAAATTAGGAAGTAATTAATTACTGAACAGTTTTTTTGTTTTGTTCATAAATTAAATTAATTTAATGAAATAAAATAAATTTAATATTTATGAATCATATTTATAGATTATATGATGATGATGATTATGATGATGATTAGATTAAGATTTTTTGATTTATATGATTATAAATAATTATTTTTTGTTTTTGTATTTGTTTTTGGGGTTGTGGTAGAACCCACCTGTCTCTTTGTATATTTATGAGTTATACTATAACGATAACTTAAGTGTTTTGCATATAATCGTGAGATGAGTTGAGTAGTTGAATTAGTGCCTATATATATCTTTATTTGTCTGTCTTTCTTATTGTCTGTTGGATTGGGGGTGTGAGTTTGAGTGGGAGTGCGAGTGTGTTGAGTTTGAGTGAGAGGTGTGTTTGTATAAAATTTAGAGTTTTTTTTCTATTGGCTTTGATGAGCTGATATTATATGTGATGTGTTAGGAGTGATATGAATTTAGAGGTAAAAAATATGATATTATATTGTCCAATTGGATTATTGCAATTCGATAACATATGAATTTGGTTGGGTTGGAGTAATCATAAAGTTGTATGTTGCTATTTTGTTGTGAATAACTAGTAAGTTATATGGCAAGGAGTTGTAATTGGTGGTTGAGTTTAGTTTAGTTGAGTTGGTTTTTGGAATTAATGTCAATATGGAAGATTGACAAAAAAATAAAATAAAAATAATAAATAGGAAAGAAAAAACAAAAAAAGGAAATAAAAAGTAGGAGTAGGAGGTAGAAGCTCTGCCAAAATAATCTTGTAAATCAGTAGTAGCTATGCTTACCACATACCAAATGCAAACTATTATCAAAAATTAGAAATAAATATTTTTTTTATAAAATAATCAAATGTTGATTTTGATTTTGATTTGATTAGATTAAAACCTGAAATTATTAAAAAATTTCTATTATATTCCTATATATTAATATGATTGTGATTCAATTGACTTGGATTGAATTGATTGTTATACACGAAAAGAAAAATGATGATTATTATTTGCTGTTTTTAATTATAATTTTATCATAAACACTGTAACAATACAAAACAAACTAACTAAAAAATTATATGGAAAAAATAAATAAAAATATACCAACATGTCGGTGTCAAGTAGGAGAAGTAAAAACAATAATAAAACAATGATTCAATAGTTTAAATTAATTTAAAATTTTATCATATCATACTACTATTAAAATATCGATAACAATCACAATTGTTAATAAAGTAGAAGAAAAATGTATATATGTAGATATAATGGAGTTGCATGGGGTATTTGATTTGTGTGTGTTTTTGATTGCCACAAACAACAAATAAACCACACTTCTCACAAAACACACAAACTTATGAAATATTGTATGTGTGTTAACCCCCTGGTAAAATGATGTCTATGTATTTAGAAGTGGTAGTGGTAGTTGTGGTTGATTGGAGGGAGGTATAATGATTGATTTAAAAGCACAAATTAACAACAAAGAATAAATAATGATTACTCTCTTCTTTAATATTTTTTAAATCTATTGGAAACATTAAAATAGAAGAAGGTACAATCTTATTCTTGCCTGATGAATATATAACATCACCGATGTTATATATTATTTTTTATTTTAGAAGAAGTAAATAAGAATAATAATAATAAAAGAGGAGATAATCAATTTGGATAGAGAGGAGTGAATGGAATGTTGTGAGGTTATTTAAAAATCTATATGAATGAATGGAAGCAATTAAATGGTGTAGGCTCCATATATTACTTAATTTGGAAAGATAAATTTATTTTAATAATAACACTTTTTGTGGATTAGGTGATTAGGAGTATGAGTAATGAATGATAAAATAAGAGTGTTGTGTGGAGTTGATCAACAACTCAATATTCTGATAAATCTAATCACGAAATTTTGATCAATTTCAAACTTAGTTAACCTAACCAACTCCCAATGTATTTTTTATGATAGTTATGGTTGTTGTTATAGATTAAACTTGATTGATATATCGATTTTGGGCAAAATTAAAATTTGTAATTGTTATTGTCGTTTTCAAACGACTTTAATTAATTTATATTTAAAAATAGTATTGGGGTAAGGAGATAATATTTCATACATACATGGAATTGTTATATAATAATATTTGATCATACAATATATTATAAGTTATTGGCAATGTAGATTTGGTGATAATTCGATGCACCACAATGATTATTGAAAATATGTATGTCCTTTCAAATATTTTGAGACACAAAACTGGATTATAATTTATCCTATTTCCTTTTTGGAAATAAACAAACAAATAAATAAAATAAAATAACGAACAAGAACAGACTGAAAACTGTGTATGAAATCAGATAAATAGATCCAAAACAGATGATATGAAGTATAGATGTATATCATTATAACAAAACTTTTATAAAGTGTTTGTTTTCAGGGAGTGTTTTAATTTATTTTTAAAATTTACCTTTAATCTTAAAGAAAAGTTAATAAAATCTTTAAAACTATTGATTTTTTTTGATTATCTCTATCTCCCCTTTATTTACAAAATATAAGTTTGATTTGAAGTGTTGAATTTGTATAAATAAAGTTTTGTAGATTGTTGATTGATTTATTGATTGATTGACTATTGACTGTAATGTTTGATTATACAGTTTTTCACTTGAATATTGTTTACTTGTACTTTTAAAACAATATTGTTTTAAATCACAACAATCAGAATATTATCAACAAAAATTATATTCTCACCATCAGAATCACAATATTATAATATTTTTATTATTTTAACAATTAAACGTGTTAAAATTGTTTTTTGGTTTACTTGACAAATAAAATGTTAAGTGAATGAATGTTTGAAATAATATTATTATTTATGATGACATGTCTCTTTGGAATTAGAAAAATCGACACCCTAATAGGGTTTGAATCTTTAAAAGACCTGGATAATCTATTCATTACTGAAATAGAATTTGTAATAGAAGCAATGGGTTATTTGATATCAAACCTAATCAGCCATTTATTAATTATTAAAATCACCTACTGTCATACCAGAAGGACAGGTATCTCGAGTAAAGTAATAGTTTGTTTTTTAAAAAATATGAACACACAATTGAAATTTGATATAAAGTGTTAAATTTTTGATGGTTTTGTGAGATTTGTGGTGGGTGTTTAGAATGAAATGTGAACTACTATTTATAGGTGATTAAATTTAAAGTAAATGAAATGAAATAGTTTGAATTATATAAATAACAATTTGTAACTAACCAACTTAACTAACTAACGAGCTAATAAACTAACTTTTTGAATCTATGTTGCCTAATACCTATTGCCAAACGTCAAAGTTTACTTACCAAAAAATAAAGGTTTAATTTAATTAAATCTCACTTTGAAATAATGTTATATCTTGTTGTTGTTGTTCCTATTCCTATTTTTAAATATTATTATTCCAAAAATAATTGTAAAAAAAAAAAATTGCTAAATAACTTTGAGAATTAAAATTAATTTTTTTTAAAAAAAGCTAACTATTTAAAAATGTTAAAGTAAATTCTATTTATATACACAAAATATTATTAATAGATAGACAATATCTATGTTTTGTTGAGAATAATGATTTTAAAAAAATGAAAGGACCTAATTGTGTTTTTTCTTTATTTATTTAATATTTTTTTTTTAATTTTTAATACTTTTTTTTTTGATTCGCTATCGAATCAATCACCGCAATAGAAATCTAAGACCCTGTTACCAATTGGACAAACATCAGTGGTTGTTGTTGTGGTTGTTGTTTTCTAAATTCTCTATTACTTTGAAACTTTCTAAAATTCTCGAGCAAAGAAAAAACCATTAATATTAAATTGTTGTTTTTAAAGTAGTAGGCATCACGCATAATCACAAATCAACCACATTTTCGTTTCTGAATGGGTGATTGTTGTTTGATCCGTTGATGGTTTTAATTATTTTTCTGAAGGCAATGGGTCCATTTTTCACATTCTCTTCCTAAATGAAGGAGTATATCATTATGATGAATCTGTTGTTGACATCCACTGTTCTTTGCTGTCGCCTGGTTCAAAAACCAAAAAAATTGTTTTTTTTTTCAGTTTTTTTTGTTGAATCCGAAAACATTGATCGAATTTTCGTTTCAGCAATCACCAAAAAAAATATCTACGACCAGCCATCGTTTTTATAAATTTGTGGGTATTGATTATAAGAGAACTCCTATAAAAAAAATAAAACTCTCTCCACACATAACCAACCACAATGATCTTGATAGATCAAAATTACCTTAAAAGTAAAAAAATTATGAAATGGATACTATGTTTAAAATTATTTAGTTTGAATCACACAAAAATAATTTGTTGTAAGCAAATAAAAAAAAAAATAAATCTATAACAGATAAAAATAATAATTTTTAAAAAAATAATTTGTACTAAAATGATTGGTCATTGGTAAAGTGCAAATAAATTGAGAAACAGAAATTCGTTTAGAGGAGCACGATTTTTTTTTTATTATTGTAATTTTTAAAGGATGATGAAAAAGGTTACTATTTTGCAGGAACTAAAAAAGATACTAATATCTGTAGCAAATTAAAATAATAACAACAAAATTAAAAAAAAAAAAAAAACAAAAATCTTTCTTCTACTTTAAAGCATGGTTAACTAGTTAAAAAATAAATGAACAATAATGACTTTAGATTTACTCTTTGTTTATCTGTATCACTGATATAAATATTATCTATTTGTTTAATTTTTTAAATACAAATTATTTGCAAAAAACAAAACAAATTGCCAAAAATTAAATATTGTTTTGGTGATGTTCAAAAAAATCCCATTTTTTGTTTGAAAAGTTAAATTATGATAAAGAATGTTTTTGATATAATTATATCGCTGAAAAAATGTGATATTTTTTAAAGTTGTCGACAAACACATACATATATTTTTTTTTAAAAAATAAAATAAAATTTAAATCTATCTTAAATTTTAAATAGCATTATTATTATCTAGATAGAGACATGACCATATAATAATATAATAAGTAAGTAAATTAATGACTTTCTTTTCTATTCTATAAATGTGGAATGACAAAACTATACCACACCACAATTATCACAGTTTCATTGTTGAATTCAGAGTAACCAAAACATTTTTTTCAAACAAACAAATTTTTTTTTTTTTTTTTTTGAACCACAAGTTTAAAAAAAAAACGTTTAATTTTTTGTTTTATTTTTTTATTTTTGACAACACAATGAGAAGTGGTAGAGTATCCAAAACAAATCAGTGATAATTAAACTACTACTCTCAATCTAAATTGAATCAAATGCTATAGTTTAGTTCAACATAATATCAATATCAACAATATCAATCAATAATAACAAAAGTTAACTTATTAATTTAAATTCTATTTTTATATTTTATAGATATTAATAATAGATAGATATAAAGTTAAATAAATTACAACAAACATTAGGAAATAAGAAAATAACATAACATAATAGATAGATATATTATATTAGATTAGTAGATAGACAAGACATATAAAATATATTTTAGTATTAGTATAGATAGAAAGATAGAACAAGAATTAGAAGAATAATTTGAATTTCATTTGCAAAATCAAGTAGAAAAGAGAGAGATATAGAGTAGTGTGGAATGACCACAGTAGTAGCAGCAGCAGTTCCAGACCGATTGAATCTTGGTATTGAATTTCACCAAACTGATGGACACGTAGTGAAAAAGGTGGTCAGAGTAGAATCTACCACCAAGATTGGTGAGGTTACACGTCTGCTTCTCGACAAATTTGGAAAATCGAGTGGCGACTCCGATGCAATGCTCTACCAACTATCGATCTCTCAGAAGTTACACAATCAACCAGTACTGATACTCTCTGACCTAAATAAATCATTAGCTGCATATAATATAAAAAATAATGTATGTCATCATCAATCAATTGAAACAAACAAACAAACAATCAATCAATCAAATCGAAACATCGACTAATTTGAGTAACTATAACTTATTCGTTGATCAAAAATTTTTAGGAAGATTTAGTGCTGAGAAGAAAACCAAAGAAAAATCCGGCAAGTGCAAAACTGTCGCAGAAAAAGAAACCGGATGGAATCTTTAAGACGCTCTTCTCAATGTCGACACTTGAGATGAAGTTATCCGAGGAGAAAGCATTCGTAAATATCACTGATGTCGAAGGTCAAGTCGATGTACCAATGTTATTCTTCAATGTAGTTGCATATCTTGAGAATTACTTTGCAAAAGGTAATTAACAAACGAACAAGCAAACATTCAACTATTGTTAAACTAAATAGTTACTAACAAACTAACTTTATTCATTATTATAAACATATATATATGTATACTTAACAGAGGGCGGTGTTTCAGAGATATCTAGTTCATTTCAATGTTATGGATCAGAGTACACTCAGGAGTGTATAGAGTTACTGCGATGTTTCAAACAGAATGAAACCTATGATTTGGCGGCGATGATGACTACTACGCCCGGACGTGGCGGTGGCGTCAACGTTAGAATACTTTGTAATTTCATATTGTATTTGCTACAGAATATCTTTACAGAGACGTCGCTGACCTACACTCTGTATACGACATTCCTAAAGTCAGCGACACTCGAGTCGAAATCGAATGTATTCTACGAGATTCCCACAAAGAATCGTATCATATTCAAGCAGATCATGTTGTTTCTCTGTCGGTTGACATCGCGACATCCCGCACTGCTCGACACGCTCGCCACCATCATAGCACCGTTCATCCTGGGTCGCATCGACTCGCCCAACACCCGAACCTCATCACTCTCAACAACACCACCAACACCCGCCGAATTAGTATTCGTAGTCAACAAAGATCTATCTCCCGAAGAGATGACACTCTGTAAAAAGGTTGCTGCCGATCTAATTCAAAATATACCTCTTTATTTATTGGTAAGTAATAGTTAATTAGTTAGTTAGTTAGTTAGTTAGCGTTAGATGTTTAAACAGTTATTATTTAACTAACACTTTGTTTGTTTGTTTGTTTGAATGTCGTCGTTTAGTTTTCACCATATAAAGGTATTACACAGTTAGAAGGAGAACGTGTTATATTCTCATCTTGTAATGTATTTTGTATAGATAAATGTAATTTCCCACCTAGTATTGCTAGTCTTGGAGAGATATGGGTTACAAACTATAGAATTGTATTTGTAAATTCACCGAATCACTCTGGAAACGCAGCGTCGTCATCGTCGTCGTCTTCGCTTCACTCAAACTCTGCCACTTCACATGGAACTCTTCAACCTTCATATTCATCATCAAGTCTACGTGATGCAGGTTCACTTTTATCACAACGTCCAACACCAACTCAATCACAATCACAATCCGATATAAATAATAATAACAATAACAACAATAACAATAGTATAACAAATAGTAATAGCCAATCATCTACATCGATTATAAGTACAACAACAACTGCAACTGGAAATATACAGAATTCATCATCTATATCATTTAGTTCGGTGCTGAATCAACGATTGGCTGCACACGACAACACAGAGATACCACTACAGATGATCTATCGTTGGAAGCTGATAAAGACAGGCACCATGTTTGAGTCGTTCAAGATCTACTGTAAGGATTTCCGTTGCAAGATTGTCGGATTCCTCGCGAATTCACCGCACATCGCACAGTTTCGTTCGGTGCTCGAGTCGGTGCGCGCTCCCACCGTCGACTCGGTGTTTGCATTCGCCTCGCAGGAGAACACCATCGACGCCTCAGAGAACTTTTGTCAGCGTTTGATTCCCGGTGAGTTTGACCGTCAGGGTGTGTCTTGGGATGAGTGGTGTGTCAACACCACCAACTCGCAGTTGAAGCTGAACACCATGAGCTACCCACCGGCATCGGTCATTCCGAAATCCGTCAGCCAAAACATCGTTGTTGCATCATCGCTGTTCCGATCCCTACGCTTTCCAGTCTTGGTTTGGCATCATCCAACTAATCGCGCTTGTATTACACGCGCTGCATCGCCATCCAACGACGCATCCAACAGTTTATCACCACCTACATCCGCTCCACTCTCCCCGAGATCCGGTAGCAATAATAATATTAACAATAACAACAATAGCAACAGCAGTAACAACAGCAACAGTAACAGTAGTCACAGTAGTAACAACAACACTAGCAGTAGCAACAGTAACAGCAACAGTAATAGTGGAATGAGTAGCTCTACTTCTAGCACAAATTTGAATATATTCAATAGTCTAGGTCATCCTCTTTCACCGTCACATAGTTTATCATCGAATCAACTATCTAATCCCAATCCTTGTAATGAGGATATCGATTTTATTAGGGCGATTATCGATAATGGAAAGAGTAGTCTTTTGACAGTTTATGATATTGGAACTGTTGCAAGTCATTCATCGACTATGATTGGTTGTAAATTTGAATTCCTCAATCTACCACCTATCACCAGTGTTAAGGAGTCGTTTTCGCGATTATTACAACTGCACAATGGTCATCCCGATAAGAAGTGGCCAGATGTCATTAGATTCCACTGGCTGAATCCTCTGAAACAGATTCTCTCTGCTGCCATCTTGATTGCCACCTCTGTCGACCAAGGCCAATCGATATTGGTACAGGGTGCCAACAATGAAGATGCCGATACACAACTATCCTCGATTTCACAGCTGCTCCTCGATGGCTACTATCGTACCATTGAGGGATTCAAAGTTCTCATTGAAAAAGAATGGTTGGTCTACAGTAATCCAATGGCGCGACGATGTGGACACGACTTGGTAAAAGTCAGGTCGCCAGGACAACAGGAAGTCGGACTCGATCAATACTCTCCGACTTTTATTCAATTCATCTTTATTGTTTGGCAACTTTGGAAGGAATTCCCTTCGGCTTTTCAGTTTAATGAAAACTACCTTTTGACGTTGGTCGACAGTGTCTATACTTGCCGGTTCGGTACGTTCCTTGGAAACAGTTTGCGTGAGCGTGACGAACTGATATTCGGACGTACCAAATCGTTCTGGTCGTTTGTTGAGCGCAATCAACAGCAGCTGTTTGTCAACGCGCTTTACGATCCACCCGCCAAGTCGTTCCTCAAGTGTAACCGCGTCTACCAAGATGCCATGTGGAACGAGTATTTCTATCGATTCTGTTTCAAGTCACAGGTGGCGCTAGAGTTGCTCGACGAGAAGATCTCATTGTCCACCAGAGACGAGCAGCTCGATCTCTCATCGCTGCGACTCTATCACATTCCAGACGCTGCAGTTCTTTCGTTCAATTACGTGAAGGACTTGAATCTGGCGAGAAACAACTTGAATTCCATTCCAATGAGTTTTGTTTCGCTGGTGAATCTCGAGCGTTTGAATGTCGAGGAGAATCTACTGGTCAACATATCGGCAGAGACCATCCGAATCTTTGCCAAACACGTAGTTAATCTGCGTGAAATCAACTTTAGTTCCAATCTCTTTGAAGATCTTCCCAGTAGTTTGAACTCCTTCAAACAACTGCAAGTGTTAAAGTTGCGTGGTAACAAGTTTGCTTTGATTCCCGAGGTAATTGACCGTCTTTCATTGACAGAACTCGACCTTTCTTACTGCCAAATCGTTCCGAGAATACCCATTTCCTTGGCACCAACTCTCACTGCACTGGATCTTTCTGGCACACATATGAGTCATCTGCCAGACGACATTGGAAGTCTGACCAGCTTGAAGGTGTTTGCCGCCAATGAAAATCAGTTGACTGCACTGCCAGTTTCAATGACCAATTTGAAACAGCTGGAGAAGCTGAGTCTCGATTCCAACAAGTTTAGTTTGATGCCAAGTGAAATCTGTCAATTGATATCCCTGCGTGTGTTGTCGATGGGTGAGAATCAAATGTCGATGTTGCCAAGCGATATCTCAAGCTTGGTGAATCTCGTCGAGCTGAATCTCAAGCAAAACAAACTCGATATTCTACCGGCATCGATTGGACAACTCTCGAATCTACTCGTTCTCAATTTGTCATCGAATCAACTCACTTCACTGCGTCCAACCATGGGATTGCTCACTTCGCTTACCGAGCTGCGTTTGGATGCCAATCCACTCAAGACACCGCCACCCGAGATCCTATCACAAGGATTAACACCGATACTCGAGTATCTACGTGATTTGATCAAAGGACAAGAGCAATGCTATCGTATGAAGCTGATGATTGTCGGCCAGGAGAATGTCGGAAAGACGACACTCCTCAAAGCACTCAAAGACAAGAAGAAGAAACCACAAGCGACCGGTCCCAACATCTCTACCGATGGTATCGACATTGACAACTGGGTCATTCCCGCACAGTTTGAAGAGCTCGACGAAAACCACCGTCCCTACAAGAAGAAACAAGACGTCACTCTGAGTGTCTGGGATTTCGCAGGTCAGGAGATCTACTATACGACTCACCAGTTCTTCTTGTCGGAGCGTTCCGTCTACTTGGTTGCCTGGAACATCATCTTGGAGGAGGAAGCAAGTCGCGTTGAATTCTGGTTGCAATCGATCACCACCCGAACCAAAGATGCACCAATCATCATCGTTGGTACGCATCTCGACGATTCCAACAAGACCTCGGCCAAAGCGATCAAGAAGAAGATGATCGACAAGTATTGTACTCGTTTCCCAACGATCAAAGCTATCAAGCTTGTGAGTTGCACCACTGGAAAAGGTATCAGTAGTCTACGTGAAACTCTGGAGCAAATCGTTATCTCACAGCCAAACATGGGTGAGAGTTTACCACGTTCCTACATGCTCCTTGAGAATCTGGTGAAAGAGGAAACCAAGAAGCGAATCATTCCGACAATTTCATGGACAGAGTTTATGCAATTAGGAACTATTTGCACGATCAAAGACGAAGCTGAGTTACTTCGTGCAACAATGTTCCTCAATCAACTTGGTTCACTTGTATACTTCCCCAAGGAGACTGGTTTGAAACAGTTTGTTATTCTCGATCCACAGTGGATTACAGTGATGTTGTCATCGATCATCACAACCAAACATAGCTATGCAAAAGATGGTATTCTCTCGCACAAGTCACTCAAGCAGATCTGGCGTCCACCTCTCTACCCTGAGAACTTGCATCCTCACCTCATTGCCCTACTGGAGAAGTTTGAAATATCCTATAACCTCGGCAGTAAGAAAGGTGGAGCATACTCACAGACAATCGATGAGAGTGCACAGTCGTTGATACCTTCGTTGCTACCAACAGAACGGCCATCCGCTCTCTCCTCGCTCTGGACTTCCTACAATCCCAAGGTGCACACCGAGCAATTCGGAAGAAACTACAAGTTTGAGTTCATTCCAAACGGTTTCTTCTCGCGTTTGATGGTGAGAATATTGAATTTCGCCAAGGGAGAAGCTCGTTGCTACTGGCGTAACGGTATGCTTTTGCAGCATGAGAACGAGCAGATCTTTATAGAGCTGTCGAACGCCCGTAAACTTCTTAGCTTTACAGTGCGTGGAAAGCAGTCTGCTTCATTATCGCGTGACGTCATCGAAACGATTCAATCACTCCTCGACGATGCATTCCAATTGCCAACACAAATCTACGTTCCTTGTATTCATTGCATTCAAAACAAAAACAGTCATCCATTCAAATTCTCGCTGGAGGTTTGTGAGAATGCTGCAGTCAAAGGTCTGCCTTACTTGAAGTGTCAGAATCAATATCATGTGAGAACAGAGTTGCTCGTTCCAGATTTGGTTATGTCCAATTTCACAGGTTCAAAGATATCGTATTCCGAGTTGAAGTTGGAAGAGTTGATTGGCGAGGGTGGAGCTGCTCTTGTCTATCGTGGACGTTGGAAAGGACATGTCGTCGCCATCAAAAAGTTGAAGACGGTGAACAACACTGAGCCCGGTCCAGGTGGAAGTGTTGAGATCAATGACATCTCATTGTCACGTGCCTTCAAGGAGTTTAGACGTGAGTGTTGGATTATGAGTACACTCGAACATCCCAACATTGTCCAACTGAAGGGTCTGTGTTTGGATCCCTTGTGCATCGTCACCGAGTTCCTTCCCAATGGCAATCTCTACCAATTCCTTCATCAACCGAACCAAGAGATGAGCTGGATTCTTCGATTGAAGATTGCACTCGACATCTCCAGTGGAATGGCATTCCTCCATAGTTCGACACCACCCATTATCCATCGTGATCTCAAGTCGCCAAATATCTTGTTGGCGTCGACCGACGAGCGTTCTCCCGTCATTGCCAAAGTAGTGGATTTCGGTTTGTCCGGACTCCAACACACTATCACCAACAGAGGTGTGGAGAATCCAGTCTGGCTGGCACCCGAGGTCATCGAGAAACAGGAAGCTTCGACACAGAGCGACGTCTATGCATTCGGTGTTATCTTGTGGGAGTTGCTTACCTACCAGGATTTCTTTGGAGACCTTGGATTCATGAGTTTGCTCGAGGACAAGGTGGTCAGTGGCGAACGTCCACCGATTCCCGACGATTGTCCTTCGGCGTATGCACAGCTAATTCGCGACTGTTGGCAAAACGATCCAAACAGCCGTCCTTCATTCTCGGAAGTCGAAGACCGTATCATGGCGATGGTGTCAGAGATGTTCCCCAATCTCCAATTGACGGAACCAAACAACACAGCCGAGAAACGTCGTACTCTTCGTTCACATCGTAAGCACGCCAGTACTAGCAGCGAAGTAAGTGAGTTACTCGATCAAGAGTTCACAGTTGGTGGCAGCAGTTCCTCAAGAAAGAACTCCACTGCCGAGTATCTAGCTAATGAAACCAATAGCGTTGGAACAACATCAAGAAAGAATACAACAACCTCTGAAGATATAGCTTCTTCTATTACTTCTACTATGACTACAACTTCAGCTATGGCAACATCAACCGGAACAACAAATCATACTTTGTTTACCACTTCGACAAACAACACAATGTCTCAGAGTAACAGTAGTGTAGCCACTCTTGATTCTAGCCAAATTGTTGGCATGGACAAGAGTCTGGATAATCTCATCACAATGTCACAGGAATCCAATTTCTTTAAGGCGCTGGCAACTACCATTCCAACGACCAACAGCAACAGTACCGACCAGCACGGTGGTGAGAAAGCCGCCAAGATTGGTGCAACTCTAACCATTCCCAAGGAAGCGGAAAAGAAGAACTTCTACCATAATACCAAGAGAAATTCTGTATCGATTCAACCTTTCTACAATGTCTTTAAACAAGAGTTGAATATCGGTGAAGGATCCATCCAATGTATGGTGATTGCTGCCAACAACATCTGGGCAGGTACCGGAAGTGGAACCATTTCCGTATGGAACAAAGACACTGGTGAAAAAGTACATTCCTTTAAAGCTCATTCTCGTCGTATTCACTGTCTCTACAACTATATGAACACAGTATGGAGTGGTTCGGCCGATAACAACGTATCGATTTGGAACTCGGAAACATTTGCTCTGGTAAAGACATTCAACGGCCACTCACCGACTTGTTTTGCAAGTGTTGGACACACTGTCTGGGCAGGATCAATCATCAATGTCATTCACATCTGGGATATCAAAAAGAAGGTTAAATACAAAGGCAAGATCACTCTAGAGTCGGGTCCGGTCGAGGCGATACTGAAGCGCGACCAAGACGTATGGGTGGCACTCAACAACAACCTGGTGCGAATCGACATCAACTCACAGCGAGTCACTCAAATGATAAAAGGCCATGAGAAAGCGATTCACTCGATCATCGAAGTCGACAGTACCATCTGGACTTGTTCGAGTGACGGCACCATCCGAGTGTGGGGTGCTCAGTCCGGCCAGAACATCACAACGATCAATGCACACTCCAGTAGAATCTTTTGTCTCACTCTGGTTGGCGACTTTGTCTGGTCGGGTAGCTGGGATACCTCCATCAAGATATGGAGTGCCAAAGACTACTCGCTGGTCGCAGAGAACCAGAGCAAACAAAAAGATGCCATCAGTTGTTTCGCATTTGTAAATAGTCCAAACAAACAGAAGCAAGTCTGGAGCGGATCGTGGGACTCAACGATCGCCGTCTGGAACATCGGATACCCTGGATCTCTCAATAATTCATTCAACTCTGACATGTATAGCAGTGGTGGATTACCAACTTATTCATCATCTTCATCTGACACACAAAGTCCATCACCTTTTTCATCATTTAACAACAACAATAACAATTCTAATAATAATTTAAATAACAATAATAATAATAGTAATGGTAATTTAACAACAACTACAACAACGACAACCAGTAATTCAAATTCATCAAGTGAATCTATTTCAGCATCATATCCAAACAGTTCAACACTTTTGAATATCAACTCATCGACATCTCCACCCGGTAACTCAACATTGAGAAGTCATGCACGACGTACAGTTTCATTTGTTTTCGATAAATTTAACAAATCTTCAAAATAATTAACATAATATATAATACTTGTATAAATTTAAATAAACCGAAAATCTTTCATTCCAAATATTTTTAAACTTAAATTTAATTAAATTTCACCGATCAGAATGCACCAAAGCGTAGACAAATTGAAAAGCTATATTCTTGTAAAAACAGATGACAAACTCAAAGAAATGTTTAAAGATAGTCAAATATCCTTCGGAATGATCATCTTGCTCAATAAACATTTAACTGTTCTATTTATTTTTTATATTTATATTATATTACAATTATTATTATTTCATATAACTAAAAAAAAAAAAATTTGATATTTTGAGAGTTGAAAACCACAACTTAGAAATATACTCAAATACAAACATGTTTCATTTCTATTGCTTTTACACTATTTATTTAAGCATACACACATATTATTATTTTTTTCAACTTTTGCCTGTACATATATTACATATACATTCTAATTCTTATCGTATTATACCTTAAATCACATATCCAATCTCATTTCAATCATGTCTCAACCAACAACAACGACAACAACTTCTTCTACCATTTCAACACACCAAATCACTGTTAACTCAACCAAAGAACAAGTCAGAGATTGGATATATGTGATTTAAGGTATATGTGATACTTTCAGTTGAGAGGATATTGGTCAGGTTCTAAGTTATGCCGAGATTATTCTTAATAGTTCTTTTCCAAGTAAGACATCAGTCGATGTTTTACTATTCAATTTTGGAAGGTTACAAAGGTAAATAATGTTATAATTACATGAACGTTGACTGTCAACTAACAATCAATAGTGTTCCTCGAGTCCAACAGGTTTTTCATATGTAGCAACCACCCAGATGTATATAAATTCGGTTTATTCATCCGATGGCTTTCATTGTCTGCTGGGTCTTCTTGATTTGACTCCATACTCACTTCCTACGGATCTTCAAAATTTGTTGGATGTCAATCCTGTCATAATGCACATTGGGTCTGAAGAAAGCTGGCCAGTTTATTCAAAATACCAAGTTCATGTTTCTTAACATCTGGATTACTGAATATTCAGTAATCCAGATGTTAAGAAACATGAACTTGGTATTTTGAATAAACTGGCCAGCTTTCAAGAAAGACAAGTACCAAATGTTACTAAAGATGGAAATGATTGGATTATGATGCAGCCTGTTGGAGAACAATCAAAAACCACCACCCTTCACACTATGCAAGCGTAAGTAACAAGTTGCTAAATTTAGTTTATGTGCTAACCTTGATTTTATATTCAGATCTTGGATATTCTTTTTAGAATACACAATCAAGGAATCATTCATCGTCATGTAAGGGCATCAAACATTGTAATTTCTCCTAATGGCACACCAATTCTGATTGACTGGAGCTCATCAACTATTTTGGAAAATCAAAACCAAAATATCTCCTCTGGCACATTCTACACTGCATCTGAAAGGGTTTTTGATGTTTTTGCAAAGCAAAGAACCATTCAAAGTCGAGCCTCGTGACGACATTGAGTCGCTTGTGAAGACTCTCATCATGATGATCTACCCCGCGATACAAACCACAATCCGATCAGTCAAAATGAATGAATACGGTCATTTGTTAAGCGCATGGAAATCATTATCATTGCCTTCATTCCTCATTGACCTCCTCGGTTATTCAAGATTAACAGACCCGTCCCAACTTAGAGACGCACTTTTGAATTCTCCCCAGACATCTTCATCATCAACCAAAATTTAAAATAAAGACATTATCTTTTCAACATTAATCAATTCTTTAGTTTTGTTTTTTTTATCGAATATTTTCAAGGTATTAGGGTATTGAAATCTCCCAAAAACTAATTTATTTTTTGCATATTAATAACCATATTGTACTATATTATATTATTTAAATAATATTTTTTTATTTGATCAAGAATGACAACACAATCGATACCTACAAAAGAAGCATTGGTAGTTATATTAGATATTGGGCTTGGTATGCATCAACATAGCAATACAAACAAACAATATACAACAACACCAATCGAAGAAGCATTGAAATCAGCTACTTTATTATATCAACAAAAAGTATGTTTATCTTATTATTTAATAATAATAATATTATTATTGATTATGTGATCTATTTATCTAAACACATAGCTATTATATGGTAAAAAAGATGAACTTGGTGTTGTTTTGATCGGTACAAAAGAAACAAAGAACAATCTACAGAAGGATGGATATCATCATATCACCACTCAAACAGAGATAGAAGAGCCAACACTAGAGACACTAAAGTTCTTGGAACAGTTGAAACCAGGTCAATCACGTGGTGACATCATCGATGCACTCATCGTAGCAATGGATATGTTAATACATAAAACAGCCAAAAAGAAATATCAGAAACGTATATTCTTGGTAACAAACTGTTACGATCCTATAAACAAAGATGATCTTTCAACATTACGTGATCAATTTAAAAAGATTGATGTAAAATTAAATATAATGTAAGTTAATGTTTAGATTAGATTAGTATTGTTTAGTTTAGTTTAGTTTAGTTTATTATTATATATTCTAATTATATATAATCTATTTATTATTACTATCAGTGGTGTAGACTTTACAGATGAAGAGGAATTAGAGAATAAGATTAAATTAACAAAGAAAGAAGAGAATGAAAAGTTTTTAAGAGAGTTTGCAGAGAGTGTCGACGGTGTGTTGGTACCTGTTAAACAAGCGTTGGAGATGATGAGCTTCTTTAGATCACAGTCGGTGTTACAGAGAACAGTGTTTAGAGGTAATCTCGAGATTGATTCCACCTTCCAGATACCGGTGTGGTCGTTTATGAAGACAAAGATTCAGAGTTTACCGACGCTTGGAAAGGTGTCGACAGTGGCGCGACAGCAAAAGGAAGAGCAACCAGATGCCAGAATAACAACAGAGGTCAAACAGGAGAAGCTTTACTATTCGATAAGCGATCCCGATACAGAGTTGGACTATTCAGAGTTACTGAAAGGATTCAAGTATGGAAAGTCACTGATTCCATTCTCAAAGATTGACGAAGATGCGCTAAAGTATACATCGGACAAGTGTCTTCAGACTCTTGGATTTGTTGATATAGAGAAGGTACCGATCTATCATAATAAAGGATCGACAGAGATGATGGTTTCACCACCTGGTGATAAAGTTGCACGTTCAGCACTATCGTCACTGATCCACGGAATGGCTGAAACCAAGCAAGCACTGCTGGCGCGTTATGTCAAGAGAAATGGAAGTTCACCATCGATTGCATTGCTATATCCACATATCAAAGCCAACTATGAAAGTCTCTATGTTTGTCAACTTCCATTCTTGGACGATTTGAAACAATATCAATTCCCACCGATCGCACCAACCAACCCGGCAACAAGAAAACCATACATTCCAACAGCGGAGCAAGTCGATGCTGCTCGAGCGCTCATCGATTCGATGGACTTGATGACAGCTGAAGAAGATGAAGATCACCAAAAGATAGCAGCACTACGTCCACGGTTCACATATAATCCATCACTGCAACACTTCTACCAGTGTCTGCACCATCGAGCACTTCATCCGGAATCACAACTTCCAAAACTCGATCCAATCATCTCAAAGTATATCAATCCCGACGAAGCGATTATGGAGAATGCACAAGATGCAATAAAGAACTTCCAAATACTTTTTCCACTCACGAAAACCACCAACTTTAAATCGGAACCGAAATATCGATGGCAAGATGGAATGTTGGTCGAACAACAACAAGAGATTCGTTTGGATTCCTATGTGACAGACGATACCAACTCATCGAAGAAGAGAAAGGCAGACGATCTTGCAGATTACTCGCTCGACAAGTTGGTTTCTGGTTACGTCAATGAAGTCGGTTCGATCAATCCAGTGCAGAACTTCAAAGATATGTTGGCAAGACGTGATATCGATCTGGTAGACAAAGCGATATCATTAATGAAACAACGTATTGTCCAACTGGTAAACGATTCACTCAAAGATCAATTCTATCAGAAGGCATTGGAGTGTGTCGTTGCACTTCGTCGTGGATCTATCAAAGAATCAGAATCATTGGTATTCAACCAATTCCTCCGTGAACTTCGTGATTATTATGAATCAAAGAAGCGTGATGACTTTTGGCAACTGATCGTTACAAATCAGATCGGATTGATCACAAACGATGAAAGTGATGACAGTGAAATCACTGAAAAAGAATCAAAAGAATTCCTCGGTTCTAAACGCAAGACCATTGCAATCAACAACAATCAACCATCGAAATCTGATTCTGTTGATGATCTTTTCGATCAAATCGAATAAAATTAATAATAATTTGTAATTTAAATTGTAAATTTATTTAATATTAAATTTTATTTTTAACTAAAAACCGTCTACATTATTTCAGAGTGGGTGTGAGTAACGTTTTTTGCAAAGATAATGCTCAGATACAGATCAAATTCTGGAAAAATGAAAAAAAAATTGGAAAAAAAAAAGAGTGATATTTGATTTTAATAATTTCGACAATAAAATCAAAGTTTTAGTTTAACTTGACTATTTTTATTTTTGAAATGAATGAATTATAAAAATACTTCAAAATGAATAATATCAAGCTAACAGATAAATTAATCAATGGAAAAAATGTATTGGAAATTAATCTTAATACCCTTCAACAATACATAGTTTTAGTTTATAATCATTTGAAAGATAAAGAAAATGAACAACACACAAATATCACATTAATTGGAAATATTAATCATATATATGGTAAAGAGTTTGATAATACCAGATACAGTCGATACTCAATATCAATTAATAATAATAGATTCTTACGCAGTAGATTTTAAATCGATATGTGTCGAGCTATTAAACAAATCACAATCATACACAATCAATATTGAAAAAAATCTATTCAAAAACAACCTTGACTATTTCGAACAATCTCATATCATTAATAACAAACGATATCATTCAATATCAAGATTTACAAACAGTAATGCTATCAATGATGTATATTTAGTGTGTGGTACTGATGATCATAGATTGGTAAGATCAATATGAATCGATTGACATCATTTTTCAAAGTAATTAATCAATTGACAATCATAAAACTAACAAAATCAATTCAAAAGTATGTTTATAAAAAGATAAACTATAAAGGTAAAGATAATCAGAAATCTTATGAAAGAGCTAAGAATGAAATCAAATCAATGAAATTACTCAAATATAATCGAAGATTTGTTCAACTTGTTGACTATCATCATGATAAAGACAATCAAATCTTTCATATCATCACTGAATATTGTGATGGTGGTGATCTTTCCCAAAAGTATAAACATTTAACTGATATAAATCTGTATGTATAAAATATTAAATAACATGACTTTTATCAATCAATTAACCACTTTTATATTGAACATAAAAATAGAATCTTTTCAGAATCATATATCAGTAATTATATTTCACAACTTTTCAATATTCTTTTGGATCTTGATAAACATGGAATTGTTCATTGTGACATCAAACCATCAAATATATTCATTCATGAACTTGATGATTATGGTACTTTGATTCTTGGTGATTTTGGATGTTGTAAATTCATTGATAAATCAACAATCATTGAATATCAAGATACAAAAGAACATACTCTTGAAACAAATGATTTTAATTCAAAAACTATCGATCATGAAATATCGGTGTCAGCCATTTCAAATATAAATGCAACACGTGGAACAATTGGTTATATTTCACCAGTAAGTAAATTTTATTTATTTGATTTTCAATATAATTTTAACTTATTTAAAATAATAACAAATAGGAAGCAATGAAACGACAATATGCACAATCATGTGACATCTTTTCAATTGGATCAACGATTCTCAAATTATTATGTTGGTAAATACTCGAATAATCATTTTTAAAATATTATTATCAATCAGATATTAACTCTGTATTTTTGAATATTTAAATTGATCAGTCATCCAGATGATCGAAATAATCATCAACTATTCCAATCAACTAAACGTGAAATTAAGATTTCAGAATGCAGATATTCAAAACAATTGATTGAATTTATTCATCGATTGTTGGATCAGAGTCCAAAGAATAGAGAATCATTGAATCAAATATTAAACCAATATATTGAAACCAACACCAATAATAAGATAATTACATTCAATTTAAATACTCCATTTCATAATACCTCCGTCAATGTCACTGAGATCAATTTTGGATATGAATTCAATCAAATATTATCAATCGGTGTCTTACCTGAATCACTTGAATCTTTGGTGTTTGGTCGTAATTTCAATCAAATATTATCAGTTGGTGTGTTACCTGAATCACTGAAATCATTGAAGTTTGGATTTAGATTCAATCAAATATTATCAGTTGGTGTGTTACCTGAATCACTTAAATCATTGATATTTGGAATTGAATTCAATCAAATATTATCAGTTGGTGTTTTACCTGAATCACTTGAATCATTGGTGTTTGGAAATAGATTCAATCAAATATTATCAGTTGGTGTGTTACCTGAATCACTGAAATCTTTGGTGTTTGGAATTGAATTCAATCAAATATTATCAGTCGGTGTATTACCTGAATCACTGTATTCATTGAAGTTTGGTCGTAAATTCAATCAAATATTATCAGTAGGTGTATTACCTGAATCACTTGAATCATTGAAGTTTGGTCGTAAATTCAATCAAATATTATCAGTTGGTGTGTTACCTGAATCACTGAAATCATTGGTGTTTGGATATGAATTCAATCAAATATTATCAGTTGGTGTGTTACCTGAATCACTGTATTCATTGAAGTTTGGTTGGGAATTCAATCAAATATTATCAGTTGGTGTGTTACCTGAATCACTGTATTCATTGAAGTTTGGTTGGAAATTCAATCAAATATTATCAGTTGGTGTGTTACCTGAATCACTTGAATCATTGGAGTTTGGTTGTAAATTCAATCAAATATTATCAGTTGGTGTGTTACCTGAATCAATTGAATCATTGGAGTTTGGATATTATTTCAATCAAATATTATCAGTTGGTGTGTTACCTAAATCACTTGAATCATTGGTGTTTGGAAATGGATTCAATCAAAAGTTATCAGTTGGTGTGTTACCTGAATCACTGAAATCATTATCAATGACGAACTACATCGATAGAAAAGATCTACCACAACATATTGAAAACCTATTTATTCGAGGACAAAGAATAGATATCGACTCATTCTAAATTTGCTTTAAATCTTCTATTTTAATCAAGAGTGCAGATTTTAATAGTTAGACATTCATATTCAACACACAATTTGTCCAATATCAGACGCTTTTTGGATTCTCAAAACAATCAAATCAAAGAAGAATACATCATCGCTCTACATTTAAAACTATAGGAACATTTTAAATAAAAAAGATCACTTCGATTAAAATCAGGATATAATTAATGCTTATTTATTATTTATTCTATTGAAATTAAAAGATATGAATTCAAATATGTCAAATAGATATTCAATATATATTCCAGATATATTCTCGTTCTCCGTTTAATCTTCTAGACTTTTACAGTACCGCTGAATCTCGGTAGTCTTAGTTTGTTTATCATATCTATTTGCATTTTGATGATGTCGAACTTTGTACAGCTACGTGATATCCTCGTGGAGGAGGTGTGGGCATACTGGACTGTGCTGCACTACAGAGGTACTGCATGTACTGACGCCAGTTCTTTTGTTGAATTGCTGAGTTTCCTTTCGGATTTTAAGAAACTTCCTTTCAGAAAGAGAGTGGCTCCGGCAAGAGGAAGGAGTAACAATCACTGTTCGTATACCCTAGTGCTCTTTCGAGAGCACCAAGTATTGGATTTCTAGAAGTACCATGATCACAAAGCTGCAGCTGTATGCCTTAGATTACAACTCTCTTCTTATTATGTTAAAATAATAAAAAAAAGTAATTTTGTCTAACTCTTTTTCATTTTTTTCAAGCACAATCAAAGGGGATGTAAAATAAAATAATAAAAGATTTTTGAATAATGTGTGAAAATAGATGTATTGATCGATCATGTGGAAGAAAAGTCAATTTTTCAAATTAGATGTAATCTGTTATTGATAGTGATGAATGAAATAAGAATGATCATTCACAGATTTATTTGATGTTCAATGATGTGATATTTTCAAAAGTACTCACCATCAACAAAATAGATTTTATGTAAAAAGAAAGATCATTTTGTAATTACAAAATCTTTATCATGATCCACAAAAAATCTATTGTCGTAATTTATAAAGATGTCGATTCATAGTTTACCAAACCACTTGGAGAGTTGTAAATAATGTGTATGTTATCTAGTTGATTTGTACAATTGCATTGCATAGAATTTATAAATTATCTGATGATAGAATTCATACTTCTTGACTCTGAGTGATATCGAAGTGAGATTGAACAAAGTAATGTCAGTTTTGGTTATGTTAATGATGGGTGGCAGCTTAGAGACTGCCACTGCTTTTGAACATCACTCCAAGGTACAGAGGAGATATAGAAGATGGACCAAGTAGTGTGTTGTCCGTCTAAGGACAATAAGGTAGCCAAGGCAATGCCGGCACCCATCGAACAATATCAATAAACCAACACACAAAAGCATATAGTATTGGTCAATTATAATTAATTAAATTAATTAAATCAACTAAATAAGTAATAGTTCAAACAACAGATCCAAATAATAATTAAATTAAAATCTGTTGTTTCTAGATTAAGTCATTCAACACTCAGCCGTCAAGCTTCTCAATAATGATATTGAGTTTAACGTGACGTAAAAGATTCATTCAATTATTCAATTATTCAGAATATAAGATTATAAAAGATATTAAAATTAAAAAATAAATAAAAAGATGATATAAAAGATAAATTTAAATTATATAAAAATATTATTAAAAACATTATTTTATATTATTATTAATTATAAGTTATATAAGAAATGCCAGACTAAATTAACAATCAAATCATACAACAACAACAACAACAACAACAACAACAACAACAACAACAACAACAACAACAACGAATAACGAATCAACAGCATCTTCAGATCCAACAACCACCACAAAAGATCTAAGAATGAGTGATCTTGAAAAAAATAATAACAATAACCAAAACCAAACAACTACTTCTTTGTTCCTAGATATCACTCCTCCAGTGCTCGGCCAGATTCCCTCCCAACCGATTTATTTAAATCTAGCCTAGCCGTTTCTAAGCTCCCTATCTCCTCTACCATTGTCCCAGGTCAGCCGGAAACAAACATAGTGTCGATGTCACCTCCGAGGAGTCACAGTACATTTGAACTGGTTGATCTCTTCAGAGGAGCCAGCGTTTGAACAAGTAAAACCAATCAATGGGTTGTCCTTCGAAGGACAATAAGGTAACCACCTGTTGGAAACGGCGTTAAATCGTGGTAGTAACGACATAATGTAGTGATATAAAATAATGTTATAAATAAATAGTTATATGTTTTAAAGATGATTGTAAAATAATGAAAATTTATTGATTTTAGTTTGCGCTTATATATTGTTGATTTGTCGGTTGGCAGTGTCGGTTGATTGGTATCTTGGAACTACGATTCCAACACCACCCAAGGCAATATCAGTACCTATTTATCAACATCAATAATATACGCCAGCCAACAAATAGTAATAGTCAATTATAATTAATTAAATTAATTAAATCAACTAAATAAGTAATAGTTTAAAACAACAGATCCTAATAATAATTAAATTAAAATCTGTTGTTTCTAAATTAAGTATTCAACACTCAGCCGTCAATCTTCTCAATAATGAATTCTGAGTTTAACGCGACGTTAAAGATAAAATAAACTTACATAGATTAATTAGATTGGCATATTCTGTTTTTACTTTTTCTTTATAAAACTTTGGGAAAGGGTGGTGCTGATTTTGAAGTAGTTTGTACACGTTGATGATGTTGTTGTTGCTGCTGTCGTACCACCATTTATATCATTATTATTAATATTATTATGTGTCGACGAACCAGACGGTGAATGCTGTCTTGTTTACCGTTCGAGTATGGAGTGTTCGATTCTATAGAGATGTTTCTCTAATTTGACCTGACGAAGATGCAAAACATCGATTTTATCGATCGTTGCAACTTTTTGTCTTTGATAACTGTCAGAGTAACATTTTATTTTTATTTTTTTCATTTATTTTTTATTAATTTAATTGAATACTTTTTAAATTTAAAAGTTATATGTTTCGAAAAAAATAGTAAGTATTTACTCTTAAACTATATAATTTTTGAAATATAATAATAAATAAATGACTGACAATGAAGATTCCATTCTCTTTAAAATTAGATTCAGATACAGTGAGCTCAATGAACAACAAAGAAGAAGAGTGTTAAACATTTTCGCCAACTACAAGAACCATACACAAGCTACAATACCGAATCATGGAGTCGAGTGTTACCAAATTGATCCACCAGAATACAGAGAAGATACTTGCTTTGCATACAACACAGAATTTATTTTTCATTTTCGATCTGATATTGTTACACTTTTTGTCATTGATTTCCTATGCAGAACAAGTATGTTAAAATATTTATTATATTTCCTCTATTTTTTTTTTATTAATTATTTCCAATTAGGCCTGGTCAGCCTCGTCTGGTCTTATTTGAATGGCAACCTTCTGGTTTTTCTACTTGGAAAACTGAGTTCAAGGACATAGACAAACATGTCGAATAGATATCATATATATATATTTATTTTATATTATATTTTCGTTTTTACTTTATATTATTTTATTTTATTTTATTTTATATTCACAACAAAAAATATCTAAATAAATGTTTTTATTATAAATACAAAAAATATTATTGATTTTCAATCTAGATTTTTTTTTGAAAACTTGAAGATCAAAGTAGATTATTAAAAAAATTATTTATTTTAGAGCAAATAGTTCTCGAAGGTTCAAAGGTGTTTCTTCCCTTTCTGATAATGAATTACGCACGGATTCGCCATCTAGGTAACTGTCTGGACCGCTGTACATTCAATTCACCGATCCTGTCACACCATTGCTAACTGAAGTACTCAACGATCTTTATCTTATCCTCAGATGTCAGATAATGACATGTCTTTTGCTAGGTGGTTGCGCATTGTCAGATACCCTCATTGGAAAGGTACGATCACAATAATATTTAAAAAGATGACTTGTTAGATATAGACTAACAGTAGAGTCGATAATAAGTACAAATATATTTACAATTTTCTGACCAATTGTTCTAAAATATACTTTTAGAAATTATATTATATCTACCAATCAACTAACTAAAAAGAAATCATTAAAAATGATACTATTTCTCCAACCTACAAAGTAACCAATAGAAATATGACAAATCTACAATCAACACTAAATAAGCTACTATTCAAGGAGTTATAAAGATAGCCACCTGGATAATCTGATGGAACGGAATTGATATAAATAGTGAACTAAAATGAATATTAAAAACAACAATAATTCATATTCATCAATTAAATCAATTAAATTAATTATTACAAATACTGTTAAAATTAAATAAAGATATTGAGAAAAAACGAATAAAAAAAAAAAGCATTTAAAATAAAATCGGTTTAGTATTACACCACAAAATAGAAAAGATAATTATAGATTAAAAATTTAGATATTCCAACCTAAAATCCTTCAGATGGTGAGTACATTTGAACAACATCACACCATCATCCAATATCAATTTTAAAAGATCGTTAAAAAAAAAAAAAAAATCATCCCTTTTGATGTGTATTGCCATCAACCCACTTGTAAAGTTTTGGCATTGCGATCATCATCGGCAACAAAAAAGATATTTTTGTTTTTAATGAATTCAAATTAATCACACACACCAGTCCACAAAAGTAATTACAACCTGCAGATCCATCATTTTTATGGTTTAATTTGGTACATGTGCTCCGGCACACACAACAAATAAATCTTAACAGAGTGTATTGTCTCGGTTCCAACACTCAAAACAATAAACAACATGATAAAAATCATTTGAAACATCATTCCTATTTCATCCATCACCATCAAGCTATCTTGATAGATATATAGAAACTTAAAAAAAAGATGATAGAAAATGAAACAAAGAAACGTATAAATAAATCAGCAGAAAAAGTAATTACAACTAGAAATGATAATAATAATAATATTAAGTCAACTCAAGGTGGTACCAAGGTAGATCCACATTGGGGACGTTCACATAATATTAGTTATTTAACAGCATTCCTTTCATCATTACTGATGTTTACATCACCATTGATGGTAATTTACTTTTGGACTGCATGTAATTCCTACGGATGTTCATTGGCCGAACCAGCAATAGAATTATATTCGTTACTTTCATCACCGACACCCAGTATCGTAGCGGTTCAATCATTCCTTTATTCTTTATTGCCTGTACCAACTTTAGAAGCAGCCAAGTTATATGTCTATTGGTTATTATTCCAATTCGTTCTGTACGTAGTGTTACCAGCTAAAACAGGATACGGTCAACAGACACCGGCTGGACATCGTCTTCCATACAAAGTGAATGGTCTGTTGGCATGGGTTGTCTCACACGTCTGTTTCCTAGTTGCGTCGTGTTACTTTGAGTTGTTCCCAGCATCACTTGTTCAACGTCATTGGGGAGGTTTGCTAGTTGCTGCCAACTGCTACGGCTATAGCTTAACGCTATTCAGCTATATCAAAGCTCACATTGCACCGTCACATCCAACCGATCGAAAGTTTACCAACTCGCGTCTCTACGATATATTCATGGGTATCGAGTTGAATCCAAGATTTGGCAATTGGTTCGATTTCAAACTGTTCCACAATGGCCGACCAGGAATTGTCGCGTGGACACTCATAAACCTTTCGTTTGGCTTTGCTCAGTATGAGCGAATCGGCTATGTCACCAACTCGATGGTACTCCTGAATATCCTGCACGCTGCCTACGTACTCGACTTCTTTGTCAACGAAGATTGGTATCTACGAACGATCGACATTGCTCACGATCACTTTGGATTCTACTTGTCGTGGGGTGATACCGTGTGGCTTCCATACATGTATACTCTTCAATCACATTACTTGTATCGTAATCCAGTGGATCTTTCATATCCAATGTTCAGTGGTGTTCTTGCTCTTGGTACCGGTGGATATCTAATCTTCCGTGCAGTCAATCATCAAAAAGATGTATTTAGAAGTTCACCAAATGGTAATTGTATCATCTGGGGTAAGAAAGCAACTTTTGTTTCTGCTAAATATGTTACTGCCGATGGTACTGAACATATCGGTCGTTTATTAACAAGTGGTTTTTGGGGTAATGTAAAAAAATGTTATAAAAGATCGACAACTGTTATCATATCGAATACTTACTTTATTTATTGTTTGTTTATTAAAACTATACTCATAATTATAGGATTATCACGTCATTTTAATTATGTTGGTGATTTAATGTTATCATTTGCAATGTGTTTAACATGTGGATTCGAACATCTACTTCCATATTTCTATATCATCTATATGACGATGCTACTTGTTCATAGAATCTATCGTGATGATGAACGTTGTTTTGGAAAGTATGGTGATTATTGGATTCAATACAAGAGTATTGTTAGATGGAAATTGCTTCCTTATGTATTTTAAAATAATAGTTTCATCCTATTAACATCCAATACAATAAAGTTAAAATTAAAATACTATATTACTTCTTTCTCTTTCAAGATCTAACTACTTCTCATGTCTTTCTAAGTACAATAGATTGTTTCTCAATGTCGAGTTCTCTTCTATTTGATAACACATCCACTATTATATTTTAAATCAAATCGAATAAAACTATTTTCTTTGAATTGGGTGATGTTTGTTTATTTGTTTTTTTAAGATAACTTTATTAACACAACCATATAACTATTTTTGTATCATATAATAAATGTATATATATAAATGACAATAAAAGATATTTTAGATAATATATTATAGAGAGGAACTTGAGAAAATGTCAAGACAAAGATTACAAATAAAAATAATAACGAGCAATGAATGCTATTTGTTTTATTAATTAATCTAGGTATTTATTAATTTTAACATAACTGCTTTGAAATTTACTTCTGACAAGTCGTCAGATGATTCGATTGCTGATATAGTGAAAGCTCAACGAAATGAAGGAGCTTGGTGAAGTCAGTAGGTATAACTCGCTAAAGTATTGACAAGAGTCCGACTGGACGTCGTCCCTTTAATTAAGTCGTCAGCTAAGATGGATCTAATCAAATCATTCGATAACGAGCTCGAAGAGAGAAAGAGAGATAGGATCACCCTAAGCTTAGTTCCACAACAGATATCGGAGCAAACAGAGATCTTGGCTCTTATGAACAAAAGATTGTCATTGGTGTTCTTCCATCATCACTTCAAAGATTATCTATTCCTGAAATTTATCGAACTACCGATTTTAGAATAGATGTACCAATACCAAATAATTAAGTGATACTCAATTTTAGAATAATAAAAGTTGTTTCAAGATAAATATTATTTATTTTTTGTTCTAATCAGAGCAATAATGTATTCTCCTTTGATTTGATTGTTCTTTGAATCGACAAAGTAATCACTGATCGTAGATAAATTGTGTTTTGAAGCCAGATCTAGCTTTGTGCTCTTTGCACAAAAAAAAAAAAATAAAAAAATAAAAAAAGGAAAAAATAAAAAAATCAAAAAACTTTTGGATTTATCCTTTTTTTTTTTTTTTTCAATTTTTTTTATTTTTTAAAAAGTTCACAATTTTTTTTATTTTTTTATTGTTTTTCTAAATTATTTAATTCTAATAATATAATATATAATAAATCAATCATAAATATCTGTTTTTTTATTTTATTAAAGTTAAACAATAAATAAATAACTATGTCATCCGATTTAGATCGACAAATCGAACAATTAAAGAGATGTGAGATCATCAAGGAATCTGAGGTTAGAGCACTTTGTGCAAAGGCACGTGAAATCTTATTGGAAGAAGGAAATGTTCAAAGAGTAGATTCCCCTGTTACTGTAAGAGATCTGCCTATTATTATTATTTTACTTTATTTATGTTTATTATAAAAGATTAATCTAATTATTAATTCATTCTATTCGAATATTCTATTATATCAATAACTATTATTATTAACTTAATATTTAGATTTGTGGTGATATTCATGGTCAATTCTATGATTTGAAAGAGTTGTTCAAGGTTGGAGGTGATTGCCCTCAGACCAACTATTTGTTTATGGGTGACTTTGTCGACAGAGGATTTTACAGTGTAGAGACATTCCTTTTGTTGTTGGCACTCAAAGTAAGATATCCAGATAGAATCACTTTGATTAGAGGCAATCATGAGTCAAGACAGATCACACAGGTGTACGGATTCTATGAGGAGTGCGTAAGAAAATACGGTTCAGTCACCGTTTGGCGATATTGTACAGAGATTTTCGATTATCTATCACTCTCTGCTTTGGTAGATGGAAAGATATTTTGTGTACACGGTGGTCTTTCACCATCAATTAATACTTTAGATCAAGTAAGTGTTCATTCACGAAATAACAAGACAAACAATCTTATTAACAACTATTTGTTATATACATATATATAACTATTATTTATTATTTATAGATTAGAGCTATCGATAGAAAACAAGAGGTACCACACGAAGGTCCAATGTGTGATCTGATGTGGTCCGATCCAGAGGATATTCCAGGTTGGAACAGCAGTCCACGTGGTGCTGGTTATTTGTTTGGTGAAGATATCGTTCAGAAATTCAATCATGATAATAATTTAGAGTTTATATGTAGAGCACATCAGCTAGTAATGGAAGGTTATAAATATATGTTTAATGAAACTCTGGTCACCGTTTGGTCTGCTCCAAACTATTGTTATAGGTAGGTAGTATATAGATAGTTTGTTAATTTTACAGACTCACAACAATGTTGAGTGATGTTCACTATCATTATCATATATATATGACTAATAATCTAATCTAATCTAATCTAATCTAATCAACTCTTTATGTAGATGTGGAAATGTAGCAGCAATATTACAACTGGATGAAAATCTGAAAAAGAACTTTGTTATATTTGAAGCTGCTCCTCAGGAGTCTAGAGGTGTACCAGCCAAACGACCAGCTCCAGAATATTTCCTCTAAGTTCTTTAATCAACTTGGTGGATCAATCAATTATAGATTAATAACATATGTTTAAACAATAAGAATCATAACGATAACAATAATATTCATTAATTAATAGCATTAAAATTTTAAGTGTAGATTTTATAGGAATTAAAGACGATTTAAATTAAAAAAATAAATGGTTGTATTTTAAATCAGGTTATTGATTTTATTTTTTTTTTTTTTTTATAAAGATGCATGTTTGTTAGAGAATTATAAAATATTTTTCTTTTTTAAAATCGACAATTTTAGAGAGGTTATAGATAAGAGAAGCTCCTACCTTTCAATAATATTTATCTATATTGTGTTTACCTCATCCAAACTCATCACTTTATGGTATTCATCTGAAACAAAACCCAAGACAATAATTCCCTAATTTATAAAGTCAATATCCAACATATATAAGAAAGATAGTTTAAATAATGGTAAATTCATCTGGTTTAGAAAAGTTTAACCTCTAGCAAATCGGATATTTTATAATTATTATTACTTATTAATTAAAAATAAAATAAAAAATAAATAAATATTACTTTTATCTAAAAATGTATGTCTTTTTGTTTTGAATGAGAAAAGTCTTATTTATAACTAAAAAATTGTTAAAGTCAATTGTTATATTGATAAATTATATGGGGAGTAAGATCTAATCGTTTAGAATCTTTATTACTTAAAAAAAAAATCCGTAGGAATAAATACAATTCCATAAGGAATAATTATATATATACTTTATAGACCTAGACACTCGTCGAATAGATCGGATGTAACACCAAATACTTCGCATGCCCATTTCATGTGGCAAGTCTCATCACATGGCTTAACGATTGGTGAGTTTGCAATGTGTTGGTAATAGTTGTTAAATTGAGTCATGTTGGTCTTGAACTGGTTGGCAACGGTCCACCATGATTCATTGGAGAGATCCGACATGCTAAAGAGTTCCTTGGCGCTGTAAGCCAAAGTGAATTCGAGAGTTCCATCGGCGTTGGCCTTTGAGAGATTAGTGTGGAATTGGAAGTAGTTGGTAACTTGGAGGTTATCAAAGTCGTACTCGTAGAGACGGAAACCTGGTTCGTGATTTTGGTAGGTGGTCATACTTGGAGCGACGTAGTTCATACCGGTTGGCTTGGAGCTGGTGGCGGTATCAGAGAATACAACGAGCTGGTCGTAGTGAGTGTGTCCGTAGAATTGAGCAGAGATGATACCAGAGAAACGCTCGACGATCGATCTGTAGATTGAGCACCATTGGTCGTTCGATGCCGACTTTAAAGTGCATGGGATGTGACCGAGGATGATAACCTTCTCTTGGTTGGATTCGGCTTGTTCCAAAACATCGATGAACCAATCGGTTTGGTTGTTTGGAATGTTCATATTGGACTCTTGGAGAAGATTGTAAAAGTTGATCATATCGGCGTCTTGAGTGTTGAGCGAGATGATACGAAGTCCGTTCTGGAGCAACAAAGTGTAGTATCCAGCTTTCTTGACGGAGGACAACTCGTCGGCACCAAGGAATGGAGCCCAGTTTTCATAGAGCGAATCAAGCAACCACTGTTGTTTTGGAAGGATGAATTGATCGGCTGGCCAGGCTTCGTGATTACCGAGCGATGGGAAAACCGGGGTCGATGGGAAGTAGGTGTTGACCAACTCTGCAAGCACCTGGGTGGCAGAGATCTGTTTGCTTTCGCTTTGCATCCAGACGTCGTGTGGGGGGTTGTCACCGGTCCAGGCAACAAAGCTGATTGGCATGGTCTTTGAGACGTTGAGGATACCGTCAAAGATCAACTTTACGGTTCTCAATGGAATATCGCAGAGGTAGTGACCAAAGTAACCGGCATCACCAGTACCATTACGACAACAGAGTGGCTTACCACAGTTTGGATCGGAACCCTCGAGATATTGTGGGTCGAAATGGATATCGGTCAATTGCAAAATGTAACCGGTACCGGTGAATGGAGTGCTCAACTTTGGTTGTTGTTTCGAGTAATCGGTCTTACGACGACTGTTTTGTACCAACGAAGCCATACCATAGATTTGGTCCAACTCACTTGTGAACAATCCATTTTGTACATTGTTAGCTGCAGTATCTTGAGCTGAGCAATATTTTAATTTATCACAAAGTTCTAAAAATCAATAATAATAAGTGGTAATATTTAAAAATTAATATTAAAATTGTTGTGTTTTAAATTAAATAATCGTGTTGTTGTTACTATTGTAATGATTATAATCATGGTAACATACCAATTGGTTTAATATTTGATAAAATAAGAACACTGTAAACAATACCGGCATAGGCATTCATAATACCGACACACTATAAATTTTATGTGAAAAAATAAAAAAAAGTAAAAACAAAATAAAAAATCATCTTGAGGTTAGGTTATATGTGTTATTTTTGTATAAGGTTATGTTTGATTCTCTGAAATGTGAGATAATACATACAACATCAGGCAATTCAATCTTTAGGGTGATACAAATGTCTGTTGCTCCCTTGATAACTTCATCAATTGAAGCATTTCTCTAAATTATAGTTATAAATAGAAATATAAATAAAAATAGTGTTATTATTAAACAAATAAATAAATAATAAAGATAAAAATTAAAAAAAAAAGATAAAGTTAATTAGTATTTTATAAATCTAAAAAAATAATAGAAATAGTCGAATGAAAATATTATCCGATAATTAATTAAAGATAAATGTGGTGGTTATGAATACAGATGCAAAATGAAAGATCATTAGAATTTTTAAAATAGTGGGTAATGTGTGTGTTTTAGAGAGTGTGTGATGTAGATGTTAGAAAAATGTGTGTACGTGTTCTTTTTGCATTAGTTATTAGTAACATTAATAACTTAATATTGTTACTGCTATCAATTTGATTGTTTATCAATGAGAGATAGAGAAAGAGAGAGTGTGTGTATTGTTGTTGTTGAATATAAATTCCAATGATAATAATAATAAAGTTGTTGATGCTACTATGATAAAATATTCTCAATAGTATTCTTTGCAAAAGAGCAAAAACAAAAAGAGTATATGGTATGAATACTTTTGTTCTCATTTTTATGACAAACTTACAGCTAAATAACCATCTAATAAGGTGGCACCTAATTCACAGAGGTCACAAGATATCTTTTCAGATCTAACTTTGTGAAGTGTGGAGAGTGCTTGTCTAATATCATGGTCTACCGATGTTTCTTCGTGTGCAATCGATACCGATAGAATCAACGCCAACAATACAATGAATGTAGTGAGAGACATAACTATCTTTGGATTCTAAATACAGATTTTATGATATAGATCACGTCGTCCGTCTCTTTGTTTTTCTAAAAATATAAGATAAGTTTACAATAAAAATATAAAAAAGACTAATGATCAAATATTATTAGATTTTAAGATATAAAAGATTTATATTAGATATATAATATATTTATTATATTACTTTTTGTTTTGATTTGTTTGATGTTTTGATGTTTTGATGTTTGCCTGTGTATTTAAATGATCTACTGTTTTTTACAAAAACTATGGATGTATTGTTCTGCACTACAAAAAATTAATTAAATAAGAATATTAAATAAAATAAAACACAAATACTCCTAAGAAATATTTAAAAAAATAAAAAAATTATAAATGAAAAATATTTATAAAAGTAAATTTTGGTGTGTGGGTTTTTTTTTTCTTGCAAAAATTTGTCGGGAGGTACTGTATTGGGGATTAAGCAGCAAACTTATCAGTTAGTTTGGGCATCATGAAAAAAATATCGATAGAAATTTAATCCGTATCCTTCGTATTTTTTTTTTTATGATTTCTTTTTGGTGTGATATTTTTTTTATTCATTTTAAAAAAATTTTAATTTTTTTTCTTTTGGTCATAAGTATTTTGATTTTTCTGAATTGCCGATGAGACAATCACCTACAGTCAGCTGTTGAAGAAATAAATATCTAGCTGGTTGTTGTGCCGAGAAAACCTTTAAAAAATTGATGGACCACCATTTAAAGTAAAAATAATTATATGATTTTGCAAATATTGAATTTCTGAAACTTATTTGTAAAACACACCAAATTTAAATATATATATCAGTGTCAGAATCTTGGGGTGATTGAACAGCTGATATAACTTTTTATAAGTTCACTTTCTTCTAAAAATGGGAATTGTTAGCAAGTTCGGGGTGTTTCGGCGATCTTTGTCCAATAACAGCTCTTACTTAAAATAAAATAACCAGATTTATTACTAAATGTTTTCTATCTACATAAATATTTAACCAGGTTTTTAATAAATGGGAATAATTTATTATAATCGAATAAATGTTGGATAAAAATATTGATTCTATTTATAATAAAAAAATTGTAAATATAAGAATATTCGAAACAACGAAAACATTGTTGAGCTAATAACTGATTATTAAATTTCAATGTATATGAAAATTGAAGGATGTGCAAATATATCATTTGGGATTTGAATAACCAACTGATCATTTATTATCATATTTATCAAATTGAACTTTAAAGTGTTTACAATTTCTCTATTTGTTTAATTTATCTATCTGTTTGATGTTTGAATTTAAAAAAAATAAAATAAAGAAAACCGTTGTAAAATTTTCATCAGTCGAAACACTTTAATTTTTGGCAAATTGATCGGATTTAGTCATAAATATTATTAAAAGTGTTAGTTGTTAGTTAATTGGTGTAAATATATATATATATAATTTATATTATATTAAAAGATTTTTAATATAAAGAGATGTCAAGATATGAAGATGATGAAGATGACTATATGGCTATCAGAGAGAGAAATAAACAAAGAGAGATAGAGAAAATAGAAAGAGAGAAACAGAATGAAGTCGATAAATATAATGATCGTGAGCGACGTAACTTTGAGAGAGAGGTAGATCGTGAGAAAGAAAGAGATAACAACAGAGACAGAGATAGAAACTACAGAGATAACCAGAGAAATAACAACAATAGAGGTGGCAGAGGAAGATATAATAACAATAGCAATGACTATAGAGATAAACAACAACGTGACAACAATACTAGAGACGATAGATCATCCTATAGAGATAGGTCAAGATCAAGATCGAGATCTAGATCAAGATCAAATGAAAGATATCAAGATAATAATGGTGGTAGAGGAGGAGGAGGAGGTAGAGATAACAATTATAATAATAATAAAGATAATAGAAAGAGAAGTAGAAGTAGGAGTAATGATAGAGATGAAAAGAAAAGAGAAAGATACAACAACAGTAGCAATAATGGTAGTAATGGTAAACCATCAACACCAGTTAAGGGTGAAAATAGATCGAAATTGGCATTGGCAAAACAACAGAGATTAAAAGAAGCAGAAAGTCATAAACAGAAGGACGAAGAACCTGTAGAGACTGGTTTGGATCCTGAAGAAGAAGAAATGATGAGACAAATGGGTATACCAGTAACATTTGGATCAACAAAAGGTAAAAAAGTCGATGGAAACAGCCAAGGTGGAATGACAATAAGATTTAACAGACAATATAAACAATTTATGAATAAAAGAGTTGTTGTAAGTAAATATTATTAATAATAATATAATAACTATTACTTTACTTTAATTAATTACTAACTAAATATTATTTTATTTTTCATTATCAATATTAAGAAAAATTAATAAATAGGTTTATTTTATTTTATTTTTATCCGCATATATTGAATCTCTGGAATTTATTTCTTACTGTTCAAAATACTTAAAACCTAAATTAGTTCGAGTGATTCTAAAATAATAAATATGTGTGTGTAAGAATTGAGGTTGTATTATTATTATTATTTACGTTAATATAAATTACTTACTAATATCTATAAGTTCATTTTCTTTGATTTCTAATGTTTCTTCGTTCTCTTCGATTTCAATTGACTGTTCAAGTTTACTAATAATGGTTTGACTGAATGTTTCGAGGTATTTTTTTGATTTGTTGAAAGACTCGAGATCACGGTAATCAGTAACTTGACGATAATACACAATTGTTTTTCTTAACAAAAGAGAAAGCAATCGAGTCGATTCTTGTTTGATTTCATCGTGATCGAAATCGATCAGTTTGAAAAGCTGGGTGACAAACTGTCCGGTGTAAGGATGTATTGGTGGATGTGTTTGGTTGGCGAGTATTGAAATAAATGAAATCGTCAATTTAATGATATCAATACGTTGGTTCGATACATCCACTGAGAGTTGCTCGTGTTCATCGCTTGTGATGTCGAGGGCATTGATGAGGTAGTGAATGAAGAATTCATAGTGTGGTTGGAATTGATCTCTAAGTGTTTGTACGAATCGTGTCATCGATCTCGAGTAGTAATCCGATGATTTGTGAGTGCATGCCGGAATGTTTTTCTTAATGATCACAATGGTTTCAAATGATTTTTCGAAATCACTATCTATCGATCCTTTGGATTCCAGAACGAGGATACTGATTGCTTCAAGAGCAACACCAAAGGTAACACTTAATGGATCGAATCGATCGCTTCTAATGATTGACATAAAGAATGAAAGATAGGTATCGGCACGGTTGGAGATACTATCAAACATGATATTGCCAATGCTACTTATCACGCCAACAACGCCAGCAAGAATACCTTTTGGTTGTTCGATATGAATGTATTCAGAGCAATAGTCTAAAATGCGATCTATACTCTCTTTGATTGTTGAATTTCCAAATTCCACAAGTAATTCCAAAAGATGTAATATGCTTTTTTGGACTGTTGAATGACTGTCTTTCAAACTTAATACGATATCTAAAATCTCGAGAGTTTGTTCTTCAGTTGGTTGTTCTACGCCTAAAATTACATGTGCCAGACCCAAATAGTTATATCTTACGTATGGTAGTGGATGTATAAAGTATTTCTTAATCGATTTAAATGCACTACAAAAATATTTTGAATTAATTAATTAATATCTAAAAGAATAGACAACAAGATAACAATCCAATTGAATCTAACAAAATGTATTCATTAATACTTACCCAATATATGATTGATCATTGATATATTCTTCTACCACCATTGATATCAGGTTTGATAATCCACATAACTCTTTCCAATCACCTTTTTTAAAAACTCGAGCCTTAAGCTCTTTTAATCTTTGGTATACAAGTTCAGAGTTTAATTCAACCAATAAATGTAAACAAGCGATTGCATAGTATGGAGCTTCCATGTCTTTTTTCTAAAAATAAAAAAATCAAGTTAGTTACCAAATTAATTTAATGAAATTAGTTGTTCAGATTATTACCAAATATGATTCTGATTCCCATTCTTTAACATCGTTATCGTCAATATTTAAAAACTTTGAGAAAACAAAATGTATAATTTCCGCCAAGAGATATACTCCAATTTGATAATCACTAATGGAGCTATAGATCAAAATGTTGTTTAATAACGGCTGAATTATTTCTAAATTTAAAAGTTAATTCAATTAGTAAGTAAAATGGGTTGCGCTTCAATATTCAAGGTTTAGTAAATTAATAGTTAGCTACCATCTTCAAATTTATTTGAATCAACCAATTCAAATATTTCTTCATAGTACCTTATAAGTGTTCTAAAATCATATGATTCACTCTTTATATATTCATCCAATATCTAATTATTATTATATAATAGGTAGAATTAATATTGTAAAATTATATTAATTTTTAATTAATTTCGAAATTACTACTTACTCTGTAGAGATAGACTGACATCGATTCATCTTCAATTTCGAAATCAGTAAAATGTATTCTGATAATTTCAAAATGCTTAATAAAGTACAAAGTATTTTCATTGGGTTGTTCAAAAGTGATTGTCATCAAATCTGAGAGTAATGATTCAAAATCACTAATTTGTTCATTAGATGGTTTCTCTTTTAAAATAACATCGATCAATTCTAAACATGAAAATTTGAATTCTATATTATTAGATTCAATATATCTCTTAGATATTGATTGTAATATACTTTGGTATTCAACTATAGTAGTATAATATAAAGTATAAAAATTGATCATTAGTTATTTGTTTGTTTGTCTATATTTTTATATGAATATAGCTTATCTATATTACCTATTTCATTACAATGATTATGATAAAGATACTTGATGAATTCAATGGTGATTGTTTTGAGATGATCACATTTCAATTCAAGTAGATCCAATGATTTCGATTGTAATTCGACCTTTGTTGTCAATGTCAAATCATCCCAAATTGTGTTTGATATATTCTCGTGCTTAGAATCTATTTGATTCAAAACAAAGAAACAATCATCGATAATCTATTAAATTAAAATACATTTATGAATATGAACTATTAACTATTAACTATTAAGTGATTTTTTTCATACATGTTCATTTGTTAAATGCGAATTCAAAAGACTGAATAGGTCATTGATCAATTCGTTTCTATCATTGTAGTCATTCAATACTTTTCTGATATCTCTTTCTTTTATTGTTTTGATAATTTGATTGAAATCAATACTAATCATATTTTATCTTTATAATTATTTATTATTATTACTTTTACTTTTTCATTTCTCGTCTATTGAGACTCACTTGCTGACTTTTTTTTTTATTCCCTCAGTTGATTTTTTGAAGAAATGGATGAAAATTAAAAATAAAAACATTCTTATGAGGGACCATTTTTTTAAGAATCTCTCAAATTTTAAAAAACTATCTTTGATAGACATGATGTTACTTCCTCATAGAAGTTTTTGGGACCCGCCCCAAAAGCCTCTTGATCTCACATTGCACAAAAAAGGAAATCGAAACTTAGATTGGATTTTACAAAATATCTGTAAAGTGGAAAAAATCATTATTATGGGTGGTATTTTATGTTTGTTTTGATTTTTATTGAATTTTGTTTTACTATGAATCAAAGATGGTTAAGATTATTAAAGTATATCATGTCTACAAATTAGATCTAGTTGATCTTAGATTATATAAAATCTTGAATCTATTGTTGTGTTGTTGTTCCCATGTCTTCGATTGTTTAGCTAAAGTTATGGTTTTTTTTTTATTTTATTTGATTTATGTTTACAAGCAAGAGCCAGTTTTGTTTTGCATTTAACACCTGCAATGATTTTGAAAACATTCATTTGATAAAATATAGAAGAATGTTCAAAATGAACATAAATACAAATAGAATCGAGAAAACAGATAGATTAATCAATGGAAAGAATGTATTGAAATTTATTAATTATGAATTTATTGATCTAACAGTTTTAGTTCATAATCATTTGAAAGATAAAGAAAATGAACAACACACAAATATCATATTAATCGGAAATATTAAAACTAATGATGAGATAGTAATACCAGATACTGTCGATACTCAATATCAATTAATATTAATAGATTCATTTTCACCCTTAAATCTATCGATACTTTTAAACAAATCAGAATCATACACAATCAATACTCAAAAAAGTCAATTCAAAGACACGTTTGACTTTTTCAAACAAAGACACATCATTAATAACATTCAATATCATTCAATATCAAGATTTACAAACAGTAATAATATCAATGATGTATATTTAGTGTGTGGTACTGATGATCATATAGCTTTTTATAAAAGATTGGTAAGATCATTTTTCAAAGTAATTAATCAATTGACAATCATAAAACTAACAAAATCAATTCAAAAGTATGTTTATAAAGCGATAAACTATAAAGATAATCAGAAATCTTATGAAAGAGCTGAGAATGAAATCAAAGCAATGAAATTACTCAAAGATAATTGGAGATTTGTTCAACTTGTTGACTATCATCATGATAAACACAATCAAATCTTTCATATCATCACTTATTATTGTAAAGGTGGTGATCTTACTCAAAAGTATAAACTTTTAACTGATCTAAATCTGTAAGAATAAAAAATAAAATTCTAGAACAATTGAGATATTAATTTAATATTTCATATTGAACATAAAAATAGGATCTTTGAAGAATCAGATATTAGTCGATATATTTCAGAACTTTTCAATATTCTTTTGGATCTTGATAAACATGGAATTGTTCATTGTGACATTCAACCATCAAATATATTCATTGGCAATGATTCTTATGGTACTTTGATTCTTGGTGATTTTGGATGTTGTAAATTCATTGATCAATCAACAATCATTGAATATCAAGATACAAAAGTATTTATTGAGCCACCTGTTGTCATAACAAGTGTTTCAAATTCGAAAGAAATATCATATCCAACTATCGATATAGATCCAAACACACTTATAAATGCAACTCGTGGAACAATTGGTTATATTTCACCAGTATGTATATTCTATTAATTGATTATTAAATATATTTTAAACCAAATCAAAATTATAATTACAATTAGGAAGCAATGAACAGACAATATGCACAATCATGTGACATCTTTTCAATTGGATCAACAATTCTCAAATTATTATGTTGGTAAATACTCGAATAATCATTTTTAAAATATTATTATCAATCAGATATTAACTCTGTATTTTTGAATATTTAAATTGATCAGTCATCAAGATGATCGAAATAATCATCAAATATTCCAAACTGCTGGTGAAATTAAGATTTCAGAATGCAGATATTCAAAAAAATTTATTGAGTTTATTCATCTATTGTTGGATCAGAGTCCAAAGAATAGAGAATCATTGAATCAATTATTAAACCAATATATTGAAACCATCACCAATCAACATTCAATTACATTCAATTTAAATACTACATTCAAAAATAGATCAGAAAATATCACTGAAATCAAATTTGGTGATGAATTTAATCAACCTTTGCAATCTAATTCACTCCCTCCAAATCTGACATCATTATCATTTGGATCTAAATTCAATCAAATATTATCAGTTGGTGTGTTACCTGAATCACTGAAATCATTATCATTTGGATATGAATTCAATCAAATATTATCAGTCAGTGTGTTACCTAAATCAATTTCATCACTCATTATTGGTGGAGTACAAAAAGACTCGGTGAGTCAAAGCAAATTAGCTTTAAATTTAAAAATTCTTGAAATTTATGATGATGGTTATAGACACAAAATAACAACATTCAAATTGACAAATTCTCAAGATTCACTTTCATTTATCAAAGAATTCTATCCAGAATATTATTCAACACACAATCTATCAAAGATCAGTGATTACATTGTCGATTCTCAGAACAATCAAATCAAAGGAGAATACATCATTGCTCTACTTTTAACAGAATAGAAATATCATTTTGAAATAAAGACCGACATGACCCCGGACTACAGCCCGATCATGGGCCTGTCGCCGGTACACAACTACTACCTGGACGCCGGCTGGGGCACCTGGGAAACAAATTTTGATTATTCAAAAGAAAATAAAAGAATCGATAAACATTTTCTTAATTACATTTAACATCTTTGTTTATCAGTCATTTTTCTTCTTCTTATTGATGTGATGTCCCTCATTCATCATAATTACTAGATACTTTGTTAGAGAGTTGAATTTTATTTTATATCTTTTTTTATCTTCAATGAATTGAATGAATCCTTTTACGTCGCGAATTGATCGTCCTGGTCTTTGAGAAGTTTTGACGGCAGAGTAGTGAATAACTTAATTTAGAAACAACCAATATAATTTAATTATCATTTGCTTCTGTTGTTTTAAGATATTACTTATTTAATTGACTAGATTAATTTAATTAATTAATTGACCATTACTATTAATGTTGTCATTTGTTGGCTGGGGAATATTACTACTATTGTTTAATGGGTACTAGCATTGCCTTGGCGGCTAGAGAGTTGAAATAGATTATATAAATATTATTAGAAAAATTTTTATGTTATTAATATTAATTGTTAATCATACGGTAAAATGACAGACCAACCGAACATCCAACCGACACAACCACAACGACCACAACCACGATAACTAATAGGTCAACAACATCTATTAATCAAATCACCATCACAAACGAATTAACAAAGGGCGATCTCGAAAACAACAATAATAATATCAATGATTCTGCCAATGAAGATCAACCGGTCACCACCTATTCCCACAGATCACTCCTATTAATTCCCGTCAAAACCCATTACCAACCGATCTTTTCCAATCTAGTCTAGCGCAGTCTAAACTACCGATCTCCTCTGCCATCATACTAAACCCCTTTGGATGGAAAACACTGATACTCTGTTCTTGTATAATGTTGTCATAACTAGACTTAGATCTTCTATAGATATCAACTTATATTAGTATAATATTCACTAGGTGTAGTGTAAATATGTATATATATCTATAAATTGGTCGACAATTTAAATGGTAATAAGTCTCAATCTGTATCTCATTGCATATTCTCTCTCTGGTCAAAAGGTTGCAAATGCAGAATACCGACCACGCCCCGATCCATGATTTGCTCAATTGCAGAGCAAAGGCTACTTCTCCTTCACCACTGACAATGGTGTCTATCTTCCTCGTAATTTACTTCGCCCGAAGACTCATTCAGTCTGTTCTCAGAGAGCAACTTGATACCCCACTCAAACGTTGGGCACATGAGATCGTCACACTTCTGACAGACCTATCCAATTGGAATAATTATAATTGGGAGCGATTTTGCGTACTGATGGAGCTCTGCAAGACATTCCCTCACATTCAACAATTAGATCCGTCTTCTAACTCTGCCATTACACTCGGTGATCACTTTCGGAATGCCCTCTTTGCAGACGCAAGGACTAATGATCTCCAAATCAATCTCCAGCATTCCAACCTACACAAGGATGTCATTTCCCGGGAGACTCATTCTACTTCCCATTCTCAGACTTTATCTATCCAGACTCAGACAATGACAAAGGTGCTGTGTGATCTGACAATGTACAGCATTCGACTCTCGCAGTTCAGTCTATTCCAGTAGTCTCTGACGTCAATTCAATAAAGACAATATTCCACCATCAAAACCCTCATTCTAATCCTATCTCACAATCCAATCACTCTCCACTCACATCCTTCCCTCAACTCCAATTGTGATTGAATACAAATATTCAAGGATGATACTAAACAAAGCCTAAAGGTGAGATAATTCCAATTCTTGTATTGATAGCGGGTCCAATAACCAAAAAAAAAACATCAAAATTAAATAATTTAATATCTTTTTATTGATGAGATACTATTAATTGATATTATACAAAAAAAGAAGAAGAAAGTCGATTTCCAAGAGAATAATTTAAAAAGGTATTATTATTGTTCTTCTTCATCGATGGATGCAGTACTATTTGATAGAACATTGTTGTTTGATAATAGTGTTGCACCGGTTTCCACAAAGAGTAAACCATCGCCACTCAGTGAGGCATCGGTCATTGAGATGAATTGTGGTTGATTTCGTTTGGCTAGATGTCTTCTTGTGAAGAATATCACTGCACCAACGACAACCACCGTTGCGACCATCGCCAGCGATGCACCAAGAATGATCTTGGTAGCAGTTCCTTTGGAACCCTCTTCATTTGGATCGATAACAACGGCGGTCTTACAAACACCATCACCACCACACACTCCACACGAATCGAATACCATCTTTGAATGAGGAATACCATCGCAACCTGCACAAGTACCATTTCCACCACATACACCACAAACATCGAAAACACCATCACAAACTAAGTTATAATAATAATCGATGATTGATTCATTAGTTAATTAGGTTATAATTATATTACTCAATATTAATTACTTACTTTTACATGAAGATTGAATTTCTTCTATTGATTTCAATCCGTGGGTACAATGATAGGTAAAGTCATATTGATCTTTGGCGCAAGTTCCACCACGATTGATACAGTCGGCACCGCATTTAACTTTTTGATATTCACAGAATTCACCGTAACGATCTGGTGCACAGTGACACTTTCCATTGCAGCAACCACCATGACCTGAACATCCTTTGACAGTGCAATCGGAATCGCTTGGTGCATAGTTGAGTGCATCGAATGTATTAAGAATTCCATAGCCTTTGTAGATATCTGGTGATGTACTTTGGGAGGCAGTAGCGGTGATTGCTTGGTATACTTGTTGAGGAGTCCAAGTTGGATTCTTTTGCATTACAAGTGCAATCGATCCGGCAGCCAAAGGGCATGAGAAACTAGTTCCAGACATATGACTGTAGCAGACATTGCACTTGGCATCGGCAACATAGTTATTGAGACCGAGTGCTGTGATATCCGGTTTGACACGACCGTCTGAAGATGGTCCAGTAGATGAAAAGAATGTTGCTTTACCAACTGAATCGATTGCACCAACAGAGATAACATTGATTCCATCGGCTGGAGCACCAATTCCTTTGTAACCATCGTTTCCTGCTGAGGAGACTACAACCATTCCTTTGGAGACAGCCTTGTCGGCTGCTTTGGTAATGGTTGCATAGGTACCATTCATATCGTAATATTTATACCATTGGGTGTAACCGAGTGAAGATGAAACCAGTTCTGCACCGTGAGCTTCTCCCCATTCGATTCCACTCACCCAGTAGTCTTCCTCCTGTTGTCTTTCATCACTGACGTCTTCAGTCTTGGCGAGCAGGAAATGTGCTTTATAGGCAGGTCCAACCATTACACCTGGATTGTAACCGGCAATAGTTGAAAGAGTAGCTGTTCCATGAATATTTTGTCTGTCTCCAAACGGCGATGTTACATTGGTAGCGTTGTTGATGAAATCATAAGTTGCAAGAATCGAGAGATTCTTAAACACCTCATGAGAAGTCAAGAAACCGGAATCCAAAATCAAAATAACCAAACCGTTTCCATCAAGTCCGAGATCGTGTGCAGCGACTGCATTCACTTGTTTAATGCTATTGTAAGTGTTGTTGTAGAAATCTTCCAACTCTGTAGAGAGTGTTCTTCTCTGTTTCCAATTGCCTGCATCGACAACATTGTCAGCTTTCATTATCAACTGTTCATCCAGTTCTTTCTGTTCAAAGTCGGATTTGGTGTCTGGAGCCATCGAGAACTTGCGAACCAAATCGATTTTCTCGACAAAAGGCATTGCAGTGATACAGCTGAGAATCTGATTGATCAACTTCTCCTTGTGTTGTTCAGAGTCGTGGATATCGACATCGATTGAAACAGAGATGGAATTCATCCATTTCGAACGTTGGTGAACAGACAGATAATCATTGTTATCGAGCCGACCACATTTCTCAACGGCATTGACTAGTGATTGTTGGACTGGCAGATCATCGATGTCCAACCCAATCTTCTGAGCACGTCTGCTTCTACGATCGATAGCACGCTCAGTGATATCCAAGAGTTTCGATGCCACCTGTAAATTCTGGTGACTTATATCGATTTGATCGGCTTGATGTCCATCTTTATTATAGTTTTTCGAATTGAAAAACACCCATAGCTTGTGTGATTCTTTCTCCTCCTCGCCAAAGTAATGATGCACTGGTATTGCTATCTTACTAGACATTCCCAACGGATCGGAATGTAATTTATAACTTGCACCAAAACATAATCCAATAAATAAGAATAAAAATACAAATATATTATTATTGATTTTATATTTTATCATTATTAATAAAATCTATATATATAAATAAATATAAAAATAAAAACTGTTTTTAATTAAATTGAATTAGAATAAATATAAACTATTATTTGATTAAATTTAGTATTTATATTTGAACAAAACAATGATGATTTGGTTGGTGAATGATGAAATTTCTTTCAATGAGTGAATTCAAATAACAAATACTATTATATCTTCTTGTCCAGAGACCCTCTAAAGGAAACTAAAACAATATAGAAAACATGCAATTCGTGACTAAACCTAAATCGGTCATTGGAAATAAGAGGGAGAACACAGGTTAGTATGCTAGGATCTGTGGTTGGTCTGAGTTTTCAATATGATACGATATGATGGGATATTAATTTATTGGATTTATTAAAATATTGATGTTAAGTGTTTCTCTCTCTATATATTTTTATTATTCTATTTTTTATTGTGATTTAATATTAAAGTAGTTGTTGAAGAGTAGTAGAGTTATTATCGAAATGGAAATATATTAAATTTCGTGTTTTTCATATTTATAATTATAAATTAAATAATTTTAGTTGTTCGAATTGGATTGGAGTATAGTATAGATGTTGCTTTTAATAATATGCAAAGGGTGTTTATTTTCCCTTCACACCCTAAATAACAAAACAAAACAAAACAAAACACAACAAGACAACAAACTTTTCTAATACTTTTATTTTATTTAAAATTATCTCTTTAGAATAAACTAAAATAAATTTATTTAATTAAAATTGATGTATCAAAATATTATTTATGGTCTAATTTGAAAGTATTCTCCACAACCATGGTGTTAATTAAAAAAAAAAACACAAATTCAACCTTTCTTTAAAAATTAATATAAATAAACCAAAACCATATAAATAAACAGATATTATTATTATTATTTGTTTAAAATAGTTGTGTTGAATAAAAATGAATGAATTAAAAATATATTAACGACCATTTATTAAATAATGTTGTGTTTGTGGTTTTGATTGAAAATAGTGTTAAAACAATTGGATGGTAAACATATTTAACACAACCACATTATATTATTTTTGTATTGTTTTGAAAAAACATCAATTCTACAAAAATAGATCTATGAGATTGCTAAAAAACTAAACACTATTCAGATTCTAAACTTTGAACTTCCAAAAAAAAACTAACCTTATTTTAACTGATATCAGACATCTAAATAAATAAATACTAAAAAACTAATAAAGATTTTTTTTATTTACTTATAAATAAATGTTAACTACTATTAATATTTTTTTTTGTGAAATACTTGTCTTGTTGTTGTCTCTCCTCCTTATGTCTTCATTCTTCACTTCCCTTTCCCCCTTTAATGTGAATGTGGTTCTAAAAAGAAATATCCATTTTAGAAAATCTTTGTTATTAAATGGTTAAAGTTTGGATGAGTGAAACATTGTACCAATATAAACTGAAAAGACATTGTTGATCAAAAAATATAATTGATCGAAATGACACAACACGCCCCTACAAAAAGGCATGTTTATCAATTGACATTTGGTGATGGGCTTTTAGTGTTTGATTGTTTTGTTTTTTTTGTTTTTGTCCATGAACAAACAATTTTTGTTTTTATTAATAATAAATCTTGTACAAAAATAAATTAAAACTTTTTTCTGTTTTTTTTGTTTTTTTTTTTCATTTAAATTTTGGGATACTTAAAATTATTTTTGGATTTTTGCATTTGGTGAATGGAGTGGAGCGGAGTGGAAAGATAGTTTAATTGATCTACATTTATATTGTTTTGTTTTTGTTTTCTTTAATATTTTTGTTTTTTGTTTTGTTTTGTTTTGTTTTTTAGTATGGAGTGTATCTTGAGTGTCGTGAGGGAGGTGGGTATTTGTGTGAACCTCTTTCAAGAGGTGGTGCGGCATAGTAGGGTGGATAACCAACTTCGTAACCTTTCATTGCGGCTGCAGCGGCTGCCGAGGGTGGCACCATGTAAGGATAGGGTGGATCCATTGGATTTCGAACGGATTTCACTGAGGGATAGTCGTAACCGCTGCCACCGACACCACGATGTGTCGAGGTGGATCCACGACGCAATGTCTCTGGTGGTGGATAGGCAAACGGTGTGTAGTACTCTGGGTACAACATGAATGAGTAGTCGTAGCCCGATAATGCGTAGCTGTTGTCGGCGAAACGGTGTTTCTGCTTCGGTTGACCCCAGGTAAGCGAGATCGTCTTGCCTTGGAAATCGATACCGCTCTGTGAGTAGCGATCCATGAGATTCTTGGCGTCCTCTATGGTGTTGCAATAGATAAAGGCGTGTCCCAACGGCACCTTCTTCTGCATATCCAGAGGCACTACGATCTTCTCGACCGACTTGACACCCAATTGCTTACGCAGCACATCACCTTCATCTTGACTCTTAATACCTCTGGCAAACAAAACCTTTGTAGATGGTAGTTTATCATCGTTACCACTGTTTTTGTTTAGTAAAGAAGATTAATAATCAGTTAGTACTTATTATCATAACAACTTGTTTTATACAATTATTATTGCACCTACGACTTTTTAGTTAAAGAAGCAGTATATTTAGATTTTTGAATTAATTTAATTGCTTTGATTGTGGTATCGTGATCTTTGAAGTGTGCCCATCCATATTGTTTGGAAGGACCATCAAATTCAAATGTTTTAATTGTACACTATATAGTAAGATGAAAAGATATAAAGTAAGTAAGTTAACTATAGATTGATAGATAGATAGTTAGTTAGTGGTTGATATACTTACACCAGAGATATCCTCCAACTCCATCTTTATCTCACGTTCATTTAAATCTTTTGGTAGGTGACCGATGTATAATGTGTTATTGGTGTTGGCTTGTGTGATCTTTACTTTTTGACTATTGTTTGATTATAATTTGTAGGTTATTCGATCAAACGATATGATGATTATTATTGTTTTGACATATATAATATAGAATATTATTATTAATGATTAATTATTAGTATTAGTATTTTATTTTTATTTTATTATATTATATTTATATATTTTGATCTCATTATTAAGTTATCTCATATTATTTTATTAAACTCTTTTTTTAATTAATATTATGATATTGACAAGTAGTAAGTGATTAATGATTAATGATTAGGATAATACTATTCATTATTAATGATTAATGATTAACTATCGATTGATTTATTAATTAACAATTGATTGTTACTATTAATGATTAATGATTTTAGATATTGTTGTTTATCGATAAAGATATATTATATTATATTGCTATGTATTGTATTTTTTTTGTTTTTGTAATTATTATTATTGTTGTTGTTATTGTTATTGTTATTAATGATTAATCATATCATATGTTAACATAAACATATTGATAATAATGAAACAAATAAACTAACAAAACAACACATACAAACAAACATATTATTAACTAACTAGTAAATAAACTCATATAAATTGTTTAACTATATAAATACTCAATAAATATAATATTGATAGTATAAATAAAAATAAATATAAATATATAGTTATATTATAATGATACTGTACATTTTACCAGAAATAGAATCTCTAAATGCAGGAGGATTTGGAAAATCAACTGCTCTACAACAATCTGCCATACTATAAAACTTTACAAAACCATAACCTTTAGTCTCTCCCGAGTGTTTGTTCTTTACAACAATTGCTTCGGCTACCTCTGCAATCTTTGAAAACTCTTCTTTTAACATTGCATCGGTAACTCCTCTTGCAATATCACTCTATAAACGATCGCATATTTATAAATATTATTAATATATCTAATATCTTTATATTTTTGTAATATCTTTTTTTTTTTTTTTTTGATTTATTTAAACTTACAACAAATACACCATAATCATTTTCTTTTGAAGCCATCATTATTATTACTTTTTAAAAATATATATTATTTTATAAATAAATTAATGATTTATTTATAAAATAATCTAAGATCTAGTTAAAAATGTAAAAAAACGAAAAATATAAAAATATAAAAAAATATAAAAAACCAATTAAATAAATAAAGAAATATATTAATAAGTTATATCAATCAATGAATATATTAGCATGTGAATAACCTTTGAAGTTAATGAATAACAAAAAAAATAACACACATTGCCAACTGAAAATTTTGATTTTTGAAATTTTTTGTGTTGAAATGAACTTCGAACTTTGAGTTGGTTATTAATTATTATTATTAAATACATGTTTATTATTATTAAATGTTTGTTTTATTGAGTTGTTGTTGTTGTTGTTGTTGTACTTGTTGTTGAAGTAGTTGTAGTTGTTGAAGTTGTTGTTTCCATTTCAATATCATCTGATTGTTGTTGTTGTTGTTGTTGTTTGTTGGTGACTATGGTCGGTGTGTAACTAAAGAGATTGTCCAGTAGAATGGTTCTCTGTGACGGTACCAGTGGGAGTACGCGACTGATGAGCAGGTTCTGAAGGAGTAGCTTCGAGCGGTGTACTTTTGTGAGGTTGTGTAGGAGGAGTGCTACGAGTTCGATCGATTTCACGAATTGCAGTGAATCGGCGACGTTGTTGAATCGGTGATTCTGCACAAACTGCACCAGTATCGACGATACCTCCTCGACGAACGCTTTGATCTCTTGCACGCGACGACGGTCTTTGGAGAGGGCGTCGTTCACGTCTGCCAGCAGATCGACCAAGACACGCGACTTGTTACGGTCGGCGACGTCGCCGATGGCGGCACCGGGCAGGTGCGTGAGGAGTTCGCGTATCTCTGTGCGCTCGGCTTGCTCGGTGACCGCACAACTAAACATGATTCGCAGGAATTCCAACCATTGCTCACTGCTCTTCAGTGCCAGGTGTTGTTTGAAGTGGTCGACAACGACGTTGACCAACAAGTACTTGGCACGCTCATTGTCGAGTGACTCCAACAGTGTTGTAATCCTATCAAAGATGTCATCGTCATTCTCCTCACTCAGTATAACAATAACAGATTCCAACACCTTATCATCTTTAATCACCTTTAGATTCAAATAGTCGAGTGCTCTTTGTTTATAAACTGAATAGCTAATTGGTTCTTTCTTATCTATATTTGTAAATGCATTTACAAATTGTGGTTGTGAAGTTGTTTGTTGTTGTTGTTGTTGTTGTATTGTTATTTGTAATGGATTATTATTATTATTATTACTATTTAATTGTTGATTGTTTGTATTTGATGTTTGTTGTTGTTGTTGTATATTATTATTATTTATATTATTTGTAAGTAATTGTTGATCTTGTTGAGCTCTATTATAAAATAGTGCAACTATCCAAATATAAATTGAAACAATTAAATCTTTTATATTCATTTTTGTGTATATCAACCAGTTAATTAATTGACTGCGAAACAAAGTGATTGCTCTTTAAATTAAAATTTCATTTATTTTTTTAAAATTTTTTTTTATTGCAACTTTTGGCAATTAGAATAGTTTTTATACATTATCTTACTTTTTATAAAGGAATGAATATTATTATTTCATTTTTTTAATCATAACTCTATTTATCACGAAAAAATACGATTTTAATTTATCAGATTATTTAGTTTTAGTTTTCTAATTATTTTTATATATAGACATTTCTTTGACTATTTTTAAACCCTGAACAGTATTTTTTGCCAATCCAAAAAAAGAAATTTCCCAAAATTTTAAGGGTTTTTGCAGATTAATTAATAATATTCTGGAATGAAATTCATGAATTAAACACTGAACATTAATTGATCTTCAAATCAATGAGATAAATAAAAATATTCAAAGTAAAAAATATTT